GCAAGTACCGAGTAATGCCGCATCTCCCTCCCGTTCAAACGCGTGATTGAAACCAACTTGCAGCAACCAGACCTCTCGAATTCTTGTAGTGGTGAAAAAAAAAAAATTGGTCTCCAATTGACAATAACTAGGAACTTAGCGGATCAGATTGGACAAACGGAGAACAAGTCCAATAAGGTTGGCGCGCCGAAACCCTGGCAGTGGAAGGCTAAAACGACACAGGCTAGACTGCTTACCGTTAGTCCAGGTCTAGGGCGAGTGGAGCTTACTGCTTGGGTACCTTTGGTGGTCTTACTCCTGTCCTCTCCACACTTACAGTACTTGCTTTCAAGCCCTTGATCGTCCGCTTCCTTGACAAACCGAGAGGACACAGGGTCCTCCCAAGGTAGGCCAATAAACGACTTGGCCATCGACAAGCTGTAGTCCCTGCATTTTGTTACTGTTGACTTGATAGAACCGGAGAGCACCCATGAAAAAAAAAAAAAAACCCCTGGAATTTGCAAGATATTTCCAATCTGCACCTTGTAAGGACGGTGAGAATAGCAAAAGGTCCAACTAAAAGAACATGACTCCATGAGAGAAGCGGGATACTTGAATCCAGAAAACGCTTCCCACCCTCGATCAACAATGTTACACATAGACTCGAGACTCGGGTGTCGGGTGTCGGGTGTCGGGAGAATCACCATTTCGCAATGCGTTCAAAAAGGCAAATGCGCACAGGCATTCTTGGGTCGATCTCGTTGAGATTTCGGCTCCGAGAAGGCACCAGTGACGATAGGTGCAGCCCTTTGACTGGCGCGTCACGATCAAACGCTGTTTGGAAACGGGATTTGGCCCACTTGGCTTGGGAGTCAAACTCTAATTCTGTCGTGAACCTCCCAGTCCCAAGTATTCTTGGCGACTCGTGATCACAACGCAGCAGGAAAAGCCTTACAGTAGTAGGACTCCTGTAGGAATACGGTAATTTAATATGGAGTTGCAAAGGATCTTGAGCTGTTCTGTGTAGATTGCAAGTGGAAAGTGTAACCAACAGGCGAGTGTGGGGTTCTTTGGTTGGTTTTGAACCCGGTGGAAAGCGAGTAGGATCTTCAATCAGAAGTTCCTCGCCACGACGTGACTTATCTGATGGAATCATTGCGATCGCGCACCAGCCCATCTTTGCATCCTCGAATTTCAGGTGCTGGTAGGTCCAGATTTAGCAACACAAGCACATAGCTCTATTGATGACGTAGCTCTATTGATCACGTAGCTCTATTGATCACGTAGCTCTATTGATCACGTAGCTCTATTGATCACGTAGCTCTATTGATCACATAACTCTATTGATCGCATAGCCCTATTGATGTATGTATATGGAAACTCCCACTTGCCGAGTGGAGGAACAGCCAATCTCTACAGAACGATGGAATTTGGTCCATCAAACATAGACATGCACGTTAAGGTCATAAAGTAATAAGGTAATGAGTGCCAGGCTTACCATTACCCCACGAGCAGCGGAACGTATGATTTCGTAATCTCAACCCGTGTGATTTGCGACTCGGGTTATTTCGAGCTAAAGGAGCCTGAAGCCTTAGTGGATCAACCCATGGTCGCAACTAGTATTCGATCAAGGGAACTGGACACCGTGCACACTAACACAGTGCTGGAGGTTCTTCATGATATGTGTGGTACCTATCATCATTGTTTGGCGCAGGTGGATGTCCCCCGGGCATCTCTCTGTTGGTGCCGTCATCATCGGAATGTCCGAGGTATATCCATTCTCTGGACGGGTGCAGTGGTGGCACCGAAAATAGAAGTGCCCGCACCTTCCTCCACCTCCACTTTGTAGCTGTCATCCGGTTGGCACATTCTTGGAATCAAAAGGAGAAACTGCTCGAAGGAAAATCTTCAGCCTCGGTAGTGGGTAGTGGTACTGGACAGGAACTCGAAATTCCCTTCTTCTATTTTCAAATTGCCCGAAACTAGTCAAACGGGGGTTTCCGGACATCCGTGAAGAATCTTACGTAGGGATCGGATCAGCCGAGAGTCATGAGCGAGATCATTGAGCTACTATAGTGAGGAGGAAAGACTAGTACCTTGTACAGTTTATGTGTGAGGGTTGGAATTTGCTTGGGTGCTACCGCGCTCGCAGGTAACATTGAAGTTGAGAGAACGGACTTATACAAGACTCTCTGCAACAATCTGGAATTGCTCGTTACACTACTGACGACGGGAGAAGGGAGAAGTGAGTCGTGACTCTAGTGAGTACCGAGCACCGAGTACCGAGCACCGAGTACCCTGTACTCAGTACAGGCATTGACAACCCCCCCCCCCCATGTTGTCCTGCGCCCCGACCGGGCACGACCCATCACCGGAAACACCATATAGGCATGGACAAATGGTGCCTGCTTCAACTTGAAAGTTCGATCCAATCCCATCCCCAATTTGCAAGGGGAACAGACCTTGACAAGGAGATCCGACCCATGGATTCAAGACATGGATGGAAATTGACTTTTGATGTATGCGAGCGGGTTGAAGCGCGCCAGAGACCTGAGGAACCATTATGTACAGGACCACAAAATTGAATGGTTGAATGGTCCATCGTTCGGTTCTTCTCCAAAGAAATGCCTTGGCAGCTTATCATCCGGTCAATGATCATATACTTCTCCTGCAGTAGCGACAGGTGAGTGGTTCATGTCGCCGCTGAAATGTCCCAATTTTTGGGCGCAAAAGCAAGCGATTACCCACTGGGGATAAGTTGCGGGTCCTGCGTAGAATAAGAAGGGGCCAGGAACCAAAGGGAAGGGAAGGGGAAGAGAGGGGGAGAAAGAGAAAAGAAAACCAAAAAAAGAGAAAAGAGGGCCGCGGGTAATTGAACCACCAGCCACGCAGGCGCACGCTCGCCCTGTGGTAGGGTCATGGGTCAAAAGGTGTGTTGGAAGTCAAAAGGGACATCACAAAAAGACAAACTTGATGAACATGATCATCCAATTTTGCCTCGTTGTTGAATTCTTATTGGGGTTGCCCTTGTTCGAATTCATGACCATCTCCCGAACAAGATTAGCGCTTGGAAATTCGAGAGTTGATGAGCGTGAACCAAGGAATAAGCCTTTTCCATCATAGGTTAGTCGCGGACGCGGATGAGGACGAGGTTAAACTTTTCTTTCCAACATGGGATTCGTATGCATCTCTTCTGAACATTGAGTATTCTACTAACTACTTGAGTGAAGCCGTGTGGAGGTTTCTTGTGATCCTCACACCAACTGCGTCGATTTCCTCGTCAATTCTCGTCAATTCGGATGGGGGAGCTCTCGGGTAGAGTCTTTGAATGATCACCGTCTGGGGACACCGCCACGATCGCCCGACCCAGGGTTGCATTTCTGCTTGTGCGCACTGCGCACAAGCAGTGGGCGGATCGGATCTACCGTGATGAGGGCACCCATTTAGTACCACCCCCTCGGTTCGGGGAGATCTCGTCTGTAGGGTCGGATTGTTGTCAATTCCATGGTGATGATCGGTGAGACCGAGGAAAATCATATACATGTTTAGAGACCGGTGAGGGCTGGTTGCGCAACAAGTATTGCTAGTTGAGGTGGTAGGTGGCGCAGCTATAGTACATTTTTTTTTTTCAAAAGGGAGCATCATATAGAGCTGGAGGCTCGGAACCTTATATACAGTAGTCTGGGGGAAAAAGCTAACCTGCCTGACTAAACGGGCAAGTAGGTTCCCTCTACCAACTTACCAAGGCATCCGTGCTTATCGATCATTTTCCATGTTAGGCAAGACGGGAACGGGCATTTTACCACGACTCCGTGGTCAGGTCAGTCTGCTCAGCTCAGCTCAGCTCAGCTATTTTGAATCGACCATGCTTGTAGACAAGAAGATGTCCGAGGTCGTTGTTTTCTCAATGATCACTAGGCGAGGTGGTCTGACTGCATCCCTGTAGCAAGTTTGCCATTTGCAACTGATTCGAAGACCTTCGTTGGGAGCGAGAGTCAGTGGATGACCAACTCCGTGGGTTGCCACGTTTCTCCAGAGCGGAACCCATTCAGTTGTACAAAGGTTGCGCACGGGACTGCAGTAATGGAGAATTGTACCGTCGCAGTGCGTCAGGGTCGCAGTGCAGCGTGGGAGTGAATGACAAGCGGGCTGGTCATTGTCCTGCAGTCACCAAAGGCATGTACGGTACTCTCTCGGTCGGAGGTTATGCACATTGCACACATATACAAATAGGCATTATGAGATACTATGGATACCGCGTTGCACAAACATCCAATGTGCAGCCTGCAGGACTGCAGCCAACATGGGTCGTGACCCAAGGGCCCCGGGGCCTCCCCGACCACGGTCAACTTCTGAATCGACGGAGGAGTGGGCCGCCGAAGGGCTGAAAAGCCCACTGGTCGACGAGTGGACCTCAAAATAGGTGAGGACGGAGGAGTCGAGGACTCCTTTCGCGTCCCAATCAGGTCAGACGACGCCATACTCGATCTGGTGACTGGGTCCCTTGGAAGGCTGCAAGGCGTACTATGTTTAGATCGATGGTGAGCCTCCTCCTTGTTGGCTTCCCGTCTTTGAGCTGTTGACTTGATCCCATCTGGTCAAAGACTACTATCCCTCGGACAAGCTCATCAGCCCTGCACAAGCACGGCAGGCCCAGCATAGCGATCGGTCGCCTTACCCGGGATCACCGAAATGCGACCGCAAGATCGTTGGGACATGTCCGCTTTACTTTCAGCGTCATTTTCGGTCTGATCTTTTCTTTTCTTTTCTTTTCTTCTGTTCTCTGGCGGTCGCGGTGGATGCATCGCATTCAACCTCGGAGCCGGAGAATGGTTCCGCCTGGTGATCCGATTTCATGGATAACAGTCACCACTTCCCGAGAGGAAGACTCCTCTTCTGTCGTTCGGTTCGGGTAGGTTGACCCTCACCCTAGTCCTAGATCAGGGAAAACCAGACCCAAATGGTAGTCAAAGCCAATGAGAACATTGTCTTTTTTTCTTTCTTGGAGAGTTACTCCGAGATCACCACTTTTCGCCGTTGGGATCCTCGTCCGTCGTCAGTAAACTTCCACGCTTGTCCAAGCCCTCATCGGTTGACAAGGTCAGCTGCGTGAAACTTGAGTCTGTGCCGCTGCGGTCCCTATAAGAGGTCTTTTCCCAGGCGATTTCTAGCGTAGCCCACAAAGGCAGAGATAGGTTGAAAGCAGAGCGACCATGCCGAGTCATTTCCTAGCCACGGAGAGGTCGACTGGGACGTGGGTGTCGTGACTTGAGGAGTGTCCCTTGTGAGACGGGGAGCGGAAACTTGGACGGTCAATCAAGGTTTCTGCGATGGCCCAAAATGGAAATATCCGGGGTTCACCGGTCGATGCGATGTTTTCCCGGTGCTGTGTAGCGAGCCTGGCATCGGTGTGATGTCAGCACCTGATGTCGGCAAATATGCAGCCCGGGGGAAGGACAGATGTCCATGGTACAGTAGTGTACAGTGTACACTACTACACTTACCGAATGGGACACCTGTGCGGTGTTTTTATTAGGGGTTGGAGTCGGAATTGACACCCCAGCTGCACACAGACGGGACACACTGGATGTTCCTGCGCTGCGGTACTGGAGGCTTCTGTCAATCCCAGTAATAATAGTATCACCACCTGCACTCGTGGCCAGTTTGCGCTCCGGTGGGAAGTGGAGTGGCCTGACGCTACTGTATGACTATGTAGCATGTATGTACCTTCAATGCTTCATGCAGTATGCACCCCCCGTAGTCCCGCATACACGCAGCAGTAGTCGACTCCGTAGATTAACATTATTCCTAGCAAATCACTATCCTGTCTTGACTCTAGATATTGCACTGTCAACGGACCATGATCTTATGAAAAGAGCCAACCTTTCTTGATTGGCTTCGAATGTTTGTGGATTGGTAACCTTAGCCGTGACCAACTAACGGTGGTGGAGCATTGGCAGCAGTGCGTCTGGTCGGGGCGAGCAGACGCGAGAAAGATCATGTTGGAAGATAAAGAGAGGGAATTTCCACCACTCCAATGACATGACTCCAGTGGACGATTCGATTGTGGGGCTCAACGCTCTCATCAGGGAACGAGGGCTGCGGATGAACAGCCCGATCCGTGGGCACTGAACCATAGGTGAGGTCGAGTCTCTCTGAAAAGGACTTTGCTGGAAATAGGTCTTCACCAGACCCGACCGACACCTGCGCCCACGGTTGTGGTTGATGAACTTCGGTTCATGTTGATCGTTGTCGAGGTTTTGGTAGTAGGTAGATCGGGTGGTGAAAAGGGCCCATGAAGCCACGGTCGTCAATGCAACGGAAAAATCCAAGACTGCATGGTCCCTTCATTCGTGGTTTAACGAGTGATCCAAGGTTCCATCTAGTCCTTCCAGTGGATGAGTTTAAGCTGAGGCAGGTGGCAGAAGATTGCTGGAACTTTGTAGAATACCTGGTTCTACTACCTTATCGGTAGAGAGTAGCAGAATCTAGAAACATATCTGTGCGCCTATCCCGGTCGTCACCTCCCACAGAGTCAGACAGGTAAGGGTGCCAAAGTGCGCAGGTAGGCAAATACAAAAATATTGAAACACACAAGTGAATAGGACGAGAAATCCATCGGAATGGAATCATCAAGCTCAAAAGTACCTAGTGGACTCGAATCTATAACATGCGTTAGAGAATAAAGGTTTTCTTCAGACTAAATGATCAACAATAGGTACGTGGTACCCGTCTCCAGTACCTTCTGACGGGAGTCTCCCGAAACGGTTAATCAGGCTCCAGCTATCTTTGCCAGAATCTGACTAGCGTCTTTGGGGCCACCTCTTTTCTCCACTGACAAGCACCCACGGCCAACCCTGGCAAACCGGCATTTACTGGGCAGCAGTGCTGCACTGTTGAACTGCTGACACACTACTGACCGGCATTGCTAATATGGATATGGCGCTTCACAGTCAAGCGAGCCACTTGATGATTCGACGATGCGAGAGATGAAGATTCATAAGAGTACGGACATGGATGGACCTGATGCACGAGGACATGATGTAATCAGCCACTGGAGCTAAGGCCACTGCATATGCGCCTCAAAGCGATCTCTAACTGATGTGTCGAGTTGACCACGTCTGGTCAGGCGAGGGTCATGATGAGGTGAGTCACGACTCACCGACAACTAAATATTCAGTCATGGTGTATCTGTGGTCACTACGGTCATATGGTGTCATATCGAACCTCTACCGTCAAAAGACTGACAGGATAATTGAGAGGCACCTTGTCGTTGGGAGGAAAAAAAAAACAACCTTCGTCCGATTGTTGACGGTCCTTGGTTATGCCTCATTCGCTTCTGTCGCAGCTCTTCGATGTACAACTCCAACCTTTTTCCAACACGGGCGTCTACTTGATTACATCAGGGTCGGGCGCATCTCGCAAATCGTACCGGTCGGCCTTTCTGAGGCTCCACTTCTTTTCGCGGCGCAAGCCGCCTGATTAGTCTTTATTCCGTGTCCCAACTTCTTCGGGATCCTTTGCTTTAGGTTTAGGTAAACATGCGTACCATCCTTCCGGTTTGGATCTGCTGGACCAACTTTTCTGTTCGTTGCTGTACTACTCTATCTGCCCCGACTCCCTTAGGTAGGTAATTACCCTTTCGTTTCACTCCAGGACGAGTTGGGCTGTATCATCTCTACCACAGCCTGACATTTGACCCTGACCCATCCCGCAAAAGAGACCTGGGGGTGCAGGTACATGAGTACCCCATCACTTCTAGTCGTAGTGGAGGCCTTTGTGATGATTTAGGCACTCGGGCGGACCGTTCGGATCTCGTATCCCCGACATCGACTACTTTGAGTGCTTTCCCACAACAATCGCGTCGGAAGACTCTGCTAGTCTACTCAGCTACTGTATAATGTACATGCCTAGATGGTGATGGTAAATGATGGTATCGCGCGCCCATCCCTGAGGCACTGGCATCAATTCACGTCGACATACTATTGATCCCTTCGGACCCTAGCGACCGTCCTCCTTCCCTTTCTTCCCCCCGGGTGCCCTGGTCCTTTGTTTGTCAATTTGAAGAATGGCGGAAATTGGCCGCATTAGACCGTCAGGTGACGAGCGACAGGAACAGCCGGAAGGTCACCCCACACTCGAAAATAACTCGTCGTCAAACCGGGTCGGTCTCCTCCAGGATTGACGGTAGGATTCACGATCATAATGACTAGAAGACATCTGGAAGGTGCCACGACCGGCTCTTGCAGCTGGGCGTGGGTGGACATCGGTGCTCCAGTGCTACTACTAGGTAGGAGGTACCCTGTAACCCTACTACCTAGAGCTCCTGGGCGGACCAAGATCCTCACGGATGTCGATGCATGATTGAACGATGACCTCGTTGCGTTTCCTTTGGGGAATTGTCTGAGGCGGTTGCCTCACATCGCGGGGCTGAACAGGACTCTACCCGTATGACTCCTAGCATTTCTCTCATTCAAGGTCTCTTTCAGGAGATGAGCAGGGCTTCTCTGAACCTTGCAACGACCTAAGGGGATTGATGATTGATGATACCCTTGATGATTCCCTTGATCAACATCACCACTCAAACAGTCCGTGAACCCATTCTGCTTGTTACCACTCACCAGACCCTAGTTGAAATTCGAAAAAGGGAAGGGGATCAGATCCAAAAAAAAAAAAAAGGAAAAAAGTCCGAAAGAAGACTTGATCGTACAGTCAAAAAAAAAGAATTCCCAAAAGTATCCCGTGCTCCCGAGTCCCTTCACGGTTAGTCACTTGTGCATCCCCCGCCACGATTTCCCGCTAGCCGTTTACTCTATGTACACAAGACACGACCTAATTGAGGTTGGACTGGGCTGGGGACACAAAGAGTGGACCCGTCCAACCAACCTCTTCCTCTCACTCTCCCTCTTTCTCTTCTGTTCGCTGTTGCTGTCGGCCCTAATGAGAAGTCTAACAGAACGAAGAATATTATGAATATCATTATGTGATTATGATACTACTCTTCTGTCGTTCACCTGTTCTCCTCTCCTCCAAATCCTTTCGTCTTTTCTTCTCTCTTCAGTTTCATTTTCGGGCCTCCTTGATTTTTTTTTTTTTTTTTTTAATCTCACCATTTCCATTTTTGTACCATCTTCCAATACGATGCTTCCTTTGGAAGTCTATTTTGCCAGGTCTTCTGATCCCACTCGTTATCGATCTTTGTTAGTCACTTCTTTTCCAGTTCCCAGTCTCCTGCAGGTCAGTATATTTTTGGGAGTGGTGTGTCGATTGGAAGAGCTTCTCGGCAGCGCCCTCTGGGTGGCCATCTTTTGGGTACTTTCACAGCCTCCTCAGCACCAACCTCCATCTTCCCTTTCTACCCAAAGCAGTCCCTCCGCCCCCGGAGTAATAATTGGTCGCATAGTGGTCTCCCTTTCTGAACTTCTGACGCTCTTGCCATCAGTCGGTTCAACAATAATTCCTCGATCGACTCGATTCTGGTTGGTTCATTTTATCATCTGGCCGCGAAGCAGTCGCTGACGGTCACGATTATTTCGATTCTCACGATGGTCCCATCATCTGTATCTCATTTTCTTCTTTTCCCTTGAGAATTTCTCTCTCTTTTTTTTTTTTTTTTTCTTTCCCCCTTCTTTTCTTCCTGTCTCTTGTACCATTGTACCAATTTAATTTTTTTTTCCGATTTTTGATTTCTCTCGTTTTCTGATTTCCTCGGTCCATCGTGTTGTCCTTGTCTGGCACCGGTCCCACTCTTCGGGCTCTCCACGCCTTACCCGATCGGGAGCAGCGTCGAAATCCCGGAACCTCCACAGCTCGTGGCCCTAGTGGGCTCTTTCGGTCCACAGGCGTGAGCTGTGGTACTCGAGAGGTCTCCACTGACCAGTTGAGCTCCACTTTGGCCCCCGACTCATTGGCTCCCAAGGCTCCCACAGGCTTTCCACCCCTCTCTCTCTCTCTCTCTCTCTCGCTCTCCCTCTTCTCTCTGCTCCCTCCGGTGCTCCCCACTCTCTCCCTCAGGCCAGTCAGGCCCTCTCCTCACCCACACCAGAAGAGGGTATAGTTCCTGATGGCATTACCACCTGGACTCTGCCGTGCCTGGTCATCGACTGCTAATAATAATCTCAATCTCGTATACTCCCCGGTGCTTTTAATCCTGGGACCATCCTTGCATCGGTCCTCTTCTCCTCCCCCTCCCTTTCTCCCGACTCATCTCTACTTCCCCGGGCTTTTTCTCTTCTTGATGATGATACCTTGACGGTCTCACTCCCACACATTCGCTCCCCACGTTCGCTCTTACGCTCGCTATCTGCTGCCACGAGAATCACGTTCGCTACGCCGCTCTGCTGTCGAGGAACGGACAAGATCGCAGAGAAATCATATCCCCACCATTCTGGACATCTGACGCTATCGCTGGGATCTCCGCACGAGAAAAAAAAAAGAACGTCACCAAAGATCACTTGCCCCACAAAGGAGGCTGAAGGAGCGTTGTATCCTTTGCTACAACACTTCCCTCTTCAAAAACGGAAGATCGACAGAGAAAGAGGAAGAGAAAGAGAAAGAGAAAGAGAAAGAGAAAGCAAGAGAGAGTGAGAGAGAGAGAGTGAGAGTGAAAAAGTGAGAGGGAAAGAAAGACAGAAGGAAGGAAATCCGCCCTGATCGATTTAGAGGAAAAGGACGGAAAATTGCGCACTTCATTTTCAGTTTATGATCTGATTATTGATTAATATCTAATTGTCGGCCACCACCGGAACTCGCCTCCCCCCTTCTCCATCGGACAGTTTGTCTTTCGTAAGGGGAACCACACGGAGATTGCGTCGTCGAACGCTGTCGGGTTCTCGTTTGCGACGGCCGTGGTTGTCGGCTTCCACTCTTCGCGGACTCGGGCGACTCTCATCTCGTAGCGCGCCGTTTGTCGGGAAGCACTCTCCCAGATCGAGGCCGCGCCTGCACACCCGCTTCGATCTCGAGGCCTCCGTCTCTGTTGGTGATCTACCACTCGTTCTAGATCGCATCAGGACGTTCTTGCGCCTTCACAATCGATCGAACTGCCTGGGAAGCTCTCCAGACCGACACAATCAGTCCTGAGGAGTCACACGGAGAAAGTACTGTCCGGCGCAAAACCATACGGTTGACAGTGGACAGTGAACAAAGACGATCAAGGTGAGTCGCGAAAACAGAGTTAATCTCCTTGTATGACTTGCATGATCGACATCGTGTTCAACTCTCCTTCCCTCCTGCGCTCCTGTGCTCCTTCTTTGCGTCCACGGGCTCCCTCCCTTTGACCCCCTCCCCCCTCCCCCTCGTGCCTTGCATCTTTTGCCCTTTTGGGTGCCATGTTCCAGATATCCACTCTCCTTGCAGTCCCAGACGACTTGGATCAAAGTAGACCGTCGTCGGACGATAGGCCAACGAGCCCGTCGGAGATGATGAGCGTCGCGGATACTGGACGGACAGGCCCTCCCCGTCTAATATCAATTTCGATAGTACCCTATCCCCTTCGGGGCTATCATCTCGTCGCGCTTGTTCTCTATTGCGTCTCATCTCATCTCGGACGAAGTGTTTGTTGTTGACTCTTCTCTTCTTCTATCCAGTCTCACTCCGTCCCATTCTTGCATATTAGGACAGACACACGGCGATTGCCAGTGAAGGGGCCAACGGAGTTTGACTTTCATCCTGAATCACTTGGTAGGTCTCTCCCCTCTACTCCTTGTCTTGTTTCATCCGGTCCAGCTCGCTGTGGTCATGCTCGTCGTCGACATGGGTGGGGGGCTGGGCTTGCCTTCTTCGTGTGGAAGGTCGTTGGCGATGATGTCGTTCAGACCGCGTGATTGATGTGCCAACCCGTCCTCTCGGTCTCCCCGTCACTACCGTCCTCGGGCATTGGGAGCACTCTGGTCAAAGATTGTCCTTCACGAGCAGGCAGGATGGAGCCCGATGGGAAACCTCCACGACGAGCACTCCATCTTCAAGCATCACAATTCGGGGAAGTATGCATGCTGATTCGTCTACTAGTGTACCTCGCAGCCCAATTGTCGACCAGCGTTTCCCGAAACATTACGGGAATTCGAGACAGGAGACGTCAAACCTCACCAGTCTGGTCAGCTTCCGACATCCGGTTGGGCGTCCCTTTCAGTGTTCGCTTGAATCACCTTTGGGCTTCAGCAATTTCCACTCGCTGCAGTCATCCTTCGACTAGTATTTGTCCGCCCCGCACCTGCATCGTATTTGCGCAAGAGCTGTTCCGACGCTCGTTGTCACCCATCAATCTGGACGCTTGACCGCACAAAGCGTCGCACTTGTCGCTCGTTTTATTCAGTCGCTTTGTCTCGGAGAAGACCCCTTTTCGCGTGTCTTCCTCGTGGCTCGATTTTGTGGATAAATTCCCAGTCATTCGCTTTTAAAGAGTTCAGTCTTGTTGCAGTCGCTGCAACACCTTCAAGCTGGCTTACTCGAAGACTCACGGTGTTTTGGTGAGTTTCGGTCCCTGTTTCGGCCCTTGCCCTAGTCCCTGCGTCTGGGCTCCCGCATCAGGTTGATGGTGAGCCTGGTTCGGTCTGTTTGAGCGCATGACTGCACGTTCCTGGAGGATTCGGGGAAGTGAAGCTGGATCCCGGTGGTGTACTCGGGACGGGGCCGTTTCGCAAGCGTGCAAAGTGTGCTAACTCGGCAACCCTTGATCTAGTTCGATCCTGATTTCCAAACGCCTCTCATTGTAGGCGAGTCTTTGGATTTCTCGGATTCTGAGGAGTCCCAGTTCGTCGGTGCGTTTTCAGACGGCCTGTGGGCCAAGTCTGAGTCTGTTCTGCCTATGTCCAGCTTCCAAAAGCCTGCCGCCGGCTCCATACTGGGTAAGTGAGACCTAGAAATGCTACGACTCCAAGTGGGGGACTATTGGTTGCTCCGAGCCTCGCTAACCAACTCGAACATCTAGATTACGCCTCTACGCGGTCTTTGCAGGATGCCGGATCCTACTCGACGTACGGCCAGTCACCTTACGTGGCTTCGTCTCTAGTCCCGTCCCCGATGGCCGACCAGGCAAGTCAGATTTCTGACTGTGTTCCATACATCCCCGGTCAGGATTTTGCCACTTCATATGAAGAGGCGCCGTCCCCCATGATGGGCGCCCGGCCACGACAGGCGCCCGAGGTCCTCACTTACAGCCCCCAGCGGGGCATCGAAGGTGCCCGAGTGGTGGTGCAGATCCAGTCTCCATTTGATCTGCACAGCTCGTGCTATGGCGCCCTGTATCTGGTGTTTGGCACCAAGCGATGCGAATGTAACCCGCATTTCCTGGGTTTCCAGGGCGCAAACTTCCAATACTGCCTGTCTGTGGATGCTCCGCCTTTCTCCGCCACGGGTTCTTCTTCCATTGCCGTTCCTTTGCAAATCGTGCTCGAGGCTCAGAATGACAGCCAGCCTACCACCTTGCACGTTGGTGTTTTCACCTATGATCGGTTATCGCGCCCTTCGCCTGACGCGGAGAGCCGCAAGCGCAAATTCTCGAACAACTCGGACAACCTTCAAGCCAACTCCTCATCTTTCAAAAGATTTGCTGGCCCTCAATCCGTGCTCAACGCGGAGCGCAATGACAATTACACTTACCGAGATGGCCGCTGTGTCTCCTATTCGCCTTACATGCAGACTCTTCCGGGCATGACAGCCTTCGGCCATCACCTCCCCGCTGCTGCTTCGCCTCGCAGCGGCCCCGTTCAGTTCACGGCAGGCGCGGCCGCTTCACAGCCGGGATTCCGTGCACCTTCCCCCTTGACCTCCACTTGGGGCCCCTCTTTCATCCCGGGACCTCATGATCTCCGAGGCCAGAGCCTCGGTATCGGCCACCCTACGCCGCAACACCGGAGACCGTCTCCAGCCCGAACACCCAGTACAGGGAACCCAACCTTGATCCGCACTTCTACACTGCAGCAAGCGAGTGGACTCGGCAACAGTGCCAGCTTCAACCCCTATGCCATGTATCCGACCAAAGCGGTCCTCAAGTTGAACGGCGATCTGAACTCCATGGCCGTCGGCTGGTCAACAGAGGAGCGCCAGTCTCAGCGTCGTCTCGTGCAATTTACTCGCTCGCAGAATGGCAGCACCATCAATGCTGACTTCAAACCAGTCACCCCCGAAGAGCGCGCCCCCAATAGCATCTGCATCAGCTGCATTCACTGGGAAGGAAAGGATGAGTGTTTTGTCACCAGTGTGGACACTATCTACCTGCTAGAATCCCTGGTTGCTGTTCGCTTCACCGTCGAGGAGAAGAATCGCATTCGCCGAAACCTTGAAGGGTTCCGCCCCTTGACAGTCTCCAAAGCCAAGGCAGACAGCGAGGAATTCTTCAAAGTGATCATGGGATTTCCTGCCCCCAAGCCGCGAAATATTGAGAAGGATGTCAAGGTGTTCCCCTGGAGTATCCTCTCCGAGGCTTTGAGAAAGATCATTGGCAAATACGTAAGTTCGTCCCTGTCTGTGCTCCTTCACCATGTGAGAAGTGGTCTTTTGCTAATCCATGTTTCTTCGATCCTTCAGTCTGCCAGTTATTCCTCCACCGCAGGTGTACTACCCGCTTCGATGAGCAACTTTGCTGCACACGGCAACGGCTCCGATTCAGGTACTGAGCCTCACACTGTGCCCTCCCCGCCTTCTCTTTCAGACGCTGGAAATGCAAGCACCTACGCACATCACGCGATATCGGCTCCTGTTTATGTATCGCAATCCGACCATGTCTGCGCTCCGATGAGTGGTCCCGTTGAATACCGCTCCATTATGCCTCCAATCAGCCAGCCCTATACGTCGATCGGCACATACTCGTACCCTCCAATCTCTCACCCAGCTCATGGCCACAGTCTGATGGCACCTGCTCGCACAACGTGGGAGCTTCATGGCATGGGCGCCTCGGCCCCGACCACCAGCGCTACTTACACCTATCTTGATCAGGGGTATCCCGTGCATGATGCTCCTCAGGGTCGCTAAATGTTCACACCTCCGTACCTTTGCACGGAGAGTTGACATTTCTGGCTCACTCATATTAACCTCTTCCTCTTTTACTCCGTTGCACATACGATTCTTCTTCTATTCACTCCTTCTTACATCGCCCAGTCGTCTCCATGTTTTCCAGTGCTGGCAGGCTGCATGAATGGCTTCCGTTATGGAAAATTCTTGCAGCTCACACTCCTAGACATCGGTGGCCAACTATTTATGAACCTCATGTCTCTCCTTATCATCCTGACGCCGAAATGCCCCGTTTCAAACCCAAAAGCTGTTCTTGTGAATATCTTGTTCTCAACCTACAATCTTGGCTTTCGAATTCGAAAACCATATTGTCAGGCATCATTTCCATTTTCTTCATCCACGCGTGTCCGGTTCGGAATTTATTCGCTGTTTCCTTTTTTTTTTGGGTTGCATATACCACATGCTGGGCATTTTGAGCTTTCTCTCCTTACACAATAATCTGGGCTACTGTACGAATATTTGGCATAGCACTGGCGCTGCAGTCATTCCTTTTGCATTCGCAGGATTGGTTTGGGATAGACCTTTGGGACTTGCTTGTTTTTTGTTGAACTTTGAGGACCTCGCGTTGTGGTCCTTTGGGAGTTTGTTAGTCCTTTCAGTTATTAATTTGCGCTCATTTTGAGCAAGCCTCTAGGCTTTTGATCCGGAGTATTTGGTGGGCGTTTACCGCTGGTCAGTTTTTGATGCAGTGAGTGGGTTTGTACTTGTGGTTCAACGTTTGGCTCAATTCCTGGCATATGATGCCGTCGTTCATCAGTTTCCTCCAATAAGTTGCTTGCAAATCTTCATTTTTGAGCTTTAGTCTCATGATTAGTAAATTCCAGGGTGGTTTTATTTGTGACGCTGCATTTCAACGTAAGAGCTAATTGAAGGTTTTGTGAAACCCTTGTCTTTTGTGCGGCTACTATAGCAAAAAGCCAAGCTCGGTCAGTACAGTATAGAACTAAAGTAAGAGGCTCTCCAGTCAGCCGGTTCAAGTCTCGCCTCAAATATTTGAGTCCAGCCATCGTTATGTTTCTTCATAGTAGCAATATTTCTAGCAGCTGCTGCTTAAACATTCAAACTTTGAAGTTGTACATAGATGCCTTCGGCAAGTAGTTACCCGTTACCTCGAAGCGCGGCAAACCGAGAAGATGCCGGGTACCTCGTAGGCTCCGATCCCACCCACGTGGCTGGCGGCCCCTGCAGTTATCACAAGCTTGATTGTGTACCCGGATCGACGTCACATGATTTAGGGCGCAACCGTTTGGAAGACACGATCGTGTCGCACCTTCTAATTTCTCATGACGATTTCTCATCTTTCCTGGATCAACATCCTGATCCCCTATCAACACAGAACAGACTTCATGAAGATCGCGGTTTTGCAATAGCAGGTTTCCATCTTCGAGTCTTTGATCGTGCAAACGGTACGTCAAGCCCTGCGGATACAAGGTTTAAGCGCCACCCGCCGGGACCCTTGGCGTCGATCCACCTTGATCTTATCGCCTCACGTGTCTTGAGTCTGGACAGTGTGCGATAAGTAGTCAAGGCAGGTACGTTCGACTCACTTTGCTCCCACTTGCATTTCATTCTCTGTTCTCTTTCACTTCACTTCACTTCACTTCACTTCACTTCAGCATCTTGAGTTGGATTTAGGCGACGTATTTGATTCCATCCTTGAGACTTCGTACTTACACTCGACTCGGTCTTAACTAACCTTTAAACAGTCTCACTCATTTTCAAGTCTTCTTTATCAACAACTCGTGCGTTTCGTTGGCTCCTATCACACTGGACACTATCAAGAAGACTTTTGCCAAGTGCAAGGAGCAGCGCCGAGCAGCTCTGGTAGCCTACATCACTGCAGGCTATCCAACTATCGACGAGACCGTTGACATCTTGCTGGGGTTCGAGAACGGAGGTGCCGGTATTTCATTTAATTGATTATCAACATACGAAGTGGGGATCCTCGAACTGGAAAGTAAAACATACATTGCTAACAATTGATGACTTCCTTCCTTCAGACATCATTGAGTTGGGCATCCCCTTCACAGACCCGATTGCTGATGGACCCGTCATCCAGAGGGCCAACTCGAAGGCCCTCGAAAACGGAGCCACTGTCACCACAGTCCTCCAGATTCTTCGCGATGCCCGTCGCCGCGGGTTGAAGGCCCCTGTCATGTTGATGGGGTACTACAACCCTGTCCTCCAATACGGCGAGGAGCGCATGCTTCGTGACTGCAAGGAAGCCGGGGTGAACGGGTTCATCATGGTCGATTTCCCCCAGAGGAGGATGTTCGGTTCCGTGATCTTTGCACCAGCACTGGGTAATTCATCGAACAAAATATCGGCATCGTACACGAGCAAGCTAACAAACTACATAGTCTTTCATACGTTCCTCTGATTGCTCCCGCCACCTCCGAGTCCCGCATGAAGCTTCTGTGTCAGATAGAGGACTCCTTCATCTACGTCGTTTCGCGCATGGGTGTCACTGGTGCTACTGGTACGTTGAGCGACCAGGTTCCCAACCTTCTGAAGAAGGTTCACCAGTACTCTGGTAACGTGCCTGCTGCCCTTGGATTCGGCGTCAGCACCCGTGAACACTTCTTGTCTGTTCAGAAAGTGGCCGAGGGCGTCGTTATCGGAAGTCAGATCATCAGTGTCGTCGGGGATGCTCCGACAGGTCAAGCCGCTAAGGCTGCCGAGGATTACTTGTCCGGCATCACTGGCCGCAAGTGGGAGCGTGATCCTCAGGGGACTCTGACCCGTGAGCTCAACGTCATTGAACCGGTTTTGAAGCCAATTGAACTCGAGGTCACCCCAACTGAGGTTATTACAGAGGCAGATACTCCTGCTCAACCCGGCCTGGCTGATCAGCTTGAAGCCCTCAACGTCACTCACGATCCTACCGAGCAACCTTCTCGATTCGGTGAATATGGTGGTCAGTATGTTCCCGAGTCTCTGATGGACTGCCTCGCCGAATTGGAGAAGGGTTTCAATGCTGCTCGAAATGACCCGACTTTCTGGAAAGAGTTCCGCTCCTACTACCCCTACATGGGTCGACCTTCCAGCCTCCACCTTGCGCAGGGCCTGACCGATCACGTCGGAGGTGCCAACATCTGGCTAAAGCGCGAAGACCTCAATCACACTGGCAGCCACAAGATCAACAATGCCCTGGGCCAGATTCTCCTCGCTCGCCGCCTCGGAAAAACCCGCATCATTGCCGAGACAGGCGCCGGTCAACATGGTGTTGCGACTGCTACCGTCTGCGCCAAATTCGGCATGAAATATACGGTTTACATGGGCGCCGAAGACGTTCGTCGCCAGGCTCTCAATGTTTTCCGCATGAAGTTGCTCGGTGCCTCTGTCGTTGCTGTGGATGCTGGAAACCGAACTCTTCGGGACGCTGGCAACCAGGCTCTCCGTTCGTGGGTTGAGGAACTCGACTCTACGCACTACATTATTGGCTCTGCTATCGGCCCTCACCCATTCCCTTCTATTGTTCGCACTTTCCAATCTGTCATTGGCCAGGAAACCAAGGAGCAATTGCAGGCCGAGATCGGCAAACTCCCAGACGCAGTTATCGCCTGCGTCGGCGGTGGTAGCAACGCTGTGGGCATGTTCTATCCATTTTCCAACGACCCCAGTGTCAAGCTCATTGGCGTTGAGGCTGGTGGTGACGGCGTCGATACCCCACGCAATGCAGCAACTTTGACCAATGGCGTGGCAGGCATCTTCCATGGTGTCCGCACCTATGTGCTACAAGACAAGGATGGCCAAATCCTTCCAACTCATTCGATTTCAGCCGGACTTGACTACCCTGGCGTTGGACCCCAGCTGAGTGCTTGGAAGGATGCTAACCGTGCCGTCTTCATTGCCGCCGATGACAGTCAATGCCTCGAAGGGTTCCGTGCTCTGTCCCAGCATGAAGGCATCATTCCGGCGCTCGAAACTTCGCATGCCGTCTGGGGTGCCATGCAGATTGCAAAGGTCATGAAGAAAGGCGAGAACGTCGTGCTCAACCTGAGCGGCCGCGGTGACAAGGATGTCCAGACTGTTGCGGAAGAACTTCCTCGACTGGGACCCAAGATCGGTTGGGATCTTCGTTTTTGAATTTCCTTTTTTACCCAGACAGAATGATGCTCTTCCCCTTCTTGTGCACCTCTTGTTCTTCTATGCTTAGCGTTGTCTTGAACTGAGAAAGTCTTCGGCGTTAGTTTGCCCAGTTTCTTATCTCCCCGATACCCCATTCTCACTGCAGTACCCATCACCAAGATACCCACCCCACATTTCCTAGTTTCAATTCCTCCCAGCTGTCCTTTGCTAGCTTTGACATGGATTCTAAATGGCATAAAAAAGTCGTGCTTGAATGCGATTGTTGCTTGTTCTACTTCCTACTAGGGCGAACTACTTGTGCCACATCGGCCTCCAGTTTCTGTATGTCTATTACCGCGCAAACGTTACTTTTTCTGAATGGGCTGAAATAGCTTTTCGCAAAGTGCATCAATCCGGAATGAGCTTCCTTCGTAAGGGTTCCCTCAAAACAAATACAAAACACAAAAAACTCCATGTCAGTGTCTGTGAGGGCTGCAGCTACATACCTAATCCTAAAATGATTCCCCAGTGGAACCCAGTCTCGATCAAGCCACTGATCATACCTCTGCTCTGGAGATGATTGATCCGGTCCTTCATGGGATGGTGTTTACACATTTTTGAATTACAGGAACAGGATCATAAAATAGATCTATTGTCATTTCGGAACGGCGCAAGTACGCAAGATCATGGCCAATAAGAAAGAGAAGAAGGGTAAGCTGAGTATCGAGAAAGACAAGTTGAAACGGAGGAAATAACAATCAGGTGGAACAGATACAGTAGCATAAAATGAAGATATATGCAGCGAGAGATGGAAACAATAGACTCTACGGGCCACACACAGTAAAAAGTCTGTTTGCTTTATGAGGATCCCAAATCGCTCCCATGTTCAAATTTCCCTTCTGACAGCCGGACGTGGACAATTGAATTACATATTGAATTCTCGAGACTTTCATGAGAAGCACCAGGCCAGGAAGGGAACACTGGCGCTGTATCTGACATTTAAGCATCGATGAGATTGTCACTTTGCTGCTGCTCCCCTGAGTTGTCGCGGGTGTCCTTGTTGGCGATCTTGCGGGCGGAGCGGGCGTAGAATTCATCCAGGACACGCTTGGGGATACGGTTGAGCAGTTCCTTGGGGTACACACGGAGCAGGTTCCAGGCAATGTCGAGGGACTCCTGAATCGTGCGAGACTCGTACGGGGACTGGCTGATGAAAGTTCGCTCGAACTTATCGAGGAATTCCAGGGACAGCCTGTCCTCGGAAGAAAGGGCCTCCTCTCCGACGACGGCCTTCATGGCGGCTATTGTGCAGAACAGATGTGTAAGTAAAAGGTGCGCCCGTAATGACGCGAAAGAGGTTGGAGAGGCTGTCCAAGTGACTTACCGGCATCACGACCAATGGCGTACTTGGCGTACAGCTGATTGGAAACATCCGAGTGATCCTTACGGGTACGTCCCTCTCCAATAGCAGACTTCATGAGACGGGACAGCGAAGGCAGGACGTTAATGGGAGGGTAGACACCCTTGTTGGCGAGCTGACGATCAACGAAGATCTGGCCCTCCGTAATATATCCTGCGATGATGGTCAGCTGAGTTCAGAGCTATAAGAACGGACTGAGAAGAGGGAGCGGGGTCACAGTACCTGTCAGATCGGGGATAGGATGAGTGATATCTAGAGGAGGAAGGACGCGGTCAGCCGTGAATTCTCATCAATAGGGTGCGCAGGCAGCGCCAGACACCATTTTCAGGGCTCTCTTACCGTCGTTAGGCATCGTCAGAATAGGGATCTGGGTGATTGATCCATTGCGGCCCTCAACACGACCAGCACGCTCATAGATAGTGGACAAATCTGTATACATGTAACCGGGGTAACCACGACGTCCGGGAACTTCCTCACGGGCGGCCGAGACCTCACGCAGAGCATCACAATAGGCCGACAGATCGGTCATGATGACCAACACGTGCTTCTCCAATTGATAAGCGTAGTATTCTGCAGTGGTCAAGGCCAAACGAGGAGTAATGATTCGCTCGATGGTGGGATCGTTGGCCAAGTTCAAGAACAAGGTGACACGCTCCATACTGCCGTTCTCCTCGAAATCACGAGTGAAGAAACGAGCGGTTTCCATGTTAACACCCATGGCAGCGAAGACAATCGAGAAGTTCTCCTCATGACCATCGTGCACGTCTTTGGTGGGTCGCTTGACCAGACCGGCTTGACGACAGATCTGAGCGGCGATTTCGTTGTGAGGAAGACCAGCGGCGGAGAAGATGGGAATCTTCTGTCCACGGGCAATGGAGTTCATGGTGTCGATAGCGGATATACCGGTCGAAATCATTTCCTCGGGATACACCTGAATCACAAAACTGTCAGCTCCCCGCCTGTTTCATGAGTTTGAACTTTGCTCGGATCACATACTCGAGAGTAGGGGTTGATAGGCTGTCCGTTGATGTCGAGGTAATCCTCGGCCAACACCTTAGGACCCTTGTCGATCGCGCGTCCTGAACCATCGAAGACACGACCCAACATATCCTCGGACACACCCAGCTTCAAGCTGTGACCGGAGAATTCAACTTTAGTCTTATGGCAAGGTCAGCGTTCCTGCTTAGTTTCACACCGCGCGGTATCCATGGATTACCTTCTTAACATCTATACCCGAGGTGCCTTCGAAGACCTGATGATTTGACTTGTTAACCATTGCTTTTCTTGCGGTGCAGAACGAACTCGAGTGAGGATGCGGACCTGAACGACAGCTCGGCTGCCTAATTGTAATTGAAAGATAATCGAGACATGTCAGTTCTCTCGCTTGTTGAAGTAGCTCTGACCGGACCAAAGTGCAGGGCAAGCTCACCTCTAGCTTCCAGTACCTGACCGGAGCGCTCCGTGCCATCGGGAAGGGTCAACGACACGATTTCATTGTAGCGGGGGAATTTGACCTGCGATCGAGGAGCACTGTCAGTGTGTGTGCTGCACGAAGCCGAGGGAAACAAGTCGCAGGGCCGGACTGACGTTATCGAGGAACACCAGCGGTCCGTTGATACCTCCGATGGTATTGTAGCGGATGCGGGGCTTGATGGAGGTCATCCGGGGGTCGACGAAGTCGGCCATGGCGGGCGAGGTGATTCCAAAACGTCCACGGGGCACGGCACAGGGACAAACGAGGTCGGATGCGTTGAGCGATAGTCGAGAAGAGCGGGATGGTCGAGGGGGGTTGACCAAGCTGTCTTGGGATGCTGGAGCTGGAGCTCGGGCGGTGACCTCTGCACGTGATTGGCGGTGACGCTGGACCTCAACGAGACGAAGGCGGTACTGTCATCCGCCTTTTGCGGGGCGATTCTTCCATGCATATGCGTTTCTCCAACTCTCCTTCTCTCGTTCGACATCCTTTCGTTGACATGGCAGGAAATATGGATCGTCGATCTGCAGTCAGAACATTGGATCGATTACACGGGCTCTCCATCTTCGGATCCAAGCTTCATCCGACCGACCTACTAGTGACATTGCCAATGTTTAAGCCGAGCCATGCCAGTCCTTCAAGATGCTGTACTTACCCTATTCGCGGAGTCATGGTAGGTTGTAACTCGAAGCAAGCTTCACGGAGGTCAAAAACAGATCGTTGGGTTCCCGCACAAACCTGTTAGACCCTGGTCATCCTGAATCCCCTCCAAGGAGCGTTTTATAAGAACTATAGAAGTCCGTTGGAAAAGAGCAAAAGTAATGACAAGACAACCGTCTTCCACGTCTTTCAACTGTCTCCCCAGGACTCGGAATTTATATCAATCACTGTCATTATTGTTTCGTGTTGTTCTTCCAGAGAGCGCTCCTGCCAGCTTCGGAAAAGTGGCGATGCGTGTACATTCATTGTACTGCTATTGGGTCTTGAGACATTGTAGACCAGGTAGTGAAGCTCTTCCCAATTGTTGACTAGATACTGTATTGAGTGTATAGTACTTAGTACTGTGGTATAAGTTAATGTATACACTGCACAAATAGTCAATCGTGTCACGCACGTCAGTCTTGAGCCTCAGAAGAATAGATGCAGTACGGAGAAGACTCAACGTGCTGGTACACTTCAAAGTTGAGGCTCGTGATGTGAACGAGGATCGCGAGAAACTATTTGTGTAGAGTGTAGACCAATGATTATAACTCGAGTGGTTGTTGCCTATGGCAATGCACTATACTTGAGCCTCCTACTTAAATCTTTCCACTTCAACGAGCTGGACGGTGAATGATGAGTCTTCAGCGGGTATGATTATTGGTGGGAAATCAGGGCTTCTGCTATACCCAGCCATCCTACACTGAGAAGAAGGCTGACGGCGGAATTCTTCCAATGCAGTAAAAAGTAGTACGTTCGTAACTACCGGATCTTTTCAGGGCTTTCATGGCTCAGCTCAGCACCGCCGGAGAACGTCATCAATTGATCTCATATATTGCGTTAGCCGTGATTACATTCGCCTTGTGACGCATGATTCGAGAGAATCTAGTCCACAGAAAGAATCCCCATGCGGTTATGTTTGTTGTATACTCGGGTTTTGATCTCTTGTCGAGTCTCTGGGCTTGTCCTACTTGTGGATCATTCTCGGGCGATGCCGACCGGCCATCGGACGGCAAATGAAAATGCCTTTGCGGGGAAGCCTCACGGACTCAAGAACATACATCGGTAGTACCTCGGAAAGCGCCTGCTGAAACCGTCATTCCAATGTAACTCAGAGGTAACTTTCAACACCAACGTGTTGAAACATCATCGGGACGGGCAACCCCCACGTTACTAAAAGATCCCCGCACTAAATGCAGCGCAAATGTCCCCCTCACGGATCAACATGTACAGAATTTCTCGACAAAAATCTCTTCTTTCTCTCTTCGTCCTTCGTACATTCGCATTAAAAAAGAACAATATAACACCCATTTATTCTTATCTACCCGTTTGAACAGAATAATGAAGCTTCTATACCCTACCTCCGTGAAACTCGATGTGCCGAGTCTGCAAGGATTCGCCGTCTCTCTTCACCCTTACGATGTCAAATCCACCATTCCCGAGGAACACGTCGACGCCGAGATCCTCATCACATGGTCCAACAGCGCCGAGAATCTCAAGGATGCGGCCCAACGCCTGAAGAACGTGAAGTGGATTCAATCACTCGCCGCCGGCCCCAACGACGTTCTGTCCGCCGGCTTCGATTCGTCCAAAACACTGGTCACCACGGGTGTCGGGCTTCACGACTACCCCGTCGCGGAGCACACCATGGGTCTATTGCTCAACGCAGCAAGACACTTTTACGAGATGCGCGACTACCAGTTGCAATCCAAGTGGCCCGGTCATCTGGGCGGGTCTTTCCCACGCTCGGATTTCACCACACTGCGAGGCGCCCGTGTGCTCATCTGGGGATACGGAAGTATCGCCAAGACCCTGACTCCCTGCTTGAACGCCCTCGGTGCGCAGGTCAAGGGCATTGCCCGCAGTCAAGGGGTGCGCAATGGGGTCGAGGTGTACGCCGAGGACAAGTTGCCCGAGCTTCTCCCGGAGACGGATGCGCTGGTCATGATTCTGCCAGGCTCCGACTCGACTGTGAATGTGCTCAATGCAGAGAGGCTGGAGTTGCTTCCCAAGCACGCTTGGGTTGTCAACGTTGGCCGTGGAGTCTCAATTGACGAGGATGCGCTTGCGGATGCCTTGGAGAAAGGAGAGATTGCGGGAGCTGCCTTGGATGTGTTCAAGCAGGAGCCTCTTCCAGAGTCTAGTCGCCTCTGGAAGACGCCGAACCTGATCATCTCTCCTCATGCTGCTGGTGGGAGACCGCAGGGTTGTGAGGCGCTCATTACGGAGAACCTGCGTCGGTTCTTGGCGGGTCAGGAGCTCAGGAACATTGTATGAAATGTCTTGTGATTTGCATGCACATTTGGATAATCTTTAGATGCTACTGATAAATAACACGACATAGAGATCATATACTCAAGCGTGCTGTTATTTAACAGTGCGAGATTACGTTACAAGGATTCTATTTGCCTGTTAATGGACTTCAGCCTTAATACAGACAAACGTTGTCTATGGTGAGAGGAAACCAGTTTCAGTTCATCCCAACTATTCGGCACCTGCAGTCGAGTCAGCAGGTTGGCATTCATTAGCGCTGTATTTCGCGAACATGTAAATGCAACGTGAGATCATACTCTATGATTACGTCTGGCCTCTCGTAGTGCCTGAGATCATACTGTGCGTAAGGCACTGAGGACCATCTGGCTTCAGAGTATGGAAAATATTCGGTAATTTAAATAGTAGACTGGATTGATAATGAGTGACAAGCCCTAGACTGGATTATACCCATGAAGAAGACAAAGGGAAAAGGGTATGACCTTGTGAACAGGTCATGAACCAGATGGAACATTGGAATAGCAGCCTAGACAGTGGCTCGAGCCAAGGTGTCGAGAACAAGGACACCTGATAGATCTTTAAGTACCATCAAAAGGCTGTCTCTCTGTTCCAACCAGCACCTTGTTGTGAGATAGCGGTGCTCGTTCTGCAGATCGAGAACGAGCATTACTAGGGGGACGTCCTAGCTTAGCCCTGGACCAGTCACTCATTCCAGTTGCCGCGGTTGCTCGGTTTGCTGGCCATTAGGGTTGTCGCCGATGGGCCGCTGATTCCGGTGGTTGTCTTGAGGTCGGATTTGGTTCTGGTTGTTCTGTTGCTAATTGCCGTTTGGCTGACGTTGAGGGTTGTCAACCTTCTTGTGCGTCTGTGAGGGAATCTCGTCGCACACGACACCGAGTGGTGTTCGTCGACAGCCCTTGACCAAAGATTCAATCAGGCAAAGCTCGAAATCGAAGCATTCTCCCGCGGAGATAACACAATGCTTACCGTTGTACTTCACACACTACCTAACGTAAGTATTTCCATTCAGATACTATGCCATCCAAGCGGATACGAATCCCAGCCGTCGCCGTCCTCCAGTTCTGGGCATAGGCTGTACGATAAAACAACAAAGAGCGAAGAACCTGGTATGCTCACCATCTTCCTGTTCCGATTCCAGCCCGACTTGATTGTACCGAGCAGTGATGAACCTCCCCCTAGGTGCCGTAAGTGGGGACTCATCACGTCTGACAGGGCTGCTCTGGTGGGATAAGGTTAATGTTAATGTTGATGGCAACTTCGTCTGACACTGGGACAACACTACGACCTAGTTTCTTACATGGAACCTTAGCGAACAAGTACCTACTGTAGGCTCACATGACTGATCGAGCTTGGCCTGGGGGTACAGCTCAATAAGTCAGAGTGTGTCTCCTCAAAATGGAGCCAGTGAGGTACAAATCCGATAGAGGGGGACCAAAAATCCTTTAAATGAGCACAGAAAAAAAAAAACAACAAAACTTCGGAATTCGGGTATCAAAATAAAGGGTAAAGCGTGTAGAGTCAAGTTACGAAATCAAAATCGTCCAATCGTGTGTGGACATGTCGCTTCATGTTCATGTCGCATGTGAGGGGGGAGAAAGCAAATGTCAACCTCGGAAAACTCCAACCGCAATGCTCAGCATAACCTGGTCTTATACCGTGCAAGTCTAATGAGCCTTATCCTTCTTGGCCTGTGCTTTTGCCTGCAACTTTGCTTTTGCCTCTGCCTTGGCTTTAGCCTTGGCCTCCGTCTCCAACCTCACGCGAAGGGTTTTGGATGCGGTAAGGTTGTTTGCCAATCTCATGCCGGTCTGATGTGTCGACAGTTGACGCTGGAGCTTATGACGAGCCACCATCACCGGAACGGAGGATTTGGAGATGAGGTAATTTGAAAAAGAGCCGAGGAGGACACTGCAAGAAAGACATCGGTCTATGTGAGCCAACAGATACAGGTCGATCAAGAAGAAGAAGAAGAAGAAGAAGAAGAAGAAGAAGAAGAAGAAGAAGAAGAAGAAGAAGAAGAAGAAAAAAGAAACCAAACAGCGTTGATCGACTTACCCTTTCAAGGCACTTTGACCACGAGCACCCACAATTGCCAGAGTCGGCTCCAGTTCGTCAATCTGTAAGATCAGAATTAGCTCTGCATATTTCCAGACTTGAGTCACGGGCGTCCCTGAATTCACTCACAGCTTCGGTGATCATTTGCTTTGGACTTTTGCAGTGAATGACTTCCACGGCGATACGAACGGTCAAGCCCGTCTTGCGCAGGAATCCAATGCAAATATCGGAGATCTTCTCCACAGCACGGACTCGCTCAGCCTCTGCGGCTGGCGAAATACGGGATTCGACGGATCCTGCTTTGCTAGCGACTCCAGAGCTCAGCCGGCCTAGCAGATTGAGGGGACCAGGGGCACGAGGAGCCCCGGTAGCCTCCTTCGTCTGGTTCCCGACAACCGCTACGGCATCCTGCATGGCTTTTGCCCCTTCACCGATCTGGACCGAGGTCGCATTGGCATCCTCATGGATGGCGTAAATCGCGTACATGGTATCGCCAGAGCGTAGCAGGCCGCCAATCGTCCATTCAAGGGCATATTGAGACTCTTGACTCAGGTCGGTGGCAACCAGGTACTTGCGTTGACGGCGACGTCCTTCATTAGCTTCTTGCTGCACGTCGTCATACTCGCCACGGACGATCGTCCGTATCGAACGATTAGGGACACGATTGTCGATTGTCGACACGTAGATGCTCATTTGCTGGGCGCGATTGATGGCAGCCTCTTCCTCTTCGTCATCGGACCCGCATGGAGTGCCGGCAGCAGATCGAGCACGCGGAGTGGGAATCTCGTAGTTGGTCTGGGGTCGAACGACACTTTTGAGAACAGACTTTTGCGGCTTGCGATTCTGATTGGGAATGTTGAGCTTGGTAGAAGTGGTAGGGTCTGGAAGATCATTAGAAATCAATCAACAATTACGGAGCCCTCGGTTGAAAAACGCGTCTTCAAACTCGCGAGAGGGGATTTTGAAGGCAACGAGGGGGGCAGAGGTGTGACAAGAAAAGGTGGACATTGAAGCAAACGCTAAAGCGTGGGGAGTGGCCCTCGTCCTGATCTCCTTGAAGGTATCATGGAACGTTTCGCATCAACTTACGGCTGTCTTGATGCGTAGATGGAGGCTCTTTTGAGCTGCCGTTGTCGCCGGGGTTGTTATTTGAAGTGTTATCAACGCGAGGATTTGTTTGGCGACCACGGGCAACATTGACAAAAGTAACACCGGGAGCACAGGGTTCATCTTCCTTGGATCCTTCGTCGTCACCATCATCGCTGTCGCTCTCGCTGTCATCGTCGTGATCATCGTCGCCATCATCACTGTTCCCTTGTTCACCGTGGTCGTCGTCGCTGCTGCTCGCCAACATATTGTTTTCTCGGTCAAAGACATCCTTGGCCACACGCTCTCCACTCTCACTGTGTTCGGCTGGCTGGACGTAGCCAGGCATGTCCGCCGAATGCTTCACCAGAGTCTCGTCGGATTTGTTCCGAGTTGGTTCCATATTCAGTGGAGGTTCCTTCTCCGAGGAGGCCAAAGTCACGACATGAGACGAGACGGGGGAGTGTCGATTTGTGGGGGAAGCCGAACGACTCAAGCGTGCGGCGGAGTGGGCAGAGTGAGAGTCCAGTGAGGAAGTGCGCTTCCGTGTCGAGGGACCGCGGCTGGACTCCCGCCCCCGAGACAGACTCCGGGGAAACAACCGACCTTCCAGTCCCGACATCATGGCCGCCATTGCCTTTCGACCCTTCCTTTTGGACATGGTCGATTCCGATGACAGGGCGGAGACATCCGACCTTGCATCCTCTTCGACTGACACATCCCCAATTGTCCGAGCTCGACGCTGGCCCGAGGAGAACCCCTCACCAACCGCGCGCTGACCATGCTCACCAGTCGCTGCTTGTCTATCCGGTGACGCAGATCTGGACATGATCATGGGCGCACCACAGAGGGGCGACGGCACGAGAGGTACAATAATGCCCTGTGCTTTACGTCGGGCCACCTCAAGCAACCGCTCTCGATCCGGGGTTTGCGGTGCCGGACGTTTGCGACTCCTCCGTACCGCACAGTGCAAGACCTGTGATTTCTTTGGGCGAGTGCTTTTGCGGAAGCCGCACGATGAGGATTGAGCCTTTGAACGGCGGGTCTTTCGTCGCGAGGATGTAGTGACCGCGGGAGGTGTCGAGGATGTGGAGGAGCCGTGGCCTTCAGCGCCGGTCGACATCTCGTGCGGTTCCGCCTGTGGCGGGCTTGACCCAGACCTCTGGTGGAGAGCTCGGCACGCCAGTCGACCAACAACCAGCCGCTGCAGATGCGGAATGTGGAGCTGATCGCCCGGGCTGACGACAATTAAGGCCTTCTTGACCCCTTGAGCCGGTTGCGAACCCTGATCAGCTGCGCTAGACGGGGCCAAGCGTTACCGATCTGGGGAATTCTAGAAACCCCCCTTCCCAGCAGCGGCAGCTAGTCACTAACCCAACGCAAGGGGGACCGGTTTTCCTGGGGAAAAAAGAAGGCGGGGAGAGACAGAGGGAGGGCGCCGGATTGAAAGCTGCCGCTCTTTGAGGGTGCAGGTCGGAATGCAGCTGTGGTCGGATCGAGACTGGGGACGGTTTGATCCACGGAGAAGGTGATGTTGAGAACCGTGAGAAGCGACAAGGCGACGTGACGATGTGAATGAAGGCTCGTCCGCAAGAAGGGTCGAACAGTTGAGGAAGACGCGAGCAGCCGATGAAGTGAGAGTGTGCAAGAGCGAGGTGATTTTGTGGTAGCGCTTTACTATAGGATATACGTCGACGACTAATCATCAATGAGGCGCCGACTTAGCGGATGGCTTCACCTCATTGATCGTAGCAACTACGAACTCTTTAATCGAGCGTTGCGCGGTCTTGAACAATTGACCACGGTTCTTCAACGCTACATCTCCCCTTCGTTCTGTTGTCGGGTCTGAATGCCTACCTAGAGCATCGCATGGAACTCTTTGAAATGCAAGATATAGATCGGAGCAGCCTGCGACAGGTTGAGATTTTCCGGGGAAGAATACCGCGCGAGGTAAGTCGCCTACTGGAATTGCCCATGTTCTGGAAATGACATGTTCTTTTCTACAAGACTCTGTTCCCTTACATCCATATCACTACAGGGTTCATGTGTGTCTGCTTTGAACGCAGGGCTGCCAGGTCGAGGAACGGAGAATTGATCATTTTAGATCGAAATCGGTAGGGATTCAGATCGGGTAGGCGAAGATGTCGGAGTAAGAGATGCCAGTATTGAAGGCGCGTGAGGGGGGTATCCGGGGGTCACCTACATTGAGGTAAAGGTTCAGTCAGATTAGATCTTATCAACGATTCGAAAAGCAGTCATTCCAATTAACATAAGCTCATTGGACCGTTAGATATAGAAAAGGTAGTTGTTCGTTGTGAAAATTCATTGTGACATGACATGTGTATAAGTCTACATGCATCATGACTCTCGACTAATAATGATACAGAGGATTCGATATGATCCTCACGATGCTTGTTCATAATAATGGGGAAAAAAATCAACCGCAACGCTCCTGAACACATGCAGACCAACGGATGCTTAGGAAAGAGAGAGTGAACAGAGCAAAAGAAGAAGACCGCTCACAGAGAGTTTCCAGATGTCGTGGTACCATACATCCGTGAAGGTTCATGTCTTAGAGGACTTTGTCTTCTGGGTCTTGCCGCCTTTGGATTTCTTGCGGGCCCCAACAGAGGCAAATGCCTCCTCTGGTGGCTCATCCATTGCCGTTCGTTTTGACCCCTTTGGCTGTCCCCCGTACTTCTCTTCCAGGCGGTCGAGGAAACTTTGGCCACGCTGTTGCTGGCGTTTGGTGATCATGGCAAGGAGGTCGTCGTCTCCCATGCCGGTGGCCTTGGATGACCTCGAAGCCGAGGCTGCCTTCTTTTTCTTAGCATTCTCGGTGTCTTTCGCATGCTTCTCAGCCTCCTTGGCTTCCTTCTGTGCTCGTCGCACACGGCGCTGGTGCTTGCTCTCTGGCTCTTCACTGTACTGTGAGTATGCCTCCACCTGGCCCTCACTGATGGCTTGATCAATGATAGACCGGAAGCGCGCATCATCCTCAAGCACATTGGAGAGCATCACAGAGTCATAGATGACATCCATATCTCCCTTGCCTCGTTCATATGCCTCCAGGATGTCATTTTTTTCCTCATCAGACCCCTTGTATTTGACTTGGAAGTCGTCCAAGGCGCGAGTGTCCAGTGTAGCCGATAGTTGCTCGCGGTAGAAGTCCAGCCAGTCAAAGTCTTCATCCTCGTCAAGAACTTCTTCGGTGCTGCCGGTGCGATCGTAGATCTTTCGTCGTCGCTCATCTGAGAGAACACCGTAGGCCAGGGCGATCTGCTGGAATTTTCTGTTGGCTTCTTCGCGTTGGTCTTCACTGACCTTGTCTGCAGATGACTGGTAAGCATAGGGTTTGAGTGAAATGAAATGTATGTATGTGACCTGTAACACACCTGGATGGTGCTTCAAAGCGCTTTTTCTGTAGGCAGTCTTAATAGCTTCTGGAGATGCATCGGACTGGACGCCAAGAATTGTGTAGAGATCTTCCTCGATGGAAGGCAGCTGCTCATCGGCAGCGTCTTTCTCGGAGTGCTTTGTCATGGTGGAGATATTGGGAACAGAGTGTAGCAGCGTTGAGGAGGATCCTTTTAAGCACAGCGAAGCAGCGTTGAAGAATCTTTGAAAGACAATGTAGCAGCGTTGAGAAAGTTCGTGCGTGGGTTTGTTTCAGTGTTTGGAAAAGCGATGGCGCCAAGCAGCGATAAAGTCGCGATAACAGCAGCGCTGCCGCGGCACGGGTCCAATTTACGCGATCGACACGCGACGGGTCCATTCCGTCATCGTTCTGCTGGAAATATCCGCCTTCTCGAAATGGGGGCTCTATCGACCCATCTCTATATTGTTCAGGCGGCATAACACACCAGCTCCTATCCTCCTTGTCCATCTTGACCATCATTAATCACTCGCCTCACCCGGTGACAGCTTACGCCAAGCTACCCAGACAAAAACCCGGCAGCGTCTTTCTGTATATCCACTATCGAGATATACCAAACACCCCGCAACAAGACCATCCCATCTCCCAGCAATGACGAACCAAACCCCTCATTCCTCGTACCTCCGAAAATGCATCTCTCTCGCTGAGCAATCCCCACCACGCCCAACAAACTTCCGCGTCGGAGCTATCCTTCTCTCCCGCAAAGACGAGGACCCCACCGGCTTAGAGGACCGCATCCTTTCAACGGGCTACACCATGGAGCTAGCAGGCAACACCCATGCCGAGCAATGCTGCTTCTCCAACTTTGCCGCGGTGCACAATGTCCCTGAAGACGAGGTCGCCGCGGTATTACCCAATGAGCCAGGCCGCAAGCTCATCATGTATGTTACCATGGAGCCCTGTGGGAAACGGCTCTCGGGCAATGCTCCGTGCGCTCAGCGTATTGCGCGGACTCGCGAGGGAGGTCGACGCGGTGTGCACAAGGTGTTTTTTGGGGTGAAAGAGCCGGAGACGTTTGTTGGAGAGTCGGAGGGGTGCCGGATGTTGAGTGCGGCGGGAATTGAGTGGGAGCATATTGCTGGGTTTGAGAAGGAGATCTTGACGGTCGCTATGGCGGGTCATGAGAATAGTGAAGCCGAGGTCAATGCTGCCCTTGGACAAGGTCGTCAGGGGACGAATGTGGATGACATCAGTCCAGATGAGCGACAGCGGCAGGAGCAAATGCCGCGAAATTCAAAAAAGAGGATGATGGAGGGGGAGACCATGATCTATTAGTTTACAGATGGAGTTCTTGGAATACGGCAATATTCAAGACTAGGCCCAGACTAATCATACATTAGCTCTGGATACTCCATGAGGGCGCATAATTCCTGCAAGAAAATCTTTTAACTAGAAAGGTTAGTACTTTATAACGGAGCACACTCATCTAAAAGTAATTTGTGGCTAGTGGCTACTGGCTAGTAGCTAGCAGATACAGTAGTGAAAAGTACAATGCTAATTGTTCGGTCTTGAGCCCTGCGTGACCCACGGTCTTGTAAATCTGCCGAAAAGGGCTAAATTAAAACCTTAAAAAAAGGCAACACAAGACGCGTCTCCAGACCGAGTTCGATATCCAACCACACGTGACACCGCCCACGACAGCAGGTATTATCCCCAGGTATCAAAACTCAACTACATCATCATCAAAGTCTCGTTCAATCCAGGAACGAGCATCCCTCGTCGTCCGTTCCAGCCTCATCACATGAACATCAGACCTCTACCGAGAAAATGAACCGATGGAGACAACTTACAATGCGGACCTTGTCTTCTATCCCGCGTTCTGTTTCAAGGTATCCCCAACACACTTTGCCTGGGTGAAGATGGCGGCGGCGGATGTTCAACGACTGCGTAGACCGAGAAGCTATAATGGTGAGTGGAAATCGTTTTATTTTTTCTTTTTCTTGTGAATTCGTGAGCGATGCGCTATTGCGGCGGGGATGTCTTCCACCGCAGGGTACTCGATGCTCGCATCTTTGTATGCCTTGTTGAGCAAGGTCGTCAGCACGCCTTTTATGTTGTGTCCACCTCGTAGATACAAGTCCTCGGTAAATACCCTCAAAAATCTCGGGAGACACATGCCCTCGTATTACTTTGATGGAGGACGGTTCCAAAGTTTCATCGCACCACACATCAAATCAACCTAGCTAATCACAACCTCAGGCCAATCCATATTCTTCTACAAGAACCATCCAATCCGCTTCGTCTGCGTGGTGGGCGTTATAATCGCGCGAACAGACGTCACCAGACGCACCATACTCACACTCGACGACAGCAGCGGCACCACGCTCGAGATCTGCGTTCTCCACGCAGATCCCAAGACGCGAGACAATGCGCACGCTCAAATGGAAACCATGCACGATCTGCCCAGCATCCCCAACATCAACGGGTCCTATCAGTCTCCCATTACATCGGGTTCGGGACCCAGGTCCCTGACTCAAGTCCAAACGCACACCATGCGACCAGAGCACGTCTCTGCAACAGACGGTACCATCCTCGACATTTCCTCTCTTCAACCGGGGATGAGAGTGAAAGTCAAAGGCACGCTTTCTCAGTTTCGATCCACGATGCAGCTCAACTTGGAGCGGTTCACGCTGGTCCGCGATACGAATGCGGAAATGCAATTCGTGGATCAGCGCTTGCGGTTCCTGGTCGAGGTACTTGCTGTGCCGTGGACGTTGTCGCCTGAAGAAATTGCGCAGTGTAGGGCTGATGCCGAGAGGGGAGAAGTCAAGGTCCTGAAGCAGAGAGAGCGAGCGGAACGGCGAGTGAAGAGGCAGGCTGAACGGGAAGCGAGGGATTACTATCACATTCAGAAAAGGTATGAACGGGAGGAACGGAAAAGGGCCAAGGAGGCGTTATTGAGCAGGGAAGATGGGGTCAAACTGATGCGGGACATTCAATGGAGGAAGGCATTGGCTTCGAATGATGCCGGGCATTCTCGGTAGATAGGATATTATATAAGAAAACGGCTATATAAAGATTCAAATTGCAGGCATGACCTTTTCTCCGATACTTATAAGCCATATGAAAGCTTCCTGGTCCGAGAGCCGTTCAACCGAAGATCAGAGTAGCTCGCCTCCAGCTGACACGGTACCCAGCTTCAGTTCATAAGGAGAAGGGCAGATTCACTCCCTCTGTGAGGCCTGATATTCACGGAAAATGACGAAAAGTGTACATTATTATTCCTTCTATGAGAAATAAAAGGTGCAGGTTAGGGGTCTGCGTGGTGGGCTTGCCCATGGTCTTTCTAATTCGGCCTCACTGGGATACGCGGCCAGTGCGAAATGATCATCCTTGGGAGTGGCTTAGGGATCGAGTTGGTGGAGCTCGTGACGCCCATCTTGCGTGGTCGGGAGTTTAGGCAGCCAAGAAAACCAGGACGTCGAGTCTGGTGGGGCCAAGGCTTATTTCCAGGTGATCGCCTCCTGCCCGTCTTCGTGCAGAGGTGCAGAGATGCAGAGGTGCAGAGAAACAACCGGAGGAGTGGAGACTGAGGCTGGACAGGTCCATCAGGGCGGATGCTCGGTGACGGTCCCGCTTTGGATGAGACGACACGCGGGTGAAGCCGACAAGGTGTGTACTTGTACCACTACCGACTTTGTCTCGGACTGTCGCTGACAAGCTGTCGACGAACATTGTAGGATGTACGAAGCATATGCAACAATACTAGTAGTTATATGGGCTACCGGTAGTCCTGTACCTAATGATACAGTACTACAGTCGCAGTTGGTCCTTGGTGACTCGGTAGGGTACCGCTGTCAACAATAATGCCCTCTCTCGCAGGAGTCGCAGTCCGTAGACCATGAGACTAGCAGACTCGGTAGTCCTGATACTTCTGTGGCGTCTTTTCTGCTACCCTCCTGCGTTCTGCGTCTGCGCCTGCGGCTGCGCCTGTTTAGGCTCCCTCATTTCACATCGCTCTTTTCCTCACACGCCAACCTCTGATCTCGGGTCACCACTTGACCTCATCGAGGTGGCTCCCTTCTTCTCTGCTGATCCCTGGACATCTTCTCTATTTATTCGTCCGCCCCCAGATCGACTCGCAGTCTCTCACGGTACCCAATTCATTCCGGCATTTTGCCCACCTATATACCTTCACCACCCTCAGATAGCATCGCTCCCCACCTTCATAACACACCCCACACAATGTTCGATACCTTGAAGAACTGGTTCTCGCCCGCCCAGGAGACCGAGAACAAATGGAACGCTCGCAATGTGGAATTGCAGCAACCCAACGGTCCTTCCGGCCCTAGCATGAATAACGAGGCTGTCACTCAACAACCCGTATGTCAATGATGATACTCCTACTCTACTTCGATCCAGATTACCAGGCGCAGGCTACACTGATCAACCGCTGACCGAGGTTTTTTTGTTCTCTCCAACAGGGGGGTCCCGAACAGATGAACGTCCACATGCGAGGTGGTGGTGAGGGTGAGGATGTTTGCTGCGGAGTGTAAGTACTAAGTACCCATCTCAACACACTACACTCGTACACACTACCTTACCTTACACACTCCCACTGGCAACGGGCCCTTTCCTAGTACTAGTACAATGTACTACTAGCTTCACTCAGTGCTACGGTACCTCTTCTCAGTTCACATGTCTGACAACTTCTACTCTCCTCTCTCTAGCTGCGCTGGTCTCTGCTGCTTCGAGTGCTGTGAATGCTGCTGCTAGATCATCTCGGATCCGGCGATGCATCCTTCTCCACCTGTCGAGCTCGGTCGCTTTGACCACTAACTGTTTCCCTTTCTACCTAACATTTCTGTCTATATGAGAGCGATAAACGATTAGCAACGTGGAGTAATTTATCTTGCTTCCCCTGGTCTTGTTACCTCCAACCTCCTGACTCACAAACGATAACAACTTCGAACGTAACAAACAGCCTCTTCGCTGACGATCTTGATCCCTCAAGACCAAGCCCCTTTCTCAACACCCAGCACAATGCGGATGCAGACACCTGGGCTAGATCAGGAAGACTACCTATCAAGGCCTGGGACGAGCCCAACTACCTACCTAGGGAGGTCGGGCCTTCAAGCCTCCAATTTGCACCCTAGGTAGTGAGTGGGCCCCTGAGTACCGATTGCAACGATAACGCCGGTGCAAGACCTTGAGACTATCATCAAGTCTGGATGTATTTTTTTCAACGTGCACCATGCGAATATGAAAAAATCAGGGTCTGCCGAGAGCTAAGGACATTTGGTAGCCACAGGTAACATGGATTGATCTACGATAGACATGCCCAATGAACACAAGACTCTTCCATTCAAATTCCATGTAATCCGGATGAAATATGAGAGACACTAGAGTCTATTACAAGTATGAGGAGAACGACATCGACGGGAGTGATAACCTGGTTTGATCTTTCAACCAGAGCTAGAACTGGAGGTTTGGCCTGAACGATATGTCAAAATCAAACCCCATTTTTGACATGCATTGAACATTGCCGGAGATACTTCCAATAGTGGGAACTCGAGGGAAGTGGCACTCTACGTTTGGTATGTCAACAGCCGTAGCTCCAAGAGCAAGTACACCTGAATATAAATGCTACCGTGCTGGAATGTCGAGACTGCGTTGCTCCCGAGAAACACTGTCGGATACCACTAGTTTCTTCTTGTCGAAACATGTCATTTAGTACCTGCGCGTCGCATGCAGTAAGTAATCTACACTGGTCAACCCCCCGGCATAACGCTGACATACATCTTGAAACCTAAGATATTCTGTCAATGGATGTACTGATCATTGATTCAAGCCTGAGAAGTTTTGTTTTCAACCCAGCAACCAAGGTAACAACCTCCCGTCAATACCGGATGAGCGATTGAGGAACCGGACTCCTCCTGGTCTAATCGAATGACAAACCTTCCGTACCTAGATGGGGTTTGCTTTCAAACTACGCGTGAATAACATATTGGAACATTGTTCATCCCCGTGTCAAGATTCGTGATCATGCGAGGTTATGCTCGGACTGGCCAAAGATGCCTCGTAGCACCTGGGCCAGCTAGACCACGTTCACTAGAGATCGATCCGCTTCTTGGCAATTCAGTGAGAATCATGATCATTTCATTTGAGGCCTGCACTAATGACCACCATCAAATCGCCAGAAACATGAGGTATCAGCCCTCAGACCATGCCACATGCGACATGGTAAGAAGAGGATTGCAAAGGGGGGGGGGGGGGGGGGGGGGGGGGAAGGAAGAGAACAACAAAATTGCGCCATCATGTCATGAAAGGAAATGAAGAAAGATATGAAACAGAGTTTAAAGCCCTCTGTGACATGATGAAAAGAAAAAGAAAGAAAAAACTCCAGCCTGGTATGCTCAAGCCCGTTTTGATTTTGGAACAAATGGATGGGAGGAGAGCATGACAAAGCCTATGACGAGACCTCATCGTGAATATCCTTCTCCATCCCGCAGGAAAACGTCATTCATACTCAGAATCCATATGTACTTTGTCCGTAAGGCGTGGCACCATATGGAGTCTGAGCACTAGCTCCCCACGGAGCATTTCCGTATGCGCCCATGTTTCCGTCAATACCCTCGGGAGGTTCATAGGCGTCGTCGCCCGCACCCATCATATCAGCATCCTCGACATCCCCCACTTGACCGTTCTGATCCTTCTTCTTGAGCTCGCTCACAGTAACAGCAAGCTTCTTTTGCAAAGCAAAGATACCTTGTTGAACGATCATGTCGGGCTCCAGGTTGCCGATACTTTCCACGTCAATGTAGAAGGTGTTCGGCTCGGCATCGTAGTCGAACGGCTGGTCCGGGTTACTGGGTTGCTCCCAGGCAGCGTTTTCAGAGATGGGCCTATACGGGATCACCAGCGTTCAGTAAACCACCACACTCGAGGGGGCGGAAAGACAAAAAAAAATAGGTGCATATTCCTCAACACAAGCAACGTTGCACTTGCACCAGAGGTGAAAAAGAACAAGTCGTGTACTCACCATTCCTTAGCCGCATCCTGCTCGTACCAGTAATCCACATGGCGCAGGTTGTTATGAGGATCGTACTCGAAGCCTACAGCCGCAGTTGGAGCCCACTTGGCATGCTCCTTTGCGGTGCCCTTCTTTGCCAGGCACTTGAGCTTGACCTCTTGACCCTTTGCCAGTTTGCAGATCACGGGACCCTGGCCCTCGGCATCAGTAATGACCGGGTCGCCAATCGTATCGTTGACCCGATCGCCCAGCACCTCCAGATCCCGCGCGAAGACCGTCATCTTCTCCGACTCGCAGCGCACATGCAGCGACAATGTCACGCTGCATTTCACACAGTAGTCCTCACAGCTGCAGTCACGGGTGTATTCGAGGTCCGAGTCGCAGTTCTTGGCATTCAAAGGGATCAAGCCCAACCTGTGAGCCAGCATCTCATCGGGAATCACGGACGTGTTGTTCTCAATTTCAATGAGATCGAGTGCAACAGTGGGGACTTCGGCGAGAATCACACGGCGAAGGGAGTTGGCCATGGCAAGGTCGACAGAGCTCAATCTGAAGTCGACTCGGAGGGGCTCGACCTGGAAAAGTGAGTAATCCAATCAGCTTGAATCACCCTAGACACGTCTGCGACTATCAATCTCGCCAGCGACTGTCAAAAATCTACACACCTCACGAACGGTAACCTGAGGCCCCGTGGGCTCGAGATCCATCTCGTAGTCCATGTTGAAAGGATGGGCGCGCGCAGTTCGCGGCCAAACGGGTCAATCTTGCAGAGTCTGATTTCACAAGTCTGGGTTGGTGTTAAAATGGTGAGAGATGTGTTGAGGCCAAAGGTGGAATCGGTTGGAAGAGAGTTGAGTGAGGAGCGTGGGTGAGATGAGAGGTTTGGTAGACACACTGCAGCGAGGATCGCGCGGGCTTTGGGTCTTGAGACTCCGGAGTCTCGGTCCCGGAGTCTCGGTCCGCACTTTTCCTGTTTGGGAACGAACCTCCAGGAGCCGCGCTGCAGATAGGCTGAGCGAGTGTGCAGGACAACCTTAAAAGCACGCTTCTCGATAATGCAACAACATTTACTTGATTGCATATTCGAAATCCCGAGATACATCCAAAGCCAAAAATGAACTCTACAGATAATTGGGCGCACATGAACGTTACTCGATCTTTCTGCGGTGACTGCAGACAATCACATGAGGTTCTTGCGCTAGGAGAATACCTGTAGATGCGGCTCAAGTAGCACTGGGAGACTTTGACGGGCTTTATGCTCCTGATTGTGTGTGATCAAGTTGACAATCGGACGGTCAGACGCAACGCGGTCCACTTCAGATCGATAGACAGCCAATCCACGGGATCAGATGTACTGAATGAGGGGCTGAGTCTAGATGTGGTGAATTGGAAGAGGCTATTCTACTTGTCAGACTCGGCGGAGATCAAATATGACGATGTCAAGACCACGTGGTGCCAAGAATGACCAAAGTCCACCATTGATATGCTGTAGACGACCGCTTGTTGGCGCGGATGCTTTGCGATCGTCTGGATCATGCCCATTTAGTGAGTAGCCAATTGATGCTGAGGAGATCAGTCACCGGTTTTCGCGTCCGATGCCCAGCTGGTTGGAACAACAGATAAGCTGGACTGATCGACTGATAATCTTGTACTGCAGAGCAAACCCTCCAGACCCATCGACTATCTAGATCAGAACAAGAGAATGGGACAATGGCATGAGAACGATCAAGTGTTGCTCTGTGTTTCCTTCTGGAAATTATTACATGGTCTGTCGTATTGCTAGTCCGCAAACTGCCCAATTTGACCTCGAGTCAGTGAAGAGGCTTTTCTTCAGCGTGAGGCATCCAGCGTGAGGCATCCCTGCCGAGACCAAGCGTTTGGTTGATCGACAGAAAAGGCATAGATCTACTAGCCGATTCTTTGACAGCTCAATCGCCAGGGGTAGACGGGAAGGAGACGCAACGATGGCGAGGACAGGTATGTGAGAGGCAAAAGTGGCGAGAGAGGTGTGAAAAGGTTCGAGAGGAGCAAGAAGCAAGCCAAAGCACAGAAACAAAAAAGAGCCACCATTTTGGGAGGGAGAAAGCTATCGCTTCACATCTTTTAGGGATGGGGTCATTTCAAGTCGTCATCAGGATGCATCTCCGGTCCTCGAAAAGGACACGAAGATTTGAAAAAAAAAATGTACGAGTCAGATGCTAGGAAGGGCATGGCGTATGTACGGAGCGAAAGTCAAGGCCCCTATCGCTTCAAAGAGCTGCGTTTCAAGGCCTCCAGCAACTCGGGTCGATTGGCCAACGCAGTCGCAGCCTCCGAAAAGCCCACCCACTGTCGTTTCCTCTTGTGCATCTCTGGCCACTCTGACTCCTCCTTGTCGACGCTCACTTCGAAGAACTGATAGGAGGCTTTGGGGGCCTGCGCGGTCAACAGACCGGACGGGCGCATGTCTGGTATTAAGCCGAGGTCCCGAAGCACTGTGCAGATGACGCCGGCTTCTTCCCAGGCTTCCCGACACGCCGCCTGTGCCGCGGTGGACTCATCGAGCTCCCATCCTCCCTTGGGGAGTACCCAACCACCAGGACCGGCTGACTGAATCATCAGGACTTTCGTCTTGTCGGCAGAGAGGGGCACGACACCGGCCACGAGACGTTCGCCTTTGGAACCGTAGCCTAAAAGGATAGAACACACGAGACTTTCAGTCAGCCCAGAACTCATTTTGCCTTCCGGTTCGCTGTCGCTCGCGCCAGGCTTTGCATCACTGGCTGGTTTGGGAAAGACTCACGTTGGTTTTTCCGCCCGACACGGGACTCCATGGGCCGATTTTGGGCCATTGTGACGATCGAACTTTTCCGTCGTCCAGGGTTTGCAGTTCAATTGAGCTCCGTTGGAGACGCCGTCGGTCGCTTTCCTGGTAGTCTTTCGAGGGTCGGAAAGACGGTTTGATTCCAGAAGACCCCCCTCTCCAAGAAGAAAAAAAAAACAAGGCCAACAAGAGATAGGAGTGGAATTAGAGGAAAGGATGGTGAATTCGAGAGTCTCCAAGAGGAGGATGTAACGTGATCCCACAACCGCAAAACGGGGACAACGTCCACAGACGACAGTAAATCAGTCTCGAGCTCCCGCGGAGCCAGGGAGACCTCGTGGGAGATTGAAGAAGAAAGAACGCTTTCTCAATGGAGACCCAGCGGGGTCACGATTCGGATCGACCACCTTCTCCTGTTGCGGGCGGTCGGAGAAGGGAAATTTTTCTTCCCCTTGGGAGACACGAACAGTCGAGACTGCGGGGGAGGAAATTGGGAACGTGGGAAAATCTTTTTTTTTTGGGTAAAACGGAGAGGGGAATAAAAAAAGAGCAAAAAGGAGAAAAAATTCAAGGGAAGTGAGTGCGCCGCTATCACTGATGATGGCCCTTAGCTGGTTCCATTCATGCCCGTCGAGGCCAGAGAGCAGGACGAAGAAGTAATACGAGTAGGCATAATTGGCAAGGAAAGGGAGAAAGATGAAGGAAGCTGCGGAAGAGGGTCTAGAGGATGGGTTATATTGTGGAAGGAGATGAGAGTAAGATGACTCTGAAAGCTACGAAAGAATCTAGAGGGGTTCCCGGGTCCAGTGGGCATCAGGAGGGGCACGATCCGGCGGCGTCGTCCGGTGCAGTCGCGAAAATAAAAAAAGAACGAACCGAGAAAGTACTGATCAACGCTAAGGAGAGAAAAAAAAGTCCGTTTGGTTGTGATGAGAAGATCCGACTCGGTCAGGAACCAGATAGGGGATACACATCAAAGGTACGGTATAACAGTATCACTACCAGGACACGATGAGTAAGTACTACTGTAGTTGCAGTGTTGTAGTGTTGTACAACTGCCCGGCGGAGTATTACCGTCTTTTACGGGAGTTCCGATGCGTGTGAGGAAACGCCGCGTCCGGGTAGTCACGACATTTAGTACAGGTTTCTAGAAGAAGTTCATGCCGATCCATGTGCGACATGAAAACCATGGGGAAGTCAAACATGAGATTCGAAAGGGCGGGCTGAGTCAGACTTCGTCTACCCAAGGTCCAAGCAGATGATTGTGATCGGAGACCAAAAGTTCCTTCATTCCAGCATCCCGTCGGCTGGTTCATTGCATGATATGCAAAGCATGAATCGACCGGAGCCGACAACGACCCCGGAGTTAGTGATACAGGCCGGGAGTGAGCCGGGTGCCATGGATCCTCGAATTGCAGCCGCCAAGGAACAATCCTGGGGGAGTTGAAGAGGTCCATCTATCATCAGTAGACAGCAAGCATCTGCGCGTGATCGAGGTCAAGTCCTGTTTTTCAACTGCTGTTGTCAGTTGTCGGCTTGGAGGCTCTAAGAGTTCCCGTCATCGCAAAATTAAGTTTGGTGTCGAGGAGAAGTGCACCCTGGCCTGATATAGGGTCAGGTGATTTAAGGGACATCCTCACAGGCGCACACGACCAATGCCGATATTACAGACTGTAAGCTCGGGGATCAAATGACGTACCGGTAATTACCCATCACGTCCAACACACATACTTATTTCACATACAATACGTCATGTAATAGTGATGTATGTATTGTTTAAGACTGTGAGGATGAGTGACTGAGTCAGTCTGAGTGTAATCCGACCCATGCCGTCACCCTGTCTACCGTGGGCACGCCACCAATATAGACTTCTACACTCCAATCTACATTATCACATGGCCCAATCTGCATTGTAATGAAGGATTCAAGCATTCCAGGATTCATTCACCACTCTGGCTCTTGTGCCAGAGCGGAGCTAAGCCAAGCACTTGTGTAACGGCACCGAAAATTGCAAGGCTCCAACCTGAACACTACTGTTGCAAGCCGGCAGTTCGGGTTCGTCGGGTGATAAGTTTATTGAGTTCAGATCGCATTTCATAGTGCAGTTAGCAGTAGTATATGCCTGCCTGACTAGGTACGTAGTCCCAATTCTATGGTTGTTATGTCACTTGGTGGGAAAGGAAGATTTAAGCGGCGCTTTTGCCCTAACTAGACACCAAGAGAGGCCTCGGCCCGCCGAGGCCTCTTGGTACCGAGTCCTGCACGACAGATTTCGAGGTTAAGCCCAAACAGTCAATGACGAGTGACGGAAAGACTTCGCCCATATTCGAGTCTCAAGTCTCGAGTCTCGACCGTTCGAGAACATACATTACATTGTATTTACCATACGTTACAAGATAGCTTCGATACCGAACGACGTAAATTATGTACATTATACAACTACACCCTGCAGTTTCCGAAAGGCGAAGCCAAACTAAAACCGTACTATATAGTAGGAGCAATGAGCATTGGGCATTACCACCGAGACCAATACCGCCGAGTAGATTAATGAGTCGGTGATATTGTGGTCTTGGTCAGAGAGGTCTTCATTCACAATCGTCGAGAAGACCATTCATGCTGCAATGTTTCCTCTGACGCAGCCAGTTCGAAGCTTTATTCGAGGCACAACCAAGCATGTAGGCCCATCAGCCGCATTACGCACATGACATGAAATCGGACTATATGTCTTCGTCCTCATGGCAATAATACTTTGCCTTTGCAATAGTATAGAAAGTATAGCTCATAGATCTATAGCCCATGGCCATCGATCTCATCGAGTAGGGCATCTTCTGGAGCCTACATCTGATAGACCGCTTCTGCCACACGCGCAATGTAAACGACCGATACCTCACTGCAGGAGCTTGCAATCAAACGAGTGGTCTCCCAATATCGAGACAGTCACGTTTTCCCACCTATCCTGGCCTCATATCCCTCCAACCAAATTTCTTTGCCCCCTCTTCTCCTACAGGCACTCGATTGCACATCACGCCGTCATTTTGACAAGCGAGTGAATGAACCGGTCCTTGAGCTTCTTCTTGCCTGAATCACCATCGATCCGTCTTCCCCGCCTTTAGTCTGCTCCACAGTCCCAGCACCACGCATTTTCTCGGGCATCAACACTCCCTCCCAGGTACATACGCAACATCACGACCTCGTGCATGTCTTGCTCCGTCTCCAGCAACTCGCTCACGCCCGATTCATACAGCTCGCGCCTTCTTTACTCTTGAAAATCACTCGCTGTAAAAGCTCGGTCTCTCCTCTTTGCCACTGACCGTGGATCTTCTCACATCATAACCCTCTCTTCCCTCCACCGTCTTTTATCTGCTCCCGCCGGGACCGCCGACTTTCGGCAGCCACTCATTCAGATTCCGCGGATGGAGCCCGTTGACGCCGAACGCGCGCGACAGCTGTCGCTCTTCCGGCCTTTAGGTATGTCCCACTTTGCGTGCCCCCTCTTCCCAAAAGTGAACCCCTCCAACGCCCCCCTCCGAAGAGCCACTGAGACACGCTCCTACTACCTCGTGGCACTGTGACGGGCTCTGCGTGGCTGCTCCCGAGAGATCTTTGCATCTTGGCCAAATGTGACCCACGATCCTCAGCTCGGCCGGTCCGCCGGCGAACAAGCTGATCGCCCCGCCTCTTCTGAAGAAGAGCGACATCATAGGGGACACAGCAACATAGACGATCTTTTCTTTGCTCTCTGCAACTGCACAAGGGTCAACAATGACAAATGGACGAAAGGTCTAACCCCTCAATCTGAATCCTAGGCTACCAGCGAAACTCATGTGGATATTGCAAGTCCAATGATGGAAGTATGTCGTGCCCAATGCCTCTCAAGGGCTCATATGGCGATCCAACCCCCAATTAGGGAGATGATATTCTGACACGTCACGGGTTCTACGTTTCATCAGGTGTTTCCTATTACGCTAGTTCGTTGGTCGTTCGGCCTAATCACTATGAAGAGCTGATCCATCGAGGGTGGCGAAGGTAAGATGAGCGTGACTGCAGAGAGGCAGAGATGCACAGACAGAGAAAAGCAAAAAAAAAAAAAAAGGCAACTAAACAGATCGTGCGGTTCTAGATCGGGAAAGCTGTACTATAAACAAAATCTACAGCGATCATGCTGCCCGCACTACACGATGCGGCTGGAGGCAAATGCCTATCAACCTCGTCGAGATCAACGCAAAGCCATCAATCGCTGGAACAAGTTCGTCTTGGGCCCAGAGTATATCCGCAAGGTTACTCAACTCTGCCCGCGGACCAGAGAGTAAGCCGGATAAATTGCTTTGCGACCTCGTGTGTTTGTACCAAATGTGAAATGCTGACAAGTACGGTGTAGAGAAAAGCGTCATCGCAAGAGCCACTTCGATCTCCAGTCAGTGGTTCATGAGGCCGAATATTCCAATCTCAAACGTCCGATTGATCCCAGTACCAAACGAGCACTGGAGCCGGCGCACAAATTCGAGGTCAATCTAGAAGGTGACTCGGTGTCGCAGGCCAAATTCGATTTATTTGTCAAGTATCAGACTAAGGTCCACAAAGAAGATGTCTCGCGCTGGAAGACCAAGGACTTTGAGGGATTCTTGTGCTCCGGTATCAAGCGGTCACCACAGATCGTCAACAAAATCAACGCCACGGAGAAGAAGCTCGGATCTTGGCATCAGTGCTACCGCCTGGACGGGAAACTCATTGCTGTGGCCGTGCTTGATCTGGTTCCGAACGGCGTGAGCTCGGTCTACATCTTGTGAGTATTCTCTGCAGTCGACTGACAGCTTTTTGTCCCATCGGTCTCAGGATTATGCTGACGGCGTCTTCGGCATTAGCTACGATCCTGATTTCGAGCAATGGGAGTTTGGGAAACTGAGCGCTATGCGAGAGATTGCTTTTGCCCAGGAGAACAATTATGCATATTACTACATGGGTAAGTAATCCAAGCTGACTGGCGCATCTTTCACCAAAAGTGGAATCGTTAACGTTCCAATCAGGATTCTATATCCATAACTGTGTGAAAATGCGATACAAGGGCAACTTTAGACCTCAATACATCTTAGGTCAGTCACACCGACATCGGCACGCTGTTGGAAACCCCTCAGCGAGGAAAAAAAAAAAAGGAAAACTCGATTAACCCACAGTTTCCAGACCCCGAATCTTACGAATGGAACCCGCTCGACGGGGAGCTTTCGAAAAAGCTCGACGCACAAACCTACGTCTCCTTATCTCGAGAACGGACGCCGCAGCAAGCTCGACCCTTCCCAGACATTAGCTCTGATGTGGACGAGACCGAGCTGTCACTCTTTGACATCAATATGCCCGGTGTCTTGACTCTGGAGGAAGTGAAAGCCCTGAACTTGAATGAATGGTCATTGTTGTACCATGGGTCGTTTGTGCAGATGGAGGTAAGTCAAAACGTACCGCAAAGCAACAATCACAAAAAATCATGGTGGGAAAGTTTTCCTCTTCTCACACACTCCTTCCCAGGACCTCGTTGGATGGGAAGATATGCCAATGGACAATCCGCAGTCGATCAAGGGCATCGTTGCTGAACTCGCGGCTGTGCTCGGACCGAAGATCGTCAAGGACAGTGCCGTGGTGCTTTTCGACTGAGCAGGGTCCCACGCCATTCAACCGAATCCTTCTTTTCAAAATATTGCACCAACCCGGTGGCTTTGTTGTTGTCGTCGCCCTTGGAAAGCTCGACCCCTACATGAACTTGCTAGACTAAACTCCCATCGTTCGTAATCTCGCAGACCTGACACAGACCGACATGTATGACCTAGATTCCTATTCAAAATATTGTCAGTATACAAGGATCAACCACCACCACGTAGTCTGATCTCGTTCAAGGCAGGTACCAAGTCACCATCACCATCAACTTCCCCCCCCCCCCCCAAAAAACCAATCTATTTCAATCTGGCCAATTCTAATGGTATCGACAAGACTTTCTTACCATCCACGAATTGAAGAATTAGACCGTTTCCCACATTGCTTTTTATTTTTTTTTTTAATTTTGCTGAAGCATCCACATCTTAGAAGCTCAATGTGACCCTGCATAGTTCGAACCCCTGATCAATGGAATACAATCAAACCAATTCTCTGAGTATAAACATAATCAACCATGATTACAACTTCAAGTAAGAAAGTAGCATTGAATAGGTGGACATATCATCTCCAAAAGACTCTCTATACGGTGTGTCTTGCAAACCCCCCTCATGAATTCCTGACCTAATTCGCCAGACTCGATTGCGCCATAAGATCAGATAGACCATTCAGAAATCCAGCAAAAGAAGGGGAAAAGAGTGGAAAAAGCAAGCCCAGAGTGGGATTTGGAAAAGAAAAAAAGGGGGGGGAGGGGAAGATGAAGATGAACACGAGGAATGCGCAACACTGAAGAAAACGCCTGATTCACCATTCACCATTCTCCTTTCCAAGTAAAGCAACCGGATCGAAACATACTCCTTGCCCTTCCAGACTACATGAACAAGGACGCGTGCGTTTCCCAAACGCCAAAGGCTCCACTCGGATTGAACCATTGAACCGTCTCAACATGACTCCAGAGCTGATGCTGCATGATTATAGGAGAGAGCCGGCCCCGAAAACACAAAAAGCACGTATAAAGGGAGACTTAGCATAGAAGGGACAGGATCGTCATTTGGGGCGAATCACCCTTCTACACCATCCTCCAGTCCCATTGATGGAGGCGGCTTTCGCCCTGCACCGTAGACCATCTCCATCAATTTGGCCTTTTGACGTTCTCGGACTGATCGAAGGTAGTCATATGTGCCCTCTAACCCCTTGATCTGGCCATCGATGACCGCTTCCACGGGACCCAAGAAATGACCCGAGACCGCAGAGTTGGTGGAAACCGATGCTCCTTCAAGCCCAGAGAAACTGACCGAGTCATTGCGACGGACCAACGGACTAACCAGCTTGCGACGCAGCGTCTCCAAGTTGACTTTGAGTGTGAGGAGACGGCCGCGGTGGTCCACAAGCAGGTGTTTATTGGCGACAGTGCGGCTGCGCACGTTGGCGAGGAGTTTCTTATTCTTGTCGTACTTGCGGACGGCAGCGGCATTGGGGCCCAGCACCCGCGTCCACAGAGAGCTGAGCATCTCGCCCTCGGCACGCTCTTGGGCGTCGGACTCGCGAACCACGGTCCGTTGAAGATTGAGGAATTGCCGATCAATGGACTCGAAAAGAGCAAACAAGGCGGTGGAGTGAGTCAGTTCACTGTTGATCGACTCTTCCAGCACAGAGAGGAATTCGGTAAACGTGCGTGTCAGGGTGGCGCGGGTGCGCTGGGCCGACGTTGGACCAAACAAGGCCATCACCACGTGGCCCAGGGCCGTTGTCTTGGTCGAGGACGTCGAGCTGCTGCCGTCGGATATCTCCACCGCTTGCTCAAGAGCACCTAATCGCGACAGCATATTGTGCACATTGTCGAACATGATGGTCGGGAACGAGCTGGGAGGCTGCGCCGAGAGAGTTTCGAGCTCGCGCTTGGCCCAGTCCATCACGATCAGGATGGAGTCGACATCTGAGTCCACGTTGGCAAAGAATCGCGTGAGTTCGAGAGAGAGCGACTTCAACGAGTCCGACAGTTCGTCCAGTTGTCGGACAATGATGGGGGCACTGGTCATATTTGTGCCTCGGACGGACTCGCTCAGATCCCACACAGCCACTCCGGTCTCCTGCAAGGTACCTATTTGCTGGACCCCGTTTTCGGAGTAATAGATCAGAGGCTCAAAGGAGCGCGCGAACCCGGACAGCTTCACCAGGTCGGGAATTGCCTGAGGGAGCCCGGGCAGCAGTAACGCGCGCATGAATGCGACTGCGAGGAACAGCACCAGGATGGACAGGGTGGTGTTGGACTTGGAGCTTGTCATCTTATCAATTTTGCGGCGCAAGTAGCCAAAGACGGCAGCAATGGGTTCGCGATGTTGAACCTCTGCGCGAACTGCGAAACGGATGTCTTTACAACCGCCATGCGACAAGACGTTAGTGTTGGGGTTTTCCATGTGCGACAGTCAAGAGTCATGAAAGATTCCAGACAATGCGTACAGTTACTCAAATTCTCTGCTCCACGTCCGGGCCCATCCTCCTCGGGATGGGGACGCTCCGGGCTGAGGCCCGTCGTGGGCGCCGGCACCGGGACCGGGACAGGACTAGGAGATCGGCCCGCTTGGGGGGTTTCTGCACTATTGGGCAAGGGGATATTGGCTGCGATCGTGACTTCGCCATCATCGTGAGACTTTTGCCTTGATGAGACTTCCACGGCGTCTTCATACTGCGGACTGGCCTCACGCGACAGTGACGGCGACAGGCTTACCCCGACGGTGGGCTTGAGGGCCAACCGACCTGTGGGATTGTGTGTATTGTGCGCATAGGGCTGATGTTGATACCAACTGCTGCCGTGATTGAATTCCCGCGGATGCAAACCTGGTGGTGACCATCTCTCCCCCGGCGTCTGATCGTCCAACTCGCCTTCGGACTCTTCTGAGCGAAACCCCGAGTGCTGTGATGGGAGACCAAAGAGCGGGGAGCGGTGCGCATTGCTATGATTTTCAAAGTCTTCCAGCGACGCATCCAAGGATGGATGGTCATCAAAAACGTTGTCGAGCTCGTCCAGCATGGCGGACGGCGTATGTCGATGTAGACACTTCAGAGCGAATGATTGCGATGGTTTGACCCAAGAAGATTAGAAAAAGAAAAAAACAACCTTGAAGGTGCGTGGACAGTGGCGTGCGCCGGCTGTATGGTGGTCTTGCAAGGGATGAGTGCGGTCGCAATGAGCTTTGCGCCAGAAGAAGATGGCGCAGGACTGAAGGCCGCAGGGGAATATTTCCGGCTGGTTAGTAATCGCGCTCCTTTCAAGGAGCAAATTCTGGTGTACTAGAGACTGGTATTGATGGAAAGGGGGAAAGGTAGCAGTTGTCGAGAGAAGCAAGATGGCTGGGGGAGGCGAATCAACCCCGCGCGCCGGAATGCGATGCGATGCGATCGATCAGATAGCGCTGCGCGATAAGAAAGAAGGTCTGGTTGGCAAATTGGGGGGGGGGGGGGGGGGGGGGGGAACCCTCTCATATATTTGATTCCTAAGGATACTGGCGCCGCGTCTGTCACCTTTGCGATCAAGGGATCTGGAGATCGTGCAGTCCGTGGGTCTCTAACAAGCTGGGCGTCTTCTTGGTTCAGGAACGATCTCACATCCACGAAGATAGTCAACCAGCGTGGAGGGGAGAAGGAAGTAGAAAAGAAGTGCCTCGAGCAACAATGCGGACATCGAGTGGCACTCCTCACCTGTTCTCTGTTCTCCAGCAGGAGGCTGGGCCAATCAGTCAGTCTGAAACGGCCAGCAGAGAGGGGGATGTTGCCAGTTGGAGGTGGTGAGGTGGTGAGGGAGCAGATCCTCCAGTCGCCCGATGGATCACATCGAAGGGTGGAGTGGAGGTTGCTCAGAGGTACCTTTTGGCGGTCCCAATGCGGGGAGTGGGACTCGATGGATACCTGTCCGGGGATTGTGGATTGTGGCTGACCGCCATTGGCGCCCGACGACTCCCTTGCACATCCTGGTCGGCTGCAACGACACACTCCCGCGCAGATCATTCGTTCCCGCTGAAGATATGGAGTCCGATCGAAGCGTTGAAAGCAATCTGTCGATAGCCTGGAACCAATCAAGCCGTCCAAGAGTCTTTGCAGAGCGAGCAGGGTCGAAGGAGAAGGGAAGAAAAAGGTCCCGCGTGTCTGCCGGCAGAAGGGTAACAGTCATACCCTGGTCCCAAGTCCCAACAGCCAGTCACGGCGAATTCGAACCCTGCAGAGAAAGAGTCATGTGGTGGTGAGCCACACGAACCCGGTGGAGAGGTGACGGCTGTCAAGCAGCCCTAGGGACAAGTTCCTGCGCAAGATGCACCATGCCACGGAGTGATCGGCGCTACTAACCAGCCAAGCAAAGGGTGGAAATGTTCGAGTTTGAATGCACGCAAAGGATGAACATAGTGAGAAGAGAAGTGGTTTTTAAGTCTATCGTGGGTCAACCATAGTAATAGTCTCAAAGTAAAAGAAAAAAAATAATATTACATAGGCCCGTTCCTCGCAAACCCGGAAAGAAGGGGGTCACGACACGAAAACTCCCAAACGTCTATGTGAATGCCAAGAGACGCAATGTGTGGGGGAAGACAGAAACAAAAGGCCGTGGCAACGGAGCATTAATGATACATTGTGGTCGTTTAAGCGGTGGCCTCCTTGAGGTAGCTAGACAGGGGGAAAGAGAGAAAGTCAGCACATATGGTCGGGCTCCAAACACAAAAGCCGTGGTGGCTGTGGAGCAAAAGAGATACTCACGTGATGAGGTCGTTGCGCTCCTTGGCCTTCTTGAGACCACCGAAGGCCATCTTGGTGCCGGGGATGTACTTCTTGGGGTTCTCCAGGTAGGGGTACTGTCGGATAAACGGAAGAAGTCAATGAAACTGTTCCCACAGATACCTCAAATGGGTGTTGTGTGGCGGGAACCGTCACTCACCAGAGTCTCCTCGCTCCAGGTCACGTCGGCCTGCTTGTTGGCGTCGGTGTAGGCATAACCGTCGACGGAGCCGGTCTTACGGCCGAACAGACCGTGCAAAGCAGGGCCGACCTTGTTACCACCGTTGGCGTCAACAGTGTGGCACTGAGCACAGCGGGTCTGGAAGAGCTTGGCACCCTTGGCAGAGTCACCTGAAATGAACAATTAGAAGTCTGAGAGTTGACAGCTGGCGCTGGTAGTGGTTGGCTCTGTGGGGACGCTTTGGCGCGCTCAGCGATGCGCATTGCAGCTGGGCCTGCTTGGCCTCGCGGGCAGCCACCAACACAGCGAGAATTCCCATTCCATGAGGATGGATGTGTGCAAGGTGCAGTGGGAAGTGAGCGGATGAAAGCGGCTGGAGAGATGCGAGAAGAAGAGTCAAGTGATGGCAATTGCGGTTGAAAGCGTCGAATGGCATTGGCGTGGTGAGGCATGGGAGCGAGGACATCATTTGCAAAGCATCAATCTTTCAATGGACTGGGGGAGCTGCGGCGATGATGATGATGATGATGATGATGATGATGATGATGTCGTCGGGTTTTGTATCGCGACAGTGAGGTGCACCATCCGGATGGGGACCACAAGTAAGGTTCTGGGCATTGGACGAGACTTCACTGTCTGCGTTGCCATGGCTGCTGCTTTCGCCGTTGCGCTTGCATCGTTGCCTTGACTGTGACCACCTATCTCGCGCTCGTATCTCCTTTCACTCGCTCATCCTTGCGGACGCGCTTGCTGACCGGCGACTTGGCCTACCACAGAGTCACCAGGGCGGCAGAGAGCGGGGATAATGCTTACCAGGCTTGAAACCGTCGTCCTTGCCCATTGTGATAGAGGATGTGTGGATGTGAGAGGAGGGAAATGGAATTGAGAGAGATGAAGAGTTGGGAGAGGATGAGAGAACAGTTGGCCTGGAAGAGAGAGAAAGAGAGCAAGGTTTTCCAACCTTTTCCGCCTTTTTGTACCAAGCGGCCCCAGGCCAGTCCGTTCCCGGGATTGCAGCCCCGGTTGCGCCAATCAGCGGCGGGTGATTTCACCTCCGAGACGGGCACAACCGGGTTCTCTTGTTTCTTTTTTCGGTGAAGCGGACGTCGTCATCAGCCGTTTCCTGGGAACTCCCCCAACGGCGACGGCCAGACGGAGCCATCGTGGGTTCACTACACTTTCTAGACTCCCTACTACTAAACAACTCTGCACTGCTCTTCGAGAATCCCTCTCATATTCTCGATTTCCTGATGGTTATGTGACAAGTTGATTGATGCTCTTTCAGCATGCCATATGGTGCCCACGTTATTCTACTCTCAACAATTACTGCTACCTGGTTGCACCCTTGACCCAGAGCCGCAGTAGGTTTATGCTGGATGATCTCATGCCGTGGTCATTCTTCCCCTGTCGGCTTCAACGGATGGCTGTGGCTGAGAAAGGGTTTTTAGTTCACACATTGACCAGGGAATCGGTGCAGTCATCCTATACCCCAACTATTTTGCCGTGAGAAAAAAAAAAAAAAAAAAAAAAAAAAAAAAAAACAAGGTCACGTCAATTGGGTTCAACCGGTAGGGTGGCTCTTGGCGATCTGATGGTAATAGTAGGAGACTTAGACTCGTAGTACTAGTAAGACTTAAGGCATTACTAGATCTCTCCGAAAAGACACACCTTACCTTACTTCCTCTGCGCGCAGCCATGCACAATTGCACAGAACATTGACTATACAACGCTCTACTTGCCTGGATGCCAATGATATCACTCGGTTTCCAGGAAAATGGCTGACCTCGGGCATAATCCTTCTCGGGAGGCTTTGACACTGATTAGGAAATACTACTAGACTCTAGCTAGGTAGGTACCTACGCGGGCCCCCCAAGACCCCGTGAGGTATCCGATCCATTCCAGAGAGTGGCAAACTTGGATACCATCTTCGATAGATCTGGGAAGCGTGTTTGAGCGACCGATGAACATATTCTGTGTGACGGCCTCTGCATCGTGTCCAAGTACCAGCAATTTTCCTTCATTCAGCGATACTACCGCTCCACATGGCAGAACGTCATATCACCTCAGGTTTTATGGTTGTGGTCCAATAAGTGCCATATCGTCAAAAACTACAATCTGGTTGAAAGATCACCGACTCCAAACTTACCGCAGTAATTGCAGTGGAAACAATAATCGATACAACTCACCCTCTTGCAACGGCTAGACCTAGTCAGTGTCTCTGCCAGTAGTGATAAACGACTACCTAAGTTAGTGGAATATGCGGTGTCGATTTTTCCACTGTCTACTGGTCTAAGTGTCTACTACTGTCTAGTGTCTACCGTCTAGTGTCTACCGTCTAGTGTCTAGTGTCTACTGTCTACTAGTTATTGTCAGTGTCTAGTAGTCTACTACAGTAGTGACTCGTGACTCGTGACTCGTGACTCGTGACTCGTGAGTAGTCTAGTGGGTAGACCCGCAATGCATCCGGAGAGTAAAGCTCACGTGATATTGAAAATTCGCGCCGCAGTTGATCGACGGAGTATGCTGCAATAGCATGGTCAAAGACCACATTACATACAAGGTCGATAGTTACAAGGGCACCTCCACTGGACGCCAGTGAATCACAAAGCCACCATGCCACCAGCTTCTATCCCCCGATTCCTCCTCCCCCGAGGCCTCCCCAGCGCCCAAGCTCTCCGCACCCTCCGCAAGCAGGCATCACAACAACAGCAACAGCAACAACAACGGCAGGCCTTGGCCTTGTCCTCCACCACACGCCGCTCCTTCTCTGAATCTCCCAGTCTCGCCGCCAGACCCAAGCGCGTCACCGACAAGTCTCGGATTCTATCTCAGCCGGACAAGTTTCGTCCCCCGTCACATCCACAGCGTCTGGTCACTCCCGTGCGCACCACGCCGGCCGGTCAACCGGTGAATTATGGCCGCGCATTGACGGCGGAGGAGCGCGAGGCGCAGAATAAGAAGCAGTACCCTAATATGTTCCCTCCCGAGGGGACAGTGATGTTCAAGTTCTTGACGTCGCGGTGGATTCACGTGTGGATTGCTATGGTGAGAATTTACCCCGTCCTACCCTGTGCTATTCCTTTCCCATCTCTCTCTCTCCCCCCCCTCCTCTCCCGCGAGTCCTCCTCGAGCCTGATCGGGCTGATTTTCGCGGTCTCGCCTCACGCACTTCCCTTTCCCTCACGAGATCTGTTCGATCGTCGTCACGACCCCAGACAACCCAACACCAGGAGGAATTCATCACTGACCGATCTCATTTTCTGTCCCAGGGCATCCTCACCTCCCTCGCCACATTCACATTCACCACCAACTTCAAAGCGACGTCCCCCTTCGCCCACCTCCTCCCCTCCTGGTCCGACCTCATCACCCACCCCATCGACACCGTCTCCCAAGCCATGCACGTCTACCGTATGCACGTGCAGCACGAGTCGATGCGTGTGCGTGAGCAGCGCCACCGCCGCGTCGAGGACGCCGAGAAACGTCGGCAATACCGCGTTGCGCACGGCTTGGAGGAGGCGCCGGAGGCGAAGAAGAAGGAGGGTGAGATGGGCGTGGAGAGTGGCGATGCGCAGTCGCCTGTTGCGGCGGATGTTGCGGAGATTGCTGCGGGCGGGGGAGTTGGTGCGGTGGCGGCGACGGCGGTGGAGGAGAAGGAATTCGTGGATTGGGAGGGGAAGAAGAAGCCTGTGAAGAAGTGGCTTGGGATTTGGTGAGGGGTGGAAATCCTTTAGCGTGTGCAATGCTGTTTGGTGATGAGGTTGGAATAGCTGCGTCAGAGGGGAACAGCGAGGGAAGGTCATGGATGCTCTAGACGGACGGCGGTGTTACTACTATAGAATGTATATTAGGTTATGAGAACGTGCTTGCGGAGCTAAGATTACTCTTTGCGCTCCACGAACTCGAAAAGGTGGGTTGTATTGAAACAGTGGTCATCAAAAGGGCTCCGATGCCCCGGAAGAGGTAAGATAGACAAGACACCCCCTTGGTAATACGGTCTGATAGTCAAAGATATGATGTCACGGAATCCCTTGCCTTTCCAATGGTCTGCCCCTTCAAAAAGAAGAGAAAGAGAGAGAGAGAGAGAGAGAGAGAGAGATGGAAAATCATGACACCTCCACTCCCTCTAGACCCTCCAAAACCTCCTCGCCAACTCCACCCTTCTTCAATACCGTCTTGACCATCTCCGAAATAACACTGCGCTTAGCGCCTCCTCGACGAGGACGCCACACACCCGGCACTTCCTCTTCGCCCGTCACCGGATTCAACACAGCAATATCATCTGTCGGCGCCACCGCACCCAACATATTGACATTCTCCGAGTTGGGCACACCCGGCTGGGTCAATCGAGATGGCGGATCGACGGTGCGAATAGAGAGTAGTCGGAGATGGCCGGCCTGCGTGTCGCGTGTGATTGAAATAGCCAGTACTGCGTCGGCGACGGCGATTTCTTCCCGATTGGGATCGAAAATGATATTCTCGCCGACGGAAATGACAAGGAGAGTGACGGGTGGACGAACAAAAGATGGTCGCGATGAGGAAGAGGAGATCTTTGCGCCTGTGGATGGAGATGATCGAGGGTAGAGATATTCGGCAACGGCCCAGTCGTCGTCGAAGAATGGATCCTCCTCGCCCTGTGACTTCAGTTTGGGAAGCTTTGTCGACAACAGCGCAAGATGGGTCGTGAGAGATAGCAACGGAAGGGGATATGCCAGAGGTTGCGAAAGGAGAAGAACCTGTTCAATCACAGTGATCAGCAACGACTCGTTACAGGCCAGCCAACCTCCCCCTCTTGGCTCAACGTAGACACGGTAGGAAACTCACATCGATATATAACCGCCAATGCCAGCGTTTGTTGATCACCAACCTCCCCTTCAATCCACCGGTCATATCACTGTTCTCATCCGTACCCACCGCACCAACCAGACTCTCCCGCATCATCTCAGACAAGAAAACCGGTAGCGCATCATCATCCCGGAACCCAGGAATCTCAATCGACATTTGCACCCATGACCCATGACCACCCACCGCAGCAGTCGTAGACCCTTCCTGGTCAGTCGGCTCGGGACCCGCGCCACGCTCACTCGCGAGTGTCTCATTGGACAGGATCGTCTTTTCCACTTCGGCCTTGACACCGACAATCGCTTGGGTTCCGTCGGCGAAACCGATGCGCGCACTGCCGTTCGTGCCGGGGAGAATGTTGGTTTCAGCGGTGAGTGGCCGGAACTGTGTGGGCGATCGACCATCGGGGCGAATGGGTGTTTTGGGGAGGGAGAGAGACGTGTAGAGGTAGGAAAGCTCGGCGGGGGAGAGGTGTGGCACTTGGGAAGCCGAAGAGGCTTGTCTTTGGTTGGACATGGTCGGGGAGAGTATGTGTTGGACAACTTCAACCCGATGAGATCGCCAAGTTTGATAGGGACCTTTTCAGGAAAGGAATGCAAGAGGGAAACGGGCAGCGCGAGATTGAGGTGCGGCCTTTGCGCTTGCGAGGATCTTTTTTTTCTCGGGGATTCGGAGCGGATGGACCACGACCAGATGAACCAAATGCCACGCAGGTGAGGCGATCGATAAGTTCACAATTGAGATCCGTCCTGTTCGAGGGGGCACAACAAAATTTTCAAATCGGGTTTCTAGCGGGGTCCGATTATGTCCACAAGGTGACTGCAACTTCGTTGTTCAACTTCCTTCGAAGGCTCCAGATAGAAAGCCGCTCGATTGGGAAATCTTGATAGCTACGGATCATCGTTGCTCCGGCGGTTAGCCGCACCCAAGCATGACTGGACACTAGACACCGGAGAGAGCAGGGGCAGGACCAGGCAACTTGAGGCTGTAAATGTAGGGTACTTGATCGACAAACCTGATTTTTTATTACGATGCGAGAGATGGATACGAATGACAGCCAACTCCGTGAGGAGCCATGGTTTTATCACATCGGCAGTAAAATGATAGGTAAGATTCTGGGAAAAAAAAATATTCCTGACCGTTGACGGTCTGGGTGATCGATGTCTATGGCCAATGCTTATAGACGCACGCCCTCTTTGTCTCCTGAGAGTGTCTGGACTCTGGGCTTCATGCCTATCGATGGCTTAACTCGAACTTGGGCACAAGATTAGCCGCTTCTACCGACCGTCACTCAGAGACACTCATTTCGTCCCCCGGCTCGAATCTGTTCAGTTGGAGTCTTTAGTGTGCTCAAGTGAGGCAAGTAAATTGAGAAATACAAAACTAAGTACGTGGGAGCTTTGGAGAGTGCTGAGAATCAGTATGTGCATTATCTTCAAAAGTTTGTATAGTAGATATATTACAGACAAAGTGATCAGACCGGGATACCAGCCAGTCTGATGCAAGTGTCAAGATGGATTCCACAGTTGGAATCATATAAGTGAGTGAAAGAAATTTCCAATCCAGATCAAATGACGAGGAATGAAACTGAGATGTAGAGAGAGCGTGTGAATGTGCAGTGAGCTGTTGGTGGGGGTGGATCAACGAGAGCAAGGTGGAACGCAACAGCAGCGAGAGTATGGAATGGATGTACAAGAAAGCGAGTGTGCAGGAGATTCAAGAGAGAAAGAGGAGGAGATATAGACACAAGGAAATGTAAGATAGATGTGCAGTCGGCGATGGACCGATGGGAAGGGCAAACCATGTGCAAATGCGGAAAGCAATCAAGGGTAGAGTGAGGTATGGGGAAGGTTGATGGTATCAAATACGACTAGCGCATGGTGGTATCAAGTTGAGGTAAGAGAAAGACAGCCCGAAGTAGATGGAGTATGTGCAACGCCGAATGAGGACCACGAAATGACAAAACTCCACCGATTCATGGAGTGATCGAGGCACAAGAAGGGGCAGAAACAGAACCAAGATATTGTGCGAGAGCAAGTCCATCTAGAATGAAATCGAGGGTGCAAAAACACATGTGGGGTATGAAGTAAAAGAGGAACTGAAAGAAAGATCGAGACCAAAGATGAAAGAGGCGCACCACAGTGCCCTATGCTCGCCAATACGATAAAATCGAATCCAGGAAAAAAAAGGTCAACTGCGAGAGAAGATGAAATAGGGACAACCCAAAAAAAAAAAATAGAGAAGCCGCCCGGAAATGAAATCAAGGACCAAGACGTCGGAGGACAATAAGTATCCTTTACGCCCTTTGGGGCGTAATTTCTCGTCTCAACTTTTGTGATGCCTCTGCACCCAAGCCGAGTGAAGAAGATGACCATGGAGGATCGAATAGGAGAGATGAGTGATCTGCGAAGGAGGAGGGAGAGCCAAAGGCAAGGGGCACCTTTCAAGATCAAGCCTCCGGTTTCTTAGATATAGTTGGCGCCTGAAGGGAAGTGTAAAGTGGTCGCCTTCTTGTTCCACTCGGCCTCTTCGTAAGGGGGGGTCGGCCATTGTCGGTTTGAGTTGCCATGATCTGGCTTGACCATGCTCTGCCTCATGGGAGTCTCAAAGTATCCCTCAGCCCCCGCAGTAGGAGACGGCGTGGGGTAAGGACTAGGAAGAGCATTGGTGTTGTCAAGCAAACGATGCGTCATGTCCGGGTGAGAGTGCAAGGACTGCGGTTGAGCAAGTCGTCTCGCGGCCGTGTTCGCGGACTGCAAAACTTCATCCAGCAGCTCATCCTCTTCCTCGGGGGTCTCATATCGATGAACGGGATGGCTAGTCATTTGAAGTGCTCGCCGCGTGCGACTTGAGATGGGACCGGGATTGCTCGTTGGCATAGATTGACGTTTGACGGTGTGGTCAGAGGTGTTGCCCAGATTGACGGGGACGTTGCCAAGGCTGGAACTATCCAGGGAGTACTTGACACTCTGCAGAGCCTTGTCTAATTCACTCAAATCCGACTGAGGCTTAGACTCATTGAGACTGGCTCCGTCAAGCGCCATAGATGAGCGATTGGACCAGGGCATGCAACCCGCGTTGGCTTCGACGTCCTCGGGTGTCGAGTTGGCTTGATTACGGCCAGAAAGGCGACGGGCACGCTTGCGCAGGTGCGAAAAGAAGCTCTCCTTGGTGGTCGGCGTAATGCTGCCAGAGCCGTTCAGGATACGCTCGGCTTCTTGGCGATGCGCATCGGTATAGTGGTTGCCATTGGAATTGAGAGAGAGCTGGCGGCCAATCTTCTTGACTTTGGACGGGTCTCCTTCGGAGGGTTGGGAGGTCTCACCATGGGCCACGGTCGCATTGGCTTGTGCCGTCACCGAATTGGAAAGAGGCGAGACGGGGCGAATTGAGGGGAGAATGGGCATGGGAGCACCACTGGCCCACGTGGCTCGCTTAGCGTTAGCCGGTCGCGACTTGGCGAGTTGAAGCTCAGGCACAGTGTTGTGAGACACCACTGGGGGTCTCACGGGGCTTTCATCCTCCAACGTAGGGGCAGGGCTCTCAGAGCGACCGATCAACGAGCGACGGAACCAGGACGGCTTGGAGGAGAGGGTGGGGGGAATCGCTGGGGGTGAGAATGGGAGACTTGAAGCTCTTGTCGGAGGGCTTGCGGCCCAGCAAGCGCGATGAAGTAGAGGACTTGGGACGCAATGGGTCGACGGCATCGGCAAAGTATTCGTGGCTGAGGGCCTGGCTTGATGTCGGGCGATTTTTAGGGTCCCACATCAGGCACCAGGTGACGAAGTCGGCGAGCGCCGCGGGCCACTGGGGCTGTTGCAGCACGGTGTCCATGGCATGCGGTGCCATCTTGGGGAAGGTGAAGCCCAGCTTGTGGGCCAGTCGTGAGCCCTCCCGCCATTCTCCCCCGCCAATCTTAGCTCCCGACTTGCTGTACCAGTTGCCGGGACTGCCCATGATTTCACACACTCGCCAAACCTGATCGACCTCATTGCCGCCCGGGAAAAGGGGCTTCAGTGTCGCGATTTCGACCGCCATGGCACCGACCGCCCACATGTCCACGGGAGCGGAGTAAATGCCCGCCCGCAGAAGGACCTCGGGCGCCCGGTACCATCGTGTTGACACATAGGTCGTATAAGACTGATTGGAATGAGTCTCGCGTGCCAGACCAAAGTCGGCAATCTTGACAATATAGGTGGGCGGGGAAGAGGGCGGCGTGACGAGATTTGAGTAGCGACTGAAGGTCGAGTCACCCGGCGTAGAGGTAGAGACGAGAATGTTTTCGGGCTTGATGTCGCGGTGGAAGAAGTGGTGGGCGTGGATATGATCTAGACCTGCCAAGATTTGGTACAGGATACTTTTCACATGCTTGCCGTCGAAGTACTTGTGGTCGCGGGACTTCATCAGTTGGTAGAGGTTTCCATCCATATATTCCATGCAAATGTGCAGCTTGTGGCTCAGGGGGTCGAGAAAGATGTCGAGGGCGGGGACGAGATGAGGGTGAACGGGCAAGGTGCGCAAGAAGATGACTTCCCGCAATTCCAAGCATGGACCGAGTGAGTCAAAGGTCTTCTTCATTGTCTTGATGGCAACCTAGAAAGATGGCCCCCCGGATGAGAGGGGGAGAGGTTAGCTACTGATTGCTCTGCTTTCCGGTTGGGCACATTCGTCGTCCCGCGGTGGTGTCCTCCCACTTCAAGGACAGGAGTCAATTGTTGGCTGCATACCATTGTGCCTCTTCGGGCGATGTGAGCGCCCGCCGTGCGGACGCGAGCCAATGCCACGCTGCCAAAGCTCCCATCGCCGACTTCCTTCATGACTTGGAAGCGTTCCTCCAAGCTGGCCATGGATGCGTGAGTTCCCCGAGCGGGGGATTCGTATGTGACAGTCATAGTAGTCGGGGTCTCTTATAATCTGCCAGCAGATGGGGAGAAGACTTCATAATGTGTCTCCGTTAGCATGGTGGCCAGTTATCGTCATAATAAACAAACAGCAGCGATCCCGAAGCCGGTTCTCCGTCTTGACGCGGCCACGAGAGAGGCGCGGGGGGCTGTCTGTCCGGTCCGATCCAGTTGGGTTTCTTGGGTGGGTGTAGAGAAAGTGTGTGTGTGTGTGAGAGAGAGAAAGACAGAGAGAGGGCCATCGTACATTACGGGAGAGAGGGGAGGGTTTTCTGAGGCGGGTAAACCCACGATACTTCCGGGAAGCAATCACTTGGGGCCGATGCGCATCGAGGTCTGCAGGTGAGGCGAGTAAGGAGGCAGTCAAATTCCCATGGGCTAAATGGCGCGCGGGATATATCAGAGACGAGGAGGACGGAGTCGGATGATGATATGTAAGGAGTGACGGAGTAGTTGGTCGGTGAGGGAATAGGAGGAGCAAGTGGTAGTAGGAGCGGAAGTAGTAGTCACGATAGTCAGAGGATATTGGTTTATAGAGAGAGTGAGAGGAGGGGGAAAGATCAATAGAAATGAGCAAATGGAAAGAGAAAGCGAGGGAATAGTAAGAGAGGAGAGAGGAGGAGGGGGGGGGGAGGGTTCCGAAGTCTAGAAAGGAAGAATCGGTCATCGAGAAGAGACCCGTTATACCAGTGGACTCACTGGACTGGGTGGACGAGTTGGACAGGGCGCGATGGGGGAAAATGCGAAAATGCGAAAATGCGAAAATGCGAAAATGGTGCCGGCCTGAATAGGAGAGAGTCCGTAGACCCGTTCGACCCGTTTGGGGGAAGAAGCGAGAGGGTCGGAGTCGACTAGCAGGACGATAGACGACGGACCGTGACGACGGGACCTGCGAGACGAGAAGGAGGAGGGGCGGAAAGATGGGTTCCAGATCCAGATGAGTTTACGTTTGGGAATCCACCACTCCCCAGGAGACATTATCTATGCCATGTCTATTGTCGAATGTACAGACGTATGAACCGTCTAAGAGGAAGAGTGTTGGCGGGTTGATTCAGACAGTATGTAAATCTATAATGGGTTATAGAATGTTCGAATGATACAAGTCGCAATAATCAAGGTCGGTACAGTACAATACACCCATGAAAGATTGCATGTGCCGATGCTCGTTGCAGTACTCGCTAGTGTTACTCGCTAGAATGGGAAATGGGTGACCTGAGACTCCGGACTGCCCTCAGTCCTCAGTCTCCGTTCGGAAGCTTCGAACGATCGGACCACAAAGTTTGAAAGAGCAGGAGAGAGAGAGGGAGAGAGAGAGAGAGAGAGAGCCCAAACGGAGGGCAGACCCCAGGGCCCAGTCGAGGCCCCAGTGGAGGCCCCAGTCGAGCCCCTGACGGAGTGACAGCTTTGCCTCTTGGTCGTCTCCGGGTTTCCGTTGGGTCGTTCTCGGGAGCTTCCAGAGCTCAGGACTTTGGAACTGGTAAACTTTACCCAGGAACACGAACCACAAACAGCAGCTCTCTCTCTCTCTCTCTTTCTCTCTCTCTCTCTCTCTGCGTTTTCCTGCCTTCAACGAATGCGCGGAAATGGTCAATGAATTCCCCCCGTTCGTCACCACCGCAGATCAGTCCACTGGTCAGGAGGAAAAGGGCACAAGGTCAAGACATCATCATGATCATTGAGTATTCGTTAGTAGTAGTCCTACTGTCCTCCTAGTCTACTACTACTACACCAGTAGTCCAGTACTACTAGTTACAACTTACCACCACCACTACTACTTCTACCACTTCTACCTCTACCACTGCTACTTCTACTACTCCTGTACTGATGTACTCGCGTACTGTCTGAGGCGTGATGTACTCGTCCCACTAGACTCGCAATCTAAGGAGATGGCAAATTGGGTTCATTACAATCGTTGCTTTTTTTCGTATTCTTTTTTTCTGCTGATCTCGATTCCTAGTAGGGATCTCACACCATCCTCTACTTCGCATTTTGACTATTTTCAACACCCCAAAGCAGACTCCTGTGTAATACTGTCATGTCCAGTGTAATTTCCGCAGCATAATCACATATGTAATTATACCGTATAACATCGGTGACCGAGAACCTCCAGGACTGGATGGCGATGCAGTGGAAGATGTAGCGTCAGGAGAAGTGGGTTGATTGTTCACAAAAAATCTGTATAGACACCTTGGCACCACCGAGTGCGATAGACCGAGATTCATTAACCACCAGTGACCTCTGCGGCGAGGGAGGGAGACGGGACTCGTCACGAATGTCACTGCACTGCTGCAATAATCGACGCTATATTGTCTGATTTGAATGGAAATGCAGGGTTTTCGCAGAAAATTATAGTGATTCACTGGATGCACCGCGGGAATCGCAGGGTTTTCCGAATGCATTCTACTCGAAGTGTGAGTGTGTGCCCGCCACTTGTCATCATGAGCAAATCTTAATAACTCATGGTCGTGAAACAGTTCCATTTTCTATATTTATGGGGGAAGAAGAGCAACACCTCTCAGGAGTCACTAGTGAGAAGTCTCCTGCCATTTTGTGCGCAATGCCTATCGCTTTAAAAAGAAAAGGGGGAAATGGAAAGTAGCAGACAACCGGAGAGGATGCCTGCAACTCGACCACTGCATCATCGAGATTCGAAGTAGAGTGAGTCAACAATACAATACGTCTGATGACACAGGGGTGACAATACTGTTACATTGTCCACGAAACCGTATGATGGCCGAAGGATGCATCAGGAGAACCATCCAATGAACAGAGTCCAAAGACATCAAAGCGGAGTCATGTAGGTTCCTGATACCGTCTCAGTACGTCATCATTACAGGAACGACGGGAACAGGAGTCCGATCAACGAGGTCTTCACAGTTCGCATATGGGCATGATTGTACTGTACGAGCGTTCGGTCGCGGATCGACATCGTTGTATGGCATGAACATCTTGATTTCATCGATATTACAGAGATACAAAACGCAGAGGCACAGATCCATCGAGCCATCAGCTACTCGCGTACGAATCCAACTCATCAACACTCGGCCCAACCGCACTGGATCTCCATGGCCTCTCGGTGTCCAGTCCACGCCCCCACGGCATCGATGCTTCCAACAGTCGCGGTGCTTCGGTGCGTAAGATCAGTGGCGACTGGACCAATCCTTCCCTACACTGAGTTAAATAGATCACAACGCTAACTCCTCAGAATATCGTGCAGTGGATACAGCAACACCAACCCGATGCTCCGATGGCGCATTTCCTTCTTTTTAGGTATTCGACATCCAATCATAGTCAAGGCTGGTGAGAAAGCCGAGGAAAAGCCAGTCTTGTACCTTGTCAATAATAATATCGACCCTCACCCGGGATTCCCTCGTGATACAAGACGGGACCACGGAGGGGGTACTGTAAGGGTAAGTTCAACTTTGTTTTAAGTTTTGTTATGCCAGATGTGGTTGACAACAAACATCAAACCCCAACGCTCTACCACTCACTGAACGGCTAGATTCCATCAAGGTCAGTCGTCGAAGCTCACATGCTACAAGTGTGGTCGTCTCCATCTCGCAGCCTCAATTAGACATGCATATATATCTACATTTTACAGTACTACAGAAGTCCATGGTGCATGCCACCAATACAGACATTAGCAGCATGAATATGCAATCTACGGGGCTCTCTGCCCCCTTCCCACCCCCGGACTCTCTTTGGTCGCTTCTCTATATTGAACACGGTCAAGTGACCATCAGTCCTGTCCACCACACCTAGAGAGGGAGGAGCTTCAAGGAGCCATCAGTGGTTCGGTCCCCGCGAAGGGCGGTATTTCACCACATCACCTGCCTTTAGGCCCGGCAGGTCTGCACGCTTGAGCGCCTGATTCTCAGGAGAGGGCGGACAGATTGGGCATTCATCGTTTAGGCTTGTTGGTCGCCCAGCTGTCAAGAAACCTTCCCTCTGAGTCGCGGCCTTGAAATTGAGCGGGTTCATCATTGGCTCAAGCTCCCCACAGAAGAGGGCTTGTCTCTTTTTCCCGGGATGCCTAGAAACCTTGTCGGATGTCGACGGTACGGAAAGGATAAACCCTTTCATGCACACACGTAGAGGGGCAAGGCGATGCATAGATAGCCTGATCAGATGTCTTGTCCTTTGCAGCTCGCGCGGCGAAAGAATGTCGCGATGAGGATGAGAGGGGGGTGCGGTCGGCCAGTGGATCTTTGCGCTGGAATCGCCTTGTCTCGCCTATGCCAGCCTGCCAGGTGCTTTGTTGACCTTGATGCCGATGCTCACAGTCTTAACAATAATGTACGGTGTGTCTGTGGGACGTGGTCGCAAAGAGCATACCACTCAGCCACTGCATGTACACAATGAGAGATCTTGTTTAAGGCATGCTCCGGGGATCAGGAAGAGTCATGACGTGGAGGAGAGAAACACATCACAATTCAGACCTTTGTACTGTCTGTAGGCCACCACTTCAGGCAGAATGGTTGGGTTCACTACTATACTGCTCTACTGGTAGTAGTAATATGAAATCTATCTACACCCTACTCCTAGTCTACCAAACTAAAGTAACCCGCCCATTAATTTGTAGGAAATGACAGGCTGTCAGCCCCTGGTCGTGACATTTGAGTTCGTTCCATCTCGAGAAGGTGTGTTCCGTCTTCCGACACCTCATGTTTCGCAAAGGGGGCCTCGACCACAGGGCCCCAAACCGCATAAGCCGCACAGGCCGGGGTCAGACGTACTGTATATCTACTGTACATGAGCATCACTGCATGCCCATGGGGATGTACCCAGCGCCTTGGTAAGGCCCTCACCCTCGCTATAATGCCAGGTATTGTGTACTTCTGCAATGAATGCAGGGAAGATCCCGTGTACTGGTGGTGCACGACTACGACTTCCCGGCTGCCAGCCCGAGCACTGGGTGACAGGTATTATGTCATGGACTCATGTGTGAGCTACCTAGAAGTCATCACTGCGACCTAAGAACGTCTAGATCAGAGAACAAGAAGTGGTCGCTCACATCCACCTCACGTCCTCCAACTACCAGCGGTCTGTATGGTCACCATCATCGTCGTCATCCTCATCGTCATCACGCCCATCTACTGTAATCAATATCATCACTTTGAGGGGCTGGTCAAAGCCATTAGATTAGATCAACAGTAATGTCCACGCCACCTTCTATCGTCTAACCAGCCCCCCTTCCTCCCTTCCCCCCAACAGGCGTGAGTGTTGACAACTTGACACTCGTTGACCGGGCATCCATCATCTGTTGCCACCGGATCTTCGTTTGTTTGGACCCGCGGTCTCCTTTCTTTTGGGAGCCCCGGAGATTATACCCGTTAACCATAGCACGACTCGTAGCTCGCTCTGAGACGGGGCTTCGCTCTGTTGACTGTTCCCGATGGTCTGGTCTTGAAAGGCAAAGTCGTGGACTTTTTTTTTCTTCTCCTTTTTCGGCATTTGGATTTTTCTGTGAAGCTAGGCCAGACTGATCTCCGTCCAGAGTTGTGAACTGGACTCCGGCTCCTTTCCCGCGGCTGATGTATATTGAGTACCCGGTACAGTACTAAAGTACTTCTTTCTAGGCTTCTACGATCTAGTCATTTCAAATACATATTATGATATTACTATTATTCCACGTTTGCTCCTCCTTAAACAACGGACAAGTTGAATACCATATGGAAGTCTGCGCCCGTCAGCCGCGCGATCCCAAGTCCCCAGATCTTGCCCACCACGACAACATGCTACATCTAAGCATTCGTCATAGGCGACTCGCCAGCCGTCCGGCAGAACAAAGTCAGTCATAGTCGGATTTCTAGCCGTGCGACATGTACATGATTAGGTTCGGGTGGACGGACGCGTTCGCATTGACCTGGAGAGACGGTAAGCTTAAGCCAGGCAGTACCATGGATCCGGGCGATGTCCCTGCGCCTACGTCCCGTCTTTCATTCATGGGCTGTGCCGGGCCCCAGTTATCTTCCGTAGTTTAATAGAGGGTCATGGTGATTTGTTTCCCAGCCTCCCCGGTGATAATCCCGTTGACCAAATTTGGATATATGACTCTATTGCATTGCTTGCGAGTACTGTAGAGTGTAGACTGTAGACCATATCTCATTTGCCGCCTGGAAGGATAAGTTGCCATTCTTGATAACATCTTGACCACGCTGCTCTAATACGTATATTACTGGTGGTGTGGTCCTACTGGGATCATCAATGCACGTCTATTGGAATTCATGTGGATTTCTATATCTCATCGTACGGGCATACTTTTCATTACGACATTGGAACCCTTTGCGTCTCAACAAGTCAGTAATATAAGCATCAAGTTGCGCCGAATTGGGATGCCGAGCTGAACTTCCCGATCTGCGGCTCGCTGGGTGGGATCTACCTTGCTGCTGCACCGGGGCACAGCAGTCATGCACATGACCTGACAATGTGCTCCATCTTGATTCCACAACAACGTCGATCAATACCCTCACGTGTCTCGTAATGGACGTGAGCCGCACAATCAGGCCCATCAATACTGACTTGTATGAGTACCTGGCAGGTACTACCTGCCAACCTGGTGCCACTGGTGCGGAACTGTAGATGACGAGGTGTCACCCCGTTATGGCAGAAGTTACATACCGGTTCCGCCGTCCAGCCCAGGCCTGATGAAATCCCATTCATATAGTACGGACTACGTGGTCTGAGACCTCGAACTGACGGGGATTTACCACCTCGTTGATTGATCAAGACTTGATGATGCAACTGCTTCAAATGGAACTGATAGACGGTGGTTAGTAGGTGTTGGATTTGCGTCAACTTCAACATTCATACCGGACAAAGGTACCCTAAGTCCGGTCAGCAGGGGTCCACATTTCCATATATCCACAGCTCCACACATGATAGAATATAGTGTATGAACTACGAACGCATAGCTGGGTAGATACTTCATAATTTCTCTTCTCTATGTACATTCTGATCCTGGAGATTGGAACACGCCTTTGAAACCTTGGATTTGTGAGTGCCTCCCGATGCGTCAGTCTCGCCGATCAAATACCGATTGTGGACATTGGACTACTGTATTTGAGAAGCACCTGCTCCACTTGGGTCAGGAACTCTGTTGATATTATTGCTGGAGGAGTTTGGTACACTTCCAGAGTGATGGATGGTCGATCATTATCCTGGACCCATCTTCCAGCGCTGATCAGGTCACATGGCATCATTTGCATGCATCATTGAACACTTACCTAAGTGTTGGAAAACGGGATTCTGGAGTGATATGTCTTGCGCTTTTTGGTCCATGACTCAAGGCGTGCCTATCAGTGTCAAGTTTGAGCTTTGACATGCTACAATAGGATATCGTTGTGATTGTGGTGCAGGGGAATTACGATCAACAATGCGATCTCCTAAATCCATTGGCCATAGGGGAATACATAATGAGCTGCAAAAGGTCGCTCTCGACCTGAGATATGGATCACAACGCGTTTTCGGCCACCCTGAGTTCCAGCTCTTAGAGAATCGATGGATCAGGATCAGAGTCAGAGTCATAGCGATGCAATTAGATACGTCACTACAAGAGAGAGAGGGGGAGAAAGTAGAAGGTCGAGAATCACTTTCTCTTCTAAGTGCTACATGTCAGACGAGAACTGATTGGATCAACGCGACGGGCGGCTGAAGAACAAATCTCATGTGTCATTGCAGTCGGGCCCCGACGAACCCTGGGGCGACCGTTTGTACTAAGCCCTGGCCCGCAGAGATCTGTTCGGGCCGGGCATCGTGCATGAGAGAGGTCAATTGACGGAGTACATGTTAAGATTGGTGACTGTTCAAGCTGCTCCAGCTCTGAATGTATGAATCAGAGTCTGAGGCCAGGCATAAGGCGCACATTTGTCCGACAGCACTTGACAAAGGTTGTTTAGGGGCCAGCGCCGAGTAAAATTGTTTACCGGTTCCCCTCGGCGGGGAAAACGGATATGAAGATAGTCGGGGTTTGGTCCAATCGTGTCCCGATCGAGTCTCCTGGATACATCGGGGCAGGATTCTCTGAATATGCACAGTCAAATTGTGATATTGGAGGTCACTGCAGGTAGTTACAGGCTCTCTGACGACCACGGAGTAATCATGTCTCTGACTGTGTCAGTCTCGGTACCTGGAAAGGTATGTACTTCCATTTCCAAGGACTACTGTATTGTACCTATGTTTTCCGTAACTAACCGTAGGACTAGGCTTATATATCGGCGGGCTGACAAGGCCCGTACCGACGGGCCCCAGCATGGATAGAGACTAACCATGGAATTACTCTTCAAGCACCGTGGTTCAAGCGCGGCATTACTCGCTTTCAATCTGGTGAGAATCAGATTTAGCTCGACATGTTATGATTTAGTAGCCTGTATGCCATGGTATTGATATGCCATGCCCATCGTGAGAAGACCGAGCACAGTATATAATGATACTGCTGCTGCACGTCTGCGTCTGCTGCAAGGCTCGAAGAGACTGCTTCTAGTGCGCAGGAGGACTGTACCAATTACTACATCAGAACGGTCATGGAAATGCACCGTCGCATACTACTGTAATGAGGTTCTCAGTGCACTGTGTGTACCTTGTACTTATATTTATACATGTACTGTTGACGTTATAGTACAAATGATGAGTCGTGAGTCGTGAGTCGTGAGTCGTAACTGGTAAATACTTGACTTTACCACCGTGGCACAGTGTCGACACTCGACAGTCGAATCTGTCGATCAACGAAAGCTCGGACACAAACGACCTGGCATACTACATAACAGTCTTACACCAGACCAATTCAATTTCAGTATTTGCTGAATATAGCCACCGTTCTCACTTTTGAGATCCTCTTTCCTTAAGCCATCTTCCAGTCCTTTCATTACGCGTTTCCATCCCAAATTGACTTCCCAGTTAGACTCACCGCGCTTCTCGCGTGTTCTGGCAATCTTCAGGGCCACCGCAAGTTTTCGTGCCCCCGAGTCGGTGTCCTCACCGCGTCTCCCCCACTGTCCCCAGAGGGACCCTTTTGACCTCCCTGGACCAAAAGCTCCGACACGCCCTTTGCTCTGGGCCATCGCGAGAATGGCCATATGGGGCCGAGACATTACGGGTCGCCCTGACCATGCTCGCGACTGGCTCGCAAGATGCACATCACCCCGTCCTTCAGGATCTGTGATCCATAACGGAGACCCAAACTGTGCGACTGTCAACTACAGCCATTAAGTGTGTTTTTTTTTGAGTGCAGGAGTCGACTGGAAATGGAAACGACATAGTGTGATGGGTCTGATTTCCGGTAAACCCAGTGATTGGGATAGATGGGGTCGAACAAGGTGAAAATGGACCAGTGGTCTGTTTTCTGGATCAGCGAGTGGAGAGGGCGTCGGTAATATCTTGGAAGCATCGCGGTTGCTAACCCGCTTCGTGGTCGCTCATTGCTGGAAGGACTCGACTCGGTGGGCCTGGCGTCAAGCCATGTCCTCGGGGAACGACGGATGCTTTAATGATCGTGGGTCGTGCCCAGGTCTGCCGCTTTGGCGGTGCAGGAGAGTTTGATCATGATCCTTTGACAGAGACATGACTGCCCCAGTGCACCATGACCGACAGTTGACTGACTCGCATAGACAGAATCGTCGAGCGTCTGTTGTACTCGTGACTCCCGAAAGGAGCCCTCCGACGAGCGAGCAAGCATACCTTGCAAGCAATGTCTCTGGAATCGACCAAGATAGACCATCGAGCTTCGAAGGGTTGATTGTGCGCGGTCAACCATACTCCCCCGGCTTTCCAGGCCACTCTCAGGGCCTATGAGTAATCAATCATGCACCCTTCATCACGAGGATGATGCGTCTCCTTCGTCCGAGCTTCGAGAAGGTCGAAAGTGGTCTGTTTCCCTTTGCCCCATACCGAATCAACCCATCACTTCATTGCCAACCTGAGGCGTAGTTTCACAGCAGTGCCTAGATCTGGCATGACTCCGAGCCCCGAAATGATGTCTGTGTCGCAGGCTCGCCTGAGCACAGAGACGATGTTTCCAAACTCGCGCGAAGTGGGCGTGTAGCCGTGTACGGTCCCTTCCAGGAGCTACGCCAATCACTGCCGGATGCCTCACCTTCTCCCACCAAGTCTACATGACGATCCGTCCCTGGAACAACATTTGCCGCTCACACATCACTATCAAGTGTGGCAACGGAGTTTCAACTCAGTGGTGCTGCGCCTCAAAGACCCATGAAGTAGTGATAGCCCTGAGTCGCACGCTTCTTCTGTGTCTGCCCAAGACTTGGCTCCGCTGGCTTCAATTTATGTTATGGAACTGGTGACTGCGCCTGGACATCTTCTTGTAAATAATCAAATGATTAGGTGCTTTGTAAAAGGCAGACGGTTCTGAGCATCGATTCTGTTTGATCATTGATCAAGACGACCCGGGAATCCGGCAATATCCAGGAAACAGGCGAGGTAATGCTGATGACCGCCGATGAAGCAATGCAATATACCTTACATCGGCCTCATTTGGGCATGCATGCTAACGAAGATCCTCCAGAAGCTGTCAAATTGACCCACAGCAGATGCCGAATGTCAATCTACAGAATGACATAACAGAATGGCGGACATCGTCACTCTGCTATTTCTTTTCCACCCCACTCACACCCCTTTTCACCACTCTTCCTTTTCCCCCTTTGCGCTTCCGTGCAATGCCCGCCATCCATGTGTTTGATTACACATTGCCGGATAGAGCAATTGGATGCTTGTGCTACCATCTGGGACAACGGGAGCATCAGCGCAACACCGCACGTATCAGGAACAGAACCAAAACCCCTGTGGGAAAATCCTCCGAGGAGATCTTTCCCACTTCTCCCGCTCATCCACCCGATCGGAAAGTTGTACCACTACCTGCCAGTATTTTCTTATTCCGTATTCCGTGCTCCTAATCTGGCAGCTACTATGAAACAGTAATCATGTCCATTGTAGTCTGTAGTTTGTACTTTGTACAACACTGAATACAATAGCCAGCTGCAATAGCAGTGTCTTTGAGGCAAGCATCAACTGCACGACTCAACCCACTTTCCCCCCTAATTAATTAACTTGCACTAGCGCCCGCTTAGCCAACACGAGACAGCCTCCCAACCCAGATATTGACCTACCGTTTCTGTAACTCACCTCCGACTTTCCCTCAAGTCGTTCGAAAAGGAGATTAGCACCGGTAGGACTAGGAGGGAGGACTAAAGAACTAAAAATCCTGGAATTACTCTCGGGTATGGTCCTATCCGCACCCAGCGATCCACTATCACTCCGGATTTGACTTAAGTGAGGTCGTTTCATTTGACGCTTTGACTGTTCTGGAAGGTTGTGAACATCAGTATGGCCCTTCTATGGAGACGCCGTGCTGATGTGCGCGGCCTTCTCCCTTTGTCTACTTTAGTGCCCCTCCTATTCACCCCCCGATTCCCCTTGTTCATCGTGCCTATTGTCCGGGATGTCAGGTATATGGCATATTGCTGCCTGTGTCTTGTATGTCACGGAGAACGTGAATTCCCTAAATATAACTCATGAAGATATTATCAGGGAGCACCACATTAGCCGACCAGACCTGATGCGGGACAGTCCTACCCCCTAAGAGGTTTCTAAAACGAAACGGGGAACATGGTCAATCTGTGCGACTCGTGAAGAATCCACTTCTGGTGCTACCTAGCTTCTAAGTCGTTAATTTTATCCTGTCAGCAAGCCTCAAAGTCAGAAATCCAGGAGTTAGCGCTTCTAGTGAAGTTTCTAGAAGGTCTTGACCGGTGTTAATGGAGCCAATCAGGGGTAAACAGAGATGCGTGCTTTACTGCATGCTGATGATGCAGATTGAAGGCTTGATGAGCAATCAAGGCTCCGAGTAGCGGGTAGCCTGATGAGATCCAGGTCCTTAGAGGCATTTCTGTGGTAATGTAGGGTGGCACCTACCTGGTTCAAGTGACCTTAACCTGAACCGTTCTGTAGCAGGTGGGTGAAGAGATGTGAGTCCTCTAGTCATAAAGTACCTCTATGTGACTCAACGCCCTATTTGGTATCAAGACCACTCGTCGAGGATTGGAATTGCAAAGATGAGGATCACCGGCAGAGAATAGGTGGGTACAAGATTCTTGTCAGACTTTGTCTTGATCTAGATATTTGGTTCGATTTTGCATGCCAGTGTGCTGTGCAGGAAATCTGATGACAAACGTGATCTTTGAACCGCCCTGAAATTGTTGATTGTGGGTGACTGATCTTGAATAGGCTATTTTGTCTGAGTGTATATGCTGCTACCGGCACTACTATGTTGAGTGTTTGGTATTGTGATCGCCTAGGGCCCAACGCCGTTCACATTTCCAACATCGACTGTCCCGGACTTCGTATGAGGCAGGCAGTTGCAAGCTACCATGGTTGTCTTCTCCCCTGACTCAGTGGAAACTGAAAGAATGGGGCTATTGTCTCTAAAGGAAACTATTGATATATAACACAAAGGGAATCGCTGGAGGAAAGGGACACTTTCTGATATCGCTCCACTCTTCGTGGAGTCTGCAGCTATATCATGTTGCTCTTTGTTGCTCCGACAGGCATCTCCCGCGCGCTTTATGCTTCCAGCGTCTGAATCCCCAAGCCAGACTTATCCCTCTTCCAGTCAAGGTCTCGCTCCTTGTAAGACAGAGAGCAGTCTTGATATCCAGACATGAATTTGCAAACAACTTACCATGATCCCATGAGCGGAGGAGGGCTCGGCGTTTTTCAATTGCCTTGCGTACCTCTCTTATGCTGCAGCTGGTACTTACACTTGAAACCAGTAATAGAAGCACGGTCATATTGGGCCTTTGCGAGGTTCCATCAATGTCCAGTTGAGATCAGCACATTCGTCAACCCGATGGTTACTCTGCTCCGAAGGAACAAAATTGGAAACGACAAGTCGTCTCAATATTTCAAGCCGACTGCTACGATCGTCGAAATCTAATAGTACATACATGACTATCAAATCAGTTGGTTGCCAGGCCGATTGGCGCATATGTTCTTGTTTATGCTCTTTGACTGCGTCCAATCCGCAGAGAGTTCCGGAATATCAACATACATCACGTCGAGTCTGTTGAATACTGGACTTGTGTCTGATGTGACCACCTTTTATCTGCATTAGGTCCGACTTTTTTTCTGTCTTTTCATCGTGCTACTCAGTCTTCCAACCTTCACAATCCTCGTTCCTTGAATAAGCACGCTTCGTGATCAAGACAGCATTTCCCAAGAAATTTCTCGAGATGTGCAAAAAACGACGCTATTGCAAACCCACATGGGCGCTCCGCGATGGATGGAAGAGACGAAGTGAGGATGAGTGAGTCTCTTCTTCTGTCATCATCGGAGATGAATTTGCAGTATCCAAAATGTTGACTTTCCACGACCAGAATGCAAACCATCAAGCTACCTGACACGTGAGTCCCCCGATCTAGCTCGTTGCGGCGGCGGATATTCGGATTATCTTTCTTTGATACTGAGGGACATTCCACTTGACATAGTATCACCTGCGCTCTCTGTGAACGGCAACTGCCCCTCGAACGATTCACTCCCTCGGCCTTGAAGCGTCTGCGCACGATGATTGTGCAAAAGGGTGTTGGCGCTTTGAAGGATCAACAGATCGCTCGATGTGATGGATGTGGCACTCAGTCTCGTCCTGAGCTCCATTGCATGTCCTGCAACCAGGTCCGGCCCATCAACGAATTCGCTCACACCCAGCGCCAATTTGATCAGCCTGTGAGAGGAACCATCTCAGTTGATGACTTTGATCTACTATACACTGAAGGTGATTGTTGACAATGTTGAGGTTCTAGGTCTGCCTTCCATGCCAGGACAATCTCCAGCTCGATGAGCGGGACAAGCTTGCGAGCAACCAAAGTGGAGGGGGTTTGATCGAGGCAGACGTCGAGCAGGATATCGACGAAGTGAGTCTTACTTTGTTTTTTGTAACGAAACAGCACGTTGGAGTTTTGACGACTGACTTTGGCCCATGTGGTCAATATAGAGATCTGACCCGATGGCCGTCTTCCCAATGGACATTGACATCGCCCAGCAAGATATCCCTCAGGAGGCTGGTTTGGGAGAGACCGCCGCGGGCCCAACGCTGCAAGAGTCAGATGAGAATGCTCTGACTTCCCAACCGGTTTGTGCTCACCTGCTCACCTTGAATCAATTGAAGATATTTGTTCTGGCTGACCATTGCTTCGTTCACATAGCGCATGGCTACCCTCACTTCCGAGTCCTCTCGTGTTGCGCCCCGTCCGCCCCAGAAGATCATCCAGGACATGGAGCTTGAGCTGCTCTTCGAATAGAATATATGTTTCGGGCTCAGTGGCTCTTGGTTGTTCCGCCACGGCGGATGGGACACAGCTCCGTCGTCCTCCTTTTCCCTTTCTTGCTCTTCTTGGTAGCTGAGTAGGACGATAGCTCCTATGGATTAGCCATACTGGAAAATGAGTCCACCTATCGACACTCTTTACAGGAGAGGGTTGTCTTTTCAATGCTTCAGTAGGCATTCGAACGGCCGGATCTCATGGCCAACGGTGACTAGACGTCAGTCTTCAAAATGGTCATACTCCACTCGAAGGTTCCATTGTAGCTTTCAGGTAATACATGGTCTCGTACCGTGGCTTGGATGTAGTTCATGTCCAATAAACCACGGTCTACGCTGTGAACGGCGTCGCATCTCTTGGCTCGATGCTTGATCACGGGACATGAGGAACTAGACAACCATGGCTCTGATGTAGTCGGAACTGTTCCAGGTCAATACATACTTCGCCCACGTTCACATTGAGGATGGATTCAGGGCTAATACGAACTTGAGTTTATTGTCAGATGTTCCTTCTCCTTCTCCACTCAGCGGTTGTTCTTTGTACTTTCTACCCATCATCTTCGACTCTACCAACGTTCAGTGTCGGAGATCTCCCGATTGGGCACGGCTGGTCCACCGAGGAAGTGATGCGCTGCCTTTCGCCACGAGGGAGCTGCAGGAGCACCGGCATTCTGTTCAGAATAAGCTCATCAGGCCAGCATTTTAAGGTTCTCGGGGGCTCTGAGACTGGTGACGGTCATTCTTGCGAAGATCAGGACGCCTCCAAGTCATTGTGGGCATGGACGATGCTCTTTTCAGTCAATGGATGGTTCAAGGTGAGCTCACAGGTATAGTATCGAATGTCGATCCTGGGCGGGCGGCACAGCTGATGACAGCCCTTGCGCCAGTGGCACTCGATCACTTTTAGATTAAATTGTGCGCCACATTCAACATGGACCGACCTTGCACTTCACACTATGAGTATGATGTGCATGGATCCTTCCGGTGACATCGACACGGCTTGTGTCTGTGACGTCGGGCTTCCGCCTGGCTAACTCATTCTATGCACGCAGGAAATTCATCGAGCAGTACAGCAATCCCTCGGACTCCCTCACTGCCGCTCACCTACCGGCTCCTCGATCGTTGGCGTTCCTCTTGTCGGCTTGCGTGCTATCCACAACTCAACCGCACCAACCATGAACAGCGATATAACGCTAGGATACTGGGCCTAAAAAGAAGACCTTGACTTTGACCTTCATTGGTCTCACAGGCAGCCCCCATTTCAATCTTCCACCACCTTCCGTCGTCATCAATTCCTGTAGACCACTTGTCCTTCGCTTCGAGGTGAGAGGCACTTGATTCAACTCTATCCACTCTACTGTCCTACCCGCCAGTGCTCCCAAGTCGCAGAGGGTGTGACGCCAGACACGGAAGGAGTCTTGAAGATCGCCACTCCAAATCGGTCGCATTATCGTTCTCGACCCTCCACTGCTATTCTTGTTCCACCCCCCACATCACCACGCCCCTCTTCGAGCGGGCGCTGGCAATTTCTCTGCCTGACGTCGACCTTCAGGCTGCAAATCTCGCGCCGTCGCCGTCTCACTGGCCAAGTCACACAAACTCCGCGCACTCTGTGGTTTCTTCTCGTGTCTTTGTGTCTTTCCGATCTTGGGCGACTTCAGCATTTGGTGTTACTCTGTCCATCAGCGCGACCCTTCTGGTGCGGTTCCCCCACACAGATATCATCATCACCACTGGGCCCATCCGCTATCCCGGGCTGCGTTGCCACTGAAACAACACCACTTCGGTTCAAATGGCCTACGATGGCTACTATGCGCCCTCAAGCCATTACCAGCCGAGCAGCATGAGCACGAGCATGCACTTGGATCCGAATGACCAGCACGGATATCCTCCTAATCCACCATATCCATCCAACAGCTATGAGGCCGACCGTCTGAATATGCCCCAGCCGCAGATGCCCCCACCAGGGTCGTCTCCCGTCAGTAGGGAAGCTGACCGAGTACGATCATCGTCCATGGGGCCCAGCCACGGTCATATCAATGATGCGGTGAGCTCAGCTGTCAACCACGCCAACTCGACCGACTATTTGTCTCCGGACGTTGTCAGCCAGATCACGGCGACGGTGATTCAACAGCTCAAAGCGACGGGATTGGGCAACCTCCAGGGCAACGCACCGCCGGCGGCGGCAGCTCCCCCTCCACGATCACAATCACAGCAGCAAGCGTGGCCTGCAGGTCCCGATTTGACTTCTCGTTCTCAAGCCGACTCCCCCCCTGCGTCTACTCAATGGAACGAGTCGATTCCACAGTTTGCGCCGCAGGCGCAGGTCAGTCCACGGTCCAGTAACCTCGACACCTCCCAGCCGCATTCCGTGCCTCAAGCGACGTCCTCCTCAGCATATCCGAGCGACACTCGTCCATCAGCCAAATCATCGCCAGATCCAGTCCGAGGAAGACAAGACTCAGTGTCCAGTCATGGCAGTCAGAGAGTAGAGCGGCCGAAGCCGCCATCCCGAGATGCGACGGTGGTGGAGATGACGACATTGGAAAAAATCTGGGGCAAGCTGTTTGTGGACGGACAACCAACGAAGAGGCTAGGCCAATTCTTGCGAGGAATTGCTATGCACCTGGTACGCAATTTGGAGCTACAGCGACGGCGATGTATGAAAGACAAGGAGATTGTTACTGACCCAGTGACTAGATTGAGGATTACCCCCCGGGAAACACGCTTGTGGTCGTTCCGGATAAGTTGCAGAAGTTTTATGCAGATACAGAAGTCTCATGGGACCCTTATCCTTGGCAAGGTAATTATTTTTTTCTACGATATGGGCTTGCTTTTCTTAGTGATCATTCATTTTGATGGCTGATGCCCGATTTTACAGACATCTTTGACGACCGAACATCCTCGATCTCCAGGCTATTCCGGGAAGTGAAAGCGCAGCATCACCTGGTCCAGCTTGACGATCTCACTGAAAGACCGGATATACCAGGTCTTACTCCTGAAGGGTTCGAATCGTGGGCTACGATTATGATTCAGACGCATCCCGAGCGAGAGTATGAGCGGCTGCAAAAGGCAGTGCTGAATATGCCCATCAGTAATCCTGATGACAAAAAGGAGCGATTCCCCAAAGAGATTCCGCGCCGCCTCTTCCCCGAGGTTCCCGACTTGAAATTAAGGGAGCAAGTTGATGATTATATCATGCGGCACTGTGGTGTCGATTTGCCACCAATCACCGAGGAAGAACGCTTGCGTGCCAGTCGTGTCAAAAAAGCTGCACCCGCCTCTTCATCTGCCTGCCACCTAGACCCCTCTCAATCTACTAGACCGGCGTCTGGCTCTTTCAATCGATCTCGATCGTTTGAACGTGAACGCCCATCCGGGTCCGTTTCATCGTCGTCTGCGGTGGTTGACGATGAGGACGAAGCCCTTCCCTCAAAGCCCATTGAGAGGGAAAGGAAACCTTATTCGGTACAACCGGGAGGTGGCAAGAAATTTGAAGACACCAGCCTCCCACGAAGTCGCACCGAAAGTATCTCGTCCGGTCGCCCCGTTGAAGTGCCGAGCTCCGCCACAAGCCATCGACACTCGACGTCGGACAAGTACACTCCGGACACACTCTACGCTGGCCGCGGAGTGTCTGGAACAGGCAAGACACGCCGTCGGTATTCCAGAGGTTCGCGCAGCTCCTCTCGAAGTGTAGGTAACGAGTACAGACGTTCCGAAAGCGACCTTCTTGGACGGGACTCGGCGTCCTCGCGATATGGCACGGCTTCCACTGGTGATATCTACACTGAATCGCCTACCTCTATTCTGCCAGAGGATGACATTCGACGATATCGTGAGCACCATCGCGGCGGTAGCCGCACGGGTGACGAGGAATACTATCGCGGATTACTTGGTGGTCAGGGTGGCGGTCCTGTGCATGACCACAAGCGATATCACTGACGAAAAAATGGCCCTATCCCAAGATTTCGGTGCCTCCCCCACTGTATTCTCTACCCTTATGTTTGGCTTCTTGTTTGCCTCTGTTTTTTGCATTTGCAATTGGCTATATTTCCCCACTTGCTAGCGTTTCCCCTTTGCATACCATACCCTTTTCAGAAGTTATGACCGGCCTCGTGTGGCAATGACGATGACTGATGTGCTTTCGTCTTTTCAATGTATTGTATACTGCACTCCTCTTAATCATTCAGATAATGTTACTAGATCCGCGCCGCGGCAAGGTATCACTACATTCCTCGCTTGCTAGCCTAGAGTTAGTTCGGAACTCAAGCAACAGGTGGTAGACACATCCATTACCTTTGAGCGTATTTATAACCCTCACTATCACGTTCATCTTACATCACGCTCATTTTGCCATATACCTCTTTCCAATTCGATGCGACAAAACACTTATCTCACCACCCGTAATCCATCGCTTCATCTATTTCGTTATCAGTCTCACTCCCTAGCGATTGCTATACTGAGATCCAGAGCTGCCAGATCATCCAACTCTTAATTTGTGTCAATAGTTGCATGGTGAGTAGATAGATGTTATTAATCTAGCTCCGGCTACATGACGACAAAGTATGGCTAAAGCTCTGGATCACTACTCATCAACCAATTATTACAGTCTACATTGTGTTTGGAATCATCACGCCTGTATGTCTGCTTCAATATCAGGTTTTCAACGATGTTTCGTTTTTATCAAGGGCTGAATACAAAGTACATGATAAGATAGTATTTAAAGGGTTAGACTTGTTTCACTTGATAATATACAGGATCTGAGACATGCAGTCTGACATTGTTGAATTGTTCCAGATCTGTCGGGCCGGAAGTTAAGTATGCCTATCTCTTTGGGTTTGTTCATCTGGAACACTATACTTTCTTCTCTGTTGTTGATGGGGAGAATTCAATACCTTAGTATCAATGAAAGCTTTTGCTTCAGTCATGAGAAATGGAGAATCAGTAAAAGCGTAGTATTTTTCCTAAAATCAATGCTCACTAAATAAGGTCAACCATTACCTAGGACCGCCAAGGTCAATGCTACTAATAAGAATATACACCTTGTTATCAAGCAGTTCGGAACAAAGGATCATCAACGACCTCTGTCGTGGACTTGGAATGCATGAACGAGCATTTTTTTTCTGTCTCAATGGATTCCTGACATTATGTCTTGGTGATTCCTTTCTTTGATAAGATTCGATTGCCAAATTCAAGTAGCTGCTGGGGGGGGGGGGGAAGGGGGGGGTGGGCATGTAGACGTTCTATCTGTACTCCCACCGATGCTACTGATCGAAGCTTTATATGACAGTAAACTCAACGTCGAGATGATCAAATGAGCCTTATAAAATATCGACAAATAGTGTAGAGTGGTGCAACACATAGAGGATCTATGGGTTTTGCATAGTACGAAAAAGGCAATTCGAAAAGCTAAACACAAGACAAAAGCCAAGTACCTCAACAAACAATCCCATACTATGGCCAAGTACGCAACGGCTACCGGCGGAATGTTTGACATGTCTTTCTAGCCCTAATCGATAATACATGCTATATCAAGATGAGACACAGTGACAAGGCAACTCTAGTGAGCCCCGGACGCTTCCAAGATCAACACACCTACCTATTGCTTTATCAGATTAACATCCACACGCATTCCTTTCCTATGAAACCAACAGACGCTTTCACTCTCGTTTCAACAGACATTCACTTACTCGTTCGCACATTTCCACACTCACATGCTTTGATACCGAGCTCAAAAATCCATCCCCCAAAGCAGACCAGCACTGGTATCAACGCTCATCCTGAACCGGCTTTCAATTCTATCTTTTTATTCCTTCTCATCCAAATATCTCCAACCATCACCATGTTAGCCAGTCCTGGGACCGTGTGTGACTCCAAGGCCAATCTCAAGTATCTCTCAGACACTCCAGCAGCACCAGTAACACCACCTCTTGCTTCTTCTCAACCTCCACAACCCCCTCTGTCTATCCCCCCTCTCGCTCCAACTCCTGGGACCTCCATCTGGCCCAGCTTCTTCGCCATCGAGCGTCGATCTTTCCAAGATGACCTCGCGACCATCATCGATGTTCTTCGATCCCACGAAGACCACGGTCTCAGCATCAAATTTGCCCACCAAATCGCCCACCGAACCAACTACCCCGGCGACATGAACTACCTCATCAACGCGGTCAAGGACTCCACCGCCACCAAGGAACATATTGCCCGCCGACACCTGCTCGCCAACATCAAGAGCCTGACTCGCATGTTCCTTGACTACGAGCGTGACCAGGCCAGTCCCTGTTTCGGTATCCGTTTGACTCTAATCCTGGATCTCTGCAAGACGCTGGAACACAATTTGTTGAGGGAGGCGTATTCCTACGAGGAGGATGAGACTGGGTCTCGCACGGCGAGATATGTGGCGAAAGCGCTGGAATTGGTGATTCTGCAAATTGGTACTTTGACGCTGGATGGGAATGTGCAGGCTGATGGTCAGGCGGTGCTGGCTAAAGGGCTGGCCAGGAAGAAGACGGTCGAGGTTGAGGCCAAGGCGAAGAACCAGAAGCTGTCGCGGGAGGGACGCGAGTTGAAGCGAGCCTGGGAGATGATGCAGTTTGCGGGGATGGTTGGCGACGATGACTGCTTCTGCAAGGCTTGTAAGGAAGAGGCGCAGGCTAAGGTGAAAGGTAAGAGGGGAGACCTCGCTGCTGCTGCTGCTGCTGCTGCTGCTGTTTATGGCATTGATTTGGGGCGAGACTGACTTTTTCTTTCTCTCTTCTTATCTTCAGTGTCTGCGATGGGAAACTGAATCAAATGGAGGCAGAAAGGGAAATGGTGCTATCTTGGGAATGGCGCATGTACGATGACATGTTATGACTGTACGAGTTTATTTGCGAATTTATCATCTTTATTGCTATGATATCGCGAGAGATGACCATCAAAGCGACCGAAGGCCCCAGTATATCAAATTTACTGAGCTTGTTGACTTGAAGTACTGGAATGAATGGATGATTGATTAAAGAATACGCGAATCCGATGACCCATAGCATGCTTGAGTAGTGCCAGATGACAAGAGTGGCCCCTCCAACGCCAGATACATATATGCAATTCCAATCCCACGGCGATGATTCAAACTATGCATATTACCCCATCGCTAAAATTTCAACGACAGCAAAATCAAAAGAAAGGACAGGTGAACAGCATGAACCAGGAAGAAAGAGAAGATCATTGCCCACAGATCGCAGGTATATCAACTCGACTCGGTCCAACTCTAATGCATCAGCTCCACAGGAGGCCGAGCTGTCTTGGGAGGCGTCTTGTTGATGAACATCTCCACTGGACTCCACTGGGCGTCCAGCTCCATATCCATGTCCTCGTCCACGGGCAGACTTGTGTCTTCCACCATCACAGCAGGAAGATTGGGGCTGTGGCCGTGGTCCTCGGGATGGAAGATGATAGTGCTACTTCGGCTGCGCTGTTGCTGTGGCGCTCCGGCCATCGGAAAGCTCCCCGTACGCTGATCGAAGCTGATGGAAACCGGAGTCGCAGGATCGACATTCATCGAATCGGAGGAGGGATCTGTTCTGAGATTGGCGAGAGCAGTCGCCAGATCACTGGCATGAACCTCCTTGTTGGGAGGGTCCTCATTGCGCATCTGCCAGCCGTGAGGGGGACTGGGAGGAGGCGAAATGAAGAAGAGCTTGTCGAGTTGAGGCGCCTCCAGCAGCTGTTTGCGCTGGGTCTCCTCTTGGCTCAGGATGGGCGTGGGTTCACCAAAGTAGATACGAGGGCGCACGTTGCGGTTTAACAGGCGAGTACCCTCGAGCATCTTGCGGACGGCAATGGCATCCTCATCGGAGTGGAAGGAGCAGATAATGCGACGGAATGAGGGTAGTGGGGAGAAGGAGTTCAACCGAGCGACCACGGTGATCTGATTGCGGATGGATTCCAGAGAGGACGGCTGGAAGAGAACGAGGTCATTGAGCTCGGTGATGATGAGAGTATTGGAAGGTGGTGTCGGTTGAGAGAGAGGAGGAAGGCTGGTGATGTCAATGGAGAGGGAAGGCCGAGCGCGAGAGTGTGCAGCGGCGAAGGCCGGAGAGGTTTGCGATGAAGGAGATGGTGAGATGAATTCCGCCATGGTTGGAGAGACGAAGCTGAACGGGATTGTGTTTTCTGGAAGATTGTTCGGCTGTCGTCAAGATATAAAGCGACGAAGAGGGAGTTTGCGTGTGGCGGAAGGATGCGTTCGAGTTCGAAACAACACACTCTTTTTCAACGAAGGCGTTGAAGATAAGCAGGCGATTGATAAGAGAAAAAAGGGGAGTGGGTTCTCTCAAGGTTGCCACCGGAGAAGTTGTGAGAAGGCGGAGTTGGTGGCGGACCGTAGAGCCGGTTCGTTCCTGGTCTAGAACTTGGGCAGTTTGCAGACTTTGCACTCCTGGACGAGACTGCAGATGATTCTCGAGATCGATCTTCCTTTTGGCTTGTTCCGAACGAGCAAGGCGAGGGCAGGAGCGAGCTATTAAATAAGGTTAAAACACACAAGAGAATATTGCTGCTGGCGACGTCCGCATGCAGATGTATTTAAGCCTCAGTCGATGTCTCTTCGCTTTTGTTGATTGCTTTGAGAGTGGAGCGGGGAGGCGCAGCGAGTGACGTTCGCCGGAGTCGTCTTGAAGCCGGGGGCAGTGCAGCCCGGCTGAGATTGTTGACCAAGTCAATAGTCAACATTCAGCGTGGGACTAGGAGCGATAGTAAAAATTTCGCAGCAGCTACGAAGTACCAAGTACGAACTAAGACTAAAGTACCAAGTATTGACAGCCATGGCGTTACACGACTTCGCATCAATGGATGTACTGCCTCACAGGATCCATCCGGAATGCTCACTGCCTTCGGACCCATTCTTCATTCCAGAACTTACTGCGATCTGTCCGATGGGGGTTGATCGGCGCAGCAGAATGCAGCTTGACAGCTATGAAGGGTCTGACAGTAGTAGTAGTAGTAGTAGTAGTAGTAGTAGTAGTAGTAGTAGTAGTAGTAGTAGTAGTAGTAGTAGTAGTAGTAGTAGTAGTAGTAGTAGTAGTAGTAGTAGTAGTAGTAGTAGTAGTAGTAGTAGTAGTAGTAGTAGTAGACGTAGTAGAAGTAGTAGTAGTAGTAGTAGTAGTAGTAGTAGTAGTAGTAGTAGTAGTAGTAGTAGTAGTAGTAGTAGTAGTAGTAGTAGTAGTAGTAGTAGTAGTAGTAGTAGTAGTAGTAGTAGTAGTAGCAGTAGAATTCCATTTTCTTTACCCTATCACTGCTCAGATGTGTAGAACTACAGGGTACTTTCCTGTAGGAGGATTCTACATAACAATCAAAGTACCGAACCTCTTACCCTGAGATGACCGCCGCAATCCCACCGCCCGGAAGATCCGACGCCACAGCTGCGCCACACCTTCATCCTGCGCATCTCAATCCATTTTCGGGCCCCGATTCCCACAGCTGAGCCTACTTTGAGTATGGACTATGGAGTATGAACATGCAAAGTCTTGAGCCTGCGAACTCGTGCAGTGGAACATCCGGGCTGAGCTCGATCCCCAACATCTCTACAGAACCCAAGTATCGAACCTATCGAGTGGAACGAGTCAAGAGTGGGGAATACCCATGTCATCCAGGATTCCAGCCTCCTCACTTTCGACCGCATCGGCAAGCTTGCGAATCTGACCGGCTCGGCGCCGTCTTGACTCTCCGTTGCTTCGGATGAGATGACTAGGCCGCCGGATTCACACAGAGCACTGCCTGGATTTGACAGTGCCGGCCAGACTCCGCCTCACGACTCAGTTACTACCAGATCGTGATACTGATAGTAGTGGTAGTGGCACAGCTACTTCCTAGATTGACGAGGCTACTATATTGGAACATGTCACATGAAAATCTGATAAGATGCACTGCCACGTGATACTATCATTGCACTGCACGTAGTCATTTTCCTGTCGAGTCACGAGCTCGATGGATGCTCGCAAGATCAGAGTCTTCAAGGTTGTCTTTTGGATTCACAAATGTCCAACTGAAAAGTCATTAATTTGACAGGCTTTCTTTGCATTGCATTGAGAGCCTCTGGAAACGTAAATGTCGCGAACCCGGGTCCTTCGTACATGGGAATATAGTACACGCGACTTGGGTCTGATCTCGAGAGTCGTTTCTCGTTCGATTTGAAGATGCCCCATAGAGAGATCTCACGTTGAAGAGCCTGAATCCGTCACGTTCCATAACATTCCTTTGACGTCCTCATCCTGTAACAGCATCTGGTGTTCCTTTTTCAGAGACGTCGCGTCATTGGTCTCAAACCAAAATGCCCACGTACTCTGGGTGTTGACGTCGGTGTTGTCCCGACTCGACTTTAATCCCACGTGCTGCAGCTGCGGAGGTGCCAGCGCATATCGAGTCAACTCGTGGCTATCCGCGTATTCCTCGATCATCGAGTCTGTCTGTCCGTGTCCCCTTTCACGCAGAAATTGCATGAGTCCGTTGACTCGCTCCCGTGGAAACACCAACCCCTGTGTACAACAGCCATATTTGTTCATTTCAACTACTCCGGTCAGAGGCATTAGGTTGTATTTGCCGACCATGTAGATGAACGCCGTGAATGCCGGTACGCAAACCACAGAGATGACGGCAATGCTGGCGGTGTCGAGGTGGAACCGCTGGTATCGACTGCGACGGAGAGCGATCAAGCACGATACCGTGGACAGCATCAAGAACCCAAACACAAAGGGCATGTTTCGATAGACGAAATCTGAACTCGTCCAAGTTAATGAGGTCTCGGTGTAGAATAGACGGAGATAGAGCCACGGCTTCGCCGAGTGCTGTTCGAATCGGGCGATTTCCGCCAGCGCCTTGAGGGTTTTGCTGAACCACCCGGTCGCAAGGATGATGTCATCCTCGAAGATGATTGTGTGTGAGGCATTGAGGTCCTTGCAGGTTTGGAGGGCATATACATAATCACTAAACAAAAATAATCCAGTTGTTAGCCACGCACCTATTTCCGGAACCATGTACCAGACTTGGGCTGTCATTCCCGCCGCGACAATGTCAAAATTGCGGGCAGGACTCTGCCCAGCGCTTGCAATGACTTACAACACCCCCTTCTCGTAGAAATTCCTCTCCTTCTCTATCTTTTGCAAATGCTCAAATTCCTTTTCCGACACATTGTACGTTGTCGCCGAGTCCGCCAGCCGTTCTACCCATCGTTGTCCCCAACTGGGGTGGAGCCTCGGTTCTGTGTTGGCGAACAAAAAGCTGAGATACATATTACTTCGCTCATGATTGTCCAACCCCTCGAGGATCGAGCCCACGGTGGCTTCAAAATAGTCCGTGTCGCGTCGGACAGTCACTATGGCGACACATATATGCGGTATGGGAGCAGACTTGACGGAGACAGGAGGATCTAGGCCGGCATTATAGCGTGTAATGAAATGCCGCGCTTCACGCTCCCGCTGGAGGCTATAATCCAATTCATATACATGTGTGTCCTTGAAGAAGGCCGAGTGAGGATCACGCCAGAGTTTGATGCGAAACACTTGGTAGAGCAGGAGCCAAAGCACCAGGGCGGAAAGGAGGATCTTCGTGGCGCGAAGGCGGAGATAGTGAGCGAGCAGGGTCGGCGCTTTTCGGACCACCCCTCTCACGGACATCAGGGGCGATGTGCGATGAGCTTTGGGGAGGGGAGGAAGTCTGACAATGCGGAAGTCCAGCAAAAGAGAGATGAGGCTGCAACTGGAGCCATGAAGGGTGCTTGTGTCATCGCTTGGCTGAAACGACAAGGATTGGTGTTTATTTTTCGTCTGGGCACTGGCACAGTCCCCACGCAACAGGCCCCCCAGCAGGCCAGCACACCTCACATAAGCGCGAAGACTAGGTATTTTCCAACGTCCACTGTCGGGTCGCAATTTACATAAGAAAGGTACCTGCAGAGAAAAGCGGGGACATGTGATCATCGGGGTTTCGCCCCAAGCGGAGGCTTCGGTTTCACGAAAGGAATCGAACATCCGTAGGCGATGGCCGAAGATAAAGTGGAGGAGCTCGAACGCGATAAGTGTTCGATGGACTCCACCGGACCGGTTCACAACTTGACATTTGATCGGGGCCCTGATCCACCACCTGAATCAGGTGCATTTGATTCTCTCCACCTCAAGTCAGTCGAGTGCGTCGCTGTGTTCATCGCTTGGACCGTGAACAAGCGGGTAGTGGCTGTTCATTGCTAGTGAAGAAATCCCCATCGCGTACGGGGGATATCTACAGGTAGGTTGCACGTGCTAGGGCGCGTCGAGAACCACATGACTAAAGAAATACGCCGAAACTGATGCGAGGCTTGTATTGGAAGAAGATCTCGGTGCGTGTCCAGCAGAACACCACTATATTTCACATGCTCATTCTGGGAGCTGCAACTTGGAATTCCATACCATGGAACGAACGCACGAATATTCAAGTTCGCCCCCAGAGGCCAAATCTAATATTTACCAAGAGCAAGCTCCGCTGGTCATACCAAAGTATGTGGTGTGAGCTCCATTCACACCCTGTCCACCCTGAGCCTCACAGCACTGGTCTCCATTGCCAGTGCAGACAAAGATGTTGTGCGCATTGTAAGGGTCGACGCTCCAGAACTCAACACCAGACGACACGTATCCCATCGAGGTAGGAGGCACGTTGGGAATGCCGTCATTGGCGTGGGTGGTGCGGAAGTAGCGAGTGGTGGAGGCGCTGCCGGCGTGGAAGTGCTCGTTCATGTAGTCGGCGAAGGCCTGGTTGCCAGTTCGAGGTTCACCAAAGGTGTACAGGCTGATATCGCTGTAGGTGGCAGCCAGCTGAGCGGCGGTGATGGAGGCCATTGAAGCACCGAGGCTGGGATGTTTCTTGTCAGCGTTCATCCTCCTACTAGCGGCCACAAGAGTATATGGATTTTTCCTGTGGGCGCATAGTTCTTACCTGTGGCCGGTCACCGTCAAGGCATATCCTTGGTGCTGGTTGACTTGCGAGTCAACCAGCGACTCAACCTGATCCTTGACCGAGAGCCAGCCGGTATAGTATCCGCCGTGCACGAAGCATCCCTCACACTTGGGGTTGGTCTGAAAAGCGGCCGGGTTGTAGTTGGTGTCCAATTGAAGGTTAGTGTTACTGCCGGTGCCACGGAAGACAGTGATGATCTCTCGGCGAGAGTCGTCGCGAAGAACCCATCCGTTGATGTCGGTCTGGGAATTGTAGATCTTTCCCACAATGGAGATGGTGGAAGGGATCTTGCACAGGTTGGCATAGGCAGCCTGCGAGATGGTGGCCATCTCAACCAAGCGGTTGTAGACGTCCTGCGAGACACCCTGAGTCATCGCAGCGAAACCCTGGCTGGCGGCCAGAGACAGCGCCAGCATGTGAGGAGCAGTGAACAACTTCATGACGCGCGGGACTGGTAGGTGACCGAAAGACCAAGGATCTGATGAATTGGCTTGATGACCGCGAGTTGAGCAAAGTCGCTGCTGAAAAAACAAGAATGAGCCTTGGAAACGCCATCTCTGCTTGTTTAAGTAGCGAATCTTTCTCTCATCCTCCAACTCATCTCACGATATTCAGCAAGCATGCAACTGCCGTGGGTGGACTGTGGGTCACACATCCAGGATGAAAATGTGTCGAAGTTGGGTCCGCATTGCCTGTTAAGGTGATTCTCCGGACGAAATCCTCAAATGACGCACTACCCTGTCAAGTCCCACTGGACCCTGTGCGCAATTGATTTGACATTCACAGGATCCTCCTGGGTAATATGGGCGATATCGCTCTGGTGCGCACGAGCTGCAAGTTGCAACGGCCATCATTCGGCCACGAGGGGAAGAAGGCATCTCTCCTGGATCTACTTGTCTTGGGCTGAAACGACGGAAGCCACTCGTCTCGAGGCATTCGAACGGGCATTGAGTCCGCTGTGCTCACACCCTGTCGATCTTCAGTTTTAGGCAAAAGACCATGCGTGAGGAACGGGAGATGATCTTCACGGGTTCATCGGAAGTTTCATAGCTTCATGTGGCTCGGCAGTTCGAGAATATTGATCTTGCCGACGTTCATCGATGTGCCAATAGCTGTGTATGGAGTATGGACTACTCTATGTAGTATGTACTGACTCTACGGAGTGGCAATGCTCGCATGACTAGCGACTACGGAGATGTTTGTCCGTCGACAGAAGGGAAAAGGGAGAAAAGGAAGAAATGTGGATGCCGAGCCGTGGCGTTTCAGAGTGCCGGTTTTGGCTTGCCATGCGAAGAATCCTGCAACTACTGAATGGACCCAGAGAAGCATCGATGCTGAATTCTTTCCAGGTGGAAGTAATAAAATCTGACGAGAAGTGGTTTTTTGCTCTCTTCACATCTAGACCGAAGAAGGACCTATCTCCTGTCCTCGGGAGTAGTATTAGTCACGACAGACCAAAACTACCTAACTACTATCTGCTTCATCTGACACAGGCACTCTGACAGCTCAGGTACCCACCCACCTTCAACATCTCTTGTCTTCCATTTCAGAGCAAGACATTCGACATGCTGGATAGATTTTATGAAGATGTTGCCTGTGGATCTGTGAGAACCGAGGGTCTCTGATCTGTAAGTCTTATGCAAGCAGTTCTCTGCACGGTCAGTTTCAGCCTTTCAGGTCGACTGATAGAAATCAGACCCTGTTGAGCTCTAAACAGAGAGTGAGCTACTATACATCAGACTCAAAAGGGCTGGAGCCTGGCAAAAATTCGACGGCGTTGAAGTAAATAGTCCGTAACAAGGCACGATGATCCACTCAATAATTGCACGCGTGAGACTCCTAATTCAAAGGCCACCCGGAGACAACGACCTACTCAAGTCGAGGGTTGATTCTAACCCCGTAAATTTATCTTGTTGAAGACATGGTTCTATGAAAATCAAGAATCTCAAGATGTACGTTCAAATTGTGTATGGAAATATCTGAAGTCGCAGAAACATAGTAAGACAACTGCATACGCGTGACAAAGTAAGACCTTCCGTCTGGGCCCAAACGACGGCCGTTCGCCAAAGGGCCCAGTTACTCATCATTTCTCAGTTCAGCCATGTCATAGACCTGCTCAGGAAGCTCAATACCCCGTGGAGCGGTCAGTATACCGAATTCCTGTGTGAAACCCGACTGCCTGTCGCTCGTCCCATAGAACCCGACAATAACATCACCGTCAGCAGGCTCCAAGGTCACGATACCCTCATCCTCCTCTTCCTGAGCATCTCTTTGATTGTCTTGCTCATCTTCGTCATCTCCATAAAGGTCGTCGTTGAGATATCCCCAAGAATCTCCATTGCTCAGAGTCATACGAATGCCCGACAGACTTCCCCATCCGTCTGCCCGCTTGCAAATTCTGATCTGGGAAATGGTTTCCCCCGCGGGAATCCTGTGGTCCTCCGATGCGTGTCCCCCGAAGCGATGAGTTGTGCCGTCGCTGTTCCGTGCAGGACCACAGTTGGCATGCTTGCCATCAGCGTAATAGACGACAGCCCCATCCATGGTGCATCCGACACGGAGGTCAATTGACGTCGCGCGATGCAGTTGGCCATCTTTGCCACGCCTGTGAAGAAGCATGGCCCACTTGCAGACTTGGGTATCGTCCAGACTCGAGTCGAGATCCTGACAGCGGACAGATTTTTTCTCCAGGACCAAGTCACTCCCGGGAATGGAAATGAAAGGAACTTCCTTGAGCATGGTCCAAACGTTCGCAACTACTCGACGTTTGCCATTCATGCCCAGGGCAACAATTCTCAAGGGATAAGCCTGGTTGTACTTGTTGCGAATATCGACGAGCTGGAATTCGGTGTGGTTGGACTTGTTGATGAATTGATGCACAACATCATCATGCGGAGAATCACTCGCAATTTCGATCCGCGCCAGACCCGCGGAGCAGGTGATCTTCAATCCTTCACAAGTACTTTCAGGGTCACTGGCAAGTTTTTTGGTCAGAATGACCTCCATTCGGACCTGAGCCTCGCGGAATTGCTGTGTGACAGGGGCATCGTCAGGAAGAGCAAAGTGCGGCATCAATTTGAACTTCAGAGCGTCTTGCAAGTCCCATTTAGCAGCATTTTCCAACTCAGGGTTATCTGCGTGCTGGATGAAATTCACTCCCCAGGTCTTGCTGTAACCTCGAGCCATAATGCCCGTCGTATGCTCCGCGCCAAATGCATGGCCCACTTCGTGCAAAAACGCACCCTGGCCGACGAAGCAAGCCCCACGGAGAGTGTCGCATTCGCCATTGTCGTTGCCCATGGTATCGCCAGGGGCTGTCGGATCAGTCAGACATGCAGGTACTTCCTCGAGGAAACGGGGCCAGGCATAAGTGAGGTGGCTTCCGAAAATCCCACAAGATATGCCATTGGGTTTGTGGCAGCCTAGGGCTGCATGTGCCGTGATCAAAGATTGCTCGTTGGAGTAATGAGAGTCCAAGATCAAACCAGCCACCACCGGTCGACTGGCCGAGTCAAAAGGCGCCCCTGAGTCACGCAGAGCTTCTTCAAAGTACCTGTTCAGGGCGTCACGATCGCGACCTCGTGAGTTCTGCTGCGCGATGTTGGCGTCGCGAAGCTGTGCAACTGTCTTGTCAGAGCGCACGATGTGAACCTTTGCCACGGCACCCATCTGACGAGCATCTCCCGGTGCGCGTTGGTAACTCTTTTGTAGCGAGGAGTTCCAGGTCCATTCCTCGTCCAGCCGGAACGAGCGCCGTCCCAAGTCCTTTTGTCGAAGGTCTTCGGCTGTGAGAGCTTGCCACATATATGCCGACATCCGGAACTTTGCAATCGCCGCATCTAAGCCACTGTGGGCAGTGGAAATGCTACCATATTTGACCGGAGGGCAGTCAATTAGCAGAGGCGAGTCCTTTGCCACGAGGATCGCCAGGTGGAGAGGCGGTAATTGAAGCAACGGAACATAGTTGACGCTGATTTCCGCCGATCCACAAATCTTCTGGTTTCGATAGAGGTTGAAAACGAGAGAGTTCTTTCCGGATGAAAGCATGACAAGCGCGCTCCATTTGCCCGCATTGCACGGCCAGTGTTGCGTGACATTGGATTGGATTGGCATGTTCGAGGATGAGACCGACACATAGTCCGTCTCATCGTCGGGGTCAAAGAACTGGCACTCGCCGTGAATGAGCAGGCATGTTTGATGGACCGTCTCTCCATCGTCCACATTTGTGACTTTGAACAGCCTCTGATCAGTGAACATGGGTTTGACTCGACGATCGGCCGTTGAGTCCGTCTCAATACTGCGCTTCGTCATTTTGTGTAACGAGATTCGGACAGAGCAGAGTGGTCGATAAGTGAATTACTAGTATGTTTAGATAAAGGACGAAAGATGTTGGCTTGTGAAATCACTATATCTCTCGAATTGTTGACCTTTTTTATACTTGGCTTTGAAGTCCAAGCGGCTCATGTTGCTGGGGCTAGGCTAGGCAGCTGCTAGCTGGTGCCTGGCGGGCGACCCGGCAAGCCCACGCTATGCTCTAGTGGGCGTTCGTTTGGGGCGCTGATAGGCTAGGGCAATATTAGATTCATCCTGGCAGCAGTTGCCTTTTGGTCATTTGAGTCATCTGGGAGAGATGAAAGAGTTTCGTACAATGATATGCTTGTGGTCGCTTCGTATTTCTCACATTGCGTGATTGTCTGCCTGTTAGTTCACACTGACAAGCCCGACCACGGTACATCAAATGGTTTCGACTTCAGCATCATCCATTTTCAATCGATGAGTGTGTTTTCCGCTTTAGCCAGCTCCTTATCACTCAGGAAGTTCGATAGTTATCGGGCTTGCTCAATGCGCTCAAGATGTCCGTTAAGTGACAAGAACCGGCGGTCCGATGAGAGTCGGGAGAAACGTGAGTGACGAATTCTATACTGTAAGCGACTATATCCAGTCGTATACAGTACAACTACAGTACTGAGTCTACTGACTTACTGAGTCCATAAATGTATGGTACAGTCACTGTCTTGAACCGCGGCCCAATCACTTGCCAAGTTCCAAGAGCTCAAGTTATGAGACTGAACAGTCAGAGCAGGACTAGATCGACAAACTCGATGCGTTCGATATATCAGGCGAAGAACTTGAAGGGTACAATGTATGTGCTCACTGTAGGACCGAAGTCTTAAGCGTGGACAGGGCTCGAGTTGAAAGCGTACAATCAATTTCACAGAATCATTCACTCATCGGCTCAGAGAGGAAGAGCTCGAGTCACGAGTGTAATTCGGGTCGGCGGTTTTCCCGTGCTGAGTCGGTCAGGTGACGTTCCATGAAATTCTCCCGGCCAGCAGCTGTCATTGCCGAATTCGCGACAAACAGTTTTCCTCCCATCATCAATTGAACCTGCCTCTTTCTACCATTGGCTTTCCCGAAACAACACCTTTCCAAATCTCACATCATGTTTCAGCGCACAGTATTCAGACAGGCCCTTGCTGCTCGGTCTGCCATGACCGCAGCCTCCTCCTCCACTTCCACAGCGCCGCTCGCTCTCCGACGGACGGCGCGTTTGCAGTCACAACTCCCCACGGCGTTGAGGCCATTTTCTCCTCAGCCCACCCGTCGATTCTACTCCACCGAGAACAACGGAGAGAAGAAGGAGGCTACACAGGAGGGTGAATCTGAGGTCAAGACCGAGGAGGACCCCGTCCGCAAGGAACTCGAGGAGAAGAAGAAAGAAGTCACCGAGCTGAAGGTAAGCTTGGGAGAACCATTTTTCTTTTCTGTTCGTGCATAAGCTACTGCCGGACATTATCTGACATGTAGTAGGACAAATACCTCCGCTCTGTCGCCGATTTCCGTAACCTGCAAGAACGCACTAAGCGCGATATGGATGGTGCCCGCAACTTTGCGATTCAGCGTTTCGCCAAGGACTTGCTCGAGAGCATTGACAACTTCGATCGCGCGCTCCTGGCTGTGCCCGCCGAGAAGCTCAAGGCTGAACGCACCGATGCCAACAAAGACTTGCTCGATCTGGTTGATGGTCTCAAGATGACCGAGAAGACTTTGATGAACACACTGCAGAAGCACGGTCTGGAGCGCTTCGATCCCAGCGAACAGGTCGAGGGCAAGGCCCAGAAGTTTGATCCCAACATGCACGAGGCCACCTTCATGGCCCCCTCGCCAAACCATGAAGACGGTGATGTTATGTATACCCAGAGCAAGGGTTTCCTGCTCAATGGACGTGTCGTTCGTGTAAGTTGTACCGTGGCGTCTTCGAGTTGCGTTTTCGACTCCATATTATCTGTCATTCGTCAGAACTAACAATGCTGCTCTTTCCGATACAGGCTGCCAAGGTTGGCGTGGTCAAGAACGCCTAAACGCCCAGACATTTCCCAAACGTATTACCTTCTCATCTTTCATGCGCCGCACCCTCATACCGACTGCTTCGTCACCCTCTGTACCATATATCATACCTATCTCACGATCACGATAAGCATCCGCGCACGGTTGCGACCGGAATTGGGATTCAGAAAAATTTCGACTTTCACTTGATTTTTGCTTGACTCTTGAATCTGTATCATAAAGTTACACTATCCATGTGTTGCATGTGACCGGAGGCGTCTGGTTTTTCTCGTCCTCGTCCTCGTCCCCGTCCTGGTGGATTCACCCTCTCATCGTGCAAATCTTCCGAGGATTTTCTCATTCTCATCTCATCTCCTGTACAATACAACATCCGCTCCTGCGCGATATGCCGATATGCTTTCAATTCTCTTCTAAACTTAGCCCGACGCCTTAAGTGCATGCAACATTGATTCTTTCGTCGGTCCCGTGGACTTTAGTCCATGCATTTAAAATTCGACGGTTCCAGAATATGACGATGTAGATTCCGAGGAGAGTTAAGAGACAGGGAACACTTTGGCAGTGATTCAATATTAAATTTGGTAATGTACAATGTAGTGTCGTTTGCCGTTGCTCGTACTCACCGCAACTCGACGCTGAAATCGTTGACGAGTTGGGTTCGCACCTTTTCATGCATTTCGTTCGTCTCTTCATTGGTCAATGTCCGCTCAAGGCTGCGGTAGTTGATGCGATAGCACATGCTTTGCTTCCCGGTCTTTGGATGAGTGAAATTGTCTATCAATCGCACGTCCTCGACCAGGTCACCGCCAATGCCACGGACAATTTCCATGACATCGTTCTCGTGGAAGGGGACCGCACCACCTGCCGCGCTGGCGCCACCCGCAGCAGCCGCCTGTGGCAGCCAGAAAGCCACGTCCTTGTAGCAGGCGGGGTGCTTGGAGAAGGGCTCGAAGCGGGTGATCTGGCCGGCGCGGAACTGAGATAGGAAGCGCTCGTCCTTGGACCAGAAGAGACGAATGTCGGGGATATTGAACAGGAGCATGGCGATGCGCTCGAGACCCAGGCCAAAGGCCCAGCCGAATCGGTTGGGCACGTCGGAGTTGATGAGAAGCTCTTGCTTGATGACTCCGCATCCCAGGACTTCCAACCATTCACCTTGCCAGAAGACTTCAAGTTCCCAGCCAGGACTGGTGAACGGGAAGTAGGCCTCTACCCAGCGCACCTTCAGAGGCTCTTGGTCGACCTTGCCGCCCGAGCTGGCCGCTGCAGCCTTTGATCCCTCCGTGAAGACCTTGATGACCATGCGCTCCAGCGATCGCTTCAGGTGCGCCGCCACCGCCTCGACCTCAGCCTCGCTGTGATGCTCTGCCTGTAGTGGGTTCCGTTGAGGGTGAATTGTGGGGTTTGGGTCTTCGACGACGACGTCGTGACGAGGGATCCGTTCGAGGTCCGCCCTGATCCGGGCGGCGGTCTCCTCGGATGCGCTGAGCGGATTCTGCTCCGGTCGCTTCCACAGCATGGCGGCCTCCATTTGGTGGAAGACGGGGTAGTGGCTTCGATCGATGGCATCGCGACGATAGACGTCTGCCACGACGGTATAGCCGACCTCTTCGGGCTTGGTCTTCTCGTTCCGGCTGATCTGCTGGAAATATGCCTGTTGATGCGCGCTGGTATGCGTGCGCAGAACGGTCTTCTCATTGATATAGTAGGTATCGGTACGGCTACGACCGGGGTGGTCTGGAGCGAAGCCCAGCACATCGAAGTTCTGTGCTGTGGTGACGACGGGGTTCTTTTCAAAGTAGTTTCCGAAGATAGGGGCCGAGAACTGACTCTCAATGAGTCGGCGAGTGATGGCCAGAGGATGGTTCTCGTCGAGGTACAGGCTCCGTCCGACGTGCGAGAGAATTGTGTCGGGGGTGTTTGTCCATTGATCGGTTGGATACTTGTTGTCTTGAATGTGTAGGTCTGGTCGCTCGTTCGAATCGGTGGCTGAAGAAGAAGTTTGCTTCCCGGTGCGAAGGAACGGCGTTGAGCTCCAGTTGCGACTTATTGCTGGAATCGACTGACGGAGGAACGGCTGTGTTTGGAGAGCCGCAATTCTGGGCCGGAGGGCAGCGGCAGTCCAACACGCACCGCTAGCTCGTAGAACTCGACCAGTGGCTAGCAAACGCATGGTGCACACGAGTTCTGGCTTGTGTAGATGTTGGCCGACTACCTATGACTGGTAATATGCTGCTCGACAAGCGTGCGGAGATGATCAAAACATCGCGCCCGGGGCCGGGTAAATAAGATCCCGAACTACATGTCTGCGTTCTGCAACTGCTGCGGAGTGCAGACTGCAGACAATCTCGGAGTCCCAAGAGGTGCAGTGGATGGGAACAGTGATCCAGAGCAGAGCTTTTCTTCGGATACAACATCAATATATATGGTGACCCTATCACCAGAATGTATAGCGTGCACCAGGCCAGCTCCCGTCCAACGCATTGAGGGCTTTATTTACATGGACTCGGGATACCTCTTGCCACAGTGGGTTAGGTAGATAAGGTAGGTTCACGCTACCTCTGCGAAAGTGCATAGAGAGCGAAACGTTTTGAAAGACTCGATCTGCTCTTCTGTTGCGACTTGACTGACACCTCGGCTGGAGCAGGAATCGTGGGTCGCTATGACTTGTATCATCGATGTTCCGAGTCCGAGATCATGGAGTGATGGCTTTGGAGAGAGGCGTTTCTTATCGACATCACATCACCACCTTATCGAGCAATTGATTGCCGATTGCCGATTGCAGTTCCGCCGCCGATCACTCCGACCAGGACGGGTCAGGTACAGCACTGAGGACTTTACTGTCCAGACTCCAGCCTCCAGACTCCATGAGTCAATGGAGGGAATTCCTCCGGGGATCGGGAGTTCAATTGTGTCCCGCCGCAGTTCCACCGAGGATACCCACCTGTAATTTGCAGGTCAAACTCTGAACTCACTGACTCAGCTGCCAGAGATCAGGATAATAACTAACTCACTACAAATCTACAAATATGTATTACAATTCGATAACCATGTTACCGTCAGTGTCAGGCAATATTGTTTTATTCGTATTATAATACTTGTAGGCCAAAAACTCACTACCAGATCAGGTAGAACGCAAGCTTCTTACCTAAAATGCCAACACTGCCGATACTCATGGAGTGTCCTTCAGACCTCAGATTCGTTTGCTGAGCCGCCGGTATAGATTCCGTCCCCCCTCTCGGTACGCAATTCTGAGGCCGAAGTCCCTCGTCACTTGACCCCAGATATCTCGGAGTCTGATTAGCTGCTAGAACCCGTGATTGACGCAGCGCATTCGACGTTTCGAGTCCCTAGACTCCTTACAATGCCGGGGCTGTATGTCTCTTACCGATGGCAGCATCCCCTCTGCGAAAGCAAGCCGAGGCAGTGATTGGCCCAGACTACATTATGGGCAGATACGTGCAGTCTGATTGGGCGCAATGCAAAGTCGGCCGAGCGGCTGAACGGCGCTTCGGCGGCCTGATTTGTCCCCGTCGGTAATCGCTCTTCAAAATTACGTCAAACGACCAAAAAGCCGGCCCTCTCCACTTGCGAAGAAAAAGAAGAAGAAAAAAGAAAAACAATTGCCCCCCCCCTCCCCAAAAAGGGAAACGATTAAAAAAGATGCAAAAAGGGTCCTCTGGACGCTCTCACTTGTGATCTCCTCCTTCAACATCATCACAACCCACTCTCCACTCCTGTCGAGTCCACCCGGCCTCGATCACCCTGCAAGATGGCAGACAGCGCCAAATTGTTGGAGGCTCCGGCCGCTCACACTCGGGTCGCCCCTATCTCGACACCTGCGCCGTCCAAGTCAAAAAAGGTGCACTATCCATTCTGGTTTGGCGGTTCCGCCTCATGCTTTGCCGCCGGAGTGACGCACCCTCTCGATCTAGGTAAATGCTGCTGCGATACCCCGTGCAGACCGTTTCGACGCGCTAACTATTTTGCTCCTCCCTAGTCAAGGTACTTCTGAAAGAATGACGTCCCGATATGGACTTCGGCAGCGTCTCGGTTTCCCACCGCTGGACTGGATGGCTGACCGAGGCTTTTCTTTGTCGCATTCTAGGTTCGATTACAGACACGCGCCCCGGATGCGCCCCGGACAATGGTGGGCACATTTGGCCACATTTTGCGCCATAATGGCTTCACAGGGCTGTACAATGGTGTACGTTCACTCTCGTTCTCTCCTATGCGATGCCTTTGCGATGTCTCTCTAGCGAGCAGCGCCATAGATTAGGGGCCCGACAAAGATCCCAGAGTTTCCCTGCGTTTCCTTGGGCTGAGAATATCTTCTGTTATTCCTTGGCTAACGCTTTTCCTCACCTGTCTCGTCACAGCTATCCGCCGCCCTGTTGCGCCAGATCACGTACTCTACCACCCGGTTCGGCATTTACGAAGAACTCAAATCCCGCTTCGCCAAACCGTCTCCCGACTCCTCGTCCACATCGCCTGGATTCTTCACATTGCTCGGCATTGCCTGTACATCAGGGTTTATCGGCGGGTTTGTCGGCAACCCGGCCGATGTGCTCAACGTGCGCATGCAATCAGATGCCGCCCTCCCACCGGCACAGCGCCGAAACTACCGTCATGCCTTCCACGGCCTGATCCAGATGACCAAGACGGAAGGTGTTTCGTCACTCTTCCGCGGCGTCTGGCCCAACTCCACACGTGCCATCTTGATGACGGCATCCCAGTTGACCTCCTATGATATCTTCAAGCGCCTCTGCATTGAACAGGCGGGCATGAGTGACAATGTGGGCACTCACTTCACCGCATCCTTCCTCGCTGGCTTTGTAGCAACCACCGTATGCAGCCCGGTGGATGTGATCAAGACTCGGATCATGACCGCATCGGCGGCCGAGTCCCGCGGACAGAGCATCGTGGGCCTGTTGCGCGATATCTGTCGCAAGGAGGGTCTTGCATGGACATTCCGTGGCTGGGTGCCCAGCTTTATCCGTCTTGGACCGCACACGATCGCCACGTTCCTCTTCTTGGAGGAGCACAAGAAGCTGTACCGAAAATTGAAGGGAATCTAGTGGCTTCCCGAACCGAGCAATTGAGAGGATAATCCTGACCTCCAACATCTTTCCATAAACCACCACCACTAGCCGCAAAGTTGCCTGAATTTCTCGTCAACTTTTGGCCCGTCTGCTGTCTCCTTCTCATGAACATTGGTGGCGTGATCTCTGAGCATTTGAGGAGATTTCTAACACGTGTATATCTTGCATCTCCCTCCATTTGACCGTTTCCCATTGAAGTTGGTGACGGCTGTCCAGGTTCCGCTTCACGAAACCCTTCCCAAATCTGCCAAGAGCCGACCCTGTCATGGCGGAAAGGATTTCCATGGACAGGGTCCCACGCATTTTTCCTTGCGTGGTCTCACATAATGAACCATTCACATCAATAGACTATAGATACCTCCAAGTGAATACCACATTCTCGCAAGGGAACTTGAACAAGTCCTTTTTCTTTTCTTTTGATGTTTGATTTCATCAGTGTAGTTAACTCTACATGCTCCTCCAAGTCCCTCGGGAATTTGAAAGCTAGTAAAACATCGTTCTACAACTCGACCAGGGACTCAGTAATTTTCACCGCTAAAGAGCCCTGACTGACTTGAATCATGACACGACCCGCACAGCCACAAAATCGCCCACTGCGCCGTAGCATTTCCGGAGATATAAGTAAATTGAACGGAACAAGAACATGCGTGTGGCACTCTTGAATCTCGTCTAGCTCCCCATTCAGAGACTTTGCAACTGTGCCAAGCTGGAGCTGGGGTTTGCCTCGTGTTCGCTGGCAAAGAACGGTGACTTTGGAGAATGCTCGTTATGGCCGGGACGTTGGAATAGGAAGGCGATGAGAGAATTCCAGAGGATGATTCGATTCCGCGTGTCGAAGCTGTCGATCCGGGCGGAGGGCGTAGTTATGAACCGGATGAGAACTTGACAAGCGAGATGTAGTCGGATATCTGTATAGTCGCGAGTCCTCGGACATACAGAGACTCGGTGCAGTTGACTTGTGTGATACTGCGTGGTACGCGCAACGCCTGTTTGTCTATCAGGCACAGGCACTTGACCAACACTGTCCTCAAATCTGGGGAACTTGGAAGACGTTGCCACAAGCCACTAGGCTCCTCTTTAAAAGACATGGCAGAAGGAACTAACGAGTGTACCACGCTTATCTTCGCAACTTGAAGCTTATACAGAAAGTTTCCACAAGTAGGAGGACTGCAATTTCATGGAGAACGAAAACGTGTTACCCTGCACAATAAGGAACAGGTAGAGTACATCGAAAAGTTTGTCAATACACAGAAATTATAAAGAGACCCATCGAGCCAACTTATAATGACAGGTGGTAATCTATTTATCGAGGTGAGCGGGGAAGTTGCCAGCCTCTGTTATTGTCCGGATAGTTAGCAAGGTGAAATCCTCAATCAGTGTTCTGGGAGTCGATTTTCACGTACCACGCTGACCATCCCAGCGGTCGGTCCAAGCCTTGGGGCAGAGCGAGCGGAAAGCGTGGTAGAACTAAAGCATCGTCAGAGGTCATGCTCATTCGCTCATCGGTTTGTTGACCTTGACGTACCTGACGGCAAGGGCGGAAGTCCTCGCCCTTGGCGTTCACGCACTTGTAGTAGTCGACATAGTTCTGCCAGCAGTGCTTGGTCCTGGAAAAGGGCGCAAACGGGTCAACTTTAAATCATAAATTGCTTTTCGAACTGGAGACGCACTGGTTCTGCTGAGGGAAACGGGCATCGAAGCCTGTAGCCGAAGAGTGAAGACGTTAGATGTCCAATATCTCAATTCGGGTCGGGAGGAGGTTCGCTTGCGCCAATTCTTGTGGCGCAACCTCGCTTGGTCAGAAATCCAAGACGATCAAACGTACCAGCTATAAGAATAAATGAGCAAAGAGTCCCATAACCAGCCAATTGACTCTGTCGTCGGCCGGAGGAAGAGGGGGATGGGGCGTGGACTTACCAGTGACGAACTTGAAGGGCTTAACCTCAACAGGCTCATCGGGGTCAGCTTCCGGAATGAAACCCATTTTTTTCGATTGTGAAGCTTCTCTGAGACGAACGGGAAACAACAATGGGGAGATTTGCGGGGTTGAACGCTGGGTTGTCGAAGAGGCAATTGGAGAAGAAGTGCAAAGAGTCGAGGTTGGGTGATTCAAAGCTCGTGCCGGGTATGACCGGGCGGTCAAGCGAGAGCCACTGAGGGATTGGCTGGGGCAAAGCCGCAGACGGTCTTGGGAATACGGCCTTTGCTCTCCCATTCCTATCCCACTCCTCGACGACTCTCTCGCAGCCTCGCTTTTACCTCCCGCAACTAACCCCGTCCCTATATCACCATGTATCCTTCCCGTGCTCTGCGCATGCAGCCCACCCGGGCTTTCTTCAACCCTGCTCCTGTAAGTTGATCACTCGCGCCGCCAGCCCTCGGTCGCTCGGTCGCTCGGTCGCTCGGTTGGGTTGGTCTCGTATGATTCATTTCGGCAAGACGCTAACTACCGTCTGCAGAAGGAGGCTCACAGCGGTAAGATTCGCCTGCATTCTTTCCCTAATGATATCATGATTGGTGCAAGCCCAGCTATTTGGCCGAGAATGAGATGGGGGGTATTCTATGAAGAAAAAGGACATGGAACCTGACCGACGGTCTTGCAGCCCACACTATCTCTCAGCGTCTGCGCCTGATCAAGAAGTGTCCTCCCGAGTTGATCCCTCTTGGTACGTCCATTTTCTAATCATTTCCGAGAAAAGTGCATCTCTTCTGACTTCTTGATTCTTTCTCAGGTATCGTTCTGGGGTAAGTTTCCACCTGATATCATCCGTCCGCGTGGTGTTTGCGACGCATTTTTCCAACCCTCTCTGCTCGTACCGCCGTCCCAAAGTGGAAAGCTCAACGAGGCCCTATTGACTAACAAATCCACTCAGTGTTGCCGTCGGTGCTGCCATCTACTCCAGCACCAAGAAGCTCATGACCGACAAGACCCTGCGTCTCTACCGCAACAGCCCTGAGAGCCGCGAGCACTAAATGCGCCTCCATGTCTTTTGAGCCTCCACAAATGTCATACCTACCCTCATATCATCTTGCCGCATGTATTATTTTTCTTTGTGAGTGGGACCACGGGTCCCGGTAAGGTAGACAGGGGAATTGACAGAAAAACGAGGACGTGACCTGAGCCCAGCAAGTATGTTTGTATTTAGCCTTGATTCATGCCCTCTTTCCAATTGAGATTGAATTCGTCAAGTGCAATTCTTTCGAAGAGGGTTGGGTGCTGCAAATGACTGTGACTATGGCTGTCAGTCATTGAAAGATTTCATTCCGGGTTAGGCCCTGCGACATCAAGCTGCTCAAGCCCTTGCATGGGATCCTGTGGTCGGTTGCTGGCCTGTCGCGCTTCTTCAGCGGCTTGCCTATCCTCTTCATCAACTGCATGCTTAGCGAGATAGCCCTCCTAGCAAATGGTAATATAGAGTCAGTAATCTTCGACGCAATTAGGGTATAAGCATATCGACTCATCGAGTACACGTACTTGCTCCCAGATAGCGGTCTTGCTACCGAGCCCTTCATTGGCATCCTTTTGAGGCTTGGCGGCTGCAACTTTGATCGTTCGCCCGTAGATCTCACTACCGTCCATGTTGTCGATCGCTTCCTTTGCATCCTGAGGAAGGTCGAATTCGACGTATCCGAAACCACGATGCGTTTCGCCAGAGTTGTGTGCATCTGCTTTGGGCAGAGTAATATCGACCACTTCGCCGAAAGGAATGAAGGCCTCAGCTAACGTCTGACTTGTCACAGCCGAGTCAAGTCCACCAACGTAAATCGTGCTCTTGAGCCTTGTACTTTCGCTCATGTTGAACTCAGGTGGGCAAGTGGGCCTCTCCAACAGTCTTTTAATTTCTCCAAAAAACCCTCCAAGGCAGCAAGCTCCGGCTCTGGTTCGATCCCAAGTGTGTGTAGTGTGTACTGTGTAGATGCAGCCAATTATGAAAGGGCTCTTCTAGCGCGGTTACCGTGCACTATAAAGATTAAAGTGTCTGGCTTCAAAGTCTCGATGCACGCTTCCGCGCAGATGAGAGCTTGATATCACGTGCGACAAGCCTCGGGGAGTGTGTTTTGGCGAGAGCCTAAGTGGGTTTAGCGCGGGTTCCCCGGTCCCTCCAAGTCCAGGAGGCCACTTGGTTTACTTCGGCCAGTTAAGCATCACACCCCCCGTCGTCAATATCATACAGGGGTGGGTTCGCATTCATTGCTTCGACAGAGCACTGCACGTTTCACGGCTTTGAAATTTACCCCCTATACTATCTTTCTCAGCCATCATGGTCCGTCTGCGGGAGATCCCAAGGACGGCCACCTTTGCTTGGTCTCCTGGAGCTGCATCACCATTGATCGCAACCGGAACCCGAGCGGGTGCCGTCGACGTTGATTTCTCAAACAAGACATGTCTAGAGCTCTGGGATCTGGGCTTGGATCGTGAAGATGCAAGCGAGGAACTTCAACCAATTGCTAAGATCGATACCGACTCTGGGTAAGCTATGCCAAGCTTTATGTTGTAGCTCAATGCTGACGTTGCCATTTGTTCTAAAGCTTCAATGATCTTGCCTGGACGCGATCTGAAGACACCAAACGTGGTATCATCGCCGGTGGATTGGAAAATGGCGCTTTGGATTTGTGGAACGCCGACAGCTTGCTTGCTGGATCTAGGTATGTTATGCTGCAATCTGGTTCCTTGGAAATGCCCCGCTAATACCTTGTCCCTAGTGAATCTCTCATCTCGAGGACCACGAAGCACTGTGGCGCAATCAAAGCTCTTCAATTCAACCCCAAGCACTCCAACCTTCTTGCGACCGGTGGCGCGAAAGGCGAGCTCTTTATTTCAGACCTCAACAACATGGAGAATCCGTTCCGATTAGGCACCGCTGCAGCCCGTACAGATGATATCGAATGTCTAGACTGGAATAAGAAGGTGGCACACATCCTCGTCACTGGCAGCAGTGCTGGCTTCGTGACTGTATGGGACGTCAAGACTAAGAAGGAGAGCTTGACGTTGAACAATATGGGACGAAAGGCCGTGAGCGCGGTTGCTTGGGATCCTGCTAAGGTACAACATTCTTTCTCGGAGCATAGGTCATTGTGGAAGGAATGATGACTGACCATACTGCCACAGCCCACCAAGCTCATTACCGCCACTCCTCTTGAGTCGGACCCTTTGATCTACGTGTGGGATCTGCGAAACTCACACGCACCTGAGCGCGTAAGAAGCTAAATACCTCTCTCACCGTCGGATCTGAACTGACCAAATATTTGCCAATAGACATTGAAAGGCCACGACTCTGGAGTTCTCTCACTCTCATGGTGTGACCAGGATCCGGATTTGATGCTATCATCTGGTAAAGACAACCGCAATATCTGCTGGAACCCACAGACGGGTGAGGCATACGGCGAATTCCCCGTCGTCACCAATTGGACTTTCCAAACACGTTGGAACCCCCACAATCCCAACTTCTTCGCGACTGCCTCCTTTGACGGAAGAATCTCCGTCCAGACTCTGCAGAACACCAAGGATAACACTCAAGCCATTGCCGACCACAATCAGAATCTCGATGGCGAAGACTTCTTTGCCAAAGCTCAAACTCAGCCTCAAGTCTCGAGATTCTCTCTCCCAAAGCCGCCCAAATGGCTCGAGCGTCCCTGTGGTGCTTCATTCGGCTTTGGTGGTCGCGTTGTGTCTGTTGGTCTGACAGAAAAGGGCTCCAGAAACTCGAAAGTCACAATCACTCCATTTGAGGTTGACTCCACCGTGGGAAATGCTACAGAGGTCTTTGAAACAGCCTTGAAGGATGGAGATCTCAAGAATCTCTGCGAGACCCGCGCTGCTGGAGCTTCAACCGAAGAGGAAAAAGCCGACTGGAAGGTGATTCAGACTTTGCTTTCTGAGAACCCCCGCAAGGGCCTTGTGGAGTACCTGGGTTTCAATGATTCGACCGAGGAAGCTACGGAAAAACTTTCTGAGCCTGGTATGGACAAGGCAGCCGAGGGAGAGACCACCGTGGTCGCTGACGACTCCAAGCCCGGCGTCAAGAAGCATAAGCGACTGCAATCCATGTTCGACGCGACGCCCGACAGCGATGACTTTTTGACGGAGCTTGCCGCGTCGAAGGGCGTCCAGACAAACAACCCCTTCCACATCTTCAGCGGTTCGGAAACTTCTGCCGAAAAGAAGATTACTCGCTCCTTGCTCCTTGGCGAGTTCGAGAAAGCGCTCGATGTGGCTCTCGCCGAAGATCGCATGTCTGATGCTTTCATGATTGCCATTTGCGGTGGCCAGAAATGCATTGAAAAGGCTCAAGAGCACTATTTCACAAAGCAAGCCGGCGGACCTAATTACATGCGCCTTTTGGCTTCGATTGTCGGCAAGAACCTTTGGGATGTTGTGCACAATGCCGACTTGTCCAACTGGAAGGAGGTCATGGCTGCGCTGTGCACCTTCGCTGACGAGAAGGAATTCCCTGACTTGTGTGAAGCTCTTGGCGACCGTCTTGAGGAGCAAATCCGAGTCTCGGGTGACAACACTGCGCGCAAGGACGCTTCATTCTGTTTCTTGGCTGGCTCTAAACTGGAGAAGGTTGTGTCGATCTGGGTTCAGGAATTGCGAGAGAATGAGCAGCGCGGAATTGAAAGTGGCGAAGATAACAGCAGCTTCTCCATTCACGTTCGTGCTCTTCAGAGCTTGATTGAGAAAGTCACAATTTTCCGGCAGGTCACCAAGTTCCAGGACTCAGAGAAGTCAAAGGATTCCGATTGGCGGCTGAGCACTCTGTACGAAAAGTATATCGAGTACGCTGATGTCGTGGCCACACATGGCCGACTGCAAGTCGCTCAAAAATACCTGGACCTTGTTCCTGAGAAGCATCCCGAAGCAGAAGTGGCGCGCAACCGCATCAATTTGGCCATGCGACAGGCACCGCAGCAGAGACAGGCCGCCGCGACTCATGCGCAGACTTCCAAATCTCTACCAGCCCAACCGAACATTTATCAGCCCTCACAGCCCTTCGCTCCGGCGTCTGCCTCTCTTGGTGCGCCTAATCCTTATGCTCCATCGGCACCCGCTGTCGCTCCAGTACAGCCACCTGTCAACCCTTATGCAGCCGCCACTCCAGCACAGCCTGCGAACCCGTACGCTGCCATCGGTGGTGGTCCTGCGGCTGCTGCGACTCGCGGCGGTTACACACCATCTGGATACCAGCCAACTCAGCCCATGCCGCCACCATCCTATGGTCCACAGTCTACTTTCGGTGGCTCGGCTCCTGGTGGCGTACCTCCTCCCCCTCGTGCAGGTACCCAGTCACCAGGTAAGACCATCACTACATACACTACGGCTACTGGCCTTCCCGGTTGGAATGATCTGCCCGAGGGCTTTGCTAAGAAGGCTCCAACCCCGCGTCGCGGTACGCCTACGGCTGGGCCAGCTGTCAGCTCTCCGTTCACTGTGCACTCTCCTCCATTTGCACAAGGGCCCCAAGTCCCTGGGACTCCCCCTCCAGGCCCTCACCGCACGCCCTCAGTTCCACCTCCACCTAAGGCTGGTGCTCTCCCTCCCGCGCGTGTGACCTCGCCGCTGGCATCAGGCATGCCCGGACTGTCGCCCCCTCCTCCGGCCAATCCTTATGCCTCTTTGCCTCAGCCTCCTTCTGGGTCGGCCATGTCTCCCCCTTCCGCATCGATCCCGCGCGGTCCATCTCCGTACAATGCCCCGCCTAGTATGCCACCCCCGACAAACCGGTATGCTCCAAGCCCTGCCGCTCAAGCCGGGGGCCCTCAGCTACACAGCCGTGGTCCCGTGGCACCTCCACCTCCTGGGGGTCCCTCGCCTTATGCCCCGCAGGCAGCAGCCCCTCCTTCAGTAGCAAGCCCCTACGCTCCCAGTGGACCAACTGCTGTTCAGCCGCCTCCAATGGCCTCATCGGGGGTACCGCCTCCTCCCCAGGGATCTCGGCCAGGCACAGCCCAGTCTCAACGGGCAGCGGCACCTCCTCCACCGGCGACACCTAAATACCGTAAGTGAGATGATTCCAAGCGTTTCGGGTTGAGACACTAATATTGATATTGTATAGCTCCTGGTGATCGATCCCACATACCTCCCAACGCTATGCCTGTTTATGAAATTCTTTCCGCGGACATGCAACGTGTTAAAGCACGTGCACCTTCATCGTTCAAGGCCCAGGTTGATGACGCTGAACGCCGCTTGAACATTTTGTTCGATCACTTGAATAACGAGGATTTGCTCAAGCCTAACACTGTTGAGGATTTGGCCAATCTCGCTCGTGCAATCCAGTCTAAGGACTACGAAACGGCCCGTGTCATCCATCTCGATATCATGACTAATAGAACGGAAGAGTGTGGCAATTGGATGGTAAGCGAATATCTACACCGGTCCTCAATCAAACTCCAACTGACATGTGACACTTCAGGTTGGCGTCAAACGTCTGATCAGCATGAGCAAGGCCACTCCATGATTTCTCCTATGTTGATCCCGTTGTTTCACGAGTTATCTTCGCACTATGTCCTTATTTTCAGTGATTTGAATATGTCTTCCAAGTAGCGCTTTGCTTCAATTTCCCTTTTACCCTCTCTCTCTTTCCACCCCTAACAAACCTCAGGTCCACTTTGCCCTCCCGCTTTGGCCTCCTGGAATATAAGCATCCACCTATGTGACGAAAAAATAAAGGCCCTTTTATCATTTTTACGAACTTTTCAGACGCTACTTCATAGACATGTACCTCGATGCGTTGTCTTATAGAGACTCGGGATAGATCAGGCCCGGAATTAGCACAAAAGTGCGCTTCATATTATGGACACAGTGGCTTTCTGACATTCACAACACGAATGTATTCTGAAAATCATTAGAACAGAAGTTGGTCTTCCAACCGCACAAGTCCCATGTGCAAACTTTCGTTACAGGTGGCGACTTAGTACGTTGTGAAAAGCTGCCCCGTCCGCATAAGGTGATCATGACCTGCCACCAACTGACAAAGCAGTCCCAACCCTGCCACCGCGGCTAGCCGGGAAATTCCTCGCGCTCAGCAGCGCCCCTTTGACCCCCCGAATCTCGGTCTTGAACGCCGCAATAGCGTCTTCCTCGGACTTTCGCACGCCTGAACTACCCGACGATGTGTTTCCAGTGTGCCCCGAGTACAACCCACCGAATCCCGGTGAGGTGGTGTAAGTTGGCCCCGCATATATCAAGCCATCCAGGTAGTGAGACAGGTCTGTGAGACGAGCGCGCATCGAGTCCTCCAAGCTGCCGGACTCTCCGTCGAATTTGTTGATTTCCTTCAGGGAAGATTGAATTGATTCAAGGCGGCTGATATGCTTGTTGACGGCCAAGGTGGCTGGATTTGCAGCTCCGTCTGCAGTATCTTTGACTGATGGGGAAATGGATCCGCTTGACACATCGGGCGTTGTTTGGGTGCCCATGTCTCGATGAAATAACTCTGTCGGATCTGAGGCTATGGAATCGTTGTCATCCATATCCTGCTGACCCAGAAGCTTCTGCACTTTCAAATGCGCAGGAACAACAGAGACTGTTTGTTCAAGCTTCTCGTTGAGCTTTTGAAGATTCTTCTTGGCGGTGTTGGAAAGATCAAGTCTTGCCTCGGTGAGATTCTTGAGCATCGGTTTGACGAGGTATTCACTGGCTCCATAGATACTGGCGCCGAGGCCAGTAGCCCCATAAATTGTGTAGAGGACCCGGCTCATGGTGACGAGGGGCGGTGGTTTGGCTGGTTGGAACAGAAATTCAGGATAGGTGATGATCGGGGGTACATCGCGGGCTATCGAAGGGGGAGCAGTAGAAGCAACGGCTGTCTGCGTGCTAGTAGGGGTCGATATGGAGGATATTTCGCTTTGAGTAGTTGGTGAAGGTGAAGATTTCGGCGGTGCTTGTGCGCCCGGTTGAGGATCGGCTCCTCTCGAATCGCTCCCATCCAGATTGCGGGACACGCCGAGAAGTTGTTGAATTTCCGCAGATGTTAAACCTTTTGACTCGAGGAAACTGATCTTCCGATCAGTTGGGGCATCACGTATCGAGTCATCCTCGAGGAACTTGGACGCTTGGTCAAGAAGCTCTTGCCTTGCCACAGGCGCGGGTGTTTCCTCGGAGTTCGGCGATGATGACAACGGAGATTGTTCGGCAGGCTCTGACCCTGCTTGTTTCTGCCAGGATGGAATTACTGGTGACTTTGATTCTGGGTCAGACATATCTTATAAGCGTCAAGCTTGAAGCTCAGGAATTAGCTGAGAGACTGAGGCAGCGAGGTGTTGTGGGAGAGGGTGGAAGCGCAGAACACATTTCCCCGGACTTTCGGGCGGCTCCATATGAGACCGACCTCGGCTGTCATGCGGGCCCGGTTCAGCTGACCGAAAACCGTTCCTCACGCCTTCACCACTTCAAGGCCGCTTTCTGTGCTTGTGGAGCCCATTGATTTCTATGCTTATGACGCCAACATAAAACGGAACCCGGTCTCTCCATTACGTCTTCTCTGTCTTGAGCGCATTTCCTCTGAATTACACTCATAGGTCAAAGTCTCACCCAACCTCTCATCGGAGACTGGCGACGCAATGGTTCCATACTCCTGGAGTCTGGTTGGCAACCCAATTCCAGACTGACGTGTATCGAAAGAGATTGTAGAGCACCGGAATCCACACTCGGCATTTCTATTTTGCCTGATAAAGCAGCTGCATGCTGTCTGCTACCTGTAGGTGATAATAGATCCAGACCAAAGGAAGCTTAACAGCCAGGGCGTCTACAGCCTCTACGACCGCCCGGCAGAAAGGCGGTGATTAGTTTATTCGTTCGCCGTGTGGGCTCACCGCGAAACAACATCAAAGGTTGATGAGCTAGTCAGACAAGTCAGGAAATCAAAGACACCGGTAAGTCTGATAATTTTTTTGCTGCATGCCAGTATGAGAGCTCTTCATTTGGTAACGACAATGGTGCATATCTTCACCTGCCAATCTTCTTTGTTTGCATATAGTGGTGGACAATGTGCCTTGGCGAGCACTCAACATCCCTGAGAGCCGCAGGCGCTTGATTCGCGAGACCTCAACATGACGCCGAGAACAGGCCTGAGGGCGCTGCGTCCTCCCGGTTTGTACAGCGTGTCTGTCATCCGGACTCTCAAGGCCAAGCGTCGTCAGGATGTTGTTCAGCCCCGCTTACTTTTTGATGCACATCTGCCCATTTAATCGAAGCAAGCATTGTCACTCTCTGGTCATCTTCGATTCCTTCCCACATCTTCACTGCCTCATCTAAGACGCCCAAACTTCTGAATTATCAATATACCTTGCTCTCTTCTCGATTTCATTATGAGGCTTCGTCCCCGCCGATCGCGGATGTCTTCACATCGAGAACCAGGAATGGCGGCTGACTGGAACACTAGATTCACAAGATTGACACGTGCTTCTGCGGCGCAAGTCTCAGGTTCTGTGGCAGTCTCTCATTCGCCTGAGAAAATTCTAAGGGAAACAACAAAGGTCCTTCGTCTGACTCTCAAGATGCCCACTGGCAAAGGGCGCGAGCCTGTGGGCGGCCGTGCCGCTCGTCGCACAGTCAATGTCTTCCAGGAGAATCCTATTGTGGAGGGCCCCCGAGCCAGCCGCAACAAGAGGAAGATCGTAGAAGTTCCCACCTCCGAAGAAGAGGATGAGGATGACGACCTCGGAGATCAAGAAGAGGATGAAGTTGATGATGACGAGGATGCCCCCGGTGAGGACGATGAGGACGCTGACGCCGATGGTGATATTGATATGGATGATATGCCTCCGCAGCCGGCCGTGAAGCGTTCCCTGAAAGCTTCCACAAGTCGGGTCAAGGGTGCGAAGAGTGTCGAGGAGAAGGAGATGGAGATGGAAGATGATGACGATGATGACGATGAGCTTGATGAGGATGATGATGATGACGAGCCTCTATCTGACACGGATTTGGATGCTGAAGGAGAGCCTGACGATCTGGACGAAAGTGCAGTACCAGACGTCAATGCCAACGGTCTCGATGAAGAAGATGAGGAGGACGAGCTCGATGATGACATGGACAGTGATGGAACGGGCACAAATCTGGGAAAGACTACCAAGCGCCAGCGCGGCAATCTGGGCAACGACTTCCTTCAATTGCCTATGGGTAAGGAACAGCCAGAGCTTAAGCAGCCTTTTGTCGCACAGAATCCCCATGCTAATCTTTACCAGAGCCGCAAGTCAAGAAGCACCTCACGGCCGAAGAGCGAGCCATGCGACGAGCTGAGATGGCCCGTCGACGAAAGAACTTGAGCGAGAAGCGCAACGAGGAAGAAAAGGTGTGGATTGTTCATTATATCTCTGTGACGTGCAGATGAGCCATGACTGACTCGTACCAGATGGACACCATCAATCGACTCCTAAACAAGCAACCGCCAAAGCGCCGCGGTCGACAAGCCGCGGGTGATGGCACCGATGCCACACCGGCTGACCAGGAACCCACCGAGCCTGCCAAGTGTGATCCAACAATGGTCCGTTGGACGAGCAACAAAGACGGATGCCGCCTCTATGTGCCCGAAGAATGGCTGGGCACCCCGGCAGGTCGACTCTTTGGACCATCCGTCTCTGGAAGTCAGAGTGGAAAACTGGTGGAGGAGATCTGAGCTCTTGGCTCAATGTGAGGAAACATCGATTGGGGATCAGGCGCATTGGAGGTCATCTGGTTGGGACTATAAAGACACGGCTTTGAGCGGCGAACACACATCTTTTTTGTTCTGAGGAGACAACTGGCGTTATGAATATTATGGATGAGTACTTATGTTATATTTCATCTGCTGTGTTTATTTACATGGTGAATTAACAAGAGCTTCGACTCGTCTCATTTGCACGGCCCTTGAGTAGCTATACGGAAAGATATGTTTGCTAAGGGCTGACAATCTTCAAACAAGGGAGAGGCGCCCGGCCCCATCACCTGCCTTGCGAACCGATCCATACAGATGCGTGGCAAAAGAGACGGCCCTAAAGAGCAGCTCAAGTGCTCTGACTGAGTCCTCGATCGGCTATTTCTAGGCTCTTGTTTTCCAGCGCTATTGGAAGCAGCAGACATTTAGACTTATGGGCCGCGATCTAGAGCCCAAGATCCTCTGGCCTGACTTGTGTTGGCCGATCATGCGTGATCGACATCATTTCCCCGATTTGCCAGCGTCCCGAGGACTGCTGGTAGCGATATCTGAGAGCGCACTTTGCCTGCTTGAAGCAGAGCTTGCAATAGGTGTTTCCATAGATTTCTGTGTCTTTTCCACGGACATCTGCTGGAGGGTTGGCTGGAAGGTGTAATAGCCTGGAGGCAAATCTTGGTTAGCATGAGTCGGCACGCAGACAATAGAGCTATGGCCAGATGTGCTACAGACCAGTGAAAACACCAACACCAATTGCCATTACGACAGGGAAAAAATTGCGACTCATGTTGTGTCGTTTGTCACTCGCCCCCGATTGCTCCAAGGAAGAGGAAGGATGAAGTGCTCTATCTCGAGGCGGAGACGCTGCGGGAATCCACCTGCACGCCTTATCGACCACCTGATAAGCAAGCCCGATAGCAGATTAGAGGCGCGTCTTACCCAAATTGGTCTCGAGTCGACGCGTAAAGCACTTCTCGTCTGGCCAGGGCCATCATGAAGTTGAGTGACCAGTCTTTGCAGCTTGGCTTCTCGCGCCTTTTCTAAGATTGCGCAATTCTCGCAAATCTTTCCAGCAAATCGCCCCCGTGATTCCTTAGAGACATGGGACACCCCCGCCGAGCATGCAAATGGAACCATGGCGGAAACGAGGGTTTGTCCCAGATTCAGACGAGGACGATGGCTTGGATTCCACCCCCGACACAGACAAGTCGGCGGTGGAGGGCCTCGATGAGGAACCCGATCTTGAATATATTACCCTTCCTCCGACGGATCCAGACCTCCCTCAGCCTCTTCCAACTCAGTCTTCGGAAGCGAGGGATGCCACGGCACCATCTGAAGACGCACACAATGTCGAAATATGGGAGGGATCCCAAGAACTCGGAAAACAAATATCATCACCTTCGAACAATATTACGTTGAGACAAGTGCCGGACTTTGACAAGACGAACGCATGGAAGCAGACTCCCTCGGAAGAAGCGTTGACAAATTCAAGGCGAAGAGCACGGACTTATGGTAAAAGACATTCGGCGGCACAGCCAACTGAGGACAAGACTCATGACCTTCAAGTCATTCTCCCGGACCTCGATCACGACATATGGGATATACCTAGCTCGCCCGCTGCTCAGAGCAGATTTCATCACCAGGCCGAGAAGCAAAGAGCAAGCCTGAATACCGCTCGAGTCGTGCCCAGCTCAGAACCCCGGGCTATTGGATCGTTCAATTCACAAACCAGACAGCCGAGCTCACGCAGCTCTTCTCCGGACGAGCTAGCTTTTATCATACCGCCGTCAAGAGTGACCGCAACTCAGATCCCTGCTGAGGATGAGAATACCAGACCGCGAGTAATATCCGACGATGACTCTCCATTATCTTCCCCCCTTCCTCGCTCGAATCACTGCCGCTGGAACTTGAGAAGTCTCCAACGACTGCGTCATTCTTGAACTCTCGGCCCCTGGGGAGCGAACCAAATTTACAAGATGCTGAGCCTCCCAGGCAAGATTTCACTGAACAGTTTCCCCTTGTGCGAAGGGCTTTTCGGGAGCGCAATGCCATTCAATTACATCCTTACGCACTCGAAATGGCAAAGTATCAAAGACTGATGCAGGAGCGTGGAATCAGACCCGTTCGAACAGTCGCTGCAACTGAGAAAGGCTCACGTAACGAAGCAACAGATGAAAGCCAGGAGCAGGATGATTTCAACCCAGCCAATCTTTGTTCTAGTCCTCCCCCAGAGGAGTTCATCCAGCCGAGAAAAACCTCACGGCGCGATGATACTGGACGAGCCCCGCAACAACATCGAGCAAACGACCACAGAAAGCTTGCTATCCAAAGGTCCAGCTCTCAAAAACGAAGGAAGACAACGCACTCGACGAGCAATCATGGGATTGGTCAAACTCCGGGAAATTCTGATAGGCCAAATCTTGTCGTTAGTGTTGACAGCACGCCTCGGGTACAAGATCCACGGTCTCCTTTCGATAACAGCCCGTCGCAGGCAAGAAATCTCGTCTCTTCTCTTAGAACTCTCAAGAGCCTTGGTCAGCGCGAGCTCACTCCACCGACAACTATGACAATCAGTGTCGATTCCGACTCTGGCGAGATAGTAACACCGATAGCTCGAGGGGATCAGAGCAACGCCAAGAACACATATGATATAGTGTCACTGTTCGATAACGATGATATTTTTGACTCTGATGAAAGTCATCAGTCGTTTACGGATCACGAGGAAGAGCCTGAGGATCGACTGATTCGTGACCTGCAAAAAAAGACTCGCGGTGTTTTACCTGCTTCTTGGGTTCGCTTGAACGCTGAACAGACCAGCGATCGACAAGCCGCGCAAAGAGCTCGCCGTGAACTCGCGATCTCCAGGACGGAAGGCAAAGGCGTAGCCAAGAAGATCAGTCGAAAGCTTGGTTCAACCCCAGGCGCCCAAACTCAGTCGAGTCGTGCCTTTTTCGACCTTGGAGACGCCGAAGAGACCGAGAATGAAAGCTCCGATCACAATCAAAGTGTGAGAAATCCGGTGTCAAGAAAGAGCAAAATCGACAGGCAATTGGGGCAAAGGGTGCAACGAAACAATTTTTCTCCTGTAGAGGGAGACGACATGGAGGACAATCGCATTGATTACATGCTGGCGCCGATGTCTCGCAGGGAGTCTGGCCCGGGGCCTGCTCGAGGATTGAAGCGTGTCAAATCAAAGGAAAGTGCGGATCAAAAGGAACGTCGGCTGAAGAGAGCACGCCTTCAAAGACAAACAAGGCTTACTGATTCTTCCTATGGTGGACGACGCACAGAGAGATCATCTCCACGAGTGTCACGGCGACGAGGCATCTTAGATGCTCTTGACGTCGCTGATCGGCCTCGCGCGGAACAGCCTCAATTTTTGCGAGTAGCTGCTAGGCGCGCTCGAGCACGTCGAGATCAGGGACGTCAAAGCCCTACCCAGAAGTTCGTGCAGCTGAGTTCAAGACAAGACACAATTGACGCCAATCAATCATTGCGTGACTGGAAGAGAGGGGCAATACCACGAAGTAAGACAAGCAAAGTCAACTCAGAGTCTCGCAAGCCCCAGGGGGCCAAAGGTCTTCAGGGTGGTAGGCGCAACCTCGCTACTCCGGCTCAAGGTTGTCACATCACGAAACACTTCAAGCGCGACACGCCTGAGCACGTTTCAAACACAGATATGCTGCCTTCGCCTAACGAACCCTCGGCACATGCTCGTTCGATCGCTACTGAGTCTGCTCCGCCTGCAGCTGAAAATGTAAATGGGGCTCCATCAGCGCAAGCAGCCCGCGAGGGTCGCCAGTGGGTCGTTGAGAGGCGGATGCCAATTATTTCATTGAGACGAAGTGATCCTCGACCGGCTCCCACAAGCCTCGCTGCGCCGATCGAGGCAGCGCCGCCTTCAAAGCAAGCATTCAGCCGCTCTCTACACCTGATAAATCGCAGTTTTCGAAGTGAGAAGGCATCTCGACCCTTCAAGTCTAGCCTGACCCTGGACCGTTATATCACCGACAAAGGCAGCCCAGCTTCTGGAAATCTCTCAGGGCGACTGCCGCTTGAGGTTGATACAAACTCGATTAATGCAAAGCCTGCTCCATTGCGTCGTGCGATGAAAAAGCAAAATCCAACTCGTCTTGACATCGAATCAGATGAGTACTTACAGTCTGAGAATGTGATAACCGCACTCCCCGATGACATTGATTCCGACTCGCCCACAATCACTCATGTTGCACCGACCTCAAAGGCATCCTTTAATGTTGCTGGAATCTTCAACTGGCAACGACAATATCCCATCGACTTCGACGTGCAACCTTTGCGGGAGGGAACATTTTTTCACGAGTCTACATTCATCGGCAGTGGGGAGCTGACTCGTTCCTTTCATGTTCTGAAACGGGACTTGGACACGACAGTGGGCTTTACGTCTATCGTGGCTGAGAATGAAACGTTTCACTGGGGACCGTGGAATGAACTGACATCCACACAAATGGGGGTTATCTTTGCAAATATCGCAGAGACTGTCCAAAGACACGCATCGTCTGTTCTTTCGGATGACAGAGGATCAGGCTTGCTGATGGCGGCTCATGCCTATCGATCAATCATTGATTATGTGACCACTCATCTATCATTCATCGACCCAGTCGACCGCATTGGCTTCACGTCGAGGGCAACTGCATTAGTTTCTTCGTTACAGGACTCAGTAGCCGCTTCTATCGCGGGACGGGTGAACACACAATCTGGTCTGGTGAGAATCGCGTGCTATAACGCGGTCTTTGCGAATCAAATCCGCCAAATGTCGATCCAGCCCTCCATTGTGAATCAGATGACACATAGTGTTGGAACTGTTGAAAATCTAATAAAGTTGAGTAGCGCCGACAGTCTTGCGCTAGTCATGTCTGATTCAGGGATGGTCGATATCCGACGGTTTGTGGAGGAGCATAACACGTCTGCGCAGCGAGAGACTGGCTTGCGCGACCAGTATCCTGCGGTGGAAGCATTCGTCATCCTCAAAATGTTGTTTCGCAACTCGGACGCTCTCGGTGAAGCGTATCACGACCTTCAAAACGATGCATTGATCAAATATGTCGTCCATAACGACAAGAACATTGCACATCTTGAGGCTGGCTGGCGTCGCCTTTTCTCACTGCTTCCATTCAATGATTTTGACGATCATGGGATAGTTCGTCGTAAAACCCGTTCCCAATTTGCGCACGACAACTGGATGCTCGTCAAAAGGCTCGTGTCACCGGTGCTAGCAAGCTACGGGACTTGCTCTGCAGTGCAGCCCATTTCCTTCAATCTCTACTGTCGCGCAATATTCCAGAGATGTCATCGTCTGATCAATCGCTGGGCCTGGAGAGAGTGCCGGCCGGTCTTGGATACTTTGTATGACTTCTTCGCTCAGAACAAACTCTACAATCTGAAGCTCGAAGAAAGCCGCGGATCTCCTTCATTCCTTGATCAACTTGATCAGAGCCCCTCCCTTGAACCACTGCCTGGTGAACCCTGCTTTCACACTCTCCTCAAAATCATTGCTAGCGGTCTTCGGTTCCTAGCCGAGAGATACGATCCGAAAAAGGTTCGCAATTTCGCGTGGCGGCTGCTGCCAAACCATGGTCGTGTGTTTCCAAAAGAGAAGCAGCTGTTACGTGAAGATCTTGACGCCCTGAGAAACCACCATGACCTTCTCTGTACCCTGTACTGGGTGATTCCAGCCGGTCTGCGTTTCAGGATTGAGATCATTAAAGATATTGTTCACCCAGCCAGCTCACACAACGAGACTTGTACTATCAATTTACGAGCATGGGCAAGACTTGTCCGGTTCAAATTGTCCACGAACGAAAATTTGGCTGAGTTGGAGCCATTCGCCACCTGGCACGCGTTCTTCCTCAGTGAGCTTCGACAACAACATTCCTTGGCAAGGAAAGAGGGAGAGTCCTTGGGCAAAACTGGCGAGCACGTCTCGCGGCAACTCATTGAAGCTAATATTGCGAACAACCAGCGGCCGATCGAGAATCTGCTTTCTGTTGCATTAAATGGCATGCAAAGTGCTATGGAACGAGCACATTCTCTTGAGCAAGCCTTGCGGCTCATCGCGAAAACGCCTTTTGACTCGCTTTTGGGACTTTTCAACCCTAAGCAAGCGCGAGTTAACGCCGTCGTTTCTGATGCGCTGAAGGTGATTGTCGCGTATATCAACAAAGACGCTGCTGTAAGTGCTGGCGTTCAAATGCCAAAATCGGCACCTGTAGTCGCACCTCAGCCAGAAGATGACAGTCAAGAATTTGAGGATGTTGACTGGGATGAAAGTCTTGACGATGCAGTCACGGCGCCCAATCAAACGAGTGAAGGTGTTGATCATGTTCAGAATGTTCTTCATTCGGCAGTCTTCAGGCTACTTTCGAACTGCTTTGGTGAAGATCAATGCCCTGAGGACTCGATTCTGACGGACATCGTAGATTGTTGGACGTCGGTTGCGCAAATCATGGTCTTCCACCAACTGAGACAATGGGACAATTATTTGGACCCAGTCAGCGTCGAATCATGGGCGAGTCTTCGAGACACAATTCAGACAAGGAAATTCACGCCGCGTTTTCTGGCCGCATGTATCGAGAAAGACAAGCGCATTCTCAAGGATAGCCGGGTACTCGTGACGAGTGCGTGGATTGCCTCACTGGTGGAGCGGACCTCGATGTTGAAGTTCCAACACCGTCTTACCGAGGCGATTTTGAACTGCAAGGTTGACGATCCGTTGCTGCAAAATCTGCCGTTTGCTGTTGAGAAGAAGAGCAATCGTTATACGATCAGTCTGGAAGATATGAGTCAGCGGCGAGTGTCCTTGCTGTCGAGCTTGTTGTCAAACATGCGTGGACATATCTTAAGGCTCGAAGTGGTCGCCAGCCCTGATATGAACGTTGTCCGGCACGATTACTCGGAAATACTGAGGAGATTGATGATGGCAATGCGAAGTAACTATCAAGAGCTCGGAAGCGGTCCAGACGGAAATGCACATGGTGCCTATGTCGAATTTGTCCACCGCATCATCACGTACTTGCAAGAGCTCACCAGCGACATTCGCCCCGTCGATCCATTCTTCACCGATCCAGCTGTGTTTCCATTGCCCTCCTCTGATCCACGCTACGTTGTTGCAAAGCTGAAACGCTATGAGCCAAAATTGTCGTCCAGCAAGGAACTTCAAACTCTGGCAGTGTTCATACAAAGCATCGTAGAGAGAGCAACTATGGACGGTCAGCAAGACCAACTCGTCGGTCAGCTCCATTCAGCTATGAGAGAAAGCTATGAATCGGGCACGAATACGAATCCCACTCTGCGTGCTGTCCTTCTGCAATGTGTGTTCCCAGCTTACATTGAGCTCATGTTCAGCACCACAACTGCCTGGTTGCTCAGCATGCCTTTGCTCAAGAGCGTCTCGCTCGTGTTCGACGATTTGCTCTTCAGTATGGACACAACGGACTCGCTGTGCGTCTCGTCAATACTGTGCATCTTCAATTCCGTGTTTCACTCAGTTTCACAGGCGCTCGGTCCTTTCACGAGCCGGCCAAGCAAACTTCAAGAACCCACGACCATAATCATGCTCACTGTCTTAGTTGACATGATCTCTTCCTCCCTTTCTGTGATCGACTACGTCGACCGCGTAACGGATGCAGCAGACAGTATTCTATCATACATCGACTGGTTCCGGGACTTCTTCGTCGCTGTTTCCGCATTGCAGGCCGAACGGAGTTTGGATGCTGCGGTCAGTGGATTCAGTATCTTGCCTATGGAGCCACCTCCCCACTTCTCGGCCAACGGTCTGTCTCCGCAACTAGCCACTGCCAGACGCTTTGCATTTGATGATCATCGCTTGTGTTTGGGAAATTGGTCTCACCATGATGGCAAATACTACTATAACCGTTCGGGCCACGATCCGAAGCTCGTGAATTTAGAGCCCACCCTTAGGGCTTCGCTGGAAGATGTGGGTGCAGTGAGACTTGATTTACAAGATGCAGTGTCTGACTTTGTGGCTCGAGTGAAGCAATTCGACTTGCTGTCGAAGTGAAAGCATCGAGTGCCATTTATTGTCATGGATATAGTCACCAGCATTCTCAGTTCTTCATCTAGAGATATCTTATTGCCACGGCAATTCGAGACTTGGTGAACCTTCTCTAAGCAAATTCCAAGGGATCCACAGGACGCTTTTCATTGTAAAACAAGAAATCTACTCCAGACAGCAATTCCGCCTTGATAGTGATCTTCTATCTAAGAATCATACAAGAGCCAACAATAGTTGCGTAATTAAAAAGCGTGTCAAGATGTCCAAGGTGATTAAACGTTCCAGATGGCCAGTGGCGACGACTGGCAGCTTGGCACACGCGTTACCACACAGCGGTAGCAGCTGCCAGGCACTACTTCCGGTCCAGTACGCGCACACATGGTTTAAGTACATGAGTAATGTGGTTGACAGAGTCAATAAAATGCACGCGTCCCTTTTTCCTCACACAAAAAGTCGCGCCAGATGCGTTGCTCAAAGGGATGTGATGCGAAGACAAGACAACGTCACATGTGTATGAATGAGTAAAAGATGTTTCGTAACTCGTCAGGATTGCATGACCCATTTGTCAGGCCCGAAAGTGATGCGCAACGCGAATCAACCGCTTCAAGCAGTGGTTCCATTGCCGTTGTTTTGGCTCGCACCAGGGTCCGGGTTATTTGAGCCACGGCGATGGAACGGATGAGTACTCATGTGGAACACCTTGCGCATCGCGTTAGTAATGCTGTTCTTTCGCCGTGACTGTGAGGACGCGGGAGCGGGCGAGTCTGCAGGGACTTTGGGGACTGAAGCATCGTCTTGAAGAACAATAGAGGTGACGGCCGGTTTGGGCGGCCACTGGCCATCTGCTTTCCATCCCTGGACCATTGCATTGGTCAAATCGGCCAGGTTGATGGGGATCGTGGGCGTCAGGCCCTGCACGACCACCTTGGAATAAATTGAAGGATAAATGGTGGGAGTGATGGTCGCGCGGACAGGGTTGGAATTAGAGATGAAAGGGGGAGCGACTGGAACAAGAGGCTCATCCAGCTCTTCGTCCTCTCCCTCCGAGTCTTGCTCGTCGCCCGAGTCCTTGTCATCGATCTGACCACCGTCACTGCGACTTGTCACCTTGAAAGTCTGTTCCGGCTCGGTGATACAGGTTTCTGTGGATTCTTTGCGCTGTTTCTCCTCGTCGGGTGCGGTGGACTGTTCTTCCTCTTGCTCCTGTCGAGGCAGCTGTGGCTCTGCCCTGTCCTTGTCAGTAACCGACGGATTCGACTCGGCCTTGTTCACCTCACTAGCCTCGATCGTGTTCGCGGCGTCCTTGGCCAGGGAGCTCGTTCCACCCGCATTTGCCGCATCGAGTCCGCCCTCTGCACCTGAGTTCTGACTATGCGTGACGGCAAGCTTGCGCGTCCGCTCACTAGCCCGAAGCTGACGCTGCGTTCTTGCGCCAGTCCACTCATCTCGTCTAGCCATCCACATTCGCAATCCCGCATTCCATTCCATTTCGTCGGCCATTCGTCGTCGACGTCTGCGCCGCCGTTCAATTTCCGTGATCCCTCCGGATCTTGAGGGTGAATGTGACTCTGAATCACTCTGATCCGACGATTGCGGGTCCAATTCTGGCCCTGCGCTGTCGAATTCCCTGCATCGCCATTCCATGACTCGGCGACCCTCACAGAGGGTTCCGTCGGTCAATGTGGGCGAGCTTGCAGGCCCCGGGCGGGTTCCGTCCGCGTATAATGTCGAATCAAAGGCCCAGTCATTTCGCACGATGCGACGAACGAAGAGCTTGACCTCCCGAATGGCCTCGTCGCGGTTCTCGAGCGACATCGCACCGGTTGGGTTCCCCTCTGAATTGGATCTAGGAGAGCGGACTGTCGTCTCGGCTGGTAGGTTGTTCGCGGTAGGAGGGCTGTGAGTTGACGATGGAGCGGGGTTGGGCAGAGGCAATGAGTCGATTAGCAAGGTCAGAGACTCAGCAAGATTCGCGCGTTTGCCAGAGCTTTGACCCAGAAGCCTGCATGCAGCCTTACAGGTCTAGTCGTGTGGGGTGAAATTGATCCCAAGAGAAAGGAACAAGGCCCGCTGGTACGATTAAGAGAAACTTGACAGGCTGGGCAGGTTCTGTGCCTTGGATGGTCAAGGTTTGCCGATCGCGACGGAGATCCACCGGTGGAGTCGAAAGGGATTCAGCGACGGAGGGTCTGCGGGATGATGGGATCAAATGTCATGGTGATGAAGGCACGTGCACGGTATCCGGATCCAATTTTCTGCGTTCGATAGCCACTTTTATCACCGTTGCTCGATGCTGATGGTCATGTGCATCATGCGTACGTCGCGTGAATGTTGTACAAAATTCTCGCATTAGCAATCTTGACTTCTTGGATGTTTTGAGTACCTCCAGCTGATTTCATTAGTCATCTATTTTACGCTGGAACGAGACTCCGGTAGTGAGCTCGATATATTTTCCATACAACACTCTGGAACTACGTCAGCTTAGGGCGCTTCCGCATATAGATCTCCATGTACTACCTACTCAGAGTCTAAGGTAGTCTATAAGGTAGGTCATTATACTACATCAATAGTACTAGGTTAGCGATGACCATAGCAAGTAGTCAGAGCTGACAAGAACCCTTCATTCGGACGGTATGGACATTTAAGAGTAAAGATGATATAACCCGGTCGAACTTCGGAAAGTGGACCGATGATAGATCTCTTATCTCGATGCCGTGCTATAAATAGGTAATGGAACCTTATCATACCCTATTTAAGCTATGAGCGACGTACATACACACAGCATACACCATCCATTCCAGTATGAAAAAGGTGCTACATATGGTCAAGCGGGCAACAAACCCAGTGGCACGGACCTTGACCTTTTTCTCCGCCAACGGGGGTTTACACAAGCTTGTGCTGTTGTACCAACCTTGAGTCTCTGACGCGAGGTCCCGCAATAAACTGGGTAGAGTCCAAAGTAAACCGGCAAATCTGTCGCTACTGCCCGGATCAGAGTACCAGAAGACTCTCCAGTCTCTGCAGTGTTAGTCTGTAGTTCCAACATTCTATGATTGTCCGAAGAAGATACAGCACCTCGTCTCCACTCCCATGCAGCAAACTGCACCACTGTAGCACCATAACCTGAATTTCCCCCCCTGCGAGACTTTCATCCCTCATGAGATTCATTTCTCTAGCTACCTTGGTGCTGGGAGCAACGATTAATCCCGGTTGACAATATATCTGTCGATGGACAATGCGCTAGGGTTGGGGTGCTTTAAGGGACCCGTACTGTGTCATGCTAGCTAGAAGGTATCTTACCGTAGCTTCGCTATGTACATTATACACAATGTACACTGTACAGTATGCCCGCGCCTCGGGTCAGGCTCCAAGACACGTCAACTTGATTTCAGCAAAGAACGGTGAATCGGTCGAGCAATCAACGGGGTACTATTGTGCCCGTTGGTAGACCTGAGAGCGCAATCCACTTGAGATCGAACCTTCAATTCTATCTTCTCAAACCGAAATCACCCTTGTCAGGCGATCACTAGTCTTCGAGTTACTACGTCTCATAGATGCTAACATCCCAAAAGCCGGCGCCTGCTGATGATTTGAGTGTAACTGGATGCTTATGGTGCATCGCTTATTTGCACGATTTACGCCGTTTCCAAGGGGCTAAGACAATACCTGGATACACTTTGATTGCGTTCCTGGCCCTAAGGTATCAGTACAAATGCATCCGACACGACGCACAGAATACTTCATGTGTCCTTGGACAGAGCAGAACATGTAAGTCGAGTTACTGGCTGGACGTGCACCTGGGAACGAACAAATTCAGTAAGGTAGTAAGTACTCCAACCGTTCATGTAGCAAGCTCATAGGGCCAAGGTACTGGTAGTGCTACTTTAGCCTTTACTTCGCGGTAGCTGATCTGCAGTTCTTAGGGACACGTGTCTAGATTTACGTAGTAGGCTACATGCTCGTAGTAATCCACGAGTCTGTGCTCATATCTTTTGACTAGTTTCAGCACCATTCACGAAATGTGCCTCATGACCTCACTGAAATTGCAGTCTTTCACTCTGCTCAGATTCGGCTCAGATTGTCACGAAAGATTCGTAAGAGTAGGTTCGTTCCCGGGTGCACTTAGTCTTACAGTATCATCGGCCGCCATCAACATATTTCACCGGTAACTCCTAAGTGCCAGGTCCTCAATTGGAAGTGGAAGCTTCAAAGGAAGTATGCTGCGCTAATTAACAAAATTTTCCATCGCACTCGTGAGCGATGTCGTATTCACACCTTGCGGATATTGGTACACGTCTATCATAGCATTAATGTTACAGGAATTTGAGAGTGCATTGGTGTCCAAGCGTATGAGCCCAAGGCATTCATGTGCGAACACGGGCAGTGTCTGTAGTAGGCTCTGATACCGATGGAGCGATGAATCCCCATCCAGGGCTTTTCTGACGACGACCCTTGCGATCACCGAATTGCTCATCAAATTTGCGGATCGCTGATAGCGAGGACATGTCCTCGCTGATTGATGCGCTGATCTCTTCCATACCACGGTCGAAATGGGCACGAGTGAGAGTCCGGCGAGCAGGATACTGGTAGGGCTCTTCACCTTGATGCTGTGCTGCCGCTTGGTTCTCTTCACGCACACAGGCTAGCGCAGCAGCGACGGAGAGGTTCTTCAGGTCGGAGCCAGAGTAGAGGGGCGTGCGGCGTGCCAGCTCGGCCAGGTCAACACTCGAGTCGAGTTGTTCGTCCTTGAGATGAATTCGAAGAATAGCATCACGATCCTGCTCGGTAGGGAGGTCCACCAGAAGTCTGCGTGCCAAACGTCGCAACACGGCATCATCAAGATCAAATGGTCTGTTCGTCGCGACCATGATCAAAGCGGACATCTCGTTCAGCCCATCCCACTCGCGAAGAAATTGATTGATCAGTTCGCGGTGAGATGTGCGGTTACTGGCACTGGTTCGAGAACAGAAGATGGCATCGGCTTCGTCAATGAACACCACACACGGGCTGAGTTTTTTGGCCAAAGTGAAAATGGCCTTCACGTTCTTTTCGCCTTCCCCGACGTACATGTCGTAGATTTCAGACCCACTGACTTCCAATACCGTGGCACCGCTCTCGCGCGCAACAGCTTTGGCCAGGAGCGTCTTACCGGTGCCCGGGGGGCCGTACAGAAGAAGACCGGGAATCTTGTCGGTGGCTAGGACACCATAGGTAAATGCTTCGGGACGCACGAGGGACATAGATGTTAATGTCTTTAGAGCGTCCACAGTCTCAGCTGGCACGTGAACATCGGCAAAAGTGGTTCGAATGCTCTGTGCATCAACAACGCCATTGAGCAATTTTTTTCGTGGGAATTGCACGTCTTGCGCAGAGAAGCCAACAGCTGTTCTCGACTTTGCCCACGATCGGAGTTCTTTGCTCTGGAAGCTTTGGCTTGCAACCAGTCGCTGGTGGCTCGATCCCCCTTGTCCATCAGATCTATGGCTCGTCGAATATGCGCAAGGCTGACGGGTTCACTCGGATCATCCGCGCTGCCAAGAGCAAGTGTGGTCACCCAGTGAACTTGGTTGTAAGACCAGAAACGATCTTGAATGCCGGATTGCTTGATGGCTTGTGCATCTAGTGGCCAGGAACGGCTCTTCAATAGATCGTCATGTACCGCCGGTGAGCTTCCATAAGTTCGCCAACGGAGCATGCTCTGGAGATGACGAATATTGATATCCATGGTTCGATTCTTCGAATCTTCCGCGAAGGTTTTCTCTACATCCTGCGCATCCATTGCGGGGATGACCACCAACGTCTTGGAGAAGCTATCATCGACCACGTTTTGTAAGAATCGAGTACCGTCATGGGAAACTGAAGGAAGCAAGTCTTGTGAAATGCTACCCACTAGCAGAACTCTGGAACCTGTGCGTCGGTAATTTTGAATGACCTTCTGGAGCAAAGAGATCGCTTTGGCGCCCTCTCTTGAGCTTTGAATATCTCGGTAGTCTTGGACATGCACAATGAGGTCGCGCGACAGGGCATATCTCTTTGGCTCATTTTTTGACCCAGGCGACTTTTCTCGAGAGTCTTCACACGCAGGCTCAGTCGATGATTTTGAGTCGGAGGCCAACGAGAGTGCCTCGTTGAGAAGGCGCGTCCACCGCGCCTCCGTACGCTGGCCAGATCCTCGTATCCCGCCTGCCTCATGGTCAGATTGGCCATTGATTGAGGCAACCAGCGACTTTAACCCCATCCAATTCGGCAATGAAACATCGCTCGAGTCTCGACTGGCTTCGATTGTGATGAACCGCGGCGTGCTGGCTTCTGGACGCATGCCTTGTCCTCCAGGGTAATCCACCATGTCCTCATCGGCCTCCGCTTCTCCTTCACTGGGCTCGGGCCAAGTAGTGGCCGGAGGTTGATGAACCTCGTAGCCAAGTGAACGAATGGCAGATGTCGCGCCAGCCTCGGCGAAATCCGCCTCGCTCAGAAGCTGAGCAATGTCCTGTGCATTGAGCGTGATTAAATTAGCGCTCAGCTTGCTAGCGATTTCCTGGACAATTGCATCTAAAAACAAGATGCCATCTGGGCCAGGATATTGAAGAACCAGGTGTGACTTCTTGGCCGACGGTTCGCGATCAAACTCCACTGGAGGAAGCCTCAGACCCGCTTTGGCAGATGCCATTAATTCATCCCATATCGCCTCAGTCAGAGCGTATCGATGTATTGAGTCTTTCGGCGTTCCATCTGTCGATGGATCATCGCCGCGGCCACCATTTGCCATGCGTTCCTGAGACGTCCAATTTTTTACGTCCTTGCTGTTGCAAATCGCAACATCGTGTTTGAATTGCGTACCAGCCGCGCCAACCGCGGGATCAAAGGTTCTCAAATTCCCTGCTTGAAACCAATCAGGGATGTTGGCCTCAACGGCCGGAGACTTCTGCTGTTGTTGACTATCCTGTTGCCTGTTTCTCAAGGCTCGGCGAACAGCAGACCCGTAAGGTCTCGTCATAGGGTTGTCCAGTCTTGTGGTTCTTGGTGAAGGGATCTCGAGCGAGAGGTTGTTCACATCGTCACTGGCAGCTGCAGAAGTATCCACCACATCTTCGACGTCGGGGATCGGACTTGTTTCATTTCGCGGATCGTTAGATGGTGCTGAGAGCCAGTGGCGGGACGCATGTATGTGTCGCGCAGGGACGGGATAGCGGCGACGGGCGACGAAGCGACAGGGGCGTACAATAGATCGCCATACTTGTGGTATTGACGCAATCATACGGGGCAGTAGTACTGACTCCAGCAGGCGTTGTTGCGTCTCAAGCAGGATACGCAACTTCTTTATCCTGCGATAAGAGCGCAGACTCACGTGATTTTGATTATCGGGGAAGGCGGCGTCGGGCCGTTTTGCTGGACTCAAGACCTACAGTATGTGTTTTGCCAGAACTAAACTGTCCGCCATATCTCATGATCAGGCCTCAATCCAACAGTAGTTGGGCGGGATGTCTCGAGCATTCAAAAATCTACAATGATCAGAAATCTGACAGCAGTCTCAACGTGGCCTGGGAAGCGTGGAATTATTCAGCTTGCGTCGCGGCCAACGGAGACTCGTAAAGTACGCGCTACGCGCTTTTAATGGTACCTGACCAGCTGTGAGGCGTGACTGCTTGCTTTGCAGAAAGCCATCGTTCGAGAATTTACAAAATGAAAGATATATTTATAGACTACGATCAAATTTAACCAGCTTGACAAAGCTTCCTTGGAGTGAATGATTGGGATGAAATAATGTGAGTGACATGGTTAAAAGGGGTTCTCTATCCAGCTAAAATATGAAGTAGCACCGAGTTGACCGGTAGAATTCCTGTGGGCAAACATTTCCGTTAGCACACTATTTCCTAGTATGACTGCAGCCAAACTTCGGTGAAATTGCATAGGTTCTCAGACAAAATATACTGGCAAGTAGCAGACCAACCGGGGGAAGGTCCGATCTCTCTCGTCATGGTCGATTTGGTGGGTAAAGAAGTAAAGAAGGGTTGTCATCCTTGAACCGGGGGAGGGGAGAAAATGTGCTTGACATACCCATTGGTAGCTGCGCAAGCGCATAGTGGTTAGTAGTTGCATCAATCAACTGCGATAACTTCCTCGCTACTTCCTTAGAAAACCATGCTTCCACGCTCATGAATGTACCGCCAGAGAGATCTGCTGGAAGAGTTGGGAATGATGATCGAGAAGACAGAATTCTCGAGGAAGGCGAGAGAAAAAAAAAGCGCTTGAAATACACCGGACGCACGTGACATCCAGATCAGGCTAGCGTGAGATCATGGCAATCACTGGCTCAAAGACGCGCGAAAAAAAACCCGCTTCAGGGCGATGATAAAGGGTGATTCCGTGATTGATAACCTGAGTTAATTGTCCTCCAGCCGATCCGACTTGTCATCACAATCGTTGCTCTGAATTTCATGGCCCCCAGGTAGTGTTGTTCTCGTCCATCGTCACATCAATCTGGTCGGTTACATCCTCTTGCTCGGAGCCGGAGACTCCGTCCCCAGTCACCTCTTCGCACCCACCGGGCGATCGCCCTCAATCCTTGACTGTACGGGCGCTCGCGATAGCCGTCCCCTTTCACCACTTCAATCTTGACCGACTTTAACTCACGAGAATCGTATGTTGTGTCTTCCGAGCCTCACAAAAGACCTTCTAGACCCTTTTCAGGATCTTCCTTCCAATATCTCGGCATCAGCCCAGCCCCTCCACGCCTCCTATTGATTGATCTTGTTCCAGTCTTGACATACCGTCCCCTCTTTCCCCCCCCCCCAAGACCTCACGTAACGAGAGCGGACACTTCGATCCACGCCATCACTCTACTAACCAACACCGATTCTCAGGTCGATCAAGACCATCTTTTCTAGAGGAGGCGAGCGAACAACTGGGTCGGAACGAAATTCGATGCATTGCGCTCTCGCGGGTACTCTCGATCAAAAGCGCCGCACTGTCACCGACCGACCGACCGACCGACCGAGCGGACTTTGTCACTTATAATTACTTAGGCAGGCGCGCCAGCTTCTTGAACTGTCCAGGTTAACTTGAGCTGCTGCTGCGAACGCAATCTCACGCGCTCGAAGGCACGTCTTTGCGGTGGACTCCGCTTGTTAAGCAATGATGATGGCGCAATCGTTTCCTGCCCATCAAGGCATACCGCCTCATGGTATTCCACCGGGCCATCACCCAATGGCCGCCCAACACCCGAACGCGGGACACCCAGGGCAAGCTATGGTACAGCAAATGCACCCCGGAGTATCGGGTCCAGGAGGGCCTCAAGTGAGCCAGGCAGGTCCGATGATGGGTGGAATGCCTCCAGGTGCCGGAACTGCTGGCCCCGGTGGACCCATGCCAAATGCGCATGCTCTTTCCCATCTGAATCCCACACAGGCGCACATGTTCCAGCAGCAAGGCTTTCCACAAAACTGTACGTGCTCCTTTCTTGATCCCATAGTTTCCTTCCCGTCTCGACCTGTCGCAGGACATTATGCCGAGCCGAGCATCACGACCTCTTGCTCTTCATGGGCGCTTTCCAATATCTGTCATACCATTGTCGCGCGCGTCCGCTGATAATGATCCCTTTCATAGTTGCCAATAATCCCCAACTACTGCATCAGCAACAGCAACATCAACAATTTCTCCGGCAGCGCATGATGATTCAACAACAGCAGGCGCAACAGGCACAGCAGCAACAGCAGCAGCAGCAACATGGGATGCCCGTGTCTTTACCAAATGGTACTCAGGGCGTAAGCGCTGCTCAATTGGCTGCAATGCAAGGAAATCCTGGTGGTATGCGACCTGTCAATGCAATGATGCATCTTCAGCAGCATGGCCAACCACCGAACCTCCAACAGCATCAGCAACAGCAACTCTTCGCACTCCAGCAGGCTCAGGCACATCAAGCGCAGCAGCAGGCCCAGGCCCAGGCACAAGCCCAGGCACAAGCGCAAGCCCAGGCTCAGGCCCAGGCTCAGGCTCAGGCCCAGGCCCAAGCACAAGCCAACAATGCCCAGGGTGGTCAGCATACACCACAACGGGGCTCAGCGCAGCCTCCGAACATGCATGAACCTCAGGGAGCCACCCCTCAATCCCAACACGGTCCGCCCCAGCAAAGCGGGACTCCTCAGCCAAATCAGAGTAATCAGCCGCCATCGAGTCAGTCTCAACCGCCCCAAGGCGGGCCACAGCAAGCCCAGGCTACTCCTAATCCACAGCCGCAGCAGTTGCCGCAGACCTCGCAACCAGGACCCCAGCCAGGTCATCCGGGGCAGCATGGTCAGCTCCAACATGGCATTCCTGGCCAGCAAGGCCCACAGCCGGGCCAGCAGATGACCGCCCAAGAGGCGCAGTTGAAAGTACAGCAACAACAGAATGCTGCCTTGATGATGCAGCAAAGGATGAATCGCCAGGGCGCAAGCATCCTCAATTTACACGCCTATGCTGAGCATCTGAGTGGTTTCCAGGTACGCAGCACTTTTGCACTAACGAGAAATGCGCGATGAGTGGTAACTAATAGTTTTACAGAGCCGTGGCGAGGCACATGATCTGCTGTATTGGCAGTCGTTCGTTGACAAGTTCTTCGCACCGGGAGGTGTCCTCCGTCAAGGTGTCTGGAACCCTCAAAGTGGGTCCAAACAATTCGAGATCTCAACGCCAGCACTTGCGCGTTACTACATGACTCAATACACAAGCGGCATCAGTCAAATTCAAATGGTAGTGGAGGGTGCCAGAGAACGGGACATGGCTCAAGGTGGGCACATGGTAGAGAGCGCCCGGACTTCATTCATCTACTGGTTTACAAACGATTGCCAGGTAAGAACAACTCACATGAGTAAGTATCAGATTGGAATTGTTTTGCTGACTCGTCCGATGAAGCTTTTCACCCGCGGCCAACTCCGCGCTCACTTCGATGTGGCGAACAAGATTGAGATGCTGGACATCACGGTCACAAATCATAACGAATTTATCCCTCGGAGCATGCTTCTTTCCTTGGAACAGTCAGAGCAAAAGCAAAGTCCGAAAGTTTCTAAAAATACAGCCAAGCGAGCCCAGAAGCAGCCAACACAACCGCCATTGCCGGAATCCATGATCACGCCCAATGGTGTACCGACTTCTGTCATGGGCTTCTTGGAAGTCGCTGAGACTATCTCGCAGATGCAGCTACTTTTCCAGTATTCGCATCAACACCCACAGTTTTCCCCTCCGGAGGCTCTTCATAACTTGGTGGCGACGCTCCCACCTCAGAATCCCAACAATGGCTTTGCGACCCCCATGAATCCAGGGATGCAGCAGATTCCTAATGCTAGGAATCCCAGTATGGGTGGTCCCACGCAATTTGCCTCCCCTGCCATGGCGCATCTTGGGTTACCGGGATCGCAGGGCTCTCCTCACCTCAGCGCCTCCGGGCATGGAAGTCCCGCTCAGAGCCATCTCGCTGGCCCCCCTGGCATGCAAGGTGCTGTCCAGCCATCTCCAGCCGCAATCACTAATAGTCCCAATATTGGTGGCAACAAACGGCGGCGTGCAAGCACCGTCAAGGTGGAGTCTGAGGATGCTGGGCCTGGGGGCGATTCCAACGGTGCAGCCCCCCGAACACCGGCAAAGTCAAGGCCAGTCCTCGGGTACCCAAACGCCAAAAGGGAGCTGCGGCCTAATACTTGGCTTCTCGCAGCTATGTCTAATGCCAATCATTTATATTTGCTCGCAGCCTCTTTTCTCATGCGTCCTCTTGATCACGTCAGACATTGCTCGCAATTTTGGGCGCTCGGGAGACTCTATCGAAGCATTCTTCCATGCGTTGAAGATCTTGTCGTGGTACGACTGGGCATGTTTGGGATTCTTGCTTCCCTCACGAAGCGGCCTCCACGACTCTCTGCGCTCCACGTTGTGACCACGCATAGAACGCGTTCATCGATGCTCGCCGGGTGTCTGTTTCTATACCCTAGTGGTTACGGTAGGGGTAAGTCTCGCAATGGCCCAGAGACTTTTCCTGTTGTGCCAATGCTTGTCTGCTTCTTCGATCCTAATGTATTCTATGTTCATTCCAGCGTTTTGCTTGTTCCCTTTTCACTTTCATTATGTGGGACTGTTCGGACATATTGCCTGGTCTTGCCTGCTTTTTCGATTCGTTGCCTTTTCAGTGATTGTTCTTTCGCATTGTCGACGTTTGCACCTTGACCAGTACTGCCACTGCCACGTATAGGGCCTATTGACGAAATATAAGGTTCTCGATCTTTCTCCAGCGCCGTGCTCCAATCTTCTTGCGCGTTTTTGGATTTGATTTTTTATGCTTTAGCTTCGTGGTTCCTCTGAACGCTGGTCCATTCTGTTGCTGTTTTATTTCCGTGGGTTCATTTGGTTGCAGCCTTGATATCCGATGTGACGATTGCACTGGCGTCGGTCTTTATGTACTCGCAAATTGCGTTCGCCTGCGGTGGAAGCAATCCACGTCAACCTTCCGCGTTCGGGGCCGGCTTGTCGCTACTTTTGGTTTTATCAAATCAATCAATCTGCCTCTTCGCTACGTTGAGTCTTCTCTCTACCCAATGTGTGTCTTCACCGGTGGAGTATGCCTCGCAAAGGTTGTAGGTACTAGATAGTAGGCACAGGTAAAAAAATTTACTCGCTCAATTGCTCGCTGGGTACACCGAGGAGTCTCAGCGCCACACCTTGAGAACGGTTAGGTTGATCACCCCGGCGAGCTCCGAACGGTGTCCGGGGCAATTCTAGTGATTTTAGTGGAGTCGGGCCCTCTGCACTCTGCAGACACCCAAGCGACCACCGGTGGAGTGTAGCTGTCTTCATCAAGTGGCTTGGTTGAGCTCTCGGCAGCTTCGTTATCGCCAGGTTCCCCACCGGATGCACCTCCAGTTGCCTTTATCCGGAGGGTTGCCCCTCCATATTTCCTTCCCCCAGTCGATTTGCGTGGGAAAAAACTTGTACTCTACCTCGTTGTACCCTTAGTTTCAATCAACGTGTTCATCTATCTTCTCGTTCTTGAACGCACAAACATGGCTCACTCTCACTCACACGACGCCGGTCTCGGCCATTCTCACGATGATCCGTTCAATGGCCACGGCCACTCACACGAGATCCTGGACGGTCCCGGTTCATATGTCAACCGAGAGATGCCTCTCATCGAGGGTCGGGACTGGAAAGACCGCGCCTTTACCGTCGGCATTGGAGGGTGAGTCGTTTGATCGATCGTCCGAGTTTTCTACTTCGAGGCTGTGGAAAATAGAGCAATTGTCCCACTTCAAAAAGTATACTATGAGAAAAGCAATGCGGAGCTAATGCGCCGCACTCCTTAGTCCTGTGGGATCTGGCAAGACGGCTTTAATGCTGGCTCTATGCCACGCTCTGCGCGATGAGTACAATATTGCCGCCGTGACGAATGACATCTTTACTCGGTAAGCTTGAAGTCTTGGCCAGCATGGTGAAGCATTGGAGCTTCCAGCTGACTCGCGATCTTCACGATCACCACAGAGAGGATGCCGAGTTCCTGACACGCCACAAGGCGCTCGCGCCTTCACGTATTCGAGCTATCGAGACCGGCGGCTGTCCTCATGCTGCTGTCCGTGAAGACATCAGCGCCAATCTACTAGCCCTCCAGAAACTCCAGCGCCAGTTCAAGACCGACCTTCTTCTTATTGAATCCGGTGGTGACAATCTCGCAGCCAACTATTCCCGCGAATTGGCTGACTTCATCATCTACGTGATTGACGTCGCCGGTGGTGATAAAGTGCCGCGGAAGGGTGGGCCAGGTATCACGGGCTCCGATCTGTTGGTGGTCAACAAGATTGATCTGGCCGAGGCCGTCGGGGCAGACTTGAAGGTGATGGAACGGGATGCAGCCAAAATGCGAGAGGGTGGGCCGACTGTGTTCGCGGTGGTCAAGCACGGTAAGGGAATGGAACACATTGTCAACTTGATTCTGAGCGCATGGAAGGGCAGTGGTGCGTATGAGGAGAGTCTCAAGAGGTGGAAAGAGGGCGCTCCTAGGAACTCGGGCAGCCTGGAGGAGTAAAGTCAAGAGATCAGGGAGTCCTATTGCTATATAACAGTCTCGATGGAGGAGCAAAGCCAAGAGATCAGGTAGTCCTATTGCTATATAACAGTTTCGATCCGTTGCAAATGCTGCTGGACGAAGAGAGCAGGGTTGAGGCTAGATGCTAACGAGACATGATCAATAAAATGTTTCATTACTTTTTTTTTCGTACTCCAGATCCATAAGCTCAGCCTGCTCTATACAAAACAATGACATGCAAAAACGGATGCCGCCGTTCCTTACCAACGCCTGAAATGCAGCAGCCCAAAGAAGAGGGTGCAAGATGTCTCTCCATCTTGCAGGTACCGCGGCTGGGTATCTGGTTGCTCAAACAAGAAGCGAAGCACGTAAAGCACAAGTATAAACGAATGAAGGAGGGTCTCTACTTGGCAAAACGGGCCAACGCAGGACCCAAATCTTGACGCTCTTGACGAATACGGTCCTTGTTTCGAGCCATGCGTTCTTTGTGCAATGCTTCGGCCTTGAGCCTCTTCTCGTCGATGACGTTGGTACGTCCCTTCTTCCGGAGGTAGTTTCGCAGGGCACTGTTGCGGCCTCGACCGCGATTCTTGAGCTTTTCGAGCGGATCTTCGGGCTTTTTGTCCAGATCGCGAGCTTCCCGAACTTGTTGGTCCCTGATAGTGTCGAGCTTTCCGATCACGTTGGGATCCAGTGAGATCATGTCCGGCTTGAGCTTGTGCAGCAAGCTGTGCACCTCGGCCTCCTGCCTTTGGTGGACGTTCTCGTAGGGGTTGGCTTCCAGAGAATCAAAGTTGGGTTCTCCAGCGCCAGGAACAATGATACTAGCAAAACCTTGATCGTGTCCGACGCCGAGAACATCTTCGAAGGGGCACCAACGAAGATTTTCAATGCGCTGTCCATCACCACCCCATGCCATGTAGGGGCTTCGCACCTTGGCGGTGTCTGCTTGCGCAGCTTCGAAAAGACCCCTCCACACGCTCACCTGAGTGCCCCATCCGACAGCCACCAGGTTTCGGTCACTGATGGAGACCGAGGCACCTGGTTGGTAGCAGGAGTATGAGTGCACTTCCTTGAACATACGGATATCCCAGATGTTCATCTTCTGATCTTGTCCAGTTGACACCATGTAGCGACCCTGGCGGTCCATTGCGATGGATCTCACTGGACCACGGTGGACCAGTGCCTTGACAAGAGGGGTCTGGGAGTTTGGTGACCACAGAGTGACCGCACCGTTCTGATGTCCGCAGTGAATGATAGCATTGTAAGAGTTTTGGGCGAGAGCAGTCGGGCGGCCGAGTCTCGTTGGGAGCTCATTCACCAATTGTCCGGTTGATGTGTCCGTGTATTTGATGAAGCCTGCCATTGTCTAGGTAGAAGAAAGACTCAGTTTTAGATGCCGTCGCTTTGCTTTGATTGCTCTGAACCAGATGGAAGATACTACTTACAGCGCTAGTCAGCAAGAAGTGGTAGGGCAAGAATTCGAGGAAGAGTGGCTCCAAATGCTTCTTCAAGCAGTGAAGTTCCACACCATTCTGATCGTAGATGTAGACGTATTTCTTCTGCGCGACAGCGAAGAATTGGTTGTTGTGCAACCACCGCGCATCCCGTACAGTTTCACCCAGCTGGAGCTCGCATCCCAGCTTGCCATCACGCCAGTCCATCGTCGCGACATGACCCTTTCGACCTGCCAACAACAAATTGCGTCCATTGCGTGTATAGTCTGCGCGATAAGGTCCAGCGTCGGTCAATCTCAGCTCAAAGCCTTTCTTTGCAGTCTCGAGTCCAACGCTGTCCTTGATTTCATCTTGTCGTACTTTGTATGTCCTTTCGAGTTCTCCTTCGGGCTCCAAGAAGCCTGCATCATGTTCAAGAAGAATTTCGGCATCTTTGGCCTTCAACACCGCATCCTTATGTCTGTTCTCTTGTTCCCTGAGTGTGCCGCGGAGCTTCTTGTCGCGAGCGGATTTGATGGAGTTTCCCTTGCCGCGACCATATGTCTTCTCGGCCTCGATGAGCCTTTGCTTCGCAGCACGATCCTCTGCCGTGACGACGATTTTCTTCGAGGTCGAGTCCCCCATCTTTGTTTGCGGAGTTTTTTGTTCGTAAAGCTTATCGACCTGATTGGAATAAAAAGTCGGCGCCGCCAGCGCGGAGAAAAAGCTCAGCAGAAAAAAATGCGCCAAGGTTTGGGCTCACCGCTCGCTTATCCTCTCCACTGCCGAATTTTGTTGTCTTATCGCCAATTTTTTATTTTTCTTGCTCAAGGCGAACGATTAAGATTCCACTGTGTTTATTATTGGAATCAATAGGATCGGCTATATCTTCAAAGGAGACGGAGCCTTGACACTCATATATTCGAAATTTCCAATCTGGACTCCCTTCCATTCCGATTTAAAGGGTCCAGTGCCAATATGGCGCCCACCCAAGTGCACCACCATCGGTCTACTACCAAGTCTTCCAACAAGCCTTTCAAGACCAAGCACGCCTCAAAGAGTGCTTTGAAAGAGAAGGCGAAGGGTAATGACTTAACCCAATGGCTCTATTAAGCCACATAAATCATCTTTTCATATGCTGACACCAAAAAAGGCAAAGTCGAAAATGAGCGGGGCAGTCGCAAAACACCCCACCAACAACTCAAGTCGAAACTCGACCGTCGCAATCAGGCCCGCCAGAGGCAACAATTGAAGCATCAAGAGAAGGCACAAGCGACAAGCATCTTCACTGGCCAGACTGGCGCCCCCCGTCACGTCGCCATCATCCCGCTCTCGGCCGAGATTGACACCAATGCCGCTATTCGCGCCCTGAATGAAAGTGTCGATATCAACGATGAGGTTTCCGCTGAGGGATCTCTCCGTGTGCGTGTCGACCGCTTCCGCCAGAGCCTGCAATATATGACATCTAAGCACGATCCCGTCAACGCGATGGACGTGTGTCGCCTGGCCGATTTCGTCGTGCTGGTCATGTCCGCAGAAACCGAAGTCGACGAAGAAGGCGAGCTACTGCTTCGTTCTATTGAGAGCCAGGGTATCTCCAACGTTGTGACTGTGGTACAAGGTCTGGATCAGGTCAACCCAGCCAAGAGACGTCCTCAGGTCGCATCTTCTCTCAAGTCCTACATCAATCATTTCTTCCCCACTGTGGAGAAGGTGATGTCTCTGGATTCTCGACAGGAATGCTCAAATGCCATCCGATCCCTATGCACTGCCACTCCCAAGGGTATTCGCTGGCGTGATGAGCGCAGTTGGATGTATATTGAGAACGTGCAGTGGCCAGATGCGAGCGCCGAGGTTGTTGATGATGTGGTGGTAACCGGTATTGTTCGTGGCAAGGGCTTGAAGGCCGACCGCATCGCTCACATTCCCGGCTGGGGCGATTTCCAGATTGCTTCGATCACCGCGGCACCACTGCCAACGACTAAAAACAAGCGTGATGATGCTATGAACGTTGATGGCGCCGATGGTGTTCAGACCTTAGAGGCACCCACGGCTGATCAAGACGACATGGCTGTAGTGGCTCCGGAGGAGATCGAAATGATGGATGACGATATGGTCTCCATGGCCGGAACTGAGAAGAAAGGTGTCTTGCTCGACGATTACCACTACTTCTCTGACGATGATGCACACATCCCTGCGAAGCCGAAGCGGTTACCGAAGGGTACCTCAGAGTACCAGTCAGCCTGGTACCTTGAAGATGTTTCTGACTCAGGGTCCGACATCGTCGACGAGGATGATGACGAGGATATGGAAATGGAGGTTACCGGCGCCCCTGAAGACGGATTCTTCGCAGACAAGGAGGATGCTATGACAGAGGGCGGCCCCTCAGAGTACCCTCAATCGGAGATGTTCATGGACCCGTCCCCGGAGGATGAGGCACAGGAGCTGGCCGAGTATCGTAAGAGCCGTCGCACTGAAGCCGAGGAGGATCTTGAATTCCCCGATGAGATCGAGCTGCACCCAAACGTGCTCGCACGAGAGCGTCTCGCTCGATTCCGAGGCTTGAAGAACATGAAGCTTAGTCCCTGGGAAACCTCGGAAGATCGACCACACGAGCCCGAAGATTGGCGTCGACTGCTGCAATTCGGCGACTACAAGGGTGCCAAAAACCGAATCATTCGTGAAGCCCTTGTTGGTGGTGTCAATCCCGGAACCCGGGTCGACGTGCACCTTCGCGCCGTCCCAACGGCCCTCCGATACAAGGCCCAGCCTCTTTCCCTCTTCTCTCTTCTGCGCCACGAACACAAGCACACGGTTGTCAATGTCAACATGACTCTCAGCTCCAGCGTTGACAAGCCCTTGAAGTCGAAGGAGCAGCTCATTGTGCAGATTGGCCCTCGTCGCATGGTAGTCAACCCTGTGTTCTCTGCCGGCGACAATACCCCGAACAATGTGCACAAGTACGATCGCTTCCTTCATCCTGGCCGCAGTGCTGTCGCAACCTGGATTGGCCCTATGACCTGGGGTGCCGTCCCGGTACTTGTCTTCAAGAACAAGCAAGTGGAGGAGGATTCCGAGGTCCTCGAGTCCGCCGATGTCGAGTCAGGTGCAGTCTCTATGGATCGCTTGGAGTTGATCGCCACTGGTACTGTCATCGCACCAGACCCCAAGCGCGTCATCGCGAAGCGCGCCATCCTCACGGGTCACCCATACAAGATTCACAAGAAGGTCGTTACCGTTCGGTACATGTTCTTCAACCAAGAGGATGTCCATTGGTTCAAGGCCTTGCAACTTTGGACTCGCCGTGGTCGCAGTGGATACATCAAGGAGAGCCTCGGTACACACGGTTATTTCAAGGCCACCTTCGATGCCAAGATCAACCCCCAGGACTCGATTGGTATCAGTTTGTACAAGCGTGTCTTCCCTCGCAAGGCGCGAGCTTTGGAAGAGCTTGCGTAGGGCTTGTTGTGTTTCCCTCTCGATGAATGAAGTGGGTCATCTACATGGTCATCTATGCTCGATCACGCTGTGTGGATCACAGGGGGTTCGCTCGGATTGGCGTTGTAATGCATCTTACCAAAATTTTCATAGACTTCGACTACTTCATAATGAATTTACGATTCCAATCTTCGATGCTTTTTGTTGATACAGTAACCGGAGAACCCGTGTTCTATAATGCATGGTGCAGTCCTTACCTCCAGGTCCGTCGAAAATTACAGGTATGCGACCAAAGGCGTGAGCAGTATCTTTTGCCTGTGTCGAGCCAAGTTGGCGCATATAATCACTGAGAATGGACAAATAAATTGCAACTAGTCACAACTCGTACAAGAAAGAGAGAAACGATCTCTGTAGAAGACGGATGGAAAGGGGGAATCAAAGGAGGACTGGGAAAATCAAGCATCGTCTAGGAGAAATCCTCTTCCGCCTCTTCAATGTTGTTCTTGACCCGAAGCAAGAGGGTAGTCTTCCACTTGTCGAGCTTGCTGAGCTGATCGAACTGGAATAATTTATCGGCAAAGGCTTCCTGGTCTCCTCCCTCGACCGCCTGCAGTAGATCCACAAGAAGTTGGTGCTCGCGAGTTGAAGAGAATGACGGGTCGATCTCACGGTACGTTTCGAGAGCTCGGGTGGCCTCGACCATATCCTGGTACAGGGTAAATTAGGAATCCTCTGAGCATTAGATAACAAATCCAGGACGAACCTTTGTAGCCAGGTGGCAGATCCCTGCCTTCAAGAGATAGTCCTTCACAGACCACTTCATCAAGTTGTTCGCGATTGACTGGCGGGCAATGCGTTCATAGTTTGTGATGGACTTGTAGTAATCACCTTCCAGGGCGGCCAGATCAGCCACCTTCAGATAGTGCTTATTCGCGAGTCTGTTTAGATGATACTTGTTAGACAATCTGTCCGACGCATGGGCGCTGCCTGGGCCAAGAAAAGGTTCAATCACTCACGCCTCGGCATTATCGCCTTCAAACCACTCCGCTGCCTTCTCATATGCCTCCAAAGCCTTCTTCATGTCACCCACTTCAGCTTCGTACAGCTCTGCAAGGTATTGTTGCTGCGTCGCAGCGCGGCGGAGGTTTCCGCGCAGAACGTAGTGGTTGATCGCACTCGTCAGAACACGGGCAGCATCCTCCGGGTCGGACTTGCGATACACCTTGAAAGCTTCCTGAAGAGTATTCGCTGCGTCATCGGGCTCGTTGAGGTTTTGGGTTTGGATGGCGGCGGCCTTTTCGAAAGCCTGGCCGGCTTCCTTGTCTGTTGCATGAAAACTTTCATTGAGTATGATCTTCAAAGACGATGGGGGGATAGCTACTCGGCGTGGATCTGCGGGGAGACGAGGGCGATTTTGGGCCGGAGGGGGAAGAACTCTCTTACTCATCTTCTGGACACGAAAGGCATTTGCGGCTTGAGTGAAGAGATCGGCCGCATTTTCGTATTTCTCAGCGCGTCCCCCGAACCAGCTGAAGCCTCCCGAGGCGCCAGACAGGGCTTTGTCGGCCTAGTTGTCCGCAAGATAAGAGATGCAGTTAGCAATGTGTTACTTTCGTCATTGAAGGCAAAAATGGAGGTACAGGAACACGGGAAAAGAACTATAGCTCACTTTTTGGAGAAGCGCACGTGGATCTTGTGCCATTTTGTATGATCTGTGTATACAAGACTTAAAATAGTGACTGCAAGCAGCAAATGTTTCAAAGTAAAAGAGGGGAATGAATAGCTCGACGGTGATGTTGATGATGGGAGCGTCGATCGGCGGGTCCGAGGCGGTGTCTTTTGGGTTTACCCGCAATCTTGCGGCGGATGGATGCGCGCGCGCATTTGATCTTCTTCACTTTGATGGTAGACAAGAAATGCTGAAATGATTCGAGTATAAAAGGAAAAGGCAGTCGCCGCAACTCACGAGTCAATTCCCAGTCATCGACAACTTCAATACATATATCTTGAAGCATGGCCGCCAGACACTCAGGCACTGGGCTGCTGCACGCAGCCTCTCCCAGTGCGGCTCTTGCGCGCCGTTACTCGTCCAAGCCGCAACAGCTGGATATCGCATCTATATTGGCACAGCCCACATGGTCAGTCCGGTCTCTGCTTCCAGAGCCGAACAAACCCCCATCGGTGGTCAATGTCACGCCGCAGAAGCTGCGTCATCTTCTACGCCTTTCGGCTTTGCCACAGCCTTCCAGTCCGGTGGAAGAGCAGTCGATGCTGAAGACTCTTGAGTCACAAATTCATTTTGTGCAAGAGATGCAAAAGGTTGACACATCAGGAGTTGAGCCGTTGCGTAGCATTCGCGATGAAAGTCCAGCAGCCGTGAAAGAGACGACAATAACGCTCGACCTGCTGCGAGATGCATTCGCCCAAGAGCACATCAGTGGCCGACGACGAAGAGTTCAGCGATTGCCCAAGACGAGGACATGTCATCCCGAGGCCGACATTTGGAACGGAAATGCGCTTGATTTTGCGACGAAGAAGAAGGGCCCTTATTTTGTAGTTGACACGAAGGCGGGTCAATCACCATGAGCGCATGAATGGACGCGATTCTAGGGGGCACTGCAACTTTCTCCAAAGGAGCCCTCCGTCTGGTCCCGACTTTGTCAATTTCTCGGCTCCATTCTGGCTGTGCCAGATTGATATGATGTTCACCGAGACAGCTGCTATATTACGACTCCTCTTCATTTCATTTTCTACTCACGCTCGTGCCTCGTGCCGACGGACGCAGTCTCGCTCAATCTATCTGTTCGATTCCTGAGCCGCCGTTGATCTTGCTTCAAGTTTTGGTGCATGGGCGGAGGACAGGTCTTCCTCTCATGAATCATCAAGTATACTACCTATGTACATTTATATCATAATCATATCATCGTGTTTCACAGACGCGGGTCTGACGAGCTTTTCATGCAGATGCGCGTCTCTTCTGTCCAAAACTCATCTGCCCCTGCCAATGCCGAATCCGCTTGCCGTAGATCTGCAGGAAGACAATGCATCCCAAGGAACCCATCGTGATAGCTGCTTGAACTCCAAGAGCTCTGGCAGGTCCCATGCTTCCCACCCAGTCAATCTGGACATAGGTCGCCATGAACCCGGCCCAATTGCGACTAGCTGTCACCCACGCTCCAACCTCCCCAGATCCTTCGGGGTAGCAGTCCAGTAAGTACGCATTGATTGCAGTAGTTACGATCATGACACCGACACATTGTGCAGCGGCGAAGACGGCTATAATCATATAGTGCCAATGCCTTTGAAACGCGAACCCGAGAACGACCAAACTGATGCAGCATATGAGAGTTGCCGGGTACAAAAGGATTAAACGTGCTTCAGGATCAAGACGGCCCGCATGCTGTTTCGTGTAGTACCGTCCGACGGCGTCGTGAAGAAAGTGGCCAATCAGCCAGCCGATCAAGCAGCCGACGATACCAAAGAAGTAGAAGAAGCCTAGGTGACTTGCGATCAGCTTTTTCCTCGTTCGAGGACACACAGGGCAATGAATCTTGGGGAGATGCACTCACCGATGTCTCGAGGTAAGAAATGGTAGTAGTTGGTCAACCAGATGCCGATTGTGGTATTGACCCCGATGACCCACGCAAAGTTCAGGAAATAATAGACAAGGATGGTCACTACTGGGATCTTCGTGACAGCAACAAGTGGACGAGTCATGCATTTTACAAAGTCCTTGGACGGAGACTTGGCTTGCTGTATGCCAGCGAGCCGAGCAAGAAAGGATCCTCGAGGAGAGGAGGGTTCAGTGCGATCAAACAAAGTCTCGTCGAGAAAGAAGACGGCAAAGAAAGCGATTCCCGCTAAGATAGTGCAGATCCAAAAGGCCCATCGCCAATTCAAGTCTGACACAATGAACGAGGCAGTCAAGGGTCCCAGATACGGGCTGAGGATGATCGAGAACTCGACGTAATTGATGACCTGCGGATGCTGGTGGAAAAAGAAGAGATCCTTAATCCACATCAACGCTCCACCTTGTCCAACACTGCAGAAGAAGCCATTCAGGATTCGGGCTGCGAGATACGAGCAAAAGTTGGTTGCTGCTGCTGACCACACGCACGTCAAAAGCATCAGCAGTTGAAAGACGCAAGTGACTGGCCAGCGTCCAAAGTAGCTTGCGAGAGGGACGACGAGGAGCCCACAAGCCCCAATGGAAAAGAGATTACCAACAACGGCCCGTTGCACAGTCTCTTGAGAGAGTTCCCATTCTCTAATGTGAATGAATTAGTTGTGCTTCAGTCTTATACATGACCTCTCAAGGTGACACGATTAAACTGACAAAGACTGTGGGATCACCGTGATGATGGCTGTCCCACCGGTGTAATCGGCGAGCAAGGCAATGTAGGCCACAATGATCACGATCGTCCACTTTCTCCCGTTGCTCCAATTCAAGGGATCGTCGGGCGTATCCAATGGCTGAGGAATCAGAACGAAGCGACCGTCACGACTGGTTTTCAGCCGACAGGCGTGATCGGAATACCGACTAGGATCAACCACATAGCCGTCAATGGCTTCCATCTCTTCGTCGATCTCGGTTGCATCAACCCGGAAGCGCAATTTTCCAGAGGGCATCACGACCTTTTTACGCAAGCTCGTTGACTCTGACGAGAGACTTGCAGTGGTGATTCTCGCGATGGCGATTCGATCGAACAAAGGAGCCGAAGACGCAGCCCAACGGAAGAGTCTTTTTTATAAAAAAAAACCCCCCCCTCTCGCGGTTGTCAAGAGCCCCTGCAACCTCAGACGACTGTTGAATCCATGGATCAGTCTCCCAGAGTCAAGTCTCCCCAATTAGCCGAGTAGGTTGAGCAAGTGGCGTCGAATGTGAGGTTTGTGATGGCTTACTTACGGTGACCCTTTGGTAGCACAGCCTCTCAGTACTTTTAGACGATCGAGATCATCATTCTAGGGGCCATCCGATTGTATCTCAGCGAGTATTCTTTTCTCCGACTCCACGCGTACAGCTATTGACATGCTGACCAGCTTCAGGATCCTGCATCCCTGTGCCTCGATGGTAATTCTCCGACCTCCGAACATGTACTATGAGGCGTCAGGGTGCCATGATATTGACTAGAGAGAGCCCTTCGTGGTTGGTACCAGGAATTGTCCCTCTGTTCTCGCCAGTGTTGACTGTTGACCATCTTCATGGGCGCAATCATGGGGCTTCAAGGGGTGGAAGGGGTTGATGGGCGGACCCTTGCATTGACAAGCAAGCTATTTGCACCACATACTTTTCCCGGAATGATGTGTATAGTTCCGTCGGAGAGAGGCTGCGGCCATCCATTTCTGGGCGGTTTGCCTCCAGGGATGCCAGCCAGCCTTGGCTTGGGGGCAACAGGCAGACTCTTGGTCTCTACTTCCTACTGCCATGATACGGCACGTGTGTCTATCTTGTGTCTATCTGTGTGTTTAGTCAATTTATGGGTCTTTTTGCTGAGCTATCATGGTTTACGATCCTCTTGTTGATGGCCTCACAATAGAAACTAAGCTGCAGTGGTCTCTTTTCAGATTCGGCCGGCCAACTCAACAACAATACCTTTGTACTTCGAAGGGCGATTCTTTTGTCGGTGACCGGACTAGAGAGAAAAAGGCTGTTCAGGTCTCTCAATAACCTCCTTGTATTACACAGCGTAACGCTGCGGCTAATTGAATATTCGGTATCAATAAAAGGCCCAACATGCTCGGACTGACTTAATCGTGCAGCTGACATCGCCCTATGTCGAGAGATGTCCTGTGCTTATGCAACAGATGCGGAATATGCATAAACAAAGTTAAGCCCTTACAACATCGAAGCACCAAGTGACAGCAAGCCTGGACGCGGATTGACACAAGTGTCTCAAGATCTCAGCATCATCCTGTCTTCCATAACGGGCAGCTCGATAATGATTCTCTTCTCCCAGTGCTTCCTGCAAGCTCTCATCACGCCTTCATGACGAAGTCTGCAATTGTCTCCTATGGAGGCAAAGGCCCCTTGGTTCTGGGAGTAACCTGGGCTGAGACGACTTTGGCGCTAGTTCTGTTCTTTCTGCGAGCCCGAACTGCCTCGGTCTGTCCCCAAGGCCAGCTGTCATCCGGTTTCTTTGGTCTGCGGTGGGACTTTGTATGGGCGATACTGGCCTTTGTGAGTGAATCAATCGCCAAGTTCAGGCTGCTTCGGTGGTGATCTTGCGGAGAGTGACTCATATTGTATGTGACACTAGGCCGGCGCCCTCGCGGCGCAATGCACAATGACCGTCAGCGTCCATTATGGACTGGGCAACCACCAAAATCTGCTATCCTATGACAACATTGTCAAAACCAACCTGTGGAGCTGGATCGCTCAGATCCTGGCAATTATCGACCTTGTCATTGCTCGGATTGCGGTCATTGCTTTTTTGATGACGATCCAAAATAGGACCCAAAGCAAGAGCAAATACCTGTTATATGGCGTGGGCAGTGCGCAAGCGATCATCAATTTCATTGAGATTGGGTTGATCTTCAAGCAGTGCACGCCGACCAGAAAACTGTGGGATATTGATGTACCTGGAAAGTGTGACATGATTGAAATCTGCTCGAAGGTTGGCTTTGTCCAAGGCAGTATGTGAATCTCCTCCGCAGAGTCGAACTGGCTGTGATCGTCTGTTGTCTTACCAAGCCTCATCCTCAGGTATCGGAGCCGCTGCGGACTTTTTCTTAGCCGCTTATCCAGTGTACATCATCGGTCGATTACAACTGATGAAACTCTCAACAAAAATTGGTTTGTGTCTGATCATGGGAGGTGGCTTAGTGTGAGTGGGAAGAGAACCATCGTCGAGAAGAGATAAGTTGAGCTAACTCCAGTCTTTGCCTGGCAGCGCTGGCATAGCAGGTATCAACAAGACTCTTGCGATCGCCTCCATTACGCACGTCGACGACCTCACATACGCCATTTATGAGCTGAACACCTGGGTTCTCACCGAAATGTGGTTCATCATCATTTTCGGGTCGATTCCGGTGCTGCGTCCGTTCTTCGTACGGTTCACCCAAGATATCAAAAGTGTCACAGGCAACTCCTCGCGGAATCGCAGCAACGCGGAAGCCTACAGTGAGGGCAGTCGAAATAAGAGAGAATCCTTGGTCCAGCTGACTGAACATGTTCCGGGCACCTGGGCTTCACACAACTCGATGAGCGCGGACGCAAGCCACGACCCGATGCATTCGCTTGGCATCGAGATACCCCAGGAGGATTGCGGGTATATTATGGTGACCAAGGATACGATGGTAGTTTCCGAACACGGACGTTTAAGATGATACGGGAGTTCAGGCTGCGTGGATGTTGACTTTGAGTCTTGAAGTCTCAGATAATGGATGCTGAACGTCACTGCTCTGCAAGGTGCGAACTACAGTTGGAGTCTACCATACAGTGTATGCCTGTATGGGCATGAAGATTTGAAGGGCTACCCTTACTGATACGTTACATTAACTACTTTAATTGCCTATGTGAGCATTGTCCTGCGCACTTACAACTTCTCTTCACACAAATTATAGATAAGCCTTGACTGGTGCGTCGGTTCAAGTCTTCCGTCAGAGGACATACATACAAAAAGACACTGGAGTTACGAGGTCGGCCGTAGAAAAGACCTCTAAGGTTGAATGCGGCCTCTCTTCTGATCATTAACTGGACGTTCGGTGGACGAAAACATATTTTCGGGGGAATGGAATTGGCGTACAGTAGAGAGTAGACATTTTAGTCTGTACACTCCCATCGGTATTGTACCGGATGCACGAAATGCAGATCATTCTTATCTGGTCGCGAGGCTTCATGAGGCGCGTCGACAATGCAAGGAGTGGCCGAGAGTCACAGTCGAACATCGGCTAAATCAGGTATCTTTCAAGACAACGCCGTATGAGATCACGAATGGGTGAGCTCACATGCGTGATATGGGATTCTCAACATTAGAGCGTCTTTCTGTAAGATCAGTTCCGACAGTGTCACTGTGTTGATTCACCTGCGGATGAGAGCTAATGTGACATGAATCGAGAGTTTGCTTTGCTTTGCCGTTGAAAGTATTCGGACTAGTCATCCCGGATTGGATGCCGACAGCCGACGTATGTGATCCATCATCTGTTTGCTCGCACTGATGCTGACGCCGAGGCAAAGCTTGTTCGATCGGACATCATCCACTCGGTCGTGACTTCGTTATAACCTTAGTCCGAGTGCCTCGCGTCTTCCATCGAAGTTGTCAATTCTCCAGTAATCATCTCCTAATAAATGAACTGGGTCAACTCACGCTTGATGGTACCGACTTGCATCCAGCACAGCGACAATGACTCTATCAGAAGCGCTAGCCAAGGTGCAGACTCTCGTGGCGCAAGAGGCATCCGGCAATAAGGATTCTCATGCCACCCTTCTCCAGGCGATTCGTGAACTACAGCTAGAGGCTGAAACTCCGCTAGAGACCACGTCTAGGCTCAATTTTCAAGTGAGAATGTTCATCTCTGAATAGTTGCCAAGAGTTTATCAAATCGTCGTCAAGTCTGACAGAAAGTGACCTCACAGATCATGCAAAACATCTCGATCCGTGTCGCAATCGAGAATGGATACCTTGCTATGATTGCTGCAAAGAGTGGCCAAGCTGTCTCGGCTACCGAGATTGCTAAGCAAACAAACTCTGATTTGCTTCTGGTGACCCGCATCATGCGGGCGTTGACAGCAATTGGTCTCTGCGATGAGGCTGGTAGTCAGCTTTATGCTGCTAATCATCGCACTCACTTCAAAATCTTGCCGGGCTCCATTGCGGCGGAAAAACACCAGTGAGTTCTTCTCTTCACGTGTCTGCGTCTCGCTTAATGGCCGTTGCTGAGATAGAGCCTAGTTTTGACCTTGATTTTGCAATGGTAAGCCCTTGTTCCCCGTGATCATTGACTTTATATTTACTCAAAATGTCCCAAAGGGCGGCAAACTCGTCGAATATATGCGTGGCCCAGGAATCCAGCAATTCGCCGATGAGCCTGACGCCATGACCTTATTCAAATACACACATGGAACAGATGTGATCTTTGGGTTACTCGAGAAGAACCCGGAGCAAAAACAAGCATTTGACGACTACATGGCTGCGCGTCGCACAGATAATCTGCCGCAGTGGTTTGATATATATCCTGCGTTCGAAAAGGTAACGAGGGCCCGAACTGACCCCGAATCGGTTCTCATGGTCGATGTTGGCGGGGGACCCGGGCAGGAGATTTCACGCTTCAAGGAGAAGTATCCTAGTCTACCAGGAAGATTCATTCTCCAGGATCTACCCTTGACTTTGGAACGAGTTGGCAAGCTACCTGAAGCAGTGGAGGCGATGGAATACGATTTTTTCACCCCTCAGCCCGTCAAAGGTAAGAAGAGGCCGTGAAATCCTTGCTTCTCCTTCATTTGAGGGGAAAAAAAGGCTGATCAAGTACAAATCTCATGCAATTTTCTACCAGGCGCTCGATTATACTTTCTTCGTGATGTTTTGCATAACTGGTCAGACGCCAAAAGTGCCCAAATCTTGACCAGGATTGTCGAAGCCATGGATCCCGAGTACTCGACTCTGTTGATCGATGACTACATCTTGCCAGATACAGGTGCTGAGCTTCGAGCTGCCGAGATGGACATTCTCATGTGGCTGCATACTGCGGGCTTGGAGCGAACCGTCTCACAGTGGCAGCGGCTTTTCAGTGAGGTAGGGCTGGAATTGGTTCAAATCTGGAGCACTCCGAGAGGGAATGAATCGGTCCTCGAGACGCGTATTCGTACTTAATATTTAGCGAGCCATGAAGATTGTGAATGCCGAGAATCTCTTGAAAATTGTAGTCTCGTAGTGTTGGTCACGATCAACAAGACATAGTAGCAGTTGACTTTATTGACTCTTTGTTGGTGCCTTAGGCCATAGTGCCTGATTCAGGGTTTCGGCCCCCGGACTGCAGAAGGTCAGTACAATCAAACCCCTCGTTGCATCACATCGTGCATCTTGTGATGTTTATTGAGAAAATCCTCTCTGATCTACAATAGAGATCTTATATCTTTCTCGCGCTCCCATAGACTTGTGATTGTCACAATGTTTAAAAATCTCAAAGACAAGACATCTTTCTTTGAGACCAAATCCGCCGATAAGAGTCAATCCGCGGATCAAAAGGAAGATGCCCAAGATCTGACGTCAATTCTGACCCGGTCGCAGCGTGGCGACTTGACTGTTTTGGTAGCAGAAATTGCAGAGTCCAAGCGAGTGAGTATACTTGAAGTGTTTGAGCCTCAAGAAAGCAACACTTCCACTGGAAGCTCTCCCAGTCAGACACCGGTCTCTGAGAATGGCGAGCAAGGAGCCCATTATGAACATCATCCCCCGGCGCGGCCGCCGCGTCAGAATTCTGGTCAAAGACTCAACGCTACTGCAGCTGCGGCGAAAACGCGCGCCAAGAAAAAGAACGCTCGACCATTTGGAGAAATGGCGAGTCTCGGTCCTACAGCGTATCGGAGAAGTCGTGAATCAAGAAAATGAGTCTGGGAAAATGGCTGGCCCGGATTCCGCTCCAAAGAAAGATGATCTTCCGCTCGAAGAAGACGAGGAGAGAAAGAATGTCCTCCGTCAAGTATTCCATCCAATCGAGACGCCACTCCGCCAGCTTCCCAAGGCCACTAGGCTACTGATTCTTCATTCTCTCATCCTCTTGCTTTTGAGTCTCAAGCACTATAACGCCTACTCAAGAGTCTTGCTGCTGCATGTTGCAGCTAGTCTCGATATTGACATCAGTGTCTTGAATGATGACGAAAAGAAAGTGGCTCGGGGGCTTCTGGATGCCGTGCTTGCGCAGTCTCAGGAAGCAGGCAAACAACCTGAGCCTACCAAGAATGACAGCTCCCGCAAGTGGAAGGTTGGACTCGCCTCGGTGGCCGGTGCCGCGCTCATCGGTATCACTGGAGGTCTGGCTGCACCGCTGGTCGCTGCAGGTATTGGAGGCGTGATGGGAGGCTTGGGTCTCGGTGCCACTGCAGCGGCTGGATATCTTGGTACTCTTGCTGGCAGCAGCGTGCTTGTTGGTGGACTCTTCGGTGCATATGGAGGCCGGATGACCGGTCGGACGATGGAAAAGTATGCACGTGAAGTGGAAGACTTTGCTTTCATTCCCATCCGAGGACAGCAGAAGTCTCAAGTGGAAGACGAGAGTGATGAGGCGAAAGAGGATCACCGTCTCCGCGTGACAATAGGTGTCACTGGTTGGGTGAAGGACGTGTCTGATTTTTCGGTTCCCTGGCGAGTTCTCGGAGACGACTCAGAGGTGTTTGCGCTACAATGGGAGACCGAAGCCATGATGAACCTCGGCACTGCTCTCACGGACCTGGTGACAAGCGCTGTATGGACTGTTGCCTCGCAGAAAATAATCAGTCATACGGTGTTTGCGACTCTCGCTTCTGCGGTGTTTCTGCCGATGGGCTTGATCAAGATCGCGAGGCTGGTCGACAATCCTTTCATTCTGGCAAAAGCCCGAGCCGACAAGGCTGGTGAGGCACTCGCCGACGCTCTGATCAATAAAGCTCAGGGAGAACGTGCAGTGACATTGATTGGCTACTCACTGGGTTCTCGTGTCATCTATTCTTGCATGCAGACCTTGTGCAGAAAAAGCGCCTATGGATTGGTGGAGTCGGTTGTTCTCATGGGATCTGCGACTCCTGCAGATGTTGAAGCTTGGCGCCGTATTCGAAGCGTTGTGAGCGGGCGGGTTGTGAATGTATACTCTCAGCACGATTCACTCCTGGCGTTCCTCTACCGCACCAGTAGTCTTCAGGCTGGAGTCGCTGGATTGCAGCCCATCGAAGGCGTCTCTGGTGTTGAAAATGTCGATGCCACCGAGAAAATCAACGGTCATCTCAACTACCAATTTTACCTGGGGCAGATTCTTGACTCAATTGGCTTGCAAGATCTCGATCTTGATGAGGTCAAACGCGAAGAAGCTGCCGGGGCAGAGGAGAACAAGAAGCAGGAGGAGGAGCGAGCTCGTAAGGAGAGCAATGCTCAGCCAGAGGACAAGGGCATGTTCGATGCGACCGATGATGACAATGATCCTCAAAAGAATGTCCAAAAAGCTCCGTTGTCACAGAACCAGGCTAATACCCACTCGAATGACCATTCCAAGGACCATTCTGACGACCATTCTGACGACCATTCTGACGACCATTCTGACGACGAAGGAACTCACCATCGAATCCAGATGCTGGATCTTGACGACTAAAATGCTATCCACACTGGCTGCTCATTCATATCGTGTCGAGCACACTGAGCTTTGTCAGAGATGCCTTAGCTTACGGCTGGTTTCTTGAGATGATTCTTTCATGCCATAAACATCGCGCTTATCTGCAATTGGATAGAAATGTTCTGTTCAGGGCGATCAAAGACGCCAGTCTTGTATAGTCCAGTACAATCTGTGGATTCATCAAGAAAGAGTCCCCTTGTAGATCTGCGCTGTATGCAAGAAGAGCGCCTCGAAGATTACGATAAAGCCAACTGCGTTTCACAAATTACCGACAAAACATCTCAATTCGTAGCATTCGAATCGAGTCAAACGTACTCGGAATTCATATTTCCCCACCCGATCTGCACAAGGTAGCGCCTCGGAATGGCTGCAGATCAAAGCGGAGCTGGAGCGCATGGAGCTATGACCACCTCGTCTGTTATTCTCCGTCTTCTTTTTCTCGGTTCCGTCCGAGTTCAAAGGCTGGCTTCCCTCTCGGCCATTCCACCACTGCAATATTTGCCGCCCGTATTGACCTTCACAACCGTCGCACGTCATTAATCAGGTGACAATACACATCTTCCGTTCTCGAAGACATCGGAACCCCGCTCTTGTAACCCCAGGTTCTTCTTAGTAAAGGATCGCTATACCCCCGCTGCAACGTCAACATGTCTCAATTTCCGGCTTCCCCGACCAACAATCTTCCTGCTCAACCACACCCGGAAGCGATGAAGGCCTGGCTGTACTCAAGTACTTCAGGGGGACTTGAGAAAAACCTCAAGCTCAACACGACAGCGCGCGTGCCTCCAGTCCCGCAAGGCTCGCAGGTGCTCATCCACGTTCTCTCCACATCGCTCAACCCCGCCGACTATAAAGTTCCAGAACTAGGACTCGCCGCGCGGATGTACATTGGTACGCCCGCATCTCCCGGCATGGACTTTTGTGGTCGGGTTGTGAAGGCAGGACCGCTGGCGCAACATCTCCAGGAGGGACAGCTTGTCTTTGGTGCCGTGGCTCACCCGTTGAAGTTTGGATCGCTGGCAGAGTATATGATTGTGACGGTGGAACAACTTGCTACTGTGCCCGACGGAGTGGACGTTGACTCGGCAGCTGCAGTGGGAATTGCCGGTCAGACTGCGTTCCAGAGTCTAGAGGGCTATGTGGAGACGGGTGAAAAAGTGCTGATCAATGGTGGATCTGGAGGATGTGGTATCTTCGCGATCCAAATCGCAAAACAAATGGGCTGCCACGTCACGGCCGTCTGTTCAACTCGGAATATGGAGCTTTGTCTACGGCTCGGAGCAGATGAAGTGATCGACTACACAGTCGAGAAGGACCTCACGGAGACTCTTGCGTCACGAGGAACGATCTTTGACCACATTCTGGATCATGTTGGAACACCAGGAAACATGTATTACCAGTGCCACCGATTCTTGAAGGAAGGCGGAGTCTTCATACAGGTGGGATCATCAACTATCTCGACTCAGGCCGGACGCTTAGCTTGGCCTGCTTTTCTGGGAGGTGGAAGACGGAAGTATAAGGTGTTGATGTATAAGCCTTGCTCAAGGCATCTTCTCCAGTTGGGGGAGTGGATGCAGGAGGGGGCACTGACAGTGCAAAAGGACAGTGTCTTTGAGTTTGATGAGGCGGTCAAGGCATTTGAAAAGCTCCGATCTGGTCGTGCCCGGGGCAAGATTATCGTGCACGTTGGCAAGGATGAGCGAAATCACCTGGAATCGTTTGGAATTGGAATGTAAAATCTGACTCTACCGATGATGGCGAGCTGGAAAGGAGTTCACAGGTGTTGACTTGACTAATTTCAAATTGTTCACATGTTGAATAACTACAGTATATATCATGATATCTTATCTTTGTAAATTGATAGATCGGACCCCGACTACTTATGACGTGACCATCTTCAGGCAATTGTGGTTGCCGTTGCTTGCTTGGAATGGATCTAGCAAATGGATGATGCTTCTGTGAAGCCGAAGAAAATGGCCGTTGATTCATAGTGCCAAGATTATCTCGGCCTTCAACCAGCCCTGCCGGGCTAGCTCAATCGGTAGAGCGTGAGACTCTTAATCTCAAGGTTGCGGGTTCGACCCCCGCGTTCGGCTATTCCTACAAACAAAACCTGAGATCCTTTTTTTGGCTTCTGTTTCTATCTAATACTTTCGAGATCTGGTTTGCTCTTGGCCAGTTCTGTGAGATCGCGCACGTGGGGAGAGAGCACTCGAGCGGGTATGGGTGACCTTTTGAAATTGACCAAGCCGCCTCATGTCCCGTGTCACCCCTTGAGGTACGTCGAGGGCATGTGATCTTGATATCATGGTCCTTACTCGTCATTACTGAAGTGTTTCCAAGTTGGCATGTTGTTACACAGCGTATGTCATCTCCATCTACAGGAAACTGTACTCGAACAACTAGCAAGGTCGCTCTAATCACTCTGATTCCAATGTGAAACCAGTTTGTTCTTTGTGGTCTCCCTGGGTAATCTGTTTTCCTAAATTATCTGCTTGCTAGAAGGTGAAGTTTTTATATGGGAACGAGTTGATGAAGTCCTTTCGCTATTTCCTTCCATCTGATACATCGATGTTCTCGTAACATCACACGTGATACCATTTTTTCCCTTCTTCTTTTGTTTTTTCTTTCCTTTCGGCGTGATTGTTCTAATTCCAGACATTGACACGAACCATGCAAGATAGAGATCTACGACAGGAACTCGTATGGCCTATATGGGCTCTGGGCCGGCCTGGGCATTCACCGTAGGTGTGATAAATAGAACGTATTGAGCTTGGAATCAGTATACTATTTCTACATAAGAATGTGTCAGGTCATTTTAATCTCTCATCTAGAAAAGCACTTCCCTCAGGATCTAGTAGTGTGACATAATGATATATCCACGGCCAGAGCCAGGAATGCATGACCTGGTGAAACATGGAGAAACGATGCGCATTCACCATACAATAGGATATTGGAGAATCTTGAGATAAGCATTGCTTTGTCTGGAAGGACATCTGCCAAGTTATTCATATGAGCAATATTGAAACATCTCGGACGTTGTGGTCTTTGTTACCAAGCAGGCTGTCTGCGGACAGCAGATAGAGCCCTCGAATTGATTTGATCAATTACAATGGTAGGTCTTTACTATAATACCCTAATCACTTGTGTGCAAGTATGATTGTGAATGGACTGTCCACTGTCCACGTGGCTGTGGACGCGGGCTAGGAAGGACATGTGATAAATCCGCTCCACGTGCGTGGCAGCCCAGTTCTTCATGACTGCGTCATAATGTCAAAATCTCAGCCCCCTCCAACCAGCCCTGCCGGGCTAGCTCAATCGGTAGAGCGTGAGACTCTTAATCTCAAGGTTGCGGGTTCGACCCCCGCGTTCGGCTATTCCTACAAACACAACCTGAGATCCTTTCTTTTTGTTTCCCATCTCTCTTTTTCGGTCCTTATATCTGTCGGGTGACAGCAATATTCTTACTTCCCCGACCTTTGACTTGTGTAGGGTGGTGGTACTGGTGAGTGGCTAGAGCCATCCTTGCCAAAATGGCTGCGCACTCGCAGACCTAAGTTTGTTTCCCCTGACGACCGGACTGCAGTGGGCCAGTCCTCGACTTAGACATCACTCACCTCTTCTCGTTGTCGAGAAAATCTACGGAGAATATCAGCATCCAGCTGCGTATGTATATATAGCGGGCACATGCTATGCCACGCCCTGCTATATATCTGGATTGTACATTGATGCTTGTCTGGTGGGCATACGGCTAGGTTCCGTCCTTCCAGTCCGGATACCAGGACTGTTCATTACTGTTGCTTTTTCCATGTTAAGCTAGGTGCGCTGGGTTTCATATGGAGACCCATGTCCGCGAGAGTGCATTGTCTACCTTTCCTATGTACTTTTCCTTCGTTGCGCGGGCTGGAACTAAGTCGGGCGTTCGGCGTGGTTGGTGGACGCCGGAAAGGGCAATTGAATGTTCAATGTCCGACTGGCTTGAAAACCTATCCACTAGGTGGTCCCGGGCACTGCGCTGGGGTGAGGGTGTGTTTGATATGATCAAGGACAGGGGCTCCAGGGTGAATTAAAGTACCTAGGTCCTATTGATACCGGGCAAGGCGTTGTTGTGGGGGGGGAACCCATGAGAGAGACCAGAGCGATGTGTCAGCTCATTTCGGCTTGGAGATCTACATACTAACTGACTGCAGTAGAGGTCGTGTGCGTTCCCAAGGATGGTTCCATTCACTCGTAATCAATGGATTGCATGTGGTGTCCGGCACCTAGATCCGGTGGGTGTTTCACCGTGTTCGTCTTCGGGTAGATAAGATTGATTCGGCCCGAACAGTAGTTACAGTACACACGGCATCGGGAACTCCCCAGGATATATCTATCACGCGCGGGCCGCGCCCCTCGGCACTACAGGTTCTTTGAACATTTGAGGTATCGTACTGTATCAACCTGCCCTAGAGTTCAGATCTGAATGTTAACATTCACTAAATTTCAATGAAAACTACAAGTCCAATGCTCTGTATACCGACTGAACGAGTGCGTCGAGTTGTACGCCATTGCCCGGAACCTTAACCGCCAGTCCGAAACATAAGAAGATCCGAAAGAGCTTCCCGTCGTCCCTCTCCCCTTTTTTCGTTCACAGCTTCATGTTGCCAAATAATGCATATCCCCTCAACCAGCCCTGCCGGGCTAGCTCAATCGGGAGAGCGTGAGACTCTTAATCTCAAGGTTGCGGGTTCGACCCCCGCGTTCGGCTATTCCTACAAACAGAACCTGAGATCCTCTCTTTTTGCAATTTCTCCAGAAATTTTTTGGGAGCCAGCCACAAAGCGATCTAGCATCGCACCCGTCTGATTGTTGATAGCTCAACCTCAAGGACGGACGCAGGTGTATAACTATGCATCGGCACATGACGAGGTGATGCGCGGTTCTGTATCCCGAGCCATACTTGACATCTGTGGACGCAGGCAGACAGATAAGAGACATGCGAGGATGTCCCTGTACATCACAAGTGGAAGCGGTAGTGTCAGACGAATGACATTCTACGCGGCGGGTAGACATATCGAACCAATAGACACTTATTTGTGATCTTGGAACTCACCTCAGTCATGCTCACCCCTTGAATGTGTCGGGTACGGTCGCACAGGCGCCAACTCCAATCAAGAGGGAGGCGACACTGGCGCCGGGAGCATACAATGACTCGAGCTAGATGATTGACATCCACCCATTAGATGAATGGTATATCGAGTGTTTAATAAGTGGGAGTGACGCCTCATCCGGACATGATTTGAAGTAACACGAAACCACGTGCAAGGCAAGGACCAATACAGTCCCATGCGAGCGAAGATTCGCAGCAACCGCCGTTCACCATCACCATGACGGTATAATCGAGTCATTGGGTGCGTTGAGGCTGGATGACGCGATGAAATGTGCTTGGACAAAGCCCAGTGGCTTGAAACGAAATGCACCCCGTTTACTTTTGTGTTATGCATTGCAGGGTTGCACAGCCTCCTGAAGCCGAATTGAGAATAGCGCGAGTCGCCCTGCGCCTCGACCTGCATGTCAAACGCCAGCCGCAGGAATTCGGGACAAATGTCAGTGATAATGAGGCTCCATATAAGTGGTTCCATTGATAAATGTTCCGCGTGGATACATCAAAAGTTGGATGATGGCGCCCCTGGGTGCTGAAAGCTTATTCGACGTGCACCTACGACCGGGCCGGACTCGCCCTAGCAAGCTACATGCACGTTGCCGGCCGCACGTGGGTATTGTCCTGTTCACGACTGCCGCATCACCTCGAAGTATCGAGACCGGAGCACCCGCAAATGTAAAAAGAAAGATGCATCAAGTGCAAAAAGAAGGATCTCAGGTTTTGTTTATAGGAATAGCCGAACGCGGGGGTCGAACCCGCAACCTTGAGATTAAGAGTCTCACGCTCTACCGATTGAGCTAGCCCGGCAGGGCTGGTTGAAGGGGGTAAGCAGAATCATGGACCATGAACCTATGTTGTTGTTTTACGGGTTCGATCAAAAAAGGTGCCAAAAAGAAGGTATCTCAGGTTTGATTGTAGGAATAGCCGAACGCGGGGGTCGAACCCGCAACCTTGAGATTAAGAGTCTCACGCTCTACCGATTGAGCTAGCCCGGCAGGGCTGGTTGGTGAGCAGAGCAAAGTATTCCTGACGTTCTCTCTTGACCAAGCTGGGGTGCTTTGGGGTGTAGTGGCGGGCAAGATGCCGGATACTGTGACAATTGTCGAGTAAGGGAAGCCGGCGACCCAGCCGTGGAACACCTGGTTGAGTATCACGAGGAGACAACGAGCTAGAAGTCTAGCAAGACCAAGCCCGAGGGGGTTGTGGCGACGACACCTAGAACCGCATGCGCGTGAGACTGACCAGGCAGGCCCCGACGAGTCGACAGCTATGATGAGCCTTGACAGTCCCAATGATGATAGGAAGCTGCCTGTCTGTGCTCTAGGCTGCAACGCAATGTGCCCTGTAGGGTGCACTGGTGCAGTGATGAGACCCCAGCGCGGGGGCCTCGGTAGGCGAACTCACCACCAGGGAGGGGTACGATATCATGACGACAGCTTTGGGAGCATGAGATCACCGAGTACGACTCATGGGAATGACTTTGCCTACAGTTGTCTCTCCCTGCATCATCATCATCATCATCATCTGTTTGTTCCAAAAGAAAAGTTAGCTCGATTTCGACGGAAGGATGCAGACCGAGGAGAGAAGTTGACGTTTGGAGAAGGGAAGGGAAAAGGGGGACAGTGTATGATGGTCAGTCGGAGATGCCAGACTGGCAGGAAGGGGGCCAGCCCCGTGGCTCAGGCCGGGCTTGAGGCGCGAATCCCGGGCCTTGATAAGCACACCCTGTGGCTGGGGCGGAGCAACGCAGTCTCGAGTCTAAACAAGACCAGGGGAACTGTGGCTTGCGGCTGAGAGGGAGAATCGTTGGAGGACGAGGAGCCCAGGAGGAGTGCGTGACCCCTCCCGAGAGACACTTGAACACGCTAAATGTGGTACTGCACGAGTTCCGACTAGTCTGTCGGGATTGGGGTCGGAAAGGCGGGGGCATTGGCTTCCAACCTAAGCGGTCGATGAGGATATTCTGGGAATACATGATCCACCTCTCGGTCAGTGCTCCGGGAGAATGCCCTGTACTAGAAGAGAGCCTGGTCGGAAAAGGGATCAATGTGAGCGTTGACCTGTGTCTTACAGTTTGATGAGAGATGGACGCTCATCGTTCCTCGTCGCTGGTCCTCCGGGCGATGGCCAGACGAGGTCAACCGCGGCAAGCGGGGCAATTGATCGGGGTAAGAATTGGGCCAACCCGTGGCGGGGAGGAGTCTTCGGGCGTGTTTCATCATCACCACGGGGCGATGGAGTCGTCGAGGGACTCCGCGCTCGGCAAGTTCCATACTCGCATGGATGGGGAGAAGCAGAGTGAAGACTCCAGCGAGTCCACCGCCCACACTCATTCAGGATCAGTCTTCCTTCTCCTGCTTGGGAAGATGGGAAGATGGGAACCGGATGCACTCAGTAGCAGTGGGAGAGCAGCCACACACCCAGAGAGAGAGAGAGAGAGAGAGTTCGTTCAGGGCCGGACACCCAGATGGGACTAGTGTACTTTCTACCGTGACTCTTCACTCTTGGAGTCGGATGGGGAGTGTGTTAGTGTCGCACTCGGTGCGTCTATCTCCAAACTTGAACTGCAGCCCCACCCGACGATGCGAGAAAGTCATTCAGCCACAGGTCGACAGGGGTCTCGATGCGGTCGACGGGAGAGAGGGCAAAGAGAGAGTCCATTCACCGTGGGAGGTTCCCGTTCCTGCGGTGACGAGGAGGCTGAAGAGGGAAAAGGCGGAGGGACAGGAGGAGGCTGACGCTGGTAATCTTTCGAGGGTGATACCATGATTACCACCACACCCGGGGTACATACTGTACTGTACTGGGGTTACGGGTACTGGTACTGTACGCCTGGACGCAGGAGATGCAGATGCAGCGGTTGCTTTGCTGCTTGCTCCACGAGTCCCGTGTGACATACGCATCAATGATCAAGGCGGGACGACACGTGCTCTCGGGTCACTCTGGCGGCTGAAATACCGATACCGAGTGCCCCGGGGCCACGGACGGCTCGTCTGGCAGACCGTTCCTGACCGACGAGTCATCCGGAAGTTGGGATGCCAGAGAGTGTGACCGCGCTTCTCATCAGGGGATCGAGTTGGTCTGACATGGCGGTGTCCACTGAGCTACAGCCCCCTCTCCCCCGTCACTAGAGCACTAGTTCACGAGCGCCAGTCGACGAGTGACCTCATTGAGCCTGACCATGGCGATCCAGATTGGCACGGTCATTCGACTCGCACTGCTGAAGTGGATTCCTGGAGACGGTCATTGTGGAGCGATCTTCTTTTGATCTGTGTGTTTCCGGTTTGGGGGTCTGGGGACCTCTCACGATGAGTTTGACCCCAGGAGAGGGATTCCCTCCAGGCAGAGACCACTAGCGGAGTAGAGGAGTAGACCCGTAGACGAGGACTGAGAGTCGGAGTCTGCACTAGGCAGTACCGTGACCTCGATGGTGGTATAGATCGGAGAAAGGAAGACCGTCCGAATTCTGCGACATGATCTGACTCGCAGTAGACGCTCTGGTGCAGCGCCCCCCCCCCCCATTGACCACTACTTTCAAACCAGTCAACAGTCAAAGTAAACACTGAACGCAAAACCGTCAGATCAGTGGATCGTCGAGGGAATCCACTGGCACAATCCACACTCCACTCGCTTTCCCTCTGGTGTCCACAAGGCGAACAGGCTCCCGTCGACGCTATGACCCCACCAGACTGACAGCCGCAAAGTGGAGGTAGACTCTCACGACTTTGAGGTGCCAAGGTACTAGTGGTCTCTCTCGCGCCGGAAGAGAGTAGTATACTGAGAAAGACCAGTGTGGCTCATGCGGGCATCGTGACTGAAACAAAAAAAAAAGATATAAGACCTGCCACTGTCCCCCTCCACCTCATTAGACATTCTACACTGTCTTCATTTCCAGACAACACAACATCTCTTTGCAGACCATCCAAATAGTTGACTACAAGCTATTAGACTGGTACTCTGTCCATCCTTCCACCCATCTACCTCTAACTACTGTCCATACTCGTCGGCGTTGGTCCACCGCTATCATCATCTGACTCTCTTCCTCCTCATACTCTTCCCACCTCTCTCTCGTGGGATCCTCCTGTTTCAAACCGCCACACTGTCGGCCAAACGCCCCCAGCAGAACTCCCCCGAGCCCGGCGCCTCTCGTGACGATTCCCACCGCAGTTTGACCCGACGATTCTTCCGGATCGGCCGTTCCAAGACCGATTCCACGATGCCGGCTGCCATCGAGAGTGTCGAGCCGCCCATCGTGGTGCGCGACCTCCACGACGACGAGAGACTCGTCGTCGAGGAGTTTGATCGTCACGTGAAACATTGCAAGCCCTGCAACCTTGCCCTCGAGCTCAAGCAGGATACCCTGTGTGAGCGAGGCCATTTGCTGGCTCGGGACGTTCAAAAGTATCTCTATAGCGTGGATGGCAAGACCTTTTCGACGGTGGATCGAGAGAATGGCAAGACCATGCGTGTCAAACAACTTCATGCCAATCCGTATGCTCGCAGATTGCTCGACAACATCGCCAATGGACGTCGTCTGTCGTCACCGCGTCGGGGCCGGGCGACGCATGTCAAGCCGCCCGTCACACCTCCTTCTCCCTCGCCTCGTCGGTCCACCTCCATTCGGGAATCATACGATGCCACCTATCAAGTTCCCCCGCGACGTACCGATCTGGTGATTGAACATCGCCAACCTCGCTCGCGCGAACAGGCCGAGTCCCCTCGGCCCTCGTCCAGCACGCGCATCATCGAGAGGTCCCCATTTCACAACAAGCCCCGAGTCGTCGTCTACCCGTCACCGCATACCTCGCCCAACCGCAGCTCACACAGCCGAGGCTCGCTGTATGAGGCGGATCACCAGGATCGGGTGGAGCGTCACTATGAAGGGAAACATGTGCGGCGACGCTCCGACTACTACCGCTGAACAGGGATCCAATCCTGGTCAACCCACAGTATGCAGTTGAGAGGGAAACGCCATGCCTAACTCGTCCAAACACTCTGCGGATTTCACAAAACCTCATCCTCTCATGAAGAGGGTGTTGACTATGCTTCTCGCGTGGATTGCGAACCGGTCACCTCGTGAGCTCGACTCGGCTCGACAGAAAAGAGCAAGAGAGCCAGAAGAGCCGAGCACCAACTTCTCCCCCCCTTTACACAGAACTACGTCTGAATGGCGCACTGGGATGCAGCCTTTTTCCGCCCCGCCCCTTCATCTCAGTACAGTTCAGTTCTTCTTTAGTCGAGGAGAGAGAGAGATGATATTCTATGAATACGTATCTGCTCAAATTTGTCTCCATGCAAGCAAGATCTTGCACGACTGAACGGTCAATTTAGCTTCTCAATCAGAAGTGACGACCATTGACATTGGCTTGTTGGCTCCACGACTCGACCATCTCTGGGCACTTGTACCCTGCCGGCATGTCAATGCAGAAGAGTCGAGTCGCAACCAATCAAAGACCACAGGAGAAACTTGCGTTATTCTCCGATTCTTGATTTTCCAATCCAGTTTACTGCTTCTTCTTCTTCTTCTTCATCATCCTCTTCTTCCTCTTCAGTGTGGATTCCCCTCTTCCATTGTGTCCCTTGATTGGACATTGGAGTCGGATGACTCACACACACAGGAAGGGATCTCAAGAAAGCGTGCAGCTCAACCTGCATGACTTGGCGGGCTTTTTTGTGTTTTTTTAATTGGAAATTGCCAATGTTGCATATTTCTTTTGTCATGATCCAGATGGATGGGAGTCACGAGATGCAGTATGCCGATGATGAGTACCTAGGTCGTCAATCTTTGTGTGGTCATCTCTAGAGATACCAAATCATGATAAATGCAATGACACTCATTTGGTCTGCAAATCTGAATGTCAACAGTGGGGCCAGTGGCTCGATACGCAGAGCTCCTCCAATTATGTACAACTGTACATGAGTCATGGTCGGCCGGGAACACACACACAAGTATCTCTAGACCCGCCCATCTGCCTGCCGAGGACCACTACCAAGGACCAACTACCATGTCATTGGATTGTGCCAGCCGAAAGCTCTCGGATCAACACAATCAGAGTCCATAGGCACGCACTCAATACAGAGAATAAGAAAGGTCATTTTTCACGTCAAGTCCTGTCTGTAATGTCAAGTACCGACTAACAGACCATCACTTTACCTGCCGGGCGTGGTATCCCGAACTCGAGAGTATTATTGGAGTCATGAGTTGGTACATAGCTACCTAAAAAGGCGTCACACCTCGATTCGAGACCCCGACCGATCTGCATGATAAAAGTCCATTCCCGCTGGTGCCTGCAGTAGACACCTACATACACCGAGGAATTACACACCTACGCAGGGGGAGATATTCTCGGTCTGACTCACGGAAGCGGGGCCCTAGGTATCTCCTCGATCACTTGGCTAGTAAAGCTGGGTGAGGTGCTTGGGCGACTGTTTCCATGCTGGACTCTTGTTTGTCACAGTAGCGACTAGCGAGTACTCAAGGTAGACGTTCCCGTAGACACATGTGTGAAAGTCATGTCGGTTGACCTACTACTTCATAATGGTCAGGACTCAGTCGTGACAGAGCCACTACTAAACCGGTAGGACTGCTAATTTGGCGTTGAATTTCGTACAAAGTACGAGAGAGTGTGGCGGTGTTTCGACAAGGCGTACTATTTGGCGGAGCGACTAGGCTTAAACAGGTTACAATACCCATACCGCTGAGCTACCTCAATTACCGGTATTTACGCTCCTGGATTAGTTTGCAGATTGCAATTAAACAGTGGTTTAAGTTTGAGAAATTTACAGAAGTGTAGAGTGTAGCGAGGGCCTCAGAGGAGGAAAATTTGTATACATTGATTTACTTTTGTCCTTTCCCCCCCCCCCCCCCCCCTATCTCGGTCCCTCTGTACTATTGGGGGCGGCTATTGTGTTTCGAGTCGAGTCATCTGAATCATCTGATAAACTGCTGGATGGTACGGCGATTGTTGCTAATTACGGAAAAGGGCTCAGGCTAGAGTTTGAAATAGTAGCAGCGTCGGCGGCGGTGGCAGCAGAGAGCGAGATGAAGGGGGCATGTAAGCGAGCAAACTGCTTCAAGCTCGTATGAGCAAAGGAGGATTTTGTACTGTAGAAGTACATTAGTACAGTATTGACTACGCTCCTACAGTAGTTGCGTAGTGCTGTACATACCTACAGGGTGTGTAACAGTTCCTGGATTAGGTCGATGGATTGTCCGTCAGATGATCTGGCACCTAGAGTTGTAAGTAACCAAGTATGGATCGCCCCCACATCCCAAAGAGCCTCATCGCATCCACTCCCCCCACACTCCCACCAAGAATACTCGATTGTACTGAGTTTAATTGAGAATCAAGGGGTCCCCGGCAGAGCCGCCCGTTTCGAGCATCCAGTTTCACGGCCCATACATCATTCCCGTGCACGAATGACCCTTCCCCGTCTGGCTTAAAACAACCGTTCTAAATCAGAAATAGAAATTTCCAGTGCGCGATAGAGGTCGTTCCGGTCAGGTGACTCCCTTGAGCGCTGGATGTGGACTCGCATATCGTGTTTATATGCTATGCATGAATATGTCTTTCTTCCCGCGCGGCGGAGTTGCCGTGATCTTTGATTGCTGACCTGATTCCAGCAAGGACGGAAATCCTTCTGATTTGGGAGATTCTATCTATTTACCAGGTCATCCCTAAGGAAACCTAGACGAGGTACTTGAACCTCATGTAAAAGCAACTCCACTCCCGCTAGGTGGCACCTCCGTGTTGTGTCATGGGCATACGTCTGCGGGAGATCTGGACTTATGACTGTATTCATTTGCGCACAAATACAGAAAGACGTATATATTGGTGTCTGATATCAATGTCAGCAACATGTCCCTTGGGACTTTGATCACAATCACAGAGTCGAGGAGGCTCGCAAAATGATTGGGCTGAAACCCGAGGCTCACTGCATTAAACAAAGGGGGTTTTCGTTCAATTTGAAGCATCTCGTTCCGGTGGCCGCACCGATAACCTGATTCGCAAGGCCAGTAACTCCTTACGACTCGATGATGCTCTTGTGACGATTCACTCCAAATGAAGACATAATATTCCCGGGACGTATCAAACGCAGATCTGATGCAGCATTTTATACTGCCAGAAAAATGGATAGTGAATACGAATGCGGAAATATGTGCTTTCCAATTCATTCTTGCGCAGCCAATCTTCCAAAAAAACCACCCAGCCGATCACAGATTTTGACATGGGCCAACTAATGCATTCCCAACCTCTCGGGTACCCCATCTGTCAGACTCTTCAAGAGCTAGAACACACCCCGCTCTTACAGACCAGAGTACCAGAGCAGTCGTTGTACGACGAGCAAGGAGCACCTATTCAAGTCAGTGTTAGCATACCAGCTCTCGAAACCGAAGACGGGGAATCAGAGATTAAGATCGACGGAAAGAAGGGGACAGGTTCAATTACCAGCGCAATGTCCCGCCCACTCGCAAGTCACCACCGAAGGATCCGATGTACATTTACCACTCTTGCAGACCAAGACGTCGGAACAATCATTATTAGAAGAGCAGGAACTCCCTGTAAATTTTCCGTGTATTAGCAGCTGATTGGTGAGTGACTTGACACTCATCGGGTTCTTTGATTAGCTGGGACTCACCTTCGCAATGGCCGGCCCACTCGCAGGTCGTTCCGGTTGGACTGCTTCCCGAGGCGGAAGTTGTGGTGGTTAAAGTGGTGGGTGACCCACCACCCGAGATGAGGTTGAGGTTCTTAGCCAAAGCCGTAACAAGCCGATCTCCAATGGACCGGAGGGTGCTGAAGTTGGTGATATAGTTGTTGTTAAGTGCACTGCTGGGCAGAACGGCATCCCTCCCAGTGAACATGATATCTTCAACGACTGGTCAGTGTATGGGTTGAGACAAGAAAGAACGCGTGAGTGAGAGAGATGTGATCACAGCCAACATACAAGTCACATCAACAGCGCCGTGTCCACTGTTTCCATTCAGGTCATCGTTGGGGAAACAGGTACGTGCCATCAGCCACGAAGCTTCTCCGATCACTTGAGGTGTGTCGCCATCGGTATCGCCGAAGATGCCGTAGAACATCTTGCCGTTACTGTCAAGATGTGTGAGTGATTGTCAGCATTGAAGCATTTATTTCCCCCCCTCCTGCTATCCACTTCAGAGTGATCAAACATACCAGATGACTGCACCGACGTTATTTCCAGGAAGAACGCTCTGGTAAGTAGTGGCAAACTTATCGGGAATGACAATAAAAGGTACCTCGTAGGCAGCCAGAGCACCAAAATTGGTGCCGGGCTGGCCATCGGGATTTCCCTAGATTGAAAAACAAACGAAGAGATGTCAGCCCGTCTGGGGACCGTAAATTGTATACACCGTAATGAATGCTGAACAGGAGCCAGTGGCAAACACACCTTGCATTTGTAGTCGAGACCGTCACAGTCCACGTCCATATCAGCCACCCAGACAAAAGCAGCACCCTAACAAAAGTCAGCGGTGGCGAAATCATTGCCAGTCTCTGCAGAGACAATCTCATTTGATCCAGGAGCTCCATACCTCACTGAAGCCACTCCAGTCACCGTGAATTGTACTTTTCGCAGCCCCACTATCACCGTTCACAGGATAAGTCGAGTCCTTGGCCGCAACACTGGCCTTGGCAGCAGCGCTCTTGAGGGCTGCAACGGGAACAGTGGACGAGGCCGCAAAAAAGCTTGCGGGAGGTCCAGCCGTTGGATGATTATAATCTGCACCATTGACACTCTGCGCCAGAGCAGGAGCAACCAGAGCTAGAGAGGCTGCGAGGGCCGAGAATTTGATTGCCATGGCAAAGTCACCGGTGTACCTTCAACTGCCGGGTGCTGAATATGAGAAATGTGATGTGAGGTCGGACAAGACCTGCTATTTATCTTGCTGGACAGATCTGCTGGTCCGGTGATCTAGTCGGCGGAACTGACTTGAATCTTATGGATCCCCAAACAACGCCCGGTGTGGCCTTGCAAGACAATCGCTGTGATTCCCGTGAAGCGAGTTGCATTAGCTCGGATAGGATAGGTCATAACACATGTCAAATGGGTCAGACTCAGGAGACCCACGTGCGAGGTAAGATCGGAAGATAATTGTGCGTTTTCGCCCTGATGAAACCTCCGCTCGGGGCGTCTACCCCTGTTGCGGAGGCATAGGCAAATACGAGCCTGAGCTTTCGTCCCTTGGAGTGAAGATCCATAGCAGCAAGATTTTCCGAGATCCAAATTGACTGACTCAACTACTGGTCAGCATGAGTGAAGTCCTTGTTGGTCATTCTCCATATCTGCATTGGCCGTGCACTGTGGGGTTGGTGGAGATCATGCCATGATCTGTAGATTGAGCAGTGATGGAAACACCAAGTCCGTCGATGGTCAAGCAGGTCAGAGATCAAAAAGTCAAGTCGCAAGCATTCTTCAACCCGCGATGTCAGTCTTAAACAACAAACACGTTCTCATTTCCTCCACACTCTCAATTGACCTTCTCCTGCCCGACGTACAGTAGGATCCACGCGAGTACGACAAGCCTAAAGAAGCTTAGCTCATGGGGAAGGAGGAACCTTGATCTAACCTCTTATGGACTAGTGTTGTCAGACAAGCTTAACCGATGCAACCTCTTGTCTCGGCCAATCAAGGCTGCAAGATTGTGAACTGTCGGCCACTTCGGTGATCCGATCAAACTTGTTGATTGCCCCGACCCGTCGTTTGACAAACCATCATATCCCACCTACCACTCAGGCAGGTGAGATAATGAGGAGCATCAATTGTACGCGTAAAATCATGTATGAGATGGTTTAAGGGAACGTACCGGTGGACGAGGAGTGATCGTCGTCACAGCTCGACTCAAGCCCAGGCCGGACCGTTGACACTCGATTGCATCGACGAAGTGCTGAGGATCTGAAGCCTGCGGTGCCACTGCCTGTCATATGTTGTCATATAGTACATGCAGACCGTACATGTCTGCAGTCTGCACCGTCACCGGTGTGCTTCGCCGGATACTTCTGCTTGTTGCCCGGCGCTTTGCCCGGAATACTGTACATAAGACCGGTCTTACTGATGCGCCCAGAAACGCATGGTGATCCCTGAGGAATCAACAGTCAACAGGTTGTACTTTGTCATGCAAGATCCAGCCACCTTGCCCGGCATATCGCTTGATCCGGATGAACTCGACCATATCAAGGCAACACAATTTCCAGCACTTCTGTCTGCTTTGGGTATGACAGCATCAAGCTCAATTTGTTTCTCTAAAATCAAATGACCCCGCGGAAGAGACTTCGCCTTTCAATCGACGTCCGGATGGAGCTGCAGGCAGGTTGTCAGCTGCCGAGCTGGAGTCGTCAAGTTGTCAAGGTGGACGGCCCAGCCAGGGCGTCCATCGGCACTCCAGTCTTGTCACTCGGGCTATCTCCATTAATGCAGGCACTGGCAATAGTAGTACCTGCAGTACCGAAGTATCACTATAGGAGTATGGGTGACCTCCAGGCTGGAGTCAGTCGGACGGGACTCCGGGGGGAGCATGCCCGGCTGACTCAGCAACACATATCACGTGATTCTCTCCGGCTTCTGGCCGGAGGATGATGAATTTGTCCGTGTCCGTGGCCGCGACATCGAAAAGTTGTTGGATCATCGCCCGATTACTCCGTTGGCAAACCCCGGTCACAATGGCGAAGAAAGGTGGGTAAAAAGTCTTCCTACACCGAAGAAGGACTGCTGGTTCTGTGCGCGCCAATGCAGGCAATCTTCTTTGACACACCGTCGGCTCAGCTAGCTTCACATCGCAAAACGAGCAAGCGGCCGTCACCTTGGTCGTTGCGGCCGACGTGATTCTCCATAGAGTGCTAACTCCCTTTTCACTGAAATAGCAAAGTCCCGAACTATCACCGTTCGGTTGATCTCCATGGCCATGACTGGCTTCTACCGCACCATGATCCGGCCCCGCACGCATCGACCGCTATCCATGCTCAAGTACGATCCTGTCGTCAAGAAGAAGGTGCTTTTCCTCGAGGCGACCAAGGGTGGAAAGGCGAAATAAACTCGACCGCTCTTCTGATTTTCCGTTATACCTCCTACCATTATCACGCCGATCATCTTTTTTCCCGGACCAGCATCCAAGTCTTCGACGGACCGCATGATGGACAGAGGGCATCAGATCCTACTCGAATACCTCAACCTTCTCTCTGCATCTGTAAAGGACCTTGATCCTGCTTTGCGAGCATTCCGAGCATGTCCATGATACGTGCTGGTTGAGAATGGCAAGAACTAATGAGTTGAGTGCTCAAACATGTACAATACTATCCGCAAAGTGAGCCGAGAGCCCAGCCCTGGTATCGCTTCACTTCTCTTGGAATTTTTTCTTTTCCCTCGGCGTTACAAGCATCGCGAATTTAGGCTTTGAAGTTCGAAAAATACCACTTGATATCCCGCTTTTGGAGGTTCTGTCCTTGTGAGGTTCACAGTCTGCTGTTTCAATTGCGCATGATAACATGTAGGCTACATGAGGTTGAGAGGTGATGAGCACCGTTGCTCAACAACCCCCTTTCCGAACACGATTATGAGATGCTGCACGTGTGTCGCATGCGTGGCTATTGCTTCTTCTTTCTTTCGCATCGACAGAACAAGCCAGATGGCTATGTTCTTAGGTAATGTCAAACTGGAATCCTTAAACTAAGAGCTGCTGCTTGCAGGTGGACGCGCAAAAACACTACCCTGCTCCGCGCTCCTGATTGAATCGTGCATTATAGTGGTCGCCTGTATGCGTTGAGCGGCAGAGGGGTACTTAGCAAGACCAGTTCGGCAGTGATCCAAGAACTCCAACTAACCTCTGGAACGTCGCTTTCCCCGGCCAGCACCGCTGGCACGACTTTCCGCTTCTGGATTGCTCGAGGCTGAGACAAGACCTCTTACGCCTGGACGGTGCGCAGATGACGTCGCTCGGCCGGACGTCGAGGGCTGTCCTTGTTGCATCTCTGTCTCCAAAGCCCGAATTCGACTGTACGTCCACTTAGTTGCATGTTTGGTGACTTTGGCCGGCGGCTGAGCGGCATTAACCACTGATCCTTTGGTATCTTGTTTGCCGCCTTGAGCGGACTTAGTCTCCGTGGCAGCTGGCTCGCTCAATTTCCCAGTGCTTTGCTTTTGACACTGCACAAAGTCAACTGTCTTGCGCTTCTTGTTCGCTCGTTGAAGGTCTGAATCCGTATCCTGAGGTATGTCGAACACTTTCGAGGTGTCTACCTCATCACCTCGGGCAGAATTGTCGTTCTCGTTGCAATCTCGAGGATCACCGGCATGAGCAGCATCTTTTTCGTTCTCCTTATTCGTCTGATGACCAGCTGCAGAAAGCAAGAACTCGTCAGACATGAACAAGCTCGCAAAGTCCGCAGACTCCTCGAATTTATTTCGTGTCGGCGACAACTGATTGTTCAGTTGGGAGAATGGAACGATTCCTGCCGGACTGTTCTCGACATGCGCTGGTTTATTTCCCTGAGATCGCATGGCTTGCTCACGCTCGTGAAACCTTTCCTGCGTCTGTCTTAATTGCTCTTGGAGATCGTTTCTTTCACGGCACGAGTCCGCTTCAGCCGCTTGATACTTCTTTATCTCGGCCTTCTGAGCTTCAATTTGAGCCGTGCGCTCAGCGCAGAGTTGAGTGAGTTCTTCAATCTGCTGGTTCTTTGCCTGTTCCTGTTGCTTATAAGTTCGGGTCCTTCAATTCAAACATGAAACGTACCTCAACCTGGCGCTCAGTCCTATGGTCATTCAGTGACTGCATGGCTTGAGCCTTCTGTTCCATTAGCAACAGCCATATTTCGCATGTCATATCAGGGTACCTAGCTTACCAGAGCATCTTTTACGTCACGCAGCTCAGTCACTGTCAGCTCCGCCTCTTCTAAATTGTTTTCCATCTCTCCATCAAGAGCCAGTAACTCTCGCCTCAATCGATCCTCCGACTTTTTCTGGGTAAGGTTGTGTTCAGCGGTCATGTCGTGCCGGACCTGCTGCACCTCCAATTCAATGGTGCCTCTCAAGGCTGTCTGCTCAGTTTGCAAGTCATGCACGCGAGCCTCCGAAAGTTTCAATTTCTGTTCCGCTTCGGTAAGCGACGTTTGTAGTTTCACAATATTAAAGTCCTTATTTCGGCTCAACTCCTTGAGACTTTCAGCTGCCGATGATAATGCTTCGATCTGAATCTTCAGGCTCGCATCTTTGGCGATCCTTTCCGCCAGCTTATGATCCCTCTCATGGCCTGTAACTGAAGCCTTCACTTCTTCCAACTTACCGTCGAACTCTTGGAATCGAAGTGCAAGAGTCTCGTTGGAGCGAGACACGGCATCCAGGAAAGTGTTCATGTTGTTGAGCACAGGGTCAACTGCACATATTTCTTCCCTGAGTGACCCGTATTCCGAGCGACAGCTGGTAAGTTGCTGAAAAATTTCTGACTCTGGACCAACAAGTTGCGCCTTGATGGTTTGCAAACTTTCTTGAACGCCAGTAAGAATTCGAGAGCTAATTTTATTATTACTTTCAATTCCATCGCCAAGGCATGATGTGATCTTTTCGACTCTGAACACGATCAGTTAGTTTTGCTTTTCTCATCCGTGATAGTGTCGCTTACTGAGATGTCATGTTTCGAATGATCTCCGCAAAATCATGGATTTCAGTCTTTTCATCAGAAATTCTCTCACTGAGAGTCTGAGTGAAATCATGAACCTGGCCGAAGGCGCTGTTCAATGCTGTGAGGATTTCATCCTTGAAGCCGCGTCCGTTGGTGGCAATTGCCTTGAGCATGATATCGAGCTGTTGCATTGCCTTCACCTGATGCTCTTCGATTTGTCTCATTTGCTTGGTCTGGGAAAGAGCGTGATTCTGGATGAACGATTCCAGCCTCAAATTGCGATTTCTTTCAGTCAGAAGATCCGTTTTGTTACAATCAATCTGCTCTTGTGCCAGTGACAGAGCCTGCTCCAACAGGGCAATCTGTTGGTCTTTTTCTGCAATCTTCTCACGCTGTCGGTCGGTAACCGTTTCAATCTGACTGATAGCGAGCCTCATATCGTTGATCTCTTGAAAGAGATTGTTTTTCTCCTGCTTCAGATCAGCGGCCGTCTCCTTGCATCGCTCATGATCTTCACGCAGTAGCTCGTAATCTCGTCCCAGTTCGTCAATGACTTGTTTCAATTTTCTGATTTTAAGCTTCCAGTCTTTGAGACAGCTTTGCGCTTTATCAACTTCGACCTGCTTCTTCCCTACGGCCAGTTGCGTCTCCTCTAGACGATGGTGCAACATTTCTCTCTCGACCATGAGTTCTTTGTTCTGTGCCTCGATTCGACGTTGGCTGTTGGAAATCTCAATTTCGTGTTCCTCCCGTTGCCTCATTCTTCTTATGAGCATCTCGAACAATGTTTCTTCACTATACGAGACAATGTCCGTCTTGTTGCTCGAGTTGGATCTCCCTTCACGTCGAGGTGCAGCCTTCCGATTTTCGAGCCGGGTCTTGGAGACTCGATTTTCATCTTTCGATTTCAACACCTTAGCGAGAGACGGCGTCTGTGTCGCCGCTTTTTTAAGAAAGTGCCCTCGAGCGGCGTGAGTGTCGCCGTTTGAGGGTATTTTGGTCTTCTTCTTGTCAGAATATGAGACGTTGCGGTTGGGATTGCACATACCATGATGCTGCTGCCGTGTCTCGTCTGCATTGATGGAACCATGTCAACGTCCAGTACCTGATCACCAGCTCCGGTTTTGCCGGCGGAATCCCCATGCTCTTGATCCGACAGCATGACTATCTCAGCGAGCTCCGGAGATACTCGAGCTTCGGGAAGTGTGGGATGTGTGGGGAGTGAGCTCTTTGGCTGAGGACACGGACTGCCATCCTGAAGGGGATGCTGCATATCTTGCCGGACAGGGCTACTGCGAGAGAAAAGTGACTCCCTTAGAAGAAGACTGGTCAGAAGACTGCCAACTGCTTACCGCTAGCAAGAAAGAATACACTCACTGGGTTTGAGGTGATATGATCTTGCTGACTTCACGTTGTGGCTTGGCGTTGCCTCGAGCTGGCATATTGTGGTGATATGCCGAACGATGAATCGGCTTCAGTGCAAAGCCTTTTTGTTGGACCGATGGTTTTGCGAAGGAAAAGCCAGTCATATCTACGACCGAGCTCTTTGGCCGCTGCATGAGAGGTGGCTTGGAATTTCCTGCCTGAGTCCCAGGAAGTGGCTCCGATGGTTCTTCCTCGGCGTCTTCCGCCAGGTTCTTTGAGTCAGAGGATTTCATGGTGCAGAGGAAACAACAACTCAAAGATACCTTAGATAGGGTCCTAAGTTGGAAGTGAATATGAGAAAATATACATGAGGGTAGTTGATCGAGAGCGGGGTTATGGTGCGATGTGATATTGAGGCAAGAGCGAGTGTCCCGTGACAGGGTAACCCTTCACGCGGTTATTACCGCGAGCAGATGGCCACCTGAGATGATCTTTGCTCTAAATGGATCTTCTCATTGAACCCATCGACATGATTCATGTACTTCGAGTCACCAAGCTTTAAGGGACTTATGGCGTGCTGGCATCGGAATGGCCGTGTCGTCTATCTCTCCATTTTCTGATGATTGAAGTGCCGAGGCTGGTGCATCACCTCGTGAACAGAAGTAATTTCACCGTGACCCAGTGTAAAGAGTTTCTCTGCTGTTATCACTTACCTCGTCATAAGCATCCGTTTCTTTCGAAAAGGCATATGGAGATGCTGACTTTATTCCAGTTTCAATTTCCATCTGTTCTCCTCTTCGCGCTGACTTATTTGAGTAAGTTGAAGGACTGGATCTCGAATCAATCATGTCAAGGTTGCTTGCCAGGGTGTCTGGCAACCTGACTGTTCTGAATGTGGGATAACAAGACCACCAATCTTGCGCAGTGACTTGATGTAGCTACACGCCGGCAATTGATAGAAAGCCATCTTGCCGCGAAAAGAACGCCTTCAAAGTCACACCAAGGATAGCAGTCTCGCAACTTATACAACTTGGGCAAGCATTGTTAGTAGTTAGTAGTTAGTAGTTCCTAGTTCCAAGTACTACGATATCAGGTCATCAACTACTTACTATATCAGGTTACTGCAAGCTCTCGGCGATATCCCCCTAAACGAGCGGCTAAGGTCGCTAGATAGGGAACAGCAACAGCCCCGGGCCGAACTGAAGTTAACTGGAAGTATGAAGAGCTAGATCTTAGAGGTAGTAGTGGATGTATCACATGGCGCTCAAGCCTGTCAGGTCTGAAGTAAAATGAAAACAAAAAGTGTTTCTCAAGCGCTGAGTGTAACGCATTGAATTTAGAAGATATAAGAGAGTAGTACCTGGCATCTTATCTCAACACGGTCGGCCTCGTCTCCCAGTCGTTAGGTTATGTAAAACGCTTCATTGATCCGACGTCCGAAAGTTGCATCCCGAATCAATTCAAGAAAGCGGCGGTCGAAGCTGAGAAAATGCCGAATTTTGACAATGTTAGAGAGCTTGACTTGATCATCCGAGGCTGCCACCAACACTAGCAACCAGACGCCCATGGTAAGCTTCCTAATAACTTACTCCTGCAGTAGCTTTGTAAATATCCCTGCTGACTGTGTGACAGGTGTCGGGGCGCATGGATCGTTAGGGTTCAAGCTGCCAATCTGAAACTGCACATCCCCGCGTAGGCCACATCTTCTTTCATGCACGATGAAACATCAATGCCCCGTACGTTTCCTGCAGCTTGTCTGGAATCCCGGACCGGGATTGGTGTCCGGCCCGCCGCCTCAGACAGTACATGAAAGAAATGGAACAGAGGAGTAAGCAACTAATCATAGTGGATGTGTTATTCTCGACTTTGCATCACCGTATCCAGCCGGAAAACATGATCGGAATCTACCCAAGCAGTAGTATAGTGAGAACTTAAGACTACTACTAGTTAGGTAGTTAGTTACCGAGTACCGACTTACCAGGTTGCCACTGCTCTGCCGAAGACTCAAATTTGGGTTAGGGCCATCAGGGAATCGGGCTTTCTCAGAGACTCCACATGCGGCGCATACTTTCTCGTATTGACTTTTTCTTCGAAGATGGAAGGATGCGCGCGCTATGCAGAATTGAGATAGTCGACAGCAGAAGTTGATCCATCCAAAATGTCTAGTCCTCTGGAGGTTTGTGAGTTTCGAACCAGTCCAGACTCCAGACAGCTCTGGTTTGTTGACCTGCAGTAAGTCAATGTGACAGGTGAACTGCTGGATCGCCTGCCGTTTTCCATACACAAAGGGCATATGCAGGTCTGGCCGAGCTCGGCCACCGAGACAAGCCACGAAATTCAAGGAGCGACCGGTTGGCTTGCATCCTATCGACGCTGACGCGGTGGGCGGTGAAGAACGTGGCGGCCACGAGATTTCCGAGCAAAAAGTCTAGAAGAAAGTCAAATCTGTCGCGTGGCAGTTACATTCTCACGGCGTTGCCAATGCCCAAGTTATAGGTGCTGCGCAGTACTGCAGTGGGCACGACAATTGACGGCGTAGCGTCATCTGCATAGGCCATAGAGTCGCCAGGGATTGTGAAAGTGGTACTGGCTATCATTCCGCCTTGTATTGCTAGTTTGCTACAGAGTTTCTGATCCCAAACCGCCCAGCCTCTAGAGATAGAAGTGCCAAGAGATCGAGGTGGAACGCCTACGGTATTCATCGGGCAGTTTACGGCTTACTGGGCTGCCCACTGACCACTCACTGTCATGGTAGACACTTCATCTCAATGCTTGGGGGCATTCGGAGCCCCAGGAATGTGTTTTGAACCGATTTGAGAGACAAGTGATCCGCCTTATAATATGGTTTGCTCGCACAAGACCCAGCAAGGCGGAGAAAGTCCGTAAGATCCGCTTTATGAGTCGAAGACTGCCACTAACCGCGCTTGATGCTTTCCCTCAAAGTCCTCCAACACTGCATCGAAACAATTCGCGATACGTTTCAGACAAGCTCTGTTTGCTCAGCATTTCTGCACTATACGATCGGAACGCCGAAACCCTGCAAGGATTCAGTCGATTTGTACATTTTACGCCGAGACGGCGATGCCGACGACTTTACCAGGACAAATTATCCGAAACCTTCGTAGCCTGCAGCCAGAACCAGCTTTAAGTCGTATCTCAAAGACTACGGCTCGGCGAATGACCGGCCTGCTTGCAGTTCTCGGACAGTTCACCCACCAAGGGATCCAGTAACCAGTGGTCGAGGAAGATATCAGTGATCCAGTACACTCCACCTGATCAAGCCGCAGTTAAAACTAGCCATCTTTCAATCTCCCCGGGCAGCAATCCCATCTTGGTCAATTCGGACATACAGTAGTAGTAGTAGTCGTGGCAGTAGTGAGAAATGGTGTTGTTCTTTCTCTTGTGCTCCCTTTTTGCCTCCAGTGGGTCGGACTGGTTTACATTGGACACCCCGTTTCGGTAATGCTCGACCAACCTCGGAAGGGGACCCAAGAGACCCAGAATCAGCATATGCCCTCACTGGCGGATAAAGCATTCGTACTACGGCCGGACCATGGCGATCATGTACATTGTACTGCACTTTGTGATATGCGTCAAGTGTCGATACCTGTCAAACAAGCTCGATCTCGACCATGATCATGTCCGAGGTCAGGACGGTGAGCACCTTAAAAAGTAGTGAGAGACAAGACCATACAGGAAAGAGATGTCTTTGCTGAAAAGCTGGCGACCGAATTCACGTGGAAGTCCTCCTTGAGTAAACATTCCCAGCTCCGACACGTCCAGAATACCTCCAACGTACAAGCCGAGTCTTGGCCCCCCTTAACAAGCTAAGATGGCGGGTAGCAGGTGTGATTGGTTGTGGACCATCTGCGAAACTCTCCATACTGCCGCTCCTTGACCGCTCGGCATCCCCTTTCTTTCCTTTGAGACCCTAATACCCAATTGTCTGAGTACTGGTGAGCTGCAAGCATCTGCGACAGTCTGGAAGAGCTGCGAGACATTCGTTGCGCCTTTGATATCACATTTCGCCCCATATCCAGGGTGTTGAGTCAATAGCCCGGTGGACTCATTGACGACGCTCCTCCCCGTTCAAAATCTCCCTCCCGTGCCAACTGCGCGCTCGGGACTTCTCCTGCGCTCTCGGTCCCTCATCTTGTTCGCAAATATACATACCCAGGTCTCTCCTGCAATAAATCCCGGCAAATCTTACTTCTGCACTGTCGAGCAACTTCCCACCTCACCATTCGCCACCATCAACTGACTTACACCTCCCCCCGATCACCTCTCAAGTGTCTTGCTTATTTGGCTCGGCCCGAATCACTCCAACCCCGCTTCGCGATCCTCAATCCAGGATCCTTGACGAGAATCCTCTCTCTCATGGACAACTAAGTGTTTGGAATCCGTCAAATCGACAACGTCGCGACCTCTCTTGGACCGATCTGGCATTCATTGTCTCTGCAATCTCGTGAATTCGGCCGCCACTTTCTAGGACCATTGTTGAGCTTGGGATGCGGTCGACGAGCACCGAAAGATATTGACCTACAAAACACAACGTATAATACAACACAGGATGGGTAATTCACAAGGAAAGCCCGTGGCTTGCAACGATGCGGGTACGTACAAGGCATCGAGTTCAGCCGAAAGACTTGCCAGGGTTCCGAGCCCCAGGGCTTAGCAAAAGCATGTACTAACATTGCTTACACAGTGAACTTGAACCATTTCCGCCTGCTCCGCGTGGTCGGAAAAGGAGCGTTTGGCAAGGTCCGCATTGTAGAGAGAAAAGATACCGGCTTGACGTTTGCTCTCAAGTATATTCGCAAGGAAGAAGGTACGCTTTTGGCGCCGAGCTCCAACCCGTTTGATCTAGATGAAACTTAGCTCACTCGCTTCTCTTTAGTGGTACGGTCGGAAAGTGTACGGAACATTATCCGCGAAAGACGAATGCTGGAGCATCTGAACCACCCGTTCCTTTGTAACCTGCGATATAGTTTTCAGGACATGGAGTATATGTGAGTTACGACGTCCATCACACACGGCTCGCGCCGTTGAACTTACAGTTGCCTTTGCTAGCTATATTGTGGTGGACTTGATGAACGGCGGTGATCTGCGCTTCCATATTTCGCGGAAGTCTTTCACTGAAGAAGCAGTCCGATTTTGGATGGCCGAACTGGCATGTGCTCTGAGATACATCCATTCGCAGGGCATCATTCACCGTGATCTCAAGCCCGATAATGTCTTGCTAGACTCTGAAGGACATGTTCATTTGGCAGATTTCGTATGTGACCCCTCCTCTGCAACGCCGTTCGATCACATCGACTTATCTTTCTGACCGTGGCTTAGAACGTCGCATCTGATTTCCGGCCGGGGAAACCGTTGACTAGCAAGTCCGGAACTCTTGCATATCTGGCTCCCGAGGTTTATGAAGGCGGTGGATATTACTTTGAAGTCGACTGGTGGTCTCTAGGAGTCACATTCTACGAGTGCATATATAACAAGGTACGTCTCGAAACCTAATTTATTCGTGACTGGGCTGTGCTAATAAGCTGTATGCAGCGTCCATTCGAAGGTCGCACTCAGGAGGCCCTAAGTGACAGTATCAAGAAAGCTCAGCCCAAGTACTATGTCACCAACCCAGCTGTGTCTGTGCCTTGTTTGCGAGCTTTGTCTGCCTTACTCGAAAAAGACCGCAGCCGTCGTATCGGTGCGATCGGCTTCGAGAGCTTTACCTCGCACATGTTCTTTGCCGACATCGATTTCGACGCCCTCGAAAGAAAGGAATACGCACCAGTATTTCGCCCCTCTAGCGACAAGACCAACTTTGATGCGACCTACGATCTCGAAGAATTGTTGCTGGAAGAAGCACCATTAGAGGCCCGTGCTCGTCGACAAAAGCCCCGGGCGGAATTGCGTGAAGATGCCACTGCAAAAGAGGTCCGCGAGGATGAATTACACCGACTCATTGAGACCATGTTCGAGCCTTTTGACTACACGCTGGCGTCCTTCCAGGGCAGTGCTGCTGACGCCATCGCTGCCACAACGTAAGTCGATTCCCCGTCTTGATTTCACTTCGAATCTCACTAACCTGTGCACCACAGCAATCCCGAAGATATTCTTCCCATTGCGACCGCCACTACCACCACTTCCAACACCGCCACCACTAGTACCTCTCATTCCCGTCACCTTTCACAGCCGGAATCTTCCACGCTACACTCTCCTCCGCCTAACAATGATCGTCCTTACCACGCCGTTTCACATAATTACAGTGAAACGCTGACAGGGCACAGCGAGACCGCCGATCCCAACGACACAGCCTCTGCTCCTCATCCATCGTCACCGTCGACCCGTGCGTCACCCTCACCTCCACCCGCGCCGATGCCCCCAGCGCCATCTTTCCACCGGCCGCTGCCCCCGGCGCCTCGTCCCGGTGGTGCTTCCCGCAAGATGAGCAAGGGAGGCGGTGTGCAGATGGTGTTGGAGGAAGCCGGCAGTTGGAGTGAGCTCGCAGATCAAAGTTCCACGCTGCCTGCGGAAGGGTTCGATGGAGCGGGCAAGGGCAAGCAGGCGAACAGCGGCATGTTGTCTTTCCTCAGCAGAAAGAAGGGCCGCGACCGTAGCCCCAAACCCACAGAGCCGGGAGTCTTGGGCAAAGAGGGTGCTCGACAAATCATCAGCTAAAGGGAGTGCATGTCTCTTCTTGAGCTTGACACATTCGCTTGGTTACACGCGGCTCCTATCATTCCCGCTTACCCCGAGCTTGTTGATACCAGCAAGGTCATCCATGACGCTCGATTCTATTTGCTCGCACTCTTGAGCAAGTGTGTTGTACACGTGACGAAAACATTCTCCCGCACTTTCCCTTGAAGAAGTTCTTTGAGTGCACGAGATCTTCCGCATAATCGTCATGATCAACGTGCGCTTGCTGCGCCGCCTCATTCCCCGAAGTCGGACGCTACATCTTCTTTAATTCACATGCCCACCTGATGTTCTGTTTACTCCTATTCTCTCTTATTTTCCCCACCGCCTTTCGTCTAACTTCCATTTGATCGTGAAAGCATCTAAAGCCCTTGCCGCAAATTTGCATCGGTAATGCTTCATCTACGGAGTCATCATCATGCAAATGTTGTGTGAACTGACTTGCATGTTCGGCTTCGTTGATCGTCATTCATCTAGATTCCCCCAAACCAGCAGCAACTGGTTTTCCTGGTCCATTGTCTTCGTCTTCTGTTCTTCCTCGTTCCATTGCATTTGACTCGGCTCTTGATTTTTTATTACAAACTGTACAGGCGGAGATCACCCTGATTCTCTTTGAACGATTCTTTGCATTTCCGCTAGGCCTTGTCGACGCCACCGGTGAATGATCGCATTTTATGAATTACTACAATTCTCCCAAGTCTCTGTCTGTCATACAGTGTCGGCAATATATTCGAGCTCTGCTCGTGCCCTGCTTTCCTTCATTGCGATGATCAGACGTGCCGTAGTCATCCATTTCGGTCTTTGATCATTGTATGGACTCCGATCCAACCGAAACAGGCTCGGTGCTTTCCAGAATTTCTCGCTGCATCACGAACATCCGATAGCCTGAACTGCAGTGTGGGCAGTCTTTGGCCCTGGCGATTTCTCGACGCATTCATATACAATTCTTGAACAAGTAAATTCTCAAATGAATAAGGTTCGAAAAAAGGCATCTGGAGGCAGAGCTGATTGCAGATCATAATCGTAAATTGTAAATCTGATCTTAGCCCAACCTGTACTCGATCCGTTGTTGAAAAGTGGGACTGCTTTGGCGCCAAAATGTCGAGAAACCGCCAGCCGCAATCTTGGCTACCACCACGTCATCCGGTTGGGTCAGTGCTTTTCCAACTCACCAAATGCGCGTTCGGCGTTGCTATTTGTGGTGCTTTCCGCACTAACGCCCATGGGGTAAAAGCAAAACACGAGCTTGTCGGAGCTTCACCGGAAATTCACCATCCCAACCACAGCGCTCTCGAGGGTTCTGAGTCGAGCCTTGTTGAGCACAGATAAGAGCATTGTCTCTCTCTTTCTCCCCCTTCTACCTGTGCTACCTAGACCTGCACAACCCGCCATCTGCATCTCCGCCAGTCAAGGCCCCAGAGCTGTTCGGCTGCGCATATAAGTCACTCCAGTCAATACTTGCTTGGTCCCATTGTCCCTCGACCTGGTCCCCTTGCCCCTTCCACTCGAAACATTCCTCGCCTTGGACTAGAGTGGCAAGCTTTCCAGGGCTCACTCAAGTGGTGGATCCCATCCCGTATCACGATAAATCTACGATTGGCCACGAGGACATCGCAGGAACGGTCGCCAAATTCCTCGGATTCGGCCCACCTACATGCCGAGTCAATCTCACAGCCGGGATCGCCACGAGCCGCGCGACCGGACACGCGACCGGGACCGCGATCACGAACGGGAACGGGATCGCCGACGAGAGCGCGAGTACATCCGTGGACGATACGACGAGGATGACCCGGGCGTCGCATCAAGTCCCGGTCAAGCGCGGGGCAAGTATCGCTTTCGCGGAGACGATGGTTACGAATCGTACGATACAGGTGAAGCTGGGGGCAGCGACTACGACGAGCGACGTCGGCGGGAACGGAAAGAGAGACGGCAGCAGCGTGAGCGAGAGGAGGAGAGAGCGTATAGTGATGCGGTGGAGGAGCGGCGCAGGGAGAGGTCGAAAGCCAAAGAGTCACCCGCTGTGTCGCCGGTCAAGAAGCGAGATCGCGAGCGAGACCGGGAAGGCCATCGACGGCGACGAGATATAGAAGAGGGTGGGCGTCCAGGGAAGGATGCCCGGGAGCGTCGACAACGGGAGAGGCCACGCGACAGCGAACATGAAAGGGAAAGACCAAGAGACCCCGAAGAAGAGGCTCGACGGCAACGTCGAAAGGCCCGGCAGCGAGAGGAGAGGCGAGACCGTGAATGGGAGCGAGAGGCTGCTGCGGCTGCTGCGATTGCTGCAAAGCATCAGAGTACAGAATCGACGAGCAGCGCATCACGTCTTCTGAGCAACGATCCAACAGCTCGATTGATCTCGGACCACGAAGACGAAGATCGACCTGGATCATCCCGAGAAGCTGCTGAGTTGCGGCGCGAGCGACGAAGGCAGAAGAAGAAGGCCGCATTGCTCAGTGCTGAGGCTGCGGCTGGCGGGGATCTGGATGGACGTGTAAGGGAAGGGAGATCAAGGCATCGATCTGGCGCTCGTGTTGTCTCTGGCGCGTACCTGGAAGAAGGCCGAGCAGAAGATATGAAAATGCGCCATCGAGGAGGAGGAGGCGGTCGTCCATTCGAGAAGAATTGGAAGCATGAGCAAAGCTGGGACAGCAGTTATGAGGATGGTAGCCAGCCACCGAAATGGAAGTTCTGGGCCTCATGGTCGAAGAAAAAGAAACTGATCGTTGGATGCAGTCTTCTGGTGCTCCTGATCCTAGCCATTGTCATACCCGTCGCGGTAAGCGTGTCGAAGAAGAGTGGCAACGCCGATACAAAGGCTTCAGGGAGCTCCACTGGTTCTGGATCATCGCCCAACTCCAATTTAAATGGAATCAGCCCCGACAGTATTCCGGTACGTTGATCGAGTATCTGCTCAAGAAATTGGGCGAAGCTGACCCCTTTTTACCAACAGTCGTATGCCCAAGGAACAGTCCTGGATCCTTTCACTTGGTACGACACCGTTGGCTTCAACGTCACATTTACCAACGTGACAGTCGGCGGCCTGTCTATAATGGGCCTCAATTCTACCTGGGATGACTCTGCTCGACCTAATAGCAATGTCCCCCCACTCAATGAAAAGTTCCCATACGGTTCGCAACCTATTCGGGGGGTCAACTTGGGTGGGTGGCTTTCTCTCGAGCCATTTATCTCACCGTCTTTGTTCCAAGGCTACTCATCAGATGTCATCGACGAATGGACCCTCACGACGCAACTGGGCTCGGCAGCCGCGTCAACTCTGGAGAAGCACTATGCGACCTTCATCACCGAGTCCGACATTGCCGAGATCAAGGATGCCGGACTAGACCATGTGCGAATTCCGTACAGCTACTGGGCTGTCACAACCTACGAAGGCGATCCATATGTCGCCCAAATAAGCTGGCGCTATCTTTTGCGTATCATTGAGTATTGCCGCAAGTATGGAATCCGTGTCAAGCTGGACCTTCACGGCGTTCCAGGAAGCCAGAATGGGTGGAATCACAGTGGTCGCCAAGGTAATATTGGATGGTTGATGGGAAGTGACGGCGATCTGAACCGAAAGCGCTCGTTGGAAGTTCACAACCAGCTGTCTCAATTCTTTGCGCAAGATCGGTACAAGAATGTTGTGACTCTCTATGGATTGGCTAACGAGCCGCTCATGCTCAATATTCCGGTAGAGAAGGTCCTGAATTGGACGACGGAAGCCGCCGAACTCGTCCAGAAAAATGGCGTCAAAGCGAAGATTGTTTTTCACGATGGCTTTCTCAACCTCGATAAATGGTCCAACATGTTTAAGCATGGGCCCGCCAACATGGTCCTTGACACTCATCAGTACACGATCTTCAACACGGGAGAGATCGCTCTCAATCACACGGCCAAGATCCAGATCATCTGCGAGAATTGGTATCCGATGATCGAGAAAGTCAACAGCACCAGCCAAGGGTAAGAACTTGCTCGGTCTCCTACTGCCATTCTCTATTCCATAACTGACTGGAGCTTGATTTTCTTTCCATCAGATGGGGCCCTACCATCTGCGGCGAATGGTCACAGGCCGATACCGACTGCGCAGAGTATCTCAACAACGTCGGCCGCGGCACCCGTTGGGAAGGAACCTATGACACCAGCTCAAGCACTGTATACTGTCCGACGGCAGATCAAAACACCTGCAGTTGCACCAAAGCCAACGCAGATCCCAGCACCTACTCAGACGCCTACAAGAAATGGCTGAAGACGTACGCTGAGGCTCAAATGTCCGCGTTCGAGACAGGCCAAGGCTGGATGTACTGGACCTGGCGTACTGAGTCTGCGGCACAGTGGAGCTATCGTACAGCTTGGAAGAATGGATACATGCCGAGTAAGGCATATTCACCGTCTTTCAAGTGTGGGGATACTGTGCCAGACTTTGATGCGCTGGGACTTGCGGAATACTATTAATGACACTCTAAAGAGGAATGAACACTGGAACTGAGTGGACGAGTCCAGTCTCCCAGATGCCTCTATCTCTCTTTCTCTCTTTCTGTTTGTTTTATGGCCCACTGTCATTTTTCCCAGTGTTTTGTTTCATGTTCGATCGATATCCCAGTTTCCACTAGCATATCTAGACCACCATACCCCATCTATGAGCTGAAATCATCTATAGTCCTGTTCATTAGGTACGAATTTACAATGCATCTCAATTTCATGTGTGCTCGAATCTACAACCTTATCGTTAATCATGATCTTGTCGTCCTCAGTTTTGAAGAGGTTAAAATTCACGTGACGCTTCAATCATTCTGTTCTGATGCAAGTGAGGCTAGAATCACATTTCGACCCTCACAATTTGTGACCACCAACTTCCAATCCCGAGCTGTCTGATCCAAAGTAAGAGCAAAAAGATGACCATCGTCGTCTGTATACGACCAATGCTGGTAGGTGCTTTTCAAACTTGCACGGCTCTCAGGTATTTTCTAAAACCATCCTCCTCATTCCCAGAAACCTGGTTGGTACTGACACTGCTCCCGTTGTTCTTTCGACTGGACACCCTCCAAAAGTGTATTGACTTTTCCAAAATCGATCGGCTTCATGATCAATCCATTGAACCCAGCTTCCATATAGATTGGCCGATCTTTTTCAACGAGAGAAGCAGATATCGCAAAGATGGGCACTCTGTCGCAAGCCAAAGTAGCTTGACCTTCTTGGTCCCGTATCAACTTAGCAGCCGATAGGCCGTCGACCACAGGCATCTTGGAGTACCGTTAGTCAAGGGCTCGCTGGGTACTCCTAACAGATTTATCTCACCTGAAGATCCATCAAGATGGCATCATATGAGCCAGGATTCTGACCGTATATGGCAGCACACTCCTTGCCGTTCGCTGTCAAATGGACGTCGTAGCCAAGTTTTTCGAGACGTCGTTTCATAATGTGGCTGTTGACTGGATCGTCTTCCGCAACGAGGACTCGTAACTTAGAGGCGATGTCCCGGTCTATGAAAGAAGTCCCGGAGCCTGATGTTGGAGCTTTTGGCTGCTTTATGGGAGCGCGCGACTTTTCTTTTTTCTCTTGCGGCGAGGCGGTATATAGAACCTGCTGATATGTCAACTCAGCCCTAGTGGGACAGTTGTGGGTGATGGTTCATGTTGCACAGCTTGACCTACCTCCACCGGTTTCAAGTTCTTTTCTGATTTGAGAAGTGGTGCTGGCAAGCTAATGCTCCGTGAATCACCATTCGTAAGACTAATCTCGATATCAAGAGAACTGTCCTCAGTTTTCCCGACTTCAGACCCGAAGGTGTCATTATCTCCACAGCGGCATAGTGTACTGTCTTCTTGGTTCCGAGGAGTACTTCCCTGGGATAGGACTTCGTTGCCGCTTTGCTGGTATGGTATTATACCCCCGCAGCTACAAGGCTTTGATTTGAAGCTCGAGCTTTCCGCTTCAGGTGACAAAGGGAACCTCAATCGCAGCCTAAAGCAACTCCCAGTCCCTTCCTCAGACTTGAGACTGAGTTGTCCGTTCATGTTGCTGACTAAACGCGCAACAAGAGCAAGACCCAAGCCGAGAACACTGTCTGTATCGGTGTTGCTTAAGCTGCAAAGACCGTTTGAGTAAGTACTTGATCCCGCAGTAGGTGCTTTCGCAACGACTTGCTCCAACTCGCAGAACAAACTTTCCACCGTTTCTTGAGACATTCCCTCGCCAGTATCGTGTACGGCAACCTCGAGTGGGATTTGTCCGACCTCGCAGAGCACAGGTGCAATGCACGATTCTACTGTAACCGCCCCTGAGGAAGTGTGTCGTACTGCGTTGCTGATCAAGTTTGTGACAACTTGTCGCACGCGCCGTTGATCGCCAAGAACAGGTGGGAGATCCGAGTGCTCTATCAACTGAAGTGTTACATTCTTCTGCTTCGCCTCTTCCCAGAAAATATTGGTCGCTTCAAAGATGGTTTCGGAGAAGCTGAACACTTCGTCTTTGATGAGTTCGTTCCCATTCTCTGCATTTGTAAGATCGAGAAGATCATTTATGATAAAGATCAATGACTTTGATGCGGAATGAGAGCGCGACAAGCTTTCCCTCGTCTCTTGATCGAGGGGACTGCTTAGGGCGATTTCCAGATAATTTATGACAGCATTCAGAGGCGTGCGGAATTCATGCGCAGTATTAGCCAGTAAAAGTTTCATCAACTGATTGTTCTGCGTGGCCGTGTCATTCTCGTGCCATGTTCCTTTGAACGCTCGATATAAGAGTGCCAACATTGACGCCTTCCCATAATCCGCCGGCGACCACTCGAGCGATTCAGTCTCTGCTTTGTCTGAAACATCACCTTTGGGCCGAGCTTTCAGAAACACAATGAAATCGGTGCCGTCCCTGGACAGAGGGATGTAGAGAAGGCTCGTCAAGTCATGGAAACCGGAGGGGTAATTGAGTTCTGGAAAATCGTCTGTGAACTTGGCCGAAGTCACGATGCAGTCAAGCTTCTGTCTTCGAAAGTATTCAAGAATTGCCATCATCTCTTGAGAGTCACTTGGTTTCCCCAAAAGCTTGGTCTTTTCGAGGAGAAACGCCGCAGCGTGATTGGCGCCAAACAAGCCCAATAGATCTCCACCTGAGTTAATGGTATGTTGCTCCAAGGTGTCATTCAAGGTGTTGTCTGCTACTGAGTCTCCACGGATTTGGAATGGGAACGTATAAGACAGACGTTCAATACTGCTGGAGACCATATCGCCAACCAACCAGCTAAGTCGCTGGAGTAGGGGGTGCAGCCGGAAATGTTCGTCGAAAGACTGGCACGAAATTAGACCCCAGCACCTGCCAAATACTTCGAGTCCAATGGAAAGACAGGCGAAAGGTGAATCCTTCTCGAAATCATCATCAGGCTCGTCGGGACTTGCAGTCAAGTAGCAATGGGATAGGTCCATCGCCATCTTGTTGATGGAGACTCGGTAAACAAGTTCCGCGATGTCTTTCCCCTTCCGATAGGATAATGCAACTCTGTCTCTCAAATATTGGCACTTAAGATGATCAGAGAAACTTGATTCCGGAAAATGCATGCCTTGGTAACTCTCAAGATTCTTCGCTTCCTCAACCGCGTCTACCAAGACCACGCCACCACGCTCTGGATCAAAGCAGTACATAGTGATGCGGTGAAACTGCAAGAGATCCTTGAGAATTTCCACTGTCCTCTCGACAAGGTCATTCATTGATTGCGCGCTTGTGATACGCTTCGCAACATGAGGCATCTCATTGAGTAGCTCCCACCTCGCGCTATCCGCTTTTTGAGAGGAATCATCAGAGACTTTGTACGACAAAGTTTGATGCGAAGCCGCGTCACGACAGTTCTGGTTCAGTGAAGTCGGCCTTTGACGAGACAAGCTTTTGAAATCCTTTTTGTGCAATTGTTGGTCCAGTTCCAATTCGCAGATGATGTAGTTCTTGTACGCTTTACTGGTGTGCATTGTACACCACAGCCTCTTATGAGATGCGTTCAAAGTCAATAGATAGAATACCTGTGGACCATCCTGCTCGATCGTATACTCATCGCTCAGAACATATTCGGCGTATTGGCGAAATGTTTCTCCGTAGGATGGAGTCAAAATGTCGCTGAACGATTTCATTTTGAACAAATCATCAGGCTGGGCACTCAGAACTTCTCCAGTATTGCTGCTGGCTGCCTCAACAACAAAATCACCATTAGTTTGCGAGACAACAATCAATGCACCAAATGATTGAATGACGATAGCATCTTCATCCTGAGTTGAAAACTGGAGACCTTTGGACAGGCTCGTGGGTCTCAATATGTGAGCCCCATCCTTGATCGATTTGCACAGACGCTCGTATGGGCCACCCTTTTGAGATGTACTTCCAGCAGATCCTTGTATCGAATTCGAGGATGGCTGAAGTCGACACCCCGGTGAAGCAGGATGATGGATGGTGGGCACTTTAGACGATGGAGATATACCAGCAAGCCTTTGCTTTTGCTCGTGCATTTGCTCCAAATGGGCTGGCCTTGTTGCTCGGCTGTCTGTTCTCCCATATTCATCGTCAGGCTTCCGGGAGCCATCGTTCACCAATGTGCTCCTCTTGAAAACATCAGAGAAAGGCGACACATTCTTCTCGAGCTGGTCGAGGGAGGGCGTTGGTAAAGCGGATGAAGAGGCTGAATTGACAGAGATCAGGGATCGCACAGGAAACACGCGCTCTTTTGTGTCGCTGCTTAAATGCGGAAGATCTGCCTTGAGATCGTCCAGAGCCACCTCCGTGATCTTTAAGCCATCCGTTTTGGACGCGGATGACTGCTTTCTATCATGGCCCAAGCGCCTGAAGAAGACCCTCCAACCGCTGTTCTTTATGTCTTCCACTGAATCATTCATCTCTCCTACTTATCGAATTTGAGAACGACCTTTATCTTGTAGGCAGCATAGTCTGCTGTCAAAACAGAGATTCAGCATGGACATGGCCCACAAAACCGGAGAAAGAAAGACCAACCTCGAGGGGCTGACAATAAGAAATCGACCTGAGAGTCAGCTTACCGACAAATGATTATGGATAATAGCATGTCCGCCTGTGAGACAATGTCCCAGAATGATGCATTGAAATGCCATAGATTGACAGGAAGTCGAGTAAGCCCGGGACATCCCCTCTCAATTTTCTTCGGAGGCAATTCTTGCTCTTAATCATTCGCCAACACGATGAGTTGCCTCCGAAGAGGCAAATCTACGGAAGCGGTTTCCCAGCGCTCCCACAGAACTGGTAACAATCGGTCTACAAGTCAACTCCTGCTTGAAAACACATCTCTCGCGAGTGCGCCAGGGACAAGCGGTGGCAATTTCGTCCAGAGCCTTGGGACGGATGCGTGAGATGACGCAAGCTGCATTCTCTGGGGGAAGAGCCGAGCCTAGTCATCCGGTGAAGGATGTGCGTTCACGAAGATATATTTTCGGCCGAGCAGGATGGTATGGGTTTTCTGATTTACCCTCAATGGATAAATCAGCAACAGCCCGTCGAAGAGGGTCGAGGCACTTCTCCGCTTGTTATGGCCGATGTTGATGTGTGACGAGCGAGCCACATCAGTTCTTGCAACCTCGAGAATGGCCAAAACGAGACGTATCAGAGTACAGCTGGCCAGTTGAGCACATAGCGTCGACAGGTGCAATAACTGGTCGTTACACTGGAGAATAGTACTGTCGCCGATAGCCATACGCACCATGCATCGTTGCAAAGTCCAATGGTCGAGCTTTCCAAGTCCATTTCGGTCCTATTGAGTTCAGTAAACCAAACGGCCGAAGCCAAAAGCCGTAGTAAGAGACCTCTCTATTGCGATTTCGTTCTGCTTGGTCCTGCAGCGACATACGCTTCTCCACTAGTTCGCAATTGCGAGCCGAAGGCTATGTGTCGGGCTTACCATGGATTCACAAAAGTCTTTCGCGGTCGTTCTTTCCGGGTCAGAGTTTGGCAAGCCCGTTCGGAAAGAGTGATTGCTTAAGAATGTACAAAAAGTCACGGGTCTTCGCTCCGGACCAAGTGACTGGTTTCACACCCAACGCAAGATGAAACTGTTCCGATGAGTGAGGCTCAAAATGGTCCGAAAGACCGACAAGTGATTTCAATCAAAATGATTCATTGAGAAGTAGATATCATGCAAGAAAAAAAGAAAGTAGAACTCCATCCCCCGTGCCCTCATCTCGGATCTTCTTCATGACGACGTGACCACATGCCCTGAATTGAAGTACTCCAGTGTGACGATGCAGAGAATGCTATATTATTTTACCACCGGCGACCATAAACAGAATCCTCTGGCTTCAATCGATTGCTGGCGGGCTGACGGGGTCGGTCACGCGGCTCTGACCGACCTAAAGACTGCGTGGCTGACCCAGTATCGTGGTCCTCGCCCGAGCTCAAGAGACGGGTAGGTTGCTTAAAATCCAAAGTGCCCTGCTTGTCCTGGAACTTATGCTCGGCGTCACGGCCAAAGAGAGCCATCATGTCCCGCATGGTCAATTTGCCGGCGGCCGCCTTGCCCTCAATAGTCATGTTTGCGAGTTCTCGCTTGCGATCCTGGAGTTCCACGATTCGCTCTTCAACCGTGCCCTTGATAATCATCCGATAAATCTTGACGTCCACAGTTTGGTTGAGACGATGGACTCGATCGATGGCTTGCTCTTCGACGAACTATTCAAAAAGGAGATGTTAGCACCTGCATATGGAATGTGCCAGAGGATTCAGAAACACTTACGGGGTTCCAGAAAGGTTCCAGAATCACGACTCGGCTGGCTGCCGTCAAGTTGAGTCCCAAGGCACCCGCTCGAAGACTACAGAGCAAGACACGGGTGCCACTGTTGTTGCGAAGCTTATTAAGACTGGCTTCACGCAAATCGTTTCTCATCTGTCCGTCGTACCGAGCAAATCCAATGTTCGCACGCTTCAGGAATGGTTCCACTTTATTGAGCATAGACGTGAAAACTGAGAACACAATGAATTTGTGATCGCCGGCCTCCTTGTGCAGAATCTTCATCAGGTGTCGGATTTTAGTAGACAGCAGCTCACCATTTTCACCTTCAGGGTTCGCGTAGATGTCTTCCGATTCATTGCCAGAAGCGGACTCGTCATCGGAGTCGCTCAGGACTACTGGCTGGGCCTTTCGCTTGGCGGTGGGCGATTCGACATCGTCGTCGTCCGTTTCCGAATCGTCGGAGCCGATCCAGTCTCCGCCGCCTTCGGCATCTTCGTCGTCAGAGCCTCCCGCCTGGCCTAGACTGGGCACCTTGCGACGACTCTCCGGCACAATCCATTCGCCTTCTTCTTCTTCTTCTTCTTCTTCTTCTTCTTCTTCTTCTTCTTCTTCCTCGTCGTCACTATCAATAATGACCCTCTTGTTCTTGCGGAACCGAGCTGGAACCGGAGACTCGTCTTTGCGCTGAGCCTTCTTTGATTTATGCTTCTGTCGGTTTTCTTTCTTCATAAAGTCCGTATTGAGGTCGGCATCGCAGTCAGCGCAGCGACTAACCCCTTTTGCGGTTTCGGCCTTTTGAAGATCTCTTTGACAGACGTCGCACTTCTTCGCCACGACACTTAGGGCACCGAAAAGATCGGCAACGTCATCCAAATCAGCAGACTTGGGTTGAGAAGACTGGCTTCCAGTATTTCCATTCTGCAAGAGAACGTCCTTGTCGACGGCCAAATCGCTCTTGACCAGATCTGGATGATTGCAGGATTGACGGAGACGCAGCAGAAGTGTTAATGCACCGGCATAGTCAACCTTTGAGCCACCCATGATTTCTTCAAGTCGGTTCTCTGTCCGCTGTTCGAGGCGCTTATAGAAGTTCATTTCACCTTCCATGAACTCTGCACTCACTTTAATGACTTCTCGCTTGACAATCTTGAAACCGTTGGATGACTTTTTCTCTTTGCCATCTTTATCCAGCGTGGACTCGCCGGCCTTCGGCTCATCATTCTGTTTCAAGACCTCTTTGGTGCGCCGTTTCATGAAGGCTTTTAGATAGACTTGTAGGCGTTGAATAGCCAGGCCACCGCGACCGTTCGCAAGGGGGCGGCTGATCTGGTCGCGCCAGTGAGCAAGGTCGTTATAGGGCTTGATGCGTAGGAATTTAATGAGGCTTTGCAACTCATCAAGATTGTTTTGCATCGGAGTTCCCGTCAAACACCACCGATATTTGGCATCCAATGCACAAGCGGCCTGTGTAGCCTTAGCATTTCGGTTCTTGATCGTGTGAGCTTCGTCGAGGATGATCCGATACCAATAATTGGCGAAGACGCCAGACTTCTTTGCTTTGTCCGCGGCAGCAGTCCCGAACTCTGAGGTCAGGGTCCCATAGGTTGTGATAACGACGTCGTACGAGGGGAGATCCTGGGATGTCTTTGTGCGATTGGCGCCATGATATAGGCACACACGGAGCCTATTTGCTTTTTCGACCTTGTCCTGGATCTCGGATTCCCACTGCTTGATCAGCGCAAGCGGAGCCACTACAAGCGTGCTCTTGGAGAGTTTAACTGTCGGGGCAGGCTCCTCATCCTCGCCCTTCTCGATCGTGTCTGATTCTTCGCTGTGTTCGTTTTCTGGTTTCTTGTGTCGTAACATCAAGGCGATCGCTTGTACAGTCTTGCCAAGTCCCATGTCATCGGCAAGAATGCCACCCTTGGGAAATATGCCTTTGGTCGTGCGTTTTCCGGTTTCCTTATCACACATCCACTTCACGCCTTCAATCTGGTGGGGAAGAAGTGTCACTTTGAGACCCTCTACGACACCATCGCCGTCTTCCTCCTCCTCCTCCTCCTCATCGTCCTCCTCATCGTCCTCCACCTCTTCCTCCTCCTCTTCCTCTTGTCCCTCCACTTCCTCATCGACCTCATCGGTCTCAGCACCCTCGTTCAGTTTTGATGCAGGCACATACTTGCTGGTGGCTCTGGCTGAGTCTTCGAGTGCATGAGAGGCGGCCACAGGCTTGACATCGTTCACCGTGACACCCTCAAGTTGAACAGCCAGGTCATCAAGATCATCGGCACTAGTTCTCTCCGCCTTGGTAGGTTGCTCATATGTCTCGGTTTTACTAGACTTTCCTTTCTTCGAGGCTTTTTTCTTGCTTTTGGACTTCGACCGAGACTTTTCTTTCTCTTCTTCTTCGTCCTCGAAGGCACCTTCAAGCAAAGCTTTGATGTTCTCCGTAGCCTTTTCAGAGTCCACGTATCCATGCACGTCCATGGCACCAAAGCTAGTAGACGAAGTTTTGGAGCTCGGGAAAGATGATTGCTCATCTTTTGTGAGATCAATAAAGGCTTGTAGGTTCTTGGACGCATTCGAGGGCTTGGGTGCCGTGCCTTTCGACATGAAGAGGGGCCTCGGAGCTCGAGGTGTTGTCCAGTCTGTGTTTCCCGGTCGCTTGATGGGAGTCGCACCCGTACCTGCGCCATAGTTCTTCCTCTCACTATATGCAGAGGGTCTCACAGCCTTGAAGGGATCGAATGAACCACGTTTGGCCGGGGTTGAAGCGACTGGAGGAGGACCGTGTTGGCCTGGGAAGGCTCCATGCCGCTGCTGTCCGTAAGGTTGATTGGTGCTCTGATGCTGAGCTCGAGGTTGGTCCCGGTGATGTTCTACACGAGGACGGTTTGCTTTAGGGATATTGAATAGATGATTCGCGTTGTTGGATCTATTCGTATGGGCTGGTTGTGCTGATTGTGTCGGTTGGGAAGGCATGTGCTGAGGCTTGCCCATTGGCGAAGGTTTGCCGAACTCGGGCTGCCGAGACAGAGTCTTTGGATGTTGTTCATTCGCCTTGCCCGGAGTTTTGGGCTCCGTCGGCGCGTTGCTCTCTCGAGCCATCTTGATGCGAATCGAACCCGAAAGAATGCGTTTGGATCAAGACTGATGTTTCCGAACTGTGCCTGAAACTGTCGATTCAGCGTCGGTGGCAGTATGGAGAGCTCTGGAGTACGCCAAGATCGATCGATGTTCTTTGTTGTTCTTTGTTGTTGAGCTGTATGTGTCACTTCGGTGTCAGCCAACAGGCAATTCTTTGTTTAGCACGCATCCATCCATCAAGGTTGCAACAAGCCCACGGTGTAAACACCAGCCAACAAGATGGAAATGTCTCAATCTCACAATAGACCCATGTGATTAACTTACCACCGATATATTAACTTTTGGCATAAGCAGCTGGCGAAGATAGTGGGGGAGGGGAAGTCTGGTGGGAATGGCGATCGGATCTTCAAATCGTTATCGATAATCCTTCGTTTTTTTGTTTTGGTGGTCATGCGGGCCTGATTCCCCAGCAACCACTTTTGGCCTCAGGAACCTTCCCAGGCTTCACTTCCATCTACATTCTACAGTTATAGGGTGTCAGACTCACAGAAGTCGTCCATTTTGTCGTGTGTGGGAATGGTCATGCCTTCCATTGATAAGTAGACAAGATTGTGCACTATCTGATTTCCTTCACTGCTTATGTCCATCGTAGCATCAGGTTTACGAAGTGGGTGGAGGCCTGAAAGGGTTGGAGACTTGGAGTACCAGTCAAATTGTATATTCTTGGATGGGAGAGCCAGACTATCGAATGTACCGCCACGCATCCGCGAGACATATTTCGGATATAATCGTCCACTAGGTTTAAATAGCCCGACGCGATGGATGTAGTAAATCGACCGATCCCCAACGTATCAAGCCGGACCCATCTAGGAAGCTATTTGCGAGCACTAGCTACGATATTCCCTGCAAGATGGGGAGATTGATGATTCTTCCAAACTCGAACAACAACTAGTTAGCTTCTGGACAGATTCTCCTTGCTGTTCACAGGTCACCTATAACACTCTTCAATATCTCGGGCACTATGACGCTGGCATCTCCTTGAAAGAACCAGTCACACTCACGCTTGCCGCGACTAGACATGTCCTGTTCCACATTGACCACAGCTACTTTTGCACCATGATCACGAGCAACATCAACATATCCTGCAGCAGGGTACACACGTGCGCTCGTACCAATGACTAGGATCAGATCAACTGGGGCACTTTCAATCCAAGAATCTACTCTTTTAAGAGTCTCGGTTGGTAAAGATTCGCCAAACCAGACCACCCCCGGTCGCAGGAGGCCCTTGCATTCCGGGCACCGTGGCAGGTCTTCTGGCACGAGCTTTGGAATGGGAACGCTCTCATCAGAGATGTCGATGTACCTCCGAGAGGGCCCTTCTTCTTCGGACGCGTTGACAGATGTACCGATCCGATCACTAACCTTATCCACAACCGTGTGTGTTTGAGGAAATGAAGGATGCTGGGGCAACTCTAATGCCGGCACGATCGGATCAGAGAAGTCGTTGCTTCGAGTATAGTGACAATAAAATGAAGTACATTTTATGTCGAACAAAGAGCCATGAAGCAGGTTGAGCTGGTCAGAGGGATGTTGTGCTCGCTGAGAGAGTCCTACAGCTTTCGATTAGGGACCGAGGAATCCAGGACAAGCAATGATGGGTAGTTCATCGAGATCATCTTGTCAATAGAAAGGAAGGAAAATACCATCAACGTTCTGCGACAGGGTGATGAAGTCTTGATTCCTGCGCGCCAGTTCCGCTAAAGCGTAATGGGCTTTGTTCGGCAGCGCTTGGAGGGCCATATGTCTGCGATGACTGTAGAACTGCCAGACCAAGGCAGGGTTCATCTCAAACGCTTCTGGTGTTGCCAGGGCAGTCGCATCGTACTGGCGCCATAGACCTCCGGCTCCTCGAAAAGTAGGAAGACCCGAGGCTGCTGAAACACCTGCGCCCAGCAGAGCGAGAATACGTCGGCAGCCCTTGAGGTATTCGGAGAAACTTTGGATGTCGGTTGAGGTGACCATGGCTTTTTTTCCAATCGAAGCCAGCATCCCATTTATCTGGACTGCACATTTGAGAGAAAGAGAGGTGAGAAGCAACTCGATGATTAAATTGGAGTGTTGACGAACACCCGACGCAGTGGGTGCCCAGAGGCTGCAGCTGTCCCTGATGACGTGGGCCTTCAAGTAGTGCAGGTGACACTGAGGAGATGCCGGTTCTGCATACTCGTAGAGACATGGAAACCACGGCAGCCTCCCGCACACAAGATGTTGACAATTCAATATTCACAGACCTTTGTCCTGACGGAGCTGATCTACTACTGAAAAAAGCGGATTGACACCATGGAGCATTCAAAGTATATCCAAATAGCTCTGCAGACTAGATAAATACATGCATGGGGCTGGAGTCAACGATCCCGCTCAGTGCTGCTCTTCTCCGGGTAGCGTCACTTTGACGGCCGCCTCTGCCTGTGCTCGATTCTGCGCATTCTTCAACTCTATGTACGAGGTGATGTGACTGGGTACCTCGCCGACTTTGCCCTCACCAGAGGGGACAGGCTGGCCAAAAGTCTCCCAGACGGGAACCACACCCGTCCAGATGCGACCTGTGATCTCTTCGCTGCTCGAGTCCTTTCGCTCGTCTGAGACGCCTCCATCACGTATCTTGCCGCTGCCATCCACGACCTTGACCTTCAAGATCACGGTCGACTGCATTTCTGCACGATCTGGAGGCACACGCGTGTTGTCCCAGCGATTAGCAAGCACAGAGTTGGTGATGAGCTTCATGGCCCACAATTTCTCCTCCTCGTCGGTCACCAGATGGGCGTATCCATGGAGAATGGCGGAGCGATAGTTGTAACTGTGTGAGTTCGGAGTGAGCGACAAGACCAGACCGTCGACTTTGGTGGCCGCCACACAGATGGGCAAGCCTTGGCCATCGGAGCTGCGAGCCAAGTTCATGATGCGCGAGCTCACGTATCCATGAAGATAGCAGTCCAAAGGCTCATTCATGTCTGCCGAAGGATACTCATACGATCCCATTTGCCCGATCATGGGAAGGATGGCAGGAAAGGGATCTTCGGGTCCTGGATTGAATGATACATGAAGCACTTGGGAATCATTGATAATTGAGTGAATCGGTCCCAAGTCATAGGTCGCTGTATCACATGGTCAGTTCGAGTTGGCCATCTACAGTGCTAGGAGTGATAGATCGCACTACTATAGAGTGGCTAGTGTACTGACCCCGATGCTTGTAGCGGTTGGCGGTATTGGAAATCCGCTTGGGATAAGCCAGTGTTCGACCCATGATGGAACTTGCTTCGGTCTGCCTTGATGCAGAGTCAGGATCTGTCAAGTCAAGGATGCCTGTAGTTGCATTGAGAATCAGAATTGACGAGGACTTTGGGCCCTCTTTATACTTTTGCGGTTTCTCGTCCGTCGTCCATGTGGGTGGATGTCTGTACTCTGGCCCTACTACCCTCAATACTCACCCTCAGTACTCTGTAGGTGGTATTCGAACGAGAAGCTTACTTGATCCACACCTGTCCTTAGTCCTTACTAGCTGGCTGCTAGGTATCCTCGTCATGAACGAGATACCATTGGATACGAATCACAAGTTATGAATCACGCGGAGAGTAGCTGAATGTAAGATGTAAAAGCTTAGACCTAAAGTGACTTAGGACTCAATGGATCTGGAGTGTGAAATGAGTCAGTGCCACAGGCTGGTGGGATATCCTCGACCTCACGGTGGTAATTGTGGCTCCGTCCATGCGGATTCATGATCATCGGATGCAGTCAGATCAATCTGAACGAATGATCTCAAAGGCTTTCGATGCCTCATCAGTCTGTCCTCCACCATTTTTGATATGAACGCCAGGTCTTGAGCAGCCGTTCATCTACTCTCTTCAATCTTCTCTTTGTGTAATATAGTTGGTAGAAAGTTAGAAACTACCTAGAACGTAACCGCCCAGGTGATTGGCCTTCACCGCCGACAGAATCGCCGACCGTCAGCCTTGCGCATGCTTGTATGGTTTCCCGATAACGCCCAATCAGTCAGTTGAGTCCACCGTCACCGTCGCCTCGGCTCCATTTTGGTCAAGCATGGCAGGATGCAAATGGCTTGCAAGGCATTGCGCCCGCCAGCTCCGCACCCCTGTGCGTCTCAGTCTTCGGCCAGCCCGCCAATTTCCTGCTCACAGTAACCAAAATGTCCGACGGGCGTACGCGACCTCCGTGGCCGCCGCAGAGCTTCAATTCGGTCAGCCGTTGCACGAAACGCATCCCCATCTTCTCAGTCCCGGTGAATGTACGTGGCATACGGCAGCCGGTAAAGCGCCAAAGGTGGCTTGAAATACCTTAGACTGAACAATGACTGTGTAGTGACCCCCGGAATCACCGCCGTCGAATATGCGCAGCGTCGATCCCGTCTGGCCAACAAGCTTCCCAAGGGCGCCGTCGCCGTACTCGCAGCATCCGAGGTCAAATATCGGGCACCGGGGATCTTCCATGAATACAGACAAGAGACGAACTTTTACTATTTGACCGGTAAGGGCGTACCGCACAGGCATCCGATCCAGCAAGCCCACCGTGACAAGACTGTGTTTGCTCGGGGCCGAACAGACGCAGACTAACGTTTCGTGGCGATGAGCAGGTTTCAACGAGCCGAATGCATTAGCCGTCATCGCAAATGATGGATCTGGCGACAACCACATCTTCCATCTGTATGTGCGTGAGAAGGATCCGAAGGCAGAGTTATGGGAAGGTTCCCGGTCCGGCACCCAAGCTGCAGTGGATGTGTTTAACGCAGATGAGGTACGCTTAGAAGGAGCTGTGGCTTATTCACAGCACACCCACTGACACTCTACTGGGGATAAGACAGGGAACATCGAAAAAATAGCGGATATTCTACCCAAGATCATTGCTGGGGCTACAGAAGTCTACTCTGACATTCCTGCTTTGGATGGTTCACGATCATCGTTGCACCGATACCTCTACGGCCCTACCGTTGCGTCCGAAAAGCTCAAGAAGATTGTTGAGCATCGGCGGGTACGCCCATTGAGGCCCCTGCTGACCGAAATGCGGGTTTGCAAGAGCGAAAATGAGGTGGTGCACATGCGTCTACTCGGCCAGTCATCAGGCCGAGCTTTCACAGACTCGATGCGAAAGACATTTGAGACTGAGAAGGATCTCTGTTCCTACCTGGAGTATCAATTCAAAGCCAATGGCTGTGATGGAAACGCCTTTGTTCCCGTAGTCGCAGGTGGAAAGGTAAGCAAGCCGAATCCTGTCCAAACTCCCAATGCTCTGAACTAACGACCGCAGCACGCACTAAGCATCCACTACACACGAAATGACGATATCCTTCGGTAAGCACTGGAAAACATGCTGACAAGTACTAGCTGACATGATTATTAGAGATGGCGATTTGGTTCTGGTTGACGGTGGAGGTGTAAGGATTCCCTCAATTCAGGATCCTGTAGGACTATCGACTTATGCATTTCACAGGAACATGGGAATTACATCTCCGACATCACACGCACGTGGCCAGTAAACGGCAAATTCACGGATCCTCAACGTGATCTTTACAATGCTGTCCTCAATGTGCATCGGAGCTGCCTGGCCCTCTGCCGGGAGAGTTCTGGCCTCTCTCTGGACAAGCTGCACGGTGTCGCCGAGAACGGACTGAAAGATCAGTTGAAACAACTTGGATTCGATGTCTCCGGAGATGTAAGGAGTCTCACACCGCACGGTACAATGAAGATTTGCTGAACTTACCCAGGCGATGGGAATTCTCTTCCCCCACCACCTCGGCCATTACATCGGTCTGGATGTGCACGATTGCCCGAGCTACTCTCGAGGATATGACCTCAAAGCAGGCAATTGCATTACTATTGAACCGTAAGTCAGGCTCTCCCCATTCACTGCGACATGAGCGATGAGAGGCGAGCTAATTGAACTCAGTGGCATCTACGTGCCCGATGATGAGCGTTGGCCATCACACTTCCGTGGCATTGGTATTCGTATCGAAGACAGCGTTTGTGTAGGTGATGATCACCCAATTGTCCTCACACCTGAGGCCGTCAAGGAAGTAAGTTCATCCCAGAATGTCATCTCTAGTACGCGTTGATGATCTGATTTCTGACCTCTCGCGTATGGTTTAGGTTGCGGACATTGAGGCTCTGCGTCCATAGAAGGATTTACCCTATCTGTATAACTAGCAGTAAAAATGTATACCCCCAGACAAGCTGTATAATTCAAGCCGTTCATCTCACTTACAAAAGCTTCAATTCCCTCCCTTGAAAGGGGGTGGCTGGCCGCCGCCTTGTTAGTTGGCTGGTCGGTGGCTGGTCGAGGAGGTTGGAGTAAACAGTGGCGTTCGCGGTACGGATGAATCGTGCATCGGACTGCGCGAGCATCTCAGAGCTCCACTTTGTATTTCATACGCTCAGTTCAGATCAGCGAAGACTGGAACTCCCATCCAATATCCAAATAGCAAAGAAAAGAATGCTCATTCGTAGGCAGTTCATGAAACATTGGCTGTTTTGATGGTTCATGCTTTACGCGGTGGTTGTCCGGCATACGCCAGTCAAAACAAACTCGAGGGGGGCTCCACACCCGCACGACTTTGCCTTTTCGAACGGATTCCCTGGGCCTTTTCCTTCCGTGACGTGAACGACCCGATTGACCTACATACTACTTCCCCTCTCCGACGCTCACTACTCCCTGTCCAAGTCTCTGTCGTCCTTTCTGCTCTGGTGGATCGGGCATTCGTTTCTTTTCTTGTCTGGTCTTTTCTTTCTCATCTGTCCCTCAAGTGCTTTATTTGTCTGATCATGATCCTTCTGTGACCTCATCCCAGTCCTGCAAGACGTGTGGCACGTCGCGTGCTCGACAACGAGTACCCCTCTTGTACCATTGCTCCTCAAGGACTTTCAGGATTCAATCTCTCGACGCGTCTGCCGTGGCTCAGATAGCTACAAATGGCTGCAGTGTTTGTGCCGCCGTCGCCTCGAACATCCATGAACATGTCGACTCGCCGCCCGCTCGCTAACGTGCCGAATGCAACCAATTCCCCCCATCGGACTGGGCTCGTCCCAGCTAAACGAGCTAGATCTGGACAGGTCGACATACCTTTCGGTCAACCTCCACCCAAGAAACACGTCATGGACGCGGTAGAGCAGGACCGAAATCGCCTCGTTGTCCCCCAAGGACCCGAGTCGAAGCTGTTTGCGCGTCGAAGCAACAATGCAAACCCGAGTGCCTTTGAAAAAAAACTTGTGGCCGCCCGAGAGAAAGAGAGAGTGACTCAACCGAAGACTAAGAATGACAGACCGGCGGCCGATACCATCGACACAATTCGACAGTGGCAGCGACACTACCGCAAGGCCTTTCCTCAGTTTGTGTTCTATTTCGACAGTATCCCGGAGGACGTCCGTTGCAAATTCTCACGGCAAGTTGTGGCACTTGGAGCGGTACGTGGTTTTCCCATTCAAACGTGCTTGTTGACGTGGATTCTGGTTTCACTCCTCGACGGTTCAGGGGCTCATCACAAAGCGTACATTGCTGAGGCTCTTCTGACTTTTTACAACAGTGCGAGGAAAAGTTCTTTTCTAGACTAGTCACCCATGTTGTGACTGCTCGTTCGATTCCTCCCGAGGCCGCGCATACCAATAATCCAGCAGAAGACACTAGCAACGAGACCAATGGAGCTTCTGGAGATCACACGCAAACCGTCAACCCCTCTCTACTCGAAAAGAATGGAGACGGTCATTTGCAAGTCTCGTTGAAGATCGAGGGGCGTCGGGATCAGGGAAGCATGGATGTGTTGCAGAGAGCCCGACAGATGGGAATGAAGATTTGGGCACTGGAAAAGTTGCAACGGATGATCACCACGATCAATGACAACGACATTGGCGGACAAAGTGAAAACGTGTCTCGAAGCAAACAGGTCGGTGCCAGCACCACTCATGGAAAGGGAGAAAATGATCTTTCTCGCGTCCTTCGACAGGAACTACTCAATGGTCCGTCCGATCGTGATCCTTTCGCCTCTATGGAGATGGTTGTGTTCAAGGGTCCTTTCATCTACATCCACGATATGAACGAGAAGACCAAACCGGTCATGGTGAGAGAGTACGCGAGAGTCAACAGACGGCAAGACGGCGCATGGCCACAGTTCCGGAGTGCGCCTTTGGGCAAATGTCCCTTCATTGACGAGCCACCAAGCCGAAAGGAATACGACAGACAGCGGCTACGCCAAGCCCAGAAGGAGAAGAAGATAGCGCTGCAAACTGCGGAGGGATTGAAGACCAAAGTCTCGAAGAGTGTCAAGGCGAATGCCCAGACCCAGCGGCCCACTGATAAGAAGCTAGTTGGCGATGTATCCAAGGCTGAAGAGCCTCCTATCAAAAAAGAGGTCTTTGCAAAGCCAAGTTTAGAAGACATCAATGAGCGAAAGAGCTCCGAGAGCCTTATTCCGCCCCATTTTCCTCGCACGGGTCCATTCTACAGCGGCCGCGAACCCGCCGCATCTGGTGTGCAGCCATCCAACGTGACTTCCGCAATCCGCTCGCAGATGATCTCATCCACTGCCGCTGCCCCCGGCGCCAAGGCTGGACTCAGCAAGGAAGTGCATGGTTTGAAGCGAAAGGTTTTGGAAAAGGGGACTGGTAGCATCGTGCCTGGACCTATGGCTGCGCCTCAACGTCCCAATCATGGATCCGGCTCATTCTGCAAGCAAGCGGATGTCAAAAAAGTGAGCATTGGGGAGACTACCACCCAAGGAGATGCAACCAGCATGAAGCGGCGACGAGATGACGTTGTCGCTCCTCAAAAGGTTGAACGGAAGAGAGATCCCAAACCTGGCTATTGTGAGAACTGCCGGGATAAGTTCGACGATTTCGAAGAGGTTCGTCCATTTGATTGTCTTGACGCTCGTGATCTCTCACATACTGATTGAGATATAGCATACCATGACACGAAAACACCGGCGATTTGCGCAAAATTCTTCTAACTGGAACGATCTTGACGCTCTCTTGTTTGATATTCAACGACCTAAAGATGAGTGGGACTGGGAGTCTTGAACTATCCGTGCCAACACGGTCCTGACCACTGAGCTTCAGCAGACGCTTTCAATGCCACACTCTGCCTCTCAGTAAATGTCCAGTCTCCTGTTATCTGCATTTTGTCCGCTTCCGATGATGTCTACATCTCGATTTTCATCCATTACGATGTTCCATCCCATAGTGTTTTCGAATCATGGCTTGCATGATCGACCGTATTCGTGGCACACTACATTTGCATACGGGGAGTTTCATTGTTTCTTTACGATGCCCTTCCATCGAGCAACACTGCATTGGAGAGGCTTAGTGGATCGACGTCCGGCTTTCAAAGTTTGCGATTTGTAATCATCTGCGAATGAAGAAGGCTGTGGATGTTGTCCACATTCTTTCCCATTTTCCTTTCTCATTTGTCTTTCCTATCCCTGCTAGCCTCCGGCCTTGCAGCAAATTTTCTTTTTTCAAGCCCCAACAATGTCCAGACTAGTGGTTAGCCTTGACACTCTTGGTCCTTCGCTGGTCTTTGTTGGCTTCGTTCCTTACCTTCGAGTTCAGATAACTGGGCCTAATTGTGGCTTGTCATGCTGCTCTGCAGATTTCATCGCGTGCCTACCCGGTAGTAGCTGCAAGCCTGTCCTTATTCACTCCACATTCTGGGCTTTGTGGTATCTCTCACTGGTGGTTGGCGACTCTTTGTTACACCATTTGAGGTGGGCATATTATACCCGGCGTTCGCAATGGAAAGGGTGTTTGTACTGTACCACTGTGCCTTCTAAGCTTCATTTAGGTTTAAATGCGACCCGGTCAACTCAGCATATAGCTTAAATATTCTTTCTTTTATTCTAATCTTCTCACTCCATTTGTAAGCGAATTGAAGACAGGCTATACTGATGCCATCAGAATATGACGAGATTGTGAGCAGGCCGAGGAATGGGGTCTTCCTGCCGACACGCTGTACTTTCAAGTGCCGCCAGAGTTGAGAAAAGTAGTCTCTTATTAAGACACCTCTGGTAGATCAGTTCAGCTTTACCCTTCCTTTTAGAAACAAGAAGAACTTAGTATTCTCAGACACAAGCCTCTGCATCTTTGTTTACGAGACAAGTGCCTACCCGAGGCCTGCAAATCCTGCCAGCCTTCACTTCTTGATACCAAAGATCCCAACCTTCAATTTGTCCAGCCATCCACGACTCTCATATTTTGCTTCATCGTACAAGACCTGCCACATCTCCCTATTTGGTTGTGTGTCCGGTGTGAACTTATAGTGACTCAATTCATTTCCATCGAATTCTCGAGGCTGCTGGATGTAATCACCGCTGGAGAGGCCCTGAATCTCACAAGTTCTCAGCGCGTCCGCGGCGCGAAGAATCTGAATGACTTCAGGAAAGAGTTTGTAGGCTTCAGCTGCACGAGCTGGTGGCCCTTGATTGGGTTCATAGACAAGATGTGCTTCCAGTGCTCTTTGGCGAGACGGGCCAGCTCTGTAAGAAGCTAGTTTCTGGATGTGTGCACGACGGCTGAGTTCTGCAGCGTGAAGAGCATGATCAAGTGCTGTCCAGGGGGGAGACTTGGAATTTTCGACCTCGTTGAGGTGTTCGAGGAGTCCTAAAGAGAGTAGAAGTTTTACTGTTGAAGGCTTGCCGCGACTTGCGGCTGCAATTAAGCTTTCGTGGCTCTTGGGATTCGTGAGATAATGCTGCTTGTATGCATTCTCAATATTGAGATCGAGATGGTTGAGAAACTTGCGGATCAAATCGCAGGTTGCTTGGTCAGTGAGAACAGCATTATTCGCCATTGAATGGAAGATATCTCGATCTCGGACGTGAAGGGCACACGGATCAGCACCCTTGTCGAGTAAGAAGAGGCCACGGCGGGCTGGATCCCACGCAGTTTCAAGTGCAATGGCGAGCGGAGTCTGTCCAAGATGATTCTTTGCATTGATATTTGGGCGCTTGTGGTGTGCTGACATGATTTCGAATGCTGCTTCAAATTCGGCCTCCTCATGGTATGTCGTGGTCAGCAGATGTAGTGGAGCATCTTCATCAAACTTGTTTGCAATATCAATATTGGGCGTCGCTGCGACGATTCTCTCGAGGGTCGATAGGTATGACTCGGGATAATCCAGTCGCGGCCCTACAATGGAAGCCCATGTATGCAGTACCGTATCGCCAGCAGAAAGCAACGACGATTCAAGATCAGCACCAGCATTTAACAATGCACTGATGGCGCCTCCATTCCAAACTCCTAGTTCGGCGGCAGCAGCTATTGGAGTCAATGATGGGTATCCTTTGTCTTTTGCATTCAGATCTGCACCAGACTGAATCAGAGCTTGAACAAGATCTATCATGTCCTTCTCATGATGCTCCCAAGTTCCGTGACGGATCCAGTAATGCCAATGACGTGGGAGGTAGCCATGTCGATCTGGGAAGTACTTTGAAATTGCATGCAGGGCGTTGCGTCCCATGGAGTCAAGCAAAGTGCCATCAGCTCCATGTGATACTAAGTATTTGACGATTTTGGTCTCGCCGAAATACGCCATCAAAGATAAAGGTGTAGACGACGCGTCACCTGCATGGTAGAAAGCATTGACATCCGCCCCCAAAGAGAGCAATGTGTCCATTGCCGATTGATTTCTGAAAAAGCATGCCCAATGGAGCGGCGCACCATGTGGAAGTTCAAAGGGGCTGCGAAATAAGCTTCTGTTGTTCTGGAGAAGAGCGACGAAAAGATAACCAACTTACTAATGAAATATCTGAATCTTCTCCTGAAACCCACCGCTATTCGCTTTCACAACTGGCTCAATAAGTGCATTGACGTCTGCTCCACCTTGGGCCATCAATCTCGCAATCTTGTCGATTGCCTGTTCAGGGATCATGAATAGCCAATGAAGCGGTGTAGCTTTCTGTCGGGTCTTCGTGCCTGCATCAGCTCCACGCTGGAGCAAAAGTTCAATTGCTTCGGCATGTCCAGCCTGAAACGCCTTGTACAGCGGCGTCTCGCCGTTATCATTTTCTGAATTTGGGTGGACCTGTTGAGAGTCCAAAAGGTCTTTGATTACACGAACTTCCCCAAATGCAGCAGCAGCATGTAGTAGTGTGTTACCGATTCGGTCAACCACAGCACCATTTTTCGAGATCCATGCTGTGGCCAAGTCTCCATTCATGGCAGCTTTGACGTCTTTCTTGAGTAAGAATGGATCCGAACAGAATCCACCGTGATGTCTGAAACTTTCTTTTGCGAGCTCACACCTGTCCTTTCCATAAGGCGCAGTATCGACAAAGAGGTATCCCTCTGACACTGCTTGCAGGGCCCACTTGTCCATCTCTACTTGGCAAAACCCGGGAGTGCGACGGTGTGATGCCATGATCTGGGCATAAATTGCCCTAGCTGGGGAGTATTTGGCCGTTGCGGCGTCCTCTAGGTATGTCAACATGCGGTCGAGATAGGATGGCTTCTCGCCGGTGATGGTCTGCGCAATTCCCAGAAGGACGTCTCCTCCAAAAGGTGGACCATCGTTTTCTTTGCCAATGCGATTTTGAACCTCCAGCTCGGTGCGGATACTGTGGTCAAGTCTGTACCAGAATAGAGGTCCTTTGTTGTAGATGGGATCGATGATGCCGACGTGATTATTGACAGTATTTGATTGAGTGGCGGCGAGCCTGTAGTCGTGTGAATAGAGGACCTGCTATAAGCTACGGAGAACAAGTCGAGAGATGGAGGAAATGCGCTTACCATGAGGCATATGCAGGACTGTCAATTTTCAGCATACTTGCAGACGGCAATCTTCGTTCTCGAGGATCCTCAGCAAGTAGGTTTCTGATGCTTTTGCCTAATTCCAGACGAGTATCGGATGTGATATCCTGCTGGTCTCTCAGTAGAGCAGAGACCTTCCCTGATACATCTTGATGGGACTTCCCAAAGTGAAGAGCTTGGCCCTGGCTGGTGAACAACGATAAAAGCACCAGACCAAAGCTGTAGGCATCGAACTTGAACAGCAGCCCGGGTGAGAAATGCCCGAATTGGCCGACTGTGTCATTGTTCAGCTCAGGTGCCCGCCAGGCATCTGTCCCGCGATAATCAGCCGCAGTTGCATGACCGTCCGAGGCCTCCAAGTCAAGGCAGACACCAAAGTCACTTAATTTCGCGCAGAACGGCACTTTTTCAGTGCGACCGGCGAATACGAGGACATTCTCCGGTTTCACATCTCCATGAACGATTCTCAGGTGATGCAGAGCCTCTAGTCCATTTGCAATATCCAGGGCGAATTGATATCTGACTTCAAAGGGACGCGGCTCTGCCTTGAGGAAGTCATCCAAGGGCAAGATTGCGGCTTCCATGAACAGTACCGGGACCGCCAGGTCAGTTGAGGGGAAGTCAAAACCCCATGCTAACAGGCTTGTGATGTTCGGGTGCGATCGAAGCAAAGGATTGCAGAGAGACAAAATCTCCAACTCCAGCGTCTTTAGTTGCTGACGATATTCAATGCTTGCTGCGAATCGATCCGGTCCTTTACTTGAAAGTGGGACCCTGACACGTTTGATGACTTGACCCTCAAAGATTGGATCCTTGAAGACGACGAACTGGCCTCCAGACCCTATCTTGGTAGCTTGTGCATCGAGATTCCCTGCCTTCAAGAGACGAGGGCCGTGTATACCGGTCCGTGATAGAATCGTGGTAAACTGAGATAGAGTGCTCAGGACTGACGCTGACCCATTGCGCGTGGCCGTAATGGCAGATTCAAGAGGATCGACCCATGACGAACCTTCAGACGAGATATCGATTTTGGAGAAGTCGGAGTCGAGGTGGTCCGCACTGGCGGGCTCTGAGACGGCTGGTGAGGGCGGCGAGAGATCATCGTCTAGCCCAGAATAATAGTCGTTATCATCTTCAATAGAGTCGAGGATATCCTCGTACTCTTCAGCCATTGTTCAAGCTCGCTCTGGACGATGAACACGAGCGATACAAGTGGGCGAAGGAAGAATTGCAGCTCCAGCCAGGTCATGCAATCGAGCAAAGCACGAGGGGTTCGCGTGCGCGGATTCTCGTATTTGCCGTCACAAAAGCTTCACTGGGGCGTTCAGGGCTGAACGCCCCGAACCAATGTTTGCAAACAACGCATCGATATCAAGGCTCTTTTAGCGTTAGCGCTGACGGCTTGCGTGACGCAAAGGTACGGGCGTGGGAGAGGGGCTCAAGTATACTGGGCTCCCCGCCAGCTGGCGATCTTTCACATTCATCTCTGTGATTACTCTCTTGGCGATCCCTTGCCAGTGCAGGTTCAGCATAAGCGAAGAAGTTTTCGAGAGGTCCCCGAAAGCGCAAGATGGACTTCTACGGAACTGCTTCGTCGGCGATCACTCAGATCTACCAAGTTGCAGTCTTTATTCAGGGGGTCGTCTCTGACATCAAGTCCTTTGACGATGACCGGGCGGAAATCCGTCTGAAGCTGAATCTGGAGATCTCTTCGCTTCTTTTCTGCAGGCGCATATTCTTCCATCCTTTACTGTCAGAGAAGTTGGATTCTTTCATTGCCGAGTCGGTGAATGGTCTTCTCGAGCAGATGCGAAAAACATTGGCCGAGTATGAGATTGTCGCGATCAAGTACGGCATTGCGAACGAGGAGGTCACGCTTGAACGCGAGCAGGTCAAACTACAAGAGTCGCTCTTGGAGCGCGCCAAGAGTAAGACTAAGCTGCTGAAGCTGAAGGCTTACGACTGGTCGCTCTTTGACAAGAAGAAGCTCCAACGGATACTAGAAACCTATACCAAATGGTCCGATCAGTTGCGTAATATAATGCAGCACATGTCGCAAGAAACGCTGGCGAAGCTGGCCGAAACCGATCAGCAAGGCCTGAAGAGCAGTGGTTTGGAGGCCGTGGTGAAGCGACGAGGACTCGTCGAGGCCAAAGCTCCAGCAGACTATCGCAGTCTGACCGGAAGTCTGGTCGAAGTGGGACAAGCAGCCGGAGGCTTCAAACTAGGAAATTGGTCTCTGGACAGATCCGAGACTATGAAAGTCGTGATTGAGTACCACGAGTATGAGATTAGACTGAAAGATGACGATCTTGACGCTGATGAAATCGAGGAGCTCAAAAAACCTCTTCGCGATCTAGCCTGGCTGCTGCAGAGCACCACCTTCACCAGTACATCCACCGAGTCACTCGACCAGCCCAAGATCTATGCTTTGGAATGTCTGGGCTTCATGGATCAACCGGCAGAAGAGCGAAGTGTGTTCCTCTACAGATTGCCCGCAGGCGAGCCTGGTGACGGTACCTCTCTCACGACTCTGCACGGGTTCATCAATGCTGTCGACAAGGACAAAAATTCGAGACCACTCAGGAAGCCAGCCCTGAACGATCGATTCAGCATGGCTCGCAGTCTCGCTCTGACTGTCTCGAATCTTCATGCGTCGGCATGGGTTCACAAGAACATATGGAGTAGAGGAATTCTACTTTTCCTCGAGACATCCACAGGAGTGAGCACCACAGGCCTGGAAGAGCAGCGTAAAGCCTCGGCGAATGCTGCAAATCGAATTGTCTCCTATCTCGGCGACTGGGGCTACGCGCGAGCGGTTGAAAAAGGGACAGAGTTGCGCCCTGATTTTGAGGTTGAACCCAACCTATACCGTCATCCTGACCGACAAGGGCGACCTTCCCACCAGTTCAATCGACTGCACGATCTCTATGCACTGGGCGTGGTGCTGTTGGAGATTGGGTTGTGGGCGACCTTATCCCGCCTGATGGAAGCAAAGATCAACGATGCACGTAAGAATGGAAAGCTACCGAACCGACACAAGGTCGCTGCGGATCTGGTGGCGCTGGCGGGGCAAGGATTGCCCAAGGAGATGGGCGTTGGATATACAAAGGCCGTGCTGACTTGCCTGGCCGGTGATTTCCGCGAGAAAGATGGGCCAGGTCTGGCGATGGACTTTCAATCCAAGGTAATTGACGTACTGGAAGCCGGGATGGAAGTATGAGAGACGCGGACTATCGGTCTCAATTCGATTTAGTCTCTTCCCACATGCCCGTCGTCAGTCGTCAGTCACACCTCACCAGAGTAAGACCAGTCTCAAGATGAAGACGAATTTCATGTGGATGTCTCGTATAGAGTTCTGGAGCATCCCTTCGTCCGAATGCCATAGCTTCGATTTCTTCACGGATACGCAGTAAAATATAGCATGCGGCTGGGAAGCTATTCAAAGGTGGCCCCGCTCTAGTCCGAATACAGTAACAGCCTCGGCATCGTTTCGTTGCCGCGCAGGCGGGGAACAATCAGGCGGTCAATCTATTGCCATTGTCCATACAGGGCGGTCAGGCATTTGCCGCGTATATGCGACGCTCCCTCCATTGCCTTACCAGGGGCACAGTGGTGATCCAAGGTATAAGCTGGGAGGAATGAAGAGTTGGAAGAGCAAGAAAGTTGCCAGTCCATTTCCATTCGGTGACGATGTTTGCTGAGTTTATCATTTGTTGCTTGACAGTCTTTCAAGCTTCCATTAACCTCACCAATCTGCTCTCGAAATCATGCGGGGAAACCTCCCGATCTCTTTACCTTAGCTTGGCACACTGCCGGCCGTTCGCTGGTCTCAGCTGGCTCGGTCCTGTACAGCTTCATGATAGTCCATCAAGAATATCCGCTTCAGATGTAGATTAGTCATTGATACTCAAGATTCTTCAATTACCGTTAGAAGCCGAGTGGCGCATAGAAAAATAATGCTTTGGCAGTAACTTACCGAAGCTTGTGACATGTCCGAAAAATCTTCAACTCCGCCTTTTTTGATGCTGCCGTCTACGCCGCATAACGCAGCACGTAACTCCGGACGGGCGGAGATAACTTTTTCTAGAGAACGATTATTCCCTTTGCGCAATTTATCGAATGTCTTCATAAGATCCTTTGATCGCAATCGCTTCAAGAGCGCAACTTTAGCCTCTTGTCTTCTGTCAGTTGCTTGGTGACTTGATCGGCACATTCGGGTGAGGTCATTACTACCGCGGCATTGCGAAGAAAGTTCTCCCGCCCTGAAATCTCATTGCCTTTCAACCCATCTTCTTTCACAAACAGGTCGGTGCCATAAGTTTGCGTCCCCCACACAATACGAACTCGAAATCAGCTTGATCTTTCGAGCCTGAAGTGACCGCACTCCCACTGAGAGGCACCTCGCACAATGGCCGCGCAGACGGCGAACTTGCGCCCACTCGCGCGGACGATGTCGACAGCGCTGACAACCCTTCGCACGACTACATACCGCGCTCCTGTCAATCGTTCAGCCATCACCCTGCCGTGCTATATGCGCTCAACGCTCGTGCCCCGTATCCAGAGTCGACACAGCTCATACCATTCGCCTGAACCAGTCACCAATGCACCCAACGCACGCAAAAAGGTCACCATGGTGACGCTGCGCAATCTTTACAGAAAAGGCGAACCCATCGCTATGATTACCGCTCATGACTTCCCAAGTGCCCGGGCTGCAGACGAATCGGGCATGGATATGGTGCTGGTGGGGGACAGTCTGGGTATGGTGGCCATGGGATTGGAAAACACCACCGAAGTCATCATGGAGGAAATGCTATTACATTGTAGAAGCGTGGCTCGTGGAGCAAAGGCCGCCTTCCTTGTATGTTCTCCATATATTCTTCGTTAGAAAAGGGGTTCTCGATCTTTAGGATTGGCTGACGATTGGCGCAGATCGGAGATCTTCCAATGGGCTCGTATGAGGTCAGCCCTGAGCAGGCTGTACAATCATCCTTGCGATTCATCAAGGAGGGTCGCGTGCATGGCGTCAAGATTGAGGGAGGCGAAGAATTGGCTCCCACGGTCAAGCGTATTACCCAGGCAGGAATTCCTGTGGTCGGTCACATCGGTCTCACTCCACAAAGGCAAAATGCCCTGGGTGGGTTCCGAGTCCAAGGAAAAACTTCTGCCGGTGCAGTGCAGCTGCTCAAAGACGCGTTGGCTCTGCAAGAGGCGGGAGCGTTTATGCTTGTTCTGGAGGCTATGCCGCCCGAGGTGGCGACCCTTATCACCTCGAAGCTGCAGATTCCCACCATTGGCATTGGAGCTGGGAATGGCTGCTCGGGGCAGGTTCTCGTCCAAGTTGACATGACCGGTAACTTCCCCCAGGTCGCTTCCTGCCCAAGTTTGTCAAGAGATATGCCGATGTGTGGAGTGAGGCGACTCGAGGCATGCAGCAGTATCGTGAAGAGGTGAAGAGTCGCCAATTCCCCTCACCGGAATACACCTACCCCATCACAAAAGAAGAACTCTCAAAATTCCAGGAGACCGTTGATCAGACATATGAGAGGTTACGGACTGGTCGCGAATGATACCCTGTCGTTTTTTGCCCTTCTTTCCCTCCCCGTGCATGTCGCCACTTAGCCATATTCCCACCATCAGAAATGCGCCTCGTGGCCCATCTGTATATAGCCCATGAGTATGTTCGTTCTCAGTTCAGCCAAAGGCTGGTGTCATAGAGTACGCAACAATCAATTGATCGTCTGTTTTGAAACACTGAGGGGAGATGTAAGCTTGGGTCCGAACAAGAACTAGGCGAGATAGTCGCCCGTCATTAGATTGACCGTGCTTTCAGAAGGACTCACTCGCCACAGTCCGCCCACGCCTTCATCAAGTCCGGGCGCGAAGACGCTGTTCACGTAGCAAAAGACCGAGTCGGTATCTTTACAGTCCAGCTTCTTGCGAAGGAATCTGACCACCGTTTCAAACTTTTGAGATGCACTGATCTTGAAGACCCGGTTCTTGAGGATCGGTGCTGACGGCAGAGGCTGGAAGCGAACAGTCACTGCAATGGCAAACTCATTAGGACGACCGATCAGAACATGCTATGCGACAGCGAAGGTCGGACGGGTTCCCGGAAAACATGGAGGTATAGCAGGGAAGAATAGTACAAACTTGAAACGGTGGTTTCAGTGCCTATCATCTTACCTTTTCCAGCATCGATTGCCTCCACGTCGGCCAGGGCCTGGTGGGCATCGCGGGGCAGACCAGTGAGCATGACCGACGCGGTCATGTTCATGGGTAAGTTCGCACCATGTTCATCATCGGGAATCGGGGTATCTCCTCTGGGACTTGATGTTGATCTTGGTGAGGTAGATGGACGCACCGGACTGGGACGATGGCTCAGGGTGCTTGAGCTGGGATCTGCTTGTTGACTCGTGGACGATTCGCGCGAAGTTGGCAGAGAGGGCGCCATGATGAGTACCCGAGATTAAAGACTTGATGAAGAACTGATCTATAGAGTTGATTCTTAAACTAGTGTTTCAAGAGTACGGAATGAGTACGGTGAGAGGGATGGAGAGACTGAGAAGAGTAGATAACGAACAAGATTCGTGGATAAAGACGGGCGCCTTTCAGCCTAACTATCGCCGGTTGCCGGGTATCTATGTACAGCACAACATTAGGTACAACACGGTGATATCATACTCAATTAAATGGAGCTCCAGCAGAAATTGGCAATGATCATGTTTCGATAGGAGGATTATAGTGCCTGCCTGGGCCATTTCAAAATTTGTGAATCATACCTAACGGATGAATTGATTGCCCCAACAATCACAATGCCTCTAGACAATGAATCATCAACCTTTGACAATGACAACCCTACTCCAAGGCACTCTAGGATTAACTTAACTTCACATGAGAAGGCATTCAAGCTACTAGTAGTACCTCCACTTAATAGCCCAGTACCTTATCACAAGTGTATTGGCTCTAATTTAGCTACTGAGCAGTGGGCACTGAGCAGGGATGAGGTGTATGTTAGTAAGCCGGTTTCATCTTGAAAGCTCTGAAATAGTATCCAGACGGCCTTCCAACGCGGAAGCGGTTGGAAAGTAGATATCGGAATGGACTGCAGAATGCATTGTCCATCACTTGCGAAACTGACTGGAAACTCTATGCCTCACTGAAAGTGAGTACAAGAACACACTACCCAGTAGCTGCTGAATGCTCCGGCAGGGTACACAATATACTCAAACTCGATATGAATAGTATCCAGCGGACCGGTCTGTACTCTGTAGAAAAAGAGACTAAGATAGTGCCTCCTACCTATTACCTCGAAGCTCCTATGCATATTATAGTATCAAAGTCTACACCGGATAATAATCATTCTGTATCCTTCCTGTATCCAACACCGGTGAAGAGCTTTTCTCCATGTCAGGAGCCAAATCACTCCTTACTCTTACTACTTACAAGAGGGTAGATTAGCACAGCACGTGGTTCTGCTGCTTTCAATGCCCGGCGCCGCATTCCTCGGAGCTGACTCATCGGGTCACCGGGCACCGCAGCGGCCCATATGATATTGAGGCATCAAGGCATGAATCGTGCATCCGGCTATCATTTGAACCCCTCATCCTCGACATTCGTTCCCTCGACTCGAACTTTATTTCAACCGTTCTCACGCGCTGCATATTGACTACTCGACTCTCAATCTGCACTCTGCCTAGCCTCTGACCTTATCAATTCTTGACTCCATCGGCCCAGCTTGACTTGGTCGCTTCCCCTCGGTGCTTCCCCGCTCCGCCCGTTTGGAGTCGTTACACGACGACTATCCCCGCCCGCTCCGTGACCGCAATACTTGAGCTTCTCGACCTGACCACTTTGACCTGTTTACCTCTGCCCCGCTCAACAACTTCAATTATTCTTGAGGGAGAGACTATCACTCAAATCGTCATAATGAGCAGCCCAAAGCGCAGAATCGAGACTGATGTGAGCTTGCCTCCTGCACGAGTGTCATGATAAGCCTCACGTGTTCCCCGCAAATGCTAACTCGGAATCTCTTTTGCAAAATCTAGGTGATGAAGTACGATCCTCAACCATATCAATCCTCTCACTGTTGTGAAATAGGTCTCGGTGACATGTCATTGCTAACTTGGATCCAGGATGTACGTTCGCCGCCGCTCGTGTTGCCCCGCGCAGAGTCACTCTGCCCGACCGCCACCCGACATGGTTATCATGATAAGAAGCTGATGTGCAACAGGTTGATGAGTGACTACGAGGTAACTCTCGTCAATGACAACAGTGAGTCTGCTTTGGAAAGGAAATGTATTGGCCGAGGCCACGGACTAATTTGGTTGCAGTGTATGGATTTCAACCGCCTCTCGAGTCTTGCATAAATGCGCTGTACTGATACTTCAGCAGGCAAGAATTCTACGTCCGGTTCAAAGGCCCCGAAGAGAGTACGTCTCCAATATCTCACACTTCGGAGACAGGTCCAGTATATTCAATCTGTATATCCATTACTCTAACCAAGATCTAGCTCCCTTTGCCGGCGGCCACTGGAAAATTCACGTCGAGTTGCCCGACACGTACCCCTACAAAAGTCCCAGCATCGGCTTTGTGAATCGAATCTTCCACCCAAACATTGACGAGCTGTGAGTCTTGCCAGCAAAAGTTGGAGATGTTCTTGAATAAGCACGGAATGCAAGACTGACCGGCGACTTACTTCTCAAGCTCCGGATCCGTTTGCTTGGATGTGATCAATCAGACCTGGTCGCCCATGTACGACATGATCAATATCTTCGAAGTCTTTCTGCCACAGCTACTGCGCTACCCCAACCCTTCGGATCCACTGAATGGCGAGGCGGCCGCTCTGATGATGCGTGAGCCCAAGGGATACGAAGCGAAGGTCAAAGGTAAGCTCACCTGACTCATGGAGATTAATGTTTTGGAATGTCTGTTGACTGTCATCGGCCTCAAGACTACGTCGCCAAGTACGCCAGCAAGGAAGCCGTCGATGACGCAGGCGAAGACACCGAGTCTGAAGACGAATTGAGCTCGGCCGGGAGCTACGAATCCGGGGGCGAAGAGCCCGCCGGAGCTATGGATGACGTTTGAGTCTAGAAGTGATACGCCTACGGCCTCGACTCCGAGGAAGCCTCCTTATCTTATCCAGGTAGGAAGATAAGGTAGGGAACGGGCCTTTGCACGAACAATTCGCATTCTCGGCTCTTCATTATCACAGGGCTCATTGGCAACCGGATCAGCGGAGGCGTTATTACCACCCCAGGAGTTTTATTTCATATCTTACCCTGTTTTGTTTGTTCTTTCCCCTTCTAGTCTCTTCGTCTTTACTTGGTGCATTTTTTGCTGCAGTTGCTACAAGGAGTCAGGGATGGGACACGCGGGAGCAGAACCTCAATGATTAATGCTGGGATTCATGGACTACATTTTGATCCGCAAGTCAATGGGAAACATTCACAAGTATCACTTTGAAATACCGCCAATATGTAGGTTGATTCCTGTGTGGAGTTGAAATGTAAGCCTTAGCCTGTCCTCAGACTTTTCATGATAAATGTCTCCATTTTTCCAGATACAATGGATGGCCTGTGGAACGGGCCGGACTCCACTGGGTCCATCACCAAAGGAAAGGTGGTATAGGAGAGACACAGAGACCAAGCACTAGTCAACACCTACAGCCTAAATAGCCAATATCCGCATCGCTGGTTACTGCATAAACCATAGGTACTATTCGTCTTGGGAAAAAAGGCCCAGTCTTTATATAAAGCAGATCACAGCAACTTCCTTCAAACAAAAATATGGGGAAGAATGAGGAAATGATAATTTTCATATGCCAGGAGAAAACCTGCCGCGTGGGTATTAATAGATTCAAAGGACGAAGAAAACAGAAAGGATGACAAGGAAAGGTCATGGAGTCCAGAGTAGTGAGGGAAGGAGAGACATGTGCGGTGTGAATATGATCAGTCGGCCTGCGATTACTGCAAAATGATACAACTTGAACGAGAGCAGAAGCAGAGAGGGGCAAAAGTGTAGGGAATGGATCGAAAAGAAAAGCCAAGCAAACCATGGCAGAGCCAGCGATGTAAGTGTGGACAGGGTCAGTGGAGGAACAGCAACCTTGAAGGGTTTACGTATTGCTGAATCAAACACGTGCTTCGAACGGGCGGTGACTGCCATCTGTCGTTGTCACTCTTTGTTTCTCTGGCCAGCGTTTACGGTTTAAGCGGCATCTGTCAGTATCCCAGGTTTCGCAAGTGTTGTTTGTCGGTGTCCAGCACAGCCTTCAGGTGACCTTGAGAACACCAAAGACGTCTCGGGCATCACCGTCGTCTTTGAGATTCTGGCGAGACCGCTTCTTGTTGGTATTCACCACGACCTCGCCCCAGTGCTTGGGAGCGGTGTTCCCGGACGAAGGACGACTGTTGTCCTTGTCAACGGCGACCACTGTGACGCCCTTGGGATCCCGAGAGGGCGTGGGAGAATTGGAAACCGATACAGGTGCAGGGAGTGTAGCTTGGGGTTGGAGATGTGGTTGGGGTTGAAGTGACCAGATATCGATGACCGAGCTATATAAAAGGACGTCAGTATTGGGTCAGGGTCATGAGAATTTCCGAATGAAACACTCCAAACTCATAGGTCATTTGATCGTCCCATCTTTGGGTCCCTGGCCAGCATCGATACTCACTCTGAAGTGCGTTGGCAAATTGCATCGAGCGCTTCTCGCTCTCGCCTCACGGATTCCGGATCCGGCTGCTGGTTGGCCTGCTGGGCATGAAGCGAGCCATAATTGTAGCTGGTCTGATAAGGATCCTCGTCGAGCAGTCGCGAGGACTCGGGCTGAAACAGTGCAAGAGATCAGCCTTTAGCCTTCACTTTTTAAGCCATAACGAAGGTTTCTGGACATCCGGGAACTTCGTGCAAAGTATGCTCGATCAAATGCGATAGCAGCTCGACCGAGGCCTCGGACCTCTTATCGTGACTTACCTCCAAAGAGTCACGGCGATTGCCGCCTAGGCACGAAGCGCAAATACCCATGGGAGCGATGATCGAGGAGAACTTATGTTGAAAGCTGGGGACAGATGTCGCGACGAGCACGAGGCATGAGGAATCGTTCACTATATCGATCGAGCGGCGGGACTTTGTAGGCGCCCCTCAAAAAGGAAAGGGAGGATCGGAATGCGTCGCGACGACCTCTGCACGAAGTCGAAAGAGTGTCGAAGTAGCAGAGAGATCGGAGGATGAATGAGAGGTACGAGCGCACGTTCTTCAGGAAACAAAGATCCTCAAGTCGAAGGAATCGAAGCGCAAAGAAACCACGAGCCAGACAGGACCTTGCATGTCGGAGAAGGGTCTCGTCGTGGAAGGCTGGTTGACAGCCCGAAAGTGAAGTCCGTGCGCTGCCGGCATCATGCGATAAGGAAAAGTGCGTCGCCGGAGCGTCGCATTAGTGGTCTCGAATTTCTGGCGCTTCCACGGGGACAAATTCGCTGTGAGCCTCGACGTCTACCAAAGCCTTATCTCGGAAGAAATCAAGGATCATGTTTGATTTACCCAACGCGAAACGGTGAGCAAGGGACATCGACTCCCAGTGAACCACTGAAACTAACCGACTCTTGCAGCGTCCGCCGAGACGAGGTCCAATCCCCTGCCTCTTCCCGTGCACCTTCACCTGTCGATGAGAACGACCTACAAGATGCCCACGCTCGACTGGGCAAGCTGCTTGATCTGGACGGATTGATGGATCTTTCATCAACGATCGATGCGAACAAAGACAACACAGCGAAGGCCACAGACTCACCAAACGATGAGGACGAACAGGAATTTGAATTTCGCCTCTTCAGTGCGCCCGCAAAATCCACGAACACTACAGCCAGCCAGAATGCGACCGCATCAACAGGTGGTGCCTCTACTCAGGCCAATGGTACTATATTAGAACAAACCGAGCCGGTGAAAGCAGTCACACAGAAGCTGCGCATTCGTTTACGATCCCCGTCCCCGTCTGGGAACCCTTCCGAAGGCCGATTTATAAAAGCCTTCCGTGGTTGGCAATATTACGCCTCCACCCCGACACTCCTTGGACTGGAAGAGAGCGAAGAGGTGAAACAGAGTATTGCTGCACAGAGACAGCGTTACGAGGAAATCGCAGTCACTGGTGATATTGTGACAGCATGGGCCAAAACACAGCCATGGGTGAGCTCTTTCTGTTGCCTCTGCGATACCCGCTCATTGATACCGCGTGAAACTTCATCGCTAACATATTTCCCCAGCCCGGCTGTGACCTTCCTTGGCGAGTCATTCACCTGAAGCGTCATCAGACCAAGATGCCCCCCGCATCGAAGGATGTTCAAGTCTATGTGATCGACGGCGCTCCAGTCTCCAAGGCGCCAACCACGCGGAAAAAGCCTGGCAAGAAACGCCGTGTGCAACTACGCAAGAAGGTGGCCGCCGCAGTTGCGGCCAAGGAGCACGAAGCCGAGAAGAAGACTCGGAAGAATCGAGAGCGAAAACTCAAGCGTCGGCAGAAGGCCCGCGAACAGAAAGCTGCGGCTGCCTCGGTCGGCGGTGCGACGGATGGGGCCGACGCGACGATGGTCGACGCGGATGGAGATGCAACAAACAGTGATGCACAATAGGTGCATATCTGGGGTTTCTTCATGAGGAGAGGGGGTTGTCCATTGATACGAGGACTACGAGTATCCATCGCGTCTAGATGAGCCGACCTCGGAAGTACAAGGATTACCCTGCAAAGCGATTCCCCATATGAAGCAGGCCCGGTACGGTTCCTCATGATACCCTGCATCAATTGAAATTATGTCTCTCTATCATTTCTCCTCTATCAATCCTCATCCAGTCGAATCTTAATGACTTTCAAAAAAAGAACAAGAAAAGTTGAAATATAATCATATTCGGAAAATGCTGCCGTCTCATAAGGATACCTAAATAGGCATGAAGAGTGAAACTCCTTGCGTTGCCAGAAAAAAAAGAATTAAAACCCTCAAAGGGGCAACAACGAAGAACGATATACTCTAAGAAGAGGGAAAACTGTCGTAGCGATCAAATGCCCTGTCCACTCATGGTCAGCAAAACATCCGGCGGGCAAATCCACTGGCGCAGTCACGATGCAACTCACCAAAAATGAAAAATACCAGCCCCCACGCAGCCTTGAAGTTCTGTACCCCCACAAGAATGAGTATCACGATGCACAGAGTCCAACCCGATAGACCAGTCTGGTGAAGACCGGGCGTCTGTTTGAACTTGAGTGCGGCCTCGTCAAGGAGAGTGTGAAGGTTAGCGGCCGAAGTCGTGGCTTTGTCTAGCAAAGCTTGTGATACTTGGGCATTGAGTCGAATGTGTTCTTGGGCTTTTTGCTGGGCGGATAACTCTTGCGTTTGCAAGTGTTGGATGCGTTGGAGCTCGACGGCTTTGGATTGTGTTTGGTCCACGGAGCGGTCCATGATTCGGAGTCGCTATGTTGATCAGTATGGGTTGCTACCTACGCAAGTGCTATGTGGAGGAACCAAAAGGGGAGAAATCCAAATATATTACAGAGAACGACCAGAGAAACAGACCTCGGCCAGTTTACTTTCTTGTTCGAGGGCGACGATTAAGCGGTTGGTGAGCCATTCCTGATGAGATCAGCAACGAGTCCACAATGTGAACAATACTGAGTTTTTTTTTTCGCGGCATACCAACGCTTGGTCCATGTTGGCCATCTGACGGGAAAGGTCGGATATGTCGGTGTCCGCCAAGGACTGGAGAGAATGTTGAAGGTCGGAAGAAATTGCTTTGGCGGCGATTGAGTCTCGCTGCTGCGACTGCGCAAGTTCATGACTTCTGGTAATGGTTTCCTGATGAGCGGCGAGCAACGCTTGCTGAAGCGATTTCACCTCAGAGGATGAGGTTTGTATATCCTAGTCGGGAAAGGTTAACACGATGCCAATCTCTAAACATGAAAGACGTCCTTACCTGCTTCAGGACCAACGACTCCGTGTGCAATCTGCCCAGCGTCGTGCTGATCGCTGCATTGACAGTTTCAAAGCCGTGTTCCATTCTTCTCATGGCTTTGTCGAAAATACCCTCAACTGCCCTTCTTTCCTCGTCCAGTTCTTTCGAAACTTGTTGCTGTAGCGCCAGCACACGTTGAAGGAACTCTTGCTGCTCAGCTGCGCTCTTTTCCGCCTGGCGCAGAGCTTCCTGCAGGCCCTCGTTGAGTTTGATAGACCCCTCTGCGATTGCCTGATGCAGGTTGAGAATCTCATCTTTTTCAGTCTCGGTGCGCGACGCTTGGCAGATGATCATCGCATTTTGGCGGTTGTTGCTGTACGATGTCCACCACTGAGGACGAGACTCTAAAGTCTTCAGACAGAGTTCCAACTCCGGCTTCGACAGGTCCTTCTCGTCGGGATTGGTAGGCGTGAACCTGCGGAAGAATTTAAAGTGGGAAGAGGTGGACTGTGTCGGCATCGTAACTGCCACTGGGATGCATGGCTGCGGAATGAGAGCAGAGGCTCCCTCGAGTTCACAAATTGCTAGACGTGCAGCGTATATAGAGCGGGTTAGATCAAGTTCCTGGTTGGTATGGGGATCAGAGTGGCTTTTCCCGCCGAGCTCTTGACACGATGTCACTAGCTTGGTTGCGGCAAGGCGATTGCAGGACGGAGAGGTGTTTAATGATTGGAGAAGATGGACGGCTTGAGTGAAAACCGAGTCAGGTTGATGGTTCTTGGAGGTTAGGTAGCTCACTGCGTTGCTCTCATTTTGAGAGTCGTGCAGCAAGGTTGCAGGAGTATCTGGTCGTCAAGAGATCCATGTCGTCAGCGAGATTCAAAGCAAAGGTGATACTGCTTTGCTCGATTCACCCACCTTGTCCAGACGAGACTGCCCCAGTCAATTCAGCAACGACAAAGGCGAGGCAGAGCAGGAGAGGCGAGGTGAATTGTTTCATCCTGGGAAAGATGTGAGGGGATGAAGGTGTCTCAGAAAGGCTTCACGGAGCGACGATCCTCTAGAGCTCACGTCTGCGTGGCGTGATTAGAACTTAACCAATGATTCACTATATCGATCGAGATGAACGAGTCAGCTCAGTAGGTAAAGTCTCGATTCTGTGTCAAAACAGTTGAGCCAATCTGAAGGATTTCGCGTTCGCTCGCAAGCACATAGGGCATCTTCAAGGTTCACAAGCCTATAGAAATCGAGAGCCAAAGTAAGTTTGCGGAGTTGAGATGATACTCCGGGTGATGATACCTGTGAATTGAGTGATGAGGACAAAATGATTGTGTCAGGTGAGAGCATTGATGGAGGGACGATGGAACCCACCACCCTTGGGAATGAGAACTATCATGCCTAATATCAGTGACCGGTCGAACTCACCATCAACCTTTGAATTCCTGTGACAATGACAATTCTCGTGAGATCGTGAAGTTGATGGAAATCAGCCGGAAGTGTCCGAAAATAGGTTACCACATGAGGGTCATAGCTGACTATCGCTGTGAGAATTCATGAGAAGATTCCATGAGATGTATTCACACAAGTATGTACATTTAGTTATCATTCAATCATAAATATAAGGATCTACCACTCCAGGCGATCGTCATAGACCAAATCGACGTCAAACCTCTCTTGGCCGTTCCAGATTTTCAGTGGAGAGTTGCACGCTGCCACAATCTCCCTCAATTCACTCAGCATGCCACCAGGGCCGCTCGTGAAGATGCGTGTAGGACCCGAAGTCGTGCTTTCCAGAAATCCAGTCACTAGCTTTCGCAGGTCGGGACGTCGACTCAAATCAGAAGCTCCGCCGCCCAACTTGAGTGGGACGTCAAAGGCGCAATCGCACAGGTCGCCCAGAGCCGAAAACCTCTGCTGAGAAGTGGCGATTTGCTTTTCATCCTCTTGTGTGGATCGAAGCACATTGTCATGCGAGCTGTTTGCGCTGCTTACGTCTCTGGTGGCGACCATTCGAATGCGCAGGTTCAAGGCCTTTCGAGCGGCGCGGAGAATGTCTAACTCGGGGCGGATCCACTCGACGTTACTGGTGTGTCTCATCACCCACACGAGGTCGATCTTTCGATCCGAAGAGGGGATTTGTTTAACCAGGCTCAGGAGTAGGGGCAACACATATGCAATTCCTGTACCGCCAGCAATACAGATGATGTTGGTGTCTGAATATAACCCCTGCTCGATGGACTCGCCGTAACCACCGGACAGGATCACGGGCATAAACATAGAGCCAGCGGCAGCACGGTCGGCCAGTTTCTTGGTCTCGCCGGATTTTGCCCTGATGATGTAGGTGTGCTTCACCTTTCCCTTGACCACTTCGGGAGCATTAAGAGGCGTAAAAGGATGTGATTGCCAGATGCCCGTCTGCGGGAAGCACAGGAAGTAGTGCTGGCCAATATTCCAGGGTTCCTGGTTGTTCTCCAGATCAAGACGAAGGACATCTCCGTAGTCCTCGTCCGGGAATCGAGTAATATGAGCGTCAGCAGATGAGAAGCCCAACAGACCTCGATCTTCGAGTGGGTGGTAGTGCAGGATCGCAGTGCGGACAAGACGTGCGGCGCGGTCGATGCACCAAAAGATCAGAGACGGGATCATGAAACACTTCAGTTGCGCCCAGTGACCCCAGCAAGCGCCAATGTAAACCATGGCGAGCACATAATGCAGCTTTCGGAATGTCTCATAGCCAGTCAACCTGATACCCCAGGGGGTACTGAGAAGGAGTATCAAGAGCAACAAGATCATGGCGACAATGCCCCATATCATGTAGGTCTGAGTGATCCACTCGATTCCCACGGTAGGTTGGGGTTGGTACAGTCTGAGCTCAACGATACACCAGCCAATAGTATGCAGCGAGCCCTGCACCACGATGATATACCCCAGCCAGCGATGCAAAAAGTTGAAGGACTGGTACGGTAACCCAGTCATCACAGACAGAAATGACTCGCGATTGCTAAGCATCACTGACAATGGAGTGAGAGCATAAGCCAGCACACCGATTCGATCGGCCCACGGGCCGATACTTGAACGGGTGTTGTACAGACCTTGTTTCCCCGACACGGGCGTGATCCAGGTTTGGTATGTAATGCCAACAAAGGTGAAGACAAGTAAATAGGCCGCCAGAGCTGCCAGGACAGAAATCTGAAGGCGAGTGGTGCGGCCGAAGAGCCAGCGGTTCCCATCAGGAAGAAGATATCGTCGGACCCCGACGGCGCACGTGGTCTTCAATTTCCGGAATCCAGCCAGATGAGGCCTATTCGATCCTGGTGTCGTATGCGGCTGATTGCACTGTCTCCAAAGAGCCCATATGAAGAGCATGCCGACGATGGTAGCCCAGAGGATGCCGGTGTAGAGCATGCCCCGATCATGGGAGGAGTAGACGAGATCCAGATAGGCGCATGAGCCTGGATCGTTGGTGCATGGCAGTGCACGATCTGCATAACCCCAGTGTGGTTCGAGCGTTTTCGCCGCCGTGAGATTCTGAATATGACCACGGGCCTCGAATCGGTGGTGGAACGACATTGTCTGTCGATCTCCTCCTCCTCCCCCCTCCGCGGGTGAATCGACCGCTCGGGTTGCTGAAGGATGTGATCGAAATGCTATGCTGCCGGGAAGCAGGGACGTCTTCCGCAGAAATCCTGGCACGCTGGCGGGATGTTCAGAGGCTTTGCGAGCGAACAGGGATCCATGGAGAAAAGACAGGGTCTCACGAGGATTGTTATATGTGTGACGGAGAATGCGAGGGAGAGATGTCCCGGAAAGAGAATCATTCGCTCGAAATCTCCGACATTGCCAAGCCTGGATGAGAACGATGAGCACATTTGAGCGATCCTTTGAAGCTCCAGACACACGTTCAACGATACACCCTCGAACGAGTCTCCACGAGGGAAACCCCCCCCTTGCGCGCAATTGAGCAGATTTCTTGCAGACGCGGCGGATCCTACTCCACTTTCGGTCATTGCCGCGGCCGGGCTTGTTGAGACACGAGGTTCCAGATCTGGAATGTATAAGATCTTCAGCCCGCCTCGGGGGAGCGTCCTCACTGCAAACGACAGCCAACCCCTCGATCACATCTGCGTCTCAGGTACCCTGCCGTTGCGCAGCCAGCTTTTCTGGCATCATCTTTTGGTCGCGCTTGAAGTCTCCATCTGCACTCACACCACCTTACGCACGGCATGGACATGGCCATGGGCTCCCATGGCTCCGGCCCAGAGTGCAAAATCTCGGTGGGTGCCAAGCCCTGTGGGCCGACACGGACGGCATTTGGTTGTGCGTTATCTGCTAACCCCACGCTTGTCAGATGCTGTTTAATTGGTATACGGTCGATGCCTGTTTCCTGTCCACCGGGTGGCAGATCAAAAACAACGGCATGTTTGCCGTGACCTGCATTGGCATCATCCTCCTGGTCATCCTGGTCGAGGCGCTTCGCCGCATGGGCAAAGAGTACGATCTCTTCCTGGAGCGGCAGTTCCGGCGCCAAGCCGCTATTCTGGCTGCCAAGAGAACCGATTCCGTGACCGGAGGCCACGCGGTGGGGCTCAAGTTTCGAGCGACCCCATTGCAGCAATTTGGTCGATCACTCATCCACGCCCTCACCTTTGGAGGTGCTTATATCGTCATGTTGTTGGCCATGTACTTCAATGTGTATGTGATTATTTGCATCTTTGTCGGCGCGGGACTGGGCAAATTTTTCTGTGACTGGATGGTAGTGACCATCGGGGATGAAACGCACCTCGAGCCCAAGGGTGTGGAGGAGACCACGGTATGCTGCGGATGACCGACGACCTCAGGCGCTCAACACATACCCATTTCACGAATATAATGACCAGGAATTTCAAAGCATCAATCATACCTCCAAAAACTAGCCGAGACTCACAGAACGCTTTGCGATCGTCTTCAGAGACAACTCACTGTCGTAGGCTTTCAACGGGGCAATATATAAGGTAGTTCGCGAGCATCCCATAAGTACCGTCTCTGGATGTTTCATACATGGTTCTCGTACGATCTATGTGCGTCGAGGTTCGAAATTCTGCTCGCAATCAATGTTTATTCAAGGATGCACGCTCCACTGTTGCATGTTAGTTTAGAAGCAAGTGGGGTTGGATTAATAGTCAAATAGAGACCATCCATTTAAAACGACCATTTAAAACGACCATCTAAAACGACCATCTAGAACGGCCATCTGGAACGGCCATCTACAAAAGATCCTCCACAAGACCCTTCGCAAAAGCCCTCCAAAAAGGCCACCTGAAAGGCCTACAAGTCTGTCATGTAGCCTCCTAAACCTGGACTCGTGCCCAGATCAATGCCTCTTCAGGACTGTGGCTAGAGCGAAGCCGAGACTACAGGATGTTACCTTCTCTGAGTCTGCCATATAATTATGTCATGCACGCTACATTCGTTCCTGGATGGCACGTCTTGCCTAAAGGGATAGACGGTACAAAGGCGGTCGCAAAAGACAAGTACTATCGTATGAGCACTAATGGCCCGGAATTGTAGATCTGAGATCATCCCTGGCCCTTAATTCCTCGGTGATGTTCTGGACTGTGGAGACAGCAAGGCCATTTTCACCATCGGCAGCTTTGACAGTAGTCGTGTTTCATGACTTTGTTTCATCGAGACCGGAGGGGGCTAGTCTGGGCGGGTGAACAGCCCTGCACGGAGCTCAGGTGAGTCAGGTCCTCTTCTCCAGGTAACTACCTAACTAAGGTAATCTCTCCCTTACAGTATTACAGTACTAGTAAGACTCCTTTCGCTCATGCCCGGCCATCTCGTATTACCTCTGATTCTCTAAGAGTAAGGTGTCATCACGGGTGACGCGAGCAAGCATGGCCCCGGACTGATTCGTGCCGAGCAAACTTCCACTGGGGGTCTCTTTGCGTTGAATCCGCCTGACAAGCCTTGGACTCTTCGAGGACTGTGTCTGGTCTGAGCCTTGGCCAGCATCGATTCGGCGACGTGGGATCAGAGAATGTACCTGGTGTGCAGGTGGATAGAGACAATGTTCAAAGGAAAGATATCGAATAGAGACGATTCCGGATCTTCAAGATCACGTGATCAGAACAATCACCATTCAGCACCGGTGGCTGGGAATCGCTTCGCGTAGCCTCGCAGTCTCGCAGTCTTACTCTTACTTTACTCTTCACTTTGAGTAGTGCGTTTCTAGAACGCTGCAACAATACTGAGCAGACGGGATCGGTACTGCAGGACTAGCACCATATTTCTCAGGCACGCATAGACACTGAAGCCGGTTACTCACGTGATGGCCTAACTCGATTGGGGCCCGCAATCTACTCCAACAAAATCCAAGCCGCAGCGCGAGACAATTGACCGATTATCAACAACAAAATAAAAGAAAGAACAGACATGGCGGGTCTCCCTCAGCGCTGTGCGCGACAACTTCTCCGCGAGCCCTTCCAGCGCGGCTCCCTTCCTCTCTTCCTCACACCCGCCTTCTCCCCGGCTCGCACACAATGCTTCTCGACTACAACGCCAATGCAATCCCGTGTCGGCGGCGCCCCGATCTCCGTTCCCCCCGAGGTATCATTCAGCTTGGTTGATGTGCCCAAGTCGATCACCCAAGTCCGTGGCAAGGATATACCGAAATATTCGGCTCAGATCAAGGGTCCCAAAGGTATGTGCGATCGTGATCTGACGGGGAACTGGCAATTGTCTCTTTACGTTCGAAACTCGGGCTAGGCTAATCTTCATTTATTTTCTGCGATACAGGCGAGATGTCTCTTACACTCCCTTCTTTCCTGACGGTCAACTATGATGCGACTAGCTCGAAGGCGACCATCACTGTTGACGACGCTGAGCAACCTCAGCAGCGCGCCATGTGGGGTATGACATCTCAATCCGATCTCAAACAAAACTAGAACCGCAAGCATAACGAAACCCCCTCCAAGAAAATCATCCTTTACTAACCGCTGCCCTGCTCTCGATCCAGGGACCGTGCGCGCTCTCCTCCAAAATCACATCACCGGCGTCTCAGAGGGGCACATCTGCATTCTCAGCATGGTGGGTGTTGGTTACAGGGCCACCATCGAGGACAAGGCGACCACCGTGACTGCCGCCTTCCCCGGCCAACAATTCGTCTCGCTGAAGGTTGGCTTCTCCCACCCAATTGAACTCGGCGTTCCCGAGGGTGTCAAGGCTAGCACGCCGCAGCCGACTCGCATTCTGCTCGAGGGCGTGGACAAGCGGAAGGTGACGCAGTTTGCGGCGGAGATTCGCGAGTGGAGACGGCCGGAGCCTTATAAGGGCAAGGGTATCTTTGTTAATGGAGAGACTATCAAGCTCAAGGCCAAGAAGATTAAATAGACGCTGGACGCCCGGATTGTTGGGTCACTGGGTCAGTCTATGGTTTGTCTGCTTTTCGTTTCCCACCCGTGGGATTCCATATTTTCTGGAACATTTGCATCTGGGATCCGTGTACTCATATACTTTCATTTTGTGTTTCTTTTTTTCTTTCTTTTTGCCATCTTCATCGGATATGTACGATTTTTAGGGTACGTGAGGGAATGTACTGAAACAGCTTGATCATGTCTCATCCAGGTAGATTCTCTATCTCAAATGTGTGGTATCACAAGAAATTCTTTTCATCGATCGTAATTCAGCACGAGGCTGAAACGGAGCAGAGTTTGGCTTTTCGTAGATCTTACAGCTTCAGGACAGTCTTCACCGCATCGATGACCTGATCCTGCAGAGCCTTCGGAGCAGCAACAACTCCCTTGTTGGCAGCGAGGGTCCGGCCCTTGCTGAAGTCCAGGCGGTTGCCGTAGATGTCGGTGACCTGCCCACCGGCCTCGCGAACGATGATGTCACCAGCCGCATGGTCCCAGATCTTCTCCTGGTAATCCTTCTTGACGGGAAGACGCAAGTAAATGTCACCTGCGCCGCGGGCAATAGAGCAGTACTTGGCCTGGGAATCCATGCGCACACTGGGGGCGGTGATTCCAAGACGCTCAGCAACGGCAGCATTGTCGCCCTGGGCAGAGTGAGCGGCCTCAACACCTTCGCAGAAGACTGCTTGTGCAATGTCGGGAACCGGACGCATAGAGATGGGCTTGCTCTCGGCAAGAGCTCCGCTGGTCAAGGGACGGCTCGTGGCACCCTCTCCTAGCACGGCGGAGAAAAGGACACCGTTGGAAGAAGCATCGGACTGCTCGGCGCCAATGCTAGATTGAATGGGGGCGGCATCATCGACAGGCAGGTTCGGGGTACCAATGGCTCCAACCTTGACGTCGCCATCAACAATCAGACCGAGGCAGACAGCGTATTGGCCGCCACGAAGGAAGCCCTTGGTGCCATCGATGGGATCCAGAGCCCAGATACGACCCTTGGGCCCGCCGGCACTCTTGCCCGCGTCGATGGTGTCCAGCATGCTCTCTTCGCTGGTAATGGGCCCACCCAGGATCTTATCACTCTCAGCATCCTCCAGCTTGACGTCTTGGACCAGTCTCCAGATCTCGGCGCTGAGACTCTTGTCTTCACGGAGGGAGCTGGCTTCTTCCTCGGCAACAATTTCATCGTTGGGGAAATTCTTGCGGATGGCTTGGATGATCAACGCCTGGGCGCCGAAGTCGCCGATGGTCACTGGGGATTTGTCATCCTTGCTGACGGTTCCTTTGGCCTTTTCGAAGAAGACCTTCTGGGTCAGCAGGGTGGCCCGCTGGACGGCGAGCTCGGCAATGTAGCGTTCTTGCTGGTAGGCCATGGTTGTGAGATGTGAGGTGTAGGAGGAAGTTGAGGAGGTTGAAAAAGAAGAGAGCAAGAGGGACAGACGGGAGCGGGTCTTGAAAGCCACGCTGATGGCCAGGATGATGGTGGAGCAGATGAACAAGCGGGACAGGACACGCAATAATAAGCTCGAGGGGCGGCGATGCTCTGGCGGGGTGGACGTTGAGAGGCGCATGAACTGGTCAAAGCGGAATAGGTTCTAATGTCGGTAGAATACAATGTCAAGACAACAAAAGTAAGTTTTTTTCTTCTTTATTGCAGCCTGATCAGGGATCGCATATTAAAGTAATTCAGTGCGTGTCAATTGTATGCAAAGTTGCTGGTGTCAATTGATTCTTGAGTCTCGAGTCATGCCGCCTCCCCTCTTCCCCCCGCCCTAATCCGCATTGGGAATTAGAGGAAGTCACGTTGCTGGTCCATTATTCGATTCCATCTGATCTGAGCTACCGCGACGCTCTTTCCAGATTCTTTTTTAGAGGAGAGAAACCACAGAAATACAGGTTCAAGATCCTCTGTCTACTTGCCGACAGCAGTCACACCCGACCAGAATATACATCGCACCCCAATATTGGTTTGAGGCTCTCAGCCTTGGCCTACAGTATTCCTAGCTCGGCATTGATACTCAAGAACCCAAAACAGTCGAATCCACCCGGAAACAGTCCACCAAAGCGTATCCAATCCGCTGATCGGACTCCCGGCTAGCACGAAGAAGGAAACGCTGCGACCTCCGACGTCACCGCACTTCACGCGACACGATAGCCAGCCGGTTGTGCCGCAAATTGGGTATTATTGGGTTCTCGAGGTCGAAGCTGACAACACGCAAAGCCTATTGTTCGTGCCTATATTAGCGGCGTCGCTGTCCTGCGCACACTTTGCGGATCGCCATCGTCGGTCGTCTTCGTGATTCATTGTACCGTTGCGCCGCAATCTGCCCGCGCGCAAGTTCAAGCTGTGCGGGGCTCGTGACGGGAAGGCAGATCTGCTTCTTACACGGGGCTTCAGTGCTTTATAGACACGTGAACGGAGTTTCGTCAGCTCGAAGCTGCCCAATATCAGATTGCGAGACCAGGCTCAGCCCCTTGGAAGCACCAACAACAGATATTTTCGTTGCCCAGCATGTTTTCGTCCGCGGTAAGCAGTCCCACCCAAGATTTGCGATCGCGTTTCTTGGTCAATAGAGCCCCTCAGCTAATCGTCTCCCTGCAGAAACCGTTCTCGGCCGTATCGGTCCAAATCGAGGTCCTGACCAGTGAGCAATACGAGGTGGAAGACTCCAGTGGTATCGTGGACCTCATCGAAGTGGTTCGCATCCAAGGGAGCGGGCCCCAAGAAGCCAGCCGAGCGCTGCGGAAGAAGCTGTGAGTCGGGATGATGCCCAGTCGAAGTTCTGTTTCCCCAACATAGACAGGAGCTGACGCCAAAAATCAGGAAATATGGCAACATCCACCGCCAACTTCGAGCTCTGACAATCCTGGACTTTTTGATTCAAAATGCGGGTGAACGCTTTCTCCGGGAGTTCGCTGACGAACCCCTACTGGAACGTCTTCGTATCGCCGGCACCGATCCGGTGTCTGACCCTCTCGTGAAGGAAAAGTGCAAGCAGCTGTTTGGGCAATGGGCGGTGACCTATAAGGATACGCCTGGGATGCAGAAGATTGCTGCGCTGTACAGACAACTGCCAAAACGAAAACAACCAGCCACACAGGCCAAGGCGAAGGTCCTCCGGGAGGGCAGCGGCCAGTCCGAGACTCCAATGGGTCACACGGTGACCATCTCGGCCGGCAATGGACCAGCCACCACTCTTAGTAGCCCCAAACAAAAGTCCAAGTCGAAAGACAAGAAGAGAGAGAAGAAGCTGTCAATCAGCCCCAAGAACTTTAACCTCGAACGCGAGCGTCCACAAATCTACGAGACCATTGCCTCGGCGTCCGTGGCGAGCACTAACCTGCTGAACTCGCTGAAATTGGTTAATCGCGAGACCACTCGTGTCAGCGATGACGCGGAATGTAGCCATCGATTCAATATGTGCAAGAAACTCCGTCATCAAATCCTCCGTTACATTCAGCAGGTGGAAAGTGAGGAGTTCCTGGGAGGGCTCATCCACGCCAACGAAGAACTTGTGACCGCTCTGATGGCCTTCGAAGTCCTCGACAAGAGCTTGGATTATGACAGCGACAGTGATGACGATGTCTTGTCGGGCAATTGGCGCTCTCGATCTGAGATGCACTCCGACATGAACGACAGTTTCAGTGGATTGTCGATCAATCCTCCCAGGCCACCCCGGCCAAGCCCGCCGGTGGCCTCGTCATCTCGGCCACCGCCTGAAAGTGAAAGCGAAAGCGAAGAATCAGAAGACGATGACGAAAACAACCCATTTGGAGATCGCAATGCGATCAAGACGCCTGGGCTTGACAAGTCAGGATATTCCTGGTAAGTCTTGTCACTCGCCATATTCTGGTCGACTAATTCTCCTCATGCTCTCTGCTCTTTCATGCTGACTGTTCAATAGGAAAGAGGTATAATACATCCATATGTGGCTCGTGGATGAGTCGACTGTGATTTGAGCGCATTGATTGGTTGTCTCGGGATTGGATGCTATACCCAATTGTACTGACTTGATGATGAGGTGTATAAGATTGATGAGAATCGTTTGTTGATGGGCGAGATGGACAGTTATATTCTTATGTCTCTTGGGAGGACCACACACTCTCTACCACAACCATGTGGCCAATGATGAATTTTATTACTGCTCATGATGATCATTTAGATTGTAGGACCCGCGTGGATCTAACGGTCTCACTACAGAAGTAGCCTTCGGGCGTTCGCAAGATATGACATGAACAGGGCACAGATTGTCACATGATGAGGGTCACTGTCATGGGCTGGAAAGTCCTGATGGTGTCGACCAGAAACAGGTCAACCGAAGGGAACGCGCACACTGACTGAAGCAGTGGCCTGTCCTGGTCACGCCCCCTGGTCTTTCATCAACACACAATCAATTAGTTCCACGTCTCACTGTCTAAATTTCCCTCGCTTTTCTCCTTCGACACGCTTCATCTCTTTAAAACTCTCTGCCCATTCTCTTGTTTCAAGCTCATCGCACCTACGAATGAAGTCTCGGGTTACTGTCAACCCTTGTTCGTGACCAGTGCCAGACGCCTGTCACCGGAGTGACCTCTGACCTTTTTGCACCTCAAAGGTCCTGCCCGCTCGCGACTTGCAATGATTCAGTTGCATTTTACTGCGGAAAAAAACAAGTGGAAGTCACAGGACGGTCCGCTTGGGTGTTTCGCCCAGTCGAAGACCGTACCCTCGTACATCTGATCAGTGGATGGAATTCCGGTCGAGGCACATGTTTGGTCATCTCCATCTTGATGTAAGTTTGAGACCTCATTCGGTGACTTCCGCGTCGGTAGTTCCTCTCGTTATCCGAAGGGCAATAAACATCCAACGGCCGTTGAAAGTGGATGTGTTGACGTTGATGAAGTATGCAGCCGGAAAGGCGATATGAGGTCTTTCCGCCGGACGTTTTCGATTCGGTTATTGCTATGACGGTGTGTTTTGTGAAGAGAGCAAGGAAGCTGGGCCTTCAAGATCTCCTCGCAAGCCGCATTGAGGCATTTGAACGGTTCGGATGGAGGGTCACCACGTTCTACCAGAGCCACTTAGAGGTCTTGCGGGTGGACGGGGATGACAAGAATGAGGCTGAAGCATTCGTCTTGCTCAGTCGCTGGGCCAAGTGTCTCAGGATCAACTCCATCTTCTGGATGGGCTCGCCTGGGGCAATGACATCGCGTCCGTGAGCCGATGCGAGATCACTCGCGCGAGCTTCCAGTTCGTCGAGTACTAGGGGTCTCGCTGTTGTCCATAACGACTTGGGAGCCATTGTTATTTTCGTGGTAGAAGATGATCTATACAGGGTGAAATGTGTGTCTCAAGTACATTTTGACGACCTTGGAGACGGTATCTTTCATTCATTACTTTGATCCGTCGTTCTTCAAAAGCATCCAGCTTCTCGTACATCGAACACTATGGTCGTTGCGAGAGCGGTTCTCGTGTGACCTTAGGTGTTCGCAAGCTCGGAATGACACGAGGAGGACATAGAATGTTGACATGACGAGGGTCACTAACCTGAGCTGGGAATTGCCGGTTATGTCCATGAGACGGAGATGAGGGGGGACGCGCACACACTGTAGTTGCCTGTCTTGGTCACCAGCCCCCGCCCTTCATAAGCACAAAAAGACCTCAACTATTTTCATTTCTCACCTCCCAAATCTTTGTCTTTCTACTCTCTCCAAACCCTCTCTTCACTATCTACTTGGACGTTCAGCACCCTAGTGAAATCCATCAAGCTTCATCCAACACTCTGATCACTGGCAACCCTGCAAGATGCCAATCACAGAAATCGCTCTTCTTCGCGTCAAGAACCCCAATAAGTACGGAGATGCAATTCTCAAACTCTTTCATGCGGCTGAGGAACAATGGCGCTGGTCACTATACCCTATCAGGGCTTTCCGCCAAGTGGAAGACCCGACGCTTGTGTATCTCTTCGGCGGATGGAAGTCCGTCGTCGCCCATTTGGAGGACTGGCTCCCATCTGCTCAGAACAAGGCTGCTTTGGAGTCCATAAAGGAGTATCTCGAGATCGTGTGGATGTTTCATGTCGACATTGAGGTAGGGATTTCACCTGCTAGGACTTGCTCATGGGAGTCCACGTGCCGACTACCTTGATGCTGCCTGGTGCAAAGCAACCTGGAAATGCTGATCTTCTTTCCATTCGGTAAAAAGCCTTGCAAGCACCTCGGAATATTGAACGCACCATCCATTGCGATCAACAGATACTTTGTCAAGAGGAGTCGAAAGTCAGATTTCGGGGCCCTGTTCAAAGTGCGTCAAACTCGTCTCGAAGAGATCGCCGACGATCCTGACCCCAATTTCACTGGAGGTTGGCGTATTGACAATTATGGCGGTGACGAGGAATTTTTTTCCTCAGCAATTGGGAGGATGCTGAACAACACGCCACGGAACTCGAGTCCAATCGCGGTTACTATAAGTTTACCGAAACGAAAACGATTGTGGCCAATGCTGAGATAAAACATGCAACTTTTGTGTTTGGGGGGAAAGACACAATCCAGTTTTGAGCCGTTTACGATACTCCCATTGCACGGGCACAGGAGGGACTTGAGACAGCGTCACTTGATTATTGAAGGATTTCGTGCTTCAGAAGTTCATGTTTGGTCAATGTGCAGGAATGGTAGGCTAGCCATCTCAGCTTTGTTACATCTCCAATCTTTACATTGATTTCATGTCCGTCAGGATCATCCACTACAGCCACTGCCGAGGCTGGGCTGCTTAAAAAACGGGGTTTGTCGGTGGTTTCTTTCTCAGACAGACAGGTTCGGCAGATGATGAAGACGGTTTGAAAACCTTCGCTATGGCCGCAATGACTGGAGACTCGAGAAGGGAATGGGTATTCGTAAACATCATCCGGTGTCACGCTATATTGCACATGATCGCTCAAGCTAGAAAGAAAACCGCTGCAAAAAGCCACAAACTCGACACCGCTAGCTAGCAACAGGATGAGACAGAAAGAAAGGAGACAAGAAGAATATGGCAAACAACAGAGACACGAGACGTCCATAAGTCCATCCCACCATTAAAGAAATAAATCAACAATCTGCTGTAGAAAGTTCGCTTCAACACCCTTTCGACTGCTCAAAAGGCGGAGACTGCTCGATATGTATACCAAAAAGAAATCAGAGTACCTTGGTCTTCATCCATTCCCGCGTGCCAACGCCCAGATTAAGTCCGTTGCACTCCCACCAGCGACGAACGCGTTCATCAGCACCCGTGACGGCGTCTTCCAACGCTTCTTCAATGTCACACGTTTTGAATTCGACACGCAGACCACAATCTTTCCACCACTGCAGGACATGGTCGTGGCCATTCTTCGTAGGCCCCACGAGCACCTGATTGTCAAAGATCATTTTCGGACCTTTGAGCTTGTACCAAAAGTCCAGGACGTGCACGTGGCCGTGGGTACTGGCGATGCGGGCAACATTTTCGGCATTACTGTATGGAATGCCGGAGGCATCCCACCATGCAAGGGATGCGGTACGGCCCGATTGTGCCGCGAGGAGGACGGATTTGCCGACTTTGAGCGGAATCGGTCTGTGCACGGGGGCGTTGGCGGACGCCTTTTTCCACCAGTCGAGGACGGCGACGCGGCCTTCGGCACTGGCGGATTCGAGGGCTCGTTCACTATACCGGAGGGGGAGGCCCGAGTGAAGCCACCAGTCTAGGACGTGGATGAAGCCTGCGCGGGAGGCACCGTCCATGGCATCGGCGGCATATTCTTTGTTGGGTAGAGCGGGTGCGTCGCGCCACCATGTCAAGACGGTGGGATTGCCGTAGATGGCGGATGCTCGGTAAGGTATGTTTGTTAGGCGTGACGTGGTCCAGAGGAGGTCGAGGTGGTTTTCGGTGAGGTAGGAGAGGATATCGGTTCGAGAGAATTTGACAATCAAATGGCAGGCAAGATCCGACAAGGGTTTCCATCGAGGCAGGCTATCGATACGTTTCTTCATTGCGGCGAATGAACCTCTTAAGATGGTGTATTCCAACGAGGCCGGCGTGGACATCTTCAACAGATGACTTTGCCATTCTTTGGGGACTGGAAGATTGGTGGGAACACCGACGGCTTTGGCAATCTCCCAGTCCCCTAGTTGGTTCTCAAAGATGTTGAGCCACAGTTCCACAGGTAAGGACTTGACCCTGGTTTCGGGTGTGGGCCAATGAGTCTGAAGTTGGCGGAGAGCGGTAGCAGCATCGATTGCTGATGACTTGGACGAAGCGATCGTCTTGTCCGCGGATGCCGACCTTTCATCATACGCCTGCTTTGCTACTTGTTTCTGCCTGAATGGAAGCTTCAACCCGAGCTCAAGGCTTTTGTGTAGGTCGTATAGTCCATCCCACGGCAACGGCGTGAGATCTTCCGGCCCGTTCGACTTCCAGAGTACAGGCCTGACGATCCGGATCCAAGGCCAGTGCCGTCGAATTTCGTCCAGCTGTCGTGCACTAAGCGGATGGTCCCATTCCGAGACCGTCATGCCGGGAATCAAGATCACGGGTTTGGTCGACACCCAGCCCCGTAGTAGGGCCAGGGTGAGAGTGTTGGTCAGGCCTGCCAGCATGGAGCCGAGTGCGCCCGCATCGATCGGAGCCACCAGCAGCATGTCTGCCCATTCACACAACTCGGCCGTCTTTGCTTTGAGCCATTTCCGCGCACTTGTCTTCTTATCAAAGGTCGCACTGTCGACCGAGTCGGTGTAATGGGGGACCTTGTTCGTGCCGGCCAGCAGCGCGGAGGATTCGTCGGTGATCAGGCGCAGTTCGATCGAGGGGTGGTTCACCAGGGAAGGGAGGACGGAGTCGGCGAAAGCGCTGTCGGTGGAGAGCAGCAGGCGGCGGCGCCGAGAATTTGTTGGTGGTGGATTCTGTCCATATTGGTGAAATCGCAACCCTTCGCCTTCTTTGGTGCCCGTCGTTGCACTGTCAGCCCTTCCAGCTGACCCCATATCCAGGACGTTGATCTTTGAGGGCGGCGAGTCTGTTGATTCGGAGGATATGGCAGGACCGGAGGGGGGCGAAGGGCGAAGTCGAATGTGCTGCGGCGATAGTAAATTTGATGATGACTTGTAGCGCGAAGAGGGATTATGCGGTCAGAAGAGTTCAAGTGTGGGCGTGTACAGTATGACCGACGAAATCAGATCGAGCCTGCAGGGCCTAGAACGAGTTGTTTGGCGTCTGTCGACTTGTCTACACAATCGAAGCGGTGACACCTGACTCTTGATTCCCTCCCGCAGATCAATCTTGCCCTTGCGTTCCACTTTCCAGTTCGGTGTCTGTCGATACCGACGCAATGCAATTCACCGGGTGACTTTGCTGAAGAGGAAAAGCAGAAAGCAGGAGGGGCAAACAAAACCAACGCCCATCCAGCTTCTCTCCGCCCCTAGTGATGTATGGAGTGTGGTGGAGGAACTTCTTTACGCTGTGAATCTGGTTCCGAATTGCCACCCCGGACCACTTGAACAGTCAAACTGCTGTCGACGTTACGTTGGCGACGGGAAGTGCAGCGCGCCAAGTCCCGGCTCCACTCCCCTAGGACCGACAGACTGAGACTCAACGCTGTTGGCAGCCTTCCTCTCAGGCCCAGCAAAGCTGCACTACTCGATTCTTGCAGACTGCGCCAAAGGCTCGAACACCCAGCAACAGCTTTTGTACCGGCAGTGCAAGTGGTTCAGTCATCCAAATGCATTTCGGCGCCAAAGATCAAGATGCCGATCTCCCCCCAAAAAAAATGTCCAAGCGCCGCTTACCGCCGGGCAAAAGGGGCAGACGGGCAGTATCACTCGGACGTGATTGGCGGGGCGGTGGCCGGGGCGGTGTAGCTCAGTAGATCACATCTCTAGGGATCTCCAGATCTTGAAAAGAACGAATTTTTTGTTTTTTGGAATGGAATGCGAGGAATGAAATATTGGAGTGAATGAAAATAAATTCTCGGGCATCGAAGGCACTAACAGAGCTGCCTCCCAGGGCTGACTCCACCATACCTTTCCGAATCGGACCGTTACGAGTCCGTACGCCTCAAAAGCTCGACTAATGCGGTGCATACTGCATGCTCATAGTGCAACAGTGCATAGGCCATACGTGCTTGGACATTACGTACGTTACTTCTCGTACGATCTACGTCGGGGCTCGAGATTCTGCCGGCAATTAATGTTTGTGAAAGGATGCACGCTCCACTGGGATGTGTCAAACCATGACCAAAGTAGTTGGATCAGTAGTCAAATAAGGACTATCTTAAAGACCATCTTACAAAATCCTCTACAAGAGCCTTGGAAAAAGACCCTCTGCAAGGCCGTCAAAAAGGTCGATAAGACTATGATATAGCCCACTTAATCGAGACTCGTGCCCATACGCCTTTATGATCTGTGGCTATAGCGAGGTAAAGACTACCTAACACTGTATTCTCCAAGCTCGCTGTACGACTGTGTCAAGTACGATACGTTTGTTTCTGAGTGGCAGTCGCCCCCATCGATGTCCCGTCTTCTCGAGAAGGACAGGCGGTACAAGGGCGGTCGCAAAGGACAAGTACAGACAAGTCCTATCGTATGAAGACTAATGGCCAGGAAGTGCACAAACCGTAGATGGCGGGGAAATTGATCTCATCGCTCAGGGAGTCAGGCACTCTCCACTGTCGGTGACATAGTATTGAAATTCAAACGACACATCATACTCTTCATTGCCATTTTTGTACTCCTCTTCATAGTTCATCACACCAGCCATATTGACTGCACAGACCATATGTATACACTGCAAATTCCAATCAAAAAAAAAACATCTATATCCAGATGGCCTCAGCTAGCGACGAGCAAGGTTATTGTGCAACTTGTGCTCGCGCATGCCAATACTCACAAGAGCCCCCAAGACAGTCAACCCCAGCAGAGTCACAAAGACCGCCCGGAGCGAGTTCATATATGCATCAAGGACTCCAGGGATCCACTCGGGCCGTAACTTGCGAACCTCGTCCAGACTGTCACGAAGTCGGGCGATGATCTTGGCGGCATCTTGGTGCTGGCCAAGCCGCGCCCACAATCCCGTCTGCAGCGTGTTTTGAAACACAGCAGAGGCGATCGTGATGCCGATCGTGCTGCCCGTACTGCGAAAGGCATATGATGCCGATGTGACGACAGCATGATGGTGGTGATCCACAGCCGAGATCAGCGCGACCAGGGTAACAGTCAACATGCTTCCGTAGGCGAGACCTCCCAAAAAGAAGTAAACAAACGGCAGCCAAACCGGGGTCTCGAGGGTCAAGGTGCAGATCAGGACCGCCGACAGCACCTGCAGACTCATCACCGCATAGTTCAGAATCTTATACTGGCCTGTGCTGCGCATGATGAAACCACTGCCTAGCGATCCAATCGACGTGCCCATGGCCTGGGGAATCAGGCGGACACCAGCCGCTGTGGCGGACAGTCCCTGTACCTGGAAGTACACGGGGAGGTAGAAGAGCAGCCCGAAGACTGCCATGGTAGTAAACCAATTCGTGAGGCAGGCAGACGCGACAGTTCTGTCGAGGAGAAGTCGGACGGGAATGACAGGCTCGGTCGCAATGTAGGCCTCCACGTAAATGAAGATTCCCAGGAACACGGCAGCAAGAGGCAGGGAGACGAGCACCAGCGGGTGCGTCCAGGGCACCTGATTCCCACCCGTGTTCAGCCCCATCAACAAAGTCACCAGCGTCAACACCAGAGTGACAGCGCCGAGGAAATCCACGCGCTGGATTCGAGATGTATCGGCAGTCCTCACGGGTATGTTCACTGTGAAGATGACCAGGATGCATGAAACCACCAAAGGGGGAATCTGGAGCAGAAAAGCCCAGCGCCAGCCCAGTGTATCACTGATCCATCCTCCAAACACCCCTCCCAAGCCCATACCGGCCCCATAGCAGATGTTGCCGATTCCCTGCCAAACACCTCGTTTCCGCAATGGAACCAAGTCAGAGGTGACAAAAGTCGAGATTGCCGTCAACCCACCTCCGCCCACTCCGGCCACGACGCGACCGAGAATAATGGCCCACTGGGTTTTGGCAAGCCCGCAGATCAAATTCCCCAAAGCAAAGAAGACATTGGAGAAGACAAGCCCCCATCGACGCGAGTAAATATCCGTCAGACGGCCGCTGAGTGGCTGACAGGCCGCATTGGAGATGAGGTATGAGGTTGCGAGCCAGGACAACAGAGAGAATGAGTTGAAAGAGGAGGAAATGGGAGCTGATAATGTTGCGACGATGGTAGTGTCTGAAGGAAACCAAATGCAAACATTAATTCGACTGAGCACGATCAAATAATCAGAAAGAGGGGACTCAGTGTGCTCCCTTACCGAGGGCAGCGAGAAAAACACCAACCCAGATGCTGCCCAGGATGAGCATGAGCTCTTTCGTTGAGCGCTCCTCAGGGACGTGCGCTTGATCCTCCGCTTGGTCAGACTCTGCGAGGGCAGGGTCGACCTCTCGAAGCAGAGGGGTCTCCTCTGAGACGGGACCTCTTGTAGCCTCGGTCGAAGCCATTGTATACTCTGGCAGGACTTCCTCTGCGGGGGAAATACACCCAAGAATATGCACAACAGCAGGGTAGAGCTCGAGGGCAAAGAACAAGAAGTTCGAGTCACCGAGTGCGGCAGTGGACCAAGCTCGGGTCACAGCCGCGGTGTCTCCGCACGGGGATCCGCAATTGAACAGCGGGTCTCGGCTCTCCCCGAGTTGCCGGATCCTTTAATTGTGTGCCTAAATAACAGAAATTGGGGCTTTCATATCGAAACTTTGCTTCATCTGGTCAAATATTTTTTCTTTTGTCAGTTTTCATCACAGGCCAGGACCAGTGGCCCTCTTCGAGCGGTGAACACACATTCGAGTAGTCCGTAGTCTTGACCGAATCCATCTTTCTGTCTTTGATCACTCAATATGGAGGCGAGAGTCTTCAGCAACCCTAGCCTCTCCACATACTTTCCCTTCCAAGACAATGATCAAAATAAGTTGAGAGCGCTGAACCTATCTGGCCTTACTCTTTACACTGGTTCTCATATGATAGTACCTTCAGTTCTGTGTGACCGCCTGTGATTCTGGGCAAGACGTGGGTGCACCCAAGAACGAACCTTGGTATCACACTTGATACACTTGTCATACAGCAAGCTTCTATCCCTACTAGATGAGAACTACATGATCTCCAGGGACTGTGGATCTGTCGTGTTGACTTTGTAACATACGCTCACCCTCAACTCCGTCAATGAGTGTGAAACCAAGCCGAAACAGCGCGGTATTCTCTACGATCTGATATCTACTGCGAGTGGGGCTCCCTGGTACCTTAACAATCACGAAGGTAAGGTACTTGACACCTGTGTGTGTTCTGGAGGGAACTTCTCTGTCCCTCGTTTCCTCCTTCTATCCTTTTGTAGATGACCTCGACCTAGATAATGAATCAGTACACCCGTACCCTTTTGGCCTTTACCACGGAGCGTCACATCCACGTGGTACAACTCCTCCATGGTCTTTTTTTGTCCGCCACTGGATTGGAGAATGGGCTTGTCATTCTATTATTGGTTCATAATATGCGATGGCCAAAAGAATCATCTGGGAATCAATGTAGATTCACTGGAAAGTAGGCAGCGGGATAAATGTGAAGGATTCCAACGAGAATCAACTATGATTCTGACAGGAGCCAGCGCAAAGACCAAACAATCAAGGATGCCTCATAGCAAAGAGAGTACAACATACGGGTACAAGGTGATGGGTATGGATGGCAATGGCATATAAGCAACCGGGTGGTTGGTAATCGAAAGAAAGGGCAAACACATTGACCATACAGAATCATACAGCGAAAATGTAGATAGAACCGTCACACCTCGGCAAATGCAAAAGGCTCAGTGTAATTGGAAAGTGTGAGTTAATTATGATTGTTGATTGGATTTCGAAATGGCTTCGACAGACTAATTCCGGTTACTTGAGTCGATATCCCTGTGCTTTCTAAGGAGCTGGCACCCGTGTAAAGTGCTTGGAGTATGATCATGCTCTACAAAGTAAGTTTTTCGGGTGCCGTGTATGATGGAGTAAGTGGTATACGATCGTTGGCTTGTTTTTCTGGCATTCATCTTCTGTGCTTGTCGGTCGATTCCTCCGCCGTGTCCCAGGCCTTGTATTGCCGAGTGCTCTTGGGAGGCGCTATGGTAAACTCGGGAAGTTTTTCTAGAGATTTGGCAGAGAGCGTACACGTCTACCAGATCTATCGCCATGTTCTCTGCTCTTTCGGGTAATTTCAAAGCACTCCCTTCCTACGAGATATTGCCTCGAGCATGTTGGAGAGCCAAGACCAGGGAGTTCCCAAATGGCTTGAAGTACACTCAATGCTTCAGACAGAATAGTTGTTGTAGTGCTAAGCAAAGTCTTATCACATGTGGAAGCAGCAGGCTCGTGACACAGTGCTGACCAAATAGGCAATTGTTTGCTTGACTGTTGGACGCGCACAATAAATTTCTTTTCACCAACGCACAATGAAATCCTACCCTCTCTCCTCCCCATCTTGATTGAACCCAAACCATCACTACGCCTATTTGGAATTTATCATTCAGAATTTTCTATCGACACATACCTTTTTCCCTTGCCAGGTATTCATCTGCAAGACTTGTTCCTTCAACATCATCGTCATGGCCTCCTTCGATCCACCTTTCATCGTTGACTACATCATCGTCGGAGGTGGTACTGCTGGGCTTGTGCTTGCAGCGCGTCTCTCCGAGAACCCCAATGTGCATGTTCTTGTGCTTGAAAGTGGCCCGGATCGTTCAAAGGATAAACTGGTCCAAAGTCCCAATACCTGGCGCGCTCTGAGTGGGTCCGGCCTGGACTGGAAAGTGAAGATGGCTCCAGAGGTATTTGATCCAGATCATCAAAGGCAACAAAGTTTTAATGAAGGAATGCATACTAACACATTCTATCTTCAAATTTCATAGTCTTGTCTGAATAACCGTGTCCTGGATCACCCTGCTGGCCGCGTTCTGGGCGGATCCTCCGCCATCAACGGCATGGCCTATGTCCCACCCTCTCCAGATGGAATCGATGCATGGGCCAAACTGGGAAATACAGACTGGACCTGGAAATCCCTCGAGCCATACCTGCAGAAAAGCGTCACACTGCACGTCCCCGACCGAGTCCATGAACCTGACAGTAATCATGATGAAGTGGACACCAGACAAATCGCAGCCAACGGGCCCGTGCAGCTAAGTCACCCGACCCCGAAGAAGGATGCAAGTCGCGCTTTTTCAAGTGCCTGGTTCAATGCCTTGGAGAGTCAAGGATACTTCTACATGACCGAGCTCATTCCTGAAGAGCAGACTTTGGGGACTCACGTTATGATGGCTACAATTGATCCTGCCTCTGGATTACGCAGTGGAGCTGATCGTGGATATGGAGGTTTGGTATCTTCCTCTTCGAATGTGACAATCCTCACCAATTTTACTGTTCGAAAGATCAATTTTGACACCGGCAGCGAGTTGGACGCAATCGCCACCAGCGTCGAGGCTATCAAAGATGGAAAAACATCCCTCTTCAAGGCCTCCAAAGAGATCATTCTTGCCGCTGGGGCCTTCCATACCCCTAAATTGCTTGAGCTTTCGGGAATCGGTCAAAAAGAGCGGCTTCAGCGTTGTGGCATCTCGATCGTCGTTGAGTCTTCTGGTGTGGGCGAGAACCTTCAGAATCACCTGATGTGTCCCATTCGAGTCCCTTTGAAAGAGCCTCTTGCTGCAGAGGAATTCTTTCCCGGAATGAAAGCTTTTGCCCTGGTCAGAATCGAGACTGAAGAGCTAAATGCCATCAACGCCATCTACGAGGATAGTTTCCAAGGCCCAGCAGGTCAAGCAATTCGTTCATTGATTGAAGATCCCGGGAATGCCACAGCTTGCATCATCCTCAGTATGGCAGCACCAGGTCTGGCAGTGTTTGTCCCGATCATTGCCCACCCTCTTTCCCGCGGTAGCTGCCATATTGAATCGTCAGATGCGGACGCACAGCCTACCATTCAAGCGGGACTGGGAAGCAAAGAGATCGATCTTGAAGTGCTGGCCCGACACGTGCAACATTGCCACAAGTTGTTGCATAGTCCCTACCTGCAGCCCTTTGTCAAAGAGAGCGCTCCCGACATGAACGTGCAAAGCATTATTCGGGATCTGCGAAATACAGCTCAGCCCGCACATCACGCCTGCGGAACGGCTGCCATGTTGCCCAAAGAAATGGGCGGAGTAGTCGATCAGAGGCTGGTTGTTTACGGGACCCGGAATTTGCGCGTTGTGGACGCCAGTATCTTCCCACTCATTCCGCATGCTAATCCTCTGGCCACTGTCTACGCTGTGGCTGAGCGTGCGGCTGATCTGATCAAGGAAGATTCGGACCGAACAGACCCTTGAGCATGAGCGTGGGAAGATGAGGATTGAGGATGGGGCGAGGTGACTGTGACCCTTTGCTGTGCGAGTGTGATTTAAAGATATTCCAGATCACTTAACTAGTAATACATGCAAACACATGTCTTCTCTACCATTTTTCAGAGCAAGGAGTGTCCAAGACGAAATCGAGTAATATCGTCATAATACTAGTCAAAGGGAATTATTATCCGGTCATGCTACGGGACCGGTCACTCGTCCACCTCGTCTTCGCCGTCTCCTTTCTTCGGAAAATGTCACTCGAATATTTCTCGTCTACGTAGAGTCCCAAGGCCAGAGGGTCTGGTACAGTAACAAAGGAGGTTGCACTGAGTGATCAATTGAAAGGGTGTGATGTTAAGTCAAAATTGCATAAATCTATAAACTTTCCTAATCGTGATACACGTATGTCGCATAAACATTAAGGAAGGAAATTTGATAATAAGCCTGCTCATAAAATGAGACATCAGGATCACAAGTCATCAGATCGACAGAGGTGCCCGTCATCCAGCTCTGTCCACGCCTCGCTTCCAACGGCGGTTCTGGCCCAGAACACTCCGTTGGGATCGAACTCCTCTTTGATCTCATGCAAGGCTTGATATTTATCACCGTAGAAGGCGGACTGCCAGTCGGGCTGCTTCCAGTCGGCTTCGTTCAGATAGGCTCCACTGTCGATGCTGATATCCGTCAGAAGCGGAACAAGCTCTTGAGTCATCAATGACTGGCACTCGACGTTCACTTGACGATTTGTGTAATTGTAGCTTCTAGTTTCTTGGTCAGGTTGAATCCATAGCCGCAAAGAGTTACATTGCTCTCGAGACAGATCACTTACGTTCCGAGAACAATGGAGATGGCAGCATCGCGCCAGGCAGGATTGACTGCATTGTCCGGTACCGAGTGACGGGAAACATTGAGTGATACGCCTGAGACCACTGCACCCTGTTCTGAAATTTGTCTCAAGGTCGAGATGAGGCTGTCGGTACTGTGTGCAAGCACCCCGCGAGGCATGAGGCGTCCTCCGATTTGCGCTTCCGTAATGTTGCTGTGTGGATTCATGGCCATGAAACAGTCCCAGAACGAGGCGAACTGTTGGATGTGGAAAGCTTTTTTTTCGAAAAAGATTAGTTGCATATTTATTGGCTGATATTTGGTCAAGGGGTGGTTTTTTACATACCGTATGTCATGTTTCTCTCATTGAGCATCCTCAAAGTTGATGCAAGATGCATCTGCAGTTGATCCACGTTACCTCCAGGCCATGTGATTGGTGTGAGACTGAATGTCTTTCCAATGACCGCCCAGATTGCGACAGCGCCAGCATCGATAATAGGAGTGATGTCGACAATGAAATTTCGAATGATGGACCAGAAGACGTCAGGCGGTACATCAGCGCCACTAAAGGTTAGGTTCGCTGAAGCAGTGCTAACTTCAGCGTACGCCTTGACGGTGGCACTCATCACAACAGCATATGTGCCTCCACCACCGCCCGAGAGAGCCCAAAAGAGATCGGGATTTCTGTCGGGAGCGGCTATGAGATGTTGTCCATCGGCGGTCACCACCTCCCATTCCAATACCTGATCGGCAGCGAGACCAACCATGGAAGCCAGCTGACCATGGCCTCCACCTTGACTGTAACCACCGACAACCCCAACACTATCGCAGTTACCTGTCAGGATGACTTTGTTCTGCGCGTGAGCCGCAGCCATCCCTTCAAAGCCTTGGATGCCGGCGCCGAGTCGCAACGCCGGTCCTTCGTAGGAGCATGAGCGATACTGCAGATACTCGGTAGCCTTCAGGTTGTGCATCCACAAGGCGAGACCTCCAGGTGCAGTGGACTTGCCGAGATAGTCGTGGCCAGTGTTTCGGATGACCAAGCGAATGTTATGATCTTGGGCAAACTGAATGGTCTTCTGCACATCTTCCACCTTGCTCACGTTGACTGCGTATCGCTGGAGCGCGGTGATCGTGCATGGTGTGTTCCGCGGTAAGAAGGGATCACAAGACGCGTTGGAGAACCACGACGCCATAGGTGAGTCGCAAGTCTTGTAATGAGTGGCCGGAAACCCCCAGTCAGCGATCAGACTGGCGCAAGCCTCCCGGTTGTATGCTGAGAATTCTCCTGTGGTGTGGCAGACGCTACCGAGAGGAATCGTTGAGATCAATCGGCCGCCTATGGTGGCATTGAAATCCGCCCACTGCTGCCACGAAGGCCAGCAGGCATCACCGGGGAAGCAGCGACAGTCCAGTCCGGCGACTATCGAGACGCAGAGAGCAAAGAGAAGGGTAAAAAGTGTCATTTGTCGCATGATGAAAGACTTATATCTCTAGGGTGAGATGGATGAAACGGAGGAGAAATGACTGAGACACGCGGTAGTTGACGAGATGGGGTCTCTTCCATACAAAAGAGAGATTAAGATAAGAGCTTCAAAGGAGTCGCCTTTCCACAACCACACGGGTCTACGGCCCAAGAGAGATTAAACGACATACATGTTCAATGTAGAGCACAACAGTAATGCCCAACTACATGGCAACGGCTACTCGGACGTCATACTTTTGGTGTTTCACTTGGATAATTCTGGATTCAATCCTAGGTAAACCTTATGTTCCCGGCATTGGCCGCAATCTGAGATATCTAGAATGTTCATGGAAGCAGGCAGCATCCATAGCCCCTACCACTGTAAGCCCTCGCATGATGCACAATCTGGCAGAGTCCTCAGTAGTTGCCCGATACGGCCACCCAGCCAGGAATACCATAGATGACCACTTGCCACATGCACCAGAGTCGCCACGCTTTGGCATCGTTCGTGCCCTTGGCCACGTGGAAAGAGACGCCCAGCCCTGTCAGCAGGGGTACCACATATCCCCACAGTGGGATGTGCCAAAAGTAACAACAGCAGATGCTCCAGAACAATATGAAACAGACGATGGAGCCCCGCGACAACTTGTCGCCCAGAACCAGGGGAAGCGTTTGCCGGCCTCGAGTGCGGTCACCGACTTGATCCTTCAGATCTTGAACTTGCATGGTGGTCAAGATGATGCCCCCCATGATAGCAATCCACATGTAGCCATGCTGGGTAATCTGAACATCGAGTCCAGAGACAATGCGCAGCGAGCTGCTCAGATAGAGCGCATATCCGCACGCAATGATGCCGTCTCGGACGATCTCATCGCCGCCACGAAGATCGTTGTACAACCAAGTCAGGATCATGATCCCAGCACTCTGCGTTGCCACGCCGAGTACCGCACTGATGGTCAGCACGAGCGGAATGGCAACGAGCATCCACCGCCGTGTCGTGTCCGGGCTGATCTGTCCGGTGGGCAGGGGTCGCCAGGGTTTGTTCAGCCGATCCTCCAATTGCGATTCGGGAAGACGCTGGTTCGCTAAATCGAATACGAAGACATTGGCCCAGTTGAAGAGAATCACTGCGAGACCGCGCAGAAAGAGTTGTGAGAGAGCCGGACGCTCGGGACAATCCGTAAGCAAAGGAGCAGCAAGCCCTGTGAGCAGTCCGAAGGCCGAATTAGGAAGGACGAAAGTGGAAAAGTTGCTCTCGGTGAAGAGCCAGATGAGCTGCAGCAGTTGGATCCAGGGCGTATCCATGGTGGGAGGAGTCATAGCAAGTAGTTCGAGTCAATCACAGCGAAAGTCGATGCCGAGAGAAGCAGCAGGGGCAGGGGGGCCGCCCTGGAATGACGAACAATGTACAAAAGGTAAAGACTGTTGAAGGATAAAGAAAAATAATGATTTGTGACTTTTCATGAAGAGAATCCTCAGAGAGACATTGAAGTCTCCTGGAGGTGAGAATATGTGATGGGATGGAGCGACACGTCCAGGGGACAGCACGATGCGATGGTTGTTTGCAAACATCAATCCCTCTTGTGTATCCCTCAGCTCTCCACTCCCCCAAATAATTTCTCGTGCGTTTGATTTTTCTCTCTTTCTCATACACTTCTACACAAGACCCCAGTGTTTGATTCCACTTGTTCTTATTGAGCTATCTGTGACCATGAAAAGCCTCATTCCGGCCCTGATCGGGTCCCTTTTTGGACTGTTCATGCATCATGCCGTCTTCATCAACGGCGAGTGGCATGTCCAAGCACCGGACATTCTGATCTGTCACCTCGCTTGCTTTTTGACATTGGCCGTTTGTGTTGATGGTGCAAAGTACATGGTCTGTGGATACATTGCCACAATGCTCACGAGTATGCTCGTCTATCGAATCTATTTCCATCGTTTGAGTCATTTTCCGGGCCCTCGCTTCGCTCGCATCAGCAAACTGTGGCATGCATGGCATTCTCGCCACCGCCAGAACTACCGGCTCTTGGCCAGCTTGAATCACCAGTATGGAGACTTTGTTAGAACAGGTATGCGTTGGGTCGAAGAGGAAATCGCAGAGGATTTGGCTAAGTTTCAATAATCTAGGTCCAAGCGAGCTCACAGTGTATCATCCGGATGTATTCATGGCAATTGATGGACCCCAAGGAAATTGCGTCAAGTCCGAATGGTACGATCTACTTCATCCAAAGCAGTCCCTCGTTACTGCACGAAACAAAGAATCTCATGGACAGCGCCGTCGGCAGTGGAATCGCGGCTTCACTCCCCAAGGTTGGTACTGCTTTTCTCGGTTTTTGAGTGACGGCCGATCACCAACTGACAGATGCTAGCCCTCGATCAGTATCAAGATCGCGTTCTCCCTCTCATCGATCAGCTGGAGCAATGCATTGACCAAGATATTGCAACTAAACAGGTGACTGAAGTGACGGATTTAATCTACTGGCTCGGTTTTGATCGTATGGGAGACTTTGTCTTCAACAAAACGTTTGATATGCTGTCGCGTCAAGAGTGGCATCATATTATCATGCTGATGCAGCGAGCTCTGTCTCTTCTCGGTCCACTGAGTCCTGTGCCTTGGTTCATTCACATTGCATTCAAGACTTTTCCCCGGTTGTGGATCCTAAAAGACTGGTTTCGCATGGTAGCCTGGTGCGAGGAACAGATGCTTCAACGACTGGAGGTGGGTTTTTGAGGCCTTCAAGGATGAACGCCAATATCAGCCACTGACTTTTTGTAACTTGCTTTCTACTTAGGCTCCACGGGATCAAGCCTCCCGGTCCCCCGATGTCGCTCATTATCTCCTTCAAGATGTTCGAGATGACCCCCGCCGCTTCCCATGGCTCACCGGCGACAGTATTCTTGCTATTGTTGCTGGCAGTGAGCCCACGGCTGCGGTTCTTATCGGTCTGTTTTGCGAGATTGCCAGAGTTCCACAACATGCAGAAGTTATCTTGAAGGAAATCAGCACTATTGATGTCGAAGACTCACGGATCTTGGCCTCGAGCTGCCCTCATCTCGAGGCATCGATTCTCGAAGCGCTCAGACTTTACCCGGCCTTGCCCACGGGTGGTAATCGAAAGACATTGAAGAATGGCGTCACAATTGGGGGAACATACATTCCTCCAGAGACAACTATCGTCGCCCCCCGATTCTGTATCTCTCGACGTAAGTACACAGTGGTTCAAGCATATTGAGTGGCGCAAATCCACTAAATCATCAAAAGGCGAGGATAGCTTCGAGGACGCGGAGAAGTTCGTCCCCGAGCGCTGGTACAAATGGCCCGACATGGTCCGCAATAAATCAGGCTTTGTGCCTTTCGGACTCGGTAAGTGAATCCGCACCACTCCATTGTTCACTGAACTCCTTTCATTGCCCAGCACATTTCTCTCGATGTAAGTCTAATAGATCGCTAGGTCACCACAGCTGCCTCGGACGTGCACTAGCCATGAACGACATGCGGCTGATCACCGCCAAGCTCATCCAAAAGTACCGTTTCACTTTTCCCCCTGGTGACGACGGCAGTGCCGTGCTGGATGATCTGAAAGATCAATTCACTTCGAACCCCGGTCGCCTGCGGCTGGTTTTTCAACTGCGCGATGATTAAAGTTGGGTCTTGTGGTGAAGTTCGGTCTCGTGAGTAGGACAGTGTTCACAACGCATAGTAATTATTTATCTGTTGATTAATGTTCATATGTTGTGTCTATCTCTCTCAAATGTTGGAGGCAGTTTCGTTCATCTACGCTCATTTGCGTTCAGTTCATGACAAAAAGTGGTTAGTCTTTCAAGGGCGATAGCCCTCAATCGCGTTCATGTGCTGACGCCTAAATCAAGATGAAGGGTCAGCCTCGCGGTAGTACAAAATGCATCGCTTCCAATGGTGGAAAACATGAGCGATGTACCACCTCAGGATGCTGCAACCAGTAGGAGCACTGACCGAGCCCTAGCTCAATCGATTACTTTCTACAAGACACACCGGTACCACTGGCCTGTTATGGTAGCCATTTACTTGCGTCTCCTGGGCGTATGGAGGGTGATTCTGAGCCTCGAAACAGGCAATTACATAACAACAACCTCTCCGACCACAACTCATGCTCTTTTGGGCGTATTCAGATGGTGAGAGATGAATAGCACGAGTTCGAATAATGATAATAATACATAATCATTGAAGCATCGCAATATGTTCTACATGTGATCAATTTCCGGGGAGTGCAAAAGAGAGAATCTTTTCCACTAGTAGCTGGAACTACGTTCTTTAAATTGAGGGGCACTTCTTAGTATATATGTCACGCCTGAGATTCCCAAGGGATGCTCCTGGACTTCAAGATCTCTATCAAGGGTAGATGAATCGTCGATCACATCGATCCACAAATTTGATACCTTCCGCGGGAAATCGAAGCACAAGCCCGCAAGGTACCCTAGTAAAATATGAAGTACGCACCTACCTGAATAGATTGTTAAGAAGTATGATGCTTCCCTCAATTATATACTGTAGTCTTGTACTCAGGCCGTGGCTCGATGTCACAAGTACACAACCCTGAGGCGAATGTTGAAAGCTGATAAGTTAGCAGTGAGCTAAAAATGTGGGGCCGGCTCGAATATCACCCAATCTGGCCTAGTGCACGAGCTTCTGTCGTGGTCGACTGTCAAGTTGTCAATTCGTCTCCGAGCGTCTCCCCTCACAGACTCAATCCCAATCAAATTTCAGCATGACCAACGGAAAGCTGGGCTCACGGGCTGATCTATAGAGTCGGAAGCTCGACGTATGGTTCCATTGGGAACCAGCATTCCTCTTGAGCCAGTATTTTTTGGACACAATACGTCCTTTCTGTCTTCAGGCGTCGGATAAGTCACCGGAGAACTACTGATAAGTCGACCATATTGGTTGAATGAGCCCAGACGGCTCGGGAATATGCCCTCGTGAGGCCTCTGGATCAAGGCAAGAGATGGCCCGTTGCAAGGGCCCTGTGTTCAAGGGGATGGAAGTACGTACATCAGAGCCCCTGTACCGAGTATCTGATAATGCTGGCATGAACATGACAGCGCCAAGGTGGGTGTCCCTGCCCATAATGTCTTCGCATTGGTAGGGCCCGTCATACGCGCAGTTATGGGAAGGCAGAAGTGATTTTCATCACGTATCAACCGGCGAAGGGCGAACTGGCTTGTGTCTCGCCCCCGTTGGTCTTTCATCAATACATACAAGGTCTTAAAGGCGAATCTTGGGATGTTCTATGGCCAAGACTCTGCCTTGTTCCGCCCTCATTGAAGCCTACTAGATCAAATGGATGCTACCACGTCACTCGAGTCGTTCATCATGCTCGACTCATACTCGATTCGTCGGGCGGCGGTCTGCTACTGATGTTCCATATCAACGTCGCTGGGACACACGCAAAGACGAATCTCAACAGATCATTCACAACTCCGATTCCTCTGGCTTAAACACTCCTAAGTTGACTTTTGGTCGCGGACGGGCTCAGAACTGATCCAGTTCCATTGTGGCAGTGGCAAGATCAAGCCTCCTAACAGAATCGGGTGGAGTCGAGTTTTTATTGGCTTCCATTGGCACTTTATTTCACAATGGGGATACACCTGAGCTGGAGCATTTCCACAGCCCCATACGTTGAGAACTAGATCCTTGCGGTTTGCATGGTCTCTGGAATCATAACCAGTCACTTAACACAACGGGCAAAGGCACCAGACAGGAGCCAAAACTTCAGATATCTAATCTCGATGGCGTATGAGGAAATCACCCCCGGGTTTGGCTCGCTGGTATGCTGTTTATTTATAAAGATCTTGCGATATCTTACACTGATGAAACATTTCCATATCCAAGATTTTCTTATCATAAATCTTCTTTCAATCCTTCATTTCATGAAACTCTTTTCGGCGACCACGTAGAGCATAGAGAGAAAACGCTTTCCCAGCATCCGTCCTCATTGCATGGTATCCAAGACTCAATATCATGTTGCACACCGCAGAGTCACAAGCCCAGGCTATCGGTACGTCCATGTGAGCGCTATGCGTAATCTGATACATCGTTCTAACGTGACTCACTCGGTCGAAGATCCTAAGTGCGACAGGGTTGAAAGAGGACTCGCTCACCACCTTTGTCTGTCGGCTGAAGTGCGAGAACGAAAAGGCTAGAGATGAAGTTTTCCAAGCGCAGGCTTGCTCCCATGTCTGGCAAGAGAAAGTCAAGGAACGCGACACCTGATTTCAGACCATCGCAGAACAGCTGAGGGAGAGTCAAAAAGAATATCGTTAGTGCGGCTGGAAAGGAAGATGCGACATGTACAGAAGGAAAGGATCTTGACAGTCAAGCTGTTCCCAGAGTCTCGGGCGAATTCGAAGCCCCATGCGGCTATTCATGTTTGGAAATACATCCGAATTGAGGTCACTGTAGGTATATTGGTCGTGTTGGTAAGCGAGGCACGGTCGGATAAGAACTTACTGCGTTCTGTTATTGTTACCTCGGACGATCTAAAACCCTGCATACCCACCCAAGCACCATATAGTTATGGGCTACATTTGATCAAGATTACTAAATTTCTTGAGAGCAGCGATTTTGATATCTACTGATAGCATCGGGAGCACGAGTAAGACTAATCCAGTATTGTTCCCTTTCAAGTCGGGATGGAACGAAGCGGTCTGTTGCTGTTATCCGTACTGACTGACTCGAAGAACAATTTGATATGGGATGGCTCTCGTGAGCTAATCGTTGCTGACGTTGAACTACCGAGATCAGCAATTTAGTTGCTGTCAGGATATGGAGAAGTTTCACAATATGATTGGATGATACTGAATGGAGGCTTGAGAAAACTTACAGGTATCTCAATGTATGCGAATCGGCCTAAAACATACCCGAGGGCAGCGACATTCCGAACCGTCGCTCGTGCCACACGCGTCAAAACAACTTGCAAAAAGTCCGAATGCAGCTGACCGTAAGGCTAAGGAGAATGGAATGGCCAACCATAAATGCCCGAGGTCAGCAGCAGACCCGATTTGATTTCATCTGCCTTGGCTTTGAGCTCGTCCACGTCCCAGTTGGCCCAGGCACAGCGACCGCTTAGGAAGGCGGCTTCAGGGCTCGTTAGCCAGACAGTAAAATCCCCAGGCAGCTCCACTTGCGTAGAAATTCAAATCAGCGTGTATTCCATCTGTATATTTTATCGGGGCAATCTTCATACCTGTGTCCATAGGAAGATGATGGGGATCAGCACCCGATTCACGAAACACCTTCGTGTCAATCATGCCAGGGTGAAGTGCAACCGCGACCAGATTGGGGTTTTCTGCTGCCAAGAACTCGACCAACTTGACCACAGCCAGCTTTGAGGTGATGTATCCTGACATTTTCTGCAATCGAGCCGCCGGGAACACCACCGCCGCAGTAAGAGCAACGATGGTTGCATGGTCAGGATTAGCCGTGGGGAGAAAAACCTGCGACATGACCATGCTGCCTAGAACATTTGTCTGGAGTCGTATGGCAGTCAGTACAACTCAGGGTTTCGATTGCAAGGAGGTCTGTGCCTCGTCCACGGGTCTTTGCATCTCTCTGCATGCGCACAGCGGATATCTGCATACCTCGAAGTTTTGCCGCCACTCGGCCACCGACGCGTCCCTAATCGAAGCCGGGGGGAAATGTATCCCGCAGCGAGGACCATCACGTCCCACTGACCAGTGGCAGCAGCAATAGCACATAGCGCTTCTTCATCTGTTACATCGGCCACCTGAACCGAGGTGTTACAGGTCAGAGTTTTGGCGGTCTCTCGAAGGCTGGCCTCAGTTCGCCCGATCAGCACAATCTTCTGTGCTCCTGCTTTAGCAAACGACTGTGCGGTTGCGCGGCCGATGCCACTTCCCTGTGGAGACCAAGTCAGCAGGCGACGTTTGTGACTGGAAGCGTGGTAAACAAAAGCCACAGTCAAAGGGTCTCATACTGCACCAGTAATGATGATCGTCTTGCCTGTGGCAGCCGACTCGGGTCGGTGAGGTGAAATGGCTGGGTAGGAGGCATTGTGCCAGGTCCGGGTCAGCGATGGTAATGGTGGATTCATGGTGTAACACGCTCAGTGGGGATCGACTATTTTCCGTCTGGGAGGATATGATCTGACGAAGAGAGATTAGACGAAAGTTAGGTGTATGGAGAGTTGCAAAGGTGTAGGGCTCTAGAAGGAGAACGAAAGCTTCGACAAGAGCTGAAGAACCAAAAAAAAAAATGCCCGTGACCAGCGCACCTGATGGGCATTTTCTCAGAAGGGGCCGTATCTCCTCTTCAACCTCTCTATGTGCCGCACGATCTGTCATGGAGCACTAACACTTTTCTTCTTTGAAGTATGATCTTCACCACTATCATTCGTACAACAGACCAAGAACGGTACGGCCAATTTGCACTTGAACCGGTCATGATGCTGTCAGCATCGGGACCAGGCTGGCTCAATGGAACGAATTCGGCGGAAATGTCGCCCAGGTTTATCCTTGCAGACCTGCCCACATACATTCAATATCTGACTATGCCGAGTCGGAGGCGAGAACTTCGAAAAGAAACGTTGCATTTCCGCTCATGTTGTGCAACGACCGACATCCTCGACGAAAACCCGTTGATATTCAAAATGCCGAACCTCATGTCGAGCGATCTTCATGATGTGGATGCATTGTCTATTCTTCTTGGAAGTCAAAGATCAGCTTCTTCATCTTGTCTTATGCTTGAAGATTAGCACTCGGCATTATGGCGGTCAGCCCCAACGGCGTCCAGTTGTCCATCTGGATGGCTGTATTCACTTTCATCACCAATGTAGTGATTGGGCTGCGACTGTGGGCGCTTCATTTGACCCGCAAAAGACTTCAGCTTTCTGATTATTTTGTCATCATTGCTCATGTTCGACTCCCTTCTGCCCCACATGTTCTGACATTTGTCCTGTCTGAGGCTGATCACTGTGCAGACAAGCGCATGCGCTATGACCGGCTTGAACTACTGGGCTGTTGCTAACGGCATGGGAGCGCACACTAGAACTCTTTCAAAGAAAGAGCTCAATGTGCAGTTCAAGATGCTTGTGGGGGTGAGTATGACCTGGCTGGTTGGTACTGTCTGCTGCAAACTCTCCATCTTGTCATTGTATACCAGTCTTTTCCGCACTTTCCGGCCCATTCGAATCCTCGTCTGGGTGGTGAGTAGTCTGGTCGTGGGATATTTCATCGCATTTGTGCCACTGTTTCTTACTCAATGCCATCCCATCTCTTACCAATGGCGTCCCGTTCCTGGAGGTGGCTGTCGGTCTTTGGAAATTCAAGAGATTGCCTCGATTACTTTGAACATTGTCCTGGATACCACGATCGCGCTGCTGCCAATTCCTGCGATATGGAAATTACGAATGTCTCTCCGAAACAAGCTGACCATTGGCGTCATGTTTGGCATGGGTTTGATGTGAGAGGCCATCCTGCTCTATCTTGAAATTTTCCGGCACTCCGTTGACTGGTCTCTAGCGTTGTTGCGGTCATGATCTGGCGACTCGTCATCACTCTTGATCCAGATACCGCGGCAGATTTCGTATACGGGCTCTTCAAGATAGGACTTGTGAGCTTTCTTGAGCTCTGGCTCAGCATTATCATTGTCAGTCTTCCGGTTCTGGCGCCTCTGTTCCGTCATTACGTGGAGCCTATCGTTTCACCGAAGCGTCCTGTTGCCGCTCAGCTTCGAGAAGCCCAACATACAATTGGAAGCGACCCTCCCAAAAAACCGTTCGCGTCGGGTCCTTACTCTGAAATCGAGATGGGTCATGGAAATTACTCGGCCCAGATCAAGACTGGAATGACTTCATCACAGAGCGATCATGATGATACTATTGGGCTAGTGAGCAACATGCAACCCAACGCTATTGCGATGCGAAGAGAGGTTGTCGTCCTGGATTCGGAGACGTCCATGAGTACTAAGTAATCGAGAGCGTGCGATCAGATATTTCACTTGCCGTGGCCTGTCACGACGAGAATGATATGCGGAGCTCGATTTGGTTTGCAAAAACAGCCTTCAATTACAGAGATTGCAGTTTGATGTAAAAGCCGGAGAAATTGATTTCTTACAGAACGTGAGCGTTTCCCGTAAAGACAGGTTTCCTCAGTTTGTCCGTTCTACTCAATGTGGAACTTGGGGACGCTCCTTCCCCTTTTGTGCTCATCTTACCCGTACATTTCAGAAATGCACGTTTTCGGCGGCGGAGATGTCTGCTTGACTTCTCTCACTCTTCACTTGCAAGTTTCTTTCCTCCCCAACGTCTTCATTTCCACAGAAAGAAGCTCAACTCGATCATCACCAAGAACCTCTTTGCGCGCTCTCAATCTTCCACCGCCAGCTGTTGTTTCCTAACTCCACCTGTCGCAATGATTGTATGTATGCTCCATCAGCAGAGATGGAAGTGATTATTAAGAAGTTACTACAGCTTATCATTGCGGTTTGCCTGGTTGCGCTCGTGCTCGTCATTGCCGCATTCCGATAGCTTCTCGAGGAACGCGCATACAATTTCCTCGTGCGAGCTTTTCCTCCGCAGCTCGGGATAAAATCCATGCCTTATTTCATATGTCAACTTGACAATCGCACCCTTGATCTGATCCATGACGCTGCCTCGTGTCAAAATCGCAAATGGTTATCTGCTGAAGTCGTGGCCACGGTTCTCAGCTGGGAGGGAAAAAGTGCCTGATGAGGGTGCTTCCATCATGAGGAAGTCACTTGCCACCGAGCGTAAGCACATTCGAGCGGACGAGCGGAGAATTTGTGGGAGATCTCATCAATCGTGAAGCGCAGGACTGATAGCATCATGTACAGAGCCACTATCACACGAGCTATGTGGTGTAAGTACATCCTTCCCCAGCTCGCCACCAGAGAGTTCCACTTCATCCCGATCAGTCTGGTTCGGCTGCAACAACGCCGACTCTGGAATTTGGAGTGTAGACTCTCAGACTGGTTATAGGCCCGGCTGGATAGTATTCTCTCGCGTGTTCTCCGGATCTTTCTTCCCTTGATCAACATGATACCTCGACGACGCGTCCTCACCTCACTTCCCGCATCTGTAAAGCTCCGCTAATCTGATGCCGAGACGGTCCCGCATCACGATGCTGATACTCTTCCCCGGCTCCGACATGCCGCTTCCCCCGATCTCCACTTTGGATCGTCAGGCTAGTCATGTTGATGTTCAAGACGGGGGCATGCCATGTACATATGAACTAATGAGCATGGCTTGTCAATCCACCGCCGTCTTGGCTTCCCAAAACAGTATTTTGCATTGGCTGAACCCCCCCGCTAGTACCGGCGTAACCTCGGGATCTTCATCTTCCCTCTCCCTTTTCATAGATTACCCCCGGATCATTTCAAATCCTCAATTGCCGATAGCAGGTAGACAGAGCAGAAGCCGCAAGGATGGACAATTGTGACTTATATAATAGCATCGTCTCACGAGTTCTAGGGTCGACCTTCCAGTGGGTGACAGCATTTTCTCTGGATCAGCTCAAAACAGCCATGATGACTCGACTCCCTGCCTGGGGCATGCTCGGTGCTGCTTCCGTGGCTTCTGCAGCTCTTACAAGTCAGGATGCTTTCCGAGCTCACTGCTCGCAATTCGCACATCAAATTGATATTCCTAATGTCAAGGTCAACATGGCTGAATTCGTCCCTGGCGGCACCAATTTGTCTTTGCCAGACAACGCAGCCAGCTGCAATGCGCCATATCAGGTTGTGTCGGTAGATGTATGCCGAGTGGCCATGGCTGTCTCGACATCGAACAGCAGTGAAATCACGCTGGAGGCCTGGTTTCCGCGTGATTATCAAGGCCGCTTCTTAAGCACAGGAAATGGCGGTCTTTCAGGCTGTATGTGACACCACGCCCTTTTACGTTTTTAAAGGGAAATACTCGTACTGACATGCGGCAGGTATCCAATACTACGATTTGGCTTACACTGCGCAACTTGGCTTTGCTACGGTTGGTGCCAATAACGGTCACAATGGTACTTCTGGCGAGCCATTCTTGAACCACCCAGAGGTGCTGGAGGACTTTGTCTACCGCTCCCTCCACACGGGCGTCGTAGTTGGCAAAGAGCTCACCCAGCGTTTTTACGAAGAAGGGTTCAAGAAGACCTACTACCTAGGCTGTTCCACGGGTGGTCGCCAAGGGTGGAAATCCATCCAGAAGTATCCAAATGACTTTGATGGTGTGGTTGCCGGGGCCCCGGCCTTCAATATGATCGGGCTTTTCTCCTGGAGTGCTCATTTCTATCCGATTCTCGGCCCAAAAGGTTCTGACACCTACCTTTCCCCTGCTGAGTGGAAGGTTGTGCACGAGGAAATCCTCCGACAGTGTGATACCCTTGATGGGGCAAAGGATGGGATCATTGAAGATACCGATCTGTGTCAACCTATACTCAGTCCCTTGATCTGTGCTCCTGGCGCAAAGAACAAGACCTCTTGTCTCTCTGCTACCCAGGTCCATGCTGCCCAGCAAGTCTTTGCACCTCTCTACGGACTCAACGGCACTTTACTGTACCCGCGCATGCAGCCCGGATCGGAGGAACTCGCTGCGCCTATCATGTACAATGGCCAACCGTTCCAGTACAGCACTGACTGGTGGAAGTACGTGGTTTACAACGATTCGTCTTGGCAGGGCGAAAATTGGACGATCCGGGATGCCGCGGTCGCAATGGCTCAGAACCCATACAACATTCAAACCTGGGACGGCGATGTCTCTCCCTTCAAGAAATCCGGTGGCAGAGTCTTGCACTACCATGGCACGCAGGACCAACTCATCAGCTCCGACAATTCCAAGTGGTATTACGCTCGTGTCGCCGAGACAATGGGCCTACCACCATCCAGCTTGGACGAGTTTTATCGCTTCTTCCCGATCAGTGGCATGGGTCATTGTGGTGGAGGAGATGGCGCATACGGAATCGGCCAGGGTTTGAGCACGTATGCTGGCACAGATCCTGAGGATAATGTGCTGATGGCCATGGTTCGGTGGGTAGAAGACGGCGTGGCCCCAGAGACTGTTCGAGGTGCGAAATTCGCCAACGGACCTGGCTCTGCGATCGAGTATCGCCGTAAACACTGTCGCTATCCTAGACATAATGTGTTTGTGGGTCCGGGCAACTACACCGATGAGAATGCTTGGAGGTGCGTTTGATTTGGTGGGCGGATTCATGCAAGAGACAAGAACATGTATATATTCCCATGGCTGATGAAACATCAAATCCTCATCAATGCAGTCACTTGATCTGCATCATGAAACACTGGAAGAAATAGCACATAATTTGGGCAGCAAGGAACATCTTGCCTGATACGAGTAGGCATACCTGTACATAGTGATTTTACCGATGTATAGATCCGGTGGGTCTTCAAGAGCCGTTTGCACGATGACGAAATCTTTAAGTAGTCCCGTGAGAAACAATCACGCGGGTCCAGGACTCTTTGCCGCACACATGAAGCCATCGATTCATGATTTGAAGAACAGCCTAGAAATCCTCTCACATACTACTTAACTGATGTGAGTCGTTCTTGGCTTCTGACCTTACGACCGCTTTTGGCTTCCTCAACTCACGTCGTTGCGGCAGAATGGAGGCGGCCGCAAAGGGCAAAATGTCCATCGCAGGGAGCTCCCGAGGCGTTAACCCATCTGTTTATCTACTTGCTTGTATTCCAACGATCTGCCTTGAGCTACAAACCCGTCGAATCTCTTGTGGAACATCTGTCGAGCTACACTCTGCTACTGTGCTGTCAATCCTTGCCAAGTCCATTTTTCTCTACTGAGCAAGCAGCTCTTCTCCTCCAACCTCGAAACCCGCAACGCGATCGCGAACGCGATCAAGTTCCCCGCCGCACGGATCGCCCTCAAGTCCACCAAATCGGCGCTATCGCTTTATCGGCCTTTTTGCCCCTCACATCTCGTTCGCCTTGGAGAGCACTCACTGGTCTTAGGCTACTGGATACCCGGCTTTTCATAATAGCATCAGTTTGCCTCTGACTTGGTGCGCATTTTCAATTCACTTCTTCATCACCCTCTGAGTGATCGGGCAGCACACGATGGCGGACATGGATGAATTTGCGCAAACCCGTGGCTCAGATGATCTCTTCGACGACGAGATCATCCCTGTTTCTGCAGAGGAACAGCAAGTACAAGTGGACACACCACCGGTCCTTGCACCGCCTGAAACTTCACTCTCGTCTCAAGAAGTGAATTCAGTTGAAAAGTCAGCTGAATCTCGAAGTGAGAACACTCAGCGAGGTCGGGGAGACCGAGGACGCGGTCGTGGCCGAGGGCGCGGCCAGGCAGCAGAGCAAAGTCATGATCAGGCTCGGCCAAAAAGGAGTGGGCTGCAAGACTCAAGATGGGCAGACAAGAAGCCGACTGAAAAGGCGCCTCGGCCCAAGGGGCCCAAACCCGCAAAAGAGCCTGCGACGGCTAAGCCACAATCTCAGCCAGTGGCTGCCGATAAACCAGAAGAAGAATCCTCGACTAAGCAAAACGGCCGAAATGATGAGCAGAATGAGAAGACAGAGGAATCAACTGATAACAATGCCGAGGCCCCACGAGTCCCAGCTGTGCGCGGGGACCGCAGTGCTACCGGCGGACTACGGAAGGTCAGTCAATACGCTCTCAATCGAGACCTTGTAGCTTGCGAGGAATCTAACACTTCAATTCAGCCAAAACTCACCGAAGAGGAACTATCAAAACGCATCGCCGCAGCTAAGGAGAATGCGGTCAAGAAAGCGGCCGCTCACGCCCGCGCCGAAGCCGATCACGCTTCATTTCTCGAGCGCGAACAGGTCGCGGCGGAGAAACGACGTCAAGAAGCAGCGAATCGGCGTGTCATGGACAGTGAACGTGAACAGAATCGTCTACGCAAGCTGAAAGCTCAGACCGGTCGTGAATGGGACTCGCAGAAGACCGAGGACGACTTCAATCCGCGTGGTGGTGGTAGTCAGTTCCGCCGTGGTATGCACGGTGGCGTTTCCGGGCACACCCGCCGAGACTTTGACGAACGGCCATCTGAAGATGCGCCCGATGATCTGTTCAGCCCTGGTCGCGGCCGTGGGCGCGGCGGTCGGGGTGGACGTGGCGGTCGCGGAGGGCGTGGCCGCGGTTCTATGAATGGTTCTCGAGGCGATCGAGAGAATACCAAAGAAGCCACCGAAAATTCCCAGGCGAATGTCGCGTCGCCCCCTGCCAACGATGAAGCTGATTTCCCTGCTCTTCCCGCGGGTCAGAAGCCCAAGTCGAGTGTCCCAGCGAAAGAAGGGACCCAGGAAGCTGCACAGAACACGTCGATGGAGAAGCTTGAAGCTTCAATGGCTCCGATGACAGGGACCTGGGCCGATCAGCTTGATGACTAGATTGGAGACATCCTTCAGGAATATGAGGAGAGAGTGGATGGCTAATAGAGCCGTATATGGCTCTTTTATGACTGGACGTCTATTGATGCACTATAATTCCTGTTGCACAAATATCCCGCCATAACGGCCCGTCGCTCGATTTGAATATACTCTCTCGGGCGCATGGTCAATAATGTATGCACGATCTGGCGACCCTGTTGTTACTTTCAAGAAACAAGATACCCTCGGAATATATCAACCCAAATGTTAGTGCACACGACGTCTTCATCTACGTACCTACAATACATTGATAATAGTCCTAGACCCCTCGCTTCTTCCCACCTGATGTCTCGTCGCGAAGTCATACAAACAATCATTGTGCGAATGGAGAGCTACAATAAGACGATTCTTGGTGTAGGTCTGTAAACTCATTGGTGGAAAAGTCCTCTTCGAAAACCTCGCAAAGTCTCACATAAAGATTTCTCAAAGACCCTCAAGAGCAACATCGAAAAGATCCTCAGAAGTACCCTCCCAGAAGCTATCCGCTCTGGATAGATAGTAACCCTTGACACAATATACCACTACAGTATACGCGATACTGTAACTACATCTCAAGGCCTGTAAAGTCCCAACTGATACAAAGTCTTCCATGGCAGTATGCTACCTACTTACTGGGCAGACAAAATGCCGAAAGGGCGGCAAATAAGCTCTCTACCTGATCACAAGCGACTGAGAAACGGCAGACTTTGCGAATGGTCTTCAGCTTACTACTGTTATGGTAAAAGACCAGCTGAGGCACTTTACGCCGCTTCGTGATTGACACTGGTAATATTGAGCTCTCAAAGATTTTGTCACGACTCACTGGACTCGCATGAGTCAACTACGAGGCTTCCTCTGCCCGGATTTGGAGAACAATTGCGTCCAAATTCCATGGGAGTCCTGAGTGAGTATCAGATTAGGCAAGGAGGACCACTGGACACTAGATGATTCTTCACCAAATGAAACGGATAATGTCATTTCCGCTGGCGATTGCGTACTGTTGTTCCCAAGCGGGAGCTGAGGTACGGGGACGGCAACCCTAAATCTTGATCCAACGGCAGCGCGAATCTCCCTTATGTTGGATTGTTCCATTTTTGGTCAAAACATACTACTGCAGTCTATTTCCAGAGTTTTATTTCATGGGCATCGGAGGGTTAGAGTGGGTTCTATGGTGCGCCACGGATCTTCATACGTTAAATGGCAGTGGAGGGAGACAGTCCACTTCCGGATTAATCTTTAAGCGCAGATTGATAAGGGGGACCGGAACGAAGTGGACTTCCTCGTCTTCCTCCACGGTAGCCCAGCTTTTGGCAATGAAGTCTGCAGTCAAATGTACATCAAAGAGACCAACTGACTTTTGACTCCGGTCCTGCATGTCAATCAAGCATCGCGTGGGTGTGTCCACATGGCTTGTTGGGACTCAAGGCCGCGCAAGAGTCTTTGGAACTGCGTTTCATGCCCCTTCCAGCAGGGGTTCGAGTCTCTGATCGTCTCGACCACTATATGGTGACCTACAGTTACAGTAGGCTGAGTCGTCAGGGATGACGACGGCTGGATACCATGAATATCCACACTCCAAGTTGCAAGGCCTCGTATGGCTGGAAATGCGTATCCGACACATGCATCTGTGCTTCCAGAGAGTCCTTCCGATTGATATGGATTCTCGGTCTCTAGGCCTGCTCCGTGGATTTGCCCATCCCCAGTATAAAATGGCCGTGCAACTCTTGCAAGATCGGTATTCACCTATCTCATTTTCATACTTCCAACGATAGTCTCCCCAAACGAGTCAATTATGCGTCCCCAGTCCGGCATCTCGATCACAGCCTTTGCTGCGCTCGTCAGTGCCAAGTCACTCTCTGATGTCTGCATCCTATCCAACGTCAAGTCTGCACTACCTTCCAACGGTACTCTCAATGGCATCAATTTGATTCCATCTTCCTCTACCGCAGCCATCGTATACAATGCTACAGTCGGCGGCATGGTGGGAGCCAGTGCGCCCACCGGCGGTGCCACTTACAACTACTGCAACGTCACGCTGACTTACACCCATCCCGGTAAGGATGATGTGGTCGTGGTGAAGTATGCACTTCCTGACCCGTCTGACTTCAAGACGCGTTTCTACGTCGCGGGTGGAGGTGGCTATTCTTTGAGCTCCGATGCAACGGGTGGTCTGCCCTATGGAGCTGTTGGTGGAGCTTCTTCTGCTGGATATGACGCGCTGAATGGCGTCAGCTACGACGATGTTGTCCTCTATGGCAATGGTTCACTCAACTGGGATGCGACCTACATGTTTGCCTATCAGGCTCTCGGCGAAATGACCAAGTTGGGCAAGTACTTCACCAAGGAGTTCTACAGCCTTGCTGGGACTTCCAAGCTCTACACATATTACGAGGGATGTTCCGATGGTGGCCGTGAGGGAATGAGTCAGATTCAGCGGTACGGTGACGAATACGACGGAGTCATTATCGGCGCTCCGGCTTTCCGCTTTGCTCAACAGCAAGTCAACCACGTTTTCCCTGCTACGGTGGAAAAGACTCTGGGTTACTACCCTCCTCCGTGTGAGCTCTCGAAGATTGTCAATGCTACAATCAAAGCCTGCGATCCTCTTGACGGTCGTACCGACGGCGTCATCTCGCGTTCCGACTTGTGTAAACTTCACTTTGACATGTCCTCCGTTATCGGTCAAGCATACTACTGTGCCGCGGAGACCAGCAGCTCTCTCGGATTCGGCTTCAGTGGCGGTGCGATGGGCGCTGGAAGTCAAACCAGCAACAAGCCAGTTCAGAACGGAACCGTGACGGCTGAGGGTGTGGCGGTTGCTCAGGCCATCATCGACGGGCTTCACAATTCCAAGGGCGAACGCGCCTACCTTTCATGGCAAATTGGCTCGGAGTTCTCCGACGCAGCAACCACATACAACAATGAGACGAAGAAGTGGGAGCTCGACATTCCCTCCACTGGCGGTGAATTCGTCACCAAGTTCGTGGAGTTGGTGGATTTGGACAATCTCTCCTCTCTCGACGGCGTCACCTACGACACCCTCGTTCAATGGATGACGACCGCCCTGTATCGCTTCCTCGACAGTCTCCAGACCACTCTGCCTGATCTGAGCACTTTCCAATCCTCCGGCGGCAAACTGATTCACTACCACGGCGAGTCCGACCCCTCCGTTCCCACAGCATCCTCAGTGCACTACTGGCAATCCGTGCGTTCGATCATGTATCCCACTCTCGACGACCAGCAAGCCCAAGCCCAGCTCGCAGATTGGTACCAGTTCTATCTTGTCCCCGGTGCGGCCCACTGTAATACAAACACCCTCCAGCCCGGACCTTACCCCGAAACCAACATGGAGACCATGATCCACTGGGTCGAGAACGGCGTCAAGCCATCTCGCTTGAACGCCACTGTCTCTTCTGGTGAATACGAGGGCGAGATTCAGATGCTGTGTCAGTGGCCTACTCGTCCACTTTGGCACAACAACTCGACTTTTACTTGTGTCAATGATGCCAAGTCGATTGAGAGCTGGACTTATGAATTTCCGGCCTTCAAGATCCCCGTCTATTAAATTGAGATATGGTGCTTCACTGGGACCGGTCAGGACTTACGGTCTCTACATCATCTAATGGATGAGTCTTCATTGTGCACTCCTGCCTTTTTATGGTTGTGAATTCGCTGCAAACACTATGTTTTCATCTCCTGGGCACCATTCGAATGCGTTTCTGTTTCGGAACTTTGACATGTATGATAGCTTGTGGTTGCCTTGATTGCAATGCGGGTTTTGATAGATGTGTCTTTGCCGTTGTGACCCATTTGTATGACTCTTTCCATCCGTACATACACACAAATTCTCATTACAATTTCAAATTTGGAAGTATCCTCACCTATCTCAATCCATCTTCTTAAGGTCTCCAGGTTGCTTCCTGGCGTTGCGCTGCACGCTTCTATCTAGTCCCCCAAGTCCCAACAGCCGTTGCTGAGGTAAGATCCCATTCGAGGCAACATCGAATCTTGAAGTCTCAGGACGCGAGCGTACGGGCTAGCTGATCTACCGAGAGCTCTTAGACATGAGAATTTAGTGGATTTCTTTTAAGTTTGTATTCGTCTAAATGAGTACATTGATGAATCTAAGATTGTACTTGTTGAATATGTTCGAATCATGATCCGGCAATTTCCCCTGTCAACAGGGGACGAATGCTTTTTGTCAACATGCAAGACTCACGCCTATTTACCCCAACACCAACTTGAAAGCCGCCGCCGAGGAACAGCTCCGCGTATCCACATCATCCGGCTTCTGATAGGCGTCCTTACAGCCAACATCGCCAGCATGACACGTTGCCGACGAACAGCTCGAGTCATCGGTGGTCACTTGAAAACCGGATGAAATGAAGAGCGAGTCTGGAGCCAGATTGATCGAGGACAGATCCCACCAAAGGGTGTCGTCGCCCTTAGTGTACTCAAATTGCAAGACGCTGCTTAAGCTGGTGGTCGTTGCCATTTTGATGGAGATGCCGCCCCCGTCAGAGTTGATGCGCCATTTTTCGGTGTAGGTGCCGCCTGAGGCGGGGAGGGTCTGCATGTCACCACCTGTGTTGGAGATGGACCAGAGGTAGACGGTTTGATTGAGATTGTTGACGATGTTGATGCCGGAGCCGCTGCTACTGCTTGGACCTGTAGTAGTTGGGGTGGCAGATGGGGTCACGGAGGTACTGGACGTGACCGGCACGAGGGTTGCAGTGGCTGTGGGGCGAGTGTGTTGAGGGAGTGCAGTAGCCAGAGAGGCAATGAGACCAAAAAGAGTGATTTTCTTCAGGAAGCCCATGATGATTGAAAGCTTTCAAGGGAATGTGGGTATTCTTCGCTCCGTTGCTGTTGCTGTTGCAGCGAGAAGTAGAGATCACACAAGAGGCTCTGGAATGAGCTAAAGGTGTTGACAGTTGACAGGCTGTTCTTGAATGAATATGAAAAGGGTCCGGCCAGTCTGATCTACAGACGAAGGGTTTCACTCAAAAAGGAGGGGGTCACAAGAAGAGGCACTGCCTTTTGAAGAGATAGTTTGGACAAGCCGTGAATGTGTATCGTAAAAGACAGTAAGTGGACAGGTCAAACGATAGACTTGTGCCGAAAAGTAGAGTATTGGATGGAAGGTGTACACCAGAAAACGAAAGGAAGTACGCGAGATGATGAGGATGAGCAAGACTCCCCCGTCTTTATCATCTCCGGTGGAGAAATGTTCCCCCAGCACGATTGGCTCCTGGCTTGTGACTTGCATGTTCAGCGTAGGCGCCATTCCTGGGACTTCGTAAGGTGGAAAACATGGAGTACAGAGATCAACCATGTCTCGGCCGTCGAGTACCGAAAAAAGACGCACCGGTGATGACTGTTGGGACCACAAAGGTCGTTGTGGAGAGTGACACAAATAGACGGGTCCAGTCTAAAAGGATCGTCACTATGGGCCTCTCTAGAACGTTTGGGGCTTCTTAGCAGCAAATGGATCCGCCTAGCGCCTGCTGTATTCGAGGAAAGGCCCCATAATTTTCAAAATCTCCACGAGAGTGATCAACGGAATTCGCAATTGGATGCATTGCAGTTGATAATCACCACATTAAAGTCGAATAATCAAAAACAAAACGTCAAAGACGATTCGAGATACTGATCTGGTCATGACGAGCCCTCAGCTTGAGAGCAGCGATCGTTTGCTCAATGTTCATTAGGGAATAGGGACCCGTTGAACTCTGAGTCGCTGAGAGGCTGCGACCCCTGAAGACCCAGGTTTCCCACAGTTGAACGCCCCGCTGTAGCTGCCAGCGGGCCGATGGGGGCTGCGGCGGTTACGCAGCAACTTGCGCAGCTTCGCGGAAAAATGGAGTCTGCAGAGGATGGTCAATACTTTATTGGACATGACAATGGATGCATACAGCGACTCTGGTCCCAAAGCGTGCATCGAGCTGCTTGCATTTAAGAGTGAATGAAAACTTCTCCTACCCTTTTCCGGCCAATGGTTTGGGGATCAGGGTCCGACGGTAGGATTTTGACTGCAAGGTCACAATGGCGAAGAACCCCCCTTCGGGAAACAGAATCAGCCCGTCGAGTCCACTTGGAAGCCATAATTCCCACTGGAGTTCAAAATGCAGTCTGACTGGCCAGGTTGAAAGGACGGTCCCAGAATCAAGTTGCGTAAGTGTAGCCCTGATGGACCGTCAGGGCGAGATGAGTGGACAAGGGAACATTCGGGCAGTTCAGGTCCACCTGTTGCCGAAAATAGAAGGTCCATACTGCGATAGTTACTACTTACGACGGCGGTGAGAGTAGTGAGCAACTGAGTACTGCCACCTGCATCGGGCAGCCCAGTGACGTGTGAGTCAGCAAGTTTCTGCCTGATTGAATTGGAGTCCAACAGCGCCCGGCCGGCTCTCACGCCTTGATGCCTGATTTCCCGTCAAGGTCATTCTTGGATGAATGTCTGTTTCAAAAGTGCGAGTGTTGGACTTGAGGACGTGTAGTCCCTGGACATCACTTCTCATACGATCTACATCTACTCGCCGCTCGGGAACGAACATAGTGAATAGATCATATTATGGCATCTACTAATATGAGTAAGATCATACATGTAATAAATATTCTTCGAATGACGTTTGAACAGACCATCAAAAAGGCCCGTGAGACTGTTGTATAAGGTAGTATACATGATCTAATGAGCCGGGGCCCAATAAATACTCCAATATCTACAGCTACAGTAAGTTGAAGACTACCTGGAGGGCGTTGACACTCTAAGCTTACTGCATGGGTATATGGAGTACCATGCCTTCGTTCTGATGATTCTAGGCGCTTCATCGGAGCTCTCCGTGACAGTCCTGGTGACCAACCTTGGAAGTCGGCAAGCTCCTAGTATCAACAGACAGCCTTGGTACTGTAACCAAAAGCTTATCTGAGAGGTGACAAGCCTCTGGTACCTAAAGCAAAAGATCACCTCGAACTGGTCTTGCCTGTCACTGATGCACTAACCATCTTTGGCTTGTCCCAATCTCAGGAAAGACAGAGCGCCCGGTAGAGCTCGGCTATTGATTACCGATGGAGCCGAGTCTGACTCTGGCTGAACGGCCCCTCAATTTACCCCAATGTCTCCTCATGATTCGCGACTAGTAAGGTACTTAATACTCACTAGGAGACTGTCAACACTCAACGAGTCAACACTACTCAAGAGAAGACGGTACCCCCAACCCAATGGAGACGCTGAGTGACTTTCCCCGTGGGGTAAAAGCTTGGAAGAGAAGTGCCCGTCAGCCGATCTGAGGAAAGAAATAAACCTAGAACAATCGTCTGGTTCCTACTTCCTTCGCGAGGAGATGACTGTTAGTAAACTTCGCAAGAGAGAGACTACTGTTCCTGGCATCAAACTATGAATGAGAAAGCCGCATCATGTTCTATCCCAAATAGCAATGAGCGAGTCGACAACGATCGACAGCTGTCCCCTTCGCCGCCGCTAGGACTCCCACCCCCATCAGTTCAGCTCGATGATCACGAATCAATGATCGACGGGGGCACGGTGGCATGGATGAATGTGCTTGCTGGTTTCTGCGTATTTGTGAATTCATGGTGAGTATGTATCTCGATTTGGGGTTTCTTACTCTCATGCTCTCCCATTGAAGCTCGAGACCTGTACTCACACTTCCCAGGGGCGTGTTGACTACCTTTGGCGCCTTTCAAGAATATTATCAGACCGAGTTGCTGACCGATCAGTCGCCTTCGTCCATCTCGTGGGTGGGCAGTGTTCAAGCAACGCTGATCCCTATGGTTGGCATCATCTCGGGTCCGCTGGTCGATTCGGGCCATGTTCGACCTTTGATAACCATGGGCAGTTTTCTCACAGTCTTGGGCTTGATGATGACCAGCATTGCGACGCGGTATTATCAGGTGAGTCTTACTATATTGCCTATTTTTCTCCTCTCGATCACCCTCTTCTCGGTCACTTCTTTCCGACTCTCATGTTCACCATTGATCATCCCATCTCACTAAGAGGTTCTCCCATCAATACAACTAGGTCCTCCTAGCACAAGGATTCTGCGTCGGCATCGGCGGTGGCATCAGCTACATTCCAGCATTGACCATGGTCTCGACCCGCTTCACCACTAGACGGCCGATTGCGATTGGCATCGCCTCGGTAGGATCAAGCGTCGGGGCAGTCGTCTTCCCAGTCATGTTTCGTCAACTACAGCCTCGAATTGGCTTCCCCTGGGCCGTGCGAAGCATCGCATTTGTAGCGCTGCTCACGGGGTTGATTGCCTGTGTGATCCTCTGTCGCCAGCATCCACCCAAGACTCGGGCCCGAAGTCTGATTGACTGGACCGCCTTTGGCGAATGGCCGTTTATGTTGTTGTCCGTGTCCCTGACCTGCGTCATGTTAGCCTACTATGTGCCCATCTTTTATATCGCCTCGTATGCTCGCACTGTGGTCCACACGACGACGAGCCTCTCCTTTTATATGGTCGCCATTGTGAATGGCTCGTCTGTCATTGGACGCATCGTTCCTTATCTCCTGGTTCGCTACGTGAATCCCATGACAATCGTGATTCTCGGCGTGACGGGCTCGGCGATCGCCATGTTCACCTGGGTTGCGGTTTCAGATCTGCCCGGTTTCATTGTGTGGGCGTGCTACTGGGGTAGCTTGAGTGGGATTCTAGTTACCGGGCCGACCTCGATTCTGGCACATCCCGTGTTTTGTCCCGATATCAAGTATATAGGGACCCGTCTCGGCATGATGTGGGGGATCTCATCCTTGGGTTCGCTAGCGGGCACTCCAATCGCCGGGGCACTGGTGAATCTGGAGACGGCCAATTTCTTACATGCCCAGGTCTTTGCAGGATGTGTCATGGTGGGTGCAGTATCGTTGCAATTGTGGCCATTTGTTCAAACACGCCTGTATGATCGGAATCATCGGCCATCGCCAAGCCAGACAGTATGAAGTCCAGATGTTACCGTCCGGAGCTTTTCAACCACCTCCCAATGAACCGCTCTTTAAGGACAGTATACAGGGACACGGTCACCACACTAAGGTGATTCAACCACTCTTATGGGTTGTTCTCAGAAGAGCGCTTTTCGTCATCTCAGTTCACCAAACGGATCTTGTTTCTATGGTTGATCCCGGCGACGCAAGCTTGTGGGGTTCTTCAGTCTGGACGGGGTCTCCGAAGCCAGCATACGATCAAGATATAACAAGCTGTGCCGGTTGTGTCTTGTTCCCCGGTTCAACGATGTCCCGTGCTCCACTCTTCGAGGCAGATGGTTCCATCTGGGCGCTTTTTCAATCTGCATCACTATCTTGACCCTGACAGCAGGGTTCAACTTCGTGATGATACTCTTTTATTGTAGTATCAATGGCAGTCTGTGAAAGTGAATGTCCAGGTTAAAATGTAGTCAAATCGCAGTGAATCGACTTGGCCGGAATCGGAGTTAATCCGGACGAGCGTGTGTCTTCGCTGCCTTTCCCCCAGCACCAGGCGGGCACCAATCAGGATACAGTACCGGTCACCACGACGGAGCAGCTCATGATGACTTCATCGACGGCATTTCAAGAATCCGTGGAGGATGAGGTCAAAGTCACCGATGATGGATCGATGTGCAGCTACAGGATTGGAGTAGGAATGCTAGATATGATTCGATCATGGTCATTAAACTCGCTACTACTACTGACTCCGCTGTCTTCCGTCACCCGGTGATCCAGACAGAATTTATTTGATATTCCTACATTCTCCTGCTGTAACTATACTCCTCCCTTTACGTTACTACTCCCTCTGCGCAATAATCGCTTTCCACAAAACATACAATTCCGAGCACTTTTACCCATTCCATCCCAGACCAGAGCATAAACACACCACCATGTCTGAAGCCGAAGGTCGTTCTCACGCCCGCTCAGCCGTCTCTGGCGGTTCAGGTGTTGAATCTACCCCAGCCAACAACGTCGGTGCAGGCGACAGCACCCGCGATGAAGGCAGCGGTCATGTCGCAGTACGGGATCCTTTCCATCTCTGAATTCATCTCCTTCCCACAGTTCGAATCATCAAGTCATCGCCCCGTATCTAACACGCTTCATCCACAGGCTCCCAATCTGGCTTCCACCAAGGGAAGCTTTCTCGGCCTGACGGACCAAAAGTCTCGAGCAGAGAACAACTTCATGACGCGCGCCGATGAGGCCGCGGGCGTCAAGGGCCCGGTTGCAGGAAACGATGGGACCTGCGCCACGGAGGATCACAGCTTCATGGCCCAGAAGCCCGGAACTTCGGATACCCTTCCGGGTTGGGATGCAGTGAAGAATGTCATTTCGAGGTAAACTCTTTCTTCCTCTCTGTCGCTGGACCTCTCTCGTGTTAGCTGAGGTCTTTTTGAGCCACGTTGAGAAAGGCATGACTGACCTGATATTGCGTGAGATCAGCGCGACTGGATCGTCGTAAGAATGGTTAGAAATGCAGGGTGACATGAATCAGTTGCGGCTTTAACGATTTGTATTGAAGTGTTTTATCATGAATAGACGATATGAGATGAATGTTTGAATCTTCTGACTAGGACGGGAGGCGCTTCGCAAGTTTGTTGCTTCGTGATAACAACAGCATGTAGAATTGACGGCTTGTGGTAGGTATCTACCGAAAGTATTGAGCATGATGACCCTGTCATGCAGACCGGCGAATGTAGGACTATACTGGAGCGATGTGCTATGCTCTAATACCGCGGACGTAACCACGCCAAAATTCATGACAAAAAGTCGTGTGGTTTATAAGTTACAAGGTGATCGCAATTGGCAACGAGTTATTCAACTTTAGTCTGCTTCTTTTGCAGACGATCACGGAGGACAACGACTTTGCTCAATATCCTCCCCTTGAGTGTCCGAGCGCCCAGGGCCCGCGCCTCGTCGACCGAGACAACTCGTCGCACGAGAATGTTGAAAACGGTGCCAAAAGCAAGTGCAATGACGGTGCTCGTGAGAATGATAACGTTGTATGGCATGCTAAAGTCTGGAGTTGGCAGGGGCAGAAGCAAACTGGTCGATCGGATGTAGATGGGGGCGGCATTTGGCGCGCTCAAAATTCGGATCACAGCAGGTGCGACATTGAATCCACGGTTGGCGTCGGGGGGATACTCGGTGTATCTTAAGATTGCTTTCTCAAAGTCGTAGGTCAGGGTAACGGTGGATGCCGCCGGGACGGACAGCGACAGCTCCAGCTGTGTCCCACGCTCACGATCAATAGCGGGCCGATAGAATGTTCCCGTGACAAGCTCTGATGCAGGTATCTCGCGTGATGTACCGTTCGCGTCGGTAATTTTAGCTTGAAGCGTGTGCGTATAAGGCCGCAAATACCACGGGAGCGATTCAAAGATGATAAAGTCGACATGGGCTGTCTTGGAAGGATTGGCGAGAATCATACGCATGCCACCACGCTCCTGGCCATGCCCGACAATGGTCCGTTCCGCGTGAAGAACAGGCTCCTCAAGGGGAACCTCCTGCTGGATATCTTGCTCCTGGACAGACAGGTCAAATGGCTGGGAAGGCGAAAGGGCGTAGCAGCGCGTATATCCATCTGCTTTTCTGTGCTCTACCACGCCCTCGGAGTACGATACTTGGCGCTCATCGGGCACTCGGAGACAGATAGGTTGTTCACTCTCACCCTCCGAGGCAGCCAGAGGGCAAACTCCGTTGAGCGTTCGTCCGAACACTTCCTGCAAGCTCCAAGCTCGCCCGCTTGCCTTCTCAAGCGGGTAACATGTGTCGTCAGAATTGTATGACTTGGAAGGGTCACAGGCCAGTTGATCGTTCGGGACAGCACGCGGAATGGGATTCGCTACTAAGGGTCAGCATATACTTGAGCGACTAGGGAAAGGTGTCTGAGGGTGACTGACAACGAGATCTCTTAGATCGCTCGATGTCCAGAACCATATCTACAGTCTGTTCGATCTGGACGACACAGTCACCGTCCGCAGGGCAAACAGGCCGCGTGTCGACGGACATGCTTTGCCATGCGGCATCGAACAACTTGTGACCGTCGAAAAGGGTCGAAATTCCAGCCTTGCCTTTACAAGGAAGCAATTTCAGGAACGGTGTAAGATTCTCCGTACACACCACTTCTCCAGGGAGGGTTCCATGAAGCAGGTGCAAGTTTTCCAGACGCTTGTGGTCGCCGGTGGGTTCGAATGAGACGACCGGGCGAGTTGTTCGGGTCGAATCAATGAAGTTTAGTGAGGCACAGAACAGGCCGGACAGCGATTGTGTCAAAGTAATCCACTTCGCGAAAGCTCTAAAGTTCTTCATTAGATCTTTGCGGATGTTCGCCAGTCCCAATCGGACGAAGAAGAAGCTCACTCTTCATCATCGGCTGCCTCTATCCACGCCCAAAGTTCGACACCAGTGCCGCCTTCCTTGCTCCCATTCCAAGGCCGAGACCCCCAATTTTCGGCGTCCCAGCGCCCAGTCGTAAATCGGAGGTGAAGCTCCTTTGTCGAAGCATGCTGCAGGATCTGGCCTAGGGCGCGGGGGAAGTATTGGAAATGTTGATTGTCGTAGGACTGCTGGGAGGTATTGCCCCGGAAATTGAAGGAGGCGAGCAAAGATGACTGAGGAAGCGGCTGCAGTAGCAAATGTTCGCTATAGTCTGGTGATGCCGAGGTCGCATGGCTCCATAGCGCAGAGGCCAGCGCCAGTGGGAGAGAAAGGTATGAGGAGACCCTCATCACTTCATACCGGAGCTCGGTCTGCGGCGCCCCTGGTCAGAGAGATACTCGAATAGTCGACTATCCGGGGACGCAGCCTTCGAGTCTGTGGACCTTCTTTGCTATTTCTAGCTCACAGCGTCACCATTAAGAGCCCTGCGAATGTGTGAATAGTTTTGGCATTGGACATCGAGTGTCATCCAGTCAAGGTACCAGGAGCTGTTTGTTGAATAGTCCATCTGGTCCATTGATGAACGCGCCTCACCGCTTTCGGCATGGCCGAACACTGGCGTCGAAAACCCGCAACAGCCAATGTTAGCAATCATTTCTCTTGAATCTGAACAGCTATCCAAGCGTGCTGCCATCGTTTCTATAAAACTCAGAGACATCATTCAGCATGGCGGCGGAGCAGCGAAAGTTGCTGGAACAGCTCATGGGAGGTAAGCGTCATACAAAATCGGAGCTTTTCTGTAGTTGACAATGACTGCGTGCATATTCCCCATTTTCACCAGATGGCGAGCTAACATCTTATCCATGAACAGCTGACCAGCTCATTGGAGGTGGCGCCCAGGGTCGCAATTCCCAGCTGGCGATCACGGACCCGAAGGTCTGCCGGTCCTACCTTGTCGGGACCTGCCCACACGATCTCTTCACTAATACGAAGCAAGATCTTGGACCCTGCCCGAAAGTGCACAGCGAAGGACTGAAAACCGAGTACGAGACGGCTTCACCAGCTGAAAAAGCAAAATGGGGCTTCGAATTCGACTACATGCGCGATATGCAAAAGTACATTGACGATTGTGACCGACGAATTGATACAGCGCAGCGTCGTTTGGAGAAGACGCCGGATGAGATTCGCCAAACCAATAATTTGGTATGTGTCACATTTCAGAAAGTCCACGCGACTCTTACGGATGATACCTGACTCACCTGTTCTTTACTATACAACAGCTCAAGCAAATAGCCGATCTCAACAACACAATCAACACAGGTCTCCTCGAGGTCTCCGTTCTCGGAGAGACAGGATCTGTTGCCATGGCTCTTGGGGAAATGCACAAGGTCCGAACGGCAAAGCAACAAAAAGACAATGCCGAGCGCGATCTGAAGCTGCTCCAGGATACCTCAGGTCCGTCCGGCCACCAGAAGCTCCAAGTGTGTGACGTGTGCGGCGCCTACTTAAGTCGACTCGACAATGATCGACGATTGGCGGATCACTTCTTTGGAAAGATGCACATGGGTTACTCAGACATGCGAAAGGGATACAAGAAGCTTAGCGCTGAACTCAAGGGCCGGGCACCGCCGGTTCGACACCACGAAGAAGAAGATCCCTACAGCGCCGGCGGTCGGTCTGGTGGGCGTGGTCCAAGATATGGCGGCGGCGGCGGTGGAGGAGGATTCCGGCGGCGAGGTGGAAGGTGGTAGGCTGCATTGTCTTACTTCTAGGACCTTCTCATCTTCGGTCTCTTTTCTTTTTGCATAGCGCAGGCGTTTTTGAGTGGTGATGCTTCATGGAGAGAGAGTACACCATGCTATGGAGTCAAGCAAGACCACCATTCCAACTGTATCAGATACCTTAAATGCCAATTCATGGATATTTGAAAGAGCTTGTGCTTACACACCAAATTTCGTGGCTCAGATTATTAGTCAACATTTGATAGAATATGAATATATAGTAGATCAGACCTAGAGGGTTGAAAACTCATACGCCTCGTGTCGCCCATTTAAAAGAAACAGAAAAAGGACAAAGGCATGTCTGCAGCAATGTCGTTGAACCAGGCATTTGGTAATCAAAAGATGTGACCTTGCAAAAGATGTAAGGTTGATATGGATTTCCACATCCCTCTACACATATGTAAAGGAGGGGTAACAATGTAGGTAATTTATTCTAAATATCCAACACCAGTGACCTTGCCAAGTCACAAACACCGTGCACAACTGTACATATCACAAGAGACTGGGGCAAGAAAGAGAAAACTCATATCGTAAAGTACGTCAAGAAGGAATGCGGCCGTTCGCCTGCGTTTCAAACAATGCCTGCATGAGGGCATCATAGCTGGCAGCCGCAGCGGGCTGTTGGGCTAGAATATCACGAACGACGTTCAGCTGTGCAACGTCCACGTTAGGTGCCGTTTTCAAGAGCTGTTGAATAGCAGGTGAGTTGACTTGCGCTCCGAGAACTTGAATAGCTGCGGCGATTCCTTTTAGACCTGCCTGATCTTGAGATTGAGGCTGATACCCAGGGCCTGTTTGTGTAGCAGTTGGTTGGGCGTATGGGGCCGAGCTTGAGACACCTCCAACTGGGGGACTGGGCTGTGGCATTGTGGGCTGGAGTGTTGAATCGTGTGCGGGGGTAGTCGATGATTGCTGCTGAGGTAGAGAAGCAGCAGGCATTGGACTTGCAGAGACAGCAGATTCCTGGCTGGGACGATGGGAAGGGGGCGGTAAAGACGACGAATTCGATTCACCCGTCTTGACAACAAAAACAACCAGAAGCATTCGTTCACTGATACTGTCCTCAAGTTTGTTGTTCTCTAGCAACTCAATGAACTCGGGCTTGGTCGTGGTGCCAGCTTCGATAGGAATGATGTAGGTATCCTTCACTGCCGGTAAGGGATGTTTGCCAATGACACCATAGCGTGATCGATTTTGGAAGTAATCAAAAAGCTTATCAAAACCTGCACGATCTGCTGGCAACTCCGGATAGCTGATGGCAATGACAGAGACGTCTGTAGAGGAACTAAAGCGTAGACCACAAAGGTAGCTGCTGGCAAGCTGAATGTCGATACGACCGTCAACCATCAGACTTGAGGGCGCCAGCTGCGACCATGGAATCCGCCCACTCAACTCTGCACCTCCGACGTGCTTAGCGGTGGAAGAAAACTCCGAGACCGGAATCATTGCCACCTTACCGCGCCAGACGATGGCGTCGTCACCGAAGTCTTTGGGCGAGTAAGGTGGAGATTCAGGCTCTTCGTCGCGGAGCAGCTGGTCAATCTCAGCGTCAGCCTGAACCTTGCGTCCGTGGGGCACAGGTTCATCAATGTTTGCTGTGACTTCCGGGAAGACATGGTCATGATGCACACCAGATGGCGACTGCCCACGGCCGTGATCATTTTGCGACCCATTACCCCTTGGAGTCAGAGGACTGTGATCGTCCCGGGTTGGATCAGCATCCATGGCCCGGCGTGGACCTGCAGAGAAAACAGACTCCGTTGCGGCATTGTGGGTTTCATCCTCCACAAGCTCCTCTCCCTTGTGTGTCCGTCGAATCCGAGGTCCTTCCTCTTGAACAATGATATGTTGACGCTCGGCTTCCCTCTTGATTTCTGCATCCTTCTGCTGCAGCTCTTCGCTGGCCATGTCCTCGGCTTTCATCTGAGCCAAAGATTCTGGAGACAGATTCCCTGAAAGCAGGCGGTCCCTTAGAGAAGGATTCTTCTTGACGTTGAAGAGAATCGTCCGCAGCTGCAGCTTGTATGGTTCCGAAGGTTCGCCCGCATCGCCGCAAAAGCTGCGGTACATAGCATCCTCGATAGCTGAGCCAAGTCGATGCGCAACACTTTCGACCGACTGAATCTTCAGCGACGTTGTCGAGCCTTGCTTTTGAGCCAATTTGATCTGGTCTACAAATAGCTTGACAAGTGCCGTAGCCGCACTCTTACGAGCGGAGTTCTGAAGAGTATCAACCGAAACCTCGGGCAGCGTTTCCATAGGTGACTCTGCTTTAACATTCTGAGCCGCAAGAGATGTAGCTTGAGGGGTGACTCGCTGTTGCTTGACTTGAGGGCCCTGTAGACAGCGATATGTTAGCATTCTGGTACTAGTAGCAGGCGGCGGGCCATTGACACATACAGATTCGGTCTCAACACTGTCCTCAAGCTTGCGCTTTGTAGTGCTTGATCGTCGGGAATCAATGAAATGGCTATTGTTTTCAGGCTCAGCGGATGCAGATGCGTCGATAGCTGCTGCTGGGCCTGGACCGGGGGTGGCAGATGTTCCTGCTCGAGCCGGAGTACTACTCTCAGCCTTTCCTTGGCTCTTCCTGCCGCCCTTTTTACCCTTCTTTCGCTTCGCTTTCTTTTCTTCGGCCTCACGACGACGCTTCTCGGCAACTTCTTCCCAAGGCTTCTCGCCCCTGGCAATCTTTTCCAGAAGAACCTTGTGATTTTCGGGCTTGCATTGCTCACAGTAGTAATGGTCCGGTTCTTGACCCTTGGCAAAGGTCAGACCCATGCAGTCGTTGTGCTGCCAGGCAGAGCATTGATCGCAACAGATCATATCGCGTTCAACGTCCTCTTCCTCCTCATATTCGCCGCAAATACAACGAATGATTTCCTCCTCTTCTCCATCGCTAGGACCTGGTGTGGGCTCGGCGGATGCCTTGCTTGATTTGTCTTTCGGATCTTTCGGGCTTTTGCTCTTGCCTTTCTTCGTGGGTGCATCGGGTAGTTCGAGGTTCTTGTGTTGGCCTTTGGTGGCTCGCCCGGAGCGACGGGGTTCATCTGATTATGTTGTCAGTGTGCTGTTCCATGGCAACTTTGTTATTGTCCTGCAGCAGCCGCTGCCGCTGCCGCCTGTCTCTTGCTTCGCATAGAGACTAGTGATGCGGCCGATTGAAATAGACGATATGTACGATTGCTTACCCGCCATGATATGAGGAGCTGAGAGGCTCAGATTGCCTCTGTGTTCTACAGCACGATGAATCTGCAGTTTTTTGGTCTTGCTCAAGATAGGATATGAAGCGCACTTTGTCCCCAGTGATCTCGATGATTCGACTGCCTACGGGTTCAAACGGGGCTTAAATGATACGCGAGAAAAGACGCTCTAAAGACGTCGATGTCCGGGCCTCTGTATTACTTGATGCCCTGGAGCCAGCCAGATATACTGGCTGCAATATAGCCCTCGTACGAAGACTGCAGTAATGCGCCGGATCTGGAAGATTTGTTTCACCTGGCGCGATGTTGTCTTGCGCGTTGGGCGCGACAACTGCTGGAGCGGGGTCGCGTGACTGGGGAGAGCGCGGGCTTTCAACGATACTGATGAGTAGGTGACAGGTCGTACAGGAAAAAGGATTGCGGTTTGATGTTGGAGGACTTTAGATGTGAACGAGTTGACTTTCGGGGGCAGAGGCGCATTCGAGTAAAGAGATGAGAAGATTGAGTGAGAGAAGGCTGGATCAACGAAGGTTGAAAATGGGTAAGCGGGTTGCTACTGTTAGTTAGTTAACTAGTTAGACTGCTGCGGGAGCGGCTTATGTCAGTACTCACGTGACTACACGGCGGCGACGCGGCGCGGCGTTGCAGGCGCTCAGCTCATAAGCTTCTCCGGAGTTAACATTCCCCACCGGATGGCAAAAATCCACTTTTGACTATTCAACTAAGAACTATCCGCAACTTCATATCCCTGCGACTCACACTTGAGCGGCTTGCCTACCTAACAACATTCTTGCACTACCGACCTGACTGTTCGAGTACTTAAGCGAATCATAATTGACTGTCGCGAACAATGGCGGACGTGCGATCACTACTCCGGAATGAATTAGCTTCCCGCAAGGGCGCGTCACAACCCAATACGACCGGCAACCGTGTCAGCAAGAAGCGAAAGGTCGACCACAGCGATGGCGTCATGCACAAGAAGCTTCGATCCACGGATCTTGAGTCTGTACAAGCTGCGGTCAACGTACAGGCTCGTGCCTCTAATCCGGATGTTACTGTCGGCGAGGACATCATCGAACGTGTCGATGAGGATGAGCCCATCGGCCCTGAGCCTCCTTCTCAGCCGGAAGAAGATGTTTCTATGACTATGAGGACAGAATTTCCGGCCGACTCTGCACGGGAGGTATCGTCACAGGCCGTCGATGAAGATGAATGGGCTGCATTCGAGCGTGAGGTTGTTGCTCCTACAAAGACGAGCAATGTTCCAGCTGTGGTCTCCGCACAAGCCACGATCGTTGCCGCCCCCGTTACGACTGAAGAGCTAGCTATGCAGCAACAGAGCGAGCGAATCTCAAGCACAAGATCTCGAGAGGCGGAGTTGGCAGGTGAACGCGAGGATGCAGCTCGGTTTCTGGAGGAAGAGTTTGATGAGATGGACCAACTTGAAGAACGAGTTCGCAGATTGAAACAACGAAGGGAAGAACTACGACAGAAGCGTATCTCGGAGGAGACTACAGATACTACTGTGGCCGATGACCAGCGGGTAGAGGACAGTGGGAGTGAAGAGTATGAGGATGAAGACTGGGATGATTGGCGATTCAAATAACTCCAGCCTCTTTACGAGAGACGACCTTTAGAAAAGTATCCGATAGAGACTACCTAATACATTGATACCCGACAAATGTACCGCGGAGGGCAATTCCTGGAGCGAGGGTTGAACTGTGGTGTTTTCATTCGTGCTGCACCCGGACATTCATGATAATGTTTACATTATACTCAATTGTGACGGCTTGAATCTTCGACGATATTGCTTGGCTGGGGATCGTCGATTTCCATATAAGCACGGAGACCATCTTTTCGAACTTTCATAGCCTCGGCTATCTCAGCTTCGCCTTCCCGTAGAAGATGCTTGCCGCGAAGAAGCTCGCCACGCTGTCTCCGTTTGTCTTCTTCAACGCGTTTCTCTCGATCCGCAAGTGCTCTCTCCCGCTTCTCTCGTTCTTTTTGTTTTCGATCATGCTCCTCTTGCTGCTCTGCGGTCATTTGTTGCTCCGGCGGGGGCGGCAAAGTTGAAATAAAAGCTTCGATGAGCGGCGTTCGGATCTTTCGAGGAACCGCGATGTATCGAACATCAGTGACGACCATCGACGGGAGGGCCTCGCAGTTCGATAACCTATTGAGAGCGTGCAGTGGCACCGCTTTGAGAAGTGCTGAGAGATCGGTTTTGCGGGTGCTTTCAGGAAGTTTTAGCTTGGCAACATAGTCGCGATATAGCTTTTCGCGATCTTTGTCGGAAAGTTGGGAATTCCTCATATCTGCTTCCTTTCTATACTTCCTCTTGAATTCAGGCCAGTATAGCTTTGGTGTAGCAAATTCCTCGAGGAAAGCCAGGTACTTGATCCGTGGATCCTCTTTCTCCTGTTGCTCCTTTCGAGACTGCACATCCTTAATGCGGTCTTTACTCCATCTTGAGAAGATTTCCCGGCGAGTCCTCATATTTTCAGGAGCAGTGTACCTTGAATCGTCAATGATACGCCCCTCCTCAAGGATTTTCTCCCATGTCGAAAAGGGGTTGACACGATAATCGTCAAGCAAATCACGAAATAAAGCTTCTGCGTCCGCCTCCGTCAGCGGGAGGCCTTCAGCTCCTTCCTCCCAATCATCGCCGGGCTCGCCGTATTCGCCAGGTTCCAGGCCATAATCTTCTCCCATAGCTGCCAATTGATAATCCATATCCTCTTCTGTGAATTCCAGTGGCTGATCTGTTTTGTCGGGGCTCTCAGTGCGAGCGCGCTTTGACACTTGGCCATGCTCCTCGTCGTCGTCCTCATCATCGGTGACCTCGACCTCTTCGTACTCCTCGCTGTCCTGAGCATGTGAAGAGATTTCTTCACGAGTCTCGTTCACAGTTCCCGCACCTGACACATTTGAGGGTTGTAAAGCTTCTGTGGCCCCCTTTTTGGTTTCGTCCGCCTGTTCCAATTCGTCGCCGCGCTCGACTCTCTCCTGCTTCTCGCGCTCTAGCCGGTCGTATTCTACGACGCCCTTCAGGACTTTCTCTGGAAATTTCCAGAAGCTCTCATTTGTCTCTGGGTTGTGTACAAACCGTCGGCCCAACTTGGTCTTCACAAGAACCCATGGCGCACAGTGAGGGATTGCGTGCTTGGACTTTGGCCGATCCCGTGCGTCCCGCTGCCCTCGGTCTTGATATCCCCTCCCACCACGGAATCCGCCACTAGTATTTCCGGGTTTGTGCTGGGTTTGGCTATGTTGCGCGCTGCCGGGGCTAAAACCTGCCGGTCCGTACGGCGTTGACGAGAATGGTGGTAGAGTTTCGGGTGAGTAGAAAGGAAGTGAATGCGTAGATCCGGCGATGGGCAGTACAGGCGCACTTGGTTGGGCACTTTGTGTGCTCTGAGATTCCGGTCTCTTGTAGGTGGATTGCTTTGTGGACGCATTATAGTAGTACAAATGACCTGGAATCAACGTTAGTTAGCTTGTTCAGCGCTCGATCTCGCGGAAGCGGAACTAACCTGAAGGCGCACGATGTTCCGACCACCCTGGAGGCAGAGGCGGTGGCGGATTGTACGTAGATCTCAGCATGATTCTGGGGAGTCGATTGTTCGAAATTTCCTTGCGTTTAAACCACCTTGCGGCCTCGGCATGGAGAGCTCGACGAGCTCGTTGGATGCTTTTTCGGATGAGGTGAGGTGGTCCGAGCTTGGCGGATGACAGAGGACGCGCCAGGGCGGGTTGCCTGGACCTTCCCAGAGCTCAATGTTCCGCCTCCAACTCCGGAACTCTCATCTATCTGCTGCAATTGCTCCATTTCCCAAGCTCTTTGATTCATAGACAACTTTTCGCATCGAGGGCTGTGCAACATGTCTCGACGTTATGACTCACGGGTATGTCCAGCATACTTCGCCTTGGGGATTGCAGCCAGACCGTGGTTTAGCTAACATATGATGACCTGGAAAAGACAACCATCTTCTCCCCAGAGGGTCGGCTCTATCAGGTCGAATACGCCCTAGAGGCTATCTCACATGCTGGCACTGCTCTCGGCATTCTAGCCAAGGACGGCATCGTCCTTGCTGCAGAAAGGAAGGTGACCAGCAAGCTGCTGGAGCAGGATACCTCAGCCGAGAAGCTGTACACCATCAACGAGTACGTCAGGGAACAGTGAAAGCTGTGCCTACCAGGCTCATCATGGGAAATTGTTTGTTTGGATGCTGACTGCAAACTAGTAACATGATCTGCGCGGTCGCTGGAATGAACGCCGATGCCAATATCCTCATCAATTACGCCCGTCAAAACGCCCAGCGCTACCTCCTCACCTACAACGAAGACATTCCCTGCGAACAGCTAGTGCGCAGACTCTGCGATTTGAAGCAAGGATATACTCAACACGGAGGTCTCCGCCCGTTCGGTGTCTCTTTCATCTACGCTGGCTGGGACCATCTGCGACAGTTCCAATTGTACCAGAGCAATCCCAGTGGTAATTATGGCGGGTGGAAGGCCACAAGTGTTGGCGCCAACAATGCCAGTGCGCAAAGTTTGCTCAAGCAAGACTACAAGGAGGACTCTACTTTGCAGGAGGCATGCGCCATGGCTGTCAAAGTCCTCAGCAAGACGATGGACTCGACAAAGCTGAGCAGTGAAAAGAGTAAGCCGGTCACTTTGCTCACATTTTTTGCGAAAGAAAGATTTGCATGCAGCTTCCGCTAACATCTTCTTACACCATTATAGTCGAATTTGCAACCGTTGGGCAGACCAAGGATGGCAAGATTTACCATCACTTGTGGACAGCTGACGAGATCGACGCCCTTTTGAGAGAACAAGGGCTGGCCAAAGTGGATGACGAGCCCGAGGCCGGAGAAATCAAATAGAATGTGCTTCCCTTCTTAGCCTCAAGGATGCAGATATCTGAATGATTGAGATACGTCTTCACCCTCATACTCGGCCCAATATATGCTCCAGTTCATGCGGATGCCATTCTTCTCCTCCTAATGTTAAGGGTCATTACTTTCGAGTAAGGCAGCTCTCTTGGAGCTTGATTTTAATTGAGAGCATCCTCGCGGAAGATTGACTTGGGTCCATTATTGACTGCTTCGTCGCCAAACAGTGAGGCCATAGTCTGATTAATGTAAAGCCAGCTGCCAATTGTGGTAACTCAACTCGCATAGTTGCAGCGGTTAGAGTAAATCAAAAGTACTGATAGGCATACCTTGAACCTTTGAACCTGGCCGTCTCGTACCACGCACTGTCAATCACCGTAGTTCTCAAGTCCGGTCAATATCCGGGGCCTGTGCTTCCTGCCATAACTGCCATTCCACGTGACAAGAGGGGCTTTACACATCGAGCCCGCATATCGACTGCACTTCATCCCTCCGCCAACCGTGCAGCTATGAAACTGAACTCGCTCAAACGAGTGGACAGACATGAGCTACCAACGACATCTTCGCCTGTGGATAGCCGTGCATCAGAATCTCCTAGATCTGGCAACCAGACTGGTTCTTGGGCTAGCGAGCCGCTTACCCCAATGATATGGGCGCTTACGACGTGACTAGCCCTCATCCACCTATTCAGCAACTGATCTAAGCCTGTGGTCTTGAGGAATTTTTCTGCTTCGCAGCTGCTTCGCAGCCAATGAGTGAGGACAAATATTAAATTGTATTAGAAAGGCATGCTTCAAGCTAAAATCAATCACTGCGTCGAATCCAGCCCTGATGTCACAAAATATGCTTGCGCGGTGAAACCTGAAACACTATTTCCAAACTTCCAGCAGATGGAGCCAAATCAAAAAGAGTCAAGACAATCAACCACTCAACAAAACAGCATCAAGTATACAACCAACCCCACAAACGCCGCCCAGTTTTGGTGGACGACGAGGGGACTACCTCAGCAATGTGCGCCGACGGTCCTCGCGCTCGCGTTGCAAGCCCATGATCTCCTTGTCGAGCTCCATGATGAGTTTGTGGCAATGGTCAATCGAGGCTACGAGGTTGGATCCCTCCCTCTTCCATCGCTCCAAACGATCAATTTCGGCGCTTCGTCGACGAAGTTTGGTTTCAATCTTCTCACAGAGCCGACATTTACTATTCGCGTTCTCAGTGAGGTTCACCAATTTCATGCCGCAGGTCTCGCCAGTGCGATATTCATAGTTGCACCGATGGGCAAAACTGGTCCAGCTCCAGTCCCCACACGAGAAACGTCTTTGATTGTAAAAGCACATGTCCTTCGGATGGTCAGTGCCAAGTCAAGTTTTGGTTTTGCCAGGGTCCACGTACTCTCAGACCCAATGCTTTCGTTTCAGGTCTTCAGGGGTCTTTCTTCGATTGGCTTTAGCTTGTTGTCGAAGTTCTCTTGATAGATAAATGGTCTCTTCGACTGGAATTTTTGGAAAGTTCTGCGATAGATCGAAAACAAGAGAGCTTCAAGAGCTGCAGAGCAGATGAAAGACTGTGCAAAAATGACCAATTGACCTGAGCTGACTGCTCGAAACGATGAAACTGAAACACGAGCTGACTGCTTTGAGTATCAAACTGTGAGCTGGTGGTTCCAAGGGCTCTATTTATGCTCTGGTCGACATGATCATTCCACGGCCTTGGCTCTCGTCGATTTTCAAGACCTTCACGAGATCGACATTTGATGCAGTGGGACGGCTCATAGTCCGTGTCTCTCGATCACTTGAAAGAGACCATATCAGCCTGCTTGAGGCCAATCCGGTTGGCTACGATTGATTCCGGACGGGTGGAGAATATGAGGTGCCCAATGTTTCCCGGATGGCAATTGCCAGGGTAAGTGAACACTTCGAGATGCATGCTTCGCTTGGGCATGATGATTCACAATGAAAGTATAGTGGCTCAATGGATGGCTCTTCGCTATCCTTTTCCAAAATCCAGCTCCTGCAGCCATGCTCTCGCTGTTGCATTTCCCCGCTTCCATGTGCATAGAGTTCGCATGGAATGTCATTCCGGTGATCGTGTCGCGTTCTGAACGGAAGACCATGCATATCCTAGCAACTCCTTGTCTTTGCCAGCTGTCGAGTTCAGGCCTTTTCCAGGCCCTATCATCTTCCGGGACACAATCTTGTCCAACTAAGACGACACTTGAAACTGGGGACAGATCAGACAATGCGTGGTAAATTCTCTTTACCTTGATTTCAATTAGGAGCCAACTAGCAAGTCTCGGGCTTTCGCGAGGCATCCGCCATTGGCTTTCTCCCTCAATTTTCAAAGGACCGTAACACCACGAACGGGTCAAGATCAACATCCTTTACCGACAGGAGACATCTGTCCAGTGTTACCGTCAATGTGATTGCCTGCAGATGCATCTCCACATCACTGAGCCATTCGACAAGGCTCCACCATTGCATTAATGCAGCAATGTTTGCGGTCAATTAGTTCAAAGTTCGCATCGACTTTTCAAGTTTACGGGTGTCTCTGTGCTTCTCAGGTGTAGATGCCGAACTGTTTGGTCAAGGACGCCGAGATTGGGGTCTGATCCTCATCCTGCACTGTGCCGTGAGTTTCCGCTCCGTGTTTCTGGGCCAATAGTCCTGCACGCGAGTGGCAATAGTCGCGTCACTGAGGCTCTGTCAATGGTACATTGTACTTGCGAGGATGCCGGTCTCTTCAATTGGGTTTTCTATCGATCACCCGGGAACTGAAAAAGAAAAGTTCCACTTTCGTTCAGCTGACTTGTTCCGCCTGCAAGAACCGAGTCTGGCATCTGTTCATGCTTCCGTGAATGGCCCAAGGATGTTCGTTCATTGTCTGGGGCGCAAATGATAGGATCAGGGAGTCGCGCCAGACTCATCGTCGACGCGAACCTTCACTCTTCCGCATATTGCTCAAGCCCATGCAGCTGCGCAAGAGCTCGGAGACTCTGACGTGGCACTTGCCCTTTGGCTCGATAGTTCGACTGCCTGGGATTGAACATCGGCTGGGAGGATTGTGTATCGAGATGTTCCCGTTACTCTGCGCTCTAGGTGTGATGGACGTGGACTGAGTGGCCAGGTCGGAACCCCTGCCTCTTCGCAGTGACGTGAGAGGTGATTCACGCCAAACCCTAGTTGAGAGGTGAGGTGGCTGCATCGCGCAAACGCCCATTTCTGATCAAACTCCTGTGGAAAACTGATAGAATGCCGACTTCTTCGTGTGATAGACCAGGAGCCACCGCCCCCCGGTGAAGGTTATTACCTAGAAAGGCAATGCCGATCCATGATCAAGATTATCGGGTTTGGATACTTCCATTACAATCGAACTTGGTGAATGACAGCAGCCAGCCTCGATGAGCGTGACGGTGAGTGCAGAGTTCACAGCATCGGAGCAGCGAATCTGAAGCCATCCTCAGGATATCATCGAATCAGCTTCCCAAATTTCCTGCATTTTTGCCTCTTGCCCCGTCTTAAGCACCATCCACAGATGCCTTTCTCCGAATAGGGTGAGTCTGAACTGCTAGTGAGCAAGGATCAGATCCCAAAAATGGTGGTCCATCGCGGCGATTTCCTGCCCAACACGTGAAATTGTTAAAACCGCTCCCCCTCTTTTCGTGTTTCTCCGCCATCAGATCTTTTTCATTCAACGAAAGTTGACCCTTCTCAGGCCTGGCTGACTCAATTCATAACGTTGAAATTGAATTTCTCGACCCGCATACATGCTTCCACTCCGCTGGGCCCTTCTGGTCCCGTGATCTCAAAGCGGACGGAGGCTCCCGTACCTTGTGCGTACAGACGTCTTACCTGCAACAAATCGTGGTCTTCGACCTCAAATTTTGGGACCCAAAGGACCAAAGCCACTGTTGGTGGGTAAGACCCAGACATGCACATTGGCTTGAGCTCCGGAGAAGCATCTCTGGAAGCCGGGCACTGTGCCCAATCATCCTGTCGAGCATGCTCTTTGGTCATCTGCAGCTAATCAGCCACTCCCCACCTCTAGGGGCCAAGTGTGCCCTCGTATTTGCAGGAATGGGTCGTTTCGGCTAGATCAGGCCGAATTGGACACTGCAGTGAATATCTGCCACTGCAGGTCCTACTGCAATGATCATTGGCTGACAGTCACTAGATCATGGCTCTTGAGACTTTTTTTAATCCAAACCACAGACTGCCATACTGGAAATTTCCAGGCCATCGCGTTCTCGAAGCGGCTTTCCTCCCTGCGGTTTGTTTTGCATAACGTCTCCAAGTTGTAGTTACTTGTAAGTCCCATCATTCAATTGCAATCGCGATTCATAGACGACCTTCGTGCCTGGATCTGTCTTATGCACGGTACGCTTGGTATCTCGAGATATATGATGTTCGTATAGAGCAGACTGCCTGCGTTTGTCGTCCTGAACTTCAGTAGAATGAGTCGCTGAGTCTCTGTTGTGAAGTGGTAGCGATTCAGCATTCCCAGGAATGTAACGGAGCAAGCACCTTGGTGCAAAGGATGTCACGCAACAACAAGTCACCGGATATCGATAGACATTCCATGCGCATTGACTCACCAGATGCTGACATTATTGTTCCATACCCTGTAAGCCCGTCACGAGTGGAGTTGGAAGCGCGATCCAGCCCATTGCCTTTACTAAGAGTTTGTCATCTCCTCTACTTTGCGACCAACATGTATTGAGTCCAACGACGGATTGTTTACGTGGCAGTACGTAGGGCCCTGTCTCAGTGAAGAGTCAGTCAGTCCTCTGGGCGTATTTGTCGGATAGTGACACTCCTGTCTATGAGGATGGATGTCTTCAATATGTTGTAGTGATCAAAGGGTCTGTTCGGAAACTTGAAAGCATTTCTTTTCTTCCATTCTCGCCTATACCTTCTCCTACGAAACACATGATGAGAATATGCATGCAAGCACCTGCACTTTGTGCTGTATACTGTATAACTGTATAGTAATCTGAACATCCCGCTCCCGTTCTACTGAAGCTTTGTAGGCGGGGATGAACCAGAACACATTCTCCACATTTACCTCCTTGGGTTGCGTCGGGAATGACGTCACCATGATTGGCTCTTTCTTTTCGACCTTACCTACCGTGACACTCGGAACAAGGCATTCGACACAAAGCTTCGAAAACATCTTCATCTTCTTCTAAGTGAATGACACTTTCTCTTTCCATTGAAAACAATCCACTCGCAGTGATTCGGAGGCCCCCTACAGAGACATCTTCCGCAGCTGAAACATCAAGTCTACGCTCTACACTCTCAGATCGCAATTGATACCAACCCACACGATGATGCGAAAGAGCCTCATCCTGAGCGCTCGACACGGCATTCGGCCAATCCAGTCCGTCCACTCAGCGATTTGGGTGCCCCGCCCTGCTGCCAATTGCCGCACCTTTATTGTTGCGCCTCGCTTGCTCAAGGATAGCCGAGACTTTGACCGCGAGAAGCTTGACCCTCAGAACACCGAAGCGACCAACACTGCGACTCACGACGAGATCGCCAAGCACGACACGGCCTTTGACCCTTCCACCACCAAGCCTGAGAGTGAGCTGGAAGCCACAGAGCAAGAGTCGCGGACGAAGGGCGAAAAGGGAACCCTGAACATGAGTGCTGCCAACAAGGAGGCGAGCAAATGGAGAGGAGCCCAGGAAGGAGGACCTTCGCGCAATGCGGGCAGAGACGCTTCGAGTCAACGCGGGCACCCTAGCAAGGGCAGCAAGATCGACGTGAAGGAAGATGGTACTCATGTGTCTCGTCATTAAGCGTAAGATGGGAGTTTTTCGAAGTATGGGCCGATCAGCATTTCTTTTACTTTTTCTCATGTCTCATGTCATCTAGATATTTTCAAGTCCACGGATCAGTGGCTATAATTGACAAACTTTGTACAATCTTCAAGTGAGTGACTTCCAATAACTGTGGATTGACCGCTGAATCCACAATCATTCCAAGCGAGATTCTTGGGCCGACAAGGGGCCGTCCTGTCAACTGAATCGGAGTATTGCAACGACATTGATAGTCACGGGCACTGGAGTTAAACGTGAATGAAGGCGATCGCTTGTAGACGGCGAGACGCAAGGTGCGAGGGATACAAGGTTACTGATGAAAGTAATACATAGCATTTACAGTATAGCACTCACGTATGTCATTCAAATTCATGATTCTTTTGCAAATGGGTCTATAAACAAACAATCAAAAACGGAGCAGACAGGAAGAGATGCAGCCGCCTGCCTCTCCGTGGTTTTCACGATGGCCAATGAAATGTCTAATACACCTCCAGAACGTAACGTTCCTCATCCTTGAGCTTCTCAATCTCCTTGCGCGTGTCAACCTTCTTGCCAGTGCTCTTGGCCTCAGTAGCGATAGCTTCCTCCAAGACTGCGGTGACATCAGGAACCGGCCAAGTGGGACCGCAAAGGTAGAAGGCGCCCTCCTCGCGAATGTAGGCTTGGATGATCTCGGGCAGAGTCTGACGCATACGGTCCTGGATGTAGATCTTCTCAGGCTGGTCACGAGAGAAGGCCGCTCCCAGAAGAGTGATGACACCAGCAGCCTGGTAAGCCTCCCACTCCTCACCATAGCAGTACTCCTCGCGCTGATGGCGGGAGCCCATGTATAGCAGAACAGAGCCGATCTCCTTACCCTGGGCCTTTTCAAGGGCACGGTGTTGGACAAAGGCTCGGAAAGGTGCAAGACCGGTACCCAGACCAGCCATGATCAAAGGCTGAGTAGACTTGGGAGGCAACTTCATGACACTGGACTTGACGCTGACACTAACGGGCGTGCCAGGCTGAAGGCGGCTCAGATAGCGAGTGGCAAGACCGAAGCGGTCACGGCCCTTAGGATCGGTCCAAGTAACCGCAACAATCATCAAGGCGACGATGTTGGGGCTGACCTTCTGGCACGAAGCAATAGAGTACTCACGACGCTTCAAAGGCCCGACAAGACGCACGATCTCATGGAAGTCCGGGTGAGCAGAGGGGTACTCGAGAAGAACATCGGCAAAGGTGATCGTGTCAACCTCGGCACGACGCTTGAACTCCACAGCGCCATCGGGGCCTCCAAGGGTAAGGAGATCGGTCTTCTCCTTCTGGTCGGTGGCAAATTCAGCGAGAGCCTCATAGAAGCGCTTAGGGGGGACGGCCGAAGATGTCAACGTTCTGCACAAGAGCCTGGTACACAGTGCGGTTCTCGAGCACGGCGGGATCCTCACGGCGAGCCACCTCTACAATAGCATCGGGGTTCAACCCGTAGAACTTGATGAAGTTCATCACGTCCTCGGGGTCGTTCTCGGCATGGACACCCAGAGCCTCTCCGATGTCGTATGTCAAGCCAGAATCACCCAGATCAAACTCGATATGGAAGATGTTGCGGTCATACGTGACAGGGGTGAGGCGCCGGTTCTCCTTGACGTGTACTGTGAAAGTCTTTGTGGACAAGTCAGGGCGAAGAGCGCTTCTAGTGCCAAAGGCTTCCTTGAAGGCAAGGCCACGGGCGGCAGTCTCCCAATCCTTGAGGAGAGTAGGGGGCTCGGACTCCTCCTTATCGAACGCAACAAAGCTATTGGGGTTGATATCCGCGGGCAGCTCGTTCACTTGGCTGGCATCCTCAGACTCCTTCCAGGATGCGGGAATCTCGATTTCCCGCAAGATCTTCTCGAGTTCCTTGCTGACTTTCTCCAACGACTCTGCATTGATGGAGATGGAAGCCAGCTTCTTTATGGCGATACCCTCTTGAGCGGGAAGGGCAACACGGATGAATGCGGCTTGAAGAATCTCGCGCTCCAATGATGAGTCCTCGGCGATAGTTGGGTCGACGACGAAGAGCGAGATGCCTCGCTGGGTCACGGCAGTACGGAAAGCCACGGGCAGCTTCTTCTCGAGATCCTCGTCTTTGACGCCGGGGGCATTAAGAATAAGCTTACCGTTGTCCTTGATGGAGGCAAGGACATCGACGTCGTTGAGGAGAGCAATGTTACCAACATAAGAGACGTCGGCAGTCGCGATGGCGTAAGGAGCGTCGATGATCTTGGCACTCTTGCGGATGTCGACTCGGATAGCTCCACCCTGAATGAGGTTGTCGTTCACTTTGCTGACCGTGACATTGCTGGCAGAATCAGCAGCAAGGGCCTGGCTCAGAGTAACGGAAGCCTCATCAGTGACCGAGGTGTCAACGTCCCAGAAGATATACTCCTGAACAGTAGCAGGGTCCAGAAGCTGCAGAGGAGAGGATCCATTGCTGGCACCGTTGACAGGCAAAATTGGTTTGTCAAAGATGCGCTGGAAGGTGGCAGCAATGCTGACCAGATCCCATCGTTGAGCCCGAGAGTACTTGATCTCCTCGCACACTGCAGTATGTTCACGGTCGGTAGCGAAAGTCAAAGAGGCAAGGACGTCCTCAAACAGCGCAGAGTGCACGCCCTCCTCTTGAACGGATTGCTCGCTGGGAACCTGGCCAAGAACCCCCACAGTTCTGGTGGTCTTGGGAAGCACACGCATGAATTCTTCCTCGATAAAGGGGCGGTACACGCGGACATTGACCACACCAATGGGAATACCGTTCTTGGCGAGTGAGCGTGCAATCTGAGTCGCAAGGGCCGCCTCGACAGTGCCAAATACGACCAATACAGAGACAGGTTCTGCATGGCCGTGGTATTCAAAGGCACTGTAGTCGGTGCCCAGCTCGCCGTTCAAACCCTTCAGGATTTCCAAAAGCTTGCCCTGGGCATCAAGATGGCGGTTCCGAGAGTCATCGAGGGCTTTGCGAACAGCCTCATAGGTGCGGGTCACACCCTCCTTGTCCAAGACATCAATAACACGAGTGGTGTCACGGCCGACCCGGACACCGTCATAGATGTGGATTGTGGGCAAGACGGAGGCCAGCAAGGTGGTGAGAAGTGCCATGTGCTGGGACTCGTGAGCAGAGCCACTGCTGACTAGTCCCAAGCCAAGGTCCTCGGCCAAGGCGAGCGCTGAAACGTAGTCGGAAACGAGGCCCTCATCACTGGTGTAGTCGACGGCGGCAACGTGAGCAGCCACGGGGCTGGCGACGGAGTAGAGCAGAGAGAGCTGCTCCAACGCGGAACGCATGTATGGAAGGGTCGCAGAGGAAGCAACAATTCCCTGGGGAATATGACGTTTCTTCAGGTCGAAGTCCTGAGAGAACAGATAGCCCAGAGCCAGGTTCCCGGCACCTTGGCGAGTTTCCAATGTGTTCACGACAGGAGACTCGCCGTTGGTCTTCGTTTCCTGGGCAGCTGACCATTTGCGCAATGATGCATCGAGATCGAACGTCTCCGGGGAGTATGAGAAGATCTTGTCGCTCAGCAAATACGCCACTTGCTGAATCAATGTCTGGGCAGTTGTATAAGTAGGGCCTGCCAGATCAGACAGAGTAGTTGACTTTGGTACCGCCATGATTTCGACGGTTTTTCTTGTCCGATACTGCTTGAAAAGAAGCAAAAGTCGTACTAATTGACAAGAAAAGAAGTCAACCCACAGAAAAGAATCGCGCAAACGAAGAGGGCCATGAGACTTGGAAATCTGTCAGTCGTATAGTAGTAAACCCCCCAGACTATGTTGCCTAATCAGGACTAGCGGAGAGCACGCAATCACGCAATTTCGTTATCGATAAGTATTGCCGGCATCGGAAGGCGACTTTGTAGCTTATCGATAAGCAATGATGTGATCGGTGCATCCGAGGGGCTTGGCATCGAGGTCGGTACGACCGCCGAATCCCAAGAAGTGCACCCCCGGAACAAACGCATCGAACTCGAGACACTCAGACAGCAAGCTGAGAGGCCAAGGTTCCGTAGTCTGAATTGACTGTTGCTGTGGCTCTCAGGGGCATGATACCTGGTGCAGTAGGCTATATAGGAATCTCACGGGTCCTTTGGACCGATCATCAGGCAAGGCCTTTTGGAGTTTGTATGCATGGTCTTCTTGTATGCTGTTTTGGAGTGTCCTTTGGAATGGTCTTCTGGGATGGCCTTCTCACATCGAACTTTGCATGGTCTTTTTTTTGAATGTAATTCGACGCATCTTCCTCATGATCGTGCTGATAGTGTAATTCTTCTTAGATCAAGCGTATGCCACTATGTGGGTTGATCTAGTATCCTACATGAGAATCTCTTTTCGAGCCTCATGGCCAGGTGGACGATCTGATGGGAAACAATCAACTTCGTACTACTACTGAACTACTAGTAATACTCGAGTTCACGTGATGTACAAGTCCATGCACCGAGGCTCGGTCGGAAAGGCGGCACAAAGTTGGGGAAAGCATGCGGGAATGCGGAGAAGCTCAGCCCTTCGTAGTCCACCTCAGGCCAGGCCGAGTGGAGTACATAACCAAAACATCAGAACATCAACCCAGGGCCTTTGGCTCGAAGAAGTTGATCACTCTCACGACAAGTCACAATTTTGAAAATGGCGGACAATTCTCCCAATCCGGTTCCCTTCTCGGAGCCTCCCTACTTGCGTGGTCTTCCGTCCCCGTATATCACAGACGCACATCGCGAATTCCAGAAGCGATGCCGCAGGTTCATGTGGGAGAATTTGATTCAACATGCCATGGAATGGGAGAAACTGGGTACAGTCCCAGAGCATGTGTTCCATACGTTCTGCAAATACAATATGTTGTTACCGAACATGCCCGCTCCGTTGCCCGTGGACTGGCTCAAAAGATTGGGGATTGATGACATCCTTGGTGTCAAGGTAGAGGATTGGGACTACATCTATACCGGAATCTACTGCGATGAGGTGAGCCGATGATATGAGTTCCAGTGTCCGGGATTGATACACGAGATTCAGTTTCAGGGGCTTACCTCTTAATCGAACACATCATAGCTTAATCGTTCCGGCCTAAGTGGACCTGGAGGATCTCTCAACGCTGGGTTTGCCTTTGGCATCCCGCCCATCGTCAAGTTCGGAAGCAAAGAACTCCAGGAACGATTTTTGCCTGACCTCTTGACTGGCCGAAAGCGCGCATGCATTGCAATCACTGAGCCAGAAGCTGGCAGTGACGTTGCGAACATTGTCACCACTGCCACGAAGAGTGCAGATGGAAAATACTACATCATCAATGGAACCAAGAAATGGTGAGCTTTCCCTCATAATGACAATACGTCGAGCGGAAATTTGTATCTAAAATCTCGCTGTCAAGGATCACAAACGGTATTTGGTCTGACTATGCCACAATGGCTGTACGGACGGGTGGGCCCGGGCCTTCGGGTCTGTCAGTGCTGGTCGTGCCCCTGAAGAATCATCCAGGCGTGACGATGCGACGATTGAAGGTCGCCGGCCAAGTTGCTGGTGGTACCACCTACATTGAGCTTGATGATGTGAAGGTGCCGGTCTCCAATCTCATTGGCAAAGAGGGCCAAGGCATGCGTCTCATCATGACCAACTTCAACCACGAGCGGCTTGTCATTGCCATTGGTGTGACTCGTGCCGCTCGCGTGGCTCTCTCTGCTGCCTTTTCATACTGCCTCAAGCGGGAAGCCTTTGGCAAGACCTTGATGGACCAGCCTGTGGTGCGACATCGCTTGGCCAAAGCAGGTGCTGAGCTGGAGACCATGTCTGCTTGGGTCGAGCAGATCTTGTATCAGCTGTGTCACCTCAGTAAGGAAGAAGGGGATCTGCAACTCGGAGGTCTAACTGCTATGGCCAAGGCCAAGTCCGCGATGGTACTGAATGAATGTGCTCAAGTGGCCGTGCTTCTGTTCGGTGGCAATGGATTCACTCAAGCCGGCCAGGGCGAGCTTGTTGAAGGTAAGTTGTTCGCTGGGCATAATCTTACAGTTCAAGTTTTACATTCATTTCTCGTTCTGTGTACCTGCAGCGCTAACTCGAGATTCTCTCTCACAGCGATCCTGCGGGATGTTCCCGGCGCTCGTATCCCTGGTGGATCCGAGGATGTTTTGCTGGACCTCTCAGTGCGCCAACTGGTCAAGATTTATCAAGCGCAAGAGAAGAAACTGTCACAGTCGTCCAAGATCTGATTTTTAAAATTGATTCATCCTCTATCTCACATCTATTCCTCGTAAGCCATGCGCCTAGGCTCATTTGATAACCGGAGGTTCATCATTTAAATAAATTTGTAATCCAATCGAGCGCGTCTTTCCTGCGAGTCATTTCTCCAAACGCATAAGCCGATGTACCGACTGAATAAAGTGGGCGTGACAACCTGGAAGAACCTGACACACGCGACATGCTTCCTATCCTAAGATTGAAAGGCCTAGAATCGATTTCAGCTGAAAAGTCAAATTTCCCATACTCGTCGTGGAGAGTCCTCGCCTCGGCCGACTGGGGACGGGACATCCTCGGTCGGCAGTGCTGGAGCCAAAGGTTAAAAAAAGGGAATCTAGCCCGGACGGGAGTTGGGGCAAAGCTCAGACCGGAGCTAAATCTTTCGTAGAGAATACTCACCCTTTGTACGTTGAACCTTCTCAACTTGCAAGAGATCGGAGAATTTCGAATCGGAGAAACATGGCAAACGTGGCGCTGATCGGGTGCACAGGCATGGTGGTAAGTCCTCGTGGGAGGTTCTCTCTGCGGCTCTTTGCATCAACAATTTCTTGGTGGTTTCCGCCTCCCCCCAAGATACCCCCCCTCCAAATTATCCCCTCGTGCAACTCACCGTAATACTCTCACTAACTACATAATCAGGGATCCCACATCCTCACCAGCCTGCTCGCTCATCCTGGTGTAACTCGAGTAGACACACTTTCCCGCCGGACGCCCAACGCAGCTTCCAGCGCTCCCCAGTCCAAGCTCACGGCCTTTGTGTCCGACAAGACCGAAACCTGGGCTTCCCAACTATCTGCGTTGTCTCCCACCCCCGACGTCTTCATCTCCTCTTTCGCCACCACCCGGGCCAATGCGGGCGGATTTGAAAATCAGTACAAGATCGAGCATGGCTTGAACATCGAGCTCGCACGGGCTGCCCGTGATGCGGGAGTCAAGGTGTACGTGCTGATCTCGAGCGCAAATGCCAGCAAGGATTCGTCAATTCCCTACACCCGCATGAAGGGTGAGATCGAGGAGGACGTCAAAGCGCTTGGCTTTGATCGCACAGTCATTGTGCGGCCCGGTTTGATCTCGGGTACGCGCGAGGAAAGTCGTCCTCTGGAGGCAGCTGTACGCTTTATCGCCGGATGGGCTGGAAAGCTGCACTCGGGATTGAAGGATGGTTGGGCGCAGGACTCGGATGTCATCGCCCGAGCTGCTGTGAAGGCGGGTCTTAGGGCCCTGGAGGGAGATGTCCCGGCTGGCAGCGAGAAGGTGTGGCGTGTCGACGGCAGCCAGATCATCGCACTGGGAAAAGAGGCCGCTGCCTCACCATGATCCAAGAATGGGGGATGGAGGTCGACGGCAAGATCGATGGTTAGTAACCACAAATGATCCTCTTTCAGCTCCCAGCCTTCGGCAGTTCTTCGCGCGCGCGCACATACACTCTCTCAGCCTTTGGAATCTATAGTTCTATACCTGTCGGAATATTATGTGGTTGATAAAGCCTATCCAAGAGGCTCTTGGTGAGGGAGCTCTTTGAGATATGACGGTCATTGATGAGTAGAGAATATTCATGGAGGTGAATAGCGGTGGACTGTGGACAATTGGATAAGTAGTGCAGGGCCAGCCAGGTAGCCCGGCCCAGGATGTGATGGTATATCCTGGAGTTCAAGGATCCAACACGGCAACCTGAGGACTCTGCATGTGGTCCATCTCCAACAAACATTGACAATCTAGGCTTTGGGAACACACAGGAAATTAATAGAATGGTGAGAATTACCCTATGCGATCAGAGGAGCTATTAAAGGTCGCCACATCTTCATGTACAAACTGGAGAGAAAACCATACAACTAGCAGTGCTCAATTGTGTAGCAGTGTTCGAGCAAACGGGATTTTTATTTATATAACATAAATGCGGGGACCCATCATCCAACTAGCTCGCTTAGCTCAGTTGGTAGAGCGCGTGACTAGTAATCACGAGGTCGCTAGTTCAAATCTGGCAGTGAGCATTTCCTTTTTGCAATTTTGCCAGTCATTCACGTCCAAGATCCTACTACTAGAATCATGAATGTGACCAGCTACTTAATGTCTGCGTTTTCAGAGACTTTCTTTCTTTTTGCAAGTTCTCATTCTGCATCTATGATGTACCGCCTTCTGGGCATATGCCCCAGTGGCGCCAATGCAGACCGACCAGCCATCTGCCAGACTCAATCGAGAAAGGATTGCTCGAGATTTACTACTAGCAAGTCTTCCTATTTGTATCGATGCTCAGTCTGAGTGGGCCTCTTGGATAGAGTGTTGTCATTAAATCATTTGGTGCATGCTCTGGTATAGTACATTCACTCATGCCTGATCCCAAATTCGGACCTTCGTCTTCCCGTAGGCGCCTCCCATCTGTCGTCTCAACTCTAGCGCCTTCCGATAGGGAGGTGCTGTAGGAGGTTGGACCGGATCTAGTGTGACATAGTTGGGTGGTAATGTATATGTCGCATCCGCGTCCCAAGCCGACAGATCACCGCAGGCTATGAATGAAGGGATCCATCGATGATCCGCGGCATACTTGGGTTGAATCCTGCTTGGAGATGGCTGATCCTCCAGCGTTGACGAGTGCAGGTGTTGCACCTTGACAGAATGACCAGCAGTATTTCCCTCTGACGTTAGACCTGTCAGTAGTGATCGAGGATTGGCATCTTCATCAATTTGCTCCTGCACCTCAACAGCGATGTCGCCGTCCTCTGAGAAGGGCTGAGGTGCTGCAGCCCCGCCAAATAGCGGGTTCCTTAGAGCCGCCACACCAACCAGACCATGATCATTGGTGGGAGGAATGAAGCCCTCACAAACAACGAAAGCTTCCAGACTACTTGCACGACTGCTACGAGGTTTCGCGACGCTGACCCGCTCAAAAACCGTACGCAACTGAGCATACAGCAGATCAACGTCGCGGCCTCGGAAGATTTTCGCAACAAACTTGCCGCCTGGTCGCAATACTCCCATGGCAAGGTTCAGCGCGGCATATAGTAGTTGAGACTGAATGTAAATATCCAGGTCATGCAGACCTGTCACGTCCGGGGCCCCATCAGAAATCACCAGATCTACCGGATGGGGTTGCTTGACAGCCACTGGTGGGCTTGATTGTGATTCTGATTGTGATGGCGCCGAGGAAGATTCATATGCCTCAGGGTCTAGGGCTCGCAGAAGAAGTGGGATTGTCGATGGATGGGTAATGTCGGCCTTGAGAGTAGTGATTCCTTCGAGTGGCGCCATAGGCTGTAGATCGATAGAAACAATTTTGACGTTCTCACGCGGTTTCAGTTCAGAAGTCGGGTCGCTTTCTCCAAATGGGATCTCTACCCTCACATCACCCCCTGCCGCTTCGTGGTCGGCGATGTCGAGGAAAAATTTCTCCCTGTGCTTTTTGGCGACCCATGCACGCCGCCCAAAGCTCTCGCCCTTGATCAACACGCGACTAAGGACCTGGCTCCAGCTGCCCGGTGCAGCACAAAGGTCCACAACTCTGGTCACGCGGCCGGGATTTTCATACTCGAAAAGATCAAATTGTTCGTCAATCTGAATCAGCTTGAACGCGGATCGAGCGCGCCAATTTTGCTCTTTGGCCAGGCGATAATAGGCATCGCGCTTATCCTTTGAAGACTTCCCCATCACGATCACAAGACCCGATGCGACCCAGCAGCACTTGGAAGTAAAGAAAGACCGCGCCGCGCTTGTCGGGGCCTCCGTCCCGGAGTAATTTTAAGGTGGGGAGCGTCTCCGATAAGATTTGCAAGGCGGAACATTTCTGCCGCTTTTTTTCCGATGCGACTGGTTGGACCAGCTTTTTCCCAGCTTGTCGATACAACGTTGCAAAGCACATATAGAATTACTCGCTCCTGGAGTCATGGGTCAAAAAAGAGCTCGCGATTCAAAGGGTCAGTTGCCCGAGCTGAAGAAGCGGAAGAAGGCTGCGAAGGCTTCAGCAGTCGAGGGCGATGCTTCCTGGGATGGCGTGGTCGGCATCGACGACTTGAATTGGAAGGAAGTCTCTTTACCAGATCGCCTAGAAGATGCAACTGGATTTCTCGGCCTGGAGGAAATTGATGGCGTGGACATTATCCGAGCTTCAGGAGGCGGAGAAGTCCAATTCAAGGTGCGTTCTAAGCGGTACCGTTTACGGTTGCGAAGCTAACAAGCTATGATGAATAGGCCAAGGAAGGCGCCGGAAGGAAATCAATCTTGAAAAAAACGCAATTCAAGGACGACGGCGAGGAATGGGGTGGCATCAGCGACACCGAATCAAAGGAGCCAGTGGCCAATGCTGCAGACGCCGATGCGAAAACCAAACAATCGCAGAAGAAGAAAAACAAGGAGCTAAAGGCCAAGGATACGAAGGGCAAGGAGGCAAAGCCTACGCAAGCTACTACAACAAAAAATACGAAAATTAAGTCAGGGTTGTCCTTCGCAGCACTGGAAGAGGCGGAGGATGATGACGGCGTTGACGTTTCAGCGTGGGACAAGCTGGGCTTGTCCCCGGAAACCCTCACAAGTCTTTCAAAACTCAAATTCACTTCTCCGACAACCGTGCAGAGCTCCTGTATTCCGGCCATCTTGGACGGTCATGATGTGGTCGGTAAGGCCTCAACAGGTTCCGGTAAAACCCTTGCTTTCGGTATCCCGATTTTCGAGCACTACCTCGAGACGCGAGGCCAATTTGGGGATGAGCAGAAAAGGACCGAGACCAAACCAATGGCTCTGATTCTCTCCCCTACACGAGAGTTGGCACATCAGCTGGCAAAGCACATTGGTGATCTCATCACGAACGCCCCGGACGCCGACGCACGTATCGCCCTCTTGACCGGTGGTCTGTCCATCCATAAACAGCAAAGGCAACTCTCGACCGCCGACATTGTTATCGGGACCCCTGGACGAGTATGGGAAATCCTGAGCACGGGTTCAGGATTGATCCGCAAGATGCAGGACATCAAGTTCCTAGTGGTCGACGAAGCCGATCGTTTGCTCAGCGAGGGACATTTCAAAGAAGTTGAAGAAATATTGGGTGCTCTAGATCGGGTGGAGCAGGGTGACTTCCCGGATATGGACGAGGAGGCGAAGACTGAGGATGAAGAGCCAACTGCTCGTCAGACTCTTGTCTTTTCTGCCACTTTCCACCGTGATCTACAACAGAAGCTGGCCGGCAAGAGCCGTTGGACTGGCGGTGACCTCATGGATAAAAAGGAGTCCATGGAGTATCTGCTCAAGAAACTGAACTTCCGAGAAGAAAAGCCCAAATTCATTGACGTTAACCCGGTGCAGCAAATGGCCTCGGGTCTCAAGGAGGGAATTGTTGAGTGTCCTGCTATGGAGAAGGTATATACAAGTTCCTACGATAACTTCGTACCACTCGTGCTTCCTTACTGACCCAGTGAAAGGATCTATATCTCTACGCCCTTCTTCTGTACTATCCCAAACATCGCACTCTCGTCTTCACGAACTCCATCTCCGCAGTCCGCCGCCTCACGCAATTACTGCAAAATCTTCAGCTTCCAGCCCTCGCTCTTCACTCATCGATGGCACAAAAAGCTCGTCTGCGCTCCGTTGAACGCTTCTCTTCGCCTACCTCGAACCCTAGCTCCATCCTCGTGGCTACGGATGTCGCAGCTCGCGGTTTGGACATCAAGGGTATCGACTGTGTTATTCATTACCACGCGCCTCGTACCGCTGACACATATGTCCATCGATCGGGACGTACTGCTCGTGCGGGCGCTGTCGGTAAGAGTGTGATCATCTGCGCCCCTGAAGAGGTCGTCAGCGTCGCACGTCTTGCCGCCAAAGTTCACACACAAGATGCCAAGAAGGGCCCTGTGAAAAAGCTCCCACTAGAGTCCCTTGACATCGATCGACGCGTGGTCTCCCGTGTCCGTGATCGCATTGAACTTGCTCGGAAGATCACCGACTCGACAATTGCGAAAGAAAAGATATCCTCCGAGGATAATTGGCTCCGCGCAGCAGCCGAGGATCTCGGTGTCGAATACGACAGTGAAGAATTTGATGAATCCAAGGGCAAGGGCCGTGGACGTGGTGGTGGACGTCATCAAAAAGAAAAGGAGGCGGGCAGCATCACCAAGGCGGAATTGGGGGCACTCCGCGCAGAATTGAAACATCAACTTTCGCAGCGGGTGAACATCGGGGTCAGCGAGCGCTATTTGACAGCCGGCCGCATTGATATCGAAGCACTTTTGCGTGGTGAGGGAAATGATTCGTTCCTCGGCCATTTGGATCCTTTGGACTTTTAGATGTACATACTTGATGCACATTCTTCAAATACATTCTCCCTGGCTCTTGAAGTCGACATATCAGTCTACTGACCGAACTCACATTGATTGTGTCTGCTACTGAATTGAACAAAGAGCGTACCTAGTGACTATCTCCGCTAGTCTGCAGTCCGCAGGTGTTCCAATCTGATCCGAGAACGAGCGCCACGTGGGGGCTTATCTTATCTCGCCATCCTATCGGCATGCCGAGACCGCCAGCCTCGACGGTTGCCCGAAAAGCCCGCCGAAACTCGGCTCTTCAAGCCCCACTTGCAAAGGCGAGACTGGAAAAAAAATAAGAGTCCACGAACGAGAGGAAGAAATGGATACCGCAAAAAAGTGCCGAATGATCTCATCGGTGGGGAAGGGAGCATTACCGGCCTGAAGATCTTTTTTCGTTGGGTAGTTGACTTGACACTCAATTTTTGTCTTCGGAGTTGAAAGGCTCTTGTCAAAACACTCGGTCATAATTTCTTATACTTCAAAACTTTCACATAGCCCTTGTCTATCAAGTCGATCATTCTTTTCCTACTATCCCGCGTGTACGGCTAAAGTCAAACTCTGTGCATTAGCGCGGTGACCGAGTATTCGGTAAGTTGTGATGATCTTTTGGGTTTTGAGCATTCGTGACGATTGACTAAATTCCCAATATCCTCTCAATAGTTCCAGAGTCTACCCAACAAAGGTCACTCTTATTTTTGTGGCAATTAACAGCAGCATGTCGACATTTTCACAAATTACGAGGACGCTTATGCGCACCTCCAAAGCACGTTCAGTCAAGTCCACGGTTCTACCATCGGTGCCAATTGCTCGACTTCACCAACAGGGCCCCTCGCGCTCGGCCGTTGTTCATGAACCAGCACTTCCTCAGAGCCAGGGCACAGTGTCATCCCAGGCCGGACAATCGCCTTTTTATACACCAACGCAGACACCCTCAAAGTCGCAGTCGAAAACAGCCAGCTCGGATGAATCCGCCCTCGATGCTCTCATCTCTCAGATGCCACTCGTGCAGTCCCTGCGTCAGTCTCGCAAGACTTACAAGGAATCACGCCCACACCTTTTAATTACGCCCGCGATTCGACAGCACCACTTCGTCGGGGGAAGCCTAGCCGGCAGCGGCAAGCTTACACTAGCGCCGTATATGTGGACTTCATCCAAGAAGTCCGAGTCTGAGTCCGGTTCCGGCAAATCTACTCGCGCCAGCAGCGTCGTGTCCGTGTTCCATATTGGTCGCGATCTATGCGGTCACCCTGGCTTTGTCCATGGCGGTCTGCTCTCAGTGTTATTCGACGAGGTATTCGCGAGATGTGTCTCGGCTGCGTTTCCGAGTGGATTAGGCATGACGGCTAATTTGAACGTTGATTTCCGGAAGCCTGCTTTGCCGGATCGATTGTACGTCTTGCGCGCCCAGACCACCAAGGTTGAAGGGCGAAAGGCCTGGGTCGAGGGAAAGATGACATATGTGCCTTTGGCCTTGAGTCTGCCGGTGAATGACACGAGCATTGCTCAGGGCTGTGACATGTTGAGTGAGGATAACGGAGACGCGGTGATGGTGTCAGAAGCGAGGGCTTTGTTTGTGGAGCCCAAATTTGCCGATGTAAGTCATGGCTGCCGCTCTGGAAGAGGTCATGATTCCAAGAATGGCGACATTTACTAACACGGCGTTCTTGAAGTCAATGGTGTCAGTCTACCGAACCTGATGGGGTCGACGTGAGAGGCACCTTGAACGGGCAATGCCTATCTACCCACAATAGTATTATAATGTATAATGAATCCTTCTTCGATTGAAACAACCACGAGACCTTGAAAATATGAATGCTTTCATTGCTATCTAATATCAGCTCGATGCAGTTGAGGGAAAAACAGAACACGAGGCCCGATCGACGCCGTCTGCCCTGGGACCATGACCTTTAAGGAAGGTACAGCAAATAACTAGGAATAAATGAACCCTTCCTTAACAATGGGGAATTGAATATCAAAGCAGAGGGAAACGTCGCATCATAATATTTCTGTTCTGTCCGGAATATAACGTGGAACAGAACACGGACAAAGGCAGGGTGAACCACTCCTGAAACCAGCGCAGCCGGCGCGGTCGATGGATGGATGAATGGGTAATCGGGTTGCAGAACACGAGGCACGTGAGAGGGAGATGATGAGCCTCGCTGAGTTTGTGACCAGTGAGTTTAGGAAAGGTGGAATGCGCCTTGACCCTCCTTAATGGCAACGGACAATCGCCGCTTAAGAACTTCAAGAGTGCTATAGTCGGGCAACTTGAGATAGTTCACACAAGTCATAACACTGGGGAGGTAATCATCAGGCGTGTACGGAGGTTCGCTTGGTCGGCAGACGACGGTGAAAATCGGAGTGAGACTTTTGAAGCCTGCTCAAAGTACATTAGCTGCTTAAAGTCATGGAAAGGGAAGATGTGAGCTGGGAACGTACCGCCAATAGGGAGTTTGGGACTTCCTGTCACAAATTGAAGGAAATCGCGGCGCTCTTGCGAATTCAAGTCGCACATGGTCTGCAGCAGATTGCGTACACTCTTACTATCCATGTTGAAACCGTGATCGGCCTTGATTGAGTCCATCAGTGTCTCAATGGACCAATCCTCCTCTGCTTGTCCGAAGAGCATGACAAGCTCATTTGGTGTGAATGCACTCAAAGCCGAGAACGGGAAGACTTGAGAGAAACCCGCCCGGAAAGCGTCTACTTGATGACGAACACCGCGACCAAGTGTCATATCGATGACATTCTCCACATATTGATCAACGTTCTCAATGGTGAGTGGGACATTGGACCCATTTGGGATAAGTTCAATGTTGGGGTATCCGGGCAAGGTGAAGTCCAAACTCAGGTCCTCGACTCGTACTCCATCGATCTGGATGTCGCTGACGGCCTGTGCTTTTTGGGCCGTGGACATGGTCTTGTCATTGTAGATTGTCTCCTTAGCCGAAACGAATTGTTTTAGCATCAAAAGGGACTTGGCGAGATCCTCGTCGACACATTTCACCGTACCCAGTGAAGGTGCCACAGAGGAGAGGGTGTCCGCAATTCTGAAAAATGCCGGATTGAAGGAGATATCGATAATTCGCGAGTCAAGCATGGAGCGCGCGACAAACTTTCCCAGGACTTTGAAAACGCCCAGCTGTTTTTTGCCACTTTCCTGAGAGGCCTGCTCTTCACTCATTGGCGCGGGAAACAGACCACGTTTTCCGAAAGCGTAATCAGCCGTTGCGCTGGTGTCAGTCTCCCGCCAGATCTTGAGCTTCTTTCGGGAGAACTCCTTCGAAACGGTGGAGTAGAACTCAAGCGTGGGGCCTAGACCGGTCCCGACTTCTTCGAAATATTCCACCTCGAGCACACTTGGCGAAGACCCGTAGAGCTCCATGACTTTCATAGCAGAGTCCAAAATACGAGAACGCGAAATTCGCACTTTCTGGCGCTGAAGCCGGCCAAGGAATGGTCGATCGTCGCGGCGCGAATCGCGACGACTGTCGTCGGCGCTTTGAGAATTGTGCCATCTCATCATCGCGCGAGAATAACCAAAGGCCGTAGACTGCAAGAAGAGGTGTCGTGTTTCGAACGGGAACAGGAACGAGAACAGACGGCCCAGGTCCTCGCTCCAGCTGGGAAGACAGCTACTCGCCACAATCAAAGGTTCCTCGAGCTGCCTATTCACCTTGGCTGTGAGCTTCGTATTGATGAACTGTGACAATGGCTCGGGGCTGATAGTGACAAGATTTCGTGTATCCACCAAGATGTCATCTATCGTTGCATTCATCTCGTGGAGCACGCGGAGTAAGCGCAGGATTGAAGCGGTTATATCGTCTCTCTTGAGGGACATTGGCATTTCTAGATCATCGTCCTCCGAAGATTTGCCTTGACCGCTGGGCGACAGTGTTGAAGGCTCTGGCGGAGGCGGACCCGGCACACGGCGGTAAGTGACCGTATGAATCGCAGACCATACATTCTTAGTTTTCTCATTGTTATGCTCGCGATTGTGATGCACGGCGCGATAAACAGTCGTGTCGCTGGAGACTGGTTTCCCGTCAACGAAAAACTCAATGTGCCAGTCTTGAGGAACCGAAGCCATGGCCGCAGCGTACGAGGAGAATGGACGACCTGCAGTAGCAATAGATCCATGGCCGGGAGTGAGAGATGACCCTGCGCCAGGGCCTGTAGAGGTGGATTTGGCAGTCGAAGTGGGTTGACTTGGGGTTCCGACTCGAGTACCGTCTTCGTTCCTGGCTGTCACCTTGCCTGACGACCCGACCTCTAAGTTGACAGCTGACGGGTCTTGACCGAGGTCATCTTCCAATTCCTCTTCAAGATCGTCCACAAGAGCATTTTGATCGACGCCCTCTTCCTCGTCCTCATCATCGCTGAGCTGGTGCTCATCGGCGCACTCTAGGGGCTCGTCGTCATGATCATGGTCAACCCCCCTTTCATGAAAGGCATACGTCGTTGTCCCTGAGTAGGATCGAAGGTTTGCTCCTGATGGTCAGCTCTGGCGTCATCTGATTGTCCGCTTGTGGGTGCAGGCCGAGTTGGAAGGCTCCCGCTAGGGGCCCCCTGCACATTTGAGGAAGCAAGGTGATTCCGGGCACTGGCTGCTTGAGCAAGCTGAGACAGAATTGCATCACGGGTCCGCGATGGGCGAGGACGATCCGACATGGCAATACGCGGGTGAAGGAAGTCATCTAGGGACTTGAATGTGGCAATGGCGTGGATAGAGACCATGAGATTTTTGTAGGCGTGAGGAACCTCTGAGCCCTCTTCAGCAAGCAGTTTAAGACGAAGCTGCTTTGACAGCATGTATGCTGCATTGCTGCGAGTATTTTCCAGCGAGTTGTGACTAACAGTAATCACCTCGAAATGCTCAGTCCTACTAAGCAAGTCTTGTAGCTTTCTTATCAGTATGCTGAAAGCAGTAGTCGCAGTCGTCTGGCTTTGAGCTCTCTCGGAGATCGTCGTTCCCATGAAAGCCTGCAGGAAGTCTGCCCTAGCACGCCGGATGGAAACAGGCGATTTTAAATCAGCAAGCACATCGAGAAGAACATCTATGATACCCGAGTTGAGCAGCTCTGAGCTCGTGATGCTTTGCAATGCATCCCCGTCGAAATAGGCGGCAAGCTTTTGAAACAAGGAAAGACTGGCAACTTCGTTGCTGCCCGACTTGTATGAGCCTTGGACCTCGATTGCGAGCGTCCGCATTTCGTCGAGAATCTTCTCAGCCTCCGCCCGCAGAGTCGCACCCTGACCACCCTCATATTGTCGAAGGAATGCCTGGGCATCTCGAATAACGAGGTCTGCAAGCACTGTCTCCGCCTTGGCGACTGAGCGACGGCCGCTGACGGAAGAGCTGTCGGAGTCCGAGCCATCTTCCTGGTCTTCGTCATCATCATCATCGTCCTCATCGAAGTCATCACCGTCCTCATCACCAACCAGATCGGTTTTCCTGACTTCTTGAGCACCTCCAGAAGAGGCGCCTTCGACTTCGCCGTGGCCCATGGAAGCTGGTTGTTCATGAATAGAACTGGCGTTTCCAGGGGCGATCGACAAAGGTGTTTCCGCAATTTTCATGATCTCGGAGATGACTCCCTCTCTGTGGAATTGGTGCTGATAGACATGTTCCAAACGCTGAACCAGAAGTTCGGCACATCGTAAAGCAAGCGAGACGAGTGAGGGATGGTCTTTTTGAGAAAGTATAGACGCCAAGAAAGACGAGTACGGAACCGTACGCAGTGCATCTTCAATCAGAAGGGGCTCCAAAATATGGAGCATTTTCAAGTGTGCAATCAGGACCTTTTGGCGGACATGCAAGTTCACAGTACTGGAATAGGCGTCGGTCAAAGTCGGGAATAGAATGATAGCGAATCGTTTAAGCTCGGATTTGCGACTCTCCAGCAAAGTTCGCCGCTCTTCGGTGGCTTCTGTCGAAAATGACGACTTGAAGCCTATGACAGATAGGCTGTTGTCAAAGTAGGACCTCAGTAAGCCGTCGGTTTTGAAAATTTCCCGTTCGGGAACACCAGGCAGCAATTCGCAGATGACATTCAGGGTCTCAAAGACCTGTTCTCGTGGACGATGGATCAACGCCTGCATCACCAACACACTGTCCATCTTGACACCCGCACTATCCACATCCTGCGGGGGCGAAATTCCAGTCAAAATTTGATAAAGCGTATCCACAACGTCCATCTTCAATAATTCGATCGACAATTGTGGGCTGGCCTTCGCTACGATTGCTAAGACGCGAAGAAATTGAGTGTGAATGTGGGGTCCAATCAAGTTGGTGGTACCGGGAAGTAAGAGACGAAGGACAGCTTTCAGCATCTCGGGACCGATCAACTCCTCCAAGTTGGCCGGCCGGTACTTGAAGCTCTCGACAATACGGGAGACACAGAGACAACCCTGTTCCACGACCTTTGGGTCATTGCTGGAAAGCACATTGAGCAGAATCCCCATCACATCACGAACGACTGGGAAGGAGTCGTGAGAGAGACTACGGCAGCAGTTTGCCGCCGTCGTAACAGCTGTTCTTTGAGTGCTCGTTGGAAAGAAGTCAAGATAAGTCAAGCAGGCTGTGAGACCTCCCTCTCGCACGATCGAGGCGGGAAAGTCGACAGATATCTTCGCTAGAGTCTGGACGCGGTCTGTTAGTCAATTTTCCACACAGAGCTGGATTTCAAGGGGTGCTCATCAGCAACAAAAGACCTACACTGAGAGCCTGTTCAGCCAGATCGATGAATTGGATATCCAGGAGTTTCTGGCACAGAATTGGAACAGCACCGCCATAGACCACATTGGCGACGGAGCCACGCAAAGCCTCCATCAAATTCGCGAGGCACCGACAGGCTAAAAGCATGATTTCAGGGTTTTCCTGGCCGTACTGATCGGGTTGCATTAAGGTGACCAATTCTTTGACGTATGGATCGGGAGAAAACTGCCCAGAGAGGTTATCCTCGTTCGAGACGAGCAACAGGTCTGAAAGCTCTTGCAGAGCGATCAATTGTACGGACGGGTCATCCTTAGCTCTCAGATTACAGAGAATATCACGAAGGCGGCCAGACATGCCAGACATAATACCACTCAGTGCGCGAAGAGTGCTCTGCAGGCCCATTGGTCCGCGACCTCCAAAGAGATTAGAGGAGAAAGGATCCAAGTCCTCTTCATCAAGGGCTGAATGATTTGTGTCGTCATGACTTTCACCTGTTGGTGTTTCTTCAGTCTCGACATGGGCGTCTTCCTCGTCAAGTTCCTCCTCCGCATCTCGCATAATTGTGTCGTGGTCTGACCGAGTGGAGCGCTTCTTAGATCTTCTTGGGGGAGGTGATTGGGTTGCAGCGAGCCGATCTAATAATGGAAGCCTGTCAGAAGAGGCCAAAATCCACGAACGCGACCTAGTTGGCCAGATAAAGAATAAAGAGATCAAAGTAGAGATCGCCGGCTTACCGTTCCTGTTCGACTTTCGCCGTGACGAGGGTGGTGATCCCCCTGACTTCGAATCCTCCGTGGGTCGAGACGATTGTCTATTTTACACCTGTTAGTAATCACTCTTGTGTCCAGGAGACCATACGTCAGGATGGAGGCGTACCCCGGCTGTGACATGGCAGCACGACCGCGTGTTGCGGCAGACCGACGGGGTGCGGGGGCAGTGGAAGCAGCAGATGTGGCAGTGTGTGCACTGGCAGTTTTCTGTCGTTTCGAACGACGAGGTGACGAAGGGGTCGGTGGTAAGTTTGGAGCGTCGGTATGCCGGTCTCGGCGATTGGAAACTTTGCGTTTTCGGGAAGAAGCCGAGCCAGCGGCGGGTGTTGAAGCTGATCTGGAGTCGGCGTCGGCGTCGGGAGGACAGTCTGTAGCAGGTCTCGCAGAGGAGCGAGTTGTTCTGGATGACATGAGAATTAACGAATTGAACTTCCTCGTGTTATTGCGAGTTCCAGTAAGGAGAAAGATCCCCCGTCAGTCCCACGAGTCCCACGAGGAAAACGGGAAGAAATTAGCCGGCTTGTATGCTAGCAATGATGAGGAACGTGAACGAGAAAGATGATGTGACAGAGGTGCGAATGTGGAGGCGAAATTGAATCCCGCGGTCGGAAGCGTGATGCTCGCAGCCGGCTCAGATTCACTCCCACGGATACCGATCGATTCCTCTGGGGCCCGCGGGAAGTTGACGATGACACCTCGGAGGTGCAAAAAGAAACGGATATTGAATGAGGGCACGGGCAAAGGTGAGGTGGTCTGGATGCAGGAAGTGAGGAGGAATGTAGGCGGGTAAGCTACCTCAAAGTGGAAGAGGCGGGAGAAGCTCCTGCGGGGGAAACGGAATAATCCTCGAGAGGGTCCTGACGGTTGACGGAGGGCCTTTGCCTGGCCATAAGTTTACCGAGTCGGAGGATGTTCAGTTCAGGTGGACTTCAATGGAGTACCCGCCATTCGTGCGTTGAATGAGCAGGCGGTCGTGGGTGATGGTGATGGCGATGTGGTAAATGATGATGAGGGGAAAAAGGGTAAAGGTTGGCTGGGCTTGGGCGGGAGTAGGTCAGTTGGATTCGAACGGGGGGGGCGGTCACAACTGGTGCTGACTCGATCGAGGTGAGGTGTTCGAGTCCGAGTCGTCGTATTCACGGCAGTCGTTAATGTGGTCGCCACGAGAATATAGGACGCGACAATGTCTTGATTCAGATGAAAGTTCCAAGTGCTTGCCGTGATGCCATTTGATTGAGCGAGAACGGTGAGATGGATGGGTGATGAAGAGAAGAGGGGAAGAGGAAGAAGGAGAGGTCAAGGGCCCCTTCAGTGCCCGTGATAAAGATGCGGGTAGATTGGATCGGGTCGATTGTCGGGTTCCAGAGGCGGAGCCGGGCAGCCCAGGTTCCGGTGCAACGTCTGCGAAGTTCTGACAGCCAGTGGACAGTTCGAGAAACAGATCAATCTTCCTCTCACGTCTCAAATTTTTGTCGTGGGAAATGCAGCCCTGGACAGTCGGTCACGAGGCTCTGGATGGCAAGTGCCGACACACCTTTCAAATCGGTCAATCAAATTCCGGCTGGGCTGTGTGACTAGTCTCCATGCTGCATGAAATCGGCAGCACGACTGGATAGGCATGCTCGTTAGGCGCAGCCAGACCGAAACATCATAGCTCATGTGCTTCATGGTTGCAACCTCGTTCCAAAGGCTATGCGTGATCTGGCAAGACGAAAGAGAGAAGTAGGTAGTGGGTACACACTTGACACGCGAAAATGCATAGTACTTCACTACTTCTACTTTCTAGTAGTAGCGGCATACGTTAGATAGGTACCTACTAAGCTACCTAGTACCTACTTGAATAACATATAGCTACCTACTAGCTTTTATCGAGCGGCTGCCATTGAAACCCTGGAATCTAGTAAGGTTGTGTGGGTATGGAATCAGATAAGTACCTTATCGACCTGGCAAGTAAGGTTCGTTGTGATAAGGTTAATCTCAAAGTGACGCTAATGCTTTTTAGGTCAGTGATGTATGTAAGTTGAGACTACTACTACTACTACTACTTCCTACCTTGTTCCAAGAGGTAAATTGCGATCCTCATTTTATATACGCAGGCACCGGACATCACTAAATTACTTTGCACTTAATGTACCCAGGTCCTGCCACAGACATCCCGTGCTCTCTTTGATAGCAATCCCATCATTTCCGTCCTTTGCATTGTCGGGAGACCTGTTGAAGGTCATGCTCCGACTCAGCCTCCGAGTATCGCCAGGGCAGTGAGCCAACGGCCCAATTGAAACTACAATTCATGAACCAGTTGGCCTGACTGTGCCGGCACAAACATATACCTTCGTTCTTCACTTACTCCAGAGTCTAACTAGTACTACGACTTAGTATACTTTGTGTGAACCGAGATATGGGAAATCTGAGACGACGACCCTGCCCAGACTCCCTGGATTCCTGGATCATGGAGTCGTTCCTCACCGAGCCGCTGGACTAGGACCTCCATACTACCACAACAAAACAACCCCAAACACCACATCGTTGGAATTAAGCAGTCTCCCAATGCCCTTTCCATGATGAATATTCTCTGGCTGGTTAACGGTAACTCATGTGCTAACATTCCCCCACAGCTCGACATCCAAGACGCCGGTGTTTCTTGGCTTTTCTTCCGTCTAGAGCAGGTCTCTCTGCAAAAAGAAGGTTATGAGATCGTACGAATTAAGAAAGAGAAAGGGAGCGAGGTAAAGGGTCCCTGGTGGAAACAACTTTTGATACACAGCTAGACGTAGGTGATGGCCCTGTCAACGAATGTAATATACCGTTCATCACTTACAGTATACAATCCTAGTCCGTAGCCATTGCTGCTAAACTAACTTCCTCCTCTCACGGTATGCAAAGTACTTGTGAGATTGTCCCAACGTTGTGGAGAGTAGTGTTAGTGCCTAGCCGGTACTGTGTAGTTTGTGCTACGCTTTCTCTACTAGTATAGATCGACTTGAATGATGCTTCGGCCAATGTACCAAGCACCGATTAGTGGTTGTGATCCAGCACGTGGCAGATGGCATCAGTGGCCCACATTGCTCATCTGCAGGTCGAAACTGGACCGAGTGGTCGAGATTTTCTCTACAACTCCTCTTACTGCACGATAATCCCACAGACTGGCACGTAGATCACGTGATGAAACTAGGTTTTAGGTAGCCAAGCTGAGCCCCCACCTGCCCAGATTCCAGACGCCGTTAGGAGGTCATGTGATCCCGACTCCAGTGTGGCATTCTACTACTACTGATCGGGATCGGGCTCAGGCTACATGATCGAGCGATCGGCAGATCACCCGCCTACCCCGTCATAATTCATAAATGTGATGTATGCGCACAGGAGTCTTCGATCGCCCAAAACATTTTGCCAGCGCAGACCTTCCTCCATCTCTCCAGATCCCACTTTACTCGCACTGACAACCAACTTCCGAGACAGATGGGAGTTGTTTCTTCGGTGGAGGATGAGATCAGAGAGATTCTTGGGCTCCCTGGAACGAGTCGACCTGTGGCCTGCACGGTCAATGGAGAAGACATCATTATCCCTCTTCGTGAGGCGTACCCGAAGCCTAGTCAGACCAAGGCTCGATCACTGACATAAGGCTGAGAGTCCTCAAGGTTGGCGAAAGTGCAAGTCCCGATCTTGAGGCGCTCGGTGTACCCTACGCTGCAGGAGACGGGCCACATTGAGGAAGGGAACATGATGGAGAGTGACGGAGTGGCGACGTTGTAAAAGGCAACCTTGCAATATCAGGAACGAGCCATGAGGTACAGCGAGCCTTGATGTAGGAAATAGACTGCCGCAGAACAATAACAGGACCATTGTAGGAGACTCCAGTCCTGTTACCCTGTTCTACAACTTTTCACCGTCTTCGGATACTTTTTCTTAGTACCTTAGTAGTAGCAGACGTCTGGTAGTAGTCGTACTCTCGTGACAGCGAACCTTGATTGGCGGCTTGCTTGACCGAGGCCAGGAGACCTCGGATTGGACTAGTGGGAAGGGGAGTGGGGTCATGTGCCGACTGGAGGTCAAACAAGAAAGTGTGCACGTCGTGGAAAACAGGATTGTTCCCCCATTTGGCGACGGTCGAGAAACCCCCTTCCCGACCGGTCGGGTTTTCGCGTGAAATAAGCACACCCCGTGACCCGGCCAGCACGATGACGAGGCCGCTGGGTGATGTGCATTATACGCTGGTAATTTTCGAGTGTGGAGGGACACATCTACTCCTGTTCAGTTCCACGGTTAGAACTGAGTACAGTAAGTGAGTCTTCGTGGTAAGTTACGAACTACTAGCACTGTGCCCGGGTGCCGTCCCTCGTGACCTGGAATCGACATCGTCCTTAATCTTTATCGTCAATCTTCATTCACTCACAAACCAGAGCTTTGGGTCATCCATTTTGTTCCCCATTGTCTCTACTCAAAGTTCTGCATGCCGAATCACACAAAGTGACGTTCAAACCCGCTGAGCTCTGTCTGGAACGGAGAGCACCGAAGCAGCCATAGTCGAACCTCAATCTAGACCCCCGTCCCCGTCCCACTTGCCGCTCGCAGAGATTCACATGGATCACGACGACAGTGGACTGCTCCCTCATTTCCTCTAGACAAGCCTGCCCCGCGATTTCCTCCGTTGACCGGCTTTTGGCTGGCATTCCTGGTCTGTGAGAGTGAGGAAGAAGAAAAAGCTTCCTTTTGCTGTTTGCCCAACTTATCAGCAGTCCTGGGCAGCCCAATTTGGCGCCATCGTTGACGAAAGACGCTTCGTCACTTCGCCTTGTCCCCCGTCAATCCGGTCCTTTCGATCCTCTTGAAAGCGACCACGGACCATGGAATCCAAACGGAGCGAAGATCATCTGGCTGGTCGTCGGGCTCGTGAAGTGTATCGTTATTTTCGACCGGAACAGACCGACCCATCTCAGGAGAACTCGTCGCCGAGATCCACGTCGAATTCGCCTCCCAGGATACCCCCAGCTAAAGAACGAAGCTCCGTAGAACTTGCACCGTCCTTGGGTCAATCCCCGCTCAAGTCCTCAGCCACATGGGAACCCCTACAACCAATGCCAGAATCGTTGATTCTGGGCGATGATAATGAGACCCTCAATTCCTTCGCACATCTAGCGGCGTTGCGATTGAATGTAGAGCAGGTCTACATCAGGTGAGTGAGATACTCCGAGCACGTTGTTCGCGGAGGTCGATGCTGATCATCTCACCTACAGTGTCTCGGATCGAGACTCTCAATTCATCATCGCGCAATCCGCGCAGACGAAACAGAGCGACAACAGGTATGACATGATTGGGGAAAATTCTCACACGGGCCATGGTATCCTTAATATCGATACGTGGAAAATGTGCAATGCAAGTTTCTCATCTACAAGTGTTTGGTTCAATTGAGCACGCTTCGTATCAAATTCCTCTCGCATGGCGTCTCGTGAGTGCTAACTCGGTGTTGCTCGGCGCGATTTCTAGGATACGATTGCCCTACGTCCTTCCAATCGAGAGCGCGGAGAGTATCACTTCGTGGTCTCCAATGACATGAGCGAGGATGAGCGCTATCGAGAGCTCTCCTTCGTGGCCGGAGAGCCGGGATACCGGTTCTACGCCGGCACGCCGCTGACGACGGAGAGTAATGTCAACATCGGCTGCTTTTTTGTGCTCGATACAAGCGTTCGCTTGGATTTCAATCATACCGAGAAGGAAACAATGGGTCGCATGGGCATGCTGATCATGGACTTCCTCAAGGTGAGCCGCCAAGCTTCGGATGGTCGACACGCGGCCCGCCTGTCACAAGGAATGAATCTCTTTGTCGAGGGACACTCCTCATTCGAGAAAAACTCGTCGGGGCCGGTCTCGCGAAGCTTCGACGGTAGCGACAACTCCCAGGGCAAATCCTCAACATCTCCCTCTGCTGGCACACCTTTCTCTCGGGAAGGCGCAAGCCGATCGCGGTCGCGGAGCAGCGGGGCACAATCTTTAAGCACCGCGGCGGACAGTGTCGACGACCGCGCAATTCCTTCCAGCCTCGATTCCCACATCGCAAATGTGCGCTCAGCTTCTCAGTCGGGAGGCTCGCGACAGCTTCCGGCAAAGCTGTGGACGATCCGCCGAGCGGCGAACTTGATCCGTGAAAGCTTGGAAATATACAATAACAGCGGTGTGATTTTCGTTGAAACCAGTGCCAATTTTGCGCTCGACATCAGTCCTGAAAGTGATTCGTCCCAGTCTTCTTCTACAGAGCCTGCCAAGCCGGCACCTGTTTTAGCACTGTCGACTCCGGAAGTCGCCTTTGGACCAGGTGTTGACTCACAGAATTCCATACCAGCAATGAACTTAGATGAAGAATTTCTTGGAGGCTTGCTGAAACGACATAAGAGAGGGCATATCTGGAACTTCCATCGGGACGGGCAGCTGTCTGGCTCTGATAGTGAGGATTCCACGCAGGGAAGCGATCGACGGGGCCGGGTTGGGAGCCATCCCTCACAATCGTCGCGACGAAAGTCAAATAAGGAAAGGGAGAACACTTGCCTGAATCGCTACTTTCCGGGTGCCACTCAAGTTATATTCGTGCCGTTATGGAACGCGGGTAACTCTCAGTGGTTCGGTGGCTTCTTTTGCTGGACCAACGTTGAACACAAGGTGTTCAGTGCGTCGATTGAGCTCAGCGCTCTGCGCAGCTTTGGATCATCCATAATGGCTGAGTGGAGCCGCATAGAGTCCGTTCTTTCCGACGAGCAGAAAGATGACTTCCTTGGCAGCATATCGTGAGTATTTATCGGTGAATCCAGTCATGATTGACCACGAGCTAATTTCATCTCATTGCAGGCACGAACTACGCAGCCCGCTTCATGGTGTTCTTGCAGCCACAGAGATGTTGAAAGAGACCAAGTTGGATCAGTATCAAACTTCACTGATTGAGACCGTCGAAGCGTGCGGCCGGACGCTTCTCGATACTATGAATCAAGTGCTGGATTTCAGCAAACTTATGGCGCTGGAACGAAAATCGCGTCGCAGGAGGCGACGCAAGGCGGTGTCGCAGGATTTTGAAGGCTCGCATTTGTCTGCTGCGCGGCTGGATCTGTGCACACCAACTGACCTATCCATTGTCGCAGAGGAAGTTGTTGAAGGAGTCTTCCTGGGCCACGTTTACAATCAGAAGTCAGCTACGTCTCTGGATCTTCTCGGCACATCGCTGGTTGCCCCGGAATTTCCTCCCGATTTTCATACGTTCCGATCCGATGTGAAGGTCATTGTTGACATTGCACCGGAAAAGTGGAATTACGACGCACCCCCGGCGCAGTCCGGCGCATCATCATGAATTTGTTCAGTAATGCGCTTAAATACACATCTTCAGGTCATGTCCGCCTGCTCCTGGAGAGCGAAGAGAGGGCCGAGACGTCCTCCAGGATGTTTACTCGCAGAGACGGAAACAAGCAGCGAAACGTCGTCATCACCGTCTCTGACACGGGTAAAGGTATTTCCGAGGACTTCTTGCGGAACAGACTATACACTCCTTTCGCACAAGAGGACAACTTGGCGGTAGGCTCAGGTCTTGGATTGTCGATCGTTCGCAGTCTGATCCAGTCCCTGGGCGGCAGTATTGACATCAAAAGCCGCGTGGGAGAGGGGACGGTCGTGAGAGCAGCCCTTCCGCTGGCACCCATCGAGCCTGATCTTCCTCAAAGTCACCAGAATGAGATCAGACTCTCCGCTCGGCAGGATCAACGCATGCGTGGAATAAATGCTAGGGAGTCTTTTTTCCGCGGTTACGAAGGGCGGACGGTTGCGATCCTTGGGGTAGATCCAAGCAACGCCGCGAGCGATCCAGACTGGGCCGATCTGGCTCGTTACTTCACGGATTGGTATGGGCTTAGCTTGGTTTCTGCGTCTGCGTCTCCGTCTGCGTCTATCGATCTCCTCTTGGCCGACCAGCTTCCCAGCGAGAGCGCCATCCGTGAGACGTCCGCCAGCAGGCACACTGCTTTGCTCATTGTCACTGATCAGCATATGGACCTCGATCCCACGAACGGGCAGCAAGTCGGCGAGATCAGATCGATCAATGTCATCAATCGTCCCTGTGGGCCCCATAAGCTGTGGAGGCATGTCTCGAAATGCCTTGAGGAATTGTTGACCGTGTCGTCGTGCACTGACGCACCCGTCCCCACTCGCAATCACGACACATTTTCCGTGAAGTCTCTCGTCGCCAGCCTTAATCTTCCTGAGCAGCATTCGAAGGACAAGAAGTCCCGTGTGAAGCAAACACATTCTTTTCCCATTCCGTCCGAACCACCGTCGAAAGGGACCGCTGGAACGGATCCAGAGTCGCGAGACGCTCGTATCTTGGTGGTTGAGGACAACAAAGTCAACCTGAACTTGATGATGGCGTACTTGAAAAAGCGGCGGTTTGGAAATCTTGATTCGGCCGAGAATGGCAGCAAAGCTGTTGAGGCGGTGAGGAAGCAGGACGATGACAATTACGATATCATCTTTATGGGTACGCTATTCTTCTTGTTTGTTTCTTTGCCTTTTTTTTTCCACTTTGCTTTCTCGTCTCTTCTTTTTCTTGTTCGTCCTCCACCTGACTAAGGGTTATCGGCTAATCTTGATGGGTGTTGGTGTAGATATCTCCATGCCAGAAATGGACGGCTTTGAAGCCGCACGGGAGATTCGTGCCCTGGAGAAACAGCGTGGACCCGATGCCAAGCCGGCCGTCATCATTGCCTTGACGGGATTGAGCAGTTCGGAGGATGAGACCAAAGCACTTGAGGCGGGTATGGACATGTTCTTGACCAAACCTATCTCCTTCAAGGATGTTGGCAAGCTACTGCAAGAGTGGAAAGAGCAACGCCTTCACCCGGATACCGATTCCTCTGAACGGGATCTATGAATCCACCGTGTATCATACTATTACATTGCGTGTCGCCTTTGTGTTGGATTTTCTTGTTTATGATACCCACACCCAACAGTCATCTGCATGTCTGTCTGTTAGAAATAGCCCTAACTCATTGCACCGTGCAGTTGCACACTCGTGCTTGGCATCCGGCGCCTGGACGTCACCATATAGTGTGCTCCACAATTTGTTTTTTTATCTCTTCTTTGTCCGTTGAATTAGCCGGGAATCTGTGGCCCACTACCCTCCATCATCCAAAGTATACGCCATGCGCTCGTCAATGGTGTAGTTTGAGTCCTGTGTCAACTTTGCCGGATCGGGCGACCGGAGCGGAGAGCACGCCAGAAGGGCTCGCCCGGCTGAGGCTGAGGTATCTTTGAGTCGCGAGGACTGAATCCTGCAGTATGCTCTTGTGCCCACTGCCCAAGTAGCGCCCGTCCCCTTTCGGAGGTACTCTGCGGAAGTGCTACAACACTACTTACCTTCAGGTACCGAAGTAAGCGCGTTCTGGAAATGGGGCTCCTTCACTAAGCAGGCGAATTCAAGTGGCAGTGGGACTCGATTGTCTCACCGAATGGGACTTTACCCTAATGCTGGTCAATGCAACCCTCTTGGCTTGCAGTAGTCTGGAAGAGTCTTATACTCTCCAGTCGGACCGTTGAATTCTTCAACATTTGATTGTGTTTCTCCCTCATCCACTTGCTTCTCTCTCTGAGACAGTTTCTTCCAAACTTTCTGTAGTGCTGACTGCTGACTGCTGACTGCTGACTGCTGAGTCCTGACAGCTCCGGTAGACGTAATATCCTGTAACCGGAAGTATGTATGTAGTATGGTCCAAAATGTACCAAGCGTACTGGATAGTACAGCGGCTCCTACATCACTACAGTAGTCAGATTCTTCCCTTGCGCCATCCACGCCTTTTGGCTCCCTTGAGCGTCTGGCACCTTTTTGCCTCCCCCGTTCTCTTGTTCCCCCTTCGGGCGAGTTTCTTCTTTACTGCGCCAACCGCCCCTCTCCGGTCTGTACTCTCCCCCCCCCCCACTTCCCCAAAAACTGCCTCTCTACCACCCCCCCCCCCCCCCCGTTCTCGCTCTCTCGCTCCCTCGCTTCTCGCTTCTCGCTTTTCGCCTCCGTTCAATAGCTACCGCTCGTGCATCCCTCCCCCAACTCTACGCGGTCGGTGATCGTCTTCCATCACCTTCGCGGGTTCACGTGCCTCCCACCAGATCAATCTCTCGCTCCGACGATTTCTTCAGGATGACCACGGCGACGGAAATGGTCGGCGGGCAGAGCGATGATGTTCATCAGCCGCCCGCGCATATCCCGCCGGCTCCGATGGGCGACTACGTCTTCCCCGAACTACGCCTGAAGCGCAAGATGAACGACCCGGAGAAGACTCCGCTCCTGCTGGTGGCCTGTGGCTCTTTCTCGCCCATCACATATCTCCACCTGCGCATGTTTGAAATGGCCGCCGACTACGTCAAGTTCAGCACCGATTATGAACTCATCGGTGGCTATCTGTCGCCGGTATCAGATGCCTATCGCAAGGCTGGTCTGGCGAGTGCTGAGCACCGGTAGGTTGGACCCGCAATCATGCTCTCACTCCTCTGGGATCTCCGACCGGACGGGCGTGGACTGACGGATCGGACTTGTGCGCTCTAGGGTTGCAATGTGTCAATTGGCTGTCGACCAAACCTCGGACTGGTTGATGGTCGACACCTGGGAACCGAATCAGAAGGAGTACCAACCGACCGCCGTGGTCCTGGACCATTTTGATCACGAGATCAATACCGTTCGGGGAGGCGTGGAGACTGCCGACGGAAGTTGGAAGCCCGTGAGGATCGCGTTGCTGGCGGGCGCCGATCTCATTCACACCATGTCCACTCCCGGCGTGTGGAGTCAAAAGGATCTGGATCACATCCTGGGCAAATACGGCGTAGGTGACTCGCGATGTCTTTATGATGAACACCCCGTCTTGAACGCGCGATCGCTAACCTTCAGTAGTCCTTCATCGTGGAACGAAGCGGAACCGATATCGATGAAGCCCTGGCGAGTTTGCAGCCGTGGAAGGAGAACATTCATGTGATTCAGCAATTGATTCAGAACGACGTGAGCAGCACCAAGATTCGCCTCTTCCTGCGCCGCGAGATGAGTGTTCGCTACCTGATTCCGGTGCCCGTCATCCACTATATCGAACAGCATCATCTCTACGAAGATGATGGCACGTCGAATGAAAAGGGCAAGGAGCGGCAGGACGCTGGTAAGTCAGGGTGATCACCTTTCCTTGACAAAAAGGACCGGATCTCCCAATCTTCGGTCCCCCGATGGCTGCTCCTGTTCCTGTCCCTGTCCCTGTCCCTGTCCCTGTCCCCTGCAACTCCGAGTTTTCCCGCGGCTAGCTCCTCCTTATCCCAGGCGCGTCGCGCCATTCGCCTGGCATCAAGTACCTTTACTGGGCGTCTTTCCTTCCCCGGTCATCGTGCTGGTTCCCACTGGAAGTCTCTTGTGCCGCGTGGACCCATCGCTGGCGGAGGACTGTGAAAACGACAAGCACCTGCGTAAAGCGTTCCAAGTGCCTCGAACGAACCCGTTGCCGGGAGTGTCTTCCTTCCTGCATCGATCATCCGATCCCCTGCGCAGGATGCTATTTGAGACGATGTCATGACTACTGTTGATCTTTCTGGGTGGAGTTTTGTTTCATATCCATACACATTGTTTCATGCGGGCGTCTGGTTCCATTCTGTACCTTGTCGAAATCTGTCTTGAGAATCTTTCCAGACAAGTGGGTTTGATGTCCCGTGAGAACCTTTGTTTCCCTTCTCTGACTGCCTCGTCACGCGGCTGTCAAGCTGACCACGTGCTGTACTCTTTGTCTTCTTGTTTCTACCCTCCCCCTCGTAGTCGGGCCACCGCTTTCCACTGCGGGGTGATTCCGTCTGTACATAGATCCCTCGGCGTCCTTGGACCCCGGCTGTACATATTTGACATAGAAATGTCCAGACTGCTTTCCATGGCTGCCGACTACTTGAGAGGTTGATAGCTTGGTATCGACTGGATCGCACGGCCCAAGAAGTCGGGAGTCTCAGGCCTCGTGACTTTAGACCTTGTCCTATAGCATATCATCCTCACAATAAGTTGTTGACTGACCTCCCCCCCCAACTAGAAGCATCCACCTACAGTAGATCTCCTCCACACAAGTGGATCGAACCATCGATCCTCTCGAAACACGTACGGAATCCTCGATGTCTTTGACGGAAGGGGACAAATGATGACACCATCGCCCGGCCCTCGGCCGCGTGGGGTCCCAACCTTGATGACAGCCCCGATCCGGGCCCCGATCGAATCTTCCCAAGTTCCTCCAGGTCAGATTATCGAACTCCGGCACACACCGACTGTACATATTTCCGGGATCCCCGCGAGGAGAATTCATTGGAAGTCATTGGCATTCCTGCACGGACTCTGGGGAAGTGTGCGGTTGTCCTGGGGGATTTGATTTGCCTGGTTGAAAAGTGTCCCGCATTTGGAATGGATTGGAAGATCCATTGATCGATGGGTCGGCGGGCAGAGTTGCTGTTACCTGGTAGACGGGTTGGGTAGAGAGGCCCATCAATTAAGTGATCGCAGTATCCGAGTGTCTCGGAGATACCTGGTTGAGCTCGGCATTCAGTCGAAGATTACTAATAATAAATCCTGTAATATAGTAACCGATACTGTTTGTGATAAGGTACCTGATAGCACTTGACCTCCAGCTGTTTCCGTTGGAAGACAGTAATGTACTGATGTACTCTCAAGCCTTCATACAGCTTCACCCTCTCCCTCTCCCCATTGCAATGGCTGCATACATGCCATGAAAAATACCTCGAGCCCATCGAGACTCTGCACTGCAGAGTCTGCGGTCTGCAGTCTGCAGTCTGCACAGTGCACAGTGCACAGTGCACGGTGCACGCCCATATCCAGCCCGAATGAGCCGTCACCACTCAACTGGGCGCAAGAGGACGGGGAGAGTCTGCCATGTCCACAATCCGACTCCACGCGTCCCTCTTCCTTGGAACGAGATCTTGCACAACTGCTTCGCCCGTCCGATCGAACCTCTTTTTCTTTTCCGTGGTTATTTTCTGACCACCCCCGACCCAATAAGCAGATTGAACGGTCTCGCTCGAGCGCCAGATGTCCATGGCCCATGCAACGAATCCCTTTCTCCCAATCTTGCGTCGAAATCTGGCATCGAGGCTGGGATCGAGTCAAATCTCGCTGCGATCTCGATTCGACTCCTTGGGCCGGAGGTGGAACTATCCGGCCACTACGTGACTACAGTGACTACACTCTGACTACAGTATTGCAATACTGTCCCTCCGTCTCGGTCCTTCGAGTCTCGACTCACACCTCTGCTGCATCTTGGTTCTGCCTCCCTTCTCACCACGGTCCGGGCCCAGCAGCAAGCTTTTGAGGCCTCCGCGCACCCTGGGACGGGAAGAACTTTATCAACCTACGATAGCACTCACTACTCAGTACTACTGACCAGTGATCAGTGATCACTGATCACCACTGTAGTAGTAAATGACTACTTGAGTAGAGTACTAGTAGCACAGTGAGACTGTGAGTAGCTTGGTCACCACCGAGTACATGCGTAACCTGGTAGTAAAGAGTCAAGATTACAGTGCCAAGTGCAGTACACAGTACACCTCCCATGTCACCCCAACGATCCAGATGGCAAGCTGCAAGCGCATGGCGCATTGAACGGGCGACAGTCGCTCAGCGGCTGAAACGATCGCCCGATCCCGCCGGTTATCTTTGCGTCATTGCAACGGGTCCTGGCTGCAAGGTCGGAGAGGAAAAGTGGACTCGGACCCACGCGCGAAAGGATGAGGACCTAAATAGTAAATACTACTACAGTAACTACCTGGGTAGTTAGTAGACTAGTGACTGTATTTCATGGTTTCATCGATGCTGTTTCCGTGCTTCCCCATTAGGATAGCCTGTGCGGAGGTACATTGGAGAGTACTGGAGTCTGGTAGTACCAGAGTGGTAGAACCTACTACTAGTAGGCACTAGGTAGTAGGCACTAGGTAGTAGGCACTAGGTAGTAGGCACTAAGCAGCAAGCTGTGGAGTGGGCGATGTTGGCTACAAAGATGTCGTCTGCATTCCAACTGCCGGCTCGAGATGACGAGCACTTGAACATTGAATATGTTCATTAGTAGTAGTGAGCGAGTCGCGTTGACCCATACGATCGGGCAGTACAGGACTATGAAAGTCATGATTCTCCCTCAGGAGAGCACCATGGTACCTGCTGCGACTGAACAACTCTGTCTATCTGAGGATGTCCCCCCTCCTAATGTCCTGTCCGTTTCTTATCCATCAGTCGTCAGTCGTACTGGACTCAGCGGACTGCGGGCAGGAGTACTGCAAGTCAGTTAGGTTTGGTGCCAGGTGGGGGGCTAAGGCCGCCTGTATCCGTGAGATCTGGGTCAATGTCCCAGATACCCAGGTCATACCCGTGTCAGGCACTATCCACATGAGTACCCAGTACCTCAACTCACAGCCCGATGGTACTGCTCGATCGGGTCCCGGGGTTCTGGATCTCCGTCGGTCGTCAGGGACGCGATTCACGGCGAGCTCGGGACGAGCTTATCTGGAAATGGCGATGTGATCTCGATAATGGAGAATTTCCCCCCGCGAGGAGGAGGGGGATCATGTCAAGGTGATTAGAAAGCGACCAGCCCACCCTGGTTTTTTTTTCTTCTTCCTCCTCACTCTCTTCTCTCCCGCTCAATTGTCTTTCCCCCTTCCCTTCCATCGCCCTCTGTCTCTGTCCGATCACAGGCAACGAGGCGAGTTCATCTAGTCCTCCCGAGTCTGACACACCCTCTCCCTCAGATAAGGACCATACCGGATAGTTGACATTTCACATTCTATTCGGACTGAAGAACAAAGCACAACTGCGACACCCTCGACTGGACCTCCCCCCTCCCAAACAAGGACAATTAATTCTGAGCCTGTCGGGACTCCCTATTCACCTGTGACATGACGATGGACCCGATAGTGATCCCCCCGCCATGTCCACCTCCCACACGACGCAGCGCCCACTTACTCCGCCGGACTCGGATTCTCACCCTCTGAATTCTGCGTCTTCTTCCTCTTCCTCCTCCCCTTCCTCCTCCTCTTCCTCTTCGTCTTTTTCATCCTCGTCGCCGCTCTTTTCTACTCCCTCGCCCTCCATGGCGCTCAAGGCCGAGGCCACCTCCTCCATCGGCACGGCCCTCCATGTCATGGCGACGGAGCGTGCCGCGCTGCAGCACCTGGAGACCCTCTATCAAACCGATGCGCGCGCCCAGCAGGATCTGGCGCGCGCCGTGGATCTGATTGCGCAAACGATACGCCATGGTGGGAAGCTCGTGGTCTGCGGTGTGGGCAAGAGTGGCAAGATTGCGCGCAAGATCGAGGCCACGATGAATAGCTTGGGCATTTACTGCACCTATTTACATCCCACGGAGGCATTGCATGGAGATTTGGGCATGATTCGACCGGTAAGTGTTGGAGTCTGTGGCTTTGATGCGATTCACAGTGTTCCTTGATTTCCCTACACCCTACTTTGTGTTTCTCATCCTCGTACCACACACATTTTCTCCCCCCCCCCCCCCCCCCCCCCCCGTCCCTCTCCATTTCTCTCTCGGTCTCTTTCCGAAAGCTCTTTGATTCGGGCGGGGACCGCTGGCGGGCGTGTGGCATGGTTGCGGGCCGAGCATGTAGGACCCCGAGAACGAGACCGAGGGTGCAGGTGAAAGTGAAGACGCAAATGCAAATACATTGACGTAAAAGATACAAAATCGGCTAATCACTCTCCTGGTGACGCTCCACAGAATGACACTATGCTCCTCATCTCCTTCTCCGGACGCTCTCCGGAACTTCTCTGTCTTTTACCATATATCCCCACCACAGTCCCCATCATCGCACTCTCCTCGCACACAAATCCCGATGCTTGTCCATTGCTTTCCCTGCATGGACCGCTCGGCACGGGCATCTTGCTCTCCGCGCCGATTCACGAACGAGAGGAGGTGTCCCTGGGTCTGAGCGCGCCCACATCTTCGACGACCGTCGCTCTCTGTCTCGGAGACGCCTTGGCTATTGCCATTGGACGGAAATTACACACCCAACCGGGACGTGGCCCGGCCGAAGTCTTCCGCGGTTATCATCCCGGCGGTGCCATCGGCGCCGCTGCAGGCATCACCGTCGGCACCGGCAGCGCGGCCACCACACCCGCCACACCCTCGACGGCTCCCTCGACCTCCAGCGGGGTGTCGAGCAGCTCTGCTTGTGACTCTCCTTCTTCTTCCATCTCGATGCCTTGGGAGGAGCTCTCCAACGGATCGCCCATTCCACCTCTCACATTGCAATCGCCTCCCGAGCGGACGCTACTCGCCCAGGAATCCTACGTGCCGATCGACCTGATTCCCACCGCATTGCCCCCATACACCCAGTTGCACCCATCGAAGAAACTTCGAATCCTAGACCTCCTCCTCACAGCCATCCAACATCCAACGGCCAAATCATGGGTCTTTCTCTCCAAGGACGAATTAATCCCCCCCCGACGGATCCGTGCGCTACTGTCCAAAACCCCCAATGTCGATCAGCATGTCTCGGATGTGGTGGTCACTGCAGACTCCAGTCCTCAAGGACAGCCCTTGGCGGTGCCGCGCGCGAATTGGTTTGTGGTGGCCGAATCCACCCCGCTGACTGAACTGCAACGTCTCGTCTCCACATCCCGAAATGGACCCGACCCCATTGCGGTCATCGCAGTGGTGAAAGATCTCGCATCTCCTACGAGCTACCTTGGTGTAATGGAGGCTGAAGATCTGTGGACTGGCTGAAACCAAAAGGTGTTTACAATTCACGCACACGCCATCTTTAATTACAACCGAGGAGGAAGAAATAAAGCAGGAGGGAAGGGCTTATGTCGACTGGTAATATGTGGACCATATTCTTTCGACTGTTTCTCTTCCTCTCTCTCTCTCTCTCTCTCTGTCTGTCTGTCTGTATGTGTATGTTCTACAACGTACTTATTGACTAACAAATTCCCCGCTCCTGTACATACCCCCATCTCTCATGCATTGAAATCTGCACAAGAGATTGACGAACTTATGTTGGTTATTTTTGGTTTCTCCTATATGTGTATGTAGCTATATTTACATCTGGGTGGACAGATTGAGCTACATCGCCCACTTTCTGTCCCGAGATTCGTCCGGGCTCTGCATACATACTATTCCCTCGACCTCTTGGAAAATATCAACAATCCTCGATTTCCTCGACAATTTCATCGATCTCTACATCCAAGACAATCTGGACGTCAAGTTAGATCACCTCGTCACCTGCATAGACGCGTGAATTGTGACCATTCGTATGCGCTCGAAAGCACCTGGATGAAATGAAAATACGTCCATACGTCCCTTCCGATACTGGGCGGGCGGATGAATTAAGAGTATAACCCGCAATTGGAAGGCAGATTGAGCGGTTTTCCTCCAGGCTCAAATCAACCTAGTCTATTGTACATTGGATGGTCCCATCATGTCTCGCCATGTAATGGAAACAGAACATTCTTTCCAGAGGGGATTCGGACCTCGCGTCTTTCCACACATCAAGACAGGTCTACTATCCCAAAGCGTCGGGTCCACGGTGTGCATTCGCTCACGGATCGATGGGATGAACGTCACAATTCCAACCCAGCAAAAGCCTTCACGGGGAGGAAAACAAAACCCCCGGGTTTCAAACCCGAGAAATCGGCTTAATACCCTTGTGAATCGCCGCAATACCACCCGTCAAGTTCTCATACCCCTTCCCGGGAATCTCGAATCCAGCCTTCTGAATCATCCCACGGAACTCCTCCTGACTCGGGAACCGCTCAATGCTTTCCACCAAGTACTGGTAACTATCCCGGTCTCCGGCAACAATCTGGCCGATCAAGGGGATCGCGCCGAAATTCCACCTCTTGTACACGGCATCAAAGACCGGATTCTCCACCTTGCTAAACTCCATGCAAGCAAACACGCCGCCGGGCTTGAGCACACGGAAGGCCTCGTTTAGCGCAGCCTGCTTGTCGGTGAAGTTGCGGATACCAAACACCACCGTGTACAGATCGACTGAGTCGGAGGGGATATGCGGCATGTCCTGGGCATTGGCCTGGACAAAGGACAGGCGCGAGGTGTTGTAGTATGGGGTGGCGGTGGAGCGCTTGCGGCCTTCGGCCAGCATTTCGGCGTTGATGTCGCTGATGGTGACGCGGGTCTGCATGTCGTGGTTGATGTTGGTGGCGTGGTCGAGCATGCGGAAGGCGATGTCGCCGGTCCCGCCGGCGATGTCGAGGATGTTCCAGCCTTGGTCTTTGGCGTCGGCCGGTCGATTGGCGACGGGCGTGCCTGGGTTGAGCGAGCGGACGAAGTGGTCTTTCCAGAGACGGTGGATACCCAGAGACATGAGGTCGTTCATGTTATCGTAGGATGAGGCGACGGAACTGAAGACGGCGCCGACTGGATCAGAGGAAAAAGAACAGTAGGAAATCGAGTTAGTCTTCTTCTTCTTCTTCTTCTTCTTCTTCTTCTTCTTCTTCTCCCCAAAGGCTTCGATGGCAGTGGGTGGAACTCTCGATATCCCAAGAGTCTACAGAGACATACCGCGCGATTCCTTCTCTGATTCAGGTACATTGGTAAAGCCAAAGTGTGTCATGCGCTGCTGGTCCGGTTTGGCCTGATCAAAGGCCTGACGAGTGCACGAAAAGCATCGGTAGGGAGAGGTCGGTTGCACCACGCGACGCTTGGCGCTGTAGTGCAGAGCGCGCCAGGCTGACCGGGCGGACATGATGAGATGTGTGTGAGTAAGAGAGAAAGAGAGAGAGAGAGAGAGAGAGTGTGTGTGTGTGTCTAGAAAAGGAAATTTGTCTGGACGGGGAAAACAGTCGTGGCGGAGACAGACGGATTGAGAGGAAAGAGTCCAAAGTTCGGCCGCTCTGGAATTCCTCGGAGTGGAAACTTGGGAGGTCCTCGGCGTGTCGAACCAACTTTCGGGCGGAACCTGCAGCCGATTTTCTGCGGCGCGACTGGGACTCGTTTCTCTTCCACGACCCACTCTGGATCTTTCTGCCAGTCCAGACTGACTTCTGTAAGGGTAAGGGTAAGGTCCAGCTGGGTTCACGGAGTGGACAAAGACTGCCGCAACAACATGGAGATGCGGACTTTGACACATGTACCATGTTGTGACAGGCGACACGTGATTGTTCATTGAATGCATTCCAGTGCCGGAGAGCTGTTGGAATCGTCCATCCGGATTCACAAGGCACACCTGGGATCGAATGGACCAAGTACAACCGGGCTGGATCACGTCGCCCAGAACGACTGGTCCTCCAGCAGTCCAGGAACTTGGAGGATTTCAAATCGGGCAAAGTCGAGTCCGAGTTGAACTTGGTCACTTGCACGCTGATGGCTCAACTTCAAAAGCCGGGCTCTTCTTCCAGTCCTTCGGGTGCGCGGGACCTGATGGTGATGGGCTTGTTGTGGATGAGGAGGGGAGTTTGTTCCATTGTGATCCCAGTCTGGGTTCCGTCTTTGTGGTCGATTCCGAGGGGGTGCCCAAGGCTCGAATTGTTACTGCGTCGGAGGGAGGGAAGAATTGGACAAGTTGTACGTATGGAGGTGAAGATGGAAACAAAAACAACAGACAAACATGAGTGGTGATGATAGTCCAGGGCTAATTCTTCATGCTCATCAGGTAATTCAGGTAATCATACAGGTAGTTCACAGCCGCCATCGCGCTCGCCTCTTGCGCCCGCGTCGTAGCCGCTCCAATATGTGGTGTGCTGACAACATTCAGATTCTCCCACAGGGCACTATACTGCTCAAAGGTGGGAGGCTCTTGCTCATGACAGTCCAGGCCCGCACCCCAGAGATGACCTTCGGCCAGTGCCTTGGTGAGATCAGCCTCGTTCACGATTCCTCATTTCTTGCGTCCAGAGCTATGTTGATCGCGTGGTATCGGCGTGGAAAAACACATTGCTCAGTTTGCGCGGAGACCTGACACACCACACATTTGACATCCCTTGGCTCTTGTGGAAGTTACCCACAAGAATCCACTTATGTGCAGCATATTCGTAGTGCATGAGCGCCAAGTCTATCGAATTGTCTTGAAACGAAGCTTCATTGACATGGCCGAAGTGAAAGGCAAAATTGACACCGTCGCGTGGCTAGGAAGTGATAAAGAATCAAGCCTCCGCCTCGGACAATTGATGGTCTGGTTGAAACCCATCCGTCGTCAATCTTCTCAAAGCTACGACTCATTAGTCATCAGACTGCCACACTGTCTTGACGATGCGTGCACACAGGCCTCACTGGTCTCCGACCTGGACCAGGCGTTCTTCAGCAACAATACTCTCGAGCAATCGATCGACATCTCTCCCCTCGTCGGCTTTCAGAGAGATTCTCGCCTTGAAGCATTGAATTGCTGGTGCCAACACCTCAAGGGAAGCACTTCCAACCCAATTATGACCAGATTGTGGGTCAAATTGATGTCGTCTTTGGCGACTTGAGCAGCGTACAAATGCTTGATTATCCGGGAATCGGGTCCATGGATGTTGTTTGTGTGTTGTGCGTGCATCTACAGTACCGATGCGGATCAAGGTGGACGTGTCATGGACGATCCTCAATCTTCCAAAAAGGGTTCAAGATCAGCAGCTTGCAGGATATCTCTCCATGAAAACGAGCTCTTCTTTCATTGATTCCTAGATTTTGTGAAATTTCCAAAAGCTTCTTCAACATCGCGTAAATTAAGTATCTCTATCAAGTGTCAATAATATAAGTTCGCAGTCCGTGGGAGGCGCAAGAAGCACAAGGAAGAGGCAACCGAAACGCCGACGCTAAAGTCCTATCAATAAATGGATGATGAGTAATGTATATGCTTCATGCAGTCAGAACAATAGCAATAGAATGTGCAGTCAATCACGCCAGAAAGTAAATGGCAGCCTTACCGTTTGCCTTCTCAAATGCCAAGGGTAAGAAAGGTTCGGAATGTGAATTGTCCAACGGCCATGGCCAGTCAGTCAATAACTCCGGCGGCAACCGAAACTGCATCATCGAGTGGCTCACACTCGTACTGGCAGGCATCGAGGGGTACACAGTGCGAGTATACATGTCTGGTGATACCATTGATTCTGCTTTGACACTTCTCTGTGGGTTATTGACGGCATCGTTGGAAGCAGGAGGCGGTGCCGCTGAAGGATTTACGAGACGAGAAGTACGCATGTAGCCGTCAATGCGATCAACCTGCGCGCGAAGTCGTTGACTTGTACCAGCTGAGCTGTGCAAGTTGCTGTCAAGGCGATGAAGCAGATCTGCCATCTCGAGCCTGCCCGCAGGGAAAGTTAAATATTTGAAATTTGAAAGCTCAAGGGCAATATTACCAACTCACAAGAGCGTTCGCACCCGGCAATATGACTCGTCGGATAAGCTTCCTTCCATGACCGAACCTAGAATGTAGCCAATGCCGCCCAGGTGGTGGAGCTAAAACTGTCAGTGCGATTGCCAGCCGGACCGAATGAGGATGAACTTACGAGGGGCGAACTGATCGCTTTCAAGTACTCCACGGGGACTTTGGAAAACACACTCAGCAACTCGCCAGCAACATCGCACTTTCGATCGACCCCAATTTCCTCTGCGGATAAAAGGACCAGTCGCAGTAGCTGAAAAGTCGCTTGAATGTTGGCAGACTGAAAGCCAAATAGATCCTGGTTGATGTCGCCTGTTGTTGGTCTCGTCTCCCGAAACTGCGGCGGTAGGGCAGCATACATTGAGAGAACACGTTCCATCACAATTGGTTCTGACATGGATGCAGGACTGAACATGGACCACACTTCGACAGTCCCATTAGCAGTGGAGAATCGCCGCCGAGTACCATCTGCAACGTGCTCGAGGATACGATAAAGATCGGTAGTAAAGTTCCAACCATGAATCCAAGAAACCGGTAGACCATTGGCGGCTTGAGCGTCTCGTGGGCCGCTTTGCTGTGGCGTTGGAGAGACTTGAGGCAAGTCGTAGCCCTGATCTGAGATGTACTCGTCATCAAGCTCGCTAGGGTAGCGAACAAGGGAGTGCGCTTCACGGTATCTGATTATTCCTCCCCAAACAATACTGGCGTAGATGTCCAGGGTATAGATTGACCAAAACTGGTGTCCCATCGTCAGCAGAATGCCAAGTATGTCGAAACTTCAAGAATAATTACCAATCTGCGTCGCTCCTCGGTTTCAATGATTCCGATATCCTTGGGCCACAATTTTTCATCATGCAGACCCTCCATTGTCGTCAAAGTGTGATACATGCCAGAGTATTTCTGCAGATTCTTTATCTGCCCGTTTTGGATGCTCGCAATGGCAAGTATTGCACATGCGCGCATGTAATTGAAGCCTCTGGCAAGTGCAAGGTCCCGAGGGAACGTGTCCTTGGCTGCAGCGTAGAAAGCCTCCGATGGCGGCTCAATCAGCTCTTCTCGGCGCCAACGAGAGGAATACAATGCGCCGTCGCGAGCCTTCCCCGATGCCAATGCACACACCGCCATAGTGGAAGCAAATAGCCCCTGATCTCGGAGATGTTCTTGATCGTTGATTCGTTCAATGAAGGATTGTTTGTGAAAAAGTGGAAATCTGTGTTTGCATTACCGTCGGGTCAGCCGAAAAGTGCAACAATAGCATTGAGAGATGACGAGGAAGCGCACATAGGGTAAACAATTTCAAAGTAGACCTGCACTAGATTTTTGATCTGCTGGTCACTGGAAATTGCAAATGCTTTCCACGAATTTCGTAAAGTGCCATCATCGTCGTAACCCTCACTCGTTGACCATCCCGTATTGAACGATGTCCAGGGGTCCCCTGTCCCCGAGGGGCGGAAAGATGTCTCTTGTTGGATTGAGCTTCTTGATCCAAACGATCCAGACGTGCTTCCTGATGCCGCCATTCGGCTATTGGGAGTCAAGTCCACCGAGCCTCTTGAGTAAGGTGTGTCTTGATCGTGGCTTTTTGACCCCGCCTTAATGCCGCGTCGCTTCGTGGGTCGGTCGTACGTGCAGGGCACATCGAAATCGGCGCAATTCTGACACCGGCCTAAGGGATCTTCGCTCTTTCCGCATCTTGTGCTACGTCTGTTGCAGAAGTCACCTAGCGCACCATGTCAGTTTCCCTAGCGTTCTGAGGGCCGTCGTCCGACTTCGACTGCTTCTGGGTCGGCCAAAGTGCTGACACAGAGGGATTCTGAATTCTGGTAACGGAAACGCAGACGAGGGGAGAGGAAAGGCTGCCAGGTTGATAGATACTGGATCTCAAGCCATTAATCATTCGGAATCAGTGACATACAGGCCTTGGAGACTCGCTGGAGCTTTCGCGGTTTCTCAGACATCCACTCGACGGCTCATGCCACTTCAAAATTATCCATTAATTCAGGCTGAACATCTTGTGCCAATCGAGCAAGTCTGCTTCCAAAGAGGTAACTTACGTTCTCAAGCTTGGTGTAGTAGTGTCGCTTCAACCTCATATAAATAGATGCTAGGGAGCACTCCGCGAGTTGATGTAGGAAGATCGGAGCGAAATGCCCAATTGAAGGCTGGGGAAAAGCTGAAAGGGCAGCAAACCTGACTTCGTGCACCAGAACAACCTCAGCAATTGACCATATGCTAATCAGTTCCGAATCACTTAAATGGGCCGTCTGTCGAACATTTGCCCGAATGATGCACACCTCTGACGCGAACCCTGGAAACATCATCAGAGGTTCGAGGCTCTCTGTGGGCTTAGAGCGATGAGTGGAGTGGCTGCAGTGGAGTGGCTGCGCCTGCAGACGGGACTGCCCGTGTGGAGACGGCCGCCTGCGGGCAAGTGTATGCTGACTCAGCACGATGTCATCGACTCCAACCACCTACGTGACTGCTCCTGAGGTCGCACAATTAGTACCTGCTGATAGTTAAACATGAGCTATCCTAGTCGGCTATGACGGCGAGGCTTCAGCATTCTATAATGTGAATATCGATGGCTAACAAAGCCCTCCCCCCCGCCCCCCCCTTCCGCCCGCATACCGGATAAAGTTCAATTCTCATGAACCATAGGAAAGCAAACACTCCATGGTTCTCTGAATCCGACGATCTCGCATTGCCAACTTGGTCCCGTATCAAGCTAATTGCGCGATCTGCTCAAGTTGACCAAGCTCACGGAGCGGCAGAATTGATATCCGTGTATACGGTCTCAGTATCATGATGCTCCTAAATGGTTGATCGAGAAATCAAAGGCGCCGGGAGATCTATTCGTCAATGCGGTCGAATTCTGGCTTTGCAGGAAGTGTACTGGGAGTTTCCACAATTTTACGCTCGGCAAGAACATCTCCGTGGAGTCTGTAAGCCTGCTCCATGTCCCAATTGAACGGACTGGAACCGGAGAACAACGCATCAATTGATTCTAGCGAGCGGTTGCGGGTCTCTGGATAGACTGAAGCTGTCGATTTAGTACATGCTCCACTGCCATGGGGACTAGCAGGAACAGCTTACTGAGGAAAACCAGAGGAACCCAGAGCAAGTTGAGACCGGCAAAAAGGAAGTAAGTACGGCGCCACGTTTGGTGTCAGTATCTGCTGATACGAAGAATGGAAAGCGATCACCTTCAAGCTGGCGAACATGATCGGGTTGACCAGGGTTGTCATTCCAACACCGAGTGCCCAACCAGTAATTCCAAACCCATTTCCTTGTGCTCTTAGATCACTGGGAAATATTTCCGTGGGTATCAGAAAGGCGACCGTTCCCCAGGTGGCCGCATATCTGTCATATAATCATCAGTTATGGATGTGTCCACCTACGAGCAATGCAGCCGATGAAGCTGTACTTACCCTAGGTTGAAGAGGAAAAGCATAGTAACCGCCCCGGGGGCATACTGAGCAGCTCTTTCAGGACTATGGAGTGATTCCTCGTAGACTGATCCCGCCTATGACAGCGTGAGTAAAATACCTGTGTGGATCAGGCAAGATATCAGGGACGTACGATGAGATTGACTGCGAAGAGGAAGCCAGCGCCCCCTATGAGGCAGGCACGACAGCCAAGGCGGTCCACGATCTGAGCGCTGACGATGGTCCCGATAATACCAATCGTGTTAATTCCCCCAGCGAGCCCATTCTGTTTAATGCTGCTGTATCCAGCCTGCTTCAATAGAACAGGCGAGTACGCCGTGACTGCCTGTACACGTGCTTAACGCCAGTAAACTGGGAATCCCAATGCGAATGAAATGACTTTTTTAGTCACTTACAGTAATACCGGTCCAGGACGCCATGATCTGAAGCCATACGCAAAGCCATACACGGCGGGCGAGGTGAGTCCCAGGGCGCCCGCCGTAGCCCAAGAGAATTTGGGCGAATTGCACCGGGGAGCTTGGCTGGCTTTCTTGGGCGAGAGTGACTATCTCGAGATATTCCCGCCCAACATCCTCTTGGGACCCGCGAAGACGAACCAACAGGCGTCGCGCCTCATCATTCCTTCCTACAGAGGCGAGATAGCGAGGGCTGTCCGGAAGCATTCTGATAAACAGGGCTAGAAAGAGTGCCGGGATACACTGAAAAGCAAGGAGAAATCGCCATCGAATCACCGAGTATCCGTTGCCAACGAAAGCAAGTCCAAAAGAAAGCCAATAGGCTACTGAAATTCCTAGGTCTACCACTCCATTTAGCAAAGCACTGCAGCGCTTAGAAAGGGGACAATTGACTGATACACTCACAATTAGCAATGAAGACATAGCTCGAGGATCCACCTCGGTGCTGCGCAGAGCTTGTCTCAGAAACAAGCACGGGCGTTATTCCAGTCAATGCTATGAGACATGTCAAATTTGGTCAAGCAATCAGTCTCTTGGTCGGAGGAAGCTTGGAACAGTCCCGAACGAGTCATGGCAGGTTGCCATCGTGACTTTCGAACAGGAGAACGCGCTATAGATGGACTCACCTCCAGTGCCAATGCCCGTGAAGACTCTGGCACAGATAAAGAAATTGGAGTTTTGCGCGGCAGCTTGAAATGCACCTCCACCCATGGCAAACAAAAACCCTATCAACAAGCCGTTGATGCGGCCGATGTGATCGGCAAGCCAGCCGCCGGCGAAGCAACCGAAGATGGCGCCCAGGTAATATACGCTAACGATGCCGCCTTGATGAATGGTGCTGGTGACGGTCCCATCTGAACGACCGATGCCGACTTGAGTAACATAGTCTGGGGCAGCGTTGACACCACCCATGACCCCTTGGTCATAGCCCTCGAAGAAAATTGAAACCAGCGAGAATGCCTGAATGGCGACGTTCAACTGTCGCGAGGACAGTCGTGACCATAACGTTGTGTATCCAACCATTGTTCCACTCGGCCGCTAATGGGCCGCAGCTGCGGGACTCCACAGGGATGCAGCAGCGCTTCGACGATATCAAACGATCGAGAATGAACGAGGGACTGTGACGGGCCAAGTTCCAGAGTCCGACGCAACCGATGACTGCAGAGTATCTCGAGATCTATAAAAGACCCTTTGGCAGGCTGTCCCAAAAGTGACTAAGGTTTACACAGTCAAGGTTCAGGATCAGTGACGGGATGGAGATACTTTTCCTCGTCACCACCTGACTACCTGGAGCTGCTAAACGGTGAAATGCAAAGAGCCATCTTGCCGAACGCAACCCAAAAGATCCGGGAAGTTTAGTTCATCCATGTCAATCGACGAACTGGTTATTCCAATCCATTGCGAGAAAGAGGTAAGCTTGGCCCTGGGGTACGACTCGTTGAATGGGTCAATACTATCGGACCCGGCAACTACAAGTCCCCTGGCCAGGGTTAACTTCTTCTTCAGACCCTGTCGAATCTCGATCCTGCAGTCCGTACCATCATGTCCTACGTGATTAAGCGCGGAGTTACATCTCCGGCAGTGAGCAGAGGGAGGAAGAACGAACATGTGGTTGGTCTGGTCTGGTGCAATTGCTCTCGGATACCCTGCGACGTGCATTCCTTATTCCAGTCTCCTGGCTGCTTGAACTCTGCAAGATCACAGTTCTGTCACTATAGGTTGTTCAAACACCCATCCGAGCTTATCATCGTCCATGTATTCAACAACTTCTAATGGTCTTGCTCAGCAACAGCAACCGCTGGACTTGACGGTGCTTGGATTAAACAGTGGAACCTCTATGGTGTGTGAGACCCGGAGCCGCCCTATTCACCTGCACAGAGTACAGTTACACTGACCATCTCAACAAAATATCAGGACGGCATCGATTGTGCACTGTGCCGATTTCGTCAAGAAACCCCAGAGTCTGCGATGCATTTTGAATTGCTCAAGGTATGCTGGGTCTGTCCGGTCTCGCACAATTTCCCGCGCCCATGAACCCAAAACTGAACAACGCAAAATGTAGTACGGCGAGATTCCCCTTGAGCCAGCTATCAAGAAGCGAGCCATGAGCATGATTCTACACAACAAGACATCTCCATCAGAATTGTCCGAGGTCAACGTACTTTTGGGTGAAACCTTTGCTTCTGCAGTCCATCAGTTCTGCAGAGACTTGAGAGTTGACCTCGATACTATCGATGTCATTGGGTCGCACGGCCAAACGATCTGGCTACTGTCCATGCCAGGGCCAGGCGAGACTCAGCGCCTTGACTATGGCTGAAGGCTGTTTTCTTGCGGCACGAACAGGCATCACTTCGGTGACCGATTTTCGTGTCAGCGACCAAGCCGCTGGACGACAGGGGGCGCCTCTCATTGCATTTTTCGATGGGCTCTTGCTGCACAATCCCACCAAATTGCGAGCGTGTCAAAACATCGGAGGCATTGCCAATGTCTGCTTCATTCCACCAGATACCCATGGCGGCGCCCGTGAATGCTACGACTTTGACACGGGTCCTGGCAATGTGTTTATTGACGCGGTGGTCCGGCACTACACGGATGGAGCTCAGGAATATGACCAAGACGGTGTGATGGGTGCTCGCGGCACAGTCGATCAAGACCTGGTCGATGACTTTCTACGTCACCCTTACTTCGCACTGGAGCCACCCAAGACCACTGGCCGCGAGGTGTTCCGAGATACTCTTGCCCATGAACTTATTCAAAAGGCTGAAGCCAAAGGACGGACCCCGGACGACGTCGTGGCTACGGTGACGCGGATCACCGCTCAAGCGATCGTAGATCATTATCGACGCTATGCCCCGAAGGACGTCCCTCTCGATGAGATCTTCATGTGCGGAGGGGCACACAACCCCAATATTTCATCTTATATCCAGCAACACTTCCCCCATACACAAATCTTCATGCTTGATTCTGCTGGAGTTCCCGAGGATGCAAAGGAGGCTATCACCTTTGCCTGGCAGGGCATGGAAGCCATCGTGGGCCGATCGATCCTGGTGCGGTGGAAACTCGTCAGGAGTACATCCTGGGGAAAGTGGCACCGGGGCAGAATCATCGAAAGGTTCAACGCATGGGCGTGCTATTTGAGGCTGGTCGAGACCGATTGCCGCCCGTGAGGGAGATGGTGAACTATGTCAATGGGGAGGTCTTCGACAATAAATGGTAAGCAGTAAGCAGTAAGCCCTGGGGGCAAAAAAAGCTGAATACGGTCGGGTCATTGGGGTCGTCCCTAGAATCATCTCCATGTCGCCACCAACAATATACAGCGTCGGTACTCTTCTTCTTTCCCCCTTGCCTGATACAGATGCTCTTATCCTCTCCGCGCAAGGTATCAAATTCGCGACTGAAGCCCACTACTTTACTTGCCAACGAAGAGCGGCAACTGGGCTACCTTGACTTGCATCGAGATATGCACCTGTTTCTTTTCGCCAAGATGTTCACTCATTGCTGGAGGGCCGGTGAGGGAAACTCGGTGACCTCACTAAGAAAGACATTGTTCTGGAACCGAGAATAGGTAGTTAGCAGGTTTATCTGGATTCTGGACGCAGCCATGGGGTCGAACTGCGGAGAAGTATCCTTTTCCCCATCGCACCCAGACACAATTAATAGCATGGCCGGGTGGTATCATCCAGCGATTCTCGCACGTCAAGGTTGAAGATCAATCATCAAACAGTAGTCCATCACCTCTGCGACGGTTCTCTTCCCGTCCACTCGTGCGGTCGGCCTCGACCGTTCACCTCACGAGTGCTGTGTGAGTGCTTGAGAAGGCAGGCTAGAGGCCCAAGACCCACTTTGGCCGAGGCTTGATGCCATTCTCGTTCTACACAACACACGGCCAGACGATGACATCGCTCGCTGACGTGCCTGGCTCGACGGCCCGTGGGTCTCATCGTTCCATGACGGGGGCCACACGTGGATCTCTTCTTCCTCTGCGACACTTTTTCCACTGTTCTTCCTGCTTTCTGTCTCGGCTCTCCCACTCAGTCATCCATCCACCTCTTACACCGCTCCACTTCGTTCACTGACCCACGTCTCAACGGTCAGAGGGCTGGCTGACTGGCTCGTCCTCGACCGAATCCACCTCTTGGTGCGCATGGCCTACCACACCATCACACCCGGATGGATACGATGACATAGAGCAATGCCAAGACGTCCGACTCGGACGAACGCGCGACCCCGCGAGAGAGAGAGAGAGAGAGAGAGAGAGAGAGAGAGACAGAGAGACAGAGAGAGGGAGAGAGAAAAGATGGCCGGGAGATCGCCGTCTCGCTCTTTTCTAGACTGCGGGAATGAACTCACAGCACAAGCTGGACTCATAAGCACTCCATCGCCCTCAAGAAGGCAATTTTGCCAAGTTTACTGTAATTGATCTCATTTGGTTTCCCTTCTACTTTCAACCCTTCTATCACTGGACAACGCTTGCCGTGCAGACAAGATCTTTCTCCACTCTCGTCGTCCGTCTCTCTTTTCATCACGCGGCCATGATAGACTCCGAAACCCTTCACGATGCGTTGAACAAGGATCTCACCCAACCCATCCCCGAGTCGACAGTCTCGAAGATCATCTCCCTCCCCCTTTCATCCCTCTCGGCGGCGTCTCGAATTTCCGAGATCTGAGCTACGAGAACAACCTCCGCCCCGGCTACGTCTATCGGTCTGCCAATCTTTCCGATATCACCGACGATGGCAAACGCATGCTCGCGGACGAGTTGGGCGTGACGACCATCTTTGATCTGCGCAATGAGAGTGAGCGAGTCAAGGCCCCGGCTCCTCGAATCGATGAGATCGAGACCGTCTGGGAGCCATATGGTGGCAAACCGGCGTCGTTGAGCCTACGTGATTTCGCTGGAAATGATCATGGTGTGCGCGGGTTCGTCCAAATGTACTCGGGCATTCTAGAAGCCTCGGCTCCAGCGTTCGGACATGTCTTTCTGCATATCAGAGATCAGCCGCATGATCCATTTGTCTTCCACTGTTCCGGTACGTTCCTCTTAACGCCCTTGTTTGGCCTCGTGACGAATTTTTGCGTGGGCTAGTTTACAGCCCCCTCTGGGCCGGTCGGTTCTGCGTTTGATCAGCGCAGTGAGACTTTCCTTACTGACTGTGTTTCTTTCACAGCCGGCAAAGATCGGACGGGTGTGCTGGCAGCACTCATCCTCTCCTTGATGGGCCGGCCCCATCAGGAGATCATCGAGGACTATATTCTGACTCGGGCGGGACTGGAATGTGTGCGTGAAAATCTGGCCCAGGCGCTGGATCTGGACGAGGGCACCGATCATCTTAGTCCCGAGGCGATCGGCATGTTGGAGCTGAGCGGTGTGCGGGCACCCGCCATGGCCGCCTTCTTGAAGCACTTGGAGTCCACCTACGGCAGTGGCGCCGAGGGATATCTCACCAAAAAGCTTGGCTTTACTTCAATTGACATTCAGAAGATGGTGAAGAACTTGAGTGCATGAGAGACCAAGGGAACGGTCGAGACGAGACGAAGATCATCCGACCGAACGACGAAGGGGAATATCGTCTCATCGTGGAAGTGGATGGATGATGCCCGCATTAGATTAGAACTACTAGACCGCGGCCGCATGCATTGTCTCTCTACCCATTGAGCGGTGGGTTCAGTTAGTCCGGAGGATTCTAGCTCAACCTTCTTAGCTATTACTACTGAGATGGTTCGCTTTGTACCTTTATGATCCGGTTTCCCACGTACTACTTAGCGAGCACCGTACGGCAGTCTTACCTGGACTTTGATGGACTTCAGACTTCATAGATCAGTAGCTGCTTTCACCTCTCAAATCCAGTTCGCAAATGTCTCTATGTACCACTGCTATCTCACCTGCCATGCGTCAGGAGGTCATAAATATCAAGTATAAATATCAGGTATTAGGTAACAGTCCCGTGAGTATCAGATGGCCCTCGCCAAATTGACCCCCCTCGCCGCCTTGGCAAGTCCCACAAAGTGTTGTTTATGATCAACTTCCGAGTGTCAGAAGCCTTCCCGTCGCAATTGGGCATATCTTCCAGGTTCTCCACTCCAAAGAATGCAAATCGCTGCTCCTGTGCAACCCTCCCCGCAATTTATGCCTTACTGGAATCATCATTCAATCGATGCACGCACGAATGAGACTTGCTGCCGTACGGATCTGCACGACTCAATCCTCGACGTTGTATGCCGCGATGGCACTCCTCCCAGTATCCAGGCATCAAGTGCGATTGCATCACAACAATACGACTGTACCTTTCTTCCCCGCACAAGCTGCCTTCTCCACCATTGCCTCAGAGGTGCAATTCCCCGAAGAAGAAATCTTCTGAGCGGACTTCCGAGTATGTGTTAGTCAAGGATGGAAGAGGAGATGTCCCTTGATCATAAATGAAGCAAGTCATCAATGACAGCTACGAATCCGTTTCTGGAAGTCCAAGCACGGTATGCCCGTCTCCCTTCAGGAAGGCGACGATCATCTCTTCATCTGCTGAATGTGTGCTGACGTCGATCGAACCTCAGTCCGTTGCTCTCCACCGAAAATTCAGACTTAAGACATCGTTCAAAGCTCCCCGGGTTGTCTGGATGAGTGCTGAAGACTCCCACGCTCATCTGATTCTTGAATCGCTGCAGACCTGCCAAAAATGCATTGGGGCTCGAATTTCTGGCGGGCGTTATTGCCGGCGACAATCGGACTAGGTCGAGCGCAACACGTTGTTGATCTGGCCGGCGATGGTTGGACCGTCAGCAGTGAGGCCCTCAATATCTCGGTACCAGGAAAGCTGCCGTCACACGTCCATCTGGACTTATTGGCGGCCAAAGTCATCGGTGAGTCACTTTATTTTCTCTTTTCGTGATGGAGATCCAAGATAGTCGTGCTGACCAAGAGCAGGGGACCCGTAGGTGACTTCTCACTGTGGTAGCATTGTTCGAGAATTGTCACTCATACCAGGTGCGATCCATTAGATATTATGGGCTAAACGACTTCAACCAACGCTGGGTGTGCAACAACAACTGGACATACACCAGTCACCCTTTACAGAACTTGTAAGCCGTTGATGACGGAACCCTAATTCACATGGACTCATCGCATTCTCCAGACTCAAAAATGCCACCTCTTCATGGCTTGTATTCAACGGTCTAGACACATTTACTACGATTGAGGTGTGTGGCCAGGTCGTGGGCACCACGGACAACCAATTCCGCCAGTACACATTCAACGTCAGCCAGGCTCTCCGAGATTGTAAAGATCTCGCAACGCTCGCATTGAACTTTGGCAGTGCCCCCAAAATTGCCGATGCAATTGCTAATAATCCGGAGTCAGAAGGTGAGTAGACGGAGCTGAATATGAAGACTCATGGTAATTTCGCTAATGTGTCTCCTGGTTTCCTCGTTTGCAGTGTGGCCAAATGGCCCACAGTTGGTCTATGAGTTTCCTAACCGGTGGTTCATCCGCAAGGAGCAGTCTGACTTTGGATGGGACTGGGGCCCCGCCTTTGCTCCTGCTGGTCCTTGGAAAGATGCTTCTATGGTTCAATTCGCTCGAAATGATGGCATTTTTGTTCTGAACACAAACCTCGACATATATCGCCAAGGACAGATCAACTACCTGCCTCCGGATCAGAGCCAACCGTGGGTGGTAAATGCCAGCATCGACTTCATTGGAGACCTGCCCAAAGATGCTTCAATGCACATCGAACTGATAGAGTCACATACTGGCAAAGTCATGCATTCGGCTCCTCTAAATAATATTTCCATATCGGGTCGAACAATCACAGGAAGTTGCACAGTCAACCCCGATGCGCCAAAATTATGGTGGCCCCTAGGCCTTGGCCAGCAAGACCTATACAATGCTACGATCACTGTGCAAGCAAAGGACCAACGTGCTTTGGCTCAAGTTGAAAAACGAACGGGTTTTAGAACCATATTCCTAAATCAGCTCAACATTACCGACGAACAGCTTGCACAAGGTATTGCTCCAGGTGCAAATTGGCACTTTGAAGTCAATGGCAGAGAGTTCTACGCCAAGGGCTCCAACTTTATTCCTCCAGATGCGTTCTGGCCTCGGGTGACCGAGGAACGAATGCAGCAACTTTTCAATGCGGTGGTCGCCGGGAATCAAAACATGTTGCGGTGAGTCAAGATCTAATTGCTTCTGCCGAACGGGGGCCTCAGCCCGCAGTCCCTGAGATTCGCATAGCTGACAGATTTGTCTTCAAGCGTATGGGCCTCCGGTGCGTACTTGCCCGACTTCATCTACGACATTGCCGACCAAGCGGGTGTGCTTCTGTGGAGCGAGTTCGAGTTCGGGGATGCTTTGTATCCTACGGACAAGGCATTTCTCGAGAATGTCGCCGCTGAAGTCAAATACAATGTGAGACGAATGAACCATCACCCTTCACTGGCTCTGTGGGCTGGGGGCAACGAGTTGGAAAGCCTTGAGTTGCCGCTTGTGAAAGCAGCATCGCCACAGAACTACTCCTACTATGTCGGCCAGTATGAGAAATTGTTCATCAGCACGATTCTGCCACTGGTCTACGAAAACTCGCGGTCAATCTCCTATATGCCCAGCAGCACGGGCAATGGCTATCTTTACGTGAATTTGTCGGCCCCGGTCCCGATGGCCGAGCGCTACGACAACGTGACGAGTGGTCACTATTATTCCGACACAGACCACTACAACTACGACAGCAGTGTTGCCTTCGACTTCGGCAGCTATCCCGTGGGTAGATTTGCCAACGAATTTGGATACCATAGTATGCCGAGCTTGCAGACCTGGCAACAAGCCGTGAGTCCCGAAGATCTCCATTTCAACAGCAGCACCATCGTTCTCCGAAATCATCATTATCCTCCCGGAGGTCCCCAGACAGATAACTTCACGAACCCACTGAAAGGCATGGGCGAAATGACCATTGCTGTCGAGCGATACTATCCCGTCCCTCACAAGAATGATTCGCTCAAACAGTTCAGCGCCTGGTGTCACGCTACGCAACTCTTCCAGGCAGACATGTACAAGTCAGAGATCATCTTTTACCGTCGTGGAAGCGGTCTTCCCGAGCGTCAACTCGGATCCTTGTATTGGCAGCTCGAGGATATCTGGCAAGCTCCCACTTGGGCAGGAATCGAATACGACGGCCGCTGGAAAGTCCTTCATTATGTTACTCGCGATGTGTACCAGCCGATTATTGTCTCGCCTTTCTGGAACTACACCACGAGAGAACTTTCTGTCTGGGTGACCTCTGATCTGTGGGGGGAGGCAAAAGGAACAGTGAATCTCACCTGGGTCGACATGACTGGAAATCCCATTGCGGAGAATGCGGGCACGCCCCAAATCCAACCATTTTCCGTCGGTGGTCTCAACACAACAAAAATCTATGAAACCAATACATCAAAGCTCTCAATTCCCGATAACCGGAATGCAGTACTCATCCTCTCCATGACCGCAGATGGATACATGCCCAACTCCCAGAACAAAACCACATTCACTCATCGTGAGAAAGCGACCGTCGTCTGGCCAAACGAGATTAGCCTCGTGGATCCAAAGATTGAACTCGCCCGCGGATCGGACGATTTAACCTTCACTCTCGAAGCGAAAGGTGGCGTTGCGCTCTACACATGGCTTGACTATCCCGCTGGCGTGGTTGGGTATTTTGATGACAATGTGTTCACGCTCATTCCTGGAGAGAAAAAGACAGTCCAGTTTACTGTACAGAAGGATGACACGAACGGGAAATGGGCAGATGGTGTAACAGTGCGCAGTCTTTGGGATCAAACAACCAACTAATTGGACCGGGAAGGGGGGTGGGCTACCTGATTCATGCTTTAATGAATGCTTTGCGCTACTTGTTACCTCATTCGAGTCGACCATCTATTTTTACGCGATCAGTGGCCCATGCAGGGCTGATGACGCCAGCGACTTCCGACAGATTGAGTTCCAAGGCGCAGTGAGTTTTAAATCTGCAGCTCTATCATCTTACTTCTTCAGCTATTTGGGTCAAAAAATTCAATTAGATATCTTCGAGATTCATAGCAGTTTCGAGAAATTCTTATCAATTTTCTCTTGATTCTTTTCTGCCATCTTGCCCATGCCTTTTTCCTTTTTACCTACCTTTCGCTCCTCTTTCTCACTGATCTCTCGGTATGTACTTAGTCTCGTCACCTTGGGTCAGGTAGACTTGCTTAATCATGCCGGTAGGTCCATAGGCAGGAGGTACCTTCTAAAAAAGCCTACCTGGCACATTCACTACACGATGCTGTCGTTATCGTGCACAATACCGAGGAGATTGACGTCATAGTCGTCGAGATAAATACTGGGTCTCTTCATTACGGCACACTTGACATTTGCAATCGTCTTTAGCAATGAGTTCGAGACTCTGGGACCCAATGGTGAACATAATAAACCTTGTATTAATATCCTCTGGGCACATCCCCGTCCCAGTCAGTGGTAGATTAAAGCCTAAGTTTGTAAAACCGCAGCAGCTTAAAAGAAAAATTTGGGCAACGCAAGACGCCGGAACATCGTTGAGGTTGATAATCGGAATAGAGGGTTGGGAAGGAGCGGAAACACGATACATCGATCAAGTTATATTAAATCCATCCAGTGCAACCTCCGAATGAAGACAGTCAATGTCCAAGAAATGAAATGAAATGCAAGAAAAGGGCTTCCCGATGCGCCAGACGCTGATGCCACGAGAAACATGAGGGTCATAGAAGAAGAATAAAAAGAGCTCAGATGAGACATCTGGTCCGATAAAGACGGATACAATGAGCCGGCCATGACTTCAATTGAAACAATGAATGCAGTTATTCGCAGTCTGTTTCAAAAAGTGCAGATGGGGGCGTTGGCTGCCACCTGCGTTACGACACCGGTTGATATCACTGTAACAGATCGAGTAGATACAATGGTCTCTTGTGAGGTGACTGTGACTGAGGGAGTCCGTGTCGACGTCACCATCTGTACTGTCGACATATATGACGTGGGTTGTGAGCCTGTAGAGATAGTCTTGGTGACGGTGGTAGTGAATGTCGTCGGTGCTGCAGTGACCTCGATTGTCTTTGTAGCGACTTCCAGAGGGACGGGACCTGATTTGCTACCCTGTTCACTAGCAGTTCTTGTGCTAGTGAACGTGATGGTACCATTAGGCACGGTCGTAATGACGACATTTGTCATCGTCGAGGTTACAAAGACGGTGATGGTTTTTGCCTCGAGAGTCTGCGTCTTGGTAATCGGACTAGTGATAGTCTGAACCGCATTTGGCACACTAACCGTTGAAGTTGCCACGTATTTGGTAATGGTAGAGCGAGTGTTGGCAGATCGTCGAGTTATGAAAGACCGAGGCTGGTGCACTCCACGCTTATGCTGCTTCGGCGTGCAACTCATAGTTGCGGTAGACCATTGAGTTCGTGCTACTGTAATATTTACAGTCACGGTTGTCGGCGCTAGTACGTGGGTGAAAGTTGCATTCCCCACCACCGTGGTCACTGCCGGGCCAGTCGGCGACGCAGCCAAAATGGGAGCCTGAACGTTCGTGATCGCAATGGTTTTGGTCAATGTGGCGGTTGCTTCAACCGCTGCTCGAGTGGCGGTGACGTGAACGATAGTTATTGCTGTTTCCGCGGTGGTCTTCTCCGCAATGTCGAACACTTTGAGAGAAGTTGCAGGGGTTCCAGTGACTGTGGATGTAGTACCAATGACAGATCTTCGTGTGGACACAATTGTAACAGCGTCCGGAGAAATCTCGATAGTCACCGTCGGGTTGACGATGGTGGTAGTTAGGCTTCCAGGTATCGTGGTCATTGCAGTGGCGGACAGAATCAGCGCGCTGGCGTCGGATAAGGGGTCTGAGGACGCTTGTGAATTCGGGCCGTTTCCTGCACTTGACGCCAGTAACGTGTCACTCCCATCGGGGTTTTCTGCGCTATCATCATCCTGACCACTAGGATCATTGGTACCGTTCGCGTTACCAGTGTTTGAGGCGTTTGGACTGTTACCGCTCGAGCTTCCAGTCGTGGAGACATTCGATCCAGAGCTTCCTGAACTTGAACTTTCTGTTCCCGTCTTTCCGGAGCCTGTGAGCCCAGTACCTGTATTCCCAGAACCTGTGTTGCCGCTGCCAATATTGCCAACGCCAATGTTTCCAGAACCGACATTCCCTTCACCGACATTGTTGGTGCCCACATTTCCAGTGCCAGTGTTTCCAGTGCCCGAATTATCAGATCCAGTGTTACCGGTACCGGTATTAGCAGACCCTGAATTGCCGGACCCAGTGTTGCCAGATCCAGTATTACTAGAGCCGATGTTATCAGTTCCTGAATTAGCAGTACCGATATTATCAGAGCCGGCATTGCCAGAGCCGGTGTTAGCAGTCCCTGAATTGCCAGATCCAGTGTTGGAAGAGCCGGTATTATCAGAGCCGATGTTGGCAGAGCCGGTGTTGGCAGACCCTGAATTGGAAGAGCCGGTGTTGCCAGATCCAGTGTTTGCAGAGCCGGTATTATCAGAGCCGGTGTTGGAAGAGCCGGTGTTGGAAGAGCCGGTGTTTGCAGAGCCGGTGTTGGCAGACCCTGAATTGGAAGAGCCGGTGTTGGCAGTTCCTGAGTTGCCAGATCCAGTGTTGGAAGAGCCGGTATTATCAGAGCCGGTGTTGGAAGAGCCGGTGTTGGCAGTTCCTGAGTTGCCAGATCCAGTGTTGGAAGAGCCGGTATTATCAGAGCCGGTGTTGGCAGTTCCTGAGTTGCCAGATCCAGTGTTGGAAGAGCCGGTATTATCAGAGCCGGTGTTGGAAGAGCCGGTGTTGGCAGTTCCTGAGTTACTAGATCCAATGTTTGCGGAACCGGTATTATCAGAGCCGATGTTGGCAGAGCCGGTGTTGGCAGACCCTGAATTGGAAGAGCCGGTGTTGGCAGTTCCTGAGTTGCCAGATCCAGTGTTGGAAGAGCCGGTATTATCAGAGCCGGTGTTGGAAGAGCCGGTGTTAGATGAGCCGGTGTTGGCAGACCCTGAATTGGAAGAGCCGGTGTTGCCAGATCCAGTGTTTGCAGAGCCGGTGTTGGAAGAGCCGGTGTTGGAAGAGCCGGTGTTGGAAGAGCCGGTGTTGGAAGAGCCGGTGTTGGAAGAGCCGGTGTTGGCAGTTCCTGAGTTACCAGATCCAGTGTTTGCAGAGCCGGTATTATCAGAGCCGGTGTTGGCAGAGCCGGTGTTGGCAGAACCGGCGTTAGAAGAGCCGGTGTTGGAAGAGCCGGTATTATCAGAGCCGGTGTTGGCAGAGCCTGTGTTGGCAGACCCTGAATTGGAAGAGCCGGTGTTGCCAGATCCAGTGTTTGCAGAGCCGGTATTATCAGAGCCGGTGTTGGAAGAGCCGGTGTTGGCAGACCCTGAATTGGAAGAGCCGGTGTTGGCAGTTCCTGAGTTACCAGATCCAGTGTTTGCAGAGCCGGTATTATCAGAGCCGATGTTGGCAGAGCCGGTGTTGGCAGACCCTGAATTGGAAGAGCCGGTGTTGGCAGTTCCTGAGTTGCCAGATCCAGTGTTTGTAGAGCCGGTATTATCAGAGCCGGTGTTGGAAGAGCCGGTGTTGGCAGACCCTGAATTGGAAGAGCCGGTGTTGCCAGATCCAGTGTTTGCAGAGCCGGTATTATCAGAGCCGGTGTTGGAAGAGCCGGTGTTGGAAGAGCCGGTGTTGGCAGTTCCTGAGTTACCAGATCCAGTGTTTGCAGAGCCGGTATTATCAGAGCCGGTGTTGGCAGAGCCGGTGTTGGCAGAACCGGCGTTAGAAGAGCCGGTGTTGGAAGAGCCGGTATTATCAGAGCCGGTGTTGGCAGAGCCTGTGTTGGCAGACCCTGAATTGGAAGAGCCGGTGTTGCCAGATCCAGTGTTTGCAGAGCCGGTATTATCAGAGCCGGTGTTGGCAGAGCCGGTGTTGGCAGAACCGGCGTTAGAAGAGCCGGTGTTGGAAGAGCCGGTATTATCAGAGCCGGTGTTGGCAGAGCCGGTGTTGGTAGTTCCTGAGTTACCAGATCCAGTGTTTGCAGAGCCGGTATTATCAGAGCCGGTGTTCGCAGAGCCGGTGTTCGCAGAGCCGGTGTTCGCAGAGCCGGTGTTGGAAGAGCCGGTATTACCAGACCCTGTATTGGCGGAGCCGGTGTTGGCAGACCCTGAATTAGCAGAGCCGGTGTTGGCAGACCCTGAATTGGAAGAGCCGGTGTTTGCAGAGCCGGTGTTGGCAGAGCCGGTATTATCAGAGCCGGTGTTGGAAGAGCCGGTATTATCAGAGCCGGTGTTGGATGAGCCGGTGTTAGATGAGCCGGTGTTGGATGAGCCGGTGTTAGATGAGCCGGTGTTGGATGAGCCGGTGTTGGCAGAGCCTGAATTGGCAGAACCGGTGTTGGCAGTTCCTGAGTTGCCAGATCCAGTGTTTGCAGAGCCGGTATTATCAGAGCCGGTGTTGGTAGTTCCTGAGTTGCCAGACCCTGAGTTGCTGGAGCCGGTGTTGTTGGATCCAGTGTTGCTAGCACCAGAGTTACCAGAGCCGCTATTATCGCTGCCGTTGTTCCCTGCACCAGTATTGCCGGCTCCATTGTTACTGGTGCCGGTGTTGCTGGTGCCGCTATTGCTTGTCCCAGAATTGCTGGTGCCGGTGTTGCTTGTCCCAGAATTGCTGGTGCCGGTGTTACTGGTGCCGGTGTTGCTGGTGCCAGTGTTGCTAGAGCCGTCGTTACTAGTACCGCTGTTGCTGGTGCCGGTGTTGCTGGTGCCGCTGTTACTGGTGCCGGTGTTGCTGGTGCCGCTGTTGCTGGTGCCGGTGTTGCTTGTCCCAGAATTGCTGGTGCCGGTGTTGCTGGTGCCAGTGTTGCTAGAGCCGTTGTTACTAGTACCGCTGTTGCTGGTGCCGGTGTTGCTGGTGCCGCTGTTACTGGTGCCAGTGTTACTGGTGCCGGTGTTGCTGGTGCCGCTGTTGCTGGTGCCAGTGTTGCTAGAGCCGTCGTTACTAGTACCGCTGTTGCTAGTGCCAGTGTTACTGGTGCCGGTGTTGCTGGTGCCAGAATTGCTGGCGCCAGTGTTGCTAGAGCCGTTGTTACTAGTACCGCTGTTGCTGGTGCCGGTGTTACTGGTGCCAGTGTTGCTGGTGCCGCTGTTGCTGGTGCCGGTGTTGCTTGTCCCAGAATTGCTGGTGCCGGTGTTGCTGGTGCCAGTGTTGCTAGAGCCGTTGTTACTAGTACCGCTGTTGCTGGTGCCGGTGTTACTGGTTCCAGTATTACTAGACCCATCGTTGTTGGTGCCCGTGTTGCTGGCGCCAGTATTATCAATTCCAATGTTATCAACACCAGTATTTCCAGCACCAACATTATCGGTGCCAATATTTCCTGGGCCAGCATGTCCTGATGCTTCGCTTCCGGAGGCTCTTTTGTTGATTGCGTGAACATTTTTCATTGTCATCTTCTCAACGTCGGCCTGCACTCTGAGTTTCGAGTCATCTGGAACCATCATATAACGTTCGGTGTCGCCGCCTTTTCTTTTTGCGTGATCGGCGATTGTGACAGCTGGTGTCCCTTTAATGACGACTGCTGGGTAAGCGCCTTGCAGGTTTGTCACCGGCGTACTGGCTTCTGGTCGAGCGTGATGAACGGTCTCGCCGAGGGCAGTCCCATCTTGCTGTGCAGTGACTGATTGTGTGGCTGCCACTATCGATGCGGTGAAGCCTAGTAGGCACAGTGAGAAAGAGGAGCGCATCTTGTCGACATGCACAGAGATCTGTAGCTTTCTTCTCCAATCAACTCCATCAAGATGCAACGGCGTCTAGATCTAATATAGCGTGGTGGGCGCATGTGGAGCCGGCAAAAAGCAGATTCCGATCTCATCGCGCATTCCAGGTTCACCCTGCCGGGTGGAAGTGTCCATTTTCGTCCAATTGAGTTGGGAATGGGGCTCCGAGCCGAAAACCGAGAATCGATGACCAGGATATCCATCTGGAAACACTCAGATCTTCTTGTCTGAGAGTGTGATATTACGCCGGATGTAGTTGAGGGGCACATGTTTGAACAAATTTCTGCTGGTCGATCTCATCTACAGCGCAGTGTTTTCAGCCAGGTTGTCTCAACAAGCCCTTGGAGACAACAAACCCATACCGCCAGGATGATGGGACCTTTGGCTCATGTACTTCCTCCGCCAGAAAATTTGGCAACATTGCTTACTTAGCGGTGATATTCGAGTCGGTGCCTGCAGACATAGAATGAGCTCTCTGGATGGTTGATGCCGCTTGATCAGCCCCTGCGAGATGTGTGGAGGTGGAAGTGTGGATCGTCCGGCAACATTATTCTTGAGTTTTCCTTTTGGGGGGGGGGTCGTCTACGCGCGCGCCACGCATGTGACCCACAAATTTATTGCGGCTTCGATGGAAGCGGACGTCTGTCAATCTGACTTGAACAACCCCCCCCCCCCCCCCCCCCCAGGTACGCACATTGTGATGCAATTAGAGTGGAAGCAAATATCGGAACCCATTCGCCATCGCAGGACTGGAGAATATTTCCGAGTCAAGGGAGACTACACCCGCGCTTTTATCAAGCTGCAAACAAACAAGGAAGCTGCGGCGATCATTGCTGGACATATCCTTGCACACTGGGACCGAGCTATTTCCATCATCATCATTGTCAACTGTGATAATGACTCAGAAGTCTGCCGGCTGGGGTGATTTGGTCTCCCACAAGGCGAAGGATACCGGTGAGGTTCTGTTATGTCTGGCCGGGCATTCATGTCTTCCAGCTGTCATAGCCCACCGGTGCGAGCCAGACTCCCGCCATTGAGGTGGAAGACACCTTGAGAGCAAGGCCACAGGGATGCAGAGCATCACGACATGCTCGAGGCTTTGTGGCTCTGCGGTAGCTTTGGTTTACTAGTCAGTCTCTCAAGCATAGTTGTACCACCAATGCCCATTGACAGAGGTGGAATAAGGTTCACTTAAGCACATCAAATGTCGTCAATTGAGGGGCATCTCGCGCGGTGGCTTGAACTCTATCAAGCAAGGTTGATTGTGAACTACCGCTATGCTTCTGATTTGGGTCATTATGGCTGCACATCCGGCTGCAATCCGACGAAAACCTACTCCAAACTCTAAAGCTCCGGATATCTCGTGGCCTATCTAGGTATCAGAGTTTGGATGGAATGATCGATGACATCAAGCCTGCTTTCATTGATAAGGTTGGTTTTATGCTTCCTCGCAAAGTCAATGGGCACTTACCTGGTGCCTGAATCCGAAGTTCTCCGGGCATCTTTAAGGAATGATGCCAATTGCCATTCCTACTCAACCATTAGAATCGCTGACCGATTGCGTTTCGAAAGTATATCATCAGCATAAACGTCGGATGAACAGGGAATAAAAGTTGAGGAGCATGAAGTAAACAAGGAGGGATGTCAACCTATTCTAGTTGACAATGCCCGACGTCGCAAATGCAATACCACCCATTTGTATTCGGTCTAAGAATCTTGGACCTGTGAATAACTGGACGGACGTTGCGCACCTCGCGAGCCGCAGTCAGCTCCAAAAAAGCTTCTTTAAATCAAAGGTGTACGGGCGCGTTCATCGAGGGATTCTTCGGGATCTTCAAAGCAGGTACCTGGCCGCTCAACGTACACGTGAAGTCGGAGATATGTCACGTTTACGCAACAAGGAGAACAAAATCTGAGTGTTAGGCCCGCAACAGTTAGTTTCCTTGACACCGAAGTGGGGGAACATATAACTGAGTGGACGAGCATCATCCCGTGCCTTGCCACTTCGAATCGTGGACCTGCCGAAATCTAGACTTGCTCCGTAGCACCGGGCACAAAGGTGCTCAAATCTTCACTTTCGGGACGGTGCGCTTCCCGATTCCTTGGAAGAGTCCATGATCTACCTATTGAAGGAACGTGTAAGATTGTTGACCAAAAATGCGGAAAAGATCAAGGAACAGACAGGTACTGAGTCGGCCATAATCAAGAATCTTGCACCTGGGGTCGACCAAATGCTGCAGATACATGTTCAAGAGAATTGCCGTGTAAGGTATTGACCGGGCTGGTGCAGCTCTATAGAATTGACTACCTACATAGATCATGCGCGGCTCCGTCGGAAATAAGTAGACGTCAACCTTACCTGGAAGAGGGCCGGGGGCAATCCGCACTGAAACAACCAGAGTCGACTCGAAACCGCTACATTATGAATGGCAGCGGGTAGGTATCAAACAGCTAGGTAAGTGTAAGGAAAATCCTTCGCGGAAGCCACATGTTGCAATGATGATACTGCTGAGGCTGTGGAGGAGATGAGGAGATGAGGGGAAGAGGTAAATACAGGAGATAAGGTAGACATTTAAAAAGCTACCCGCGTACTGGTAGTCGAGGATCATCGGAATTGGAAAGTAGTCAAACCTGGTGTCATTTTTTAGCAGAACGTGTTGTTAAACACAACGGCAAAGGTCAAGTTCCGACCCTCTCAATAGATGGTCTCCCCAAAAGATGTCCGCTAAAACTTGCATTTATTCAGTTCCGTGGTCCAACATCGAGGCCATGCTACTTCTGATGAGAAATGGCTACGATAAGCAGAGTAGGCATATAGCACAGTTTCGATGTAGTTACTGCACGCAATGATATGTGGGGACTTACTCGCCGGTCGGGGACGGTTACTCGCGCGGTTCACCAAAGTTGCCGTGACGTGGGGGATGCCGACGCCAACCGAGACCGCGCGCTCTCTCCGCATTGTCTCCGTATTTTCCCCAGACCTCAGATCTGCCTTTTGATCCTCGTCTTTCCGACAGCGAAGAAGACTTCTCGTTTTTCTTTCAAGATCACACACAGCATGTCATCAAAAGCGATCCTCCAGCGTTCATGGCGAGCAACATGCCGCAGCCCGCGGATGGGGGCACCAAAGCCCACATACGCACCTCGACGGTGGAGTGGCTCAATCTCACAAAGGCCAGGTTCAGATCGGTAGGCCACTTCTTGCAGAAGCACGAAAATAAAAAAAACCTAATGTGATACAATTGACTGATACAAGCTTGATCCAGAGTACTTTTCCCCGGTGCCGTCAACAGCAAGTTCACCACCGACATGTCCTTCCTGAAAGCCTCCGACCTGCCCGCAATCCCCACATACCGAGTCATTGACTCCGACGGCGAGCTGGTGGACAACTCGAGAGCCCCTCCGGACGTATCAGACGAGGAGGTGCTGACATGGTACAAAAATATGCTGTCGGGTACGTTAGGTTGATACAGTGGGATGAGCTTGCGTCTAATATGTCGCAGTCAGTATTATGGATGTGGTGATGTTCGAGGCACAGCGGCAAGGCCGACTTAGCTTTTACATGGTATGGTTTCCGCTCTGCAGGACCACTCAGATGAAAGGGCTCGCTGATATGACTACCTTAGGTCTCCGCGGGTGAGGAAGGCATTGCGGTCGCATCTGCCGCTGCACTTACACCAGACGACGTGGTCTTCGCGCAATACCGTGAAGCAGGGGTCTTCCAACAACGAGGATATACATTGAAGAATTTCATGGGTCAACTTTTTGCCAACTGCAACGACACAGGTAAAGGCCGCAACATGCCTGTCCATTACGGACAAAATTACCCCCGCATAGTGAGCAACCCCAACAACTCATAGCAGCACCGGTCTTCCACTGGTAAGCTATAGGACTAATTCAGTAACGCAGCACACAATTTCATCCCCCTTGGCCACGCAGATCCCTCATGCGGCTGGCGCCGCGTATGCTTTGAAAATGCAGGACCTTCAGAATCCCAATCGTGAGCGTCGAATCGTTGCGTGCTACTTTGGCGAAGGTGCAGCCAGTGAGGGCGATTTCCACGCCGCTCTCAACATTGCCGCCACGCGCTCATGTCCTGTGGTGTTTGTGTGCCGCAACAACGGATTCGCTATTTCTACGCCAACCCTTGAGCAGTATCGCGGGGATGGCATCGCTAGCCGAGGCGTCGGATACGGAATCGATACGATCCGCGTCGACGGTAACGATGTCTTTGCAGTCAACGAAGCTATGAAGGAGGCCCGTCGACTCGCATTGACCGATGGCGGGCGACCGGTCTTGATCGAGGCCATGAGCTACCGCGTTTCCCATCACAGTACTAGCGACGACAGTTTCGCATACCGGGCTCGTGTGGAAGTTGAGGACTGGAAGCGCCGAGACAACCCAATTATCCGCTTAAGGAAATGGCTGGAGAACAAGGGGCTTTGGAACGATGAGCTAGAACAAGAGACTCGTGATTCCATGCGAAAAGCCGTGCTGAAGGAATTCAGTGAGGCGGAACGGGAGAAGAAGCCCCCGCTTCGGGAAGCCTTTGCCGATGTGTACGAAGAGTTGACCGAGGAAGCTCAGGCACAAATGAAGGAGCTTAAGCGGATCTTGGAGACTTATCCTGACGAATATGATCTCCGTCCATACAAAGACGGCGTCAAAGGTCTCGACTAAGTGTGCTACAACTGATCAATATATCAAGACCAATATCATTACCTTCATATCCTCGAACTGCCGAATTAAACAACTGTGTTGCGAAGCTGTAAATAAAGGGGTGAAGTCAACAAATTGTGTCCGATTATGTAAAGACTGAGTGCAGCGACATTTTCCACCGAGTGCTGCTGGCTTCTCTAACATTTACTTCCTAGAGACTTTATCTACAGTGCTCACTGCTCACCACCTTAGTACAGTACCCATCTCTCATCACAGGTACATCGCCGGGGACGTCGCATTCCAGGGCCCATTCAGTCGGGTCTCCTTACCTCAGGTCGGGAAGCTCCACTTTTCTTGAAGCTCTTACCTACCCAATCGATATGGCCAAGTGGGTCCGGGCTCCGAATCGCTGGGCGATCTCACATACTTACATAATGCTGGACGATCGGCTGGGCTGCGGCCCGCGGCCGTTTCTGCTTTCCGGGACTCGAAAGTCATCAGTCATCACCCGCAGTCTCGGGCTGTATTCAGGTCTCTGTGTTGGTTGATGGACCTCAACTTTCGTGCAAAGATTGAAGCTTCCACGTTGACTCTGGCCTAAAACTCATGCGATCTCTGTCAACCCGCCTATCTGAAGGACAAAGGCATCAGTCTTCATTCCCATCTCACTTAAAAAGTCAATCGATCCCGCGAGAGGAGTGAGGATCGGATAAATCGAGTATGATCCCATTCTTCCAACGATCTCGGGGAGATCCCTGGCATCGGATTGGTCTTGCGTCCGCATTCCCCGATCTGAGCCTGCAGGAGAACTGCTCCAAGATCCACCCCAGTTGCAAAGCCTTTCACATTCCGAAGGTGGATACCGGATCCTCCAGTGGCGATTCCCCCCAGGAAGCCGATATCGAAGCTCCTGGGGATTTGAAGGACCAGGTCCTTGTATTCCAGTATAAAGGGAAATTCCACGCGGTTGATCACGTAAGTAAAGCGAGTGTCCCCGGGAGAATATGCATTCATGGCCAATTTGAGTTGATGTTGCGCTGCGATAAATTGCCATCCTGATGGAATTGAAAAGGGGATCTGACAAGCTTGCCTCAGTCCTGTCCACATTCGGCATTTCCGCTTTCACAAGCCAGTGTCTTTGATATTGAGGACTTTGGGATCACACTTAGTGCTGGGCTCACGTGTCCCAAGCATGGGTGGTCCTTTGATCTGTTTTCCGGCCAAGGGGATCGTGGGAATTACAAGCTCAAGATTTGGGAAATAGATCTACGTGAACCATCCGTGTTGAGCGAAGAGATTTGCAAAGATGAGAAAGAGGTTTGGGTGAGAAGGAAACAACGGATCGGCTAGTACAATCACATGCGCTGGCACATGCAAGAGAAGTGATATCAGTCGAAGAAACCTGCGAGATGATCTTCATCCCAGAACGTTCACCTAGCAGATCCGAAACTCAACAGAATCAGTCACGATGGTCATCGTCGCACCAAAGACAAAGAGACCACCAGTAATGAAAGCCAAGAATATGAAATGCCCTGTCACCCTTGCCTAGCCACGGTCGTTCTTCTGCAAAGCTTAGGGGAGCTCCACGAACCGTGGCATTGTCGTCTATCATCTATGGCTAAAGGATGAAGACGACGGATGCTTCCTCACTTACTTTGCCCTGTCTACAACGCCATCTAATGCCCCGCAAGATCCTCGATTGATACGTGCTGCTTCTGCAAGAAGATTATACGCCATCCAGAAGAATTTGCCGTTCTAAACGTACGACTTTTTTGTCGGTTCCAGAGCGCGTTACCCGCAACCCCTACCCAAGTGAATGCAGTAACCCTAGCCACCGGGATCGTTTTCAGAATCGCGGAGTCTGCAATAAGCTGCGATAGTTTTGCCCCGGAACATCCTTTCTCTTCAATCATTTAGATCGAAATAATCAGAGATCCAATGATCCTCCTTCTGAAATCCAAAGTATCCAGGGGGTTGCCGAGTCGGCCCCAAGATCAGGGTAGTGGAATTCCGTGGATCTGTGATCGACTAGAACATCCTTCTCCACAGAGTCGATGCAGCACATCGGAGGGTATCGGGCTAGTGGGGAAGAAACGTTCAAAGTGCAGAGAGCTATGGAAGCAAGCTAGCCGATCTCATTCCTGGGGGTGGATTCCACGGAATGTACGTGCTGAGCATCCAGTGTGAGTCTGCAATCTCATCCGGACCGAAGTGGCGTTGATATGGCACTTTGGAAGATGATCTGGGTGCAATCTCCCATCGCTGAATGCATTCAAGAAAAAATGCCTGACAAGAAGCCTTGTACGTGGGTGTACGTCACACGACTTTCCTTGTACGCGAACTGAACGATGAGAAGTTCGCCGCGGCTTGCATGTGGATGACCACTTCCTGACTCGCCTCTGCTTGGTACTTGGTAGAGCGTCCTCTGTGGTCTGACTGATTCTTCACGCCATATGCCCGAAAGCTCATTCCTTTCACGTTCGGGGAACACCAATCGAATGACCGGTCCCTTTAAACTAGGCACGTTCAATACCCGCACCCTGCGGGCAGGAGAGAAGCCTCGACCACAGCTTGGTGAGTTCGGGGAAACCAGACACAACCGTCACAGAGCGGCCTCGAGGAACGCTGTGTATGAAACACATTCGGTGAAGCATCGGCAGGAGCTCCCTTCGGAGAAAGAAGAAGGTGGAAATCGTGCACACAATCTAGCGTAGCGCATCCATATGCCCCAGGGAGGCCCAAGGATGTAGCAGGGTACTACATAGTACATACTCGCCCTTCCATTGCATGTAACAGAATAAAATGAAATCCATACATTCAACTCTTCGTGGTTTTGATGTATGCCGCTTCTCCAGAATCGAAACTTGATTCTCAGTAGGGCTATCCCATCGGTACGGTTGCAACAGCGTGCAATCTCGTCAATTGTAGCCACGGCGGCTGCACGACGAACGCACCATTCGATAATCATCTGTAGATAAACGACTTCAGACCTAATTTACTTACCTCGCGTTCACCTCAAGCCAACCGCTCACCAAGTCCAAACCTACCAGTACCTGTCGCTCGACCAAAGATAGATGATTGGTTATAGCGTCACCGAGAACTTACGCACTTCGCCCAGAATTGTCTACTGACAATACCTGCATGTGACACGCTCAAGGGGCTAAGGCCTCTACATTTTCCTTTTTAGGGCACACGATACAAATTTAGACACAAGCTTGCTGGGCGGTTTTGACATTGTTCATACATCGCGGACGTCAGCCTCCGCTCACAACTAATTTTACAGTATTCAGTCTGACATGAAAGAAGCCACGACATCGTGGCCCGCTTCTCTGCCTGCTCCTCGGTTCACGGCTTTCAAGCGCCCTGGATCAGGGACAGCGCGGCCTGCTGAATCTTTTTGTTGCGGCGAAGAAGCGCGGCAAACTTCTTGTCCAAAGAGTCTAGCTCTTTTCGCGTGCTTTCCAGGTCCTTCTGCGATAGCCCAGCAAGATCCCTGAGCTCTTCATCAGTCATCGCGGCGACGTCGTCGATGGTAGGATTGATCCCAGGACTGCCTGTAGAACCTAGCATTTGCTTGGCCGTGGCGGCAGCAAAAGATCGGACCGCCGCGGTCGTTGTCTGGAGGAGCTCGGCTGAATGAGCAACAGCCCAGTCATGACTACGGGTGTTATCCGCTTCCATGGCAGAAAGCACATTAGGAGGAATGACAGATTCGCTGCCATTCAAGGCACGGTCGTGCGACCCCGAGTCCACTTGCGAAGAGTCGTCATGCGCCCAGCAAATATTGTACTTCTCAGGCGTGACGTAAAGAGCGTCCAGTCCGCCATTGATATTGGTCGACCCGTCACCAACGGCACAGGGATCAACAGAAGCACCCCACCATTTCTCAAGCTCCAGATACCGATCCTCTTCTTCAACTGAGAGATGACGCAATACACATCCACGCGGCGTGATGAGGCAACGTTCAAGAAGCTGATCAGAGTCAATTCGCACTGGCTGTCCATGGATGAGAGACTGTCGATGAGTCTCAAGGAGCTCAAGGGGCTGTTTGAAGGTGTAGTAGTCCGAACCAATGCCCTTCATATCACTGCGCTGAGTGATATTGGTAGGATTGAACAAGGAACTCTTGTTCAAGTCTAGATCGCCAGATTGGTGTAGATCCATGAGGAGTTCGTGCAGGGGCTTGGTTCTCTCCATGAAAAGGTCCTTGGTGGGGCGACCAGTCTCTTCCGCATCTTTGATCAATTGCTCTACAGTGTTTTGCGAACGCCAGAATTCTTCAGAAGCTTGCGGAGGTGTTGGAGGAGCGGGCGATGGAGTTTTCTCGATCACAGTAGTCGGCGCTGGAGTCTCTTTGCTCGTTACCTTGCTGACAAGCTGTGGAGGCTCCACGGCTTGTACCTTTTCCTTTTGCACGGGTTCGGGCTTTGGGTCGGTCTTCCTGGGTGAAAGAGACTTCAGCCTGACAGGTTCTGCGGGCTCCGAGACCAATGCGGTGGAAGCCTCAGTAGACGCTGTTGCAGTAGTGGGAATTGTAGTCGGCGTAGTACTGGGCGCTTTCTTAGTCTTGCGCTTGCGTCCAATGATTGGAGCTTGAACCGGTTCCTCTGTAGCCGTAGCCTCTGCTTGCTTTGCCTCCGCGTCCTTTGCCTTCTGTCGTCGTTCCTTTTTGAGCTGGCTCTTGGTAATAGAACGCACTGGAGCAGACCCGATACGCGAAGTCGCAGGCGGAGAGCTTGCTCGGGATACAGAGGCCGAAGGGAACGTATCGGCCTCTGAACCAAAATCCCCGGGCGTGTCAGGTCTGCTGCTGGACGATAGACTCTGTCTCCGTGATTGGGTCTTGGCCGGTTTGGTAGCAGACCCAGTGGCTGGTGAAACATTGGCTACTGAGGTAGCAACATCGAGTTTAGGGGTATCGACAACACGCAAGATGCGCGGCTGCCGCAGTGCAGTAGTTTCCGTGACACGGGTGTGAGCTGCGGCCGGGGTATGAGGTTGCGAGCCCACAGCTGCCGGGGTCGAGGCTGAAGTGACAGGCGTGCTACGTTCTGATTTAATCCCTGATTGTTCTTGAGATGCCTGATGCATGGCCAGTGTGATTTGGCCCCCGTTGCCTCCAACAGAAAAATTCTGGTCATCCTTGGAGACCGTTTTCTTCTCTTCAAAAGTCGACAAATCGAGTTTCGTATGCGTCCGAGCTTTGTGTGGTTTCGCCACAGGAGAGCCCAGAGAAATCTGAGCATTTTTCTCGCGCGTAGGCGGCGCGATTGGGCGTGAGGGCTCAGGGGTCATCTTTGAGGACTCATTTTGTGCGGGCTTCTGCGACGGCGTTCCAGCGCGTGAAATGTTGACGCTGAGACCGGGTGGAATACTTGGGGCGGGTGAATTCGGCTTCGAAAGGCTCAATTGATCCTGGAAGACACCCGAAGCAGGGTGTGACTGTGGCAAAGGAAGGCCAGGTGGTAGAGAAGGCGTCCCAATTCGACCAGCAAAGTCACTGGGCATCTGGATTTGAGACCTGAGGAAGCCGAAGGGGTCAACAGGTTGATTGTCCGTCAATTGACTTCCGATAGGTGCAAAGTCCTCATCCGCTGTCAATGATAAAGTCAGCTACATGATCAAGTCACAGGAACGAAGCAATCAAAAGCGATGAACGCCAGAACGATGAAGCCATGCGCAAAAGGATGACCACAGGTGGACAGATGACAGGCGATGGTTCAAGTAAGTGGACTATACATGGTTCAGGCGCGCCGAACGTGGATTACATGAAGATACTGACACGCAAGGGCTAGTCACAGGGTAGGGTCGAGGGTCTAATGAAGAAGGCTGTGAGACAACTGTTTTCGAATGAGACCCTATTCGGAGATTGGCGATATCAGGGTAGGGAGGTATTTAACGTACATCAACCCATGAAGGAACCAAGCACGGTCTCCAAGCCGCGGTGGATAGTCCAACGATCATCGACATGCAACATCAAAAAAGCTTTTGGGGTGGGTAACAATAGCCGCCGGAGAGAAGGATGAAGGGGGCTCGTAGATCATGCAAAAGGTCCAGGGTAGAAAAGATCCATTGGACAAGGATTTTGAATCGCGCAACATAAGAAGAGGAGGCCGAGCATCATAGGGTTCCATCATGAGACCAGGTAGGCATGCCAGCAAGTCGCGAAAGATTCGAAGCGGCCGCTTCATGAGTCGAGGGGATAGCGGCGGATATCGATGGGAGACCGAGCATGAAAAATTTTATAACATGAACAGAAAAGTAGTATCGGAAGGCAAGGGTCGGACTGACGCGTAGAAGAAACATCATAATATGAGACCGCGACATGGGAATTGTAGGGGGAAATCATCAATGTGGTATAAGAAAGCCAGAAGCATGAGATGAGACATGCGAAACAATTAAAGAAACGAGAATAGCACGAAAGCAAAACATAATAGACAGCAAGTGAATTACCAGCGGCTGAAGCCGTTGGCGGCATACATCATCGAAGGATTGTACCCACCTTGGCCCTGGCTCCCGTACAACGCCTGTCCAGCAGTAGCATTGGCACCAACCTGATGCATTCTCGCCTGCAAAATGCTCGGGTCCGCAAGATCTACTACACCACCTCCACCGGAGGAAGTGTTAGCGAGTCTCTGCTTCTTCCCCTTCTTCTTCTGCTTCTGTGCGCCCCCAGATTCAAGCACCGAGCTTGCCTGGGGTCCATAGAAGGAGCCGAGAAGGCCGTTCACGGGAGTCAAGGGGGGTGGGGTTTGGTGCTGTTGTAAAAAAGGAAAAATGTACTCACGCTTTGCGGCCTCCTGACCCTGAACACTACCCGCGTTCGTGCCTGTGCGGCCACGAAGAAGTTCACGCATCAATTCTGGTGTCGAGTCCTGCTTTCCCATCGTGGCACCCAATCCGATGTTCGCATTTGCTGTGAAGCCATGGCCTTGAGCAAACATACCACCGCCACTGATTGGCGGAGTTCCAGCCGTCTTCAAACCAGGGGGGGGACCTTGGACGCCACTGGCATAGAACCCACTGGCGAGATTATGCTGAGGGCTAGGCGAAGAGAGAGCGTTGTGGGTTGTTGCCTGCATTTGACTGAGCATTCGAGCATTGCTGATGTTCTTAGAGCTGATGTCATTGGCGAAGGTGAACCGTGAAGATGGGCGCCCCTGACCCTGCAGCGCATTCAATTGCGCAATTTGGTTCTGCAGCAAACCCTGTCGAATCTGAACTGCATGATCCAAGGAAGCTGATCCCGTGCGTTCCACTCCACCCGCCTGTTGGTTGCCCGCTGATTTGAGGAGCATCAATTGCTGTTGCTGCAAAGGCGTCAGGCTGCGGCCGACCAAGTTCAAGCCTTGGAATTGATGACTTGAAGCAGAGACCGGTGATCCCACTGTGGAATTCTCGGCCGTGCCCTGTTGTGATGGGGGCTGGATCGCTCCATGTGATTCACGACTTTGTGATGGCCCGCGCGAGTTGTTAGACTCCTCAGGCTCTCCACCTAGCTGGAGGCTACCAGCTTCACGACTCTCCTCTTCGGCTACTGCTGATTGCAACAACTCTTGTTCACGTTTAATACGTTCCTGGTCAGCTTTTTCTCGCATGGCCCGGCGCTTGACACCACCGTATGGGTCAATGAAAGACGGGTACGATTGTATGGCTCTGATCTCATCCTCAGGAAGACCTTCGCTCGAGAAGACAAACTTGAAGTTGGGGTTCATCAAATCCTTGAGTAGGTTGTCGAAAGGCGTGGGTGCGACAGGCTTGGGAGAAGCCGACTTAAGACGAGGAGCTGGCGATTCAACTTCCGGAGACCTCGTAACCGGCTGCGATACTCGTGAAGCTTCCTGGGGTAAGGGGGATTGCTTCTCCATTCGTTTCAAGTCTTCGATGACAGGCGCCACATGGGCACTGGCGGGCCGAGGGCTTTGCGAGGCCTGACTTCCAGTAAGGCTGGCGCGTCTGGTTCGAATAGTCACATCTTTGTTTGCCCAACTGGCAGATGACGGCAGAGCGGGTCCGTCCGGAGCCACCGAGCGCCCGCTCAGAGAATCGTCCTTGCTGGGCTGTCGACGCATTGTATGGGTAATAGGCTGAGGCGCGCGCATTTGTGGTGGATGTTGAACGTGACTCGGCCGTTGGCTAGACAGAGTGTTCATCGAGGAGAGATCGGAACGACTGTAGCTTTCGCTGTCTTCCCCTGTCTCGTGCAAGAACGTGCAATTACGGTTGTTGCACTGCTCGTTGCGGAGGAACGAAGAGCAATACTTTGTGGTGCCATACTGGGCTCGTAAGACACGATCGCCGTTTGAGGACCCGTCGACAGCAGCGATGCAGGTAGCAGCGTCTGCCTTTCGAGAAAAGGTGACGTAGACACCGATCCCTTGGTGGGGGTTGCCGCCAGGCTTAGCCTTGCTGACCACGATTTTCTCGATGTCTCCATATTGACCGAAGTAATCCCGTCCGCGCAGTGTTTGAAGCAGCTGATTCTCATCGCGAATTGTTGGATTGAGGCCGATGACGTAGACCAAATTCTTTTGTACGACACGAACCCCAGCAAGATTCTTTCTGCTCGAAGCTTCGATCTCACGCTTCTCGGCTTCCTTCTTCTTGGCGGCGGCGGCCTTTCTGTGTTTCAAAGCCAAATCTGCCTTGAATCTAATATCATAACGAGACTATTGTCAGTATGCTGATGTCTCGTAGGTCGGCTTAAGATTTGATGCTCATCAATTTGAACTCACTCTTCTGCATCCGGAATCTTGTATTGAATCGTGCTGTCATCATAGGGCCGGCGACAGTTGGGACAGCGTCCTTCTTCACTGTGGGTCTTGATGTTGTTGTAACAAAATTGGCAGATCTAGCAAGACACTATGTTAGCTGGAAATCAACAGGATTGTGAACAAAGACGGCAGCAAAATCGCTGCGAAAAGACATACTTGGTACCCACAAGGACAAGGTTTAAAGTTCTTGTCTGAGAGATCAAACTCCTCGATGCAGAGGGGACTTGAAGTTCGTTAGCGCATAAGTTGTACAACATTTTTGGATGCGTGCAAGTACCAGAACTCATCATCGTCGTCGATGACTGAATCAATTTGTTGCCGATTGGACATGGTTAATGTAGGAAGATGTGTTGAAGAACGGGGAAAGCGACTCGCGAATCTCAACGCCAGGTGTAGTGAATACGTTGGTTGGGTAAGAAAATCGAGCGGGAAGAAATAGTCGCGAGCCTCGTGGCAAAGAAAAGAGCAAGTCGGAGGGGTGCAAGGTCAAATCAAGTAAGAAAGGAAAGGTGTCGACTCGGCAGGTTAGCTGAATCGTCAAAGAGTTGGAAGAAGGGAAGGAAATCAAACTACGGCTTCAATTTGCTGGCATTGCCCGAACGCGCCTAGCGTGGGGATGAGTTATGTCAGCGTCACGTGATACAATCGCAGGCTCATCCAACGTCCAACTTCCCAAACCACATCACGAACCCTTGCCCGTTGCAACAGTCGCCATTGCCTCCGTCCCACAATGGCTTCCCCTCGCTCTTTGATGCGCTTGAGCTCTGGACGCTCAGTTGCTTCCACTGTGAGGTCCAGTGCTCCCCGCGCTTTTTCGTCAGCATCTCTCCGCTATGCCGCGAAGGCATCCACAGATCCCAGTGCACCGGAGCTGGAGAACATGCGCCAGGCGCAACGACCCCGTATGTGACCAATTGAGCGGCTCTGAGATTGAAGAGGCGAAAACTTACCCAGCTTTTTCTGTGCAGCCACTGGTCCTCTCCGCGCCCCTGTCGTCAACCCCACCGACAAATACCAGAGCATGTCCGATGGCCTTCACAACTATGGACAATACATCATGTCCTGTCTTCCCAAATTTGTGCAGCAGTTCACTGTCTGGAAGGACGAACTGACCGTCTACACTGCTCCCGCCGGCATCATCCCCGTCATGAGCTTCCTGAAGAATCACACATCGGCCGAGTTCACGCAGATCTCCGACATCACCGGTGTCGACTTCCCTACCCGTGATCAACGCTTCGAGGTCGTTTACAACCTTCTCAGTGTGCGCTACAACTCCCGTATTCGAGTGAAGACCTACGCCGATGAGGCTACTCCCGTCCCTAGTGTGACCGGTCTGTTTGAGGGTGCGCTCTGGTATGAGCGTGAGGTGTACGATATGTTCGGCGTGTTCTTCTCCGGTCATCCCGATCTTCGCCGTATTATGACTGATTACGGTTTCGATGGCCACCCTCTGCGCAAGGACTTCCCTCTGACGGGTTACACCGAGCTACGATATGACGAAGAGAAGAAGCGCATTGTTATCGAGCCCCTTGAGCTCACCCAGGCCTTCCGTAACTTCGAAAGCGGTAGCACTGCCTGGGAGCCTGTTGGTTCTGGTCAGGACCGGAAGCCCGAGTCCGTAAGTCTACTTTTCCGGAAAACTTCCCAATACAGAACACCCGCTAATTGCATCAACATTTAGTTCAAGCTGCCAACCCCCAAGCCCGAGCCAAAGGAGGAAGAAAAGAAATAGAGAAGAATCTGTATGCGTATCACTTTCCGTTTTAAAGCTTGTATGTACATATGAATAATCCATCAGACGGAATTCGCTCTGCTCTCATTCCAAATTAATGTGTCTGGAGAGAAGTGTGCGGCACATGGTGACGAAGTCGATCTATATCTATATTGCCCCATATTTCCCGCTAATGTTTCCAGCCATAAGCTCATGTTCAATGATACGTTGAAGATTATGCCCACCATTAGATAGAGCTTGTTGTTACACCTCAAAATCACAGCCGTCAGGACGTAACGATTGAATGCTATGACCTTAAGGTTGACGTTGACAACCACAGAGCTGAACGTGTCGCTCATTTCATCACCCTTGAAATGCGGTCCGACGAGCATAAAGACACTAACTCCGACGAAGACCGCCGCGTCGGAGCAGTTCTGCACTTAGAAGGCGGGGACAGATGGCAGAATTGCCCGCCCTCCCAGAAAAAAAAAAGATGGGCCTTGGCGGCTTCAACTCCGACTGCAAGTGCGACTTTGCGATTGACCGTTCAAGCACACATAACATCTTTATGACCCGGAACTGCGGTATAGAAACAGAGCGAAGTGCGCTTCTTTGATCGAAAGGATATCACAACTTCACCATGCCGAAGCGCAAGCTTTCCGAGCTTCACGGTCAATCAAGACTCGATACCCGAAAACTGTCAATCAAAGCCGTGCGACTCACAACCAAGTTCGAGCAAGGCGTACAAATACTGGCCAAGGGCCTTAAGACAGCGCGTGGATTCGAGAGACAAAAGTTGAGTCGGCGGGAAAAGACAGCAAAGTCAGAGAACAATGGCGCGACTCTGCAGCGCCTCGCGGAGGAAGTTGAAGCCTTGAAGGTGCGGAGGAAACGAGTAATATCCATGGGGTTATTCGGTCAAAGCTGACTCGAGACTAGGCAATTGACTATCCACTCACTGCAGAGCGATACCTATTCAAGCAGCTGGTCAAGACGAAACGTGTTGCTGAGACCCCGACATTCAAAGAATTTCAAGAAGCGAAGAACGTTAAACTCGATGGCCCAAAGAGCGCGGCAGAGTCGAATGTGTACGGTCGACTTTTCAAATCTACACCCGTGAAGAATGTCCTGCCCGATATAATTACTGGAATTCGAAAACTTTTGGGAGTCGACGACCTACCCGCCGGCAAATCAGAAAAGCGCAGCGAGCCAAAGGTGCCCGTGAAGAAAGAGAAGTCTGCCGCGCCGCCGAAAGAGGACGATATATCAGAGTCAAAAGATGAAGGGGCGGGAATAACGAAGTCAACGAAAGCAACGGCAAAGCATGATTCAGGCTCAAATTCCGAGGACGGAGAGGCTCAGTTCGTCTCCGGGGACGAGGATATGGATAGCGATGACCTCGCACAGTTCGACTCACGTCTTGCCCCCGGCACAGATGAAGAGGAAGAGGAAGAGGAAGAGGAAGAATCAGGCTCGGAAAGCGACGATGAACTCGCGCATCGACGAAACTTGGCAGATGACATCTCCGACTCAGTGTCTCGCTCCCCGTCCCCAGACTTTTCAGGCGAGGACTCCCCACCACCCAAAAAGGCCAAGGGAGACAAGGCTTCCAAAGATCCAGTACAAAGCACGACTTTCCTTCCCTCCCTGATGATGGGCGGCTATTGGTCAGGCTCCGAAGAAGAGGCTACCGACGACGAAGCGGCCGGTCCGCCCAAGCGAAAGAACCGAATGGGTCAACAAGCCCGCCGCGCGCTCTGGGAGAAAAAGTACGGCGCAAAGGCGAATCACATTCAGGAAGAGCAGAAGAAGCAGCAATACAGTCGTGATACCGGTTGGGATACTCGCAAGGGTGCGACGGGGGCGCCTGGTGGTCGCGGAGGCCCCAGAGGTGGACGTGGTGGTGGCTTTGGAGCAGGACGTCCTTCGTATCAAGAGTACCAGCAAGGTGGGCCTGGACAAAGTCACACAAATAAGCCCAGAGGTCCACCTAAGGACACTGGCCCACTTCATCCGTCATGGGAGGCCAAGAAGAAGCTCAAGGAACAGGCGTCTACGGTGAAGTTCCAGGGAAAGAAGGTTGTGTTCGATTAGCGAAGTCGTTTTGTACTCTATCAATACTTGTCTATGCATGCTTTGGGTGACGGGATATCTATGCATCATTGAAGCGCTAACGAGCACTATGTTTTATCAAATTCCAAAAGGTTCATTCCTCTCCAAGCTGGCACAATTATGCTCTTCCAGATCAGACTAAAAATATACTTGCAATAGAGATGTGCAGTAAAGGGTATAAGGCACGGATGGACAGATCTCTCGCCATCAACGGTCAATATGTGAACAAAACTGTTGGCACCTGGCCGTCGGCAGATCTCATATATAGATCTCTTGAATGGGTAACGCTAACCCTGGATGCATATTCACTCGTTCATGAACTGCATCCACTGTGAATCTGTACTTCCCGGTGTCTTCATTTCAGTGCCAATAGGCAGTCCTGTCATGGTTCCCTGTGTATCTGTCTCGAAACACGGGATCGCCGTGAACTCGCCCAATTCCTGGGGGAAGTTCGAAACGAAGTGGTCAAAGCCAAGATGCGGGATTTGTGATAAAGATGAGTGTGGTACGTTGTAGCTGTCGGGTATCGAGATACCGCCCGGAATGTCGCCCTCCATGATCTCCCGCCCATGACTGCTCATGTAGGAATGGGATTCATGGACGCTACTCGCGTTCAAGACAGAAGGAGTGCCTGCAATGGCCGGGTCCGTAGAGGATATTTCAGATTCTGGGTGAGCGATCCCCTGGGCGAGGGCAGCCTCGTTGGCAGAGAAGATCTCCTGCTTGAGTGCCAAGGTGCTGGGAGATACGGGTCCCGTTTTCCAGAGCATCTCCCAGTTCTTGAAGCGATCATAAGCCGATTCGGCACTGCCACCGTTGCTTTGGGATTGGTGGGTCTCGCTCCAGATTTCAAGTCGGCGGATAGCCCGCTCGAGTGCCTCAATAACGCTGACGGCTGAACGAGCAGAGCCAACACCCATCGACATAATCTTAATGAGGGAGATGCCTTGATCTAGAGCAGCACCGAGACGCTCGGTGCGTTTCGTGAGTCCCTGCGCCAAGATGACAAGGAGGGCGGCGCGGCATGAGCTGAACTCAGTGAATGAGGCACGCGCAAGGCCGGTCTCATCTCGAAGTAGTCGACATAGATCGATGATCTCGAGCGCTGCTTCGACACAATCCGTTACCAGCGTTGCCCGGTTTTTGGCTACCCCAGAAGAAACTTTGGGGGGACCGACATTGGACGTTGACGGTGGGTGGGAAGAAGCCTGTTGCAAGCCCTTGATGTTGCTGAAAAGGAACGGACGTCCGATGAAGATCCGAGTAAGACAGTAATCGAGCTTCAGATGGACATTCGACCGGAACAATGGCCCAGCGGGGTTGAGATCTCGACAGCTCGTTTCTTCGGGCAGAGAAGACCACCATTCTATCAAGAGCTTTCGCAGATTGAGCAGCCGCTCAAGACAGTCCTGCTGCCCTTTGCGACAGGTGCGTAGAGACGAAATTTCGTGGGAGACCTCTCCAAGTTTTAAAGTAAGCGTGATCAGGGCAATCATATTTGTATGATTTGACTGTTGCGTGGCAGGCATGATTCCCGCGAAATCCACAGGAAGCGGTGCATCGACATCCGTATCCGCCAGCGAGGCCGGGCGACCGTGCAGAATACTGATACGCTTTTCGATGGTATACGCGGTCCAGAAGACGCGGTTCCGGGTCTCGATCATTCGTGCTGACAATCCCTCGCCGTGGTACTTCCTATGCATGCCATTTTGGATAGCGAGCTTGAGGGCGAGGCCAAAGTATGTATAACAAAGACCGGAAGTGTCGAGTGGAAGTAAGTAGGTTCCAATCAAAAGGCAGGCTTGTACGCTACGTACAGATGCGGTGGCAATGATATCGGGCAATAATTTGGACGCGAACTGGTAAAACGTGAGACCAACTTCATCCTCGGAAAAGTGGTGATCTAGATCGGTCGTGGTTGTTGGAGGTGGACGATTCACAGGTGTTGTCGATTCCATGTGAGCGAATTGGGTTCCGACGGCCAGCACCATGAGTAGCGCACACACGGCGCCCGCGTCATCTGTAGACAACTCCGCAGGGTTTGTGTAGCAGATGGCCATCTTTTCACGCAGCCAGTCCTCTTCAACGTAAAAGTTGTTGGTTTGCGCATATTTGAAGAAAATTTGTACAAGGAAATCCGCCACGTATCGCGGAGGCAGGCATGTTACCGAGCTGGAGATGAGTGAAGAGCCAGATTGAAGTTGCGTGGCTCGCCACCGTTCTTCGAATGGTTCGACCTCCGTCGTTGCCTAAACCAAACCAATGGCGTAAGTCAAACGTCCTGCATTGGCAACTTATTGGAATGAAGGTAAGAGTGCTCACCTCTGGAGCTGCTGTCTTCATCCATTCGTCAATTTTCTGACGGATCTTGTTGGAGAAATTGAGATATGAGAATTCTCCCGAGTATTCTGTGAAGAATGTGAGCAAGCGATGAAAGACGATGCGCGGTTCAAAGTCTCATCCACACGTACGAGTTGCATTGTTCGGCAAGGCTTTGATGGTGAAGTCTTCCTCGTCAATCGCAAGATCCTCCAGTTCGTTTCCATCTGCCCTTGTCGAAAGTACATCCGACTCGGAGTCTCGATGTTTCCCTTTCAATTCATCCGCTACCTGCCTCAAAGATTGGAGGTCGAAAGTAATGTTGGGCACATAATGAGACAGAATGCGTTCCATGCAGCGCACTCGCTCTGCTTCTTGGATATCATGCCGATTGATAGATGCGGCTCGGTCGAGGAGTCTGCATTGCATGCATATGAACTCGTTAGCCAAGCCTCAGAGCCTCGGAGGTTCACACGAGGATCGGAGCTTACGAGACCGAGGCCGAGCGAGTCTTCTCGGTCGGGTCTATATGCGTAAAGATGCATTGACGGCGATAGCGCAGGCATCGGCGACACGGCACACCCCCTTCGCATTTTTCTTTCACTCTGCGACAGCCATCGCATCTGTTCCACAAGACAATTCCGGAGGAGTTAGCGTGCCGGTCGAAGGTGTGCTTTGACGAACGAGTAGAAGAGATCCATCCCACTTACGCGCGAACTGCTCGTTTGCGATTCTCTTCAGCGACCCGAGGCCGCTTGGGTTGGTGCTGTTGTGGTTGCGTGGGGGCTGGAGTTGATTCCTCCATCACAGCCGGTCTTCATGAAAACAGCGGTCGGCCGGTCGGTCATGCATAGTCCGTTGGTCTGCGGAGAAGGTGGCCAGGGCGGGAAATCGGGGTTGACCCCGAGATCGGTCGGGGTATGCGCTTGCTGGCAGGGTTATAGGGACTTTGAGATCGAGGAAGATCAGTAGCACTGGGCCGGTCCGAGAGCGGAAGAAAGTACGGAAGGGGAGGAGCTGAGGGGATTGCAGAGGTACCGCCAGGGTTCGACTTTGAATGTTGGATGAGAAGAGAAAGTTTGGTGCGTCGAGTCGGTACAGATTGCGGCGGCTCCAAAGAGTGCACGTCTGCACGATGGAACTGTGGCCCCGCATTGCGCCGGGGCCGCACAAGCAGCCGGTTTTGCTTGAACTTATCTCTGAGGTTTATCTTTCTACGGGTCGTTTTTGGCTAGTCTTTTTAGGTCTTCGCGGACGGTCTTTTCTGGATATCATTCTTTGAATTTCTTCGTCGTGAGCTCAGTCTCACTGATGTAAGGTTGGAGTTCTTGTCAGATTCGGTCTGTCACTAAATTTGATAAGATGACCTTTCCTTCCTGGGTGCACTTCAATCGGCCGCCGTACGTCCAGTGAACAATATACTGACTACATACCTGACCTTCAGCTTTTACTCAGTATACTGTTCCATTCTTGCTCATTGAATTCTCCCGCATCCCTCCAGTCGGCTGCTATGTACTTTTCATAGTCGGCCTTATCTTTCCCTCTCCTGGTGAATTTGATCCAATAACCGTGTTTTTCGCTGTACTTCCTCCATCTCTTAGGGCCTTGGCAGTTGGAGAAGGATCGTCAACGTGCGTGTAGTTTGTCAGGGTGTCATGCTGGCTGGATGGTACATCTTGCTTCGTTCATATGTAAAGTGCACATTCTGATTTGCGCAAATCAACAAGTTCATGAGTCTCGAGGTTTCTAAAAAATTGCTTCTTCCATGTTACTAATTTCTTGTTCGGCTGGTGAATCATTTTGCGAATTCAACAGCCAGTCCTGGCCCAGAAGAGGCTGTTCGCAACCTTAAGACGCAAAGACGCAAAAGGATGGGGTCGTTCTATGGTCTCTAGAATACAATTTCTGTCCAATTGGATAAGGCATCGGCTTCGCGATGGATGGGTATGCGGCTACATTTATATAAGCATGTGCAACAAAATCACTCCAATGTGATACAGGATTCATGGATGAGGTTGAAGATGAATGAACCTGCAGCTTCGTGATCATCAGTCAGGCAGAGTCATACTCACGAGGCCCCGTTGAATCCGAGCATATCCGAGCATCCTCTTTATAGCTTCCGTGTCTCTAGAATCCATCCACATGGACTCCCAACCCAAGCGTCTTGCCCACTTCCAGAGTCTTCTTCCCTACGACCAGATCCATGAGACCCATTCCAACACACTTAAAGATGACATTAGCTCCCGCCGGAACATCGAGTGATTCCGACGGACCAAGTTCACTCAACAGGTCACCCATCTCCGTCAATTGCTGCTCCGTGATCCCCGCCGTGATCAATTCACCCGCTTCCTCCAAGCAGGCCGATCGGGAGTCCACGTAGATCTTGCCGCCGCCCGATAAGAGGGTCTCGGTATCAATCTCGTGCATCTCAGGCGTATACGATCCAATGAGCGAGATGAAGCGCTGCCGCGGCGCGGCCTGAAGCGCAGAGTAGGCGAAGTTGGGCTCAAGCGAGGGGGTGCAGCTGAAGATCACGTCACATGAGGCCAGAAGCGCAAGGAGATTCTCTTCGTAGTCCGATGCTGACGCTCCCTCCTTTGCGAGAGTGTGAATCGTAACGTGCGGATGACGCTGACGAAGATCAGCAAATACGTCGCGCTCCATCTCGATCAGACGCTGGCGTCCCCGGTTCACGAAGGTGATGCGTTTGATCTCGTTCGGATACAGGAGCAGAGCCAGGCGCGCATGCCATTCTGCTTGGCGACCTGATCCAAAGATGAGCAGGTTCTCCTTGCCGATGGTCTGGCTTCGAATGAAGAGGGTCATGGATGCGAGAGCTGTACGGAACGCGGTGACCTCGGCGGCTGCCAAGAGACCCTGAAGACGGCCGTCGGGCGAGAAGATATTGATGACCCCTTGAATGCCGGCCCTGGTACCCGTCACGACCTTGATGCCGATTGTGGCGGTGTCGGAGACGGGCATGAAGATGCACGAGTTGTCCGCTGCGGTTGAGAAGACTGTGCGCAAGGGCTGATGAATCAATTTCTTGGATGCCGGCGCGTTCGACTTTGATTCGGCAGAGAAACCTTGCAAGGCGTCTCCTAGAATACTGATGAATTCATGGCATTGAGTTTGGCTCAGATCACGAAAGACCCGAGTCACATCTGGCTCGGAGAGGATATGCATGTTGATCTGCAAAGAACAGATCTGGTTTGCAATGCGAAATCGGGAACAACTTGGCCGATGGAAGCGAGGAGTAGTGGACCTTCCGAAACAACGGCGCTGGCAACCTCTGAGTGGACCAGTGCGCAAATCAAGGATCATCAAAAAGTCTGATACTGTAGTTCCTGTCTTTTGTTGGTGAATTCCCACGAGAACGCCGTGCCGGGCGCGGGGGCGCCGTCAAACAGCTGTAAGCGTTGCCGGCTGCTTCATCCCCTCCCCGAGCGGGGTCGTGCGCCGCTCAAATATGATAGTTCGATCGTCTAAGCTCCAGGCGCAGCATCATGCAGAGCAAGCTATGTGGAGTTCATTTGGAGCATATCAATACGATTCGATTTTAGGATCCTAGGGACCTAGTCTACTCGTTGAGTGGAGTAACAAAGAAACAAGCCAGTGACCGCAGGAGATGAACGAACAGTAATGTGGTATAATGATAAAAGGTTTCATGATTCGTCGCTACCGGTATGAATAGTAACCAAAATAAAGACTCGATCGTGGCTCGATCACAACAAACGCTAATACCATCTATGAGCAAGTGATCCGCGCGACACAATGCGATCAGAGAAACGCCATCCGGTGTTGATGCATCTAACACCTCCGAAGCATGCGCGATGCCTTTGCAAAAACGAAAGGAAAACAAGAGAAAAAAAAAAATCAAAATCAAAATCAGGACGGCCACCGAGACACGTCCGTCCAGTTGTGGGAAGAAGGAATATCAAGAGGAACAGGCACGCTTAGTGGTTTCCTCCGAAGACGTTGCGGCAGCGGCGCTTCAACTCATTGATCATGGCGATCTGGGAGTCCTTGGTACGGCCAACAGCCTCGGTGTTCTCCACAGCGCGCCGCAACAGGAAGCCCATGCACTCTTGCACGGAGCCCCAGGTCAGAAGCTTGAAGACATTGGGGGCAGCAATAGGGCTCATGCCAACCTCAGCCTCGGCATCCTCGAAGCCCTCCAGAAGCTCCAGGCTGACCTCATCCGCCATACCCTGGAGCTGAGCGTAGCTCAGGTCGACACCGTGGTCCTCGCCACGAGCAGCCTGGCGCACACGGATCGCGTGAGCCTTGCGAACGGATTCACGGTTGTGGGTTGCAATGATGAGATTGACAGGAGGCAGTTCGGCAGGAGTGTCGGGGGAGGGACGTTGCAGCATCGAGTTGTACCTGCGGGCGAGGAGAGCCTCGACGACCTCGTCGTAACAACGATCGGTTTCTTCCTTCGCGGCCCAGATCAAGTGACGGGGCTCCGTCTTCATGTAGGCACCGCGGACGAGCTTGACACCCAGAGTGTATCCCTCCCGACGAGCAATCTCCAAGTGACGGGCCAAGGTCTCGCCAGTGGAACGCAAATAAGCCTGGTAAGTCCCGAAGAAGATGGCACGACCGGGCGTCTGAGAGTTGCAGTATTTCTGATACTTCATGATCCATGCCTCAATGCCCTTTTGCACAGCCTGTTCTTCGGCATCGACGAGGAGACGTACGCGGCGAGAGATGGCCAGGTCACAGACCTTTTGAATCGACTCGTCCATGAATGGGGTAGGATCAGCCTGCTTCTGCAACAGACTCAAAGCGTCGTTGCCCATTCCGGTGAATTTCAAGGCCACAAAGTCCCCCTCCTGGGCCATGTCGACGGTTCGAAGCGTGCCGTCCAACCATGTCTGAATCTCAGCCAGGGCCGCCTTCTCATCGCGGGCACCTTGCTGGCCTTCGCCCACGAGGACTTCGCGCGCATATCCCAAAAGCACGCCGCGGCACCCGAGAGATTTGATGTTTTGAATGGACTGTTGTACTTCGGCTTTGTTCTCGCCGGCGTTGAATTGTTTGTAAATGGTGTGCTTGACGATCAAATTCAGCAGCGGGTTCTTGGAGACATCCAGCAGTGCTGACCGGGGATGCGCGAGTTGTGACAGAGCGAAGATGCAGGGCTTGAGGAGGAGGGATGAAGATGATACGGAAAGGATCAAGAGAGATCGCAAGACTGAGGAGAGCGGGAGCTTGGCGAGAGGCGCTTTGAGCGCCCGGCGAGGTGGCGATGAGGTGGACGACGGCGACAGAGGATCCAGTAACGTAGTCGATGCGGCGGAGGACTTGGTGTTACTGGTGCCGCTCACCAGTCGCGAGCGTGTCCGAAGGCTGGGGCCCTGGACGCCCGGCATACGCACAGCACGTGCGGCCTTCATGATGTGATGTGTGGAAGTGAGACTCTTTGGAGTATGGTTCAACTTCCCGTGTAGGGTTGGGTTGATAGTTGGGGAGGGGAAAGAAGTTCGCAGGACTCCGAGAAGGTGGTGGTCAAGAAGTATGATGGTTGTTCAGATAGATATGCCAAACAGTCTCTTGCAAAAAAGACCAGAGGCAAACTACTTTAATACTTAAGTACACCAACGCCCACAAATGGCCCATCCCCGGGCCACCCAGTCTACTCCAGCTTGAACCGTACCGACGCCAGCCCTCCAGATCAGGTGGCCACCTGCAGCAACCCCCATGGAAATTCCATACAAATCCGGGCCGATGGCGACCGGCTCTGTTGCCGGGCCCTGCGCAGAAAGAAAAGAAGCACCTGCTGGACCCACCGATGCTTATCGATCGCTTGCAGGTCACGTGCATGTTCCCCCGTCGGTCACAAGACCTCGTGGATCGCCAGCTGAGGGCAGGAAAAGAGAGAAAGTATGAATGAGAACCCGGTTATCCTCGGGCCAGCTTTCAATCTTGACTACCCTGACAGTTGAGAATGGCCAGTTTCGTTATCGACTAGTCACATCGGCCGAGAACAGGCTTCTGAGTCTGACATCGTATCGTGGTTCATGACATCGGTACGTACAGGGTACTATGTACCGATGAGGCATGCACATTGCTCAATGCACCTAGTATGTAGAATCAAGTACAGTAAATGTTTGGGAGCGCTGGAGTACAGTATGACAAGATGATCTTGGTTGAACGTAATCACCTTGCGTGGACTAGGTAGAGCCAGGATGTACATCCTGTCTTCCATTTAGCTGGGATGAAAGCCACGAGTAAGAAGATCGATAATCTTCTAGCAAATGAAGAAGCCTCACATCGCATTAAATCAACCATCACTAGTACTGCGCCAGTCAATCTTGGATTCCCAAATCCTATAAGGCGCCATCCATACAAATGGCGTCTTTGCGCGAGTCGTGCCGTGTTCGAAACCTAGAGCCGTGTTTCGAGACCTGTCAAATCACTAAGAGTAGACGTTGCCGCAATGATGCATGATGATGTATGCCTCGATTGTCAACTAATGTTGCGGGGGATGGAATTGAGTTCACGGTCCCCCTATCCAAGCTCCAAGCGGTAATAGCAGAGGAAGTCAAGACCCCTTATTCAAGTTGGCAACCTCAACTCCAGTAGAGCAGTAGAGCTAAGTACTAACTACTAACTAGCCACTTCTAAAAGTATACTACTGTAGTAGTGTTTCACCTCTGACCCTGCTATCTCCCGCCCTAGTTGGTGCATCACTACTACCTGAGGAGTAACCTACTGCACAGTGCACAGTGCAGACTGCAGACTGCATACCGTAGTACTTTTGGCCCATGCCTTCGGTCCAACCTGGTACAAAAGCCGAAAAGCTGACCACTTCTGGGTCGAAGGATCCATCCCGCCTCCAGTGCCGGGCGCCCGCTCAAACCAAGAGTGCAAATCAGGAAGAAGAGACTCGACCACGGGCAAGAATGCAAACGGTGGGTCGTTCACTTGACGTGTGGTCATCTACTAGTCAATATCAATATATCAGTGGAATCTTACCATGCTTACACAAAGGACTGGCAACGACTCTAATGAACGGTCGGAGAACTGAAGTGTGTTTGGAAGCCTGTAGAGAAAATGTAAAGTTGAAAGCTGGTGTAAAGAACTCTGTGTTGAGTTGCCGTACGGTTCTGTAGTGGGAATGAATCTGTAGTGAAGACAGTCGATAGGAGCTTCCGCAAAAGGGAGTGAGTTACCGTTGACCCATCGAGAACATGTCGATCAGGGTTCAACCCCGGAGAGTAGGGGAGGTCCGTTACTCCATTATCCACGGGAGACTTCAGTGATCAGGAATCGGAGCGAACAGTAGTATCACTGTCGAGTCCGATAATGCATGCAATCCAAGTGCCTATCGTCAAAACAAAGACGAAAGATAAGGGACGATGTGCGATACAGTGATCCACTCATTCGTGCCTCAGATAAGCGGACCCTCTCCCTGCGAAGATGGGGAAGAAGACGTGCACCCGGGCCGGTGAGAGTGGGGATGACAAGGTTTGACGGAGGACAGCCCCACCCGTGGTCGATTAGAGTAAGTCTTGGCAATCTCGATGGATTGGCGACCAGCCGAGAGAAAGCGTGTGAAGCGGTCCCGGACTCCCGGCCCGTGACTAAACACTGGACAGCATGTCATTACGTCATGTTACTCCTTCCACTCGGGACGGCTCTGCCTCGGAATTGAATGATCACCTGACTCGATCGAAGCCCCCGCCCACTGTTGTGAAGCCCCCGCATGTAAATCGCTACACTGCAGCATTAAGACACCCAATGCCCAGCATCCAAGAGTTTGCTGCCTTGGAGAGGAGGAACACTCATTGACCCCGTTCGGCCTAGCAGCTTTGGACCGCAGGTGGGACTGGCACTCTCCAATTGTTGCTGACTACGATCTGAGTCGGGACCCGCCTCTAGTCGCTAGTGGCCGAGGACTTTCCGGTGGATCCGTTGGAAAGGACATGATGGTGCCTGTGGCTTGTCATTCTCATTCGTCTGTACTACTTTCGAAGACTTGGTGAAGTTGCCGGGCGGGATCACTCCCGGTAGCCAACCCGCCTTGCACTCGGCTCCCCGCATTTCAGACAGCTCGGTTCTCGTTTCACTCTCTTGCTCAGATTTCTTCCCCGGTCGACTACCAGCACCTCCTCGGGCCAATCTGAGTATTTACCAGGCTCTCAGACTCAGCTTCTCTTCTCATCCAGGTCTCATCTGGTAATCAGCGTCTACACATCGACAATGCAGACCACCGTCCTGCGAGCGGGTGCGCGGCCCTTTTCGCGCTTCGCATGCCGAGCATCTAGCTCCAGTGCCCGTGCCTTGAACACATATGCCTCGTTCAAGGTGCCTCAAATCAACAACGAGCCCAACGTGAGTCCGTCGGATATCCAGAATTTAACGGTATAGATACTGACAGTGGGTTACCACAGAAACACTATGTGCCTGGAAGCCCTGATCGCAAGGGCTTGGAAGAAGCGTTGGCTAAATTCAAGCAGTCGGCACCCATCTCGGTGCCCTTGAAGATTGCCGGCAAGGAGGTCAGCTTGAGAAGCACAGTTCATACACTCCTCAGTGCCCTTCTAACTTTGCGCAGATCAACTCTTCTCAGACCTTCACGCAGAACAACCCTGCCACGCACACCCCCGTCGCCACCTACTCCAACGCTTCCAAAGCCGATGTCGAGGCTGCCATTGCATCCGCGCTTGAGGCTCGCAAGGCCTGGGCTGCTACGCCATTCTCGGAGCGTGCCAGCATTTTCCTCAAGGCTGCCGATCTGATCGCCACCAAGTACCGTTACGATGTCATGGCTCTGACCATGCATGGCCAGGGCAAGAATGCCTGGCAGGCTGAGATTGACTCGGCCGCCGAGCTGGCCGATTTCTTCCGTTTCAGCGTCAAATATGCCGAGGAGCTCTACTCTCAGCAGCCCGTGCACAATTCTCCAGGAGTCTGGAAGTGAGTTCGCGCGCAAATTACCCCTCCTCCATCATTCCGTCAGCGTGGTCGCGCCACAAACTAACTTGTGTGCCTCGCAGCCGTCTCGAATACCGTCCGCTGGAGGGCTTCGTTTACGCCATCAGCCCCTTCAACTTCACCGCCATTGGTGGCAACCTGGCTGGTGCGCCCGCTCTGATGGGTAATGTGGTGCTATGGAAGCCCTCGCCCGCGGCCATTGCCTCCAACTGGTTTGTGCACAAGGTTCTGCTTGAGGCGGGTCTCCCGGAGAACGTCATCCAGTTCGTGCCTGGTGACGCCGAGGAGGTCACCAGCACCGTCCTCGCCCACAAAGAGTTTGCTGCTCTGCACTTCACCGGCAGCACTGATGTCTTCCGTATGCTCTACGGCAAGATCTCGCAAGGTGTGGCGGAGGGCAAGTACCGCAGCTACCCCCGCATTGTGGGCGAGACCGGGGGCAAGAACTTTCACTTGATTCACCGGTCAGCCGATGTGCGCAACGCCGCGGTCCAGACCGTTCGCGGTGCCTTTGAGTACCAGGGCCAGAAGTGCAGTGCCACTTCGCGTGCCTATGTTGCCGCTTCTATCGCCGACGATTTTGTGAAGCAAGTCGTCGCCGAGGTGAAGCAGATCAAGGTCGGCGAGCCTTCCGACTTTGCCAACTTCTGTGGGCCCGTCATCCACGAGGGCTCCTTCAACAAGCTGGCTGGCGTCATTGACGAGGCTAAGAATGACCCCGAGCTTGAACTGCTGGCCGGTGGTACCTATGACTCTTCCAAGGGATGGTACATCCAGCCCACTGTCTACCGAACCTCCAACCCCGACCACCCTCTGCTGTCGCGCGAACTCTTTGGCCCCGTTTTGGTCATTCACGCCTACAATGACGCGACCGAGGCCGACTTTGTGAGGATTTGTGACAAGATTGACACTACCGGGACCTACGGCCTGACTGGCTCCGTGTTTGCCCGTGACCGTGCGGCCGTGCAACTTGCCGACGAGCACCTCCGCAACGCTGCCGGCAACTTCTACATCAACTGCAAGAGCACCGGTGCTGTCGTGGGCCAGCAGCCCTTCGGCGGTGCGCGTGCCAGTGGCACCAACGACAAGGCCGGCAGTGCCAACTTGTTGTCTCGCTTTGTGAGCCTGCGCTCCGTCAAGGAGGAGTTTGTCCCCACCTATACCGTTGCCTATCCAAGCAACGCCAACTAGGCGGCGCATGTTCAGTACCTCAAAAAACTCATGGCTCATGAATATCTGGCGTCGAGCACCCATTTGTTTGATCTTTTCTATCCTGCATTTTACCCTCGGCGTTTTCGATCTTGGTGCCGTTCTTTGTCTCTCTCGTTTTACAGTGTCGCTCAACAAGGCTACGCCGATGTGAGATTTTGTAGTATATCCCTCAATTGATTTACCACTTCGATTCCAACTCAGTGTCTCTTTGTTGATCTCTTTATCAAATACTTTCAAGATTCTGTGACACATTCCTTCAACAGCTTCTGCATGTTCTCCATAGCCTTCTTTGCGAATGGCTCCATCTCGTACTTCTTCCCCTTGCCCTGCGGACCAGCATCAAAAATCTCCATTGAGAACCATCCTCTGAACCCGGTTTTCAGGACCGCCTTCGCGACATCCATTATGGGCAAGTAGCCCCCATCGTACGGCATCGGCCGATAGTCATGGCTCCACTGCGCGCGAGGCCTTAGCCCCTTGACGTCTTTATTCTCCAGAGGCGGGGAAACCTTATACGCGTCGGAGATCTGCAATAGGTATATCTTCTCTGCAGGCACGGTTTGCGCTAGCTCCTCCATACTGCGAGCAAATCTCTGTTGCACGGTTCCCGCGGAGGCGTTCTCGATCAATCCACTGGAGCATGTTGGATCGGCCCATTCACTACCTGCCGTTTGAAATGTGTCGAGACAGAGACCCACGTTGGGCATGTCGACGTCACGGACGATTTCCCAGACGTCTTTCCAACTTGGGGCATGCGTTGACCAGCACCAGTTCTCGTAGGCCAAGCGAAAATTATTCTTTGCGAGCATGGAGCCCAACTCGCGCAAATCAGACACAATCTGTGCGCGATCTGTGGAGATCTTGCCTGCAGGTGAGTCCGTGGAGCCGACCTAGAACATTTGAGAGATGCGTTGAGTTAGCGGAATAGTTCATGGAACCCCAAAACCATCAATGGGATATACGGGGAAGGATCTCTTGTCTAGACCCGACGCACCTGCAACATATCCGTCCCCGCAGCTTCCATAATCTTCATCCAGCCGTTGGCCCTCTCAAAAGCCTCCTTCCGCTCACGCGAATCCTTGGGCCACCCCTCGAAGTTCGCAAAGGGCTGCAACATCATCACCGTCACACCATTGGCTTTACAATCGGCGTAAATCTGCCGGGTTACTTTCGCCAATTCCTCGTAGTCATCGGGCGGAACTTCGTACCCGTTCAACTGCCCGGCATAGTCGAGAATGTCCGGGAAGGAGAGTTCGATTGCGGTGAAGCCTGCTTTGCCGATGGCTTCGAGTCTGCGCGGTAAAGTGTCGCTTGCACCGCAGCCGATGGAGCAGGACGCGTAAGAAAGAGGGATCTGTTGGAGGGACGAGGCTGTAATTGAAGTCATGGCTGTATGATCGCGATTGGCAGATAAATGGGAATGTGGCGGTTGTGATTCAGAGTTGTGGTGATGCTTTTTCCATACAACTTTGAAGTATTCGTTCCGTTATTATTATTGTGATTGTGATTGTTCAAGCCAGAAGATCTGTGGTCAAACTTTAGTATATCAACACTACAACCTGGTCTCGGGTCAGCGCGGCCTGACATCTGGCGCTTTCCACCACTTGGTACCCGCATGGATCATGATGCAATGATGTTGTGAGAGCGCGGGGCGTTTCCTTGCCTTTGTCGTCAAATCGACATCATCCGAGCTTCAGCGCCGACGCACGCTTGATTCCATCAGCAACCCAGCTACCTTATGCCGGGCTGGAACCTCGAGCACCGCCCGGACGATGTTTGGCCGGACAAATTGGTTCTTTTATTTGGCTTCTCTTGACCTCTCATGCTCCCGATTGCCGCTGATCACATATTGACAGCACTCATAGCCAGTCCCGCGGAACTATACACCGGTGGCCATCATTAAGTTTGGGATTCGAGGTATATCCCAGGGCTGTAATTATCTACCGAGCATTAGTAGTAGATCCTTGATGAACTTCCATCAGGCTATCGTTCTGAAGCGACATCTACCTACCTTTACCTCGCATATCCTACCTATTACCTCACGTACGGACAAATTTTTTTTTTCCATATCGAGAAGACATTGTTAACCCAAAACTGATTCAAAATGCCATCCGCATCCGCTGATCCCACGAAAAACTTCAAGCGCATCGGAGTCGTAGGGGTCGGGAGTATGGGCTCCATGATGGCCTTTGCCTTCTCCGAGCTGGGTCTGGACGTATCTGTCTGGGACGTGGACAAGAGAAATGTTGAAAAAGTCATGGATTGGACGAAAAAGTCGACTACGATGAAAGGCAAGATCCAGGGCTTTACCGACATCAATGAATTCACCCGCAGTCTCGAGGGTCAGGGAATCGGGAAACTCTTCATGTTCTCCATCACCCACGGCGAGCCCGCGGACTCGGTCCTGAAACTGATCAAACCGGATCTAAAATCAGGCGATATTATCCTGGATGGAGGCAATGAGAATTATCGTCGCACCGAACGGCGACAGAGGGAATGTCAGGATATCGGCGTACACTGGATCGGGATGGGCGTGTCTGGTGGATATCAGTCTGCTCGACGGGGTCCGAGTCTGTCGCCCGGAGGTGATGCCAAAGCCTTGGAGCTGGTCATGCCGCTTCTGGAGGCCTACTCTGCCAAGGATCCCAAGTCGGGCGCACCGTGTGTGACTCGCATTGGACCCGGCGGATCTGGCCACTTTGTGAAGATGGTGCATAATGGCATCGAGGGCGGCATGCTCTCAGCCCTGGCCGAGACATGGTCATACATGCACTACGGCCTGGGGATGGACTATGAGCAGATTGGCGATGTCTTCACGCAATGGAACTCTCAGGGCGAATTACGCAACAACTTCCTGATTCGGATCGGAGCCGACATCATGCGAATCAAGAAGACGAAGAAGGGCGACTGGCTTGGCGAGGGCACCAGCGACAGCGATGGCTATGTGCTGGACGACGTCCTTGACAAGGTCGTTCAAGACGACGACGGCACCGAGGGAACGCCTCTTTGGTCCCTGATGGAATCTGCTTCTCGACACGTTTCTACTCCCACCCTCGCCGCAGCACACTACATGCGCATCGCCAGCGGAAACCGCGCCGAGCGCGTCGAAGTCGCCAAGAAGATCCAGGTGCCGGGTCCTCGACCGATGGAGAATATCAAAGACCGCGCCACGGTCCTTGAGAAGCTCCGGAAAGCCGTCTACTGCACTTTCCTATCATCTTTCTGCCAGGGCTTGGAGCTCATCGCCCGAGCTTCCAAGGATGAAGGCTGGGCCGTCAACATGGGAGACTGTCTGCAGATCTGGCGCGCAGGTTGTATCATCCAGTCCGATTACATCGCAGACCTGTTGCAACCGGCCCTGACGGCCAACAAGCACATTATGAACTTGAAGTTCATCGACGAGGTTGCCCAGGAGCTGCACAATAATCTGCCGGCTTTGAAGACGATTGTCATGGAAGGAATCATGTACGATCAGTACATTCCGGCCCTGTCGGCAACTTTGGATTATGTCAAGTACTCTGGAGGAACTGCCTTGCCGACCAAGTTCATGGAGGCCCAGATGGATTACTTTGGTGCGCATGGCTACAATAAGCCGGGTGTGCCTGGAGAAGATCCCGGTCCGACTCACAAGGGTTCGCATCATTATGAATGGAAGCCCGCGTGAGCTCTCTGCTGTAGAGCGAGGGCTTTGAACTTCGCAGATGACAAGTTTTTGGTAGTTTCGGGTAAGAAAGGCTATTGTAGCGCGAGAAAATCGATAAAAGCAAGCTCTTGCAGGGGCCAATTTCCATTGGGGTGAACAAAATGGGTGGCTTGTTCACATTACACCCAAGTCAATGCGATCCATAGCCTAGACGATGATGAACCCTTACCAATTGACAGTATGGTTGAACTCTTCCCACGTCTATGGAAGAAATATGTAAACAACGATTCAGGCGGGACTAGTTCCATTCGGTGGCTGATGTAGATCTTGGGATATATCACAGTCGCAGATCAGCTGTAGATCGATATTGAAGTCAAAACGCTACTACACATGTACTTCTGTCGGTGCACAAGTCAGTCGCATAGATTCCTGGTGAACAATTAACCACCTGTCTGTCGTCATGAAGAGCGTGTGGATCGTGTTTGGATCAACAAACTTCCTTCGGAAGCGGACTCGCCTTTAAGCCTCAGGCACCCACTGCACACGTGGGGCTCCCGACCCAATGGAAGCGGGGCAGTCCATCTAAAATTTGTCCTCAAGATGCGCTGGACCACCAGCATTCGCTCTCTTTCGACCATATCCAAGCCTTTCGTCAGAATCGAGACGGCCAAGCAGTTCGCGCGCAGAATGGCCGACCTTCCTTCCACATACGATGGTCTGTATAGCCCATCAAACATGCAGATCGAGCATGTTTTCCCCTCCCCTCCAAGTCACTGAGCTTCACCCCACCATGTCGCAGCGCTGACAGGCGCAACTTGAAATAGGGCCCGTCTCCATCGCCGTCATCGGCGGCACCGGTCTTCGTGAGCTTCCTGGATTCACCCAGGTTGCCTCGTTGAATGTGTCGACTCCCTGGGGCGAGCCTTCCTCCCCGATCACTATCCTGCACCACAAGTGCAAGCACAACGACAAGACCGTCGCGGTCGCGTTCCTGTCCCGTCACGGTCTCCACCACCAGATTGCCCCTCACGAGGTGCCTGCTCGTGCCAACGTCGCTGCTCTGCGCTCCATTGGCGTTCGCAGCATTATCGCCTTCTCTGCCGTCGGCAGTCTGCAGGAGGCCATCAAGCCCCGCGACTTTGTCATTCCCGATCAGATCATTGACCGCACCAAGGGTGTTCGCCCATGGACCTACTTCGAGGGTGGTGTTGTCGCCCACGTTCCCTTTGGAGATCCCTTCGATGAGGGTATGGCCAAGGTGGTCCGCGAGTGTGGACACAGCTTGGAGGGCGACGGTGTCGTCCTGCACGATCGCGGCACCATCGTTTGCATGGGTAAGTCCACGACTCAAAACAAGAAGAGAAAGGGGGAACAAATGAACTGACTCAGTCCTTATGTGTACAGAGGGTCCCCAATTCTCTACCCGCGCCGAGAGTAACATGTACCGCGCGTGGGGTGGCAGTGTGATCAACATGTCTGTCCTACCCGAGGCGAAGCTCGCCCGCGAGGCCGAGATCGCCTACCAGATGATCTGCATGTCCACCGACTATGACTGCTGGCACGACTCGGCCGATGTCACCGTTGAGATGGTCATGGGTAACATGAAGTCCAACGCTGCCAATGCTCGCCGCTTTGTGACCGCTGTTCTCGATGCGCTGGCCGCTGATGAGCACGCGGATTTGGTCAACGGCAAGCACCTGGCTGGTTCCATCAAGTTTGGCGTCAGCACTCCCCAGACCAACTGGAGTTCCGAGGCTAAGAAGAAGCTCGACTGGTTGTTCCCCGGCTACTTCTAAGCTGGTAGCACGCCACCTGGAGCAGGCATATATGCATGACATACCTTTTGAGCATAGATCATTCGCAAATAGATACGATACATTCATAGTCGAAATGACATATCTGCCTCGAACGACATTAGCAAGATGGAATTCATCCGTGTGTTCCAGTCGTCAACAAGCATGATCTCGATAAATTTCGTGACTTTGTATTCAAACAATGAGCGATGCAGGTGGGCGACATAAGGCCAGTTGCATAACGAGATGATATTCCCCACCTCGTCTGCATAGCTAGATCAGCGTACTGCTACATGTAGTACTCAATACAAGAGGCTTAACCCACATTTAAGAGTCCTATATCACTCGGTCTTGTTTTGTTTCTTTCCATCACACGTCTGACGCTTTTGCTCTGACAAAGTAACGGGTTGATGACCTCGCCGAGCCCTAACGGGGAGAGGGAGAGGGGGAGAGAGAGAGAGAGAGAGAGAGAGACTTCGGACCAACGCCAATAATTAGATTCCCTGAGCGTGCCGGAACTTGTAAGAAGAAATGAAAGGTTTCCCGCTTGCAAGCGTGATATACGAAAACGGTAGTGGAAGAAGCACTCATCGCTGCCACGGGCTTCTTGCAACCGACGCCAGCTTGTATCTTTTCTTGCCCGCTTCAGGCCGCACCATCGGGCAGACAGCAGCCGCTTAACCTGAACCGCCCAGTACAGCGATATCTTGGTCCACTAGTCATGACTTTCTACCACGTCTGCAACTACTCTCGTCATGTTTTTTACTCTTTTTCTGCCGTCGGTTTCTCTTGTGGTACTTTCCCAAATGTCTTCCTAGTGGTGTGCTCTCTGGCCGTGGTTTGTCTGCCGTGTGTTGCTCGGGCGGTTTCGAGCTGTTTCTCTAAACTTTACTTCCAGTCTTTCTGCTCTTCGCTTTATTTTTATTCTTCCATGTTATGTAGCTGATGTTTAGCCTTGTCTTGAATTGTCAAGATGACAGCAAAAGCAATGCTTTGGTGCTTTTCTCGTTTCGTCGATTCGAGCTCACCATGCCTCTCTTTCGGCTCTTTGCCGGCTGCGTCTTATCCCATACGTCGAAAAAGGGTGGGAAATCAGTACAAACTCATTCTACAATTCCAAAATAGTAAAACTGGCTCCAAGTGACGAGGGTGTTTTCGCATCTGGGGGTTTTACCTCAGCGCCGTCGATAACGTCTATTGTAAAGGAAAGCACATTCAGGGCAAAAGATATGCAAGTGGCGTCGGCTCTTGGGCAGGGATTAGTAGTTTCGTTGAATTCCGCAGTAGCGGTCAAGTACTTCCCTTATGGCTCTCGTCTTTCGACGGTCCCCAATAACCTCTGGTCTTTGAATGAAATAGTTGGAGCATCATATGAAAGGGCCTCTAGTGCGAATGGTACATACATCTCAGCCTCAAAAAGCTTGTGCATAAGTGGATTGTGCCAACCTCGTATGCACTATGCAGATCGCAGATCTAGCATGTCAGCGAGAGCAGAGCAAAGCGTGACTAGGACAGACATCCCTCCCGAATATCCAGTAGGGGGAGAACACAAAAGACGTGACATTCGGCTCATACATATATTGAAGCAACCGCAACTAGTCGACCTTGACAAAGATCACCAGATTTTCTTCGCAACCATCTCGTACCGATGAACATGATCGATCTTCAGATCCTTGTCTTTGTTTTTATCGCGGTCCTCTTTCTCTTTGACACGTCGCAAACCATCTGGATCATCGCCATAGATCCAGCGGCGCTTCTCATCGCCCAGCTCAACCATGCCCCAGCCCCCGGCCCGTCGACTGCCCTCGACATTGAAGCTATCTTTCCGAGCGGGTTGATCGTGAGCTGGAGTCTCTGAAGAGGGGGCCTTCCGAGACTCGTGTTCTGCAAGTTTCATGCGCTTGTAGCGGGATCGGGCAAAGGCGAGAAGACCCATCCCGAGGAGGAGTTTGAGAATCAACAGGACGATGTATGATGTTAACAGGAGGACTATTGTGAAGATTTGCACGGATTGTGCTGGTGAGGGCATGGCGTTGTCGACGAGAGTGCTGAAGAACGAGGTGACGTGGGCGACGGAGACGGGAATCACGTTGCGAAGCGTCAGGGGAGCCGTGGACGGCAGTGGGCCAGGCGCGTGGTTTCTGTGGATGGCTGCCAGGGATGTCGCTGTGAGCGCTGTTGAAGATGGGTGTTGTGGAAGCATTGAAGCGAGGAACATTTGGTATGTTTGCACTGATACACGGATAAAAAGGCACGAGAGCGGGATGACAGGGAGGCCGAGACGACGAGTTAAGTTTTGGTCGCCAAAGGCGTTGGTATAGTAATCCTTGGCTAGAACGTCCAGATATCGCCCATAAAGAGCGGGTCGGTAGTTGTTGAACTTGTTGATATAGGCATGTTTCAACCAGTCAACGAGCATCTCAGATCCCAGGACTACCAGGAATGGTCCTAACACTTGACCGAATGTCGGTAGGAAAGAGTTGACACTGCTGACAGATGCGAGGATGGAAGATGGAAAGAAGGTGAAGGCCTGAGGCAGGATGGACGATGCACTTCTTGGGGGAGTCGACAAGGGAGTGCTATTCGTGCTGGTAGAAGTCTGGCCGGAAAGGCTCGAGCCCAAACCTAGATCGCCGATGAAGTTGAAGGCCCCTGTCTCCACAATATTGCGAGACGCAATGATAGTGAGCATGAGCCAGAGTTGGAATCGTTCAACGACGTCAGCACACGTCAACTGGAACAAGTTTTCCTTTTCAAATTTGCGGAAGACGGTGGATTTGATCTCGACGAATTGATTTGACAGAAGGAGTGTCATCAGGGCATTTGAATAAGAATTGACTGCCACATTGAGGGTCATGACCTGGGAGAAGAGGGACGTTGCATGAGCAACCGTGTAGACCAGAGCCGCTAGAAATAGCCCAAACGGACGCATTATCTTACTTCGTCCGTCAGGCCTTCTCTCAAGGGCTTCTCTCGAGAAGAGGCACTCGAGAACATCCTGTCCAATTGCTGCCAACAGACGATCGAGGACCTCCAGAACATTATATATGACATACAGTTTGATAGCCGCCTGTCCTCGAATCCAGTGGTACATGCGGCTAGCATCAAAGTACATCAATGCCCAGCAAGTCGCAATCATCAGCAACCCAGTCAATATATCTGCCTTGTCATCCGGCAGAAGAGTTGAAGGGATCGACTTGCTTCGTCGGTGATGACGGCGAAATTGCGAGGTACGGTGTCTTCTTTTGGAAAGGTCAGAGTCGCGATGACGGGAGTCGTGATCAGCGGAGCCAGTGACATCTTGCTCCGCGGATGATTCACTGGCCGTTGGAGGAAGTGCGTCGGTTTCGCTTTCTTGTCTCTCGCCATTCTGCGTTCGTCTCTTCCAAACGCGCCCAACTCCGTTAATCACAAAACCTGAAATTGACCAGAACTCAGCATTCAGGTTCTTCATCCACGATTCAAACAAAATATACACGGCCTTGATGAAGCGCAGCGGAAGAATTGTGAAGGAGTAAAGCCACGAGTCAAGACATGCGAAAGAGCCGAAACACAAGACCTGCTCCAGGGCTCCGGGGAGAATCAGGAAGTTCATCAATCGTTCAATCTTAGCACTTGATGATTCATAGGGGAAATCAGTGGACGAAGGTCGATGGATATACAGGGGAGATGGTCGTCCGGAAGCTAATTCAAGTTGAAGGTATGTGGGTAGTGAAACGGGCGGGATCGGAATAGACACAGGTGCCATTGGAGTTGCAGGAGACTCTGCGATTTGAGGGGAGGCGGCAAGATGGCCACCCACATCCCGATCGAGTGTACTTCTCTCCTGCCGTGACCGCGAAGCCCATGTATGTGTTATACGTTCACTGTGCAACTGGAGATGAGGAGGTCGAGATAACCCAGGAGTCGAGACCGTCCGAGAATTGTGAGGACGATTGCGAATATTTCCATTGGCAACTGTCTTGTGAAACGCCGAGTTGACAGGCAAGGCTGGCGTTTCGAGAGTAGAGCTCTTCGAATTCCTCGTCTTAAAGTTGCGGTCAAGAAGTGAGGCTTCCTGGAGGGACTGTAGTATTGACTCCCGTATCTCAGGCCGAAGTGTTTTGTTCTCATGCCGTCGCTCTGTGTTGGTTTTTGGTGCGTTGACCTGAGCATCTTCTGTTCGAATGGGTATTGAGTCTGGAGAGCTTATGAGCTCTTGGATCTTGTCGGATGATAGGGTCAAGACTGGGTCATTGTCATCGGCAGCTTCAAGTGGTGTCTCTTCTGCCAATCCGGCCAAGGCAGCTTTCAACTTAGAACCTTCCAACAGAGTCGCCCGGCCATTATCCGCCGTATCGTCCGACGATAACTCAACAAGAATACCTAGGCCTTCACTCCGATGGCTGTGTAGTTTTGAAGAAGTTGTGTCGTCAACTGATTCGTCGCGTACTGCTCCATCGGCATTATCCCCGGTGCCATTTATCCTGGGCTGCTTCTCGGCTGGGGACTTCTGATCGGATTGACGATCCATGAGCATGGTCGATCTTGGAATATATGGCGCGCCCTGTTCGTTGATCCGCGGGCCATTTGCCATATCGTCCAGCGGAGCCCCTGGCGTTTGTCCGGTCGACTTTTGATCCGCCGCAGATCCGCAAGTCTCGACTCTGGATGTCATCACCGCTGGTCGTACAGGCCCTGATGTATGTTTCTGAGCCCCCGTTCAAGCAGCACAATTCTCAAGCCACCTTCCGGACACCGATTGTATGAGGGGTTGTCATTCGCATTATGGAAGTGACCAGGTCACTAACAACGCCGGCGGAATGCGGTGACGCTAGTGAGAAGCAACTGAGCGGTGAGGGCGTCAGTGAATCGACTGGATAATTCAATAATGGTGGAGACTCGCTGCTACAGACTGTGCTTTCATTGCCTGGAATTACTGCGAGATCGATTCAAAGTCAAAGGCAGGTAATCGATGTGACCTAAATCACACCAGCTGAGAGCCGGGGGGAGATAAGCTCGATTATCTGGCAAGTCGGAGAGACAGCCGTTATTGATGCCTGAGGCCCGGTTGTTCATCCCAACATCACGACACGACGGTGCACCTCAGGAAGCTTCCATGGAAGGCTCAACCTCGTCACGTAAGCACGGGGTTGCCTGTCAGAAGTCTTATTTTCTCAGTCACTACCAGCTTTTGTTACCAATCGGCCTACTACTGGGACTGGAGAGATAATTAGTTGACTACGAAATAAACCAAGTGGCGCTTTCACGGGCACGGAAAATAGAATGGGAACAAGATGTTGATCTGAGTATGTACAGCATTCCGCGATTTATCGCATAGGCACTGAAGAAGATTGATAATCTGCGCTTAACCCGGAATTGTCATATTCATTATCATCGCAGAAAGGACCAGCTTCCGGCGTGTGTTTGGTTGTTGAATTGGGGTCTCCTTGTTCCTTGGAAAGCACATGAGGTCTTGAGAAGAGAATTGTCGAGCAGGAGCTTGAGAATATCAGGTGTCAATATTGACTCGTTTTGGCACGTGGAATATCGTGTCCTGGTGGAAAAGGCTGCCGACCATGACGATAACCGCTCATTGTGGAGGGTGATGCTGTTTGGGCACGAGCAAGATACTGGGGCCCGGGAGGATATGGGTGAGTTTGTTCATAAGTCTGCGGCGCTCGAGACATCGGTGTAGCTCGACCGTACTCGGAAGCGTTCCCGTGAGCGATTGGGCTAAACGCCTGATAAGTGGATTGAGAATCGCCCGAGCCAGCTCGAGTGCTGTGATTGGCATTGGAAGCTGGGCTAAAAGGCCTGTATCCGGGTTCAACGTCACCAGGGCTGGCCATTGTGGGGGTTGCGGTGTCGGAAACGGAGTCAAGCGTGTGGAATCCAGAATGAGCGTGTTCGGTTGAATCGGCATCAGTGTTGCCGACAATCGGGTTGAAGGCTTGATATCCAGCTGGGGAATGGTGAGGCCCACTGGGACTTCCCGTCGGAGCGGTAGCAATGCCGTTTGAAAGTGGACTGAACGCTCGGTAGCCGAGTGAAGGGTCGCCAGCGCTCGCTGGACTAGGTTGAGTGGCCTCGGGGTTGGGAGTGAACGCTCGGTAACCGAGTGAAGGGTCGCCAGCGCTCGCTGGACTAGGCTGAGTGGCCTCGGGGTTGGGAGTGAACGCTCGGTAGCCAATTGAAGGGTCGCCAGCGCTCGCTGGACTAGGCTGAGTGGCCTCGGGGTTGGGAGTGAACGCCTCATAAGCAGATTGCGGGTGTCCTGCATCGGTCGGATTGAACGGGGTATAGGTGCGCATTGGTCCGGGAGTCTTCCTTCCTGGCTGAGGGCCAGGCGTACCCCGATGGCTTGCAGGCGTCATTGAGCGATTCGGCGGAGTGCGCGATGCCATGCTTGTATTTGCTGGAGTCGTCGATCGGGCCAATTGAGGGGCCACAGCGAAATCACCATTCAGTGGATTCCTCTGTTGATCTGAGAACGGATCGACCGTCTCCTGTTGATGAGCGGGAGAGTAGGGGTGAGACGACCACTGATCCTGCTGACTATGCCCCTGTGTAGATCCAGTCATCGTGTGCTGCGGTCTCACTTGAGCAGTCCCAGGCACTGGTGTCTCGTCGTTCATGTAACCATCCTCTGGCGGCGCGCCGTAGTAGCCCAGCGGCTCCCCATATGGATTGTATCGTGCCGGTGACGCAGTCCCGGTAGAGGCTTGTTCATGGTCTCTCTGTCGAACAGACGCACCAGGCGTTCTCAACCGATTTGAAGCATCGCCATCTGGACCGTAAGGTGTATATGATCGCGGGCCAGTGTCTGTAAGATTGCGCATGCCTGGCCCTGGTGTCCCTGTACCAAACTCACGAGACATGGGAGGCGGACCTGAGGGCTGGCGCCATTCAGCGCCTGGGGTGCGGGAGGTGGGCAAGTTTGGCGGGAGTAGAGGTACAGGAGGCAGTGAAGCTGTCTGATGGTCGAGAGGGCTGTACACTGTAGTAGCTGAGGGCTCCATGAAGGATGCACCGTCGGAGATGGCTGATGACTGGGTGACGGTTCGTGTGAGCGGCGGCTTGCTGTCCAGCTCCAGTGTTGGCAGGGTCGGATGCTTATCGACTGCGGTCGAGTTCGACCGCGTGTATGGTGGCAATGTGGTTTGCGTGGTGCTGCGCGACAGGGTGGGTGAGGCCATTGGCTTCTCCCGGTTGACATCAGGAAGAGACGGCAACGTGGGTTTTGCTGCCGCTCCGCCTGCTACCGTGGGGTGAGTCGGTGCACGGTTCTGCATTTTGAACCCATTCGCCAGAGCTTTGTCAACCTTCTTGCGCACAATTCGAGTCAATCGAGTGCTAATCTTTCGGCGACAGTACACTTTCAAACTTCCATCTGTCGATGGAATATGATGGAACAAGAAGATGAGGTAGAGGACGACAGCCGAGGCCAGTCTCAGAATAGACAGAACCCAGATGATCAAGGTGAAGAGCATGCCGAAGAGCACGACGGCTTGGAGATTGTTGCCTTCCGCAAGGATCTTCACATTGTTGAAGAACTGCCAAGCCTCTCCACTACCATTGTCTTTGGGCGCGTTCTTCCCGCCGGGGAGGAGGTCGGCTTGCATGACCGACCACAAGGTGATGGCATTGATCACCTGACGTGGTCCGTCGGCGAAGAGAATGCTCAGCCAGGACTCGAAGGAAAAGTATGCGTACAGTGCCACGTACTCGGCACCTTTCTTACTCTTGGTCAACTCAGCAAAGACTAGGAAGCGTCTCCACCCACGGCCCTCCCGTGTGAAGACACGAAAGCATTGCACCCGAACTGCAAGAGGATCCAGGTAGCTCCGTGTGATACTGCCGGAGCGAATGGCCCGGATGGCAGAGATCCAGCGGTAGATCAGAAGCGCAAACGACAGGAGAATGCACCCCGCGAAAATCCAGCGGGATATATGGAAAGGAATGGCGGGTTCAACTCGACCACTCCAGCGGGAAAAGGCCAGCAGATTGACGGCCGTGAATGTGTCGGTACCGTACACGGCAATCGATATCAACAGGAAGACCCACAGGAAGAAGTAGGAGAAGCCAGTCCAGCAGGAGTCCGCCTTAAAGTCATTGAGGTTCTAGCCCACGCGAAGTCAATTGTCAGCGATGCTCTGCAATGCCGAAGTTTCCCGTCTCTTCAAGTACATACCACGTAGTCCCATTTCTCCTCCATTGAGACTGTGCCCTTTTCGCGATCCCCACCGCATGGCATCGTGACGAGGGTGCCAGGTTTGATAACTAGAAATTGAAAGAAACGATTGAGGGTCGTCGATTCGACGACGAAGATGAACTTCTACGGACCAGCCGGACAAAGTTCAACAGAGCACCTGACGGTACGAGTAGACTCGTAAGGTGAAGCTGCGAGAATGAGCGTGGCGATCCCAACGAGCTGGATCGCTAGATAATGAAAGACAGTAGTGCAAGCCCCGTGACACACATGTGGCACGGGAAGCGCGCAGAGGTCGAGGAAATTGGCCGATTGCTTCGAGGCTGGGACGTTGAAACTTCGAGATGCAGGGAGGATCTGACACCCCCAAGGACTGGCGTCAGCGCTCACACCAGGCGACAACCAGGCCCCTCTGCAAGGCAACAAGAATGTTGTGGACTAGATGGGAAGGCTGCTGTCTGCCAACAGAAGAAGCGCCAGATCAAGCTGGTCGTGTATGTCAAAGATGTCACACGTCGTGCCAAGCGCTTAAGAGTTGATCGCCGTGTTGGCCCAGCGCCAAGAAAGGGGGTCAATTCGACGCGCCCTGACGATCAAAGTATAGCAAAGGGGGACCAATCAGGCCGACCCGGTGATGCGAGACTGGTGCGCAAGAACTCAAGGGGAGACACGGCCAAGAGTGGCCAGTAAAGAATGGAATGGAACCTTTTGAAAGAGTGACTGGACGTTGGATGCGTGTCAAAAAAGAGAGAGGGGGGGGGGGGGGGGGGGGAAACACAACGGGTGAGATGAAACGTGCACGCACGGGGAGGGTTCGTTAAGTGGAGGCTTTTGGACACGGGAAGGGAACCACTCTGCCCCTGCATCCTCTCCGCTTTCTCCTTCTTTGGTTTTAGGGCTGACTCGGTCGGGCGCTTCCTGAATACAAAGAAGCGGCATTACATCATGTTGCTTTGTTCATTGCTCTGAGGCAGCTGCATAACCTTGTCGAGAATCTTGCAGAAGTGGATCTCGTCAATTGTCCCAAAATCATGAGAATTTGGGCTGTGAGAATACACAGAATATGGCACACCACCAACATCGATGGACGGACTGATGGTGGACCGCCATCCGAAAAAAGGGTTCTCGATAGCATCAAGGGTCCGCCCGGGCCGCCTCAGCGGGTTTTATCACGTGATTGGCTTAGCTACCGAATACGGCTGTGCCTCAGAAGGAAAGTGCCTTACTAAGGTGAGGCTCCGATGCCAATACCGACTGAGTCAGGCAGAGGTACCTAACCTGGAAGTGATGTAGAGGTACTGATCCAAAGGAAGGGAATCGTAATTTAAGGTTCTACTTCTTATACAATCCAAGAACAAACCAGCGATTCTTCAAATGATCTAAACAGCATGTCAGGTATCATCTTTGCCGGTCCAGGCTGCATCATGGGATTGAACATTTGATACGACCTATAAGCCTCGACCATACACTACACTCACAGTATTCACTTCAAGGATCTCAGTGCACTAGCATCACTTGTCCTGTATGACTATGCACTATGCACCGATGGTCCGATACCGTCCCGCAGATCTATTCATAACTTAGGGTCGCATGAGCTAACCGCGTGCTTCCCGTCACGAACCGAGCCATCTGCATGAACCGCAAACGACTTCATCTGCAGATAAGAAACGTAAGGATAGCAGGGAAAATCTATCGGGCCACGTTCACTCGTTGGAAAAGGACAACGCATCACTGCACCAGCTATATACTGCCTCCACTCGTCCAAGGTCGACCTTTTACCACCTCCTCCACCAATAGACAACACAATCACACTGTATCCACGAGACAGTTACTGCTGCTGGCCCAAGTTATCAGACGAAGTACTCTGGTTTCAAAGCCGAGATTTGAATTCAAGGTTAACTGGCCTGTTGGCAGCTCCCTGTCGCAATCTTTCTACACCCCTACAGTCATCTTATCAGTTCCATGCGGCCCGGGGAAGGCCCCCAGATTTGGAGAACTGCGGGCCTCGGAACATTCATCTACTCACTTCCCTTAACAGCCGTGTTGACCATAGTGACCGGGCTGAGGGTCGATAGTTGATGCTTCAAGTCTGAATTCAGAAAAGAGAATTTGATAGCTTCGAGGCACTCCCACAGAAATCAGTTTACAAAAAGGAGGCACAAAATTGGGTCCAGATCTGTGGAGACACTGACAAGTGTAGCTTAGATCTGGATAACCTCGTGTTTCCGGACGATGGGTATTATGCCTGGGTCGAGGTGATCAAAATTCAGCCAGGGTGATTCTTCAGCTTTGTCATGGCCATGTCAGAGGCAGTTGGCTTCCAAGTTCTGTCAAGGGATTCTTTCGATACATGTATTTGCAACTAACTATCGCTCGAGTGAACACAAGAGTCACTGATTGTGTAATCCACTGCCCGTGGGCTGCTCAGGCGACATATCTCCATTTATTCCTGTGTGTATCTTCGGGTCTCTTCGTGGGAGTAAGAATAGAGTAATGACAGTGTCATTATTCCTCATACTTTGTACTTACCCGCACTCGGCAATGATACTACCGGTTCCATCCAGGGCATGGGCGGCTGAACGGAGAAGCTCTCGATTATGCGGTACAGGAGAAATGATTGGGACCACCATTCGCTGGTTAATTCATCTAGAACTCTGTCGAGAACCTCGACGCTCTTCCACCCCAGGTGACGTGGTGGAAGGTGGCAAATCGAAGAAGGGAAAATATCCGACCGGGACGATCCACGGCGCTGGAGTCGGCTCAATTGGGGATTTGGAGATGCTGCATTTATAAGCCGGGTGGGGTGGGGACTTGCATCATCGGCAATATGGCTTGTAGGAATTGCCTCGATGAAAGTGAGTTCACGGCTGATCATGGCCTGCAGTATATAAGTAACAACCATCTTCTCTCCCATTCTCAGAGGCTGTGGTCTCAAAACGACAAACATCCATATTGCATTTCTGCCCTCGTCTGAACATAATAGCCGGCTCGTCGCGGACTGGAATCACACTAGTCTACTCACTCAATTCGTGTCTGCACTGCCTTTCCACTCTCTCAGAGCGTTCATCCACCACATCCTCTACCATTGAACCCTGAGCGCTCGCCAGGCATCATCCAGTATGACCCAGGACATTGAGAACAAAGCCGCTCAAGGCATCTCCTACTTTACTCCCGCGCAGGTACCACCCGCGGGCTCCGCCGCGATTCCTCAGTCCGACGGATCACAACCTCCCAAGCTCTTCCAGCCCCTCAAACTTCGAGGCTTGACATTCCAGAACCGCATCGGAGTAAGTCCTTTTTGCGCTCTCGCATGCTCCATCAATTGCATCGCAAGAGACACTTAAAACATGTCACTGACCAGTTGATCCACACCTCAACAGCTGTCCCCCCTCTGCCAATACAGTGCCGACGATGGACACATGACCGACTGGCACATGGCCCATCTGGGTGGCATTGCCCAGCGAGGACCTGGGTTTACCATGGTCGAAGCCACAGCCGTCCAGCCCGAGGGTCGCATCACCCCCCACGACCTCGGTCTCTGGAAAGACTCCCAGATCGAGCCGCTTCGCCGGGTGGTCGAGTTTGTGCACAGTCAGAGTCAGATCATCGGCATCCAGCTGGCTCACGCCGGCCGCAAAGCGAGCACGGTTGCGCCATGGCTCAGCATGGCGGCAACCGCGACAGAAAAAGTGGGCGGATGGCCTAGCAACGTCAAGGGACCATCCAACACGCCCTTTATGGACAGCTTCCCCACCCCCAAGGCCATGACCACTGCCGACATTGAGCAATTCAAGAAGGACTGGGTGGCGTCCGTCAAGCGCGCCATCAAGGCCGGCGTGGACTTTGTGGAGATTCACAATGCCCACGGCTACTTGCTGATGAGCTTCCTGTCGCCCGCGACCAATGACCGCACCGATGAGTACGGCGGCAGCTTCGAGAATCGCATCCGTTTGTCTCTCGAGATTGCCAAGCTGACCCGCGAGAATGTCCCCAAGGACATGCCCGTTTTCCTTCGCGTGTCTGCGACAGACTGGTTGGAGGAGGATCTGCCTGACCAGCCTAGCTGGCGGGTTGAAGACACCGTCCGGTTCGCAAAGGCCCTCGCCGAGAGTGGCAACGTTGACTTCCTGGACATCAGCAGTGGCGGCAATCACCAGAAGCAGCACATTCACGCCAAGCCTGCCTTCCAGGCACCATTTGCGGCCGAGGTCAAGAAAGCCGTTGGCGACCAGCTCAAGGTCGGCTCAGTTGGCATGATCACCGACGCCCATCTGGCCAACAAGTTGTTGGACGAGGAGAACCTGGACTTTGTCTTGGTCGGTCGCGGTTTCCAGAAAAACCCCGGCTTGGTCTGGGCATGGGCCGATGAACTGAATGTGGAGATTTCCATGGCGAACCAAATTCGCTGGGGCTTTGGTTCCCGCGGCGGTGGTCCGTTCTTGAAGAAGCGACAGGAGAAGATGTAAAGGGCCTGGAATCTTACTACAGCGCTAGTAGATTTGAAATCTCAGTGTCAACATAATCATGAACATGATCATGATAGAAATGCGAAATGTTAGAATATTGATTCAAATGTCGTGGTCGTGGTGTCGATTCCAGATGATAAGCTCAACGCAGTCATGTGCTTGAACATCTTCACACTACTTAGATCGAGTCCTTCATTTGGGACACACCGAGGTTGCGACTCGCCGTGTAAACAGACACTTAGTGAGACGGCACCCCCCTGACGCTTACTGATATTGGATGATGACCTGAGCCGGCTGCTCTCAACTTTAATATCCCGGAGGCGACTGACAAGTTATTCCCCCCAGACAGCTCAACTTTGAAACAGATGCGCCATCCGGTTTGCATCTGACGCGGTTCTACCTAGAATCGGCTAAGGTAGGACCAGTCCGGTTTTCTGTACTTGGCCTCGCTAATATGGAAAAGGCTGGTAGCCACCTGCAGCTTGGGACCTTGCCTAAACAGGAAAGAACCTCGAAGACCGCCCGGGGCTGACTACGATCGCCTACCTGCCACCTTCTGCCAAGTTACCACCAGGTGCAAAACTGGATATTGAAAGACTTTGACGCAAGAGTGTTGCGGATCGATCGGCAAGATGCCTCTTGACCAGAGGTGGGATGCAAATAAACGTGAATGTCGAAGAAATTCCAGCAGCCATGGCGTAGAAAAGTTTTGGCCACTAGTTCACAATGTGCCGTGAGTCCAGAAGCCGAATGTACCACATGCAGTCGCGCACAAAGCCAGGTTCTCAAGCAGCGCACCCGAGTGGTTAAATCCTTCCCATGCATGGGTCAGGTACAAAGTCACTCTATCCGAGGTCGCTGCTGCAGTGCACCTGGTCCAGTGCCACCAGGCATAAGCTGACACGCCGAGCATCCGATCTGAGATCCGCCCAGCCCGTGCGGGACCATGGCCCCCCCTCGCGTCGGCCAGTCGGTGGATACCATCGCCGACCTTCTTAGTGCCAACTGCCAACTAACTATACGTATCAACTTGCAAGTCCAACGTCCACAGGTACAAGATCGGGTGGACCAGCGGACACTGTTGATAGCGTCAGAGATGGGGTTCATAAACGACAATCTCGGAATACTCTACCTTGGGGTGGCCACGGCCATCTATCTACGGCCGGAGTTGGCCGTTATTGGGGGGTCTCGAGCAGCAACGACGCTTCTGGGACTCCTCGCCGTGATCACTTGGAAGATTGTCTATGCTCTAGCACTGTATCCGAGCTTCTTTACGCCATTGAAGCATATTCCTACTCCTGGAGTGAGTCTCTCTCTCTCTCTCTCGGTAGAGCTTGAAACACGTGCTGATGAACATCCACAGAACCGAAGCCTACTATGTGGCAATGCGGAAACATACTATCCAAAGACCCCTTGGCCGGCATTGAAAGACTGGGCTGAGAACTTGTCCAACGAGGGCCTGATTCGGTACTACTTGGTGGGCAATCTCGAGCGAGTCTTTCTGACGAGCCCCAAAGCCCTCAGCGAGCTGCTGGTGACCAAGAACTACGACTTTGAGAAGCCGTTGCTGGTGAGGCAGACTCTGAGTCGAGTTGTCGGTAATGGGATATTGCTCGCTGAGGGAGAGGTGCACAAGGTATGATCCTCGATCGCTGCCTGCACATTTTGCTTGATGAGCGAGAGCGCACTGACTCAAGTCTTGCTTCAGATTCAACGCAAAAACTTGATGCCGGCTTTTGCGTACCGTCACATCAAAGACCTCTATCCTGTGTTCTGGAGTAAAGGTGCCGAGATGGTCAATTTGATTCAGGAGGACCTGGAGCGCAGGAAATCGGCAGGTGAAGAGGATATCCAAATCAATGTCCGTAACTGGGCCAGTCGCGCGACGCTTGATATCATCGGCGTCGCCGGGATGGATCACGACTTTGACTCTCTGCGGGATCCTACGAACAGACTTAGTCGATCTTACCAGCAGATCTTCACGTCCCCCGGTCTTGGTGCAAAGGCCATGTTCGTCATTGGGGCTCTTATGGGAAGTGTTCGTCTTCTCCACATGCTACCTACAGGGCGCAACAAACGCATTGGCGAGGGGGGCAAAGTCATCCGTGACGTGGCCCGACAGATGATCAGGATGAAGAGGGAAAAGATGAAGAACTCGACTGCGTCAACAGGCATCGATATTATATCTGTTGCAATGCAAAGCGGTGTTATGGACGAAGAAAATCTCGTTGATCAGTTGATGACCTTCCTCGGCGCCGGGCACGAAACCACCGCTTCGGCGATGCAATGGGCCGTCTATGCACTCTGCAAGAACCCCGAAGTCCAGACCAAGCTTCGGGAAGAGATTCGCGCTCATCTTCCACCTCTCTCGAAAGACTCCCCTAACACCATCGATGCATCCATTATCGACGACCTCCCCTACCTCCACGCGGTCTGCAACGAAGTTCTCCGCTTCCATCCCTCCGTCCCCGGCACAATTCGCACGGCTGTGAGAGACACATCGCTCGCGGGAACCCCCATTCCCAAGGGCACCGTGTTGACTATCGCTCCTGAGGTTATCAATCACCTCGAGGAGTTCTGGGGACCCGACGCACACAAGTTCAACCCGGAGCGATTCATGGGCCCCGGCAAAGCCAACACGGGCGGCGCCACCAGCAACTATGCCTTTCTGACTTTTCTGCACGGCCCGCGCAGCTGTATCGGCCAGGGCTTCGCCAAGGCCGAGCTGGCCTGTCTACTGGCCGTCACTGTTGGACGATTCCACATCGAACTGAGATATCCCGATCGCAAGCTTGAACTTCGTGAGGGGGCTACTGTGGCCCCTGAGGATGGCGTGCCGGCCATCTTTACCCCGATCGAGGGCTGGTAGAAGGGGAAACGCTATTTATTTGACAGGTTTTGGTCAAGAGAAGTGGGTGGTGTATATACGTGACTTTTTTGGATTTGGAATGTTCATGGTCGCATTCGGCATGACACTTATGGCAACCATGTGAATCTTAGCTACTGAGCAACTGGAGACCGTAGTTCACGTGGTCCGATGGATACTCCCTGGGATTGAAGAGTCTTGGGTGGCAGATCTAGCAATCGGGCTGCCTGCCGGATTGCACTAGGGATTTTAACTTTCGAAGGACTTCTTATGTAGGTCAGGCGGAGCCGGTAAGTTCTCTGCACCGATCTTGCGACAGAGCAAAAACCGGCTTTCCGCCCTCATCTCATCCAGCCCCGGGTAGATGATCGCGCCGGGATCCGCTGAACTTTCATCTTAAAGGCGGCCATATCTCCAGACTTGGACTCCAACAACCACTGTACTCTTAACCTCCTGACCTTGCAGATACACATATTGATCTTGGATATACGATCAGGTCTGTTTCGTAACGTCAAGGCAAAACCTCCTCAACTCATTCCATGACCAATGTTCACAAACTGAGCCCCATTCACCACTGTAAAAATGTCCACTACTAAGTTCGACCCGGCAAAAGACATTCCCGACTTGACGGGCAAGTCGTTCTTCATCACCGGTGGTAAGTGCTAGAGAACCCCTGCCTGCATGGGGGCTTATAACCTGCACCACCAGGCCCAACCTTAGCAGGTTGGAAGATCACCCTGACAGCAAATCCGTCAAACTATGGCGATCAAACGAACTGACCCGCCACCATTCAACCAGGCACCAATGGCTTGGGCGCTCACTCCGCCGTCCATTTAGCCAACCACAACGCATCCCACATCTACATCAGCGGCCGAAATGCCCAGAATGCCGAGAAGATCATCGCGCAGATTCGTGACAGCGGCTCCAGGACCGAAGTCACATTCGTCGAATGTGACCTGTCCTCGCTGTCCTCCATCAAGCAGGCCATGGACGCATTCGTCGCCACGGCACCACGACTAGACGTGCTGATGTGCAATGCTGGAATCATGGCGAAACCGCTAGGTCTCACGAAGGACGGCTACGAGCTTCAATTCGGCACGAATCATCTCGGCCATGCCTTGCTGATCAAGAAGCTCTTGCCGCTTCTTGAGAAGACCAGCGCTACGGGCGGCGATGCGCGGATCATCCTTCTTTCATCCCAGGGCATGTTTCTTCATCCCAAAGATGGGATAGATTTCGATGGCTTGAGGACTGTCCAGGACTTTGGAATCGGCGGACCATGGCGGCGCTATGGTCAGAGTAAATTGGCCAATATGCTCTACGCGCGTCAATTATCCGTTCACTATCCGGAGATTGTTTCGGTATCGATCCATCCGGGTGTCGTGGCGACGGATCTGCTGAGTTCTGGCAAATTGTGGAAACGAGTTTCCGGCTACTCGACGAGTCTTGGACTTACGCTGGCGCCGGAAGAAGGTGCTTTCAACCAAGTGTGGGCGGCTACGGTGGAGAGGGAAAAGATTCAGAGCGGATCTTATTACGAGCCTGTTGGGGTAGTGAGTGATAAGAAGTTGGACAAGACGGGTCAAGATGATGAGCTGGCGAAGAAGCTCTGGGACTGGACCGAGGATGCGTTGAAGGAGTACTAAATGGCGTGAGATATAGTCGTGGCTGGTGTCCAAGTACCGATCTTCACCTTGCTTTCTGGGTGTTACATTCGTACTCTCGTTGTGCTTTTTTCACGGGTGAAAATGCAGCCAAAAAAGGTATAACTGAAGATTCTGACTGTTCAGGACAAGCAAGTGTTTCGTCCGGTACGGCAGATGAAATCCCAAGGGCGTTTTACACATCCATTCATCGCGGTAAACATTCGGTATGCACTCATCTCGACTGGAGTGGGTGCGTCGTAGCTATCAAGACTCAAAAGCTGTAAGAGCACCGCCAAAGCAGCAACGAGTCCCAGCAAAGACGTCAAACTCCGAGCGTATCAACATCCTCGCACACAATCCGTGGCGAGGCAGTCAAAGGGATCCCAAAGAATTGTAATAACACCGTCAGTGACTTGATCATGTCTTTTAAACGCACGCTAGGTAATAACGAGATCCGTCTTGGTAGGGACTATGCTTCCTGAGGGACGCCCAAGTCTCGCGTGCTTGGGTCGGGCTGATTTCAGAGGTCATCGACTGGCTTGACCATCGATAAGCGTCAAAATGCAGTGTTTGGTCACGGGCATGTTCACGGCACCGATATTGGATGAAACCCTTGATGTGGCCGTCACCCAGGAAATACAACCCGTTCGATACGCCTGCTCGATCATCTGAATCAACCAGCTGCCGTTCACTCTCCATTGTCTCTTGAGACAGAGCACTTCCGCGCCAAAACGCTCGCACTGGGTACTGATCGTTTACCACATAAGGACGTTGCACTTTTATCATTCCCCTCGCAACTCCGAGGTCAAAATTGAGCCAAAGTGTGTTTCCGTCGAGTGTCGCCACAAGGTTGAGGAAGTCATTAGAGCAACCCCAGAGGTCTTGGACAAACCGGCAAGTCACGTCGTATCGTCCATTAAGCAGACCAATCCTGCCAGTAGGACCTCGTGTTGGCATCGGGAGTTCGGTGTTCTGTGACGTCGATGGAGTGGGATCTTGTTCCGAATATGGTGGTGGTGCATCTTCGTCAAGTTGTCGGGAATAACCAGCTTGCTGCCGGACTAGACCACCTGAAGTCGTCTTTGTCTGGGCACCAATTGATGATCGTGGCCGTGCTGTTTCTCTCTTGTCCACAGTCGTCTTGGTTGGCGCCGTCTTCGCCTTGTTCTTGTTCGGAACCGTGCCCTTCAGGTGCAATTTGCCGGGCGGTGCCCAGGCATCACTAACTGCTGGGCTAGAGTTTGTGGACTTTCTGGCTGTCTGTTTTGGTCTGGAAGAAGTAGCAGTAGAAGTATTGGAGTCGATGACTGGCGATGCCTTCTTTTTGGTCGCTGATTGCTTCGGGGCAGCCTTTGCTTTCTTCGCAGCAGGCTCGGCGGACTGGGCAGGCTGAATCTCAAAGGTCCCAGAATTCGACACATGGACGTTGAAGTTGACATTGACGGTGGCCGAGCTTGACATGATGTCTGCCTTGCGCTTGGCAGCAGCTGTCTCCTTTTTCATCTTGTGTCTTTTGTTGCCCTGTTCTCGTGCAAACTCTGTTCCAGTCAATGCAGGTCCTCGGTAGATCAGGAATCAAGTAAGGGAGCTGGGACACAATGAGACTTAGGAAGTCCGATAGTCCAAAAACGACGAATGGATTTGTTGTTGAGAGACACGGGATACGAAGCACAGAAGGGTGCCTTAGGTATGCGAAGAAGAAAAGGTCAAAGTCATCATGCTCGCCTGTTGTACTAAGTAAAAAACTGGCCTGGTGGTCATGACCACCTTGTACAAGCTCTGCGAGGGAGACCTGGACATGTCTCGTGGTCATCATGACACCACAGCACTAGTACCAGCATATTAATTCCGGCTTTAGACAACTCATCGCGTTACTTGGATGAAAGACACAGATATCTGGACGTGTAAAGCAGACGTAATGGATAAACATTCGGACCATGAATCCTAATCTGGTATAAGCGCAGCTCTGTTCCTTCAAGCTTGCGAGAGGCAAGCAAAATTTGCTGTTCTGAGACCGATTTTGATACCAGACGTGTGGATGCTCGAAGGTCTCTCTAATGTTGACTTTGATAGTCACAGCTCGCTGCAGGTTTAAACGTGGGTACAAGCCCCAAGCCCCCCTTCTTGGCATCATGAACACTAATTTAATCACAGATCACAGATCACATGACATGGGTCCCACTATCTTATCGCGATCAAATTTTTTAGGGTCAACGACGATAAGGATTGTTGATACGAAGGCGCCTTCTTAGATTTCTTGTGTTTATCCTTGGGTTTGAGATGCACAAGGACTAATTCTTTCCACGGCCCCCTTCCATACTCTACCAAAACCGGCTTGGTTGTCCTTCGACCTTTTTCATCCCGTAACATCCCACATTCCCTGCAGAAATCGCAATTGCGGGATCCCTCAATCTCAACCTTCATCCCACCATGGACGCACAATTCGCGACCGCGGCTCCCGCCACCGACGCCAGCTCTTTCCTCGACCTGGCAATCACACTCGTCTTGAACAGTTGGCCAGCCCTGACGTTGGCCGTTCAATCGAATTGGGGTGGCCCGACCTCCGCCGACAAGCGGGACTGGCTTTGCGGTGCGATCTCAGATATGCTGAAGGAGCGACCTGAAACCGATGCAGAGGACCTTGAGGACGTCCTGATTCAAGTGATGAACGACGAGTTCGAGGTCCTGGTGGATGACGAGAGTGCCGGTGACGTTGCACTCGAGATCATGGAATACAGAGCTCAAACGGCCCGTGGAGACTTCAGCGCTATCCAAGGACTCTGGGAGAAATGGCAGCGAAAGAGCTCGCAGAAGGCAGCGGCAACGAACATGTTCAAGCAGGTTGAGACGAGAGATGAGGACCAGGAAACTGATGATGATGAGGACGAATCCGATGCTGAGGACGTGGAGATGGGAGATGCGCCCAATCTGGTGCGCGCGCCACGTGAAAAGGCCGAGCCCGAGATTGACGAGGATGGCTTTACCATGGTGAAGAAGAAGCGGTAAATGGCGAGCAATTGCCCAACCTCTTGAGAGATCGTCACCAGCGGCCTGAAAACCCATCTATATTCTTTGTCTTTCAGATACCCACTTTTGGATGTGTTATCCATCATCGATCTGTTCATCTACATCAGATTGAGATCACATGTAAATCATGCTCATCAGACTTATGCACACGACATCCACCACAAGCTACCTAGCTCATACAGATCGAGTAAAAGGCGCATGATCTGCGGGTCTAGGCCAGATACGCAAACTAGTCAACCAACGAAGAGCAAGAAAAATATCACGGTATCGTGATGGAGCGTCTTCCGCTGATTTTATGTCATTGCTGTGAAAATCAATATACACCCGCGGCCAAGAGCAATTCGCTTAACGCGAAAGCTTCACCAAGAGCTTCCTTGACATTGTTTCGAGCATTGGAAAGGGGACGCCAGTCGAGACGGCGGGGAAAACAGGTCAATTCTATATTATGTCATCGTTCTGTATTCGTGGAGATCAAATATGCAAGTTTCATTAAAGTGCTTGATGGGCATCTAGCTTTTACGCCTCGTTCTCAGGCAAGATCAGCTTGGTGATCATACCAATAGCAATGGTTTGACCCTAAGAGAGGAAGGTTAGTCTCGGTCTCGTACTGTTATCGAAAGCAATTGCCATCTCTTCGCACATACCTGGTCACGGAGAGTGAATCGTCCGAGTTGTGCATAATCCTCGAATCTCTCGACACACACAGCACCTGCCGTGGAGGTCACCTCCAGGCGAGCGATAATGGTCTGGCCCTTGTTGGCGAAGGGCGGGGGCCGCTTGCTCTTGCGACCTGTGCCAGGCTCGAGCTTGTGAAGGAGAGCAGCGAATGTGACTTCCTCAATGGCAGAGTGCACGTGAAGGACACAATTGAATCCAGCAGTGAGAATGTTCTTGAGGTCCAGAATGCGAATCTTAGCTTCGAAAGCCGAGACGCAGTGGACGGGACGCTTGGGGGAGCAGAGCACGAATCCAGGGAAGAAGTCCTCCTCCTCGACACCACGCAGACGCATGCGGACCTGGTCACCACAAGAAGCAGTCGTGATCTCGTCTTCGGTCTCGCCGTAAAGAGCGGAGATCTGGACTTCGGTACGGTTGGGCATCATGAGGTAATTGCCGTTCTTCTTGATGACACCAGATTCGACACGGCCTTCGGCCATGGTACCCATATCCCGGTACTTGGCACTGATGGGCATCATGAAGGGAGCGTTGATCTTACGCTCGGGAAGCTTGAAGTCGGTGAGATACTCAAGCAATGATGGACCATTGTACCAGGGTGCAACACCCTCGGGCAATCTGTCCTTGATGTTCAAGGTTGTCTGGGCGGAAATAGGCATGCAGAAGATATCCTCCTTCTTGTACCCAAGAGCTTCGAGGAACTTCATAACCTTGACAGTACACTCGTCGAAACGTGCCTTGCTCCATTCGACAGTGGGATCGTCCATCTTGTTGACCACAATGACCAACTTCTGGACACCCGTGTTACGGGCAAGAAGCGCGTGCTCACGAGTCTGTCCACCCTTCTCGAATCCAGTCTCGTACTCACCCTTACGAGCAGAGATCACGAGACAACCCAAGTCAGCCTGCGACGCACCACCGATCATGTGGGGCACATAAGACTTGTGGCCGGGGGCGTCAAGAATGGAGAAGTGACGCTCGATAGGTCCCTCGGGGTGAGGAACTGTGACTTTGAAGAAAGCACGGCCGACTTCGACAGTCTTACCCTTGGCACGCTCTTCGTTGGTCAAATCCAGGGCCCATGAAAGATACCACGTCTCTCGGCCGGCCTCCTTGGCTTCTTTCTTGTACTTCTCCATGGTACGGTCGTCGACCATACCAGTGCAATAGAGCAAAGAACCACCCAGTGTAGACTTTCCGGCATCGACGTGGCCAATGAAAACGACATTAATATGCTCACGACGCTCGCCGTAAATCTCCTTGAGTGTCGCCTCGTCGACATCAGCCAGCTGGGCCTTAGCGACAGCATCAGCAGCACGAGCAGCCTTGGCTGTCTCGCCACGGCTAGGGCTTGAACGGCCAGACGAGGGAGTAGGCGAAGAACGGCCGCTGGCACCACTAGCGCCGCTGGCGGCGGCCTTGGCGTCAGCCTTCTTTTCGGTCTTGTCGATGGCCTTCGCTGCGGTCAGCTTGGCACCAGCCTCGGCAGCGACGGTGCCCTTGGTATCGCCCTTGCTCGTGGCGCTAGGCGCTGAAGCGGTAGCAGCAGAAGTGGAAGCCGCTGGTTGAGCCGGAGTAGGGGTGCCAATGGAGAGAACCTTGGTCTTTGGGGCCGCGCTGGAAGAAGTTGCGCCAATGGACAGCACCTTGGCCTTGGGGGCAGAAGCTTGGGCGGACTGAGCGGACTGAGTGGACTGAGGAGCGGCGGCGGGGGCATTCTGGCGGGCTTTCTGTTGTTGCTGGGGCTGCTGGAAACCGCCGGGTTGCTGGTTGTAGTATTGGTTGTAACCACCGGGTTGCTGATTGTATGCACCGTACTGGCCATAGCTCTGCTGCTGGGGATATCCATATGCTTGCTGTCCGTACTGGTTATACTGATAGCCACCACCACCACCATACTGAGGATACTGCTGGCCAGGGACGAAGGCAGAAGCACCGGGGGTGAACGAGGCAGCGCCGGGCTGGAAAGTGGCAGCACCGGGAGTGAAGTTAGGCGCCTGAGCTTGAGGGCGGCCGTGAGCGTTCAAGTTCACGCCCTCGGTCTGCCGAGAGAGCTCATCCTCCCAGGAATCCGGAGTCTGGTTCGACATCGTGATTTTGATTTCCGGGACACACTGAAGGACACGGGACAAGGGACACGAGAGTCGAGATTCGTGTATATGATCGGGCAGTGTGGGCAATGAGGGGTCCTCAGTTTTTGACCTGCCCAAATTTGCACGGCTGAGTCAGCGCCCCGCGATCAACCCGCCTTCCAGAACAGGCCTCGAAGTTTACCGCAAGTCCCAATACTTAAAGACCATCACGTGTTATTCCACGTGGAGGTTGGATGACGCGTTGGCTCAAAATTATCGCCTTTTCTGAGGTTTAACTCGCTAGTAATCATCTACTTCGAGTCTACCTGCACATGTGAAGGATGCCGCTTATCAGCGATCGGTCTCTAGCGATTCGACGGAAGTACATTAGTACGATACTAGGCTCGTGGTGCATTGTACATGGAAGTCGTGTTTCTTTCATCATCGGGCACCACTTACCGCTTATCGATAAGCCCCTCATGCTTTGTTTCTTTGCGGGCGATACGGGCTTCATTCATACAGTGATGGTTGACTAGTCCACGTAGTTGTTGTGATCACCATAATGGAGGTCTTCTTGGCGCGTGTAGGTACACCATCCTCGTCAAAGCTTTCCGATATATGTGGGAATATGCTAATATATCAAACTTGAATTGCAGTTGACGCAACAGGCGATGAACTATGCAATTCGGTAGGTCGGAGCGCTTTGAAAGATGCGCCAGCATTGTAGCTGACATGCTGTGGTAGTTCGGGAATTGCGATTACGGCAACATATGCCATGCGCCAATCCTCACGTCTACTCAAAGTGAGTGATAGATATCCCGGCTTCAATCGTGAGTGGAAGTCCTGACACTGACGTGCTACAGAATGTAGATGGCAAAGACCGCGAGGAGCTGCTGGCACTGCAGCAGCGTCTAGATAGTAAGATTCAGGTCATATCGCCGTCTATTGATATGATCGAGTTGATGTGAGTCAAAGCTGGAGCCATATGTGAGGTTCATCAAGTCACTGACCAAATAATCTAGAGCGGCACGGGGAAACACATCTCTCGAATCTGCGGTGACTCTTACAAAGTCATTGAGGTGGGACATACAAGCTTTAGGGCAGCGCCTCGCGAAGGCTGCAGCGTCAGAAGAAGCTATCCGAAATGGAACCAGGTCAGCCAAGTACCGGCCAAGTAATGACGCGGAGATCAAGTACATCATCCAAGACATCAAAAATCTCCTCACGCGGATTGAGGATGCCGTCCCACTGATGAATTTGGCCATCACAACGTCAGGGGCCAAATTATCAACCAATCTGCCCTCAACAGTGTCGCCGTCTCGACTTCTGCAAGCCAGCACCTTTCTTACCGCGGGCGACACGCAATATTCCATGTTGACTTCGGAGGAACCGCAAGCGGTGCAAATTGGCCCAACTTTCACTCTTTCGGTTTACATGCTGTTCGCCGGACATCTTCGGCCGGACGATGAGGAGTCTGCCCGGGATGCTACCTGGAAAGAAGTTATGCATAAGGCACGACTGAAAGTACGGCGTGTTCCCATGAATCTCTACTACTCAGAGGGCTCGTCGTATCGATCACAATCCCAATCACGATTAGGAATCGACGAGTATGCCTACCAAGTGGTGATCATTGAAGACCTGGATGATGGCCGAGTCCACACTTTCGATGCAAATGAGCCTCAGCCTCATAGTTACGATGGGGTTACCACTGCGGGGATCAGAGAGATTCTTCCAATTCATCAAATTTCCAAAATATTCTACGCCGACACGGGCAGAATTCTCAATATCAGCACAGAAGGTGAAACTAACAATCCAGTCCTTCTGCTAAAAAGAGACTTGAATGCACTACCTCCTCGTCGCATGATGGAGCACGATGAAGCAGCAGACGTGGAGGCGCATGACGATGAAAGTGATGATCCACTTGACGAAGAGCAAGCACAGCTTAATGCTCAATTACTTGGCGATGATTTTTCAGATGGATCAAGGCTAAGCTTTTTGCACGAGGAATCCATTGCTCAGGAATGGAGGCTACCTCCAGGCTTGGACCCTGAATGGATTGCATTTGAAGTCTACAATGAAGACGAAAATTCAGACGATGAATCTGACGGCGAGAATTCTGGCGAAAGTTCTGGAGAGACTCCAGCCGAGCTGAACGGTATGGCCCGTCTGTCCTTGAATCAAGACGAGCTTTCACCATCCTCTTCAACTCCCCCGCCCGGGGATCAATATATCTCCCGTCTTCCAACCGGCCAGCCAAGCACCACCACTACTACGACGGTGGCGAACCCGTTATTTGAACACATTCGAACCTCCCTCTCCCTCCTCGAGACACTTTTACGTCTTACATCCTTGCAACAGTTCCAGCAACAATCACACCTTTCAATTAGCGACGAGCTTCTGAACTTCTTCCTCGAAGAGTCATCCTCAACCGGCGCAGGAGGGGACGAGCAACACCGCCAGCGTCTACGATCAGACGCCCGCCGCCGCGTAGGCTGGGATCCCTATGATGAGAGTCCAGTCAAGCACCGAGGGGAGGAATATCAGTACGGCTGGGGGCCAGGAAGCCCAACTCCATACTCTCGTGATGATGAGGTTTATTCGTCCGGGGGAGGATCTCGAAGTTTCCAGATCCGTTCTCGGGAGAATACACCGGAGACCCCTCAGCGAAGGAGTTCGCCGAGCGTTCGTCGAAGTAATCTCAGGGGCATGACACCTGCGTATGCAGACAGTCATTCGGGAAAATAGAGGGACACCAAACGACGCTTTGGATAAGTGAAACAAGCCATGGAGATTAAAAAGAGCATTCCTGTATCATAAGCTGGTCTTTCCTGTGCATCGTGGAAGAAAATCATCAGATCGACCGACTAAATCCCTGGTCAAACCTACGAACGGAGATCCTTATTGATTGTTGGTACTTTAGCAATCGTTATGACAACCACTCGATCACTACCAGGTGGAGGACATTCAGCCGGGAAGCAAATTGAGTACTTTGTCTCGACGGTACGCAGAAGGTACGTCAATATGCAAAGCATTAGAAATAGATAATAATCAATAGATGGCTAGATCGCTCAAGTGAAAAGCCCTGCGAGGAGAGCAACGAAGACTTAACAGACTCCTGAAAACGCCACTCATAAAAGCAGTCACGGCCGCGGCATAACTCCAGAGAAAACTAGCGGCGAGAGTACCAATATTGATGCACAGACATAAGGTCAACTTAGCGGTCTCGTAGGTACAGGCAGACCAATCCTGTCAAAGGCTGATCAAGTCACTGGGAAAGAGTGGATTCCTGCACTGCTCGGCTCATTCCCAGTCCTCGTCGCTGTCGTCCGCCTTGGCATCGGCCGTTGGGCTCTTCTCCTTTGGGCTACCTGGAGTTCGGCTCACTGTCCCGCTCACAAGATCGTAGCTAGACTCACTGCCGGCCTGGGACTGCTGGTCGTTGGATCGACGGGGCTCGGCAGCCTGAACTTCAATAACGGGCGTCTTTTGTTTCTCGGACTTGACGTGAGGAGTGGACGGAGATTCAGACTCGTCTTCAGAGTCATCACCCCAGCCTACTTCTTCCTCCTCTTGGACGTTGGCGCCTGTGGGGATGAGACAGCGTGAGCAATCAGATTATATCGAGGGCGGAGAGGAGTGTGTAGGGATCATCACATACCCTTCAGCAGTTCTTTACGCTTCTGCTCTTCCGTCTCTACAACGAGACGGAGGAAGTAGTATCTTGTCCAGAATTCCGCGTACTCCACCGACTCTGGCACGAGTTTCCCCATGGTCGATCGCAATTCGGGATATTTTTCCAGGTCCTTCGCAATTTCTTCAGTCTTATCGTCGACGTTGAATGCCGCCTTGAAGTCGGGAAATTTGTCGCTGACAGGATCCTTGGTGAAGCTGTCCAAGTTGGAGTGAATGACATGGAGCTGGGCCTCAAATCGAGTTGCATGGATCACTCGCTTGCCATCAGCATCCTTGCTTTCAAAGAGAAGCTTGCCGGAGTCATCGGTCGCAGGCGGCACGATACTGACAGCCTCGCGGAGCTTTTGACTAATGTTCATGCCAAAACGCAGAATGGCTTCGTCGGCAGCCTCTTCGGCCTTTTCGATCTCTTTGAGTCGTCGCGCAGCTTCGGCTTTGAGCCGTGAGATGAAGCCGTCGCCACTGGCGCCGGCTTCTTGGGGCGGTTTCTTTGACGATTCTGACGTCGCAGCCGTAGGTGTGGTCGACCCATCCACTGGCACAGGGGCGTCGCTGCCTCCTGCGAGTCCAACCGTGCTGAGCGACAGCCCCTTTGTCCGATCGACAATGGTGTTTCTTAGATCCGAGAAGCCTTTCACAGCTTCCTCGCTCGCGGCGTTGTATTCTTTCTGAGCGCCCTCGTAGTAGCTCTCGCTTTGTTTGCGCACATTATCCCAAAGTCCTCCGATGCGCGACCCCCAGGGACTCGCGGAAAAGGCCCGGAAGGTTTCCTGTAGCTCGGTGTTCAGGTTGCTGCTTGGTTGTTCGTTCTTAGCTTGTGTCGAGTCCTCAATTTTTCCCGAGGTCAGGATCTCCTCCTGAATATGATCGTATGCGAAATCCATTGTGAGGGTGGCTAAGGGGGAATACCGAACGGTAGTAGATCAAAAAACAATATTCGAAGGTTGTCTCCGCATCTGTCGATCCTCCGACCGCCCCGCTCGTCCCGTGCTGTGCTCGAAGCGGAATGCAGCCCAAGAGTTACTACTGGATGGGGAAGTCGGCTCCAGATGTCAAAAGCTTGAATAAATCCGTCACTGCTGCCGGAAAGCTTAAACCTATCTACACAAACAATATTTAGGTGTTTACAGTTGGAGGCGTGCGTTTGGTCGTAGTTTCAATTGGGTATCTAAGATTGTCACGCTTCAGAAAGACTGTATGGCTCGCCCACACTGTCTTGACTCCCGGGCCAAAAATTTGGCATGGGAACACTTTCCATCACACTAGATGTCAAGAGCTGGCTGCGTGAGAGTAAGGCATTAGGGCGCCCTCCCTCAACTGGCTGTGAGGATTGCACTTGTATCACCGATCCAGGAAGGCGTGGCCGCTGGAAGAGGTCCTGGCTGCGGGATTCTGCATTCTTTTCAAGACTTCGTGCAGGCGAAGATTCAGGGACAATTTCTACCTGTTCCATTCCTTGAGTTTGAGATGATAAGGGAATTGGCTGGACAGGCGAACATATCGCGTCCTTAGGGAATAGCTCGGTCATCTTTTGCGTATTCAGCATTGGTATTGGCTCGTGGGGAAATTGTGTGGCTGGCTGCTGTCTCCGATAGAACATTGACGCGTCTGACATGAAGGCTTCGGAAGCAGGAGCAGTCTCCGACTCTATTGTCGGATTTCCACTTGGCAAGGGAAGGTCTTCCGAGTCGTCATCATGTGGTGTATCTGATAGAGTGTCGATAAGAGGTGAATTTGCATGATCTGTCAACTGACGCTTGGAGGGCGAGTCGGGGTCATCGCCAAAATCTTCGTTGTCCGTGTCTGCATCTGTCTCATAGACGACTGTCCTTTCGCGCTGATCCCGGGGTACTTGCGAGCTATTGTGCGACGAATGTTCCACCGCCGGGGATTTTGGCGATAGCTTAACCGACAAGGCCCTGCATGGGACGACTTGAGACGAAAGTGCGAGGGGAGGGATGATACCGCTCTGACTTTTTGAGGGCGTTGTATCATGACTTTGATCGGCTTCCAAATGCTCATGAAAAGGTACTTCTTCATCGCTGAATTCTTTCTTTGTGATTTTCTGCGTGTCCGTATTTTTTGGGTGCGATCTTCTTTGCGGTGATCGGGTTGCGCTGCGGAACTGTGACGATGTGATGATCGCCAAACCTGGGCTTTCTGGTGACTGGCTAGAAGGAATCTCCAGCCTCTTGAATTTCCGCGGTGTGATGGGTGTATCTAATGCTGAGGTATTTGGGGACTTCGAAGGTCTTGCGGAGCCTTGCTTTCCGCTAACTTCTGGGGAGACCTTGCTTGCAGAGAGATCTGTGGCTGCACGTATCCTCCAGGGACCCTTCGAAGGGGGAGGACTGATTTTCGGTTCCGAGTCTTGCGTCACTTTTTCATCTCGCGACACATTTCCCCCTCGGGGTGTTAGGGATGACGGAGCCTTTATATATGCCATATCTACTCCTGCATCGTCGTCGTCGATAGTAATATAACGTCGCACAAAGTCCATCTGCGTCAGAGTCTTGTCGCGCTTTGATGGCGGCTTGTCATTGAATTTTCTCTTTCCCTTGCCTTTGCTCTGAGCCGGGGTGAGACTGCTGCGCAGTGAAGCCCTTTGGGTCGGGCCGCTTTTCGCTCGTCGTTTCGGATGCTCGACTCTCGTGCCGAGTCTAGAGATCCCCTTCAAAATCGGACCTGGCGATTTGTATTCACTCTCTCCGTCAGATCCATGTCCGATGTGGACAGGCTTGTCATCCTGACGGATGCGGCTCGCGCCTGACCCAGCGTGTTCGATGTAGTCAAGCTCGTCATTGGTAGAGATCGGTGTTTGAGTGACAAAGTCAATTTGGGTGAGAGTAGATTGTGCTGTGCTCGAGACCGGCAAAGAAACTCGTTTGCTTCGTCGTTCTGACAGCGACGAAGGTGGAGACGGTTTCCTCTTATGCGTGGTACTCTTCGTTGCCCTGCTGGAAGACTGTGTGATAGGCCGCCGTGGAGTTCGAAACTGTTCATGAGCTGAAATTGGTTTGATGGACGATTTGGCCGATTCGTTCATTTCAGCAGTTTGACCTCACATTGAATTGCTCAAGGAGTGTCGAGATCGAGAACCAACAACAAGGATTTTTGCAAGTCTTGACTGGATATGACATGACGTTTGACCTGCCTCGGGCTTCATGCCTGAGGCAAAACGCGTCGACGCGTGATCGCGATACGTGGCCACGTGATCGGCGATTACCCAACACGGACATAATGGGTCTGCCGTTCAACCGTACTAGTAAAATGAACCCATTCTGTTGCTATTTGTATGAAATATGAACAAGGAAGGGTATATCTCTGGCCCATATCTTCTCCGTATTTCAATAACCGCTCATTTGGACCTGATCAGTTTCAGTCTACAAATTGTTGCGAAGGTGCGTTTTGTACTGTACATCAAAGCCAATCTGATCCCATCATCTAACAACAAATGTACATTATGTTATTGCGCAGATATGAGTTTTTGTTTTGTCAGGCATGGGATTTTTTTGCCTCAAGTCCGACACGTGTCATTCAGCATTATTCGTTCAACACAGATAATCAAATGAGATGTGCCACAGGGTTCAACTGTATCCTAACACATTGTCCACATATTTCCCGTACGTCGCAACTACAAGAGCCATTCGGGAATCGCGTCTTCGTCTTCAGGATCTTCCGACATTAGCGAGCCTTTCTCAATCTCGCTGTCACTATCCACGACGGCTGCTGGCTGACATCCGATAGTCGGAGAGGCTGAAGGTGAGATTGTGGCCAAGCTGACTGGTCTTGGGTCGCCTTGTGTGGACGACTCCATTGCCATTGGAGCAATCGCAGAAGAGCTCTTGACATCCCTGTCGTGCTTGTTCGTATTGTCTGGGTTCGACGTGTTACCTCCGTTTTTTGAGGGCACAACGATCAGTTCGTAACGAGGTGGCTTGTTTTTTTTGGCTTTCTTGCCTGTTTGAGTTTTCGTGCCTCTCTCCTGTGTGGGTGGCATCTGGTTTATGCGGGGAACTTGCGGGTCTGTGACGCTGCTATCAGACACATTGACACGAGTTGTGAGATTTTCGTGGTCGGGCGACTGACCAGAGACCCCGTCTGCGGCGCCATCGTCGTCGCCAGCAAATCTATCGATGCTGGGACCGGTGTCCTCTGCGAGAAAGCCTTCACCTTCCTCTGGAAGAAACCCTCCACTCTCTTCTGAAAGAAATCCTCCACTCTCTTCTGGAAGAAATCCTCCACTCTCTTCTGGAAGGAATCCTCCTCCTTCGTGGGACGTGTATTCTGTCTCAGAACCGGGAGAGGAATCTCTCCCGGTCCCCGAGTCCATTGTCTCGTCTTCACTTGCGTAGACCTTGACCCTGTCAGCAATCCTGAGTTTGGTTAAGAACAGACGCCACAACCGCAGCGACTCTTCACTTCTCGCCTCCATCGCAGCTTGGCGTCGGTCATCAGCAATTGCACTAATTGTCTCTTGTAGAGCTTCGAGGTTCTCTTTGACAACGACAATGCCACTGACTACGGCCGTACCCCTGCGACCTCGAAATTCAAATCCGGTCACTGCATCGGCGTAGTCGATGCCAAGAAGATTGGCAGCACGCGCTGCGTCAGGGTGTCTAACGTGCACTGCACCCGGCGGGACCATACTCGGGACATACACATCCAGATTGCCATAGGCGTTCTTGGGAAGCTGTCCTTGTACTACAGGCGGCGGCTGGTATACCTCCGTCTGGTACTCGGCGTAAAGAGGTGTCTGTTCATTTTCCTGATCTTCCTCATCACTGGCAAATCCGCTCTTGGCCTTGTTCGCTGTCACGTGTTTCAGTGGCTGTTCGCCTACTTTGACGTCCCTTCCAAGTCGGTACCACCTGTCGGCGCTGCGGACGACATGCACGTCAGACCGTCGGTAGACAGTTTCGAGGTTGTCATTCTTCGAGCCTGCCTTGCTCAGCCCAACATGTCCTACGACGTGTTTTGGAAAAATGACCTCGTTCCGTCGCAAGTGTCTCTCCAGAGCGTAGACAGGATGATCTTTGAAGTCCATCAAATTGCGCGGCATACCCTCGGCAGCAGACTTGGTAGTGAGCTCAGCGAACTCATTATCATCTCTGTCCTCCAGAAAAGGCTTTTCATAAGCAGCAAGTGCCATATTCAACCATTTTCCCCCATTCGGCGTGCTTTCCACCCGGGCTTTGCGCGTCTTTGCATTGAAAGCTTTAGCATAGCGCCGGGTTACATCTCTCGCCGAAGCATCGTCTTCGAATGCAACCACATATGACATGCTGTTGTAAATGTCGCTCGCTGGAGGCTCAAGTTTCGACGGCTTTGCCAGAGTCTTCGTAACGATAGGATCAATTGGCAGCCATTTTCCGATGGCCTCATTGTATGCCTCTACCCAAAAGACGGGATATGGCGACTCGGTAGGCTTTGCAGTGATTTCTAACTCTGTCAATTCAAGTCAAATATATGTCAAAGCGGACCTCGACTTACTCTCTCGGAAAGTGGTTGCGGCAGGGCGCGATTGAAAAGTCGGTCTGCCAATTCGCTGTTGCTGTGACGGGGTCTTGGGCGGACTCAATTGTCTTTGCGACTCATCTTTGGGTGATCCTTGATCGTCTGAGGAAAGAACTATGTAATTTTGGGACTTCCGGGCGGGTGCAGGATCCTGGGTAGTTCCTGAGAAGGGTAGCGTCTGCAGTGAGCACACAAGTCTAGCCTCCACAGCAGCTGCCCTTAAAAGCGCACAGAACAATTGCGCCCCAAAGTCGCGAGAGCCTTGCAAGATGTGGGCTCGCGCCAAAAATTCATCCTTCGAGAGAAATGTGTCGCCCTCAGACATAATCCGGTCCTATACGATTATCAGTGTTGGGGCCTTTGGTATATAGTGTGGCAAGGGTTGGGAGGCTGACCATATCTTCTTTCAGCTGGATTGGATCTTCTGCCCAGTATGCTCGCTTGAGACCCGTCTTAGTGACACGGAATCTGCGGGCAAAACGGTCACCAGCTTGATGGAGACCATCCATGAAAGTGGTTGATCGGGTGACTTTGTGTTTCGTTTCGTCAGGATGGAGAAGGTTGATGATGTTTCGTGGTAGCATCGTCTTTAAATGACTCTAATTATGTGTCAGTGGATGATCCTATCATTTCAAAGGCAGCACACTGGCTCACCTGCAGCGCGTTGTCATTACACCACTTATTTCGAATTTGTACATGCGCGAGGAGGCAAAGGAGATGAGCCTTGTGGGTATCGAGCCTCAGTTGCTTTTCAGCCTTCGATAGAGGCTTCCTTCGCATAGCTCTCTTCTTTGAGGTCTCGGGTTGTTCATCCAAAGTGATTTGTAACGTCTCATCACGATCTTCATTGACGTTTGTCTTTGCGTGCGCAGTTGGGGCGGGTTGTTCAACATCCACATCTTCCCATTCAATGTCGGATTCTTCAGATGAGGTCGAATCGTAGATGACCTGGAAGTGTGGATGTCTCAGCGGGCTTCCATAATCGAGAGCTGAGCTTGTTGCTGGTTCCGCTGATTTAGAAAATTCGATTGGAATAGCCTTCGTTGGTACACCGTTTGAGCCTCCAACTTTGCGTCTCTTGATTGGGCGATCCGAATGAAACTGCTCAGGGTCTCGGGCCTCTGCTTCCGCTAGCATCTCTTGATAGACTTCTGCAAGCTCATCCGATGGCATCTTGTCGTGTTGAGCTCTCCTCCTGCGCGCATGACGCGCCCCAGCCCGAGGTGTCATGCGTCACCAGGCTGAAGCCGCATCAGGAGGGCGAGATGAACAGGACAGTAACGGGGCAATAACCGCTACTTGACTTGGATAAGTGTAGGGCTGATAGTACTGAGCGTTCCAGTTTCAGTTGCATTTGCCAAAGAGCTGGCAGAGTAGTGTTGCGTTTGTTGTTTGATTGGTCTTTGAGGCAACTTAGCTGATCGTTTTTCCCACGATTAGGAAAACAAGGTGCGTCATTGCCGAGCCTCGTTTATCCACCTTCGTTATCGCAGGGTCTCGATAAGGCGAATCCACACGTCACGTGGCGACGAAGCAGTATATGTATGCGAACCGAAAAAGCTGCGTGGTGTGTGATCGTCTACACTGTCTCGTGGTTCCTCTCCATTAGTATGACAGGCAGGGTACAATATCTGCGCTCTTTAATACGACATTCCGTGAAGATCATGTCTTGAGCGCTAGGCGGACATCGCTCGGTGCCTGATGAAGATTTATGGGTGGATTTCTGGCCGCGATTATAAATTCATGCAACTTTCGCAGCCTGGGTTCAACGTTCTGTGGCCGATATACCTGGGTATTGGGCCCACCCATACAGTACTCCTGTCTCCGCAGTATCTGGTACCTAGGTACCTACCACGTATTGTGTACCAAGTCGGGGCACCTTAGTACTACCTGAGGGTAGGAATTATACCGATGACTGATCAATCTCTCAGCTTCTATCGTGCTTAAAGAAATATATACCTCGTGGCTTGGCTGTTCTGTATAAATACTGTATACAGGCTAGACATGTTCAAGGCCTCCAATGGATGCGCCATTGAGAACCTACATGTAGTGGGTGATAAGGCTACGAACGACTGGCCTCTGCAACTTTGTGAGATTGGTTTCCCGCTGTGTGAATACTAAGGTCCGTCATTGGAAGCCCGTCAATGTATATCATACTTCCATCTCGGCACGTCACTATGATAGCTAGATCTCCAACCGTCCTAGGTTTTAATTGAATATCTCCCGATCCTATGATCTCGTCGAAGGTGCAGTGAAAATTCCAATGGCTCTGAGCTCCTTCAATTGCGAGTGTCAGAATTTCTTCCCCGAGTCTTGCAATCGAATCAGCAGCTCCATAACCTTCGGAGAATCCTCGATACCGGTTTACCTAGGCACAGAAGAATGGCATTTGCAAATGCGGCTTTGACAACTCCGGCCTGGTGTGTCGCGGACTTTTGCTTGATCCCAGTAGGTGATTCCAAGGCGAAGATATGTGACGATGAGGGCATCAAATTGAAATGAAGATTCAGTGGCTCAACTATTTCTGGTGCAGGTTGGCGCGGCCACGTCGTCTTTCTCGCAGCAGATCACTGATATCCAGCAACTGCTTCAACAGTCGGGGTTGACATACAACACCCATGCTACTGGTACTACCATCGGTATGTCTTGTGTTTTACCATCGTTGACCGTTTAGTCTGCTGTATGAAAAAGTGGACCGGTCCATTCAGTGATTCCCGTGGCTTTTGATCGCTCCGGCTTCCCAGACGAACGGTGTTGCCAACTCCTTACCTCCTCCCTATCACTCGTCTTCCATGTATCTCACGTAGTTCGAAGGCTAAGCACATGCTGCACAGAGGGTCCCTGGGACCAGGTTGCTCAAGTGATAGGCCTGGCTCATACGATTACACACCAACAAGGCATTGCGAGGGTTCAAACCGACATTCGAATCGAAACGAGGTCTGTCCTGCCAGACGAACAAAGTCAGACTGAAGCTAAACAGCCTAGTAGGACTGATAAACCCCAGCCGTTTCTGGGGAATGTGACATCGGTCCAGAGGGTGTGGGCATCGCCTACTTGATGTGATGTTCGAAGACATTCCGCCGATAGGTGTGCTCTTGCTGGAGCTAATCTACTACTTGACATCTGGGACGGTTACACGGGACGAGGTTGAGCCATGTTGTTGAGTTGATGAACGAGGTCTTTGGGCTGTGACTCGAAGTTGAGCACAATTTTTTTTCGATAATTGAGATCTGCTTCCTAGGTGCGTAGGTAATCACTATGGGACTAAGTTGCTATCGAAATCACACATTGAAAGATGACCGCCGTGATTCAGTGTCGGGCCGATGCTGTCGCTCACAGAAGCAGGAATAATTACCAAGGGACCTGAATAGTTGTAGAACCACGACCTGGCTAGAGGTCAGCACAATATGAGTCAGCTCCTCCTACATAAGTATATGCCTAGTGGGTCTGTTCTGGAACAGCCATAATTCCACGAATTAAATCCAACGGGGCTCTGGACACTTGGGAAGTAGTCAAAGTAAAAGCGAATGTCGCTCCTCGCTGGTCAACAGACAGTGGGAGCCCAATGTGGGTACGCACCTGTGGAGAATGAAAGTAATTGATATCCATAACGCTTGCGCGGCTGAGCAATCTATCCCGTTGGTACTGGCGTTGGAAAACGAATCACAATCTGAAGTTCTCTCAGTTTCAGCCAGTTTTGACAACTGATCGGCGGCAAATCATATGCAAAATAAGCCCAAGCAAACATAGTTGTCGTGGTTGAATTACGGTTTTCAATCTGCCAGCTCACAAAACGTCAAGGTCATTAAGGCTGCAGTACAGCCCACCCCTTGCGGCAATACAAACATACCTATCACCAGCTAGCGGTGTAAACCTGGGTGCACCTCAAAAATGAGCCTCGCGGAACATACAGGAGTATGTGCATGTCAGCCCTCTGACAGAGATCGGAAATAAGACCATCGTCGAATAACAGCTCAAAATAAAAGAGACAGGTGGGAAGGTTATTCCGCTGTGTTGGGTCCACCATGCGCCTATTTGGAATTCTTCTCACGATTCCCATTGTTTTCTCCAGCGGAAAAAAAAATGGTCTGTTCCAGATCGGTGGCAGAACCGATCCCTCGGGTGCCCCTCTCTTTATTACTGTAAAAGAATTTAGACGGTGGCACCAGCGTTACCGGTGCCTTGGGACCCGCGACTCTCCTCTCAGTCGGGTCGGCGCAAAATCTTTTTGGACTCATTTCACGGGGAAAGTGAAGCAAGTCAAGCAACCCTTTCCTCCCCTGCTCTCTTTCTCGATGCAGGTTCAAGTTTATTGAAACCGGGTCAGTGCCCCGGTTTGATCATCAGCATTTGTGCCGGTGCCCAGTCCGCACAGACACAAGACTGCCTGACCGGACCTGGCGGTGGCCTGATTGGTGACTGGTGTTGTGAAGATAGACACTCGTGCTACTCCAGTTCGAGGTGTCCATACCGCGGTAACGTAATGCATAGTGCATATTTTACTTCAAGCAGTCTAATGTGTAAACCAACAAGTTACACAGAAAGCCAACCACATCCGATGGGTCGAATTCAGGCCAGATAGTAAGGTGGGGGGTCAAGGCAAATTTAGTGGAGCACGAGGGTAGCAATTGCAAAGTCCCTCGGCGGACACGACGAGGCGCCAAAGTCAAATGGGCTACTTTGCAGTTTGCACGCTATTCTTGAAAAGTGTTGATCGCAGCTATGAAGAGACCCGCGATCACATCGAAGCAAAGATAGCCTATAGCCCTACACCACTATCGATCTAGTGCCCATCATGCCAAGACAACCAGATCCCCCGTTTTGTGCTTTGGACCGAGCACAGTTCAGCAACGGGCAATTGTTCTCGAATTTGTCAACATTTCCACTTTCAAACCTAGTACCTGGTAGTTAGTACCTAGGTGCCAGAGCTCCCGTCGTATCTCCAGTGAGTCCAGTCTCGCACCAAGAGACGGGATGTACCTCTGATACTTTCCGTCGTCACTATTGACCTAATCCGATTCACTGACAGATCTAGTACTTTAGTAGCCTTGAAAGATTGATAGTATGTGACGAGATGCTGAGCTTTGCATCTAGTGGCGATCAGTCAATGCGCGTTCGGGCTCGAGACACTGCATGGACGTTCTGATCTTAAGACACACCTAGACTATTGAGGTTTTACGCATGATTCAGTCGACATGGATGACTACCCTGCATTGATTCCAGAAAAAGCAATACTGGATAGTCCTTGTAACACTTTCTTCACGAGTGTTCGGTTGCACCTGCACGACAAGGGCCACAAACGTAGTCCCTCTCTTTTACCAACTCGAATCAAGAACGCGGCACCGTGAGTTGCATCAGTCGAAGCCTGGACAATAAAAGCGGAGAATCTAAACCCAATCGGAACACTGTACCAGTTGAGCAACATTGCTGCAGGTCGACGCGGCATCTGCACCCAGGCGCGAGGCATGGGTGGCCGTTGACTGTGATCATCTGACGTATCGATTTACGTATGTGCCACGGCTTGTAAATTACCACTTGATTAACAGCTATCTCTCGAGCTACATCTACTAGCGTGGGCTAGGTAGGTTTTGAAGGTACAGTATCTGGAATGGGGCCTTAATTAATGCAGGGAGCTTTCACTAGGTGTGTGGATCGGGAGAGCATTTGCTATCTATGACCAAGGCAGCTCCAGCCTCACACAGTTCCCAGTGAGCACGCAATGCTTGTGTAGGGTCGAGTTTGATTTGATCGTCGTTGTTGGAAGGAGCATTTCCGACGACGAACTCCACTACACAGTACACAGTATACATTGTACACTTACACAGTCACGACTCACTAGTGAGATCAGAAGTTCACTACTGTCTGGGGGTTCGGGATCGCGGTGGGGCTCTGGACCGTGCTTGACTAGCTTTTAGTCAGTGGACGGAATATATAACGTAATCCACGGCCGACCGAGCTATACGGCCGACCGAGCCACCCCATCGAAAATCGCGTCTTTCTACCTACATACCAACTTCAACAACCTACTATGCCACTAATTCGCACTGAATCTTCGCAGAGATCGGCTAGTCAGGAGGGCAAGGTCCTGTTGGCCCTTAAAGATATCAAAAATGGCCGTATTAAATCTATTCGCGCAGTAGCGAAGCTATACGACTTACCTCGTTCTACCCTATAACACCGCGTAGCCGGCCGAATTAGACGCGTTGATATACGCCTATCTGGCTATAAATTAATATAATACGAAGAGGATTCGCTTACTAAGTAGATACTATCTATAGATTCGCGTGGAGTAGCCCTCCGGTCCTCTACTATACGAGAAATAGCTAATATTCTTCTTATAGCGCGTAGAATAACCCCCCTATTAACGGTTAGCGTTAATTAGGTATTAATATTCGTTAAACAGCGCGATAAGCTTTAATCTTACTACTTAAAGCGATATAACTATTAGTATACTCTTAATAAGGATCTAAAGTCTATAAAAGAGTGGTTTTTAATAGTATAACGCGTTATTAAAGAGAATAGGATATAACCGGAGGATATCTATAACTTTAATAAGATAGGCTTTACGATAGGCCTTATATTATCACAGAAGGTTATTACGCGGGCAGAATACTACGGTCGGCGATCGATTCTACAGCCTAGTAATCGCGAATAAGTTACTACGATCGAAGTAATATACGCTAACGGCTACTCGCTACCGCCCTATATTATATTCAAAGGCTAGGTTTATATCGCTAGTTAGTTTAAATCAAATCTCCCTAGCGACTAGCGAATTAAAATATCGATTAAGGGCTAGACTACCGATAAGATCGGCCTTCGCTAGCTTTAAAAGCTCTTTATTCTATATACTACTTCGTATATACAAGAGCGATTTCGGCTATTAATCCTTAATAGGTATAGTAGCTATCTTATACCTTAATTCGATCGAATCTATACCGAAAATAATATTATACTACTTTATATACCTTTATATTCGTCTTACTTACTATAGCCGTTTAATATTAGATACTTTATAGTACTAAAGCGTACGTACGGTCGCTTTATAAGCGACTTAGTCCGAATAGGCTATAATTATATCGATAAGCTTGATTTTCTTATAGATTATCCTCGTGCGAGGATAGAAGCTTTTTAGCCGAAGATTATTTAAAGTAGCTTCGTAGCTACTAGTATCGTACTAGTTAGTACCGAAAGAGTACTTTCTAAGCTTAATATATCGCTTTATACGCCTTCGCTACTATTAAGCCGACTAAGTAGTAGATCTAGCTAGTTTACCCTAAAAACGCCTAAGATAGTAATATAGCTAGAGAAGTAAGCTTCTATACTTAAAGAGCTTCTTAAAAAGCGATCGTATTACCTATCTACGCCGTTAAAACTTATACTTAATTAGATTATTAAGGACGGCTATCTCTTATTATATAGCGGTATATTACTAGCGCAGGAGAACGCCGATCTACGCTAATCGAATAAAAAGAAACGGTAAAAGCGTACTTAATCGACTAGACAGATTACACACGAAGGAGGCCTAACGATCAAAGAGGGCCTATAGCTAGTCCAGCAGCTAATTCAGCTAGTAGAAGCTAATAAGGTAGTATCGCATGAAGGGCCCGATTTGCCTAATCAGCTAATACAACCGGTCAGGAGGGCTCCGCCTACCTACAGTGGATATGGCTAAGTTAGCCATAGGATTACTTTATGTAAAAATCGTATTATTTAGCAAATTCAATAGGCGTTAGTGGAGATATTCGATTTCAAAGTAGTGTAATGGGGGTGGGTGGCTCGGTCGGCCGTGTGGCTCGGTCGGCCGTGGATTACGTTAGCGAAATTTCTGTTCTAGTGCTTAGCGTCGTCGCGTGTAACCCCTTTTTTCCACCCAGGACCCCCGTTAATTGCTCATTCAGAGTGGTCTGGTAAGATCAGGATTGTTGAAGGAGATCAGATGCCCCTGCTGGTTGTTTCTGATTGTTTGGCACATGGAAATGCTGGTAGTTACCGTTTTTGACTAAACTTTCCAAGTTACCACTACTACCAATGACCACCGGCAAGGCCATGAGGCTAACTCAAGAAGCGCGTACCACCATTGCCTGATGCCAGGGCCTGTCAACGCACGGTCAAAACGAACATGTCAGAGTCAAGCTACCGATTCGGTCCCGAACCAGCTGCCGGATCAGCGCGGGGGGTACCAAATCTCCGGAACCAAAGGAGGTGTAAGGACTTAGCTCTCACTGAGTTTCTGGGTTGAGTGGGGACTGGACTGGCGACTCAATCGGACTAAAAGCCTGGTGGATGATTGCAGCGAACCCCGACGGACTGGATTCAGTACCCATTGGCCGATGGGTTCTGCAAACCTGGACTCCTGGTCTTCCTGCTCCTCGTTCATCGGGACCAGCAGTAGCTGCTATATAAGACAGATGTCGACCAGGAACTGTGGTTAAGTGTTCCAAGTAATACCGCCCTGCAGGTGGGTATAGAGCTAAATCACTTAGTGTATGCACCTTCAAGTCCTAGACGCCTTTTCAGGGGGGAAGGCCGCATCGTTCTGGATTTCTGAAGGTGGATGGTGAGGATTCGCTGCCAGTCTGGTACTGGTTTTTGAACTGGTTTGAACTTTGAAGCATCTTGGCAGAGTGGGAGCGGCATTGTTGATCAGCGGTCACTCTTGTTTGCGAAAGTCCAGACTCTAAATGCAAAGCCCGAACTCGTTCGAGCTGACGTGCATTAATTACGACCTTCAATCTAAGGCATGCCGAATGCGGGACGGTGCATGGGGGTGCCGGGGGACACCTGCCAGTCGGTGCCGGTTTGCCAGCGCCTTGGGTTCGATCGCCCCGCTGCTTAGGATGGGTGTTCTTCCCAGCCCAATGGATGAATGGACCCTTGACCCGCGGCCTTTCTTGGTTGTCCCATATACTGGCCTGGTGGATGGGAACAGGTGAACACTGGACACGAACAGCCGTGGTAGCTCACGCTGTGTCCCAACTCTCGGCCACGCCGAAAGTCTGGTCGCGTCGGACACACTGAGAGTGTCGAGATTGGATGAAACAGGATGACGAGGCGAGCCAGGCAACACAGGAACGGGCACGCAAACTCGGGGAGCTGATCTCATACACGACACGATCCAGCATACCCGGCAACTTTGACCTGCCTCTCGCTCGATAGTAGTCCCGAGGACTCTTCGTTGCCCCCAGCTCACACAACAGTATAGTCGGGCTTGGCGAGACACCGCTAGACTGGCATCACCAGTGCTGCAGGCATTGGAGACCGAGACTGACTTGTCCCTGAACTTAAGGAAGAGAAATCCGTTGCGAGGCACTCGTTCCCGATCAAAGCAGGAATAATTTCTAGAACCAAACGGCTGCAGAAAGGTTTCCAGGCACTTGGATATACTTTATAAACTCTGGCATGCATGCGCAATCCAGTTAGCCACGTCCAAGAGCAACCAGCAATCGAAGAGACGTTGCTACCTGCACCAAGCTCGAATTTGATCAGTCGCAAGGTGGCCAAGCCACGTGCAATAGCAATGTATCATCGTCCAGTCCGGTATCTCAAGGATTTCCTCCAAGAACTCCTCCGCCTGTCCAGAGATCCGTCGCATAGCGTTCCTGCGATGAGCAGTGCAGCAGTGGCTCCGGGAGAATTCGTCCCCACAAGATCTCATTAGGTCCCACGCCCGACCGTCCGTGACAAGTTGACGTCCACCGAACCACTCTTGGGCATACGCTGGGCTCAACCTTGTTCCCCTTCCACTCGTAAATGCGGCGGACACTCGTGTGGTTTTTTTTTTTTTCACCAATCCTCCCCCCTTCCCTACTGTTGATCCCAGTCTGTTCCCTACAACCCCACACCCTAAGAACAGCTCGTAAGCGATCTAGTCCAACTTACCCTCCCTATTATATTGGTCCGGTCTTCCTTTCCTCGACCGAATGGAACATTCTCCGGGAAAGGCAAACTTTAGATCACTCAACCCAACTCAACCCAAGCTGTCGGGCTAGAAGGTGGACGATTGTTGGAAAAGGAACACACACACCCACACACACACACACACACACACACACACACTCACACAACAAGCCTTGTGTTTGGTCTGGTTATTTCGGCCTCTTGTGCTCTATATGTGCTCTGTGCTCTGTGCTCACTGCTCATTGCTCACGCCCCTCATCACTTCATTTCATCCATTTCCAAACCCTCGGGATTGCCGTTTAAAACATACCCTACACCACGAGGCAACAACAGTCACTCTGAGATTGGTCGTCGGCAACTGAAACGTGAGTTCTATATCGCCTCCCTGTCAGGCAACTAAGACCCAGACCCAACAGCGGCAGTGCTCGCTGTGCTGCAGTTGCTCAATGACGACGAACTAGTTATCATGGGTCTCATTTTGCTGGACGGTATGACGGGTAGTGTTGCTCGATGCTACTGAGCCAGCCGTCTAGGGCTGGAAATGATTGCTAATTTTCATCCACCGCGCAAAGCCTCTCTCCGATCTATCACGTCGAAGGCCAATTCCTCATCACTAGGGACGCGAAGCACTCAGCTTAATTAGCATGGGCGCCAGATCATACGTAAGTCATTCCGAGTCTTCTTCCCCGATGCAATTAACACCAATCGTGGCTCAAGGCCTTCTCTTTGATCTGCACCTCACCGGCTCATGCTGCCTCCATTTGGACTCGATCTCGGTACTGACAAGCCCAACTCGTAGGGACCAAGACGTGAATGGTAAGAGTCGGAGTATACGCCCTCGGGTGACAGGTGCTGTCGAGGCCTGGAATCTTCTTGACAGCTAGGTTTTCTAACCAATCGAATGCCGAAACAGTGATACTCAATCACTCACGGCGAGTGTGACGGACTATCCGGTAGAGAATGGAAGACGATATCACAGCTACCATGAAGGAGGTATGGTGCCCATCATGGACTCAAGGCGCAAAGCGAGCGTGACCTTCCATCGACACATCTGAACTAACGGCGTCTAGCTTACCCATACCCCAACGATGAACAAGAACTTGATCGTCTCGACTTACAACACCACATGTTCAAACTGGTCATGGACGGGAGACTGTACCATGTTCCACTCGAAAGCCCGAAACAAATACTGGATATCGGCACCGGGTCAGGAATCTGGCCCATTGAAATGGGTATGTTATTGATCCTATCAGATCGAAAAAAAAAGGGAAAGCAATGTGTATATCGTATTCAAGAGGCTCATCACAGTGATTCCTTCGAATCGATCTAGCACAAATCTTTCCCGGCGCCGCCGTCACCGGTACAGATCTATCACCTGTGCAGCCCACCGAAGTACCAGAGAACGTGCACTTTCTCGTCGACGATGCCGCAGAGAAGGAATGGCTATGGGAGGCGGACTATTTCGACTTCATCCACATCGGCCACATGACCGGTGCAATGGAATCCTTCAAGGACCTCCTGCGGCAAGCCTACAAGTACCTGAAACCAGGCTCCTTCATCGAGTGTCACGAGTTGGACCCCAAGCCCAAATGCGACGACGGCACCATGCCACCCGAAAACCCGGACGGGTTCAGCGCATATGCATTCCACGACTGGTTTGATCTGAACATGCGAGCAAGTCAAGAGGTTGTACCCACGAGACAGTTTCGCATTGCGCCCCGGATCGAGCGATGGATGAAAGAAGTGGGGTTCGTAGACGTCAGACAACAAGTTTTCAAAATCCCCGTCAATACTTGGCCGGCCGACAAGAGGCTAAAGCACATCGGGCAGTGGAGTGAAACGAATTGGCTAGAGGCCTTGGCCGGCTGGTCCTATAAGCCTTTCATGGCCCTTGGTTGGTCCAAGAGTGAGATTGAAGTCTTTCTCGTCGATGTCAGGAAAAGTATCCAAGATCGAAACGTGCACGCCTATATGGACTTCTTTGTGGTGACCGGCCGGAAACCTTGGACAACGATGGGGACGAGGACCGAGCGGCCCTAAGCTCGTCGCTGACTCTGCAAGATTTGTACCAGCACGAGATGGACTGTGTTGTCAAGGTGAAAGATTTTTGTGTGTGTGATTCATAGCGAGATACCAAACGGCTGGAGCAATCTATGCCCTCAATTTGCATTAGTGAGGCGATTGGTGAGGTTCATTCACAAGTTGTTGAAGTCTAAATGTATTTTCATAATATCCTTTCTCATTAGCATGGTGGTCAAAATTCAGCAACCATTGCAGGGTAGGGCTTAAGAGCATATGTTACCTGCTCCAATGTGAGCCAGGCCCGCATGAGTGAGATTTGAGATAAGACGAGCTTAGGTTCAAGTATCGTGGACATGTCATTGAGAGAATACTTTATGTAAAGCCATTCGAGAAAGCAAGAGAAAGAATCAGAGTTATTCCATATTACCAAGGCCTTCAAAAATTGCGACTCGCGATCAAGACAGCCCAGTGTACGCTCTTTCAGGCCACATAGTTGTAAGCGGTGGACAACTGGCGGGTGATGGACCGACAGCTTTTGTTTATCACGTGACGCCAAGACATTCACGCAGGCTGCCGAAAGCTGCGCTAGCCGTCTCGAAGGTGCCAGTGTCGTATCCTGTCGAGTGCAATTGGCTTGCATATGCCTCAGTGACATTCATGTCTTTTGGTAGACATGCTTGCCGGCAGGCATTGAAGCCGAGCGCTCTCCCGCTTCATGATCACCTTTGGATCAGCGACGATCTTCTTGCAATTACCTTCCGCCGCTTTGCAAACAGCCAGCGTCGCCATGGCAGCTGCGTCCCCGGACCTTTGGAGGCGCGACGACGTTTGGCTAAGAGGCGAAATACAGCTCTAGCAGGCTTCGGAGCTGGACCTGCAGAAGACATTGCCTGTCTGTTCGGTCGAAATGGCCGAGAACATATGAAATGGACTGATCACCAGTGGCAGAGACCGCAGACAGGAGTTCAAGGTGTGTCGTGATCAAGATACCTGCTTGGATCTTTTGTACTAAGAGCTTCTAGGCTCTAGAGAAAACTCGGCGTCCATGGCGCACATCCCGTTGTTACTCGGCGACCAAGACCCCGGTCTAATTGACGTTTTTGCTCCCTCCGACTTTCGAGCTCCTTCCCCGAAGGCGCACACTGTTTCTCCTTCCGACCAATTGAAATTGTTTCTAGAAGACAGTGACTGGGGAATCGAGGATGTAAGAGACTTTGTCCACCATTTGCGGATCGATTTACAACGATACCCAAAGTTCAGTCGGCAAATATTCGACAGTCTGCTATTACGATCATCGTTGGACATGGATCAAATCACTCAAATCCTGGATGATCCGTTTTTGAATGCCCGTGGATCGGGTAACTACTATGCGGCAGTGGAAATGATCTGTCGTACAAAGATGAAGCGATCAAGTCGGACTGCTGTACTTCGCTCGGTTTGCCGCGCGCTTGAATTAGGACTCCTGCCCGCTGGCGAACTGCGCCTCATCATCAAGGCATTGCCCCATGTCATTGCTGAGAGAGGACAAGCCTTGAGAATCGTCGACCCGGTCGCCGTCAACAAACACTACCTGGCAATGTGGAAAGCCATCGGCCGCTGCAATGTTCTCGGCTATCGCGACATGGACAGCGAGCTTGTGGGCGTTTGGCTCACGGAGCTTCTCAACTTGCGCAGCTTTCGATTTGCTGAGCAAGTCATCGTGGCTACTCACAGTGTGCATACTCAGAATCCTTGGGCAGTCGACCTGGTGATCGCGCAATTGGCCCATGCCCGCATCACCAAGATCGCGCCATCGTTCGAAACCCTGTTTTGTCAACTCCACCCTGACTATGGCGTCCAATGTATCATCGACGTCACAGAGACATTGGCGATATCCGTGTTGAATGACAAGAGGGTAGAGCTTCTTGAGATGTGGCAAACTTGCCTTGAGAAATTGACCAATGTCTCTGCTCTTACGCCCTCCCAAGCCTGGCTGGATCTGCCAGCGGCCTACGGCGATGTGGATGTCGCCATGGAAGCTGCACCAACAATCTCTCATACACAAAAGCAAATAATAAGTCGAATCTGGGCGTTGCGCACACTCAGTCGGTCTTTGAAACCAGTGGGCACATGTGGCTCTCGATCAACCGATAAACCGATTTACTTTCTATTGGGGCTCTACGAGACAGCCACGAAGCATGCAGGCGGGTCGTTGTTGTCAAACTTGATGCGCGGAATACAAAATCTCAACCTACCCCACAGCAATATTTTGTTGTTGGCAGTGAAAATGAAGGTGAAGAAGAGAGTCGGGAAGACCACCCGCAAAACTCTAGAGCAACTAGAAACGTCTCAAACTGCTCTAGAGGACGTCTGGACGAACGCTCCAGTCTACCATGGCGTCCGAAACCTTTTCTTTGCTGATTTCGATCGAATGTTCCGCCGGCTGGACCTGACCAGTCCGGAAATGGTCGAACAATGTCTCCAATTGGCCAGATTCGGCAGTTCTCAAAGTATTTGGTCTATCTTGACCATCCTGCGAAGTCATACACCCTTCAAACTGTGCCTTCACAAAGCCTGGACACCCGTTCCACATCCCAGCGAGAAAGCGTTGGCACGGTACCACGAGGGCCTGCGAAATAGCCAGACACCCGACCCTCACGCCGCGGTCGACTTCGTTCACCGCCTGGCTGTCGCGATCTCTTGTAGCCGCAACCTCACTCCGTTGCGCGCCTTTCATCTAGTGCACATGCTGTACGGCTATCTACGCCGATACGGCGGCCCTGTGTACCCATCGCTTGCGCAGGCCATGTATCACGCTGGCGTCGTACGTTATCGTCGAGAAGGGCGTCGTGTACCGGCAACGCAATACGAATACATCCTTTGGATCGTTGATAAGTTCGAAGGACGCAAGGCTTCTGAGACACTGAGAAGCCCTGCACGAATCGGACAGGCTTGAGCAAGCCGAAGTCAATGGACGCATATCAGTCATTGCATGTTAACTCCTGCTATCGCGGAAGTCAATTTGTGCTGCCGATTCTGTACATTAAGATACCCAGCATGTTATTAGACTTTAAATCACAACGTTATGAAAAAAAAATATTCACCAGCTTCTCTGCGCTTTCGATTGTGTTGATTGCAATCAGGATTAGGCCAATCCAGCACATGTGCCCCGAGTAGTCTTCAGGGAAAGTCTTGCTAATCACGAAGCCAACCAAGAATATCTAGGAAGGGAAAGTGTATCATTGTTTCAAAAGGCTACATGCTTGGAAACCATACCAGCTTGTGGATCAGACATTCTTTTAAACATCGACTTCCATCTTCTCCCCAGCAGCAAGGTTGTCGTCTCCGGAGAGCGTCTCGATAGTGACATATTTCTTCAGATCCTCCTTGCTGATGACCTTTTGGTTCAACCAAGCAGTCGTGCCCTTGGGGAATCGGTAGTTGCGCTCCTTCAAACCACGCTCGTTAGGCTTCATATAGTTGCGAAGCAGCTTCGTGGGCTTATCCTTCTCAATGACGCATACGTCCACATTGCTGCCGGAACCGAGGTCGTTGAAAATACCGGCCTTGATGGCCTCGGCGCAAAGAGCGATCGCACCTTCCTTGTCAAGATCGGGCTGCCACATTGACTCAAACACGGACATGGCTGCCAGTGATCCCGATCCCATGGTCACGTATGGCAGCTTGTCTGTCGAACCGTGCGCGTGCACTGTGTACAAGCCAACACCGGTCGGATCCACGCCCGCAACCACAAGGTAGGCGCCGATGTGTCCCTGGTATCGGAAAAGGTGCTGCTTGAGCATGGTCATGCATGTGATGACTCGCGGGTCACGGCCTGTTGATAGAGAGTGCAATTCGACGTTGGAGCTGATGAGGGCGGTGGTGAACTCGGTATCCGCGGCGGTACCGGCGCCAGCACACCAGATCTTGGGCGCAATGTAATGAAGTTTCTCGCAGTTCTAGAAAGTCCAAAACAGTCAGCCTCGAGCTCTATGGTTGACTTAAAAAATCGATAAAGCCGACTTCCATCGTACCTTGTCTGCTACTATGGGGCCGCTCGTAGCTCTGGTATCTGCTGCGATCTTTGTTCACCAACAGGTCAGCTTTGCCTCGTTGCGCAGTCTTCGTTTTTGAGGATTTTATCAAGACCATACCACCACACCATTATCGTAGATACATCCCACAATCGTTGTACCAGTGCTAGTGGCCTTGGGAAGAGGAACACCCCTGGCGTGCAGAGCCGCGTTGCGGTTGTAGTTTGAGAAATCGAAGCCGGTCATCTTGACACCGCAGGAGTTGAACAATGGAGGGGCAAAGACTTGGTCGAATTGAAAGCCGGAGCACGAGTCGAAGAGGAAAAGAAGCCAAGGACTTTCGGAGAGAAAGGGAGGGCCGTCGATGCAAGAGGTACTGGTGGAGATGAGGATGTTATGCTAGGTGAGCTGTCTGGAGGTGACGAAGCTCCCGCAGCCTGCTGATTCGAAGCCTGGCCTTTAAGGCACAAAACGCGTTATGCAGCTGGATGTTTTTTGCCTCTACCGGGTTCCATTCAGACTCAAGAAGATCTCATAGCTCTTCCTCCCCACAATCTGCACGGAAACTTTGACAAACTGCTCACTTGCGCGTGTATTGCTTCTCATCTAGCCTCTGAGGGGCAGTCTCAAAATTCTCAGGCGCACCTGGAGCCTCTTTGACCGGAGTCCTCAATCGCTCCCACGTCACTCTTTCTCTTCGACTCCCTCCACCCCGACTTCACCTGCCTCGCCGTCCCTCAATGCTCACAGGCCACATCCAAGCTTAAGCGGACATCATCGTTCAGTCTCCGCTGAAGTCCATCGTCTCCGAATGGCGTTCAGCTTTGGTTCCTCTTCCGGCCCGGCTGGGGCAAGTGCGCCCACCGAGCTCGCCGAGATCTTCACAGATGTGTGTCTCTCTCGTTGAGCTAATGCTTAGTTTTGAAGTTGTTGTCTTGTCGCTTACAGCCAGTTTAGGAATTCGGTTTTAAAGGCGTTTCCGGTGATATCAGCATTCGGTTTCTCCCTTCGCCCTGGCCGCAAGACGCTCTACCCGCCCCGACTACCTCCCTTCTAACTGTCGCGCAAAACAAGGGCATCGTTGTTGGCGCGGGACCTGATTGCCTCGTTGTCGCGACTACCCAATCTGTTCGAACCGCCATCGAAACTTCATCTCAGGAAGAAAGCAACAAGACGAAGCCCTTCCAGCCACAGTCCACGATTCCACTACCTGCACGACCTACCCACGTTGCTTTCACGGCGAGCGATGACGCCTTGATATTAGCGACTGAGAACGCGTCTCAGATCACAGTCTTCCAGACGGATACCCTCCTTCAAGGCAATGTGCAGCCAGCTCTGTCAGTTCAAACCAACGGTGCGACAATTCGATGTCTTGCGCCGAACCCGGATCCCTCTTCGACCCTGGTTGCGCTGGTCACAGTCAACGGAGAGCTTCTGATTGCAGACCTTAAGGCCGGAAATCTGGTGACCGGTGCCAATGGGCCAGCCCTACGAAATGGAGTCAGCTGCGTCGCTTGGAGCAACAAGGGAAAGCAGCTCGTGGCGGGCATGGCTGATGGAAGCGCGGAGCAGATGACCCCTGACGGAACGCAGAAAGCTCAAATACCCAGACCTTCTGATTTGGAAGGAGAATGTCACGGTATGTCAAGTGTCGATTCGCTCTATATTCGATTGTGCGGGCTAATATTTTCAAAGTCTCATCTATCAGTTGGCTCGAGAATGACATTTTCTTCAGCATCTACACTCCGAATGCTCCAGAAGACGACATGGGAATTCCTGCCTCGTCTTATTACATGATAACAAGGCAGAAGCAGGCGCCGTTCCTCCTCCAGAAACTACCCGAGATTTGTCCCACTATTGGGTTCATGATGAAACGAGCGCCTGCGTTCCAATTTATCGCACGTTTACGGGACTACAAGCCGCATCTCAAAGATGTTCTGATCGTCGCATCAACCGCATCTGCAGATGTCGGTATGGTCGTGCGATCCGAGAAAGCACTGGATGATAATCCCGCTGGACAATTTGCAGTGGCCAACGTGAACGACGATGTGAAAAGGGCATCAATCCCTCTTACGGAGTCCGGTGATGACACGTCAGTTATTGGTCTCAGTTGTGATCTGTCTAGCAGCGACAAGGTGCCTTCGCCTCTTCCTGGTGAGGAAATAATAGAGACTTCATCTCCTTTGCCCGCACTGTTCGCTTTGAATAATGAGGGTAATATGTGCGCCTGGTGGTTCATTTATACCGACGCGATCCGCCAGAACATTCCCTATTCTGGGCTTGTTTCCGGGAGCGCGCAGATACCAGCCCAGGCTGCGCCTTCGTCTCTGCAGCCGGCCACACCAGCAATGACCCAGCAACAACAACAACAACCCGCATTTGGCCAGTCCTCTTTTGGCAGCCCGTCTCCTTTGGGTGCATCTTCTTTCGCTAAACCGACGGGAAGTGCGACATTTGGAACTCCCTCGGCCATGGGAGCAACGCCATTCGGAAAGGCTGCTGCTCCAGCATTCGGCAGCACTTCCAATCTGGGTAGCATGGCCAGTCCCGGGTTTGGCAAACCTTCTCTCGGGCCTTCCTCTGGCACAGCATTTGGTCAAACCAGCTCTCCTGGACACGGTGTGGCATTCGGCAAGTCGGGATTCGGTGCCCCGAGCACGAGCTCGCCGTTCGGACAATCTACCACACCGGCGAAAAGCCTCCTCAATTCTGCGCCTGGGACGAGCGGTGGCGGCTTCAGCTCCTTCTCCAGCGGAGCAGGTACGGGTGGTGGATTCGCTGCGTTTGCCGCTGCAAAGCCTGCGGAGTCTCCGTTTGCGAAAACTTCTGGTGACAATGCCTTTGCCAAGACCTCGTCGCCTTCGCCTTTTGCTAGCAGCAACGCTTTCGGTGAGACCGCATTTGCTAAGGCATCATCTCCCTCTCCTTTCGGAGCCAAACCTTCAGGCGAGACTGCTTTCCCATCCGCGCAATCAGCCGCAGTCAAAAATCCATTTGGTTCCAACTCAGGCTTTGGATCTGGTAGCGGATTTGTGCTGGGATCTTCTTTTAAGGGCGATGGCACAGCCGCGAGCGACTCAAAAGAACCAGAAAAGAGCTCCTCGGGTGCTATGTCCCTGAGTGGATTCGGCAAATCTATTTCACTGTCAAATGATTCCACGGGTCCGACGGAATCTATGGATGACTCAGAAGACAAGACTGCCCCGGCGGCAGCGAAGAGCCAACCCACCGCATTCTTCAGTCCTCCGCCACCTAAACCCTCGTCTAATTGGGGAGCGTCGCCTTTCGGTGCCAAAGCGCTGCAAACAAAGCCGGCTTCGTCACCTTTGGCAACCCAGACCGGCAGTGGATTCTCCATGTTTGGATCTTCTTCTGCCGCACCTTCGCAATCGCCTCCACAGACAAAGCCACGGATCACGAGTCCACTGTCAACCCAGTCTGACGTGACAGCGACTCCCCAGAAAGGCCAATCTATCCTTAGTCCCACATCTTCTTCCCTCGAGGCTCCCCTTCCTCCAGATTCAACTACAAAGACCAGTTATGCTCCTGGGGATACATCAGCGTCATCGAATGTGTCAAAGAGTTCTGCCGAAGATGCCCCTCTTCCCCCGGATTTCGTGTCGATAGGGAAGAGCTCCAAAGAAGTAGAGGATGCGCCCCTTCCGCCAGATTTTACAGCCAAGCCTATCAAGACCGAGAGTCCACCTCCGGGTGTGCCCGAAGATGTCCCGGAGGAAGCGCCATTGCCTCCAGACCCAACGACGTTCAAGCGTGATTCTACCCTGTCAGAAGACCTCGAAGCTGTTCCGGATGAGACAGACCTCGAATCCCAGGATGGCGACGAGTCAGATTTCAGTGACATTGGTGAAGATTTAAATCAAGATGAGGCCGACGCGGGCGAGTCCTTCAGTGGATTATCCGACAAGAGCTCGACTGGGGGGCTTTTTAGTGGATTCTCCAAAGGCGCTAAAAAAGACCAAACAAAGCAGGCACCTCGCGCACTTTTCGGTGAAATCTCGAAGGGTCCGGTTCTTCCCCCGCCAGGGCCCGCAATCCGTTCTGGCCGTGAGCCGTATCGCTCCCCCAGTCCCAACCGCGCCAGCTCCCAAAAGGGCAACTTGCTCCTGAAGAAATCGGATGCTTTCAAGGTGGGAAGCGCCTTGGCTTCTAAGAAGGCTGCCCTAGCTCAATCCACGTATCGTAAGGGGCCTCTGAGGAAAGTTAGCGATGCTGCGCGAGAGGAACGGGTGCGTGCACAGGCGGCTGCTCTGCAGCGAGCCGAGGAGGAGGTCCTCGCTCTCTCAGACGATGACGAGGACGAGAGACTGCGAGCAGACCTTGCTCGCCCTGTCGAGCCCGCCGCAACCCTGGATCCCTTTCTTCCTCACCAAGACTACACCGGCGATACAGCGAAGCCTGGTGTTCCAGGTATGATCGAACGGCTCTATCGAGATATCAACTCCATGGTCGATACGTTGGGAATTAATGCTCGGTCCATGGAGTCGTTCCTCCTTTACCAGCAGCCGGCGCAAGGGTCTGACCACGATACATGGGTGAACATTTTGACGAGTGACAACCCTTCCAACATCTTGGATGAGGATCTCTTCCTCCAGGATATCAGTATTTTCGAGGACGTCATCACATCCATTGGCCAGAATCTTGACGAGCAACGTCTCCAAGGTGTTGAGGACAAACTCAACGATTGCCGAGCATTACTCACTAAAGATATTGTGTCTTTGCGGGCCCAGTTCGCTAGCATTCGCAAGACGCTCGACGCGTTGACTGACACCGGGGCGATCCTCTCAGCGCCTCTTTCTGCCGAGCAAGTCACCCTTCAACAAGACCTTCGCACCACATTCACCGACCTGCAAGGCAAATTGGCCGAGCTTGAGCAAGGCGTTTCGATGCTGCGAGCAAAGATTGCCGACATTCCAAGACGCGGTGGAGCTGGCGCCGCGTCCCGCAAGCGACCGACTGTCGAGGCTGTCTCCTCCACTATTGCAACCATGATGAGCATGGCGGAGAGCAAGAGCAGTGACATTGACGTCCTGGAGGCCCAGCTCAAAAAGCTCGGCTTTGATACATCCGTGTCGGGCTCCGTGAGCCGTGAAGGATCTCCATTTGCTACACCTCGCAAAGCAGTTGGCCGTTTCCCAGCAACACCGGGCTCGCGCGGCTCCGTTGACGGGAGTGCTTATCACACTCCAGAGTCCGCAGCCCGCGGCCTCAATTTCCGGGCCAGTCTGAATGGCTCGGCGAAACAGAGTCGTCTCCGAAGTGTTGACGTCGCTGGTCCTGTCGGCGTGCGGGAGGAGTCATCTCAGTGGAAGGCGAAGAATCAACGCCGAAGGCAACTGATCGGTAGCTTGAAGGACGCGATGGAAAAGAAGGAGAAGCAAGTGCGGGGTGTTGACGATCTTTAATGTTTGCATGGGCAATTCCCTGGGTTTCACAACGCAAGAGACTCTTGGGATGTATTATTTTAACACTGTTTTCATAATTTCATTTGACTTGGTATCAAGTTCATCCATTACAGTTCTGTCACCGCTGGAAATCCATTCAAATTCAAATTCAAACCGCGGCAACAAAAACGCATAAGATGGAAGGCGCCCTAGTCATATTTCCCAGCAAACTTAACCTCAGCTAATCAGGATGACTTCGAAACGCTACCTAGGCTGCAGTCCATACATCCATTCTGTACCTTCGGCCGCACCATTCAACGTCCTGGCTACTACCAACTCAGTTGAACGAGGGGGTCCTGTATTCAACAATCAATTCTCCAGTCCAATGATGGATGGAGACTTTCTATACTCTCCATGCATCCGAAGAACCTCAAGTGTTTCGATGAAGTACTAGTAGGAAGTCATTAGGTAGCAATGTGTGGATCGACCAGCATTGCCCAGCAGTAAGTTACACATATGTCATCATGTCGCAGGCACTCTGAGGATTGCTGAGCTGGATTGACACTCATCTAAGGAATCCGTGAGTGGTCGGGCACGGATGTGGTGGCTGACGGAGATGGTCCCCGAATGTTCCAAGGACTCCCAATCTACATCTGGTCGTTGTGAATAGGGTCGGCACCGTGTTCCTTGCCTCAGAGCTTGCGGAGTTCACTCGAACTGCGAGCAGAATCACTAGATGATATACATGGATGGCTAGGAGGAAGTGCTTCAAATACGTTAATGCTCTTCGAGATAGTTACAGGGCAATGTGATGTAAACTGCCTACCTGATTGCCGCCATCTCTTACTATAGATCCGGGTAGAAACCTATCCACGCATGCGAGTTCGACTTTGACGGATTATGTAGATTGATACTATGCTGTACGGATACTGTGGGAACGCCCACTTGTTGATGATTCAGATGGTCAATCCGTGTGCGATTTTGACCCGACAAGCAGTTTCTGCATTGTTACACAAGGCAAAGTCATGGCAATATTGTTTTGTAGCCTCTTCACCCAAGCGAGCTGGGTTGCCTGCTTTCCGATTTCCGATACAGCTGGGGTGAAATCACTGACATCATGTAAAGGTCAGAAGACACTCGTCTGGTTCGCATTTGGAACCGCCGTGGCAAAGCAAGGCTCGAGGTTCAGCCACCAATTTGACCACAGGGGCATCTGCTCAATTGACCTCTCGAGTCAATAGCACGGACAGACTCGTCGACTCTGTAACTCCTTTTCACTTCCAGGATGGCTCAGATGAGCACGCAATTCATTTTATTCGGTGTGAAAAGCGAGGTTGAACCCGAAAATCCTGCTAGCGATCTGGGAGAGGCGCTGCTTAAGGTCTTTCGTGCTACTAAAAACCAGAGCGGCCATCGCAGCTCTGCGTGGGGTCGCTCGATAGAAGAACCGAAGAACATTGTATGGGTGATTGGTATGTTGCTGACATTGCAATGCCATGAGAGCTCCCCGACAGCGAATTGAGCTCACTGACCATGTTTGTTTCACTAGACTGGACCGACGCCCGTTGCTCTATCAATCCAGAGCTTCTTAAGCCCTTCCTTGTCAACGAAGACAAACCTTTGACGGCTGTCTATGCCACTCTGAGTCCGCCGATCAGCAGCACCGACACGCTGACGAAGAACCCGGTGACGGAGCTATTCTTCCTACCATTTTCAACAGCAATATCTGAGTATGAATCTCGACACCTGCATGCAGACCTGATCAAACTGCGCTCGGTAATGGTCACGCAGCTGCCACAAGCCGAGGGCCCCTGTTTCCTGGTCAATGGGTCAACTGGCTAGACCGAGTACAGTGCGACATGAACAAAGCCCGAGCGGACGCGCAACCGTACACTTGCTGATCGTCGGCTGGGAAAGCGTGGAAACTCACTCCAGGGCCAGGGAAACCAAAGAGTTTGTCGATGCATTCACACCGGTTAGTGGAAGATTGCTTCCCCCAATACCTGAGCTGGGAATGAAACATGTCAGATTCCAGAGTATTTAATATGAAGAATGTTGTAGCGAAGGATCCGTGTATCTGTATGAAATGTCACAGCTGGGGCAGGTACGGCAGGGGAATAGGTGTGGAAGGTTCATCTCGGGGTTACTGCTAGGGCATGATAGTAATGCGTGAATAAGATAGTAGAGGAAACCGTTCATTTGACAACAAAGGTAAGGGAACCCGCCACGAATAGAATACAGCGAGCAATCCAAAACAGAGAAGAGAAACGAACAAGACACTGATACGGATGGGGAACGAAAGAAAACAAATTTGTCATAAACCACCATTGACTTTTGGTACCGTGTCCTAGATAGCCGTTAAAGTATTGAAGGTTCCGAGTCACCCATTAGACACGGTGCTTCTCGCTCTCTGTAAGAGATTGTTAGTATGTGAAACCAAGTAGAGGAGGCGCTTTGTTGGAAACTGACCAAGTCGAGAGTAGAGCATGTACAATGCCATTTGGTTGCATTCCTGGGTGCCAGTGATGGTGACCAAACGCTCATTGCTGTTCTCCTGGGGCTCATTGATCTTGATCACGCTACCACTAAGGTGACGGATCTCATTGATCTTGGCACCACCCTTACCAATAATCGCACCGACCATATCGTTGGGGATATAGATTTGCTGCGTCAAGGGCTGACCGGGCATAGCACCACCCACGGGGGCGGGAGCAGTAGGAGCGCCCCCACGACCTGCAGGAGGCTGAGGTCCCCCGACGTAAGGAGCAGGCTGGTGAGGTGCTGCGCCAGCATACGGTGTGTGAGCAGCCGCACCATATGGCATGGCCGGTTGAGCCACGGGGGCAGGGGCTTGACCTTGTAGGTATGGCACACCATAAGCACTGGGCTGGCCGCGGTTCGAATGAGGATGGTTGCGCTTGAAAGTATCCGGGTGTCCGTACTGACCCCCAGCAGGCTGAGGAACATACGGCACCACTTGCATACCACCCGGCACAGCACCTGCAGGTCCACCACTGCGTGTAGCGTAGGCGGACGCCGCAGGACCACCAAAGCGCTCAGACAACTGCTCTCCCAGGGTCACAGCCACGTAGTAGGTGGCAATGTGGACGGCATCGGCGACACCGAGAATGACCAAGGAACGTTCGGTAGAGAGAGGCAGACAGGCATCGGAGGCGTTCAGTCGCGCACCAGACGCTTCCTGAATCTCGCGGATACGGCTGCCACCCTTGCCGATGATAGATCCGATAAGAATGTGGGGGATTAGCAAACGCAGAGGGTAAGTCTTGGACTGGGCAGTAGAAGGAGCGTCAATGGGCTCATTGTTCAAGGTGCGAATAATTAGACCGAAAGCCTGACCATGGTCAGCAACTGGAATCATAATATCTTCTTGGGGGTATCATTTTTATAGGATCACCACCTACCTTCGCAACGGCATCTTGGGCGCCGCTTACGGTCAAGATCCGTTCGACGGCACCCCGGGAGTAATCGCTGACAGTGCACTTGGCGCCAGACATTCGACGGATCTGAGAAACGTTCTCACCTCCCTTGCCAATGACAGTGGCAGCTTCGGGGCTAGAGATCACAGCACGAATGTGAATCCAGCTTGATTCGTCCTGAGAAGCTTGGTTCTCAGATTGAGAGCCAGTTCGCTCGCCCTGGGAAGCTGTAGACTGGATTGGCTGAGTGTCTGGCTGGGCTTTGCCATTGGGAGCGTCGGGGACGACAGTATCACCCTGATTGTCTTTGGACTCCTCGGAAACGGTGGGCTTGTCGGTGGAGACCTCAGGTTGAGCCTCAGCCTCGGCGTCTGCATCGTTGCGCGCGACTTTGTCGAGCGCTGGGCGCTTGGCATCCGGCTGATCGGTCGGGCCCGAGGGGGAAGAGGGATCCTCAAGAGGACGCTTCGTCGATTGCAGGTTGGGTGGAGAGGCGGACATTGTGTAGTAACTGTGTTGACCGGGCCTCACTTACGTAAAAAGGGGTCGGAATTCAAGAACGAAACGTCTTTTCTGTTTTTCTTTTGCTCTCCTAGGATCGTCTATGTACACCAGAGGTTCCCACAGAAGGTGCTGGTGTATGGCGGTCGACAGGGGAGGATCTGGTGCTGTGATGAGGCTGGAGAGATGGGAGGAGACGGTGGTAGTGCTGCCGAAAAAGAGTGTGGAGAGCGGAGTGGTGATAGGACCCGACAATTGTTGGGTAAGAAGGTTTCAGGAAGTTTGGTCTCGGAAGTTCACTCGTGAACAGACGAGCGAATTGAATGAGAACAAGGAAGGTATCGGTGTGAGATGCGACGGGCAGGGAGAAAGTCCAGGTGGGAACCAGGGAAAGCGCGACTTGTACCACAGCTAGTTCCAAGCCAAAAAACTCCCAAAGACGGCTATCAAGAGCCGTGTCAAGTGTCACAGTAAGAACACCAAAGGGGTGTGGGCGGAAAAGGCGAACTGAAGCGACTATGAAGAGTGCAAGGGGGATGAATAGATCTTACACAGCGAAGGGCGAGGTTGAGATAGAAAGCTGGACACATCCACCGCTAGCCTGATCGGTTGATCACGTGGTATCAACACGACAGAGTCCGGCTCTCTCCCAGGAACTATTGACGTTAAATCAAGACACAGGGTTCAACGGCGCGGGAGACATAGTACAGGACTTCGAAATGAGTGTCTCTGACGACACAATTCAAAATATTCAAAAGTTCATCAAGAATCGTCAGACCGCAGAAACAGAGGCATCGGCAGAACCATTGGGGGCACCGGCCCTACACGCCTATGCACGACGGCTGGACGGGACTCTCCAGCAACTGCAGGCACAAGTCCAACACCAGGAAGAAGAACTAAACAAGGTTTGTTGATGGATCCATTGCACAGCGAGCGAAACTAGCCAAATCTTACTGAAATGGGGATTAGCTGCGAGAAACCCGGGGTTCCTTCACCCTCACAGACAAGGACGAGGATCCTTGGACGCGCGTCGCTCAAGCAAGACGCGCCAAGAAGGCATATAATTCTCTCATTCTTGGCGAAGATGACCTGCCTAGAACGGACTCTGTGCTGCCAGCTTTGATTGCCGTGGAAGAAACGTCTTATTTAATCAGAGAAGGCAAGGCATCTCTGCATGTCATCGCAGACAATGTATCTGCAGATCGCGAGCGCTTTCGCATTGAGGAAGCCAACCTTCGTGATTCTCGTGAAATTGCCAATGGACTTCGTGAGCGAATTCAGCGAATTCGCAATGCGGAAAGGCAAAAGCAAGAGCGAACGCCGTCTCAAGTCGCTCGCGAAGTCGTTCGAGAGCAGAAGGCCAGGAAACAACGACTGGAGAAGGCAACCGAAGATCTTAAGAAGTCAATTGACAGCTTTATTGACATTTCACTAGCACCGATGCTGGCGGCAGAAGACATGGGAGGCCCCAATGTGGGCGATGACCTTGAAGTGTCCGACGCCACGTTAAGAGCAGGCTACACAGCTAGTGGAAAGCCGAAAAAGCCGAAGGAAGCTGTCGATCAAACTGACAGTAACCAACAACGGATCGATCAATTTCTTCAACAAAGCACAACTGCCTCTGCTTCCGCAACGAGAAGAGAAACCATGGCACAAGAGGCACATGAATTGCTTGACGGTCTGCTTGAAGCTGGCTCATCATACATTGACTTGAAACGAGACTCGGCAGCCTCGCGCTTCCTAGTGCGAGCCAAAGTGGCCCAGTTTCACCCGCGCGACGCACGTCGTTTACGCCTGATTGATTTCGGTCGATCATTGGATGATCGGGATTGACAGTTTTTACGAATAATCACTCAGGAATAGATAATTCTCCTCAACATGTTTTATCTGGTCAAAAGAGACAACTCGTAATGCTTTTCACCATACACCATCATACATTTAGAAGGAGCATATTTCGAACGATCATAAGAGACTCACAGGCTTATGTCGCCACAAGTGGAAGGGAAAACGCCTGGGCTCATGCTGGATGCAATGTAATGTAAACATAAAGGTAGGAATAGGAACATTAAGTGCCATGCCAATAGATTACGAAATATTCAAATAGGCATCATCCCAATGGTAGAGCTTGGGCCTCTTGCGCTAGGGGTCTTTCCTTTGAATGACGAACCCCGGCTGCTCGCTGCGCGATCTCCGCCCGATTTAGCTCTGGACCGGGGGCCCTTGGCTTTCCACGTCCCTGTAGAGCTGCCGTTTTTGCGCCGGGGTCGCCGGGTGTAGGGGCGCTTGCTGCTTTTGGAACGTGAAGTCGTGGATCCGCGGTCGAATTCATCCTCAGGCTCAGGGCCAGGCGATGGCGCGGGTGGAAAGTAGCGGCTGGTGATATTCTCAGGGATGACCTCCACCGGGTAGCCGAGGTCTAGACTTGGATCTTGGTCGACGAAGAGATCATCGTCGCTATATTCGTCACTGCTGCTGAGATTGATGACATTGTGGTGATTAGGGTCCGGAACCACGCCGTTGGCCTCGGCGTCGTCTTTCAGCTCATGATAGCGGCGCCTGGCGTTGTCAATCAACTTGAGGATCTGACGACCGTATCGTTTGACCTTGTCGGGATCGATGCCGGTGATTGCAGCAAGTTCAGACATATCTGTCCCTTGTCAGTACCTCTGTGTCAGCATCTCAAAATGGTAGATGCACTGACTCTTGGGAAACGTGATAGCCATGTCACGCAGGGTTTGGTCGGGGAACGGCTGAGAGCGAAGACCTTTCTCGACAACAATCTGTGTATGCTCACAGTAAGTAAAATACGATCATTAGGCTGGAGGGAAAAAGCCATGCCGACTGACCTCTTGCAAATATCTCTTGGCAGACACCTCAAAGTCCTCCACCACTGCCCGATGCAAATGATCCAGCATATCCATCTTCCGGTCCGCCATAATTGGGGGGCCCACTTCGCGGCCGTTCTCATTCAGAGGCTTGCCAGCCACTCGAACAGGTTCAAACCCATCACTTTCATCGTCCGTTGCGTCGAGATCGACACGTCGTCTCCTCTGCTGCTGTTGAGATCTGGCTTGACGGCGATTGTTGGCAGACTGTACGGGAGACGAGACCATTGTGGATTGAGGGTAGACGGGAGTACCGGACTTGGTACTTTGTTTTGGTCGAGCAGCCACCTTGGGTTTTGCTTTGGGAGATCCGCGAACATGCAGTTCCAGTTTCTTTTGACCCGTTTCGTACTCAGTCGCACGGCGACCGAGCTTCAGGTACTGAACCGCGAAGTCGCTTCCATTGATGACATTGTCCTCAGCCAAGGCATCCTCACCTAAGAGGCGGTAAAAAAGCCGTTCCGCTTCACCACGATCCAGGTCTGAGCCTTTGCCATACCATGGCATCGACTTGTGTCCAGGGGATTTGGCTTTCTTCAAGTCTCCGCGTAGCACATCCACACAGTAAAGCACAGTCACTTTCTCCCCCATCTCACCTCTCGGGCCAGGTTGATTTTGGAACCATCGAACAATCTTGATAATCCAAGTAGCATATTCAGAGAAGTCGTGCAATTCAAAGGCATGTTCCGACTTGCAATTGTCACAAGAACTAGCACAGTCCTCGCGTCTGAAGTATTCATTGAAGTATGCGAGGACCTGAACTCGTCTGCAGTCACTGCGATTTTCACAGAATTGGACCACATTGCGTAACATGTGTTTCTGTCGTGTCTTTTGTTCGTAGCTACCATCTCCCTCGTCGATCATGCGCTTGAGTGTGGCAGCATCTCTGTATCCGTAATAAAGGTAGCAACCCGACCGTTTCCCATCACGTCCGGCGCGACCGGTTTCCTGGTAGTATCCTTCTAGACTCTTGGGGATGCTGTGATGCATCACGAAACGGACGTCGGGCTTGTCGATACCCATTCCGAAGGCAATCGTTGCAACTATGATATGATGGGTTCCTTGCTGCCATTCGTTCTGAACCTTGGCCTTATCATCGGACTTCATGCCAGCATGATAGTGCGCAGCACGAAGTCTGTATTTCCTGCAGAGATCTTCTGCAACCTTCTCACACATTTTCCGAGAGAGGCAATAAACTATTCCACACTGATTCTTGTAAGACTTTTTGATGGTCTCCGCGATGCTCGCAAGAACTTCATCATTCTTGCCCTTGGTCCGCACTTCGTATGTTAGATTCGGTCGATTGAAAGACTGAAGAAACACCTCGCAGCCAGTCATCTTAAGATTATGGATCACATCAACCTTGACATTCTCCGTAGCGGTCGCGGTCAACGCCATCACCGGTACTCCGGGAAGCTTCGCTCGAATCTCTCCCAATTCTTTGTAGTCTGGCCGGAAATCATGTCCCCATTGGCTGACGCAGTGTGCCTCGTCGATCACCAACCGTGCAAGCTTCTGGCGACGATGAAGATTCTCCAAAGATCTGACTAACGATTGGTTCTTGTTGATCATCTCAGGGGTGATGTACAACAGCTCCAAATCTTCAACGTCGCCGCTGTGTAGTTGACTCAGAATCCTTGATCGCTCTGCTCTGTCGGATTCGCCATTGATCAAGAAGGCTTTGATATGCAGCTTTCGCAGATGATCAACTTGGTCCTGCATCAAACTCAGAAGAGGAGACACCACGAGTGTCACGCCATGCGTACGACCGCCTGTTACTATGGAAGGAAGCTGATAACACAGTGATTTCCCACCTCCGGTCGGCATGAGAACAAACACATCTTTCCCACCCAGAGTCGCGTCGATGGCCTCGAGTTGATTTGGCCTGAACCCACGCAAATGAAACCTGTCCTTAAGAACAGATTTGACCTCCTGAGACCATGGATGATTCGACCAGAAGTTGTTGCGAGCTGGCGATTTCTTGGGTGGAGGCATAGGCGCACGCGACGAGTTTCCAGAAGTTTCAGTGAGAATGTTCCGATGGGCAGGCTCCCGGGCAGCTGGCTGAGTCTGATGATCGAAGCTTCCCGCTGCCTCCAGCATCTCATCGTCACTATCGCTCCAGTCGAAGTCGTCGAAGTCGACTTCAGGAGAAGCCATGTTCCGTGTAATGCCAGCTTCGTGGTTCCGGGGCTGAATACGCACGTCAAATGTTGCTGAGTCGTTCTGGGCTTTTTGTGAGCTTGTCGCAGAAGTATAGAGAGACTGAACATTCGAAGTTGCTTGACGCGATGCACCATTATCGGCTTGATGGAATGAAGACGACACGGAAACTGATGCATCATCGGCTGCATCTCCATACCCAGCCGCATGTTCGAGGATTCCCGTCTCAGAAAGAAGCTTTCGAATGCTCGTTTCCGTATTCTCTATCTCTGCTTCAACTGCCAGGCTCTGCGACAACTCCGGCAGTGACGTCGGATCTTGACCTTGAGATATTGCACGCATCAAACCCTGCTTGAGATGCTGCCTCCGAGATAAAGAGTCGCTGTATGTCGTCTTCAACGTTTGCAGCCATTGCACGGACTCAATCTGAGAAACGAGCCCTTTGTTCGCTGCCACCAGTTCAGGCGCTGGTCGACCTGCCATTGCTTCTTCATAAACTATTTCTGCGTTCTTTTGCAAGGTTTGCTGTAATTTGGCAATGACAGCGTTGCAGGTGTTCTCCGAAAGGTTCATGAATTTAAGTATGCTCTCGTCTTTGGACTGAGAGCTCGGGACTGCCGGGCCGGGGATCGACGACGAAGACCCCGAATGCTCTCGCTTGACTGGGTGCGTAACAGAAGGCTTCTTATTACTGGCGATCGCCTGCTGAGTGGACTGGGCTGTGGGTGCCACAACGTCGACCTTCGGGTCGTTCAAGGGACTGACAGGAGGAAGTCTGGGATACAGACCAGTATTTGCATCAATGACCATCTCATCGTCATGAAGCCAGGTTTCGTCGAATGGGTCTTCACCGTCTGAATCGGCGACTTCGCGTTTCTGGTTCTTGCGCGGCAGGTCCAGAGAACGAAGTCTGCTTTTTCGACTCGGCAACTCGGAGATGACTGCTTTTGTGGAGCTCAAACTTGATTCTTTCGAGGGCGATGCAGCTTTTGCTGCAAGCTTTGCGGGAGAAAGCAAATCCGTTTTGTATTCATCGCTCTTCCTTTTGCGTCCCCGCTTCTCGCTGACGACCTCTTGAGACGCAGCGTTCTTGTTCCATAAGCGTCTCTGAGCTGCGAGATCAAGTTTGACATCCGAGGCGAGAAATCTATCGGGATCACCTGTGAGGTCGATGGACTCAATACCGTCAAACGGCGAGGTAGCAATTCTGCGATCCGGTCGGATGGGTGTGGCCTTGGGTCGCAGAATTTGTGTGGACGAGGACGGCGGTTCGAGAAATGATTCTGATCGGATAAGTCAGCTCAAATCAGCTCAAGCGCGTCGTATTACCATGATTTGCTTGCCCAACACACCTGAGATCACAGCGCTTGACGATGGAGGCTTCTTGGCAACCGTCGGGGAGCTAGGTAGCCGAGCGTCTCCCCGGCTCAGCATTTTTGACTTGCTCCCGGAGGAGGGCGCCAACATAAGTCTGGCCATATTCTCATCTTCCAAGTCATCTAGATTCTCGACGAGCTGATCGAGCAATTGGATATCATCGGGTGGTGGAGTCCGCTGATGGGTAACGCGATTTGCGGTTTCAGTTGGGATATCTGTGGACAACGTTGGATACAATGACGGGCCTTGTTGCAGAAGCCATTTAAGATGCACAGCCAAGTTGTTCTTCGTCATGGGGGTGTGTGTTCGCTCATGGCCCTGCCTTTATTTTGTTTGTCGATCTCCAACGGGCCTAATTATCCGAATTGTCGAGGCACCGCGCGGGTCGCGACCAGTTGACGCGTGTTGTTCACGTGAGCGGTCAATGGCACCGATAAGCGCCTTGATTGCCGGCCTCCATGGCTAAGTTACCTTCTTATCTACCCTGGTAATTTACTGTGGATGCACTCCATGGAGTGACTTCTCGATTTAATGCTACACCTATGGATTGTATTGTCATTGCGAGCCCACATCATGCAGTCATATCGGCCAATTTATCTGCACACTGTCTTGGAAGAATTGCCACTGATATCAACTTGCCCTCGACTTTCAAATGTCCATCGCCCTTTACTTGATGGCGGTCGTTCATCTCTATGATATCTTTCACCGCCCTTCCTTCCGCCTTAACCGGTATCTTGGTTTAGAGGCATACTTTTTCTCGGCCGACAGAAACCCGAGGGGAGTGATCTTAAGGGCTCTATATTTTCTTTTAGAAACTTCTTCTAAAATCATATTAAATTAGTCGTCAAAGATACTACCGGAAATCACTCTATTTCCGAGTACAAGTGAATACGATGCGGGATGCCCGCCGAATTCTGGTGTACTTTTTGTCCGGCAGTATCCTGCCCTTGATTCAACGCTGGAGTGCCCTCTCACGTCCGCGATAAGACAAGTGGGGCAAAGCTTTTTCTTGCCCCGCGGCCTAAAAAAAAGTGCCCGTGAGTAGTAAAAGATTTGCAGAGGGAGTTACGAAGTACTCGTCTTAATCTCCGATCGGTCATGGCGAAGAAAAGCAAAAAGTCGGCTGAGCACAAAGAGCGGGTGGCTGCGAAACAGTCGAAGAAGACCGCGCAGAAGGAGAAAAAGTCCAAGGCCAAGGGCAAAGACGTTGATAGCGATGCCGAGGACGCCGACTTGGACGCCATCCTGGCCCAATATGCTGAAGAGCAAGCTAAGTTTCTGAAGGTCACTGAGGTCCCGTCGGGTTCTCCTTCACCGCGAAGCTCTGCGACTATTCTGGCATCGCCGTCCAATCGCAATGAGATCCTTCTGTTCGGCGGCGAGTACTTTGACGGCACCCACGCGTCGTTCTTCAACAACCTCTTTGTGTATCAGATCGACCGAGGCGAGTGGAAAGAAGTAACAAGTCCCAACAGCCCACTTCCTCGCAGTGGACATGCCTGGTGTCGTGGCGGTAATTCTGGAGGCGTGTATCTGTTCGGAGGTCAGACCCCAAGTGTCCGTTGAGGACTCAACTATATTGATATCCACATCAGGGAGAAAGGCATCTGACTTGAAGTAGGTGAATTTTCGTCACCCAAACAAGGCACCTTCTATCATTACAACGACTTCTGGCATCTGGACCCGGCCACTCGCGAATGGACTCGCCTCGAGATCAAGGGCAAGGGCCCCCCAGCGAGAAGTGGCCACCGAATGACCTACTTCAAGGTACGCCGACAGCCACTTTAGTTCGACTTCTGACCCATGAGCAAAGCTTAAATCTCTTCCAGAACTACATCATTCTCTTTGGAGGATTCCAAGACACATCCCAACAGACCAAGTATTTACAAGACCTGTGGATCTATGACTGCGCCAAGTACACCTGGTTCAACCCACCATTGACCACGGCTTCCCAGAAGCCTGATCCTCGCTCATCATTCTCTTTCTTGCCACATGACACTGGTGCAGTAATCTATGGAGGCTATTCACGTGTCAAAGCAGCGACTAGCGCGGGGGGAAACAAGGTAAAGGTGGTCCGCAGAAGATGGCCCTGAAACCCATGGTCCATCAAGACACTTGGTTCCTGAGGATCACACCCCCAGAAACAGAGTCGGCGGCGACTTCGACTGGTCCAGCTGTCCGCTGGGAGCGTAGGAAGAAGCCTGCCAACACGCCCAACCCGCCTAGAGTAGGCACTACAATGGCTTACCACAAGGGTCGCGGTATCATGTTTGGAGGCGTTCACGATGTAGAGCTCACCGAAGAGGGCATGGACAGTGAATTCTTTGACACGCTATTTGCATGGACGACGGATCGCAATCGATTCTTCCCGTTGTCTCTTCGTCGTCCTCGTACAGGTGGCAAGAAACAGCAACCTAACCAAGCGAACAAGTCACGCAACCGTGCCAAGGTCAACGAAGAAGAACTTCTGGAAAATCTCAAAGCTCTCGAAGCAAAGCAAGGACTGCGCACGTCTGAATCAGACGACGAGGATGACTTCATGAAGCCGAAGGAGGAGGAGGAAGAGCCTTCTGAACCCTCTCGGCCTTCTATCGTGCGATTCGAAATGCCACACAAGAGATTCAACGCTCAGCTCACTGTGCAAGACGACACCCTGTTCATTTACGGGGGCACATTCGAAAAGGGTGACCGAGAATTCACATTCAACGACATGTACTCGATTGATCTAGTGAAGCTTGATGGCGTAAAGGAACTGTTCTACGTTGAGCCCACGAACTGGAACCTCCTGAACGAGGAAGACAGCGACGAAGAGATGGACGACGATGAAGAAGAAGAAGACGACGAGGAAATGGAGGATGAAGCAGGAGACGCAATGTCTCTCGACACCTCATCACCAGCACCGACCGAGCTTACTGTGCCATCCGTCACGCAAGGTATGGAGCAACTCGAAGTCGAGGAAGAGCAGGATGCAGATCAACCAGCAGATACTCGTCCGCAGCCTCGACCCTTTGAGAGCTTGCGAGAGTTCTTCAGTCGAACGTCTGAGGATTGGCAGAACATTCTTCTCGAGGTTCTTGCATGGAAGGGCCAGGCTGAAAATAAGTCAGTCAAGGAGATTCGAAAGCTGGCCTTTGACATGGCGGAAGAAAAGTGGTGGGATAGCCGGGAGGAAATCCTTGCCCTGGAAGATGAGCAAGAGGCAGCAGGCATCGGAGAGGTCGTCAGCATGCAGGACCGTGCTGAGACTGTTGGTGGCGCCGGCCGGCGCCGTTAAAGTAAAGCTGCAGGTGTTTCGTGAAGGTCTCAAGACGAAGCTCAAAAAGTACAAGCAATGTGTGCAATTACTATCTCATTCCGTACCGATTGAACGCAGCTACATACGACAGTGACAACCAAGCTTGAATATATACATTCGGCATCAAGGCATGATTTCGCACATTATATACGAAGGGGTAACTCGTGTTGAAGACGATGATCCCAGTCCAAGGCTGAGGGGCTCACTAGGCGAGCGGACAAGTTCATGAGCGCGCAACTTCGGCCAGTACACCAGTCACCAAATCCAAATCTCTTTGCACGTCGACCCTCCAATTTGAAACTGCGATTCGAGTAGCAGGGGCACCATCCCAACTAGTCCCAGAAACAAACATCTTCGAAGTCTCATTGATCTTCCGAGCAAGCTGCTTGTTCAAGGTGTCATCCTTGGCACGAAACAACACGGACATGAATGTCTGGTCCAGATGATCGGCTTTTGAGGACGTTCTGGGCAAGGCCACGTAGTCAGGATGATCAAAGATCCAATCGTTGATGCCTCGTGCGAGTTTGGTTTGACGTTCCAACATCGCGCGATATCCGTCTTTGCCATAGTAGAGCAGTGATGCGTAGACCGGCAAGGCCCGGAAACGGCGAGAGTTTTCAATTCCAATATTCAGAGGCGATGGTATGACAGGCCCATCCGAGGGACCCCCGGCGAGATAAGCTGCATTGGCATTTTGGAACACACTAGCAGCCAGATCGGGGTGCCGACAGAAGAAGAATCCGCAATCGTAGGGCACATTGAGCAGTTTGTGGCCGTCTCCTGTGATAGAATCCACCCATTCCAGGCCCCGACTTCCTTGCTTGACGGTTGCAAATTCAGGATCGTCGTTTAAAACACGACCAAAGATTCCAAAGGCCCCGTCGGCATGGAGCCACGCCCCGTACTTGTCACACAACTGACGAATCTGCGATATATCATCCGCCGTGGTCGCAAAGCGACCGGTGTTCACTTCACCAGAGGAGACGGCCACAATGCTGACCTTGTCTGCACGAGCCAGTTCATGTTCAAGCTGCTCAAGGTCAAATTTAAGCGGGTTGGAGGATTGGGCGATATTCCGCACATTCGCACGCCCAATGCCTAGGATGCCTGCCGCTTTGACAAGGGATGAGTGTGGGAGGGTGGAAAGGACCTGTATCCCAGAGAGATTCAGGGCGTGCAAAAGTTCGAAGAGTCCTGACTCTCCTACGCTTGTCATCCGCAGGCCTTTTTTCTCGGCAACTTTGCGCAAGACATACTCCCGCCCACATGCGAGGCCGAGGATGTTGCTCGCCGTGGCACCCGTGGTGAAAGTGCCATTGTGCCATTGTGAGCGATCCAATTCAAAGAGATCTGTCAGAAGACCGAGGGCATTGTGCTCGACATCTGTCACGATGGAGTGGTTCGTCAGGTGAACTTGAACATTCTGATCGTAAGCAGAGACCACGTTGTCCGCGAAGAGGGCGGCGGGTGTGACTCCACCGGTAATGAAGCCGTAGTAATTGGGACTGATGCTGCCCCCATTGAAGGCGGGGACAATCTCGTTCAAGATATGCTGTTGCACATCTTCCAAATTGATTCCTGAATCTGGCAAACTGCGTGGAAGCGAGGCGCGTGCCCGAGCGAGGCTCTCTGCAGTCGGTAGAACACCGGTCTCCCATTTTCCTTGGGCCGTTTCCCACAGATTCTGTAGAACTTGATCGTGCATACTTGTCATGTTGAATAGCCCCTGAACATATGCTAGGACATGAGCCGTACGTGAAGTCTGAGTGATAAATCCTCGAAGCCCGATCGGGATTTGCCAAAGATGAGTCAATGGTGTAGGCTGCGGTTGGACTTGGTTTGTTGAGACTCGTGGGGATCAACCCAGCTTGCCTTATCTTGCCTGTAATAGGGGCCAACTGGTGAGACCAAATCGAAGGAAGTAGATACTACTGTGCTTCTGGCCGACGCCTATCCCAGGCCAGAGATGAGAACCCAGCACAGCCTCGATAGTACGGACTACGGAGTAGTCCGGACCGACCTTCAGAGTCACATTCGGCGTTTGAGAGAATGCGCTAGCGGCGTCGAAAGAACCCTTTTCTCAGGTCCTTTGCAGGCATCCGAGTAAGCACTAGTCACCTGTCCCTGAAGTATATGTACCTAAACGCCGAGGCGGAAACTGTCTGACTCTCTTCATGCTGACAGCTTCATCTGGTCAGGCACCGCAAAGTCTACTTCTGCTCCTGGCCACTGACATGAGGTGTGAAGCACCAGTGTGGTAACCGATTTGCTCCATTCTCCGCAGTTGATCCACCTGTAGTCCCTCCTCCCCACACTTGCAGCACCTCCAACTTTCTCTCCTAGAATCATCCCCGTTTACAAAATCCAAGAATGGCGGCGAGATTGGTTGAGAAGCACTGTCACAATGTCCCAGGTAGCTACTTCAGTGTAGACGGATTTGTCGCCGCCAGCCAGGCGTGCCAGCGCGGTCATCGCTGACGAGTAGATAGGAAAGCTTCGTGTGACTGAGTTGTTCTTCGATGTGCCCGTCGATTATCAGAAGCCCAACGATGGCCGATTGAGATTGTTTGCTCGGAGCGTCACACGCTGGAACAATCCCATCGACTCCTCCACCAAGGAAGACACCAAGTTGCCCTGGCTTGTGTACCTGCAGGGTGGTCCCGGCTTTGGATGCGGGCCTCCGCAGAATTATGGCTTTGTTGAGCCGGCGTTGAGCAAAGGTTATCAGGTATGTCGCCCACTGCCGACATACTCGTCGTCAGTAGAGTCGCACGAACTTCATGCCGATGGAAGGTTCCTTCAGATTAACTTTGAGAGTAGATTTTGTTTCTGGATCAACGCGGTACCGGCCTCAGTTCTACCGTGACCGCGGGTACCCTCGCCCGTCAAGGAGACGCTATCAAGCAAGCAGAGTACCTCAAGAAGTTCCGTGCTGACAGCATTGTCCGCGACTGTGAGGCGATCCGTGAAATCCTGACCCAGGAGTACCCTGCAGACCAACGTGTCTGGAGCATCATCGGTCAAAGTTTCGGGGGCTTCTGTGCTGCTTCTTATCTATCCTTCTCGTGAGTTCGCCTTGACGAGACTAGAACCATCAGACTTTTGAAAGAATGCTTCCGCGACTGCGACTCGGTCTGACATTTGAAAAAAAACCATTCAGCCCCGAGGGGTTAAGGGAGGCTTTCACGTGCGGCGGTCTTCCACCCCTGACTGATAATCCTGAACCAGTGTACAGACGAACTTTTCGTGAGTCAACTTGGTACCTCAAGTAATCAGACGATATTTTGGGATAGAAGTGCTCACGTTCACGCAGAAAAGGTCATCGAAAGGAATGAAGCATATTATGCTAAGTTCCCGGAGGATGTTGCGCGTGTTCGCCTAATCATGCAACACTTGGAGGCCAACCGAACTCCCTTGCCCTCGGGTTGGTTGACCCCTGCCCGTTTCCAGCAACTGGGTATTATGATGGGCTTCCACGGTAAGACGAAAAGACATACCTTTTCCAATCCAACTTACACTACACAATTCATGAGCTGACTCACGACAGGTGGTCTCGATTCCCTTCACGGTAAGAATGATATGACAGGTACTAACTGCTGGTGATGAAGAGTCGAGTTAACTCATCCCAAATTTCTAGACCTTGTACTTCGGGCATGGCATGATCTGGAGATTTTCGGCGAGTTTACAGACCCTACTCTGGCATTGATTGATGGCCACGGAGGAATGGACAAGAACATCATCTACGCTGTCTTGCACGAGGCAATCTATTGCCAGAAGTAAGATTCTCTCACCTTCCCTTGAGCATACAGGGGACTGGCGTGGCTAACAACTCTCACTTCGCAGTGAGTCCTCATCCTGGACAGCCGACCGTCTACGCAATGAAATTCCGCGATTTCAAATCAATGCCGGTGACTCGGTATCCCCTATTTATTTTACGGGAGAAATGGTAAGCCAGCTTGCAGTAAAACCCTATTCAATCTTCCCCAGTGTGTTTCGGCGGATATGCTGTTGATCCTCACAATTTTCACAAATAGATCTTCAAAGACATGTTTGACTCCTACACGGAGCTAAGTCGGATCAAAGACGCCGCGGAGATCCTTGCTAGAACCAAGGAATGGAACACGTTATATAACGTTGATCAGTTGAGGAACAACAAGGTGCCCGTCTACTCGGCGACGTACATCGACGACATGTACGTCCACTTCGACCTCGCCTCTGAAACCGCGGCGAAAATTGGTGGCTTGAAGCACTTCATCACCAATACGATGTACCACGATGCCTTGCGCAGCAAATCTGGGGAGGTGATGCGACAGCTCTTCAGCCTTCGAGATGACTGTATCGACTGATGGGTCAATGGACCCTGTCACCCCAACTGAGTGCAGTGGGTATACTTGGGCTTTGACTTATGCCCTGCTCTGCGACGTGCTTAGCGCAGGCACAGTATATGAGGTGTGATCGAATCAAACGTGATCATGATTTCGATGACCCTTTTCAGTCTCGTGGGACCTCTCGAGAGGCTGGCTTATCCTAGACGCTGATAACCCACTCAAATGAATGTCTGATCCTCTACTAGACCCTCATAAAGATTCAGCAACACGTCCTGTGTCTCACTGTGTCTCAGAAAGCGATGCAGTCACACCTTCGCCACAGGTTTGGCCTTCGAGTAGTGGCCCAACGGCATTGTCGTTGTCGAGATAATTACACCATTCGGGGGCGCAATCAGTAAATTGATCGGGATGCGTCTCTTTGAAAATCCGGAATGAGATTAATGCAGCCGCTCATTTTAATGGGCTTTAGAAGACCTGTCGAATCGTCAGTTCTGCCCGTAGTGAACTCTCTGGGCCTTCCAGATCCACTCACCGCACCGCCGATGATAAAAAGTCTCTCTTCTTCACGCTGTGCCCACTGCGCGATCCTACTAGCGCCCTGAACCAAAGCTTTGCGGTTCGCGTTAGGCTCTGCGACGCAATAAAGCTCAAAAATCGGAGTCACCCAAGCAAAAGTACTGGCTGATTTCGATACGCAATAATGCACTTTGATCTGGCTGTTCTTTGCATGAATGCTCGAGTGAATATTGTTGTAGGCTGACATCAGTCTGTGACAACGAGGTTAGAATCTCCAATTCAATTTCTGCGCGTCCCAGGTGCAGGAAACAGGGGAAAGAGGACACCGACCTGCGTTTGCGGGCAGTGGTTGTAAATTCGGGAGAATACTCGGACATTGTGAATTGAACATTCGCTCGCGACTTGTACATGAAGTGGTGGAGGACCGTGCCGGGGACAATGTCAGTTGTCGCCGGCCGACCTTGATCGATCGAAGCCGCAACTACCTGCATGCTTCCATTCTTCTCCATTTGCTTCAAAAACGCAATGAGTGTCAGCTCTCGCACTTCAAATATATTCTCGGTCTGCGAGCTTACCTCAACAAGGGAGTCCCGCATTCCTTGCATCTCATAGAAACTTTCCTTAGCCGGGCTGATCAGAACCACTGCCACCGATTCATCTTTCACAATATCCTCATGGTCATCTGTGTCAGCGTTTAGCTTGATAAAGCTGACATACATGTACAGATAACCGCTACTGTTAAATCCAGGAAGGCAGACAGGCACCCAGCTCTCTCCTCCGCCCGCTTTGATACCATCGGCCTCGAATATCATGTTGAAAATAAGTTGCAAGTCGCCTGGATGAAGCGAGTGTTTCTTAGGTCGCACAACACTCACAAGCCTACCGCCAGCGACTACCAGTCCGTAGAGGAGATTTTTTGACTTTGTTTTCAAAAGAGCGTTATTGATGGCTTGGCGGTGAACTTTGCGTAATTTTAGGGTTTCAAGAGCTGACAAGAGAGTAGATGGCGATCCTCGGGTGAAGCTGTCTGCTAGCGAAGAAAGGAGCGTCTCAGAGCCTTGTAGAGGCCTCTTGAGGTCTGTGGAAGGCCGCACAGAAAACAAGTGAGTCAGGGATGGAAGAGTCAATGTAGACAGGATTTGCATGTACAATGCTTCGAGCTGGAGACGGAGTTGATTATCATTCTCCAGCATGCGACTGATGGCAACGAGATAAAGTGGACCGCGAGTGAGGATGACAAACTTGGTGTCCCCGGCCGTAAAGCTCCGAAGATGATCATTGGAATCCTCATAGAATGATATAATCGTTTGCACGACACCAACGTACGTCGAGATTAGGCCACCATCACCATGTCGAGTCCAGATCGGTTTACCAGCAGCGGAAATAATCAGAAAGTGTTTCCTCTTGCTCTTCCAGCGTTGTAGTAGTAGATCCTCATTGGCGGCGGTCTCATCTAGCTCACCCACGGGTTCGAATTCCTCTGCAAACTCGACATCTCCGATGTCATCTGCGGCGCATTCGGGGTAATGAAGCAGACTCTTGGTATCCATGTGATCGGCAGGCACTGTTGGTGCGAAGTCCTTGAACAGAACTTCAACGTCGCCAGGATCACTGTTCTGGATCGAGCTTCGTATACTCGCTGAGTCGGCCGTTTCGCTTCCCCTTGCGCTCGCCAAATGACTAAGACTTGCTTTTGCTTTGAGTCCATCGGACAAATTACGCACAGCCAATGTCGAATAGGTACTTCCACTGGGCTCGGGAGCCAGCGTTTCTATCTCCGCGTGGGAAACAGCGGTAGTAGCTTCAGCCTGCAATCCCACATTGCGCGCGGCCGTCTCATCATTCAGCAAACTTAATGTAGTCGGCCTTGGAGGTAGCGGAGGACGTATCTCCTCCAAAACTGGATCATGATTCGCGACATTTGTTTTTGAAGCGGGCGAAGCTGTGGCATCTTGTGAGCTGGCAGCGGACCAGTCGGCCGAGGACGGGCTAGCAGAGGCAGAGCGTGGTGCAGTCATTCCGCAGTCATTCCTTGGACAGTTCAGCGCCTGGTTCTTGAGTCGCTGGTCACACAGGCTCGGTCGTTCACCATTCACCATTCATCTCCAGCTTCAAAGAGTGGAAGAACCAGCTTCCAGAGACAGTTGGCTGGTGAGTTTAACGCGGGAGCTCTCCGTGACGTCGATTGCGGAGAGGAGCCCAAGACGGCGGAGCTTCGAAAGGCGGACAAAACATCAGACCAGCCAGCCGCCTAGAGTCCGCGCCGAGACTGACCAGGCATCTAGCCCTGCATTGTCTATCAACTCTGCTCTTCATGTCCCAAATATGACGGAAAGCTCTCTTGTGGCTCTGAATATATCTCAACTTCCGTCATTGGCACCATGAGCCTTGATCCCAGTGCCTTTCCGAGGTCGGACTCCCCCGCAAGCTCCGAAAGTTCTCTTACACGTACGCGTTTACAGGGGAAGGAAGGTCTGTCTCAGCTCTACAGCCGTATCGATGCTCGACGCTTCATCCTGACCAACTCTCTGAGATTTAGGATCCTTGAAAAAGGACAAGAGCTACCGACGATATGCATCTAGCGTCGAGCGCGCCCTGTCGCTGTTCGACAATGCGCTACAGGAATGGGCCGATTACATCTCCTTCCTTAGTCGGCTGTTGAAGGTATCCAGCCGCAGCTCATTTTGCGTGGGTAGATTCTTGATTCTGACAGATTCCAGGCCTTACAAAGCCATCCTCCAGATCAAAGTGTCGTTCCCCATAAAGTGTTGGTGTCGAAACGACTCGCTCAATGTCTCAACCCCTCATTGCCCTCCGGCGTTCACCAAAAGGCGCTAGAAGTCTACACTTATATATTTGGGTTGATTAAGGTACGCCGAAATCTACCGCAGTTTCCATGGCTATAAAACTTATTCTTACGTACATTATCAGCTCGAGGGTCTTTCACACGACCTTGCATTGTACCTTCCCGGCCTTGCCCCGACGTTAACCTTCGCATCGCTCACTGTTCGGCCGCTTTTCTTGTCGCTGGTGGAGGGCTATATCCTCGATCTGGAGCCATGGGCCTTGAGACCGGCTTTCAAAGCAATTTTGCTCGCATTGTTACCGGGGCTGGAAGAGGAGACCAGTGAGGAGTTCGAACCTACAATGAGAATTGTGAACAAGCTGCGGGATGTCTCGGGGAAGCTTGAGACCCAGAGGGCTGCCGAGATCGAAGACGGTCTGTCTGGACAATACTTCTGGCAATGTCTCTTTCTGGCGTCCATTACCAACAGCAGCCGGCGGCTAGGTGTGTTGGCATACTTGAATCGTTACCTTCCAAGGCTAGGTATTGTCGATGATCGCCTTCGCACGAAGAGGGACAGCGAAGCGCAGGACGATTCGGATCGGGTTTCAGCAGCCGCGAACTCTGTCATTCAGCCAGAGCCTGGTTTGTTAATTCGTTGCTTTGCAACCGGCCTCCAGGATGAGCAGCTTCTGGTGCAGCGAAACTTCCTTGATCTGTTGGTCACTCATTTGCCACTCAGTTCCCCAGTATTACAATCTCAGATCGCTGATCGCGATCTCGAGCTACTCATCATTGCTGCTGTGGGTGTAGTGACGAGGCGAGACATGAGCCTGAATCGCCGGCTGTGGTCGTGGCTTTTAGGACCGGAGCCAACACATGATCGACCTTCGACCGGGGGGCCCCAGTCATCGTCCGACACTGCACGGTCGGGACATGCTGAATCTCGTGAGGCTTTGCGATCACAGTATTTTAGCCGAGTTGGCCTGCAACCATTGATCAATGGACTTCTCAAGATGATCAACACAAAGCCCAGTCTACCCTCCGACCGAACGAGACCATTCCGGATCGCCCTGTCCTTGATGGATCGATGGGAGATTGGTGGCCAAATTGTGCCAGCTGTGTTCTTCCCAATCATGAACAGTGTTCAGCTGTACGAGAAGGAGGCGTCTAAGGCCCATTCTGAAGAGGTATTCCGCAGTGCTAGCGCCTTCTTCGACGGCGTCGAGAGTAGTGTCATCTTCGCAGAGCTTCTAGGCTTGATTGACTTCACCGTGGCAGAGATTGAAAGTGGCGGCGATCGCATCTTGCACAAATTAGATCTGGCAGCCTTCGTTCTCAGAAACTTCAACGTCCGCGAAGATGACATGGCGCAGATTCACGCTCCTTTGCTGACAGTATCAATCCTTGTTAAAATGCGGGAGCTGTCTTCACCACCAAACTTATCCACAGGTGCAAAGGCAATAAGGCAAGGGGTGTTCAAATCGTCACACGCGGTGCTTCAGCTGTTAATGGCATTACTCACCGAGCGTGCATTTTCGCGGAAGACTTCGTCAGAAAAGCCTGTTGCTTCGGACATCAAGATCGAGGCAGACGACATCCTTCCTCGAATTCACCAATTTTACGATAACTGCAAGAGCAGCCTTGAACTTCCGGCTCTCCCCATTGCACCGAAGCACCTAAGCGAATTGATTATCAAAGAAGCTCATGATTTATCCATTCAAGCCCTTGAGAGCAAAGACTCGGATGCTGCTTTCAATGAAAAGTCAAGTATCCTCATCAACCTTCTCCAAAAACTTCCGAAGTCGCGCGTTCTTCGGGACAGGAGATTCATTGACGCCATTTCGATTCGACTAGAGCAAGCGACTGCCAGCATGACTACATCGTCCTTTGAAGTCTTAACAACGATTGCGACTGTTCTTACTAGTCTCTACTTTACTCAGAGCCCGGGAGTCTACGCAAGTTATTCTGACACATCAGCCCTCATACCTCTTCTTGTTGACAGGCTTTGGGAATATCTAGCCCCATTGTGCCCTAAATTCCACGTTGAAGCTGTGCGCTGCTTGTGGTTGCTTCACTCATTGTCATGGGTGGAACATCAAGTTGAGGCCTCGATTACCTCCCTGATGATACATGCGTCATCAGATGGCTCTGCTCATCTTTCTTCAGTGAAACAAGCCGAAAGATTTTACGTCTTGTGGAATCAAAGCCATTACGGCGGACACGACCAGCCTCCAAAACAAGTTTTAGAAGTCGGAGGAACTGCGTTCTCGTACCAATGCTCTTTGCTTGAGCGTCCGCTGTTCGTTGTGCTAGATTTGTTGTCACAGGAGCCAGGCGATATCCCACAAAGCGTTCAGCAGTGGTTGCAGGAGCTCCCGTCCATTCATAGGCAAGAAATATATCGGTCTCGCCTCATTTTTCCCTTTTCTGACTGTTGAACATAGGGTATTTGACATTCTTATCTCCAAGCTGGATGAAATTTTCGATCGAGGCAGTCTTGGCGCAGGGCAAGATCAGGTCATCTCCGGAGATGACCGTAGAGAATGTACCTATTTGTTGCGCACTGCCTCAAATATTATCTCGACTCTCTCGCAACACGGATGGATCACGCTGCTCAAATCAGCATCGACTCAGCTTGACAGGAGATCGGACGTATCTGGTCAGCGTAATAGCGCAGACTCCAACAGCCTGCATGCTTCGCTGTTCCGGTTCTGTCTTCAAATCATTCGTGGTCAGGTAGCGGGAACAACACATATCGGCTCCGACAATGATAAATTGCAAATGTCTGCGCTACAACTTTTGCGGCAACTTCTCCTAGGACCTGGTGCCCAAGATCTCGTGGAATCTGGTATTGACAGCGTACTGGTCAATCGACTTCTAGCCTCTCCTGATCAAGAAGCCAGCAGCGCAGTCGAAGGGGCCCTCATCGACGCGCTTCTTGCCTCTTTCAAAGTACGCTTTGCCCATGCCTACCTACCGCCTCACCCTCCTCGGCCAAAGCAACAGCGCCCGCCATCGCGATCTCGTGAACGTTTGACAAGCCCTTCGATATTGTCCTTCACGACTGATAAAGCAGATAAGCCACCGCCACAACCTCAGTTTTTCCAGCCGCCTGAGCAACTGCTGGATTGTCTGCTCAAAGGCATCAGTTCCCCTAAATCACGGGATATTCTGGACAAGTGGATAAGCCTTCTCTGCGATGCACTTCCACTATTCTCCCGATCCATCTTCCAGAATCTTTTGGTGCTTGTGGAGGGCCTCTGTAAGGAGGTCCATGTCTCTTTTGGAAACCTCCAGCAAGCATTTCAACAGACGGAGGGCTGGGCCATGGATCGCTCCGAGCCTGTGACTATCGCTCTCCTTACTGGTCTCGAGACTTGCATTGCACATGCGCATGATCGGCTGCTCCATGAAGAGTCACATACTCCTGTTTCCAAGAGTCCAGACTTGCCTCAAGGCTTTTTCGGGAACATGGTCTCTGGTGTTTTCAGCTCCGATGGCACACAGGGCAAGCCAAACACTGCTAACGACCGATTGACGGTTCTGCTCTGTTTGCAGGACGCAGTTCGACTTTGCTTCTCAATTTGGGCCTGGGGCGCTGGCGATGGTGCGGGGCTCACATTGGACTTGGAGTCAATTGCGTCCTTCCAGTATACGTCCCTACGCATGCGAAACAGAACCAGACGCATTCTCGAACATTTCTTCGATGCTGAGGCTTTGGAATGCCTGGAAACGTTGATAGAGATGTGGGCCAAGTCCGACATGAAGACAGCCTCGCTCATTTTCAGTCTGCTTCATACCCTTGACGGATCCAGCCCAAAGATTACCATTCCCGCGGTGTTCAATGCGATTTACACACGAACAAACCCTGCCGCCCTAGATCAGCACCGCAAGTCGTCGCTAACATCCAGTGTCTCCGAATCTGAGCTTGCCAGTTTCTTGGTTGCGTATGCACGCTCGCTTGACGATGATGTTCTTGACGAGATCTGGACCGATTGCACCACCTTCCTCCGCGATGTGCTCAGCAACCCTTTTCCGCACCGTCAAATTCTTCCTCGACTGATAGAATTCGCGGCTATCTTGGGAACGAAGCTGGAAAACACAACCTTTGGCGAAGATCGACGAATGCGAAAGGAACTTGGGGTAAGTCTACTATTTGATGCTTCCGCCTGTATATGACCGTGTGAAAGAGACTAACGACCCGTGATTGACAGGATGTGGTTCTGCGACTACTGACGGCTGTGTTCACGAGCAAGCCTCTTGGACTGAATCAGGAGGCTGGGCTCATGGCTAGACATTCATTCGACTACGACCATACCGCTGTATCACATACGGGTCCAGATGACATGCTTAGTATTCTCGCAAAATCAATGCCCTCCTTCCTGACGACTCTAGGCGACACTGATCGTATCAACACCGCCATTAGCGCTGTGTCCACCAATGTGATCGGCCCCTTGATTCGCTCCCGTCTGTTTCCCAACAACCTGAACCGCAATGTGATGATTATATTACAGCAAATGGTGAAGGTTTCCGCTGCAGCCAAGTTCTGGAAGAAGGACATCGCCGACGCCTTCAATGATCCTCGATTCTTCGGCATCCACGTAGACCTAGTCAAGAGCAACTGGTTGGAGCTTTTGCGGCAGTGGACACTATCCGACAAGGATCGCTTACCCGAGCTTCTCACCCGCCTTCCACCACCCAGTGCGGCGGGAATCATGTTTGGAGTGGGCGCATCTGCCGCGAGACTTGAGGCAGACCGAAAGGCCCAGCTCAACCTTCGTCGCATTGCTCTCTTGATTTTGTCGGCCGATCGCGACTACTTTGTTGCTGAGCTGCCAGGGCTGCTTCAGAAGATTGAGGATCTTCTCGCGGCAACTCATGTCTCGTCCCCATCATCTGCCACTCGGTCCGAGATCTTTATGGTCATCCGCGCTGTGGTGCTCAAGACATCAGCAAACGCAATTGCACCGTTCTGGCCCATGATCAACGTCGAGATACAGGAAGCCATTGCGACAGTGCCCCGAGCCTCTCAAGCCGAACTGTTTAACCCCTACTCATTACTTCAGGCGTGTAAACTCCTCGATGTGCTCCTTACCGTTGCTCCTGATGATTTCCAGCTTCTCGAATGGCTCTACGTCACCGACACGATTGACGCCGTTTATCCTCTGAACCGCTGGGAACCAGTGTCCCTGGCCGATGAGGTCTCCCAAAGCTTCGGACCGCGTGGCATCTTCTCTCCACCTCTTCCTGGTGACAATTCAGAACCTGTCGCGCGTCCGGGCTTCAAACGACCGTGGCTCATTTCTGATCGAATTCGGGAGACCGCCAAGGACGAGATTGTTGAGCGGATCTTGCGTCCCTTTTTCAATCGACTCAGTATCTATGTGTTTGAGAGCAATTATGGAATGGGTAGCGTGGATTATGAACTTTGCCAGAATGATCTCCTGGGCGATTTGTTCAACGAAAGCACTATGGCCAGTTAGGAGCTGAGATTGCTCCAATGATCGCTTTCGGAGCGGCCTTCTGTTATCTATGTAAATATCACTGTGGCATTGATACTCAACTGACCTCGCTCGCATTCATTGGACTGCATGCCTCGAAAGTCTGGGGGGCTGACTTTCGCATGAAGATGCATTTATCCACTGTGAGAGATGTATGGGTTTTGCTTCGCAAGGCACTCTAATTCCCATAGTCTGCAACAGCATTCAGCCTCATAGGTCAAGGTAGTGGACCTTAGATCTAATTCAGTTCGATGTTGAGTATTTACTATTCACGACGCAGATCATGTGTAAGAGAACTCGCTACTTGATGGCAACCTAGATGAATGAGCAGCAATAGATATAGAACTTACTACTACCTAATCGACAGTTAGGTACCTACAGTTTGGAACTATACTTAGTATCCAGCCTGGTAAGGTACTCGGTAAGTGTTGCAGCTGTGCGGAATTCGTACCAAGTACCAGCATGTCGACAGTAAACTTGAAGTATTCATCAAGTACCAACTACCTGTTCCAATTACAAGATCAAGGAACGTTAGCCGGCCCCGGGCGCGTGTGGACCGATCCTCCAGTTTCTCCCCACCCGCCAGACGTCACATCACTTTGTTTCCGAACACTTGCCACCGGCATCTCTCTCTTGTTCATCCAAACAATTGCAAGGGCACCATTAGTACCTGCTCACGGTATTTTGGACAGTTCAGCTTCTCTGTCATATTCATGGTCAATCCGGCTCCGACGATGGCGCTTCGTCTCGGGACCCTTCCAGTGCTCTACGGTCGGGCTGTAGCTCGACCTTTCTCCACGTCTCGTGCTCGTCTGGAGGCCGTACCGTTGCCAGCGCGTAAGCCCGTTGGGGCTTTCCGAGGAGGGTATGTATTGTACAACGTACTACGCCAGTGGTTTGCCGCAAGCTGTCACTTGATTCTTTGGAGTCATGAGCAGGAAAGAGACTAACCATATTCCAGACTCTTCGGGTTTCTGACTGGAGCTGTAGTTGCGGGGGCATCCGTCTACTACTACGTCCTTGGCGACTATCGTGTGTCCAACGAGATGTTGAATGATGACATTCTAGTGAGTTCGGCTTCCATTCATGAATCCTGGCTTTACCTCCTCCCTGGAAACAATCCTCTTTTCTGGAAGGGGCAACTGGGGAAGAAATCATGAAACAAATTAGGACTGACCATGTGACTCTCTTCTCCTCTCCGGCCATGATCTGAGAGGAGATGATTGTGGTCGATCGTAACATAGGCCCTTCAGAATGCTACCATGAAGCTTCAATCTTATATCATCGAGCTTGAGGATCGTGTAGATCACCTCAAGAAGAAATGAAGCGCGTGACTGGTTCTAAGGCTTTCCAGTTGAATTTTTCGTCTTAAGTCGTCCGGTTTTTCCGGTATATGTTCATTTGAAGGTGTTGGGTGCTATATATTTCTCGTCTTTTCCCTTTCTCTATCGTGTTATTCGTCGAGCATAAAGTTGGAATCAAACCTGATGTTCCAGGCTGCAATGGCATAAGTCTAAAGGTTACATACATTTTCCAGTACCCCTGCGCTATATCTAAATATGACACGACATGACCCTCCAGTGCCTTGCAACTTTGGTACACCAGAAGCTTAATTGACACGACTGGAGCAATGAAGAGTGACAGCTGCCCAGCAACAGTACCGGACTACAAGGACAAAGGTAACCACAGTAAGTTAGTGAACTCCCACCCCTGTTATGATGCAAACAGACCAAACCTCCCTCTTATCGCGCATCTCCAGCTGATAAGGTTCGCCCTCACTATGATTCTCTCCTTATCGCAAACACCTCTCCCCACAAAAAAAACAGTCTGTGTCCGCATCACCCAGGAACCTAAAAGTTGGCACAACATCCGCAAGACGCCCCAAAAGAAAATGTTTCGTGTCGAACTCCTCGCAAACACAACCACCCACGCAACCCCGGGCTACACCTACGTCGCAGACCGGGGCCAAGCTCCTGCAAAAGCCAACACCGCCCCGGCCCTCGGCCGCAAACGCGGAATCAACAACGCCGGCAAGGGCGGCGATATCTCGTCCCGGCGCGCAAATGCCATCCTCCGCCATCTCGCCGAGCTAGACCGTGAGAATCAGCGCGACGTGTCCATTCCAATCCCGGCTAGACCGGCCAGAGAGGCAGGCGCGCGAGTCTCGCGAACAAAAACCAGCTCGAACGTGCGGCGCATCCTCGTCTCCCAAAAGACCTTCCGCAATCATATCGATGATGAAGATGCGGCGATTGCGGCGGGGGGTGGTGGGTTGAGTGTGCCTGTGGGCGCGGCCGCTGTTGGGCCCGTGATTCCATCGCGAGTCAAGGTAGTTGCTGCAACGGGTCTCGCTGGACCTACTGCTGCTACGCCGAGACGAAGTTCGACGCCGGCGGCGGCCAGTATGACGCCTGCTGGTGCCGGTGTGAAAAAGAAGCGCGGCTCAACTCTTGCCACCGTGACGATGCCTTCAACACCTACCCCTGCGGCTGCTGCTGCGCCTGCGCCTGCCCCCGCCACGACGCCCGTGCCCGCGACTTCAGAAGCCAACGATGCGAAAACAGAGGACGATGGCGAGAACCACAGACACAAGATCCTCAAGACAGAACATGACAGCGACCCTCTTCTGCGCTCTTTTGGGCCCACAATACCGTCAGAACGGATCATGGATCGTTTACTGTCCGAACCTGCCCTGTCGTATCATGCCTCGCGGGTCGGTTCGCCGCTTTCGACACAGTTACCCCGATCGTTTTGCTGCATGTGTGGATATTGGGGCAAAATTCGGTGCAAGAGTTGTCATTTGCGAACGTGTGGGTTGGATTGTTACAAGGTGCATGAGGACTCAAGATGCGGAGCTTTCTTTTAGGCGGACGTGAAGGACCTTTTGCTGCTTCGGTATCGCAGGGATGTTGTGGATAGCAATTTTGTTCTGTGCCTCCGCCTTTCTCCCGGCCTTTTGTACTTGACGACTAGACGAATATCATGACGTTTCTTCTACCCTCTGTTTCAGCAACGACTTTGCAATAGAACAAGCAATGAAGAGATAAAATGCATAACTCTTTGAATCGCAATTTGACGCTATGCTTCAAACAAAAACATCTTGCCTGTTACAAACAGGCAGACATCTGACATGATCCCAAGAAATGCGGGGAAATTTCTCAATTCCTCGCTTCAACACTTCAAATTGATACCAGCTCGAAGTTCATCCTCCCGAATCTCAAACATGACCTGTACGCCGACGAACAGCACAGCGCAACAGGAAATCATATACGCCACACCCGAGTACGATCCCGTGAGACTCGTCAGCAACTCCTGAAGTCCATCCAGGCCCAGTGCGAACCCTGTCAGATTGGCAATCATCATCGTAAGCACATTTCCCACGGACCCGATGCCGCTCAAGACACGGTAGGTAGTGGGGCGTGAACGCCAGCGACTCGCAGGGAACAGGATTCCACCCAGAACCTCCGGTAGAATGAAGAGCGTGATGAGCCAGCTCCACATCAAAAGACGCAGATTAATATCATGCCATAGAGCCACGAATGTGAAGACCAGCAAGAAGTTACGGATTTGCAGGAATTTGGCCATTAGGCCTGATTTAGAGGATGATCTGGTTCCGGAGGTTGAGGAACCACGTGCACCACCGGCTCCGCCTAGTGGCACGTATACGTAACGGACAATCCAGCGGTTATATGAACGGTGCCATCCGCGCCAGAAAGCGAGCGCGGAGTAATTGTTTGACATGCAGCGCACCATGTTCTCGGGAGGATCGATCCCGTCGAGGAGGGCCCAGAACCGGAAGAATCGCCAGGGGATCAACAACTTCAACCAGATGATGTGAAGGTTGAAGAAAGCAAGCATGCTCAGCTGACCGGGCGTGAAGAGGGACCAGTTGGGCGATGATTTTGAGATTGCAACGGCGTAGATGTAGTGAAGGATGAGCTCCATACACAACAGGGTAAGGAGGAAGCGGATCCCGTAAAGCAGAGTCCGTGTTCCGGTCAATGACGGTGCCTTGTACCGTTGCTGCGAAACATAGTCGTTAAAGGTCATTATTGGACCAGCTAGGAACAAGGGAGAGTAGAGAACATAGGCAATGTAGTTGCGGAAACTGAATGCCGAGGCTTCAGGTGGAATCTTGACACGATCACGGTCAGAAAGATTCGCGGGGTCTAATTGTTTCTTCTTGTGGGATATGGTCAGCTTTTATTCAATGGACAGGGGAAGGTCCTCGGCTGGAGCTCACTTCAAGCGCATTGGTCGCGGGATACTGTAGGCTCCAGTGGTGGTCCATGTTGAAGCTGATTAGACGCAAGATGGTGACCTTGAACAGAACTTCCCACCGAGGCATAATTCCACCCAAGTTATCCAATGCCTTCGCCCACTGCACAAGCCCCGTATGCTTATCACTCGAAGAATCAGGGCCAGGAGATATGATTGTCGCCAGCACCTCCAGTGAATAGCCTCTGCACAGCTCGTTGGCAAACAAGATGCAGATATTGAAGGTCCATGTTGCAGCAGGGACATAAGAGCGGGGAAGGCTTGTTCCAATCTTATAATTCAGGTATAAAATCGACAATATCTTCAAGGCCGAGATGCCGTGAAGTGCCGTGATGAATACGAGGCCAAATGCAAAGTCGAATCGCATGCGCTGATCCAATTGCGCATCTGCCGCCGCACTGGGAGACCGAGCTGTTCTATGATCCGTCTTGGGAGTCGCTACGAAGCGTTGATAGGCACGTCGCAAGATAGGATGCGAAATGACGAGCAACAACAGATATGGGAAGTTGTCGCGGAAACCTGCGTATTGCGCATCGGAGTTGTCCTGGGAGGAATCACACAAGTGTTCAGTGCGGGCTCGAATCGAGGACCTTGCCGAGATGAAGACCATTGAGACTTACAACCAAGCGACCGGGAATCCAGCCCTGTGAGAGTAGATGAGAATATGTAGGATAGACCGGATGGGAGTCTATTGAGTGACAGAGCCCGTAATTAACATCCGTCGAGTTGGCCCCTGGCAGTGATGCCTCCCCGCGGGCCGACACTTACCCTTGGAAGCATCCACGACCGTTTTGAACATCAATGGAACGAGTGTGATGAAGAAGATATAATAAACAAAGAATTCCGGTGTGCGCCAGAGCGGCGGCGGCCTGCCCTGGGCGATCGCGTTGGCGCGAGCATCTTTGGCAGCTGGAGGTCGCGTGTCAGCGGCAGCTACACCGGGGGTTGTTGCGGTCGACGTGAAACGAGTGTCGAGGGTATCGAGCGAATAAATTCGTCGTAGCCAGAAAAGAAGGGCTGACATGGTTTACTGTAGGGTCATGGCGCACACGATGGCCAGTCGAAGGGAGAGAGCTGTGACAGTCTTCGAACGGAGCTGAGATTTGAATTTGTGGGGATGGGAGGATCCTCAGGGGGGGGGGGGGAGCGGCCGAGGCACAGCCCAATCGGTGATTGTCCTTAGCTCCCCGTCGCCAGTAGCAGGTAACATAATTCTTGAAGTCAACCATAGGATGATTGCCATAGGATTGGCAGTGCTTATGACTCTAAGTTGTTCAACTCGTTCATAGCGCGTGTAAATAGGCTTACCGACCTGCTAGGAAGCGATGTTGCCTGATCCTGGTGAGTCGAGAATGAGAGGAGATTCACGTACGAATGAAGCTTCAAATTTTCCTACAATTAAGTACGAAGTGATGAGGCTCAAGGTACATACCTACCTAAAGAAATAGGTAGTACTTTATTAGTTAGTGACCGAATCTACTATTTCAAGGAGGAAGAATGGAGAGCTTAACATTAATGGACCTTCTAGTTCTCTATTTACTCAATCTCCATACTTGCCAATGCATGTCACTCCTCGTCGAACACTGGCTTTCCATGAGAGGCTTACGCCGATGACCAGGATTATAATGTTGGTCTCGGCACTATCCAAGGTAGCAGTGACTTCGTCCCAAGTTCCATGACAAGCCGATTCACAGGGCTGCAATCACCTCATCGACTATTCGACATGAATCTCCATGTAACGGCCTCAACGGGTACCAATGGGTAAATTGCGGAAACATTGAGTCTAAAATGTCCCCAAGTGGCCCGAAATTCAGAATGATACTATACTGCGTTCTCGATCGTAGGGTGAAAATTTCAGAGCATCATGGATGTGGACAAGATATGGCATGTCAATGTCCGAGCCCTGGGTGCTCTTTCAGGGTTGGCCGTTGCTAATTTATTAATCTGGATTCTGGAATGATCTCGGAGTTCAATGACTTCAATCGCCCCTGAGTCGTGAAATGATTAGCTCAGCACTTTCGGCCCTCATGTCGTGAATCAAGTCTCCCCGCACCAAGCAGACCGAGGAGACACCCCGATTTTCAGGCCTTCAAATTCCAGCTCAATGAACATCAGCGACTTCCAAACTTCTATCATCTTAATAAACCGCCAAAAGCCACCATCGAAATGAGCAGTAGAAGAGTATGTATATTTTGGGAAGGAGCTGGCCCTGACTTTAAGTTTACATGATTCATTCCCATCACTGAAGTCATCCTTCCTGCTATCTGGCTAACTCGCTTGGGCTCTAGGTTGCATTCAAGGTCCACGGCACCGTACAAGGTAAGTAAGACTTTCGACAGCCTCTCGGAGTATGAACCTCTGTGCTATTCATTGAGTTCAAAGATACATATTTAGGCTCATCTGCTTGAGCGAGCTGCCTTCTTGGACTGACAATGATTCCCATTAACAATAGGTGTTGGGTTTCGGTACGTGAGCAAGCAGCTTCCGCACTAGTTTATGACATCATACTTCTCACACAGAGGAGCCGTGCCCATGTCCCACACGGTACACCTAACTTTGTGATCAACCAACAATCTAGTGACTTCGTCCTCAAGTGTGCTGCAAAGGACAATTTGCATGGCTGGGTCCGAAACACCCACTGTGGAAGGGTGAGTCGATCATCGCGATCTATCGAGTTCAAGATATTCCGGTCGCCATCAGCTCACGATTCTCCACACAGGTTGAGGGTGAAGCGCAAGGTCCCGAATCGTTGATTGAGCAATTTCTCAAGCAGGTAGACAAGGGACCTCGTCATGCCCATGTGGTCAAGCTGGAGAAACGAGAGATGTGTGTGCAGGAAGGAGATGATCAACCCTTCGTGGTGTTGCGGACAGGAGAGTCGGGGTTTCACGCACTCAAGGGCTCTAAAGACAACGAGGAGAAGTAGACTGAAGAAGACTGCGGGGCGGGCAGTTTTCCGGAAGATTTCGCTTTGTCAAAATTCAATGTTGAGGGTTCAATGATCACCACGTTAAATTTACCATCGCATCCACGCCACCGAAGGGGTCTCGAAAAACTCTTCAAATGTACATTTTATTAACCGCGATAGGAGGGATCGTAGGTAGTAGCCAAAGCGCAGGGATGCATGATAGTAGTGCACTGCCCGTTTACTTGGCGGGGTATTGGACCATCATATCAAATTGGAAGCTCAGAGCACTCCCTCGGAAGACGTTTATACCGAAGAAAGGGACTAGGAGGCTGTGCGTTCGGCCTATGATGCAACCTGGTCCTCCAGTGTTCGGCGATCGAGTAGTAGGTACGGGGAAACTTGACATCGAGACAGGATGAGCTTTCGTATCCCGAGTGAATGAGGTGGATCACAAATCCAAGATCCATGCAGACAGTTCCGAGGGCCATCGGCCTCAAATGTGTGAGTATTGAGTGCCTACTATCTACTACCTAGTAGGAGTTTCCGAGTTAGTTGGTTATCGCTTGGAGATCTGCCAGTGCTCGATAGTTTTGGCGTCTGGGTTTGTCCTAGAGTAGGAAAAAGTCGCCATACCGAGACGAGTGTACATTATACTTTGTGTCAGTGACCATGCAAGTTGTGCTTCATTGTACCCAGTACTGCATCCCGATGTACCTGCACTCCGGCAGTGCGGCCCAGACCCCGAAAAGACCGGATTCTCGGCAGGCCGTGACTCAGTGCCCATGTCGGACAGAGCAGGAAGGGTGGTTTTCCCCTCCCGAATCCTCCCGAGGGTCACCTGGCATGTCCCTGGATCCGTATGGGATTTCAGAACGGTCACCAGATGACAGGCTCGTTCTCGGTTAAAATCAAAGAACGTGCCACCGGGATAATGGGAAGCTTGTTGAACTCGCTTCCTGTTCGTGGACGATCAACTCAGGCGAATAGATGAGATAGACAGACCAGACCACCCGTCGAGGACTCGAAGAGCCACAGGGCAGACGATGGGGCCGAGCGGGTCCGTGTTCTGCATGGAACCGTTGGTATTTGGGGATTTTTGCAGGTAAGCTTGCCGATCGCCGTGGCGTGTCTGGTCGCCAATTAGAAGGGAGAGAATGCCGTCACTGCCAGTGCCTTCAGGCACACCAGGTTGCCCCCCGGCCCCTGGCCCTGTTCCATAGTTTGAAGGTGAAGAACCGAATGGCAAAAAACGTGGTCTGGAGGAGACCGGAGTCGGGATTTTGATTGGGCTTAGTCATTACGGCGTTTGTTCGGGATTCGTAGTTTTTCGGGTTGGGGTTGGTACTTGGTTGTGGTCGTCCATATGGTGCTGCGTCGTATAAAACCCACTTGGGCTCTCGCCCTCTTGACCTTGTCTTGATCTGTTCCAAGCATCAACACTTCTTCAACAATACCTACAATTGATCACATTACGACTCTTCTGAAGATGAACTCGCTAGCTACGATATCACGAGTGAGGCCACTCAGAGCCACTGCTCGACCACAAAGCGTCCTTTACTTCGCCATGCGCACCTGCTCAACAGGTTCCTCCACCTGGAATCGCTCATCTTGCCTCGTCCCCCAACGCTCATCACCGGTGTTCTACACGGCGAAACGCCCCATCTCCTCAACGCCACAACCGCAAATCAAAGAATACTTCCCACCGCCTGAGAATCCCGCGGTGAAAGAAGTAGACTCGGCGTGGGCTCACCCAGTGTAAGCCAAGATAACCTCCATGGCGCTCACCTCGACATGACATATACTGACACGGTCAATGACAGTTACACCGAGGCGCAGATGCAGAACGTCAGAGTGGCGCATCGAGAAGCTCGAGATTGGTCTGACTGGGTAGCACTGGGGACAGTTCGCTTCTTCCGCTGGGGCATGGATTGGATCACCGGATACAAACACCCCGGGCCGGGCCAGCAACTCCCTGCACGATTCAAGATGACCGAACAAAAGTGGTTGACTCGATTCGTCTTTCTGGAGAGCGTGGCTGGAGTACCTGGCATGGTGGGCGGGATGTTGCGACACCTCCGCAGTCTTCGAAAGATGAAGCGTGACAATGGATGGTAGGTGTATCACAGTGATTTACTTTCGTCACCCAAACTGGGAGTGACGGTGGTCGTGGCCGACGCATCAATGCTGACCGTTGGTGCCATTGCAGGATCGAAACTCTGCTCGAAGAGGCTTTCAATGAGCGCATGCACCTTCTCACCTTCCTCAAATTGGCCGAGCCTGGCTGGTTCATGCGTCTCATGGTCCTCGGTGCTCAAGGCGTCTTCTTCAATGGGTTCTTCCTGGCATACCTCATCTCGCCACGGATTTGCCACCGGTTCGTGGGCTATCTCGAGGAGGAGGCCGTCCTGACCTACACCCGTGCCATCAAGGAGCTTGAGAGCGGCCATTTACCGGAATGGAACCAGCTCGAGGCCCCCGAGATTGCCGTCCAGTACTGGAAGATGCCCGAAGACAAGCGCACCATGCGAGATCTGCTGTTGTACATTCGAGCGGACGAGGCCAAGCATCGCGAGGTCAATCACACCCTCTCGAACCTCAACCAGGCGATCGATCCCAATCCTTACCAGACCAAGTATCAGAACCCCGTCCGTGATCATCCGTCCCGGGGGATTGAGAATCTCAAGGCTACGGGTTGGGAGCGGAAGGAAATCTTTTCTTAAGCATTGGGGACGAAAAACATTGAGTGGGTTGTTCTCTGGGTTTCTTGTCATAGCTCCGGCGTTTGTGTTGGCTCTGCTCTCCTTCATTTCTTTTGTTCGCTGAGTGCTCGCGTCTCTTCACTCGCGCAATTTATTTTTAGATTATGCATCATTTTCAAGGTGCCTCTGGGAAGCACCACATCAGATTGTCATGATTCATGATTTGTAAAGACGTCAGGCGCTGCAGGCAGACTGCATTGCTCAATGTTCGGTTGAATCGCGGGCGGGTGGCCCACCCGCTAGGCCTTTTTAGGAAAAGCAGAAACAATTTTGACTGGCACTTTGATTGGCAACTCTCTATCGATTGAGTGAATGTGAGGATTTACGCTTGAGTCACATACGCAGAGCTTAGGCAGTAAGAACCCCTGCCGTGACATCAGATGTTGGAACTATACTACCTGTACAGTAGTACCAGACCACATGACACGCATGACACACATGCCACATGGATGGCGTCGAAGGGCAAGACTCCGTTTGTACTTTGTAGCCTCCAGTCCATCCTCGCTCATTTCCTTTGTGAGAGTAGTCCTGCACAGTCTCTTCGTCTTTGTTCGCTTAGCAGAAGTGGTCCAGTTCGACTAGACCAACAGTCGAGCGTAGTAGTACAGTCGGGCAACTCATCCTTTACCCAGAGCAATGACGAGGGATCCCGAAAGACTGACCACAATCTGGTGAACGTGAACGATGGCTTGTTTGACCCGCAGTTCCCCTGAAATTCTACCGTGACAGCCGAATGAAACTTCCAATGCGCTGCTTAAATTAAAGCCCTGCGCCCCTCTTCGTTGACCCGTTGTTCCAGCCTGCAGGCTAATTCGGCACCACCCCTTTTATCCCAAAGAAGCTTGTCTTCCGGCGATCCGTCACGTTTCTCATCGATCGTTGGATCAATCTGGTCTCTTCTGTTGGCCCTCCGACCGAGAAGCAGCAAGGCTCAACTCTGAATCTCATCGCGGTTGGCAAGAAGACATCGTCGGTCTGACAGCGCTGAAGACCGCTATTCACCTTCTTGGCTCCTCGTTTGGCCCGCGATCGTGCCCTGGGAAGAAGAAGAAAGTGGCCAGAAACCGTCCCCGCTTCTGGTGTGTGAGCACGAAGCCCACTTTCCGCCGAGCCAGCGCACATTACAAATTCAGGCCACTTTGGCAACGATTGCGACACTATTGACAGCCACCGAGGAATCCTCGCACAACCAAACACATAGCTTCCGAGTCATGGAGGAACCACGAGCTCAAGACGAGACTCTGTTGCCGCCTGCCCGCGCCGCATCTCCGTCTCCATCGGTTCCCGCGACGCCCGCGATTTCTTCATACTCCTCACCGGACCGCACATTCTCGTCCGTTTCTTCCCACTCCGCCTCGTCCGCAACCTCGGCTGATGCTCGTTCCACGATTTCGACTTCCTCCCGCAGACATGGGTATGTTCGCGCCTGTGGCGCAGAATTCGCCGACTCGGCGCGGCATCGCGATAGTGTCATGAGTCTGGGCAGTATCGCCCACCTGCAATACTACTTTGCTCGCACAGGCTTGCTGGATGGAAAGACGGGCCGCGGCAAGGAGTTCAAGAAAAAGACTCGAGACAACGTGCCACGGGTCCTGATCACACCAAATGAGCGGCATATGGAGGACTTGGTTACCAGTCCCACGGACATGGGAGACTCGGCGGAAGAGGGGGCTACTTTTGAGGACGAGGAGGGGGAAGTGATGTTACCCCCCACTGTGAGCACTTACAGTATCAAGACACACCATGTCCCGCCACCGCCCGACGTCGTGTCGATGCGCCGAGATCTGCAGACGGCGTTGGATCGGGCCGAGAGCAATCTGGAAGCCATTGAGAATGGGCTGCAACCCCCTCCCCGCGCGCCCATTCGCAACAGCCTGTCTCCAGGAGATATTCCTGATGCATCAGATGACGATTCTACACGGGAGTCGGCCCCGCCGCAGACTAAAGAGGAGGCCCAAGGGATGTGTATCTTGGACGATGTGACGATGGCCATTCGCGCGGCCAAAATTTACTACACCGCCCATCCACACCCGGAGCGCCTCGGCTCCATCAAGAGCGAGCGCGAGATTCGCAAGGATCTTCTTCATGTCTTGGATGTTCTGAAGAGATGGGCGCAACGGCACTTTGCCGGTGGATTCCGCGACGAGGAGCGCGGTGTGGTGAAGGGATGGATTGACGGGGTACGCACCATGCTCGTTCGCGAAAAGGCCTTGGAGGACCTGGAAGCTCAAGAGCGCGACAACTGGGACTGGGCGCGGGGAGACTGGTCTGGACGGGAACGCGCTCGGGAGGAGTCCTTCCTGCGAAGCCTCATGCTTGACGGACACACATTACCCGAATGGACGGCCATTGATGACACGCCCCTGGAATCCCTTCCCTTGCCATTCCTGGAGCGGTTTCGAGATGGCCGTGACCTGGTGCAACTGCATAATATTGCCGTCAAAAAGTCCAAGCGTCATTTTGGCGAGATCAAAACCTACCATGAAGATGTTGCAAAGCCTTACCGCCAGGCCGACAATCTGCGATTTTGGCTCAAGGCTGCCGAGTTGCGGTGGGAAATGCGCAAAGAGGTCGATGTCATGGGTGTAGTGCAAAACACCAGCGAGGCCGCATGGAAGCAGTTTGACGCCGCTCTACTAGCCTGGTGCAAGACCGTGCGAGAGGAGCTGGTAAGAGACTGGATGGAGGCCAATCCAGGCCGGCCGCCCAGTGCCGGTCTCATTTGATGAAGTGAGCGAACTTGATGTGAATCGACTTGACGTCCTCTGCACTTCCCTCTCTCTTCTCGATGTTAATCTTTCTTTCTTGTTTTTCTTCATTTCACCTTTCTCTTTCTCTTCGGTTTCAGTGCTTCTTTTCTTCACATGTCTTTTTGCTTGATGCCTCTTGGGCCTTGTTTATTTTTTCTGTCATCCCAAGGGCACTTGGCTAGATACCCCCCCCTTCGAATTGTCTTATATAGTAGCTTTGACCTGTGCCTTTGTGTTGGACCAGCCTTGTATTCTTTGAGGAAGGGCTTCCCCTCCAACTCTGTACCAGTCAAATTTCGAACACCCAGAGTATTCTGTTCCACTGCCTTCTGCAGCAGTCAACTTCCACGTTGCGCAAGTCCAAGACATCAGCCATTCCAAAACAATGAATGACAAATCATCTGGGTAAACCAAGTAATACTTTTTAAGAGGAGACCCCTTGCTTCTTTTGCAGGTTCCAAGGACTCACCAGCCACACATTTGTCAGACGGACTCCGTGGGATTGATTTGACTGTACCATGAGGTGGTTGGCACTTCGCAAAGTTGGTATACTTCACCGCAACGTTTATGAGAGCATATGTATGTAGCACGTCGACCATCTATCGCTGTGAACAGTCTTTCCACACCTCTCATTCTTCACCATCAAGTTTATGGGCCTTACGGATGGTATCTCCTTTGGACACGGACCCTTTCTACCATACAGCGGTCTACCGTTGGGCACAGTGCTAGGCTTACTTGGACCTGCCAGTTCCATGGCCGAAGCTGCCCTTGAACCAACGTCTACCTAGTAGGTACCTCTGCCTTCCTACAAGGTAGACAAAGTTGACAGAATATTGCTGGTCTTGTCATCTCACATGAATGATCTCCTGTCGAGAACGAGCGACGAAATCTGGCATGAAACAAAGCTTTTCCAAATGTGTACATAGGTTTTCCTCCCGACAGAAACCTGCATACCTGTTCCAAGCCATCGGCCGTCGCCGTATGACTGTTCATTCTTTGCTCTGTGCTTTAGCCCCATTAATGCGGCTCAATACAGCCAAAGTCGGTTGAAAATTGGCACTACCGGATAGCTTGTCTCCCAACCCCCAGCACGAACTGCATCAAATCGCCTGCTTCAGGAGTACATACGCCATGTCGATCCTTGGCTGTTGAGGGAGAAAAGTCAGATCGGCCCCTCGTAATAATTGATCTGCTAGGCTACTGTGGCTGGGTGAGCCTTGACACATGCCATTATTACCTATATCATCAACCAAAGGAGGTGTTCAGCAATCATATTGAATTGGCTTTGTACAGTCAGGCCCTGTGGTACAGTCACGATTCACCACAGTCAACAGTGAACATGCCGAGGGGGAAAGAGTCAGAGGTACCTAGACCCGCATACTGTCGCAAGTGGAGTCCCGTGTACCCCCTACGATGTCCGTGTGTCATCGTGCATCCCGGCCACCTAATCCCTCGTTCTTCTTCCAAATCTCAGCCACCGAGCTATTGCTGCCCAATTTTTTTGGCAAGCTTGACCTTTTTTTCTGATGCTTTCTCACCTTACTTTCACTCAGTAATCCCTGACTCAACTTCCTCCTGATTTACAATTCTGTTGCCTGCCCACCCGGCAATGTAGCCCTTCGATTTCAACGTTGCTTCCTTGCCTGTATCAACCACCACCCGCCGTGCGCGCCGCCAGAAGAACGGGGGGAAACAAGTCCCACCTTTGACTATTCTGGGGTGGCTCCAGTTGATCAATCGAGGGGAAAGCATTCCTCCATCATTCCTACCAACATTGTCAAATATACAGTACCATTTTGTTTGGCTCTCGACGTGTACTCCAACTGTTCCAGTACCCATGCATGCCACGATCAACGATCCTCCTCCTCCTCCTCCTGCGACAGACCTCGCGCCGTCCGCCAGCGTGTCCGTAACATCCGCGTCTCCTCCGCCCTCAGCGGTCTCAGCTTCCCCAAATGACCCCGGTCCGTCTCCTCTTCGCCGCCTAAAGTCCAAGTCCTCCCTGTGGAGTCTCGGCAGCAGTAATCACAGTGCCCAAGAAGACGATTCAAGCCCAGCCGATCCGTTCAGCGCCGACAAGGCCACCGGGAAGCCGGGTATCTTCCGTCGGCTGTCGCCCGCCCTCGCGGCTCGCGTGAAGCTGCTCGACAGTACAGCCAAGGTGACCAGCGCACCTCGAGATCCCAAAAACGTCGGTCGCATCCCGGAAGAGCAGCTGAAGGTGTTGGATAGCCAGCACAAGGACCTATCGATCAGGATCGAGAAGCGTGGGCAAGCCTGGTCGGGACCTCTGCCGCTTTCGCCAAGCCAACAAGCCCAAAACACCACGCGAAGCGCGTCGACTACGCTGGACGTACCCCGTATGAACCTTGAGGCCGTGATTGACGCGCAGTCTCAGGGGCTCGACTACACGCAAGCCATTGTTGATGATCATTCCCCCGACGGTTGCACTGATCACCCTGCAAGTGGCTCGCTGCCTGTTTACGACACCTCCAGCGCTCCTCCATTAGACTTGGCGTCCATGTCTATTGCTGATACAGAGCCTGCGCCTGCGCACCTGATTATGGAGAAAGTACCAGAGACCGAGACCCAGCCTGATTCCCAACATCGTATCCCCTCTTCCGAACCTTCACTTCCAACCGAGACGGCACCAGATACGCGCACCGATTTCGAGAAATACGTTGACGACACCAAACGAAGCGAGGAGCGGTCAGAGGAGCAGGCTCCTCCGCCACTGCCAAAGGACTCACCGCCGGTCGACGTCCCGGTCAGCGCCCCAGAGGAGCAGTCTTACTTCAATCCAATGGGCTTGCAGCGCGCCGAGTCAATATACTCCTTTTCGCGCGCTTCATTCAGTAATCAGTTGTCACAGCTGACGTCGATACCTCTGCCACAGCCTGGTGCTCTACAAACCAGCATCGAGAATATCCCAACAGCGCTAGCTGCAGTCCGAGCCCTGAATGGCGCTGCGGAGCAAATTCAAATATGGATCAGGAAAGCTTCCGATGTGCTCAGCGGGCTGGATGCCGAGGACGATGTGGAGTGGGCGGCTGCTGGTGGACGAGAAGGTCTGGACGGAGTAGACAAGGCCATCACTCGGTTCGAGTCCTTGGTCAACGTCTACGTGAAAGCGATTGAGAACGTGCAACTTCGCGATGATATTGTCAACGTGGGTCCAGAGAGTCTCACGACCATTGTCAGCCAGATGGAGAGTATATTGCAGAATTGGGCGGAGATCAAAACCAAATTGCGTGGTGTCAAGGAGCAAGTGGAGCTCGCTATGGAATGGGAGGAGCTTTGGTCCAATGTTCTTGGAGATGTGGGTATGGAGATTGAAAACCTCAGTGGCATGATCTTCGAGATGGAGGAGAAACGACACCAGGCTCTGTTGGATCCAGGCGATTCTGCAAGCGGACTGGATATCAACGAACTTGAGACTATCGTGGAGGAATCTCCAACCAAAGGCCGATCTCCTGCCACTAATCGTTTGACCATGCTCGCGGCCGCGTCCGGTACGCCGATTATCAAAACACCCCAAGACGATTCCAGCTACTCGAATCTGATGGCTCTGTTTGCGCGTATGCAACCGCTGCGCGCCTCGTTGGACTTCTTGCCGATGCGACTTTCCATGTTCGAAGCCCGCGCCGAAAGAGTCTTTCCCAGTGCCTGTGAGGAACTCGACGACAGGCGAACTCATTTGGAGAAGAGCTACAAGGTTCTGGAAGCGGATGCGGAAGCTCTGCGGAAAGAGCTGGGCGAGGATAAATGGATCATCGTGTTTCGGAACGCAGGCAGCCAGGCTCTGAAGATGTTTGAATCGGTGGAGAGGAGTATCGCGAAACTGCAAGAGGGCCTGGAATCTAACATGCACTTGCACAACCCGAGCAACATGACCAAGAGGATCGAAAATTACGAGGCCAAGAAGATGCACTATGTTCCCGCTATCGAGCGAGTCATTCTCATCATTCAGAAGGGAGTCAACGACCGCTTGACCGTGAACGGTGAAGTACTGCGTTTGCTCTCGGATATGACGTCGCGGACGGATGCTCTCAAGGCAAGCATTCGGTTTATGGATGAATCTCTTGAGGATGTTCATATCGTCAAGGCGCATCAATTACGCGATTCTATCTCCAGCATCGTCACCATGGACAGCCCAGCGACTGGAAGTGTCGTCGATACGCCGGGTAGCTCACCGGCTTCGTCAGTGGTCATGAGTGGTAGCGGGTATAAGACACCCCTGGGCAGCTCCAGTCGGCGTGAGAGCACGGCTAGCAACGCCACGACTCTATCCGCCATGGCCAAAGTCCGACGTCTCTCTAGTCTGCCTCAAGTGAATGCCCCAGTGACAGGGCGAAAATCCTCTATCCCCAAACCTATGCCTCCGGTGACACCCACTCCAACAAATCGCAGGACTTCACAGATCCCTCAACCATCTACGATACCCAAACGCCCTCGCTGGACTACAAGCACAAATCTGAATGATCTCTACTCCAATAGTGGGACGTCGGCGAGGAAAACCCCGCTACCCAGCCGGCCATCATCGACAGCGCCCATCCGACGAGATCTGTCTGTATCGCCCATCCCTTCGGCTGGACGTGCTCTCAGTCGCGTCTCGAACCGCCACGCCTCATCCAGTCCGGTTCGAAATGTTTCGTCACCGGCCCCTACCCACAATTCTTTGCTGGACCCTCCCCCATATAGTCGCCTTCGGCGTCCGTCGGGGCTCTCGGCCACTCCTCGTAGCCGACAGAGCTTCGCTGGCGTGACGCAGTCTTTCAGTCGCAGTGTCTCGTCCCAAAGGTATGGACAAAATCCGGAACCGCAAACGAGCCCCAGCAAGCCATCCCGTCCGGGCACGGCTCTAGGACACTCTAGCAATCGACGAACGAGCCTTCTTCCCATGCCGAAACGGCCTGACAAGGACCGAGCCGTGTCTCAGAGTAAATTGCCTACTCGCCCACATTGGAGGCCTTGACGGAGTGTCTTTTGGCTTCTTGTCTGTCCCTTTGCCTCATACCTTACCAAGTCTTCTGCTTTTCAATCCTCCAACGCACCTCGCTTTCTGGTCTCGGTGTCCCCTGCTTCCCTTATATCCAAGCGACAGACCTCGGAAGATTTTCTTTCAACTCTTTCCCACCAGTTCGCATCACGCCCTCCTCAGCCTCTTTTATATTTACCCCAACATTGTCTCATCGTCTACTCACTTACCGTCTTCCGTTCTGCATTGCGCCTACGCTGCAACCAATCGTCAGATCTCGAGTGAAACAATCATGGCGTCTTGATATTGAGAAATAGGTTTCGCATGATATCCCCGTTGTTGCATGATCAAGTTTTGAGCGTTGGTTTCTCATTTTGTATTTGTTTGTTGATCTTTTATATCTGTTTCTTTTCATTGGGCACATCATGCGTCTAGGATCGAGTATTGAGTTATTTGGTTTTCGTTTTGTTTCGGATCGTGAATCCTCTCCACGGTATAACATCATTTCACGCTGCTGTCCAACCCACGAGCTGGTTCGAGGTGTTGTGATTGCATCTGTGGTGTATGTGGCATTGACATCTGTTAAATTTGGAATGGATCGACAAAGTATGCACTCAAAAAATTCACGCCTAGGTTCTTCCAACATCTATCCATCTGTCCGTCCATCCGTCCATCCCAACCATATGTCGGTCTCTCGTCTGCATGTACTCAACAAGGTTGATATACAAACATGCTTTGCTATGCCCTAGTATGCACGCCTTTTCATGCAACCTGGTCACACAAAGACCCGTCGTATGAATCATCCAAGTCACCAAAGACAAGTCATTCGATGGGATATTGGGGCTGTAAGTAGAATCGATCAGTTCCCCAGTTCACGACCGAAGATCAACGCATCCACTAGTTCCTCGCTATTGGCAAGTCTGGCCGCCTTGGGCACCCGTCCAATGACGCTGAAGCCGAGTTTCTCCCAGATTCGGATCGAGGCCGGATTGTTGGCAAAGACCAGATTGAAGACAGAGTATTTGTAGCCCTGTTACCAAAGAAAAAAAAAAGAGAAAGAAAAAGAGGTTAGTGTTCCCGGGTTTGCGAGATACTTGATAGATACCTGCTTTCCGTCTACCGTAAACGCGAGAGATGAGGACGTACTAATTGGGGCGCAAAATGCAGGTATGCTTCACCCATTTGCTGGCCCACGCCCTTGCCTCGGGCTGCCGTTGTTGTGAGGAAGCCTGCATTGCAGATGTGCGAGCAGCGACCTATACGTGCATATGCAATCAGTCAAGTTGATCTCGGTGTGTCTGTTTACGCACTGTGATTGAGCCCGTTGTCCCCCCGCCCGACACGAGAGCGAACTGTCGAGGTTCTGCATTCTGCACTCCCTCTACAATAGCAAGAAGCAGCTCTGGGAGTCTGTATGAAAGATTTCCAACATACCAGGATAATTTGGTTTAATATAAAACGTGCCCAAGCACACCTTTTCCCAATTCCGACCCTCTCGCAGTCCACCAGCCCCAGCCCCAGCCCCAGCCCCAGCCTCAGCTTCATCCACCTTCGCCTTCTCGCCGTCCTCGCCCTCATCCAGATCCAGCACCGCCACAACCGCAAAGGTCCCAAACCAGTACGACGCAAACTGGTCAAGTTCCATCGGCTGCTCCATGGGATATGTGCCTCCACGCACGATCTCCGCACTGAATTCTGCATGGAGGAATCTGACCAGATCGCGCGGGACATTCTCGGCACCGTTGGCGATGGGGTAGAGCGTCAGACCGGCATTTGATGCCTTGGGGAGGGTGGTGGGTCGTGGTTTGAGAGATGATGCAGCCATGGTGTGAGAGGGGGGTGGAGGGATGCGCGTGGAGGGGTCTTCGAGGATGGATGGCATCCTGGAGAGCGTACAGATTGAGAGATTGGTTCTGGGAAGTAGGGAGTGATCAGAGGGTGAGGGTCGTACTCGTGGCTTTGTGAAGAGTCCACTGAACCTAGATCTTTACCTTTTTTATGTACTGTACGTTCTCGCGGGATCTCCGAGCTTTTTGGCTTTTTGGGGTACCGTTGGGGAAAAAAGACGTGAGTTGGGGGATGTGGGGGTGCGAGGCGATAAGATAGTACGAAAGAAGTAACTAGTCAGTTGTCGTACCTAACCTACTAGTACCTAGCACTAGTTACTACTACCTCCAAGAGCTGTGACCTCGGGATACGTGAAGGTCCAGTACTCCGTTCTCGTCTGACCACTTGCAGCTCCAATCGAACATATGCTGAAAAAGTGAAGTTGGTACTGGTACCTAGGTAGGCCCCCAACCGAAGACGAGTGTACGCGTGTTGGCCAACGCTTCGCAAATAGAATCTACGATGGAATGTTCGATCGAGGAGGAAGTATCTTTTTAAATTGTATAGCACTCACAGTATTAATCCGGTCCATCCTCCATCTTGTATAGTTGATGCTATTGGCGGACGTTAACGTACTGGAGAAGCTCTACGGTACGAAGAGTCTTACACAGGAATATCGGTACTAAAGCCTTTTCTTTTATCTGTTTACTAAAGGCAAACGTATTATTCATCATTATCCCGTGTAGAATGACTGATTCAGACTACATTGCCCCAGTGTTGTCTGCGTCCGGGCGTAAGCGATTCAAAGTATGTAATAGTGTTGTCTGGGTTCACTTCTGCTCACCCTGACATTCAGCGAAGCCTCATTAATAATATGCCATAAGACAAACATTCTGGGACCCTTCCGCTAGCATTTCTCTGACCAAGGGACCAGCTATTTGAAAAGCCAAGTGTTACCAAGTGTTAAGCGCACCCCTTCTAGGTTCGATGTCTATATTTGAGGCTCAAAACTAGTAGTACTCGTTATTGATATAAGCCTTCACCCCAAGGTTCCAAGGTCGTCTCACACACATGTCTTGTTTTCTAAATCCCTAAGATCAATTTCAACACCACTTCATGACTGTGTGTATATTGGGAAAGGACGGCGTAGCCGCGTAGGTCATACTGTGCACTTGAGTTAGATGGAGCAGACGGGGAGTCCTGTCTGTTTCTTACTTTGTCTGGTCTTTTTCAATACGGTCTAACACCTACTTGATGATGGCAAGTATCAACCTCTTATACGACAGGGCTAGCACGATTGACCAAGAGATATGGCGTGTGAAGGTAAAGGAGGTATGCAAAATGATATTTTCCAGCCATCTAAACCCCGCATTAACTCCTCGTATTAGACCTCACTAACAATTATAAATACATTTGATTTCCCCTAGGATATCAACAAAGTGAGCTGGCCGGTCTCTGTGACACGTGCACCCTCGTTTACTGTAGAGCAGGACTAAGCCCAGGAACAAGGGGAAAGGAGGTCTACCTGGACTTGGTGTCAATCAGAAGGATCATTACAAGCCTCAACAACCTCCGGGTAGTTTGTTGCAAAGCCACAGAGCCACAAAGCCCAGCTAGACGAGAGCTGAATCACGAAAACTCGCGGTCCGTCCCAATGCGCCCATCACCGAGGAGCTCGTGGTCGACTTGAGAGAGCACGATCTTGCTTCAACATCAGACAATCATTGCTTCTCTCCTTCACCATTTTCGCCTTCACCCTTTTCAGGATTCTTGATAGCCTCCATGAGCTCATATAGCTGTCCGAGCTGCTGATCTGGAAACACAGTAGGCCCTTGTTAGCCTACATTCTCTCTCGAAAGGGTATTAAACATTCCATCAGTGTCTTACCACTCAGCTTGTCCAATTTCGCCTTGTCCAATCTCTCTCCTGCCCAGTTGTCATTTTCCATCTTCTGTACATATAGCTGCCATTCCGTCAAGAATCCGATCTGCCAACAGTTGTTCACCCGTTAGTCACCATATCCACCGGTTCAAAAAGGTACCCCATCCCGGCTTTCCGACTCGCGCCATACAAAGCAGGACGACCGATCTTCTCCACATACAATGTGCAAGGGGTTTTCTGCCGTCCGATGCGCCCGAAACTCCTTCTTCACATATGAGTCGCCCAGAACTCGCAGCTCGGGATCGAGACGACGATGCGCGCGCAATATGCGCCGGTAGAGTTGCAGCGGGGGGGGGATGGCGAGCGCTTCGCTGAGACTGGACTTGGAACCGATCGAGGCCGGTGCGGCCATGAGAAGACGGTGGGCGAGACGCATGGTTGGGGCTGGATGTTGAGGCTCGAGAGGGTCGAAGGATCTCGGGCGGATGCGTAACATGACATAATTTCCTGGGGAACTGGCGGGTGCGCGGGAGAGGGCCGCAGAGGCGGCCAAGGCGGCGAGAGAGCGGAAGACCCTCATTGGACTGCTGGATGATGCGATCGAACGAGTGGAAGAACTTTATCTATCGGAATTCGATGTTTCAATGACTTCCTTCTATTCACTATCACACTTGTGCGATACTTCGAATGTTGGCACTTTTCATTCATTGCTAACATTATTTGCAAGTGTGTAGTGTGAATCATCGACTGCGCGCTTCGTTCCCTGTGTTGTGATTTTTTTTTTTTGTTTTGCCGGGGACAACCCTCGTGCGGTGGAACGCTGGAAACACCTTTACTTCCCCGAGGCAGCAAGATCGACGTACATATACAAGCTCCGTTCAAGTACAGAAACTGGAATACGGTGAAACAGTGCCTACAAAGATGCTGCCCACACCTGACACTTCCCATGTGTCCTTCGACACTATCTACGAACCCGCTGAGGATTCATATCTTTTCCTGGACACCTTATCGTCCACATCCGAGTCCCAATGGCTGTCGCAGCGATTCTCCAAATCAGACTCTTCTGCTTCCAACCCGTCAGCCAATTTCATCCCCCTTGTCGTCGAAGTGGGTACAGGGTCCGGGGTGGTTCTGGCATTCACCGCGGCACAATCACAGCATATCTTTGGGAGACGAGACGTGCTCACTCTCGGAATAGATGTGAATCGAAATGCGTGCCTCGCGACTCGGGAGACTGTTTCCACGGCTATTCAGGCCGAGCAGAAGCCGACGCAGACTCCATCACCGTCTACCCTTTCACCGGAAGTCACGCCCCTTCAGACAGTCCACGCTGCGTGCATCACTGGCGATCTCTGTACGGCGCTGCGTCCAGGAAGCGTCGATGTGCTCCTGTTCAACCCGCCATATGTGCCCACGGAAGAACTCCCTCGTCTGCCTTCGGAATCGGAGAATGACCCGCGCACGGCGCACGCCATGTCTCGATCTGCCAAGTTTGAAAGTGACTCGTTCTTCCTGTCCTTGACCTATGCAGGAGGCGCAAATGGAATGGAGACGACCAATCGACTCCTGGACGCAATCCCTGAGGTGCTTTCCGGGCGTGGCGTGGCATACGTCTTGCTATGTCAGCAAAATCGACCCAGCGAAGTCATGGACAGAATTCGCGCATGGGATGGTTGGAATGCAGAGAGTGTCGGGTCAAGTGGAATGCAGGCTGGATGGGAGAAATTGGTCATTGTTCGAATTTGGAGGAGAGAAGATAGCCCTGCCGAGAGGGGGACCCTTTGAGCCATGTAATGACTGCAAGATTGCGAAAACGCCTTTATCATGATGACCGCAATCATCGATCACCGTTCAGCGTACATTGAATCATGAATCGGTCTCCACACACCGTGGACCTGGGTTGGCCATCTGGATTTGGTGATGTGTTTTTTCCAGGTCTTGTTCCCTGCCTGGCAGGTCCGCCACGTAGATGACGATGAGACGCAGATAATTGCCGGAATCGACTGCCTGAAAGCGGCGAGCGTATATTCAAGTTCAGTTGGTGGACACGTGCTTGCCACAGACAACCGAGTATTCCCAGGCTCAGCACTGATTGAGCCCTGATGATCATCTACCGTCTTACCCAACACGTACAGGTAGTCTATGGCGAACCGGATTGCTGGTAGGGTGGGTTCCAACAATCGCGTGCTCCTGATTTCAGCGCCGCCCCGGCACCATGACTGCTAGACGTGCATATTGAAGGCTTGAGCCCAGACAAGCCCGTCATTCTGTCTGTCGTGTTTGAGGTGTGGATATCACATCTCCAGTGTATCCGATAATTCTTCAAACATGACCTCCCCCACGAGTGTGGTCCAGGCAGCAGCATCTGACTGGGATCACGGCTCGCTACCAATGCAATGGCACTAGTCGATTGTGAACGTGCTGAGTACCTCAGTTTTGACGAGGAGCAGCACAATCGCATCGGCCGACTGCGGTTGTGATCATTCCAGTCGCGATAGATTTGATTCCCCTTGCAAGCGGCACACCCTTAAATCCTCGACCCCATGTTTCTGCACGTTCTTTTTCCTGTTCCGGTAAATGGACGGGCTCCACCGACGCAGTTCAGTGCGCTTCCAACTCCCGGTCCTCGTAGCGGGTGGAGATCTCCCACGTCCAGCAAGAACCGACATGTCCCCGTGCGGCCTGTTCCCCTCCTCGTCAGCCCGGACTGGGATGGGGGACGGCTTGACCCGCCGACTCCTGAATGCTGCGTCCAGAAGAAAAATGTCCCGGGCAGGACTCTTCTCGTAAACCCGGATCATCCAACTCATGCCGTCATGCAGTCATGCAGTCATATACCAAGGACTGTAGAAGTACAATCTCGCCTGCCGAGAGGCCGTTTTTCTGTTCTTTTTAGCATTTCGTTTCCATGGTCTCGGGATTTGATTTTTGGCCCCATTGACGACCTGGACTAGCTCTGACTTCGGGACCCCACACATGTCTTCAATCCCCATTGCTACCCAGGTGGCAGGTACCATAGTAGCGTACCAGTCATGGAGTGCAGAGGTCAGATTCTCGTCGGTTACAGCGTCACGAGCGGGTCCAACCCGTGATGGTGTATGGCCATATCCTTTCTCGTGACGGGTATTCTAGTCTTTGTGATTGGGAGAATCTCTGGATACCGCAGGCTAATCTGGACTACTGTCGTCGCATTGACGATTCCCCAATGTTGTACATACAAGGTCTCCAAGACTCAGCGATGTCCCGATGCGGTATCCATGGCCAGTGCCCACTGCCAAGCGTCTTTCCCTTAGCGACGGGCTAAAAGCACGTGGCTGTCCGTATGCTTCTGCGTCCATAGTTGAAACCATCACCGACCAATCATGATTTCGCCACTTGCCGAAAACTAATAGTCGGATGCATCGTCAATGACACCGACTGAACCTGGCGAAAAGTGTAGGCCTTTCCCACCAAACATCATACCAGTGCCGCAACGAGCAATTCTTGAGAGGTGGGACCTCAAATAAGGGAATCGAGGCCACCGGGAGAGGGACCGCGGTCAGAGCAGCCTCGAAATCCCGTTATCCCTTATTGATCCTGTCAGCTCCCGAAGCTTCAATGTTGGGTCTCCTCATGTATGCTCGAATCTTCAAAGTCATCTTTTATATGGATGCCTCGGAACAAGGCAATCTGCTTCGAAGTGCCAAATGACGAGTTCTATTTGATTCATGATGTGAAGGATTGTGCCTTCCAATTCTTCGCTTAGAGTTTGATCTGACACTCCTCTCGGAGAGATGGCAGCATCAATTCGAGGTGATCAAGACAAACTTGCAGCTCGAGCAGAGAATCAGATTATATGGATACCTAGGTCTTGCTTCCAACGGCAAGCGTCAACTCGGACATCCCAGGTAGAGATTGGAAGAGCACCAGTAATCACTCACCTATAAATTCAGGGACGAACGGAAGTGCATAGCCCCCGATCGCCGACCCGGAATCTCACAGATACCAATATTACTTTGTCGATAAGCTCATTGCGCCTTAATACACTGCGGTGGTCCAAAGGAAACAAGTAGTGCATAAGTGCACATGAATATATATATTCCAGAGTTGGGGCTGTCTAGAACCTACCGTGTTCTAGCTCCATATCGACCATAAACCCTCCTGGCTGGTATATGCAGTAACTTACCCACTACCCAGTACCCACCATATTCGGCCAGAGACTTACAGTGTGAGTACATGGGTGGCCAACAAGAAGAACGCTCGAGAGAATCAAGTTCTCCGACACGTCCGGGCGAAAGAACGGGTGTCATTGTTGATCAGACCCGGATTGTTGCACGGATGCCGTGGATATGGTCCGTTTTGAAGCGGGTCCAGCCGATATCTCTAGGGTCTCCACAAAGAGAGGCAACGTCCTGCCATTCGAGGCCTTTTTGCCCCTGCGGCCTCGTCTGCGGTCAGACGGGCATTATTATGATGGCTTTGCAGGGGGGCCAGGGCTGAGAATAGTTCGGAGCGCACGAAGGTACCACTAATTGACTAGTGAGTTCCCAGTAGTAGACTACTACTGGCTCGGGGGTAAGCTCAACCGGCTTTTTGTCAGCGTCGGTGTGAAGGATAACTAGTTGGACATGGAGAATGGGTAATCACTCGGTGATCATAACAAGAATGGCAAGGATCAATAAGGACCCGAATGTGGGCGGCTTCTCCGAAAAAGGATTGCACCCAAATGCCATTTTGATAGAAGGAGACAGGAGTGGACCTCCATGGAGTCGGGAAGAAGATATCCAAGGTAATCAGTGCGCCGGGCGGTCGTGATGACGCGGACATCATCCGTATAACTCCCTCCATGTGCTTACCGGGGGCTGTAATACTGTTCCTATTCAGGCAAACTGTACAAGTAGAAGTCGCGAGCAAAACTGGTGGATGCTTCCATCTTACACGTCGTCTTTCTCCACTCTCTTGCAGAAGAAGACGATCCATCCATACACTACCTATCAAACTGTGACCGACCCCCAAGCCCGGTTTCTTGCTAGTCTGCTCGAAGCTTGTCGTAGTACAGCCGGAGGAGAGAATGGAGCCGCCTCACAGGGTTTACCTGACAACCCGAGTTGAGCACGTGCCATCGTGGCAATGTCGAGGCCCTCATCACTATATACGATGAGAGGGACGACTCAACCCATCGATTCCCCTCCAATAGCCGACCTCTAACTTTCCTGGAGTCCGGATGGATAGACAGAGAAAGACGCCGGGACGAATACTGAGCCCGGTGCTTCGGAGGCTAGTAGATGGTGTGAGGCGGGTTGTCTTTTCTCCACGAGTCACGAGGGATTTGCTAAATTAGTGCTTACATTCGTAGTATCTTTGTATTATGGATCTTCCCTTAGGCACTGAGGTAGTACCTCTGAAAGTGAAAGGTTGATCTCCGACTTCACCGCTTCGACTTCCCCCACAGTAATGAGGTTACACCTCTACTGAACCCGTTGGGTAGGTACGGTACTAGCTGGAGAGTGTTTACTGGCTTACAAATGCAAATCTCTTTCCACAAGAATGGTGAATGGAATACTACTCCGCACGAATCTCATGATTGAATGGAACTTGACATCTTATCCACACATGCATCTTCAGACATGGACGTCAGCCGTGTATTGCTAGATCATGGCTGGGGTTCAAGATAAAATGGAAGTGAACCCGCATTTCGAAGTTGCTATCTATTGTCAGATTACTCTCTGTGCCATGTAGCTGCTTCCATAATACGTCTCACGGTTTGCCTTGATGAGGATGAAGATCTTCATGAATAGTTGTACTGATCTCCTTCTCCAAGGCCACACCATCATATCTGTGGATATGAGATGAACTTCGACAAATGATGCATGGAGTGATCCACTTATCGCAGTGGAGACGAGTGCCAACAGCATATTAACGGAAGACAGGTACTTAGAGAGTTCATTCAGGTTGAAGGGGATCACACAAGATCGCCCTCGTCGATCTGCACTTTCTACGCCACTCGGGTAACATTCTTCACATAGCCCAGCAGGATCATGGGCAAGCGTCGCATAACACACTGTGATTACGCATTGTACTCAGGTAGGCCGGAATGATTAGACGAGATGAGGTCAGAAAGAGATTGATTTGTCAGAGGAAGCAAAAAAAAGAGCGTGTTGGTGATCTGCGAGTAGGCAAGACGAGCGCACAGAAGAGAGAGAGAGAGAGAGAGGAAAAGCTGCAAAGGACAGCAAGAAGAGAAACCTCCACTCCATCACATGATTGCTAGTTTACAACCTAAGAGGCAGCAATCTCCTGCTGACGGGATTTCATTATTGTGGCAAGAATCCCGCTCCGTCATCTGATGGCGGCTGTATAGCTCAATTAGCAGGTGTATCTACCACCCACATGTCAAGCAACTGTCAACATGAAATTCTCGGCTCAGTCGAAGTGGATAAGGTCACTTTGGTTTGATCCTGGCGATGAGATATGTGCTTATTCTCGAGCCGGCGGTACCTCCACCCTACTACCTGGTAGTAGTAGGTAAGGGAGGTACCGTTGTGCATGTACACCTATTCAAGACAGCTTTCATCGAATTGAATCGCCTAGACGGCTTGACTTGGGCTCGAAGTGTCAACACATTGACGCATATGAACGGATGATAAACATGACCTGAGTCTACATCAGAGATTTTAGAGCGTCGAGGCACATACCGCGGCGAGCCTCTTCTTGACCCGAGGATGGACCAGAACAGGGACCGTCATTTTTTAGAAGACGCGGTCCGGTAAGTCGGGTCGTCTAGTCTCCCATCCATGTTGACCCGGTTACTTCCGTCAATCGCTTTGGTCGAGCAAAAATCCAAGTGCTGCAGATCTCAATCTCAACACCAGTCTTCGAGGGTTCAACTTTCGCGTCGAGATTCGAATATGCATTGTGCACATCAAGACCGGGGCATCCTTTGGCTGATTTCAGTAACAATCGCCGGAGAAACTTAGACTCATCAGAGGCGGATCAATCCTGACAAGTGAAGATGATAGTAAAAGGATATTGTTTGTATTTTGCGGCCTTCCCAAATCTGTAAAGGGAGCCCTAGGCTAGAACCCGGTGACCGACAGCCGGGGTGTCACTTTGGTCGTGAAGAAACAGATTGAAAGGACGAAAAAAAAAAAAAAAAAGATTTCTCAAAGTCATGATGAAAGAACGCCAACCTGTACTCTTGGAAGATGCAAGGGACAGTCTCAGTCTAGAAGCCTCGGCCACGACCGCGGCCACGACCCCGACCCCGAGGGCCGCCCCGGCCACCTCCACGCCCACCACGCCCACGATCCGCCTCCTTTCGAGCCTTGTTCTTGGGCTTGGGAGCGTCGTCCACAAGCAAAGTGTCGAGTGGCAAGCTGTCGGGGAGAATGTAGTATCGGATTGTCGAGCCACGAATGTTGATGGTGTCCAGGGAGACGGGATCACGACCCTTGGGGGTCATCTTTACTGTTCGCAGGGAGGTGTTCATCTGAGGAGAGACGGAAGTGATGGTGCCGTGAAGAATCGTGCCTGAAAAAGGAGAAGGGGGATTTTTTTGCACTTAGTATCTAAAACTTTCGTATGTCGGAGCCGAACACTCGCGGGGCATTGACCGAGGCCAACACGGGCAGCCGCCGACGAAGTTTGATCATGGTGATGAACTAACCATTCTTAAGCTCAATCGTCACCGTCTCGTTGGCGCATTTCATCAAAAAGCTGGAGTTGCGGTCAGTCTACCACCGCACGGAAATTGCAAGATGTGTGTGTCGGTCGTAATCAATTGCAGTTCACAAGGCTCCGCGTCGATTCTGGAATTTGGACTCACCGAACAAGTTTCATGTTGAGGTTCTTGCGCAGCGAATGCGACCACGTGTGATATCAGATTGTGTTGTTTGATGACTGGTGAATTGACGGGCCCAGACACAATTCTCTTGGAGCTTCCGCGTTCTTCTCGTTGCTGCCAGCGGACCTCCGTGCAGAGTTGACGGACGACACGTGACCTGCCAGCTCGGTCAGGTCACGTGGTGATTGCTTATCGGGCACGGACTGTGATCCCATGCCTCGACTTGGTGATCAAGAAAGCCTCATCATCAATCAGTGTGCTGGTTGAACAACTCCTACTTCTAGCAAGCTGTCGGTTGGAAAGAGTAGGTAATTTGTTGTATCTGCGCAATTAGCCCGCAGCTTCTGTGTCACTCTGCATCCTGTGTCATATCTTCGGCGCCATCAAAAGTGCCTCCTTCAATAGCACGAAGAGTAGGCAGCCAATCGGCGCTTCAAGGCTGAACCTGCCCAAGCGCAACGATCTTCAGTTCCGCCGCCCAACAAGCTAATTTCCAAGAGAGTTGTGGATGGCTGAGACATGGGTCTCAGTGACTCCCATAAGTCCCATCTCACCCCATCGTCAGTACCTACTGTCTTGCTTCAGAGACTGCAGGTACGAATTGTACGTCAGGGACTACGTACTACGTAGTACGTGGTGACTAACTCAGTTAGGTGTATTGTGTGCAAGTAATTTATCACATGACAAGTGATCTGGGACTCGCGGGTCCACTTCGACTATCTAGAGTTCTGCTGATAGCCATGGGGTCGTTGAAGAAGCCCTGCATTTCTCTTTCCATTTGGACTCAATTGGCAGGTCATTAAGGTGGTAACCAATGATCTCACAGTGGATATGGGTCAGTCGTGAGATTAACCGGGCGAAGCTCAATGCAGGTCGATGATGACGGATGCCGCAGAACGATCTAGTGCGCCGCCATGTGGCTCCGCTCCCATCGCACTATGTCCTTGGTGCAATCTAAACATTGTCTCCTAGCGGATGCACTCCGCTCCACGAGTCAAGATTGTACATCTTCAGACTCGACGGTACGGGCGAACCACAATGTCGGGCATCGGCCCAGACTCCAACGTCGACAGAGCGAAGGAAGTTCTCTTGCTTTCATGCCCTGCTTTGATGGCCAGTCTAAGCAGAAATCTGACTAGCTCGTGACAGTCCCAATCTGACGGGATCACGGTGGGAGAATCATTGATCCCGGGGACGACGCCAACTGACTCTAAATGAAGGCGGCCAAGCAAGGTCCTCGAGCCTCTCGATTCCTCTCTATACAGTATATGCCATGTGTCGCGCGCATGGGCTGAGGGCCATCCTGGGCCGAGATACTTCGACACCACAGGGCTCGTCATCAGCCATCGTGATCACCCCCATGTAGCTTTCCCGATGCTCTTCCATCTTGGCAGGCCCAAAGCGTAAGCAGTCATCTCAACAGCTCGCTTCTCCGACTGGTTCACGCGCCGATTGATCAAAGTGATTGAATGATTGGGTATCAACTGGAGGGACCCGATCGCGGATGATCTGATACGGCGACCCCACAGACCACTTCCACCGTCAAGGGGCCCAGAGCCTTGAGAATAGTGATTCACTACTACTACTACTACTACTACTACTACTACTACTACTGGGTTCTCTCACCTGCGCGCTGCAAAGGCTATCCGGGGGGGAAGTGCATCCAGGGGAATCCTTGGGTCTAGACACCCGCGATGCCGTAATCAAACGGCCACCAGGAGGAGGTCAGAGACAAGATGCATGATGGCACCGTGGCAGGTTGGCACATGGCAGACGCGTGGATCAGCGCCAAGGTTTGTCCAAGAGGATGCACCCCTTACTCTCTCTGGTGGGGAGGGTGCACTGTGTCGATCGATGGTCCTGGGTCATGCACTAACTTAGCGCAATAAACGTCTGAAAATCAAAACGTGGTCTGCTGAGCGGAATTGCCTCCCCCGGACAGCAGGGTCCGGTACGTTGCGGCTGTGGGCAAGACATCTCCGGTGCGGTTTGAGTTTAAACTCACCGGGGGTTCGTATCCTACGAGTGACTGGGACTAGCATCGTCGTGGACTCCAAGGTAATTTCTCACTTCTCTTTCTTTTTCTTTTTTCTTTTTCTTTTCTTTTCTTTCTGGGTCTTCTTGGCTTCGAGTCTGATTCTTGCCCGTGAGTCGGTAGCGTTCCCGTGAGTTCTGACGACGCCGTGCCCCGTTTACCCACTCATGCCAATACCGTCCACTGTCCACTGTGTGCAGTCACTCCAGCGTCCACGGTCCAGTCATGATCCCTGTATATTAAGTGCTCACCATACCTTGCTGGTCGATGAGATGCAGATCTCGCCATATTGAAGTGTTTCCCAGAATGGCGGCAGATTGATTCAAGACACAAGACAAGGAGCGGAGGGACCAGATTGGCCGACACTGACAATGTGCATCCACAGCAGGCGGTTCTGCATTGCGGTAGCTCTGTGGTCGGCGCAGCCTCTTCGGTCCCCGTTCCGTTGGGCAAGGTTAGCACTCTTCCGGGGAACTACTACTACTGATTGCCTAATAGCGTCTCTCTCTCTTTTTTTTTTTTTCCTCCGGACCAGGTCCACCTCGTGAGTTTGATCATTTGATGGACTGGTAGGGTACGGAGTACGGAGTTCGGACCACTGGACCAGTCGACGAGCGGAGACCGTCAATTTCCCATGTGTCTCCGATCGCGAGGGAAGAAGGAGAGCTCTTGCACTCCACGAATCGTAGGCGGATTATAGTAATTATACTGTACTTGACTACTTGCTAGTTCCTAGTTAGTGTAGTAGTATATTCCCCATGGCTATGCAGTCCAACGGTCATTCCAAGGGTCAAACAATGGAGGCTCCAACTCCGCCTGCCACGCGGCTACCCGCGTCCGACACGGCCGTGGTATACAACTTACAACCCCCCTACGGCCTACTCTCTCCCCTCCCACGGTCGTCTTCCCTTTTGCAGAGGGCAGAGGGCAGATACCGTACCGTCCGTCGAAACCGTGGTTCGGACGATAAAGTCAAGTGGACCGGTGGAGTAGCTTGACGCTGGGTATCTCCCTGGGGAGACTACTCATGTCTCCCTGGCCCAGATGGCGACCCGACCCCGAACATGATTAATTCCCACCGCCACCATCCAAATCGAGCGGTTCGGTTCTCGGGTCCCAGTCCACTCTGGGAGCCGTCGATGGGCGTTTGACTCTGCGGTAGGGTTAAGTTGGGAGGCCCTTGGTACTACCGACTCCCGACAACTTAATCCTCGGATTAATTACTCGAGTTTCGCCGGATTATTGCCGACCGGCCTCTAAAGGTCTCACTTTCATCTTCGTCTTCCCATCCAGTTCCTGACTTGGTCGGGTTCCTCCCGATTTTCGCTTTCTGTGGGGCACGAATCCTTGGGGTCCAGTCGTCCAGTGCAGTTTGGTGCACTTACCTAGGTCAGTTAGGAGTAGTCTCGCCTTGGGTGTCCCTGACACCTGTCGTCTGATACACGGTCTACTGACACTATGTATCTATGTCGTGTCTAGTAGACAGTGTCTACTAGTCCACTGTCTACTATCTACTAGATAGTAGATAGTATCTTGTAACCGACTACTCTACGGTACACGCCTTGCCCACCCCATTCAAGGTTTCTGGGTTCCTCGTCGACGACCCTCCTAGGTGGACAGTCTGGCTTCGGACAACGATGCCTCATTGACACCATGCAGAAAAGAAGCCACGACGTTTACTCAACATATCTGCTGGTGGGGGCATCCCCAAGACTCCTGCAGCCAGAGGCGTTACGAAGCCAAACAGATGGGAAGTATAAACCCTTTGTTGATTCGTTCCACTCTGCGTCTTCCGACATGAGGATGGCTTTCCTTTCTTTTTCCTATGTCCCAATTCCGTAAGCCGCAAGCAAAAAAGCGGACCCTCGTCCCATCATTTTACATCATTCTTTGGGGGGGGGGGGGAGAGGGTGGAGGAGAAAGTCTTTGGACGGCGGAACAAAACCTCTTATACTTTCTACGCTAACCTTGAAGGGTTGTTGAGATTTGATTTCTCGTTGATTTTTGAATTTTTGGTTTTCGCAGGGTCAGTTTGCCTTCTGAGTGGTCCAATCTATTTTCTTCTCGTTATCCATCAGTTGTTTTCCATCAGCCATTTTTTCAAAGTCTTGTCTTGCTTGCCTACGTGTGTTGTAGTGGGCGTGACGGCTGTCATGTAGTAGTATGTACGATGTAGTATGACTATGTACTCTTCCTGGGAGCTGGCTCGGATCCGACTTTGATCATGATGGGGCCGCCCAACTACTCTGATCGAGGATGTCATCTCTCAATGAGAGATGGCACGGAGGAATAGGATACCACTTGGTGACCTCCTACAGGTACCTAATCATGTACTCTCCTCCCCAGTCATCACCGAGAGTTCACTTGTAGGGGCAGGGCGTCCTTGCGTTGGGTACCTCATGTAGTGACAGGCCCAGATCCTGGGCATGTCATCACACTGCTGTTGTAGGGGAAAAAACTCCCCCAACTCACCACCACCACATCTGTCCATGTTGTCGGTTCGTAAAGTTTACTAGAGACTTCAACTTGCCTAAAGTTTCCAGATGGTCCAGCGTCATCGCCCCCAATCGTCGTCTTTGGCACATTAACCTTTCTGGGGCACGGAATCCACTCGACCCAAGAGTGGAAGCTCCCTTGGCCCGTTAAGGATCGATACAGTGAAAAAGACTCCGTGCCGGGTGGACTCCAGACTGGCAGACAGAGAGAGTCGGAGTGTTCGTGACTGGGCTGGTTCAAGTAGGAGACGCGAGGAGAGACTACGACGAACGAGGCAACTTCATCGCTTCCTCTCCCTTTCTCCTCCTCCCAACCCTCCCAACCTTCCCCCCCCCCCCCCCCCCTTTACGTCTTTCCTCTCGTTTGCTGGTCGAACTAGTGTCATTCGGGGTATCTGGTTCTCCGACCTTGGCTTGAGTCGGAAAATGCAAAAGACCTTGTCAACTGTGGGGGTTCCCCCCTCCAAAAAACGAACTCAGCAAATAGACACCGAGCCACGCCTCACCCTGAAGAGGACCGAAGTCGGCCCACTTGGTGAAGATCGAAGGATTTCCCAATAGCCGCTTACTACATACTGTTTTGGTCAGGGTCAGATTTCTGGAAAACAGAAAAAAAATAAAAATAAAAGCAGAAAAAAAAAACCAAAAAAAAAAAAAAAAGGAACCGCCAACGATTACGATTTTCGTCCAGTGGGAAGAACATGGCCCGAGATCAACCGCTACCGATGGACGATGATGGTCGGTTTAGACGAAGGCGTTTCAGACCCATTTTGGCTCTTGCATCCACTTTCAATCTTCCTCCTGGAGTGGCTTGAAGAGGAATGACTGGCATCTCCATATCCATCCCCAGTGACCCTCAGCACTCAGACCAAGTCTTTGCTTCTCGTGGGACTTGGGCCCCAAATCATAGAATTCTCCGCGGTCTTTTTACGTGCCCCAAGGTGGATCGACAGTCGACTAATCACAACAAGAAACGCTGCGTGCCTATCGTTGAATACTGGGCATCGTTTCATACTCGACAGAACTCCATATGTGTCCAGTCGAGCTCGAAGTTGAGCCCCGAAAGAAGTCACCACGAAACATAAGAACGAAGAAAGAGAGAGCAAGAGTTGCGGGGACCCTCTGGAGCTCTCTGAGCTTGACCTGAACGCCCTGGCCAAAGCTCGAAGAAATCTCCCCAAGTCCCAAACATTGTTGAAGAAAAGGAAAATCAGAGAAACTCGACAGACACTAATCTCCCTCACGCGCCCGTCTAGAACTAGCCTGATTGGTGTTTCCCTTTGCGACGTTTGGACGCAAAGATCGAAAAGGCTCCAACTGCCCGTATCAACCTCGTCTCTCTTCCTATACAAAAAGACAGCCGTACATCTAACTTTCTGTTTTTCGTCTTCAATATCTTCCTTTCTGTGTTTGGTTTTTTTTTTTGTTTAACATCACTTTTCGGACCAAAGAACCGTTCCCCTTCCCCCCGTGGCTTCACGTCTTACGCCTCTCGGATCCCCCCCCCTCTCGTCAAGCCGCTTTGGGAGTATGGACTCGCTTGTGTGAGAGTCCATGTCGTGAATTCAAAACAGCAATGTCGCCCGAGACCTCACACTCGTACCAATCTAAGTCACAGACGAGGTGTCAAACCACTCTGCTCTCGCACACAGATACTGAGATCTATCCGCCGACGCTCGGGTCAGTCTCAATCGATCCTGCTTATCAGCAACGGGCAACATTCCCTCTTGAATCGCATTACTCTTGGCCCTTTGCAACCTTGGCGCATAGTGTGGGATCCGGCTCGCATCCATCGCAAGCACTGCCGGTGTCTCTGCCATTGCAATCGAGCATAGCATCGTTGCCAGTGGGTTCGACTGTTCAAACCGCGGCGACTCATTACGATTTCGAATCTTCTGCGGAACCTGTCAGAGCCAAGCAGGCATTTGCCCTTGGTAATCGAAGATCGACAGTGAGCAACGAAACCAGAGGGTCAGTTGACCTATCCCACACACAAAACGAGAAACCCCATACCTCAAATCGCCCAGTGGGCTTCGGAAAAGCTCCTCGCCACGCACAGAGCTGACTCTGCGAACTGTCTGATAGAAATCCAGATTTCTCCGCCTACTCAATGTCAGCAGCTTCGAGTCCGTTTCCAATCGCTATGATGCAGCAACAAAACGACCGTGAGTGGTCCTGCTCGATCCGATTTGGCTGGATCATCCACCTTCTCTCTGCTGAGAAATAGCTGCCGTTGCGACCCTGCTAACCTCAGTGCAGCCTATTTCTGGGGTAATCGCTCCTTTTCAACTCAGCCTCCAACGAGCAATTTCAATCACCAGCTTCCATCGCAATCCCCCTATACGTCCACTGCATTTCCTCCAGATTACCAAATGCCACCAGGCGGGCCCGCATATGCAAATCCTCACCCACCGCAACAATCTTCACCGTACCTACCAGTAGCTTCGGAGGGTATTCCGCGCCCGATTCATGGCCAGAGGTAAGCGCCAACTACAAGCATCACACGCGTTTCACTTGAGAATCTCGGCTGACGACTCTTTACGAGAAGCCCGCCTTTAGCCCCGATGGCACGAGCTTTTCATACCCAATCCGCTCCAGCGGTCTTGACTGATCAAACTTGTACGACAGGGTGAGTTGTCGGTTTATAAGTGACGGAAAACATGATCTTGACAATGGTCTCATGTCTTTTTTTTTCCCCCTCATCCAGATCCACACCGTATATGATGAACCCACAATCTGCGTATTACTATCGCGAAGCACCCCCGATCCCGTAAGTTTCCCACATTGGAGTGAGCTTGTTCCCGCTTGTTTCTTCCCCCCCCGCCCCCCCCCCCCTCTTCTCTCTGTGAAGCTTATCCTGACTGCTCGTCCCAACCAGATCAACCCATTCCTCACATTCCTCCCCGATCAGTCCTCAAACATCATCAATGCCCCTAGAAACCGTCTTCCATTCTCCCTCCGCGGTTTCATCGACAGACTCGAGAGAGCGTTCTTTACGCGGGTCCAGTTCACGACCTCGACCGCAATGCTGGGATCATGGCTGTGATGGCCGAGAATTCTCAACATTTAGTAACCTCCTGCGACACCAGCGTGAGAAATCCGGCGTAGTTGCAAAGGCCGAATGTCCCGTTTGTGGAGCGGTGTTTACCCGCACTACGGCCCGCAATATCCATGTTGCGCAGGGCAAGTGTAAGGGTCCTTCTGGACGGGAGTCTTCGACAGAATAGAGAGAATAGGGAGAGGGCTATCGCGACTCGCGAGAGTGAGATTTGGGTGTACAATATTGGAGTTGAGAGGCATTTTCTGAACGCGGGATTTTATACTTGCATTTGGCGTTGTGTTGGGGTTGTGGGAAAGCTTCTAGAGCTCTTGTTTTTTTTTTTTTTTTCTTTTGGTTTCTTTTTCTCCCGTTGGGGTCGTTTTTCTCTGATGTTCTCCTCGGTGCGACCTTGATCTATCCGTCAAGGTCTGCACATGCCGTGTACGCTGGCAGTATATGGTTATGACGGCCACCCAGAAGCTGTCACGATAGATATTGCATATTGTGGAAGTAGACGACTTGTTTTCGTCCAGAAAGACTCGGTCACTTTCATCTATTTCGTGAGGGTCCCTAGGTGAATTCTGTATTGGAATGATCTACTGACAGTAGCAGTCTCGCAGAGTATTCTTGTGTTTGGGGAAATGTGAGCCTTTTGCTACCGGAGGTACTGAAGTGATGCTCATCTTCAATTCCCGAGATCAGGTTTCAAATGAGTACCGAGATGAACTGGAAGTTTTATGTATGACGCGAGGTCCGACAGTACTACTGCCAATGTAGGTGACAAAGGTACTAGTCCTCCTTCCGCATCAAAAATAAACCGCACCGGGTAGACAGGGTGCAGAGCGGGGAGAAGGCCGAGCAACCGATTGTTTTGCGCAATTGATCGGATGATGCCAAGGGAAGGACGTATATCTGGAAGACAAGAGAGTCTTTGGAAATCTACCAAGAACGGCAGAGAGGAGCTGAACAGGTGCAAAGAGGATTCTTGGAAACGAGGACGCTTTCCATCTCGTTAGATAAGTTGTCGCTCTTATTAGACAACAAAGCCCATCGATTTGGCCATAACAAAGGAGATCAATACATCTCCTGGATTCCATAGGTAAATTTCTAAATGTAACATAACTCCAATACACCACCTCAAGCGCCCGGACCTCTATCTATTCTAGAAGCTACGCAACTTACAAAAAAGAAAGAAAGAAAAAAAATATATATTGCTTTCAAACAGCTCATTCGGCTCCCCGCCCCCACTCAGCTCGACGACACCGCTCCAACCCGAGTCGGCTTTTCAATCTGCTCTTCCTCGCTTGTCTTCTCCGTGGACATGAAGACCGAACCCAAGAGATTGAGAGGATTGTTTATCCGAACCACCATACACCAGTACAAGGTGAACCCAACAAGCACAATCTCATCCCTCGCCCTCACATCATGGGCCTTGGGTCCCAGAATCTCAATCGTGGCCCACTTCTTCGGGTTCCACATACTGGCCGAAAACTTGGCCACGGGCTGCTGCATCTCATCCACACAGATAAAGTCCCAGTTCTTGAAGCCGCTCTGACTGGTCCAGGTCATTTTCACGGGGGCGCCTGAGTCGGAGAAGACGGTGGATGTGTGGCTGTAGATGGTGCGCAGTCGGTGCTGGGCCTGGAGGGTGCCTTTGACGCCGTGCAGCTCGTAGTCGGGACTGATGCTGATGGCGTGGACCGAGCTGGTGCCCATGATTTTGTCATCGGGGGCAGTTTTGAAAGTCAGCTTTGACGTGAGGACGTTGCATGAGACGATGTAGAGCGGGGTTTTGCTTTCGTCGCTGGCGTCGGTGACGAGGGATTTGAATTGACTCCAGGCAAAGTCGACCGATAAGGTGTGGGTCTGGGCAGATGCGTGGTGAGGAAGGGTGGTCATGGACCTTTGATCCATCTTGGGAGAGTGTGGATTTTTTTCCATGAGGTAGGACAATGAGGTAGCTGATTCAATAGGTTCCATGCGGCATGTTCACCCTTGTATGATGGACAGACCGAAAGCAAAAAAAAAAAAGGGAACAGAGGATGAGCGGAGTACGGAGCTCTACTATATATGACTATCTATGCCTGACAAGTGCCAAGGTCCACCTGGCACCTGCCATCGGCCAAGCCAAGCCGAAACCACCATGCCCCAGAAACCTTAAAAGCGCCTTATAAGCACGATGGACATCCACAGCCACGCAAAAGAAAGCTGAGCTGGCTGTAGATCCCACAGGCGCGAGCGTTGCCGCAGGTCGTTGATTCGGTGTAAAAGGGAGCTGTCGGTAGACTCGGTAGACTCGGTAGTGATCCCCAATCCACCTTGTGGCCCCCACGTCATGGGGGTGGAGCCGGACCTTCGATCCAAAGTCGGCGGTAGAAATAGACGTACCGCAGCGCAACATTGCATCAGATTAGGAAGTTGCTGGGACGAAAAGACCCAAGCCCTCGAACTGCCCAGTGGAGACCATGCCAAGCCCGGATCAGACAGGTCTCTCTAGCCTGATCGGGCGTAAGGTGCCGCTGCACCAATTAGAAGGATGAGACTGGGTGGGATGATGTCATACATCCGACGTACACTACGGAAGAGTGCCCGACCTTTACATTTCACTAGCAAAGGATCCAGCGGCGTCTCCGATGCATGTTGATGGCGGAGAGCAGAAGAGATATGATCAATAGTAGTTTCCAGTCGACAACTCACTGAATTCTTATGCGAGAAGTGTCCATGGTCAGAGCAGGTACATATTGATGATTCTGTGCCGAGTTAGCGCTCTTACCGTGTTGTATTGCAATTCACGCACCTATGGCAAATCTTGCCATGAAAGAGATTCCTGGTAACCCATGGAAGCGTGAAATAGTCAACAAGAACGTCAAAGCGGGAAAATGAATGGTTCTCAGCTTCTTTAGTAATACTCAGACCCTGTAAATGGATTATGCACCACTGCCAGGTCTGTCTACAATCTACATGCATATGCCAGTCACTCAGTTGAAATTTAAAGATTTCACCTTTTGAAGGAAAAAGGCAAAATTGCCATGCTCTGCATAATATTCAGGGTTTTGGATCCAGACCCAGCAAATGCCTGATGTGAAGGAAGCGGCTTTAAAACTCACGAGGAACATGCTGGAGAAACGTGTCCCTACTTAACCCATCGTTCGCGTGCCTCATTGGCAGTCGTACAGTATGGTGTATACCAGTCAATCGCAAATTTCTTGTTGCGCCGCCCACACATCGCGAAAATGGCCGCGTACATATCAATGCAGAGAGACTCGTGGATGTCTACAATTGCCCTAATTATCTCATTCATCAAAGGAGCACAGGTGGCCTAGAGCGGGACACAAGTTCAACCGTTGCGATGGCGGAGCTTCCAATTCACCCATCATCTTGATTCCTGTCTGGTTAGCCCACCGGTACATCGTGCATAGTGCCTTCACCTGCACCGAGCCCACTTGGTCCTTGACACTCGATGGATATCGTCATGCTTTATCCTTCTGCTACAATATACATCAGCTCGCCAGTTTCCCCTTTGCCTGAAGTGTGCGACAGCACCATCCAGCTATCAACTTCATATCGTCATGGCGCTTTGCTGACCACCATCCAGCCAGTCCTTCCGGCGGCTGAGTATTACTCATGTGGTAATCAACCACTTCGTGTGTGGCTGCCGAGGATCCCCTCGTAGTTGAGGTATCAACTTTGCATTCTCAACTCTACCATTCAGAAGATGATCACTATGGTGGCCACTTTCCATTGAATGACAGAAGGTGCTATCGAATAGACCCGTGGTCCACTGCAAGTGGTCATCTGCGTCGAGAGAAAGGGGTCAAATGACTCGATCCTCAAAGGAACATGGATGCCTCAGGCGACAAGACCCTGGTGACTCAATCGGTCCCATCGTGCCGCCCCCCCGCCCATGATCAATCTCCACCGCAGGTGGACGACCGCGTTGCGATCCCTCTCCAACAACAAACACTCGTGCAATCTGGGCTTAGCGTAAGAAATGCCTGCTTCTGTCTCAACAATCTCAATTGTACGTCTCTGTTGGAAGTCCATCTCTTACCGAATACCTTTGAACCCGATATCAAACAAGACGTGAAGAAGGCGAGGTATGGCCTCGATCTTCACCTACGACCCGGACCCGCCCAGGGTGTCCTCTCCATGGTCGACTTCAGGGTCGTCGACTCCACAGGTCAATCAGTCGTCCCAGAATAGCCAAACTGGGAGAAATGGTCTGCCTGTGCGAACGCGATCTAGCTCCCAGTTGAATGGCGCGCCGGACTTCTTGTCGGATTATGGAATCACCAAGCTAGAGCCTGAGCCTCAAGAGGGGCCCACGGAGTACAAGCTACATCTACTGCTTCGTCCTCGGCGGCCTTACCTGTCCATGTCCACTGGCAGTGTGGTTGCAGGATCGTACCATTCCCGAGCATCAATCGCAGGCCCCACTTCGTCTTCTTCGTCTCCGGCACCAGATGCAACTCCCCGACCAATGCAGGCCAAATCGGCCCAAAGCCGCCAGCAACGGCTTCAGGGGCTGACTACACAGCTGCTTTGGCGCTTACAGCAATCATCGCCATTTCATTCGTCCACGACGGCGAATCTGGTCGTTCCTGTGCTTCCGGATGCAACTCCTCAGCTGGGGGTTCCTTCCAAGCCCGCCCGTCTCTTGCCCGGCCTCGAAGAAAGCCAGGGAGCTTTGTACGAAATCGGGGTCGCCGATGATGGCACTTTCGTCGGTCTCACCGAGGACGAGCTTGACGAAAGTGTCACGAACTTGCAAGCAATGTCTGCAAGCTTGGGATGCAAGGTTGAGATCCTGCGTCGGGTCATTGTGGGCAAATGCGAATGGGCAGACGATTCCCCTGCGGCGCCTCCGGACTCTAACAAGTTTCACCGGGCCAACCTGTGGGTTGCGGAAGCTTTGGTTTCCCCAGATCTGGACTACTATAAGTTGACGTCTTCCCGGGGACGGCGAGACAATGCATCCAGCTCCTCCCAAGTGAGTACTGCCGCCGTTGGTAGCACAGAGGAAGATTCTTCCACAACAGAACAGATCCGGATTTCCATTGCGGGCTCCAGCGCATCTGGAAAATCTTCCTTGGTGGGCACCCTAACATCGTCCATATTTGATAATGGCCGAGGGAGCAGCCGACTGAGCTTGCTGAAGCACCGCCACGAGATTTCCTCAGGAATCACCAGCTCCGTTGCGCAGGAACTCATTGGGTATTCGGGGGGCTCAACACCGACGGTGGTGAACTATGCGTCCGGCAATGTGGCTGCATGGGATGATATTCATGCCGCATCTCGTGGGGGTCGTTTGGCCTTTGTCTCGGACCTTCCAGGGTCGGTTCGGTATCTCAAGTCCACCTTGCGAGGTCTCCTGAGTTGGGCACCCCACTATGTCATGCTTTGCATTCCTGCTAATTGCGGCGACGAGACAAGTGTCGATACTGATTCACTTGCCGAGCCTGCTAGTGAAATCGAAAGATGCTTGGCGTACTTGGATCTCTGTCTGAAACTCGACATGAACATTGTCATCGTCATCACTAAACTCGATGTTGCCTCGCGAGGAGGCTTGCGTGAAAATCTAGCCAAGGTTCTGTCTGCGCTCAAGACTGCAGGCCGGAAGCCAGCCATGCTGCCCGCCTCGCCCGCAAAGGATAAAGCATTGAATCTCCAGCAAATAAGCGCTGCTGATAGCAATGATGTGCGGAAGGTTTTGGCAGCGGCAAGTGACCAGTGGCCTACTACCGTGCCCATTGTTCTGTGTAGTGCGGTAGATGGTACTGGCGCTGGCAAGCTCCATGCGTTGCTACGTTACCTACCAATTCCGACCCGCAGACCGCAGAGGGGATCAAGAATTGAACGGTCACTGGGTCAGCTTGGCACCCCTTCGGTAGTGTTTGACATTGATGAGGTATTCGCCATCCCGCCTTCAAAGGTCTATTCTGTGTCCGCCGATAAAGAGGGCAACCAAAGCCGTGGCATGGTTCTTTGCGGCCTTGTTCGCCACGGTAGTATCTCAGTTGGGGACGAGATGATAGTTGGACCAATACTTGTTGATACCTCAACGGACTCCAACGGAGACTCGGCACATCTCCTCTCACGTAGCAGCGGGCCAGGTGTCTCTGCTGCGTTCCCAGCCTCCCTCTCCCACGGAATTCTTTCCAGCAGAGACAGCTCGACCCAAGTCAAGTGGCACCGTATTCGTGTGATCAGTGTCAGAAACCTCCGCCTGCCGGTACGTCGTCTCAAGGAAGATCAAGTCGGCACTATTGGGATTGAGCTGCTTGCGTCGGCGGACGACGAAAAAAATTCTCGCATGAGCCGAATCAGAAAGGGCATGGTACTTGCAAACCTCAGTCCAGATCTGAAACCAAGTCGGACGTTTCCCGTGCCTCGGCCGTCAACTGTGTCATTAGCCTTTCACACGGGCTTCACAGCAACATTCCCTGCCGCGGAATTCTCGGCGCTGAACTCTCCGCCCTTGCTACTAGGCGGCAATGCGATTGCCTACACTGCCAACGTACGCACCACCGTCCGGGTCGTCAGCATGGCTCTCGCAGGCGCTAATGACGACTGTGGCTTGGACTCCCGTCACGACTCAAGATCTTCATCTCCCACAGAGCCGGAATTCTTCAGCTTTGACGGTGACGACAAGTCCTCACCCTCGCCTTCAAAAGACAAGGCCGGTCGAACGACTCGTGCACATGGATCCATTCAGCGACGCCCATCCGCCAACGACATCAGCGTGATGGTGTCCGGAACATCAGGTGACGGAGCCAGTGCCTCTACCGCGATCAACGAGGACGTCAAAATCACATTTGCCCTCATCACATCCGTGGAATGGATAGAGCTTGGCCTGCAAGTTCTCGTCATGCCGGGCGTGTCTATGACCGCCTCGACCGGTGTTGTGGCGTCTGCTTCACCGGCAAACGGCGGCAACAGCTCCACGATAGGCGGTGTCACTGCCATTTCCGTACTCAAAGGCTTCGTAGGAACGATCAGCGAAGTCGTCCTTGGCAAGCCCGTGTCGGGTTGAAAAAGCTAAGCTGTTTTGTATATTGACTAGAGACGAGTGTGTGTGTGTGTGTGTGTGTGTGTGTGTGTGTGTGTGTGTTTCGAGCCATTGTTGAACATTCGACCTGTCTATTTTAGCATTGCCAGGGCAAGGTGCAGAGTATTTTTTCAGATCGAAGTAAGAATCTTTTGCTTGTTCCTTCATTTCTTTCATGTCGCTTCTTGGGTGAAGAGGGTGTGTTGGTGACCTCTCTACTTGTGTGACATCGCTCGAACCTTTGAGCTTTTGTAATCATCTACGACACGTTAGTACCTACCTAACTCATCCGCCTCCCAGTTGGAAGTCAGCGAGATTCAAACCTAGCAACCAATTACTGCCACCGTTCCTTCGTACTTGAAAGGGAAGCTATATAGACATCAATAAGACCGGAACATAGCTACGGCTCCAATTGGCGCTAGATGCTCACTTGTCGCGTGGAAACCCTTTCAACATTCCTCTTCGAGCGACACTCAAGTGCTCCATCAACTAATTAGGGTATATTTGTGCAGGTATCTGAGGATCGAGACCGCGCCGACGGGATATCACGATGCATGTCGGGCTGGGGTCGATGTGATTATCTGAGCCCAGTGAAATGGACCTACTAGATCAATTCGTGCTTTAAGGGGGAGAAAAGAAAAAGAAGATCAAATTCGCGGACTCTCAAGACCAAAGTATCTGAATCTACGAGGTGATCATCATGCATTGCAACAGATCCTACGCCTTTTCCAGTCACGTCCATGTGGTTGATCCACATACCACAAGGATGTTAGAGATTTTCCCACCGATTCCCACATTCGTCGGTATCCTGATCAGTGATCAGCCATGACCCTGCCATCGCATGTTCTTGCGAAAGGGTATAATCGACCGTCACGGTGGGCTTCTAACCACCTTTGCGCTCATTGCGAGTAAAGGTACTGGTGGACCCAATAGTTGCGCTGGCGTTGCGGAACTCGATTTTCTTGCGCTCCATCTCCAACTAATTTGCACATATGATTAGTGGTGTTTTCCCCCGCCCTCACCTGAAAGATCTTTCAACATCCGGACTTACCACTTTTTGTACTCGCATCAATGCAGCGTCGTTACCTGCGACAAGAGGACGGCAGTCCTCGACCCGGTATGGCGGCGCAATGCTGACTGAGTCCGCCACCACAATATTCGGACCGTTCCAGTGAGCCGGCATAGTCCGGCTGAATGCATCAAAGATGTCTTGCGCTTCACGAGTTACGCCCTTTCCACGACGAGCTTCGCGGTCCATCGCCTCGCCGACTGCCTTGGCTTCTCGCGTCCTCAGCGAACGTAAATCAAGCGCTTGAATCGAGGGGATCGCATCCGCAAAGGAAGGCCCATCGGAGGAGTTGGAAGGGGCTGCAAGCAATTGGAAGTTCTGAATTCGAGAGACTGGGATGACGTGGTAGTCTCCGCTTGAGGCCAGCTTCGCATCGGCGGTGGACGCGGCGGGGGAGGTGTTGATGGCTACAAGGTTGGTAATGGGGCACGCTGTAAAGAGAACACCCTCGAAGGTCGATGCCGGGGTCGCAGATGTTGTAAGGCGAACACTAGATAAAGCAGAGACGAGTTAGCGAACCACCATGATCTTGCTCATCACGCACGGTGCACGCTGAGCGAGTCCCTTACCGAGCGCCGATTGCGCCGCTCAAAGCGGCCTCTAGAGGAACCATATTTGTCGCAGTGCCACTTGCAGTGGAGGCACTGCTGGCATTCAGTGACCCCTTTGCTGTAGTGGTCTGGCGCTTGTTCTCCGCCATGCAGTGCTTGACGAAAGTCACTGGCGTTGTGGTGAACACGTTCAACGGCCTGTAGTGATCTTGCAGGACAGGATAAGCCTGGCTGGGAAAGAATGGTTGACGAATATAAGATTATATCCCCTCGATCATTTGGCCGTTATCGATGGCACTCAATTGCTGCGGAGAATCTTGCAATGGAAGTCGGGCTCGATGACTGTTGTGATCCACCACGGCAAGACTACCTAGTACCTGCAACTTGAGAATGAGTGTGGCAATCCTCACAGCACTCACCCTTGAGCAAAGTTACCGGATAAAGACCGGACGTCTTTTGCAAGGTCAGACGAGCGAGAGGGAGAGTCGAAATGGAAGGAAGGAGGAGAGTACCCTTTCCCCAGTGAAGTGATCAGATGAAAGAGAGGGGAGTGTGATGCGATAAGATGGTAGGAGCACCGCTGCTCGGCGTTTCCGAATCAGGCTTAGTGCCCACCGAGCACCTTCTCCCATCGATGCTTTCTCGAACACGGCACTCCAGACCGTATGGCCCGTTCGGTTGTCTTTACTACTCTTTGGTATCGAAAAAATGAACAGGAAAGCACCCCTTTGTAATTACAAGAATTCGTTACGTTCCATTCATAGTGGCATCTAATTACATTGAACTCAAATTTTATTCCTTAACCTTCCCACCCATCGCTTATGCGATGTAGGTGGAGGCAGACACATCACCACCGCGGCCAGTCCAGTTGACGTGGATGTCCTTGCCCTCGGGGAAATTCTCGCTGGCGAACTCGGGCTTGATGCGGAAGGTGTGAGCACCGAAGTAGTCACGCTGGGCCTGCAGCAGGTTGGCGGGGAGGTCCTTGGTGCGGTAACCGTCGTAGAAGCTGAGGGCAGTGGTGAAGGCGGGGAGAGGAATACCCCACAGAGCAGACTTGCTCACGACGTTACGCCAGCCAGACTGGGCCTTGTGGATAGCCTTGGTGAAGAAGTCATCGAACAGCAGGTTCTCGAGGTCGGGGTTGTTGCGGTAGGCGTTGGTGATGTCCTTAAGGAAGACGGAGCGGATAATGCAGCCACCACGCCACATGAGGGCAATAGAGGGCTTGTTCAGCTTCCAGCCGTACTCCTTGGCGGCGTTCTGGATGAGCATGAAGCCCTGGGCGTAGGAGATAATCTTGGAGGCGTACAGAGCCTGCTCGAGATCATCGATGAAAGCAGCCTTGTCGCCGGAGAATTCGGGGGTAGGTCCTTCGAGGATGGTGGCGGCACGGCCACGCTCGTCCTTCAGGGCGGACAAGCAACGGGCAAAGACAGCCTCACCAATGAGGGTGACGGGCATGCCAAGATCCAGAGCGTTAATAGCAGTCCACTTGCCGGTACCCTTCTGGCCGGCCTTGTCGAGAATCTTCTCAACGAGGGGAGTGCCGTCGTTATCGTTATAGTAGAGAACATCGCGGGTGATCTCAATGAGGAAGGAGTCGAGAACACCAGTGTTCCACTTGGCGAAGACATCGCCAATCTCCTTGCAGGACAGGCCAAGACCGCGCTTGAGAATGTCGTAGGCCTATTGAGGTGCATTCAGTGGTTAGTGTGCGACCCAGGGAAACAATCCTATATGGCAAGCCAATGTCGACCAATAAGTGGGATTCGAGCAGCTTCTACTGACCTCGCAAATCAACTGCATGTCACCGTACTCAATACCGTTGTGAACCATCTTGACGTAGTGGCCAGCACCCTCGTCACCAACCCAGTCACAGCAAGCCTCGCCGTCGCTCTTGGCGGCAATGCTCTGGAAAATGTCCTTGATGTGAGGCCAGGCAGCCTCGTTACCACCGGGCATGAGAGAGGGGCCGTAGCGGGCACCCTCCTCACCACCAGAGACACCGCTACCAACGAAGCTGATGCCCTTCTCCTGGAGGTACTTGGTGCGGCGGTTGCTGTCAGGGAAGTGAGAGTTACCACCGTCAATGATGATATCACCCTTCTCCAAGTGGGGAAGGAGGGACTCGATGAAGTCATCAACGGGCTTGCCAGCCATGACGAGAAGCATAATGCGACGAGGGCGCTTCAGCTTGGCGCAGAACTCCTCCACGGAGTGAGCACCAACGATGGGCTTGCCTGATAGGAACAAGCCGTTAGCGAGACCGTACATCTTCCACGGTTCGGAAGGGACTTGTTGCCCGGAGCGAGATGCTTACCCTTGGCCTCATTGTTGAGGAAGCGGTCGACCTTGGAGGTTGTGCGGTTGTAGGCGCAGACGGTGAAACCGTGATCGGCAGCGTTGAGGATCAGGTTCTGACCCATAACGGCCAGACCGATAAGGCCGAAATCAGCACTAGGAGCAGGGTGCGCCGGAGCGCCGACATTGATGCCGGCGAGACGGGCACTACAGTCAGTCACAAGGTTTCTAGCGTCAACAGCCGGGAATCAAGATAAGAGAGCTTTGGGATCAGAAAGAATAAATGATGGTGGCCCCCCCGTTCTAATCCTCGGAGCTTCTTGCGTTTGGGTACTTCAGAATCATGATTCCCCCATGCCCAAAAGCCGGAAGCGGCGCGTATCTTGCCCATTGGGTCAATTTGCTCTCTGAGGCGCTTGTTCAAAGGTCAAAGGTCCAATGCATCCCTTGTGAAAGGCCTGGCAGCTCATTGTGCCGAGAACGGAGCCAGGGAAGGGGTAGAAATATGAGATGGTGATCGGTTGGGGATGGTAGTGGGGTACACATGCTAGTGCATGGTTGCGAGGCTGAGGGAGGGGGGAAGAGAGATGGAAGAGGAGGAGAAACTTACACAGCCTGGTCAGCCATGATGTGTGATTATGGATTGGAAGAGAAAGTAGATGGTTGTAGAGTATCTACAAAGTTGAGGAGTGAGAGGGAGATGGAAGAGAGGAGAATGAGGAAAGGAGGGTAGAGGGGAGAGAATAATAATAATGACACCCAGTTAGCCGGCTGACGGAGCAACTCTTCCGTCATCAAGTGGGCTGTGGAACGTGCCGGCGGGGGTGCGTGGGCGGATTAGTACAATACTACAGTACTGCTACATACAACTGGTCCACCTACCTAAACTCACCTAGTAACCTACTACCTGAGTACCTTGATCTTCGACCCAACGGTGTATAGAGTGTAGAGTGTAGGCATGTTCATTAGTAGACACGAGTATTGTCTCATGGATGAACCCGGGAATCCCGACTCTCGACTAGCTCCAGGTACAAACTCTTCTGACAGATATCTCATCTGGTACTTGAATGCTTGATAAGCCTTGGAAGAAGTTGCCAGGCAGGCCTGCGCAGCTCTCACGACTCTAATTGATTCCCTATAGTATAATATGGTGAGGGCTCTACGACCTCAAAACACTATCGACGGTCATTCAAGCTTCACCAGCGTCCATTGATTGCTACGAGAGTCTGATCTTGCGAATCTCAGCGGTTAATTATCCCTCAGAGAAGCTCTGGCGACATCCGGAACCAGGAGTAGAGTCCTCCGGCGAAGACTTGAGGGTCCCTCCCAATCGGGTCAGGCTAGGTTGGAAAGGACGTTCAATAGCCGGAACCTCATCTCAATCTCATGGACTACCTATCCTCCGATAGATTTCAAACAACGAAGACAGCTTTCAGCCGTCGTAGCTCAGGCTTTTTATCGGATCATTAGCATTCGACTGGCTTGAATCGTGCCAGGCTGAAGGGAATGAGCGAGGGCTGCTTGCATTCATGCTATTGTCAAATGTCTATACTCTATACTTCTGAGGCCGTACCGCTTTCCGATACCGTAATTACGGGCTTACAGTACCGCGGGGCACGGAGGGGCAACGGCATAATGAGTTGGTATTTGGAGGGGCAGTGATCTCATCAATTCTTCCGCACGCGCTACTGCCTTGATTGGTTCTCAACCACGCCCGAAGACAGTCGGCAGACTCGGTAGACTCGGTAAGTTCACCTGAGGATCAATAAATTACCGCCCTGCTGCAGGACTATACCTCACATCTTGGTTTAGCCTATGAAAGATCAGTCACCGATCAGAAGTAAGCTAGTAGGTTATGTAGTAACCGAGTCCTACCTAGTACCGAGCCATATGCCAATGCGTGAGGATGAGGCGCCCATTGCAGCCCTCGTGAGTAATGACTTCGCTCATCCTGATCAATCACTCAGTCATACTGCTTTCTCGTTGACTAATGAGCATCGATGGCATGGGTCTTTGGGGGAAATCCTTGTCCGGTGTGACTGTAAATTGTAGTGGTCGATGCTGATGGGACCTGGCTCGGACACCACAATACCAGGATGGCGACAGACTCGAATTATTCGAGTCCCTTGCCAGCCTGTAGCACCCACGGATTTACCCACGCATCGGTGAACTGTTCTGGCGATAAAATCCACGGAAAAACTTCCAGATGCTGCTGACCGTCCCCCCTGCAACCGGCTTCGGGCCCGCTATCCCAAATGCGGACTAGGGTGGGGGTCCGTTTGGGAGTTCATGTCCGACCGATCCCTTTGTCTGTAACTCTGTTCGGTATAGACTATTCACGATAGACTATTGACTCATTGAGTTTCGAGAGATGTAGAGTGGTAGACCCCAAGACGGTCTGTCAGGTGAGGCTATCGGCCAATTCAGCTGTCGTGACTCGCGGGGGTCGATATATCTTTCACCTTCAACCCCTCGTGGGGGAAACATATGCTCGCACCCTCCGGCATGTTTGAATCACGTGACATTGAAGTGATGCGAATCGCCAGCGGCTGGAACCCTGCGGATGCCTAGCGTAACTTGAAACTTGAAAATTCGTCGCAGGTTCCGTATAAAGATCGGTCCATCTAACATCCAAGTACTGTTTTTCCCGTCCTATTCGGTAAATCGGCTCAAGGCGCAATCCGTAGGGCGTACGCAGTCACCAGATCATTGTGAATGTCTAGTCAAGTGTCTGTCGGCTTGCATGACTGGTAATGTTGTTGGCATGCGACCTGAGGTGAGTGCTGGAGCGTCTTCGAGAGGTATCACAGTAATGTTCGCCATGTAAGTATGTAATTTCCAGCGGTACCTCATTAATTTTCTCTTCTCGGCAGTTGAGAGAAGTACCTAGGCGATGAGTTGGCCGGATGGGGCGCCGCTCAATGAAAGGATTACGTCGAAACAGCTAGTCTCTGTCTGCGAAGGTCTGCTCTGGCATGATAGCATATCAGGTGATTCAGGAACCAGGAACCAGTGATTGAAGGGGATTAGGCACAACGGCTGTGGACTGTGGAGGGATACAATACCCCTAGCTCTGAGTATGCGGTACGCCGTCCGAGTAAAGTTACAATATATCAGGAGTATTTGCGGACATCGCCGCCCAGGATTTACACTTCGCTGGAATTAGAGAAAATCACGGCTTCCGGTCAGAAATCTGCGATTGGCTTTCAATTGATGTCTACCGAGTAAGAGTACTAAGCGAGTGTAGACGATCGCAGTATCAAACGCTCTCAAATCCGCCGACCGACTGTATATCTGATGAAAGGATGTCTCCCGTCCAGACTCTAGAATGGCTATGACCGCCCATCACGCTAGTAGTAGTAAAGCGAAAGGTTATCAACAAAGGCGCTTATCCGGCGCTGGTTGACAAGCGGTGGAACACTCGAGGACGAGGTGCCCTCTCATTGGCACAGATACAAGGCGGTCAACATGAACTCTGCTTCTGCCGATCCTCATGAGACAGTCTTGGACTCCCGAAGATTCTATCCCCGACCTGTTCATCAACTCATCACAATCAGACCACTCACATCGTTTTCTCGGCCGTTCTCATAGTCCTGACACAGGTAAACACAGCACAACGGGGTAGTGATCACATTTCCAGTCACTCTTGCAAGTCCGAAGTCAAGGTACGTTGCAGCTACTGCTCTGCACAATAGCTCAACTTCCACTTGGGGACGACTCATTCATCATGTCCTATCCGCCACCTCCAGGTCTCAGCCAGACACCCGCTTCCCTACCAGCTCGTCCTCCACCTTCAAGCAATGGCTCTCAATCAGCAGGGTACAACGCGTTCACGGCATTCCAACCACGTGCCGTAGCGTCCACTCAGTCGCAGCCGCAGCCATATCGCACTCAAAGCCCGGCTGTCGCGACACCTCCTGTCTCGACTGCCCCCTACGCGTCCGCGGCACCCGGCTATGGTGCTTATTATCAGACACAGCAGCCTCATGCGCATCCATACCAGGCTCCTCAGACTTACCAGTCGCAACCTCAGTCCTATCAAAGCGGACCTCAGTACTACCCATTAAATGTTCCGCAAATTCAAAATCCATTTGGATCCACGCCAAACCACAACAAGCCCCAGCCTCATCGTGCGCAAAACGACCGACAAAGCCAAGTCCCTGGAGTAGACGCCGAGACTGAAGCCCAGATTGCGCAATGGCAAAGCGCTTATGCCAACCCCGCCGATGAGCTGGCCAAGCCGCAGGGCCCGAATGCGGGAACTCCATCGGTCGTCAGCACTCCGATTCCAACACCCGCACCACAGGCAGAACCCCAGGTCACTGTGGTTCGATCAGGTGGCGGTCAGCAATGGACTGATCCAACTTTGCTGGAGTGGGATCCAGCGCACTTCCGGCTATTTGTTGGTAATCTTGCAGGCGAGGTCACTGACGACTCTTTGCTGAAAGCGTTTGTCCGCTACCCATCCGTGCAGAAAGCCCGCGTCATTCGAGAAAAGCGAACCCAGAAGAGCAAAGGCTATGGGTTCATCAGCTTCAGCGACGGAGACGATTACTTCAAAGCTGCACGTGAGATGCAGGGCAAGTATATTGGATCGCATCCTATCTTGCTGCGCCGTGCCAATACCGAGGTTCGACCGGTTTCTGTGAATAAAAATCAGAGGAAGAATCAGGGCGGTGGCGGTGGCTCTGGTGGCGCTGCGGGTGCACGAGGAGGTGGAACCAAAGTGAAGCAGGATGGTGTGAAGAAGCATGGGAAGACTAAGGGAGGCCTGAAGATTCTTGGTTAGCTATATTGAATCATTGACCAGCCCACAATTTCGAAGTTTTTCCCCCATTTAGCCCGATAATCAACTCTATCTCGTATTTTGAGAAAGGCTCATTATGCATCTAATAAATTGGATGGAGCGGTGATTGTACTCTGAAGTCTGCAAGCCATCCCCACTGCAAAACTCTTGTGGGTAGTTTACAGCTCCCCTGGGGCACGAAAGCTTTATTACATTTAATTATTGATCGTAAACAATTCATTTCCGCTACCCAACGCATTACATTGCATGATAGTGGTCTCTTCGCACTGGAAGGAAGCCTCGTGGCCGGGTGCACGTCTAATTTGACTCGTCAGATGCAAGAAGACATGTCTCGAGAGCCGTTGCCAAGACAGCAAGGACTAGAGCGCAATGCGGCGGCGATCTTCGAACGGAATGGTACCACAGCGGGATCGTGAGTCGTGACTTGGCGGGAGGCTTTCCCACCTCCCCCACACTTGCGCACACACCTTCTCATTGACCATACAGTAGACCTACTGTACCAGTGCACCCTGCACAGTGCTTCCTCTTGGCTCGCGATAGCCAAGACATACTTTGTGGAGGACTGAGCCTCATCTCATGTACAACTGATCTATAACTTGTAATTCTGTCCTCTGCCCACAGGCTGCGGTCGAGGTACAAGAATGACGGACCGTTCAGATCTCACAGGCCAGTCTGATCCGACAGCATCAGTAGCTGCTGCGATTGGAACAACCGCAACATCTCGCTCATCCGCTCCAAAGGTCCGTCTGAGCTGTGAAGCTTGTCGCCAGCGCAAAGTCAAATGCGATAAGTTGAGTCCTTGTACCAGCTGTGTGCGCTTGGGCTTCGTTTGCGTCCCTGTTGAGCGTGCTCGTCTGCCTCGGGGTCGCACTCGAAAAGCTCCCGAGCGAGCACAAGGCTCGGACAAGGAGCTGGTAGACCGAGTGGCAAAACTCGAGAAGCTATTGAAACAGGTAGCAGCTGAGCGCGATGGAGAAACTGCACAACCTCAGCAGGAATCTCCTCGGTCAATAGCTACCGCGGGTCGACCCCAGGTCGAACAGCACTTTGAAACCAAGATGCAAGAGGTCGAAAGTTGGCGGGATCAGAATATCCAATCAAACACACTTGTCTTGCCACATCGACCGCGTCCTTCTACGTCGTATATCGCCAGTTCATTTTGGGAGGATATCATGCAACAGGTAAGATCTGCGTGCCGCCAAAGCCGATCTTTTGGATTGTTATTCAAGTATCTGCCTTGTCTCGTGACTTTGTCCTCTAGAGAGCGCTTTGATTGACAACGGAGTTAGACCCAGGAGTTGCGCACTGTTCTAGACGATCGCTTGGAGTACGAACAAGCAGATGAGGAGGCCAGAAATCACCCTGGCTTTGGAGCGTCACTGGTGGGCTCGGAGACCTCTGAGAGCATGACCGGCTCACCGCAATCACAGAGAGGACTTCAGATTCCGCCTCACGTGCGCCGACAGCTGTGTGAAATTTATCTGCGAAACGTGGACCCTGTATTCAAGATCCTGCATCGGCCGTCATTGCGCGCCTATCTTTGCGACGAGCAGCCCTATCTCGACTACGAACAGGATCACCAGGCCCCAGTGACCTTGGCTTGGGCAGTCTTCTACGCGGCCGCATGTACGATCGACGACGCTCAATGCCAACTGCTCTTCGGCATGGACAAGAAACCGGTCACTGCTGAGTTACAGAGGGAGACTGAAGCTGGGTTGGTGAAGTCAGATTTTGTAACTACGAATGAATTGACAGTGCTGCAAGCTTACGTACTTTCACTGGTAAGTCCTGTTTCCACTTCCATCAAAGACAAGTCTCCATCATTCATCACCGTTGCGCGACTCTGTCCGTTGTCTTCGAGCTACGCTAAGAGTGCACAGCTTGCGGCTCGATGCCAAGACCAAAGCCGCCGAGTGTGGACAATGAGTTCTATGGCCCTTCGTGTGGGCCAGGCACTTTGCCTCCATATGCCAGTGCCTCCCTTCCATGTCGGCCCATTCGAGCAAGAATTGCGGCGTCGTACGTGGCAAGCAATTGGCGTGCTGGATCTAGCCGCCTCTCTAGATCGGGCCTCCGAGCCGATGATGCAATCAGTATGGCTGGACTATGTCCTTCCAGCCAACATCAATGACGAGGATATCTGGCACAACATGGATGTGCAATTTCAGGAGCGTCCAGAAACCGAGTTCACGGACATGACACAGACTTTGATCATTGCGGCTGCACAGTCGGTAGCACGTTCGATTGGATTCACTGACTTTATTGAACCGACGGTTCGATCATCTCAAAAACGTCAAGAAGTCCTCGCCAACTTTCGAAAAACGGCCAATAATCGATTAGCAAACTGCAGCCGAGAAAGATCGGCGTATCACCTCTATGTGTCCCGCATCACCCACACTTTGTTTGGATGGCTGCAAATGGGCTGTGTCCGGCCCATTCAGCGAAACAAGAACTGGATCCCTCCTCCCGTCGAGGGAGATGTTCTCCTCAGTCTGGCTGCTGATAATCTACAAAAACTGATGGAAATAGCCAGCGATCCTGCAATGCAACCATGGATATGGTTTGGGTCTCTCTGGGTTCCATGGCATGGATTGGCTGTCGCTCTCGCAGAGATCTGCGTGTGCAAAGATCCAGAATCTCTCATCAGACACTGGCCTCCGATCGAGCAAGTCTATCATCAGTCGAGTTTTGTCATCGCGGATTCACAGCATGGGATGCTTTGGAAGCCACTCCAGAAGCTTATGAAACAGGCGCGCGCTCATCGCAAAAGTCTACTCGACAGCAACGCTTTCACGGCTGCAGAGTCGTACGCGTCTCCTCCTCAACCCCCTGTACACAGTGTACAGAAATCGGCGCCTCTGCCCCTCGCCCCTATCACCAGCCAGTACAACATCCAGTCGACCATGGCTGCGGATACTGCAGGTCTTTACGCTCTTGGCCAGCAACAGCCGAATGTCTTTGCTGTTGGTCAGCAATATGACACGTCTGCCTCAATGGCAGCAACTGCCCTTACGTTGGAACCCTGGCCCAGTGTTTGGGACCAGTTGGACTTTATGGGTAACCCAAGAATGCAGGCCCAAGCCGATAACAATGCGTGGCTCAACTATGAGAGCTTCATTGGTGATGTTTATGACAGTGTCGATTGCACGTTTCAGCCTCGGTGAAAGCGCATACTGATCGGAGGGGGTGTAATCTATGGGACCTTTCCTGCCAATCCCGATTCTTTGAGTAAGAATATGCAGGGATCACCTCGAACCAAGTTCATAGTTTAGAGTCCCAGCAATTGGTCATGGGCTGTCTCGAAAGCTTGTATTTATCCACAATAGAAATTTCCTCCAACTGCGACAAGCACCAATGGTATGGTCTCGATGAAGAGTATGGATTGTCATCACTGATATCCAGTAGAATGGGTCTTCGATTGCAGTCTGCATCATTCTGTTCTGAAATGACAATGGAGGTCCCCTTCTACGCACCTACGCAGTGTCTTCAAAAATGTGTATTCGAGGAGAGATGGCACCGTGGCACAAGAGGATCGCATGCTGGCTGGGTCGTCCCACTGCCACGGCTACCGCCAGGAACCCACCCCCAAATGGGGTTCCCGCTAGTGCCGGGATCCATCAGTTTTATTCCACCCTCGGCTCCCGCCAGATACACTCCGCGTTTCTTTCTCAACGCGTCTCTCCTTTTGACAGCAGTAACAGTTCCGGGGCCGAGCGAAAGGTCGATTCTGAGGAACAATGTCGGGCGCCGTGCATTCAGATCCAGTCCAGTTGATCCAGGGTTACCGGTCGCTCCCAATTCTTGGGGGATACCTCATTCTCGCAGGAGCTCTGGCCGTCAACGCCTGCCGCATAATCTATGTTCGCTACTGCGCTCGATTGAAGCAAAACGACTGGGATCGTTCCCATGGACACACCCAATTCCTCCTATTCGCCTCTCTGGCGGGGTTGAGTCTGGGTGCTACCTGGTATTACATGTTTGCATTTTTTGCGCACTCTTACCACAACTGGGCAGCCAGTCAACCAACAGTTGACTTGGTGGATCCCCAGAAGGGCACACTGTTCAAATTGGAGCTTTGGCTCCAAAATGCCAAACTCTTCCGGGAAGCGTGGGAGACTGTCATTGAGACTCGTGCACGATTCTGGTGGAGCGGTCAGATCTTCTTGTGGACTACGGGATGGAGCGTTTTTCTCGGTGTGATGGGTGAGTTTAAGCATGTGCATCCCATGAAGGTTGCTATCCTGAAGTCTAATCAAATGTACTCATGATGATCCTTCTAGCTCGGACATTCAAGATTCCCCACGTATGGGCCTACATGCTTTTGGGCCAGATCGTTGCCATCTCCTTTGCGCAGAATCTGTTCTTCGCAACAATTCTTGTCTCTCGAAGGCAACCACTTGTGAAGGGGGGAGTCGGATGGCCAAGAATGTCGTTCGAGACCCCGTTGTCGCCTGGTCTCCCCCTGTATACCTGGAGGCTATCCCCGTGGCTATCTCGCTCATCAGCACGGTCTTGGTTCCAAGCGTGGCGCACACGAAGTACTTTATGCTGCTCCTGCTGATCCCTCATCTTCTGCTGTTTGTTCCTGCCATCCTCCGACCCAGCAGATCGTGGAGCAGAGAGTCGCAGGCTCAAGCTGGAACAGAAGAGGGAGTCCTTCGGAGATACGTGACCGGGTTCAAGTGGTATACGGCGGCTTGTGTGGCGATCCAAGCGCATTCCACGTTCTTAGTTCTTCAAGACAACGGACTGACGATGGGCGCTGCTTCATTAGCTTCGCTAGCCCGCCATTTGCCCAGCGTGATATATGAGCATCCCGCAGTCAGTAGTGTCAGTTGGGATGTCATCATGTGTACTGCAACAGCAATCGCCTGGATCGTTGTGAATGGTGGCGAGCCCCGCAAAATGCTGGGACAATAAAAGCAGGTGACCCGTGTGCTGCACGAGAGCCTTCAGGGCTGAGGACAGAAACTCCTTAGAACCTCGATGATTATAGACTGGGGGATTATAGCAAACCCCCTTCTTAAAAACCTGCACATTTCGCCACTATTGGATTGCACCGTTGAAGGACGCCTTGGACATCTTCCTCAAGAAGCTAGCCTGGTCCGAGCGTCGCAAGTCATGCATCGGCGAACACAACTGAGCCAGTACCTCCAACTCTTCCGCAAGCTCCCACCCCTCCTACCCACATTCCGAAATTTCCAAACCAAGATCAAAAGCCATGTCATACGAGGTCGACGCAAGTACTGGGCCAAATCCCACAGTGACCGTGATAGACCCTCCTGTAAAAAACCCAAGCTCGACTATGGAGTCGGCGCCCCCAGCGGCCGATGACGTCAATGCCGCTCTACCGGATGCGCATCGCAAGAGGGACGAAGAACTACCGTCTACAAAGACGCTTGAAAAGGTTGCGGATTATTCGGTACTCGATAAGAGCGGAGATAAGCGTACGTTCAAAAGTTTATACGAGGGTCCTGGATCTACTCGGCGCGTGCTGGTGATCTTTATCCGCCACTTCTTCTGCGGGGTAAGTAAACCGATCTATCAGCTTCGCGTGTTCTGGTTTAAGGTTCCCCCCCCATTCGCATGTCATGATATATGATAAACAAAGACTGACTCTCCGAGCACAGAGCTGCCAAGCATACGTTCAAACGCTATCAGAGTCCTTTACCCCAGAGCAACTATTGCACTTACCAACGCCCACCTCCATCGTGATCATCGGATGTGGTGATCCCAGCTTAATAGACTTCTACGCCAAGGAGACAAATTGCCCGTTTTCAATCTATGCGGATCCCAAAACCAAGCTCTATGATGAGCTGGGCATGACTTCGACCTATGCCCTTGGTGCGCAACCCAAATATATCCGAAAGGGTCTGGCACGGATGGTGACCCAATCGATCATGCAGGAACTCAGGAACATTGGCAGCGCGCTCACGATGAAGGGCGGCGATACGAAGCGAGTAGGAGGGGAGTTTTTGTTTGAGTCGAGTGAAGGGCAAACAGGTGAGAAGAGGGTGTCCTGGTGTCATCGCATGACGACTACGAGGGATCATGCGGAGGTTGAGGTATTGAGTAGGATCCTTCATGTGGATGGGACTGAGCTGGTCAAGGAGGAGCAAAATGTGTCTTCTTGATATAGTAGCTGAGCTCAGCTCGGGCAGATGCATTGTCACTGTGTGAATGGGCAGATATGTACTGGTTAGTGGATTTGAGCCCGCATGTGACATGATCGTCCGTTATGAATCACGTGTTCGGTCTTTCTATGGACTTTTGACGAACTCTTTAAGGCAACTGGCCTTGCTAGATATCATTGTCGGTCAGTACCAAGGGACCGAGTCGCACTGACACGAGATACTATTCCCTGATATGAATATCGCCAATACATCAGACCAGCAATGATCTCGAGTATCACGGCTGATAGTTCTTACGAGCATACACTTCTCTCCTAGTGTGCCTATTTGGAAAAAAGGTTGACTGTCCCAGAGTCCAGGTGTTTGTAGACTCCTCCCTATTATTCATTGCCGAGTCCGCGAGGCTCCCACCCAGCGCCCCTGCTTCTGCTGTCCCGGATCGATCAAATGAGGGCGGTTCAGGATCTTCCACGACATCTCTGAGGTGGTGGAAAGTACAGATTCTCCCGCGGTGTTTGCATTCAGAGCATGTTTGGGTACCATCGCATGCCTTCTTGAGAATCACACAGCTGTCGCAGGCGCGCTTGTTCTTCCCTCTGCGCGAACTGTCGGGAATCTCGAGGCCGGCTTCGATTCGAGATCTGCATGATCTCCAGTGGCGGCGTAAGGCGTCCCTAGAAGGCACAATAAGACAGATGTCCATAAACCACGTCTGTATATCGCAAGACCATCGCTCAATCACTCAGATCCTCGTGCTGACAATGTTCACTCTGTCGACCAGGACAAAATGACGACTGAGATGCTTATGTGGTTGGCTATCTTACCCGCGACCAAAGATCATTCCACAATATTCGCACCTGTGGCTTTGTGGCTCTTCATCTGCAGAGGAAAGTTCTGATTTAGCCCCCTTGCTCAGATGCCGATAGGACCGAGGTCCTTGTTGTTCGCTCGATCTGCGAGCGTTCGTTGCAGGAGGGCACCCACGCGAAGCCAAGTGACGTTCCAATTCATGCTCTTCCGTGAAAGTTGCTCCACAACGATTGCAGATCCGGGGCACAGTCGCGAAGGTGGGCTCATTGTGAACCGGTAATTCCAGTTGTGGTGGCAAGTATGACATTTGAGCGAGGGCTGCGTTTGTAGATGTCCGTTTCAGCTGGGGGTTTCTCAAGAGGTAATGGTTGACTTGATGAGAATTCTGGGCACAGGAGAAAGTCGATTATGAGATTCTACTGGAATCGTGGGGGCTTATTCCGATGGTGGCTCAGCATAATGTAAGCAGGACATATCATGTCAGCACAACTAGGGAAAACAGGTAAATGCCGACTGAAGTGGATGGGCGCGTGGATACTACTGTAACTGGCAAACTGCAGAATCGGCTAAAGGTCCGGGCTATTGGAGCCTCACTGGCCCCGGCTGGTCCAAGCCGACTTGGTCAAAGCTCAGCTCCCCACTTGCCGCTATTTGGTGCTTGGCCCCCACAAAGTCGGCTCTGAACCATGGCACCTCCTGACTTTGCATTCTTGCGACTTCTGCAGTATTGAAGTTGAACTATCGAGACCGCCAGACCTGGCAATCCTCTATGTAAACCTCAATGTGACTCATTTCTGGCTTGTGAACCACTGATATCAAACGCTCACCACGTCACCCGGGCATGAGCTCCAACTCCACGCACACCATCCTGGTCAGCTGGCAGCTGGATGATGACAACCGCTCCGCTCAGCCTGGGACATACTTTGGACGTGTGCTTCCACCAGATTTGCCTGCACCCGGAACGTCATCCATACCGATGCTCCTGCTCGAGCTGCCACACTATTCCTGTGATCAATGATATTTCTGCGTCCTTGCTTCATGGCTATCCCGCTTGTCGAGTTTGTCTTTGGAATCGCTTGGCAATAGCCGATGAAACCAAGAGAATCCAAGAAGTTGTGTAACATGGGCACGGCCCATGAAATACATCAAGTCTAAGCCACAGGAGGATTTTAAGCCTGAAAAAAAGACGTGAGGACCATCCTCAAGACCCAGAATCCGAGCAATAGACTTTCTCTTACTTTTTCTATTCATTTGCTGCCCTAGGGTATAGCGAGATCTATCTTGCTGCGTAGGTCATCCGAAATGGTTTAAATTTTCTCGGCAGTCTTCAATTGACGCTGACTCTTTCCTGAAGCCGGGATGCTGCCTAGGAGTTTCCCACGGAAGCAGAGAAAATAGCTTGGAAATCATTTGACCTGGTCACTCTGAGTATAGCCTGCCTTTTTATACCCGTCGAATTGGCCATGACTGTTGGTTACTCCCTTTGAGAAAGCGGCCATTCCCCCTCTTTTCTGGCTGGACGATCAATCGCTCTGGGGCAAGGCTGTCAGGATACGGCTAATTCCCTGGCAGGTCTGCACTTATATCTATGTGCTTAAATGACTTGGTATTATGGCGCCTGTGGGACCTTCCTTCGACTTGTTATACCACGGTAGAATGTGTGGCTCCAATACCAAACTTTTGTTTTCATCTTCAAGGGAAAGACGGGTTTGATATCAGACGGTGAGACTACAGAGTCGAGGGGTCGAATGAGATCAAACAGATTCTGTGGGATCATGGAGGTCATACTCTGGGTTTGTACTTTGGTATGGATCCATAGGGTCGAATATTGGCCGCATTAGCCTAGGTTGTACACTTGCGAGTCGTAGGGTAGGCAGTCTGCAGCCGCTGCGAGAAATACATGGAGTCATCCAACCCGACCTACCCAGCCCATAGCTAACCTATTCAATGAATTAATCACTCAGTCTGGATTGGAAAAGAATGTGATTATTCCTTCTGGAATGCAGACTTTATGTGCTCATGTATTGATAAGTTTTTCGATTGTTGGCAAACTGGGCAGTAGAAGAAAGGCTTACTCTTCTATCTTGACAGTAATTCACCGGATGGGAGAATCCCCGGTCCCGCTGCACATGACTGCGAACTGCGAAGTGCCTGGCTACCGACGTGTTTCATCATTTCTTATTCCCAGCCATGGGCTGTTTCCAATAGATCGATTTCGGTCTTCGAAGCTGGAATCTATCAGATACAATTTTAGTCACCCAGCCAAGTGCTCGTTCGCAGAATACTGCCAGACCATCTATTCTTGTCCGCTGTTGTGCGCGCCGATGGCCCTCCACTTCAGCGGGTACATTCCAGAACCCGGCGTCCTTGGCAGCTTGCCTCCGCCCGGACGAGTGTTTTTGACTCATCGAGCCAGCCTCCGTGAATTGATTCTGCACCAGAACGAATCTTCTCCATTCTTTTTTTTTTGCTTTGCGCAAGAGAGGTTGAGCTTTTCTTATATGGTCAACAGTTCGCTTGATCCAACAAGTCACAACGAGCAGTTGCCACATCTCGACAAACTTTTGGTGACGAGTTCGTTGCGTTTCCAAAATGCTTACGCAGCTATTCCATTCGGTTCAGCATTCTCTACATGACCCTCTTTATTTGCGGGTGATAATTACTGGGCTTCTGGTGGGACTCGCCTCACTTGCAATCTCTCTGCATTATGGAAATGCCACTCGAATCCGTAGGAGGTTGAGGAACCTTCAACGTGTGAATTCCCTGACCAGCAATATGGCTGATCAATACGATTCACAATACGCTTTAGCATCTTCGTCTCCATCAGTGGGGCCACCGCGTATCAAATCGATCTTCCTCCATCCTGTCAAGTCGTGCGGACCGGTTGAGGTTGATCGCGCTCGAGTCACCAAGATAGGCTTACTCTACGATCGATGCATGGCCATTGCAACCAGGACGGTCGGCAGCAAAGATCCCGCAGCGGCACAATGGCGATTCATCAGTCAGCGAACAAAGCCTTGTATGTCCCAAATCAGAACAGAGCTCTGGTTACCGCACCGGTCTAGCGATCCGAGCGACCCACTGGTGCAGTCGGGAGGCTGCCTGGTCCTGTCTTTTGAAAATCCCGACCGTGCAAGCTGGACGGATCAGCTTGAGACAGTCATATATGCTAGGGACTTGGCGGCGAGACCGCGAATCTCTTTCATTGTGCCCCTCAATGTACCAAATGGCGAATTGACTGCCTTTGGTATTCACAGCCGTCAGGCCAAGGGGGTCGATCTTGGTCAAATCCCTTCAATTGCTGCGGCTCTACCATCATTGAAGAAATTCCTAGGGTTGTCTGCAAACCAGAGCTTGACAATCTTTAAATGCACTCCGGAGTCCTTGACTCGCACGGAGAAGAATCTCGCCCCCCTGGAGCACATCGGGTCGCCCGCTGTGCATGGATACACGGACCAACAGCCAATCAACATCAATAGTCTCTCCTCGGTCCATGAGGTGTCTTCACATCTTCCCAAAGAGAACCAGCCTCTGGATGCACTTCGATTCCGCGCCAATATTTGGATCACCAAGTCTATCGCCTACGAGGAAGAGACGTGGAAGCGCGTGCGCGTCAAACCTCGAGTCGCTACGAAGACACGACCAAGTGATGCGACTCTAGTTTTGTCAATTGTCTGCAGGACCTCGCGGTGCACCATGCCCAACGTCAATCTCAGCACGGGGGCCTTTGATGCGGACTTGCCCGCGGAAGGGAAGAAAAAGGGCAAGCCTCAACCCAGTACCACCCTGCTGCAGCATCGTACGGTAGAGACTGGAAATCCGTCGGCTCTGGGCTACTTGGGTATGCATTGTGTACCTGAAGATAAGAGCTTAAACGCAGCGGAGGAATCAGACTGGGGTCCGTATATAGAGGTGGGCGATGAGTTGGAGGTCTTGGAGACGGGCGAACATCTCTACGGGTTTACTGGGATGGATTACTAGAGCTGTTACTGTTGGGGAGTTCTGAAAAACATATCAGGTACAAACGTGCTTCTCTTCGTCAACTGCACAAGGCAGTCATCTTTAATTGACCTCTCACTCTCTCAGGGTCTCCAGTAGCCGTGTTCTCCGTTCCTGAAAAGTCTTCGTCAGGCTAACCACGCTGCACCGTTCTCCCGTTATACTCTGCCAGTGGGTCTGAAGAAGTGGACGACCCCATAATTCACCTACACATGCCATCCACAGGGCGTTGAGAGCCACGTTCTAGTTCCGTCTCTTTTCGCTTTTTAAGCTCGACATAACCACCTCCTTCCCGCTCTCGATCAACAATCCCGTCCCCAGACATAACCACATTCTTCCCCAGAATCTCATCTCACACTCCACGATCGAAAAGCCAAGTCCAAGTCCAAGCCAAAGCCATCCACCATGCCCCCCACCGGCGAACAAAACCTCTCCACCCTCCTCGCAACAATGCAACCCACCCTAGACCCAAAAACATACGTCTTCATCACCACCACCCAAGCCCTCCACACTCTCCCACTCGCGACTCTCCAGCCTGTCCTGCTCGCGCACGAAGTCGAGGGAACCACGATCGTGACGACGCAGGACCTCGCCGCCTCGCATGGCTTCGAGGGCGTGTTCCCGTGCAAGAGGATCTCGTTGACAATACATTCGAGCCTGGAAGCTGTGGGGTTGATTGCGGCGATCACGGATCGGTTGAAGGATCGTCGGATTAGTACTAATGTTGTGAGTGGGTATTTCCATGATCATGTTTATGTGCCGAGGGAGCGGGCGGATGATGCGATGGTTGTCTTGGACGGGTTGATTGGGGAGGCGAGGGCTGGAGCCGCGGGGCGGATGTGAGAGATTTTGAGGTTTCACTTCGTGAGGTTGACGTTGCTGGTGCTGGTAGTGGGTTGTATTGATGTTGATGTAAAATGTCAAGTTCTGGGGAGAGAGAGAGAGAGAGAGAGAGAGAGAGAGAGAGAGAGAGAGAGAGAGAGAGAGAGGGCGATTGATTGATTGCTGCAAAATTCACCGAGTTGTTGTTAGGTAGATCTGGTAATACCAGGCAGGAATTGAGAATAGCTCTCTCCAACGCATGGGTGATGATGATTGTTCCTACTACGCACGGGACCTGGAACACATGTCCGAGAATGCCCAAATCCTACTGAAGACTGAAGGAATTGAAGAGCACACATAAATGAAAGGTCGTTTGGAAGAATCTCCTACAATAGTCAGATTCGGCTGGCATTCCATCAGCTACCCAGTTCTCATACTATCATACATGTTGATCTTTCCTAGACGCATAACCACCGAAGTGCAGGACAATGATGACGGGACAAAAGCAGCCTCAGAGAACTCCCCTTGTGCCACACATGATACAAAGACGAAGAAGCCCATTCCAATCCAGGCACATCTATCGCTTTCTTGACCAGTAAACGCCGAAAAGATCAAATAATTGTGGACCACAGAGCGTTTCGAGCCGGGACCAGGATCGGGATTGGGAAGACCGGTTCCGACTGAGAACAACACAGACTATAAGTTCAGACCAAGTTCATAGGAGTGTCAATTGAGAGCGGAGACGTCCATCGAAATATTGCCGTTCGCAATGGTCTTCTTCAAACGGTCCGCAGTCTCAGGTGGTTGGCTTGGGAAAAATAAGGCGCGGCCAGACAAGCAGGGTATTAATCGTACATGAATAGTCAATGATGAAGAGAGATCAGGAAAAAAAAATTGGAAAAAGACCACGGCAAAGAAAATGGTCGGTGGTAAGCTCAGCGTATTCCTCAATAATCATCGTCATCATCATCTTTCTCAATGACCATGAGAAGCTCGGTGAGTTCTTTGCGCAAAGCACGATTTCGATCCCATACTTCGACAATCTTGGGACGCTGGCTCACAAAGCACGCCTTTTTCCAGGACACATTCCCGTATTTAGTTGCGACGCGTTGAGGCAACCCACGGGCAATGTTTCGCAAGACCAGCGCGGCCTTGTATGCTGCACCATATGCGTCGCCTTTCTCATTCACCGGGGTGTCCATGTAGTACCACTTACGGACGATCCGCTCCTGCAGAATGGGACGCTTGGTACTAGGTGGTGGGGCATCAGCAGGACGATCTTCTGGCAAATGTGAAGCGACATGACCGGCAACCACGGTGGCATTCGTATTTGGTCCAAGGACCCGGAACCGGGTGCAGTTGTCCCATCGGCAGATACGGGTGGGAGATGCGGTGGCTTCCGTCTTGAATTGTCCTGGAGTTTCCGCGGTCTCCAGACCCATGTGATCCTCAAATACATGTTGGCGGAGATCGCCGGGCGTTGCAAAAGCGCGCTGGCACATCTGGGAAGGTTTTGAATTATCTGTCCACTTGCAGTAAAGGTAGGGGAATCCTTGAAAGGTGTAGGCGGTCTCCAGTGGCCGGATTCCCTTGATGATGAATTTTGGGGCAGTGCCCTGACCATTGATGACCTGGGCCTGGGCATTGGTAAAGGTGTTGCTGACGTTTTTGATGAACTCAGCCGCAGGGAGGACACCGCCGCCGGCCACACGGGGGTCAGCGAAGCGGCTTTGGTAGGCCTGCCACAGCGCTATCTGTGTGATCTCGCACTCGGCGTCTTCAACAAAGCAACAGCGCAACCATTGCGAGCTGCGCTCAGGTTCTGGGCGCTCCATCAGCTTTTCCAGAAGCTCAGGAGGCACACGAGGAATGTCCAAAGGCGGCGGCGCCACCTTTTCCTCTTGAAGGACGGTCTCTTTCTTGAATGGCCGCGCCTCGTAAGTCAAAAGAGCAACCATGCGGGGTACAAAAACAACCGGAAAATTGATGACGTCCATCAGCGTCTCGATGTTGTCGGGATTGAGTGTGTATTGATACCAGAAGTCAAGAGCACCACTCAATATGTCTTTGTCGAGGTCGAGAAGGGTATGGTAGTAGAGTTGCTGAAGTGCAGTCTTTGACAAGCTTTCCATGGCTCGATTGCCATCGCCCTCCGGTAGCTCGGTCGAGAAGTGAGTCAATGCCCAAAGAGCTCTCACGATGTGTGCGCGGTCAGACGAACTCAAGCAATTGACGAGCGATATCCACAACGGATCCTGCGCATCAGTACGCATAAACTTCGTGACCTCTTCGGCGATGTCGAGCGCGTCGTTCCTGATTTCATTCAAACGTGCTTGTTGGGGGAGATTGATCATTATGACGAGGAAGTCTCTGAGAAGACCGGTGGCGTAGCGAGAGACGTAGAAGGCGTTTTCCTTGAGTAAGACCATGTTTCTCAAGACCAAAACAGCCTCCTTGACATTTCGCAGAGTATGGTTAAACTCTTTAGTCTCTAATGTATCCATGGGGATTTCACGTGGCATCTTGCGAATTCGGTCGAGGATATCTCGCGTTCCATGCAGCGAATTTAGCACGTGGATGTCATCGGGCCGTTGTTGTTGAGGGTCGTAGTCGAACTCCCAATGCTTGCCGGTGCAGAGCTGTGTGATTTCCAAGGCCTTCTGCATGAGTGATTCGGCAAGAAGTGGGAATCCCTCTAACTTGAACTTGTCCCATCGCTGATTCGATATTTGGACCAAATGGAACAGTGCAAAGTCGACTTCGTCAGGGATACCAGATTGAAGTCCATAATGAGTGCGCTTGTAGATATGGTCCGCTAAAGAAACGCGAGTCAGTGAGTCGCACGAATAACATGTCAGATCGGTGACAACTTACTCCTCGGTACCTCTAGGAATCGCAAGGGAAAGTATGGGTGGTAAAAATCAGGCTGCTTGGCAGATTTCGCGCGATCGTATAGGTTGGCGAAAAGCGCAGGCCGGTTGCCAGGTGTTGGTACCTCACGGGTCGCAATTGGTAGTTGCGTGTGAGTCTTTCCGTCCCAGTTATCAACAGCAAAGGATGCGCTTTGAGGATTCGCCGCGGGATTCATCGGCGCATGAGGCGACATTGATGGTTGAGGAGAGGTCAAGCTTTGTGGGTGGTTCGTGCGTCGAGCGGGTGTCGTGTCGGGGATGAAAGGCTGGTTAACTTTTGGTGCCTGGCGCAAGCCCTCTGCTTGCTGTCAGTCCCATGATTCCACCGCAGTCGGACGAACTTAGCGAGCAACTTACGGCGTAGCGACGTCCTCTGGGGTGTAGAGGCAGACATTTTGGACAGTGTAGAGAAGTGATGGATTAAAAGCGTCAAGAGTGCGATGCGTTGCGCAGACACTCAAGTGTCACCCTGGCTCTTTGGAGGCAACGGGTCAACAGTGCCGTGAACTGTCGCCAGATACCCTGATGTCTTTTACCGAAGCGTGGTGTAGGCGCAGATCAATGATCTTCGATTCGAGCTTGGTCTGCCAAAAAAAAACTGGGTCCCGAGGTCGAAGAACAGGTAATCGCGAGGCACGACCTCCTCGTTCTCTAGCTAATGGCGATCAATCACGGGATCGCCGTGATGTAAGTACCCTTGTACTTTGCGCTTTGCCCTTGCCAAAGCTTGCGAGAGACCTTGGTTGCCGTCAAGTGGAAATCGAGCGCGTTCGAAGTCGCAAAGCGCTGGATCGTGGAACCATGCGCAAGGCACAAAGAGGGAGGTGGTTGTGGAGCGCGTTCAAGATGAATAATCCAGGCGGGAGGACCGTATTAGATAGTGACCGGCTCTCAAAGCAAGCTTGGCTCATTCGTGTGAAGAGCCCTCAATTCCTGGATGCTGCCGTTGGAGGGCACTTGTAGAGCTGTGGATTCTGCGCTCAACGAAAGTGATCAGCCGAAAGTCCGCGCTTTCGCCCAGGGCGCGTTTTCGGATAATTGATTTCCCGAAGCCCGCGCAGTTCCTGGCGGAACAATCCAGGCTGGACGTTGACGCCTGAGGCGTACATCGAGACGCGATCTACAAATGCCAAGCATAAGTACTACCGTAGGCGTGCCAGGTAACTTATTAGCAGGTAACTACCTACCTATTACGCTACTTCCTACTACTGAGTTACTGATTGGACTAGTTCAGCAGTCCTTTGAGAGAGATCGAACTTGACTTTTGATTTTAGAACAATCAATAAGCCTGATTTTCCATAAATATCTCACATCGTCACATTCATGTGTCTTGAACTCATGATGCAGCCAGAAGTTCGGTTTAAAAGCAACCACAAGTGCCTGCACTATCAGATTTAGTCGAGTCCAAGACATGGCTAATTCTCGAGCTAGAAGTACTGTATCAAATTTCTTGAGAGAATTACAAATATATGTCTACTATCAGATGTTATGCCATATCATCTGAGGCCTCGAAGCATCGTACTGTGACAGTGGCCACTGGCAGGAAACCTACAAGATCTCAACTATTTCCTCACAGATGAAGGGTCACCTATGCCAGCTCTCTGCCCGACGCGAAATAGTCTTTTCAAGCTCTTTTTCGCTACAGTTTACCTTGTTGAAAGGTAGGGGGGCTTCTGGTCTGAGGAATCTGCCGTTTTGTCGGGTCATCTGATCAATGGCAGTACCGTATATCCTCGACTCAGGTCTTTGCTTAGAATCATCCCCTCCCACATCTCGTCGCCCCTTTCATATTGTCCTAGCAAGGCATTCAACCCTTTCTCTGATTTTTCAAATCAATTTCGAGTATTCTCCGATGGCTCGCACTCTGGCTCCGCTGGCATCGCGTCTGCCACTTTCAAAGTTCTCGTTTACCACAACGACGATCAATTCCCACTCGCGCATGATATGGACTCATATCAATGGAGATGGGACGCTCTTTTGTGAGACCGAGAGTCGCACTCGAAGTAGCACTCACGCACAAAGTTTCCATCTGAAAGTCGTTCAGAACAATAGCGTCTTGGTAAATGAGACCATTCGAGCTTCGTCATTTAATAGTGAGCTGACCAGGATGCTAGGAGGAAATTGATCTCACAGCTCATCTCGAGAATCTCCGGAATGAGCCAAGCTCAAGCCAGACCAGTTCTCGTCAGAAACCATCTTTTGTTGTCGTGGTCAAATTGCCATGCTTGGCAATCAAGTTTCCACTTGACGATACTCATGTAGGCCACTTCTATATCAGCAATGACGGGAAGAGGTGTCAAGACTCGAGCTAAAGCACAGTGTCCAACTTAGATCCGCCGCTTTCAGATCAAATTTAGCCAAGATCACGACTACTATACAATGCTCTCAATGCTGAGCGGTATGAATTGTCCGTTGACCGAGGGCACTTGGCCAGCAGCCGGTCGTCACCCATCAAGCACTTCCGCCGGAACAGCGCAGACCACACTGAATTTGCGACAAGATATGGGCAATGCCATCACCCCAGAAAGTATCAGAGCGGGAAGCTGCGGTGGCATGACCAATGCCCAATGTAGACACGATATAGGTGTGTCTCTTGATGGAAGTGCCTCGGATAAGGGTTGCTCATATCTCTCACCAGTGCCACGCGCGCCATCGTTACCATCAGCTCAAGTCCCAAGCGCAATCTGTCGTGGGGTCATATCCCTGACAGAGCCCCATGATATACCCGCGAACGAGGAAGGGATGGCAGATTCCAAACCTCAGCTTCCCAGAGCGCAAGAGGCTCTGAATCACAGCCCCGAGCCATCCTCTCAGCCCACCTCAGGCCCTGTTTCCCGTCACGAGGATATTAATCAGATGTTGCCTCCCAAGAGAGCCCTTCCGTTTCCAAGAAACAGGTCCAAGGTTTCACGTGCAGACACGGCCAGTCTCAAGTCGAGCCAACAGATTGTGCCAGAGTCATCCTACCCAGATCAGAGCACAAACAGACGCCATGAGTCACTGGCGTCCGATTTACAATCTCAATTGATCCAACCCCACAAATCCCCTCAGCCAGATGTGACTGACCAATACGACGCCTTCAGGTCCAACTCGCAGTCACAACTGTTCCAGACCCAGGCATTACCGGACACCCTCGAGCCTTCTCGACAGTCTACTCAACTTCCGCCAACATTGCCTCTTCCGCGGCTCGATCGTCAAGTCCAAGCGGAAATATTCACCCCCTTCGTACAGCAATCTCAAGTCGACACTCCAATGCCCCCAGAGGCCAACGCTCCTCAAATTCAAGGCCGGCCAGCGGCGGTGAGGCTGGTACACACCCCCGTGGAGGGGCAGCTCGCCGAGTATGCCAAAGCATCGACGACTGAACGTACTGCATTTCTGGAAAACTGGATGTGCGAGTTGATTGAGGACGACAACTTTGTGACTCTGTGCGAAGATGTTGAGAACACTTGGAGACGCTTTGCGTTTGGGGCGAAGTCCTAACATTACATCGCTCGCCCATAAAACTTATGCTTTTTCGCATCGACGTATCGATCTCATCAACTTAAAACCAAACGCCAATATAATCATCAACTAATACCGTCGAGAGGCCGAAGCGCGAGGGCGTCACTGATTATGCGGAAACTGAACATCATTATCGAAATGAGGAATGAACGAAGGTAGTGACTATTTAAACGTGGCTTGAGACGATTTCTTTTTTTTCGATGTTAGTAATATAGCATATGGACTCTCAATCATTTATTACACGGGCTATGTTTCACACACCCAGATCATGTAATACATTAGGGGATGATATTGAATCGAGCCATCAGAAGCATCATTGGTAAGTATATAGCTAGTTTGAGGTTATTTTGAATGACACGAGGTGAGACATGCCATTCGAAAAGAGAATGGGACGCCAGGGGTCATCGAAGGACTCAACGATTGCGACGGAATATCAGACCAGAAAAGACATTAAGATAGCCGGCCTTCGTCAGCATAGTGAAGTCAACCACGACGCGTCCATTGCCTCCTCCATGCGCCAGCTGTGGCGCCAGATTTGGCGAAGACTCACTGTGGTCTCCTGAAAGGCCTCCTGGTGGTGGGGGCGTCGCGTTCTGGCCAACAGATCCCTCCGCGCCCACTGCCAGATCAGCAAGATGCTGAAGGGACCGCTGCTCATTAGGTCCCATGACGGGAGGGTTGGAACCAGCAACAACCTTTTGTCCACCTCCGACCTCATGGAGAAGAGACTCCTGCGATTTGGCGCGACGCCACTCAATGAACACACGGATCTTTGCATCCCAGCCAGAGGTGGCGAATATATCTCCGAATTCCGATGCTTCTAATGAGCGTTGCGCGCGACGATCGAGAATGTCCTCGACCTTCTCGAGCGAGGTCCAACACTCCGCACTCCACTCTGGTAGGACTGTTGCCTCCAGTAGAGTCATCGAAGCAAGCGCCAAACTGTGCAAGTCAAACGGAGTAGCGGGTCGGTTGTGTGTCACTGCTTTGTGCATTTCGTTGATGACCTCCTGGGCACAATATATGATTTCATAAGGACTATAAACGAAGACGTGGCGCTTGATAAGAAGGCGAACGGTCCAATACAATTGATACTGAAGGCTTTCGAAGAACGGACGGGTGGTGGTCTCGGGCATTTCATCGATGCTGAAGAGATCTTGCATTGCTGCCAAGCGCTCAAGTGCACCAACCATGTGAGAACCTACCACTCGACCCAGACCAGTATTGGTCTGGCAGACGTTACCATCAACTGTGGCGAGAGTGAGAATCTCGAAGAGAAAGGTAGAATAGGCTGGTGACAAAAATGTTAGCCGTCCGTGCGGAAATTTGTGACTTAAGGTCCAACTCACCCGCAATCCCATTGGTAACATGACCGAGAACCCGAATGTCCTCTCGACCACCAATCTCCTGCCCAAAGACCACAGTAGCGTCGGTCACACTGATGGCATACCAACGAGCAAGGATGCTGAACGAGACCCAGTTTCGCCGGACCAGGTTGGCCTCTGAGTCAAGATCTTCATCTGTGATCCGGTCGTGTCTCAGCTGACCATGACTCTTGGCCAAGTCGTAGCCAAGGGTGTACGCGACCTGGACTAAAGTGGCTTTGGAAACACCATCCTTCAAGAAGAAGTTATCAGGACCCCGCGCGTCGCAATCCATAATCATCAGAATGAACGTCTGCAGCATAATCAAATTCACCGCCGGGGTTTGCATCAAATATGACTGGCGAGCATGTTGCAAAAGAAGAGTTTGCGCACTGTCAAAAGAGGTGACTCGTTCGAAAGCGCCGGCAACCCGAGTCAGATCAGTTCGTGTGAAGGCATACAAAGCATGGCAGAAGATTTCCTGAGTTTCGCGATTGCATTGGTGAAGTAATTCCAGGACACGCTCTCTAGTGTGTGGCAGAATTGGAAGGAGAGTGTGAGCCTTCTGATAGTATACGTCCAGAGCGCCCTCATCCAGATTCACCGGTGCAAGATCGTCATCACCTTCGTGTCGTGGAAGACTAGGCAGATCCAGCCCGCTGGGAAGTTCTTGTTCATTTCCAGATGGGTTCCAAAACAAGTTGCCAGGCTTGGGCGCATTGCCGCCCATGTTGGAGGGATTGAAAGGATCGGCGGTTCCGTCGGGAGTATCGAAGGCGTTCTGGGACGCGCGACTGTTGAAAGAGGGCTGTGCGAAAGAAGAGCTGGGGAGCCCCTCGAATACAGAATAAGCGCGCTTGCGTCCGGCTGACCCAGGGTCTGGTGATGTGAACTCTGGGTAGGCACGGGGCAGAGACGCATCGTTCATTGACTGCTGGTACTGCGAGTCGGACTGGACTATGCTGGGGTGCATCTGGTTCTCGAGTGTGTGAAGGCGCTCAGCTAGTTCCTTGATGTACCTATGATACGCCTTTAGTTCTGTCTGCCGAAGTCGTAGCGCGGGTGTCCACCTACCCTTTACTTGGACCTCTTTTCATAGGCACGCGACTGAACTGGCAGATCACGCCCAGTCGCCGACAATTGGAACAATCCTCGATACCATTTTCCGAACTCGCATCACATCGCACCTAACATTGGGAGTCGGGAATGTCAGACTCCTGAAGCACAGCACACATCTCATTTCGCGGGCGATCTTCATGGAAGTGGTGCATACCTTTTTGCGTCGGCACTCATCGCAAGCCCGAGATATTTTCGACCGTTTACGCGCGCTTTGTTCACCGTAACTCAAATCGTGGTTGGGGTCCACGCCGACCTGCTGACTTGGGGGGAATTGCAGCATGTGTTGATGTTGATGTTGATGTTGATCATCAGTTGGAGCGCGCCCCATGTCCCCCGCATTCGATGAACCCATCACCATTGCCTGATTATGATGAACGCCATTATTCGAGCCGTCTCCAATCCCAGGGCCGGAGGTCTCGCGTGAGAGCTCTGCTGAGAGCAGCTCGTCGGTAGTCAGTTGGCGGTTTCCGTAATATGGCATCGTGCCTTGAGCCATCTGCGCTCCGTTCGGCGATGGGTAAGAGGGACCCGGAGGCATGTCAGATTGCTCTCGTGGATTCATCGCGCATGTCAAGCCCGGAAATAGGCTGGAGAGTTCGAGGGGGGATGAAAGCGGGCTTCCGGAAGTTGGATGACAGGTGAAAAGGCACGCGTGAGAGGCAAGCGGAGGCAAGTTTTTTTTTGGTGGTATTTGCTACGGGGGTAATTTATGTTTTGCGGTCAGGGAATTTGGCAGGGGCTAGCCCCGCGGCTCTGAGCAACACCATTTAGTTGCGACGCCATGAATCTCATCCTGAATCTGCAATCCTTCATTTGCATATGCTTTTCTTGATATACTTCATCAATCTCGGGATGATAGCGGAGGGCGGCCTTTTGTTTCTGCGCGTTCCAGCGGATTAACACTATTTCCCAACTCCTGCTCCGACCGGACGAGCAGTTTGTCCGATTGTGACTCGAGGGTCTTTGCCGCTTCATCTTTGCATGATCATGGAAGGGCAAGGTCGTTGTGGAGGTATAAATCACTATCTAGTGATCTATTGAAGACGTCGCAGCTTTGCAATTTTATTTAAACTCACATAAAAGGTATTGGCTGGTCATCACACAAGTTGATCTTTACAGATCATGGAGATGGAAGCTGGAGGGCGGCGGCGCTTCTAATAAATTTGAATTAAAGTACCAGACCCGCCACCTGCACCAGCTATCTCGAACCTGGATCTCCATGAAATTCCGATCCTCTATAATCATTCAGTCCTGCTCTTGACTCGCCTGGGTCTTGACGCCGTCGCGCTTTCGTACTTCTAGAGACCCTCGTGAAAGACTATGCATTTATTGCATTCGCACTCGAGTCCATGTTAAAAGTTGGCCTTCATGTTCAGACTCATCCCTGAAGGGCGAAGCAACACTGTGATCAGGCGAATTTACAAGATGACGGACCATCCTGGAGGTCGTCAATTGAAGGCTGGACTTCTACCATGGAAGTCCAATGACACCAACTCCTTTTTTATTCCGTCTGCCCATCATTTTGGCCACATCGAGCTGGAGTTACATAAATTCAAGTAGAACAACTAAAATCCGAGAGTCCTCTTGACGTAGGACGTTTTTGGCGCATCAATTGGAGCCACGGAACCTTGACAACTGGGATACTGTACTCGACAACTTTGTCCATTATTGTTGGTCTGCACGCTTGAGATGGAACTTGCTCCCTCAAAGCCGCACTACTAGCAGTAGCAAGTGTGTAGAAGCCATAATTAGTGCATGTCAAGGGTCAGGCAGCGGTCAAGCGAGAACACAGAATGCTGCCTGTGGTGATGTGTAAGTAATCTCTGACGTGGTGATCATTACTACCTAGGTACCTACTGAACTATCCTACCAGACTCCCATGCCGGAGGTCAGTATAAATACCCTTGACCTTTCTGCGTTCAAGAATCTGCAATATTCGGGCCTTTTGAGCTCCAGCTTATTCGGCGCCCGCGCCCTCCACCCTGTACGCCTTATCAACGTATATTTTGAAGCAGCACGATCTCGGATTGAGGTGGATATGATTACACTAACCTGGTATCTTTCACCGGGTTTTATGTTGTCGAGAGATAAACACATGCATAGCAATCGGATCAGCGCCTATTTCCATTCCTTGGGAGAATTGAGCTCGACTCAGAAAATTGTAGTCAAGGTATTATAGCATTCAATTGTCCCAATCTACTGCTGAATTGTCTCATAACCAGTGACTTGACAATCCGTACACATGCGACTTTTCTATTGATCGTGGCTATCTCCGACTTCCTTCCCGTTACATGTTGGCGAGCAGTTCAATCAGTGTACCTGATCAATGTCATTATGGATCTAACCGCTTTTGTCAGGTCGATCCCGATGAAGACGAAGAAACAGTGGTACTCAAGTATTACAGCGTGAATCCGTGAAGAATTGAACAACAATCCATCAATCGTGTATTGCGTATTATACTGTGAGTGACAAAGTGTCCTAGTAAAACTAAATAGCAGCATTGCAGCACTGAATTAGACGGTGGACACTGAAATCTGGAGCCGGGACTCTTCGAGATAAAAATGATGATCAACACCAGGGAGTCTCGACTCACACAATACACTACCTAGATATCAAAGCTGAACGCCTGTTTCAAGAAGGTTGAACTAGCTTCTTCATCTGCAATCATACCAATTATCTATGTATCCATCGCTTTCATCGTCTCCCATTGTTCTAATCTCTACAAACCCCAGTCCACGCAAGTTCCTCGTCCACGAATATGCGCATCATATTCCCGTTGGTCAGAGACCGTAGGAATTTATTACTGTCCCGCCCAATACAGTATCGACTAAGAATCACCTGCGCTAGTCCCTTTCTGCAGGCCACCCGATGCGGGAACGGTGACGCCATAGGAGGAAGCGACCAAGTGCAGGTCGAACCACACGCATTCTCCTACAAAGAACTTCAGTTTCCAGGAAATAACTAGTGAATGCTGTACATTGTTGTACAGCCTCTACACCTGTATTATGCGTGAGACCCGCTCGAACCTGCTGCCTCGGAGTCGGCGGTAAACCCTTCTAATTGTCCTACCTGCGTCACCCTCTGCATAACTCGGGGTTCAAACACGTTGCTATCATGGGGCTGAATGATTCAGTCACTGGATGACTATCGGTGATTGTAAGAAGCACCGTCTATTTGATCATTCAGCCTGCTGACTGGCTGCTATTTCTCCCGCGCTTGGTCAAGTTGAACCTTCCCACGACAGCACTGCAGCGGTGTACTGCTCGCACCATGATCTGCAACCCCGTCCGCGGCTTGCAGGGATCTCCGAGAGTTCTTCGGTCGGAAGTGGCCGGTGCCTGAAAATGGCTGGCGGAGGTGGGTGTCTCGAAAGTGTATGGACATAGAGTCACAGACACGCCCGACGGAAGCCGTTCATCCATAAACAAAAACATCTTCAAGAAATGGCACCACTGTGATGCTGAAAAGGTGCTTCGTTCCAATCTGCACGCAGCAGGCATCTTATGGCTGATGCTGTGTGATGAAGTGCCTCGTTTCAGCAAAGAGGAGCTACTACAGAAACGGGCACCGACCACTGCCCGAGGGAAAACTCAACATGCAGACTATTATACGCTGCAAACTGGAAGAGTCATGGTTAATTCTCAAGTTTGCCATTGATTGCAAAAAACAAATGGTGCATGATTCAAGGGGAGCTTTCACTGGCCTGTTACTGAACCATCTCAACCTTCTAGAAGACCGATAGTCCAGCAAGTCGGTGTGCTATGCATCACTACAGATTGCAGAAGTGTAGACTGCAGAGTACCACTATACTACCTGATATGCCAGGATTCGCCGAGGGCCATCTAGTACAGAAGAATGACTAACACACAAAGAGACTCAGCTGACCAAGGAATAGGAAAGTGACTTTGATACTAGTAAATTGCACGCTAGTAAACACTCAACACTGAACACTGGCATAAGACTAACAGGACCATAGGGAGGCCTCTACAATGATAGTGTGTACAAATTACGAACAGATAAATCATAAAGACTGAGTTAGTCTTCCAGTATGTAGACCAGACCGAGTCCTACCTGAAAAGGGAACTCTGTGACGGAACACTTTCTTGCTACATGATCTACAGATACTTGTTTGCTATACGGTCTGTCTTAAGACAGAACTTTGTTGAGCCATAAAGATACACATTGATCGTTCCAGTGACCGCTAGAATGGCATCTTTTGTCATGTTGATCCTGATTGTGGGAAGTGTCTTAGACTTTGTTGATCGAGATCCTCGCAGCCATGGGTGTAAAGTGTAAACCCTAATCAGAGCCAAACGATGATCTGCGTACGGTTCAGAACTGGTACGGTAATAGTACATTACAAGTCCACAATAACCACTGAACCACATACCAGTCACGACTAAAGTAAGACGGACCAGGCTGTTGTGGGGACCACATCCTCGACTCCTGGGGCTCCGAGTGGGGACGGGATCGATGTTTTGTAGCATTTGGTGCTGGCGATGCGATGGCAGCCTGACACGGACGATCGTCCGATTATGGTACACTGGTACACTGGTACAGTACGTACGTACATGGTATAAGCGCAAGCTCGCAACATAGGCCGACTGCCAACTGTGGTGTCAACTGGAGAGTCTATCGGCAACACGGCCGACGGAATCACCACCGATACAAACTTAAAATTACCTGCTTCGGCGAGCAAACCACTTTACTATTCAAAGACCCGTAGTGGACGCACACCAGACGATTCACTGGCAAGAAACTCCTTACTTGACCGCGTGTTCACATTACACATCATCATCAGACAAGCCTGATTCCCGCATGGAGTGGATCACGGGACAATCCCGACAAGGAATCTAAGCATCGTAAAACAATGAGATATCGATGCGATAAATGATCCACATCAAATTGTCCATAAGTATGTAATGAGACCCCGTCCTGAAAAAAGTCAGTGGCCCCAAAAGAGTACAGCGGTACAGCCCGTGGTCTAGAGCCTTACCTAATAGATTACCGTACCCGTCTTGTCAGAGCTCGAGCCTGTTCACCTGTTGCCCTCAGGCCCTGTTCACCTGTTGAGTTCCCTTGGTCCCCTTCGTTCCTCGGTGCCTTCCACGCTTGTACTGTACCTTCCTGGGGCCGGCTGCAGCCGCCATCACCGCAAGAAAAATCCCACCTGCGAACGGGTCCCCCCCCCCAGTCTTTAAACCCCCCTTCGCCTTCCTCTGTTTCCCTTTTTCTCTCCACATAGGGTGTTCCTCCAGACTCCTTATATCGATCGCATTTATTTTGGCCGCCACTACCGGTACTTGGTGTCCTGTCTCACGGCCGGCGCCAAACGGTGCGTAGGCTTGGTCCCCTCGAGTTCGCTTTTCCTTCTCCTCTACTCCGACTTCCTCGTCCAAAGGACCCTCTCTCCCGCCTCTCCTACCCACACCCTCTACAACCCCCCTTCTATTACCACCAACAGCCGCCCTCCTACTCCGCTTCTTTTGCAGTCGCCCTTCCCAATTCCAGGCCAGCGCGATTACCTCATATATACTCCGTCTCCTCAAGTCTCTGAATCCCTTCCAAAAAGCGGTCATATCCCCTGTCCACCCAATTGTTACGACGTCTCGTGTGAATCTCGGCAGTGATTCACCCTGGCGCTCTCAAAAGATACCCAATTTTTTTTTGCCTGTTGCTGTCTTCTATAGACCCTCTTGAAAGAGCGGTCCTATTACCCGAACACAAGGAAAGGAACTCTCGCCTTGACGGCTTGCTCCGATCCTCACTGTGATCGGTGCTCCAAACATCTGACTTCACCATTCCAAACCCATTTGTGTAACCTAATCGCGACTCATCGCATGTGTGCCTTTCAATAACACACAGTGATGCTTATCGATGGTGAGAAGTGGGCCTGCGAGGCTTGCGTCCGGGGTCATCGCGTCAGCAGCTGTCACCACAGCGGTAAGTCCCAACTCCTCGCGCATCGATCCCCCGGGGACATTCCACTCCCTGGCATGGCGCATATGCTTTCGCTCAACTCCACATGACTCGTAACCACTTGGCGTTCCTAACACTTCAATGCGGCAGACCGCCCTTTGACCCATATCAACAAAAAAGGCCGCCCAGTATCTCAATGCACCCACTGCCGCGGCCTACGCAAGTCTCGAACGACCCACGTCAAGTGCGAGTGTGGCGACAAGAAAAAGAAGAATGACTCGTCTGATTCCCCCAGTGACAAACGAGATCCCAAGCGTGAGCATTTGACGTTGCGGCAAAGGCCTACTTTGGCTTTTTGATTGTTTCCCTGTTCTGATCTGAACCTACAGAGGACTCCCTTCATCGTTGTGGCTGTATCCATGGCCAGCGCTGCACCTGTGCGCTGAAAAAGGAACCGAAATTGGAGACTGTGCCCGAGGCGGGCCTGCCTCCGGCGCAGCCACCAGTCCCCACGGAAGCTCCTCGGAAACCCCATCTCATGTCCACCAAGTCCGAGTCGACGTTGACCATCTTCCGCGATGGCCACCATAAGCCTGCCCACAAACACAATGACATGGCCCACAAGTGTGGATTGCCGTACACAATCCCACGATCCCATACCATCCACCACACCTCGGATGCGTCTCGTCGGTCTGTAGACCACTCTGCAGTGACCCAATCAGCCTTTATCTGCGAACCCCTCAGTCTGTCGATGGATCCTGTTCCATTGTCACGACAGACCTCTCAACACAGTTCGCCAAACAGTGCTCTCTCTGCAAACGCCGACGAGATCTCGGCCGCCGCTCCTCTTCAACAAGCCTTCTTGGATACCTTCTCCACTTCGGCGGTCCCGACGTCCGGAGCTCTGGACTCATCATCCCTCGATTGCGCTGCCGGTAATCCCATGCCCGCCTCCGCTCCGAATATGGATGGCTTTTCTATGGACCCGGGTATGACCTCTGTGCCTTCCGGCCTCGACATGTCGACTTATGCCAACTTTGTCCCTACGTCCAATAATTCCCCGATCACCTCCATGGCCTTCCAGGATCCATATCATGACCCTTATTTCTCCACCGTGGATTCGGATCTGTCTCTGGGACAGACTGGGACTGGCGCACCCTCGGTCGACTGGTCCAGCTTCCCGTTGTATTCAAATGCGCTTCCAGCATCGAGCACGCAGACCCCGTCTTACGCTAGTTTCGACTATTCCTATCCATCTGGACTGCCTCCGCCATCATCCTCGGGTGATATTTCCGAGGTAGATGAATTCGGCCCGTTGCCTGCTCTGGGACATACCAGCAACGATGTGCATGATCGACACAGTGTGAGTGAAGCTTCTGACATGGATCACCTCCGTCTCAGCTCTGCGTCCTCGCTGGTGGGCTTGCCGCAGGCTCAGCTCCTCTCGTCCAATGATCTGGGGTCCATCAACATTGACGATTTCCTCAAGTCGGCCAATGACTCTACTGCAGCACTCGAGCACCAGTTACACGCGAACATGGGCATAGACTCCAAACCTGCTCCCGTGCAAGACCTATACCCTCTTGCACAGGTGCCGGAAGCGGCGCCCATTTGGCCCGTTGGCCTCTTTGACACGACAGCGTCTGATTCTCCCCTTGAGGATGATTACTTCCGTCAAACCTGGGCTCAGTAGCCCCGTGGATGGATCCATCCAACCTTAGTCCCACAATTGCTTTTGTCTGTAACTTCTTGTTCCCCACCTCTGTGTCCTCTTCCTTTCCTCGGGAGGGTTCTTCTGCGTTTATATCCGTGGGACCTGGGTTTCTCCGACTCATTTCACCTCTGATTCTCGCCGTCGGCTCTTACCACCACCTCCGCACCGTCTTTATGACCCTGATGAGAGATGATGATAAATGCCTGTCCTTTCTTTATCTTGATATATCACCTGTCACATGTTATACTAGCCAGTCTAGAACTTTTCTCATGCTAGCATTCCAATTCTAGAGGGATCTTTTGATTCAAATGGTCCCTTTCTACTTTCAAGCTCTTTAGCATTCGCCAATGCTCGTTGCAATTCTGACCAGATTTCCACTCTAAATACCATGCGGGCAGAATTGCGTCCTGTTGTGTCGGTTGCGTTCACCACAAGCATCAGAACAACAGCAGGGACTGACTCCCTACACAGTACACACCCTCCTCCCTTCGATCCGAACACCGGGCTATCCATTTTTGAAAGGCATCTAACTCAACCACCAATCGTGTCCGTCATGGTCACCATGGAATGATGTTCAATATGTAATCTCTGTCGTTGGGTGCAAGAAACTCCGAGGACCCCGGCGACGCATCGCCTATGTGACTGGGCCTAATCCCTTGATTTTTCGATGCCTGCGTCTGCATACATAGTCGATACCCTCATTGCGAATTCGTCATCAAGCTTCGTGACGCTCAGAGTCTCCCTTGTTCTCCACAGTCCACATTCCCAGAGCTCGGGATTGCGGGCGGGCCTGTGAGATGAAGTTTTTTTTTCAAATTTTGATTTGATTTGACTATATTTTTTTTCGGATATCCTAATGAATGGTCGGGGGTGCCTTCCCGATATCATCATTGCGGACTTGATGGTAGATGTGGCGGTGAGCAGGGAGGATTCGATACGATGATGAGTCAGGACATGCGTGGTCCACTTGACCTGCTGGTAGGTGTGAGATCATTTAGTTAGGGGATAATTAAGGTTGGTGGTGGTTTCTGGACACGGCTCGACGGATGGGTATGAGGATTTTTTTGTTTATTGTTTATTCATTGAAGAAGACATTGTTTTGAGTGCTGATTCGTCGACAGATGGGAAACTTGTATGTTTTTGCAGGGCTGTCAGGGCGAGCGTTGCTCGTTCTGTTGTGAGAGTGGCTCTTTTGGTTGATTTATCTTTCATGTTGATATTGTAGTAGGCTGCTAGGAGTCTGTGCACGTGTTAGGTAGACTCGGGCATTCGTAGGTGACCTTGTAATGGAGGTTCTTGCTGTTTATTATATACTGTAGCTGAATTACAATGCATGTGTCAAGGTGTTGTTCGTCCCCACTGGAATCTTTTGATATTGGACTTTTGAACCCGACTTGCATCTACAATCGTAGCGTTGTTCAAGACTTCAAGTTCTCATTCTCAGCATAGAGATTCCTCTTTTACCATGACTTGTGATATCCTGATTGATATTGCGTTGTTGAGAAATTGGCAAGCTGCGTATCCAACTACCTGAACAGCGTCGATCGTGGTCTGGTGAATAGGAAAGCTCTCTTTGCAGGAGTCCATGAGATATGGTGGTCCTGTATAGGTAGGTAGGATTCCCCCTCCCCCCAAGTGTGTGATTTGCGCGGTCAATCAAGTTCATTGCACAGTATTTCTCTCTCATTTCTTGAATCTTACTCATGACAGGGTTAGCTCAGCTCCCCACTCTTCAGTTGTCTCGCCATGCCTGATCACCCAACACAAGATCCCTGCCCGCAATCCAATCCATTCTCCCTCGATATCCGGACACCTAAGAGTCGCAAGGATTCAGCGGTATGTACATTGGGCTTAGTGTCACTGTATCACTACCCACAACCGTGGATTCAACACATCCGCTGAATACGTCGTGATTCAATTTATTACATCTGAGTTGGCGCCTCTCTGCATCATTGGAAAATAGAAGTGGAGACTGGACCCATCCACAAGGGCGTCCATCCCGGGCGAGGGCAAATCAAGCATTCGTCGCATGGGCTTGGCTGATGCTTAGCATCCGATCAGATGGGGGTCCCTGCACGTAGCTGGGATCTTCCCTGTCTTTGGTCCTGGTATTTTAAGGATCATCGTCGACGTACAGTACAGGAACCCAAGTCATGTGTCAAATACGTGGATATCATTCTCCACAATCTACATAACTGGACGTACAGCCCGTATGTATACGTGGAGAGCGAAACAACACATCACAGTACTCTGTGTAAAGATATGTACACAGTGTGCAAGGCCGGAAGCCCTGCATGTCGGATAAGGATATGGATTGACTTTTGAACATCCAGACGAGTAACTGATGATCTACCTTGCAGTGTACAGTAGACACTGCCCGCCAACACTATTCTCCTGCTGGAAGGAATTTGTCCTCGAGTTGTTTAGGCTGTCTCGATCAGTAGATAGTGATACCATTCATACAGTACTATTTTACATTTACCAGTAGAATGACGCGCAGTCCAGCATCGACCACGTCCACCTGTGGAAGCCGATTTATCCGAATCAACAAGACCCGGGAGTGCAAGGCACGCAAGGGATAAAGATGGAGATCAGAACTCCGCTCATTTGCCTTTATTTTAATTATGAACTTTATCCCGAAACGAGAACGATGTGATTTTTTACAGTAATGAAATGACTTGATACTTGTACTTGAACAACCATTCCAAGAATACCATGATTCATCTAATTCACACTCTATACCTATGCTCTTTTTTCAAAGAAGCTACAGTGTGATGGTACCAGCGTGTGCGTGCTACCTAGGTATGCTACCAATTTGTCGGGTGTTGAGCTTGAGACTCCCGGCTTAGCTAGCATCCAGGTTCTTGTACAGTATTCATGTATAGTTTGTCTACAGTATACAGTATAGTCGAGTCCGAGATGTTTTTCCGATTCCACGCCTCCTTGGATTCACCTCAGTGTTTCATCACATCGGCTGCAAACCTCGGATAAGTTCAGTAATCGAAATAAGATGAACGCGTCCAGTAATAGCAGCCATGAAAATGACCACTTCCGTAAATCCATTTGATTTTTTTCTCACGTTTACAATCACGGTCGAGGAGATTCTGTCGAGTACAGTACGTCAAATCAAATAATGAGCACTGTGTCACGGAGATCGTGGACGAGAGATGGGGCGGTCTGGAGACTAGAATATCCATGAGAGACCAAAGTCGTGGATGTTGAATAAGGGAACCGTGTCTGCCTTTGTCGTGCACATGTACGACGAGTGGACTTGTGCGTTTTTGGTGTCGTCACTCGTACCAGACACCGGTATACCGTCATGGGCTGATTTGCACTCGTCTTAGGAACATGTCTCGAAATGGACGTGAACTTCATCCAGAAGTGCATGAGACAAGATCAATGGGAGCCCTAGCGAAGCCCTAGCAGGCAGGCTCTCGCAAGGAGGACTATACTTGATCTGATCGTAGCCTTCAATCAGATACAGTTGAAAGGCTAGTACCAAAGTCACTGTGTAGGTCCCAGAAATGTACATAATAATGTTTGGATGTATTCACTCTATAGTTATGGTATCACAAAAAGGGCCCCCGAAAAACCTCCACCAGCCGGCAGGTCGAGGAGAAAAAAAAAGCGGCAGACAAGGTCTCCAGTGAGCCGCTCGTCAAATGAACTGTAATGCATCTTTTGGCACAATGGTGGGTCGGTACATGAAGAATCACAGGGGGCGAGGAGAAGAGTATAAAAACAATGCGGAGGATGGAGCCGTCATTCAGCCATGCTCCTCTCGGCCATGCTCAGCGGTACTGATTGAGGAACTCGGTGTGGAATTTCACAATACGCTCAACCCAGGCTGTGCCGGGCGCGAGGAAGGTTGTGCGGAAGTGGAAAGTACCCTCCTTTTGACCGAAACCAGAGCCGGGAACGGCGCAAACTCCGGTAGCGTCGAGCATCTTCAGGCAGTAGAACTCGTCCGCAGCACGACCCTCGGCCTCGGCAGCCTCGATGGCCTTGGCGGGCAGGTGGATGGTAGGGAAGAGGTACATAGCACCCTAGAGAGTCAACAGTGTTAGCCGACCAAAAATACTCTCTTCACAAGAGACACGCAACAGTCAATACGAACCTGAGGCTTCTGGCACTCCACGCCCTCCATACGCTGGAAAGCATTGTAAAGCGCAAGGGCACGCTTGTGAAGACCATCCCGGATTCCGTTGTACTCCTGCTCATACAGCTCGTAGCTGGGCTCGCCCGGGCGAGGAGGGTTGACCATGGTCTCAAGCAAGCATTGGGCGACGACTGGCGGGCACAGGCCAATGCTGACAAGCTTGTAGATTTGCTCCTGAACTTGAGGGTCAAAGCCGACCAGCTCAAAGTAGCCACCACGATGACCGCACTCGCCCACCATACCCTTGGAGGTACTGTGGAAGGAGACCAGCTCCACGGCATCATAGGTACCAGGGTACTCCTGCTGCAGCTGGCGCAGGCGCTTCTTGAAGGAGACAAACTCGCCCTCAAAGACGTTGGTCTGGTAGACCTCATCGGCCATGATGACCAACTGCTCCTCAGCAGCGACATCAATCACCTTCTTGATGTCATCGGCAGTCAAGGAGGCACCCGTTGGGTTGCCTGGGTTAATGACCACGACAGCGCGCAGGTTGGTGCCAGCGGCCTTGGCCTCCTTGACAGACTGAGTGATGGCGGCTACATTAGTGCCCCAGGCCTTCTCCTCTTCCAAGAGATACGGCACGCACTTAGCATTGAGCAAAGCCAGGGTGGCGGTATACAGAGGGTATTGCGGGATAGGCACCAACACTCCGGCATTGGAATCGTTGCAGATGACATTCAGGAGAGTGCTGACACCGGACGAAGCACCAGCAGTCAGGAAGAGATCCTGCGGATTGGCAGAGAAGCCGTCACGCTCCTCAATGAACTTGGCCACACTCTCACGGATGCCGGGAGCTCCCTGGCTGTGGCTGTAGGCGCCGACGCTTTGCACATTGGCCAGTAACGTCTGAGCACGATCGATCACGTCTTGCTTGTACCCGAAAGCGTTCTTGAGCGCGTCTTGGTTCTCGAGAAGCAGGGGATTCTCGACCAGACTGAGCACCTGGCGGAAGAACGTGATGGGCTTTTGATCAAGTTGTTGAGGGTTGCCGATGTTGGCGAAGATCACGCTGTCAAAGGGCAATGACTTGTCTCCATCGGCGAGACGTCGACGGTACTCCTCCGCCTTGACGGCCAATTCACCTCGCACGGCGTACTTGGCGCCTCGAATGTTCTGATTGATGTTGTCGATACTGAGGCATTTAGGCTGTGTCGTGGAGAGGGTTCGCTTGGCGTAGGTGACGGTCGTTTGAGACATGATGGACGCTAGAGAATAGGAAGGAAAAACGGCCGAGATTAGTGATGCGAGCTGGGATGAATGGTAATGATAATGATCTTAGGTTGGCCGTATTGGAGCAGGGTGACTGAAGAGGCGTGACTGGAGAGGAAGAAGAAGTAGAGCACAGGCAAGTGTTTATGTTGAAGTGGGAGACTGTCGCACGGCAGGACAAAGGCCACGGAAGGAACTATAAGTCCACGGCTGACAATTGAGCAGGAGCGTCAAACCCGAGTGCTCGGTAATCCTGATTCACTCGTGTCACGGTATGCCAGGCCTCGTTCTTGGTAATCGCGCGTATCCAGGGTAAAAGGGAAGGAAAGAGGGGAAGAGAAGCAAGTGGGGCAAGGAAGAAGCAAGCTGAGATATAAGGCGCATGACGACGTTGCCTCTTTCGATGTCCATCACGCCCTTGTCGCCTGCCGGATTCGCTAGACATCCCACGTACCTGATGGAGCGGAGAACCCCCCCGCAACTCGAGCGATCGGGCGAAGTAGGAGGCCGCTAGTCGGCTGGGTCATCCCCCGCGGAGAGGCCCGCATACCGGCGGCGAGTCTACAGTGCCAGGACATCTGGACGGTCGGCGAGGAGAAAAGAGAGCCGCGCGATATTCGGCTTTGCAATAAACTCTCGTAGAAGCTCGGACCGCACTGGAACAACCTCAATAGGATTGTGTTCAGCCCCCTCGGAGGAAAATGGAGCAAAGTGAGGATTGAAGGGAAAAAAAAGTCAAGGGTACCATCCAGGAACAATCGCCGGGCGGTGAGCTCGGTGAGTCAACATTGGCTCTGGTTACTAAAATCTTCCCCACATTTTTCCCTTCAACCTCGGTGGATCTGCATCTTATCGGATCGGAGACGCAGAGTAGAGGGCCATACTGTCGTGGGGGTTTGCTTTGCATCGACGATCCACACGTAGAAAGAAGGACAGGGTCGCTCAACGTGAGGTCTCACGGCGGTGGAAGCCAGCGCTCGCGGAGACAAAGTACACGCCTCGAATGACATTCGGGATGCCGTCAAACTCGATTCGATCGAGTCAGGACGGTCCAAAAAAGCCACCAACCGGGGCTAACGTGATTGGGATGGACCCCCATTGTTAGATGGTCGATCTTTCTCCTCGGGAAGGGCTAGCGGAACCGCCGTTGCCCGATGAGAGTCGTCAGTCGTCTCGCTCTTTTCGGACAATAGTCCACTCTGCTTCACCTTTGGAAGTGTTCATGCCGCCGGAGCCGCCCGAGATGCGGGGATCAACGAGCTGCCATGAGGCAGTCACCGCTCAAGTGGATGGGCACAGTCGATTGCGTGCTAGCTTATTTCGCTTGAGTCATCATCAACAACGTCCTTTGCAGAGCTCTTCAAAAGGCACGCTCTAGCCGCGGTCACGAGACTGGCCACTGAAGATCCGAGCAGATCCAGACTACTAGAGTCGCGTGAGGTGGTTCATAAGGAATCAATGATAGATCAATGACCACTCATATACTATAACACAGAATCGGTACTAACTACCCCCGTAAGTTACCTAAGGTAATGCAATTCATCGTGCTGGTCGGGCTGTTCTACGGAGACGGACGCAAATTGGCACACTTGCCTCCGAGCACCTGACCTCGAGTCCAAAGATACCTCGGCTACGGTGCAGTCACTGCACGGCCCGTACATCAACATAAAGGTGCGCAGCGACTATTTGTGGCACCACAGTCAAACCCTATCATGCTCATCGAGTCAGGTATATACCAGCAAGATCGCACACGCATTGCAGTGGTTCAAATATCATATTGGGTGGCGTTGTTTTCATCTCTAAGTTTTGAACAAGGATCTAAGTTGAACCACAATGGCCACCACGCGCCCAGCACACACATCACCTTTGCAGACCTAACTGCGCTCACTGCCACGTAGACGAACCGCTTGTCCATACTTCTGCAGCTTGGTGATCAAAGAGTCACCATGCTTGACCACGTCGGAGTACTGCTTGTTCTTGTCGTCTGGTCGATTGGTCTCAATGATCCCGTTGACGCGGTCAATCGTACACGAGATGCGGTTGCTGGAGATGAATTTGGCCAAATCCCTAAGAGAAGAAGGAAAAACAAAAGAACAACGGTCAGTGATTGGGAGTCAAAGAAAGACCGAGACTAACCGGTCTGATCACGGGCCGAGAACATACCGGTCCAAATAATCCACTGTCACACCAAAGTCGTTGGCCATGCTGGTCAGACCGACAACACGGTAGCTTTGCAGGAGCTGCTGGTAGGCGCGTAGACGCATCTCCCGGACAAACCAGGCCCGATGCTCCTGCAGGTACCGGTCTTGAGTCAAGAAGTGGTCCTCGACGGCGGCCAGGGCGTTGAAGAAAGAGCGATAATTGCCATTATACAAGCTGTTCACCAAGTTGGCGAGAGATGAAAAGTCTACCGGGGCTTCGTTTTCAGCTTGGTCGGTGGTGCCGGTCACCAGGGTGGTCAGGTTCACCACGGTCTTGGCACCCGTGGTGGGAGTCGATTTGGAGACCGTCGCGTCAATCATTTCCTCGTCAAGAGCACCGGGACCGGAAGACACTTCGCCTGAGAGCGCGGCCAGCTGATCTTCTCCAGCACCCAGAATAGCCTTGATCTCGGGCGCATCCACAACCTTGGCCTTGAAGTCCACACGCTTGAGGGAGAGCGATCCGGCGAGCACGGAGTAAATGACCAAGGATGAGTAGCTGCAGAGCTCGTAGCTGGTAAATGTGGACAAGCTGTCGAGGAGAAGAGGAGCAGCGAGATTGTATGACCGACACGTGAGAAGGTGCATGCCCTTGTAGGCCTTGAGGCGATTCCTCCGGTCCCAGTCACCACCGCTTTCCACTAGAGCTTCCGCACGTTCAATGGTTTTCTTGACGTATAGTCGATCACCAAAGAACAGACCGATGCGAATCATGGCAAGCACCAGGTCAATCTTTGTGCCAAGGAAACCAATCTTGTCAAGCAGAGCTTCGTGCGACTCGATAGACTTGTCCTGTGTCGGGTCGACCGGATCAGCAGACTGTGGGGATGATTCGCACTGCGTCTTTGTTATTTCCAGCCTTCATACCTTATCTCCCACACGAGCCCAGAATTCGGCTCGCTTTCCTCGGGCTGCCTGAACTTCAGTCTCACCAGCAGCCTCCTCCGCCTCGTCCTCCTCATTCTGAATCCCTTCCAACTCCTTCTTGTTATCCTCGACCAGAGTCTGATACAGCTTCTCATCCCAGGGAAATTCAATATCGGAAGATGGTCGTGAGGCGAGCATGTTGGAGGTGATGAGCGGCTTGGAAGCTCCTGCATTGTGAGGATGCGGATGTTGCGTCACACCCTCACCCGATGTATTCAAGATACCCTCCGTCGGATGTGCAAGGTGGCGATAGAAAGGCGCCATCTTTCGCTCGGTGATCGCATCTTGCAGCTTCTTCAGAGATGCCTGGCGAGTGGACGCATTGCAGGCAGGGTTGGAGAGGTTGAAGACAGACTGGGCGAGGAGAAGGTCGGGATACTTGATGAACTGTGGATCAGACCCCATGATGGCGACCGCGGGGTTGAGAATGTGAAAGGAATGAAGCGGACAAAGATGAGGAGAAAGAATCAGAAAATGCGGTTTGTGTTTAGTCGGGCTTGATGACCAGCCGGTGATGCATCACGTAGCTGGATCCCAAGCTGAGCTGGCAGAATGTTTTTCCCGCTCCGGGCTGCTGTTCCTTTTGAGCCTGACATCTCAGGCCACAAACAAATTCGGCCGGATGGGAACATGACCCCCAAAGGAGGATACAATTCAGCTGGGAACTGATTTCACTTGTCCAACAGGCCGTATGCTCTTGCCTGTCAAAGTCCAAATGTCACCATGACTAGAAATCCAGTGACCATCCTGTCCATGAAAGCCATCAATACTCCACTTAGGGGTGGGATATGTCGGGACACGTGCCTCCTCTATGGAGGACACTAACAGACGCTACAGATGTATGTAGCATAGATGAACTCGGTACGGTAGGTACCTCCTACTTGAAATCTTAGAAGGTACTCCGAGATGACGATATTGTGTGTACTCGCAAAAGAAATCTCCAGCATGGTGCTGCGCCTATTCGAAACATCAAATGTCTTTCCCCCCGCCCCGTGCAACCAGCACACTTTCTTATGAGGTACAACGGTCGCAAAGCGCAAGTGCTGTATGAAACGTGCGCCACGACTCCATGAATCTGCCCCGTCTGCTATGGTTGGAGCGGGCGTGACTGGGAGAATAGTTTCTCTCACTCGGATGGATGATGCAAATACGAGAATCGCTACTCCTTGTCGCCATTGCAAAGTTCTATGAGTGACACGAGCTTTTCCCACGATTCCACGGAACGTCTGTCACTTAACCTAAGTCCGGCATTTGACCCTCAACAATCCTCCTTCTTCTCGTGTATGGATTAAGAAAGGCTCGCCACCTCCCCTCTCAAACGACTCGAATCTTCCGAAGGGTACGAACATGCTGGCCAATTGTAAGTTGTAACAAACCTTTCAGCTGCACACAGCTTACCTCGCCTTCGAAGGAAACCTTCAGCTTTTTCTCCTGCGCCCAAAACAACGCAACATACCTGCGCAGCCTCTGACACCGGGACTTCTCATCTGGATTGTTGACCACTCGTAGCCTGATCGCCTCACAGCGAGTACATCATGTTGGTAGGTACGGTATGTACCTGCTCTCGTGTGTCCCAACTTCCCAGACTCGGGCTGTCCGCCCGTCATTCCTCGACGGCCCCGACGCCACGATTCCCCCCACTCCCCGTCTTTTCGGCGCAAAGCCAGAAAATCTCCCGTGGGCCTGAACGAGCCAGAGTCCACGGGTCTTGCTTTGGCCCCGACTGGAGTTCTATCGCAACCTCCTCGCACGTGCCCTCATTTCTGCGTTGGATAGGATCGATCCGGTCTGATCAAGACGAGGCGTGATCCTTATCTCCCAATGTTCGCTATCATCTCCCAGGCCTGGTCCCAGTCGATTGACATCACAGCGCGTGTTTGACTGCGGTTGCGCTCGACGGCAGCCAGCCGCTGTCCCGTCGCCACCAATATGCAGGTATGAATTGTTGACTGTATTTGTTACTTCGAGGTTTGTTAAGATGCACGTGCTGACCAAAAATGCCAATGCAAAAATTTTGCGCTCCATCGCGGGTCACGTACAAGTACATCACAAGCCTTAGCCTCTCCGTCCCCAAGACGCCAAGAAATCGGACCATCCGCCGTGGTGGGGGGCCAAGAAGACCATCCAACCATCACGGAAGGTCCGTTCAATCCGTGGACGTGCTGGCGCTGGAAATGCTTCATACGAAGGCTGAATAGGCAGATGGGTGAATTCAAACACTTAATTGGCAGAAGCAATTCACAGCACCACATCGAGGGAAGGCGCATCTCCACGACTCGATGACTCCATAACTCCACAACCTCAAAACTGGCGATGGCCACAGTCGACGTCAGGCCGAGGCGCTACCAAATGACAGCCATGCGCACGAGCCACTAAGCTGTCGCCGTCACTGCGAGGGCAGTACCCGTACTCGGTGGGTCATGAAGTTGAGCGCGAGAAGTGGATGCATCTTCAATGGGGCTGTAATGGTTGTACATAATTGTGGTGGAGGTCACTTTGTATTGTTCACCACCGGGCGAAACGTCTTCCAGCAGTGGATCACTGGATTCAGTGTAGAGACCAAGTGTACTTGATAACAAAACAGTACGATGATCGCTGAGCGCAAAAGTCTGCATCGTCAGGTCGGTACATGATTCATGATGGAAGCGGCTGAGAGTCACGTACTACTCAGGCGGAGATCTATAACTGCAGTACCAGGCTATACAACCATACGAGGATTGATCGAAGCTGTCTTGCATGCTCTGTGCGAGTGGACGTGCGAGTGATATTGAATCTCCAGGAACCCATCTGAGTGGTAAGGAAAGTTACAGTCAAAATACAATAGACGATGTTTATTAGCATAGAATCAGGGAGATCGTGGACAGTCGCAGCCCTGTACAAAAGTAGAAGCACCGTAGGGCTTATGCAGTGATGCACATTGCACGCACCTCTGCTTCGACCTGCTAAACCTGGTTAGGCAATACGTCCCTCGTGCCCCCCCCGATGATCATCAGTACCTTACCTACCGCGGAAGTCCAGAGGGACCATTCTTTTACATTGCCGATTTTTTGCCAGCCCTTTTCTCGGCGCTTCTATCGTCGCATACTTAATCGGCCACATCATACGTTTGGCAAATCTAGTTTTTTTTTTCCACTTCCCCCCCCCCCGGCAAACCGCAACATCTTCCTTGCAGATCTCTTTCCGCTTCGCAGGGCAGCACCCACCCGACCTTTCTCGGATTGAAGGCAAGTCTGTCCCTTCGACAAGGCTGCGACATACAGACCTCACGCTTTGAACTTAGTCCTACTGACCTGATACTACACGACCTAGCCTCTCCACGCGAACAGCAATGAGCATCGATACTCACACACATCCAGTGGAGGAGAAGAAGGGCTCACCTCCTTCCGATGAGATTTCCCTCAATCTCCCCCCGCTCGATGCACTGCCCAAGGGTCGCTGGGAACGCACCTGGCCCACGATCGCTTGCGGTGCAGGTCTATTTTCCGACGGCTATCTGAATGGAGTACGTACCTGCGCAGCTGATTGCACTCGGTCCACGCCGTTGGCAGGTATCTTGTTGTGGCGCACTGTTGCACGGCTTCCCAAACCTTAATCCGGAGAGGCGTAGCGCCGCACCCACGCTAATTGCTGCATACAAATAGGTGATCGGGCAAGTCAACACCATTCTCGCGCTTCTGTACCCCGACACGTATGCCTCGTCTCCAGCCAGTCAAAATGTCTCCGCCATTGCATTTGCCGGTACGGTCGTCGGTATGTTGATCTTCGGTTACACCAGTGACCATTGGTCGCGGAAGTGGTCATTGATGATTTCGACCATTATCCTCTTCGTCTTTGCGGCTCTGTGCGCCGGCGCATACGGCGCCGGCGGAAGTCAGTACGGCATGTTCGCCGCGCTCACCGCGTATCGATTCTTCATCGGCGTGGGCATCGGAGGTGAATACCCGGCGGGATCAGTAGCGGCGGCTGAGAATTCTGGAGAACTCAAGGCGGGCCATCGGAATCGCTGGTTTATCATGTTTACGAATTTCCAGATTGACTTTGGATTTGTGGTTTCGGCCCTAGTGCCAACCATCTTGATTCTCATTTGCTCAGAAAATCATCTGCGCCTGGTGTGGCGTCTTTCTCTGGGGCTGGGTGTCATTCCACCCTTGAGTCTGCTGTATCTGCGACTCAAGCTGAATGAGCCGGAAGAATTCAATCGCGAGCGGATGCGCAAGTTTCCAGTGTGGTTAATCATCAAGTAAGAATCCCGACACGCAAGAAGGGGGAATGACTGTCCCGGATGGCACCTAACAATGTCTTCCTAGATTTTATTGGTTCCGCCTGTCGGTGGTCTCTCTGATCTGGTTCATCTATGACTTCTCCTCGTATTCATTCGGACTGTACTCCTCCGAATGGATCGGCATCATCACGGGTGACAACGCACCTTTGTGGAAAACTTTCGGATGGACCACCTTGACCTACCTGTTCTACTTGCCTGGCTCTGGGCTCGGTGCCTTTGTGAGTGACTGGCTTGGTCCTCGTCAGACGCTTGCCATTGGAGTACTTCTGCAGGGTATCGTTGGATTCATCATGTCCGGCTGCTACGAGTGGCTCGCAACCCCCAAGAATGTGGGCGGTTTCGTTGTGGTCTACGGGTACGTAGCTTGTTGAGTGCGAGGTAAACTATTTGTGCGTGATCTGAGCATCAGCTAACTGAGCGGCAGTATCTTCCTCGCGCTGGGAGAATTTGGCCCTGGCGACAATCTCGGGTTGTGCGCGGCCAAGAGCAGTGCTACTGCTATCCGTGGCCAGTATTACTCCTACGCCGCCGCCATTGGCAAGATCGGTGCTTTTGTCGGTACCTATGTCCTCCCGATCGTTCGCAAAAACGCACCCAACGCCATTCGCAAGGGACAAGATCCGTTCTTTGTATCCAGCGCCCTCTGCATCTTCAGCGCTTTCTTGGCATTCTTCTTACTGCCTCAGATTGATCAGGTATGTTTGAGTAGTGGAGAGGCCATGTCATGAACAGGAACACCCGCCCTAATGTGGACGTTGCCTTTAGGACACTATCACCAGCGAGGATGCTCGGTTCCGTGACTATCTCAACCAACATGGCTACGACACCTCAACCATGGGCAACCGTGGTCAAATCACTACCCGTCGAGAGGTAGTTGACGGTCAACATCTAGCTTGAGGCCTTTTGGTTCTGTCCTCTTTACCACATGTTCTTTCTAAAGGAATGGCTCGTTCAACCACGCTTATTTGCGACCAAGAGGCAGGCGCGCTTATCGGCTGGCCACTTGGTCAACTTTATCTCTTGGTCAAGCTTTTTGCGACAACTCCGCTGTTGACGGTGGATTCATTCAGCCGATTCCTCTTCTCCTCATAATTCTCGCGCATAGCTCCAAACTTGACCTCCAGTAAATCTCGAGCATATATCGGACGATATAGACGTGCTTCGGAGAAGGGATTTTCCAAGTTCTATCATCGCTTGCCCTTATTAAGAGTCTACTCAACCGCCTGGCGAAGTTTTGGGATCTTGTCCGACTACTAAGTGGGGATGCTGGCTAAGCCTTTTTTAGCGGCTGATGGAGGCGAGCGTCATTGTTAAGATACTGAAATGCTAGTAATGCTTAATGTGCATTCCTGAAATCTGTATCATTGTCGAGTGAAGTTTCTGCTCGATCATGGTTTACTTATCGCCGAAGGTTCCTAGTGTCGTACGCCTACGTACACGTTTGCCCACGGCTGGCGCCCGTCCTTGCTGGGGTACCTAAGTCGTGCTGACTCCTGACTCAGGAGTCTTGAGTACACTCAACACTGTACAGTAGAACTGCGACAAGGGATCCAACTTTTAGAACATAGGCGCATCTCACACCTGGATGAGCAGACACTGTGGAAGCCAACATTGTAGATTCGTGTCCTACAATTTTCAATATCCCTGCGATTTCATAGCAGGACTCATTTTGACCGTTGCAAGGAAGGAATGTTCACATCGCGAGAAAGTCATTTCACGCTCAGGTTCACTTTCCCCCCAGTCTCCAGTCTCCACAGTCCACAGAGCGTTACCAGTTCCGCCGGTCGAGGGTATCCTTTTCTCCAGGATCGGAGTTCTCGACCGGGGGACAGCCGTGCTCCACACCCTTTAGTTCAGCCGAGGTTGACCAGCCGCGGCTCCAGCTGCCTGTCATTTACCGACTCTTGGAGATCACGAACACTTGTGATCCATCCACTTTGACCTCTTCTCCCATCAAATTTGACCGAACTTATTCTCCCTCCTCCCTTTTCTTCCATTCCCAAACGTAGGAGTCCATCACTCTCAACGACATACGAGTCCTGCGCAGGCACCCTCTCAGACACAGACACAGACACGCACACACACCGCTCCCCGTGTACAATTCCCTTGTTCCCCGCCTTCTCCGTGATCGGGTCCTAAAACGCCATTATGGTTGCCGACGCCCTCCTCTATCACCCTGCACTGGCGCACTGGCTGCGCTTCCTTGCGACCACCGGTACGCTTCTTTTACTAGCAGTGGATTTGATCGTTCAAGAAACGCACCCCCTACTTCCCACGAAGCGTTTCTTCAGAGTCACAACCTGAACCCTTCCACCCTTCCCTCTGCCTTCCTCCCCGAGCCCTCTCTCTGGTCATTCCCATTAGAGCCCCGAGTCCCGCTACAAGACTAATCTGTCCTTCACCAATCTATAGTTGGTCGCGACAAGCTCCTCCGTACCATCCAATACTTCTCTCGCTTCTACGCCTGGTACCTGTACCGGACCAACAAGCCCCAATCCGCCATTGACCCCTACAATGCCGTCAAGAAGCAGTTCGGCACCACGCGCAAGATCATTCGCATCGGCAAATGGGCCGAGCACCTCAAGGCCGCCTCCATCGCTCTTGACAACAAGAGCCCCATCGACCCCGTCCTACGCTACCTGGCCGTTGGTCGCCAGCTCGGATATGCCGGGTATCTGTCACTGGACATGGTGACTGTGGTGGATACCATCGGATACCGCAAGTTGGCTAGTGCCAAGCGCCTGCAGGACGGTGCCGCCCGGGCTTGGGCGGCGGGCTTGATCTGTAGTACCCTGGCGGGCGTGTATACTCTGTTCCGTCTTAAGGAGCGGGAGAAGAACATTGATCGCAAGGAAGGCGAGGGTGTGGTGGAAGCGAAGAAGATTGAAAAGTGAGTGATGCCGTGGGCGATCTTTCTGTGATGATGTTTTTTTTGTGTCGGCCTGTGACCTGGAAAGGTATCATGGACTATGGATGAGGTAGGCATGCTAATTGTGCTCGATTTCCTACAGGGAGCGCGCTGCTGCTCGGATACAGCTCATCTCCGATCTGTGCGATTTGACCGTGCCCGCCTCGGCACTCGGCTTCGCCCAGCTGGATGACGGCCTGGTCGGTCTTGCCGGTACAGTCAGCTCGCTGATCGGAGTGTGGTCGCAGTGGCGCAAGACCGCATAAACAAGTCATTCAGTGAAAGCTTGATAATCCCGAGCCACGACACTTACGGTCTTGTGCGGAGCATATAACCTGCTGCTCTGTTTTTTGTTTTTTTTTTTTTTTTTTTTTTTTTTTTTTCGTTTTAAAATCTCTGGTGCTGCATATCGACGGATCCTTGGCAAATGAGTAAATGTCGAGTCCGGACGATTACATGAACAGATCATTCATCTTTTTGAACCCCCCAGCTATTCAAGGTTATCTCACTTATGGGGCCTTTTCGTTCACGTCCCCCCCCTCTCTCGCGGTTATCTTGTTTGTTTTTTTTTCCTTTTGATTACTTCGTCTCTCCATTCTGGATCCTGTCGAGCCCAAACTACTACATTGGTACATTCAACCTGAGAGATTGTCTTGGTGAAACATTCTAGGAAAGGTACCGTCCATGTAGGAAATTCCAACTTCTCATTCCCATTGAAACGATTCATCTGCTCATCAGCTCATCTGGTATCACAATAAATCAAGACACTAACCCCCACCATTGGCATCCAACCTGCTCGACCCTCCGCTTCAGACCACTCCTTCCCCTCTCCCATCCCATCATATCAACCTCAGACAGCGGCAACGAAACAATCATTGCCCACTTCCAATAGCGATTAAAAAAAGCTTGTCACCTAAACGGGGCAGGTCTAGATCCCAAGAAAAAACAATCTTAGCGCGAGGCTCAAGGGGACCTTGGTGGAATCGCCGAGAACATGGACCACCTGGAACCCAGGCTGCGGTACAGAATCGAACGAAGAGTATCAACAACACAAGAAAATCGAGCTCACTTACGGCACCGCAAGAGCCGCAACTCTTACCTCCTCCGTTCATGGGGGCATTGCACTTGGGGCAAACAGCGTGGCCGGACATGTTCGGTGGTTTGATGTTAAGGGAATGGAGTGTTGGAGGGGGAGAATGAAAACTGTTCAGGGCCTGTGTATTAGTGGGATATTTGATCTTTTTTTTCCTTTTTCTCTGTTCCTCTTTTCTTTGGTTGCGTTGTCTTTTTTTGCCCCTGCAGTATGATGCGGTTGTTTTCGGGGGAGGTTTTTCTTTTTCTGGGTTGGGTGATTGAGAACAACAGAGGGATACGATTCTGCGGGGTTTGATGGACTGACCTGAGGTTTCTTCTTAGTGGGATGAGATGTTGAGGCTATGTGGCAGAGATGTTGTCGAGTAAAGTTACGAGTCAGACGCGATGGAGGGGGGGGGGAGGGAACTGAAAGGAGAGCTCGGATGACTGTTTGTTTACCCCGCCCTGGATCCCTCATCCGTCTCTTCAGTTGTCTGACTTGACTCCGCCCCGCTCAAGGGAACGGCTACAGCAGGGGTCATCGTGTAGTCGTGGATAGTTCCGTCCTGGAGCAAAGCGTTGTTTATTTATTCAGATTTTTCTGGAAGAAGATAATGTCTATGTATGATCTATATGCATCATCTACGATTGATGTCTTTCGCAAATGCGACTCTCAATAGAATTGATCATGGCTGGAGACACCTTCTAGATAAGTACTCGGCATGTGACCGTGAGATGATCGTCTTACGGCGTGGCTCTTCCAGAGGGGCGCGAGATGAAGATGACATTCAGCCTCACGGTCACTTGGGGAGCTCAAACTCCGGCCTTAGACCGATCCAGCCACCGACTGACTTGGGATGCGGACCACGGGCCTCGTTCCTGGATTGTAGATACAACACCACTGAACAATGACCACCCTTCCAAGTCCACCCTGTCGATCTACTGCCCGCGGACGTCCATCCCGGGCTTATGACTACCCGTGCATCTGAAACAATGAATGCAGCGTGTGTCACTCGGTGCTAGCGGACGGAAACACCGAACTACATCGCAGCATCGAGGTCATCGCTTTATCCTGATTCCAATACCTTCACTACCAAGGTCCCGCTTGAATCCACAATAGCTACCATGTCGTCTCCATCGAATTTATTGCCGGTGTTTCTCTGCGGCAGACGTTTCGAGATCGGCAAGCCGATTGCAGAGATCCTGGCTCCCGAATTCGAGGGTAAGTCAGCAAACCGACCACCCCCAGTTATCTGCCCCCATACCAACACGGACTATACCTCGAAGTCCCTCAGTGGTCCGGTCCATTGGAACGTTTCCAGCTCCTCATCACACCAACCTGCAACATCCACACCTTCATCACCCATACGCACCGACTCCCAGTCATCCACTTCTGCATGGATGCAGAAACAGCCATCACCGAGATCCCACGCCTGGCGGGTAAAGTCAAAGAGAAGTTGATGAAGTGGCAGAAGGGGGGGTGCGGAGAATGGGATTGTTCTGTGGTGATTTCGGCAATCGGTCCTGTAGGTAGGCATGGGCAGAGTATCTATACAGTCGAATATTGATGGAGGTGAGTAGCCTTGGAAGGGTTTGGACCAACATTAGAGACCTCGGTGGGGAAAGATCAATGTTTTCCTCGCGAGATTTTAGATCCCTTGATCCCTTTAGGGCACCTACCTGCTCCCTACTCTCCTCGAGTATTGACATGTTCACCCTTCTTGACTTTCAGAAATGTAAGCGTACATGAACAAGCCTCAAATCTGCAAGACAATGACATTTGGTGGTTTCCAGTCATCAGGCGGGACTTATTTCTACCTAGGACGAACCTTGGCTGTGTTTACAATGGTGTTATCCTTCACCTCGTGGACATGGTAAGTAGACAGAGAAGGAAAATACGGATATAGAAACCTGAAAGTGAGAACAACACATGTGTCATGACCGACTTGGCCAGTCAGCCATACAGGGAATATCTACAATCGAAGCTTATCACCACCTGACATGACAAGATGGCCATGCTCCTCGTATCTACCAGCAAGCCAGCATCTAAGATAGATCGCTCTCATCCATACCTAGATACGAATCAATGTCCATCCTTTCTCTCCCTATCAGGTGGTTGAGTCTGCCTGACTTGTACCTAGTCAACCATGTCTCCTGCACAATACTTCCAGACAATACTTCCAGAGCATGATTCTGATGTATAGAACAATATGTCATCTTCAAAACAAACGGATCCTCAACACTGTCAACACTCAACAGTAATCTGTCTCTAGAATCCATGTCACCACATCACGAAGCGGGAATGAGCTCCAGCTGCACGGACGACACCCTCTCACTCCAGTCTCTCGGCGGCTCCACGGTAAACCCCGCATCCGCTCACCCACGCGACACTTTCCCCGGACTGGGCCTCAGCCAGCTCCTCCAGAACGACGATGGAAGGAAAATCGCAGTACCTTCAAGCGAGGCTATCTGCGGTCGATTGGGCAGCCGGAAGTGGCGGATGAAAAAAAAAAAAATGAGCGTACTACTCCGACATTCACTTGTATGCTAGATGAATGGCCGCGTGGATTTCCATCACAACTCTCGGGCGATCGATCAGCGAGACGAATCACCTACTACTATAGAATTACGACTCGCACCGGATAAGAACTTGATTCAGATCCAGATCCAGATCCCTCCCCGGCTGACGTTGCCGAAGTCCACGATCTTCCCGATAGACATGTTCAACACGAAAACTGGGGCCCCTGTCCTATGACGTCCCGCGCATCCGATACTTAGGTACATGCCTCCAGTCCCGTCCCCTTCCCTGGGAGTCCCGTCGGCTCGGGTGAAATAGGAGCGCACGATCGTCTCCATCTCCCGTCAAACCTGAGGTGAACGTGACACTGCTTAGTCACGACTACTGCCTGGCCCGCTGAGCTTGATGGCTTCAGTCCTCTTGATCTGGGCTGGAGTTCCGGCGCCCTGGCCCAGACCGTTTCGAAAAATTCAGCCTTGCTGGTTGGAGAAACGATTGGATCGATGGGTAGTGGTGCACTGGTGCGAGGGGTTGAAATAAGTCTTGTGCTGTAACTTGTAGCCTAGTGTTGATCTTGCGGGTGATCTAGGAAGACTGTATTTGATGCTTTTGTATTTCTTGATTGGCAAGTGATAAAGGAGGTGGGGTTGACTGGACCATCATTGCTCGAGTCAGCAAGTGACATTTGCATCCAAGTTCAATGACATGCTAATGGAAGTCAGCAGTGGTACAGCCACACGTACCTCCGAACTGCTCAAGCGCATCCAGATCAAGAACACCATATCAACAGGGTTGGGTACCTTTCTGCACATGACTCGTGATCTTGTGGGGAATGGGATAGACCAGGGCCACATTCTACCTTTTTTCCTCTCCACATCCGCTCAATGCAGCTCAAGCCACATGTCTACCTTGACTGCCCGCTCACATCGGGTACGCATTGGACTAGCCAAGGCTAGTCATCTCATCGTGACCGTTCACAAGTAGATGAGATGCAGTCCAGACTCACGACTCTGTTCAACAAAGCGACTAATCAGCAGGCCAGAACCCAGCTGCAGAGGACGTCACGCGCTCGCGAACCACAACAGTCGAATAATTCGGAGCCACATCCCTTGGACCAGCCGGATACCTGAAATAGCTCATTTGGATGTTTCAGCCCGGGAAAGAAATCGCGCATCATCACACTGGTCGCTGGTCTAAGGGTATCCCATGTATACGATACTGGTCGAAGTGCTACCCGAATGGTTGCATAGTGGTGATCTACGGATCTACATTGAATGGAAGCCTGTCTTCTGGCAATCGAGTGACATGGTCTGAAGCTTTGCCGGAAGGTTCGCATAGAGTACAGAATATATCTACACTTCTACACTGTTGCAGTACCCGTGTGATGCGTTTTGCAGTATATGTACATTGATGTCCTTTCAAGGTCGAACCACTCAATTCGCATCAGCTTACTCTTAGTTCGATATATTCGGCACATATAGGGATAAACTGGACGGTTGCATAGTTCCAGGTTATCATTGTTTGGTCCGAGGTTGCTTAAACCTCCGATGCCGCCAGTTTCGCGAATGTCGCTGAGACCGGACCGGGATCTGCCGCTCAACCCCGGAAAAATGCACAGCCCCTGGTTGGGAAGCAGGTTGCATTCTGGATATTGATAATGAATATCCCCATAGTTACATTCAGTGGATTCTATGGAAAAGTTGTCATTCACGGAATAGTCTCCGTCTACCTGGGCAGATAGCATGTGTTTGGCGGTGATAAGCACACCACGTATGAGGGAAAGGGAAGACTCGATGCATCTGCGCATTGGGTTCCAGCGCCAAGCGTCGACTGCGAAGATGCGAAGAAGCCGATGTAAAAAAAAACCGACAGGCAGTCGCCAGGTCTATAGTTTCATGATAACAGTCCTCGGAAGCATGCACAGTTGCATGCGATCACAACTCCACCACCGTTCCAGGAGACTGTCGACTTACTCCTTTCAGCATACAGTGGCCAGCTCTAGAATCCTTCACGATAAGAAATGGAGCAGACCGCTTCTTCTTTTCGTTTCTGTGTGGCCTTCAATTTCCAACGGTATCATCTTCTGACTGGCATCTGGGATCTGCCACCTCTGGAACCCGACACAAGCACGTGAAATGCACAATAGCAAGGCTAGTGACGAACATGTGTGGATGCTCAGCTCCGAGCTGGCGGAGACCGTGGATAGCGCCGGTCGGGATGGGGGGCCCGTCGACGGAGTTTCTGATGCTGAAACCTCATTAGATCAGCAGCCCGGGACCGCATGCGAGATTCGAGATTCTCGTCAAGGACCAGCCGAACCGCAGACTCGACCTGAACGAACCGCCGCGAAGGGGCCTGGAACAGAAGGACGGGGGTCTCCAGCGGCAATCCGTTTGTCCAATGCGCTCACGCACAAGAAGGGGAGAGTGGAGTCAGAGACATTGCATGGGCCATGATTGGTCTGACTCGCCGCAAGTGAACCTCGACAACTGCATCATCCTCGGCTGAGGTAAACGCCGTTGTTGGAGTCGCCGACGAGCGTCCGCGGACGCCCGTCCTGCGGTTTGTGTACATTCCGAACTCATTCAGGCCTGATCCCAAATGAGCTGTCATTTTCTCAAAGAGGTGACCAGACACATGTGTGTGTGTGTGTCTGCAAGTTGACCTGATATTCTTGGGCCCGAAAAAAGAGAAAGCTCCAGGCGCATCGAAGGGGTCCACGTCCTTTTCCTTCTCGGCGGTTTGAGGCTGTGAGGAAATCCTGATTGGACGCAACCCTTCGATTCCAGCCCGGCGTCACAGCCTGACCTCCCGGCCCCGATCGACGGCTGACATAATCTTTCCCCCGCGATCTCCAAATTGAAGGTCCAGCGTGGCTTGCGCTAGACCGATTGGGTCCGCAGGCTGGATCTTTTCGTGGTCCGGGGTCGACAATGTATTGGAGATGAGGCGTCTGGTTACCTAACTTCACCCAAGCCGGGGCTTAGGATTTCAAGATTTGGACTCTGCTCTGGGTGTGGTAGAGAGTGGTATATTATGGAGCATGCCAGCATGGAGCATATCGGGTACGACTCTCTAGTCTCTGCTACTGGGCCCCGGTCGAACGGACTAATCGTGCATTGCGCGAGTGTGTGGACTATAGACTCATGGAGGTCCTGGTGAAGTCATGGCGCGTCATGCGTGTTGCTCGGAAGCAGATTGTAGATCACGATCAAGTGGCTCTTCGGCAGAGGGTCTTTTTGCACTACGACAGGACGTCCCGGATGCTCTGGTAGGAGTTCTCCAGTCACTTGTGTACGGTACTCGTCATCCGGAGCACCCAGATGTAGGGATTCTAGCTAGCAGATGAGCAATTCCGGTCCTTCAGTCGACCATGATAGTTACTCGTCCGACGGGTCTCGTAGTACATACTATGTACTGAGTGCGAGACAGCTGCTCGGAATGAGACATTATATCGCTCATGGGAGCCGAAGAATGCGCGGTTTTCCATGCATGCCTTGCCCAAGGAGCAACACCCTTCCTTACACGACTTATCGTGTGGTCCAGCAGGCTCCCAGAGATGGACATGATGCGTCTTTTTCGGCCCTCCCCCTGCACGGCGTAAAACTCGCTATCTGCCAGTCCAATCATGTTGTAGTCTCGTGTGACGCGTGGTACCTGATTCATCTGCGTCCAAGTCCAACTGTTTGCACTCTGCAGGGTGCCATTCGCAGGGCCTCCCTTGCCTCAAGGGCGATCAAGTCGCAGACCCGAGTGGACGTTCCGGGTTGAATTCGTGCTGTCATCTTCCCTCCACTGCCTCCACTGCCTCCAGCAAGTGCCGGATCGGGACAAGTCGGGCCAAGCAAACGTGGGCCCTCCTTTGCCCACCTGACACGACGAGAGTCACGACTCCCGGCGAGACCACCGAGAAGCCCTGGCAATCCACGGCTTCCTCCTCGAATCCTCGCGATCGACCATCGGTACCCGCTCGCTTCAGCTCGGCCCTTCTCTTTTCCTCGTGTCTCCCTTTCTCTCCTGCTTCACTTCTTTTCCCTCCCCGACATCACCCGTGGCACTGTGGAGCTTCAGCAACAAGCAACTTTCCCCCCCCCCCCCCACCAAAAAAGAAATTCGCAATTAATCGCGCAAAACACAAGAATATCGTGCATTCCATCCCACGACCATGGCTCCTGCTGGAAAGGATTATATACCCCCAGGTCGCCCGGCTTCCCCAGGTCCTCTGGCCGCAGATTTCATCCAACAGCAGATTGCGAAACAACGCAACAACAATTATCATTCCACTTCGCTCAGAAACATGGTTGCCACATCTGTGAATCGCACTGCGCTGCACCCTGGTGGTGTTCAGTATGTTCTTTCCCTCGCCCCATCTTTCCTCCCTCAACCACGACAAGTCCCAACCCACTCTCTCATACCAGAAACCCAACGTGCCTGGCTATGATGAGATCGTGATGGCAGATCGGTGCTGACATTCACTGTCCTTCTTCACTAGGCCTGGCAAGAGCCACACTGAGCTCGAGGAGGAGCTGCACGAGACTGCGCACATTGACTATGATCGAGTCGCAATTGTAAGGAAGCCTTTGCCCCCCGGCCTGGCGCTTGAGACTCGATACAGTCGCTGGCGCGGCAGTTGTTACACAAGAAACGTTTGACTAACCTGACTGTGATGGTTGTGACTACCGTAGATTGCCAACCCTTCTGTCCCTGCTCTGTACGAGGATGCTCTCGTCTACGAGACCGGTACTGCCATCACATCCAGCGGTGCTCTGAGTGCCTACTCTGGTGCCAAGACAGGTCGTTCGCCCTCAGACAAGCGTATTGTCAAGGAAGAGTCCTCAGAAAACGACGTCTGGTGGGGGCCTGTCAACAAGCCCATGACTCCTGAAGTAAGTACAATGATCCAACAATTTGGCTTTTTTTCTTCTTCTTTTTTTTCGTCTTCCTTTTGCCCAATCCTGTCTCGACCCCTGCTCGAAGGCGTGGTCTTTCAATATCGAGCAATATACCATTGCAGAGTCCGTCGAGGACCCCACCCGGGGAAACGCCCTTGCATATGCACCCGTGGGAGTCAAGCTTTTTAAGCATTCCTGCGCGGTACAACTGTCATTCTCTGAATGCATCTTCAATGCTGAAATCTCCCATTGAAAATTCCCATTTTTGCTGAACACCCTCCCCTCCCAACAATTCCTTTCACTTGCCCCCTCTGTCCACCTCTGTCCACTCCCGACCTGGAAACGGGCGTGGCTTGTGCTTCCCCGCTGCCCCGCGGTTCTGCCGAGGTCGTCCCTTCGAATGACGTCATACATCAGTTCACTAACCACGCCTTTCCCTGATTGGTAGGTTTGGCGCATCAACCGTGAGCGTGCCGTCGACTATCTCAATACCCGTAACCGTATCTATGTCATTGATGGCTATGCCGGCTGGGATGAGCGCTACCGCATCAGCGTTCGCGTGGTCTGCGCCCGCGCCTATCATGCTCTGTTCATGCGCAACATGCTGATCCGCCCGAGCCGTGAGGAGCTTGAGCACTTCCACCCCGACTATGTCATCTACAACGCCGGTTCCTTCCCCGCCAACCGCTTCACAGAGGGCATGACCTCAGCCACTTCCGTGGCGATCAACTTTGCCGAGAAGGAGATGATCATCCTCGGCACTGAGTATGCCGGTGAGATGAAGAAGGGAGTCTTCACTGTCCTGTTCTACGAGATGCCCGTCAAGCACAACGTCCTCACCCTGCACTCTTCTGCCAACGAGGGCGAGAATGGCGATGTGACCGTCTTCTTCGGTCTCTCCGGCACCGGCAAGACCACCCTGTCTGCTGATCCCAAGCGCAAGCTCATCGGTGATGACGAGCACTGCTGGACTGATACCGGCGTCTTCAACATCGAGGGTGGATGTTACGCCAAGTGCATTGGCCTCTCCGCCGAGAAGGAACCCGATATTTTCAACGCCATTCGCTATGGTTCCGTCCTGGAGAACGTTGTCTTTGATCCTATCACTCGTATCGTGGACTACGATGACTGCTCCTTGACCGAGAACACTCGTTGCGCCTATCCCATTGAGTACATTGAGAACGCCAAGCTTCCCTGCAAGAGTGACAACCACCCCACCAACATCATTCTGCTCACCTGCGACGCTCGCGGTGTCCTGCCTCCTATCTCCAAGCTCACCCCCGAGCAGACCATGTTCCACTTCATCTCGGGTTACACTTCCAAGATGGCCGGTACTGAAGATGGTGTGACGGAACCCCAAGCCACCTTCTCTTCTTGCTTCGCCCAGCCCTTCCTGGCTCTCCACCCTATGCGCTATGCTTCTATGCTGGCCGAGAAGATCAAGGAGCACAAGGCGAACGCTTGGCTCCTGAACACCGGCTGGGTTGGCGCTGGTGCCACCACCGGTGGCAAGCGTTGCCCTCTCAAGTACACTCGTGCCATTCTTGACGCCATTCACTCTGGTGAACTCGCCAAGGCCGAGTACGAGACCTACGATGTGTTCAACTTGCCCGTTCCCAAGTCCTGCCCCGGTGTTCCCGACGAGCTCCTCAACCCCAAGAACAGCTGGACTGCCACCACCTCGTTCTCCGACGAGGTCACGAAACTCGGCAAGCTCTTCAACGAGAACTTCAAGAAGTACTCTGATGAAGCTACTCCCGAGGTCTTGGCTGCCGCTCCCCAGACCGAGTAAATTCCGGAGTAGAGAGAGTGGTCGGTTGCGAGATCGGAAGTGTCGACCAAAAAAGAAAGCAGGATTGGCACCTCTCTCGCTTGGACTCTTGTTGTGTTCTTGAGTGGATTCATCACTTGCATGGCGTGCTGCTTTTTGTGTATTTCACTTTTTCTGTTTCTTTTCTTTTGTTGTCAAAGTCTGCCCTCGCGCTCGAGTCGGGACGAGCGTGAGGAATTATTCCCCCACTTGTTTTGATTTTTCTTTTTTTTTTGTCCTTGTGTCTTGAATGCCCCGAAGACCTGTTTTTGTGTCTATTCTTTTACCTTTTACGATTGACATGTCCGAATTCTTGTCGTGGTACATCTGGCCGATAGTCTTGTTGAAGAGACTGGGTTTGAACTTTTGACCAAAATTATCTATCATTCAATCATATGGAATTAGGAAATGATCTCACTTTCTCAGGTCCTTTTGTAAGTGCAGGAACACCAACTTTGCAGCGCTAGCGTTTCGCGGATTTAGATGAAAGGCGACTTGCGACGGGTTGGTATAGGATAGATGGGCCCCCGGATGAGCGAGTAATGGTGTATATCGAGTGATGTCCATAGTCTACACGTCTATCCCCCCAAGCCTTATCCCTTGACCCCGCCTTATCGAATCAGGCCCTCGCCGTCAGATTATTTGCTCTTGACAACCTTCACAATCTTTCCTCGTCTGAACACACCAGGCATGAATCCCAGAGCGTCCCCACCACTTCCAAGAACACCCCAACCGCCCATCTACTCCCTTCCCGGCCCAAAGCCAACTAGCCCATGCCATCCTCCAATCTCACCTGCTCTACCTAACCTCCAGAGGCCATCTCACTGTGTCTGTATCCCGCCGGGTAGTAGTAGCAGTAGAGCAATAGGATGAGGCCGGGCCTTTCCCGCCTCCTCTTGCTCTTCTCTCTTTCTCTCCCTCCCCGTACTGCATGCCGAGTTACTGGGAGACCTGGACTCGTTCGGGATCGGGATGGGGATCGGAAAATACGTGTTGGGAATAATTGGTTGATGAGCGGTGGGGATTTACTTTGCCGATGGGGAAGGGTCAAGGGTGAAGGGTGGAGGTTGGCCGGGAAGTAGAATTGCTGGGATGGTGAGGACGCTGATTCATGTGTATTGTGATTGTATATGAAATATGTGGTGAGTTATGTACCACTATCTACGGTGCAATGTGCACGGTTGTTAGATGGGTACTTTCCTTTGCTGATTACCTGATAGACTGGGTGGGTGGTAGCGCCGGTGGAGGAAGACGACGGGAGTGGCCCGGGCTATATTTCAAGGGTTCACTATATAGGCATTGGCAAGTGTGTTCTGTAGAAGAACAAGGACTACTCGTTCGAGAAACCGTCCATTTTTCTCTCGTTTGCAAGTTCCACGCTCCAATGGACGACGGGAGAACGAGGGAGAAAGTCCGTCCGCTCTCTCGCTGGGGCCACGGAGAAATTCATTCCCGCGATATTTGGCTTGCGCATCTGGGCTGCGAGTGGCGTCGAGTCATGGATGTTGATATACTACCTATTACGGTCCTACTGAGTCCTCAACGTGCTCTATCTGGTGGGCCCTCTTCGGTAGAGACGTCGTCGATAGGTCACTTTCCTTGAACCTTCCGATGTAGACTCGCACGCGGACGCCTGTCCTCCGTCGTTTCAGGAGCCTCACGACGGAAAGATAGTCGGATAGTCGGATACTCTGTGTGCTGTGTGCTGTGCACACTGCTCTCATACTCTGTGACCATCTCGACGTGAACATTGCAAGTCCCATATACAACAATCGCATTATACTCAGCATATACGTAGTCTTGAGTCTCCTGACTAATTACTACCAAGTTCCAACCAATTCCGATGTCCATCCAAAAGCCATTGCAGGAACCCATCCCCGAACCCGGAGACGTTATCGTAATCGATCCAGGCAGTGTTATTGAACACCTTCGCTCCTCGGCCAGATCGAGGCCCCTATCACGTCGGGTCGTCCATGCACCGCCTGAACAGCCAGGCTTACCTGATCGTCGCCGGAAAACCCCAGCAGACCTTTTCCGAGGCCAGGTCCCGGGCGCGGAAGTGATGAGGTTGTCGTGGGCAAAGCCGTGCACGGGATGGCGCGATTGGGATCTTCGCGGTCGTGTTACTGGTTGAAATCTGGGTGTCTGGGTGTCTGGGTGTTGGTTGGCAATTCTGGATATTGGGACCAGGGGCTGTGGGCTGTGGGCTGTGGGCTGTGGGCTGTGGGCTAACTACTGGAGTGAAGGGAGTTGAGGGAGCTGCCGAAGATCGGAGGGAGGGGTGTTTGTCGGGTGAGGCTTGAAGTGGATAGAGATGGGTAGAGGACTGGAGATGCAGATAGAATCATTGTAGTGAGTCTGGAGACGACTCGTGCGGGCAAGATTGGAGGCGGTGGGTGATGCGATGGATCGAAATCTACCGGGGCTGGATCTGTATTCGAGGTGAATGGTGTTGACTGGACAGATTTGATGTTCAAGGGCGAGCTGCACTGCAGGTGGCTGGTCTCTTTCTTTGTCGAGTCCAGAGCCGTGGTGCAAGTCAGCGAGGAGGACTCAGCCGGGTTGTTCTGTGTTTGGTTTTGTTATCCGCCCGGGAACCCGATCCGTTCTCGTGGATCCTCTGAAAGTGGCATAGTGGAGAAAGTGGGGTTCCGAGATTAGCTCGTGGCACTAAATGCACTACGGAGACGCTTGTCACGGGAGCTGCACGGATCTGCGTCATCGGCTGGCATGAGAAGATGGCCGGACTGAGAAATAAAAGTCGGGGGCAGAGATGGATGAGCTGCTTCGAAGGATGATATATAGAGAGGGGAAGGTTGTGATGGACTCGGAAACATCTCGGCCAGATTGTGTTGTATTCTCCTCGTGCGGGGGGGGGGGGGGTCCTGGATCTTGGTAAGTGTGACAACTCACCAGGTAGAGAGAGAGAGAGAGAGAGAGAGAGAGAGAGAGGTAAAACTACACGACTGAGAGTAGTACCCGAGCCGGAGTACCGTACATCACAGCTCCCAACTCGTGACATCAAGCTTTCCCCGCATCTGGTCTGCGACCATATTGTACTCGGTACTACTCTTCCGTGTACACCCTGCAGCACATGACATGCAACATGTTCTTCTTGGCCGGGCTCGGAAGGCCAAGGTTGGCGGAGAATGCACCCAATATTGATCCAGTTACTCTAGGAGCAGAGCAATTACTGGCGAGTCGGTTCACCAAGCGCATGGCCTACAGGGCGTGACAATCGCGTCGCATTGTCGCCCTGAAGAGAGCGCGGGAGTTGATCAAAGCAAAGAGGGGCCACCTGCAGCAGATGATCTCCGCCCCTCCGGGACTGCCCCACGCACTCCACTCCATCAAAACGGACGGGCGAGGTTTTCCCTCGGATTCTCTCGAGTCTGATTTTTCCGACTGAGGCGTGGATGGGCCTTCCACAGTCAGGACGCCTTGAACGGCGGCTTTCTTGGTTGACTTTGGCTTTGATGTGATCTCCCCGCAGCGATTTGGGGCCAGGACACGGACGAGTTCCTCCCGTAGCGTGGTGTATTCTATCCCGCGGCTAACGTTCGGCTCTCACGGACGTGAGGTCCGGTTGTGCTGCGCTCGGGAATCGTTTGGGAATCTTGGATGGGGGCCACTCATCACTCATGTTCTGATATACTTCCGACCCTTGCTCGTTGCCTTTCGGGCAGCAATCACCACAGGAGACAACGAAGAAAGTCGTGCCTTGAACGATGCGTAATGGGGTGTGGTCATCAGGACGCACCTGAGATGAGATCAGTACTGGAGCGATAGGAGTGGTGAAAAGTCCAGACCAAGGACTGTTCGGACCAGAGACATGAAGGACTAGTAGTCTTGTATGATAACTACGTAAGCACCCTGTTCCAGACGTGTGTATCAGTCGCTCCTGGGACGGGAGACTAGGGGTCCCAGATCTACAGTACTACTACTTGACCTTAGACGACTACGACGACTACGTGTACCGGTGCCTCCTGGGTACCTAGGGCCGTGGAGCTAATGGTTGGATACAAGGAGCTACTTCCAACATCCTCCGACTCACTTGGAACCTGCTGGCCGGGGCCCGGAGTTACACTTTGCATTGACCACCAGAAGCGTTCAAGGCACTGCTCTCCCAGTCCCCTCCTTCCCTTTCCGTCAAAACCGCTCTCCCTGACAGGACAAGGCATTATTGCTTTTATCATTATTCCAAAGTGAGCTTGTTGGACCACCGCGTCCCACCTCCGCACCCTTCTTCTTCTTCTTCTTCTTCTTCTTCTTCTTCTTCTTCATCCCCCTCTTCTTCCCTTCGCCTCACCTGTTTCCCCCTCCCAACTGCGTCCTTTTCGTCCTTCATCGTTGGCTTCGCACCGTTTGCAAAATCCCCATCTTGAACTGCGGGCCGGAGCGTTGGGTGAGTGTCCCATGGATTTCTGGCGAGCCACCGGGGCATGGACTCCGCGCCTTGCAAGAGTGACACAAGACTGATGTGTACTTTCTCACCTATCAACAGCGTGCCTGTCCTGTCGTCTTGTCCTTTCGTCCTCAGCAGAGTCTTTTGCGACTCGATCTCTTTCCCTCGAGTGTCTGGTTCGTCTTCCCCTCGAGTGTCTGGTCCGTCTACTATCTCCTCCTCCATGCCACTCTCAGCACCACTTTGAGCGTCTCTCTTTCTTCGAAGAAAAGACATTCGGTCTGAACCTTCAGCGGTTCCATCAGATGCTCCATCAGCCTCTGTCCCATGTCAATCAAACTACGTTCTCCTTCACTAACACATCGACTATCTCCCCTCACAGATATTCCAACTCTCGATCAGCCCGCCAACTGACAATGGCGTCACGATCCATCAAAGATACCGCGCTCTCCGCGCAGCGAAGCACCAAAGCTGCCATAGAGAATCCTGGAGCAGCAACCACCACTCTCCTGCACCACCCCTACATGCGGGCTGCTCTTCCCTTCATCAACGGCGGACTGGCCGGTATGACCGCAACGGTCGTCATCCAGCCTGTCGACATGGTCAAGGTCCGCTTGCAACTCGCGGGCGAGGGTGCCCGCACCGGTCCTCGACCCTCTGCCCTGGGGATCACCAAGGAGATCATCGCTTCGGGCAAGGCCCTCGACCTGTATACCGGTCTGTCCGCTGGACTGCTTCGCCAGGCCGTCTACACCACTGCTCGTCTCGGATTCTTCGATACCTTCATCAAGAAGCTCAACAAGCGAGCCGAGGACCAAGGCCGCAAGGTCACCTTTGCTGAACGCGCCGCCGCGGGTCTCTCGGCGGGTGGTATTGCCGCAATGATTGGTAACCCTGCCGATTTGGCTCTTGTACGAATGCAATCCGATGGGTTGAAAGCTCCCGAAGCTCGTGCCAATTACCGCTCCGTCTTTGACGCCTTGGTTCGCATCCCCAAGCAGGAAGGATTGGCTGCGTTGTGGTCTGGCGCCCTGCCCACCGTGGTTCGCGCCATGGCTCTCAACATGGGTCAGTTGACCTTCTTCGCGGAGAGCAAAGCTCAGCTCAAGCAGCACACCAGCCTTTCCCCACAGACCACCACCTTTGCCGCCTCCGCGATCGCGGGATTCTTTGCCAGTTTCCTGTCCTTGCCATTTGACTTTGTCAAGACTCGTTTGCAGAAGCAACAAAAGGACCCCGCCACGGGCAAATTGCCCTACCGAGGAGTCATCGATTGTGCAAAGAAAGTTGTCCAGGAGGAAGGATGGTTGCGATTCTACCGGGGGTTCGGCACCTACTACGTGCGCATCGCCCCTCATGCGTAAGTTTCTCCGTCGCCAGCATGCGGCCCACCGCATCCACCCCACTCCCATTCCTCCACTCTTATGCTTCCCAAAGTACCAGTCCCTTTCCCGCCTTTGGGATGGGCGATCGTCAACTGACAAAATCAATAGGATGGTGACTTTGATTGTGGCCGATTACCTTAATCTGATCACAAAGTAAGGATTGCCGAGTATTCGAGCGCGACCTTTACTCCAGCGCTCTCTTGACTTACGATGGTCGATCCGGAAGGGCATGTTCTGTTGTTTGTTTTTTATTTTTTTTTGGCCACTGCCACGACATTCCTTGGTAGTGAAGAACTCGGTCTGGATCTCACATGTGACGCGCATCGAGGTGACGGGCACGTGATGAGGATTTTCTCCAGCGCCGGACCTCATTCATTTCACGTCTCCTCTGACGGATCCTCGATGGTTCCGATATGTTGTTGACACTGGTGGGTTGTCGCTTATCTCTGGGCCAAGGATTGGTAGTTGTCTGTTTCCACGCGCATACCCTACTACACTGGTAGTTTTTGTTCCCCTATGGGCTGTCTCCAAAAATGAATGGAAAGACTTTTGGAAAACGTGGTGGTGCTTCCCCAGCTTCCTAGGTACACGGTAGTTGGTGAGTCGGAGGACTAAGATTACCAAGGCCACTGATACTAGGTGATCTGTCTGGAAAGAAACCATGAGTACTATGCCACTGGTATTTGATCTCAAAAAAGCTAAAAAAAAAAACTAAGTTCTCGATCCATGTCACATCATTTCCTTCTGGCGGGAAATTCGAGATCCGAAAACGAGCAGCCGCTCTGGAACACGACAACACCGGGTTAGATCTAGATCGTAGATTGCTTGAAGTAGATTCCAGCGAATCAATAACGCAACAAGAGTACCTTAACAAGTCGCACCCCGTCCAGCCTCAATACCCAGTCCTCATGGATCGGTATATCTCTCGCTCTCACAAACACCACCCATCTTTGCTCCAAGTCATCGTCAGGCCTCACGCCCAAACCATCAACCTCGACCGCGACATACCACCCACCAAGACAAATCCCACGCGCATCATCCAATATTTCACCCGCACGGAACGAAACAACGAACCTGAGACGCGCGACCATTCAGATTGCTCAACGCGCAAGATCTCAGCGAGGACGCTATTCAGACGGGATATATGCCCATGCCCATGCCCATGCCCACGCCCACGCCCACAATAGTGCACGCCATCTTATCTTCGGACAGGAAATGAACCGTGTAGATGGGACGGGACGGTTCCGGTTCGGTCTTGTTTTTCTGCTTTGCCTATTGGATCTGGCTATCTACATAGCTACTGGACCTACTTATCTTAGGACGGCAGTCAGAAGACGTGACGTGACGTGACTGCGAAGATGGGATTTCGGGTCGATTGCTACTGGGGTTGCGGTGGTCAAGTTGGTACGTGGTCGTATGCATTTCGCATGTGAATTGGTTCGAGAGGTTGGGGTTGTGGTTGGGGTCGTGGTCGTGGTCTCTATTGCTTGCTATTTCTGGGTAGCTGGGTAATAGCTACAGTACTGCTACCTACCTGTACGCAGTACCGTAGTGGTAGCCTGTAGGTGCCAAGGTGATGTTCTTAGGTAAGACGTTTGGGAGAAGGGACTTTGAGGGTCTGGTCTACGTTTGTGTTAGGGATGGATGGATGGATGGAATGGAATGGAACCGGCTTTGGAAGGCCGGGGGTGATACGATTAGAAAATGGTACGACGTGGGAGCGGCCGGTGTCTTGTCGTGACTAATGATGACTGTTGTTTGGTCCGTGAATGATGACTCCAATGAGTCTTGGAAGAAAAATCGGAGACCGATGTCAATTCGGTGGCACGGAACACACGTGGTGTCGATACAGCGTTGGAGAAAAAAAACATTTCATAGTCAACATTGATTGTTTCATTGATCATAGCATTGGGTATGTGGACATGAAAGTGACAAGATGCGCAACATCAGTGGATTAAAAACTACGACGAATTAGGTGGAGTACATAGGAGATGCGGTGTTGTGGGGGGGGGGGGGGGGGACAGTGTAGGGACAAGGTTGGGTAAGAGGACAATAGGTGTCAATTTGCATGTTTAGGGGGCCAACCCGTCATCCATGATCCATGATCGTCAGAAAATTAACAACTTCAAAAAGCGGATGGACCCATGCGTCATTTCATAGAACAAGCGTGATCAGAAAGAGGTAAAACCTTGCCTGGGTATCCTTCGCGCTTCCGAGGCAGACGTCCAACAACTCAAAGTTCATAGAGCCATGTCGGTCTCTTTCCAAGGCGGAAAGTGAAGAAAAAGAGACCCTTTGCGCCTCAGCTGGCAAATCGTTCGCTTAGGATTCGCCGTGAACACGCTTCTCCGCGATGGTCCCGGGGGGAAGAACGTCCTCAATGGTCTCGTCGGTGCCCTTAAGGTCTTCTTCGATGGGGATAGTGTCGCGAATGCGCATCAACACAACGGGGAGAGCAACCACCAGAGATCCGGCGAGGATCCCCCAATTGGACGCAAATTCATTCATGAAAGGTGTCTTCTTGCTGTCGAGAGACCACATGACGGCCGAGCCGGCTGACTGCAGACCTTTGTAGAACCCAGCCAAGTTGGCCAAGCGACGACCAGAGTTGCCAAGAGCACCCATGAACCTATAATGGTGGAAGAAACTCGATGTTAGCATACGTTGATGCCGACTTGTGTGGGTGGCCCGGATGAGAGACTGGGGAAAACCTTACCAGTAGACGACACCCTGCCAGACAGCATCGTACAGGCCATAGAAGAAGTAGAGGAACATGGGACCCACGTAGCCCGGGGTGGTCCAGTCCCAGGGAGTGAAAGTGCCGGCCTTAATGGCATCTTTGCTCACACTCTCACGAGTGTAGCGCTTCTGCCAGGCATAACCACCACCCCAGATGACCATGGTCAGAATGAACAGCACGGCAAAGGCGATCTTGGCACGCACACTGCGCCGCACTCGGTTGGAATCCAAGAGAGGACCGATGATGGTGGCCGCCACGATCTGAGCAAACCAGTACAAGAAGCCATTGAGCGACTTGGTGCGAGTATCAAAGTAGGCTCCGTTGATGGCATTCTGCTGGTAGGTGTAGAACCAATTCGAGGACCAGAACATGGGGAACAGGAGGATGATGAAAGGCTCCGCCTTGATGGTCTCCCACAGACCGTAGATCTCGGTCTTCCAACTGGGGCTCTTCATCAGAATCACCTTGGAGCCATCCTCACGAACGACCTTGTCAGCGTCACAGATGAACAAAGCCAGACAGGCACCTGCAAACATAAGCACGATGAAAGCGATGTAAGTGCCGTCGGTGACGGTGCTGTTGGTCTTGACGCTGTGATTTTGGCCGAGGGGAATCTACTCGGGGGAATATATTAGAAGGGCAGACGTGAGCTGGGTTTCGGACGCTTTCAAGACTTACCAAACTACCCAAGCAGGCACCGACGTTGAAAATACCCCAGAACCATGCAAAATAGCGACCCTTAGACCGCTCGGTGGGATAGGACATCATGATAGTGCCCTGAGCCGTCCACAGTAGACCGGCGCAAACACCGAGGAAGGCGCCAGCGAAGATGTTGAAACCGGGGACGTACTTGTGCACTGACACAAGCAAGGAGATGGCATAGAGACAGTAACCGATACCACCAAAGGATAGAGCAATGCGAACACCCAAGCGATTGACGATTGTACCGGCGCAGAAGCCCACAACAGCAAAGGTACTGTACAGAGCAGTGTTCTAATGTTAGGAGACCACGAGTGGTTAGTCACTTGCACAGGGTCGAAGAATGAACCGATCAACGAGAAAACTGGATGTGAGGTAGATGATTGTGATTGCAAGCTTCGATTGACGCGAGAGCAGCTCTTCCAAAGTGGAACTGTGCTTCGATGGAGGAAAGTTTATGACAAAGGCAAACGCAAGAACAACTCTGATACTCACCATATCGTCGGCCAGATGGGCATCTGCCTTGCCTCCACCACCGAGACCACTCAGAGCGTTGAACATGCCGGGACACAGGAAACACACAAAGGCCACCATGCCGAGCTGGAACTTGGGAGAGGCATACCAGCCCAGGTTGACTTTACCACTACCGATGCGCTTGTACATCCAACCACGAGGACGAGGAACATCATCGGTGAACGAGGAGCTCGGGCCCACCTCGGTGGTGGGAGCTTTGGGCTCTGCCTCTGCCATGGTGATGTGTGCAGCAGGGACTAGGACCCGAGGCGTGCTGAAAGGAAAAAAAAAACGATGTGATCTATGCCACGTGTGTGTGGTGATGTGGTATTTTTTTTGGAAGACGTGAGTTGAACGGGGCGAGGCGCGAGGCGAGGTGAAAGTTGAAGGTGGAGAGTGTGGGAGGTTGAGAGTTGGGATCGACGATAAGCAAGTCAAGCGCTGTGGTGTTGTTGATAATGGTTTTCTTTGTGGGGAAGAGGAAGAGTGCAGAGGAGAGAATTGAGGGGGGTCACAGGAAAAAGGTGTTGTTTAAGAGATCAGATGCGATGGCCAGCTCGAACGCACCTCACGCTCTGGCGAACGACGAATACTTCCCAAAACAAATTAAGAGTCAAACTTAAAATTCGACACATGAAAAAAAAGGTGAGGAAAGGGTCTGGAAAAAAGAAAATCAAAATAATAGGGATGATGGTGGTTGTAAAAACGATATTCACAAAAATAGATAAAGTACCATCTGACTTTACAATCGGACGGCAGGGTAGCTTGACCGAAAACTTAGCGTAGAGAGGCACCCGCCAGACGACCGTTATTCACGGTGTTGGTGTGTTGGTGTGTTGAGTGGGTTCGATGTTCAGTGTACTCCGGTACTGTAGAACTGGACCGTCAAGAAATCGTAGGATGGGTACCGCTACCACCGTCTCGGAGCTGTCAAGCACGAGCCGAGCCCCGTTTAGTGAGGGTGTATTCTCATGATTGAGACTAGTCCAAGATATGAACCTGTGCATCCGAGGTCGATCATTCGTATGACCTGACACCCTTTTGGGAAAGACAAGACCTGGAGAAGCGCAGGTGGGACTGGAAATTGGGAGAGAGACGAGTTACTGGGATCGGGGTTGAGAGTGGGTACCTAGGCTAATACCTCTCTTCCTGGGACGCGATCATGGGTGTCAGATGTAGCGGCCAAGTCCCTTTTCCACAGTGGGTAATTGGGGACCAAGAGTCTACTACAGTACTACAGTGCTACTCACTTACTACTCAGTACTCAGTACTCAGTACTCAGGTAGTCAAGAGATCTCGTGATTCTCGTCGTCCCTCTATAGATTACCAAAACAGAAGAAGGAGTACTACCGGCGATACAGACGCTATGGACTGTGGACGGATCGAGTCTAGCGAAGTGAACAGACCTTGACTGGACTGCCTGCCGGGACTGGGGAAGGTCGCAGGGATGAATGCTACCACGCGGCAAGGTAGCATCGAAACACTCTCATGCTTTGTCCAGCGCTATCCACTTTGAGCCACTTGGAAGCACTTCGAGGCTGAATCAGGAAATTCAGAATATCCCCCTTTTTCCACCCTTCACCCACCCCATGGGAAGAGAGAGGGGAACCCGCCCAGTCGAGCCTCAATCGGCGTGACCCGAACCCCTCCAGCAGAATTGGACCAGTCACCAGACCTCGAGTGGGACTAGGGAAGCACAACCAGCATTTCCACCATGCTGGGAACCGCTTTCTCTGCGGGGAGAGTAGTATATGATTACACCTTATGTTGGAGGATAGGCTGCGGCGAGGCGCGATTATGCAGGATGAGCTCTGAATGGAACATGGAGATGGTTAGCGAGGTAGTACCATTCCATGAGATGAAAGACAGATTCAGAGAGGGCATGTGTGTGTGTGTGTGTGTGTGTATTTCCTCGCCGCTCAGGCAACGCTGCCCCAGCTGAGCTCGCGTCGAGTCTCCAATCAAGGCCTACTAACCGAAAGTGACTCGTGAAAGCCAACCGACACATGGACTGGAGGCGGTCAGCCCACAAAGGCCCGCTTTGATAACAGAGTTACACTTGCCACGATGAAACATGGCCTGTGAGTTTCACCCTCGGCGTGTTCTGGTTGCTGAAAAGCTGAACTGGCGCACCACGACTCTCTATCTCCACGATACGATCATTTGAGGCATCATGCTGACACACTCCACACGCCGATCTCAGCAATGGCGTTTTCCATCTCGGCGTACACGGTAGATGATAAGCTTCCGGTCGCTAATCGATGGCAGATCATTACAACTCAAGAGTGGTCGACTAACCTGATAGACAAACTCCTCTAGGCGACCACCACCAGCGTCCCGGTGCCGTCTCTCCTCTCATATCTCTCCATCATGCACAAGCAGAGCTTTCAGTAGTGTCGTAGACTCGATACGCGTTGATCCACTCGGTCGCGAGAGAGAGCCGAGGATCGCTGCAAACAACGTGGTACCCGGATCATGTCTTTTGGTTCCCGATCCACATTCCCCCGTTGCACATGCCACCGTCTCCTGAAGCATGGGCGGAAGTCAAAGTCATTTACCCCAGATTTGACGGTGCTTCTTTCTGAGTCTGGAACTATGGAATATGGGCCATCTGTCTCTCAGAGTTGCGGGGAAGCCGGCGAGACTGGAGAAACGATTCTCCAGATCAAAATGGGAAAAAAAAGTCAACAACAAATGGTGGCGGCGAAGAGGACACACAGTGATACAGTCATGCCCAGAGCCACCTTATGTGACCCTAGAAACCCTGCCGTATTGCCGTTGCATAGCGTATCTTGGGTGGCTTGATGGCGGGGATTATATGGGCCTCTCAGACTGGAGGGGAGAGATAGGCTTTGTGATGGCTTGTTTGTGATCACACATTATTGTTCGGTATAGGATACTAGTGCTCTCAATACTACTGACTCACGGTCACTGTAGGTGAGACCACTGCAGCATTCGATGGGTCTATGACTAAGGTCGGGCACTGAAATTCAGACGGACCAACATCGTAAGGTATGAATTGGTAGTGAGTCAGTCAGACGGACCAACACCTATTTGTGGTGAGTCAGTCACAGCGAAAGTCGGAGAAGATGAACATTCTCCTCCAGTCTTCTGAGCAGACGATAAGCGTAGGAAACTTTCAGGGGCCTAGTGTGGTCGGGTACATCCATGTTGTATAATGTGCATAGTACTACAGACCCGCATATTCTACTGGAAGCAGATCGGTAGAACTGTATCACATAATGAAACACACCACAGCAAAGATAGCCTCAAACGTCGACATGTGGCAACTTGAATAGGGTGACCAGTTCACCGGCACCTGCAGCATCACCTATAGTCATTTCTTAGAGTTAGTAGTCTCAACATTGAACTTCTCAAGAGTAAATAAATAGCACTCGATACATTCATTCCACATCGACCGAGGCACGTGCACCGTGCTTTTGTTCTTGTGTCTAATTACTAATTAGTAATCAGTGCTTCTTTCCACCTCAACCATGTACAGTAGTAGTTCAGTAGTAGTGAGGCAGTCGACGTAGTAGTAGGTAAGTTATCAGGTAGTAGGAAGTTAGGAATTCAATCCATGTGCTCTCGTCGACCGAACATTCCACCTCGATCACTCGCGTTAATATCTGCTGATCAGTTAGATAGCTAAGAGCCAGTACTAGCCTGGTGCCCTTTCTCATATCACCCAACGTTCATCCTCACAGTGTCTGAAATGTCAATATCTAAGTCTTGATCACCGACTCAAATTCCAGCGCTCCCTGTCCCCTTGTACTGATAGCGTCGCAGCCACAGAGCCACAGTAGGACTGTCACAGGCTGCCAACCACCTACGGCAGTCCCGCTGCGTCCTATCATAGGTCCTTAGGACTTCATGTGCGGTGCACGAGTCATATAGCTGCTCTGCGAATGATCAGTCATGACCATTCGTCTGGAGATGTCTTGTGAGTCCTTTTACCAATCAGGGTCCGGTCCCGGTCGATCGCTTTTGCCACTACCTCGGAGAGCTTAGTCTCTGTTGGTACGGCTGTTGGGTGAGACAGACCGGGGTTGGTGGTACTTATGTAACTTGCAGTCAGTAACTTACGTAGTTACTGCATGGAGGCACGTTGGTGGCGAGGCGGTGGGCTTTCTTGGACGCCGTATAAATGAAGAGAATACAAGTTGAGGTCACGTACTATGAGTTTCGAATGCAAAAGAGAAACTGATTGATTACATGATCATTGATGTAGGTCGGGTGGAGACTCGATGTCTAACAGATGCTTTAGATGGGGTAGTCCCAATGCAGTGGACATCAACACCTACTTAATTATCACACTAGTGAGCTTTGGCGCTCGCCTCGGAAGATCATATACAGTAGCAGGCAAAAAAAAGTACTATACAGGTACTACGGTGTCAATGATGACAAGTCTTGCGAGCCATTCAACCCTTGAACGAATCTGTTGTTCAGGACGATATCACTGAGCTTCAAGCCATAAACATCCATTAACAGCAGGTGGGATGACCAAGTAAATGACTGAAAGGGAATTAAACGGCGGATAGTGGATGTTGAATACTCGACGTAAATATGTAACTACCGTAGGTAGTAGTCTCCAGGCAGGTGTCTCCAAATGATCTCCCCGATAAGAAATCGACCACAAACTCCTTGCCTATCGAGTGGAACAGGAACGGGTCGGACTGGATTTGCCGAGTAGATAGAGGCAGGCTGGGGATCATAGTGTCGTTGAAGAGACACTTACTCCACCATAGATTATCAGCAGTGGGGATGTTGTCGCGCTGACGTGCATTGATAGAGGCGGGATCGTCCCAGTCGGCATATCTTATCTGCGGAGCTTAGGTCATGCCGGCGATAAATGGACTCGGGATAAGCCAATCTTAAAGTCCGGTAGAGCTCCATTCCGTGTTGTTATCGAGCCAACATCGTGGACCGTTAGAATGTCTCTATCTCATGCCTACGTGCCTTCTATCGACTTGTAAGGTTGCCGTAGCTCCATGGATGCTGCCAGGGGTCGTTCGATCCATCACCCGCACTGGAGAGATGATCACTGTTTGTTTTTTCCCGCAGAATGCTGATCAACCTTGGTGCCTAATCGCCTATGATGGACGATGTGTCTTTAGACATTGCATGTGCCCTGGGAAACCTGTAGCTTTTCACGCGAAATCTTTCCATAGTAGCGCTGATTTAATGCTGCGATCCAAAGTCGCAGCCGGGAGGGTCTTGATACATGCTGAGTCGCGGATCACTTCACTCCAATCTCCGCTTATAGGTGCTAATTGATGAAGCCATGCCTGCAGTTCCCGCTCACTAAGACCATTGAAATCGATGTATGGCTGGGTATTTGGGCAAAGAACGTGATTGACCTGGGACCGCACCTGAATTGGGACCTCATCTACATCTCACTCTCGTTTTCTTCTTCCCCTTCCTCTTCTTCTACTTCCTCTTCCTCCTCATCGTCCTCCCCATCTTCTTCGCTCGTCCCCAATGATTCCCTTTGACCGCTCGGGACTGGCTCAGATTTGATCTGTGTTCCTGCCGGCCGCTGATCGATATCCACGGCATCGTCATCTGGATCTACCGCGTCACTAGCCAATGTGATTTGCTCTCGTTTCGACGGCCGATCGTCGCTATCGTCATCATCCGAATCGCTGTTCTCTGCTCGTCGAGCTTCTTCCTCCTCGGCACGTTTGACTCGGCGCTTCATGGCACGATCAAAGGCCAAATCTTCAGCGGTCAGAGGCGTTCCGCAAATGGGACACTTGACCGCCTTTTGACGAGCCCGTGAACCAGGCACGGGCATCGGACGTGCTTGTGTTATCATCTCCATGATGGCGTCGCGCTCGAAGCGATGCTTACATTTACTGATCACGGGGTCTTTAAAGCGGAGCAGTGTAAGGGGACAGTTCATGGAGATCTTCTCGCGATCGATAGCAATGTCGTCGGACCCTACTGGTGAAGGCTGGCGCTGATTGCGTGTTCGTCCGCTTGAAGCTTGATCTGGGGAGTCTCTCGCGGCGCTTTGAGGATCCTCCATGTGTGCGAACCAGGTGGAAGAGTGTGGCAGTGGAGGTGCTTCGTCTCCGGGGTATTTGGAGTCATGCACCACGCGGTAGAACCCGGTGTAGTCGTTGTTGTTAGCGTAGCTGTAGAATCATCAATGGAAATTCGTCAGCAATGCCACTTCCCTCATGTCGACGAATCAGATCACAAATCTTTTGCAACGCACCGTTGAGTCAAAGAGAGTTCCTCCCATTTCTGTTGTCCTTCAGCCAGCGAGGCATTCAACCTTCGACTGGGCGGATTCTGCGCATTCGCCTCGCGAATCTCCCGCACAGGCGTAGGCTCTCGGGCCGGATCATCTTCCTCTGCATCCTCATCCTCAGAATCAATCGGTCGTCGTTCCCTTCGTTGGCTGCGCGTCTGCCGCGCACCCAATATGGCATGTTGTCTCTGAGCCTCCTCCTTGTCAATATCTTTCAACGACTCCGTCATCCGCACAAGCTTCATATCACTATCGACCATGTGACGCATCCTCTCCTCCAGACGGCCCATGATTTCACCGACTTTGCGCTCCTGTTCCGCAAGACGCCGGTAAGCCTCGTCCCCGGCTTCCGCATCCTCTTCCTGGCCGTCTCCGTCATTGCGACGCTTCTCTTTCGACTTTTGGTAACGAGTTTGCGCGTCCCGGAGGTGATCGCTCACTTCGCCCGCAGAATAGGTGATCTGCATGCCTGCATCGTGGATGTGTTTTTTGGCAACTTCGAGGTATTGCATGTCCAGGAGGGCGCGAAGCTTTCGATTGGCTTCGGGTGAGATTATGAACTCAGGAGGCTGATACTCGGGCAGTTCTGGCTCTTGTCTTCCTTGGGCATTTTGTCTTGCTTGGGCGTGCGCACCGCTTGGTGGGGGACGAGATTGAGATATCGAGGTGCGCTGTCGCGCGGGAGTTGCGGAGAGCATTTGGAGGTCTTGAAATCTGTGAAACTTGCTTTTTTTTGTCGCACAAAGAGACCCTGTGACCGTAGAAGAAAGGTCTGGGTTCGACGGACACAATAGCCGGGATTTTGAGGATATTTTTACCAACGGATATGAGCTTGACGGCGCAACAAAGCAATGCGAAATTCGGACGCGCGACGCGCCTGCACTAGTCCCGATTGGGTTACATTACAGCGATAAGCTTATCGCAAGAGCTGGAAACCGTCAGAGCGATTTCATGCGGTCTTCTACGTTGTGCGTCAAGACACCATCAGAAAAGAAATATACTACAGCTGAACGAGTTCTCCCAGGAGATAGGCAAAGTCGACCATATGATAAACACTCGACGTTGCGCAACGCTCTAATACGAGGCAATGAATGCTATACACCAAACAAGAAACGAGGATGTTCAGGATTAAGATAGCTCAAAGATGGATTTCCACTTTGAGGGCGAAGCTATGCCCACGATTGTCTCTGACCGAATCTCATCATTAAACCTTGTAGAAACAAAAGGCATGGTAGAAGCCTGTTTCAAGTTAGCTAAAGCAGCGTGCAGAATATGCCATGCTGAACCACTTACTGACTGCATCCTTCTCCTCCTCGGTCATCGTCAGTTCTCCAGTATGACGATCGCGTACTCCCATCCGCTCACTTAGCGGGCCGAGCTCGCGGTCGTTCTTCTCATCCTCCCAGATGTCCAAAAAGGGCTTGCGATATTGCAATTCCAGGTTGTAGTCCTCGGTCAATCTATATGTCGTCAGTGCTTAGTCGAGTATGAGAACAGCATTGTCGGACACTCACGCTCGGAATGCTTCCCAGGGGACCACGTATTCTGGGACCCCTTCAACTGCCTCGGACATGAAGTACGTATACTTCCATCCGAATGGCGGGCGGAACACGCCATTCTCAGGGGTCTCGCCAGGGAAGCGAACGCTGTAGATATCGTTGCCCCATCCGCATCGTTCCTCCTCTTCCACCTCACCATCCTCGGGGACTTCAGTCCCTGCAGGTTTGGCGGTCCCAGCCTCTTTGCGTTTCTGATGAAAGGCGCTGACCTTGCTTGTAATCACGTCCGAGTTGGGGCACACGCCGATGAACCGACCGCCCTTTTTCAAACAACCGGCAACGTTGCTGAGCATCTGACGCGCCTTTTCCTCACTTTCGAAAGCGTAGTGGATGGCAAACATCGATGTTACGACATCAAACCCACCACCGCCCCATCGTGCCGCCATCAAGTTTCCCCCTGGCCCTGCATTGGCGTCAATACCGACGCGCTGAATGATGTCCACGTCGGCCAATGACTCGCCAAAACAGTCCTTGGTCGCGAATTCGGCGTGAAACAGGGGAGGCTGCGGACGTCGACCACGGCCACCTCCACCTCCGCCTCGAGAGCGCATTTGCCCGTACCGATCGCGAGCTTGTTCAACCGAGATGTTTGCAGGGTCGAGACCCACATACAACTCTACCTTCTGCGGCGCAAGCTGCCACTTGCCTAGGTCACCGCCCTTGCCACAGCCCAGGTCCAGCACTAGGAGCTGCTTGTCTTCAGCCGCATCTGGTCGAAGACTTTCATCGGCCCATTCCTTGGTATCATCGAAACGGGCGACAAAGTCCTCGTCGGGTGAGAACTTCTGGATCAGAGTGCTTTTGACCCAGTTGTTGAAGCTTCGTAGTCCCTTGATCTTGCTCTCTGTCTTGCGCCATTCTCGACCTCGTTCTGGAACGGCATTGTAATGCTGCCGAACAACATCAGAGACACCGCGGTCCCGCGACGTGCGCATCGCATCTTCCTCCATGGCGCGCTCGCGCTCTTCTTGCCGACGACGTAATTGCTCGGGATTAAGCAAGCCCGCCCGGGCTCCACCACCAGGCCGCTTTCGTTGCTTGGGGGGCTCCTGGGGGTCTGGGGAACGAGGCGGAAGAGGCGATCGAGAGCGTCTCGAGTAGTCATCGCGATTGGCGGCATTGCTGTTGGGACTGCGAGAGCGATCACGTCGGGAGAAGACCGAAGGTGGAGGTGTGCGACCACGTCTGCGAGCTTGGTGTCGTTCTTGCATCCGTCTGCGCTTGCTCATTGGGCCCGATGACTGCTGTTGCTGATCGGTGTCTGGTGCCCCGTTCTCGCCGAGGTTGCGCTTCCGATCATCATGAGACCCATTGTGCTCTGTCGATGGGTCAGGCGAGCGATGCGAGCCGTTTCTCTGACTATCATCGTGGGAGGCACTAGAATGATCTTTGTATTCTCGCCCAGGAGATCTCTCCATTTTGGCCTGCAGTTCGCGGATGCGGGTGGAATGGCTGACTGAAATGAGAGATTCGCCTCACTGAATGTTGAGGTTCGTGGGAGATCGATAGAGACAAGGGTTGGGTTCGGTTGTTCGTAGATCGCTGCTATGGGTCTGATGGAGTCAAAAGGCCCCACACTGATAACACTAAAAGGAGGGTAATCAGTGTGAATCGATGTTGTGTGAAGAAGAAAAAAAAAAGTTGAGTTGTTGGATAGCAAAAGGTGTGAGCGGCAGAAGGGAGCTTCGTGCCTTTGATTTAGTGGGTCTGGTCTGTTCATTAGACGCGGGCCCGGCCTTGAACCTTCACATGATGTTCGCAAGTGAGCTGCCGACGAAAAGTCACGCCTCACTTCAATATCACATATTCCAACATCGAGGCCTTCTCAAACAGATCATGAATCTTTCTTTACGCCTACTTACATTGTCAAAAAACAATTCATTTGACTGGACTTTTTGTAGGGTCTTGAGGTCTCTTTAATGTGTTACTGACCCCTAGATCTACATACACAAGCTCTAGGAATAGGTAAAACGGCGTGTCTTTTCCATTTTGATCTACATAATGATTCGATATCAGAGAGGGAAGTGGAAAGACGAACAATCATCATCTTAATCAAAGATTCCACAAAGTTCTTGCAGACTTTCAGAAAGAGAGCCGGCATTCCAATGAGCTCCTCGAGACATATTCTATTTCACTCTACATGTACCCAGGGATAAGGTTCCATAGTTTAATCTTGGATGTTATGAATATCTGAATGATTCTCGGTTCCAGACAAACCATAAACTCTGGTTATGGAATTGGAAGATGGCATCTTGGTAGCATGATCATTCAGAGACCATTACCTGCCAATAAGGCGACGATCACCATTTGTGGTGAATGTCACCAAAAGTGTATATTTACAACAGCCGCGATCGTCTGAGTCTATTAGGTTTATACCTGTCAGTAGATGTATCAAGGAGAGTTGGTTAAACAAAATCCAATTCCAAATTCAAACTAAATGCACCGCGTATTTGCAAATCCTTCGCCAAGGCAATGTGTCCTCTCTCACAATGGCTCTTGCTTTTTTTCTCCTGGTTTTTCCGTTTGATTTCCTTTTTTTCGCTGTCCTTTTTTTTTTGCCTTTCCTTTGCTTCCCGAGATGTTTAACGAACAATCTCTAGCTGAGCTTTCTCAACAGCTTCTGCCTCCAATAAAGAAACAAGAAAGAATAAGAAGGTGACAAGAATAAGAGAGGTGCAAAATGAGAACGCTGCACGCGAGCATTGTGAAGATACAACTCTTCCAGCTCAACATCCATAAGAAAGATATGTCAACCCTTCAAGAATCATCTACTCTTTCTTATGAGACGCGGAAGTCATCTCAATGCGGGTGCAAGAATCCCGCAGATTGACCAGAGCATGCCAATGGTTCCGTAGAGTATCTGCTTCGCCCCGCGTAGCTGGATCATGCTCAATTTGGAGAATTGTATCATCCATTCGACGGATCTCCTGGGTAAGGAAATCATTGAAGCTCTTTAGGTACTTTGGATCCAACAGCTTCGAATGACCAGCAGGTGCAGGCGGTGCAATCTGATCTGCTGACTGGGAATCAGTCGGTGGCGACCTGTAAAATTTCACACGATGTGTAAAGAGATTGCCTTGCTCGCTTAAAGCATCTCCCATCGCGCTTCGTTTGACAGATGGTCGTCCAGCTCCCGAGTCGAAGATCTTCCGAGCTTCGCTTTTTGAAGCACGTCCGGGATCACGAACCCTGACCTCGGCAGCCCGACAGGCACCGGTCTCAGCTGCATTACCTTTGTTAGATTCCCCAAGGCGGCTGGTGTCTGCCCGGATCCGGATCATGGGTTTCTTCCGTGAGAGGATATTTGGAGAAGGGGCAGTCTCGACGTCTGAGGTCTTTTCGGCGTCTTTATGAAGCCTTTTCGCCTTCTTGGCCGAAATGCTCTTATGATCCGGGCCCTCTGCGGTAGAAGATTCCCTTTCATGGCGCTTGCGAGTGTGGCTCCGAGGGGATTCCTCGGATTTCAGACTTTCCAGGCGCTCCTTCCACTTTGGCATGCACGATCGAAGAACATCTTCAGGAAGAAGCATCTCACCGTCCGGACCTCGCTTCAGAAGGGCTTGGCTCCAGGCCGCGCGAATCAACCCAGCAGCCGAAAAGTACTGCCCGTATTTCTGTCGCACTCTTGGGAGCTGAGCGCAGACAAGCCTGATCTGCTCTTCGTTCAGATCCCTATCCAGATCAGGTAAGCTTGCGGGTGCAAAAGGAACTTTCATCCGTCTTCGTGCACTCTGAGATTTAGCCTGGGATGGGGCTGGCTCAGGGGATGCAGGGTCTTTCAGAGGGGTCTGGGGGGTGGTCAAGGCACCTTCCGGTTTGTCTGGACCATACCATACATGTGCCGTTGAGGGTGCCAGACATTCGATAGCAGTTTTTTCCTCCTCGGTGATCACGAAGCAACTAGGATCGGCTGTCAGGACGGAAGAAGGCCGGTCCATCTTGACACGGTGATCATCAGCGCGTACATCCGGTCTGTATGAGGTAGTGGCGGTGAATGACAATTTTTCGTCTTCTAAGAAATCCACAGGCACATTGACTGGAGGTGTGGCAGTGGCAAGTTTACGCATTTCGCTCCCTGGAAGATCAATGGCCTCATCAATTGGAGATTGACTGGCGGCGACTGCAACTGTTCGAGACCCTGGGATATCCACAGGCTCATAGATTGGAGGTGCATTGGCGGCAAGTCCAATTGTATTGGTCCCTGAAAAGTCAATGGCCTCGTCGAATGGAGGCTCACTGCCAGTGACGGCAACTGTTTGACCCTCTGGGAGATCTATGGGAAAATTGACTAGACTTGCATTGGCGTCAATTGCAAGCGCTTCGTTTTCCAGAGAATCAATGGCTTCATTAATGGGTGATAGGCGGGGGGTTAATGCAAACATATCGTTTGGGAAAAGGGCCATGGTTTCATTAAGTGCAGCTGCACCACCTTCCGGTGCATCGGTAACAACGGTCATTTTGTCGCAGGTGCTGGATGACGAAATTGTTGCGCAGATGGTCTCTGTCGATCCGGTCTGTGGCGAGATTGTGGTTGGAATTGGAGACATTCACTCGGGGTCTTCGAAGATTTTCAAGAAGAAGTTTCAAGCAAGATTTCGAGATTGTGCACTTCCACCTTACCCGTACCTTAGGTCAGCCTCCTGGGCCACCTTGTCGGGGCAAGGGCTCGAGGGCGAGATGGGTCAATCAGTATATGTATGGTGACGTACTTTGGTGACCAGCAGTGCTTGTGCCTATTGCTTTGGTAGCAGGGCTTAAACGTGCAGTCAGGTCAGTTCAGTGCTGAATATAAGCTTCAATCACCGAATCACTGTGATGAAGGATTTAAATCAATGTTCGTGAGCATCAATATCCAGATATTTGTGGAAGAGAGATCAAAGTCGGCCTGGCAGCGGCGAGGTCTTAAATTTATATTGAAGTCGGATAACCGCGAAATGTCGTTTGTTAGAATTGACCACTGTGAGCGAAACTTCTCATTGACCACTGTTGAAAGTGAGCGTTGGCGGCCATTGGCAGGGCGTCAAAACCAAGTTTGGGCAGCCGCAAAGATTATCAAATGAAGTTTTCATGCGCATCTCTGAGATGAGACTAATGTGATAAGCATCGCAGTAGCCCGAGCGTGGACTGAGATTCAGGTGCGACTTACACCTTTCGTGCTGGGATCATGATGCTCGACAGTCAAGGATCCTCAGTTCAGGGACGTTTGAATGAGATTGATCATTGAAATATGACCGTCTACGGCTGTGATAATTGACCGTTCTGGAAGACGGTTCGGAAAACGGCAGTTGCGTCCCGGTGTCAAAAATAAAAGTCTTTGCGATCACCACAGGTTGAGTGTGACGTAAGGCTGCATGAGCCTACTGAATATAGAGATAGCAGGGAGACGTCGAGGAGTGCTCAAACACGCTCAAGTAACAAGTCTTCTAGTTTCTGTCGGGGACAGAAGTGAAAACTCAATGAGACATGACTAAACTATGAAACCCAGGTTATTGTGAAACGCTCAAAATAATGCAATGAGGAAGCCAATTGCTACAATCTGCTAGAACGCCATACGGAAGCCTCGAATTAGGGCACATCTGATGCGGGAGGTGCAGGCTTGCGACGTGGCGTCTTATGAGTCCAAACTTGCCTCATACGTCGAATTTTAGCCCACCATTCACGATCTGCAGCTTTCTTTTTCTCCTCATCTGGGACACCCTCGTCATCGGAGACTTCAGCGTCATGCGTCTTCTGCTCAGGCCGTGGACTTCCTTCTGGGGCTGTCGAGCGTTCTTGCCTGCGATGCTTCACTTTGATAGCCTCGGCGACTATTTCCCAGCCACTGCGGAGAGAAGCTAGATTTTGATTGGCCTTTCCAGTACCATTCTGAGCATTGCGGTCAGTCCATGGACAATAGTCCATGTGCTCAGCTGCCACATCAAGTGAGTCGAAGACAGAACGGTCTCCGTTCGCTTTGGGTTTGTACATCCACAGACCAAGACGCCGAAAGCAGGCTTTGCAAGCGACAAGATCTGTGGATGAGTCGGGACTTGAGTCCCAGCCGAATAGTGCAATGGCGAGCGCGGCCTTGTTAACATCCTGAGATGGCAAATCAGTTGGTGGCGGAGCCGAGGCCTCTCCACCGGTCTCTTCATTGGAATCGCTTGGCGGCAGTGTCCCGCCATCGGATTTTTGAGACCAGTCAGTGGGAAGGAAGTGCACAAGGCTCTCAATATCGAAGCTGTCTGGAAAGCGTAGCGTCTCAAGATTGGGTAGCCTTTCACTCATTTGAAGGAGATGGCTGTATCGAGTGCGAAGTCCGAGTATGGCGACATCTACGTTGGTCAATGGCAGATGTTGTATTGTCGCTGCGCATAGTCAGACATAACTCTTCGTCAAGCGCAGCCGAGAATTCAATGACGAGACCTACCATCACAACCCCTGTTCCTCCATGGACAGTTCTCGCCATGCTCTTCGATCATTTGTTTTTGATACTCCTCAACCAATCTCAAACCTGTACACACGTCCGTTAGCAGGGACCAGAACGGCAGATAGGGCGTTGTTCACGACCGAATCACACATACGGACTTGTTTCCTCTCCTGAGCCTTTTCCATGTCGAACCCATCTAGTTCATCAATCTCATCCGGGAGTTTCACAACGACCGAGCCACCACAGTTGCTGATGCAGCTGACCCGCGCAACATCCGTACACACCCATCCGCGCTTCGCCCATTGTACTTCGTTTATCGCAGCCGGCTTCGATGTCCAACGGTCGACGCGACGGAAAGTCTCGAGGCGTTCGAGGAATCTTTCACGGTCCCAAGGGACGAATGTTGGACGCGTGGAGGAAGTGGAAGCCGAAGAACTTGTTCGTTGAAGGTCGGGCCGAGCAATTTTGGACGTAGAATTGCGCACGGCGGGATATTCAGCAGTATCGTTATTATCCAGCCTCACTCTCTTGATCGAAAGATCGGCCGTAGTGCGGTTTTTGGTGGTCATGGTGGATTCAGGGCCGGGATTCCGCGACGCAGTCTCGAGGGTCAGAGGCTTCGAGATGGATTCCAGCATTCGGTGGAACTTGCGCTTCTTGGACTCGACCGCATAAGACATGGCGTCGGGTGATGTGAAGCGATGTGTTGATTAAGCGCGGCAGCATACGCCGTAGTCGTACAGCACTGCGGATCTGACATCAAGCTCCGCGGGCGGCACGTATTCTGCCTCAGGCATCAGGGACACTCTTCAGCTCTTGATAGTGGAGCTCCGCATAACTCTATTGAGTGACAGGCAGTATCAATCGGCGGTGGACGAGACAATGATAACTTGGACTCCGTAGAAGACTGAGCAGTCAGCATGCATTGAATAGACCAAGAAACACAGAGCCAAGTTTGAAAGCTATCCCACGATGGTTCCCCCAGAGAAGCCCTGTCCGGTCCACCGATCCACCGAAATAGTTCAAGATCTCTTTTCGGCCGGACAATCGGATACCGATTCGAATGACTTTCCCGATAAAGTTGAGCTACATTAATTTCTCGCCACTGATTGGCGATCGGCCCCCTGCGCCACATCTGGATAAGTCATGCAACCCGTCGACGCTCACTTCCCTCCTCACTTGCTTCCTCTCAAGCAATAATTGCTTTGCATCTTTTCAATTGCAATGGCTTCATTAGGCCCAGCCCTGCCTTTATGGCGGAGCATGACACCTCGACTGTCACAAGAACTCTTTACATGCAGACAATGCCTCCGGAATCAAGGCTTTGCTGGCAAAACTGTGCGCCGGTTCGCCGCAATGCCCTCCCCGAAGCCCAAGATGACTCGGACCTCTGTGCTCGCCGATAAAAACCGTCAATTCTTCACCTCGAGCCTGCGTCGATCCGTCGCCGCTCCCACCGTGGAGGCTGCCGCGGAACAGACTGCAGCCAAGGTCAAGTCAAGTTTCCCCAAGATCAGCGACAAAAGGGTGGCCTACTGGCTCTTGGGCAGCGCCGCCAGCGTCTTTGGTATCGTTGTCTTTGGAGGATTGACCCGGTTGACTGAATCTGGGTACGTGAACTTCCCGATCGGATTGTTTGTGGCTTTTGTTAGCTAATAAACTTGGGTATCGCATAGTCTGAGTATCACCGAATGGCGCCCAGTCACTGGTTCTCTTCCCCCCATGAACGCGGACGACTGGGAGTCTGAGTTCTCCAAATACCGTGCCTCTCCGGAATTTCAACTGCTTAACCCCAATATGACCCTGTCCGAGTTCAAGTCTATCTACTACATGGAATGGATTCATCGTCTCTGGGGCCGATTCGTCGGTCTGTCGTTCGTCCTGCCCGCTGTTTACTTCATCGCCCGGAAAAAGGTCTCTACGCCCATGGCCCTGCGCCTTGGTGGCATTGCTGGTCTGATTGGGTTCCAAGGCTTCATCGGTTGGTGGATGGTCAAGTCTGGGCTCAAGGATGATCTGTTTGCCCCCGGAAGCCACCCGCGAGTCAGCCAGTACCGTCTGACCACTCACTTGGCTACCGCTTTCACTTGCTACGTGGCCATGCTCTGGAACGGTCTTGCGATCCTGCGATCTCACCGCCTGATGAAGGATCCCTCCGAGGGTCTGAACCAGCTGAACGCCCTGCGGGATCCTCGACTGGCCTTCTTCCGCCGCTCCGTCGCCGGCCTTGCGCTTCTGGTCTTTGTCACCGTCATGTCTGGAGGCCTTGTTGCTGGCCTCGACGCCGGATTGATCTACAACGAGTTCCCTTACATGGGTAAGGGACTGACCCCTCCCAGCGCTGAACTCTGGGACCCACGCTACTCCCGCCATGAGGATCGCTCCGACCTGTGGTGGCGTAACATGCTCGAGAACCCTTCTCTCGTCCAGCTTGATCATCGCATTCTCGCCATCACTACTTTCACCTCTATCGTCGCACTCTTTGCCTATTCCCGCCGTGCTCCAATCAAGCGTCTGCTTCCTGCCCCGGCTCGCAAGGGGATGCACGGCGTCCTCGGCTTCGCCTGCATGCAGGTCGCTCTTGGTATCTCCACTCTGCTGTACCTAGTACCCACTCCGCTCGCGTCAGCTCACCAAGCCGGAAGCTTGTTCCTGTTGACCTGGGTTATGATTCTTGGCAGCCGTGTGTGGCATCCGTCGCGCACAGCAAAGCTTCTGCAAATGGCTGCCAAGGCTCGCGGCCAGCAGCTGTCCAGTTCCACTGCTTCGGCCATGAAGCGGCTGTAACGAGTTGTGGAAGAAAAGAACCCCCCACCCAAAAAAGATCAACTATCAGTGTGTACGAATATTGTGATCAAGGCTCTCTATCGACACATGATGAAGCCCTTCTGTTCTGATACCATCTCCATTCCTACCCAGACTCATCGACATGTCCCGAGTCCGCTGTAAGATTAGTCTCTACGCAATATAGCCGTCATTGTTTCAAGTCTCTACTATGACACAGAAATTTTAGATCATTTAGAATTCAAGTTGCACTTTGGATACTATGAGCCTAATGCTGTTGGATCGCCCAACCCATCAAACCAATGACCCTCGAGTTTTTCGAAATTTGCGCGTTGCTGGAGATCAATTCCTCACTCCTTCAGATCGGCCGGTCTCGCTCTGCGCGATGGGTTGCGACGTACATTGACGAGATGGTCCGGAAGATTGTCCAGGTCCATGTGCATCTTGAAATCCTGCAGACCCTGTGCCCCATTCACGCCCATCTCACCATCCGTGCCAGCCGCCCGCTGCGGTGCAGCAGCATCATTCGACTCATTAGCAGCTGGGGTTGGCAATTGTCTGCGACGATCCTGGTAATCCTCTCTCATGGTACTGAGGAGTCGGGCCGCCTGTTCATCCGCCGACACGTTGGGCGTCCCTCGAGAGGCACGAGACGGGCGAACTCGTCTGCGTGAGGCGGAGGCAGCGGTACTGGAAGGACCCTCGTTTGGCTTCGCAAGGGACGACATCTGGACCATGTCCCGAGGATAATGTATGGTGCCAGCCTTAGGATGCGAGCGGTCTCCACCTCGTTCAGCGAGGCATCGACGGCAACACTGCCATCCGCAAGGCGTGCATCGCCACATGCCCTCTGTGTTTCGACGATCACACAGATCACACTTGGCAGTGTGCGCGGACAGTTCTTCGAAGTCGACGGTCGTAACGGTGAGTTTCTTCCAAGGAGTTTCGTATGGGCTTTGTCGCGGGCGGGGGTCGGAGTAGGCGTTGTGGGCTCCTGACGAGCTTGGCTGGGCTGGCCAGGCTGGCCAGGCTGGCTGGTGGTGGCCGGAGGAACATTGACACGACCAAGGAGCGCCAGGGGATCGTAGGAACTTGTGAAGGAAGCTTCTGTCATGTTGAATGCTGGGCCTAATAGATGTTTAGTTAGCATGACGATTCGAAATTCAGCGACTACTACTACTGACACATACGTTGCTCGACGCTCTCGCGGACACCGGCTCGTTGGCTTCCCTCTGGAGCGATGAACATGCGTGGTAATAGAGGAGGGCTCTGCGTGTCGAAACGTCGCTTGTGTCAGTCACTTCTGTATAAGGAGAATGCATACGAAGCTTGAACTTACAGGAGGTCGGCGCGTGGTGTCGACTGGGGAAGGGGAATAGCCCAGAAGCTTGTCGGCCTGTCGAATGGGGTCAGAAACAATCCAAACCAAGAGAGGAATCCCAAATCTTCCGAGCTAAAGGGTCGTGAACGCACATCTGGGCTTGGGCCAGCCGGTTGATACTGGACATCCACGGGAGTCGGAGGAGTGCGGAAAATGCCCGTAGAGGCCTCTTGAGCCTCATGATCCTGCTTCACCTCGGGAGTCTTTGGGCTAGGGGTCACATCACGACTTGGGAAACCGGGCTGTGGTGACTTGAATAACCGCGGGCGTTTTCTTTCACGATTGTCTGGGGACGGGCTCTTTCGAGCAGCGAGCTTTGGACGACCGTGCATAGTAAGGTGTGTGGTATGGAGCTGTGAAACGAAGGCGAGGTTTCTCGAAGTTGCGAGTTGGTTCGAAAGCAATATTTTTGTCAGAGAGATCGCGAACCACAAACCAGAATAGATGAAGAGGGTAGGTAGAGAGGATGGTTGGAATGAAATATAAATACTTTGGGGGAGGACAGCCGAAAAGGCAAACAACGTGACGGTAGATTCCGCTATCATCTGCGCATGGTTTTGGTCTGATCGTGGATGATACAAACAATGATATCTGGATTTGGAGACACTGTGCGCAGTATAGAATTGCTGTTCTATTAATCAAAACAATGTCCGAAGGGAGCCATAATCTTCCGGGTCCCTATTTTCTTGTCATGAAGCAGCTGGAGTCTTCCGACACTCAAATAGACTATAGAATATAGTAGGTATCTTTCAGTTATTCGCAGTAGCCCGTTCGCGGAGTGGAGGCCAGGCCTGAGAATTGGTGATATTTTTCTCAATATGCATGTAGCTATTCACTGATCCACCGCCGGCGTTTAGTCTTCTTCGATCTGACGCTTTCGTTAAATGATGGACAATCCATCTCCCACATTTTCATTGATTAGTTGGCTGCAGGTTCATTGTTAGTGAAATCGGTTCGTGAAAGTTGGCAGAGATCAGTATCATACGGTTACCCTCCTCAGGCTGGGGCTTGCTGTTCACAGCCTCCAGAACAGACTTGCCATGGTGAGCAGTCTTATCTTCCTTCATCATGGGGAAGGCAAGCACCTCCTTGATGCTATAGTTGTTGGTAAGGAACATCACCAATCGGTCAATGCCCATACCCCAGCCACCAGTAGGAGGCAAGCCATATTCAAGAGACTGGCAGAAGTTCTCATCGATGAGCTGAGCCTCGTCATCACCTTGATCCTTCTGACGAGCCTGCTCATCGAAGCGCTCACGCTGAACAGCGGGAGAGTTCAACTCGGTGTATGCGTTGCCTGAGGTGAGGTAGGTCTCGTTAGCACATCATCGTCATTGCAAAGGGTCTAAACGCCCTTCCCAAATGGGGAACGAGGAACGAAAACTTACAAATCTCCTTAGTGGCAACGAAGGCCTCGAATCGCTCACAAAGACCAGGCTTGCTGCGATGGTACTTGGCGAGAGGAGACATCATCTCGGGATGGCTCATGATAAAGGTTGGGTTGATGCAGGTGCTCTCCAAGAATTCACCAACCAAGGTGTCCAACATGCGTGCATTGGTCAATGGGGGGTGCACTCCACGTTCATCTTCTTGAGCACACCCTTGAGGAACTCGCCGGTCTCGGCAGTGTGAAGCTGGTCCGCGGGAGGGAATGTCTCCCCGGTAGCCTCCTCGAGGCCAGGGATCATCTCAATTCGGCGCCAGGGAGCCTTCCAGTTGATGTTGTACTCCTCGCCACTCTGAGTGGTGAACTTGGTCTCATAGCCACCAGTAACATGCTTGACTAAGCCTGAGACAAGCTCCTCAGTCAGATCCATCACGTCATTGTAATCGGCGTAAGCCCAGTAGAACTCGCAGGTAGTGAACTCGGGGTTGTGGGTAAGATCGATTCCCTCGTTACGGAACTGACGGCCCATCTCATACACACGCTCGAGGCCACCGACAATGAGCATCTTCAGGTAGAGTTCCGGCGCAATACGCATGTACCTAAGAATTTGGTGTCAAATTAGTACGCACTGACATACATCACCAGGGAACGTGTACGAACATCTGTCAAAGAATTAGCGGTTGTCTCTTCATTGAATGTTGACCGCAACTCTGTAGACATACCTTCTGATCAAGGTCATTGTGGTGCGTGACGAAGGGCTTGGCAGTGGCTCCTCCGGCGATCTGGTTCATCATCGGCGTCTCAACCTCGGTGAAGTCACGGTTGTCCAAGAAATTGCGGATATAGCTGATAATCTTGGCACGTGTGCGGAACACCTCGCGAGTGCTGTCGTTCATGATGAGATCCAAGTAGCGCTGACGGAAGCGCAGCTCCTTGTCCTGGAAACCGTAATGCTCGGAGGGAATGGCGTGCAAGCACGGGGCCAGAAGAACGACCTCAGTGGCAAAGATGGAGAGCTCGCCATCGTCTCGGTTCTTGGGGGAAGTACGACCGGGATATCCGACAACACCGATAATATCACCACGACGGAGGTGCTCGTGCTGCTGCTCGAATGGCACGCTGCCAGTGGCGTTCTGGGCCTGGCACATGACCTGGACCTTCTTACCCTCGGCACGGAGATCGTAGAAGATCAACTTGGGTCCGGAGGCGCGCTTGGTATAGACACGACCAGCAAGGCGGATAGGGACATCGGGCTTCTCCTCGCCCTTCTTGAGGCTGTCGTAGTCTTTGAGGAAATCGCGGAGATCGGTGGTGACCTGAAACTTGTGGGGGTAGGGGTCTGGGTTCTTGGTCTCGAACATCTTCTGGACCCTCTTGCTTCGGATCTCAAAGTATTGCTAAGACAGATTGATATGTAAGTACTCGAACTCTCGCGCCGGAGTATGTGATCAAGTCCCCGTCCGTGGTGAGTACTACGAGTGACAGGCGGGCATTGCAACAGTTGGAGCCTCACTCCATCTTCAGAACCGATAGGAGACACATACATTGGGAGTCAAGTTAGCCTCATCCTCCTCGGCGGAGGTCTTCTTCTGAGCCTTAGGGGGGCAGCAGCGACCTTCTCCTTCTTCTTGGCTTCCCTCTCACGAAGCTTCAGGCGCTTCTTCAGCTCCGATTTGGAGACCATCTCACCGGTGACGGAGTCGAGCTGGAGGTTGGCCATGGAGGCCTCAGCCTCCTTGACAGTGTTCTGGTCCGCCATATTGTCTGGTTCTAGACGTTTGACACAAAATGGATGAATGGTTCAGATCAATGGAGGGGCGCGTGGAAATTTTGGGCGGGAGTCATGGCGGGGCTCGCCCGATTCGGTCACATAAATACCCCAGGATTCCGACATGAGTCACTTACTTGGATCCCTAGAGTATGCATATACTGAGTCACGAAGCCATAAGCACTAATGATATGGAGTGTCAGTTATTGAACTTGGAATCAAAACTGAGACCACAATGACCGTCATAGCATGTACGTTGCCGTTCGTCATGGCCTCTTTCATGCTTCATCAATGTAGTTCCTGATTTGGACATAGGGCTTAGGGTAATACTGTGGGGCTCTCCGAAGCCGGACCAGTTCAGATCTACAGGAAAGCTCCTTGGGCCATCACTCGTATAGCTAAAAGGAGATAGCAGCGAAGAAGTGCAATTTTGAAAACTCATTTAGTTTCATGAATTTGAACAATCAACCATATTGAGTTTTATGTAGCTTCCTACATGCGAGGGAGCTCATCACTACAGGGGGGCAGATACGAGGTCAGTGTCCTAAGATCAGTACTGAGGGTTTCGACTTCTTTCCATTCTTGAAAGACTTTGGCTTTATACGCAGGCACGAGGCGTCCAAATGTATTTAGCCAACAATCTTGTCTTGCCCCTGCAGCGCGAGTACTTGAATGGAGTCGTTAGTCATTTGATGATGCAAGCGTCATAGAATAATCTACGCAAATTTTGATTGCGCTTCCGTCGACATCCTTGACAGGGCCCAAATGAAAGATAAGATATTAGGTACTTGTATGATAAGCCTCCATAGATATTTTCCCAAGTCTATCACATTATCCAAATAGAGGTCATCGACGGACCTTGTGGATTGTCTGAGGCTACCAGACATCACGCACAGAGGTTGTACGGAGTATGATTGCCTTGCGAAGAAAAGTCGACTTCATCGTTGCAATGCAGGTTAGTCGGTAGGCAGAGATATCTGATCCAGATACGACTATACGACTCACCAGTAGATTCCGTACAAGTTTGTTGCTTCATTATTCCCAGTATATCGCAGAGAAAGTGGCGAGACTGGTGATTGGAGACGTGAAGCTGCTGCCCGGACTTAAGAGACTCATCGTCGAAAGAGGAGGAGATCTAAGCAACTTCTCCGAGTCTTTCATGGAACTCTCCAGCTTCCATCGATCAAAAACCTGTCGGAAGTTACCAGGGGACATACCACCAAATATACAAAGTGACAGGTCTCGCGGGAGATTCAAGGTCTTCAAATGCGTTGACTCGGCAGCCTTTAAAGTCGCCCTTCCTTCCAAGTCTCTCCAAGTCTCGCCGAGTATTTCTCAAGCTTTCTCCGCCAGTCCCCAAAGACCTTCCATTTCCCAGCAAAAACTTCAAGTCCCCGTCGATATACGGAGCGAATTCACTCGCTCTTTCGGGTCCGCATGAAGAAGCAAGGACCAGCTGCTAGATCAGATTTCGTCATGGCGCGGCAACCGCTATTCAATCGCCTACCACAAAACGTCCCACCCAAGACAGAAGAAAGAGAAATTTACAATATGCCAACAGAAGATCGAACTTGGCCGCATCCTGAGCCATCAGTTGAAGAACAGTTCGTCGAAAGAGAACCCTCCGTCAAGGCTCAGGGTATCGACATCATGACTTTGGACATGCAGCATCTCGTGGGCAAAATCCAAGAGCTGAGCCGTATTGGTATCGAGGACAACCAGATTGCATTGCCCAAGATTTGTGTTGTTGGTGACCAGAGTACTGGCAAAAGTTCTTTGATCGAGGGTATCTCCGAGATCCAGGTTCCCCGGAGCGCCGGTACCTGTACCAGATGTCCGATGGAGATCAATTTGTCGGAGAGCAAGCCAGGTGACCCGTGGAAGTGTATCGTGTACCTCTCCCGTCGGTATGTGTACGACCCGTCGAACAAACTAAAGACCTCGAAGCGAACGGGTCTCCTAGGCCCTTGGGTTGCACGCGTCGGTCGAGACGAGGAGGTCTTCATGACATTGTATGATAGATCTGAGGTGCAAGAGACTATCAAGTGGGCCCAGGTCGCCATTCTGAACCCAGCAGATGATTCCAAAATCTACAAACCTGGCATGAATCGGGGAGTCACAGAGAAGACTGCTGTTAAATTCTCGCCGAATGTTGTTCGATTGGACATCTCCGGGCCCAAGTTCCCAGCTCTGTCCTTTTATGACCTTCCTGGAGTGATTAGCCAGCCTGAACACGACGATGAGAAATATCTCGTCAGGCTGGTCGAGAATCTAGTCAAACACTATGTGTCGCAGGAGAATTGCATCATCCTCCTCACTTTGACCATGACGGACGACGCTACAAATTCGAGTGCTGCTAGGCTGATCCGAGACATCAAGAACGCCAAAGAACGAACCCTGGGCGTACTTACAAAACCAGACCGTGCCTTGGGTATGGAATCTTTCGAGCAGTGGAGAGAGATCCTCGCGGGTCAGAAATTCAAGCTGGGCCATGGGTACTTCGTGGTGCGAAACAACCAGGATCCTGGTGTCGACCATGCAAGGGCTCGCAAGGAAGAAGAAAGATTTTTTGACGGTTCATTCTGGAAGGGTTCTATGTCTGAATATAGAGATCGCCTTGGTGTTCGCCGACTCCAAGAGGCACTCAAGGAAATCTTGATGGCCCAAATCCAGATGTGCCTGCCGTCCATCATCGATCAAATCAATGAAAAAGCACGTCGGGTCAATAGAGAGCTGGCGGATTTGCCAAGTCCACCCACCGAAAACCGTCAATATATCGTGATGGAGAAGGTTTTGGCCCTTCGATCTCGGTTGAACGAGATCTTGATTGGGAGCTCTGAGGTTCACGACACTCGCAAGATGTTCCTTAGGTTTTCGAACCGGCTTGCCACGGATTTTCAAACAGCATTGAAGATAACCAAACCGACTGTCATGGGCGTTGTCGTGACAGACACGGAATCAAAAGGCAACCAGAATGTCAATGGCTCACCCCAGGCCGGTCGATTGAAACGCAAGCATGAAAGCAGCGACATGACACCTCCAGACTCGCCGACCCCTGCTCCGCCCACCAAGCTGTACCTCATAGATGGTATTTTCGACAAGTACGTCGAGGCAGCCCGCAGGTTCCACCCTCGTGAGATTCGAGAGTTCCGAGAGGAATCGGGCTCGACAGGAATCCCGAACCATATTGACCCTACGGTCATTGAGTCCCTGAATAGAGCGAGCATCAAACACTGGAGCGAGCTTGCGAGTGTCTTTGTCTCTGCGACGTGCACAATTGTCCTCAAAATTATCACGAAGTGTCTCGATGAGGTGATCGCCCAATATCGTCAAACGGGCCTTTATCGAGAATTGAGTCGAGTTATTAGCGAATTCATCAATGAATGCCAAGTTGAATTCATGGGCCATGCCAGGGCTCAATTCCGAATCGAGTACGACAAGCCCTTCACCATGGCTCAGGCGCGACACAAAGCTGCCTCCAAGAGCGCTCTTCAGCTGCTCACTTCAGGACGCAACCGAGCACGAGCGCGAGCGATTATTCGTCAGGCGGGCGGTGATGTTGATGACGAGTCCAAGATTGTCAAAATCATGAAGGATTTGGGTATTGATGATTTTGTTCAAGAAATCGAGATGATGGCAGTATGTGTGTGTCGAATCCTCGCTTGTATAGGACCATTTCGGTGCTAATGGCATCGCCTTGCAGGATTCTCATGGGTACTACGAGATTGCGAGCTCCCGCTTTTTGGATGTTATTTGCCAGTCCGCCCATGCCAAGGTCATCAGCAAGTGCCGGACTCACCTGGTTGACGTGATCAACGACCGATTGAACACCAAGTGTAAGTGACCATCTCCACCATTCGGCATGAAGCCCGCGCTGACTGGGTGCATTTTGGCGATTCAGCTGCCGATCAATGTAACGTGTTGATGGCTGAGGATCCTGAGCGAGAGCGACGACGCGGGGAATTGATTCGTGAGCGAGCAAAGTTGAGTCGAGCGCAGGATTGGATCCAGACGATTCATCATACTGATGATATGGACACTGTGTCTGACGGCTTTGCCCCCATTCACGAATGGGCCCCTGAGGATGAGCCAATGTGACTGCTGGACCATGTGCACTGAGTTGAATACCCAAGTTGGATATTCGGGCTCGCAGACGATCGAGTCCTAGCTATGCCTATTGTCGAGCCTCAGGCACTTAGAATGGAAGCCCGATATGAAATTTATCACCAAGCAGATTATTATTTTGCAGAGGATAGAATGATTCTTGTTTTTGAAGCCAAATTGTGAAGGCGTCTGGCCGTAACTCAGTAGTATGACTATGCAGACGGTGAGATGCGGTCCCACCTTTCTCAGCTGTGCCTGATTAGATCCACCCGAGTCACCAGTTGGCGGCAGGCCCCACGTTCGATGGAAGCCCACGTTCTCGATTTCACGTCAGGTGAGCTCTCCTGAATTCCCCCACCACCGCCCGCCAGCGTTGTCTTGGCATTCGAAGCTCTCGATCTGGTCGCATCTGATTCTGGACTTTGAGACTCTTTCCAACCCGTCAATTGTGTGAAGATCCTCCTATTGATCTCATCTTCTGGACATCTAACCCAAGCCATCATGGTTAACGTCCCAATTCGGGGTGATTCTCACCACTCCTCCACCAAGGCTATCATCTTGGTGAGTTACCTCCGATAATGCTGCCCTCATCAGGGTGATATACAAACTAAACAACGACAACAACAACATTAGGTCGGAGGTCCTTCTCGTGGTACTCGCTTCCGCCCGCTGTCGCTCGATGTCCCCAAGGTACATACTGCAGTCATTACTCTCAGTGCGCTGTGCGCTAAAGAGCATTCGAGAAACCGAGCTAATACAGAGGCCCCCTTTGCCCCGCAAATAGCCCCTGTTCGAAGTCGCTGGTCATCCCATCATCAATCACTGCCTGAAGGCTGTCGCCAAGGTCGATGATGTGCGCGAAGTCATCCTGATCGGATACTACGACGAGTCTGTCTTCCGGGACTTCATCAAAGAAGCGGCAAAGGAGTTCCCCCAGTTCCGCATTCAGTATCTCCGCGAATACACGGCGTTGGGTACCGCGGGTGGTTTGTACCACTTTCGTGATGCGATCCTCAAGGGCAAGCCCGAACGTCTTTTGGTGCTGAATGCCGATGTCTGCTGCTCATTCCCTCTGGGCGAGATGCTGCGGTTGTTCGAGGAAAAGGATGCGGAGGCCGTCATCCTGGGTACGCGCGTCACCAACGAAGCCGCGTCCAACTTTGGCTGCATCGTGTCCGATTCCCATACCAAGCGTGTCCTGCACTACGTTGAAAAGCCCGAGTCGCACATCTCCAACTTGATCAATTGCGGGGTCTACCTTTTCGCGACGGAGTGTATCTTCCCCGCCATTCGCAGCGCCATCAAACGCCGCACCACCCGCCCTCGCTTCCTTTCCTACCCCTCCACGGACAACCTCGAGTCATCCTTCGTCGCTGGTGATGATGAGGATGGTGAAAAGAACGAGGTTCTGCGCTTGGAGCAGGACATTCTCTCCGATCTGGCCGACAGCAACCGGTTCTTTGTGCACGAGACGAAGGACTTCTGGCGTCAGATCAAGACTGCTGGTTCCGCCGTGCCTGCCAACGCGCTCTACCTTCAGAAGGCCTTCCAGGCACAGTCCGAGGAGCTGACTGCTCCCTCTGCGACCATTGTGCCCCCAGTCTTCATCCACCCCACTGCCACCGTGGACCCCACCGCCAAGCTCGGCCCGAACGTCTCGATTGGTGCCCGTGTGGTCGTTGGCGCCGGTGCTCGTATCAAGGACGCCATCGTCTTGGAAGACTCAGAGATCCGTCATGATGCCTGCGTGATGCATTCCATCATCGGCTGGAGTAGCCGCGTCGGTGCCTGGGCTCGTGTGGAAGGTACCCCCATCCCCTTGGGCAGCCACTCCACTAGCATCATCAAGCAGGGCGTGAAGGTGCAGAGCATCACCATTCTCGGCAAGGAATGCGCTGTCGGCGACGAGGTCCGCGTGCAGAACTGTGTGTGCCTGCCATACAAGGAACTCAAGCGTGTAAGTGAAACTCTCCGAGCCACATGTCCCCGAATCCACCTCGATCCTTTGCTGACATCATGTTCTTCTCTTCAATCCAGGATGTTGCCAACGAGGTCATCATGTAGATGTCTGTCCTGGAAATGTTCTCAATGTTTTGCTTCTAAAATACCTCCCATATCTCGTCTATATTAAGCGTCATCGCGTTCACCCTTGCTTCTTAATCTCATTGTCGACTAATCATTAAACTCGTCTGATCATCCTGCGAATTCTCTGGAGCCAATTCTGAGATCATCCCGCTGCCAGGAATCGGCCGTCTTTCAATCAAGAGCTGCGGATTACCGGCTTTCCAGCCGGTCATCGACCTTCCAAATGTTCATCAATCGTAGTTATATGAGACACGATCTTTGGTATCGGTTACTATGCCATGAGACAGGTTGTAACTGTATGGTCCTTGATCACTTCCAACCTTATTAGATGGAACCAAAAGGCCTCCTCCCAACATACATATCTATCGAACAAAGTCAACTATCAACGCCGTCGCTACATGTGTGATCCGCCTGCGGAAACCACGAGATATACAAGCACTGACATGCCTTCCGCATGACCACCGACTCCCAACAACACACCATCTCAACCTCAGAAGAGACAGCATTTGCCCTGGCAAAATTTCACATCTCAACGATAAGCCGCCGGATCATACCCGGTCCGCTCCGCAGGATGCTGATAACCACTTTGGAACCGCACCCCTGGCGCCCCAGCACCAGCGCCAGCGCCCCTATGATCGTCAACCGCTCCCCTCCCTCTCGCATACATAGGGACATCATTGTAATGCGCCCCTCCTGCTCCTCCCCCTCCAGCCACCGAATCCCTCCTCTCCGCCAACTTGACATCCCACGGATCCTCCCCGAGCGCGGCCGAACTGGTCATTGGATCATACGCGCCCAGACGAGTCTGCCGACGCCGCACCACGACGTCCAGCACAATCGCGAGCATATGGCCCAGGGTGGTGAGCACGGTGAAGGCGAAGAGCGCCTTGTAGGTGCGGCAGACGGAGATGCCGGTCGCGGTGGCCCAGTATTCGGTGGTGCAGGCGGTTAGGATGGTGCCGGACATGCTGTAGGCGAGGAGGCCAAGGGCGACGAGCCAGATGATTAGGGGGAGGATGTTGGTGAAGAGGGAGAGTTTGGGGGAGAGGCGACAGGTGCAGTTGACGAGGGCGGTGGTGGTGATTGTGATGAGGGACAGGACGGAGGAGAGGAGGAGCTGTGTTGTGTTTGGAAGAAGGCTTGTTAGTTTGTGCTTTGCATGGTTGGTTTGCATGGCATCAGGTTTGAGTGATGAGGAGGAGGGGAGAGCGGGATGGACCACGGATAGGTATGAGGAGTTGACGTACGACGAGATAGACATAGGGAAGCTTGAAGCCATCGGCGCGAAGATGGTAGATAAATATGGCGAGGATGATCGCGACCACAAGAGCGGAGAGGAAGATGATGGAGCGAATGCCATGGAATGGCAGAGGTGGATAATCGGACGGCTTGACTGATGTTCGCGACCTCATCGTGGACGTCAATGATTGTATATGATGACAACTGTGCAGTGTACACAGTGTTCAGTTTTCGGGGCACTCGCTAATGTCTGTCTGCCTGCAGTGAAAGACTGGCAAGGAGACGGATGGATCCAATTGCCGGGTAGGAAAAATGGATGTAGGTTGATTTTAGGTGTCGAGGCCTGAAGAAAGATGAATGAAGGAGGTAAACAAAAACAAGCGTGGGAACATCAACAGGCCGGAGAGTATAACTTGCTTTCTCTAGCTAAAGCTCATGGACTAATGGATTATCAGGTCGGTAACATACCCAACGGCCGTAGTCAGTTAGTAATTGACTTACAGTACATCAATTAACCTATTGGACGTGTTCCCATGGGTCAGATCTTCTCCCAATGAACTCAAAACACAGCCGCCTCTTTTTGATCGACAATGTATGATGGGCCACTTTTCAATGGGGATGCTGCGTCACGCCCGCTATTTTTACTTTGATCGTGGAGCTTTGTCTTTGCGCGGGACAAACAAATGGGCCTGGACTCTCGCCAGTCGCCACGGCAGAGTCTGGGGCTCTCCACCTCGGGCAGTGGAAGACTTCATGATCTGATGATACCACGGATAGAAATTGCAAGGGTTGTGGTGAAGAGAGCGTAATCCGAGCTCTTTCGTGTACTGTCCAGAAGATATATTCCTTTTTTGACACTCATACCTAAACCGAGGCTCTGAAATCTCGACATCTCGATTGCAGAGTCGACACTGACAGTATGCACTCTGCAGTAGTTATGATGCACTTCCAGTTTAGTACTCCGCGCAATCAGAATCCCATCATTAGTGGGATTCGGGGAGCCTTGGCGAAGGTAAGTGATGTCTCCCGAGCCCGAGCCGCGTCATCCTGTTTGATCATAGAGACGTTGCCGTCTGATTCTCATGCTTGGATTCATGACAGCTTCTTCTCGGAAATGTCAAGGACTTCTTAAGATGGCAAAGATGAGAACAAGTCCAAAACGGACACACTCACCCATAAGTATATGCATGATGTCCAAATCTGGAGTGATCCAGGGCCACAGTCGTACATCCCGCAGGGACAGGTTGATATCAGCAGAGATTCAATTGTCAATATATCGCGATGCTCAGTTCCAGGTAAGATCTATGTTTTTGACTAGTTAGTTGACTAGTATCTGATGTAACTTACTAATAACTCAGGTAAGGTTAACTAATCAAACCTCCTGACGGACGGACGTCGAGTGCCTGGTGACCTAGGGCTCTTCTACAATGTATCAACCTGTAACAGTTATCCCATGGAACAGTGGGTGCAGCTGCTTCTGTATCAATATGTGCTTCAAAATTGACCTCATTACCTGTTTCTTGTTACTTTGCAGAGTTTCTCTACAGACCATGTGATCAATGTCAATGTCTGATTGCAATCATTCTTGGGTAATTGTTCTCACTAGACGGGCTTCCATGAAGCACGTCTTGGACATTTGAGCCGACTTAGATACTCATCAGCCGCGGCCCAGACTCGTGCATCCCCAAATTTGCCCACTGCTCCCGTTCGTCACCAACTGCTCGCTAAGAGACTGGGTTCCCTGGAGATCTCTTCACGGGAACTCCAAGCACTGATCTCTCCTTCCCGAATTCAAACTTGTCCTCAATTCTTCGTGAATTTTCAGGACATCGGAATACCCCCGGCACTTTTCCTTCCCCTCATCAAGCGTCGTAGGAAAATGTCAAGCCGAGTGAACACTCCGACACAATCTGAACTTTCAACTGCTTGTCAGCTGCAGCGACTTTGAAGCACGATCCAGTGACTCCTGAAGGAGTGGAATCTTTTTCGCCAGCTCCTTCGCCAGTTCCGGCTCTGCTTCCGGCTCGGGTGTCTCTTCACTTGACATGGTCACGCCGGCAAAGTCCCCCGCGATCAAGTCAATCTGACCCTCTAACTCCTTCTTGACAGTCACCATGGAGGCTTTGATTGTGTTCTGGTAGAAAGACTTGGTGGACTCAAGATACTTGGCGTAGAAATCTTGGTCGGATAGATGGCGTTGCATGGCTTCTTTCCGTCTTCTGTCGCTGCCTACTCCTAAATCCCCCGGCGGGAGAAGTCAGCGCAGTGAAGTTGCTTGGCTGGCACTCACCATGCCCGCCGGCCTTGTAGGCTGGAATACATTCCATACGAACCTGACTCTCTGCTGCATGCGTTGTACACCTGACGCATCAGATCTGCGATCAAGGCACTGTGATTGTGGCCATCAAGGGTATGTTGCCTCGCTAGTCTAGCCAGATATCAATCAAAATTGGATTCGGAGAAGAGTTGCAAAGTTTCTCGACATACTTGACTTTCTGTTGAAACTCGGACATGCAATGCGATAGGGCCTGCTGCATATTCTCTCCCCGGTGCCGCAAGGCAAGAATCAGATTTTCAATGACATCTGGAGCTGCGTGACGATGAGCTGTAACAAGAGAACCAGAGTGAGTCAAGAACAGTACCTCTGTCCAGTCTCTCAGTGCGAGGCTCAATGTACCTTTGATTCTAGTCGAGAAATTCTCAAAGAGACCGGTGATACTCTTGCTCATGCGTAACTTGTGAGCCAAGAGCCATTCATCCACCATGTCCCAACGGGGATCGAGCCATGACCGCACTTGTTCCTTGAGCTGGTCATTCCAGCAGGAATAACCCCTTTTTCTGGTCGTATGAGTTCCATATTTTCTGCAAAGGGCGGCATAGCTTGTCCAGTGCCACTTTGTGGTACATTAGCCACTTGCAGCAACTTCTCAGAATTATGTTCTATCGCATGAGACGACTTACTCCTCTCCACTTTTCACTCACTGTGATGAACTCTGTCATCATTAGTTTGTCTACATGAGAGCCTATGGCTCCGGTTAGGTTCTGCTTGACAATGATGATTCACCGCATGGCCAGGAGAGTTGACTCACGAAGATGCTCGATGACAAGGTTCTCAAAAGTCGGCAGTGCCTCCTTTTGAACAGCGATCAACAATCCCGAGGGCGAGAGAAGCGCCTTGAAAATGTCAGCACTACCACCGAGTACCTATGGAGAAATCAGTGACTGAGCCGTTGCGCTCAAATATACCTGTCGCAAAGAGCCTTCTGCAGTTTGAAGCACCGCTTGTAGCTTCTCAGCTTCTTCAGCCTCGACAGACTCATGGCCCATCAGCATTCATTGATGAATCGAATGAACCAGCGCGGGCACTTCATGCTGAATGTAAGCCACGGCGGAAACCGTTCGAGCTTCTGCAGGTATTCCTCGACAGTATGTCTGCAGCTCACCAACTCCGCTCAAATCTCTGTATTTCTTGGCAAGTTTCGATGGTGGATTTCTGTAAAGCTCATTTCCAATACAAAATATACGAATCGTTTGAGTTTCGCGATTCTCTCGTTTCTGGATTGCGTCACGAAGCTCCCTCTTTACTGATTCGTTGCGATTGCTCATCAAAATGGCTTTCCGTCTTTTTTATCGCTGGTTAGAACTCGCGGGAGAACTCATGCACACAAGGGTCCATCAAGATGAATTGTTCGTGCATACTCACTTGAATTGAAGTGTGTAGATTTGATCACTGTCACAGTGTCAGTTGATATTCACAAAGGTACAGATGAGGAAACAACATGCGTACTCGTTCATCGCTTCCATCATGGCAAGTCCGGCCATCGCGTTTCCCCGAGCAGTCCTCCTCTCGCGCCCAATTTCATGTGTCCGAGTCTCGAGATATTCAATTTCAGCGTTGATCTTTCTAATCCGTTCGGCGAAGGGGCTTTTTCCACGAGCCAGCTCGTCTGGGGAAATCTCCTGCGCATTGAATATTAGAGTATGTCTCAGCGCGACGTTGACACACACTCACATCTGCCCGCGTACAGACAATGCGGATCTGCTTTGTTTGTCCGCACTTTTTGATGATCTCGTAAATCGACTCATTCGAAACACAGCGCGCTATTGGAGTCACAATAAAGACCTCGTCACACGTGTGCGCAAGGTACTTTTCAGTAGCTCGTACTCTTGCGTGATTCGTATCGCGCAGGCCTAGCACGTTTTAGCACAACAAATCAACCCAAGAGTGGGAAACATGGGAGACTGGTCACCTGGTAAGTCCGCAAGCACCAGGCCATGCTCAAGTAATGGTAGGTGAAGGAAAATACTATAGCATCTATCAGCAATTCTGTATACTGACCATACCACCGTCGATGAGCGTCAAAGGGGCCATATCTCAACTTACCGAACAAGCTTGATGAAAGGCCATAGAACCGGTGCATTGAGGTCTTCCGGATCGCTTGTGAGATGATCCAACTCGATCTTGCAGGCTTCTAGGTCTTTAGCAACAACGGAATGGTGCAACGAACTTTCCCCTTTTGACCCAAAAGAAAGACTTTCAAGAGCGGTCTGTTTCAGTTCCTCCAAGATGTCCAGCTCCTTGTTTGGCTGCAAAAAGTAGTCCAAGTCATACTCCTTGCGAGACCTGAATATAGCCTGTAAGGTATCATACGATCTCTCTCCAATTGTTTCATATTCACTCCAGTCCTCTTCCGCAAGCACAGTACGATCTGTTGTGTTATATGCGCGTCGGATGCTGCGTAGTAGTTCTTCCAGGAGCTCAGCGACCTCTTCTTCACTCATGAAGTCGGTCTCAATGGTGTAAGGAGTCGGGTGCTTGTCGTCCAGGTATCTATATTCCATCGGTACGGATGTACAAGCCGCTCCAGCTCCGCTCTGGACGCAAATTCAAAGGTCAGCCCATGATTAGCTCATGAAAACCTGACAACTCCTACTACCGATACTCCATGGGTGAAACCATAATCATACCGAGCGTGCGAGCCCCCTTTGACCCATAATCGAGTTGATCAGAGAACTCTTGCCTAAAACGAGTCAGCACATCATGGAGTGGTCAAGACCCATGAATTCTCCAGGCTCTTACCCGCTCCAGTGTCCCCAATCAAGCCAACAATACGTTCCTCTCGATCTTGGAAATCTCCCAGCTTCTTAGTCTCTTGAGCAAGAAGATGTATCTTTGATTGCGTGTCTTGAGAACGCGAACAGCCGTCAATCGTCTGCCGTAAATCTTGAAGCTGTGTCGTGACGGCTTTCAAGTTTTTCTGGCAGTTCAGACTGTCTATCAAATGATTGCCAACTTCGTCCTCATCATCCGCCTGACTTTCCTGAGAGAATGGGTCTGCGGGAGTCTGAGATCGTGACTGGCACGTACGTTGCTGCTTGCTGTCGTACTTCCCTCGAAGGGAGCTGGGATGCTCGAGAAACCTCTGTCTTTTCCTGGGGCTGACCGGGACGTTCTCTTCTTCCTCGCCTTCATCCTCGAAGTCCTCCCAGTACCACGCGCCAAGTCTTGTCTCGCCGTCCAGGGCCAGCAAGAGTTCTGTAGTTCGAGAGAACAAGTCTTCGGACTCTCGAAAATGGGTCTCGCCGACCCCTTCATCATCTGAGTGAGCTGCTTTCATTTCGAAGCTCGAGTTTGGATCCGTAAGAGAGTTAAACTAAGGAATGCGTTTATTTTGATTGTTGTGGTTCTACTTTTATGTGCGTAGAGATCGGAGACTCGACGTGACGTACGAGATATTGGAAAGTAAGGTAGTCGGTTGATTGCATGGAGTCAGAAATACTGCTGTGAGCCCTATGGGAAGATTTAAATTAGTTCGTCAGGAGGTCTCCCAGCTCACGGCCACTGCCCGTTAACCGCCGTCAATTTCCTTTTACAGTGGCATCTACCGATTTATATGAAGAAGCTCAGCTCGAGTGAGCACAGGGAAACTTCCGGTCAAGAATAAGAGATGGATGGATTGAATAACGATAAAGTAAACACATTCAAAAGCCGAGTCGTGAAACAGCTTCAGTCGCAAGGCCCAAATATTCTTCAACCTTAGGCAGTCTTCGCTCCAAGCGGATAGTCACCTCGGAATCCCTCTCGGTCTCTGGAGTTTCACCAGTGGGTAGTATCACAGAGTTGATGTCATCCGCAAGTCGCTGTACTTGCTCCGACAGTTCAACATTCAGCGTAGCCAAAGGTTCGTTGACAGCATGCAAGTATGTATCACGAACACTGCTCGCGTATCTTTCGTAAAGATCATTGTTTGACAGATGACGATACATGATGCGTTTGCGTCTGCTGTCACTTCCTTCTCCTTTGAGTTAGAAACCCCCGGTTAGCAAAAGAGTCCGGTATCAGCGCACAGCCAAACCTCCTGCTGCTGTATATGGTGGCCACAAACCTGATTCCATATTACATTGATTGTATGCAGCACGCATCAGATCTGCTATGAGAGAGCTGTGGTTGTGGCCATAAAGTGTATGCTGCTTCAGGTCACTTGAGATCCCAGTGTTAGCGTTTTTATGAGATCGCATTGCTTACGAAAGCAGTCTTACTCACCGGATGACCCGGAAGATCTGATCAAAATAGCGTTCGAATTTCCGATAAATATTCATTTGTCGACACCCCAGTGTACAAAGGAGATTAGAAACTGCACCTGGTGCAACCTGGGTGAACACTGAAGTTCAAACTGTTAGCATGAGCGGGATGGGCTTCTACCAGCCTATGTCGAAGAAGTCTTTTAGTGTAGGAAATAAACTATACCCTGTATCTGTGCGAAAATTCCTTCGAAGAGTTTGGACAAGGCTTGCTGGAGGGAATCCTTTTTGGCATACAGCTGCGATTCCAGCCTTTCCCAATAGACGCCAAGTTCGGGTCGCACTTGCTGCATTAGTTCATCGTTCCAGCAAGCTGACCCTGCGGCCCTTGTTGCATGAGTTCCATGCCGGCGACAAAATGCGGCATAGGTTGAGTGATGCCACTAGCGATGTTTCCGTCAACATCTGTCTGCTACTTTGGAAACTGACATAGGGACAACACACATTTTTCCATACACTGCTGGTATTGAGGAACTTCCCCATCATCCACTTCATTCTCAGAGGATCTACATTGATCTTCAGATTTGCTCACGAAGAATGGAGGATCTCATTTTGAGGCTTACTCACTAAGATTGAGCATTACTGTTCCCTCGAATGCCGCAACAGTCATTTTGTGAATCTCACTGACACAGCCTTGACCGAAAGTAAAGCTCTGCCATGGATGTCAGCTTATCAGACCAAAAGCGGGTTCCAGAACCGAGTCTAATAGCTTACATACCTCGCGGAGAGATATTTCGCTCTGATCAACAATCTCTCTGAGTTCATCGGCCCCCGCGGACGACTCCGGATATCGGCCTGCAAGGCACCAGTGCTGAAGAGAGCGCACAAGTGCCGGCACCTCATTCTTGATGTATGCCGCTGCAGACAACATTCTCGCCTCCGCAGGCACTGAACGACAGTATACCTGCAGTTCCTTCACTCCACTCAATGCCCTGTGATCATCAGTTAATCGGGTGGGAGGGCTTGAGTAAATTTCATTGCCAACACAAAACACAATGATTGCCTGATCTCGGTCATTCTCTCTTTTTTCAATGGCCTTGATGAGATCTCTAGTCACGGACTCATTTCGCTCCTTCATCAGGGATGCCAGACGTCTATTATCTGCCATTAGTACAAGCCCCCTTTGTTAGGACAGTGATATGCACGCACTCATAGCGACGCTGGTGCACCTCATCTCTGTAGAGTGAACTAGTCAGTTTACTTTTTTCAAAGCCCGTCCACGAGAGGTTCTCTTACTCTGTCATCGCTTCAATAAGTGCGAGCTTTGCTATCTCATCACCCTGGGCTTTCTGTCGTTCGCGGGCCGCCCGGGCGACTTTGATCTCCAGTTCCTTGATCTTTGCATTCATTTTTTTGACCTGCTTGGCAAATGGGGTGGTGCCTCGCGCAGATTCTTCCGGTGATATTTCCTATTTGTGGGACATTGAGCACCAAGACGACCTCCGCGCAATCTATAGCATACTCACGTCTGCCTTTGTACAAACAATCCTGATGCGTTTCATCTTTCCACACTTATTCATAATCTCGTAAATCGACTCATTGGAGACGCATCTGGATATGTTTGCAACGATGAACACTTCATCACACTTCGCCGCGAGGTATTTCTCCGTCGCGCGTACTCTGGCATGATTCGTGTCTCGCAACCCTGGGAGACTTCAGCATCACAATATGCTCATGACAGGCAGGAGAAGGTCATTTTACCTGGAAGATCCGCAAGCACTAGTCCATGCTTGAGAATCGGAAGATTGATGTAGACACTAGCTGCAGTTTAGAGGCCGACTTCATTCACACTGTTGTTCGTCTGCTCAACGTACCGAATCAACTTGATGAAAGGCCATAAAGCAGGTCTATTGCTGTCTTCTGGACCACTTGTAAGAACATCGAGCTGCTCTTTGCAATCTTCTAAGTCATCTGCGACGAATAATAACTGTGACGAATCAGAGCCTGTCAGCCGAGACGACAGTGCCCGCAAAGCTTCTTCTTTCAAGGCGCTCAGTATCTCGTTCTCTTTGCCTGGCTGAGAGAGATATTCGAGAGTCAAATCTTCCCGGCCGTGAAAGATTGCCTCCAGGGTCTCATGTGACTTCTTTCCAATTGCTTCGTATTGCTCCCAGTTTTCATCTCCGATCAAGCTTCGTTCGGGCTTACCGCAAACTCGCCAGATGCTGCGCAGAAGCTCATCGATCAATTCTGAAACTTCCGTTTCGCTCATGAACTCGGCTTCAATTGTGTAGGAGTGTGGGTGGCTGTCGTCGATGTATCGGTACTCCATTGGCACGGAAGTGCATGCTGATCCAGCACCACTCTGGTTGCAGATTCTTAGTATTGCTGATCACCGGTCAATGTATGGATGATGCAACTCATACCGAGCGCGCCAGTCCTCTCTGGTCCAATATCGAGTTTATAACAGAGCTTTTGCCTACAACACAGTAAGCTTAGTTGATCTTTGCCTCGTCGCATTGTATACTTAGGACTGACCCGCTCCGGTCTCGCCGATGAACCCGAGGATACGTTCTTCCCGGTCCTCGAACAGGCTGAGTTTTTGAGTCTCTTGGCAAATTCTAGAAAGCTTGCTATCGGAGTCTTGCGACAGTTGACAGCTCTGCATTCTCCGACAAAGCTTTCTAAGTTGATCGGTAACCAGCTTCAATTGCTTTTGAAATTCGGGGTCGTCAATTGGGTCAAGAGCTTCTCCGTTACTCTCGTAGTCTTCGGGCTTCACTTCGATTGCCAATGCAGAGGCGTCAGATTCATCGTCACGGATTTCTAGCTCTTCCTCGTCTTGATCGGCTCGACTCTGTTTGGACTCATGGGTCGCAGAACCTGCATTTGCTGGATTAGCCAGAGGTCCACCATTCTCCTTAGGTGGGAATGTGTGTTCCGAGTCATAAACAGTCAGCTTCGTAGGAGCTTCGGTCAGCTCACCATATACTCGCAGCTTCTCGAATTGAAAGGGCAGGCCGTGATCTCGTTTGGGGCAGGCCTCGTTGGCTCCGCAAAATATATGGGAGCTCCCAAAGAGTGTTCCTTGGCTCGATTTGAAATTCTCTGTTTTGCTGGCAGCTGTAGTGGGCTCCTCACTCGAGTCAGGTAGACTTGACTGTGACCCCCAAATTTGACCATTCTCCACGTCCCTGGAAAGTATGGCGCTTCCTGATCGCTGCGCGCCAAGTCCAAAAAGAGGTTGTGACGTTGAAGAATGAGATAGAGTAATGCGATGTATCGGTAATTCTTTCCGTCGAGTCTGAGTTGTTTCCGCTATAATGGGAAACGAGATGGATGGTTCGACTCTCTCATTTGACTGCTTTGATTGCCCGAAGTTGGTAGTGCCACCTTCACGCTCTCGGATATCAAGTGTAGAAGGTACTGTTTGGCCACTGTCTGAAGGTCCCGGTGGAGGATTGTTCTCATGAGCGGATGAGAAGGGGGGAATAGGGACATTGTCCTGAAGCAGATTTCTGCGCTTCCAGGGCCACGCGGGAATAGAATTGTCAGGGAATGATGACGGATTGCATTTGAAGTCCCCAGAGCTAAACTCCATTTTGTAAAAGTAGCTCGATCAATCTGATGCTAATTAATCAGGAAGGAGTTTATTCTGAAATGAGCGAACAATGGAAGTGAGTATTGGCTCGGCTCTTATGATGATCAAATAGTGACAACCACTTACTAGTCTCCATTTTCAGTCACCACCGGCCCCCACTAGACCAAGAGGAGAATGACTGGGACACACACATGCCCCATTTTCGTTGATCTGCAATATGTCGCCATTTCGCCTAGCGATGCAAGCAGGTGGTGCGCTCTGCAAAGGGAGGGGCTAGCGACATGGTGCTGCGCTAGCAGGCCTTTGGCGGCTCAGAGGGAAGGTACCAGTACCTCTAACACGGGGACGATAAAGAACAGTTCGCTTCTCAGAGGATGTTGTCTTCCTTCATTTCTGTGGATTGTGTCTGGTTGCCCTCAAAGAACGAACGATCTGCCGTATTTCGCGTATCTATCAAGGTGTTTTCGAGATTGACCAGGTCTCCAGTTCCGGACTCGATCGTGCGGGGAGGCGCTTCAATCCAATGGTAGAACACGATGGGATTGACACTAATGCATGAATATCCTTGTCATAGCACAGAGGCCGTGTGACATGGTATGGAACAGGCTACCTGCACGACAGCCTTCTCAACAGCAAGTTTCTGGCTGCGCAGAGTAACCCATTCGGCCTGCGTGGCCTACTGGAATGGTATGATCTCGCTCAGCTACTGTCGCTATCTTTGGGAATTGCGAGTGTCATGGTCGTCGAATCTTTGAGTCTCGGAAAGCTTCATCACCCACCTCCACATCTGATCATTTGAAAGTGCGCCAGTCTGTGGACCTACGTGCAACGTTCCATGCCCTCAAAAGCCGGACTTGCCGACCCAGTCCACGTTTCATGCGACAATGTGCGCCAAACACGAAGATAGCCAGTACATTGCGATGTTTTCTCTATCTCAAATTAACCCACTCTCCGCGTGACTCGATACAAATTATACATGTGCCTATTACGGTCGACATCAATGCTGGCTGCATGAAACGTGATCATCTCTTTCGCTCAGACCCTGTCCTCGGCCGCCCCCAGATGCGGAAGCGCCTTCAAGGCAGCACGCGCCTCGGACCAGGCCTGATCATCCGGATAAAGAGCACTGCGCAAATAAGCCCAAGTCGTTCGTTGGACCATGGCGAGCCGCTCGGGACTTTCATCGTCAGTGGCCTCCGCGACGTCGTAACCGGATACCCCTCCCAACCCGTGCTTTCCATCTTTCACCGTGAGGAGCGACTTGGGGCCTGGACTATGGTGATACGCGTCTGCATGGTACTCAGCGCCACGAGTTGTCAAGAATGGAAACCCATCCTGGTCCCCAATCACTACCATTGCAGGGGCCGACATATCGGCATGACTATGGTATATCAATTCGGTGTTTAGGGCAGCAGGGCCCATGCCGTCTCCATTTCTTCCATCCCCGGGGCTTGCAAGAAGCACCCCGGCTTTGATACGAGGCTCCCGGGCATTTTCAAAGGACTTGAGGGAAGGATTGGTTCCTCGTGCACCGAGAAGTCGGCTTGCTGTATGGCCGCCCCCTGAGTGGCCAACCACAGCAATACGTCCACGATCCAGACGGCCTTTGATGTTTGGGAAGAGTGTCTCAATTTGGTCCAGCTCGTCGATGATGAGCTTGCAGTCCGCCACACGGCTTTCCAAGAACCAAGGAGCTTCTGGGTCGTCTTGGATGGTGAGGTTGAGAGATCGAGAACCCAGATGCGTGGGCTGGATGACGACGAAGCCGTGTGAGGCCCAGAAGTTGGCGATCGGGGCGTATCCATTCAGTGAGGAAAGGTTATTCGACGGGCCTTGGCCGTGGGAAAGGAGGATGATCGGCAGATTCTCTCCTATGACAGGTGCGGATACACGAAGGTGCAAGTCCATGATGCGATCTGGGGCCGGCAGCACAAGCGGACTCATCGAGATGACAGGCTGCGTGGCATTGATGGGTAGCTTTGCGGCATCTCCGATCAAGGCATGGTCCGGCAAATTAGCACGACGAACGGTGGGTTTTTTGGGTGAGCGCTGGTCGACAGTCATGATGATATTGAGATCAGTGGACACTGTTCTGAGACTGGATTTCGTCAAAGAATTATGTATCAGATAAAATGGATGTCTGATGAAGCCTTTGTCAAGACTGATGGTGATATTTGTGTCATTAGGGCAGCAGAGTCCATGATTCTTATATTCCAGTGATCATCTCGCCCGTTCTGCTCGATATTACTATCGGATCTAACAGTGTTAATGCCGTCGAAGTCTTCTCTACAGACGATACTCCTCGGGTACACTCAGGGTTCCAAAGACCGAGCAGCTGAAAGCTATCATCGACCACAGATGGGAACTCGTCTTGGGCACTCGTCTTTGGGGCCCCACTGGCGTTTCAAAACCATCAAGGTGAAATTCCGCCATGCTTACGAAATACAAGACATCATCCAAGCTCCGCTATGGCTGAGAGGGAGAGAGGTGTGACTTGTTTGATCGGTCTTTAGAGCGCATCGACGGCGTTAGGTCTTTGGGGCAGCCGCTGCACGACGGGACTCCTCACGCGGAACAAAACTTACCTAAGCGCCCTCGATCTCCGGGACTAACGTGGTTCGGGCCGCAGCTGGGGATCCCAGCGATTGCCCGTCTACTGATACTACATTAGTCAATTGATTCGTGAAATCCAAATAGGATACCAAGTGCAGCATGAGCTATGAATCAGGCGATGGGGAGCCATTTCTTGATATGCTTGGCATGTGCCCAGGCTTCACCTATAGTCTATAGGGGTCTGATGTCGCCAAGTCGATACTATCCCTGACGAAAGGCACATGGAAAAATCGCTGGAATATACATACTGGAATCTTCCCCTTTCACCTCAACGGGGTTGTACTATTCTTTCGTGGCGGAGGCTCTCCGTAACACCGCCAAGCCTAGGTATAACCTACCGACGCACCGTACGTACTACGTAGTACGTACCACTACGTAGTTGCACAGCAAGCATGAGGAACCTCGAATGTCACCGTTGAGAAATAAAAAAACCCGTGCGCTAGCATTGAACGAAATCCCGCACCGGTAGAGCAAGCTAGGCCAGAGAAACAATCCCGATAGACTGATCGGAGACATGCAAGTCGGGCGTCGGATCCGGTCCATGTAAATCTGGAGTTGAAGCCCTGCTGGCAGCTCTTCAAGGAAGCTTCTCGGAATCGCGGCGTGCGGCCCAATCAGCAACGAGGACTGAAAGCTCTCCCGCCGTGCCGCGCGATCACTCTGCTGCCTCCAGACCATCATTACCTGGTCGGGTTCATCATCAACTTCTTTCATCCTCGCCTCGCCCTGCGAGTTCACATCTCTCGAACTTCTTCACCACATACAGCTATTTTCAATACCCTTTGTTATCGAGTCCATCCAGATCGGCACCACATACCGCTCACTCGGCCCACCCATCTGACCAGAGTGTGGCTCACACTCTTCCACAACCTAACCCCTCCATCAGCCTCGAGTCTATCTATACCTCGGCCGGAAACGCCAACTCTTTCATCGTTGCGCCATGGCGACTTACGAAAGTAAGCACTCGCCGCCTCTATCATTCAAGTCAATTTACTGACCCAATTCCACCCCCTCCCTCTTCCAGCCGAACACGACACCACCGATCCGGCATTCGCCAACGATGGTCCCCGTCGCCGCCGTCCCGATCTCTCCACGTTCTTCGCAACGCTCTCCGAAATCACACCCGGCCCGGATCACAGACCTCATGCCGTCCCTGTACCGGGCGACGTGAGCGCCGCCTTCTACTCACTGGCAGAAGCGTTCGAGGTCATGCGCCGGGATGCTTCCACGACGGCTGCACAGTCTGGCGACGGGTCAAATGGCGATGAGCTTTTGACCCAGATGATTCAGACTTTGCTCAGCGAGGCGGACACGCCTCCGAGGGAAGTAGAGGGGGTCAGTGAGGAATTCTGCGATAGTAAGTTCACCGTCCTAACCACTTATACTTCAACAAATGTGCCTTTGTTCCTTGCAGTCTCGATGCCCAAGGCTGTGAAGCGATGAGAGCTGGGATGGTGGGGGAACGAACAGCTGCTGACGGAAGCGCCCCCGTCATGACTACAGTGCTCGACCGTGTGCCCAAGTCATCCCTGGACAAGTCCCAGGTCTGCCCCATCTGCAACAATCCCTTCTTGGAGGATGAATACCCGCTTGTCGTGCGACTGCCATGCCACCCTACACATCTGTTCGATCTCGAATGCGTGCGCCCGTGGCTTCGCCTGCGGGGCACCTGTCCGCTTGACCGGACCGATTTTGCCAAGCAGCTGCGCGACAAGGACGCCGAGCGGAAGAAGCTGGTTGAAGAGGATGACGAGGAGGAGTGGGATGGCATGTATGGTTAAGTCGTGTTATGAGGGTGGCAGGAAATGTGGTTGATTGTACCGCACAGTACGTGGTAACGCTGATCAAGCAGTGGGCGGGGCATCAGTTGCATTAGAGTCACCTACTTGCTTTTATAGAGGAGAGACCTTGGCGCGATCTCGTTGGAGAAACGAGTTTCGCTATCATTTAATTCATGAAGATACCCATTTTAAAGACCACTCCGACGACTCCACCTGCACGGGAGGCTCGTCTACGCATAGTTGGAAGGGCGTGATGGTCCATATCGGTACATTTGCATTTGTCCAAAGGACTGCTGTACAAAAGACTTTTGTACAGGTTTACGCCCTTTCTAATGAGAAACACGAATGGGGCAAGCAGGGTAGCGCACGGTCAGGTTATGTGCTTTGAGAGCCTCACGATGAGGATTCTTCAGATGCACCCTTGGGGCGAATGGCCAGCTTGCCGGCCTGGTCGATCATGGCTTCGTACCCACTGCGTTCCAATACGCCACCGTCATCCCTGACCACTTCGCGGGCCTCGAGTTCTTCAACTAATCGTTGGTTCTCACGATTACCTTCGAGCAGGAACTTCAAACACATTACAGCGTGTTCCTTGATATAAGGGTTGTTGGAGTCGAAAGAGGTGCACATCAGAATCGCCTCAACGCCACCGTAGCGACGAATCTGCTCCTGCACTTCGGGGCACTTCCATACCAGGGATGAAAGCACTAGCACAACAAGCTTCTTGAGATTCCGCCATTCAAACTCGGAAGGATCCTCGGTGATCGGAGGTGACTCGGGTCGCGAGTCAACGCTGCCGGCATGGCTGTCAAGTGGGTCTGCTGGGTCACTTGGATCGTAGGGACGCTCGACGGCGACGGGTGTTGGAGATGCAGGCTTGGAATTCGTGTAGTGATTGGGAGAAGCACTGCGTGCTGGAGGTGGAGGTGGAGGAGGCACCGAGCCGAAGGAGAGGGCGCTCAACTGGCCTTTGGGAATGCTGGCCTCCAACTCCTTGATGAGGGTGACGAGGTCGTAGACAATTTCCCACTTGACCAGCAGATTCTTCCAGTCATTGTTCTCAGTCAACACCGCAAAGAATTCAAGGAATTGATACACGCCCTCGTAAACCCGTTCCATGTCCCACAAATTAAGAGGGAAATCTTCTGGCAGAGCACGGTCAGCCCGAATCTGGCCTTGAAGGTAAATCAGAGCACAGGTCTCCGGGATGATGTTTCCACGGAAGATGGTGAAGATGTATCTGACTGTCAAAACATCCACACGGCTCAAGGGCGATGGCATCCTCGGGACGCTGCCCTGTGTTGACCCCGTCACCGAAGCAGGCGAGTATTTCGCGCGGAAGATATGAGTCAGGATCTTGATGACCACGGCCTGTGCTGGCGAGATTATGTCTTTCGGCTGACCGAAGTCAGAGTAGGCGTGTGACATGAGCCCATTTCGCAGAACGGCTTCCATGATTTGGACCATCATCTTGAAGTATAGTTCGTCGTCCGGCAGATCCCAAGCAGCGATGAAGATCAGTAGTTCACGCAGCAGATTTCGACCAGTTTCCTGAGTCAGTAGGATGTGACAGCGAAGAGCCTGCATATTTCGTGATCCGTTCCTCTCTCCACCCTTGAGCCCGAAGCTATCAACAATACCAGCTTGCACGATCATAGGTAAGGCTTCGATCTCGGCTGGTCCTAAGACAAGAGGGATGTCTGTCAATAGGCCACGTTGTTGATCACCGGGGCGTCCGCGATAATCATCGTCGTCTTCATCATCATCCACATCTCCACCATCCTCGCCACGGTCAATGTCATCCTCTTCTTCCTCGTCCTCGTCCACACTCCCATCCGCATGGCCTTCCAAGCTATGAACATCATCTTCGCTCACTGTCCCGGCATCCCCGCGATCATAGTCGGCACCATCGTCTCCAATCTGGGAGGCTTCCTGTAACCGGGCCATTAATTCGTCTTTGGCTTCCTGCAGTGTCTCGGCGGCAGATTGCGACGATCGAGGTAAGCTCGTGTCGTCCTCAGTGACTGTTGCGTCCACGGAATAATCGTTGACCTCAGGTAAATCCGCCCAGCACAGCCGGGGGAAGCCCGCGGTCAAGCTCCGATCGATTGTCAAGATCGTCTTCTTCTTCATTGTTTCATGTTCATCGTCCTCTGGCAAAGCAGGAGGCAATTCGCGTGCCCTCTCCTGTAAATCCGCCCAACCGTCAACCTTGGCGCCCAGAATCGAAGTTAAAGCAGCTCGGATGTATTTAACCTGTTCAGGATCACGACCCATTTCTTGGATATCGGTCAAGTCACGTCCAAGAATCTTCTCCATGTGGTCTTTGATGTTCGCGAGCAGAAGCATCGCAGCCTCCTCTTTGATCGTTGACGGCTCACGCGGAAACTTGGCGATGGTCTCCAGAAGCAGGTCTTCCGCAGTCTGGTCATAGAGCGCTCGGATGGGAGGATTGATGACCCGCTCTCCGATCTTCACGATCGGAGCAACTCCTTCAGTCCGAGCCGTAGAATCCAGAGCTTCCTTTGGCTGGATTATATTCGTGTCCGCGGTGGAATGGTAACCGAATAGATCGAGCCACAGGACCATTTTCCGATGCTCATTGTGCATAATGAAATTATGGAGGTACTGGAGACATGTTATGAGAAGTCGCTTGTAGAGGTTAACGACTTTTTGCCAGCGCTCTTCATTGCGAGCATTCGTTTCGCCGTCAAAACCTCTCGCCGTAACGCGCACACAGGTATCTATGAGAGCAAGAACTCGCTGATCAAATCCTTTTTCAGCGGCGAGGTTCTGGGCTTTCTTGGTGGTCGCAAGAAGGTTACGAGCGATGGTACACAAGTCGTTGAGCCTTTCTATATCTTTCACTAGCGAAAAATAATTGTAGGCAATCAGATTGGACGAAGAGTGTTCGAGTGCGGCGCGAGGACTTTTCCATGCAAAGGACTGCGATTCGAGGACCGGAATTGCTTTGGTGAGCACATCTGTAAGTCCTGCCCAAATATCTGGAGACATGCCAAGATTGTGTCTTTAAAATGATTTCATTAGCTCCACTTCATGGAAAGTACACTGAGTTCATGTCTGCCATACCGAACTTCACTTTCTTGATGTGTCTTATACAAAATCTGCTTTCCAGCAACGAGCATATGCTCTAATCGCTTATCGTCAATCATGCCCCGCGTCTCATAGTGGCTAAGTGTCCCAGCTAGGATGACCTTCAACATCAGCTCCGGCGGAGTGCATAGCGGCTTATTTTCCGCCATCTTGCGCGGCAAGTCGCCTCAGATATAGAGCGGGGGCTGCTGGAATTGTCAAATCGAAGTAGGATGGATTGATCAGTCGAGGAAAGTATTGCTGCCGAAAAAGAAGAATTGTCGACAATTGGGCTTACCGCCCACACTACCGCCCCTCACCCCAGATGTACCTTCAACCAATGAATTCCGACCGTTGTCGACCTACACCAGTGGGTTCACGTGCTATCGGTCGTTGGAACATTATCATGTCCTTCCAAAGCCTACCAGGATGCACAGCTGCAGGGGGTTTCAAACCTTCGATAGACTTTTTTGGCAGTCACTTGGCACGTCTCAAGCTTTTGTCTTCGCTGGGCTTCGGCTACTTGCTAATAGATTCGTTGGGATCCATCTGGTGGACAATGCGGACAAGAGACCCCTTCTCTCTGTCGGAATGAGACCTTCAGAGTATCTCGCGTTAGATTTATTCAGAATCAGCTGACTTATTGTAGAACCTTCATCTCATCCAAGCCTCGTACTATCGGATAGACATTTCCAGAGCATCCGCAAGGTTGCGCTTGAATCCTAGATCGTAAATATTGTCGAGGTCCTCCACATGTCGAAGCATGGTCCAACGCAAGTCAATCGAACCCGATGTCGCTTCTTGTGGATAGAAGATACTGTTTCCGCCCTCCTCAAAGACAAAGCCTTCTAGCGGCGGGTGATCATCCGTCACCAAGATCTGGTTACTTTGCACCGGCCATGGCTTGTCTCCATAGTCGACCTGGGAGGGTGCGCCATCAATTTGAGTTCGATCTGCTTTGAAGACGAAGCCATCCAAGACATCTTCTTTCCAATCAGCCCATTTGGCACTCTCGTTTGTCGTCATGCCTGCCCAGATCAAGTATGTATGATAGACCAAGAAGGCGATGGCAAGAGGCGCCGTCATTACCATCAACAAGGTGACAGTGCCAATCCTAGGGTCCCTGGTGATCACAATGCCCCAGACGTGAAAATACATAGACCAACTCCTCATAGCTTCCTGTACATTCGGAGGTATGATTTTGTGCATGGTTTGTAAGAGAAGGGAATGACCCAGTGACGTGCCGTACATGAGGAGTACAGACAATGCCAGAAGAAGCGAGAGAAAGTACTTGTAGTTCTTGGCCCCAACGCAATTCATCAGCCACACGCAATGGTGGTCGTGTCGTGAGATACAAGCCTGGCAAAAACTGCAATGTTTGCTGCGGGCAGGCTTGAAACGTTTGCAGGTCGAGCAAACATGACCCGAGTGAAATAGTGCTCCGTCGTAAGGATACCTCTTCATTTCTTGCGCATGGTTGTCGGAGTCAATGTATGATTTTGTCGTCACACACTTATAAATCAGAACATAGGGCATTGTGATCAACACTACCATCAGGAAGCGGTGCACATCGGAAATCCGAGGCCATGCCACTGGTACAAAAGCACATTCTCCGATGCCGAGCAGACCGATGAAAAACACCTGGAATGACTTAGAATCATGTTCGAAGTATCATTTTTGGGAATATTTCTTACGAGGACCAGAGGGTGATTCTCGTGGAGTATATAACTGCCTGAGCGGTTCCACGCGTGAACTATCCGACCCCCGAACAAGTGCGAGTCGATCCAAGCAATACCACCCGGTAGATGCACCCATAGTAGCCGATGGAAGAAAGCGATCGGTGTTTTCCTTGATTATATTAGCTAGTTCCAGGGGAGGTTCTCCACAATGACTTTACCTGAATACGGGCAAGCGACCAAAAAGTGCCACGAACACGAATGCCGATATTCCTAGGACGACAAGAGCTGCTGTCCGTAATAAGCCCATCTTTCCAGATGGAGCGGATTTGGCTGGATGACTAGTTGTATCGAGGCTTGAAGTATATGTCAGCGAGGAAAAGAGTCCATGATGGTCTTCTCCCGGCCGCGGATTATACAACCGTACATTGGAGGTGATGGTACTGCCGTCGGCCACTGTGCCGGTCGTTTGCCATTAGAGTCAATCACGTGATGTTGCTTCTTTCGCTGTCCCTCTGCAGATTGGTCTTGTCGTGATACATCTCATCTGCCAAAGATCTTCAATGCCACAGCTCTCCTGACACTCGTTCTACAGCAGACCACAAGGACTTTGTCCACGGAATATGGTTTTCTGACGGTTACAATTTCCAAATTCCCTGTCGCCGTGAAACATTTGCAGCCCAGCCACTGGGACACGTGATCACGCGTAACAAAGACCACTGTGTGCTCGACTAAGTGTATCGCGACTAGTGAGAGACAAACAAAGCTTCCCGGTAATTTCGGCGTTACGAAGCTGCATGTAGTATGCCGAACTTATTTGGTGGGGCCAGATTCTTCTTATCTCATGCTGTTCCACAACGAAGCCAGCTGAGACTCACGATCGAGGTCTGTTAGAACTGGGATGCGTTACTGGATTCCCGACGTTGACATCTGTACAGCAAAATGGAGGTACGGTCGTCTTACTAGAAAAGGACGCGGACACAATACTCGTGGATCATTTGAAGAAATCGCAAACTCACCCTGCCAATGCGTATGTCGACCAAATTCCTTTGGAAATGAGGGCTAGGAACTGATTTGTTCTGCAGACTTTCGTATCAATTCGTGGAGAAATCCGTTCGTAACGGTAAGCTGGAAGATCCTGAGCTTTACAAAGTTGGTCCATCTCCAGCTCGACCACTTGGTGCTTCCAACATTCCCACCAAGAGCACGAAGAGAAGTTACAGCCTAGAGGATGACCGGATTGTCTTCGATTGGCTCTATCCTCTAGAACAGACTCCAGGCGCACCAACACATGGAACTTCCATCTACAAGCTCCTGGCTGAGCGAGTGAGTATTGCCTCCCAACGATTGCGTGGGCCTCTTGTTGCTTGATTGAAATTGACTTAATGACCTCTTAAGTTCCCACAACATACATGGCAATCTTGGCGCAGCAGATATCTGAAGACCCTTCGGGGGAAGCCCCGTCCAGGTGGCGGTGAACCCAGGCCCGATCTCGTGTACGGGGGCCCCGAAGCAGTTCCCGGTTGTAAGAAACCGGTGACAACACCCCAGCCCCCCCAAGCAGGCTCGCTCGCTACAGGTAGAAGTCCTGCTGCTGCGACTTCGAAAGAGCTTGGGAAATCTGCGTCAAGGCCAGTAAATAACCAATCAGGCTCAAAACTTTCAACAAAACCAGAAGTCTCGGCGAGAAAACGAGAGCCGCCTTTGACCTCATCACTTGAGACCTCCGGGGCTGCAAAGAAGGCGAGGAAAGGGCCCGACAAAGCAACACCGAGCTCTGCAGTTGCCGTGCAGTCGCCTCCCGCTCAGACTCCTCTGAAGGCTAAGGAACTGGCGAGAACCCCTTCTAAGGAAGAGGTGCAAACTGAAGGTGCTCAGGCACCCAACGGGGTCCAGGAAACTATACCTCTCGAGAATGTCCCAACGTTAGACCAAAGTTTGAAGCGTCCAGCGAAAGACCAAGTTGAGGAGCATGCAGACCCTCTGTTCCAACATCTACCATTCTTTCCGACCAGTTCTGATTCTGGATCTGACGACAGTGGATCCGAAGATGCTGATGATGACAGCGACCCTGAAGAGTATCCAGATCTCCGTAGTTGGGTGAACGCACAGGTGGCAAAGGGTGTAGACGGCCCAACCGTTTTGAATGCGCTGCGCTACACCAGCATGGAACCCAGACCGGCGAAAAAGTTACTTCAAATCTTGGTCGATGGAAACTCTGTCCCGCAGAACATGCGAGGTGTGTGGACTGAGGAAGATGATCGATGCCTCCAGAGTCGCGATGCCCACGACGTTGAGCGTGTTGTCATGAAACATGGCGACAGACTGTTCAAGGCACGTTGGGAGTACCTTGAGATGGCAAGAGAAAGAGGCCTGGTTGATTAAAACGATCTTCTAAGATTAAGATACCTACAATACTCAATATTGTCAAGTATCTTTACTCGTGGGCGTGGGATCAAGCGTAGGTGCCAGCCATCAACAAATAAAGTTTCCGGACAGTCATGACCGATTGCGACGGTAGTGAATCAACAATTGCACGATCAATTTATCGTAATGGACATACAACAATTTTTGAATTGATATGCCTATGATACACTGCCAAGCCTGGCTCTGAAATTGGTAGAAGAAGAGACGCCGAATACACCGGGCCCTGTTGCGAAGAAATGTTGTCTGAATCTCCTTCGAAGTCACTGTTCATAGTTTGATAATGAAGGCCATTACGAATCCCATGTTAAACGACGCATTTACGTCTCTTTGAACACACTGAATGAGGAGTTAGCATTGTTAGGTTGCACATGGCAGAAATAATCATCATGCAGTGAACTTACAGATGGTTTTCGTAGAACTCAAGCATCTTGGACAGAGAAAAAAGTTAGAATCATCTGCGGGAATAGACTTAAGCCGTAAAGAGATTGTTTTTTCTTACTTGACGGGGGCACTTATCATAGCAAGTTTCCAATGCAACGCGGGAGCGTCGTCCGTTCTTCCAGAGCAAGAACGCATACAGTGACTTGGTCTCCTGATCTCTGATAATAGTGTCGACTCGCTCAAGCTGGCTACCCCAATCTTTAACCTTGGGAGTCCAGGAGAAATAATGCTCTTCCTCCTCGGAAGCTGCCTCTGGGTTGGACTCCTCTACTGCAGGAGCTGATGACTTTCGTCGGGATCGCTTGGACTCGGCAGGCTCAACGGAAGCCGAGGGTTCCTTGACGTGGTTCATAGACTTGCGCTTGCGGCCGGGTCCAGCCTTGGGCGCGGGCTTCGCGGCATTCTTTCGAGGGCGCCCACCGATCTTTTTGTAGTAAGCGTCCAGGATTTGCTTAGCGCCCGACCTGAGTTGAGTTGTTAGCGGAGTCCTGGCGACTATTGTGACTAAAAGTGTGGTGGACTGTAGAGTGGACGCACTTCAACGACGATTCTGGTTCCCATGTCAGGTCTTCAGGTTTATCCCAGCCTTTCCACTTCACGTGAAGCTTGAATGAGCCCTATTACAATGTTAGTGTATTCGCAAAACGGACTGAGAGAGCCGACGTAGAAAAACTTACGTCGTCCATCCACGCGTGATCAAGAATTTTCTCGACAACGAAGCTGCATTGGGTCAGACGGATCGCATCCGATAATGTCTAGAGCATACACAATACTCACACATCCTCTTCTTCTTCTTCTTCTTCTTCTTCTTCTTCTTCTTCTTCTTCTTCTTCTTCTTCCTCCTCCTCGTCTGCGGCGTCTGCGGCGTCATCCTTCACGTTCACATCCTCTTTCGCGCCATTTTTATCATCAAAGGGGATGTCGCCGGACTCCTCGTCGGAGATATCCTCAATGGGAGCTGTAAAGAGAAGTCAATCTCGGCGTCCAGGTCACCGCCCAAGCGAAGAGCATGTGGGCGCAATTACTTACGGGGCATGTTAGATCGAAAAGGTGAGGCAAGATTGAGTAGTTTGGAGAACAGGGTGACGTGAAGAGGCGACGCTGCCTCAAGTGGATGCAATTGAATAGGTGTGGACGTGAGAGGAAACTTCGCGACACCACAAGTTGGGTGAGGGAACCTTATGTCGCGAGCTGGAATCGCGGGAATTGGACCTGTCAAAGGCGCGCGCGTGCGTGAGGAGGGAGGAGCTGCTGGAAAGGCGGAATGATCAACGCTATACCGCTTTCGGGCCCAGAATTTAATTTGCTGTGAACCCCGAAGCTTCGAAACCCCCCCCCCCCCTACATCGCCGCTTGTGAGGAAAAGAGTTCGTGCTGTCTATTCTCGCAATTGATATTTATTGGTTTTGTCCTTTGTCAACTACTTGTTGGTAATTTGACCAAGGGGAAGTCTACCGTCAACATGGCGATGCGTACGTACAGCCCACCGATCTCCCGAATGCCCCTCAATGAACTTCCACCAAGAATGTTCACCAGCTGACAGTTTTGCACGATATTAGAACTTGATCTTTCTAACGGTATGCGGCTTTCGACTACGGTTCTATCATGCCTCAGTACTGAATAAATTCTTGGGTTAGCTTCGGTGTTGAAGGATGAGAATGGCCGTCCGTTTATTGTCGTTCGCGAGTACGTTCACCGACATGATCGAATCACCTATACTTGGGGTCATAGGCAATGATGGGATAAAGAGTAGGAGAGGCTGACTGGAAGTTGTTTTTGAACAGCCAGGGAAAGAAGAAAAGGCAACATGGTACAGAGGCTGTGAAGGCGCACATTGTCGCTGCCAAAACGGTGGCCAACATTGTCAAGACTTCCTTGGTACGCTATCCCACTGAATATGAGATGACCAATTACTGAATTCTCTTCTCAGGGCCCTCGTGGCTTGGACAAGATTCTCATCTCCCCCGACGGCGATATCACAGTCACAAACGACGGCGCTACAATTCTCGGCCAGGTTCGACTCAACCCCTATTCTTTATATCGAAACGGGAAAAACACTGACAGGTCGTTCGATTGCAGATGGAAATCACCAACAACGTGGCAAAACTACTGGTTGAGCTGTCAAAGTCACAAGACGAGGAAATTGGTGACGGAACGACGGGTGTCGTGGTTCTGGCTGCTGCCATGTTGGAGCAAGCCGCGGACCTAATTGATAAGGGCATTCACCCTATCCGCATTGCGGATGGTTACGATCAAGCCTGCGAAATCGCTATTGCAGAGCTTGACAAGATCAGTGACGAACTTCCCTTCTCCCGCGAGGATACCACCAACCTGCTCAAGGTTGCCAAGACGAGTTTGGGCAGCAAGATGTATGGTCGTAAATCCTGTTCTTTCTGGCCAACAACGGTTTGCTAACGTCGTCTTTCAGTGTTTCCAAGTCTCATGATCAATTTGCCCAGATTGCCATTGACGCTGTGCTGTCCGTGGCCGACCTCGAGCGCAAGGATGTTGATTTCGAACTGATCAAGGTCGATGGTAAAGTTGGCGGCGCTCTCGAGGACTCTCTTCTTGTCAAAGGTGTCATCGTCGACAAAGATTTCTCTCATCCTCAGATGCCCGATGAGGTTCAGGACGCCAAAATCGCAATTCTGACCTGTCCCTTCGAGCCTCCGAAACCCAAGACCAAGCACAAGCTTGACATCACGTCGGTTGATGAATTCAAGAAGCTCCAAGACTACGAGCAGGAGAAGTTCGCTGAGATGATCCAGCAGCTCAAGGACTCTGGTGCCAACCTGGTCATTTGTCAGTGGGGTTTCGATGACGAGGCTAACCACCTGCTTCTCCAGAACAAGCTCCCAGCTGTTCGGTGGGTCGGCGGTCCTGAGATTGAACTTATCGCAATCGCCACGAATGGCCGTATCGTCCCTCGCTTCGAGGACTTGTCTGCCGAGAAGTTGGGAAGTGCTGGACGTGTTCGCGAGATGACCTTCGGTACTACGAGAGAGAAGATGCTGGTCATTGAGGAATGTGCCAACAGCCGAGCTGTCACTGTCTTCATCCGTGGTAGCAACAAGATGGTACGATCTGTCACTGCGGTATGACATTCAGATTCGTGTGACTGACACCTCCCCATAGATCATTGATGAAGCCAAGCGGTCATTGCACGATGCCATTTGCGTGGTTCGGAACTTGGTCCGCGACAACCGCATCGTTTACGGCGGCGGTGCTGCCGAAATTGCCTGCTCTATCGCGGTAGAGGATGCTGCAGTGAAGGTAAAGATTGATCCTTGTGCTATAATTCCTCCAACATAGCTGACGGTGTCTTTCACCCCACAGAGCCCTGGCATTGAACAGTACGCTATGCGTGCCTTTGCCGACGCCCTCGATGCTGTTCCTCTTGCACTCTCTGAGAACTCTGGTCTGAGCCCCATCGAGACACTTGCCTCCATCAAATCTCGCCAGGTCAAGGAGAAGAATTCGCGCCTTGGTGTTGACTGCATGCTGACTGGCAGCAATGGTAAGTCATCATTCCAATGCCCAACGCAGGGAAGTGTCTGCACGTACTAATTATTCTCAACTCGAAGACATGCGTGAACACTTCGCCATCGATCCACTTATTGGCAAGCGCCAGCAGTTGCTGCTGGCTACTCAGCTCTGTCGCATGGTTCTCAAGGTACGCCCAGCAAGAAGGTCGATGCTCCTTTTCATTCTTCTGAGTCATGCTAACAATGTTGCAGATCAACAACGTCATTATCTCCGGTGATGACCAGTCCGAGTTCTAAAGCCTCGCATAAAACTTAACGCCCTTGAAACGATATCGGTGAATCAGGCTGGTACGTCGACACATCAAAAAAAGAATGTTCTGGTCCATGCTGGATTCCTATGTAAATTATAGCCCTTACATAGACTTTCCCAAGTGACAATGAGGAGAGAGTTTACGATATCTCCAAGTTTCCGTCTTGTCTCTGCCTTAAGCTCACTACAAGGTAGAAAGACGCCCTGCCGGATATCTCTGTGGAGAAGTGTCGGACCGGGTACTACTCTCTGTCAGATTGTACGGAACGGAGTGTCTATCCCCCTGACCAGAACATGGGGCAAGTCTCAGTGGACTTGCTTGGTCTTCTTTCGATCTCACTTGAGGCGCGCAGCATTCGCCTATTTAGATTCCTGTCATTTCCTCCTGGGTTGACTAAGTATTGAGAACACCCGACTGCTCAATGTCTCTTAGACGATATCAACAAGCCTGACTCATTGTGTCTCCAGAAAACGCTTCATGGTCATTCAGCCCATTTTGCTGTGCTCTTCTCTTTTCCTCGTGATCCCATTCAAAGAACAAGATCCGAGTCGTACAGAGTACTCCTGTACACATGGATCCTATAGGAGGCCGTGGAGCTCCCGGTTGGAACACAGAGCTATCTTTGCGTTCAATGCACAAGTAGGTGGAAAGCTCGTCTACTTATGAAACATTCAAGACCGGTATTTTGTTCCAGTATCCAGGCGGAAGAGGTAGGTCTGCATTCATTGAGGGCCGGCGCTACTCAGTGGTCTACCTGAGGGAGAGTGAATCCGGCGAATTGGTGCAGGTATGTTTCACAGTTGCTGGAACTGATGTACTACACATAGTTCCCCAGAGATTGTGGTCTGGAGAATTTAGAATGATTGTTCTACTGTCTTCAGAGGGAAGCAGACATGCTGACATGGATTTTGTCCGGCGGTGGTGGTAGAATAGACGACTGTGAGAGAGGCCAACTCGAACCTCAGGCCAGTACAGAAAGAAGCACAAATCAAATATAGCAACTGACGTGTTGATGCTATACCGGGGCTATTTCACCTTTGCTCATATACCGACTCTTTATCTTCTAGAAGACTTCAAGATTTCCAAGTCGTGAACATCCAGTTGTTGATACTTATTAATGGAGTATTCGAGATGAAGTCAGAGTAGTTCTTATGTAGCAAACCAGGAGCCCTTACGTATTCAACGGGGGGTAAAGGGCTTGAAGTCCCAACCTACTTGACATGGACAAGTTCCTTCGTCAATTCTCAATGCATTCATGCCCTTGACTCTGATGGGATACGGCTACTGTAGGGGCAGCAGTATCGATGTGTGAGAGGGATGAGGAGTGAGATTGCTGAGGGGGAGAGATTCTACCTAAGCTATGGACTGCGGTGAGGCGGCAGTATCACATGCCATACAAACAGACTCGACTTGCCTCACTCCATACCTACCGTAGGCTTGACTGGAGTCTGGATCTAAGTCCGGTCGTAATATAGGCTGTGCTTGCGGATGCATGCTTATCCCACACCATAAGGGTCGGCAATCGCGCTTAGGAGTGATTCACCCTGTTTCACCGCAGTATATTCATCCCTTTCTATCTTACTCATTCATGCATTGATAGGAAATAGGAATAGGGGAAGCCACTTTCTGCGTAGCCACGAAGCTTTAGTACTCGGTCCGGATACTAATACACCGGTGACTGCGGTGTGACTGTACTTATGGAACGAGACCAGAAGTACCAGAGGCGAGATCTACCTCTGAACCGCCTTGCATATCTGCTGAGCGATAACAACATTTCTTCTCTAGGGATTCTATTCACGTGAACACCTCTAGATTCCGTCATCAAGATCCCTATGATGGAGAGGAGGTGTTCATCTCTTCTCCAGTCTATCACTACCCGTGACTGACTTTAGATGCGACACACGCGCATAAAGTTGTATGTATGACGATCGCAGATCCCCCGATGTTCGATTTGCACCAGCGCATAAAGCAGCTAGCAGATGACCAGATGCTGTGTAAGCTTAGGGGCCGTATGGCGACATGTCAGAAAATCAACTCCTAGATCAACGCCTCATGAGATGTGTTCACGGTACACGTCTTGTGAAGCGACAAGTTTTGCCAGCTCTTAACCGGCGCCTCTAGTGCTCATAATTAGGTATCGAGATCTACGGCATAGAATTTAGGTCACCGGCCCTCATGGCGCCGCCATCCACCGTGCGGCCCGTTTCTTGCTCACATGGTCATTGACCTTTCTGACGTGGTCGCTTACGGTTCGTTGAAGTTCTTGTCGTGAGATTGACCTGGAAACCCATTTGGACTCTTCTCGTGATAGTCAAGCTTTATGGTAATAAAAATATCCGTATTTGCTACACGTCACTTGCTTTTTGTGCTAGGCGCTGTGTCCCTTTGCAACCAGGAAGTGTCCGGGATCGCTGGTCTAAATCCTTTTACCGCCCTTTTGCGAAGCTGTCGCCTGTACATGGGCGCTTGTGACCTTCGGTCACACCACCGGTGAAGTGTTTGGCTATGGACGAAACGCATCCTTTCTTTGGGCAAGAAGATTGATCTAGATTCCTCAGGGCTATGATGTAATGGTTATCGGTGCTGGATATGCCCAGCCAGGCTTGACTGGCTAGGAACCTTCTCGCCGAATGTTTGCCGTGGCTTTCCAAATTCAAGACTATGGACTCACTTCTGGCTGTTGAATGAAGGGGTCATGTTTTGATCTTCTTAGAATTGTATTGGTCTTCGCTGTTTCAATCTCCGGGGCAATACAAGTCGAAAACCTCTCGGCTTGTCTGGAACGGAGAAGTATCCGTTACTGATCTAGCTGAAGCGTTGAAGTCGGTGTCATTTCCAGTATAGAGCCATGCTTGAAAGATCAAGCTTCAAGTAGTGAGAGACATGCGTCCTTGAGTCGTCTCCGTCAATAATACATAACTTGTATAGTGTAAGAGTCAAGTCTTTCATGACTCATTCTCCTCGATTTGAAAGGTTACATCCAAACCATGCTCTTCCAAGTCTTATATCCAAGCCCACTAACAGCCACTGAAGGGCTCATCCGAACGCTTATATACGTAACTTGCCCATAGATCGGTAGACTAAAATTGAAACGTCCAATAGGTCGTGAAGGACTTACTGTGCGTCTGTCACTGTGGCACATGGCGACATGGGTGGTTTACCAGTCCCTATTCCCTCGAGTTGAGTCGCGCTTTCATGAGTTCACGTGTATGAAAGCACCAATGTTACCTAGTAGATGAAACTTAAACCACAGTCTACTGACTGTATGTAACTTTGTCCTCGTCGTGTCAAAGAGATCAGGAGGCAGGCTTCCTAGACAAATTCAAAACGCCACAAGCCTTTTGGAGGCGTTGACCCCTGACACTCTTTGTCACTCTGCTGAGCGCCCGGTTGGTGGAGATTCACAACAAACTCCCTAGGTATACTCTTATATTCCAATGCCGCCATAGTAATGGCCTGTTGGATAGAAACGGGATCAGCGACGACATTTTGAATATTACAGAAGAGAATGGATTTGGATATACTTCCCCCCCCCCCCCCCCAATTTCAGGCATGACTGCGGATCCACTACTTGCTTGAAATCCAAAATATGTGGTTTTATCCATCTCACCGTGCTGCCAGTGCCAGTCACTGCATCACTGCATATGTTGACTGCCTCATTGTCGCCTAACCACAGTGACTATAGGGGTAAGTTAACATTTGGATCATGGGACTGCGGGATTACACGCATCTTGGTTGATAGCGCGACCGAGTTGGCGAACAGATTACAGGATACCCCAGCTTCTCCGCATGAACCCACTCTTTCCCAAGTATCGATGGCCCAAGTCAACCAATCTTGGAACTCCTCTCAAACATTCCCCAAAGGCACCAAGTACTTTTGACCGATTAACAAGCCCAAGATCCACTCAGTTAGAGATCGAATTTAGGCGACCGCGGGCTAGAATCTAGACACATCCACGGAGGCCCTGGCGAAAGCCTCATGACCGCCCCCGGACCTGGGGCCGTGCCTCGGTCATCAAACAAAGCCACCTCCCCCTTTTGATGCGCCATGTCAGCCACGGTCACATTGAGATAAGGCTAGTTGCACACACTGATTTGACGTGTCTTTGCTTGCGAACCGCTGCAGCCGTGGTAGACGATCAAAGAAGCAAAATGTCAAGTCCCGTTGTCTAAGATTGTAAGCCTAGACGAGTCGGTGAACTGGCAAGCTACTACTTAGTATAGGCACTTACTGCCTTGTATGTCCACTTAGTCACCTATCTATGGTTTCGGGCACCAAAGTACGTCAATCGTTTTGGGTGTCCCTCGAATCTGGTCTCTTTTAGAATGTGTGTGTGCTAGTGATGAGATACTTGCATTTGCTATAAAACATCATGTGTCAAGCTCTGTAATCAATTTGAATTTGGTCGGAAGACAGGATAAGTAGGTACTTGATTTCTATACAACGTTATTTGCACTGACAGATCTTGAAGCTTCGGCAATATCAACGAAGTATGGACTTACCAAGTTACGACAGTATACATACCTAGTGCATTCAGATCTGTAAAGACTAAGAATGACTCGTCATGACAATGAGCGGAGGTACGTTTGATACAGAACTCGAGTGACATTTCTTAAATCCTATCAAGAAAAGTCGTCCGTCAATGAATCTTCCCCTGTTGGAACACGCGCATGACAGCACAAAATAGATGTCTATAATGAATAACAAGACGATCGGCCAATGATTCAGTTCATAAGTAGTCAGTATCACCTCTTTGTCGAAGTACTCTTGACGATGAAACGGACCAAGATTGCATGCCTTACATAGGGAGCAAAAGTACTACTGACACTCCGGTACTCGAGTCATCAAGCGTACTACTGTGGCACTGTATGCATACCCTCCATGACTTCTGGGCTGAATCCGATCCACCCAGTCCCTCATGGAATTTAAAGAATGTCCCTAAAGGCATGCGCCCACGTCCAAGTACCCGGATACTTGGATCGACAGGAGGGAAAGGCGAAAGGGTCGATTAGCTCACATGATCAGCATCATCATCCGCATCCGCATCCGAAACAAGGGGTACGGTTGTCCCAGTCATCCAGGAAGCAAGATTTAAGCCTCGACTGGTATGTGACAAATGTACCCCGAAGGGGATTGCCAAAGTATGGAGGAGGGAGCCAAGGCCCTTCGACGATAGTTCCTGGCCGGGACCAGGGTGAGGAGATCTGGAAGTGTGAGATTTGGCATCGAGCACAACCATACAACATCGCTGCTTTGCTTGGTTGACAAGACCTGGATAGCGAAGTAAGCGTGCTTGGGCGTAGAATGGGCTTGCCATTGGATCTGTCATTTGGATCTCATGGATCACTTGGCCAAATGTTGGAGTCACATTGCCGCAAATGGCAGGTTATGCCTTCATTTGCAAAGTCACGGTGGGTGATGGAAAAGAACATGTTCACTCGTGCATTGGTCGAGATGGAACGGAGGGCAGAATGGCAATGAAATTACTTCACAGCCATACATAAGCGTAGCACTGTAGAATATTCCGTCTCCGGTCTCTCAGGTCTCAGACTCCCGATTTAAGGAGGCTGGGTCTGTGTTTGTCCTGTATGCTGTTTCGAATGAAACGAGAGATCGACCCCGGATATGCGACTCCTGCATCCGGGTGGATAGCAGCCGCCGAGGGCACCCGATCACGGTTTTGATAGGTCCTAAATTTCCAGATACACTGCAGCGGTGCAGCCAGACCGACTCTAGGCACCCAACAGCCTTGCTGACGTCTCACCCTTGAGTAAGTGTCAGATACTTGGTCACGCGGACATCTGTGTCGAATCTTCATCGAGTTCGTTCCCACCCTGGGGGAAGAGTGACTCGTTCGGTGTCCATAGATCAACAACCCTCCTTGAGCGCGATGAGGTTGGTGGCCACAATCATGGCCCCGAGTGATGACTCGGTCGTCATGGTGAATGGAGAGGTCCCATGAGGAATCTCAGCCAGCGCCGCCTCAACTTTAGAGCGAGAAGGCATGACGACAGTGGCCCGAAGGATCTGCTTCTTATGAGAGTAGATGATTGGCAAAGATGCGACTGGAAGATGGACTCCGAGATCAACTGCTCACCTGACCCGTGGATCGGGAACGTAGCCTTGGGCAAGGATTGTCCCATGGATCTCTCACGGCCGTCTTCCCCGGACTGAGAATGCCGGCCTTCCAGGTTGTCTTTGTCTGGCCAGGTGAATCACGTCTGGGGCGGACTTTCGAGTTCTAGTTGCGATTTGGTCTTGAGTGTCATCGTACGGGTCAGAACTTCAGAAGCATGTGGCACGTCGGATGCTACTGTCACTGTCAGTGACCAGTGATGAGTATCCGAGAATTTTTCCTTTAATCCGAACCCAATACCTTTTAAATTCATGTGAATAGACTTTATCGAAGAACCTTAAACATCCGTTGCGAGGTTGCCGTGTGATGGCCCAGTCTTGCATCCTAGCAGTGAAGGCATTCGACCTGCCAGATCAAGCTTAATTCTGATCTCTTTGAGCGAGCTTCCTGGACGTCGCAAGAAATCCAAGACTGTCGTACCTATGTTCTATACTTTCCATCTATACACAGAATTGAAGCTCGGCTTTCCACGTGGATATGTTCACACTGTGCCCTGAATGGGGCTAGCCTTTCTTCCAAACTGGAAGGCCAGACACTAGACGGCCATGCGATGCACCGAGGCAAGTTTTCAGCAGCGCCTGTTAATCATTGCGGAGTCAATCCTTTCTTGAACCTTGTGAGTTTAGCTTCTTCGCACAACTGATTTCTCGTGTAAGCCGGACGAGCAAAAGAGTGTGATCGCGGCCAATCTTCGGAAGCATATTCTCTACCTTAACTCTATTGACGCGGTACATATTCGCCCAGAGAGTATCCTCCATTTCTAGCCGGTGGGATCCGGAGAAATTAGACTTTAACGGTCTAATGTCTCCCCATTCCACTACTCTACTACTCCGACAGTCCGGAAGTGAAATGCTCAAATCCTGAGGGCGCCTCTGTCTTGGAATGTCCAGTATACCCATCATGGGGCGACGGGGCGTTGAGTCTATTTGGATACCATTACGTCAAGTTCGGACGACAGCCGAATAAACAGAATCTTCGAAGTTGGTGCCTCATCAATGATCAGTAGGGATCTTGTGGTGGGTGGATAACGCTTCTCGGAGATGATCATGCTCTCTTTCGACATCATCTGGCTGGCACTCTTCTAAAGACTAGGTACCTGGCAAGGTTTCATCCATGAATCAGCCGCTCTCTTGTCGGCAAGCCACGCGCGCGGCCAAGCCGCGGATAAATATGTTTCACGTGATTCCTTCTGTACCGAGTCTGTCGACGATCTGTGTGAGTGTGTGCGGGTGCCGTGGGTGACTGGAAGCGACCCGCCTTCACATGGTACACCCAGTACCACAACACCGATATAGTAGTACAGCACTCCGTACTGTACTCGGCACTCGGTACTCACAGTCTTCCGGGCACTGCCAGGCATGACAAGGGGGTATGGAGGGCTCCAGACCCAGAATAGGGCATGCTACTGAGATTCATGATAAGAGAAGTTTTAACTTCTGAAGCGTAAAGTGTATCGTCCGCACTAAGAGGGTTAATTTCAGTAGGACCAGCTGATCTGGACCGGCCCACCTTGCCCGTTTCGTTCGTCTGGACCGATGGCGTGTCTCACGCTCACCAAGTCGCAGAGTCGCAAAGGAGACAGATTCGAATTCCGCCGGTTGTGCGCCGTGAGCCTGTGACAGGCGATGAATTACAACCGCACTACTGAATGAGCAAGTCCAGACTAGAGTAGCTTGGCTGTGGAGCTTGTGGACATGTCAGATGGGGGTGGCCAAGTGGTCTATTTGGCCACCATTGGAACCAGGGTCGTCCCTTCAGCTTGTGGTCCGGGGGATAGATGCAGGGACAAGAGGTAGTCGGGAGTCGGGACACAAAACGCTGCGGACCGGAAGAGAGGAGCCATCATCATGTGATATGTGCTCGTGACCTGCGACTTTGCCACAGCCATGGACTCCTCCCCCCGCTTATCCTCTCCCGCCCACTCACAGCACCTGAGCATATACTCGCAGTGCCCCGTTGTCCACTCCGCACCATCGCTAGTCCTCCGCCAGTATTACTCTGTGATACAGCCCCAGAGTCCAGTTCCCACCATTTACGGGGCGTCCGGACCGTCCTTGAATGTCCATGAGTGGTACTGAGGTACTCAGAACTGCACGAGATTGCCGACTCCATTATTGTTCTCAGTCCGCCGGACCGCAGTGGTTCTCCCCAGACTTTAAGTGGTATGGGTCCGATTTCGCGCTGTCAATCTTTCACGTGAGGCTGGTGGTCAGATGACTCTCATTCAAGCTCGCTCGGGTTTCTCTATGCCAATAGTAACCACGTTAGATTTTGCTAGTTGCTACAGTACTCATTGCTCGTCAGTAGTCACTGGTCAGTACTCAGTACTACTAACCACATATTGTTAAAGTGTGTACGCCGAACGGATAACTCGACTAAGTCGATATTGTACAACAACTGAGATGCACTTTACCACAAAATCAAAATCGCGCTCTCGAATTCCACTTGTCCAATTTCTCATCGGCAACTGGCCCTAGTACTGACTTGAGAAAGCCTCGGCTGGATGATCCTTTGATGAACAGGTGGTCGACCGGGAACGACTACCTTATGTCTACCCCGTCATGAAGCACCGTCGGAAAGCGCGTGACCCTGATTGTACAGTATCTGTGGTCTCCGTGGCAGGTTGCCAGGTATGTACATTCATTGAGCCGCTGATTCAATGAAATTTGGTGTATCGAATAATAAAAGTAAAATACATGGCATAACTGTAATACATCCACCAAGACCACCATCATACCATGGCCTTGCGGATTTTCAAAGCACCACCCGCAGCAAAAGCCAACCCACTTACCAACTTAAGTAAGCATGAAGAGTCGGTAAATATCGTGATCTCGAATTCACTCACTCCTGGGTCTCCTTCGACCAATTACCCATGTTGCCCAAGGGCGAGGAGTAGCTCCGTCGGGATGCTGGGGAAGATCTTACCAGTGTACTCCTAGGCCTGCATAGAGAGTGGGGATTTTGCCTTGCCACCTGCTTACCACGAAGAGCTGTTCCGACAGATTCGCGAGGGGATCGGAGAAGCCCCCGCCGCAAACATAGTTCTCGTGACAAATATCGATTCTTGCTCATCTTACCAGACTTGATCGTTCAACTGGAAATGCAAGTGGACACTAGAGCTCTATCTAGTCTCTTGACTGGATTTTGAGTCAATCGATCATCCGGGTAATGATGAACGTGTAATCCAGTACATCTGAATAAGTTGCAGTTCGTTCTGCCTGCAATTTTCAAGCCCACGGGCATCTTCCCTTTGACACTTTTAAGATATTACCCCACACTTACCCCATAATATGCACTCTATGATTATACTGATGAGGCTCTGGTAGAAGACAAAATTGTAATATTGAACTTACTGAACATAAAGTCTATCCTGCAGCCGACATCATCGCGACTGCATGATATCTGCTCTCGTGGTATATTTCTCCGTGTCCCCACGACGAAGGAGAACAAGTCGGATGAAATGTCGAGGATTATTGGGATTGTACCCGACTGCGTTCGTAAGTCCCTGTGTGGAGGCTCCTTTCTCTCCGCATGGCTGGCGACTAATCTTTCTCTTCATTGACTCCACCGCACTCAGTGCCCCAGATCAATCTTTGATAGACGACGATCTTGATCGCATGAATTGACGCTAAGAAAAGTGTATGATCAATCCAATGTGGTGACCGAGGACAACATCGAAGGAAAGACACGTCTATAACTGACACTGGTGTCACAAGATGCCATTCGGATCACAGTCCTTGTTCGATTCCTCTCCTGTCGGATTAGCCTCTTGAATTCTTGCTCCGACCACAAGCAACGCCACGCGATGGCAATTTCCGAGGTCAGCCTGCGCGAACCCCCCGAAGCAGGGCTGTGATTACAACGTTGCTCTGTGGACACCCTCGATAAACCCCCGGCTACAAGGTATCTACTACAAGGACCTGTCTACTTTGAACGCGGAACTTCGGTGTTATGTTCACGTTCTTGGCACTCGCTTCGCGGCTTTCTCAAATAAAACCTCAATCAATTTTCGAGTATCACGCTACAAGCTGTATTGTCAGAGCCCATTAACGTCCCTTCCCAACCCTGAACATATGCCTCTTTTACGCTGTGTAACGACTATTCTATATTCTGATTGCTCTACGCTGATCTCTCCGTCATCGCCAATCACACATCTATGCCACCTGGCAGACCCGTGACTCGATGGGTGTCACACCTGACATTCTATGCACAACAGCGGACTAGGATTTGATATCTCCGACGGTGCGGATGTGGTCAGCCAGCGCATTAATATTTCCAGTGACAGCCGACAAAGGAGTCGACCCATCTATAGAGACAGTTCGACTTGGGAGAAAATGATGAACCTTGAATTTAAATCTCCAGATCGATGGTTTTCATGCATTGGTAGGTCGCTGTCAGAAACGTCATTATTTGAGCTTGGTAGGCAAGGAAGATAAGGTAGTTGTATAGGCTTTCCAGTTAGCTATCGAGTCAGCTCAGATCAAATCTCGTGACAGCAAAGTCTGATTCTACCGTGTCTCTCCCATTCATTGATTCGGCCAGAAGTAAAAAGACTGGATCTTCAAGGATGATTTGTGTATAGTGCTCTTCAAGTAGGGTTCAGCTTCAATTGAGTGATCTTGATGAGTAGAATCCCGGTCGATTATCTCAATGTGCTACACCGTCAATGAAGGCGGCGGTATTATTGGCTCCCTTGCCGGATAATTTTCAAGTGGTGAATGCAGCTCATATGAATAGATCCATAGGTCTTCAGTGAGTGACTGACCGGTTGACATACTCGGCTTCAGCCAGCATGACTGTACTTTGTGCTCACCGATCAACTGTCTGTTGTAAGCCAAATGGGGATCATCGTTATGGTCCCGGCAGAAGTCCAGGTACTACGTATCGTTAAGCTTCCCGGCAGTAAGGGGAATCGGACACCGTGACAAGTGCAGACTGCGGACAGACGCCTGGACTCGGTGGTCCATAGTCCCAAGTCCATAGTGCTCATTCTCCCCACTGATCCCCACATATTCTAAGCAGGGTGGAGTTTAGGGCACGGGGAGTGAAAGCTGGGGAAGAACAAGTACGGTAGCATTCTGGTGGCAGCTTGACTGTTTGCGGCGACCCCAGACATGGCCGTCTTGTCTTCAAGAGACCTCTCCGAGCTGTCAATCCCAAAGTGAGAAGGACGTGTAATGGCTTGAACAGCTTTAGGCCTTTCTAGCATGGGTCAAGAAGAGCCACTACCAAGGGAGGAAAGGGACAAGGCGATCACTCCTTGCGGGTGCCGGACGGCGGTGTCGACATTCCACATCCTACACTACTTTGCCCCAAGCCAGCCCAGTCAGCCCAGCCAGCCCCAAAAGCCGTCTACACTCCCCCCCCCCCCGGTTCCGTGACGGAAATAGCTAAACCACGAGACGGCAGTTCTGGGTCACGAATGGCCTGCCGTATCCAATCCATGGGGGGAAAGAAGTGAATGCTTACTCTCCCAGGAATAATGACAAAGTTCTTTAAGCAATTGTCCATCAGAGATCGTCTGGGCGATTTGAGGCAGCGATCGTAGATTTTTGCTGGGCAGTCAGTCATCCGGACTCGAAGGGCTCATGGATGACCAATCGTTGTTGGATCGACAGTTCATCGGTCAGTAGGTCAGGTTGTCAGGGATCATGGACACTCGATGGAGGAACCGTCGTCGGCCTGTGTACTTCATAGTTCCTCGCAAGCTTCACCCTAGACTCAACCGCCTTTTTCTTGTGACGCCTGAATCCGGACAACGAGGCCCTTGGGTGATACATAATTCCTTTTTCCTTTCTTGTTTGTGTGAAAGGATGACCCTATGCAGCTTGAATGTAGTTTGGTCACTGAGGGAGCACAGGGATTGCCCATCACGCATTGCTATTGCCGTGTCGCATGAACTGGACATAGCGGCCGTTCAAACGACCGCCCCTAGTGCCTGAAATCGGTTCGCCCCAGTCGGTCACCTGGTCTTGCAGCATCTTCGTGCCGCTCTTGACAACGTGTCAAACTAATGACAAGTGAAGACTGAAGCGTAAGGAGCATGTCATCATCAACAATCTGTGGTCCAGTTGTCTTCAGTATCTCCTCGGCCGCTCATTCTGGCAGCAGCTGGTTGGGTCGTCAAGGAATGTTCGACAAAGGTATCCGATAGACTATTGTGTTGCAAACAGAGCCTTAACGTTCTGGTGAGACTGTCCGTAAGATCCGACGCAGTGCAGATTCAAGATTCAGTACGCGATCCGGAAACAGAGCAGTAATGTATCGCTGGAATCGAACGTAATACTGGTCCTTTCATACCAGGCTTTACGTACAATACCACTTTTCCCCTCGGAATGACTTCGGAAGTCGATAGCCTCGTTGAACAGAACTGAAATCCAGGCGAATCAGGACTCCCAAACTGCAGTCACGGGATCCATCCGGCCATGTGCCTTAGAGCAATACCGAGGGATACCGGGGGGACTGAAGGTCGATGGCCGGTGGCTGATGACTGAAAGTGGAGAGGGCAGACGACCAAAGTACTGTTCGTACCGTGGGCTGGGCGGTCGTAGTAAGTGAGACTGTCCCGTGATGCAACGAAATTTCTTCACCGGCCCACTCATTTGATTTCAGGCATTTCGGGACTTTGGCTCCTCAGTGTTTCCACTGGGACGGAGGCCCGGCTTTTCTCCCTGTACTGCGGTATTGTTCCATCGGGTACCTCGTACCGTACTGTGGGAGACTGATGCTGGATCGCAGACCAGGCTATCCCCCTTTCGGCGTGGGCTCTTTCGGCTCCTTCCATCTCTTTTTGGTGTTTTGATTTTAGGTGATGACCACTTGAGGTTAGTCACCCCAATTTTCCACATTTTCCTTTTCCCAAAGATTATCCCCATTTTCTATTAATTTTTTGGCCCTGGGATTTTCTGATTTTTAATTTTTCCCTTCCAATAATTCTTCCCCTCCCTGCGCTTTCCACATCCACTCCACTCACTACCGTGCCCCCGTCATTCTTATTATCGTTGCAACTGCCTCTTCCCCGACTCTTTTCCTTCCCTCCCTCCCTCTCCACACAACCTCCCTCTCAACAACAGCCTTCGACGTTGTTTCAACGCCGAAAACGCGTCAATTAGTCGGCCAGCGCGTTGAACAACTTCCACGATCCTGAACCCCAGACAATTCTCACTGTTTCGGCATTTTCGCTCAGTGGCGTCCTGACGGAAACTTGACGAACCCTCGGCTCATCAGGAAATCTCACTTCCGCACTCCCACGCGTGCACTTCGCCTCCACTTATTTTCCACCCCGGTGTCCGCGACTCAATCACGTCAATAACTCATCTGTGACGATCTACCTCAGCTGTTGTCTTGGCCTCGACAACAGACCTGAAAATTCGACTTGTCAAACTCCCCACCGCAGATTCCCTGTGAACTCATACCCTCGCTTTTCATACGCCGTACGACCACTCTCGGGGAAAACGGCGACCCCGGAAACACCTGATACCATCATCCTCATCATCACCTATTCTTCAGCCTGTCTAACCGAGTAGTCGTGGCTTTTTCAAGATGCCTTTAACGACACCGGTTCTAACGGTGGATGCGGACAATATCCACAAAGTTGACACTGCCAACGCACAGTCACTCCATGGGATGTGGATGGGTGAGTGAACCTTCATTGACTGATTATCCTCCACAAGCCTTCTTAGGCTTCCGAGCGCGCCACTGACTAGTCACTTGTCTTTCATAGTATTCTCCAAGTGCGCCGATTACATGGATCAAGGTCGACGCTTGGAAAATCTGAGCTGGCGATTGTGGACTCGGGAGACCTTCTGCGTCGAGCCGGAAAAGTCCAACGAGTCTTCCCTGCTCCCAAAGATGCGTAGTGAAGCGGCTGATCTTCCGGAGCTTTCCGCCAGCGTCGAATCGGCTGCTTCCGACCAGGCTGACCGCATCGAAGCTCACATCAAGCGCTCTCAGTTCTCAGATTACCGTCCTGCTGTCGTCCGGGAGGATTCGTTGGCCAGCTTGGGCCGTGGCAAAGAGAAGCACATCACCTCCCTCGATCTTGAGCGTATGGTTCTCAACATCAAAGAACGAAAGCAGTTGCAGCCATTGACCCCCGAGGTTCGCCCTGCCGCACCAGTTGTCGACATCACCCCTCAACCCTCCACCCCCACACCCACTCCCCAATCCTTGGCAGCCCTTCGACCGGCGCCCACCTTCACCCGCCCAAGCCCCCAGGCTCGCGCATCAACCGAGTCTTGTTCGACCACTGCCCCTGAAGGCAATGACAGCGACTCTGCCCAGGCCACTGCCTCAGACACCAGTGTGTCCTCATCTGGAGTCCTCGCTCACCGAACCGACTTGATCAAGTCCCCCAGCCGTGTTCGTGGATTCTCTCCTTCACATGTCTCATCGTCATTCCGTTCCCACACCAACCTGGCTGCCAAGTCAAGCCCCGCTGGTCCTGTTGTGCAGCTTCCCAAGCCATCCCCTCTTAAGAAGAAGGGAGGTGTGTTCATGTTGGGTGGATCGTCTGGTGATGATGAGGAAAGCTCGTTTGAAGATCGCATGGTGCCTGAGAACGCATCAACCAACCAGAACAACGGCGGACTCCAGGCTACGACTACCAACTCCAACCAAGCCAAGAAGAAGATTGCATCCTTCAGCGATCATGTGGACACAATCCGACCATCAAAGAGCCCTCTGTGTGGTGACGAGGATGCTATCGAGACCGATGATGAAGTCTCCGAGAGCGCGATCGAAGATGATGAAGATTCAGATTGGGAAGATTCCGTGACGGAGAGTGGTCGATCTACCCCAGACGAGCGTTCTGAACTCTTCCAGCGCGTTGATTCACGACCCAATCTTGTGTCCCGTCGATCCCTACTGACCATGATGATGCATCAGCCTGCGCGTATGCAAGGCAATGGATTCCGTTCCAGTCCCGCCCTGCAGCGGTCACGTTTTACCTCCCCCAACGGTCCATCAATGCCGGCGTCCCCGGCGGACCACGAGGATGAAAACCTGACTATGCGAGGTCCCGACGTCCCTCGATCCAAGCCTATCGTCATGAAGCCTCCACACCCCCAGTCCGTGGCCCACTCTCCCCGTACCACCCGTCGCAACATGCTTGCCACCGAGCTCACCGAATCTCTTCGGCGTCACTTGCTTTGGGAACGCCAGCAGAAGAGTGCGACGGCAAATGCCTTCCTCAAGCGCCGCCACACTGCCCACGACGTCAAGAATCTTCAGGAATACCCCAAGGGACAAGGACGCCCCCATGCTGCTGCTACGGCGGCGCCGGCAGGTGCACCTGCGGCGAAGGAAAATCAAGCCAGCAACCAAACTCGTGACAAGGACTCCCTGAAGAATGGCTCGTGGTCTAATTACGCCACCGATTACGGCCCATGGGAATACCATGTCAAGGGATGGTGAATTCTTTGTGATATTTCCATCTTCCCTCCATCGTTACACATCCTCATTTTTCCCTTCCATCCTCTTATCTTATCCCTCGTCACAGCAACACCCTGTTTTCTGACACGTCTGATCACGACCATGCATTGCATATTGGCGCATCATCTTGGGCTTTATTGAACTCTACTATCATACATGCTTTTCTTTTCTTTATGACATCGGTCTTTTGTGGCGGTCGGTCATTGAAGTTTCTACAAGGCTTGGGCTACCGGAATCAGCATTCTCCCCGGCGTTCTCGTGCTTCTAGATCCTTGGTGAATGGAGCTTTCTTTGGAGTCTGGCTTGCATCAACGATCCACGCTTCAATCAGCAGAGCCGTACTCGTGCCTCGCTCGAACCTTCTTGCGCTCTGCTTCCATATTTCACGCCTGTCTACCGCATCTCCACGACCACTCGATCTACCGGTGTCCGCCTATTAGCGCCGCGCTCTCCGATCCTCATACACGGATCAAGAAAAGCAATGACTTTTTCTTTTCTGTGCTTTACCAATGTGATTTCTTGCGATTCAAATGGGAGACCCTGCGTGAACTGCAAGGGTTGGCCATCATTCTTAAATCCTGCTTTGCATCCTTGCTCTCGCAAATGTCATGGAAACCAGAACAAGGGTGCGGCCCAAGCCTTTCAAATCTCACGCTATTTCTCACCCTCCCCCCTACTGTGCTCTTCCACCCCTCTTTCTGTGATACCAGATGCTTTGCGCATTACCTGCTATTTGACCTCCCTTTTATTTCTCTGCTCCATTGCAGCTACCGGCCGCATGACCCCCAATCCAACCTTCACTGTATGTCTAGTCTTTCCCTGGAGGTGCCTTAGGCAGCGAAACAAGTCCGAAGATAATCCCGAAAATGAACGCGAAACATTCTCTGCTTGTATGCAACAGTGTCACCACTTACATGAGATCCCGTAGTACCTAGATCCTCTGAATCCGAGTCGAGGTCATGGTTGAGTCAAATGCAATGTTCTGGGCGGAAGTCACCAGTGCATGCATGCCATTAGACTGCAGCATCACAGCGCCATGCTATGAATAAACCAGCGGTCTGGACCTTTGCACACTCAGAACCACCCACGGGCACTTTCGAGGCGCCTCGAAACGCGACCGCGTGAACGATCTTGATCTTGGACCCCCCATCACCTCCCGTCTCTCGTTCTCGAGTTTCAATTCAATTGATCGAGGCGCTCCAGCCCCGGTAGGTGTTGCTGCAGAACATTCATCTGAAGCAATAACACTTGAACGGCGACCGATCAAGGTATTTTATCTACTCACTACCAGTACCTTGTAATGAATGCATATCCCGTCAATCATGGAAGTGCCGTGTAGCCTTTCCAAAGTTCCTTCTTTTTGTTTTTTGTTTTCCTGGGATGGTGGGATCCGCGGAGGGTGAGGCCGGGTGGAGCCGTAGGCGGGCTCCTCGAGCGATCATGGATTTCATGCGAGACCACCATATCCCTGTTTCTGATGCAGAAGTACAAAGCGTGAAGATGATCATGTGCAAGAGCAATAACAAGGGGGCGGTTAGGTGAGTCCAAGTCCAACGGTCGCCTGAGCCCCATGGTGATTTTGGGGGGGGGGGGGGGATAAGGTAAGTGTAGGACTAAAGTTGTGTGGCGCTGACACGTAAGATGGTGGGAGCATGGATGGTAAGCCCCGGGGCTGTGACCTCGGGAGGGCTAGACGGGTCTTTGTATAAATACACTAGAGGTTGATGGGTATGAGCTTTGTAGCATGTACTGAATCTTGAGTGCTCGGGGTGTGAGTTGGCTACATCCATGAACAACATAGGTAGTCGTCTCAGGTAGCCGTCGAATGCGCATGGGGATGGCGGAGGAGAGAACGAGGTGTCGATATGGTGGTATCCGACAGCCAACAGAGGCCTGTATTGAAAGAGCAGTCGTTGTTGGAAGGGTTCAGACTCCAAAACAATCTCAAGACCTCGATGGGTGACTTCCCCGTTCATTCATCCATCTTATCACTGTAGCTATCAGTCTCGTCTGAGTTCCAAGGTCCAATCTCCATCTATGTAAGAAGCAAGCCGGCAGTTTGAAGTACCGCGTGCATTTCGACCCTCTTGCAAGTGAAAAGGTCTGGTGTCTTGCATGCTACCTGCCTAGGTGGGTATTGACCGTTTTTCTTTTTCTTTTTCTTTTTTGTTTTTTCGCTCTGGGCATCCGAGCGATTGGGATGCAGCACGGCATCTCCGATCTGTTGGCGTCGACGGGCGAAACCTTAGGCTAGCTTGGCATGACCTGGATGTTGCTGTACATTGATCTGTACATTATCTTGATGGCAAGAGTGAAATAAGGCGCGTAGATGGACGGTCCTGGACAATTCGGGGGGGGAGGGAAAAGAGGAAATGGGTCTGTACTTTGTACTTGGCGTACTGAATGTGTGCATGTACTGCATATGAGACCCGACTGACTCTTGAGTTGAAATACAACTCGACTTGATTCCAGTCGGGTGAGTCGAGAATGAACGGTTTTCTACTGATAGGTAGTGGGTTAGTGGTCTTGAACATGTCTTTCGAGATGACACACCGCTGTGATCATTTCGAGGCTATGTCAACATACCTGGGATAGACAAGTTGGGGATTGAATTGCAAGTCAGAGGGGACAAAGAGTAAACAAGACCCAGAAAGAGACAAGAAAATAAAACAATAGCCAAATCGTTGAGCCCGGTGCGCTCACAGAAGTACCGATTGACAGAAAGTTTGGAGTCTTTAGCGGGAAGTGAGCTGAAAAAGCAAGCTCACAGCAAAAGTCAAAAAAGTAAAGAGGTACCGTACCGCCAGGTTGGCTATCCGATGGATGGTGTGACTTTTTGGTCGGAATAGCGTGGAAGCTTGATCTACCGGGGGAGCTGGATGGAAACCGAAGAGGGAGGGGGGGGGAAAGTACGGAGATATCGACTTGGAGTAGCTGTTGATATTGAGAACCGCTGGACTGGTACAACGTCCAAGGTGCCGTCACTTGTCACTGCACGCGCTCGCGCGGAGACACGGCTTGAGAGGCTGACACCAAGGTAAAGCTTGCAGTAGAGACTAGAGACCACTTCTTACCATGGTTGAAGAGTCGACTCCAGACCTTGATCTGCCTAATGAGAGACCGTCTACCAGTTCATGTTCGGCGTGAGAGTTCCTACCGAAAAAGTCACGCTGTCAAGCTGGACTCCTGGAGCTCATCATTCATGGCATTGGTGCCAGATAAGACCGAGTCAATGAGGATGTGGAATCAAAGTTCAAATATTCTCGCAAGCCACGCAGGAGCAAGGATCAGGGTCTTAAGATTGACGAGCATGATTCGCTTGACAGGTGCAGGTTTCATGCTGTGTTGACCAAAGAACTACTTCCGAGTTCCAACTACATGTTTTCTTATGGGTTCTACGTAGTCATCACTTGGGACCAAGAGTGGTGGTGGTGGTGGTGACGCGAATACGATTCGACCAGAGGAGCGCTCAGATCTTGCTCGCTGCACCGGATGGAGGGGGAATAACGGTGGAGCATTGAGAGTATCTTAAAGATAGCCATTATGTTTTTGGTTTGGCCAAACTTCAAAGACCTTCACCAAAACTCTAGCACCAAGTCAAGGTTACGTTGATATCGGGTGGGGGAGAGACAGGATGTCCGGAGTCTAGACTTGCCACCATGCACGCTAATGGAGGGTAGACCGAGACTCGCAGAGGACGCAGAGGAACCGAGCGCGGTTAATAATCTTCTGAGCTTGGCTTTCGTCTCTTCCCTGCTTTTGCAGTATGGGAGCGTGTGCTGCCTGTCAAGACTGGAGAGAGAGAGAGAGAGAGAGAGAGCTCTTGAACACGGTTTGAACACCAGCGGTCCGCGGGGGAGCAAGGCGCCCCGGATCTGGGTCGGGGGAGGGGGCTTTTCCAGGGAGATGAGTTCCAGCGGAGGCCCATATCAAGGTCAGCATGATGCATCGGTGACTTGGTCCAAACTTGGCACATCGACAGAACGTGGTGCCTGAATGACGCCTGGATCACTGGGTCAGAAGTCTGAAGGTGTAGACGGATTGGAGCGATCCGGCAGAGATGACCTAAATCTGTGTTCTGCGCGTCGCTACTATGATGAGAATATAGCGGGAGATGTGGAAATGGGTATCCTCATTGTTGGGCGGTCTGGATTGAGTTTGATGTCATTGAATTAAAATCCATCGACGCTTTGATAGCAGAGCCCATGAAGTAATAAGTACAGTAGACATGTACAAGCCGTGGCGCAGTACTGCTCCGGTACCCCTACTACATGCCTACCTACAGCCTGGAGTGTCCTGGGTACTCCTGGATCTAGTAGCCTTGTAGCCCTGAGTCTAACAGCAGTACAGAGTACAGACTACTACAGAGTACCAGCTGACATCAATCGCGATGCTTCTCGCTTCAAGTATCCTCACAAGGATGGACTTTGCATGGTTCCCTCAACGTCGAGCACCCGACCGGACTCGACACACTGGTTCCTTCTGCCCGTGATCGGTACTCGAGAACCGCAACCTTATCCGACCGAGGCCAAACATCCGAACAATAAGAGGACTGGAGAATGGTGATGCACTCGAGTCGTGCTTATGATTGCGCTACAATTTCACCAGTTCTACCGACCGCATTGCCGGACCCTCTCGTCCGAGAAGCGTGGATATCTTGTTGGGATGCTTTCCATTTCTTGGATTGCTGTATATCATCATCCTTCCATTTCGATCCCATGCTCCATCTACACATTTATTATCTACATTGGACTGTATACCGTCAACTTTGTAGATTTAGAGTGGTTGGTGGTGTATAACTCCGCCCCCATTGAACCTGAAATGTATAGCCGCAAATCCTCCGAAATCACTCCAGTCTCCAGTCTCCAGATAGTCCGAATGACGTCGTGATGCTGGTCTAAGCGTTCCGGACCCTCTTATGCATATTACACATGCCCGAGTACCTGGGATTCGTGCCATTTGGTTTCAAGGGCAGAATAACAAACTGAACCTGTGTAATTTTGGGTTCAGGTGATTGCCCATCGCCATGTATATCAATGGTAGTCGAGAAAATTAACCGAGGACTGATCCAAATCAAGTATAACAATGCACTTTGTGCCAACGTACTGTACCGTTTTTTTCACTCACCTATACCCACTCCGGCACAGCTTCTGGACGTCCACTCGTACAGTAGTACGAACCCGTAAATATTCGCTTGCCAAAGCACAAAAAGCGGATCCCCTCACGACCAAGGGTAAGGTGACCGCATGAGGAAGTCACGTGAGAGTTTTTGATCCGCACAGAAGAATCAAAAGAGATACGCATTTGCCCACCCCACATTCTACGCGACGACTTTTACTTGGTGTCGGTGATCATGGGAATGCTGTGTTCCTACAAATTCCGACGCTGACTACACGATTTCCGATCCAGGATCTCGTCCACCGGGGCCCATCTGCTGGTCGCAGCAATCACAGCGCTCAGAATCCGAGATCTGGAGCTGACACCCAGAACACATTCTGGCGCTGCTCTCCGACTCCTCCCGAGTTGTGTGGGGGTGGACATCGGATATCTTGCCCTGCCAGATGAAATAAACGGAACAGAGAAAATCGAACAGTTGCGCAGTCGACAGATTAGACAAACTGTGTGATGATCCGCGCTTCAAGCCTTCATGCGCATCGAATCACTGTGCAACCTCGTGACCGGGTTTCAGATATCCCTGTAAGCTAAATGGGTCTTCGAAGATCGAAGACCTCGAATAGGATCGACGTGTTATAGTGCAAGCGGTCTTGGCGCATAAGCGTTCGGCATACCTAACAATTGGCTTTTGCCATGCACCTTGCTGGTGTCTGTATTTTGAAAAGACAGTGGGGCTTCAAATTCGAGTGCCTAGCAGAGTTCCAGTAGCTGGACACATGGAGGCACGGTCTAAAGTGTATAGTCTATGCTCTGTAACTCTCCAGTCTTTTACGGCACGCGCATCGGCTTTCTCGGGCAGCTAGAGCCTCCGACGCCAGCTACAGTATCAATCGGGTACTCCCCCGCCCCTGTGGCTTGATCTTGTAGGAGAACTGGAGAGCTGAAACCACTCGAAGACCAGCCACCTCCGGATCCCGATTGGCTCGTCTAACCAGTCGTAGGGTGACGTTCTATATCGAAGATTTCACACGCTAACGCAGTACGGAGCAGTAACATTGTAGAAGCAGTCACTATCTTGGTATATATAGTACTTGTTTGAGACTGAGGTGTGCGGTGAAATCTCATAATCACCAAACTGAAAGCAAACCGTACACATATCAAGTGCTATACAATCCTCAAAAATCTCGCAACAACCAAAACAGGCATGCTACAGTAGTAGTACGCTCAATTCCACTTCCCGTTCCATTGAAGTAAACACTTGCTTCCTCCCTTCGGAAGTAGTGGGGCCCCAAGTGGAGTCGATCGTACCCTCAGCTTGCCTCCTAACTGATTCGGCCAGCGGTCTCAGGATCTTCTCACCGGTGCAGGAGCGTTTTACCACGACCAGTTACGAAACCCCCCGATGGAGTCTCCCCGTCTCAGCTCACAGCACAACATCTGAACATTTCTTCTTCCGCCGGTCCGCCGTAGTTTCCCCTTTCGGACGTGTCAGGACGCTAGATGGTCCCGACACCCACTCACCTGGAACTTCCTGGGCTACAACTCAGAAAGTGTTGCGGCCTGACTTGGGACACTTACTTGTCCTGGTTTAGCGGTGGCTTGTTTGAACCCCACGAGAAGGGTGACTCTTCAAACGGGGGGGGGGGGGGGGGAAAGCCGTTCGAGAGAACGGTCACATGGGGGTTGTCCGTGGCTGCTTCAGAAACGTGGGCGGAAGGGGAGGTGTTGGATGTGTCCTGAGTCCTGACACTTGACCCGCATTGATCTGTGCAGGAATGGGTTTTGAGCACGAACTCCATGGTCTACGCAGCGCAACCACAGAAGCAGGAGATTTCTTCTTGTCTGGATTCCAGAAGCGCCCAATTGTGGTTCAGTAGTACTCGACTATGTTTCAAGGCCTGGCCACCGTAAGCCTGTCAACCCACTCTACAGTCTACCCCAACCCGACTGGATCTGGAGTTCCGTCGGAGTAATCACTCTCGGCAAGCCGAGTTCGAGTTCCGTGCCAAGGCAGGTACCAGTATCACTTGGCATCTGAGATCCAACCGCCAGAGTGTCGCCACTCCTACGAGCCAGCCTCTCATGGGAAGTTGTTCTCTCATTGGAGCAGAGCTCACGTTGGTTCTTGGTCACAGCCATCCAGATCCTGGTACGCATGGCCCATGAGGGGAGCTTCATTTTCGGCATCGGAGAAGTTTGTATCGACTCGTCCGCAGATACCTTATTCCTCACGGCCGGTACATTCGTCAGTACGTACAGTCAGATGCGTGATAGTGATACTGTACGCCTCTCGATGGAGTTGAAGCTTTGTGGACCCTGCGCAACATACACGCAAAAGTCACGCAGCCCAAAAATAAATCCTGTGCAGAAGAACACAACGTGGCTGCAAACTACCACATCAAAGGCTATTCTCGACTGGTCCGGTCGCAGAGCAGCCAATGTCCCATTATCTCCAGCGAAAACCCAGCAGACAGAAACCGGCTCGGCCAATGATGAACGTCTTCAATTTTACTGGATTTTAGGGGGGCGACCCAGGCTTTCTGGTATACTCGTGGAGATCTCTCAGATCTGTTCTATCTTTTGAGAACATCGGTCACCCAGAACTTGGAAGAGATATACTAGACCGATATTATGTTTTCACAGAATTGTATACAGAAGTGCAGATGCGTCTTGCTCCTGGTGTGGCTGTGGACAGTGCACAGTCCAGACTGAGTACACAGTAGCGCATCCACCAAGAGCATCTTGTGCAGTGAAAAATCTCACAGCTTGTCCAGTGCGTCGCAATCGATCGGCTCAGCAGCTCGATGATGCTTCCTGATCGTCCTTGAACATGACCAACTGACTCTGGTGGGACTTGGCTTTATCGGCGCAGATTCCCACAGCGAGTCCACGCATGCTACTGACATGGATGGGAAACTCACGCAGTATCACTATCTAGTCATCTGCAACTGGCCAGTGGCAGTGGCAGCTAGTCCACCGTATCATGACAATATCGGCCACCGAGTCACCGACTGCGGTCCATGGTATCCCGATCCCGACTCGTCTCGGCTCGGCAGACGGCCTAAGGGAGTATTCGGGCACCTGTGTATTGGCTGCCCAAGGACCCAGACTTCCAAAGCATGCATGCTTTTTTGAGCTAGCGGCTTCCTGAAGAGCATGAAAGTCCATGCAAAACAATATGGCGCCGATATAGATTCCACAATACGGTATTACTGAGCTTGGGAGGCAGCCTGGCCATTGGAAATCCTGGAGGGTCTCTTCCTCACGGGGCCGACATCATCCACAATCCCATGAAAAGAGCACCCGATGACTGGGGCCAGGCGCAATCTTGGAAAGCGCGAAGCAAATGCCTGTGCACTTCCTCCACCACATCCCACGCATTTTGGGATGCGATTCCGCACTGGAGATCGAGAGCCGAGTGTGGTTGGCCATGAGGTGGACCAGTGGAGTCTGGATGCCATCACGTGCATCCACATTGGGGAGCGCTGTCCTCCGGCGAATCACCGCCCCTCTTTTCCAGTGACGGTACGTGCGGGGGGGGGAGAGTCGAAAAGAGTTCAGTTGCATATGTAATTATGTGCTGCATTGAGTGCATTCAACCGTCAAGAACGACCATCGTCCCTCTTTCCTCCTTCCCCTCTCTTCTGCGTCGCCTAGCGTAGTCGCTGTTTCATTACTGACATGTCTTCTAGCTCAGCGAAGGGGGTCGGGAAGAAGTGATTGTGAGGGTCAGCCTGCCCAACCAAATGGCCCTGGTCTGGCCATAGGGTCGGTTCTGCAAACAAATACCTCCTGTCTCACATTGGCACATTGGTAGATGGAGTTCGTTGCACCATTTTTTGCGTCTTCTGGAAGGCCTGGAAGGTTGCAAGGGTTCTGGAAGGATGATCCGGTTGGATGGGCTTGGGATTTGGGGGGAAGGCAGATGGAACGCTAGTCCCATTGTGGATGCACCGAAGAGTCCGTGGGCTCTCGCTGGATCATATTTTGGGTCATATTCATTTTCGCCTTATTTGGTCTTAGTGCTGCATCGCCGTGGCTTCGTTACACTTGTATCGCTGTATTACCATTCTGTATTGAAGATTGTAAATTACCACTAGCTCACGATTCGTATGAGTGGTATTACATTTTCAGCATGGACGTGACAACACAGTCACTGCAATCTGCATATCCAGGCTTCGTTCAAGATTGCTTCTGGATCCAAGATCTAGAGAAGACCAGCGAGGACATGAGGCACTCACCTATATGATTGTGAAGATGTAGACAGCCATATCAATCATCCAAGACCTTGTGTGGAATCAAGCTCTCATCCGGTCTTCTTCGATTTCCGTCGCTCCAGGCGCTTATTTCCAAAAGCACTCCATTCTCAACGAGTGGTGAGCAGTTGTCTCGGTCGGTCTTTTGTTCTCCCCCGACATGTTTGCGCTGTGAAACGACAGTCACTGCAGTCAACACTCAACGTGCCTCGTTGCATGTTGGCAGCGGTCGGAGACCTCCAGGCCCCGGGGGAAGATCCGGTCACGTCCACTCCACAAGTCCAGAGTCTGACCAAGCCACCGAGGGGGCCGTTGGACCCCGGGCATAGCGAAGGATCCCAGAGGTAGACAACGTGACCCCATTCATTTCCTTCCAGGGTCGGGGGTATCGAGCTGCTGCGATTACATCGGTTAGACACCGTTTACGGGGGTTCCTTTTTCTTTGTATTCTCACTGCACGACCTGTCCTGGTCTAGCGCCTCGACTAATGAACAACACAGAGCACAGAGGTAGGGATGGGTAATGCGGCGGCCTCCGCGCTATGCACCTGGTCATCTGGCGGCGAACGCTGAATTATCGGCGGATGACAGACAGGGCAGACGAGGTGTGGACTACTCAGCTTGTCTGTTCGCTGTTGTGCTGCTGGAATGAGCTTCCTGGAGGTAGCTTGACACATGCTACACAAGGGAGATAGGCTGCGATGCCTGTTTACCCATAGTATACACAATACACTATACAGCCTGAGCCTAGTACACATAGCTTTATGGTCAACAGTGTAGTCCAAAACATATCACCATCTACCAGGGCTTGTGACAGTGTCAGTAAGCATGCTGACGACAACAATGTCTCTTACACTCGAGACACTCGGATTGGCACTTGAAGATCCAAGCTGCTGCACATGACAAACAATATTCATGTAGTCCTGTTTTTGCATGGGTCTCGGTATCGCTTCGATACTTGGGAAATGCCGCGATCGAAGACTTGAGAGTGCCATGTGCCTGTTAACCTTGAGTATTTAAAGAGACCGTCTAAAAGAGGCAATATAGATCTCAGTACCACAACACCTAATCAAGATCGGGAGAGCCGGGCAGAGCTGATTAAGCCCCACAATCCTACCCCTATGATATACGTGCATTCTCGTAGAGAGCATATGACAAGGCCGAGGAACAGAAGTCTTTTTTCTTTTGCCACCGGCGGATTTTGAATTGACCAGAATCCAAGGGGACAACAATCACTTACTCTATGTATTAATAAAGGCGAATGTAGAACTTTCATTTGCTGACAAACATCTACCCCGAGTCGTGCTGTCAATAGAATCTACTAATCTAGTCATATTCCCCTTTCACTCAAAATGCTGCTCTCATACTACTTTCTGATGGTCGACTTGGCCACTCGTAGTTCACTTGCCGTGTGTTGATGCATCGGATCGGTATGAGTCATAATTCGTGGCCTACCGTCATAGTTTGGTGTCAATTCCGATGAAGGACTATGGAAAGACTGTCATTATGAGTCTCGCGGCGTTGCTTGAGATGGTGATTGTATTGACAAAGTAGAACTGTGTCGGCGAGAGTCTCCAACGAGAAACAAGTGAAAGTATAGCTTAATTGAGTGGACAATCAACGTGCCTTGGTGAACATCGAGGGGCACATGGCAGCGATTCACCGCTTTTGATCTCAATGGTAGCATGTCCCGTCAGAAGATCCCCAGGCAGGTGATTCGCCAAGAATTCGATTCGATTCAAATAGGGTCACGATCAAACCCACTTCCACTACCATGAGTCAGGTTGAATCAGACTCCACGAGACGCTGTGGCAACTTGGCTCTGGCTCACTCTGGAGCTTCATGCTGACGGGAGTCAGTGCGAGCGAGGTTTAGTCACGACTCACAACAGCAGACGTGGAGATCCGCAAATGCTTGGCATCGCGGGACATCATCGGCGGCAGGATTCATCCTTGATGATGTATTTATTCTTATGGTGAGGTAGTCGGCCACTCAACCCTCGACTTGTGTCAAAGAGATCAGAACGCTCCGATTCAGGAATACCGAGGCTGAACCTTGACGCCCACGGCCTCGTGACTTTCCCATCACTAGGTCTCACTGGGTGCTTCTTTACTTCGATTCTGGCCCTGTCGATCCCTCGGCAGGTCAAAAGGTCACCCGATCTCTGCGTTGGCAACGCAAACGCCGTTTCAGTCCGTTGCAGACGCAAGTCGCACCATTTGACCGACCCATCACTCGGATAAAAATAATCTCTTGATCGACCGGATCCAATTTGAATTGGAATTCAGCATGGCGAACAGGTCATCTGAAAGCGCGACAGGCCCACAGCCCCAAACCCAACAACGTGAGTGAGAAAGCCATACTATCGGAGCTCGGTGGTCTGCACATACAAGTGTAGATCGCATCATCAAACCAGCAGATGACTAGGTTGAGAGTCCCTTCCACCTATTACGGCCAGAGACAACTCATCCATGGCTCATCTCTTCTCCATCATGAGCCTGAACGGAAAGATCCCGACGGGCCGCACCTTTCTTGATCACACGCTCACCAACAGAAACTTCAAGCAGATCCAGAGTCCCTCAGCCCAGCGACTCAGGATGCGCTGGCGGGATCGTCTGTCACCCTGCGCCAGTCAGTCCCCAAGAAACGGACCAAATGTCGTTATTTCGCCACCAAAAAGGGTATGTGTCATTCTTTTTCATCATCGCAATTTGCGTGAGACGGTCCGCTTGTCGAGGCTGTATCCACGAAAGATAGGAGCTTTTGTTCGCTGAATCGGGGTTGTTGCTTTCCTTTCAAAAGGCCATCTCGGCCTGGGCTATTGTACTGGCTTCTCCGGTGACTGACCTGGACGAGAGCGAGAGAGCGATTGGCGATGATCATGTTGGGGGCTTGGAACGTGCAGACTTTTCTGCGAGTTCGCACCGGGAAGCCATGTTTCATGTAGAATATAGGTCGGATCGACGATGCTAACAAACATTTTCCAGGATGCCGTGCTGGCGCTGAGTGCCCATTCATTCACGATGCCGCCGTGCGAGATCAGAAGAAAGACGCGCCCCGCGAGTCATCCGAACCGAAGGCCTCAACTTCAAGTACAAATGTTGGCGATACCGCTGGCTCTGGTTGTTCGGACGCGAATGCGAGCACGTCAAATCAAGCCGTAACCAAATCGATTGTTGCTCAAGTGACGAGGCCAGTCTCCAAAGTCGAGAGAAATGACCCAAGAGAATTCCAGCTCAATCAATTAAGACGCCGCTTTCGCCCACAGCAAGAGGAAGTTATTGATGGTACCAAATTCACCTTTGATTTGGTCCCTTCTGATCCCGATTTCCCTTTTGAGCTGGATGCTTTGAAGTGCATCCTTCATGTACCATCAACGTATCCTGACAAGGGCCGGCCCAAACTGTCAGTAACCAACACTGAAATGGAGGCTGCGTTTCAGAACAATGTATCGAGGGGGTTCGATGACATTGTCGACTTTGCAATTCGAACGAACGCGCGTGGGACCTTGCTTAATTGGGTCAATACCCTAGACAGGCAACTTGAACGGCTTCTGACGACCTTGGAACGAGGTCCGAAGCTGACCTTTGTGGCCAACACTGGCAGCGTCGATGCTACGGAAGACAGAAAAGAGAAAGCAGATACAAAACCAGTCATTCCTGTGGCATCTCAAGCAGTCTCTTCGGTTTCGGCGTCCGCAAAGCCAAGTTCGCAAGGCAAGCCCATCGCTATCCGACCAAGTTACACGTACGAGCAAAAGTCCCAGGCAGAGAAACGGAGAGCAATGGAGACGAAACAACTCGAGGCCCGTCTGGGTAGACTACCGCTGTTCCAGAAACGCTCCGAGACTGTGTTCATGATTCCAATTCAACCAGCCAAGCCGGACCGTTTACCAAAAAGTCTTCAATTAGTCAAGATGGTGAAGTTGATTATACCGCAACTCTATCCGCTCGAGCACAGCTCCATCGAGTTACAAGGCTCGAGCGAAGCCGAGGCACGTTCGGTTGAGATTGGCTTTGCACAATGGGTCGACAAGAACTCCCAGATGAATCTTGTTTCACAGATCAATTACCTTGCGAGCAATATGTTCAATTTTGCAAAGACTCCTCTCCCCGAAGTTGCAGAACAAGTGAAGCTTGAACATGTTACCGAGGAGCAGGAGAGCCCAGCCGAGAAAGCCGAGCCTGAAGTACCCCTCACAGGGAAGGGAGACAAACCACATCTCCATGTTATCCCTCGTCCGCCTGAGTGGTCCGTCGCTGAACAAGACAGTGGGACTGATATGACCGATGGCTCGAGCTATGAGGAAGACTCCGATGAGTTTGAGGAGAGTCAAGGGGAATCAGAAGAAGGAGGTGCCCCAATTCCCGCAGTAACTGATACACCGGGCCGTGGAGTGGCGCTCTCCTTCCCTTTCATGGAGCTCTATGGTATCGAGCTTTTGGAAATAGCCCACCTTGCAATCACTATCAAGTGTGAACGCTGCAAGGACTCCATGGATTTCAAGAACGTCGCTCAGCTCACCGATTCGAAAGATGTGCCCAAGGTCGAGTCGTGCAAAAAGTGCGCCAATTCGATGAGTGTCGGATTCCGGAAGCAATTGATGCATTCCCACGCCAATCGTGCCGGCTATCTTGATCTAGATGGCTGTACGGTTCTCGACATGCTTCCAAGGTAATCTACCCCATCTGTATCTTATTGACCCGCGAACACTTGGGCTAACTTTTCAATTTCTAGCAACTTCATTCCAACTTGCTCCGAATGCTCCACCGCCTACCACGCCCCAGGCGTCTCAGCCGTACGCGGAGAAAGCGCCATGGCAATTTGCCGGCACTGTCACCGAAAGATGGTATTCAAGCTGCCCGAGGTCAAATTTCTGGTGGTAGGAAGTGCGGCAATGTCTTCACGGGCCGCTCTCCCCTTGAAAAAGCGGCCCAAGGAGGTCCTTGGCATCGTTGCAGGACAGGAACTTCCTCGTCGAGGCCGGTGCCAACACTACGGGAAGAGCTACCGCTGGTTCAGGTTCAGCTGCTGTGCTAAAGTTTTCCCATGTGACAAGTGAGTCTACCCAAAAACGACCGGTTTTGCAGGGTGCAGAGAAGGACGCGAGTCCCATTGACACTTGACAAATCGTAGGTGTCATGACCAACAGACTGATCATCCTAATGAACACGCCAACCGTATGATCTGGTGAGTCCATATCATTTCGCAGCCATGATGTTTTTGATATCTATCCTGCTGACCATTTTCATAGTGGCTTTTGTTCTCGAGAACAAATTTATCGTCCCGAAAGCTGTGGAATTTGCAAGGCTGGGCTTGTGGGTAAGGCTGGAAGTGGATTCTGGGAAGGGGGCAAGGGAACTAGGAATCGAGCTCTCATGAGTCGTAAGGGTAAGTCACTGAGTTGCAGAACACGTCAGATGGAGCTGTTCTTTGCTAACCCGTTCTTTCTAGATCCCCGCAAGTACAAGAGACGTGGAGCCAACGTGCCCGGTGGGACGAGCTCGAAGAAGAAGTAGAGCGAGGTGACATGACCGAAAAGTAAAAGAGAAAGGCAGAAATCAATCCAACTAAATCTAACTCAGTCAGGCCAGATGAGCATGACTGCGTGATTTCTCACTCCATGCATTACAGTAGAATCACAGCATTTGCGAAAAGATTCTTCCGAGCTGTTTACCTACCCTCAAGCTCGGGCAATCATTTCGCCCGTAGCGCCATTAGATCAACTTTGTAATAAAGATATCCTCATTACACGGACTCCTTAGGTGAAAAATCTCAAAGTGTATTGAATTCCAGTACTCCATGAAGCTCAATAGGTATCAAGCGGGAAAAGCAAAGCCACCCTATGCAGTCGCCATGCGTGAGGCCAAAGATCATCAAAACTATTTACATCGCGAATCTCGCGGTCATTGAAGTCATGGCGCGGTTGCGTTTTTTTTTCTGCGAATTTTAGACAAGGTTTCCACGGAGGGCCTGTTCGCGTTCGATCGCCTCGAAGAGCGACTTGAAGTTGCCGGCACCGAATCCGGAGAAGTTGTGACGCTGGATGATCTCGATGAAGACGGTAGGACGGTCCATGAGATGCTGTTGTGGCACGTTAGTACCTTGCGTATATGACATTCGTTGCAACACAGTTTGGGATCCTAAACATACCTTGGTGAAGAGTTGAAGAAGATAACCGCCCTCATCAAAGTCAATCAGGATATCCAAGCTACGGATAGTCTCAAAGTCCTCCTTGAGCACGAGACCAGACTCCTTCAGACGGGCCTGCATATCGGTGTAATATGTCTCGGGAACCTTGATGAATTCGACACCTCGGGCCTTTAGGTTGGTGATGTCGCGAATGATGTCGTCGGTCAAGAGAGCGATGTGTTGCACGCCGGCGCCGTTGTAAAAGTCGACATATTCTTCGATTTGGGATTGCTTCTTGCCCTTGGCCGGCTCGTTGATTGGCATCTTGACGATCTCGTTAGGGGAAGCCATGACGATACTCTTCAGAGCGGAGAATTCACTGGGAAAGGCAGTCAGCTTTTGTCATAACCTGGTCATGAGACCTGATAAAAGTGATGACATACGTGCAGATTTGGCTGTCGTCCACTGACCAGAAGCGGTGGAAACCAAGGGCTTTTTCGTAACTAGAAGTCTCCGTCAGTATTTTCTCCTATTTTCAAGTGACTCTTTGACGGAACAGCTTATGTTTCGAGATAGTGATGCGACTTACTATTCACAGATCTTATCCATCTCGTCCCAGTCCTGGTTGCCCACACAGTGATCGATGCGGCGAAGCTTGACACCAGGCAAGAACTTCTCCACGGGATCTTCAGGGTTCTGCTCAAGACGGAACCCAGGCATGAAAGCACCGTGATACTGGCCACGCTCAATCAACGTGTGTGTGGTCTGACCGTATGTCTGAATAGTAGCAACCTTGACATGGCCGTGCTCGTCCTCGAGCACACGAGGCTTGGAGACAGACTTGGCACCATTCTTGACAGCAGCATAGTAAACAGCCTCGACGTCGTCGACTTCGAAAGAGACATCCTTTACACCATCACCGTGCTGCTCAAGGTGGTGGTGGATCTCACGCAGCTGGGCTTGCTCCTCGAAAGAGAAACGCTCAATCTGGTCAAGAGATCGTAGGGGCGAGGTGAGGATGAAAGTGATATCGCCGTTGCGGATGACATGGGAGCAGAGATGACGCGTGCCAGTCTCGAGACCACGGTAGGCAATGCGCTTAAATCCCATCCGAGTGATGTAGTAACTGGCCGCTTGCTTTGCGTTGCCCACGTACCACTGGACATGGTCGTAACCACGATAGCTGGCGATGGAGTCTTCACCGGTGGTCGATGGAGGGGGCGAGATCGCTACTGGAGCCATTTTGAGTATGTGTTCTTCTTGATTTGTGTGACAAGTTCAAGTGCTCTGGAAGTATGCGCAGTCGAACTTTGCCTGGTAGGCGTGGTGTTTAAAGATGAAAAGTTAAGGATGTGCTTGAGTGGAAAGATGGAAAGTTTGCTATGAAGAGACGACCTAAATAAATGGCTTTGGTCCCATCACTAGTTTGATAACCATGGTCACTTCCCCTCTGTTAACCGCAGCGGATATCTTGCAAAACCGCAAGCATCATCATTAGTCGGCACCTTTTCTTGCTGAAGGCTATCCGGACGGCACGAGGGTTTCGGCACTCTTCCTGAAACAGCCGGAAATATCCGCCAACAACCGGGCCGAGTCGCGCCGCATGATTCCAACCAATGCGCTTCGGCTCGGCTTCGAATTAATTTCAAGAAACCCCGATGAATCGTTTGATTTCATAGCAAACTACATGGCAACAGAATATTGCAAACTACATCATTTCTGAAGAGAGCCGCAGAATATTGCACGCGCACTTGTCGTCTAGTGACTGCACACTCCATCGATCCTGTCCTATTCAACCTCACTCCCCCCGACTCCCCGAGACCATCTACTTCTTCATCATAATGACAACAATCTCCGACAGCCGCCCTTCGTTGAGCAAGAATGATTCCGCTGTGCTTCAGGCCCTTTTCGACGCTGAGTCGTCTCCATCCTCAGGCGTTACAGTCAGCCCATCAATGCCACCCTGGCCTGCGACAGTGAACATCTCTTCCACCGACCTGGGACATCTCAAGTCTCGCGAAGCACAAATTATCCTCACCCTTCAAGATACGGAGAGGCCAGACGAGAAAGTCGTTCGATCAGCTCTCTCCGAGCTCAACAGCCTCGTGGCTCAGTATCCGACCTACCCTTCCGCGTACACAAATCGCGCACAAACGCTACGTCTCCTTGCCGATATTCAATACCCTCAAAACCAAACGGTGTCAGACGACCCTGCTTCCAATGACTCCCTCTACGCACCAGAGGCCTCTGAGCTTTTGTCGAGCGTTTTTGCGGATCTCGGCACAGCTATAATGCTAGCGACACCAGCGTCGCCAGCAGATCTGGTTTCTCCTGTCCAGGCGCGCTTGTTGGCTGATGCGCACACGCATCGCGGCTACTTACTCTTGAAGATGGCTAGGGTGAAGAAGAATGCTTCGCAGTCACAGAATCAAACTGTTGGCCCGGAAAAGTTGCGCGGATACAGTGCGGATCAGCTGGAGGAGATGGCGAGTCGGGATTTCTTCTTGGGCGGACGATACGGGAACAAAGTGGCTCAGCAAATGGCTGTACAGACGAATCCATACGCGAAAATGTGCGGAGCTATTGTCAAGCAGGCGATGAAGAAGGAGATGACGGGTGATTCGTGATGTATATAGCGAAATGATTAGACGAGGTATAAGATTCAACTTTCAAGTCAGCGATTATTACTGGGCTTCATGACTTTGAAGTTCGTAAGTGCGAATTGCTTGAGTACACCTATGGGGGCTGAGATATGCTTTGAACCTACTGCCAGTTTTTGAGAGACGCTATTCTCGAGCCCATGTGAGCTTTGCGACGAAGATGATCAAACGTGAAGAAATTCAATCAACTTGAGGTCACTCTCAACAGGCCATCTCCAGTGTACGTTGTGGCGACGCCAAATGGAACTTGAGAAATTTAATTCAATGCTGTAGAACTAGGATAATCTCGCTGCTAATTCATGGTTTGTCGTTTCGTGGATGTAGAAGAATCAAGCCTTGTTGGGGTTCTTGAAGTGCCGTTTCAAAGGTTGCCAGCTGTGCTCATTGTACTTTTCTTGGACTTTGTGGCACGTCTTCAACCCCCATTCAGAGACCCCAACCATAAGAGAGCTATATTGAATGTACCTTGTTAGTTCCTGGTATCAAAATTATCAATGAAAGATGGACTCTAGTTTGCGACGCACCTCTCGAACATGAACGCCATGCTGTTCACCCCCACTTTGTTCGGCTTCAGCTCCGCATTGCTAGCCCCCTCGAAGGCATCCGAGTCAGGCCCATGAGCACTCATCACGTTATGGAGACTGGCGCCGCCAGGCTGGAAGCCACCGCCCGTCTTCGCATCATAGCCACCGGAAATGAGACCCATGAACTCGGACATGGTATTGCGGTGATACCACGGAGGACGGAAGGTGTCCTCGGCGACTAGCCAGCGGGGAGGGAAAATCACAAAGTCGGCAACAGCAGTGCCCACATGGTCGGAGGGACCTGTGAGAACAGTGAAAATGGAGGGGTCGGGATGATCGTGTGAGATCGTACCAATGACGTTGAAGCGACCCAGGTCGTACTTGTAAGGGTAGTAATTGCCGTGCCAAGCGACGATGTCGAAGGGGGTGTGGTCCTGGCTCGCTGCGAAGAGTGTGTTGTTGAATTTGCTGAACAATTTGTACTCCGTAGGTTCTTCTTCGTCGTCGAAAGATGCAACGGGGGCTTGGAAGTCACGGGCGTTGGCCAAGCCATTTGATCCAATGGGACCCAGCTCAGGGAGTTGGTAATGGCCCTGGTACAACTCGCAGATGTACCCTCGAACAGGACCACTGGGAAGGGTGACACGGTATCTAGTGATCACTACCGTTAGTGATTGAATTCGAGCGAAAAGCAATTGTGACCACTCAAGGAACTCACCTGATACCACGGGGAATCACGGCAATCTCATTAGGACGGACAATCATGCGTCCCAGCTCGGTCTGAATGTCCAACACTCCATGCTGGGCCACAATCAAAAAGTCTCCATCAGCAGAGTAGAAAGCTTCTTTACCCATGTCCTTCCCAGCTGCGTAGAGGAGGATCCCGAGTCCTTGTTTGAGGGTTGGGTCACCCGAACCCGCGATGAGATGCAAGCCATGTACCCAATCGACCTTCTCGTCAAAGTCGAAGGGATCCCACCGCAGTTGATTAGGAATGTGGTGTAGTCTTTGTGTTTCAGTGGTCAAGCGAGTATGATACGATTCCCCATCTTCTGCGACGAAATTGCCGTGCGCTGCCGCGGGAATGATCCGGTAGACCCATGTCTGCTTGTTCTCATGCCGCGGCGCTGTAAAGGCCGTCCCGGAGAGCTTCTCGGCGTACAGACCATAAGGTGCTTTCTGTGGTGAGTTTTGGGCCACTGGCAGGGCTCCCTTGACAGCTTCAGACCTGAAGTGCTTCGATCAGTCCCTGAAACTCATCGGCAAGATCGACGCTGCAAGTAGAGAAATCTTACTCGTGGTAGGAGTCGAAGCCAATCTGGTAGGTGTAGGGATCTGGGTGAGAGAATTCCGTTACAGGCATAATGAGGTCCGGCGTAGGTGGTGTGTCAGTGGAAGAATCACAGCTGAGGATGAGACACTTTCAGCTTTCGCGACTTTTTGTCTTTTTCAAGGCTCCGGAATTGATGCGCACGGCTGTGGAACCTAAATATCTCGGAGGACAGCTACTGCTGTGGTTTCCCCATCTTCCAAGCGTGTCCCCATAATGGAATCGGACTCTCTTGGCCCACTCCGACTAGCCCCACGTCATCCGCGGTCCATCCGGGGGAACATCCGCGACTATCCCGCTCGGCAGTTCCGCAGTCAACAAAGCAGTCGGGGTCGCTTGGACGCGGGGTATGCAGCGATGGGCGGACCTAATTCCGTGTTGCTCAGATGCGAAGAGCTTTGTACATAGTTGTCGACTTGTCTCGGCGTGAAATCGCTCGTGGTGAATTTAATTGTCTCGTGTTTCTTTTGAAATTTTTATTTTGGTTTCCACAATCTTCCCTTGGACAAAGCACTCGGTGTATCACCACCTCAGACGTCACCATGGCTTCTTGGTTCCAGATCCCCAAGAATTCCCCCTTCTCTCTTGCCAACATCCCCTTCGGCATCATCTCTTCACAATCCGCTTCGCGTGTCCCCGCTATTGCGATCGGTGACCATGCCTTGAACTTGAGTCAATTCGCCTCATCTGGAGGCTTCTCGCCATTGTCCGCAATTCAGCAACACCTGGACGTCTTCCACCAGCCCACGCTGAATGCGTTCGCGGCTCTCGGTCGTCCAGTGCATCGCCAAGTGCGGGAATACCTGCAAAACGTGTTCCGCGCCGAGACGCAGTATCCTCAGGTGCTCAAGAATAATGCAGAGCTACAGAAGTCTGCGCTTGTACCGCTCTCTGAGGTTACCTATCATGTGCCCATGCAGATTGGAGACTATACGGATTTCTACGCTGGATTGAATCACGCCTACAATGTGGGCGTTCTCTTCCGCGGACCCGATAACGCACTCCAGCCCAACTACAAACATCTTCCTGTCGCTTACCACGGTCGTGCTTCCTCTGTGGTTCCCTCTGGAACCGACTTGCACCGTCCAAATGGTCAAATCCTTACCAATCCTGCCGCGAACCCCAAAGTTCCCGAATTCTCCCCTTGCAAAAAGCTCGATATCGAGCTGGAAATGGCGTGCTTCATCAGCAAGCCCAACGATCTTGGCAAGCCTGTTGCTATTGACGAGGCAGAGGATCACATCTTTGGTCTCGTTCTGATGAACGACTGGTCAGCACGCGACATTCAAGCCTGGGAGTATGTTCCCTTGGGCCCCTTCAATGCCAAGAACTTTGGCACCACGATCACTCCTTGGGTAGTCTTGCTCGATGCCCTTGAGCCATTCCGCACTCAACCGTTGGAGCCTGAGAATCGCGAGTCTCTCCTCCCATACTTGCGCGAGAAGCGCGCTGAAAATGTGTACAACATCCCGCTTGAGGTCGAGCTTACCAACAAGGGCGGCCAGCCTAGTGTGGTATCGAACAGCAACTCTCGGAACCTGCTCTACTCATTCCCCCAGATGGTTGCACACCACACAATCACCGGCTGCAACTTGAGGACAGGTGATTTGCTTGGCTCGGGTACCATCTCCGGCAAAGAGCCCAACACCCAGGGCAGTCTCCTTGAGCAAACTAGTGGCAAGAAGCCTATCAAGCTGGCTGATGGAACTGAGCGTTTCTTCCTCGAAGACGGCGATACTGTTGTTCTGCGCGGTATGGCTGGTACTGAGGGTAACTATGTTGGATTCGGCGACTGCGTTGGAACCATTCTTCCTGCCGTCCCTATCTAAGTCACATACGGAGGTGGAAGATGGCAAAATCGGGAAATGAATAATCAAGCTCTTAACTCTGACACATTGGCGACTACCACAAACAGTTATGACCGATCAAAGTAGAACAATGACATGAAACGCTTTCACTGAATGGAAATCTTTCCACGTATTGACCCGATGAAGTCGAGGATACTCACTTCAACCCAGGAAGCTGAAAACCGGAGTTGTTGATCTCCCCTCAAGATTCCTCACTCCCTAGCCCCTGCAAGAGATCTCATTTAGCCCGTAGCTCCTCAGGAGTATCGGGCTGCGTCTGCCAATGACCCTTTTGCACCGCATCCTCCTTTTCGAGGTTCTGCGCAATCCGATGAATTGTCGGAAACGCCGACAAATCCACCCCTACTCTCTCCGCGCCCCAGACAGCAGGCGCCAAACAAACATCTGCCATGGTGATCTGATCCCCCACGCTGAAGCGACTCGCCGAGCTTGACGCAAGAGTCTCGTACGCACGTAGTCCATCCTCGATCAAATCCTTGGACCAGGCGGTCCTGTCTGCCCCCATAGGGGCCACGCGCTTGAGGATTCGGAGGTTTGTCACGGGCTGAACATCGCAGCTGATAATCTGGGCGAGTGTACGGACGAGAACGCGGGTTTCAGGATCAGGCGGGAGAAGCTGTGGGCCTTGGTTTGGGAATGCCTCGTCGAGGTATTCTAGAGCTGCGAGAGATTGGGTGATGATCACTTGGGGCTGCTCCTGGTGCGGTCGTTGGACAATGAGAGCTGGAACTGTGCCGGACGGGTTGATGGACCGATGAGCAGGGGTGGTCTGTTCATCGCGAAGCAGGTTGACAAATACAGGTGTGTACTGGATGTTTTTCAAGTGTAGTGCAATGCGTAAACGAGCTGAGCAGGAGGACCGAAAGTATGTGTACAAAGTGACTTGAGCTTCAGACATGGTCCTATATCAATGGTATTGATGACTAGAGAACTCGGATCGGTATGGCCCGCGAGGGGTGTTTGGTAGAAATGATGTAGAATCGAACTGAGCCTGTACGTAGGGAACGAATTTGTCAAATTGGCCAATTAGTCTCGCTTCAATACACTTGGACGGCGATTATAAGCATTCTCTTTACCACGGACCTCCTGACCCTCGGAACATAACGCGTTGTCCCTGGCCAGGACGTAGCTGTGATATCCGTCTTGAGCTTCCAACTGGTGAATGCGCGGTAATTCCGCCGTCTCATTTGGTGCTGGTGCGGCCGTCGCTTTCCGCCGGCGCTGGACAAAACCTCGGAGGGAAAAGCTACCAGTGCGGAGTATGATGAAGTATTAAGCCTTGCGTAGAGATCCTTTCTGTATGCCCTCGAATGCTTGCATTCTGCACTCCTCGCCGAGCTACAAGTCCTGCGTACTGTGGACCGAGAACTACAATCTGTACTTCGTAACAGCTTGCTTTGTGAATCGAATGCGGCCCTACAATTACCCAACCAACAGGTTTTATACGGAGAAAACAAAAGGGATTGATGATCCTTAGAGCTCTCCATTTACTGAGGTTGAAGGTCAGCTAGAGGAGGAGATAAAGTAGGAAGTCACACGTATTCAATGACAACACACCGGCCGAACCTATGTGTCAGGAGAGTCGCTGTCTCGAATTGATTTGCAAGTTTGCTGCATTGTGTCGAGGCTCTTAGGTAGCCCAACGCATGGCAATGGACCTTGTTGCTGGATATGTTCTTCGGAAAAGATGGACTTTGAGTACATTCTTGCTACGAAACAAAGCCCGACGGAAGCGATATATTAACCGCCTTCTTGATCGTCAAGAATCTGAAACGACGTTTCCTACAGTGGAGGAAGTCGAGCTACAACCGTAAGCTGTCAAAAGAACCAAGCAGCGAAGGGATGACAGCATAGGAGTTATTTTTCTACACTTTATTTTGGGAGGTTGGACGGCTGAGAAGAAAGATCACCGGCCGAGGTACTTCCACCTGCCATTAAAGCAGGCAGAACACTCTGCCCGCTTTTCCCATCAGCTTCCCCATGTGCGTTGGCTCTGGACCACGGGTTCGTCGAAGCAAGTTGTGATGTGAATTGCAATTGCAGTCAGTGCTGTGTACCTGCACGGTACGTGACCTGTGTGGGAAACGGCGAGGGTTAACTTGACCTCCAGTAAATGGATAGAAAGATGGATCCAGATATGTAGCCTGTTTTATCAGGCGGTAATAAAGGTGCGCCTATTTGCTGATTACAGGGGAGATCAGCCCGCATGGCAATGACGTCGCAGCTGCAGCGGGCACACCGAGCCGCGGAAAGCCCTATCTATATAGCTGCTGGTGTATGGAATTGGAGAGAATATGACCAGTCATTATAGGGTGCTTACCTACTGACGACCTCGACCACAATGATCATGGGCATCCTGCTCAATCCTTAAACCTCCAGTGACCCAGAATATGATGTCTGTCAACCCGGCACGTTGGTCAGACTATGACATGCTAGACACTTGAGTCACTCTCCATACTTGACAGCGGACCGATGCCTCCTCAAAGTGCCAGGGCGTCATGAATTCGTGGTCCCTCGGTCTCCCGCGCCTCGCCCGGGTAGAAGCGGCATTCTCCACCAGCCTTTTTCGCTCGCCGTTGAGGTGATCCCGTCAGTCCACGCACCCACTTCTCCATGCAAAATATCCACTCAAGGAAATTGCCAGTGCGAGTCGGCATTGCCAAATTCATCCGGCTTGAGATTGTCGTCGCACCTTCAAGAGCGCCTGGGTGACAATGGACGGGGCCAGGCCATCCCGTCCCGACCGTCCATATCAGCGCACCTACAAGGCTTGCATTCCATGTCGGCAACGCAAGGCAAAGTGCGATCTGGGAACGGGTCCAGACGGACTTCCAATCGGCCCACCATGTGCGCGATGTCGCAGAGAAATGCGAGAGTGCATCTTCCCTGAGAAGCGCGCTTGGGAGAGGTCGCGCAAGCGCGGTAAGTCGAGGTCCATTGCGGCTGTCACGTCCGCCTCAGAACGGGGACCAGGCTAATGGAGGCACCGGTCCAGGTCGATCGCCAGATGACAACGAATCTGAGATCTCACCACCGGAACGTCAATATTCGAGCACAATCGCCGTCGCGGACCACGCCGGGAGTGGTCAATCCTCGCAAGCTGGACCTCCGCCTCTACAATATGACCTCCACTCGACGAGTCCATTCCAACAAAGCTGGACCTTTGCGCCACCCCAGCAATCACCACATGACGCACGCAGCCCTCAGGTTGGCATCAGTCCGCAGTCAAACGCGGATGGATCGGTCATTGCAAGCTCATCTTCGGCAAATGCGTATGGAGAGTCTCGACACCGGTCCGGTTCCATCTTAGCAAACTCGATGATGCGGACGGTCGTAGCCAGTGGGAACGATGCTCTCAACATTTTATTTGAAGCGGCAACCGCCAGCCAGGAGGATAATGCCCCGAGTGGTGAAAGTCCAGCGTACGGGATAGAGTCCAGAGGGGGCGGTCCAAACGGACACTTTCACACAACTCCTAAGAACTTTGAAAGCCCAGCTGCCTTCGAGCCAATTCTGCGAGCCAGACGTTCAGTGGAGTTGTCCGAGGTAACAACCGAAATCTTACGGGTTTGGGAAGCGTGCCGATTTGTGAAAATGGGCTGGTTCACTGCTCGCGAAGCGGTGACTTTCCTCGACTTGTGAGTCTCTCTCCTTCAGTTGCTCTTTAGTGGAGGGCCGCACTCGCCCTAGGCCAAGCATGCTGGGATTAGAAATTATCGCTGACCCGACAAAAACGCAAGATTCTACAAAAACATGTCATGTCTGTCACCAATTCTTACTGACTTTTACGCCAACCACCAAAACCACTTGACACTCCTTACACGAGAACCTGTTCTGTGTTCTACTATTCTTATGATCTCGTCTCGTTACCACATTCTACCTGGCGCCGGTGGAGAGTCGAGGAACTTCTATATCCATCATCGTCTCTGGCAGTACTGTCAGCAATTGATCACACGGCTTATTTTCGGCCAAGAAAAATCCACCAAATCCAAGATCAGGAGTCTCGGGACTGTCGAAGCCCTCTTGCTGATGGCTGAATGGCATCCCCGCTCACTTCATTTCCCACCGGACGCTGACGGCTGGGATGATGAGCTCTTCTCGATGGACTTGGTTAGCCCAGATCATGCGGAACGGAGCAAATCATCGGAAAGTCGCTGGATCGGAGACATGACTGAGCCCTCGCGCAGGTCAGATCAAATGTCGTGGATGCTGCTCGGATGTGCGCACTCGCTGGCTCATGAGCTAGGGCTATTTGACACGGAGGAGAGTGACCCCTGTACCGATGACCAGCAATGGAAAGAGCAGATCAGGCTTCGGCGCCAGCGAGACCAACGGCTTCTCTACGTGTATATGAATCAATTGGCTTGGCGTATTGGACGCACGTCTCCGAGTCCCCAGTCACTCAATCATGCCGTCCTCGGAGGACGCAAGCCCCGTGGATTGAGTCAACCCGGAAGCACGTGGCTGGTGTTCATGGACTCATGGATTGAACTCACAAAGTTGGCCCAGTCGGTCACTGACATGTTCTTCCCATCGGCCAAGTTTGCCCGTCAACAGCTCCACAGTGGTCGCTATGTCGGCCTACTCGAGCACTTTCGGCCCCTGCTAAATCAGTGGAAAGACAAATACCTGCAGCCCAGCAACCTCGACACTGCATTCTACAACGATCTCTTTATCGAGTATCACTTTGTGCGCGTATACACTCACTCTGTTGGCATGCAAGCCGTGGTGGAGCGTGCCGTGGCTCACGCCGATCTGAATAATCTAGACGACGTTCGCCCCATGACTATCGATCCGACCGACTACGAATACATTCAAGAGGTGATCGATGGGTGCTGCCAGATCCTGCAAAGGGTCACCAATCTTGCAGATGTAGGAGCTCTGCGATTCTCTCCGGTGCGCATCGTTCTTCGAGTCACCAGCGCCTCAATCTTCTTAATGAAGGCACTCAGCCTCGGCACTCGAGAAAAAACGCTGCGCGAATCACTCGAGGTCCTTGAGAGGAGTATCAGCGCACTCAAATCTAACGCCCTTGACGATGTCCACCTCAGCACTCGCTATGCCACGCTATTGGAGATGCACGTGTCCCGTTTGCGACGGAATCTTCTGGCGTCCTCAAAGATTCTGAGACACAATGACTCTACGAATCACAACAGCCGCGGGGTCACTCGTCGCTCGTCAATGGGACCTCCATCCTGGCCAGAAAATGGTGATCGACCAAGCGCAGTCAACGCACCTGCGCCCCAAGATATGACCTCTGACATGGGCTTCGTGCCTTCTCTGGGCGACATGGCGGACGACTGGTTGTCCTTGCCATTTGACCCTTCAATGGCGCCATTCGGAATGAGTAGCAATGCTCAATTCCCGATGTACGAGAGTGGTGGTTTGGACTTTATTTGGAACCTCCCGTCGTAGGAAGGGGACTTGCTCGATCGATTTTGCACAAAGAACCATATGATACCCATACACCGCTTCTTATATATTAATGCAAATAAGTATGCATTACATACATTCTGACATTCGTCTTGTCTAAGGGCAGTCACTGCTTATCTGATAATGCAATACTGGATGCGTCATATCAAACGCGGCAGTCCTGGCTTCTGAAACTGATCAGCAATACTGCTGATAGTCCATAGTCCAGACTTCTTCCTTGACTTAGATAACTCGCCGTGTTGGTACCTGCAGGGGTATGAGTCTGCATGCTTAGCGAACAAAAATTCTCTGCATCCGGAGGTGATCAGAACCACTCCGAGAACTTTTCTTGTCCCCGGAAAGGCCACTCGAAAAGACCGGGGGTGATGATTGAGTTTAATGCTAAGTTTGCTGTGACAGCACCAACCAAAACCATCTATTTACTCCCTGAAGCGCCCGATGGCACCGGTGGCGATCGGAGTTATCGTCACGTGAGGTCACGGGCCCCCGGACCAGCCAAGTAGAAGAAAAAGTCATCCACCCGCATCCCCGACATCGTCATCCCATCGTCGATTTGCCTCTCATAGCAAGCCCGCTACACTCCTCTGAACTGCCTCTATTGCGGCGAGTCTTCAGTTATCAGCAGTCGAAGTACTTGTTGATCTCCCAAACGAATTCCTGTTGTTGACGGTCGCGACAAATCCGCCTGTCATCAATCAACACCTCGACTCGACCGACCTTCTCTCCACCCTCACCCTCCGCAACTTCACATATCATGGATCACTCGAGAGATCCCTGCCCCTGGGTCGCCCTGAGTGACTTCGGTGGTGCCTTTTGTATGGGTGCCATTGGTGGTGCTGTTTGGCACGGTGTCAAGGGCTTCCGCAACAGCCCCTATGGTGAGCGTCGGATAGGTGCCTTGACTGCCATCAAGGCTCGTGCTCCCGTGCTCGGTGGTAACTTTGGTGTCTGGGGTGGCATGGTACGTTTTCAATTTTCGATGGGAAACGATCGAGAACTGCCTTTGTTGACTGATGACCGTTGTTTAGTTCTCCACATTTGATTGCGCCATCAAGGGCATTCGCAAGACCGAGGATCCTTGGAACAGCAGTATGTCAGCCCAGCATGAATAGGATGCCCAATCAATTTTGCTAATGCCGGTTTCAGTTATTGCTGGTTTCTTCACTGGTGGTGCTTTGGCTGTGCGTGGTGGTGTCAAGGCCGCTCGCAACTCCGCCATCATGTGCGCCGTTTTCCTGGGTGTCATTGAGGGTGTTGGCATTGGTTTCCAGCGTATGATGGCTGACAACACCAAGCTCGAGGTACGACTCTGTCCCCACTGTACCTCTCTCTCTCTCTCTCTCTCGCAATCGTGTCTTGTACTAACATCAGCTCCTCTCTAGCTTCCTCCTCCTCCCCCTCTGAGCAAAAGGCCCTTGCCTAAATTTCTCCATTCGAATCTATACCCGAACCTTCTCCCACCTCTTTGGTGGCCACATACCCACCTCTCGACTATTTCTGTCTTCACAAATTTCCTTCCCATCTTGAATCTCCCTTCTCAGGTGTTCGGTTTGGGGGTTTCCATCATTCTACGACTTTGGCATAGAGGTTCCTGCTTTGTTCCCTTGCAATTTCTCGTTCGTCGCGCTCTCGATACCGCCTCTCTATCTGTCTGTGATTTGAAGCGTTGTATTTTATGGATAGCATCCTTGGGCTGGTGGGCTGGATCCCAGGATTTGGGGACAGCCCTCTGTCCTCTTTTTTCGTGAGAGTCGGTGGAACTCCTACACACACTAAAAAAAAGATTATCTCTGCTCATTGCTGCAAAAAGCGCGGTTTGGAAGGGGACATGGTGGAGTCTTGTACATTAACGCATTAATAACAGGCATAATAACGCATTTTTCTGGATTTCATGTTTTTTCCCCCTGGCATTGACTGAGATTGCAAATATCAATCTCTGATTCTCGCGAGAAAGGTCCTTGATCTTGCATTGCGTTGCATCTTAACCCTCTTGAGGTCGTCATTTGGAGGCTCACCATCCCATTGCTTTGGCAGGGCGCGAGCGCGATCTTGATCTCTACCAACTCGATTCGGTTTCTTCCGGATATCTGGAAGTCGACTTCCCCGCTCCATCTATCCCCGCACTTTGGTTATCATCTTTGAGTTGGAAAACATCTGCTCAATTCCTCCAGCAACCTCAGTCTCAAATGTCAGACTCTACCGCGAAATTTAAACCGACCCTCGTCATCCACGGAGGCGCCGGCGTGCTCCAACGTGACAAACTACCCCCTCCGCTCTACGAGAAACACCGTGCTTCCCTCCAGTCGTATCTCCGGTCAACCCACGCCCTCCTCAAGGATGGGGCGTCTGCTCTCGACGCCGCGGTCCACGCCGTATCTCTTCTAGAAGATGACGAGCTCTTCAACTGCGGACGCGGCAGTGTCTTCACATCCGCGGGCACAATTGAAATGGAAGCTTCCGTTATGGTCACATCGGTGCAGGACCCCGACGACAGCCGGCCGGGCGAACTGAAGAAAGCCGCCGCGGTCATCAACGTCAGAAATGTCCGCCATCCGATTCAACTTGCCCGTGAATCTCTCTTGCGAACGGGCTGTACCCCCGACGGACAGCCCAGGGCTGATGGGGGCAGTATGCATCCGCAACTTGCTGGGCCTCATGTGGAGAGTCTTGCGCGCGACTGGGGCCTCGAGTTCATGCCGGACGAATGGTTCTGGACTCAGAGACGGTGGGATGAGCACCGACGTGGGCTTGAGGGGAAGGATGAGCCATTCTCATTGAGTCAGGGGACGGTGGGCTGCGTGTGTTTGGATCAATGGGGTAATCTGGCGGTTGCGACGAGCACGGGTGGGAAGACGAATAAAATGCCCGGTCGCATTGGGGATACTCCTACTCTGGGAGCTGGGTTTTGGGCGGAAGCTTGGGATGTGTTCTCGCCAGAGGAAGTGGCACTCTGTGATGAAGCCTGTTCCGCGACCGCGACCGCGACCGCTCAGGCTGGTGTGTCTACGAGCGGTGTAGGGTGCTTGGGTTCATGTCTTTCTCAACTGAAGCGCCAGTGTCGAAAGCGGGTTGCTAGTATTACTGGCGCAAGACCTCGAACCCGTGATGATCCCCCAGCCTACTCTCCTCGCCCTACTGAGTTTAGTGCAGGATCAGTCGTGAAGCTCTTGCCCGACGGACAGACACCTTTCAGCTTTGCCCCTCGGAGTTATAGAAGAGCCATTGCGCTCTCAGGAACTGGAGATGGAGACGCATTCCTCCGCATAGCTGCGGCGCACTCGGTCGCCTCGCTATGTCGATTGCAGAATCTTCCGCTTGCGCGGTCGGTGCAGTCTGTAGCCGGACTGCATGGTGCCCTACAACGATCGGCGGGTGCGCGGTGGGGGATCACTGGTGAAGGTGAAGGCGGGTTGATTGGCATCGAGATCAGCACGGCCGTTCCAGCTGCTGGTTCTGGGTCGTCGTCATCCGTGGGACGTGTAGAACTAGAAACGGAGAAGGGCCCGCTTTATTGTGGACATGTCGTTCTCGACTTTAATTGTGGGGGAATGTGGCGGGCCTGGATCGAACCAGGGCCGAACGGCGAGGATGTGGAAAGGATCATGGTCTTTCGGGAGGAGTACAAGTGAATTGAAAGATGATCAAGCTGGGGGACCACGACGTCCGAGTCGGAAGCAATTTATACACAATGACTGCTCTCTTGACTCTGCTGAGGTAGCAGTTCAATTTTGATTCATTTCCAGGCTTCACTTCCCGTTGCACCAGTGACCAGATGAATGTCTTCATAAGATTGATGTATACTTGATGTCAATGGATCGGTAGCACCAAAGTTACGACCAAGCAGAGTCTGAACCGCTCCTTTTGTTTTCATATCCTCCCACCAAAAACAAGCCGTCTGCAGTCTCTGGCCGATTGGCGATTACTGTTCTGGCCAACTGACGGGGAATTAAGTTGTAGCATGACCATGGGATGGCAAGTTATCTCGTTCCTAATGATGGTTTTCCGCGAGTCTCACCGGAGGATTCTTTTCAGACCTACTAAATCAACCCAGTTGACAGTAAACTTAGCCAACTGGCAGGTTGAACCCGGTTTTAGGCTTGGTTCTTTCAATATCCAACCTTTTCAATGTCCATGTACATGCCACCGCACTGAGGTGCTCTAGACTTCCATAGTCGGCACTCCGACTTTGTACAGTCTGTAGTCTGTACTCGATTACTGTAGAACGGAGTCTCAGCTCAACCCTTTTGCATCCAGGTTCCACCCACTCTAATCGACTCGCGGTGCTATTCTCGGACGTTTCTCGCCACCCTCAGGTACCGACAACGCTCAGTACTCGGTTGATCGGAAAAAGAAGGGAGTTGCACATGATGTAAATCGTGTAATTTATTTTTGATCTGGATTTTGTGGTTTTTGGTACATACACACCAGGCAGCGACCTCTTGTGCTAGGGTGTCTGGACTCACTACTCTTCCTGACCCCTGCTCCCTACTCCGTAGAGTCCCTATCACTACTGTACTGCGTAGTGCGTACAGTACGTACGAGGCAGTAGCACTAGCCTAAGTAGCCTCTCCTCTAGTGTTGTGTAACCGTCCACAGATTGGATAAACTCGACACTGACAGTGACCCCGGAAAGAAAGCGGCCTGTGGACCGTCCATTGACCCGCTGAGGAGACACAACTACTAATCACACTAGTCGTGTTTGGCGTAGCAGCCCTTCGATTAAGATCAGCGTCTGGGCACTGTGGCCCTCGGAATCCAGAACTGACGTCAACGACCTTGATCCCAGAGCGCGAATCCTTCTTCTCGTCGCATATCAACCTGACTCCATGTTGTCTGATCGCAAAGTCTGTTGACGGGGTTGATGAGAGAGACCAGTCGGTAAAAGGTGCAGAAGCCCGACAGAACTCTTGAGTTTGGGTCCCCCGTACCTGACACCCATTGATCGCATTGGGGGTGAGTTTTCAGGTACTAATATGTTCCTGGTGTTTTCCAGGTTTGTTGTTCTGGCTGTTCTTGTTCAAGGGTTGTGCCTGACTCCACCCATATTGAGGAGAAAGTCACCACTGCTAGTGGTCGGGGTCAATTCTTGTTTTTCTTGGATCTTGGACCGGGGTCAGACCCCGGACTGGTTCCATAACAACAGACAATAATAAGACTCTTGAAGTGAAGCAGAGGCCAAGAGGGATTTCGTACTCGCTCAAGCTGAGTCCCGCTAGCTTTCCAAGATGGGTGAATTTGAAAGACTGAGAGTGCGTGTATCTCTAGAGTACTGTAGTGATGGTCCATAGACTCCACAGTATGGAGTCCATACTGTGTGACTCGTGGGTAAGACCACTTGTAGGTCTTTTTCTCCCATGATTCATCATTATTCGTGACCGAGTCATGGAAGAATTCCCTTTGAAGGTAGGTGGATCAGCTGATCACTTCGTCGCGATACCCACTTGCCCTTTGGTTTTCTGGATCTTTTGTTGTCCGGATCATCATGGATGAACGACGGATTCCGATGAATAGTGATGTCTCCTGCTCCTCATTCTGACTCTGATTTTGAAGCCTGTTCACGTCGTTGGCTTGACGCAGGCCTGCGGTCCCGGCAGCTTGAGTGAGGGGGAACAACAAAGCTCAGCTGCCGGCTCGCACCCGGTGTGATCATTGTACAACCTTTTGACTTCATCACCGGTAGCACGAGGTCTAAGAGGCGGAGAGCTCACCAGGTTGCCTTGTGGATACGAGGCACCCGCCTTGGTCTACTACTCCTGGAGGCTGGGAGGGTCCTCCTGCAGCTGGTTTTCCCACCCGATCGAGCTTTGATGATAGGGTCGGAGGAGTGTCCCCAGGGCCGCTAGTCGTGACTCCGTCAGCCACGCGTTCTGTGCAGCCATCTTCGTCACTCGTCCCTCGTCCCTCGTCCCTCGATAGACATCGCCCGGGATCCACTGCAGTGCTGTCACCCCCTCAGACGACGGTCCAGAGACTCCAGACTGCCCTGTTTCCAACGATTGCAATGGGTCTAAGCGGGCTCCCGGGGCAGATTAAGCGTTGCCCATACTGCCAATTGTTGTGAGGGAGATATTGGCAACCTGGCAACGCCCTGGTCGGTCCATGCATCGTCAACTCCAGTCGACAAGGAACGAGTCGCAAAGTGGAGAATGCCCGTCCCCCACATTCAACCACGCCGTGCAACGGGTGGGCTGGTCGAACGCTGTACACATTGACGCAGTCCACAGCTCCACGCTCCACAGCGTCGAGCGATGGGCTGCTACTGCACTGCTGCACTGCACTGCACTGCATTGCAGCCGTACCGGTAGCCGTGGACCTGTGGCTGGGGTCTTCTTTGTTTGCCCTCGCACGATCAGCGCTGCTCTTGCTCCCGGAAGTCAATTATAAGTACCTTGTCCTGTGTCGGCCCGTTTTCAAGCTTCTCTTTTTGTTTTTCTTTTTTACTGTCTCTCAATTGCAATCTTCTTCAGCAATCAGGCCTAGTTCATTCGCTTCCACCTTACAGAACTTGTTCCATCGTTGTCACACATCATTCACTCATCATGAAGAGTTCCATTGCTATCGCATCTCTGGCCGTTGGTGCCAATGCTCTCGTTACCCGTGGTAGCGACTGCTGCTTCCACATCACCACTTCTGGTGGTGCCTCGGGTGAGCTTGGCCAGCTCGGTGATGGTCAGGTCCGAGTGAACGACCATACCCTCTCACCCTCCAAGTTCTGCCTGTCCAACGGCGTCATTACCGACAGTGAGGGCCGTCCCTGTGTGGTGACTGGTAAGCAAGCATCCTTCCATATCCTGAATGATGGATTTGAAGAACCTCTCGTCGCTAATCTAGATACTCTTCCTTCTACAGGCGAGACCACCCAGTTCCAGTGTGACGCTGGGAGCACTGGCACATCTGGCTTCTCTGTCAGCTCCTCAGGCAAGCTCGAGTTCAACGGAAACGCCGACTTTGTTGCCTGTGCCACCGGCCTCAACGGCGGTAGCAACATCTACACCACCGAGAGTGACAAAGTCACCCAGTGCGTTGATGTCCAGCTCATGGCCGACTCGACCTGTGCCGCCCCCGCTCCTTCCTCGGTTGCCCCCGTGGCCTCTCCTTCATCCACCCCCTGCAGCCCATGGTCCACTTGGCAGTCATCCTCCATGACTACGAGCTCCAGCATGCCATGGGGTTCTTCGCCCGTCGGCTCCTCGTCCGCATCCACCTGGACCAGTGTCGTAGCTCCCATGCCCAGCGGCAGCACTTCCATGCCCGTCTGGAGCTCTGCCTCCACTGCTGCCTCATCCAGCGTTGCTTCCATGAGCTCTTCTGCCTCGGCTGCCATGAGCTCCGGTGCCAGCGCCACCGTCTCCACCTCGGCTTCTACTACTTCCGGTGTGGCTGCTGTGACCTCTGCACCTCCTAGCTCTGCCGCTCGTCCTACCATCGGTTACGTTGGCACCGTGATGGCTGCGCTCTCCATGGCCATTCTCTACCTCGCCTAGGTCAATTGAGTGGAGTGATTTGAGGTGTGGTGCAGTTATGATTTTTGACAACCAGACGATACGCAACATGATTAATGAGGTGGTGATTCGCACGTAATGGAAGGATCGGATCGGGCTTGTTCTATTTGTCTTTCTTCTTTCACATATTTCTGGAGCTCGAGACCCCGCAAATGGGGCAGACTACATATTGAGCAAATACTAGCTATCCTACGACCAAAGTGGTCTCAGGACTGAAAATGTGCCTCGTCAGAGGCCCCAACAACATTCTGAATTCTATACACAGTGAACACCGTGCCAGTATCGCAGCTAAATTTACACCAGTAACACAGCCAGCATCGCAGGCAGATCCGCAGCCAGATTTACACCAGCATCGCAGGCAGTATCGCAGTCAGATCCGTCACGTCTAGCCAAGCATAGGCTAGGGTTGATGCCATAAAAGCTAAGGCGCGAGTCTATGAGTGACGTGTTTTGTGTTTTTTACACCGCGATGGCAGAACGCCTCTCTCCCTAGGAGAAAAAAGAATACTATTTACTATATGCCCCCCCCCCCCTCCCCCCTAAGCGCATATCCCAAAGGAGTTATCCTAAACTATTGTTGTTGTGTCTCTGACGAGACACAATCATCAATGCAGTCAATGGAGACTGGAGCTCCTATTTGGGTATATTGTAGTAGTTGTGGTTCCGGGCTGTTCTTGATCTCATTAGATCATATGGAAAAGGTGCGGTTGCCAGGGCAGATGAATTTCACTGACTGTGTTGAGTGGACCTCCTATCATGTGACCATCTGATTCACAGCCCTATGATAAAGACACGTCCGGAAGAGGTAAATATCTTGTCCTCACATACAATGCTCATTACGCACAGTCTTCCGTCTGTTATCTGAATGATTCCCGTAGTCAGTGATGCTCGTGTCGTCCATGGTCTGATGCCTATATACGCATCCATCGGTATATGTGACTCTGCAAGCCGAGATAGGACATCTTTCGAAAGGTACGCACCGTGCGCAGATGCCCACTCCAACCTTGGTAGGCTGCTCTGCTCATATAGTCACGATAGTCATGGGCAGGTCCACTCTAGTTCCGTTGATATTATTCTTACGGTTGTACTCTAGAGGTCCCCGTCCTGGTGAACGAGGTTTCTGATATACTTTTACCGACGGGTCTACAGGTTTGCCCCCGTCCTTGAACCTAACAAAGCGTCCACTGACCATAGGGTAGTCAGAACCAATTGAAGTACGATTTCAGATGTATAGATGCAGGGCTGGGTGACATCCATTCCAGCAGAACATCTTTCGGGTTTCGCGCAGGGGACTCGGTCCAAGTTCCTCGGGCGCACCATACCTTCCAAGCTTTTCATAGGATTGATCTCTAGCAGCTCAAAATTGCTGAGGATCTTGTAGTAATTTTGATGTTTCTCTGGAATGGTGGATGAACGTAGCGATATGCTGATTCCTCCACGATAGTATGAATGGAAAGGGCGGAGCTTATATTCATCATCTTGTCTGAGATTTACACCAGAGCAAGTATCCATACCTATGTATTGTCAAAGTGCTCCAAGATCGATCCATGTAGAGTCATCTTTATTTGTCAGGAAGTAGGCTTGGTACCTTTGTCAGAATATAATCTGATACTGTAGGAAGAATGAAACATCTAAATATGAACCCCTTCTTCCGAGGATGCTATCATAGTGGACCCGGGCTGGCATCTTTATTGGCCGAGTTTATCTCACGCACAGACGGGCGACCGATGGCTGCGCAAGCCTGCGGCTCGGAAGGTTATTGCGGTACATAAGTTTGGTGTTCAGGTGGTCTCGCTAGCTGGAATGCTGGATTTAGACATCTTTTTTTCCACGCGCAAGGTACTGAGCGTGCAGCTTATCATCATGTGTTAGCTACCTGAGGCTCCGCCCAGTTTGAGTGATCAAAGATCAAATCTTTATTCAGTGATCTTTTACGCGAGCCCGAAGCCCCAATGGGTCTCCCTCATCCCGGCGAAGCATGAAAATAACCAGTCCATTGGCGCTGATTCTTTGATCGTGGGGGGACGAGTGCACTGTGAATTGGCAGGCGTGGTGATGAGCAGGTTCGATCATCTGTTATATTGAGGGGCCGTAAAAGCAGAAAAAGCTCTTCCTCCGATTTCTCCGATTCCATCCACGCTCGACCGACTTCGCTTACCGACTCTCCTGTGTGGTGAATTTTTTTTTTTTTTTTTTTTGAAATGGTATCTGTGGCCTACGTAATCTTAGTACTTCGACCGCCATCCTCACCTCAACCGCCAATCTCACTATGTCGAAGACCTCTGACCTACTACCCTCTTACACCAACTACTATACCTAAGGCTAAGAAATTTAGTGAAAGGCGTCTTACTAAAGCTATTTAAGCCTACTACCAAGCCGAAGAGCCAAATATTAGCGTAATTAGCCTATGTAGTGTACCGCGTAGTATCCTACTGTAACGCATTAGCAAAGGCCAACACGCGAACTGGGGAGTTCACTGACCAGTTGGTTGGTCGACTGGTGAGTGGTTAGTTAACTGGCGAGTTGTGGTTAACTGGTGGGTCGGTTGGCCAGTTAGTGGAATAGAAATTGGGGAATCGAGGAGGAGGTCATATAACTAACATTTATATTCACGAAAGTTGGGTGATTGTGATCGTGTTATTATATCTTTGACCTTCTATGTATAGGAGCGCGATAGCCTCAGGATTATTCTGTTAGGGTCAAACCTTCGACCTTTCCCATTAGAAGGCCGCGCGGTCGCGGGGGCACTTCTTGGTGCTGATAGTTGAGTAAACAGGGATGCGAGCCAGCACAGGTCCCCCGACTGGGAGTGGAGAACTGGGCCTGATCCGATCTCGTTCGAGTGTCCACACATACGAGGGAATGGATCCCTGGCAGATTCGGACGACAGGCTCTTCTCCAGCTTTTCTTTCGCAAATCACTGCCTCGTCTGATACCTGCTACGAGTCGGGTCGTCGTCGAGCTCCACCAAATCTTCAAATGTCCTCGACTGACTAACAATGTGTGATGTCTGCCACCCGAACTTGACTCCCTGCATCTCAAACAAGGTGGTCGCACCCTTGATGACTTCATCGATCGACCGATGGGCGCCCGCGGTTCCCGGGAAGCTGCAAGTTTGCGCCATCCACGCGCGGGCGGGGGCCCCCGGCGGGAGGTCAATCGGGGGATCGCATGGGGCCCAGATCGGGCCTTACCGTATGCAGCTCACCTCATCCACCGTGAGATGAACGTTCACCCTTGCACTGAAGGCACCTCTTCCAGCAAAGGCAGCGTCATTGCCAATAATCAGAAAGACGATCCTTGGGTGACTGCCTCTGCCAGGGGACAAAAGCCTTTCGAACCATCTGTTCGGAATTTGGAATGCTCGGATGGCTGTCCTTCCGAGCCCCCGAGACCGAGACCGAGACCGAGAGGAAATGAGCATCTCGCGTTGAAGCTGGATCTGGGTCTTGGCAGTGCCGTGCAGAGTGCAGCCATACTTGGGATTGGACGTAATTGCTACCAAACACTGCGACTTGATCCTACCACTTGGGACAGTCATCCATAAGCGAACCAAAGCAATAGGCACAGATTACGCATCGATTATCAGTAGTCGTCTTTCCCCTTGTTCGTGTCTAAGATCTGGGGTGGAGAAACGCTGCTATCTGTCTCCCAGTCTCACCAGGTTTGTTCGCGGACAAAAACACCGCGTTTCTGTCACACCGTAGGTGAGACCACACTTGCTGTACTCTGAAGTGTCACCTGAGGATAAGCCTGACAGCCAGCGCGTATTCCGTCATCGTTACCATCTCTCTCCATCATGGATGATCATCACATCTCCCAGCCCACAATACAGCCCACAATACAATCCCCAAACATGCAAGCCAACAATCGACAGCAATCGTCATCCTCAAACCCAACAAGTTCAAGCACCGCATGGGGATCCATCTCGTCGGACAGTGGCAGCTCGGTCCATCACACCAAAAAAACGGCCCACGGGCTCGAGCCAGACAGCAACAAACTGGACGATGACGAGATTCGAAAGACACTATCTCGACGCAAGACGCACGTTTCGGGCCATGAAGGGGAAGAATGGGCGCAGATTGAGCACCTGATCTCTCGCATGTTTGGATCCGAACGAAAGGCCAATTCTGATGAAGAGCAAACGAGACATTCCGGGGTCATTTGGAAAAATCTGACCGTCAAGGGTGTCGGTCTCGGGGCGGCTTTGCAGCCGACGAACGGTGATATTCTGCTGGGTATTCCGCGATTCTTCAAAGGGCTACTCACGCGAGGACGAAGGGGAGCAAGTGGTGGCAAGTCGGAAGTCCGGACTATCCTGGATGACTTTTCGGTACGTCGCGCACACAGTATTATGGACTCTGTCCAAGTCACCAGCACTTTCTTCAGGATTCGACGAGCTGACCCCATGTGGAACAGGGTGCGGTTAACCCAGGCGAGATGCTGCTCGTCCTAGGCCGTCCGGGGTCGGGTTGCTCCACGTTTCTGAAAGTCATTGGTAATCAGCGACATGGGTATGAAAGCGTCGAAGGCGATGTTCTGTACGGGGGAACAGACGCGACTACCATGGCGAAGAAGTACCGCTCCGAAGGTAACGCACCACTCATCTCGTTCACCATAGCAGTTTTTCTCGGGACGATCCTTACTGACTTGCCCTGCCTCGTAGTGTCCTACAACCCCGAGGAAGATTTGCACTATGCTACCCTCACAGTCAAAGAAACATTACTCTTCGCACTCAAATCGCGCACACCGGATCAAAACTCGCGGATCCCCGGCGAAAGCAGGAAGGAATATCAGCAGACATTCCTGTCCGCCATTGCAAAGCTCTTCTGGATTGAACATGCACTGGGGACCAAGGTCGGCAATGAGTTGATTCGTGGTGTCTCGGGCGGGTAAGTTAGGTCTATACCCAAAAGATTGACAGATCTTCGAATCTGTGTCGCAGTGAGCTCACATCCTTGTTCGGTCTTCTTTAGTGAGAAGAAGCGAGTATCTATCGGCGAAGCAATGGTCACCAAAGCCAGCACTCAATGCTGGGACAACTCTACCAAAGGTCTTGACGCTAGCACCGCCCTCGAGTACGTCCAAAGTTTACGCAGTCTCACCAACACCGCCAATGTATCCACATTGGTCGCTCTCTACCAAGCCTCGGAGAATCTCTACAACCTGTTCGACAAAGTTATCCTTATCGAGGATGGCAAATGCGCCTTCTTCGGTCGGACCGAAGAAGCTAAAGCATACTTTGAAAATCTCGGCTTCGAATGTCCTCCACGATGGACGACTCCAGACTTTTTGACCTCAGTGAGCGATCCGCATGCGAGAAAGGTCAAAGAAGGATGGGAAGATAGAATCCCGCGTACTGCGGAAGAATTTCGATCCCTGTATTGCCAAAGCCAGATCCACAAAGACAACCTCAAGGATATCGAGAATTATGAGAGACAGGTTGAGGAGACACGAAACGAGCAAGAGGCCGCGAGGCAAAAGGCTCCCAAGAAAAATTTCACGATTCCGTTCTGGAAGCAGGTTGCCATACTTACTCATCGACAGTTTCTTGTCATGTTCGGTGACACAGCCGCTCTATTTGGAAAGTGGTTTGTTCTAATCTTCCAGGCTCTGATTGTTGGAAGTCTGTTCTACAATCTTCCGGATACATCGTGCGTCAAGTTATTACCCTATGTGTGTTGGCGATACTCATTCTCGATGGACTCAACTGACAACGTTAATTTCCCTTAGGGCGGGCGTCTTCACGCGAGGCGGTGTCTTGTTCTACATTTTGCTCTTCAATGCTCTGCTCGCCTTGGCTGAGTTGACGGCTACATTCGAGAGTCGACCCGTGCTGCTAAAACACAAGAGCTTGTGAGTGGCCGGTCAATCTATCGGTGAAACACGCAGTCCTGACAATACTAGTTCATTTTATCGACCCTCTGCGTACGCTTTGGCCCAGGTAGTCGTGGATGTCCCCTTGGTCTTTATCCAGGTGGTACTGTTCGACCTCATAGTTTACTTGTCAGTATATTCTCATCCTTTGATTTAAATCGCCGAAACAAAGCTGACAGAATACCTATAGCATGTCAAATCTCGCCCGCACACCTTCCCAATTCTTCATCAATTTATTCGTCATTTTCTTGATGACAATGACGATGTATTCGTTCTTCCGTGCATGCGGAGCGTTGTGCTCTTCGTTGGATGTTGGTAAGATCAGATTTTCCCAGCAGTGATCAGTCACGAATTCCGCTAACCTAAGAAGCTACACGTTTGACGGGAGTCGCCATCCAGGCATTGATCGTCTATACAGGTAATTTTTGCACTTACACACATAATCGGTCAACCCAAGAATTGCCTTGCTAACAAATCTTGGTAGGCTACTTGATTCCCCCGTGGCAAATGCACCCGTGGCTGAAATGGCTCATTTGGATCAACCCTGTTCAATACGCCTTTGAAGCTCTAATGTCGAACGAGTTCTACAACTTGCAGATCCGATGCGAACCGCCTTTCATCGTCCCACAAGGCCCCAATGCCTCCCCAGAACATCAAACCTGTGCAATCCAAGGCAGTACCCCGGGCAGTCTGATCGTGCAGGGCTCTAACTACATCCAGACTGCATTCACCTACACACGAGCGCACTTGTGGCGAAACGTCGGGATCATCATTGCTTGGTTTATTCTCTTCGTTGCCTTGACCATGCTTGGGATGGAACTTCAAAAGCCCAATGGAGGCGGAAGTTCCGTAACCGTGTTCAAGAGGGGTGAAGAACCACGAGCTGTGAAAGAGGCCATCGACGGTAAGAAATCGAGCGGGGATCTTGAATCTGCGGAGAAGGATGGTTCCTCTCCCGAAAAACAAGGGGAGGAAAATGGAGGAAACGTCAAGGATATCGCAAAAAACACCTCAGTCTTCACCTGGCAAAATGTGAATTACACTATACCCTACAAGGGCGGCGAACGGAAGTTGCTGCAGAATGTCAGCGGCTCTGTGAAACCGGGTCGATTGACTGCTTTGATGGGTGCATCTGGTGCAGGGTAGGGATATGCCCGCTGACCGTCTTCAAACATTTCACTTACATCCCCTACAGAAAAACCACCCTTCTCAATGTGCTGGCTCAACGGGTCAACTTTGGTGTGATTACAGGAAATTTTTTGGTAGATGGCAAGTGAGTGACGACCATGGAGAAGCCTTCGATATACATTTAAGCTGATCTAGTTGTCGAGACCGTTGCCGAAGAGCTTCCAAAGAGCCACTGGTTTCGCCGAGCAGTCCGACATCCATGAGCCTACTGCCACAGTGCGCGAGTCTCTCCGCTTCTCTGCACTTCTTCGTCAGCCCAAAGAAGTTCCCATCCAGGAGAAGTATGAATACTGTGAGAAGATCATCGATTTGCTGGAGATGCGCTCAATCGCGGGTGCTACTGTTGGAACTGCAGGATCCGGTTTGAACCAAGAACAGCGCAAACGTCTTACCATCGCCGTGGAGCTGGCCAGTAAGCCAGAGTTGCTGCTTTTCCTCGATGAGCCCACATCTGGCCTGGATTCATTGGCGGCATTCAACATCGTTCGCTTCCTTCGGCGCTTGGCTGATGCAGGACAAGCTGTCTTCTGTACTATTCATCAACCCTCCGCTGTTCTCTTCGAGCAGTTTGATGACTTGCTCCTGCTAAAGAATGGAGGACGGGTGGTGTATAACGGTGCTCTTGGCTCTGACTCCAGAACCTTGATCGACTACTTTGAACGGAACGGTGGGAAAAAGTGTTCTTCCAGCGCCAACCCGGCAGAGGTCAGTCTTCCCAACTATTTGCCACCATCTTGCTTCTAACGAGGGTTTGCTTTAGTACATGCTCGAGGTCATTGGTGCAGGTAATCCCGACTACAAGGGACAAGATTGGGGAGATGTGTGGGAAAACTCAACCGAGGCAAAGCAGCTGTCAGAGGAATTAGAACAGACAGTTTCTTCTCGACGGAGTCAGGGGCAAGGTGACATTATGAAAGACGACCGAGAATTTGCCACGCCTCTCCATACCCAAGTCTATGTCGTAACCAAGCGTGCTTTTGTGGCTTATTGGCGATCGCCGGAATACGTTTCTGTAAGGCCCTCCTGCTTTACCCATCCTGTTGCTATCTTTGCTCACTACTTGATTAGGGAAAAATCCTGCTACATATCATTACTGGTCTTTTCAATACGTTCACCTTCTGGCATTTGAGCAATGGGTCTATCGGCATGCAATCGCGATTGTTCTCGATTTTCATGACGTTGACCATCTCGCCACCGTTAATTCAGCAATTGCAGCCCAAATTCTTGCATTTTCGAGGCCTTTACGAGTCTCGGGAGTCGAACTCCAAGATATATTCTTGGGTTGCTTTCGTTGTCAGCACTATTCTCCCGGAACTGCCTTACTCCATTGTTGCTGGGTCTATCTACTTCAATTGCTGGTAAGTCGTACTGCCCGCTCCTTGAAATGGAATGTTTAAATTTCCATCGCTCACCACTCTTCACCTAGGTACTGGGGCATTTGGTTTCCACGAGATTCGTTCTCCTCGGGCTACACGTGGATGATGATCATGCTTTTTGAGTGCTTCTACGTCGGTTTTGGGCAGTTCATTGCTGCTTTCTCCCCCAATGAACTCTTCGCGTCCTTGCTCGTACCATCATTCTTCACCTTTGTCGTCTCCTTCTGTGGTGTCGTCGTGCCATATGCTCAGCTACCTCACTTCTGGCAATCGTGGATGTATTGGCTCACGCCTTTCAACTATCTGGTCGAAGGCCTTCTCTCTGTCGTGGTGCACAATGTCCCCGTCGACTGTCTTGAACGAGAGGAAGCATTCTTCTCCCCGCCCGCCGGCGAGACATGTCAGTCGTATGCTGGCCAATTCGTACAGCAGGCTGGCGGCACGGTCCGCGAGGCTGCAAACGGACTGTGTGGATATTGCCAGTACGCAACAGGCGACCAATTTGTAAGTACTACACCCCTACATGGCCTCGAGTCTTTGATGGTTACTTACCCGTATTTCGCAGGCTGCAAGTTTCAACATCTACTATTCTCACAAGTGGAGAGACTACGTGAGTTTCCTGCCCTGCACTGACATGCGATTTCCCATGTTTGAAGCTAAGTACTGACACATGACTAACAGGGCATTTTTTGGGCATTTGTCCTCTTCAACTTTGCCATGGTCTTTCTCTTCTCCTGGATTTACCTCCATGGAGTCCAAGATGTGAAGAAACGGGTGGGCAAATGGAAGTCTGGAAAGGCCATGAAGAAAGAGAAACAAGATGAGTCGAGGAGCGTCGACGAGTCTTGATCGGGATTATCATGGATGGTGTTGCAGATTCGCAATTGCCACGTTAGAGCTATCGGTGCTCTGCATGCACCTCAAAGACCATCCGGTCTCTTTGTGATGGAGTTGTTGACTTTTAATGATGAGATTTTTCTACTTTTGAATGTACTACTTAATGAACAAGCTGCTCTGAGTGAAGCTATCGGGCCAATACATCCTACATGATGTGCTCCGAATTTTTCGAATCTCAAGTCTCACCTCGACTTGCCCTTCAGGTCATCTCCCTAGTTATCTCTCTAAGGGTTTTTGGAGCGATCTCTAAAGTCAAGCTTCGAGTTGGTCTTCAAGTGTCCTTCTGATGATCCTCTACATGATCTTTGGAGGTATTCTGCGATCTATTCTTTGAGAATCTCTCCCAGTTATTTGCCTTTGAGTTATTCGTCGAGATATTAGATTCTTCTTCTCATTGATCTGTTAAGTGGTCTTATCTTTGGAGTTATTCTTCTAAGTCACCCTCCAAGTAGTCCTCTTAGTTTTCCTTTGAGTAATTTTTCGAGCCATTTCGAGTTGTTCTTGAGTTGTTCTTGGATTATTTTTCAAACCATTCTTCAAACTATCCTTCAAACTATCTTCTAAGTAATATTCCAAATAATCATTCGAATATTTTCTCAAGTGCTCTTTCGAGTCTTTTCCAAGTCAATTTTCAAGCAATCTTCAAGTTATCCTTTTTAGTAATCACTTGAGGCACTCTCCATTCCTATACAAGCCTCTATCAGTCTATACTCCATTCTTGGAATCTTCCGTTGCTCTAGTAGAGCCTTCCTTTCTCTGAACGTCCGTTACTTCACTTAACTCCGTTACTCCACTTGACTTCGTTACTTCACTTGGCTTCCGTTACTTTACTTGACTTCCATTATTCTTTCTCTTAACTTCAGTTAATTCTCTAGATGTACTTTAATGCTCTGCACCTACTTAATTCTCTGAAATTCCGCTTCCGTTACGTCCGCCGCATCCCCTACCCATCATTTCTTTTGAACCTGGCGTCTTGGTTTGGTTGTACCTCCGACGTCATGCAATACCTCTAAAACAAAAATGATATGCACGGGTCTTAAAGGGAAGGTCCGTATAGATTTGATTCCCCTCCACCTACATGTCTCCGCGGTGATATATGCCGCTGGGCAGGTACCAGTAGGTTACACACATCTCTTTGTCGGGCGGCTCCCATGAGCTATAGAATGATTGTATTGATGAGCTCAGATCTCACGAAATCCAATATGGAAAAAAATAGCCGGGCGATACACAGTCGCAGTGGATCGGCGACGTAGTATTCACTTCAGTTGCGCCCATATTCTTTTGGAGATCCCTGTTTTCGGGCTGGGTCGTTAGTTAGAATACTGGTCTCAATGTTTGAGGAGAGCGGAGCCTGTCTATCCCGCCAACACTTCAGGCACGAGCCGCACCTCACAGATGCGCAAATCATGCGTAAAATCCATGCGCATTGAAGCTTGGCGTGGCTGTGGCTCCTCGGACCGTTTACTCTTTGCCGCAGCTCCGCCCGCCCACGGACTTTCTTGTTTCTCGCCAACCTTGCGCACCCCGACTTCCCCCCAACTTGAGAGCTTCGATTCCAGTGCTGTAGGACTTTTCGGTCTTGCAGCATCCCTTTGACGTCCACGTCATCTCGTCGTTCCTTAGCTCTCATTCATCCTTCCTTCACACGCGCGTCCATCGCCATGGCAGAGTCTGACTCCCGAGGTTCACCCGAGGACCCCAAAGCCGACGACAAGCCCGATCAGGACGGAGCTGGCAAAACGGCAGCCAACGCACCTGTTAAGGATCGGAAATGCCAGTACTGCGGCCAGGCTTTTACCTCATCATCTCTAGGTCGCCATCTGGATCAATTTGTCTTCAAAAAGAAGGCCGATGGTGTCCATGACGTTGAAGAGATCCGGCGCATTCGGAGTGGGATCACTCGCCGACAAGCTCGTACAAGCTCCAGCAAGCATGACGGAACCCCCGAACGCACACCCAAGAGAGGCCAAGAAGGAAATCAAACCTCTGCTGAAGCGGCGCCCAAGGCGCGCGAACCAGCGGTCCGAATGATGTTCAACACTCCCACCTGGCATGCCACGGGGGTCATCAATGACATCCCTGATCCAAGCCGTCCAGCCGAGGGCCATCGCGTGGCATCTGCTCAGTCGCGAGCAAGCTCTCTTCACCTTCCCGAGTTTGCGACTCGAGGCGCAACTGCCAATAACCCGGATACCACTAGAGCCCTCGAGCTAGCCCTGCGCGAGGCTCTGGACAACATCAAGGCGGCAACGTAAGTCGTGAGATCTTCTCTTCCCAACCTTTCCCGTAATTTGATTCCAACTTGTTCATTTTGCGCACGAGCTGACCCCCGTCTCGGATTCTCAGTGCCAGTGTCCGACCGCGCCCTTCGCCATTCGACTTTGACATCCAGTCGCAGACCTTCCCTTCTCTTTGCCTCCGACTCCTCCCCCCTCCGCCGAGTCTCTTTGCTGCTCACCCCTTTTCCTCGCCCATGTCCTTCCCAATCCAGCCGCCCGGTATCGAGAATCTCGACGTCGTTCGTCAGGCAATTCGCTCTCGAATCGTCCAGTGGCGTGCTGAGCAACTCTCTCAGGACACTGGAACATACCCCAGCGCTCCAGGCAGCGGAATGGACAGCGCGGCAATCAGTCGTGCGGGGCATCAGCACGAAGAGTCCAGTATCCAACACTTGGAGCTGGCGTTCAACCACTGGAACAAGCTTTCGCACGACACCCGGCGCGAGGCATGGCAACTGGAAATCCAGCGTGCCTATGTGCGTGAGTGCGAGTCGCGCAAGTCGGTCGAAGACCGGTTGGCGCGGGTGCAGCAGGAAGCAAACCAGCTTCGAGCCCAGGTCGAACGTCTAGGCTCGTGCCAGTGGCCTCGTGAGTTCGCCCTCTTCCCACCGGACACCCTTCCCATCCCTCGAGACGTGGCTCGTGAACTAGATTCCAAGGGCAGTGCGATCGGACCCGAGTCGTCAAGATGGGATTTCGACCACATGGTGTCCAAATGGAAAAGAGTCGTGATGCACGATAAGAACGTGGGGCGCAGTGGGGTGAGTCCAGGACCAAGCCTGTTGAGGGAGTCGGATGACTCGCACCATGAGTTTCGTGCGCCTCGATCAGGTGAAGAACCGTCCTTATTCCCTAACAGACTGCGACCCCTCCAGCCAAACATCAACTCGAACAACAACAACACCACCACCATCGCCGCCAACATGAACGGCTTGAGTCCGGACCCAGCAAACACTGGAACTCCAGCGTCATCGGTCAACTACACTTCCCCTTACTCGCACCAGGACGCGCGCAGCCCACCACAGGGCAGTGGTAACGCGGGGCCACCGCTCAAGCGTCAACGTTTCACGAATGGATCGGATGGTTTGGGTCTCGGCGAACCCTCTTCACTTCATACTTCGGGCCCTGGCACTTGGCCTTCATCCACGCCCATGCCCATGCTGTCCAACTTGGCTGCTACATCGGGCCAGACCCCCCCCTCAGCACCGCGTGGCTGATATCAAAACACAACGCCTGTTATTTTGGTTCACTTATCTGTGAGAATCCTTGTGCTGAGCGACACAGACTTTGCTGCGATCTGTACAAATAAAGCCACTGTGTAATATACCCTTACTGTCAAATTTACGTTGTGCTAGTCTTGTTGAATAGACATTTTGTGAAATGATATTATCTGGCAGATGCTGGATTGTGTTGATCTTCCTATAACTATTCCTTGCCTAAATGACGTCCCAATAGAGCAGGATACGTAGCTGAGAAGCGTAGACTTGAGAACCTTCCACTTGAATATTCAGGAGTAATCAAGATCAAATGATCCATTGTACTCACGCAGTCATACCAATCTCAGTTCCAAGATATTCCGCCAAAGTCAGGATCTTCTCCTCCTGCAGCCGGCGTCCAATGAGTTGAATCGCCACCGGTGCACCATCGTATGCTTCGGCATCATCTACATAAACCGAGAATATGTCAGCATTGCGCTCCTGATTGTCTGCAGAGGCTGGATTGGAAGAGAAGACTCACAGTCCCAGTCCACATGCTCCGCTAACTCGCCAATTGCAGGCCGCACATCAACACTCTTATCCGCATGAGTCACCGGCAAAGTAACACTAGTATAATCCAAGAGATTGACAAAGCAACTATAACCCACGTGCTTGTAGTTCTCAGGGACGACCGCAGCATGAGGAGCAATCGGACTGAAGAAGCCATCGACGGGACGACCGGTCCCGGTGAGTTTGGCGGTGCTGTTCCAGTAGTCCATGTACTCTTTTTGATATTCGCGCTTTGCAACGTTCAACTCGGTAATTTGGGTGACGGATAGTGCGTTGGGACCGCTGATTACTTGCTTTGGTCTTGGTTCTCCGGATAGACCGAAGTGATGGGTGAAGTCGGCGTCGCCATCCATGGTGAATGCCCTGTCCTGTGGGGGGAGAGCATCGGTTAGAATTGGGACCTGTGCAGTCTGAGCTGGACGGATGGAAGTTGGAGGTGGCTAGAGTCGTGCAGGTATTGCTGGCTTACCGCTAATTCTATCGCTCTGGCGTGAGATGGTGGATTCCACGGAATTACAGTGTGACCCAGGCGCTTCAGGGTCGATTCTATCATCTGCAAGCCACGAGCGATAGGAGGATGAATCCGCCCAATGCGATCCCACTGCAGAATACCAAACGCCAGACTGGACTTTCCAGTTCTCGCCTGTTGAATAAGAGCCAGCGTCTGGTCCACGATCTCGTCACGCCAGGGCAGCTCGTGCACAAGTGGATCATGATACCACGGCTCTTGACTTAATACAGCCTTCATGACCATCACGAGAGATCGCGCAGTTGGTGCCATCGGACCGATGACCGAAAGAACGGTGTTCTGACCCTCCAAAGAGTTGGCAGCACCTTGGTACGGCGTTCGACCGGCAGACGGACGAAGTCCATAGAGGTAATTGAAGCCCGCAGGAATGCGAACGCTTCCACCAATATCGGTGCCAAATCCGATGGGTGACCCTCGCAGAGCGATCAATGCACCTTCACCTCCCGAGCTACCACCAGCTGATAACAGTCGATTCTTCGGATTCCATGTGTATCCGATGATATTGTTCACCGTCTCCGGCGACATGAGTGTACACGGAACGCTGGTTTTGCAGTACAGCACTGCGCCAAGAGCTCGCAATTCTCTCACGAGCTCACTCTCGTGGGTGAGATGTCGCGGATCATCTTTCCGGCCCTGGAAGTTTCCAATCCATCCAACGTAGCCCATGGTGGTCTCGACACCTTTGATATGGAACTGGTCTTTCAAGCTGACGGGGAGGCCGTGCAACAGGCCAATTGGCTTCTTGTGCTCTGCAAAGTAGGCATCGAGCTTCCTAGCGTCTTCGAGAGCCGCTTCGAAAAAGATCTCGTGCAAGCAGCTGACCTATTTGCCCTGTCAGTGTTCATCTCTGGAAAGAAAGGTTCGTCTTGTCGGAAATGTCGTACGAATTGGTGCGCCAGTGCGGCCCGGTGACAGAAGGCCTCTATGACTTCCACCGCCGACCAGCGACCTGTGCTTGTTTGAGCAACAATGTCGACTGCATCCGCCTCGGTGATTTCAATTTCTCGCTCGCTCAAGTACTTCTGAATGTATGGCCCAGTTACATCGCGCACTTCAGAAGCGGCGGGTACAGGAGTTGGTAGCCGCCATTTCTCAGGAATGGCATTTAGAATGGCCTGGCGTTTTGCTTCCGCCAAGGCCTGCCAGTTCGAGTCTGCGGTCATGTTCTAAGGAATGGAGGATATGTAGGTGCTCTCAGCGAGAGTGAGTATATTTTGCAATTGATTTGATCGATTGTTAGGTTGTTTCATAGTACAAACCATCCATCGGACTTAAATGCGTAGATGTAAAGTGGGGAAAGTCGGGGTAATTTGGAGAGAGGCGGATCTGACTGCGTCCAAGCGGGGAACAGCCAGGCATAAGAGTCGCGACTCCGAATGATGTCCAATAGACATCTCAATGATCGCGGAGAAATGCCGGGTATTATATGCTCGAGTTCAATTCCGCGGAATTTATCACCAGGCTGAACTTCCGAACCTCTAGAGCGTGTATCTTCCGAGAGGAAGCACCGCGGAAGCAAGATAGGTAACGCTTACGCTCCGAAGCGCTATCAGCGGCCTATCACAGACACGACTAGAATATCAAGTCTTTTCCAATAAGATTCGAAGCCGAAGCCTCAACTGAATGCAGAATGTGCCCCCGACCGATATACCGCGGAGTAACTCTTCAAAGGTGTACAGCAGAGCATTTGCGCAAAGCCACCTATGGCTGACAAGCCGATGCTGCGCCTTGACCGCGTGTAGCTCGCTAGCACACCGGTCACATCTGTAGCCACGCTCAAGAGCGATCGTGAGGAATCTTCGACGATCTTTTTGAGAAAAACAGACAGCGCCATTCGCCCACGGAGGGCGTTTTCAGTGTCTCATGGACCAAAGGTCATTTGGCGCACGTTCAGATTAATCCGTTTCCTAGACATCCAACCCTTCCACATCTGGTACTGGTTTTCAAATTCAGTCGATGCCTCGTCTGGGCACGGCCAATCTGACAGCCAGCTGGGACATGTGTTTGGTAGAATCTTGGGCACTCCATGCCACGCAAATCTGGATGTGCCATCCATGTACACGGCATCGCCTGAACGCAGTCGAATGACTTCTGCGCCATTGCCGTCGTCGTGACTGATCAAGAAGAGTCCATCGCAGCCAAAACTTACGCTGATCAGCCCTACGTCGCAGTCCTCACTCACATCGCGATGGGCACTCAGTGTATCTCCGGGGGAGTAGAGATTGAGAATGGCGGCCTGCGCATCCGTCTGGGGAAACGCCGCCTTTAGCAACTTCGCCACATCTTGTGGGAAAGGCGGAGGAGGCTCCGCTGGGTAGACCTTGGCAGTCCAGTCGTATTGTCCGCCCAACGTGACCCAGCGGAGCTTCTTCTCCAACACACTGTGTATGCTCATCGGTTTATGCACTTGAGGATCCTTGGGCTGGATCATGCGCGTAGAGTCATCTGCGAAAAAAGATGGACGGGCCTCGCTCTCGGGACAGGTAGTGGGGTATGTCACGTCATAGTGAAGGTGCAAGTTGGTTTTGTGATTGGGGTTTGGAAGGTCGCGATGTAGAAGGCGAGATAACAATTCAGTCTGTATGGTAGGGGGAAGAGCGCCGGGATCATCAAGAGGCCTGTCTGGAGTTAGGTTGCTTTGAAGTCGCAGCAAGTTAGTTTTTCGGGGTTCGCGGGAGCGAGTCGAATGCTGACCGGAGACTGCGTCATGTGTGAAGACAGGAATATTCTCAGCCTGTGGGGCGTGTTTGACATTCCTTGCGTCTTGTCCCTGGATGAAGTCGTCGAATGCCAGACGCAGGTCCTGACTGGACATATACTGAGAGACGGATACGCCTGCGGGGAGATTGGCTTCATCCAGTCGTTGGAGATCCAGCACTCCGGGGGCATGGTCAATTTCTGCGACAGTAATCCGACTGTATCTTTTATAGCATTGCCGAACCGCCTCCGGGGGGCGCTCATGAGCGTTCAACTCTTTGATCTGAGCCATGAGAAGAAAAGATCTCACGACAGTCGCGGTGCGATAAACCGCGGAACTCCAACAGAACAAGCACGCGTTCACCGCCTTCCGTCGGCGCGGGGAGTTGTTTGTTTTCATGGACTTTCTCCCCACTATGCAAATCTGAAGCGCAAGATCAGCATCTTCGAAATCGACAATCTTAACGTTTCCAAAGTCACGATAAGAATTCTGCCAGATCCTCTGGGTGTGGCGACCTGGCACTGCACCACCGGAGCTATCTCAGTACTCAATCTTTCTTTGTTCGCATGTGAGTGTCATTGGCTCCTTCTCTCCGCGTGTCTTCTCCTTGCTTCCTCCCTCATTCCTTCATCCTTCAAATCCACTTCGATTCGGGATTTTGCACTCGTGTCTCAACATCATCTTCCACATTGCTAACATGGCTTGGGGCAGTCAACCTTCAGGAGGAGCCAGCATGGAGAACTACCAGAAGATCGAAAAGATTGGTGAAGGTGCGTTGTCTGCCTTTCCCATTTAGTGACCCGGGGGAAACGCCAGGCTCACGCGTTATGTGTCCACCCTCTAGGTACCTATGGTGTCGTCTACAAAGCCCGCGAGCTGAATCATCCCAATCGGATCGTGGCCTTGAAAAAAATTCGCCTCGAAGCCGAAGATGAGGGTGTTCCCAGCACTGCAATCCGCGAGATCTCCATTCTCAAGGAGATGCAGGACCCCAACATCGTCGAATTGTTGAACATCGTTCATGCGGATGGACACAAGCTCTACCTTGTCTGCGAATTCCTTGACCTGGATTTGAAAAAGTACATGGAGGCGCTTCCAGTGAGCGAGGGCGGTCGCGGCAAGGCCCTTCCTGAAGGTTCCATGATGAGTGCCAACTTGGGCTTGGGCGAGGCCATGGTGAAGAAATTCATGGCTCAATTAGTGGAGGGTATTCGCTATTGCCACAGTCATCGCATCCTGCATCGTGACCTGAAGCCCCAGAATTTGTTGATCGACCGACATGGTAATCTGAAATTGGCCGATTTCGGTCTGGCTCGGGCTTTCGGTGTGCCTCTTCGCACCTACACTCACGAGGTATGTTGAGAAGCGACTCGGAGGAGTGTTTTAGCCTCTCTTTACTAAGCATTGTGTGGTCTCCAGGTCGTGACACTCTGGTATCGATCTCCCGAGATTCTGTTGGGAGGACGCCAGTACTCTACTGGAGTTGACATGTGGTCGGTAGGTGCCATTTTCGCGGAAATGTGCACCCGCAAGCCGCTTTTCCCTGGTGATTCTGAAATCGATGAGATATTCAAGATTTTCCGGTCAGTCCCTCCACTTGAGAGCCACGCTCCATGGTAATTCTTTTTTGGCTAACATTCTGATCTCCAGTATCCTTGGCACCCCCGACGAAGTCGAATGGCCGGGTGTCACTTCCTTCCCCGATTACAAGCCCACATTTCCTAAGTGGAAGCGTCCCGATACCCCCATCGTTCCTGGGCTGGAAGAAAACGGGGAGGCTCTGTTGGAAGCGCTCCTCGAATACGATCCGGCCCACCGTTTGTCTGCCAAGCAGGCTTGCATGCATCCCTACTTCAAGAACGGTAGCTCATACTACTCCGGTCGCACCGTGTCCACCACGCGCAATGGCTTCTCATGAGTGGTCGGATGAATCGTTTAGATCTGTTTCAGAACGTGACCCTCATTGTGTGAGTAAAGCATGCATGGTCAATATGTCCGTAAAACTTGTGATGTCACGTTGCTGGTTTTTTTCTTTGTTTGTCTGCTTGTTTGGCGTTCATGGCGGGGTGCGACTTGGAGGACGGGTGTTTAACTATGCGATCGATATGCTTTCATGTCTAGTGTCAGGCGTACATAGCATTTTCATTTGAAAATGACTTTATTACGAATCTCTTCCTTCCTATGATACATGACGAGGTCACTGAGGTTGTATGTCATCATAGTATATCTCACCCAGAAATACGCGCTATGTAGTAGTCTTCGATACCGTTTGGGGTCTCAGGTGATCAGAGAGGGCGGCTCCTCATTCTTCGCACCGAGTCAATCACGAAAGTTCTCAACCTTTCTTCGGAGAAATCCGAAATGACGAAACCACGCGCAGCTTGTAAGCAGGAATTCCTGCGGCAGTCGTCTTCACGCCAGGAATCTGTCAAATATCCCGTCAACAACGCTTCAACCCGCTCAGACAGCCATTCCCCACATACCATATCGAGTGGATTCAATGGATTCGGACCGTCGAGTCTGTGCTATAACTCATGAGATTCAAAGAAAAGGCGACCGAGACTGCGATTCAGTGGGCAACAGAATATGATAGTGGATGTCTAATCCCCGGGGACCATACATTGTTCCGATGAGATGCATGCGCCATACAAGATCTTTGCTACGTTTGTACGAAGGCCTGCCCAGTGACTTCCTCTGATAGTTTCAAAGCTCTTGAGCTCAGTGAGGTGGCTTCGAACATCTAAATTATGACTACACCAGACCTAGCACATCAGCACAAAGACCGAATCAGTACTGGGGCTGCGTTGCTTCACCCGGGGCCGTGTTTCAGGTCTGCATGTCACGCAGGGATAAGTTCTTCTTTCCTGTTGCGAGACAAAGAACAATCCTCATTCGCGGCTTACGGTAACGGGCCAAATGGCGTTCAGCTGAGTTCACTCGTGATGATGTGGGGGCCGAAACGGTCAGCTTCAATATACTCGAATTCTTTGTCACGCCGCGCCGACTGCATGATGGTGAAGTCACCCTTCATGTCATTGGATGGGCCATGAACGACTCTAATGCATGCGCCTGCAGCCTTATTCAATCGAGTAAGGGCCAGGAAGATCCAAGTCCCAAGGTTCTCTTTGCTTTTGCGCATACCGAGGCTGAATGCACGCAAATGAACTGGCTCCGACACCACTCGGACTGACCGAGCGGAGTGCAGCAAGCTAGCGGACACCAAGCCACGACTACGGGCGCCCGCGAAGAGGAATGATTCGCGAGATATGAGGGTGTGGGAGCGTGCGGCTGGAATGAGAGGTTCCAAAGCTGTCGAATAAGCGATCGAGACCTGTGAGACGATTGCGCTCCGGTAGCTGAGAAGGCTCGCTTTAAAGACTGCCGCGCCCGCTCGAGCGCTGACCTGGTCTACCAGCTCGCAATTCGAAGCGTTCTTGTCTCTTGTCGTATCGCTTCCAAAATCTTGGAGTGCGTTGTTGCTTCATTTCCACCTCATTATCAATTTGGGCTTCTTTTGACCTTGGTGATTAGGGTCTTCAGTCGCGCACTGCAAATTCCACTCTTTCCCTTCCTTGATCGGCATCGCCATGGATTTCGAAGATGAGCTGGCAGGCTTTGGAAGCAATATGCCTCCAGCATCCTCAGTCTCGAATGGCCGTCGATCACCGCGTTCCCGTCAAACGGCCCCGCAAGAATCGGTTCATCAGTTCTGGGAACAGTTCACCACGAAACATCCGGGGAAAGTGTACACAGTGCTACCACTCAATCCGTATGCGCGCACCAGGGCAAAGCGAGTGCCAAACGGTGTCATTCAGGGTCACGCCGCGGTCAAATCCTACGAACAAGCGCGACAGGAGTGTGAGACATCGGTAGGACGGATCGTGAGGGAATGTCGCCGTGTTAACCAGAAATATACGGATCCGCACTTTGACATCGAGCTGGATTTGAAGTCGAATCGACGGTATTATCTGGACGAGCTGAATCATGTCAATGACATCATGAAGCCACGAGGAGTAAAGAGGGTCACGGTATGTGCATCACCCTGCGTGTGTGAAATCTCGTCGCAAATCTGATCTCTCACGCTTCGAACAACAGGAGATATTCGAGAGCCCCCAGTTCTATGTCAACGGGCCTACGGCATCGGACGTGCGTCAGGGCTATGACGGCGATTGTTGGCTCATGGCAGCTTTATGTACGATGGGTAATAAGGAAGGATTGATCGAAAAGGTCTGTGTGGCCAAGGATGAAAAGGTTGGAATTTACGGTTTTGTCTTCTATCGCGGTACGAGCCATTCCACAATCAGCTTTAGAGCTCACTGAAATAATCAAGAGGGGGACGCATCTGACGAGATAACACAGATGGCGAGTGGCAGCAATGCATTGTCGATGACAAGCTCTATTTACGAGCCGCAAATTATGATGAATCCAACGACGAGCGAATGGCCTGGGACATGATCAACCGCAGCAACGCCGAGGAAGAGTACCGTCGAATCTGGCAGACCGGCTCTCGGGCATTGTACTTTGCACAATGCGTGGATCCCAATGAAACTTGGTTGCCATTGCTGGAAAAGGCATTTGCCAAAGCGCATGGGGACTATTCGGCCATTGAGGGTGGATTCGTCGGCGAAGCCATCGAAGACATGACTGGAGGCGTCACTTCCGAAATTCTATCAAGCGATATTCTCGACAAAGACCGGTTTTGGACCGAGGAGCTCATGAAGGTGAACAAGGAGTTCCTCTTCGGTTGTGGTACGGGCTTGTTCTCCAACTGGCTTGATTCCCAGTCTCCGCCACGGGACCGCAAGGGTATTTCCGAAAATCACTCCTACTCCATCATGGACGCGAGAGAAGTCAAAGGCAAGCGGTTGCTGCGTTTGCGCAATCCTTGGGGTAAGAAGGAATGGCAGGGTGCTTGGAGTGACGGTTCACAAGAGTGGACCGCCGAGTGGATGGAGTTGCTGGGACACCGGTTTGGAGATGATGGATTCTTTTGGATCACCTACGAAGATCTGCTCAAGCAGTATCAGCATTTCGACCGTACCCGTCTGTTTGGTGGCGACTGGACTGTTACTCAACAATGGACGACTCTCCATGTACCCTGGTCGGCGGACTATCACAGTTCTAAATTTGTGATCACCGTCACACGCGAGGGGCCTACAGTCATTGTTCTTTCCCAAGTAAGTCGCATTACAGACTTAGACCGGATTGTTGTCGCACTACTAACATGATATCTAGCTTGACACCCGCTATTTTAACGGCCTTGCGGGTGAATACAGCTTCGTCTTAAAATTTCGGGTACAGCGGGAAGGCGACGAAGATTATATTGTGCGTAGCCACAGCAGTCACTTCATGACACGCTCCGTCAATGCCGAGATTGATCTTCTCCCTGGTCGGTATCATGTTTTGATGAAGATCACAGCCTACCGCCACGATGATGCAGAATCAACAGAAGAAACCGTCCGACGCCTAGCCTCCACTCATCGAGAAAAGCTCGTGCAAGTCGGGCTATCCTACGATTTGGCCCACGCAAAAGGTCTCGTCACTGAAACGGAGCAGGAAAGACTCGACTCCGAGCGTCGCAAAGCTGCCGAATGGCGGAAGCTGCGGGAAGAGACCAAATTGAAGAAGCAAAAGCAATGGATCCGAGAGCGCAAGTTGGCCGCTCGACAACAGCGCCAATCAGCACTAGAGACTCGCTCCGTCGGGCGCGCCAATGGCGCTCCTCTGGATGACAACTTCGGCTCTGGTCAGGTCCTGGCCGACAACAAGACCTCCCAGTCTCCCTCTGAGATGAGCAGTTTCTCCAACGGCTCGATTGGCCGCAAAGTCGCCACCAGCAACGGTCGTGTTGACTCGACACCTCCGATCTATTTCAACGGAGAAGTTACACCACAGGGTAGCAGTTCAAGCGGTCTGAGAATCGACTTTGGTCGTATGAGTCCGCAAAGCCGTCTGGCGAACCATGAATTGAGCGCGATGGACCAACACCTACTGGAGGGATTTGAGTTTGATAGTGATCTTGACATGCCTTATGATGAGCCAAAAGGCCGTCCTCCCATCTCAGAGCTGGAGAGTCCTGCCGAGGATCCGTGGAATGCGGTCTGCGTCGTAGGACTTCGTGTTTACTCCAAGGACCCAAAGTTAAGCCTGCAGGTTATGCGCCCGGTGCCGAACGAAGATACGGAGGCACCTCTGGATCGAGACGATCCTGCTGCGTCGGCGACCTTGGAGAAGAGTTTATGGGGTAGTCGAGGCTCGCCTCATTTGGTCTGACAGTTGGAGGATGGAAACTCTGTATATTGAGATGTGCGACATGTATAGGAAATGCATATTCATGTAGCCTAATTGAAATACTTCTGTTTTAACGGGAGAACAGTATTGGGGCCAAAAGAGTAGCCATGATTGCTCCCAGGAAGTAAGGTCGAGGATCAGCGTCGCTGTCCTTCAACAATCCATCCATGAAGCTCACATGGTATCAATGTTGTACACTGTAACCAACTACAGGTAAGTTAGTAGCAACATTGAAGTGCCGTTCGCTGCGACGCGGGTGGGTCCCGCATATACAGTCTTTCTCCTGCGGGATCTCCACGCTGTAAATTGTTATGTCAACCTTGGACTCAACACAGGTGAACGCATGAGTAGACCTAGGTCTGTAAGCCAATCACTCCATCACGAGCAAGCTATTCTCGATATCTCATCTCCCTCACTGCTCCTAGAGCAATGCAATCTCCCGTGTACTCATCGGGCAATTGCTTGATCTTCATTCGACTCTGCTCTTCACGGATACACTGTCCACGATCCCTCCAACAAACGCGCTCGCTATCTACCTTTCACACCAGCTGGTTCGATAAGACCTTTGACCTGCCCGTGGGGAATAATGGCAGCATATCAATACGGTAGACTCATAGCCTCCTTTTGTTTCTCGAAACCGCGTATGGAAAAAGCTAACACGGGTCCCAGCCTGACGCGATCCCCAAGTTCTGGGCCTCAGGTCTTGAAACCGGGATCGAATGTCATCATGTACCTTCCGTCAGGTCCCCTTAGCCGGGAGTATGCGACTTTTTCGCACGATCAGGAACAGGAACGGAAGGAGGTGCTTCGGGAAACTGATCCTGAAGCAAGCACAGGTGATAACCGATCAATGATATATACATTCAAGGATAGCAGTGACCTATCCTTCCAACAAATCCTAGCCGCGCAAACATCTGCGACAGTGGTGACGGTGGATTATCGACTTGGCGTATATGTATCCTCACAAGACGGCTCAGTGGATCGATCCCTTCAAGATCAAGCTTCTCTGTCATATCAAGCATCCAGCGAGATAGATACAGACACCTGTTCTTCCGTGCACTCGGCCAACAAAATGATCCAACCATCCTTCTTTCAATATCCGACACCTATTCACGACACTTTATCCGCATTCGACTGGATACAAACCCATCTCTCGCCCGCTCAACTGTGCATCTACGGATCTCATATCGGCGGATCCCTCGCCTTGATGCTCTCTCTCACGGAGGCGCAGTCCATCAAAGCCGTGGCGACTCATATGCCGGTCTGCGACTGGACGAGTCTAGATACGTACTGTACGACGCAACAGCCTGATTCCGCAGAAACCCACGCTGAAGTCGGCACTAGCATCGACTCGCACGCAGAATCTCACCGAATAAAGCGCGATTCTTCCACAAAAAGAACTAAGAAGACCAAGTCTCATTCTGCTGCAGTCACCCCGACAGATTTAGTCCCGCTACTCAAGGCTCGTCGGTTGCTCTTTTCGTCCCCGGAGCGCTGCTTTGATGCATTTGCGTCGCCGGTGCTTTTTCTTCGCTCGGCGGGAAGAGATGTCCCGCGTGTGTTCCCTGAGTACTTGACTGGGTCGGAGTATCCTGTTCCCGTGCTGAAGAGCTCGAAAAACACAGTCACCAGGCTGGGTGACGGCGATGATTTACTTGTACTCGGTAACCTGTCCATCCACGAGGCAAATCAGGGAGGTGATCTTGATGCTGCAGAATCAGATCAACCGGCTGTTCGGCGACGAAAGGCATTGTCGCGCTGGCCTCCTTATGGATTGGACTATGGTGCTGGGGGTCGTGGATGGGGCGGAGTAAGGGTTCGTAGGCTAGAGGTTACTCTGCCGTGGGTGCGGCTTGGTGTGGTAGATCACGCAGGTAGTGGGAGTGGGAGTGACGGCGGAAGTGGAAAGGGAAGTGGAAGTGTACTTGCGGACCAGGGCGAGGAAATGGTGTCTATCATGCGACGAGCTTGTTTCTTTGGAAAAGAAAAGGGGATTGGGGAGAAAAGGGTGATTCTGGAACGAGAGGCAGCGTCTAGCGCTGGGTCGGAGCTTGCGGAAGACGCTGGGCAATGGTTTGGTCATATATTCAGTGGGAAAATTCGAGACGATCTCGAGTAGTTCGTGATGATGGTCAGAGGAAGGATTTTTATGAGCTGGTGTTTACTGTACGACTCATAAATCAATATTGATGCAATGGATAGATCATGAGGGCATACATTGCACGATATGGATATGAGCACCGTCTTCAAGTCGTAGACCTTTTCTTTGTTGATTGGGGTACGGCCGATATTTCCATCTGGTCATCTGGTCATGTCTATTCTCACCGTCCGGGCGTCCCATGCGGTGGACTCCACCAGCCCTCAATATCTCCAAGGTCGGGCAACATGTTGGAGTATTCGTGGAACTGAGCCTGCGACAGAGAATCCAGTGTCGGCTGTGGGCTCTCGGTCCCGGAAGGATCACACATCACATTCACATCTGCGCTGCCAATCCAATCGACCTGCTCATCTGCTCTTATCCCCTGCTCGATGGGATAAAAACACTGTTGCAAAGGCTGATGCGTACCATTCACGTATTGATGAGTGCTGGAGATTGCTAGGCCTCCGCCTACAGCCGAGGGGAATGAAGCGTCGAGTGATTGCAGATGCTGCACAGAACGATCTACGACGCGTGTCTTTTTCCGGGCTGCATCGTGGCTTGAGAGTGCGTTCATGGATGCTTGATCCCCAGATAGGTTTGAAAGATTCGAACTGCTAATTTGTCTTTTGGCGGCAGACCCTGCACGACGCATGTGCGCTTGCCAGCGTCGCTGTAGTGTGACGAGATAGTCACGGGTGCGCTTTGCATTCTCGAATGATTGTCCCAGTTCGTCGAGTGCGCGGAAGCAGAGATTCAAGTATGCGACCATTTCTGCGTTCCCAGGGTGTATGCTGCTGGATTCGCCTAGTTTGGTGGGTGTAAGTGAAGAAGAGGATACAGTAACGAAGAGGAGCATGAGGGCCGCGCTGAAGATGATTGCAACTACTTGGTTATTCATGCGACGGAAAGTGTAGTGTTTTTCGTAAATGTGCAATAGACGAGCAACTGCTGTGGCCGACTCAATGCACATGCGACGGGCGTGATGGTAGCCTGGCCCTTGGCGCGGGCTTCGCGGTTGGATGTAATTTTTTGAAACCCAAGGGCGATGAAAGAAGATAATAATTTGATGGTATTGCATGTGCAGCATGAGCAATTGAGGCAGTCTTGGGGTGGAGTCGTCCATCAAGTCGACTTGCAACATGTAAGGGAGATTAGCTTTCCAGGCGAAGAGGTCTTCCGTGACCTGGAAGGTGATCCTTTGAAGATCGTGTCGCGAGATATCGGAGCATCCATACAAGATATGACCAACCGGGGATACCATTTCCCAAAGGACGACGAATTGCCGATTGATGAGCTCACTTGGGTTCTGTAGCCCCTGTCCTGCTACACTCAGCCCGTGTTGCAGCCCGTATGGCTGCCAGATGCTCTGCTTTTCTGCACCCAAGGTTGACGCGGGCTTGGGAACGCTCACATCTCCGGCGTTCATACGGAACGGACGGCCAAGGTAGAACCCCCAGAAATGATCAGCAATATAGCTTCCCCAGAATGCGGCCCGGCGAACGTCGGCTTCATGTGCACTCATATCACCTTGCTTGACGTACGAGGTCATATCAAGGTGCAAGCCCAGGTCAAATGTAAGCCGCATCGACATTCCACTGTAGAGCCAGCCCCGGGCGTCGCGGTTGGATGCTCCTTCATGCGAGCTCATTAAGACCAAAGCCTGAACTGTTGCCACACAGGGAGAGTCCAGTTCGATCTCCAGCAAGGCTTTGGCTCTGTCGGCAAAGAATTCGGCCAAGGACTTAGGGAAGGTGATAAAAGTTGGATGATAGCGCGCTTCGAATGCGCTGCCGATTGCGCACATGGCGTTGGTAAGTACCTCGGAATAAAAAGGTGTGTCTTCATATTCATTCCGCCATTTGTGACGGGCAGTCATGTACATCTCTTTGTCCACGACGTAGATGCTCGGGTTATGCCATGTGAAATAAAGCTCGATCAGATGATCTTCCAATGCTTGGTCCACGGGTTGTCCCACCCGCAGGTGATTCAGAATGTCCTGGCCATCATGACGGACTGTTCGTGCATCTGGCCGCTGCCGTTGCTGTGTTGCCGAGACGTCGACAAGGTTCAGGTTCGAGGTCGCGCCGTAGAAGCGCAGATGTCCATCTCCGGCAAGCTTCAGTGTTCCAATGCGATGTGACAATTGCTCAATCACGTCATTCTCTGCTTCATTTTCCTCCTCGCTATCCGATTCATTATCCCGATCATGAGGTATCGAATTGGGTATTGTCTGGGAGTTATGGGGTATAGTCCGCTGGTGGTTTGTGGAACTCTGCTCCGTTTGCACTCGGGGTCCTGCTTGGTTGATATTGGCATAAATAGTGTCCAAACTTTCAGCGGTGGGCAATGTGAAGCCCCAGTGTACGTAGCTCTGATTCTCCGGCACCCCGTGTACCATCCCAAACGGAGTCCAGGGGGCAATGGAGGATAGCTGTCCTTCTTCTGGAGAAGCGGCGCCTTCGGTCACGTTCCCGGTTGACGAGAACTGGGGCTGATCCTCGGGCTGCTTGCCGCGGGCTTCGGGGGGTGGGAGGTGTGCAGTATGCGTTTCTGAGGCGCCTTTGGGCTGTGTAAAGCTTTCATTACGAGGCACCCCTCTGGCGGGGGGATTGGCTTTGACTACTGCTCTCGGGATTTCGAGAGTCTCAAGTACCCGATTCATGGCGGCCTCGTCGTCAGGCTGCATCAAAGGAGGCTGAAGCCCCTGGTCGTAAATGAACTGAGTCAACTGGTCAATTCGCGCGGAGAACAGCTCCGTTGCAGCGCGCAAGGACACCCTAGTAAGTACCCAACGTTAGCCTCAACTTCTTAGAAGGTGCACCCTGACGGACTGTGTAGATTGGCCGGCATGCCGAGCGTCGGCATTGAGAGCAAGCCTCGGAGGCCGACGATCATCACATCAAGTGGGCTATTTTGCCGAATAGACCTGAGGACGCTTCACTTACTTGCGTTTATCGTCCCCGTGCTGATACTTGCATTCTTTCCCTTTACGCTCACAATTCTGACAATTTGGCGTCGATCCATCGCACTACCGGTAGTCATATCGATCGCAAATGTCAATTCTGGGCCGATCTCGGGGAGCGGGCTGCGACCCAACGAAAAGACTATAGGGAACAACGAATGCGTGACTGGGAACAAGACGTACCCGAATTTTGCTCTCGCGACATGGCACGCAAGCAGTGGTGACGTGCTTTCGAGGGGCCTTTTTGACCTTCTCGGGTTCTGGCGACATGGTACCCTTTTGTACCGCTAGTCGCAAAGGCCGAAGAGGCTCTCCGGTGCTAGATTGCGATGGAAAGGATGCGACCAGGCAATACTGTCCGTGTGATCTGCGGGTTGTGGTCACAGCTGAGATTGCAAGCTCGTCCGGTCTGGAGCGCAGGTAGAATCAACCATTTTGCGCCGAGACAGTTGTTGCCATGGCTACTTTGCGGTTGGCTCTCAGAGAGTTCTTCTCTTCTCCCTCGTGGGTATAGAACATTCAAGAGTTGGGTCTAGAAACAGAGAATTATTTCTAGGGCCCGTTGGAGGAGCGGGGGAAGAGGGCCCACTCTGCCCGCTTATGAGGGGGTTTACAAGAGTCACGCCGACGATGTTCCACTTTGTCTTTCGTGCAAACACTTGGATACGACTAGAGTGCTGGGCTCTGCTGGTCATCCAGCTTGTGATCTCTTGGCTGGCAGAAAAGCTTGTTGGATACCAGTACAATCAAGGTCCAAGATGCGCAGAATTTTATTTCATCAAGATGGTTTCATTTACACTCCGGTCATTCCGAGTGCGTGACCCCGGCCGCGGAGCGACGCTCGAAGCGTCCATACGCTTTTATACACAGTACATTCTCCGCTTACCAGTTGGATGTGCGCTTGATACGCTCATTCTGAATCACCTCAATCCAGTAGTTATCGGGGTCCAGAACGAAGGCAATGTTGTTCATACGACCGTCGGTGAGGCGCTTCTTGAAGGCAACATTGCACGAGTCGAATCGCTCACAGGCGGCATGAATGTCGTCGACAGAGATACCTGTGACCACAAGCGCAGATAGAGGTTAATGAAAGCGACTCTCTCGAAGGAGGGTTATGATCCCGACGTTTTCCAAGACTTACAGATGTGACCGAATCCCTGGGGTTCCGTGTTGCCGTTGTGATACACCTGGCCCTCTTCTTTCTCGGTGCCGTAGTTCCAGGTCAATTCCAGCAGACCCTCCCACTCGGCCACTCCGTTCTTGGCGCCCTCCTTGATCTCGGGGTTGGACTTGGGGTATCCCAAGAAGTAGAGGTTGAACTTTGCGTCCGGGTTCTCCGCAGTGCGGACCAGAGTCATGCCCATTGACTCCTGGTAGAACTTCAAGCTCGCTTCGGCATCTTTGACTCGCAGCATGGTGTGATTCAAACGGTATGAGCCAGGATCCGTGGTCTCGGACAAGTCCTCCTCTCCACGGCGAATGATCTCAACCCAGTATCCATCGGGATCCTTGGCAAATGCGATATGACGCATACGACCCTCTGTGAGCTTCTTCTGGAATGCATATCCAGCATCCTCAATGCGCTTGCAGGCAGCCTCAATGTTGTCCACGGAGATGGCCAGGTGGCCGAAGCCACGGTAGGGCTCGGTGTTTCCATTCACGACGCTGTAGTTGGGGTCATTCTCGGTGCCGTAGTTGTGGCAGAGCTCCAGCACGGCATTGCGGTCGGTGAAGTGACGATCGCCGCCCTGGAGGGAGTGGGGTCCATTGTAGGCGAGGAAGTAGTTGCAGAACTTCCATTCGGGGAAATCGAGCTTTTGGATCACATTCATGCCCAGAAATTCATAGAACTGGAGCGATCGCTTTGGGTCTTTGACCCGCAGCATGGTATCTACGACAGCACATGAGAATCAGTGGCCTGCAAGCGTGCAATTTGTGGACGGGGGGATGCGAACGAACGGTTGAGCTTGTAAGTAGAGGGATCGGTCGACATGGCGGCGAATGATCGGATAGCTGAGACCCGATTGCGAATCAGTAGTCTGTGTGACTGTAGAGCTGGAGCAGTATACTGACCGGGGACACGAGTCACTGAGGGGGCCTTGGGAAGCAAGCGTGTAAGGTGACCGAGCATGTTAGGCGATGGATGGCTTTTTGCTCAGCGAGCGGGGGCAGCTCTTTTGTCAGCCGTGAGGGGTCCGGCGCAGTGGGGTCAGTTGTACCACATTCCATAGTTGAAAGTGGACGGTCGGGTCGGTAGTAGTGACCTTACTTCGGAGTAGTTGTGGTGCATACGTCAGTTTGAGTCAGCGATAGCCTGACGACTCAGCGCGGTCGCCGCGCCAAACTCGCAGTGCCTTGGCCGAGGTACATATTTGTAAACAAGTTACCGCAGGGGGATTTGGTATAACTGCAGTCCCGTAGAACAAAGTAGTGGCCAAATGTTGTCGATTTATTTTTATATTGACATTGGCATAGCTAGGAGTCCTGCAGTAGTACTACTTAGTATGCTGTCACCAAGTCAAGGGCAACAAAGACCTAATTCGAGTATAGTCCTGCAGCTTGAAACAGAGCCAACTGCGCAATTGAAGTCTGTCTCGGCGCTCTCTATATGACTCCGTAGGTGGTGGAAAACCATACTGAACTGCGCATACACTTGCCCTCGCCACAGTCACGATGTGCAAATGTGCATAGACCTCGAGTCCCAGCAGTCGACCCCAGTCACGGATCCATCCTTCCACTTGTGTACAAGTGTCCGACTGATGTACTCGCAGTCGTATGTACTACTGCATTAGTACGGGAACGAAGGTCTGTTTCCCAGTGTTTGAATCAAATCGGTAGTTCTTGCCGAAGAGTCGAGGACCTTTGTACCAGTCTGGAATTCCAGTAGGCTGCCTTACCTTGCAATGATAGTAAAAATTTCATATTAACTGACGACTTTCGCTGCCTAATGAGGCAATTCTTTCTGATTCCTGCCTTGTAGCGTACTTAAACCCCCTCATCTACTTCGGACAAGACCCAGGTTATATCGCACATCTGTCGAAGTGTAGCACCCGTAGACTTGAAGGTTTCCCTCTAAGTGGGATCTTCTGCAAGAGCGGTACATCCCCTAAAGGTATCTGGGGTGAATTCGCCCCTTCGATGGTTCTGACTTGCTCAAGTATCCCATCGACAGCACATTATTGCTGATCATGGCAAACTATCCCCCGCCGTCGTAGCTTGTTCACACGAGAGATCGGTTCATGATTTGATCCCTTCTCATGCACGCTTCCGCATGTTGGATTCGAGTGGGACCGAGCTACTCCTCCCCCAAGCGATTCAGAGCCCAAACTTGTGGGGGTGGAGATCAATCTCGATAGATATCCAAGATGGTTTGATATTCTTCCAGGCTGAAGCCGTTGATTGAATCACTACTCCACGTCTACAGCCATGTCAAAAAATACAGTCACGAGTGCTCTGACCTTCTTCCCCGCCCTTCCGGTGTCGATCGTGGCGAGGCTTTTCATTTCTTTTTGTTCCTTTCTCACTGTCGAGTGGCTCTCCCGTCTTACCCCTCGACGCTGGGCAGCAAGCGGGTCTGGTCCATTCCTGCATCGTGTGTTTTTGTTTTCTTCTTTTTCGATATACCCGCGCTTAGCTCTGCGAGACTCCTCACGCATTCTGCGCCGACAGCTCCCTTACCCACTCTTTCTGCTGAGCGTCCCCAATCACCAAGCTAGATCGCAGCACGTTTCTGTCTCCCGGGACCTGGACGTGTGTCGAGGCGCATCATCCGCGGAGCCTCGAGGATGATCGCATGACTATAGTCCTACTTGGGCGATACTCATTGCCCAAAGCCCGGCCTTGTTCGAAAGCCTCCAGGTTCAATAGCACGGTGAATCTGGGATAGCCCACAATGCTCCGACGAGCTTAAATAGAGCCCGAGGGCACCTATGAGCACACTGCAGGCGAAAGGAAAAAGTACCGGGTACGTTCCTACCCTAGTGTTCATAGTTCGTTTCGAATGCGAATTCAAACACAGACCCTCTTCGAACTGCGACAGTCCGACAAGACAACTGCCCGTGACTGTCGACTATTGGCGGCGGTGACTGGCACCTTCCCATCCTATATACCCAGTCGTCTTACCCAGCGATGCGTACAAGACCAGTCCAGTTCGTCATCCATCACTTTGCAACAACATCTTAGACTCCCGTGGTCGCAGCTTACACGACCATCTTCATCTGAGTCTGTCGATTCCATGATCGGTCTGTTCATCTGACTTCCAGTCCAAACTTGCATCACTCATTCTCTTCGAGCTCTTTGGGCGCTCTCTGCATCCTTGACCTCCGCCGCCTGCGTGTCATGGGGCTGAAGATGGCTGAAGTGCAGTCATCACCACTGCCTGCCTCCGTGTCCGGCTACGATTACTTCTCCAAGAAGCCCGAGCTTGCGCCCCACTCGGACGCCCCGTTCCTCCCGTACTGGGCCCGCTCGCCCGCCTGTGCCCAGAACTTGCTCGACTGCTCCAACGAGCCCATCGAGTACGACCACGACGACGAGGACTACAGCGACAACTGCTTCTTCTTCCCCGAAGACTGCTCGTGGACTCCTCCCAAAGACTGGGTTGTGGAGGCGCATCGTCAACCCGCCGCGCCGACTGCAGACTCGCATCCCATCAATCTCCCTTCACATCACCATCTGGTAGCTGCTGGCCATAACGCCCTCGCCGACACCATGATTCCCGGTCTGCCTGATATCAAGATGCTGGACTCGGAGGCCCTCGGCGATCTGCTAGAGGACAACTTGTCGCCTCCGGAGATCACCACCATGATGTAGGTTGCCGCCAACCCCCCCTGTCTCTTTTCCTCTCTCCGCGCCTGAGCCAGCCCCCGCCTCTGGTGGTCGTGCTGAGCGGGCGGCGTAAGCCTACGTCTGGAGACCCCTAACTGACCTCTCGTGCTATCTCAGTGTGTTCGCGACGAACGGTGCCGTCTTCGCATATGCTTCCTCCCTTGCTTCCCGGCAACTTCGCAACCTCAGCTCCACCTACGGTGCCGCCTACACTTGCTACGCCAAGACCGCGTCGAGTGGAAATCTGACCGGTGTCAATCCCGCCAGCCACCCTTCCTCATATGTGACAGCTCCCTCAATGTCGCTGGGTGACGTGGGATCAATTGTATTTGAGCTGGACGATTCGGTCGCCGTAGTCACGCGAGTCGCGGACAAGGTTCTTTTGGCGGCCGTCGGTCCCAAGAACCTCGACGAAAATGCAGACGGTCCTACCGCTGATGGTTCTACGCTGGATGGCCCAGTTGATCCCGGGTCTGGGATTGGTAATGGGACGGGTTCAGACGAGACACAAGGCAATCATGCTGCCAAAGGATCGGCCTCAAACGGTGCGCCCGCCTCCCAGCAGGACGTTGACCGAAGCGCCGATCTTTCGCGTCTTGCGAGTCTCAATCTTTCGGCATCTCCGTCAGTGCTGCTGGCCTTGGAGTCCAAATGCGCTGCACTGGGTCGTTTCCTGGCAGAAAAGTTGGACGACTTGGAGAGCCCAGAGGACTTTTAATTTCTTTTGCCTCGAAACGGTGACGTTTTGCTCCCCCCACTGGTCTTGTCTGCAGCGGAGGCCTCTTTCTTCTCCTTTTTCCTTTCTTTTGATCCAATGATGCACCGTGGCACTGGATCGTGTATGTATTACATGAAGTCATGACACAGTATATTCAGTTCTTCACGGAGATCATCGTTCTGCCTGTATCTGGCAAGTACCCTCGCAGTGAGTCAGAGAGAGAGGCAATTGTGGTTATCGGGTCTCGTGATGGACCACCCCGTGACTCGTATCCGCCGCAGAAATACCCTCTCCGTCTCCCTCCGCCTCTTCCTCCCTTTAAGGTCAACCTCAAGGTCCTCTCGTGCCAGGAACATGGAAGTTCCAGCCACAGTGACCCTCCGTTTTACTTACAAGTGATCTGCCGGAAAATACCCTACTCTATGCAGGAGACACACTCTTCATGACGTTTTTCTCTTTGTCTTTGTTCCTGCTCCCGGTAACTCCCCTTCCGCAATGCTTTGAATATATAATACCTGATTCTCTCATAATCTCCCTGGCTTCATTTTCTCTTCCTACTGTATACAAGAAACAGAGTCATTTCTCGAGAATATAGGCCTCTGGAGGCCATTGTCATTGCCAGAGTCGCGAATGACGCCGAGCAAACCAACTTCTGACACACCCTCGGAGGGCATATCTCGCTTGGTCAGGTGCGAAAACCTGACTTCTGTTAAATTCATGTGCGGAGCTGTATTTTGAAGGTCGATGAGTACTCGAATTGGAACTGGTAGGTCATCCACTTGCGTTGCCGTCTTCGTGCCCCTTCGGTGGCTTACGCCCCACGAGCCCTACATGTCACTGAAATTTAAGATGCACTGACCGCACAGTCTCTTCGTGTCGACCCCGTCTCTGAATTTCTTCGCGGGATTACGATCGTGATCAGAAGGGAATTCCCGATAGGTGCGTGTGAGATTCCGGCTGATAGCCACGAAAATGTCCTGACTTTCTCGTCCTGTCACCACGTCTTCTAGATCGACTTTCACGGCCTCTTAGACGGTGCGTGCTGCCGTTCTCAATATGCCACGTCCGAGATACCGGCTGGCGGGTGTCCGCCCAATTCTCAGGGTCTCCTCCAGTCGTTCTCTTCTATTACAATGGGAAGAGGGATGTATCGGCGGAGGAGGCATGTAGAACATACACGGCCAGCGAGCACTATCCAATACTCGGCTTCTCTACGATATCCGACTCCATAGAACAGCAGAAACTTGCGGTGTTCACATAGCAAATATCGGTCGAGCGCACTTATACCCTCCGGCATTCTTTGGCACTTTGTGCTTGCCAGGGGCGGGCAGATCTGATTGAGATCTATTTTGACTGCCAACAAACTTGAAGACATGATTCATTGCTACCTACATCTGAACGACTCTGGCCTCGCCTCGTGAGGACAATTCTCTAGCCTGTCGTCTACAATCGCCCAGACAGCCTGGCACTTGAATACCAACTGTGGCACAATCTTCGAGCTTTGCGCCATCGACATGTCCGGTAGAGAAAGTATCCGCATCCCTATAATCATCTTTCAATCTCGCTCTGCGTTTCTCGGCAGAGATAACCTCGTCAAACGTGGCGCGTGCATTACGCCTATTTCACATTCTCCAGAGCTGGTGACTTGTGGGTTTGTAGGAACGAGGTCGCAGTTCTCGCAACATCGAACATGACCTGAGAACAACACTAGCATGGATCTATACTTCACAGTTACGAGTCTGCGCACAGGTCGTTCCACTTTCTGAGTCCCCTACTCCCATATCGGTCAAACACATCCTGAAATCAAGCGACTGCACCTTTTTGGGCAGGAAATCAAAAGGGAGTGATACCATATTTCCGGTTTTTCTGGCTAGCATAACCCTTTCGATGCCGTGCTCCGTGCTTCTGCTTTGATCAAAGGAGATTCCATGTCTGTGGAAGCATGGAAACGTACATTTCTGGCTTGCATGCTGGGAATTTTTCCGATCCCTCCGTCCGGTCGTTGAGCGTCTCTTTAAACTCACTGCTGCAGCTGCTTCCTGCCCTCTTGTTGAGGTATCTACTTCAAACTTCCAACAGAAGTTATTTGAGAAAAAGTGAGTATAAGAACGCGATTTTCCAAAATCAGAATCATATGGAGTTCGGGGGAATCGGTGCAATGTTCAGGCGCTTTCTCGACGAAGTAGGCTGAACCATTTTGCAAGACGAGACTTACAAAGAGTGAACAGTACTGCTGAAGCTAAAAAAAAGCTGTTTGTGTCTGCGCAATGGAATCTTTAAACCTACGTCGAAGTGATTGATGAATTGATTGCGCCTATCCCAGCTTTTGCTGCTAGATCATGTCCGTTCGCAGGGTCAACTCGTTTCCTAATTACTCGTGTTGTCGCCTGTGGCTCGAGAATTTTATCCCTCTCATCGTGAACGTGACTGAACAAGTCGCGCCATGGCCTTTGGCTGCGCTCTTCTTCTGTACGAGATGATCCATGCTTCTGCGCTTATTATATGATCCCTCCGTTACACGTTTCCCTTCTTCCTGTAATGTGGGCTGTTGATTTCTTCGACCAGCATATTGTACCGACAGGATAGACGCTCGTTCTTCACCTGTCATTCTCTCCTCCCCTTGCCTTGCCCTTTCGTGATGGTGGCACAATCCTGAATTCGCTGCAATGATACCGATGAGTTTGAATCAAGGATAAGAGCCCTTTCCTACGCAATCTGGATCAGGCTTCTCTTATCACTCAACCTTCACTTCACCTGTGTTGCCCGAGAACATGCATTCTATCTTGAGATGTGCAAATCTCGAAATGAGAACGTTGTGACTACTATCCCTCATGCTGGCGTCTCACACCCTGCTGCACTTGGTCAAACCTTCCCTGCAGTGTTGGGATAATGCTGGACTGGCACTTTTTCAGGACAGTATCTGATTTTGCGACGTCCGACAAAGACCAACGATGTCCAAACAAAGCGACTGATGATTCCTCCACATGGACACATCATTCTTCAAACCGGGTTCTGTTGTCCAACAACTAGCTTGGCCTCGAAAAGTGTGTTTATCAGGGTGACGTTCTATTTGACTTCCTTTTCTGGACGTCATTACGCGCTTTGCTCAAGATCCCCGGGGAAAGAGAACGTCGGTCATGCTGAAATTCAGCTCGACATCCGGTGGAATCTGTGATTGGCTGTCCCATTCATCAATATCAGTGCAGCAAGTCCCATTCTTCTTGACTAGTGTGCTCTTCATCGCCTACTTAAACAAGAGACCCCGAGCACAAGTTCAATTATTTCCACCACTCGGGCTCTCCGCGGTCCGCGGTCTGATTGAACGTGCAAGAAGTGATCGACTCAACTAACGTTCTCCTTGATCGACCAAGGACTGGCTGCCAAAATCACCCATCAACGTCGAGGCCGCGAGTTATAGCTAGCCTCATGACCTGTGCGGATACGTCAATACGGCTCGACTCTGCGTGGGGATAAAATTGCCGTTCGGCTTGACCTAAACATTGTGCGCCCCCTTAGACTCCACATCAGATTCAGTCTGGAGATATGAATACAAACATTCGACCGCTCTGGCTCTGCGCATCCTGGTGAAGCACTGGAAATGAGGGTTGGGTGGTTACCTAAATAAAATGTTCCGATCCACTTTCCGTAGCAGGGTCACAAAGCCCTGCTGAGCGTATGCCATCCTGTTTCCTGAACACTGAACACTCGGCCACTGAGAGACTGCATGGGAAATCACCCCTACCAATTTCCAATGACGACCCAGGCAAAAAACAGAATTCACGTCTTCGTCATCGAAGGACCGCAACTGTGACCTGCTCGAGCCTCTCAAACTCCGGTCTCCTCCTCCTCCCTACGGACTTAGGTCGCTGGCAAGATGATCTATCCAGATGAACGGTGGACGCATCCTGCCTGAGACTCCATCTAGATGGGCGGCTAGCTTTTGATCAAAGCGATCGCGGATGCATTGCTGTCCAATTGATGTTTCAATTCAAATACAAAAGTATACCCTCGCCAAGAATTTACACCATTTTCTGCATATTTAGGACTCGGAGCATGCATAATGGTGTCGCGAGCGTTTATGATTTCTGAGCCGAGGTGAATGGAAGAATGGAAGTTGGAAAATTAGCCTCGCGAGGGCCTGACACCCCGTTCAATATATTTGAAGCTTAGAGCAGGCACAATAATTCTTTTTTTTACGTGTATGCACCTACCAGTGCCGCGATATAAGTCAAAATTGCTCTAGAGATGGAACCTGGAATCGTAGGTATAGCTGGTAAGGCAATACGCAACATTGTTGGAAAGTATATTTCTGGAGTAAATATATGGATCCACATTCTGGATATTCAATAAATATTTCCAAAATCGAGCGCGAGATAATTCCTAAAGCATTAATGATCGCTTTCGTTCAGCTCATGTAAGAAGACCACCAAAGGGTGAAAGAAGGTTGTGTGTTTCGTATTAAGGGTAGTAGAACCATTCACTAATCAGATGTCACGATGACATGCAAATCGCATGTGATAATTAGACGCGGCTTGGAACGCGTGTGCTTTGACTCGAATGAAAAGAAAACATTCGGCTTGCGGGCATTCCATCCTGCGTAGAGACACTCTTTACACTCCGCTGCCACCGGGAGCGCCGTGGAAATGACTGCCTGAACTGGCGGATCGGTTCAAGCTCTGAGTGGGAGCGGAAGTAGCAGCCGGTGCGGCAGAGGGTTCAGGGGCTTTCTCGTTGTACACGGGAGGTGGATTGGCTGAAGCTGCGTGCGCGGGGTCTGCGGTGGTCTGCGTCGCAGAGGGATATGTAGGCTCGGCAGTGGCAGCAGCGCCAGGGGAGACAGCAGCAGTGCCGGGGGCAGCAGCAGCAGATCCAGCAGCTGGATCAGCACCAGCCGCCGCAGTACCGGGAGCAACAGCAGTACCAGGGGCGGCGGCAGTGGCAGCGGCAGCAGAGGAAGGAGCAGCAGCACCACCACCACCACCAGTAGGCGAGGTAGCGGCAGCACCGGTAGGCGAAGTAGCAGCGGCACTAGTAGGCGAGGTGGCAGCAGCACCAGCTCCGGCACCAGCACCAGCGCCCGCTGCGGCTGCGGCTGCAGCAGTGGGACCAGCAGATCCCTTGGTATACTCGCTCAGCACGCTCCACCATTTCTCGGCATCAGATGCACTGTGAGCCTTAAAAGACAGCTCAGAAGAAGTGTGGAAGGCATTGCCGACCTTATTGCTCGAAACATCTTTGCCCTTGACGTTGAACTTGACACCGTCAACGGCGCCAACCACACAGTCAGGAAGATAGAGCGACAGCTCTGGAGTAGGATCCTTGCGCAAGTCATCGTTGTCCTTGAACTCGTGCAGGAATCCTGCAGGAGTCACGACGTAGTAGCCGGTATTGTAGCCCTTGAGCATGGCACGAGAACGACGCTCCAGAGAACCCTCGATCACGGGCTGCGTGGTGCGGTGATCCATGTTGGGGAACTGGATGGCCGAAGCGGCGCGCAGAGGGCTGTCGGCGTTTACAAGTTTCGACTCGTTGTTCATGCAAAAGTTGACCCACTCAAAGTCGGGAGGAATGCGCTGAGCAGTGTTCAGAATGTCGGCGTAGGAGGAACGTTGACGGTCCAGTTGACCACCCATGATCTGGTGGAACTGCTCAAGTGCGGTTTGAATGGTCTGAAGGACATGCGCTTCAAATCGGGAGAAGGAGTTCTGGATGGCCAAGATATCATTGCGGTGGTTGTTCTCCTCCGCGACCTGCTTGTGCAGACGGTGGTTGATACCACGACGGAGCACGTAAGGATCGTGTTGCGTGTCGGTCTTGTTGCCACCTCCGGACTCGACAAGAGCCGAGTGCTGACCGAGCAGCTCCACATGCTTTTGAGTTGCCAGGCGGGCCTTTTCAACAGCCTTGCTGCCCGTGGAAGTACCAGACTTCAGCTCCTTGGACTTATTCTTGATCTCCTTGTGCAGGCGCTCAAGCACAGGTAGGACTGAGCCTCGTAGGTTCTTCTCGACCTCAAGGTAGGAGTTGATCGAGATCTTGGTAGTGACAAACGGTTAGCCTACCGCCTTCTACGTTCGTCCAGAGTCCGTGAGTGGTTCTCCTCTCTTGAACATACCTGAGATTGATTGCGGATAGTCTCAAACAAGGTGTTTATACCGCCAGTACCGGCACTGAAGTGATCGCCTTCACGCAAAGGTTCGTTGACAGTCTGTCAGTTCAAAATGAGCGATTAGCAGCCCGTAAACCATAATACAAATTGCCCAAAGAGAGTTGTGGCATCGTGTCGCATACCTTCAGGACCTTCTCATAGTCCTTGGCCTGCGACTTGGTGATCTTGGCCGTAGTCGAGACGTAATCCTCGAGGTTCCCGCACATATGCTTCCAGGCACGCAAGCGCTCCATGAGGAGGCTAGTGGTCTACATCATCAGCAAAGATATCGGGTCAGTCACGTTGTTTTTCTGTCGCGGAGAGGCAACACCCCCTTCTGCCCCGCACCACGCAATCTCCCCCGCGCGGGCGCAAGGCACAAGGTAATCTGTATTCTCGCTGGATAAAAAGGCCACACCTACCTCATTGCTGTCGTTGTCGGGAGTGAGCTCGTCATCGCTGGCAGAGGTCTGACGGGTCATGGAACTTTGGACGGTCGCAGAGCGCGAGGGGAGAGAGTGCCCCTGCTCCGTGGGGTGAGCGGACGTAGACATGGCGGAGAAAGGACGAGCGTCGAGCACCAGTGTGTTGGGTATGCGAATACAAAGATCAAGTACGAGGCCGACTTGATATTAGGGTCGTACAGTGGGGTTTACGGAGGGAAGTAGAAGTGCAGGTGAGTTTCGAAGTCGGGAAAATCGCCAGGTTCGCTGGGCAAGCCGCTTGTTTAAATGCCCCTGTCCACCGTTGATCGTGGATCGTTTTCGGCTGTTCTGGATCATATGTCATTCCACCGAAGGGACAGGAGCAGAGCGGCGTGGAGCACGCCCAGACTAACTAAGGACTCAGGAATACTTACCCTTGGTATTTGTTCTCACATTCACAAGGGAAACTATCAGTGCCACCGTAGCTGTTTCCGGGTCTCCGAAATGACGAAAGGTGTGACCTTGTGGCAGTGGTGTGGCACATCTGTGGCTGCTGTCGATGACGCTATACCCCAGCGGGTTTAGAGGCGGTGATCGAAAGGTGGACTCGAATGCTTGAGTTTCTCGGCTTGAACGAGTAACCTGCTCTCAGCCCTCTTTCACCCTTGTAGGAAGGAGTCAAGTGAGAGGGCTTGATCTTTTCCTCGATTCTGCAGTGCTGCACGACCAACACATACCGATCGGCGGGCAATCAACGCCGATGATGTCATCCCTTGCGCTGTGGCTCCTCAATGAATGAGTTTCCAGGAATGGTCAATGAGACTGGAGTGGTGTTTTGACACAAAATCATCTTAGCTGGTATTTTGCTTCATCTTCATGGTCAGCAAGCTCGAGTTGTCCCTTGATGCAAATCCTCTAGATATGAGATGCAATTTAGAGTGAGATTGATACGCTAGGGCCATGTAACCAGAGCGTCGGGAGCCAGCAGTGAGCCCTCTGAGACAAGACGAACCCTGGGGAGTGGGACGCTCGACCCATACATACTTGAAGTGGCGTACTCACTTTACTTGGTACATACCATCGTCAAGTCAGTCGTGCAGTTCCAGAAACGAACGCTACATTGATCACGGCGGGGGTGTGAAGATCCCTTGAATCATCACCATTAAGCCATGGAGTGGTACACACATTCACTGCCCAATTGAGGAACTGCCAGGTTCAATCTCGTGGGCCTCGTGGCTTTGGATTGAGGCGCAGCAGCCTCTTGATTTAGCATCTTTGGTGATGATCGTCAAGCTCGAATGAGAAAGCTGGAGGACTGTCGGACGCCTCCAGACCGATTTGGGAAAAGACAGTAGTGCTGCCGTCTCAGCTTTGATCGCACTTGGCAATTGGTTTCACCTGATGGACCTACCACTTGAGCATTGGGTCGTGAGGGGACGAGGTTGAGTAAACACGCTGAGAACTCGACATCATAAGCTACGGACGAGTTGAAGATGACCAAGGCTGAGTCACATGACTTAACAAGGAGCTGAATGAGTATGAAAATCCTACGTGCCTGCAATTCGTGACTGTGTAGACATCTTCCACACGTATAGAGAGAATGTATTGAGCCGTACATACGATAGATCATCTCTCATTAGAGACCCAAAAGCAAACTTCTTGTGGGATGGGTGGTTCATTGAAGCTCTGACAGCAGAATGGGATAGGTGCTACCGTGCTAGTCAATTCGGCTAAGTACATAAGGTCCAGCAATGGTGAGGATGGTCAGACATGGAAGTCGCGCGACACGTGCCACAAGTAAGAACCAGAGTTTCTCATCAAAGGTGCGTTAGTAATGAGAAAGCACCAAGAAAGATGGAGAATCAGCAAATCGAAGAAAACAAGAGAAAGTTTCACTTAGCAGTGAAAAATGAATATCCTTCTAGATATATAAAACGCCCCCACCAGTCTATGAAAATCGTTCTAAACGCCAGAGAAGAGGGTAGAATGATAGAAAGGGATCAACGCAGGGCAGCTCTAAAGTGGAGTCATAAGAAACATGAGTGATGAAAAAAGCATTCGGTCATTTTCAGCCGTTCATTTTCTGAAATGACGAGTTTGCGCGACAAGTCATCGCAGGAAAGGGTAATGGCTTGTTGTTTGTGTCCAGCACTGACGTTAAGCACTTTGTATTAGGTGAGGTGGGAAGAGGGTAAGGGGTCATAGATGTGTCGATGATGATGCAATGGAGGCTGGGCCAGCTAAACGTTGATGAAGGAGAAGGGAAGAAGAGAAAAGAAGAAGAAGAGTCAAAAGGGGAGCCGAGGAATAGAATGGAGAAAGGAAGATAAGAGAGCAAGAGGGTGGAAAAAAGAGCAGCGAGTTCGTGCAGATCTGTTCAGCTTCTACCGCGCGCCTGCACTAATCGGAGTCTGCGTTCGGCATCGTCAGCGTGGGTGCCGTGGGTATGGAAATGTCTGGGATTATTCACCTCCAGGGGTGTTGTGTAGCCGCTACTTCGACCACTTCGAAGGTAGGCCTGCTGAGGAGACTGCAGGACCGGACTGGGGAGACTACTGGCCATAGCGGCACTGTAGTCAGGCAGATCACTGTCGCAAGGACCCACGGCAGCACGGACCGCCGTCGAGTAGCTGGGCACCCGACTCAACGTCTCGACCTCGGCATACTGGGGTGAAAGGAAGGGGGTGGCCATGCCCGAGGCAATGGGTTCATGATCACCGCCATCATCGGATGGTCGGCGAGACATCTCAGCAGGAGTGGCAGGACCCTGCGAGTTGGAGCCCGAAGAGTGGCCGAAGTAATCTCCGAAATGAACGTTCATATTGCGCGAGTTGGGGTGACTCTCCGTGGGCGAGCCGACAACTGGCTCGCCCGGCGAGCCCTGGCCAAAGCGACTAGCGTTCAAGGTGGAAAGTCTGCTATGTAGCGCGGAGGCGGAGATGTTGGTGTTGGTCAGTGCATTCATTGAAGCCAGATTCTCCGATGAGATGTTGCGACTGAGAGGGCCGAACGGAGTGCCGGCGCCGCCACTGCCAGGACCTGGCGTACGGTAACCGCTTGGGTCAAGTTCACTGTACAGCTGATCGAATTGGTGCTCGCTGTACATCGGCGGGGCTTGGTGGGCGGCGTCATCAGTAGCGCGTCGAGCAGCGACTGGTCGCGCATCGCGAATGTTGTTGTTCTCGTCGATCTGCACGTCGGGAGAAATGAAGATGGAGACAGGTAGCGTGGCACGCAACTAGACCCCTCGTGGTGAGCACTGGAATAGAAGGACTCGGCGGAAAAACAGATTATTGCCCACTTACCTCACTGATGTGGCCGTCGGGGTTGTGCAACTGAATACGGAACTTCATCTTGTGGCGAATCTTGATTCCCTTCGTCTCTGTATCCTGCAAACAACGCTTCAAGGTCTGCGGCATGTCAAGATAGCGCGTGAACTGGTATCCCTCGGCGGCCTCATCAATCACGTCAACATTCTCTTCGTCGATCTCGTGCTCGTCGGTCAAGATGGTCCGGGTGATTTTGTAGGTGTTGCGCGTCGAGTCGGGCTCATCCGGGTTGAGGGTCAGGTCGTGGCTCTCAATGAGCTGTGAAGTGATTTGCCCAATGCGAAGGCCCTTGAGGAGCGGGATTAATTTGAAGTCGATACGGATGGATGTCCCAAAGACCACGGCTTTAGTCGGGGTGCTGATCGAGTACTCGATCTTATTCGGCCACACATTTTCAACAGACTAATTCCGACTGGTCAGTGTGTTCCGAGAAGAGTCAAATCGATGAGAGTGAAGATGCGCACCATTGCATGGAACAATTCCAGAGCGCTCGGGTCTAGAGTCCGGATGATTCGCAAAGGTTTTCTCGAGATGATGTCTTTGGCGTATTTACGCCCGATCTCGGCCTTGAACCGGTACATGACCCAAGTCTCCGACAAACCCTCCACACTCTCCGGCATGGAACCCTCCAAAACGACATCGAATGGGTATTCATAGTTGCCTGCTGCAAGGACCTCGGTCTTGCCCTTGCCGGGCTCGCGGAATTGCCAGGATTTCTCATAGAACACTCGCTCTCTCCATGCCTTGCGACCGCCGGCGGTTGATGTGGACGGAACATGCCAGCTGCAGAAGCGTTTGGGTCAGTCCTGGTTCGGGTGTGGATCTCCGATGATCTCAATTTTTTTTTTCCTTTGGCCGACCGCGGGGGCTGCGGGAAGATAGATTGAGGGGCTCACATACCATACACGCGACATGCCTGTGAGATGCAAGCGGATATGCTTGATGGTGAGCGGCTCCGACAGACAGAGCACCAGTGTACCCTTCAGGTGGGCACTGGCGGCCTCATCTTCACCTCCACGAAAGACAACATATTCATCTTTCAATCTTGAGTCGAGTCGGTCCGTCAGCATCACCGTCTGCGCAAGGCGGCGCTCATCCATAGAGTGGACCGACTTACCGAATGTCAAAGTACTTCGCATGGCTGGCGCTTCCAGTCCCGCTGAAGAAACTGAGCGCCATTTCAGGAAATTGTTACAGTCCACGGACTGGGACTGCGATTGTGAAGGGTAGGATGATGAGCAGAAAGAGAGAGTTAGGGAATTGTGAAAGGAGCAATCGTCGTGTCGACCCGAGAGGAAATTGCCCGGCTGAAGGAAAGGTCAAGGGCTGAGTTTGAGCGGGAGAAAGAAAGATTGGCGCGGAAGGAAAATAAAGAATGAAGTAATCGCGCAATGGAGCCGGAGCAAAAATTAAAGAAAATTCGGAATAATGGACCACGCTGGAGTCATTACTGTATGACTCGAAATTTGTCTTATCCCGATCTACGGCACTGATTCCAGCATGGCCCTCCGGTCCGACTCGACGGGTCCCGCTGAAGCCAAAGTGGAGCGGCGCCGCTTCCGGACTTTTTAGTGGCGATAGCAACAGTGCCCGATTCTGGGAGATGATCGTTACCTGAGCGGTATTTAAAGATAAGAGGTGGACTCAAGGCATAATGTCTCGCCATATGAACAACTGAAAGTCTGAAACATTGAATAGAAGAGCCATCTCAAGGACGCAGGATCATGTGCGTTATTATGCAGTGATGCCATTCGGAGAAATATAGGAGGTACTACCTGGTACCAAGGCCGATCCCGTTCCAGCCTTGCCGTCGATTTCGCATAGACCCGACAGCGACAGCTGTTACGTCAGCGCCGTGTTTTAAAGTCTCTTGAAAGAAGGGGTACCTGGTTAGTAGTATAGTAGTGGTACCCTCGGTCCCTTCGTACTGTAGAGTGTAGCACTCATCGCAAGGAACAGTGTGGTTCTAGCGACCTCTCACATGTGTCTTTTTTATCTGCTATCCAGTGCCGATTTCAAACGAGAGAAAGTCTCATACTCTATGGTGGGAAGTGAGGACTGATTGCTGGATAGGAGTGTACTCTGAGTTACCACAAAAGGCTATGACGCGGCACCAGAAGCCCAATTTCTGAGACCGTCTGATTTCTCCGGAGCCCCTCTATCGTTCCGTTCCCGTATCACGCCATACTGTAAGGGCACCGTTTGAATCCCATTCCAAAAAGACCCCTATCAATCAGCGATGTCTGTACTCCGTAGTCAGTCAACTTCAATTTGAAGACCCTCACACAGATCTGTGTTTGTCCCTGTATTTGTCCCACAATAACCCCCCAGTCGGCATTCGGTGCCTTAGCACAGTGGCCAATCGGAAAGTTCAGCATGTTGCACTGCACAAGTGCATATGGGACTTGCGGACGACAGGGCAAGACATGGTTTAGAATAGGCGTCTACCAGGTAACTAGTAACTACTAAAGTCGTACCCTGGCACCTAGGTCATTTCTAGTGATGGCAAGTTATTGTACTTATTCCAGGGATTAAGCTCACTGGATTGTACCGAGGACTATGGAAGTCGTGTTCTGGTTCGGTGCCAATTCCGGCACTGTCAGCCCTAAAAGAAAAGGTGCAGTGTTTTGCTTGTTTAAGGCCTTGGCTACTTATATTCATGCCGAGTACTTCCATTAAAAGATACCGCATCAGTGTCATTGGTCCGATTGGAGATTTGGTTCAGGAAAAATCAAATTTATTTATCTTGACTAGAATGGACGCACGTCACTGTACTGTAGAAGCCCTTCTTGAAAAAGAGACCATCGCCAGTAATTGAAGGCACCTCTATATCTGATTGAGCAAACTCAAGGAAGGATATCTATGAGGTAGTACGGTTTCATTACATGAAACATGAAGAAGTGGTCTGATTCTCCATAGTACTTGTTAAGTTGTTAATCACATGCTAATTACAGTAGGAGCATACTCAGGACACTACGGTGAATATTGACTATTAATCTACCCAAATATCTACACACCGTCTGCCCCGAGCAATGACTCGCACGGGCATCACTTATGGTGGTGCTCCACAAATGTCATATCACTCACCGGGCTGGCAGCAAAACCATGAAACCGGTGTCTTTCTCTGTGGTTTACGGCTCTGCGCTATGTCATGAGTGCGCGATTTGACGTGAGTCAATCATTCCAGGTTCAAGGTCCAAAATGACTTACTTATGGAACCTTCATAGACCACGGTGTACCAGCGTGCCGTCAAACCAGAGGTCCAGAACGCTCACGGGCCAAACATCGATCCACTCTAGATAAGGCCCCTGCCACCCTATGGATCCATTCTATCCAACCCTTGGAGCTTGAATACGTGGCGCCCTCTGTTGATATGGATCCCTTCACTATGTCGAGAGCCAGAGCTGAACTGCGACAGCTTCAAGCCTCACATGTAATGCTGTGCGAGTCGAAAAACAGTCATCGATGGGGTGACCATCAATCAGCAAGAACCCTAGCGCTCCAGAGACTACACAGTACATAGTCACATTGATGCTAATATTTGTCCGTGCTGTTCTTCAGCCATTCCAGGTTTCTTTTCTCATGTGTGGAAGGGTCTGTGATTTTTGTCTTGTCTCGGCAGACAAGCCGAGAACGGGCCCGTTCGGGATGCCTACAACATTTTCACCTTTGCACACGGGCCCGGGCATTCCCGTGTGACCGGAATCCCGAAGTCGTGCCGATCTTCCAGTCTTCGGGCCAGGGTGCTACGATGACTCTGACTTCCAATTGTCGTTTGTTGGCCACGATAGAATGGCACATGCAAAAGACAACTATGGGCTGACCACTCTGAGTTCCACACAGGCGACTCTTGATACTGTAGAGTTCAACTACTATCCTCATCGAGGTGGCAAACCCTCTATGCTCTTCTTGATCCTCGGGGGGGATTCTGTGAGATGGCAGGACGATTTCAACCTCCTCGTAGACACACGTACAAAAGCCCTCAGCAGGCAGGATATTTCATAGTCGGTCTTGTGGCTACCGCCCTTTCTTCTCGTGGGTTGATGGAAGACTTTTCCTTGTCCACCAAGGTCCTCTGAGCCTTTCCCTATACGATTATTCACATTTCAGGCCGTCCGAGTCTGGCCCAAGTAGGACAGAGGCACTGATCAGGATTTTCACTACTGTTCGGGCGGCCCCACTCCGAAGTCGATCATTGACGGTGAGCTTTTTCAGGAACAGAAAATCTCTTCCATAGATCGCTAACCTATGTCGCAAACATTACAGGGTCTTTGAACCTTGACCTTGATGTACACCAGTAGACACAGAGAAAAGTCTTTTGTAGATGCCTTGACCGTGGAAAGCAATGCCTGATCACCATGGGTCTACAGACTGACACTCCTCTATCCAAGCCCCGATGTGATAAGTATGACTCAAGTATTCTAGGTAGGTGTAGGGATCAAAATTACCCAACCCGACTTGGTTGTTCCAGAACAACAATTCAACTCTGCAGTAGTGCAAACTGCAGGCTGCAGAACGTAGACGCATCACCGTCACATCATCCGCTTGCCCGGCTAGGTGCCTCAGCTTGTGATTGTGAATATTACCTGTATTGGGAACACCCCTTGCTCATCGAATGGATATGACAGACCATGAGAGATGTGACTGGACATCGGACAGTGTTACTTGCGAGCAGAATTCTCCGCAACCCTAGCACGAGAGAATGAGACCCTCCGTTGGTTTCACGGCCGGAGGACAATCGCAAGATAACAAGAATTGCACTAACTCGATCCATTACTGTATGTGAGCGAGTCGCCTGACATAGGTGGCTCAACCTTCACGAGGTACAAATGACTGGCTTGCGTTCTCCCATCATCTCACCTGTATCCTAGAGCCTCATCGCTCAGAATTGACTCTCGGTAGACTTGGCCACGAAGCTACTGAACAGCGTGCCACAAAGTTACCACTGGACAATAGTGTACGTTGTACAATGTAGTGAATGTACATTCGCAGCAGATGACCTCATTCAAGCGGCCATTTGGTGGACGCTTTGACCCTTGGGCTGGTGACTTCCCGTCATTACGTCGTATTCTGGGCCAAGCAAGGGACGATTTGGCACGTGCAGTAGTCCAGGTACGGGCCCAGCTGCCAGGTGGCTTGCGAGAATTTATCCGATCGACTCAGCCTTTGACCCGCGAGTTTCACGGACGCGATCGATAAGTGTATCGCGGTCCTTGGGTACGTTCTTATGTCGACAAAAAACCCTCGAACTTCTTGCCATTTATGAGTTTCTTTATTCCCGGCGTCTATCGAACATCGACAAGTCTGCCTATCGACTCCATTCAGAAGGTCGAGGGTGTCGTCTCTATTGAATCTGATTGCCACATGCCCAGTGAACGACTAGCCCTCTTGCTATATGTCCGCCATTTAACACAAAGATCTACCTGGTGTGGTCCAGTGGAGTGTAGTTTTTACTCAGCATTGAATATTCAGTATTGTGCCCTCAATGAGCAGGAATACAGGATAGCCACCTGAACGGCAATCGGGTAACTGTAGATACTAGACTCGAGTGCAGGCATTTTGGTCCACTCAGTCGCCCGAAGTGGGCCGATGCTCTTCCTGACCGAAGACCGCCTCACTCCTCAGTCCTCAGTCCTCATACGTCTCGAGTAAATAAAGCGACACGAAAAAGCAGTCCAAACTCCAAGCCCTGCCAATTGCCATGTGTGAACAACCCTCGTGGCGCTAAAAGAACCAAATAAAAAAAAGGGGGGGGGGGGGGGGGCCACCCTCCGAAAAAAGACCGGGTGCGTGGCCCCCCTTTGGGGATATGCGGTTAGGCCGCGATGGCGCTTTTGGTGGCTTATCTACGACGAGTCCCGGCACCCCGAGTCGGCAGACTGATAAGAGGAAACTTACCCGACCTGACTTCCGCCTGCATCTTCCACGACGAGCAGCGACTCTAGCGAGAAGATGCAAAGTACGACTAGGTTAGCAAGCGCCACAAGGTTCCTACGAGGTTTCTGCGCGATGCATACATGGGGCCATTGGATGTACTACTACTCAATACTCCTTCTTCACAGCGTCGTCATTGACTCCTACCCAGGGTCTTGATCCTGTGATTCACGTATGAGTCCAACTGATAGGATGGTGCTCCAGCATCAGCTGATGCTTTCACTCGTCGCATGAAGTCTTCTTCGACAAACTATCCCCTTCTCCGAATCATCATTGAGGGCCAGCTTCTTCAACTGCAAAGTGCCGCTTTCGCATTCTCTCTTGCTGAAGCTGAAGACAATGACTGGGTTCAACTTCTTCATGATGATCATTTTCACAATTTTGAAAATGTCAGACAGGCCTTTCTCCCCACCCTTGTTGATGGACTTGTCTTTGCCTTTGCCCTTCCGCTCCTCGTGAAATCTCAGATGGCCAGGCCCGCCCAGAATCGGTTGATCATCCGGCCCTCGGCCGGATGATCCATGTCCTCTGGTGTCTTTCAACTGCCGACCGCACGTCATGGTATCAGATATCACCGATGGATTCCGACTCCAATCCAGGCCACAGGACATCTGCGCGTTTTGGTTGACATGCTGAGACAAAAGTTCGGGCACGTCTGTCAACCACAGAGCAACGCCATCCAGGAGGATGTAGAAGAGTATCGGGCGAAATCTTGCCAGAGGGCCCTTTCACTGGACCCGTCAGATTAAATTCCTTTTCAAGGTGATGGGACTTTAATCGTGCAACGCCAGTGCAATACCTGCACTGTCTTTACTCTGGTGATCAGTCCTCGTCCATGTAGTATAAAGATAAATCTTGCGCCCATAGCCTCGACACGCGCCTTCAACGCCGCAAGTTCCAGGGTCATACATGTCAGAATCATACTGCACCGAGAACGCTTCCCATCATCTGGGAGAGCAGATCTGAAACTTAGCGCACCTTCATAGCAAAAAGGACCTGCACTTGACTCCTACCCTCCGCCTTGCCTCGCACCCTGTCATACCAAGAACCGAGGTGTGATGGACCGCTCAGGGACTGAGACATTGCGGCAGAAGTGCAATTCACCTCATTGCCTACTTGACGGAGGATGGATCGCAGGAATGTTGCGATTTGTATCGGTGAGATGCGACTCGTTTCGAGAACTAGCTGCGTAGACTCATTGGCCGACTTTGCTTGTTCTAGTGACTCCGCGGGCCAGAGTGTCGTGTCGTCACAAGCGCTGTTCCATCCATGTACAAATCGTCTGCGTGGTATAACGGTACTAGACTGGTGCGACGACGATCCAGATTTCTTCGACTGACAACTATGCGCCTAAAGATCCGAAGCTTGATCGTTTGAAATTGTATCTGGTGTCTTGTCAACCGATTCGAAGCTTGCAATGAGCCCGTTCTAAGCGAAAAGGTTGACTTGCGAGAAGAAGAAGAAGAAGAAGAAGAAGAAGAAGAAGAAGAAGAAGAAGAAGAAGAAAACTAGTACAGTGGCAATCATAGCGCCGGCTAGCAAAGCCTGAAAATGTCGCGCATTCATGATTGACTTCGTGGAAAAGCCAACCGCATCGTCCATTCAAATGCTCATAGTATGCTGTACAGCTGCATGGCACATCTCGGACCGTCCAGCGAGTTTTCTTCTTCTGTCCAGGGACGCGAATAACTCGATCATCAAACTCTCCAAGTTGTTCTTGAACGATCGTCAGGGCTGGAGTCCGTCGAAAATGTATAGCCGCATTCGATCCCAACCCGAAGGAGGGGGGACGTCTTTTCCGCCTGGCTTTGATTTTCTGTAAGTGGTTCTCAGCTATCCAAAGGCAGACCGTGGGATCTTGTGCAACTGGGCTGGAGCGTGGCCAAGATTCTAAGACAGAATTTCCATGGCGTGCTGAAATACGGCAAAGCACGTCTTTGAACATCAACTGCCATCCTCGGCAGAGGAGGCTATATCGTGTACACTTTGGAAGATCGGCTTTTCCAAGATTTCCTTGATTTCATTTGATAGCCGCACCATCTTGCTGATACTTCACTGGTTGAGAGCTCCGATCTTGATATTGCATCTCACCTTTGAACACCTGGTCTTCCGCGTAATTTCCTGTGGACATGAACAGCGTCCTGGTCGTCTGTCAATGAGGTACACTTCCAGGAGGGGCCGTACTTTCATAACCAATCGAGAAATATGATCCAAAGCATAGGTCATGTCACGTTCATCAAGTATGTCCATTAGGGCATTATTAACAATATAGACCGACTAAGCTCTACTTTAAGGGGACGAATGATTGAACAAAGGGGGCATGTGTGCGCAACCATAAATGTCTCGGGATGATCAACGAAAGGTGCATATGACACGGATCTTGTCGTCAACCGAAAGGTAGCTGCGAGTGCCTCCTCAAGTCTTCGATGCGCATTCCGAGAGACATGCGAACCGGCAGTGAGGTACGTCGGCTGACGAATAGTTCGAAGGAGAGGATGTGTGATACACAGGGCGCAAGAAAGCCCCGGACACAATTTGCGGGGATTTCGTCCAGTACGCAACCGGAAATGTAAAAGATCAAAGGAACACAATTCGACCAGCGAGATTGTGGTTTGCGTGCATGACGAATGCCGGTCGCCGTGAGGGTGAAAAGGGTGGAGAACAGGCACTAGTGCTTTGTTCAAGAGCAACGACGGTCTTTCGAGCTCAAAATATCCATCCGATAATGATGTACAAGAAGAGAATGACTCCGATGCAGATACCCGCAACTTTGAGCACGGCGACTGTGTCGCCTTGCTTGGCCATCCGTGTCAAGCGGGAGGCGCTGCCTTTCAAGTTGGAAGAGAATGAGGAAAACACTTCGTTCTACACAGAAAAGAAGTTATCAGCAGTGTTCAATAAGTGCGACACAATTTGGGGGATCGCGCAGGTTGCGGACTTTCCAAGGAGACATACCGAGTGATCGATTGTGTCATGGTCTCGTGCGTGGTCGTGGATATCGATGGTCACAGATCGGAGAGCAGAGACCTTTGAGGAAAGACCGCTCAGCAGCGCATTGTTCTGCCTATAGAAAAGAGTTCATCAACAGGGTGTTCATTCCTTTTCGAGACCAAAGTACACGGGCATCCTGCTGGATGAGAGAGGGATGACGAGTTGCCACCAGCCGCAGATAAGGGGCCGAGTTTCAACATACTGCTCACGCTCATATGCGTCACTCATCTTGACGCTCTTGATCTAATTCCACGGTCGGTACTCTATATGATGGTTCAGGGGTTTGAGCTCGATCGCGTTCACCTCGCACTGCAGAGCGTCAAAGAGGCAGATAGCTGATGGCGACTTGGCTGGGGATGTTGGGGAGGCGGGTCATGTGACAAGGATCTGGCCGCAAGTGGAGACCGTCGGCTTAGAGCTTATTTTGAGATGTCGACCGCGACGAAATTGGAATATTGTCATCTCAGATTCTCGTCACCACAGACTTTTCACTTGATCGTTCCATGATTTCTAGAAAGTCCGGGAACTTGAATTGATGATGAGAGTACAAAATGTTATCCAATGGAGGGCTAGCTGGAACTTCACTTGATCATTTCTACACTGAACGAGCCGTCGTTGCTTGAAAAGGGCTCTCGGTCATTGTGTCCTGGTGACTGATTCGAAATCATGGCGCCCGCTTACATCCCATGACATTTGTTTCCTGAGATTTAAGCAATACAATGGAATGTCTTGACCCATTAATATCACAGCTTTGCCTTCTCGGTCGAGGTGAGTTTTCTTAATGGAGGCCCTGCCCTGCTTCCATCACCCTTCATGGACTTTTCCGCTGGCGACTCACGAGGCGCTTCCTGTAGTCGCCACTTTTCACGCAACTCCGCGGGTGCTTTATTCTCAAAGCAATCTGCGATGTACTTGCCTAGTACTGGAAGAAATTTGAAGCCACTGGTTGTCCTTGTCAGCTAACATCGAACTCGGCCCAGGCGGGAATTCCTAAGATTTCAAATCACTTACTGGCCTGCTCCCCCAGTGGCGACAAACAGACCCTGAAGGCTCGTGTGGTTGTCAATGATGAAGTCTCCCTTGGGAGTATCGGTATACCAACAGAGTCGGCGATTCATCCACGGCCGATCGGCAAATTTGGGGAAAAATCGTTTTAATCCCTTTCGGAGGTCATCATCCGCGTCCTGGGGGATATATCCAGTTCCTGCATTACTGCTGTCGAATTTGGGAGCCGAGACCGTATGTGTGGCGCCATCAAGCTGGATGGCTACCTCGTTGGCATATCCGTAGCCATGACGAGCCAGCTTTAGGATGTTGCTGCCCGGCGTGGGAGGGAATACAAAGACCCCAGTAGACATATCGATCATCACTGGCGTGTTGTCCAAAGACCGTGCTTCATCTCGTGTGAGTTGAATAAAGCCCACAGGCTGCCCAGAAGATGTGGCAGCATGCGTGATATTCAGTAGTCGATTCGTCCAAGCCCCAGTACTCAATATCACACGCGAGGCACGGAGGGAGCTTCCATTGACGAGGTTCACTCCAACCACCCGAGAACCCTTTTTGAGTAGTGAGCTGACACTTCCCCGAGGACCGCTGATGATCGAGACACCCGCAACGCTGCACTGCGACGCGAGCTTTTGAATGCTGCTGGCGGCGTCCGCCCATCCCCCTCGACGGTTCAGGTAACCGTTCATACCAGCCAAGTCAGACTGAATGTTTGGAAATGACCTGAGCAGCTGCCTGGCATCGTCCAGATCTTCGACGGTGCCGCCATTGGCCTTCACCGTGGCTGCGGATTTCGCGATCCACTCGTTGTCTGGAGTCTGTGACAAGAGGGCGAAGCCAGACTCGTAGTAATGGTCCTTGTATTCGGTTTGCCAGCCTTGGTACGCCTCAGAGGCCATTTTGCAGTACACTGGATCCGCATAGTCAATGCGAATGATCCGAGAGATATCGACGCTGCTCCCGTCTGCCGCAGGGGGGTTGTATCGGTCAAGTACAGTGATGTCTTTGTATCCTCGGCGATTCAACTCTAGAGCTGTGCTCAAACCGAACACGCCCGCACCAACGATGATGATCGAATCCGATTCACATGTCGCCATTTTGTCTGCTAATGCTATAGAGAAATTGCGACTCGGATGCTGCTTTGAATTTAATGAAAACGAAGTAGGTCAATGGAGATCCCCGGGCCGATGCCGTGGCCCCGCTCCTCCACGGACACCCGGCAACACCGGTACTCGGCCCGTGGCCGCGTCAACTCTTCTCTCTACTCCATGGTCCATACTCCCGCATAGTATACAGCTTACATTCTCTAGCAAGAAAAATGCGAGAACTCGGTACATCCTGAAGCATCCTCAATTCTAATAAACTTTTACGGAATACTCAGACTCAACCAATCTTCAAAGGCCTTGCCGTAATCTTGCATCTGCAAGAACAGGTCGTCTTGGTCCTCCGTTCCCAGACTTACACTTTGTGTCGGGTGCATGACTCGATCGACTGTAGAAGGATGTCGAGACGCTTCGGACAGCTGGTGAGCGCTCTGTTCTGAAGGATACGTCACGCACTCAGGGACCACCGTCCTATGTCCCGAAATCCCAGCAGACCCAATCAAGGCAAGATCGGACTCTCTGATCTCGCCCGAGGACACAGGCTCTGATTGAGCAGCGGTATCATGGACCAGCCCTGGGCCAAAAATATCCGTGGCGGGATTGGGGGCTTTGCTGACATGTGAATATACCAGGATATTCCATAGTAATTGCGGGTTGACCGTCCATTTCTGACGGGTGCTTGGACGCCCGTCTACCGGCAGACCACCCTCGGGCAATATACTGTTGTGAAGCTGTTCCAGTTTTTGTGCCTATGGAGAATATCACATCACTTCATCAGCCCCCATGACCGCTTGTTAGAATGGTGACGGGAAGCATCTTACCATTCGATCGACGTGGCTCCATCTCTTGCTTAGACCTCTTAAGAATTCAAGACATAGCGTGAAGCCCTCTCTAGCCTTTGTGCTGAACACGGGATCTTCCACGAAGCTGTGCTGGAGATATATGGTCCCAACAATTGCCACACAATGACCGATGATAGGATCGGACACCTCAAACTCCTTCAGCTGAATGAGCTCAATGAAGTGCATGATCCAGCCGGAGTGCAGAGTAAGCTGTTCAAAAGAAATGCGCAGGAAAGACTGCGGCATTGTTCGGCGAAAGTTGCGGAGTCGGAGGGACAGCAAAAACGGATGATTGAGCATGCATGGCACAGCATGCCAGACCATCTGAAAGGATAGCCAGGGGGACCAATAACTGCGATTTGTACTGAGATCTGAAGGCGAATGGTCGGCGAAATTACTGGCATGGAGACGAAAGCGCAACGGCATACAGCTTTCGTGTTCGGTGTGGCGATAGGTGACCGAGGTATAATCTGACTGAGGATGCCAAGGTGGTAGTGTGTCCATTTTGTCATGAACAAGAGCGTATTCACAAGCCAATGACCATAATTCAGTTGTATACATACTCGCTGAAATTATTCCGATGTCGAGCTTCTCTACAGTGGATTTCAGATACGATTCCTGCCAAGTCGTGTCCTCAAAAATGGAGGTCGAAGAGCGCTGGTCGAAGGGAGATCCGGAGTGCCGAGATGGTACAGTGCCTTGAAGGTTCTGAAGCATAACGATAGATGCATAACACAACTTTCGTTCGTCTCTCTCCTCGTCCAAATTATTGACTAAGGTGTCAAGACCATTGAGTCGAACATTTTGTATCAAGTAGCTTGCTGTGTTCGTGAAGAACCCAGCGCGCACGATGTTCCCAGCTAATTCAATTCCGTCAGCGGATGTTCCACCTCGTCGATGAACAGAGCCTACCTGTGAACTCAAGTATACTGAGAAGACATAAAGTCTGTAGCTGTGAGATGTCGACGTCGCCCACGGTGATCTTCTGCATAACAAGTCGACAAGATCGCTGTGTCTTTACCTCTATGTCACGCCGAGTTGCATCATCGTGGATTCCCAACCCACGAAAGCGGAGAGAATAAGCGTCCACAGCAAGAATTAGTTCTGTAGGTCTCCAACTCTGGGTATCTATCGACAGATCCCGAGGAAATAAAGGCAGAGGTTGACAATTGCAAAATGTTTGAAACAGCTCAAATGTCGACGGCACTGATAATCTGCAAGATTCACTCGCCGGGTCAGACATTCTGGAAGAGATCGGACTCGGGCGAACTCACTCGAGTGATGCATCACGAGATATTTCGTGTGGTCCGAAACTAGGACTAGCATTTGGTTCTTGCACTGTCGGCAGACTTTGACTTCTGTTTGGCTCCGTCGAAGTATGCCTGCAACGTTTCCTTGCTTAGTTCTAACGCTACCTTGTTCAAATTGATCCCTAATCCGGGGCTCGCTGCCAGACTCATCTCAACGTGAGATAGGTTACATGCTTACTTGACATAATCGGCAAGCCTCTTGAGCTCGCTCTCCAACTCAGAGACACGTTTGGTCTATTGATAATGAGCATCGTTGAGCCGTGGGAGCGCAAGTAGAATCAAGTTGGTTTCATACAAGACGGCTTTTTGAATCCGGTACTCGCTCCTCTACTTCGACACCTCCATACGTGCACGTCTGACCAAGTCGCATGCAGAACGAACACACGGGTTTCTCGCCCGGGCATCTTGTCTTCTTTCGACTGTAATTCGATTTATCAAAGTTAACCACGCGTTTTTCCAAATCCAGATCCGTAACATACCGACAGGTTAAGCAAGCCTGGCGTGCTCGCTTTGCGGGCCGCGCTTCTGAGAGCGACATTGCGTGAACCCGTTTATCGTGGAGCAGCTACACAAACGATGGGATTGACCGTCTCGAGTGAGTATTCAGCATGAACAGAGAGCGGATGCAGCATTGTTCGGTGCCGGGCTGCGCGGCTCGACAGTCGAGTGGGGACGGAAAAGGCCGGGAGATTCCGTGGGTAAATCATTTGAAGTTATGTGTGCCTGAGTTGTAAGGCACCAACAATCGTCTGCTCAAGTGGGAAGAGAAATTACACCATAATGTGTAAGAGACATTGGTAGTTAGGTAGTAAGTGGCATCAGTCATCAAAAATTTGGTATTCAAAAAGCTTCCGTACGGCGACTATCTTCCATAATTCCACCGGGTCCAAAATCAAGAATAACGTATGCTTGAAGAGTACCCTCGCAGAGTTTAGTGGGGATTATACACCATTCTCTGGATCTTTACAAAGACTTCCCTTAGCAGTATCATCGGGGGCCGAGCCACGAACAGACTGACCGGCAGTGGTTATCTTGATATAATCCATCCATCGCTGTGCGCGAGTCTGCATGACCTCAGCCGTTGGCCGACGGATTGTCTTGATTCCCGTCTGCAACTCCTGATCCAGCTGGTCAACATAGTCGTACGCATCTCGGCCGGCTATCGCTCGCCGTTCAAAGGAGCCTTGGTCCCCAAGCTTCCATTCCGGAATTGGCTTCTTGGAGCCTGCGATATTGTACTCAAAATATGGTTTCCCCTCTTTGTCGATCTGCTTTCGCCGGTCGTATTTGAATTTGGGCCCCACAGGCGAGTATTTCGGATGGGACGAATCTTGCTTGTTTCTCTTCTCACACCACTGAACTCGGTAGTGCACTACCGGGTGGATGAATTCGCATGTGTCGACCAATGTCTCATCCTTATCCTTGACATAATCGCCCGGTGTGCGTCGGTTCTGGCCGTTGGCCCAGTATGACATGGTGTAGCTGTCTGTCAGGATGCCCGTACCCCATCCGATTTCGTAAAGCTTCTGTGCTGCAGATTTCTGGAACAATCCTAACGGAGCTTTAACAATGTCCATGGCAGTGTCAGCGAGGGACCTGCTCCATTTGGCCAAGGCGTTAGAGCCAGGGCTGTTGAGTTTTGCCTCCGAAGCCTGGATCATCTCACTGAGCTTCTGAATGTGCTGCTCGCTTTTCGTTTGTTCATCGACGACGACTTGCTGGTTGACTGATACATGGTCTTTGATCTGATCCAACATCCAGGCGAAAGCGATGTTTGCCATGTTTTCCATATCACCCTCGTCAGCGAGAGTCGCTGGGTCTCCCCCGCCGATGTTGATGTGGTAGCCCGGCAGCCAGACTTGTCGCAAAACTGGATCCTGCTCTAATCGGTTCTGATATCTCACTCGTTTTCGAGAGGCTCGATTCCAAGCTCTCGCCGCTTCATTGAGCTTTCTGGCTTGAGCATTGACTTGTTCATCGGTCGCTGTGCCGGTCTTTTTCAAGTTGATTGCATAGTGTAATATATTCCAGTACTCTCGTTCGGCTGCTTTTTCTGCTTCAACCAGGGCGTCCACCTGCTCTCTGGTGGCTGTCTTTTTGTCCAGGTACCAAAGAGTCGGCGAGAACGCGTTTCTCCGTTCATCCAACGCGAGCACTTGGAAGGCGTTGGGAATGTCTGCGCAAGGTGGTATTGTCGTCAGCTCATAGTCGTGTGGAACAACATTCCAACAGATTTGTCTCAGACATGGGCGTTGGACGGCTTCGTGAACTTACTCGGTGACAAGCCAACATTGTGCCAGCCTTCGCTGTTGGGGAACTTGATACCGAACACTTCGGGCATTCCCAGAGAGCCCACGGTATCAAAGACACCGACCACGTCCACCTCCCGCGACCCTTCCTGAGCCCAATCTCCCTGCGGCACGCTTTCATACACAAAGTCACGGTGGTCAGCGTCACCGGCACCTTGATGCTCGTCGGCTTTGCCCCACATCCAGTCAAACCAGAGATCACTTCTGTGAAACCGTTTCCCGTGCTTGACCTTCTTGTACACAGCCCAAAGATCCGGAAATCTATTTAGATCGGCCTGTTGACAGACGCCAACATCCGAGATGAGCCCGGCAATCGTTCTCGCGGTGTACGCGCCCCGCGAGAAGCCGAAGCACATGATTTTGTCCCCGGGGTTGTAGTTGAGAACGACAAAGTTGTAGGCTTCGATGACATTGGTCTCCATGCCTTGACCGGTTAATCCCTCGAGGGCATCTCCGAGTGCGAGAGAGTTGGTGCCGATGCCGGAGTCATACCAGACAACTTGCTGCCATTCCTTGCCATCCTTGTCTGTTCCAACTGGATTCAACGAGCGGCACAGACGAGTGACGTTAGAAGGCACGGTCTTCTGCCCCGAGACTGCAGACTGCCAGGTTCCGTCGCAGCAAATGATGATTCGCTTGCGTGCTGGCTTCAGGTCCTTGTCGTGGTTCTCTTGAACAGGCTGACCGGCCGGGAGATCATTGAGTCCGGTCGCGTCCATAACTTTCGATATATAAGCCGCGAAGCTGGAACTGGACAAAGAATGAAACGGTCAACCCTTCGCAGGCTAAACGCACGTCAAGTGGGTGTACGATACCTATCATAACCGCACACTCCGGGTGCAACAGCACCAATTTATATCTCTACATGACACCAGCATGGCCTTCAGCTTCTGACTTGGGGCTGAACTCCTGGGGCTGACGGTCACTGGCTCGTTCCATCAGGCTTTGTCGAGTCTTGCATAAAGCTACAGGGCGCTTGACCAGATTCGGATCGCGTGGATGAAGGCCACGTTCTCATAGGTGGGCACTCAGGGTGCACCTCACCCTATCGAGGCTTACTTGACTCTTCATGCAGAGGCCCCGATGACCTTGTAACTTGTTCGGCCGATCTACGATCAGCCATAAGTTGGTGATAGGCGGCGAGGACATGGGAGGTCCAACTGACTTTTCAGCTAGCCGTCTGCCATCATGAACGGGGAACCGTCCATGTCCCGCCTGGTGGTAGATGGGCGTCGGTCTGTGCGTCGCGTCGCGTCGCACATCGCATGGCTGGCTGCAGAGAAATTGCGCATCGACCGCTCGGAAAAAGCAACAAAGGAGCCTTCTTCGATTTTCAAAGGTCGGTCTCAACGAGGTCACCAAAGTGTAGTAGTTAGCATGAAGTTCTGTGACGCCCATCAAGTGCGAGGCGGCCAGTGCCCCTACCTCAGTCACGCCAAGACGGTCAGGTCAGCCTCGGCGATCGGTAAACCTAAATGCAGATCGGGCGCCCGGGGGTAGTGTCCACTGTCAATATGTTCACGCTACTCTGATCAAACTGCAGTCAACACGACTTCCTGAGCCAGCTCCACCACAGCTGAAGAACCTTGTCTGGTTAGTTGCACGGGAAAAGAACTCCAGGCCTACAAAGTCTCATAAAAGACAAATATAAGGGCCAATCAAAGTCCACAGGAGAGATCGCATCAGTTCCTCAGCAACATCCAAAGTGTCACGTCGGCAATTGGGCTTCAAACCGTGGTACACGCCCGTGAGGATCTTGCGCTCTGTCCTCTTTTCCCCACGGCCCACCTGCTCCCGTACCCTCGTAGCTGAAGAGTGGATTGTTGTACGACGCTGGTGGCTTGCATTGGCATCAGCCCGATCTCGTTCACCACTTCAGCTGGGGCTTCTAAAACAGAGCTGGTCGTTGATTGACTTGAGATTCCATTTGGCGATCCACCTTCTTTTTTTCATGGAAGACGGTCCTCATGCTTCTGCTTTTGTCAACTTGTGTTTCCCTGACACAAGGTCGCAATAGGGTGCGGATATCCGCAAATGCTTGAGCAGCTACAGTATGCGCATTCAGATTGGAATCGAGACGGCCGATCGGGTGAATGTGTGATTCTTAAGATGTTCGTGTGACCAACCTTAATTAGCGACTTGCATCGGATCCGACTCCGTCGTGAACGAGAATTTGATGGCTGGCGCAGCTACACGTCAAATGAGGCAAGCCAAATTCGAAGCCCCTCGGGTCTTTTGGACATTCAAACCGAGACGGACGACCAGGCCAGACCACGGCCGTAGAGAGAATAAGTCAAGGAGATTCTCAGTCGAGGAAGGCTTTTGAAATTAAGTTTATTATCATATTTTATGAGATTGGCTGATGCCCGTTCCCAGGCTCAGAAACGGTGGTCGCGTGGCGAGACAGTGCTGACGAATGTCTTCTGTACCGTCACTCCTCTGCCCTCTATATCTGGGCGCGGCTGGGTGTAAAGGGCCTCTTGGCTGCTGTTCATATAGTGCGGGCCACCCTGTTGCTGTAGGGAGACTGCTTGCACAAAATGACCGTCACGATCGGGGTTCAAATCCGGTCGCCAGTAGCTCGGATCGTTGGAATTTTGCAGGTTGATGGAACCTTTGGCGCGGGAACTCTTCACACTCGATAAGGGATATCTGCCACCGATGGAAGGTTTCTGGCTGTATACGCTGGCATCGCCGAGAAGCCACCGGAATAGCGGGCGAAGAGTGATCAGACTACCAGCGGTGATTCCGAGGCCTGTTTCGACGATAGACCAGATTGCGATTGAGATGGTACTGCCTTTACGGAAAGAAGGAAAAGAGATCAGCATGATGGCAGTCAATGGACCATTCGGGTGGCTAGGCTTTTCCATCGTCTAATCCTGGCGATGAGGCTACCTTTTAAGGAGCTGCAGACGGGGCGGGGAACGGGAACCACTCACTCAGGAAATCAGTATCTCTGTAATGAGGCAGAGTCGGGAATCGAACAAGAACGGCCACACTCGCACTGTCACCAAGTCAGCACTGCAATTCTTTGATCAGAAGACGGGGTTCCCACGCACACTGCACCAAGACTCAGAATTCCAGCCACCGCCACCTTGGTCTTGAAATTCATTTGCAGTTTCCAAACGAGGAAAATGGGCAGGAAGCCGAGACTGAAATCGCAGATGATGGTGCAAGAACTGTAGATCCATGCGACGACGAGAAGAACTTCAACCGAGGTACAAGTGCCGGTGGTGCTCAGGACGTGAACTCGAGTCCAAAAGTAGGAGACGGGTTTGCAGTCGAAAAGCAGAATCATCCAGAACGCAAACATGATAGTCATAGCTAATACGATGATGAACCAAAGGAAGATGCGGTGGTTTCGCTTGATGGTCAGACGTAAGAGGGCAATGGCGATGGAGACCTTCGTGATCGCGGATGCCCATAGATAGAGTTGCTGGCCAAGCCACCACCACTGTGTGTACGAGTATCATTGTCAGCTGAACTCACTCTCTGCTTTCCAACCGGCCTCGGGCATCGGGCTTGACTTACAAACATCGCTTCTTGAATTGCATCCAGATCCAGGGCCCCGTTTGGTAACGCGAACTCTTTGCTCGGGTGTCCAATTCCCTTTCGGGTCCCAATCATGACAACAACATTCAGTGCTGCAAAGAGGATCTAGGCGAGATTGTTAGTCGAAAGCCCTCGGAACTTGGATCCTCTTGTTCAAGTCCATCCATACCATAGCCAACACCATGAAACCGTCATCCCACCCAAAAGCCTTGACCAAGCGCACTCGCACAAATACCCGTAGAATAACAGTCACCAAAGAACACCCCGTGAATACGGCGGAAACAACAAAGTTGACGAGACTCGGGGCCCTCCAGGGGCAAAGTGAATCCCAGACCCATGACGCAAAGAAAAGGTAGGTGTGTGTGTGTGTGTGTGTGTGTGTGTGTTCAAGGGTGTATGTGGAAGCCCACTCGATGATGGATAGTCGCCAGCTCCCAGAGCTAGTGACGAACGAAACGCGGAAGAATTCGTCAAGGTCGCGCAGTCATCCGAGCGTCCAGCCGTGCTTATAAGATCCTTCGAGGCAAATGAATCGCTCGAAAATGAATATGCACTCTGCCCCTCTCCCGTCGAGGATGTTTCAAAAACGATCAAATCCGAGAGATGTGCATGATATTGTGAGAATCGTTTGTTTCCCGAGTCTTTCGAGTCCACGGCTTGGGGCCGCCGGATGTGCTACGAAACTTGAGAAAGCCTGAAACCATCGACATTGGTCAAGCGGGGATGGGGAGGGGGAGTGGAGAGAGGACGGGAGAGGATATTTGGTTCGAGCGAGACCCAATTTCGAACCTATTTCTGCCGTCGAAGGTGGAGTCTCCAAAATCTGGGAAAGATTGTGAATTTGCTCAACTTGGGACCATCTGGGCCGCGAGTCAACGGACTCATCGCCATTTTAAGCCCTCTTCGGCAAATCCATACCCAGCTAGGCTCCTGCGCGGATCGAGGACCGGATGCCAAAAAGGGGAGGGGGGAAGGAGCAATCGTTCGAAAGACAGCTCCATTGTCAACTCGGCATCTTGAGCTAGGAATCTCTGACCCGTATGGTTCAGGATCATCTCTCCTTGCCCAGGCATGCCTAAATACCCGACAACCACGCTTGCCTGGACAGCCGCGCGGAAGTCCCCGGTAGGGACTCGGGTTGTTCGCAGACCCCAAATTATCGAGGACCAGAGTCGCGATGCGGACGACTCTAATCTCAGACGCGGAAGGTTCCCACTAACCCCGATGCTCAAGTGGGCTCTGGATCCAATGAGCAATGCATGCAGGGCTCCACACTTGACGATGATCGGGATCTGAATCGACAGTCTCGCCGCCAGGTGAGATTCACGTTTTGTAGTTCGCAGCAAACCTTTGCTAGCACACAACGTGGCCATCCGGGTTCAAAAGCCTCGGCCGTGCGTCGAGCCCACTTCGCCAACATCCTTATTGGAAGTGTCTCAGTCTTTCAGTCAGTTGCCGCATCTTCGGCGCCCGTCGTGGGCCGCTTCCGGCGCACCAAGTCTCGGCCAGGCCAACTTAGATGGACACTAGTCGAGATGGGGTGAACAGGATTGGGGTTCAAGGGTGTCGGGGCGAACGCGAGTCATTGCATGGGTATCGCACGAGAGGCCAATCATCGTGGTCTCGTGACGACTTTCGGCTATCTTCCGCCCGGCAATTCCAACGCGATGATCCCTTTCTCAAGCCATCCTTAAACTCTCTGCTCCTTCGTAGTAACCTGGTTGGAGATCTGCCTGCTTGTCCGATGATCGTTTACAGCCCACAGCCTCATCGTTCAACACGCCCATCGGTTCAGGCCGCTCAAGTGATGATGGCTTTTGTTCTTTTTTTTTTTTTTCATCATCTTTGGTCAGTCACTTTGGGTCATCACTGACGCGCAATGGAATCCATTTCAATCAGCTGCAGCAATGTGAGCTCTACCTTTCATGGGGCCTTGATCCTCGTGGACAATTGGAGCAATAAGATTAAGTAGCAATGAGCTAGCATGATTGCGCAATGTCCGCTTAGGGTAGTCGCTCGACCGAGAAGATCTCTTTGCAAGTTTGTAGTCTGTCGTCGTACAATGCTGTCCATACTCCATACTCCATACTCCATACAACACCTACTTACTACTGTTTACTCTTGGGAACCCACGGCCACGGGCACGGGACTGGACGTTTCGGGAAGGTGATAATAAGCCCTATCGCGACTAAGCAGCTACTTGGAGGTACCCAACTCGAGATGAAAATAAGCACAATCTATGGATCAGTACCAGGTCGCTGCGCAGGTGACAAACATTGAGAGCTGAGCCCACTCACTATCAAACTATCAAACTATCAAATTGAACTCTACTTGCATCGCCAACAATTGCATCTCTTGACCACAATGTCTGCCGGCAGACCCACACGATCCATAATGTACAATTGGGGTACCTTCGGCCCTCCCCCCCCTCACTCCGGCAGTTGGATCCCTCTGATGTATTTGTTCGTCAGCACCACGCTGAGTTTAGATTCTCTTCACGCATGTGCAGCCCTCCTCATCAATCAGGCTCTGAAAATATTCGCAAAAAATGCCAGTGTGGAAGAACTCCTTCCTTGGCATCTCTCTTCCATTACTGTGCAGTGTGCAGGACCTCCGGCCTCACACTGACAACAGAATCGACGACTCTGAAAATTGAGATATCCGCTTTCAGCATGAAGACCGAGCCCTGGCGAGTCCGAGCACGGAATTTTGAATCAAGGGTAGACCCTAGCTGGGGCTCTTGTCACAATCTTGATCGCAGAGCATGCAATGGCTGGTGCCAAGTGGGGAGAAATTTGGAGATCGAACAAGATGTTCTCCATATCTGCTGCAGAAACCGTTTACAAAGCACCTATCCTGCCGGCCCGGTGGGACTGGGAAAAGGGGGCCAATGCAAGAAGGTTTTGTTTATAGATCATAACTTCATACACATGTACCACCGGACTGGTTCGGACTGGGAGTCAGTGGTGTCGGAACACAGGGCTGCCAAGTGCCCAGTGCTTATTCAGTTCCAGTATGCCACCATTGCGGAGTCCTGACATCGTGGGGATTGTTTTGCTCTGGTGTTCCATCGTGGTCAGCATCGGTGCTTCAAGTGTCGAGTATGGCAAGATCGATGGCGGACTGTACTTTCCGGACTGTACTTTCCAGGGTTTGCTGAGCGGAGGGCAACGGGGTGCCCGCCGCTTTTGCACGGCTTCTTTTCCTCCAACTTTCGCCTCAAAAGCCTTGCGAATCTCTGCTTCAGTGGTGTTGACCCATGGGCCATTTAAGCGGGATATTGGGTTCCGGAAATTCGGCCACTAATGCACTCGCCCGACTTGGGTATTGGACTGTCGCTGGTCGAGTTTACTCTTGATCACAGAGTCAACCCCCTCCGACAGTGGGAAATATACTGATCTACATGATCGTCCATATCAGATCTAATCGACAGTCTATTTGACAAGAAATAGAAGAAGAGACACCAACAACAAGGTCTATGAAACAACGCAACAGCCGAAATATCAAGCTATGACGAAAACCTCAAAGCTCAAAGCTCAAAGCTCAAGCTCTGCTGGGCACGGTCCCATTGCACAGGCTTTGGACTCTCGGTTCACGCTAGAGAAGGGAGACAAGGCTGAAACTAGACGGTGACAGTCGAGACTGAGTGTACCTCCGTCCCCTTCGCCCTCTTCTTCGCCCTCTTCATCGACCTTGGCGGTGCTTTTGAATTCGAAGCAGTCCCATCAACAAAGCTGCCATCTTCACAAACAGGCCATTCACCGGGCCTCAGCCAGAACTCATCATGAGAGACATGACCCTTGATCTTGCCTTCAAAATCTAGCGGATCGGCAAAGGTCGCCCACCGGCTCCGACGATCCGTCCACCCAGGCCCCATTCGCTCGGTGTGGCCGTCCAGGTCCAGATATCGAGTCTTGTCTCGCGGAAGGTATTGGCCCGGGTGTAGAATATTAAGCCAATAAGTGAAGATCAACATCGGCCCCAGCTCAAAAGCGAACAAGTACCACTCATTGCTCACAATGGGGCTACAGTTGTTTGTGCAGTCAATATTGCCGAATCGATCAAAGGCCTCCACAGTCCGGAAGATGCATCGGAGCAGCACAAAAAAGGACGTGCCGTAGAGGGTCCTGCACACAATCTTGACATTGCGGGGAGTATGCCGCGTTTTGGCTACGCGGCGATGAATGATTGCGACGGTGAGAATGACCATGCTTTCGACCACAATTTGAAGAATGAGTCCTGTGGTGATCAGGTCACCTCCAGACTTGAAGAGCTTTAAGTTGGACTGTGCTGCCGCTAGCCTGGCGGCGCCAGCAGCAGTGACGGTTTCCACTATCACGCCCAAGTACACGAAGACGATGAGGACGCGATCGGGATGGAAGACTGCGTGCATAGGAAGGTAGTTCATCAATCGACCAACCATGTTGTAGGCAGCCGCAGAGTAGATCGGAGGTGCCAGGTAGATAAAGATCGTCTGGGCGATATAAAGGCCCTTATTTCCAGTTTGAAAGCTGCTGATGCAGCGAAGAATCCAGCCGATCGTGAACACCAAACTCCCCAAAAATAGCCAGAACGTGACTCTCCAAAAGCGGTAGTGACTATTGTTCTGTGTTAAATTTGCGTCGAACAACAAGCGAAATGTCATCGAAAGGGAGTCTTGTAAAAGTTCAAGATGCACACTTACAAATTCTGCCATATATGCACTACTAAACTGAGGCCCACGACACCTGCAAAGACAGCGGGTGCAACATGGCTGGGATCATATCGATAGTAGCTGATGACTGTGTCGGACATCTCTCCTCCAGCTGCTGTATTGGATACAAGGGAGAAGACTTCAATGGGTGAGATTCTTTTGGCGTACGGATCTCATCTTTAAATGAAATTTCTCGTTTTGAAAAGCTCCCTTGGGAGCTTCAGGTCCCCTGATGAACATGATCTCATCGGGAGGTCGGGGCGCAGTCGAGCGCTACATGAAGCCGAAAATGAGCAAGTCAAGAGTTAAAGTTGTGTGGGTGACTGGGTGCCCCCCTTGGCTCAAGCTGGCTGGCTCAGCCCTCCCGCGTTGGGGTGGCGCGGCTCATCTGTCAATCTGAGCTCGTGCGAGTCGTGCCTGAATCTGAAAGTTTACGCCATGTCAGCTGGAATACCAAATTGGACGGACAAAATCTAATGGACGAGGACGTTCTATTAGTAAAGCCCGGCAAACTTCAACTTGGCTGAGAACAGCGACCACTGAGCAGTGATTAGGAGGTAGGAAAGATGGGGTAACTCTTGGCGAAGTCGACAGACGTACCGTAGTTATACTCACTGCTCTCCACACTTACTTCACGAGAGATCGCGAGGAGCTGAATCTGGCTTGCTTATCACCTTTTTGGTTGGCTTGGCTGATGCCGGCCAGGGGCTCATGGCTCAACAAACTGTACTTGGCTAGGCAGGTGATCCTAGGCACTACGACATTAGGTTGATGGATCCACATATCTCGACATGGAGTGAAATGGGATTGTATAAATCTCCGCAGGAGATCCTCAGATTGGCGCGACTCTTCCAAGCCGCACCCACTCTCTGCTTCCCTTGCCTACTTGGTATGTACAAGTATGTTTGAAACGGCCTCTTCAAATTGCCTCGTATTTCCACCACTGAGTTACTAACCACTTATTAGAGGGGAATTGCGCAGATCAATCATCGAACTCCAGTTTACTACGGTGCACTTGTAGTGTACGAACTACGAACTACGAAGGGTACAAACCTTCCCCATGTTTGGCCCCCACAAGTACCGTGCAAACAGGTCAAACTGACAGCGCCATACCACATGAGACACCCAATCAACATACATCATCTCCATCGCGGCGGCACATCCAGCCTAATCCAGTTAGACCGAACTGTCTCCTCCCGCTGGGCGTAATCGACCAAGCCACAGCTTACTTTTCCACCTCGTCACTCTTCACTCTTGCACAACCTTTAATTCAGCGGGGTCCCCTTCGGCGGCCCATTTAACTCAAAATGGACACTTGGACAACAGAGCGTTCAAACTCGTTTGCTGAAGCATATCGCGTATCGAAGTCGGTCTCATCCATCATTCTCTCGCACGGTGGGCACTTGCTCGATCACTAGTGACACCGTTGCTCCACCTTTCCAGCGCACATCGTGGGTGTCCCCGGATCAAATTGGGACATAGGTCGGGTCAAGTATGCCGGGAGTACCATCAGGTAGGGCATGCGATGCCTGCCGGAGGCAGAAAAAAAAGGTAATTCTTATCTTGCATCACGCGGACGGTATCTATATAGCATCAATCGATGAAGTCATTGACACACCCATGTTCACCTAGTGTGACGAGGCGCAGCCTACCTGTGGCCGTTGTCTCCGCCTAAAGATTGGATGCCAAGGTTCGGGCAAAAGGCGCTTCAAATTTCAAGAAGAGAGACCATTTGAGAAAAGAGTCATCGCTGGACAACAGGTCAAAGCTTTGCAAACAGCCCCGTACTCAGCGTCGACTCATCTGATTGGTACTTCCCGAGCACATGAGAAATCAGGTGCCTGCTGGCTCATCCCCAGCGATCTGACTGGCAGTACGAAGCAATTAGCATCTGCCTTCCTCCAGACGATCGATTACACCACCGATTTTCGGTGGAACATCGGCTGGAGCTTTGGCCCATATCTCTATGAAATTCCCCGCCGCCTCGGCTCGAATGAGGCCCTGGATCGTGCCGCCGAAGCACTGACCAGTGCTCATGCCGATCTTTGCAGTCGCCAGCATGGGAAAATGCACACGCTGGCCAAATATACAGCCGCATTACGCACACTTCGAGCGTACTTGGAAGACCCAGTCCATGCGCATCAGACCAACACGTTCGCCGCGGTGATGCTTCTGCTGATCTGCCACACAATGATTGGACAACGCAACAGTGTGGAATGGTCTGGACATGCAAACGGTGCGATTCAAATTCTCAAGGCTCGTAGGAATTTGAGGCCTCGAGATCCCTTTGAAGCTCAGATGCAGCTTTCTCTGTCGGGAACTGTGGTAAGTCGATGAACCTAACGATGTTTGTTGCCTGTTTCTACGATTTTCGTGCCAGAATCAGGCCCTGCATTCATTGGTCAAGTCATCTAGTTGACAATTTCATCGACCGCTTCCCTGGGGCTGACAAATTTGGAGATAGCTATTTGAAAACATCTTCAACAAAAAAATGGAGCTCGGCCAAGAAGAGTGGGAAGCACTCATCATCCTCAAATACGACGTCAATAAGCCCGAAGGACGCCTGCTTCTGGCCCTCTCACGAGTCAAAGACGTCATGTCGCGTGCTAAATTACTTCTCTACACGGGAACCGATACCACTGGTATCCTCGACGAGCTATGGGCACTCTACATCGCCTGCAAACTAGATGTCGATCAACTCAAGCAGGCCAGAATGATCACAGATCTATCCGCAGCTCAGCATATCCCGCCCGGTCCACGCAGGGATTGGCTCGTGCGTCTTCTCACGGTATACAAGGACCGGCTCTACGGTCTCGGGATCGTAATCACCCTAATCTTCAATAGCATGCTCCAGTCCCTCGATCTTCACACGGCCTCGCTACAAGCCGATGCATATGCCTTCACGGAGGAGATTCTCTTGCTCAATGACGAATCAGAGTGCCTGCGCCCCGTTGGATCGGGATACATGATCCTCTGCTTGACAGTAGCATGGGTGGCGACTACCGATCTCGTGCAGCGGGAGACGTTGACCAGATGGCTCTATGAGTATCAGCATGATTTCAATTTCTCGCAGTCGGTTTCTTTGCTCAAGGACTTGAAGCGGAATTCGGATCATTTGAGATTAGGCGTTGAGACCAGTCTGTCGAACATTGTAGATTCAACTTGGAATGAACTCACAGTGGGGTCATGATTGTACATAGACTGAGATGTCTGTCTAGGTACTCTCCAGGCGAGAGACGGGACACCCTTGTCTTGAATCAGGAATCCCCCCTCTATGGCCCAGGTTTGCCGCTTTTGTTCTGAGACTTTTTTTTTTCACAATTCATCGCCCAGGCACTAGTTGTTACCACAAAGACAGACACACTAGCAAACAGCACGCTTCCTTTCTACATCAAGAGTACACGGAGGCTGAGCACAAAGTCTTCATCTTGCGGCTCGAGACTCATATCCGTTGCCCAAATTTGCATCGAGTATTATCTACCCACATTCATCCTTCTCTGTTCTTCCGATGCAGGATCCGGGTTGACACGGAATTAAATTTCCTTCAACGAACAAGGCACGTCCATATCGATTCCACACCCGCTGATAGAAATGGTAACGAAGACAAAGGTTAGAAGCTCGGTTCTTGAAAGCGGGTTCGATTTTGCCGCGACAAGAAAAGTCGGGCAGTTGGAAGATCATGGATAGCTCTAACGTGCAAACCCCAGACGCTATGCGAGAAAGTAAGAAACATAAAAGTAGGAAACAAAAAGAGACAAAGAAGGAGCGAGACCACAGGAAGAGAGTGGGAGAACGAGAGAACATGCTTGGAACAGACAGACTATGTGGAGATGCGCGGAATGAGGGAAGAAACGAGGTACGGAGAGGAAGAGAGACAATAGAATGTTTTGACTGGGGGGCGGACGGGAACATCGAGGTTGATCCTCGGTTCACTCGAGATGGAAGAATGCCCCGTGACGTAGTGAAAGAGACGTCAAGGGGTGGAATGGATGGTGGGTGAGGGCTAATGCAGGTAACTAGAGTGACCTTGTATGGAATATGCAGTCTGGCGACTGCAAAGTAGAGTATAGCACATAATCTGGACAGAACACGTCGCAGCCTCCTGTCCAATCATCTGTACAGCCTCATCAATCCGCAGAGGGCGGCCCTCGAGAATATTACTGAGGTGAATCCAAGAGAGATCGAAGCATAAAGCAGTCTTGAGGGTGCATCAAGCGCGGTACACCTTCAGCGCCTGGGCCCCGTCCCCCACATGTCATCTTCTTCATCGTCATCAAGCTGACAATCATCTCCAAAAGATGAGTGACCATGCTGATAGGAGCCCGAGTTGTAGTGCTGGCCATTGTCATAACCTTGCTGGCTAGATCTTCCGCTGTTCTGATAGTGATCCTGCTGATCTTCCTCATAGTCATACATCGAATCACCGTATCCAGAGTCCCCGTACTGCTGCTGCTGCTGCTGCTGCTGCTGATGTTGCTGCTGCTGCTAGACGAAGCAAAACATTGTCAGTGATCGAAAATCGCAACTGTTCAATGTCTATGGCTCACTTACCTCCTGGTATCGTTGATATTGTTGATATTCTTCAGACTGTTCACGAGATTTCGTTGACCTTTGGGAGTTCGACGAGGCAACCATGTGAGGATGCATTTGCTGAACTTTCTCCAGATAGGAGTACATAAAGTTACTCAGCAGCACTTGAGAATAGAGGGCTCGTCGAGGATTGGCTAGCTTGATATGGGCCATGCGGTAGATAGCCCGCTCTTCCAGCATGGTAAACCGAGTCCAGGGGTAGTCGATATCAGGTCGTAGTTGACGGGCCGGTGGCTCCGGAGAGAGACCTCGGGACGAATTCTTGCGATGATGGCTCTCTCCGCTGTGCTTCTTGCGCCCACCGCCAAAAATGGATGAGAAAATACCATCTTTTTCCTTCTTGGAGTCACCAGATGCACGGCGTACACCATCCTTGCGCCGCTCATCCTCCAATTTGGGATCCAGGCGATCCAGAACAAGACTTTCTCTGCCTTTCGGGACATTTTCCGCGGCCGCTGGCACCTCGATTCGTGCAGGTGCCAGGGGCTTATCGTTTGACTTGGATCTGTTCTTCTTTGCATCACTTTCCTTCTCCTTCTTCTTCTCTTTCTCCTCGCTACCTCTTAACCAGTGCCAGCTGGATTTTCGACCTTCCGAGTCTTTCTTCGATTTCTTCCCTTCTGACTTGCGGTCTTCCGTTTTCCGTTCTTCCGTTACTGTGGGAATAAAGGAGAGACTGTCTGTTCTCGTGCTGTTGCCTGGTATCATCTGCGGCTGGTTGGCCAGCTCTTCAAGCTTATAGCTCGACTCTTTGCCCGAATGTCGGTTCAAAGGAGGCCGCTTGGCAGGTGCAGCATGGAGCACTGGAGAAGTTTTGCCAGGAAGAGGAGGATTGGTGTCGCGATCCGGGGACAACGGTGGCTGCGCAATTGGACTTAGCGGTGCCGGACTACTTTCAGGAGGCGGTGTTTCAACGATTGCAGGGATTTTGTGGTCAGACGTAGGAGTCACCGAGGTTGAGCGGCCGTTCGAGCTGATACCTGAATGCCATTGACGTGACTGAGAGGTTGCATCACTGCCAGCGGAACCAGGACGACCATACGATGAATCGTACTGGGAATGAGAGAACGACTGATCATGTCGATCAGTCTCTGAACCCCCAATAGACGAATTGAAGGTCGAACCAACGGGAGAGCTTGGTGCAGGTCCTGTGGCCTGAGACGAAATTGACGGCGATCGCATTGCCCGCTCGGCAGCAGACGTTGGATCGGTAGATGCGCGAGCGACTCCCGGGTCAGCCTGCTCATTCAATGGAGAGGCCACCGAGGAAGGCCGCGTTTGGGTCGATTCTGAGAGCGCCCTGCCAACACGTTTGGAATACGGGACCTTTTCACCCTTCTTCAAGCTCGCCTTTTTATACTGTGTCCGGGTCGATCGCCGCAGACTGTGGCCCGGCGGCGCGGGCGGTAGTATCGGCTGGTCTTCCTCGGCCACAATAGTCATGTTTTGAAGTCCCCGTACCACGGGGTCCTTGTCGTCCGGTGTGGTGTCGTCCACCAAAGTCTCCAGCTCTTGCAGATTTGGACTCAGCATGGCTGCCCGGCGACTAGATTGTGAACGTTGCCGCTCCAATCGCTCCGCGCCGTCTCGGTATCCGTTGGAATCCTCGATCTGTCGAGACAACATGGACCGTTTTCGACGAAGAGCGACATCGAATCCCTGGCCCTGGCCCTGAGCCGGAACGGTAGAGAACTCGCCCGACTTCCGCTTGATGATATCGGCTTTACTTTCGAGGAAACTTCGAAACTCCTGCGGCGCAAGCTCGGGATGCAAGCTAGCCGGGACCCAGAACAACCTGGACGCATCGTTCTCGTCGGCGGAGGGTGATGGAGGCAGAGAGGGTATCGACATATTGCCGCCAAAGGAGGGAAGGTCAGGGTCACCCGCTGCTGCGACGTCCATGGACATACGCCGAATGGCCGCCAAGTTGTTCAACTCCTGGACGACTGCAGCCGGGTTCGATTCATATTCGATATCGTTCAGAGGAAATGATGACCTCGCCGTTTCGGAGGGGGGACGGATCGAGTCGGGAGACCCGGGTTCGCTGTCTCGATCGAAGGATCGTTGGCCAACGAGCGGTGGCCGCAGATTGCCATTGGGTTGCGTGAACTGTTCCGCAGTGGGAGATCTATGCGTCGCTCTCGACGGCGATAACAAAGGATCGGAGCCGGCATCTTGCCGTTGGACAGTCGTGATAGACTCGCTGGAAGCGGAGGTTATATAGCTCAGTCGTCGGGACTCGTTCGGTTCGTAGTCATCGTCATACATATGACCAATCGCTTCTGTCACATGGTGGCTGGGGTCGCTGATTGACAGATGGGCGACATGGCCCTTGCGTGTCGTGTGTCCTCCACTAGCCTCAGGGGCCCTCGCGGTAGCCTAAAATAAATGAGAGGTATGAGCACAGTGACGGATAAATACGTGGTTACCACCTCGTAGACACTCATGACGACTTCTCGGATGAGTCTCTTCAAAGCGCATCCCAGAATGGTCCGGGTGCAGTACCGAGGGAGGGGGGAGAAGGTCAAAAATGGGCATAGCATGGAGGGTCTCGGCCCCGTCAAGCCGGCAAGGGGAGTGCAGATTCATTGGAAGCACTCACCTGCATGGGAACCAGCTGTAGGGTTACCGGAGAATACAAGCGCAGCCCTTGAAACTCAGAAGAAATGCGAAGCCCACAGAGAGTTGGGCGAGGGGAGAGAATCAGTGTACCACCTTCAGACCACGATGTAAGGTCATCGAAGCGGGGAGGCAGAAGGGACGGAACAGCAGAAAGCGTCGTGGACTCGGGAGACAGGAAGATGCGGGCTATCCGGTAGCTATCGCTCTCGTTGATTCATTTGACGGAATGTGCAAGAGATGATTTGGCCAGACGCGGGCAATCTCACAGGAGCAGGGGGTTTGGAGGTGGGCGCGGAGGATCCTGGAAAAGATGAAGCCAAGCTGATGAGGGGGGGGGTTCGGTGGAGGGACGCGGAGGTTTCGAATACGTTGGAGAACCGTCGGGCGGAGAGGGAGGCGCGAGGTGACGACCGAGGAGGGCTGAAGCACCTGACACAAGACGATTTGGTAGGAGGGAGTAGTAGTGCGTGCTGCAGTCACCACACTCTTTGATCACGGTTGATGTGAATGAGCGGAAGACCAAAAGCCAAGAATGACAAGAGAGAAGGCGCACGATGAACGCCTGTTCCCTTTTAGAAATTCGGGTTCAACAATGACTTGCACGAGGACACCGGGGGGCGGCTCCACTTTTGGGCTCATTTAAAGCACCGTTCGGGTCGACAGCACTTCCAGAGCCGTTGGAGCCCGGTAGCTTCTGCGTGATAGGCGCCTCAATCCGTGATGATTCCCACCCAGGTTGGCATGAACTAGGGCCCAAAGTCAAAATTTGATCCAAAGGCACAGCGTGATGAGCCTAGGCCGCGACTAGACTCCACGGCTCGCTTCTCGTCAGAGGGCCGATCCCATTGACAATCGAGTAACTATGGGGGGCCAGATCGGGGCACCACCGAGGATCTACACACGACCCTGTTTCGAGAACGTTTGAGGAGGCGTCCGTCCGTTCCACTTGCGTCGTTCTTCACAAGGCAAGCCCGCCGGTGAGCCACAGTGGTACCGACTGGTCAAGCATATACACGTCAGCCGTATGGACAAATATCCCGTCCAGAGCCAGAATACAAGATCGTGTGAGCCTGTGAGGAAGGTAAATCTCAGCAGGTCGACCCGGCCGGAGACACGTGCTTTAGGGCGTTGGTCTCCGCCCGACAACTGGCCAGTCCTGGTAGCCCATTCCAAGTGGTTCATCATCTTGTTGGACCGGTGACAACAAGGCCTATTCCAGATGCCTGGATCAGTAGACACGAGCGATCGCACTCTCACGTTCTCCACATCGTTCGCGTAAAGGAAAATCAGAGAACGTACCTCCTCTTGCTCTCAGAATGTAGACACGAGTTGCTCGAATGGATAGTTGGAGACTCATTCTGGACTGTCAGTCAGGCGTGACACGTGACACGAATTTCTGGTTTAAGGTTACGGCAATAGAAGACGAGTTCGTTGCTAATGGTCGGAACGAGAAAAGGACTCTCATGTCTATGGATGACATTGCAACAAAAGAAAATATCCGAGCAGAAGAGAAGCAGAGCACGCAAGTCACACGCCAAAGGACACCAGGCCAACAAAGAACACTAGGGCGAAGAAACGAAGGAACAGAAGACAGTCAATCGGAGGTATGAAGACGGAGGGTCTAGCACTCGACAAGACGATGGAAAATGCAGACTTCAGAATAGGGTCAATGACAGCGGAACGCCCCGTGTGTGAAGGAATAACTGGCGAGTCAAGCCTTGGTAAACTCATGTGGGAATGGGGAATCAGGTAGATACAGATACGGCCTATGATATCAGAGACATGTGGGAGACCCGCAGGCAGAGAGGGAAGGGAGTAATGAAAGTGAAGGCAGCAAGTCACAAGAGATGCCGCCTAGGAGGCATCGACGTAATTGCTGAAGTATCAAGTCAGTAGGGAGACCTTCGCTTGGATGATGGTGATGCCAGAGACACTTCGCTTACCTGGGGAAGATGCCAACGCGGTCGCCAATCCGACCCGTCCACCAGTCCTCGGCTTTGTCTGTCCGCTTGAGAATGGTGATAATGTCGCCCTTCTTGAACCCCAGATCTCCATCTTGGTCGGCATCAAAAGTGTAGAGTGCAACTGCTTGATCGGATCGGAGAGCAGCGCCCTGGCCTGGCTTTTGTCCGAAGACGGGCTTGGGCGCAGTCGGACGGGAGGGACGGCTATCGGAGTAATTGTATTCCTCGTTCCTGGGCGTCGTGTTGCTCCGACTGCGCCCATAGTCTCCGACGGAATCATTTGAGAATCCACGGGTGGTTGAAGAACGAGACACGCCGCCGACCGGTCGATCATACACGTCATCATTCCACGAGGTGTTCGCCCGGCGTGGCTTGTCACGATACTCGTAACCCCCAGCTTCATCAAACGTACTTGCGCGGTTGCGATTGCTGCGCGCGCCTTGACCGTAAGCTTCCCCCCGGCGACCTTCCCAAACCACATCGTCATGGCTGTCATCGTAGACAGGAATGTCGTTGTACATGGCATCTCCACCTGCGCGAGCGTTGCCCTGGAAAGCTCGAGAGTTGAGCACGCGCATCAGAGCGTCGGTAGACGGAGGGGGTCGCACGCTGCCGCTGAGCAGTTGAGCCGCGCTCACGCGGCTCTGGTACATCTTCTCGTTGGCGTCCTTGCGCTCCACAAGCATACTGCCCTCGAGACTGACACCCGCGAAGAGACCCTTGGTCTTGGAGTATGAGAAGACCGCCGCAACGCCCTTGGTGCTCGCTGCGCCCGCGGCCTCAGCATTACGACCGACAGGGCCGGCTGCCAGAGAAACATTTCCGCCGAGCGTCAAAGTGCCAAATTGTGAGAATGCCCGCACCGCCGAGGCATCGTTCAAGATGAAGACAAAGTCCGTCAGCTCAAACCCAATCTGACCACCCACACCAGCACCAGCGGTGACAATGGCGGATGGGGCGGACCAGGAGCCATCGGCGAGACGAGCAACAACGATACCGGAACCGAAGCGACCGGAACCAATGAAACCAGCTTTGAGGACTGTGAGAATCGCGAGACCCTGGACCGATATCGAAGAATGTCAGCCCACTGTGATCATCGTGTCTACCCCGCGCGAACTGCGCGAATTGCCTTACCTTTGCACCGGCCAGGATCTCTGGCGGAATGACTTTGTCGGGACCGAAGGCTTGTCTTGGGTCCACAAAGGAGGTCAAGATCTTGCTCGCCTTTTTACATTCGCCTATTCACGTGAAAGAAAGTTGAGGGTTAGCCGGCGGAGCCGTGCGGCGATTGCGGGGAAAGAGGCGTTTGGAGAGGGATCATGGCACATACTGCTCAAGGAGGAAGGCAGCGGATTGTGAATACCCATAGGCATTGTGACCGGATTCTTCGCGAACCGAGATTGAAGAAGAATTGAAGAGAGCAAAAAGGGGAGGTAAAGGAGGGGAAATTGAAGAGGCTGATGCTACCGGCAGACCAGCGTGGGCGCAGGCGATCGGGCAGTTAGTCAGACTCAGATGGGGCCGGATCAACAGCCCATCCATGTTCAAGTGGGCCTGCCCGGTAACGGCTGGCGCGGGATGGTTCGTGGCCAGAGGTACCTACAGCAGTACTACCAGTAGTAGTAATCGGAAGTACACTTCTACAGTCGTATATTCATGTAGCAGCCACCGAGGATGCTCTTGGGATGTTCATCCTTTTCCTCGATTTTGCTTCCAGTTGACCCATCTAGAGGAATCCTGAAGAAAACTAGACGAGAAGATATTGTGATATATTCAGTGGGCCGGCCTCGATGTTCTCGAACTGGTGATTTCAGGAATCAACCCATGTTTGCAAATTCTCCGATTCATGTGAAAATGGGCTCCACCTGATGAGCTGCTGTCCTTGAGTCGTCTCTTACCTTCAGCCGACGACGCGAGACTGTCCACCTATTTCGTACCTAAATTCCTGGTGTCAAAGGAATTACCCACATCAATTAGGGTATCCGAGTCATACCTGAGTACCTATCTTACTACCTGAGTGTTCGAGGTTGCGTTGAACAGTATGTATTCAATCGGGTAGGTAGATCGGAAGTATTCTTATTCCCATGACAGTGAAGCCCTCTGTACTAGTACCTTATCACCTCCAAGCTCGAGATTCTCGACAGCAAAGTCCCTACCGAGAGTTACTTGGCGTAAAAATTAGGTCATTCCTGAGTTTTGGGCAAGTTAAGTGACATTGTTCGAAAAGGTTTGGTGTTGAGGTTGACGCAACAAATTCCGTACCGTTGCAACATCTCGGCCGCTCAGCAGTCAGTCCCAAGACTGATGAAAGTAATCTGCCAATCGTGCTCTCTCCGATGAGGAAAATCAGTGGACCAAGTTTATGCTCGTCAATAATATAATGCCGTCTTGTCATTCGCGTACGAGCTTATCTTTGAAGTGGAAGGTAAGGCTCAAGTCAATGGAAGTCAAGAATCACCCGAGGACGCTTCACTGCAGTCTGCACCATATAGCCTTACGACCTCGAATTTACCCGCAGAAAGGAATCATTGACCGCCTTGATGCCTTAGACTGGAATTGTGAGGTCATGGGAAACTGGCACCGGATCCGCACCTCGGCTTGGCACCTGCAGCCCGCAACGACCTTCATTCGAGGTAACCATCGTCGTCAGCATCTGGTGGTTCCCCAGGAAATTGCATAACTCTGCCCGGTCCTCTCGATCCGGCAATTCCACATTGGTCATGTCAATATTCCGACTCTGAGCGGCAGAGACATATAGGCGCCATGTCGACCGGTAAGATGGTTCTGACCGAGCTCGCTGTGGACTCTCGCTAAGACCTCACAGTCCGCATCTGCGTATGTGGCGATGAAGGCACCGGCAAATCTAGCCTGATCACCTCTTTGGTGAAGGGTGTCTTCGTCACAAACAAGATCCAGCCTGTTCTCCCTCAGATCACCATTCCGCCGACTATCGGAACTCCCGAGAATGTCACCACGACCACCGTTGTTGATACATCCGCCGTACCACAAGAACGAAATAACTTGGGGCGGGAAATCCGCAAGTCAAATGTGATCCTGCTAGTCTACTCCGATCATTACAGCTACGAACGCATCGCGCTGTTCTGGATGCCATACTTCCGATCGCTAGGAGTCAACGTCCCAGTGGTCTTATGCGCAAACAAGTCGGATCTGGCAGGGAAGCAAAGCGAAGCCCAGGTCATTGAGGAGGAGATGCTCCCGCTCATGTCAGAATTCAAGGAGATCGACTCGTGCATTCGAACCAGCGCCAGGGAGCACCGAAACGTCAACGAGGCCTTCTTTGTGTGCCAGAAAGCAGTCACTCACCCAATCGCGCCTTTGTTTGATTCCAAAGAGGCTGCTCTCAAGCCAGCTGCAGTGTCGGCGCTACAGCGCATCTTCTATCTCAGTGACAAAGACCGTGATGGCTACCTTTCGGACAAAGAGCTAGGAGATTTCCAAACGCGATGTTTTGGAAAATCATTGAGCGACGAGGACTTGGCCCACATCAAAGAGACGATCGAGAAAGGATATCCCGACTCAGTGACCGAGTCAGGAATTGACTGCAGGGGATTTATCTATCTGAACAAGCTGTATGCCGAGAAGGGTCGCCATGAGACAGTCTGGATTATTCTGCGAGCCTTTCAATACACCGATAACCTTTCCCTTCAAGAAACTTTCCTCCATCCGCGTTTCGAAGTTCCCCCATTCGCATCGGCTGAGTTGTCCCCCGAAGGATACAGGTTCTTCGTCAACCTTTTCCTTCTGTCTGACAAGGACAATGATGGTGGATTGAATAGCACCGAGCTAGAATCGCTTTTCGCCCCAACTCCAGGTCTCCCCGCTTCATGGGCGGATGGCTCATTCCCTTCTTCCACTGTGCGCAACGAAGCGGGCCATGTCACTCTGCAAGGATGGCTCGCTCAGTGGAGCATGACGACTTTCATGTCTCCAAAAACCACTTTGGAATACCTAGCATACCTAGGGTTTGAATCTGCTGATCGCAGCAACCCTTCTACCACTGCCGCTTTGAAGGTGACAAGGCCCCGCAAGCGGCGGGGGCGTCCCGGGCGAGTCGGACGAAATGTGGTGCAATGCCATGTATTGGGCGCTCCCGGCTCAGGCAAGTCGGCACTGCTTGATGCGCTGCTCTCCCGAGGCTTCAGCACGACGTATCATCCGACCATCCAACCCCGGACAGCTGTCAACACGGTCGAGCTTCCTGGCGGCAAGCAGTGTTATCTCATCATGGATGAGCTGGGAGAATTGGAACCGGCCTTGCTCGAGAATCGAACCAAACTACTGGATCAATGCGATGTTATCGCTTACACGTACGACTCCTCAGATCCGGATTCTTTTGCTTACATTCCGGCCCTCCGAGCAAAATACCCTCATCTGGAAGACCTTCCCAGTGTCTTTATCGCGCTCAAAGCTGATTTAGACCGTACCACTCAGCGGGCTGAATACCAGCCACATGAGTATACTGCCATGCTGAAGATGCCCAGTCCACCCCTCCACGTAAGCGTCACCTGGTCCTCAATCCAGGAAGTTTTCGTGCACATCGCGGAGGCTGCTATGGAACCCAGCACCGCCTTTCCGCGCAGCGAGGAGGATATCGAAGGGAAATGGATGTCTTGGGGAATCGCACTTGGAGCCGTGGTCTGCGCGGGAGCTGCAGCTGTAGTGATATGGCGTCGAGTGAGTGGTGGCAGTGGGGCTTAATGGCTCGCTTTTTTTTAGGATTATATCTTCTTTAGAACCTCTAGAACCAATACCCAACTGATGATCTTCGATCTGGACTATTTCACTGCTCAGAAATCGGCTCACCGAGATAAACTCATACTTGCGTCGCTGCGTTTCCATTCCACGTGAGACATGTTCCTGAGTGTTTCCACAAAATGCCGTCGGGCACAGTTCGCCCGGCTTCCCCGCTATTGGCCCAGGCACGAGACTTGCCTTCTCCGCTCGACTTACCCCAGACGACGCCTCGCAGATCGCACCACGTTCAGCAGCTGTCTTCTCCGCGTCTCACCTGTCTTTTACCAGCGTCCTTCAACGTCAATCTCTGATAAAGTTGAAACTTGATCACCACATAATCTCACGATATCTCCTGTGTTTTGTGGTCCCAAGTGTCCTTCTTGTGCTCGACTCGATTAAGCGACTGGCGCCCCGTCACTTCGTCTAGTCCTGGTTTCAACAAAAGAACACACAGCTAGGCCAAAGCAACCATGTTGTAAGTCCTTCTCCCTGGTCTGATCTGTACCATGTTTCGATTCTTGGATGGGGAGGACTGCTGCGTCATGCTGTCATCCGTCTTTTCTCTCGACTGTGTGTCTGCGCGGGCTCCTCCCCGCCTGACTCCTCGTACTGGCGCAGTCGCATGCTCATTCTGGCGTGGACACACCTGTTCTGATTCTACCATCACTAATATCGAAATATGAACAGTGTTTTACCTCCACCCCCTCCGCGCTACACCATTCCCGTCGCGTATGCGGCGGGTGCTGCCAATGGCATGGCGGTTCCGGTTGTTGAAACGAACAACATCATCACCCATCCCGACGGCGGATGTCCACTGCAAGTTGGAGAAGGTCAGTGTTGGAGAGAAGTGGCCACGAAACATCGGGGCTGCAGGAGATTGGTCGACGGTGCCCGGCTAACGTTCTCGCCGTATTCGAAATAGGCACATACACCTTGAAAGATGACTTGCTCCTCGCAACGCCTCCACCTCATCCGTCCGAAGCGCCAATTATCAATCCTAATCCGCTAGCGACAGTTCCATCACCACCAACCTCTGGTGTCAAGCTCTCTCTCGTAAGCCTTGACCCACGGAGACAGCCACCTACGTTTTTAAAGTCGGGGATATCCGCTCCTCCGTTTGGCGATGGAAACGCTGCCCTTGCGGCACCTGCTGTGCCGGCAAAGGATGCCAATAAACGACGAAAGCCCAAGAACAACATCATCAAGAGTAGTTCTTCTTTCGTGTCAAGAGTGATTACCAACGAAACCTCCGCCAAGCGTCTTGCTGATCGCGACCCGAACGGCGTTTTCGCTTTTGCCAACATCAATCGCGCTTTCCAATGGCTCGACCTCAATTCTGCACAGAAGGAAGAACACTTGACGAAGGTTTTGTTCACCAAAGCACAAATGCTTTGCCACGACATCAACGAAGTGACAAAAACCTCGTCACATCTCGACATCGTGATGGGCTCTTCAGCAGGGGACATCATCTGGTACGAGCCCATGTCTCAGAAATATGCTCGGATCAACAAGAATGGAGTTATCAACAATTCACCTGTCACAAATATCAAATGGCTGCCTGGCTCCGAGAATCTGTTCCTGGCATCCCATGCTAATGGTGGGCTTGTGGTTTATGACAAGGAGAAAGAAGATGCTCTCTTCACCCCGGAGCACAACTTGTCTTCTGAAGCCGGCTACACTCGATTGCCGCTGGAGATCTTGAAATCGGTCAATTCAAAAAACCAGAAGACCAACCCGGTATCTTTCTGGAAATTGGCCAACCAGCGTATTTCTCACTTTTCCTTTTCGCCAGACCAGAGGCATTTGGCAGTCGTCTTGGATGACGGGTCACTTCGCCTGATGGATTACCTGCAAGAGGAGTAGGTTCTGATGTACGTCTTTGGATATTAAAACTATGCTAACATGTGACTAGAGTGTTGGACGTCTTCCGAAGCTACTACGGCGGCTTGATTTGCGTCTGCTGGTCTCCCGACGGAAAGTACATCGTGACTGGAGGACAAGACGATTTGGTCACGATCTGGTCCTTCCCTGAGCGAAGAATCATTGCACGGTGCCAAGGCCATAATTCGTGGGTGTCAGCCGTCGCTTTTGATCCATGGCGCTGTGACCAGAAGACGTACCGCTTCGGTAGCGTGGGAGACGATTGCCGGCTTTTGTTGTGGGATTTCAGCGTCGGCATGCTTCGCCGACCGCGGGCTGTGAGTGTTTATTTCTTATTTTTTTATCTGAACATCCTGATCATTTTGTCTAACCATGATTGGCATGCAGCACCACCAAAACTCCGCTCGCCATCGTAGTAGTCTCGTCGTGCCAAGCACGCAGACCTCGAACCGCCATCGAGCAGACAGTGGTGCGAATCGCATGCGATCTGACTCTGGACTTACCGAGAAATTCGAAGACGACCCAGATCCCCTGGCAAGTCACCCGGTCGAACCTCGGGCTCGGACTGCACTTTTACCTCCGATTATGGTGAGCTCATTTTCTACACAGAGATTGTAATACTTGAGACTGACAGTGACTCTAGTCTAAGGTCGTTGGGGAGGATCCTATCTGCTGGCTCGGTTTTCAAAACGATTGCATTATGACCTCTTCTCTAGAGGGTAAGTGGCTTCTGGTCCTGGAGAGTGAACTTGCGCGAGAAATCCTCTGCTCACATAAGACACACAGGCCATATCCGGACTTGGGAACGACCCAGCGATAGTGTAATCAAGGATCACCGCCTCTGATTCCATTTGAACACAGCGGGAAACCAAGCCCTTTACAATGTCACTATGGAGGCTTTCATGAACCTAGTCCCTTTCAGATACCCACTTGGTCAAGCAAATTCACTTTCGTAAAAAAAAACCTTTCCCCCCAATGAACACATAGCCCACCAAGATGACGTCTTGGTTGGGCCCGCAGTAAGCAAGAAGGTTTTTTCGTCACAGCTTGGAAGTCGCCGTCGACTGAGTCTCGAACTCGGTCGTGCACATGAGGAACGTGTCCCGGAGAGCCTTCTCACAATTAGCCTCGGCACAAAGTGTTGAAAGACCAAGCGAGGTCGCTCGCTGGTGGATGATCACTTACCGACAAACGATACTTCTCATTGATCTCCTGGTAATCATCTCCAGCCAGCATGTCACAGAAATGGCGAATAGAAGGATAGTGCACAATGGAAATCTCATTCCACCACTCCTGCTGCGGTCTGTCTGGCGATCCCCTCGAATCTTCCTTCTGCCCTGATCCCGGAGGCACCACATTACCCACCAATTTCGCATCGCCGCCACGCTTCCCTGCAACAGGGATGAATGCCTGTCCATACTTGTAGTAACTCTCTTTCCCGCCCGGATGATGGAAGTGTAAGAGATTGAGCATTGTGACTGGCCCGGGATGAGTCTCTGTCAACACCTTCATGAAGTCAAGTAGTTGTGGCGAGACTTCCAGATTCTGCGAGGACTCCTTGCTCCCTTCGCGGAGCACCTTGTCCAGCGATCCTGTGAGAGGAATGCCAGGAGCTTTTTGTTTAAGCTGCGCATCACGGGCTGGATAGGTCGCGATGAGCTTGGATGGAATCCCGGCTGTCACTTTATATTCCGCAGTAATGGCAGACCGCAGAGTAGCGGGGATTGGGTCGTTGGTGTCTTTTGGGTCATTTTTTGCCAGAAGAACGAGAAGATCCCAAGGTGTTTGGGTCAAGGTGTTCTGGTCGAGGATCGTTGGGTGGATCACCACGTGGCGGGGGCGCGACGCCACGATCACTTTGATGTCGGGACATTGCTTGAGTTGCTGGAGGAAGGACTGGGGGTCCGTAGACTTGGAGAAGGAGAGAAGATGAAGTGTTGCCACGGGCATTGTGGGATTGCTGGATTGAGGAATTTCTTGTGAAAGAATCTACTTTGGCAATCTCGACTAGATTGGATGTCTCAGGTGATTCTAGACAAGATAAGACAGATACAGTAGGGAAATCTGGTCGAGGCGAACAAGTGCCATATTTAACTTGGACAAGCTCGGGATTCTTGTGCGGAGAAGCTTTTGGGGAAACGGGATGGGCCGAGGTCTGGCGGCGTACTTGAGAAGTAGTGGAGGTTCGGCTAGTGGCTGCTCCGAACTATGATACGATGCTTGGAAATTTACATGCTGGACCATGAACGTTAGAGATAGATACGGCTTCACATACTACAGACTTCGTACAGGAAGTTGCGAATATGGATTCATCCATATGAGGATCCTCCAATCGCAAGCGTCATCCCTGCGACCTGGATGAAGCAGCGATCCAAAAGTCGGACTCTGGTTTAGCATCCCACTTATGGACTTATGGTGCCGAGTTGAAAGCGTACAAGATCAGAGCTAGCGGCTGAATTCTATTGCTGTCTCAAGCTGTGCAGGCCAACGGTGGCAACGAAGCTATTGTTTATTCACAGGCTGCCGAGTCTAGGCTCGTCGTCCCCGTTTTGTGAATACAAAGTGCGAGGCATGAGACGTGGAACTGAGTTTGAGTTTGACGAGCGCTGAGCAAGCGAATGTTGACAGATATGGTGAATAACGTAGTCTCATATAGAGCCAAATACCGCATTTCTAGCAGAAGGTATGTGGGAAGTTTGGGTATCAAACAGGGAAACTGAATCGTGTTGTGCTAGAGAGAGAAAAATTAAGGGAGAGTAATAGCATGCATTGTGTGATCGACTTTGGCCTTTCATGTGTCTTTAGCAAACGCCGAGACTCTTGGTTGTTTATCATTGCCCCACGACTGAGACCTCTGTCCAATTTCCCCTTGGGCAACCCTACTCTTTCCCAAAAATCTTCTCTTCCACCAAAACCTACCTTCAGATCCCGTTGACATCATACCTTCAAACAACTTGCCGATAGCTCAGTGTCGATAACAACAGCACGTGCAGATAAAGAACAACACTCACCGATAACGATAACAAAGTCGATAACGATAACAAGACGGATAACGAATGGAACGATGATTGGCTCCAGCTTGGGAATGTTCAACGACTTCGGCATAGAAGCGTTGAAGCATTTCCTATTCCTCACACTGGATGATGATGACAAGCAGAGCTCGGCTGTCCCTGACAAGCCACAGCTCCCAGAGGAGATTGCAGCCGCCCCGTTGTTCTCCGTCCCTGTCAGATCGAGTCTGGTGAAGCAATATGACCAAGCTGATGGCGACCAACTGGTGTTCCCTCAATATGCTCTGCTTGGCCACCGCAAAGATACTTTGGCAGCCGGACAGGTTTCGTTGGGCTCGTTAGTCTACTCAAACACCGCTGCTCCATGGTCTGCTTTTATTTGCGGCAGTCAGGGAAGCGGTAAAAGTCACTCGCTTTCTTGCCTCTTGGAGAACTGCCTCTTGCAAGACTCACCCGTTGGCAAGGTCTCTGCGCCGTTGGCGGGGATGGTTTTCCACTGCGACAACTTTTCCGCGCACTCAAGCTCCCAAATTTGCGAGGCGGCATATCTGTGCTCCGCTGGCATCCCCGTGCGTGTGTTGGTGTCCCCTACCAATTACCTGGCCATGAAGAATGCCTACTGCAATTTACCAGGCCTGGAAAATGTGGCAAAGAGAATCAGTGTTGAACCCATGTACCTTCCACTGAAAGGGCTCAACGTCGCCATGATGAAGGCACTGATGGGACTTAGCGACGAAACCAGCCCACCACTTTACATGGAGGTTAACAATAATTCCCCGTCCGGAAATCAGTCATCAAGTAGCCGGTTGTGCTAATCATTAACTCGCCTTAGTAGGTGGTGATGAAAATCTTGCGACAGATGGCTTTGGACAATCAGGGTCGAGATACCTTTGATTACAAGCGATTCCGCAAAAACCTCGACGCCGAGAGCTTCCTGAAAGGCCAAAATCTTCCTCTCCAGATGCGTTTGGATGTCCTGGAGTCCTTCTTCGAACCAGGTGCTGTCAAGCCTGAGAAAGGCCCCCGTAGACCCTCTCGCACTGATAAAATGTGGAATTTTGAGCCGGGTACTCTGACTATCGTCGACTTGAGCTGCCCCTTCGTTGGTCCCAATGACGCCTGTGCTCTTTTCAATATCTGCACCTCGCTTTTTCTAAAGGATCGACACAAGACAGGCAGAGTCCTGGCTCTCGATGAGGCCCACAAGGTTGGTGAACTCTCTTTGATCTTATGCACTGTCTAAGTTCAAGGGTTTTGACTGATGCTTTTTGAACTTGCTAGTTCTTGACAGAGACTTCCCCCGAGGCGGTAACTTTGACTAACACCCTGCTTTCCGTTGTGCGACAACAGCGACATTTGGCGACGCGCGTCCTGATCGCCACCCAGGAGCCTACAATCTCGCCCAAACTCCTTGATTTGTGCAACTTGACCATGATTCATCGTTTCACCTCGCCAGCCTGGTTCAAGTCGATCAAAGCTCATATTGCTGGAGCCTGCAACAAGGCCGAGGGACATGATACCACAGAGCGCGATTTGTTTGGACAGATCGTTCGACTCAAGACTGGCGAGGCTTTGGTGTTCTGTCCAACTGCATTGTTGGAGAGTTCGCAATCTCAACAGACAGATGGCCATCAAGGACCAGAGGTCATTCCACTTGGGGCTGGCTACGCTCATCTGCGCGTACGAAAGCGTGTCACTGCAGATGGTGGTCGAAGCATCATTACGCAGTAGAATGGCTGTGGGGGGATTCCAAAAAAAATTGTGATGTAGTCGACGTTGGATTCCATGTATGGAAAACACGATGAGTTCATGTACGTTTACCTTGTGAATGCTGATGAAATATTTTGTCAACTAGACGATCGAATACCAATTTCTTGTTGCAAGACGCTCCAATGCTTCCATTTATTCGTAGCGACTTTGATGATGGCGGTAGTACACGCGAATTCTGTGTTCTATGGTACTGGGTCTGCGCCAAAGACTACTGATTGAATATTCAACCATGCCTTGCTTACTTGATTCATTGTATGAGATGAAAGGTTTGGAAGGGAAATAATAGCCAAGGGTGCAATCCGATAATGCAGGGTCAGTACAAAGATATTGTAGGAAGATACCCAGTAGGTATGGGTGTGTCATTAGGATGCACATATCTGTCGTGGTCTCGCCTTCTGACTCTGGCTTCTGCTCACAGACTACCATTCCAATTCAGCAATAGAATCAGCTCCCTTCAAGCGTCAATGCTCCCGCAAGATGATATACTGGGAAAGACTTGAAACGTTCATTTCCCGACCATTAATACTAGATGGATTTAAGCTTGAACCGGCAATGCAGTACTGGGAGCAGAAGCTCAAGCGCCGGGCTGTCCATTCCAAAGTCATTATTTTTGGTCCCTTTCAGAAACCTTGAGTCTGGATCTGCTACCTAGTGCTGTCGCCTCCAAAGCTTGACATATTTGTATTTAGGTGCCAAGCCTATCCGTGAGTTGTTTGCTAGAACTGTCGTAAGCTGTCTTTCAGCTGACCTAGAAGTAGACGTTGGCCTTGAAAAAGTTCTGTGATCATCAACCACGCAAGTCAGAGCACAACACCGGTCGAATTCAAAATCTTGGTTCCATCTTTCAGCAGCAACACCTATCAAGCTCATCAGGAACGGCCACTTCCGTGAAAAGACACGTCGGCGTACCCACAGGCTTCTGTGTGAGAGATAGCTGACTGAAGCTAGACGTATGCTTCTATTGCGGCGTTCGAGAATTGCGTGCGTCACAAACAAGTTGTTCGCCATGAGCAATAGACTGATGCTTGACAAGGATGTTCCAGATTCTGTGAGGGCTACCAATGCACGACATATTTCAATTTGAGTCAGGGTACATAATCGGGCCCCTCCTGGGCAGATTTGAATGAAGAGTTAGAATCCTGCCTGGTCGTACGACAAAGGGGTGGGATTTACAGGACGGCAACATCGCGTAAGTCGCTGGGTGCCGGTATACCTGGGCCCAGCCCGGAATTGGCCTTCAAGTCGATATAAAGTCTCGCTTCCACTGCTACTAGATACCCCCAGCCTGAGCATTAGATCTACCGATTGCCTAGGCCAGCCGAGTCTTTCCACGCTTTTCACAGTGTTGAGGTCCTCGAGTCAACATCGAAGGAACATATTTTCCAAGGGACGAGGTTGTCAAATCAGTTTAGCTCATCTTTGTTGGGTATTGTTTGAGGATATTCAAGATGCGGCTGTCTTTCGTCTCCTCTGTGGTGGCTTTTACTGCTGCGACTTCCGGTACGCTAGGTTTGGCTTCACTTTGAATTCGATTGACTCTGTACTGACCAAAGAGTGACTAGCTATCCTCGTGACTTACCCTCCGAAAGGAGCCAAGATCGATTTGGGTCAACCATTGACAATTAAGTGGGATGCAGTGGAGTGAGTTCCAAAGCTTTGAGCTGCTGGTAAAGAGGGGGGTCACGAGTGTTTTGCTAACAGCCACACTCAGAACCGATCCAGCAAAATTTGACTTATATGTCGTCAATCAAGCGGTCAATCCTTCAGTCACCACGCTGATTGCCTCTGGTGTCGATACAACAAAGGGATCTTACACTATCCCAGCCAACGATGCTAGCTTGACTGGTACAGATACTGGGTTAGTCTGCGAATCTTCTCACGCACATAGGTTGAGGGATGAGACCCGAGCAGATAGATGACCAACGTCGATGCAGTGGTGGCTACCAAATCGATTTCAAGTCCCCCTCTAGCGGTGGGATTCTTGCCCAGTCGCAACAATTCAAAGTCACCGGTGGAGTCTCTGAGTCGTCTTCAGCCTCCAGCTCTGGTAAGGAATCCAGCACTGCCAGTGAATATTCATCTTCCTCGGCTACCTCGGCTACCTGGAGTCCGAGTATGACCTCGAGCTGGATGGAGACTTCGACGCTCTCAAGTCCTACCTTGACTTCTTCCTCGTGGATGTCTCCATCCACCACGTCTTATAGCTCTTGGACTCCAACTCGCACCACCTCTTCTTCCTCTTCTGTGACTTCGTCCACTTTGATTTCAACGCCTACATCAAGCTCCACGAGGACACCGTCTACCTGTGCGTTTGGCTTTGATTCCTCCCCCTTACATTGGAAGTCTTGCAGCTCGCTCTGGACCTTTTCGACCCTTCAGGTTGGCTGGGGTCACATTGCGAACGACCTTCCGTGTGCACAAATTCTACAAGCGACATCCCATTATTGAGACAACATGACTGATTCCCCCGTTTGAGCAGCTTCAACTTCCTCGACCACGTTGACTCTCACTACTACATCGACTTCTACGTCGACTTCTACGACTAGTTCGCTTCCCACAACGACCTCGACATCCACCGAGACAACTACATCTACCTCCACTTCCAAGCATACCAAGACGATGGATGTGACCAGTACATCCTCGACCTCTATGCCTTCGGCTTCGAATGCTGCTGGCATACTGGTAGTTCCCGGAAAAGCTGGCAGTCTCCTATTGGGATTGGTGGCCTTGGCTCTATAGTCAGAGAACGGCAGTGTTGCTCTCACGGTGTCCACCAATAAAGTATAGGACACTGTGGGTGTTCTACTCACGAAGATCAAGCTATACGGTGCTCCTGGCTTCGGGAACGGATGCCTGGATATAATATCTTACGAAATGACTTGAGCTGATGATTCAATCCTCGTGGGAAAATTTGGTATTTAGTTACTTCCTACGACTGACGACCCGATGGTTCTATGTGACCTACACTAATAACAAAGCGATTGTTCCTTAATTCTTAGTCGTGTGTAAATGTTTGCTCATAGCCAAGTAGGTCAACGTCATGGCATATCTTAGGATGACGGAACAGTCTAGTGTTGTTCCATTGCATTCTACATCCCTGAGGCGCGCTTCCTAGAAGATAAGCCCTTAGCCCACAGCCAGATGCCTGGCGGTGAATCGATAACTTAATCGGGTCTGGGCGGCCATTTAGGCTCTCCACGCCGGAGCATCCGATCGGCAGAAAAGAAGTTCATGCACCGGACATGAGAGTTATGTCATTTCCCAAGCCTAGGAGGTTTTTGAATTGCCTACGGTCCACGACACATCTCGCATCTCCCTAACCACCTCTTGGTCTGTACATGAATATCCTCGCCTGTCGGTTATCAGACTCGTCATTATCGCGCTTATTTTTTCTTCTACTTTGCGCTCCTTAAAACCACCTTGCGATATCCGCGGTTCACCTTATCCCGCGTCATACCGCGTTCGCGCACCTTGTCATGGAAGTCTCAAGCAGCAGCGCCGACGCGAGGACGGTGAGTACACCTAAAAAACTGTATCGCATCCAGCGGACGAAATCCCTCTGACTTATTTGAAAACATTAGAAGCTCGAGCAGGAGTACTGTCCCCCGGTTGACTCTGCCTTGCTAGCCGCACTTGCCCTTGACTTTGATCTCGACAAGTCAGATGACGTCAAAGCGCTGCGTGAAACGCTCGACTCGATTAAAGAATCAGCACTGCAGGAGGAATATCTTACGTTCGATCCGTCCGGCACAGCCGGTAATGAGGTTGACTCCTACGACAACAGTGGGACCTGCAGCGGGAGCCGGGATACGTTTGCGACAGGGACACCCAGTACAAGTCAATATTCCCAAAACCTTCCCGACGGTTGCGATTCCAGAAGCGCCAAGTCTAGAGATGCTTCACAACCAAGTTATACTTTGGGTGCAGACGGATCGCTCCAGTTCGTTGGTGGCACAGAGGAAGGCAAGATCAGCCTGTTGCAAGAGATGTTTCCAGACATAACCAGATTCAACATTGAGCAAGGCCTGAAGAAGAGCGACGGCGATGTGGATAAAGCCATGGACTCGCTCCTGAATCTGTCTTTCTTTCACCAGGGCCACCTTGATGAGTCCGCGATTGCCATCCCCAAGGGCCTGGATGGGTTTATGCAAGAGACTCCCGATATTGGTCGTCAAAAACCCCGCAAGAAGAGAAGCAAGAAGCATAAAGTTTCCTTCGAGGCCGATGCTGCTGGTATTGATCACTCACATGTTCAAAACCAATGGCAGAAGAGTAATGAAGACGTGGAATTCATCTACTCTCGCACGCCCGATCTGCCACGGTCGACAATCGCATCCACATATACCCACAACAATCGCTCTTTGTCCTTGACCATCAAGGCGCTGGCTGACTCACACTCTGTCGCGGACATCGATGAGGTGAGAGATGATTCAGTGGTGCAGTCACAGCTAGATGAGCTGGCGAGTGATTTCCCGAATGTACCTCAGCCTACACTTGTGGGGCTGCTGCGGATCACGCGGAACATCTTCTCGGCTGCGAACGAATTAGCCGCAGAGATGATTCGTCAAAAGCCGAGCTTCTCAGTCTCTGACCTGATCAAGATCACTGCCCCAAAGCTGAATCTTGAGGATGAGGAAGAGGATCTCTCCGCTCGACCGACTCGCTCGGTAGTACTTTCACAAAGCGCGACTGACTTCGATCGAGATCAAGCGGCGGCGAACGCTTATTTCACTGCGAAGTCCGTCGCAAACGCCAAAGCTGCACAAGCAGCTCGCAAAGCCAAATCCGATCCCTTGTACGGGGGCGCCACGCACTACTACCGCGAGGTTGCACAGCAAAATCGGGAATTGGCGATGCGGCACCTCTCGGCAGCTACCGAGCGCCTTGTGGACATGCAGTCCTCTAGTGGCGACCTGGATTTGCACGGCTGTCAGGTTGCGCAGGCAGTCCGGATCTCCCGCGAGCGAGTCGAGGCATGGTGGGACGGGCTCGGTGATACCAAGCATATCCGTGGTGGGGGCAGACATGCCCACAATGGATACAAAATCATCACCGGTGTTGGCCTTCATAGTCACGACGGCAAATCTCGCCTGGGCCCTGCTGTCAGCAAGGCTCTCATTAGCGATGGCTGGCGCGTGGAGATTGGCCGAGGCTTTGTCACCGTCATTGGCGCGGCTCGTCGCTAGTGCTGGTTGTTGAGGTCCTGACGAGACGATTCTCGTCAAGGAATTTTCATTTCTCAGAATGTGACTGCTCATCTCTCGCAAGACCCACTCTCACCTCAGTTGGGATTTCTTGTCAATTGATCTCATATCGTGTCGTGGAGGAAGTCGTGCGCTGAGCTTAGGCTGAGTGTTGCATATCTGGCTGGAGTTCTGGGCAGCCGTGGTGCGTTATTCGTGTCCGTGATGATATTTGCATGAGATACCCCCTCGAGCTAGCGTGGAGTTTTGGGACTTGGTGAATCTACAGACTTCTTCCATACATTGAAATATATTTTAGACTCTTCTGTCTTTGGGAGCAGCTGGAGTGCCCTACGCACAACAGAATTTAGTGCTATTTGCGGCTAAAACATCCATTGGGGATGGCCTTCATGGTGGCTGTGCCCTTGCTGATTGAGTGATCTTTCTGTCTGGACCCGTACGTTGTAAACATGGTCAAGCAGAGCTTACAATTGACAATTATCTCCCTTTGAGGCAGCACAGTCTGAGACTTATGCACATAAAGTTTGATTAGCATGGTTACTGCAAGTCCACCCCCATAGTTAAGCTTCACCCTCGCTGAAGGATCGGGATCCGTGGACGGTCGGGTCAGCTACAGTGGAATGTGGATATAGATCCCCCGCGTATGACGTCAAAGCCCGGACTCCGATGGATCGATCTCGCCGCAGCCCGTGATCGTCCTTCTAACCCGACATTCGAAGATTGATTTGTCAGAGCTCTTCTTCCTGCAACCGTAATCCTGCACGCTTAATTTCTTCACAGCAACCATCCTCATGAGAACCCAAATCATCCGTGTTACTGCTCCTCTTCGGCACCGCGCCCTCACTCAACCTGTTCTTTCCGCTCGCCTGTACTCAACTTCGTCTCGCGCAAGCCCTCGTTTTACGCCGGGAAACAAAGCCCTCAGAGCCGCACCGTCAATTCCATTCTTAGGAGCATTGTTCAGTTCCAAAGCACCCACGGAAGAGATGTCGTATCCCGACCAGCGAAGTGATGATCAGTGGCGGGCTGTTCTGAGCCCTGGTTTGTCAATTATCCATCCATATCCAACAAGAGTCTTTCAATGTACTGACTCCAGCAATAGAGCAGTTCCGAGTTCTCCGTGAAAAGGGCACCGAGCGCCCCGGCACAGGAGAATACGATTCACATTACCCGACCAAGGGCGTCTACACCTGCGCAGGTTGCGACGCGCCTCTTTACACTGCCGATCATAAGTTCAAGTCCGGTTGTGGTTGGCCCGCCTACTTCGACTCGATCCCCGGAGCGGTGACACGGCATACGGATAGCACTTTTGGTATGAAGCGCACGGAGATCGTGTGCAGCAACTGTGGTGGGCACCTTGGCCATGTGTTTGCGGGTGAAGGATTTCCTACGCCCACGGACGAGAGACATTGTGTGAATAGTGTCAGTCTGCGATTCACTGAGGATGCAGATGCCGCAGCGAAGAAGCCTGCAGAGAAGTCCAAGGCATGATGGCATATCACGACCAAATTCGAGATTCACTCTTTGTCCAATCTGTAGTTGTACGATAGTGGAAATGAAATCAAATCAGCCCCACTCATGAAAATAGCATGCAATAAATCTAGGCCCGCCAATTCGGCAAGCATCACTGGCGGCGTAGAGAAGCTCCACGATATTAGAAATGATTACCACACTGCTGGTAAAGTTAGAAGAATCATTTCCCTTTCAGTAGGACGTTGATACATGTTGATAATGACTCTTGTAGTCAGTGACACTCAGTACATACTCATGGTTCACCGTCAGGCCTGCACTGCGGACATGGCACTCACCGCCAACCGTAAGCCTCGGGAACCCAAAGTCAGGCCGCATTACCGACCGCCACCAATGCATGCAGACGAGGTTGGTTTCATTGTTTCTCCTTTCTCCAACACCCCTCATCTCTACAATCACCTTCAAATATGTCTCGACGTGCTACGCCGGGTCAAGCAGCACAGAACTCCCAGGTCATCAAGAGCCTGTTGAAGTTGGAGTGCAATAAAATATGTGCTGATTGCAAACGCAACAAGCGTAAGTGTCCTGTTTTCTTTTACTTTGCAACCTGATGTGGCCGATGCGACGCTGTCTTCGCTCCTTCAAAACTGCTCTCATTGACACTCCACCATTCCACTAGATCCGCGATGGGCATCATGGAACCTCGGTATCTTTATTTGCATTCGGTGCTCCGGTATTCACCGTGGCATGGGCACGCACATTAGCAGGGTCAAGTCTGTTGATCTTGATGCCTGGACGGACGAACAACTGCAGAGTGTGGTTCGCTGGGGCAATGGGCGAGCGAACAAGTCAGTGCCATACCATTGACCATGACCCGCTGTTGCTAAAGTTCTTGCTAGGTATTGGGAGGCCAAATTGGCACAGGGACATGTTCCTTCCGAATCGTAAGTCCACGTGCTCGTACATGCTTTATCGGGCTCTCGCTGACCCAAATGGCCATAAAGTAAGATCGAGAATTTTATTCGAACAAAGTACGAGGCCAAGCGCTGGGTGATGGATGGGGGAATGCCGGACCCATCAACATTGGACGATGGCGGCGACGATGATGTGGTGAGTGACGGAGGAGATACAGTACTTGAGATGACATATCACTGATTGACGGAAACAGCCTCTTGCTGTTGTCCAGGAAAAGGCCAAGATCGAGCGATCTGCATCACAGCGGATCGCGCCCCCGAGTCGAGCCTCGGCGCCTCGTCAACAACAACCCCAAGTCGACTTGTTTGGAGATGATTTCATTGCGGCTCCCCCTCGTCCGAGCACGACCGAGCCTACCGCTCGCGCCCCTCCGCCTCCTAGACAAGCACAACCACCGGCGCAGCAAAAGACACACAAGCCCGCGGACTCCTTACTCGGTCTCGATTTCTTCGGCAGCGCACAGCCTGCGCCTGGCAGCCGCCCGTCTAGCACGGCTTCGACACCAGCAACATCGAGTGGAATGTCTCGTCCAGATCTGAAGCAGTCGATCTTGTCCTTGTATTCGAAGCCGCAGCCGGCTCCCACCCCGCATGCGCGCAACAATTCCTTTGGCGACCTGGCCTCTCCGGCGGCCTCTACATCATCGAACATGGGTGGTCTAACGGATGCCTTCAGTGGACTAAGTTTCCCGACAACCACATCCCCTCCCCCGTTGAAGCCAGCGGAAAAGCCTTCCCCGTTCGCCAATCTTACCAGTTTCTCCAACTCAAAGTCAACTCCTGCGGCGCCCCGTATGACCTCGCCTTCCGGCTCGGCCAGTGGCGATCTGTTTGATAATTTGACCTCACCCACGCTATCCGCACACAAGCCCCCATCGCGTAATGCCTCCGTCTCCAGTGGTGGCCAGGACTTTGGCTTTGGTGGCTTCTCCTCGGCCACGAAAACCTCAGTCAAGCCCAATCCCCCCTCTTCTTCTCTATCCAATGATCTTTTTGGGCTTTCATCGCCACCTCTTGCCCCTACTGCATCTGCCGCGCCTCCTAGACCCTCTGTCTCTTCCCCTCAGCAGGAGATGAGCTCTGCGTTCAATCTATCCAGCGCACCCATCCAGCCTACTGCGCAGTCCAAACCTGCTGCCCATGCAGCACCCGCAGTGTCTGCAGTGAACGCTAGTGCAATGAGTGCTAGTATGGATCCGTGGGGCAGCAACGCCTGGGGAAGCTCGGACCCTGTTTCCGAGCCCAAGCCGGCGCCAGTTGCACCCTCTACATCCAACATGATGAGCATTCCCGACACGTTGACCGCAAACGACATTGGAAGCGGCTGGGGCACTCCATCCACGTCCAAGCCTACTCCTACGGTTGCCGCCGATGAAGATTTTGGTGGGTGGACAAGCGCTGCTCCAGTCTCCTCGGCCACCACTTCCACTGCAACCTCGAAACCGGCTGGCGGGTTTGGAGGCTCGGATGATCTCTTTTCGAACGTTTGGGAATAGAGCTGCGCTGGATTTGAATTGCATGGCGGTTCCGTATATGACATGACATGCGTATTCTTGACCTTTTTTCATTGTTTTTTTTTTTTTTGACTGCATAAAATGTTTCTGTATAGTTTGAGGAAACGATTGTTTTCCTCCAAGTGCCATGACACTGAGTCGCGCATTGCTGAGCTTGAAAGGCTTCCTGCAGGCCGATACAGTGATTCTTTCACGAGGGTGGCTAGCGGCCTTTTTTGAAATGCGGGTTTTGAATTCGAATGGTGCCGGGGCCAGTCATGAGCGGCCGAGTTGTCTAGGATATATACATCGGCTGGAGGTTATAAGCAGAGTACCTAGTTAATAAGGAGCTGGTCGCTATCAACCTTCAATGACACGCATACGTTTAACTTCCGCATAGTCTGAGAAGGGTATTATCAATGATTCATTGTCCAGCCTTATCGGAATGGATCAAACGTAGGATTCAACGAGATCGGAGACTCGATGGCGCTGCGATTGTCCCGAATAAGAAAAACCCGTGGTAAGTAGGTATGCGTGTAGTGTGTAGTGTGTAGTATGTACAGCAGAGAAACAGAATGGTATATGTAATATGTACACGAACAGAAGAAAAGCCCACAGCCTCCACAATGACAATATGAAAGAATGTGCAGAGATAGTGAGAAACATAGAAAAAAAAAAGAAATCAAAAGAAAAAAGTTTATCAATAGAACCCACCCATAATCCAATCTCCTCAACTCATCAACTCCCCTTCCGCACAAGATCTCTCGTGCTCCCCGTCTCTGTATCACCATCCACCTCCACATGGGCATGGTCATGGCCATGCCCATGAACCCCCTCCCTCTCCAAACTCAACTCCTGCGTCACCAAGGTCGTCACCTTAATCCCCGCCAGATCACTCTTCTCCATGCCCACGCCCACAACCTTGGCCGAAGCCCCGGGCCCCTTCAGCCGATGCATCTTCATATCGTAATCGCCCTCGTCGAGACCGCCGACCACGGACGACAAGATGTGAGAGTGGGCCATGGTGCCGGTCCCGGTTAATTGACTGTGCCCGGTGCGCGAGGGACGGGTGTTTCTGCTGCGATAGGCGTTGCTGCCGCTGGAGAAGACGTGGGGGAGCAGGTTGGAGAAGAAGGCCCGTGTGCTGGGGAGGGAGGCGCACATAATGGCGACATTGCATTCGATGGCGGACCATTCGGCGGCGCCGACGTTGTCGTCTAGAATGTAGAGAGAGTGTGAGTATTGAAGTGGGGTGTTGGTATGGGAGTCCCGTTGCATGTCTGTGGTCGTTCATCCCTGGGATTGAATGGAGGGGGATAATGAGGGTTGGGATCGTGGGATTTTTTTTCGGGTGGATTTGGGCAAACAGGCCTGGGACTTGGGAGTACTTACAGGTGGGATCGGTGGAAAGTGTAATCAGGAGAAGACTTCTCAAGCGAAGGGCGCTGGTGATAGTGACACTGCAGGGGAGAGATGTTCGATTAGCGAGTTGTATTCTTGTTTGTTCTCCCAGTTCCCATGTTGACTTGGCTTCAGCAAAAACACGGAGTTAGGGCTTCCATCGACCGAGATATCCTCCGTGTTACATACAAGATCCCCAGCGCGAAAACCGCCATGAGCGCAAACCGCTGCCTCTTGGGCAACTGCAGAGATTTGAGCAGCGGCATCGGCCACACCAAGATCATGAAATCGGTGAGAATGTGAATCGCCGAATTCGAAAACCAAAGCGCCTTCTTGTCGAAGCAGAAGCCCACCACGTCCGGATCCCAGAATTTCCGAAGTGGCACACACATGGCCCAGGCACTGATGACGGCCCAGAGCGCAAAGGTGATGAGGAAGCCGAGCAGGATGTTGCAGGCGAGTCGCATCCCCGGCGATGGGAAGACGCGGCGGTATTGGAGGACAATGGAGATCTTGGTCAGGACGAGGGTGGACTGGTAGAGGGGGACGGAGGCCCAGAAGCACTGTATCAATAATTCAGTATAGGTGAGTTTAGTGGTGGACCGCGAAGATACCTTCGGGGGGAGGGGGGGGATGCAGAGAGCCAGAAGGGCAGTCTCTCAGACGTACCAGCATTTGGACCTTGTAAGTGTCGTGAGGAATTTTTGCATAATGTTCTCCCATGCCATGGTAGACCTCTGCATTGTACGAGACGGGTCAGTTTGAATGCTTTGGGACCCAGGAGCTTCCACCGGTCAATTGGCTCCTCTCTGTAGACTGAGGCCACAGCCCGACAGAACTGATGGATGCTACCTTACCTCCGACGAAAAGTCCGTAGAAGATCCATGAACAGGTCTAGTGGAAGTGGACGTTGATCAACACATGTTCCAAGGTTGGTTAGGGTTGAGTGTTGACTATCTACCCGCGGTGCTCATCTAGCAGAAGACATGTCTCCCGACATGTCCCCAACGTGGCTCAGGGAGTGTCTTACCAAGGCAGCAATGACCGTGTAATCATCTGATCCAATCTTCTTGGCCCAGAACGCTCGAGTGTAGATGCGAATCAACGTCAAAGCCGTCGCAAGGCAAGTAAAGACTGTACTAACCGCCAGGGCCGAGCGGCCCCGTGGGGTTGACAGCATAGTCATGATGAAGCCACGATAGTAGCGTAGTTCAGGGCGAGGTCATGATAGACATTCAATTGAACACACCGCAGAAGAACAAGCATGACCATGGCTGGGCGGAGTGACCTTATTATCTCATTCTCTGCATAGCGAACCTAAAGCAGATGGACATGGATGAGTTTACGCCTTGACCTCTTCGGCTCCACGATTGAATCATACTAAGGCATGGACATTGCACAGAACTACGAGGCAGAGCGAGCGAGTAAGCATTGAATGGATTTATTGTTTTTTTTTTTCTTTTTGGATCAGCTAGATCATCGAATCACCATCTGGGAAGAGTGTCCACTGGCTGAGGATCTATTGCCCTGGACCTCACTGAGACGGGGTGCCCGGCTGGAGAGTATATTGGACGGGGATCGCCAAACAAGGTCATGGCGTTGAACTTGATATTCACCGATCATAACTACACCTCCAGTCTCCAGCGGGCCGTAACCACGTACTCACAGTACAATAGCACGAGACGAGACGGAGCTCCACCGGCACGAGCCAGCAGGACATGGGTGAAAAGAGTGGGAAAAGTATCGAGATGCTGGGATCGGAGATATTTGCAATAATCGGCCCATTCACCTAGAGGGCGCCGTTGTACTCTCACTCAGTAACACACTGAACACTGAACATCCATGGTCCATAGGGAACTCGTAGTAGTGCCCATCAATGGCAATATGCTCGCAACATCTGGGACTGCCCCCACATCAAGTGGTGACGGCCACAGAGTCCATGGAAATCGGTGGGTAACTAGTGATGTTTTCTTTTTTTTGTATCGGAATCACTCGCGCATTGAGTTTTGCATCTCCACATCGTTAGCCGCAAAGTCTATCCAAGGGCGATGGTCCGGAAGCGATTGTTTCAAAAGTCCTGTACTATAGACGAGCTACATTCAAGTCGGCAAAGTTGGAAGTTTTCACTCGTTGACTCAGAATCCCTGCCAGTCAAGTGACCGGGATTGTTCCTTCTTGGCGAGGTTGTGGGTGATCGGATGAAGGTGGAAAGGGGCTGGAAGCGTGGAAAGAGGTTGAAAGGCCGGGGGGGGGGGGGGGGGGATATACTGCTTGTCAAGAGACAAGACCCATTGTGTGGGCGTCAACAAAGACCTTGTTCGTAGTTTCCTCGGGTCGCAGACACGTGAGACCTCCCAGCTCGATATCGGTCTACGAATGTCGGAACTTGGTAGTTGACGGCGATCACCGACCGAACTTCTCCAAGCATAACTTAGGTACAGACGCCCTTGACAAGTTGACACGGGCTTCCATCCAGATACATACTGCAAAAGCGGGTTATTGTCGACGCCACGGTCTCGAACAGGTTGATTGCGAAGTGGAAAGATCAGGCTGAAAGCCTAAATGTCCATAGCACAAAGTTCCAAATCCTCGACACTCGATTCACAGGACTGCGGGTTAGTGTTACATAAATAGGGTTTCTACGGGCATCATTTGTGCCATCATGATCCATGACGGTGCATCAGACAGCTCGGGTTGGGCACGCAAGGGATCAGCACCGCTGGATGGAGGTTTCTCGTGTCTTTGCTTCCAAACAAATGGGCCGCCTAAGGGTGCTCATCTCCCCCTCTGCTTTGCCGTCCCGAGACCACGGATGAACAATTTGTGGTTCACTGCGACAGGGTCATTACAACCGAGAAGATGGATCATGGATCGATTGGAGATGCCTGGAAGGTGTTGCCGACCGGTGAAGGCCACCATCACGCATGTTGTCGAACGGGGGGAGTGTAAGACTGAGGTGTGCTGTCCGAATTGTACACGCCTTCAACATATCAATTTGTTGGTTAGACTGGAGACTACAGACTGTAGACATGCATGTGCTTGCCGATCATCATCCAGGAGAACAGAGGCCTCACGAGGACTATTTGCCAATCTGGAGACGCGGGGGCAATAGCCTTCGCTTCCCAACGGACCTCATATACGCTTCTGTAGCCCCGGCTAAAGTGCATTACGTATACCAATACAATAGGGCCGATCGGCTAAGTGATGAAATGCGCAACACCAACAAGGTTACTATGTCGGCTGCGAGAATGCTTCCCGTCTCCCCTGAACCTGGAACATATCGACCCATGGTTTCTCCAACGTCTTGACAGGACCGAGTCTGAAGTGGGTTTCCAGCCTGGCTGATCTATACCGTTGACGCCTTGCCGAGAGCCTTGTTTCTAAACAGGAAGAAATCAGGGACGAGATCGATACTGTAGCGAAGCAGTCAAGCGTATGATGCATAGCTCAGTGAAGAACTCTCTCCTCACAGCAGTCGGCTCAGTCATGTGGCAATTCGATCATAAACGGAAGAGCCAGATGGCGCTTCCTATACGAGTCTCTAGGGCTAGGCTCAGCCCGTTCCGAAGCCACGGCCCCGGCGAGGTGCGAATCTGGTCCCGAGTGGATTCGCGAGAGTCAACGGGGGCCCTCAAGCACCCAAAGCACCGACACTACTGGATTGGGAACGGCTTCGTCGGAGATGAATCGCATGTGGAGATGGTGCGTGCATCAAAGAATTGCAACAATACTCTGGCAGGCCAGTGAATCTAGCACCTGCACACGTGACCGAAGACCGGAGCAGACCCTCCTCCTATCCAGGTGAAGCACACCAAGTCCCTGCACTCCTTCGGTGATTTTAATCGATCGGCATTCGCATGGCGCCAGTGACCATTGGATTATCCAACGCAATAGCTCCTACCTACCAAGTAAGATGACAGTTTATGGGGGCAATTCCACCCCACGTCAGTACTCAAGAAGAGGAAAAAAAAGACCCGTCGATTGTGAGCCAAAGTGAGCGATGCCAAACTCGTGGATCTGCCGGTGCACATTGATAGCAAGTGACACGATCGGCTCCCATGACACGGACAAGATCGTCGTCGATAGTAGGACGGGGTTCAAAGAATGGGTTCCAAGGTCCACCCATCGCGGTACTGCGCTTGAGAATTGTGATCTGCAGCCGTCGGAGGATCAAGAAATTCTTACCTGTTTGGATCAGAATTGGAAGATCATCGATTGCTGCGTAGTGCGTGCACTGCATACTGAGCTGGACGGGCGATCTCCATCCCGGAGTGGAGCCCTTGTTGGAAACTATTGAAAGACCTATGTAGTAGGTTACTGGGAAGTCAACGGGAAGTTCTTGACCATCGCCATGGTAGGACCTACCGCGCCAGAAATGTCCGACTTTTGACCGAGGAGAGAGCATTCGAGGGGTACACGATCCGATTATTTAAAGGGCTTGTGGTCAGGTGAGATCGCCTCAAGACCCACGATCTGCAGATCTATCTCGTGGAGCGCCTAGCATTCCGTTTCTGTCCATGGCAGGTTGATGGAAGAAGTTGACCAGAATATAGCACCACGTGGACGGGAAGTCCCTCCCCCCCCATTTGACCAGACACCATCCTTGGATAGGATACTAGACTGGACAGACAGCAATGCAAGTGGATCTCGTGGATTTGATCCCTTGTCAGCTTCTGTTATCAAGTATTCACATTGCGCGGAAGACGCGTATAATGCCCTCCAAGTAGCGAGCGTCAAAACTGATCAACCATATCAAAAGATGGAAGACACTTCCAGTACAGCGATCTCGCGGAAACGGTCACTATGATCTCCTCGCCTTCGTCTTTCCAGTTCTTTGCATGTCTTATTGGATGTCAGCAACACAATAATGCACCGGAGCCTTATCATTATCAACCTGACCCCGAGCGACATCCAGTCTACCGAAAGCAAGAAGGAACAAGGTCTTGTGGACATCCAGGCCTTGTACTGGTGATTGTATAACGAAAGAGTATCCAATTTCAAGATCGGGAAAGTATGCTTTTGAGAGCATTGGCCCATCTCATACACAACATAACAACATAAAAGGTCATAATAAATACAGAGATTGATGAAGCCAACAACCAAATGTCACACGCCAAGACATCATTCATAATGCAGGTCATCGTAAGCGGCGATTAACACAAGTCGCTTTTTGTATGAAGGGGGTATCGTTTACTAAGGGTATGAAATGGTCGTGCAAACGCGGATCGGACGTAAGATGCGAGGGTCGAAGAGATGAAACTGAAAGCCAGATGCAATGTACCGCGACATGGGTCACAAGAGGCAAATTGTAGCCCCCCTCCCCAAAGCGGGCAACACGACTCCATTGCCGGCATGATTGACATTGTCCGAGGACTGGCTTATGCTGCATCGCCCTCGCTTTCCTCGTCGGAGACTCGCTTGCCTGCGAACGGCCCCAGCTGATGTTTCATGGCGTAGGCAATCAGAGCGCCGATGAAGATCAGGATGAAGATGAGAATGAGAATGACAACGATGGTGATGTTTCGTTGCATAGTGGCGGATTAGGGAGAGTCTCAAACGGTGCCGGGTGACTCTCAAATGCGTGATGCGATGACTATGTGATGAGTTGAACTTGCGGAGATGGGTGATTGGATTGAGAGAAAGAAAAGATTGCAGTGAGCCTGGTCAGACTTGACGATGAGATGCTGATGATCGAGTGAGAGAGAGAGTTCACTTTCAATGAGTAAAGCTGGCCGGTGGATCAGAGGGAGTTGTCGGACAGTGCACTGATAGAAAATAACCAAGGACTGATGTAGTATAAGTATAGGTAGTCGTGAAGCAGTGCAAAAGGGTACTACCCAGCAATCAAAACTCAAGCTCTCAGAAGTTTGGATTCAGATCTCCTCGCAGCACGGGTGGAGCTGCGTAGGAGTAGTGAGATGAAGACAGAAGAAAAGCTCCATCGACAGGAATGTGAGATCTGGGGTTTTATCAAAAGTGCGACCGTCCCCAGCCATGTGATTTTTTTGGTTTCCCTTTCTGTTTTGGTTCTGCTCATCTTGGGGGAGCCATGCAGGCGATTAAAGTGAGGTGGCTGGGGGAAGCGCTAACTGCTTTGGGTGGGACACAGCCAATTTGGGACGCGATCGTCGATGACATCCATGCAGAGATGCCTAGAACACTGATTTTTCGTAGTTCAAGTTTGGGACTTTCAGATTGAAGCGGTTTCATCAGTGAAAAGGATTCTCCAAAGTGACAAGCCGATCAAGCTGTGAACCAAGCCCACTGGTAAACATCGAGATGATCTTAAGCAACATCGCAATGACACCCCAAAAACTATCTTGATCAGTTGATACACCAGAGAAGTGATGCGATGACTAGGTGACGTTTACCAACGATGTTGATTTGAAATTCCACAGGGCGCCAACTTCTTCATAGACAACTTCTCTCAAGCAGCAACACCTCTTCAGGTTGGAACATGGCACGTGAAGCCACTCGCGATCCTATACACCCATTGCTGCCCAATTCGTCCACCGGAAACTCGTCGCATGGATACCCCGAGTTGCCTGGAACATGCAGTCGTGCACAACATGATGGCTCTGTTGATAGTCACTAATATGATAGATCAAGGTGGACGAATCAATTCGTAAAACATACTCAACAATGCCCGTTCCTGCGCCAGGCGCTAATCAAGTACCTCAAGTCATGCTATACATTCATTGACTCCGAAGTACAGGCAGAAAAATACGCCCATGAATGACGAATGCAAAGTCCCTCGTCATGCACGCATAGAAAGAGAAAAAGCTTTGAATGGTATCTAACCCAACAGAGAGTAAAAATGAAAATTCTGGTAATGCAATGCCCCCCCGTCCACTCCAAATCCATGCCGGGTTTCAAAACGCCGAGGGTGAATTATCATCGCAGGGAACAACAAACAATCCGGAATAAAGCTGGAATCGTGACACTCAGAATATGTAGCTGAGTAGCTCTTGCGACCGAAAAGCAGTGGCGATATGCCATGGAAGCGTGTTTTCCCGTACACTTCGCATGCCGCGAGCACGGGCTAAGGACGCCAGGTCACGGTACATGGCGAGAACATCGCCAAGCAGGGCCTCGTGCGAGCCGGCGGGCCGTTGAGAGAAGAGGATATTGACCGTTAAAGAGAAAACTCCATCGCTGTCAGATACACCCTTACGTCGTAGGAGATATCCGCTGGCCAGTGCGGGACGGAGTTCTGTGATGTGAGGGGAGATATTTAAACGGTGAGATAAGATGACGGCCCAGGAATCGTCGCATACGTCTGCAAGGACGACATCAGATTCGGGCTCAAGTGAAGGATCTGTAGGCGTGGACGGATTGAACGCGGCATGAGGCGTCGGCGCATTCCACACCTGGTCAGGTGAGGCCATGCTAGTGTTCAGGTTCGGTGTCGAAACGGGAGTCGAGGAGAATTGGCTATTCAGAAGACCCGCGGTCATGCCAGAGAATGGAATGTCAAGAGAGAGGTCGGGCATAGTATTGACGGACACAATGGTGAAATCGAGGGAATGTGGTCGCATTTTGTTTTGCTGATCCGCCAAGTTCGCCCAAGCTGTGAAAGATAGAATGTTAGCGGAATGAGTAGATTGAAACAGAAAGCTCGAGAAGCATACCCTCAATCTCTTCCGACTCCATCGGGTCGGTACTGGCTAGTACTACCTTCCATCGTCCCTGGAATTTATCCAGCACGTGCTTGGTGGTGGCCCAAACTTCGTTTCGTACTTCTGACGTGGCGCGGGCAGAGCCTCGAGTACGATATCGCAAACAGTAAGCCATAGTCGTCTGGAGAGAACCTGTCCCATCACACCACGCAACGGACACCCATCGCTGATCACAGCTCTTGGAGTACGCAATGTGGAGACTGCGGCCATCTTGTAATGGCGAGACTTTGTCAGACGCCAGCCGAAAATTGATCGACTTGGGTAGGTTTTCTGTAAGCAAAATCGCTGGGGAAAATTGAAACGGGCAGGACTCGGCGTTCGGAGGACGACATCGGTTATAAATTTCGAGAGCGAGATTCACGTAGTCACTTTGGGTTGCCACGGCCATGGAGTCACGTTGGGTAATGAAGTCGATTGGGACAATCTGGAGTACCACTTCATTGACTCGCCTCTCGTGCGATCGCCCTACACTAGCAGCGATCTGTTGAAAGAGATTCCAGAAGGCCGCGCAGATGTCCGCGAGAGCTGCCGCACAGGAGAATGGATTGACAATGTAGAGCACGATATTTGAATTAATCGAGACAGTACCTTTCGTGAGTTCGGAAGCCATGTTGTCGCAAATTGCAAGAAGAGACTGCATCATGGCAGAATAATCTGAAGATCCATTGCCCCATGCCTTGAGGCCATGATCGTCGCCCAGAGAGCTGTCGCCACGAGAATGGGCTCCAAAGTGACAATTTTCATACGACTGACCTAGTCGTTCCAGGAAGACATCGGCCGCTTGACGCACGACGCCAGGAAATACACAGTAAGCAGTGACGTCCTTAGAACCATGTGCCGGTGCTAGTCCGAAAGTATCCCAAAAGGACATGGCAGGAGGTAGAGCTTCCAGCCAGCCTTTTCCACGGCGTACGCGAAGATGCGGAGCTGATAATTTGAATATCGAACCCCTGCCCGGGTCCTTCGCAGTCATCTGGGCATAGGACGATCCCTGCATTACGTCTTCGTGTAAAGAGCTGTACCCCTTTAAATTCAGTCTTTGGATATCTCCCAGGAAGGACACATCCTCGAGATACTCAGATAATGAAGGGCCTGCGCCCCCAAGAGTGAACAAATCCGCTTGTTCACAGAGCGTGTGTCTCAAAGATGATTGTGTTATTTGGTCCGCAAGTAGCTGGGCAATTGGGATCTGCTCCTCGCGTCTCAGAAGGACTGGCAACTGACGACTTTGTGAAATAGAGAAGTACCCGGTGTAATTCCAATCGGAGAAATTGGACAGGAAATTTCCCAAAAATGTGGTGTTCTCACCCTTGTGCCCGACGCCGGCGTTTGGAAGGATGGCTGTTGATGCTGGAGAGCCCACAGATTGCATGTCCGCATCTGACGAAACACGTTTTCGCTTCAGTTGCTGGTGGTTCTCCAAGGCGGGCAAGAAGTCCAATTTTTTCACATCATTATTTTCATCATCGTCACTGCCTTCATCTGTGGAGTCCGAAGAATCCCCTCCAACCGTTTTGGCGACCTTGCTTTCGCGGTATTGACCATATTTGGCAGCAGAGTCGTTTCGAGGAGCATTAGGGACGCCAACAGTGGGGATCATAGAGGTGTTTTCGGCCGCAAGATTCCCTGACTTTCCCGCCGAAAACCAAAACTTTCCCATGTTTCCATACTTTTGATCCCGGCTACCCAATTTCTTTTCGAAGTCCACGGCCTGGTAGTTACCTTTCTGCGGTGATGTGTGCTCGTTCCCTTTTTCTGGATTTGGTCGCGATCCAGAAAACAGGATTTTCCTGATATCCACGGGACTCAAAGGAGGGCTGATCGTCTGACAGGATGGACGTGGGGATGCTGAGGACGATGCTCCTTGCCCAATTTGATCCTTGGACGAGGCTTTGTTTTCTGTCACAGTTGAGGTAATCGGCTGAGGGTCTGGTTTCACCTCATCCGGAACCGAGACGTCGTTGGGCACGGGCGCGGGAGAAACGACATTTAAACCCCCCTTGTCGTGACTTGGGGACAAAGTGGTAGGCACTTGGGCCAAGTTCTGAGGCTGATTGACGACCATTGTATCAATCATGTCTTCAGCTTCAGGTTCATCGAAAAAGCTGAAATCCGCGTCGGTGACGCCCTTTGATCCGAAGTCTTTGTCATTCATCTCGCCGAAAAGATCGTCATTGTCGATGGCATCATAACGACCGCTGCCAACGGCACTCTTTGGTGGAAGTTCGGGGACTTTCTGAGCTTTCGATTCGGCAGGTAATTCTGGAGAGAGGAGATTCACATCGTTCGGAGAAACCCCATGAGCTGCAGTATTGGGCACTGCATGTCCAGGGCCACCTTCAGGGGGCGTTGGGTAGACGAGATTAGCACTGGAAAATTCGGGATACTGGGTCATGCGAGATAAGCTCTCGAAATTATCGCCAGCGTCAATTCGAGGGGATATCTCTTCATTCTTCGAAGGAGGCTCGATTGCCGGTACGTCCTGGCTGGTGATTTGACTCGTTAAACCAGCTGCGGTGGATAGCCAAGTCTCCGCAAATTCCAAAGGATCTGCCAGAGAAGCCTCGGAGTTGAAAGATTCATCTGTCGAGATACGCCTCCGGAAGCAAAATCGAGCCGGCCAAAACATCCTTTTCAAAGGAAGCGCGGCCTGGCCTTCATCTCCTTGGCGTGCGGTCTCTCCTGCAAGTCTGGCAAAAAAGGGCTCCCAAACCTCGACTTCCACCCACTGCTCGTCCTCAGTCGTCCCGACATGAAGACCAAAATTCTTCAGCCATTGGATGACATCTAGTTTCCATTGCCTTCTTTTGGCGACAGACTCGCCTGATATGTTGAGCCCAGGCGAGGGAAGATTCGGCGGTTTCTCATCTGTGGCAGCAAGCCTCGCAATAGCGCCGTTTGGACAAAGCCAAATGTCAGTACCAGGTGATACCCGTGATAGATCTTTTATGTCGTCGCCAGGACCGAACAGACGTGCGATGCCAGGTTGGTCAGTTGTTTGTAAGGATACAGTCACTGTTCCCGGACCGTTCAGCTGCACGTTCAGGGTGGTCAAGTTTGAGGATGAGAATAACCCCTCGCTATCAATCCTGGCATCCTCGTATCCGAAATGACTGACGGGTGTGAAGAGTGTGCGTGAGCCGATAGGCAGGGCACCATGCTTGTGAACAAGATGTAGACTTAATGCCCCAGTGACGGCTGCAATGAATGCAGCGTATATAGCAACAGAGCTACTATATCCATCAGGCCGACGGGCAGAGCTCTGACCCTGCGGTGTCCGCTGTGGAGCGGACTGCGAGGTCTGTTGGGATTGACCTTCCGCTGATAGACCTTTGATCAGCTCCGAGCATTTGATGCTCCCAGATGCCGAAACTGCGACGAGGTTTAGCTGACCACACAATCAAGGATATCGGACAAAAACAGAATCGCTGACCTTTGAGAGTCGTCGTGTCGACGGAGATCTTTGTTGTCTGCAAGTCGCCCTCTTTGATGTATACAGGAGACAGATTTCCAAATACTGGAGTAGGGGAAAACACCCAGAGACCAAGTCGCCGAGGACAAGACGCCAAGCAGCCTATGTTTCTCAAAAGTGCCTCGAGGTGCTTAAGACGACCGAGGTGTTTTAAAATAGTATAGCCGTTTGTCGGTCCCTCTTGTGGATTACTGGTAATGCCAGACTCCTCAGTATAGATCCTCCAGTAAATGGTGGAGAAACCACCCTGTAAGCATTGAGTACTTATGATCAGCTGGCAGTTGCGAAGCCGAGATTATAATAACTTACAATTAAGTGAACATTGGTCGTTGCGCCTCCGGGAAAGTCCATTATTATTCAATGTTTGCGGACGGGCCCGGGAAGCAGGCACAGATGGGGACAGGGTGACCGAGGCGTTTGCGAGGAGTCATCTCCAAAGATGAGACGCGCCACTGCAACGATCCGGAATTTCAAGCAAGCCAAAGCACCCCATTCAACGTCAACAATCGTCGTAGGGAAATCAAGCAAACTTCCAGTGCTGAACTCTTTGTCGCTAGCTCTCAAAACAGCTTCGACCTGAGCGAGTCCGGGGGAAGTTCAAAGGGGCGCTCGGGCCAATCACCGAGATCCGCACCGGCACATCACGTGGCTGCTATCGCTATCGGGATTTTTTTTTGGTCGCCGCGCATTTTTTTTCCAACTCGGGAAGCTGTGACAGCGACGAGTGAAGTGTTATATCTGCAGACTTCTGCGCCATGAAGTTGACAAATCAGTCAGAGGTTCCGGTGTACACCATCTCGGGCTCAAACACCGCTCGTCCCTTGCCCGAATGGCTCGCCCGGCGCCGCAAACGCAGTTTGAAAGATGATCCCGAATACGCAAACCGCATTGAGCTGTTGCAAGATTTTGAGTTTGAGGAAGCCAGCCAGTGTGTCCAAGTTAGCGAAGATGGAGAATGGGTCATGAGTACAGGTATGTTTGGGTGATTGCTCTGCTCTTCGCAGCGCGCGATATTGACACAGTTTGCTCCTAGGCACATACAAACCTCAGATCCATGTCCACCAACTCTCGCAGCTTTCTCTTTCCTGGGCCCGCCACACTGTCGCGCTTAACACAAAATTCATCCTTCTCTCCTCCGACTATTCTAAGTCCCTTCACCTTCAAGGCGATCGGTCACTCGAATTCCACACGCCTCAGGGCTGCCATTACACCACTCGGCTTCCGCGTTACGGACGAGACATCGTTTACGACCGGCAATCAACAGAGGCATTGATTCCTTCGGTTGGTGTCAATGAAAACGGTCTAGGTGAGGTTTTCCGCATGAATCTGGAGCTTGGAAGGTATATGCGATCTTTCGAAATCGAAGTTGGGGGCGATGATTTCACATCCGCAGGCGGAGGTGCCTTGCAAGGCGGCATCAATACAGGCTCGGTCAACACTGGTGCCATTGCGGAGGAGAGCCACAATCTTCTCGCGTTCGGTACATCGATTGGCACGGTGGAGTTGTGGGATCCCCGTGCGAAAGGTCGAGCCGGCATTCTCATGCCACCTACTCATTCTGTAGGCGATGAGACACGCTCTGAGATTACTGCTCTTGAGTTCCACCGGAACGGTTTGACCCTCGGAACAGGTGCCTCTAATGGATTGATCCATCTTTACGATCTTCGATCACCTGTTCCTTTGCTGAAGAAGGATCAAGGTTATGGCTTCCCTATTCACACACTCAAGTTCCTTCTGCCATCTACAGAAACCCGGGAAGCCACCATGGATCCCAAGATCATGTCTGCCGATAGACGAATCATTAAGATTTGGGATCCCCGCGACGGTGCTCCTTGGACGTCTGTGGAGCCAGCTGTGGATATCAACGACGTGGCGTGGTGCAAGGACAGTGGAATGCTTTTGACTGCCAACGAGGGCCGCCAGCAGCATTCCTTCTTCATCCCTCAACTTGGTCCTGCGCCCAAGTGGTGCTCTTTCCTGGACAATCTGGTCGAGGAGATGGCCGAGGACCCCAACGACCCCAACGCTTTCACCAGTGCACAGGCTGGCTCTGTGTACGACAACTTCAAGTTCTTGACCGTTCCTCAGCTCCGCAGCCTCAATTTGGAGCACCTTATCGGTCGTACCAACCTCCTCCGCCCGTACATGCACGGTTACTTCGTTGCTCAGCGCCTGTATGAGGAAGCTCGCCTGATCACCAATCCGTTCGTCTGGGAAGAAGAACGCGCTAAGCGCGTCAAGGAGAAGATCGATCAGGAGCGCGAGAGCCGCATCCGTGGCAAGAGGAAGGCCGCTGTCAAGGTCAACAAGAAGCTGGCTGAGAGACTGCTTGATGCCGAAGAGAAGGCCGAGCGTCGCAGAGCCAAGAAGGTCCTTGAGCGCGGTGGTGATGTCGACATGGTCGATGCTCCCGCCCCAGCTGCAGAGACTGCTGATGCCGAGGCTGAGGCCACCGACAAGAAGGAGAAGAAGAAGGGTGTGCTGGGTGACAGTCGTTTCAACAAACTGTTCGAAGATGAGGACTTTGCTGTCGACGAGAATTCGTTCGAATTCAAGCTCATCAACCCTAGCACTATTCCTGACGCTCCTCCTAAGAAGGAACGCGGATTGACTGCCGTCGAGCAAGAGGCGATCGACGATGTCCCCGACTCCAGCGACGACGACGACGACTCAGATTCCGATGCCGAAGCCCAGAGACCCGTTCGGGAGAAGGCATCTAACAAGATTTCTACCGCGGACTACAAGCGCACCAAGCGTCCTCCGCCACGCATGCAAGTCTCATCTTCCTCCAATACAACATCCACACGGGATCGATCCTTCGGGTCCCGCGCGCAGAACATGAAGACCAAACAAAGACCAGTCCGTCAGAATGGCGTAACCGGTGAGCGCGAGGTGAGCTTCATGCCCGCCTCCAAGTCAAAGAAGCAGAAGCCCGAAGTCCAGTACGACAAGACTGAATTCAAGCGGAAAGAACGCCGCAGCGCCTCGAACAACACATTCCGTAAAATGTGAGGCAGCGTATATTATCGAGCGCTGCATTTGGCACTATCAATGGCGTTTGGAAGGAGTTTGGTCTGTTCTCTCAGTCGGCTTGACAGAACTGGGTGTGTTTTTTGTTTTTCTCACGTGGTTCGAAGCTTCCACGATATCTATTCTTATGTTGCATGACGGTGTCGCCTTCAGCATTTAGAGCCTTCCTTTTGTTATATACCTCAATCAGCACCTAAAAGTATTTGAGAAATCTTCTATCTTGAAAGTTCAAATGCTTCTGCTACTTATAACACCTTGAAGCCTATCCGAAGACGAGTATAACCACTTTAGTGACGTGGGACTGGAAACCCTTTTATATCAATAGTGGGTTTCTCGGAACTGCACAATAGAGTCCTAACGAATCTTGAACATATTTCGTCAGATGGAATCGACAGGATTATCGCCTCCCATCATTCCCCAGAAATCAGCAATTTTACAATTCCACAACCTCATCCAACAGGGTAGAGGCGAATTCGGAACCGGTCTTCGCCTATGAATGTTGGGGGTTGGAAAATTGGACTGATCGGGTTGATGAAAGGTAGGACGAGTACGGGTCCTGTTAAATGAGGTAGGCGGCTTGGTATTTGGCCATGTGTAACTCTCTTGACATGGGGCAGCATGTCTCTCCTTATTGATTGTCGTCTGCGGAATCATATCTATTGCTTTTCGTTCAGTGCTACGTAGATGGTTGCAATAAGACCATGTGGAAGGTCGGAGAGCAGAATCATCACGCTCTTCAGATTCAAGGACCTGTCCTCTTCTAGTCGGAAGGCAAGCCCAGGTTCATGTATTAAGAGGAGAGCGGGGCAACGAATGAACAACCCATTACAGTCAATTGAATTGGTCCATATGTTTCGCGACGAAGCTATGTGCGCAAATGGAACCAAAGGCAAGAAAGGTAAGAACTAGACAGGTACAACAAGCCCCCAAGTCTATGAAAATAATTGCAGACGTGCGTACAGGACTCAGAGAGAAAATGGGAAACGTGTCCAATGTTAGAATGAATCTATGGAGAAAGAAACGGTGACCGATACCATTTTGAATCGAAGGGTCGATATCATATCTCAGGGAAAAAAAATAAAAAAAATAAATAACAGGCAAATTGTGGGGGTATTGGCAATGTACGTCAAAATTTGAGCAAAATCGGTAGGAAAAGAAGATTGAAGGTTGAAGCTGGGAAAAGGGCTTAAAGGACTCACAAAAGGAGAATCGCTTCGGTCGACACCTCAGTCTTACCAGCCAGCTCCACGGCGTGTGCTACCTCGTCTTGACGCACCACTGGTGTCCGCGCCGTGGGTGGCATGGCGATTCTCCTCCAGGCTGCGACGCGAGACACCAAAGTCGCTCATGGCGAAGAGCAGCGGCTCGTCATCCTCGAACATCGCCTGTGGAGGAGGCGCTCTGCTTGCGCCAGGACGGTGGATGGACCCGCGACGAGTTTCACTTGCCGAGTTCCCGCTGTTGCTGCCACTGGCATTGCCGTCATGGTCATCACGCTCGACGAGGTGAGACGGAACAGTGGCCCCGCGGGCAAGACTGCTGGATGCAGAACTGAGAGAATGTCCACCAGAGAAGCCTCGTCCACGAGAACTGGCAAAGCGTGGCTGATACAAGCTGGGCGAGTGAGACGTTGCTGAGGCTCGCGCCGCGTTCGGGCCGCGGCCGGCAGTACCGCTTGTCACACTCGACGGGCCTTCCGATGGTCGTCTCCCGGTCAGAGCCTCGGAATCGGGGTTGTCATCTTGGGGCCGCTGCTGTGGAACCGCGGGCGTCTCTGCGCCGAGACTCATGCTGCGGATGACTAGGTTGAAGATATCCTCATCATCACCCGAGTTAGGACGGCGATGCTGAGCAGCTGAGCTCGATCGACGGTATGCTGGCAAGAAGACACGGGGCGATGTTGGGATATCGATTGCGCCTGCAGCCGATGTGTTGGGTTGGGTGGCTTCTAGATGAGGGTTCTCCTCAACAGTTGATTCGTGATCCTGACGAGGACCTCGACGAGTCTGTTCGGTGATGAGATCATCCGCTACACTGTTTGAGCTTAGGCGTGACCGAATTGCAGGCGTATGTGGCGTGTGGGGGGAGATTGGTTTTCCAGGGGAGGAAGCCGTCGAAATAGAGGTACCGGAGATCATTGGTGGAACTCCGGAGAGCTGTTTGCTGGAGGACAACGAGGAACGTTGCAAGTGCACGGATGAGGAGATGGATTCGTAGAGGGCCGCGTTGGAGTCTCGCATCTGCTGAAAGCGTGCAAGGTTTGGTACGATACGTCTCTGCGTGTTGTCGGCGCTTCTCAGCGTACTCTTACGCATCAGATCCTTCGACGAGTCCAACATCTTCAAAAATTCGGAGATGTTTTCGTCGTCTGCATGGAGTGACTCGGCACTCGTTCCAGTGAGCTCTGAGAGGAGACCAGATCCCGGTTGAACATTGGATGAGGCTGCACTAGCCTTGCCACTGGAGTTATCATCTTCCAGCTTCATAGTGCCTGCCGAGGATGGCCGGCCTCGTCGATTGCTGAACGAGCTGGTGTAACGAGAGATTGGGACGGGTCGTGGGGAGGCTGACGTAGAGGAGGAGAAGGCAGGTTCTGATGCGAGAGAAGCAGACTTGCGAGCAGAGGCCGCAGAGGAGGGAGGCGGCATAGGACGAGAGTCAGCTGACGTTGCACCTGCAAATCGAGAGGAGGTAGTCCGCGGGGAAGCTCCGAGAGGAGTGTCTGTCAACGATGGCGATGCAGAAAGAGGTGGGGCTTTGAACGCTGGGAAAGAGACGGAGGGCCGTCGAGGGGAACTGGGCAAGCTTTCACTGGCAATTTGCGCGGCACGGCCAGGGGGTAGAATTCGTGCGGCTGGCACGGCCAAGGGTCGCTTTGAGTGAGAAGTAGAGGGGGACGAGGAGGCTTCGCCTGCCGAGTCCCTGACGGCGCGTAACGCAGATATTGGACTAGTCCCACTGTTCGCTCCAACCTGGTGATACGTGGACAAACTACCGTAGGCACGCGAGCAGTCTGGGTTGTCGGTCGACCATCGCTTGACAGGCATGGATCCGATCTCCAGATTGGGGCGAGCGACGTCGGTGGAAGGCAAGGACGGAAGAAAGATGTCGTCGTCAGCTCCCATGAATCGTGAGCTCAGGATCGCTTCGGAATCATCGACACGAAAATCGCAATTTGTCCGAAATGTGACCTCTACTCCGAAGGGCCCGGCAGGAGAGTCAGTTGGACCAAACCGATAGGTCTCCACGGTTTTTTCATGACCCTCATAGAGAGGCAGAGTTAGATGGTCCCGATTCACTTTGGGCCATGCATCATGCGGAGCCACCGTGGGATCAACGATACGGTATTTGACCTGCAGAGCAGGGCTTTGCCGCGCTGTCGAGGACAGTCGGGACAACTTCCAGGCTGGAAGTAGTTTGCAATACGTGAACAATGACCTGAAGAGAACGATACTCTTTTTGTACACTGTCGGCAGCATCGACCCCAGGTCGGCCGATGGCTTGCTGGTCGCATCTCCCAGCTCTATCCGCCATCGTTCGAGTATCACGTCGTCCGAGTCCTGGCGACTGGGATTCAGCCCAGTATCTCGAAACCCTGCAATCGAGTCCTGCACATCCCAGCGTTTCCCATGCTCATCCAAAATCACCAGACTCTGTTTATTCGAGAGCCCGGCAGGGTCTAGATAGGTTTCGATGATCAGCGGCGGGGGTCGGTTTGTGGTAGCATCGCAGGTCCGCCATGTCCACAATTGTTCTCGAAGAGCATCGGTATCTTCAATTTCGACATTGAACTGTCATATCCCCAAATATCACTCCGTTAGCGCTTGCCTTTTGGAACAAACAGGGAACCTCTATGCAGACAACAACACCGTGACCTACCCAGCGATTGATCTTGGGTGTTTTCGAGTCTTTTGTATATGCCAGCGGCAAGTCAATACGTGATTGAAGAATGATGAGAGCTGCTTTGGTATGGTAATTCTAGGGCAAGACGAACCGCACTTGTCAGAGACGTCCTATCCTTATCTGAAATTCAGCATCGTTGACTCCATGCTTACCGCAATGATTTGACTCAACTTCGCGAGGGCTTCTTTGCCTGGTGATTCCGAGTCTTTTGACGAGGGCCCCGGGGCTGATTCTGGATTTGCATCGATGCTGGGACCCCTGGTCTGATGTGACCGCCCCTCTGTCGCCGGAGACTGTGGCGCCGACTCGGACTCCCTCAAGTCGTCCCGGGCGGCAGCAGACTGAGAGGTAATCTTGGGCGGAGGCGGAATGGCGGGCGACCGTGGGTGCTGATGCATCTTGAAACTTTGGCCGGAGATGATCAGTCTTGATGGAGAGCGGGATCAAGGATGCAATGCTGCAGACCTCGACCCCCAACTGACAAGATCGGAGGGGCGAGCACTATCAGTTGTGGCGGAGTGTGTTATCAGGAAGGCGAGGAGGGTTCGATGGAGCTAGAGCCGCAGGCATGCTAACAAACGAGCCGACGAAGAAGGCTTAGATGCTTGGAGCAGAGAAAGTATGACGATACGAAGGGGGGAAGTGGATGAAAGGATGTGGCCGCGACCAGATGTGTGAGTGCAGGCAACTGCGCATCAGTGGATGGACGTTGAATGAAGTCTGGAGCAAGAAGCGGAACGCTGGAGAGCTTTGCGGACCCTCGGAGTCTGCAATGGAGCTTCTCCGCATGGACCGGCGGGAGCTCGTTGTCGGATAAGGAGGGTTGACGACTCGGCACAGCACAAGCACGATATTTGCTATCTATGCAATCATCGGGGCCGTCGTTTCCAACACTCGGCAAGGGACATGCACCGGGGGGGAAAGCCTTGAAAAGGGAAGAAAAGCAGCGCCAAGCGTGCGAAACAGAACTAAGATGTGAGACGATAGATGATAGATGGAGGACTAGTCAGTTGCAGAAGGGGGTGGAGAAGCATAGGGTCGAGGCTTTGATTCCGTCTTGTCTGTGACGCATACCTGGTGACTCGACTGGTCGACAAAGTTCAAGTCAGCCTGGAACGCCACCAACCAGCTGATTCAAGCGAGTGTCTGCTGGAAAGAATGTACGCTGGATGTCAGTTTCTTGGGAGATTCTCTAGCTGATCAAAGATTATTTTCATTCTATGGAGAGAGAGGAAGAGGGAGAGTCATGTGTAACTCGGCAGGTCCATCGACTCGTGCGATAGATAGGGAAGATGTCATCATATCATGGAATTCGTCACAAAGTATGCCGATGCTCTCTTATCAGGGCACCACTGCACATTCCCCCGGGCGCAAAGTGGACACAGCCTCAATAGTCAAATCTGGTGCGGGACAGGAAGATCTCCTTTTTTGAAGGATGACTACTACTCAAGGGCACACTATACGGCTATAGTAGTACGACCATGTCATTCCGTGCCTGGTCGCAGGTGATCTACCTGCCAGAATCAGAGCCCTCATCTCGCTGCCTCCTGGTCAAAGAGTATTCTCCCTAACCGTTGGAGAGATAAGGAGGAAGATTCACCTACCGTGACTATCAGGCGTATGCCAAGGAACGGGGGGGCGTCTACAGTAGAGACTCGAGAGATCAATCAATGGGCGTGAACTGCATGAGGTGCTTAGGCACCTATCCTCGAGCCTGCCCTTCGAAACGAACGTGTCATCTAAGATGTGCTTTACATAACATGTGATCAATGATGGCTCTCAGACTACTGATGGGTGTGTATCATAGGATTGAGATAGTGCTAATCCTGATCGCGCGTTTGATGATCAGTTCAAGGTCCCTCCTCCCATCCTTCCAGACCTTAAAATCGTACCGGAATACAACGAGTATATAGGCATGGGTTAGCCCCTTGTGAGACTGATTGATGCACCGGTCGTATATGCATATAAATGAATTATATTTGAAGGTGTATATAGCGACAGCAAGTACTGAAATCATGTGGCTCAAGCACATAGACGCACCTACCGAACAGAGAATATCTCTATTCTCCAGTACCTCATATACTGTGTAGTGTGTAGTGTGTAGTGTGTAGTGTGTACTACCTTGTACCATATAGGGGAACGGCCTGACAACCCTTCTGTTTAGTGTCTACTACTACTACTGACGACCACGTGCTCTTGTGATCTCATAAGGTATCACCTTTCAGCTCATTTAGGTGTTATGACCCCGGATCCATACCCAATTTTGCATACCATTTCAACCCAGTCAACGAAGCAGATCAGCATCAGGTGCCGATGGGCGCGGTCCCCAGTACCTAGGTAGTACCCTGTCCGTCTAGCATGTCCACGCTCCACTGTCTACCTGATTGCCCATGTCAGTTCCCCAAGCAGTCATCATCTCAGTCCATTCGGAGGTCATTATGAGTGCAGTAGGTACCTGTACACATCTATCATAATTTGATGAGTCTCTCCTCATCCAGGCCGCATACACGTGCACTAAGATACTGTGTATTACATTCAAGCGCATTTATTCGCTTGTCTGCTCAACAACCATCATGAGCAGATATCAAACTCCTTTTCGTCCCTTGATTTATGTCACCCCAGGAACAGCCTTTCAAAATATGGATACCAGTCTCGGTATTACGCCTCCCAAAAGTCTACAGCCGTGTGACGCCATCTCATCACACTAGACTGGATATGATATATCACGTCTACGGTGCATTGACGGAAAGCGGGTATCTACTCCAAATACTAGACGATCTCCATGACCAGGTAGTGGTCCGAGAGAAATGATCTCAGTGCTGCTGAGTGCTTTTTCATAGGTACGAGGATAATTCGTGAGTACTCTTGTAAGCGGTAGCAAAGTACGACTCAGTTGATAAGATTAGAACTTCCAGTTGATTACGCCCGACATTGAATTTAGGAATTACCCGGTCAGTCGCGAGTCTAGCTAAAGTGACCTTCCACTCAATCTAGGGGACAGCCTTCCAAGCCCTCTATGGCCCGACTTCACCGGTCCTTAGGAATAAGAAGGTACTATTAACCTACGGTCGTACTTGTAAGTAGGTACTACCTAGTGAGCAGGGGCTATAGACATTGCTTCACATTCTTTGCCTGCCACGTAATAGGATAACTTCTTTAGTATCACTCTGTAGCCAAGATAACGCCACCTGCTTTTCAGGTACTAAAGTTAGGTAGGCGAACGAGTGTTGGAGAGCAAGAAATTGTCTGGATTTCTGGGACTATGTACATCATAGGTCTTGTTAGTCGAGTGAAACGAAGATAGGCACATCGATCTAGAACAAGTACTTGTCTCTGGACTGGATCTCGATCGCCTGCAGTAATAAGGTGAGGTGGCAACAAATTGCAGTGCCAAAGGTGCGGATATGCCCATGTCGATTGAAAAGCCCACTACCAATTGTATTACAGGGTTAAGAAAAAGATGATGGAAGTTTATTTCAAAAGACGTTTTGATGTACCTGAACTTACCACGCAACAACAATAAAAAAAAATAAAACAAACGAACAAAAATATACCAGGAAACATTTTGGCTTGAAAATTTTCCAACACAAAACGACCGGGGGGCTACCGAATCAAACAAATGTTCAGGTCAACGTCCCATCTCACAACTTCCTCCTCAACGAGATCGTGGCATTTGGAGGCACCGAAGTCGTGTTGATCGTGTTCAACACTTTCACACTGCCCTCTTTCACATGGATATCAAACTTGGTGAAAAACAAATACAGCATAATCTTGATTTCGTTAACCGCCAGTTGACGACCTGGACAGGCCCATCTCCCCATTCCAAAGGAGAGGAACTCCGGCCCGGCTTGAACGGCCGCCCTGCCCTTTCTCTCCCATTGAAACCCATCAAACACCTCTCCGTCCGCTCCATAATTATCGGGATGCGTATGGGCACGGTTCACGAGAATCATGCACATGGCATCCTTGGGAAGCATGTAGCGTCCGATTTGGACGGGTTTGCGCGTGGAGCGGATTGGACCCCATGAGTCGCCCTTTGTGCGGAGGACTTCTCTCATGAAGGAGTCTAGTAGCGTCATTTGATTGAGCGTCTTGACATCTAGAGAGCCAGTCTCGGAGATGAGCGATGCCCACTGTTTTTGGATCTCCGGAAGGTACTCGTCCTGCTTCTCAGCCAGGCGGATGAGCATCCAGAACCCAGCCACGGCGGTTTGGTGAATCGAGGCAAAGATCATGCCCACACAGATGATAGCAGACCAGACAAATCCGAAAATCGCCCCGAAACCCGTTTTGCCATGGTAATTCTTGGCCAAGAGGACATCGAACATAGGCACGAAGGCGCCGTGACGGGCCGAGAGCCCATTCCGAAGATGCTCGTGTCTGGTCTTCCATAGCGCGGGCATCACACAGAAGAAAAAGGCAGGCATGATACAGAAGAGGACCGCCCATGCTCCATTCACAATCACCCACAGAAAGGGGAACCAGGCCCATCCGTTGGTGTTTTCGTGCATGCCTGTCATGTGAGCCATGGCCACAGCAACAGATACAAATCGGTCGGCTGTTTCTGAAGAGGCATGTTGGGGGCCTAGGATAAGAACGACCATCGCATGGCCAATGGCTTTCTGTATGAACTTGAAGAGGTCGGTGAACTCCACGGCAGTTTTGTCATCGGCTGGGCTCGGCAGCGTCCTCGCCAATTCATCAAAGTAAGAATCAAAGACTGGATAGAGGTTGTCAATGATAGCGTTCATGCGTGGTTGCACATTACGCTCCACGACATTGTCCAAGTCATGGACAAAGCGACCGCCATCAAACAGCGCAATGAAGCCGAAATGCAGCAGGTCCAGGGCCGCCTTCTCAAAGGTGAAGTTTTCGTTATCCGTCAGGACATCTTTGGCGTATCGATGATCAATAATGTATTCATGTCGGCCATGTCGAGGCACGATGATCACAGGTCCAAACTCGTCCAGAGCTCTGCTATAGGCCTCGTTGACCTGCGGAGATCGTCTCACATGACTGGGGATCTGGATGATCGGCGGTGTAGCGCCTTGAGGAGTAGTCATTTCCATGCGGTTTGTGACCGTAGACTGCGACCGTGACGATTCTGACGTCCCAAGACCTTGATCAGGGCAGTGTGGCAATTGTCAGTCAATTGACCAGAAAAGTTTCAAACTCACCTCCTCGAAGACACAAATATATGTTCAAAGCAATGTAGAATGGATCGGGAACTGATCCCTGACCGGCGTCCATGATACCCCCGCATCGCATATAACTCGCACCTATCACAAACACGGGAATTGGGAGCAACCCATGCTAGTGTGTGAGGTCAAGACGCGGCTAATGTGCAACCGGTCTCTGGGAGTTCGAAGCTGCGCTCAGCGAGCAGCATTCGTAGAATCGTAGTATAACGTCGAGGATTATTTGAATAGATATACCTCTACATAGTTGAGCGCGTTTGATGTAAAATTTGCGTCGAGATTTACAAAAAAGAATAGGTGTAAGAGTACCAACAGTAATGTGTACGGCACACTCCTCCCGCCGGGTCGGGTTGTAACCTTCGAGTGCACGAGCCTTGGGGAATGAGGAGCGGGACAGCAAGGCCACGTCTGTTTCATGTTTAGGTTTCCACTACTGTTCCCGAATCTTCCGAAGGTAAGAACGAAAACTTGGCCAAGGAGAACGTATACGGAGAATGGTCTGGAAACAGCAAGGCATGAATAAGTATGGAAGCCTCGAGGGCTTGCACAAGGTAGCACCGTTTTGAATGGTGAATGAAGGTTGAAGTGGACTATCAACATTAATGTAACATTGACTGACTTAAGTCAATGTAATCCTCTTCTCTTCCATGGCTGAGACCTAGGTTCTCCTCTCATGTATGCGCAATCTAAGGGAGATCCGAGCATAACGTCAACCTGACCAGTGGAGCTGTGCCGAGGTATTTGCGGGACGAATTGAATGCAAGGAATAGTAATGGAAATAAACTCCTAACTGTCTTTCCATACAGGCAAACGAGTCTTAGTCGAGCTGCGAGGCAGTATTCATCATACATACCCAAATTGAGGCGCAATGTTTTCTTGCGCACTGCTCCAGCATACAGATTCACCAAGTGATTGGCTTCGTCAGTATAGTGGGATCCTGCTTCAAGTTGGAGTCATTCGAGCCCAGACGAAGGATTACTTCAACCAGCTTGAGCAACACAGGCTCAAGCTCGGTACCAAGCGCAATGGGATCCAAAATGCTGCTCAGAACAGTCTCACTTGAACAGCCACTCGGAGCCTGACCACGAAACGCATTCTCAATAAAGGAGATTGTCCGTGGTAAAGCAACAATCTCCGTTGTCAAGTGCCCACCAGTGGCGAACGTGGTGAATTTGACGCTGACCCCGTTTTCGCACCACGAGCTGACCAAAGCAGATGCGTTCGAGTACGGGATGATCTCATCTTGTGTCGCATGATATACGAACACAGGGGCAGTGGGCGTTTCGGTCTTGTTGACGCCCAATGTATTCTGAGCGAGAACCTTTTGGATCGTCGGCTCGTACAACAGCTCTCGGCCGAGGCTTTGGAACTCAGTCGACAGGATCGACATGTCCGGGAAGGTGAGCAGATCAACCGGTGCGCAGTTCTGACGGGCAGAAGCGAGTGCCTGTGCTCCTGTGGGAGTCACGATGCTATCGATCACGGGCTTCAACTCGGCACCATACGCGCTGGGCATGGAAAGACCAGCCACTGCAGCGGGAAGAAACCCGCTGAAGAGGGTATCGTCAAGAAAGAGCAAAGTGCCGGTGAGATTGGCCGGTGTGCCGCCCTGAGCCCAGCCCTTGATGTTCAACTCGGGAGCATAGGTGGGTTGCAAGGAAGCGGCCCAGCCTGTCGCAATAGCACCCCCCGAGTATCCCGTGCCGACGATCATGGGATTGGCCGCGGTCAATCCAAGACTCTTGAAATTGGAAACGGCACGCATGCTATCCAGCACTCCCATACCTTCCAGATGGCCGGGCGAAAAGGCTGCATCGGGACCTTCATAGTCTGGCGAGCTGACAATGTTGCCTAGCGCCAGGTATGTCTGAATGATCAACTGCTCGGCTGAAGAAATGAGGTCAGTTTGTGCGGCAGCGAGGCGATAGTTGTAGCTCGGATCGCAGATAGTGGCTGAGCTGTCGTAGGCCGTGTGCAGTGAGATGAACCGGTCCTTTTTGGCCAGGAATGGCACGAACACAGTGGTCACCGCCGCAATGGCCGAGCCATCAATGGCGGTTGTTCGGTAGAGCAATTGATAGGCCTTGACGGGGTCGAGAATTAACCCTAAAAAGGCAACGTCGACTTCACGCTCGCGCAGAATAGACCCGGGCGGCTGCAACTCGAATCCAGCGGGAGGCTGGTAGAAAGGGTCTTGACTTGGCGGCAGTGGAATTGAGCGTTGAACATTATGTGCTGATGACGGTCGGGCAAGGGATGGAGCAAAGACACAGGCCAACAGGAACACGACCACGAGGCGTAGAGAAGAGCCTCCCAGTGACAGCGCCATGATGACCGCTCGAGCCCTTGACTATTTCCGACTCAATGAAGGCTGGCCGGATTTGCACTTCAGACGCGGCGATTTGATTAGGCACCGAGTGCCCTCTATAGTCAAAACCACGTCGAACCCACGAATATTCAAGTGACCCATGGTGAGACATGCAGGGTCTAAATAGCCCCAATTAATCTGCCGAGGTTCGGAATGTTCAAATTTATTGACCATCAACGATCGACATTGTTTTGCTTGACACTGGTTTTGTGTGCTTGATTTCCATCTGTGCACCATGTACCAAACTGAATGATCTGCGAAATTGGTTGGCCTCATTTTTCAGCCATCCGAGTTAGAGAGCTGACTATGGTGAGAACGAGGTGCAGCGCCGAGTGCCCACTTTGCTACTTTACGAGCTCCTCCCCTGTTTTGCTGTGATCCGCTTTGTACATTCTTGAAAATTCAAGCTCCGAGTTTTGCAGCGACCTTGCCGTCTCTGAAAATGGCAAGATAGGCTCACATGCATGAATCAGTGAAGAGCTGATGACAGTCGGCGTCCACTGGTACAGTAGTATGTCTCTCGACTGTGATAGACAATGCCATGCTTCCTTAGCACGTAGGATCGACACGGGACCCCGCAGAATCACATTCACCGAGATCGATGTTGATCGTCTTCTCACGTGAAGAACCTTGGCCATTACTACAGTCTGTCGAGATACCCAGGTCAAGAAGGAGGTCATAACGTAGGTACCTCCTGGGTAGCCTTAGGAAATACTAGCCTTAAGGCCTCGACTACCCATTCTTCCTGGATATCATGTGACGTGGGAGCATGTTCCACATGTGTGAATAGAAACAGTCTAGACTCTAGACAGCGGTAGCTTTCCTCAATACGCTGTCCGTGAGATCCAAACTAGCACATGCGGACTTTCCTTCTGCCCTAGTGGTCATCAATGACTTCGAATGTCTAGTAACGTCTCCGGTGAAGCTACCGCTTTGAAAAATACTATGGACGATTGACGAAGACATGACTGGGTATTCGATACTATCGGGCATCTTCACATAGCCCCTTGTGATTACCCCGTCCTCAACAACAAAGAGCTGGCTCAGTATTGCCGTTCAAGGCTCCAAAGATTCCGTCTCTCTGAAATGCTCACCCATATGTCATTTGCTGGTACCTGGTCTTCGGTCCGGCTCGATGGACGTAAGGATGTTTCGAACAATGCTTATTAGCCCTGCCCCTGGAGCTCCCGATGCTCCCGATGCTCCCGATGCTCGTGAGGTTGTAGCCCAGCCTGTGGCACTACACCTGGGTTGGCATGCGGAATGACGGATAAGATCACAGATTTAGTTGCTGGGCCACATCATGATCGTACCCATTGTCTCTATCGATGGCCAGGTCCACATCAATCCTCATGCCTTGCCGGCGCTGTCTTCGCGTTCAGCGTCCGCGGGGGGGGGGGTTGATTCGGGACCGCAGCACCGGAGTATCTTCAGCGCCTCTGTAATGTCACGCAGCTCGAGATGCATGCGTCTTCCCCATGGATCTACCGATGTTTACCCTCACCCGGTCTGCACGTTCGCTGCCAGGCTGAACCCCTCTCTCCTTGCGGCCAGCCGTGATGGGTGACTCCCCCACGGGCTCCCAAAACAGGCGCACATCGATCGTTTAGAGTCCAGCCCTGTCCGCCTCTCATCGGAGCGCATGGAGGGACGTAGTGGGTGCCATTGGCTCCGAGCCGGCGGATGGCCCACGCACGATGGATCCACCAAAGTCAAGTATGACACAGCGAGGACGAGGTGGACAAAGAGTCCAGCACTCGACTCGCCGACTGCGCGCACTGCTTCCCTTCCTTCATCTTATCATCATTTGCGAGCGTCATCTAAACTTTCTTCCTTCATCGCAATCCAACTCCCTGTCGATACTGCCCTCCCCGCTCGAGCACCACCTCCTGGTCAGCAGTCCGGAAGTCCGTTCGCACTCCCAACCCTTGTCTCTTTAAGGACAGCTCATCGCCACCACAGCGGGCCTCTCTTTCGCGAACCCCACAATCCAAATTGTCCCTGCGCGTGGTGTGAAATCTCATCGCCTTGTTCAACCGTCATCCGGGTTGTCAAGACACCATTTCATTCGAGTCAAGCGATACGAGCCAGACCATCATCGTCTTGTTCCTGAACCCAGAAGAATCGTCTTATCTCCCTGCTATCCCGCTGCTTCATCACCCCCCACGTGTGGTGACGGCAACGCTTCGGCGCGGGCTTGATAAGAGATTCAACGACTCCACCACACAGGGCACATGAGTAGCAGGCTTTGGGAATATTTCATTCAAAATGACGTGGAGAGCTTTGAACGGTACCTTGCAAATGTCGCGACATTTGCGGGACCGCGGGCCTCTGGCGCACCGGGCGCAGCGGCCATGGCCGCTGCCATGAGCCTGTCATCGAGAACTGGAAGCCCCGGCGGCGTGGCTCCGTCATCCCCAAACTCGTCAAAGCAAAGAAAGACATCAACCTCATCACCAGGCACCTCCCTTCCAGAACGGTTTGGAACCCCGCGGGGTAATCCGGCCTTGTCACGCGCGGACCTGAATGCTCGTGATCACTTCGGTCGAACGCTCTTGCATCACATCGCATCCTCTCCAAAATCAACTGCAATCCGATATGCACGCGCCTTACTCGAGATCCCCTTCCTGGACATTTACGCACAGGATTGGGAGAGCGGCTGGACAGCCTTGCATAGAGCTCTCTACGCGGGAAATGCAACGATCGCGCTGGCGCTCCTGACGCGAGATACGCGGGATATGACAGACTATAGCAAGCCGGGTCACACGGCCCAAACGGGGAATTTGATCAAGATCAAGGATCGTGAGGGATACAGTCCGTTCGATATATATGGGTCAACGATCACTTCGCGAAATCTGAAGCCAGCGACCCCGTCACCGGAATTGATGCGAGCTGTGGGGCCAAATGTCGAAGCAAATAGTGCTGCGTTCGAGCAGGATTCCGACTCCGATTCTGATTTTCATGATTCCGACTACGAGTATTTCGACAACGAGCCAGTAGTTAAGGAAGTTGCAGTTGTGGTTCGAGGCGCTTTGAAGTCCCGCAAGGATTTCGCTGCAGACGAAATATTCACCTTGGGTAGCAATAAAAATCTGAACCTGGGCCTGGGAGACCAGGACGATCGACAGTTTCCCGAACGAATTGTGCTCAAGCGTCCCGAGCACTTACTGAGCCGATTCTATCAAGAGCATCTGGAGCAAATGGAAAAGCTTGGCCTGGATGATCTCATCGTCGACAAGGAAACGAAGGATCTGCCGACCGTCATCAAGAACAAGCCAATGAAGCTGAAAAACATTGCCATGTCAAAGCTGCACACAGCTGTCCTGACGGACGATCCTGAAGCCAATCTGTTCATGTGTGGCTTTGGCCCGGGAGGCCGACTAGGAACCGGCGACGAGGCGACTCGGTTCAGCTTTGTATGTATCGAAACGGGCGGACTGGCTGGTAAAAAGGTCGTATCCGTTGCGCTCGGACAAGATCATAGTCTGGCAATCACCCAGCAAGGTGAAATCCTCAGCTGGGGCAGCAACAAGTTTGGCCAGCTTGGTTATGGTCTACCCAGGACAAGCAACAAGAACGATGTTCCCATTCAAAGTACACCTCGACAGATTTTCAACCCCTTCAAGAAGGAGGTTATTTTGGGAGCAGCTGCGTCTGCCATCCACTCCGTTGTCTTTAGCAGCGGAGGTCTTTATACCTTTGGCAAGAATGAAGGGCAACTGGGACTCGTGGATTCAGATGCTCGGTCTCTCGAAGTACAGACAACTCCACGGCGAGTGGGTGCATCGCTATTCAGGGGTGCTATTGCGATGGTGTCCGCCATTGATCGAGCCACCGCCGTGCTTCTACAGAATCATGAAGTGTGGGTCTTCTCGCAATACGGCTACTCCAAGATTTCATTCCCTCTCGAAGCAAGCTCGAGGTTCATCCGGGACAGCTTCATGGCTACGCGCTATGGCGGTGGTGTCAATCACGTTGTGAAGTTGACATCCGGTGGTAACACCATATGCGCTCTGTCAAGTTCGGGCGACGTTTTCACCGTACATGTCAACAAGTCCGACGATCCCTCTATACCAACTTCCACAACCAACCCAACCAAGATCCGCAACTCGCTCGCGGCACCCGAACGAGCCTGGTCCGTGAAGAAGTCGCACATGGCAGCCACCGATGTCGACGTGGGCCAAGATGGCTCGATCATTATTTGCACTGCTTCGGGCTCAGCTTTCAGGAAAGAAAAACGCAACAAGACCAAGGATGGCGCTTCGAAGGATTTTAAGTTCGCTCGTATTCCCGGCCTTTCAAGCGTGGTCGCCGTCCGAAGCAACGCTTTCGGGGCCTATGCGGTCGCGCAGAGGGACTGCGACGTGACTCGAGAGCAAATCCATGTTTCCGAGAGCGCTCTGTGGGAGGATCTCTTGCCTCTATCGCCATTCATCCATCCCGCTCAGCAGGACGTGATATCAACCCTGCTTCAAGATCTGGAGGGTGAGTCTGGCTCACTTACTGCTGCCATGGCGATGAAGAGAGCGATCCTCATGTCGCCGGGGATTGAGGATCAATTCCTGGCTGTCCGTTCCAAAGGAACTGTTTGGATGACTAGCACGGTCTCTGATGTGCGGATACCCGTTCATGAGTTTCTGCTTGCCGGGCGCAGTCCCGTGCTTCGGAAAGCTCTACGAGAGTTCCGAGAGTCGTATTACGCTTCTGTGCCCAACGTGTTCGATATCGAGTATGGAAAGGATGGCGCGACTCAAGTACGGCTTATGGGCGCCGATCCTCTTACTGTGATGAATATCGTGTTCTTCCTGTACACTGACAGCATCCTCGACGTCTGGCACAAGGCTAAGAGCTCTCCTCAGAGTGCAGCCCGCTACCGTCAAGTGCGCATTGAAGTCATGAAGGCTGCCACGCACCTTGCATTACCTAGCTTAGAGCGTGCCGCGAGGTTGGTGGTTGAACCCGAGAAGACTCTCAAGACTGACATGGCCCACGCAATCAAGCACGCATCGTTCTTCGATGATGCGGATGTCGTTGTAGACTTGGCACAAGGGGACACTGTCCACGTGCACAGCCAAGTTGTGTGTCAACGTTCTCCATTTTTTGACACTTTGTTCAACGGCCGCTCGGGCGGTGCGTGGTTAGCGCCACGGAGAAGCGGGTCTTCGGACAAGGTAAATGTGGACTTGAAACACATTCCCCTATCAACGTTTGACTTTGTTCTGCGTTATCTCTATGCAGATTTAGAGGAGCAGCTATTTGACGAAGTACGGACCAAGAATCTGGACGAGTTCATTGACATCATTTTGGACGTCATGTACGTGGCGGACGAGTTGATGATTGATAGACTGTCGCAGATTTGCCAAAAAATGCTTGGTCGTTTTGTACATGTGCGGAACATCTCCTACTTCCTCAATTCTGTCGCAACGGTCTTCGTCTCCGAGTTCAAAGAAGCTTCGTTGGAGTACATGTGTCTCAATCTCGAGGCCATGTTGGCTAATCGATATCTGGAAGATCTGGACGATGATCTTTTGAGGAGGCTTGACCACGTTTGCAAAGAGAACCAATTGGCGTGCTTCCCTGTCTCCCGCGGACGCAATTCGGAGGAGTTCGTCTTTGAGAAATACCCCGAGCTCGTGGCCTCGGTCGAAGTGGACAAACAGCGACGGATCGATGCGATGGCCTTGCAATCTCGGCTGAGGGAATTCGAATTATATGACCCTCGGCCCCGTGCATCCGTCGCTGAAAAGCTTACCGCGTCACCACTTACACGGAAGGGCAAAGCAACAGTCTCACGAGATACAGAGAGCTCCGTGAATAGCCCGATGCTAAAGCCGAGACAGTCTACCAACGATCTCATGTTCCAGATGGACGATGAAATGGTGTTGTCTCCTCGAGATGCCGGCAAAGGGAAGGCTGTGCTGCGTAGTCTTGGCACCGAGGACAGATCCTATCCAGATTCTCCCGCCTTAGGAGCGAGTGTTCCAGACGGTGGCTCTTTGGGCGACGGCACGTACTTTGACGAACGTATGTCTTCTCCCCACGAGGCGCTTCTTTCGGAATCTCCTTCGGAGGTAAGAGCCATTGCCATGCAAAGGAAACGAAGTGTAGTTTCGCCTGAATCCGGCGGGGCTCCTTGGGGCTCTATTGTCACTCTGAACGCCAAGAAAGATCTGAAAGGCATCATGGGTGAAACCTCGCAGACACGGGTATCCAACCTTACCCTGGGCATGGAGAGTCGACGCGAGAGCAGCGGAAATTTCAACGCCAAGCTGTCACAAAAGGAGCGAAAGAAAATTCAACAACAGCAATTGCAAGAAAAGTTGGCTGCGGCGCAGCAAAAGACTCAGGATTCGCCAAAGAATCCATGGCAATCGGTATCACAAGCTGCTTCCAGATCACCCAGCAAAGATCCTCTGCCGGGCCAAAAAGCACCTAATAAACCCACCACCGATCCCTTTAAATCTAGCCAGAAGCCTGCTATGACTTTGCGACAAACCATCGCAGGGACAGCTTCACCCCCTGCTAGACCAATCGCGACACCTGCCAGGCCTTCTGATCGCAGCGTCCCTGACACTTCAGCGTCACGTTCTTTCTCAAAACCCTCACCTTCAGTTCCTCCAGTATCCTCACCACCCTGTTATCAACAACCCAAAGCTTCGCCTCAACCAGCCATTCAATCTATCCGCCACATCCCACGTCAAGACCCTAACAGGCCATCTTCCTCCGGGAGATCCCTGTCCCTCGCAGCAATCCTGCTCCAGCAACAATCTGAAAAGGACGAGATCCGCGAAGCCGCAACCGCCAAGCACAATCTGCAAGAGATCCAAGCTGAACAAGAGTTCCAGCAATGGTGGGACCAAGAGAGTAAACGTGTCCAAGGACTTCTTGACCCAGAACCCAACGGTCAACCTGACGGCAAAGCCGGTGCTAGTGGTGCCTGTGGTCGTGATGGCAAGGCCTCTGGCCCAAGTGGCAATTCGCGAAAGCGCCGGGCCAACAAAAGTGGTACTGGTGCCCCTGGGAGTGCTCCTGGTGCTACCGGCGCTGCTGGCGGTAGCAGTGCCAGTCTTCCTCGCGAGAATGGCAATGCACCACCTTCCCAAGCACCTGCCACTCCAAGGAAACACGCCAACGGTCCTCGCCCTTCACCACATGGACAGACACCTGTCCCCGTACGCGGGAACACCCCTTTAGGCCCGAGTGGTGGCAGGAATGCTCGACGCGGCGGAGGACATCGTGGCGGAGGTGGTGCCGGCGGAGGACATCGCGGCCGAGGCAAAGAACGAGTTCAGACCTGAGCGAAGGCGCAAAGTCCTTCGTACAGCATGAGCGGTACCTACTACCTCTTCCACCTCACGTAATATTTTGTTCGGGCCGAAGGCTCTATATACGTGCACTATCATATGGGCTACAGCTGTATATTTCCTTTGGCACGGCGAGAGAAAGGCGTCATAAGGCTGTTCCCTTGCTTGTTTCCCCAATATTCCATTGGTTTACGAGCATGGCAGGATTCACGACATTTTTGAAGAGTCCGATATTGGATATGTTGTAAATACCCGATTTTTTATGTCATTCTACTTCATTCAATACTGCCCTGTGCTCGAGATTCCATGGCAGGCGTCTGTTATTGCATTCCTTGGCTTGGTAGGTAGCCAAGTGGGACTTGAAAAATACAGTGAGTGGACCTTTGGTGCTGGACTACGAATGATGTGTTTCCGAAGCTCTTGAATCCGAATCTTCAAGAGGAACAGTTTTCTCTTAGCTCCCTTGTTTCAGTCACTTTTCGCACTACTTTGGGGCGTGTAAGGTGTCAGGGGATGAGATGGAAGAATGCATTCATTGATATAGAAGTTGTCATGTTCGCTGAAAATGAGCTGATGACTCCAAGGTGCAAAGCCCCGAAAGAAAAAGTAGCACGTTCTGCCCATATGTGCAGAGAATCAGGAATTCGAGGAGGAAAAAAAAGGAAAGGTACAAACACAAAGCTCTCGCATGCTAAATTGACCGAATCAAGAGCCAGAGAGCGAAGAAGACACGGATGAGCAATCATGAATGTGGACATGAACATAGAATCGAAAATTATGGTGATGCTGGTGATGAAAGAGACGCGATTCACGATCAGCCTGAGGTAGCGACCTCTCGAGTTTCCCACATACGTCGAATCATTAGGTCAGTCTCACTAAGGGCAGGGAAGTCATCGGGAGAATGATCGCTCGCCAAGCCATGCGTCGCTTCGTCGGAAGTGGAAAGAAGACGGTGGGCAGGGTGAGAAGAGCTTCCGGCTGGGACAGCATCAGAGGGGTCGCTCTGCGCTGCGGTGTCCTCGGAGGGAAGTGGAAGACCGGCGGCTGATCGCCGATTGTCAGAGCCCGAGCCAGAACCCGGTCGAGTGGGTCGGTTTGCTTTCTGGAGAAGAGTCAGAGATGGCTCCGACTTCACTGGCTTGCCCATAGCGGATGCATGTTCGGTGTTGACCACCCGAGTCTTGGTGGCACGGGCGATAGCGCGAAGACGCTGGAAGCTCTCAGCAGTAGGCGAATGAAATCGACGAGCTACCGTCAGTTCCAAGGACGTCTTTTCATACGCTTTGCGGATGCGACGGGCCTCGGTGTCATTGCCGAGTCCCCCAGGTCGGGCGCCGCCAATTGTGGAAGGCCCTCCCTCGTATGTAGACCCATTGCCAAAGGACGTATCAATAGTTGAAGGAGTAACAGTTGCAGACAGGCCGTGAGAGTCAGGCGGAGAGTTGTTCAGCGTAGCTGTCCGTTGAAGCCACAATTTCTGCTGCGTTCGAGAAGGCAAATCAAGACCCCGAGGTCGTGCTGGGGAGGCAACGGCTCGGCCATTAGAGATCTTCGGAGAAGGGGGTGTTTGCGGGTGATAGTGTGGAAGAAAAGAGGAAGGAGTGTTCGGATCCGAGTCGTTTCTTGATGAGGACTGGACGCCAGACTTGTTGCTCATAATAAATCTGGAAACACCGCCTTCCATAGAGGATGACGTAGCGCCGGGTTGACTGCCGCTGCCATGTTGAACTATCGACAAGTTCGAGGTAGAGAAGTTTCGCCGCGCAGCACTAAGGCCACTAGTCAGGGTCAAAGAGGTGCCACGCGAGGTCGGGTCGGCTGGTTTGGCGACTGCGGAGATAGATGACATGGCAGGCGGAGCTTTGGCCGAGTGCGACGGCCTCATCAGACGTGTTGCAATGTCAACTTGGTCTGCCACAGCTGACTGGCCGGGAACTTGCGACTCGTCCACTGTTCCTTTTGCGTCCGTCTCGCGATCGTCGTTGTCGTCGCCGTGCTCGTGCTCGTGCTCGTGTTCCTCGTCGTGCTCGTTTTCCTTATCGGAGTACTGGTCGAGCTCTTCTCTGACGAGCTTGCTTGTGATAGAATCAGGCAAACTGGTGGCCCGAGGGATCTGCGGGTAAGGTCGCTTCACAAAGGTCAGCGGGTCGACCAAGACCTGCGTGTTCTCGGTACTTTGATTCGAAGGCGCAACTGAATTACGCCTCGTACTTTCGGGTGACTGTGTGGTATCTTCCCACTCCTCGGTGTCGTCGTTGTCATCTTCAGCCAGCTCGAATCCAACGGACTTCTTCTTTCCTGCACTCGTGAGGGGTCGATCGGTGACCAGTGCCTTCTTCGTAATCGCCGAATGATTGCGTCGGAGAACCGGCGTCGAGTAATTCCTCTTCATCGACGGGTTGGCAGGTTGGTCATTTACAGATCCAGCCCAGCGTACATGCGATTCACCCTTGGGGCTGGCAATAGGAGTTACGGGGGCGGATTTCTTGCGCTGATGATGACGGGCGGTGGTCTCGGCGCCTAATTGGAAGCGCTGTAGCTTGTTGAGATTCTTGCCGAATGATGGATTGCGACCGTGAGTGCGATGGCCGCCTCCGACGACATGTGCCCGATGGGCCTTGTGGTGAATGTTGGCGGTACTGGTCGACCTGGAGGAGTGAGATTGAGACAGCTCGTTCGTGTTGGTGCTGGAGTTGGACTGAGACCTCGTGACAACCGCATGTGAAGACACCGCGCGGCGGCCCAGACCGGGACGCTTAACCGGAGAGGAGGTGTTGGTTGGCATGGCGGCAAAAGGCTCGCCAGAGAGCGGCGGATAAAATCAATCAACGAACCGGGGGGACATGGAAGGGGATTGGCCGAGGCAAAAGGGCAGGTCGCACTGCAGCTCGGACGTGCAGATGAAAAAGCAACAGGATTGTCCGGAGCTCAGATGCAGGGAGGCGCTCACACCGCCCCGCTCGAGCCTTACGAGCTTATGGAGTCACCGCTGGGCGATGGAGACACTTGTGCAAGAGAGTGGGTGGTAGTGCCGATGACTGGAAGGAGGTGGCGGAGACCAAGAGACAGGATGAGAGGTGAAGCGCGGAGTGAAGTCGACGAGAAGTGAGGGGACCAGAGATGGGGTGGTTGAAAAAGGAAGTGCGATGGTAGAAGAGTGTGGAACATTGTTCGGGGAGTTGCACTCGCCTCGCTGTCTTCGGCGATGGGTTGGGGGGCGGCCTTCGGTGAAGTACATCAGTACAGTACTTCGGGTACGGATACACGATCGTCAGAGATGGAGGTACATGTACATACGTAATGCACAATTGCACAACCATCAGGTAACCATGCAGATGGCTGACTGGCTCATTACAATAGCGAGAATTCGGTCAACGTCTTATGTACCAGGCAAGACCGGAAGAGACGAGAGTGCTTATAGCAGTACCTTATTCAACTTAGGAATATATCAATATAGTCTTACATTTGTTCTTCAAATGGCACACCCCCAGTCAGCCTCATTCTACTCGGAAGCTAGCACTGCCATTAGGCTCTAGGGGAAGGCCAACAGTACACACTAAACACTACATACAAACTTGCCGATTCGACATACGCAGTCCCACCATCATCAGACACTTGAAGATTCATCGTAGTCTCGTATTGTGTGCACGTATCACTGACAATCGTGAAAGGTTCGGACCAGGTCCACCAATTGTGGGGAAAAGCTGGAGTTCCCGCACTTCTCGATCTACATACTCCCGATCCGGAAAATGATATGGAATGCTGTCTGTGCGAGGACAGCCAGACAATGCTTACTGGGTGTAAAGGAAAGAAAGTGAAATGAAGAAGCAAAAAATGTCTGAGGTATCATTGAGTACGCTGAGATTGTTAGTGAGAAAGGCAAGTAGCCGAGACAAGAAGAAAGCGAGGTTGGGCGTATCCGGCGACGATGGAGAATTGAACCCATCATCAAGGGAAGCTGCAGACGAACTAGAGCTCAATCAAGCTCTCTTCCACAGGCTGGGGTGGAGGGTGTGAGGGAGCAAGTTGTGTTGGGGTACCGTTCGGGTACGCACCCGGCTGACCCGCGCCGACGTGAGGGTACCCCGAAGATGCTGCCCCGGCTTGCTGAGGGACGTGATAGTAGGAATGAGGAGGTGCCCCGGCTGCATTTTGGCTAGCTTCAGGAGCGGCGCCCGCGTGGGGAGGAGATTGAATTGCTTCGGTAGAATAGATACCAGGCGCACTAGGGGCGAACCCTGCGTTGGGCGGATACTGAGAGTCAGACCGCGGCGCTGGAGAGGAATGATGAGTAGGTTCAGTATAGTAAGATTGGGTCTGCTCTGGCTCTGGGTGGGGGGCGTAGTACTGAGAAGCACCGGCCGGTGCTGGAGCTGTTTGATTGTTGGACGCCGCACTGCTATGTGGTTGAGCCGATCCGAGAGAAGGGTATGGGTTTTGACTCCAATTGTTGTGAGCTGCCGGTCCATAAGCTTGGGCGCTTACTGCAGACGGCTCGGCAGCGCCGCTGTAGTAGAAGTTCTCGGCACCAGCTTGTAAGTCGGGCGCATGAGCGGCCATGTGAGGCATTGCAGGGTATGGTGCAGTACCAGCAGCACCGCCATAGCCAAGCGTATGTTGAGAATAAGCACTAGATAAACGCTCTTCTAGCATTCTATCATAATAGCGAACGACAGTAGAGAGCTTCGAGTGAAGGTCAAGAAGTGTGTCTGATCATGATCAATGGTTAGCAAAAGAGTCACAGCGCTTGATTCTCTTCCATTTCTGTCGATCTTACCGTGCTTGCTCATTGTTTCACCATAACTCCGTGCCAGCTTGGGTCGGAGTGTGCCGATGCTCTCGTACAATTCTTGAATTTGCGGCTCGCGAAGAATAGTCCCTGGCGGCTGGTGCTGCAGACGATCCACGAGGGTCGCAAATAAATGAATATTCTCTGCTTCAACGGCACTCAGCTCGTACGGGTTCTTGGTGAGCGGGGCAGAATCGGATGAATCCTGGAAATTTGCGGAAGGTGGAGAATTGCTTTTCAAAGTAGCTGCATGCTTCTGCTTATGTTCTTCCATGTCCCGAAGCGACGCTGCAATTGCAGCCTTCAGATCGGCGTCATCCTCTTCATCATTCGAAGGTGCCTGTGCCGATGTAGAAGTTTGTGTGATGGTTTGGGGTGCGTTGCCAGTCTGGGGCACAAAGCCTGTTGGACCTCTGCCTTCAGCTTCCTCGAGACTCATCTGCAGTGCTCGCCTTAAATCATCATCGAAGCTCGTGTCCGCCTTGGCACCCCGGGGCTCCATAGAGTTTGACTTGGTGATTGAATGATTCTTAAACGCCGATCGATCCGACAGGCCCGCTGGGGCATGTGACTTCGATGTGAGCTTGGTATAACAACCGTCATCGACTCGCACAGGTTGAAGAATTCCAAGATGTGGGAGTGGGAGCACTTTGCTTGAACATTGCTGATCGAATACGTTTCCGCAGTTTCGACAATGATGCTTCCTGTTCATGAAACTGAAGGCGGTCCGACAGCGCATGCAGACATCGGAGTCGATCCACTCCGGCGGCTAAACATCCGAGTCAGCCAAGCTCCCAGCATAGGTCTTTCGCAGGCATAGAGTGGAAACACTCGGTACAACGTACAGCATTACTCTCCAGCATCGACCCACTCATCTCTGTCTTTGGTGGAAATTGAAATCCTTCGCTCTGGAGCTTGCGGTAGGTTTCCCCCAGATACGCCAAGTCCATCCTACCCTGGGATGCCATGGCCCAGTTTTGCACAAGTTCCAAGATCTTGCGTTGCACATCCGGGTTGAGCGGCGCGCCTTCGGACTTCAAGAGCGACACTAGATTATCCATGAATTCACGCGACGCTATTTCGGCCAGGAAGTGGGTGCCACCATTTTTGACACAGGTATCGGTCAACTGGGGGAGTTTGAAAGATTGATTAGCTGGTGCTGTTATGCGCATTGGAGATGGTTTTACTGCAAACCTTCAATGTCGCCAGTTGAATGTTCGGGTTTCGGTTCTCTAGACGACGCTTCAAGGAACGCATAGCCTCTTTGGGCTGAACGCTCTTCGATCGCACCATGTCAGATATCTCGAGGTTGAGCGCAATATCCTCTCTATAAACTATGTTAATCACTCGCCTCAATCGTGGTCCCCTGATCCCTATGTCGGCTTGCACGACATTGTTTCGCTTGTTTAGGCCAGATGCAAGACAAGGCACTTACAGCGAGGAGCCCGTCGCTCGCTCGATCTGCTCATCGAGCGGCGAGGCAGACGAGAACCAGCCAGTCATAATGGGAAAAGTATGGGCAACACGCGTGCTACGCGTAGGATATTCTCCAAGATTGGGTCAAGATGATATTCAGCAAGGCAGCCTGCATGCGCCGAATGAACAACAGAGAGCCCGAGTGAGCTCCAGGCTGCCCGCCGGAGCTAGTGACTAAGCTGCTGGCGTCATAGGCGGGGGCGGTGAAAGCGGTCATGTTAATGATGTCCCTCCGTGGTACCCCAGACCCGCCCGATCGCTAACCTACTCAGGTAGTGCCTGGGACCATTGCTTATGAGGAGATCCTTTCGATCTCTGGAATCGTGGATGCCTTGAGACCCGTCCACATTATCTTCAACTCACATTACTATCGAGAATAAAATGTGTTGAGATTTTCCGAGCTCAGCGCTTCTTTGCCATGACCATGCCCTCCGATGCGGCGGCTCTCCCTTCTCCACCAGGCAGATCACCATGGAAGGACAGCCGTCCTTACTCGGTGGGGGGCACGGTGCATACCATCAGCCCAAGCATTAGACCAGATTCTTGTGGAGGCGGCACCCGTCCAGTACCTCCACCACGATTCCCAAACATCAAAGATTTGCAGGACCAGGCTGCGCTGTTGAATGTGAGCGAGCACAGCTCGGTAAGTGCCAGAAGTCAATTGTCCCGTGTTTGCGCGCGATCAGGCATTGCTGACTCGACCTGTTCTAGATCGAAGACCTCCTTCGGGTTGCCGCGGCGGCTTTTCAACAATCACGAGTGCTTGCGGATGGAGTCGATATTGACAGGGCCTACGTACAGTATCTGCGCGCCTCCGAAATCACCATCAACCTGATCCCTCAGCACCCCGAATATCCTACGATACAAGCGCGGACACCAGAATTATACAAGCAGTTCGCGGCTCTGATGATGGTATGTGCAAGGTGATTGATGGGCTTTCACGGCTGCTCCGAGATCCACGACACAGACGACTCGGGAATATCTTATAGAAATTTCAAAGAGTGATGCTAATGCGATTATTGTTGTCGCAGTCAGTGCGGAGCAAACAAGCAACAATGGATGCGATAAAACAAGAGATCATCGAAGATAATCTAAGAAGCAATGTCCAGCCAACAAGGGCACACATGTCAACATCACTGCATAATTCAGGTCTCGACCGGAATCAGGAAAACAATTGTCCATTCGATACTTCGACCAGAATGCCGAGCCCAACACAATTTCAGCAAACGACCGGACTAGAGAGAGACGGTCGAAAACTCTCGGTGGCCACAGCAGATTCATTAGCGGAAAGATTCGCACGACTCAAGACATCGAAAAATGCCGATGGAACTGGAGCCAATGCTGCGTCTTCTCCTGTGCAAGCCTTGCGAGGATCTTCGGACCAATTTTTTGGTCGTGCTAGAAACACGGTCACAACAACTCAGACATCTGCTACGGAAACGCCTCACAATCGTCCTCTAGGCCCTCGCACCATGGGCTCCTCGACTCACCTCCCCTCTGTTCCGCCCAAGGTCCCGATCAACACCTCAATGCCGCGCGCGCCCGATCCAGCTTATAGTCCAATCTACACGGTACCTAACCAACCTCCGCCTTCGAACCCGCCTCGGACTTCTGCAGAGAGCGCACGCTCGTTACCACAAAGGTATTCGCAGCTTGCAAACTCCCCACGCGAAAGTCAGAGTCGGAGCACCGATGATCATACATACCGTACACGTACTCCGAACGGAGGCAGTTCTTCTCGGGAGACCCGCAGTAACTCCCCCGATCTGCCGTACAACACGCACATTACAGCACACGATTTGATGGACTATCTGCGCAAATTTAGTGTCTTGGTCATAGATGTTCGCTCTCGAGATCAATTCGACCTTGGCCACATATACGCCAAGTCGGTGATATGCGTCGAGCCAATTGTACTCAAGGAAAATGTTTCGGCCGAGGAGCTTGAAGAACGCCTTGTCGTCTCTCCTGATTACGAGCAAGCACTGTTTGAGCGAAGGAACGAATTTGACCTTGTGGTCTACTACGACCAGCAGACGGCCTCCGTCAGCTATCTTGCGGGTTCCCCAGTGGGTACCTCGGCGCCACATCTAAGGGCCCTTCACGATACTCTATACGAATTCAACGAATACAAGCCTCTGAAAGCAGGCCGGCCTCCAGCCTTGCTCCTTGGCGGGCTGGACGCTTGGATTGACTTAGTAGGTCCTCAGTCTCTTGCGACATCGTCCACAGCAGCTGTCATGGGCTTTCTGCAAAGCAAACGGATCCATCCAAGACCGGGGAAACCTCTGGGGCGAGTCCCCACTATGGCCAGTGCCAACTCCAGCTTGGAAGTCCGTAAAAGACGTTTACGTGAGTTCACGCCACTCAACTCAGAGGAGTTATCGGCCTGGTTGGAACGGTCGAGAAAGGAAGAAATTGATACGAGCCACTATCTCGAGGAAGAAAGTGTTCCGGAGGACGACCAAGAGCCGGACGATGGAGAGCCACCTACTCCGTTGGTACATTCTTATGAGGCTTTCTTGCGTCGCTTCCCGGAGCCACACCAACTTCAACAATCAATGATGCACCCAGATTCTCGCAGAAGTGTCGACTCTGCATCTAGATTTTCCGCTCCAGTTCCGATGGCACCACTGCGGCCCCCTCCGGCCGTCTCTCGTCCAAGCTACAGCGGTGTCTCTGACGGCCGTGATGCCCAGCCGCACGTCCAGCGACAGAATTCCGCGAACCGTGCCCCTCTGTACACTTCGTCTTCGTATCTTAGCCGGCTCAAGCTCCCACGCACTGGACTTCACAACTTTGGCGTGACATGTTACATGAACTCGACGCTTCAATGTCTCAATGCAACGGTCATGATGAGTAAGTTCTTCATCGATGACCGGTACCGACACTATGTGCAAAAAAACTGGAAAGGATCGCAAGGGGTAATGCCTGGTCTATATGCAAACCTCATCAGATCATTGTGGAAAGGTGACGTAGAGGTGATCATGCCTAGTTCGTTCCGGAACTTTTGCGGTCGTTTGAACCGGGAGTGGGCGATTGATCGCCAGCAGGATGCCAAGGAGTTCTTTGATTTCCTCGTGGACTGTCTGCATGAGGACTTGAATATCAATTGGCAGCGCAATCCACTTCGGCCCTTGACCACATCCCAAGAAATGCAACGTGAGCGAATGCCTGTACAAAAGGTCTCTGAGATTGAATGGAATCGATATAGTCACCGCGAAGATTCATTCATCTCCTCACTGTTTGCAGGTCAGCACGCCAGTCGATTGAAGTGCACCACTTGCCGTCAAACGTCCACCACCTATGAAGCGTTCTACAGCATCAGTGTGGAAATACCTACCGAGGGCACCGGCGATATCTACCAGTGTCTTCGAAGCTACTGTCAGGAGGAGATGCTGAGTGGTGATGAAGTCTGGAAATGTCCCCATTGCAAGTGTGATCGCATTGCGACGAAACAGATTATTGTTACGCGGGCGCCACAAATTCTTGTTGTCCATTTTAAGCGCTTCTCGGCGTCCAAGACACAGAGCGCGCGCAAGATTCACACCCCGATTGAATTTCCCCTCCATGGCCTTCGTATGGATGATTACATTGTCCCTTATCCCCAGGCTAAATCTTCTGGTGACTCTGGTTTGAGTTCCTCCACAGGCCCTGCGACTCCGCCTTTTACATATGATGCCTTTGGTGTGCTCCGGCACATCGGATCCTCCATGGGCAGCGGACATTATGTGTCGCTGGTCCGTGATGCGGAGCGACAGTGCTGGCGAAAGTTTGACGATGATCGAGTGACTGACTTTTCTCCACGGGATCTTCGACCTCGCGATCGACTGCAAAATGGACAGGCGTACATTGTGTTTTATGAGCGAGTTCCAGCGAAATGAGCGTGAGCGTTTTTGCTTCTGTTTACTTCCCCTCGATGCTCTTTTCAGTTCTTTTCTTTACCTTTCTTTTGTTTGGTGATGTTGAACTTCCCTGCATTGGTGGTCTGGACATAGACGACGGACTGATCGTCGGACCTCAAGTATGCCCAATATTTTATGCCTTTTTTCCTGTCTCTCCAACCGCGTGTCTCCACATTTCCGAACTGCTGGATCTGTGATTTTCTGCCCTCGCCTGAGTCTGCCTCTTTCCCTTGCGTCTTGCATTGTCTGTTTCCTTCTTTTGTATCTGCATATTACGATTGTCACGATGATTGGATAGACACGATGCCGAGAAAGCACTTCCCAGGATGAGATGTGTGGATGTTTCACTGCAAATGCATGTTCGTACAAATGGAGGTACAAATCATATAGTACAGTACAGCACTAATTTCAATCTGGTCAACACATTGCCTGGAATGAAAAAAACCCCCCCCAAAAAAAGGTCACCAACTCAGCCCTTTTAGAAGCCCATCCGACCGGGACAGGTTTACTATGCATAAGAATTTGCACAAGTGATACGATGCATAGTCCTCATGCATATCCAGACTCTATAGGCCCGTCATCATTACAATCACTCGGCTCGATGCAGATCTTTGCATGTATCTTTTCTACAAGTCCAAGTCGGACCTTGAACGGTGCTGTCACTTGTATACTTTCTTGCACGTGTACTGAGTTGCGTGTTGATCACTCGCCAGTAGTTGCTAGACTTGCTACTACTCCACATCCTTACCTAGCAGTGTTATTGTTCATTAGATATCGATTCCGCGGTCTCGAAACCTGGGAACCAGTCTCGGCAGCTGGCGCGCGCGGGGGCCCACTCGACCGGTACTGGGAATGGGGCGGACTGCGGAAGTGCGGAGTCTCCGTGGATTCCGTGCAAGCGGCCGCCCGAGGGTGTGTCGAGTCTGTCGACTCTGTCGAGGGCTGATAAGTGGAAATGGGTAGTCGGGTCGCAGGGAATTCGGCTGATAAGACGGTTCGGATCATGGAGACGGCTTGTCGGCGAGAGGGTCTGGATTTTGAAGGCTGGACGGGACCCACGTCAATACTAGCACATGGAATGGGAGGGACACAAATATGTCTTCATTGCTTTGATCGTGGTGAAGACAAGTCAATCAGGTAGTAAGAGACTCTCAGTAAGAGTAAGTAGTATCTTAAGTACAGTAAGTACTAAAGTAGTAATTCAATGACGTAGTACCAAGTAACTACAGTACCCAGTTAGTTGGCACTGAGCAGTTACTGAACTACTAGCAGTAACTTCCAAGTACTATGGTAGTAGGACTAGGAATTAGAAACCATAGATACCCGATATGGGTCCAGTGTCTGCTTCCATAAGACATGACTGGGAACACATCAACTTTGGTTCACAATGATTGCGTGAAAAAGTGCAACCGCGAAATGGCGGATTGCGCTGGCGAATATTCGACTCAGCGACTGTGGTTTGACATGGTCGAGAAGCGTATTGACTCGAAGTAGGGCAACCTCCAAGTATCGGAGTGATGATATTGCTACACTAGAGGTAAGATGTCACACTAGTGATAAGACATGAATGGTGAAAGTCGTTGAAGTCATGCCGCTTTCAACGAGTAGTACTGTACTTGATATATATCTTCCTAGTGCCTAGTGCCTAGTGTCTACTGCCTAGTAGCCTACTGCCAATCACCTAGTAGATAGGTATACTAGAGAATCGGTTGTTGAACCGAGACCGATCTTCCGGAGCGATTTCTCGGCTTAAGGGGTCCTGCGTCATCTTTCTCGTATGTGGTGCTGCCTAGTCGTCATCCAAATCCTTCATAAAATTGAGAAGCATGTGCCTCTGCGGTACTTGTGCTTTCCCATGGAAATGCACCTCGGCAACTTCACGTACGCTAGGCATAGGTCTACTAACGTGTATACCCGTTCGGGTTATCATTGAACTGCAAATGTCACAGGGAACGTTCTTGAGAATAGAGTCTATGCTATGTTCACCAGTCTCGAATCCTGAATAGCCCCGGCTCAACCCCCCTCGGATTCACCTGACCGGGTGAGATTCACGGCAACGGCACCGAGATGCCCGAGGGAGACAGGCTGAGTCAGCCTCCATATTCCGGGGCTCAGGTCCAAAGTTATGCACCTGAGACCCAGTTGGCCGTCAGGTCCGTGGGTGACGGTCGGAGATCAGCACGGTTAGTCATGTCGCCGTCCTTTCCTGGACATTCACGCCAATGAGGAAGGAGATAATCAAAATTGTGGCCACTTCGAGGAGGGTCTCCAGGTTACTCAACAGAAGGGCAGATCCGCCTGAAGGCGAGGTACAGCTCTTGATGAGGAAGGCGGTCTGTCCAGGGGAGTGACCGCCTTCTCTTCTCGGGTCTGGGAGTGGTGGAGATGTACCGAGCCTCCATGGACCCCGAGGAGACTGGCACAGTGGCACCTTAGCTTCTCCAAGAGTCAGTTTATTGCCAGGCAGTCCTCCGAAAGTACTCGTCCTCGTACCAGCACGGGTCAAGTCAAAAAGTCGGGGTTAGTCCAGGCCGACGCTCTTTCTCTCGGCTTATTCTCGTATCCTGTCCTTTTCCACTCCTCCCCCCCCCCATTCTCGACTTCACTTCTCCGTTCTGGTCTACAGTGTCTCCATACCATTGTCTCTTCGGTCCTTCTTGCTTCTCAACGTGAGTGTCCTGACCGCAAGTATTTGTTTGTTGGCTCGCCCCCCATTTTCTTTTTCTTATCTGCCCCCCCCCCCCCCCGGTACCTTTTTTTCCCGTTGACCCGCCTCCTATCGGCCCTTTTTTTCGCTCCCCGATTCACGTCTCTGGCCATTGTCCTCCTATCGAGATAGACCACTTGATCTTTCACCCATTTCTCTCATTGCTTGACCGATCACATCAATCGTTTCCTCCATTTTTGTCGTCCAATTTCAAGGCTAATTTGACGCGTTCAATTCTCCGCACTTTTCCAGTCGCTCGCCGCTCATCTCTCCATCATGTCTGAGACTAAGGAACTCACCCTCACCGAGGTCGCCGCCCACAACACGAAGAAGGATCTGTACATGATCATTCACGAGAAGGTCTACGATGTCACCAGCTTCGTTGACGAGCACCCGTACGTTGATTTCACCCCACCCTTCATCTTCTCTCGGTGCGCCGTGTTACACACACGTGTCCACTTGTGTCCATACGGTCAACTGGCCTCCGCCCACGGCGGTGGTTGCGACATTATCCCCGTGGCGGCAAAGATCACCCAGCTGCCGCGATCACTTCAATTACACGTGCACGCCCTCTATCGTGCATAACGTTCTTCTGTCCATCCGAGAGCGACCGGCTGACCAGTCACTCTTCAGCGGCGGTGAGGAGGTCCTCCTCGATGTCGGCGGTCAGGATGGTTCCGAGGCCTTTGAGGATGTCGGTCACTCTGATGAGGCCCGTGAGATCCTCGATGGTCTGCTCGTGGGCAGCGTGAAGCGCATGGTATGTAGTAAACCCCCTCAGTCCATTATCTTTCTAGCAGGGCGCATTCTCCTCCACTCTTGTCTTGGCCTCCACACTAAACTCTCCCTCACAGCCCGGTGACCCCGCCCCCAAGGCCCAGGCCTCCACCAGCAGCTCCTCCGCCTCCGCCTCCTCATCTTCCGGTAGCCTCGGCGTCGGCCTCTACGCCGTCGTCGTGCTCGGTAGTCTCATCGCCTACGGTGCCTTCCACTATGTCAACTCCCAGCAGCAGTCCCAGTAAATATGATGCGAGTCTGCTGAGCGCCAAGGGGACAAATTCCAACGCGAGCATAGGATCGGATCTTATCCAAAATTGGACGAATCGAACAATTGCTAGCTATACGAGTCACATGAAATCAAGAAGGCGGCCGGGAAGGTGAAGAGGATGGGTGAAAGAAGACCGACACAAGGAAAACAATACCCCCTCCCTTTCCTCTTGTGTATCTTCTGCTGTGAGGGGGAATTTCAAGAGGGCCAAGAGGGCCCTCTCCTGATGTTCAGAGCTACATTGCAAAATGGAAGAGCAGTTATAGACATGGTCAATGGCTAATGGAGTGAAATAATGCCTGAAGATTGATTTTCTCTGATTCGAATTTACATTGGTTTGATTTGAAAGTAGTCAATCCCTTGGGGCTTGCTTGGGTGACCACTGTCAATTTCAATGTTACCTTTTCCCATGTTTTCCCTTGCCGATAGCATTCACATGTAATCTTGACGACCCCATAGCAACATATCTCTCGTTTAGCTTCACAAACAGCCCTGGAGAGGGCTTCTTTCAACTCATGCAAAACAATGTCAGCCAGCAGTAATATCACCCCCTACTTTATACTTTATACACCCTCTCCAAGAAGTTTTTTTAGTTCCGTATGCCCGTAGGACAATTACCAGAATTGGCAGGAAGCTCTTCGTGGGCACTCTCGAGCCTTCAGAACAAAATTCGATAGCTAGTGTAGTAGGTAGAAGGGCTTAAATTTAAAGACTAAATCTTAAAGGTCCGAGTTCTTCCTCCCTTCTACGATTATTATATATATATATCTCCTACGTACCGGGCCCGTATCCCTAGGGCTATAACCCAGATAGATTCGTTAGCGTTCCGTACGTGATTCTCCCGTGGCCGCGCCTTAACAGGTCGCGCCGTGATAAAGAACTTCGACCTTTAAGATTTAGTCTTTAAATTTAAGCCCCCTAGACTTGTATCATTTACCTAGTTAATAGTCCTAGTCAACCTACGATCCTGACCCTAATACTAGAGGACGTAGTACCTTACTACCTGGCTGATACTTCAAGAAAGGGAATTAAAAAGTATAAGAGCTCTTGAGATAATATTGTACGCTAGTTTCAGAAAAGCTTTAGAAGGACTTATAAACTATTCATTTAACTTGACTGCGTGGTATCGAGAATCTCAGGAGCTGGAGAGGAGAAAGAAGAAGAATAAGCTACAGTGACATCCTAAGTTTTGAGGTGGTATGCGTGGTGCGCGTGGGGTCGCGTGGTTAACGGCATCTCCCTTCCAATACTGATTTCCTCTGCAGAAGAAATCCAAGTCCGCAACACCCAAGTCCTGAACAGTAGGGGCGTAGTAATCGCACAGTCCTCTTCCTACGAGCTCGTCATCTTGAGGGTCTACTTAAAACATTCCAAAAATGGTCTACTTTACCACTCCCTTCCGTTCCCTACCGGTAGTGAAAAATTGCTCGCAGGGTCGTCGTAATTGCCTGCGACCCTGCTACCCATTTCCTGGCTCAGGCCTTGGAATAGTCAGTAGACTCAGTACTCAGTAGAGCACCACGCAAGTCGAGGACACCACAATGATTCTATTTATTTGTTTGCTGACGACATGGTTATCTATGTCAAGACGGATCGCTATGTCAAGAATGATGTGTTTGATTAGATAAATACGTGAGCCACTGCGAGTGTGAGGTGCTCTACGGTTCACGCCGTCGTGGGCACGTTACGTTGATCTATATACAAGAGGGATCATGACCACAATCGACCAAGTCCATCCTCAGCCATCGTCGCCATGCATTGGGTAGACAAGCCTTCGGAAGTTCAAATCCCAGCGTGAGCCGTTCGTTTACCAGTCCAGGCCATTTAAGTTCAAGGGCAAGTGAAGCAACCGATACCCCGACTCTTCCGCCTTCGGCAGTCGGCCAGCCCGAATGTTGATCTGCAATGACTGATGCAGCAATTTTGGCGCATTGAGACCCTCGTCCCTCTCCATTCGCATCTTCACAAACTCGTCTTGAGTGACCTGGTCCCGCAGATGCTTATTCTGCCGGCGTTGATCAGCGACCGTCATCCACGCCGTGGGCTCTCGACCCGCGGGGGGATAGTCGTGACCCGGCCAGATCTTCACATGATCGCCCAGACTCAGCAGTTTTCGACCAGATTGGAAGAGATTTAATGCGTCACCCCCGGGGAAATCGCATCGTGCAGATCCAAGATCGGCATGGAAGAGAGAGTCACCGCAGAAAACATTGTCTGGGGAGAAGTGTTAATCTCTAATTGGCTCACAGAACATCAAGCGACGAAAATCTCAACTTATGAGGTCCCAGAGCTGACTTACCTCCAATTAGATAGCCCAGATGATCTGGGGTATGACCCGGAAGATGCATCGCCTTGATAGATAGTTGCCCCACGGTGAAGACTTCGTCATCGTCAAACAATCGATCAAACACTCCCGTCCATTCCTCGCGAGCAAGACCGTAGCGCGGTCCAAAGAGGTTTTGCACCTGCTCAATCCGCTTGCCAATGCCGACGGGTGGCTTATAGCCCTGGCGAGAGGAGAGTCTCTTTTGGAGATACGACGATGAGGTCAAGTGGTCGGCATGAGCGTGCGTTTCCAGGATCATTTCCACCTGGTAATTCTGTTTCTCGACGAGCGCCAGCAGAGCATCCGCGGAGGTGCTCGTGATATTCTGCGTGCAGGCATCGTAGTCGAGAACGGGGTCGATGATGACGGCCTTGGCAGTTGTCGGGTCTGCGACAATATATTGCCATGTTCCAGTCTTGGGTTCAAAGACATTGTGAATGACTGGTGCGACGGGCTCGATGATAGATTGCCCGCTGCTGGGCTGCGTCATCTGGGTAGACATTCTTGCAAGAGGAGGTTGCGATCTCAGAGATTGAGGCTGTGAGGGTGGTGTATGAAACTTTGGAGTATGAAGTCGAGTTGCAAATGCTTGCGTTCTGTCTCGAGGAGGCGATGTAAAACACCGACGATTATGGACAAGGTGGTATGTAGATGCAACGGGCGCGGGTCGGCGGGTCACTGACGATAAGATCCAATAGGTTGAATGTCTTTGTAGAGTAGTCATGATGATAAGAATGCGTCCAGGAACCTCTGGCCTTTTAAATGCTCAGATTCAAGGTTCACGTCGGCGTTCATGTCGCCCAGATACCCTTCTGACGTGTTCCAAATGATCGTTTCCCCACAAAAGAAAGATCGGCGGGCTTCTGGGCAGTGGGCGGGCTTCAGGTCGCCGGGGCCGACGGTGACCGAATCGGCGAATGCCTGGGACGGGAGTTGGATGGGTTCGAGTGTCATTGCCCGAGAAAGATGAATCATACGACTCACTGACAACTGCCCGAGTCATCGTGTGGCAAGTTTACTCAGCCTGCTTTCATCTACTTGGTGAATAGCGGCATTCATCATTCCATGATCGTCCTGTCTTTTCCTTGTCAATGCATCTTCGGATCTCGCCAGGAATAGCCGGACGGTGGGTCGCGTTCACACGATACGGTAAACTAATCGGCCGGTCACTGGTTGAGCTAGAAATGAGGTGATCGTTCCCTTGACTTTTGGGGTCGCTGGCATGGCATCTCCACGGTAGTAGTGATTCTTTTTAAGTAGACTGCTTTTCTTTCCCCGATCTCGTTCTCCCACTTTTCATTCCTTCCAACACCCCTCGCTGTCATTTAACCGGGCCTCGCCAACACGCTCATTGTACATAATGCTCGGTCGCCAAGTATCATCGGCCGCACGAGCGGCTGGCCGCACGGCACACGCTCTGCCTCGCACTCGCAACTACGCCACCGTCACAGAGTCTCCCGTCAGTACACCAGGTCGCGCTCACAAAGTCGTGGTGGTCGGCGGTGGCTCAGCTGGTATGGCCATCAGCCACCAGCTCTTACAGTCCGGCAAATTCTCTCAGGACGACATTGCGATTGTCGATCCCGCCGAATGGCACCACTATCAACCGGGCTGGACGTTGGTTGGCGGTGGTCTCAAGACCAAGGAGGAATTGCGACGACCCCTCAGGGACCTGGCCGATTCGAAGCTGAAGCTTTATGCCGATAGCGTGGCCGCTTTCTCCCCCGAGAACAATGCTGTCACTCTCGGCAATGGCGACAGTCTGAATTACGAGCAGTTGATCGTCGCTCCAGGCCTCGCCGTGAACTGGGGTGCGATCAAGGGTCTGCCCGAAGCGCTCGCGGATTCCACTGCTCCCGTCTCATCTATTTACGGATATGACTCTGTCAGCAAGGTTTTTGGTACCATCAAGAAGCTCGAGAAGGGTAATGCGATCTTCACTCAACCAGCTGGAGTGATCAAATGTGCGGGTGCTCCGCAGAAGATCATGTGGCTCGCTTTGGATCACTGGAAGCGTGCCGGTCTCTATGACCCGGCCGACCCGGCTGGCTCGTCGATCAAGATCAATTTTGCCACCGGTCTGCCCGTCATGTTTGGTGTGCCCAAGTACAACAAGGCCTTGACTGCGCTGCAGCAGGAGCGCGGTGTGAATGGTCTCTTCCAGCACGACTTGATCTCCATCGACGGAAACAAGGCCACCTTCGCCCGTCCTGACGGTCAAGAACAGGTCACCAAGACCTTCGACCTGCTCCACGTGGCCCCCAAGATGGGCGCGCCGGCGTTTGTCAAGAACAGCGTGCTCGCAAACGAGGCTGGATTTGTCGATGTCGACGATGCCACCACCCGCCACAAGAAGTATGGCAATGTTTGGTCCGCTGGAGATGCCTCTTCCTTGCCGACTTCCAAGACCGCGGCTGCAGTGACCTCGCAGGCGCCCGTGCTCGTTCGTAACTTGCTGCAGACGATGGAGGGCAAGCAGGCGGATGCGCTGTACGATGGATACACCTCCTGCCCACTCCTGACCGAGTACGGCAAAGTGCTGCTTGCCGAGTTCAAGTACGGCGGTGAGCCCAAGGAGACGTTTGGTGACTGGTTCGGTATTGACCAGGCCAAGCCTCGTCGTTCGTTCTACCATCTGAAGAAGGATTTCTTCCCCTGGGTGTACTTCAACGCCATGGTGAAGGGCAACTGGGCTGGACCTAAGGGGTGGATCAACTAGGATCGAGTGGATTATAGACTCATTTTTTTTTTGGATTATGATTCCCCATGTGATATATATTATTTTGCAGGCTAGACAAAGATAAACGACTTGACCTATTCATTGATTCATGCTTCACAACTCCAGACGTTATCAATCCTATACATGCTCAGCCTGGAACACTGCACCCGACCCACCACCTGCATCCATAATCGCCTTACCACCTTGCACCGCCGCACAAGATCTACAACCCCCCCCTGCTGCATCTTCTCCTTCATCAGCCGATGCAACTCGAAAATCCTCCCCGCCAACTCATCCACCGGCCCCTCCACCTCCACCCCCTCGCCACCAACTCAATCGGCAACGCCGTCACCGGCGACCCAGGCAACCCCAACTCCGTCCTCCACCCATCCAGCTGCTTCGACGAGCTCGCAAACACAATCCGTCCTATTCCCGCAAATGCATGCGCCGCCGAACACATGGGACAATGCTCGTGGGACGTGTACACCGTTGCGGCGGCGCGGTCCTCCGGCGTCATATTCTGCTGCGCCCAGACGGCGAGGACTCGTTCCGGGTGATATGTGATGTCATTGGCGGTGCAGACGCGGTTGCGCTCCTCCTTGAGAATCTGGCCCGTGGAATTCACGAGGATGGAGCCGAAGGGGTGGTCGCCTGCTTGGAGAGACTCGTGAGCGAGTTCGATGCAGCGCTCGAGGTAGGCGAGTTCGGGAGCGGTGGGCATTTTCGGATGATGGGATGGCGATGGGCGGGGTGAGGTAGGGGCGTTTTCCAGCTTCTGAGGGTAGATGTACTGGATGGGTGAGATGCGTGGGACTGTCTGGACTCTCGGTAATGCTCCAGTATTGAGAGCTTCCAAGTTGAGTGGATGGACAGGGCTTCTCGTTTTTTCGGTTAAAGTGCGCGCTGTATGAGGCCGGATGAAGGATGAGTATGAGAAAGGAACCAAAACATTCAAGACGGACCCCAGGAACAGATAAATCGAAGCCAACGAAAGCGCCAAGTCCGAATTGACGTAATTGAACGAGATGATTGAAGCTCCCACTGCAACAACCCCGCACGTATACATATGTGCTTTGGGATTAGGGATATCGCTGCTCAATTGGAGGCTATCCTAGATTGTTGGTGGTCAATCTATACCTACTGAGTACGACAGAACAATCCTATGTTTTGCTTGTCAAAATAGTTACATTGTGCTGATTCCACTTTCAACAACCCATCAACCTTAGATGGGTTCCACTTTCGAAGTGTCCGTTAGTAGTCCACTAGGTAACTTAGTTATAGCGTTGTACTTCCACATCAGAAGCAATTTAGTTGACCTTTATGATGCCAAACTTGCGTCATCCGTTATGATTAATCCGAATTGGTGTAGTGGCTAACATCGCCGTCTCTCACACGGCAGCCAGGGGTTCGATTCCCCTATTCGGAGTTTCTTTATGTTTTTCTTTCCGTGCCCCCACCCACCTGCGCCACATCTCCATACATCTCGATGGCTGTCGTTAGGCCTGTGCCTTTTTCTTTCATTTTGATACCAGGGCACTTGATAGATGTCAGATACTAGGTCACCTTTTCATTCTTAGGTAATCAATCCGCGTTGATGCATCCACGATTGCACGGACACGACTTCTGAATGGCCCGAGAGATGGCCACATCAAAATCTATCACTTTCTTGAATTCTCACATGTGACTTCATAAATTCATGCGTCTTCAATGATGATGCAATCGAGGATGCTTCCATTACCTCGACAAGCCACCCAAAGGCGTAAGAGTCTATATAAATAATGGCTGTAGGTGGTTACAGATGGATACAGTCAAGGGCCAATATTTACGTCACATGCCTTTTTGATGAAGACTTCTTCCATTCACTTCTTATCTGCCGATTTCACGAGTCCACCTTTTCGTTGTAGACTTTCGTAACCACGAGCCCCCAATTCTGCTCTCCTTCCTGCTCCCCCTTCTCCGTCAATCTGTTGAAAAGCAAAGACTCGTCCGCTCGGAGAAGAAACTCAGTCCTTCTCCTTGACTTTGAAATATGACCAAGCTACATATAGTATGTGACACTGCAATCCTGCGAGAGGCTGCAGACTTGAGCCTGCTCATAGTGCTTTTCACTCTCGTTCTTGACCATTTGTACGAAGCGGTCACCATATACCACTTCCTTCACAGGACGTGGCAAAGACTGGAACTTCCTCGACTTTCTCTCTCCGTTTCCGAGAAATGCCTTAGGGGTCACTTCCCCAACAAGCAAGTATCGTTTGAGAGCACACCAGTCTCTCAAATCCTTTCCCCCTACCGTGGCCGTGAACAGTTTGTCAGGATTGGCATTGAAAATACCGACATCGAGTATACGGTTCCCAGAGACCTTCTCTGTCAGCAATCGAGCTACTTTTCGGCCATGTTCAACAGTCAATTCATAGAAAGCCAAGCTCGGAAAACGACCATGCGGAAACTTGAAGGCGTGATATCAGTGAACAGCGTTCGAAGTATGATGATCTGGATCAATAACGGTCGACTTCAATTTAACACAAGAAAGATGAGCCAGTGCATCACAGATGCCATTGAGCTCGCACGTCTCGCTGACTTTTGCGATATCAAGAGCCTTCAGTCCGTTATCACGGCTCACGTCAGACAGATGCTCCTCAAGCACATGCAACAGGGGATGAAAAAAGAATATGGGAATGTTGATCTACACACAAGATGGATAACCGAAGACCACATCATGTCCGCAAGCCACCTGCCACAAGGACACAGCTTGCGTTGTCTTCTCGCATCAGCATCAGTCGAGGCGTTCCTCAAATCTCCCAAGTACAAATTTGAGCGAATGACTCGCGAGTGTCCGAGTTTTGCCTCTGACCTTCTTGCAGAAGTCAGACAAGCCTTGAATGGCCGACAAGATCACCGGCCACATCCGATCGTGTGTGCTAGAGACCCAATCGACGAGCAATATTTCCTGCTCAATAGTACCTACGGCTTTAATGTGTCCGAACGGGATACCAGATGGGAAACGATCTTACCGGAAAAGACCTCGTCGAACGCTAGCATGCGTTGCAAGATGGTTTTCTTTGCACGTGAACTTTGTGATCAGTTTGCAGAGCAGCGACGAACCCGATGGTGAATTGTCGACATTTTCAATCAGACCTGCGATACTTGTCCCATCATCTTGCGCTGGAGATGACTAATTACTCAGAGAATCCAAGTGATTTGTGAAAGCCGTGGCTCAGACGTTTATCATACATCTTTCGTTGAGAGTCATGGGGGCTTCCACTCACTCGCGCACACAGTTCCCGTCCTAGCACGGTCCCGGATGCTCTTCTCTCTGTAACCTTACTTCCTGGAAACCGTTTCGAACGATGTGATCATGGATAAAAAGATCATTCGCACGTGGATGATCTCGCTTCGTGTTTCTAAATTAGGAATGGCAAGTTCAAAATTTTATAGACATTTTCTCCCGTCTTCAGTATGGATGCCAACTTGGGTACGGCGCGCAGGATATCTTCATGATAATGATGGGCATTATCGTTTAACATGGAGTCGAAGCAGGATGCTTTTAAAAAGATTGATATTCTGTTCATAAAGCTACTACCAGGTATTCATTTCAACGATGGATATTGGTCGTGAATTCAAGTGAGGCTATCGGCAGGCGCCAAGATACTGTTTCATGTGACATCGCCTAGCGGCGCTATCTACGCCTGATGAAGTCTTGATAGGTTGAATTACCACATTTCTCCACCTGGAAGCGGCTATGTGCCAACGAAAGCAAGGAATGAATTCACTGTCAACAGATTCTTGCAAGCCACCGGAAGAGCACCGCTAAAACCTCGAGAAGAACACCGGTCACAACTCTCTCTACAGATGACACTGCCAGCTAGTCAACACTGGATCAGCCTCATAATGAGTACAAGGACGGTCGACAACTTGGGGACTCGCAGGTCATCTTCACCTAAGTCGCTGAGATGGAGGTTATAGAATGGAGCAGAGGACCTTCATTTTGGCAGTTGTTGACACCGTCGCCGTGACGTTTGTTGGCCTTGCTATTGTTGTTGTTGAGAACAGCATACAGCTCTTCTTTGGCCTTGCCACTGCCAGGGCAGTTGTGGGCTCCACCAGTCGTCTTGATCCATTGACCGCAGGTAGAGCATCGAACGGCCATGGTGCTTGTGGAAGTTTGTAGTTTGGAAAGACAATGTCTCGGTCAGTGGTTTCTGGAATTCGGGGATAGCAATGTTAAACGGAACAGACGCAGAGCAGGCCCTTTATATAGACAATTCTCGATAGCTCTGCCAGGGAATCCAATCAACTGCTCAATTAGGCACATGTAGGTAGTGGTACTTCTTTGTGCTTGCATGCCAACCGCTCAAGACAAAACTGTCTGATCCGCCTAAAAAGGCCGAACTGTGGCAAGACGTTACGCCGTACGCTGCGCTCGCGCTCGATCACAATCGGGCGGCCTATAGAAGTATCGAGAAACCACGTGACTGGGGCTGAAGTTGTGGGATATTGGTATGGGCCCCTTGTCACACGCCAGGATATGATACACGGTGCATGCATGTGCTTGTGGCACAATCAATAATGCCTCTGATCCATTAGTCGGTTACGGCCCTACTGCCCGCATTACGACGGTGAGAAAAATCGTCCGCGCTTCTAGTAGCCTGATCGCCTGGTTTCCCCGTTGCGGCTCTTGCCCATGCGTCAGCGACATTGCATCGACGTAGGGTCATACCTGCTGCACACAAACTTGGAATAAGAAATTGCCCCTCCTTTGTTTCCATTGTTCTTTGCGTCTCCCACCCATCTTCTCTATAAGGATGAACCCATGTGAAGCGGACCCAGAAAAAATCCCTACAACTGACTTGTACGCGGATGTGCCGTTTTATGGTCGATACTGCCCGAAACCTAATGACTTCCGCATCGACCTCCAGCATGTCAAATCCCAAACTACAGACTCCCTAAGATACTGGGCTTCGGTTGTTAGTCGCTGCACCGAAGAGATCCGAATTTACCCTGCTGACGAAGGCGGGCGCGATGTTTTTGCACTCGGTAGCATCATCGTGAAGTCCAGTCATCTTCACGCACGCGAGGGTGCTCGATATATGGAGATTGACTTCTCATACGCCGATGCAAATGAGCTTCGGGCAATTGCTCTGGCAAAGACTGTTTTGAAGGATGCCAAAGTTCCAGAAATCTATTTTGCTGGCAAGGTACTTAGTCTTTCTTGTCGTTTATCGGGCTCAACAACTCACATTCCCTCAGATCAATGGTCGCCAAGTGCTGGTCCAAGAAAGGCTTCCAGGTGTTGCATTATCTGTCGCATGGCCGTATCTGTCTAGCGGCCAGAGGAAGTCCTATAAAGAACAGGCCAGGAAGATACTCCGTCAACTTCACACTATCAAGCCTACAGAGAAACTTCAAGCTCGCGCCCATGTGGTATCGGACCCCAACATACTCAGTAATGGCCGGATCAACCCGTTAGAAGGGGACATCCTTTTTTCGGGCACGAATTATGATCCTGATATGAGCTTCATGCATAACGATTTTACCGAGTCTAACTGTATTGTTGACAACGGCACGATTGTGGGACTTATTGACTGGGAAATGGCTGGATTTTTTGGCTGGAAGACTGCCGGAGAAGTCCACCGTCGTATCAGAACCCCACAACGAGAGCATTTCGTGAATGCCAACTTGAGGGAGGAACAGCTCCAGGATATGATGTTCTGGAGTGACCTATATGATGATGGCATGCCGGAGCATTGAGCCAGAGGGTTCCCTGATTCTAATTCCCTAATTCCAAGGAACGTTTTTGTGTGGTTGTATCCACTTCCTTGAAGTTTCAGTTCCGAGTCGAAATACTTTCGTGTTCAACCATCAGAGGCGTGAATGTCGTGAGCGTCCGGATGCACAACGCGTACGTATTATGGGAGACACTACTCCGAGTTCCTGCAAGAAGAATGAAACAGCCATCTCCAATTGCTATTTTCTGAAGTAAAAAAGTTACAATGGACTCATTTCGACACCACAATTTCTGTGTTCCTTTCTTGCATCTATAGGATGAGATTGCCAACCAGAAAAAAGGGAGATAGGGTGATGAGTGATTGGCTGCGGTCTGAGGGCGCTGAGGCAAGCCGACGACCTTCACCAGAGACATATGGTTCTCAAGTCTAATTGTCGAGGAGTCATGCGGTATACGGATCAACTGTCTGCCAATCGTGCCCACGTCGATAGGCAGTGGACAGGACCAGTGCAGAAGGGATTTGACTACCCTGCTTGCCCATTTCCTGACACGACAAAGACACTTTCGTAAGACCACACGGCCAATTATTCAACGTCATATTTCAGAGAATGTCGATCCTGTCAATGATGCTCGGACGTCGAGAAAAGCGTGAGTTTACTGTATTTGAACCAAAAGAAGAGCCTACAGGGGCTTAGATGGCTAATCCTAGGGCCCACAAGCTGACTGTCTGGAGGTTCAGGTTCTATTACTGTAGATGCCGTACCTCCGTCTGCCTGGCGACATGAACGTCCTTCAATTCACCCTCAAGGAGTGCCATGTTCATCCAGCTTTGACCCTTCGTCGCCGTCGCCCGTTGACTTCTGTATTTTCCCTAACATTCTGCTCACCACATATCCAAAAAGCCACCATTCAGACGTCGTCCTTCTAACAAGGATAGATTCTTGAAGTTTCTCTCCCTTGTCTTTCCAACAACTATCGCTTCGCATGTCTATTACTAATTTTGCCCTCCGGCCATGATATATCTTTCCGGCCATACCTACAATATTGTCTAGATTAAAGGCAACGACTAGGTTGATCAAACCAACAATCGTCGAAGTGATGATCAAGTTGTTTCTAGTACCGCTGTTGGAAATATCTGGGATCGCCCAAAGGGCTTATTGGCACGGTTTCATTAGTATCTCCTTGGTCTAGAGTGTAATTCCTTCTTGCGTAGTGAATATAAAGATGAAGCTTGAGGTTCTCACCGCACAAAATGCCAATGGCAAATAAAAGATGCTAACATATGTGAGTAGCATGACGTTTTGTCCCAATCTTGTTGAGATTATGCTCTCAGTGATTGCGGCCCAGGCGAACTCCTGCGTAAGATGAGCTCAGATAAATTATTGACAAGAAGAAATCAGTTTACTAACAATTTACAGGAGCTCCCTGACGGTTTGATCCAATCGGTTGATCCGATACACCTCAGACCCTCTCACTCTTACTCTCCCTTATCTCACAAGACCTCACAGGTCCTAACACTCGGCCTAAGCGCATCGGTGTACTAAACCAAGCGTAAGATTCAACACCGGTAAGTTAATGGACCCGTAAATCATGGATGTTACATAAATGTACATAGTGTAGAGGGGAATGCTCAAGGCAGTCTAATCTCACCAGACAGGTCGAGTCATAGAGGAACCAAACCACAACCACCAGCACGCACGTCCAGAGATCTCCCAGCCCGACCGTATAACACCTATCCGTAGGATGTCAAGAGGCACAAGTGAAGATCAAAAGGAGTGTGTTATTGCAATGCAAAAGAATCCGACTGTAAAGACTGTCTGTACCAAACCCTCAATTCCCTTCTCCGACGGGTCTCCCGGATCCCATGAAGTTGTTCAATCCCTTGGTTTCTTGGTTGTCAAGTTGATTGACCCCCTCTCGTCATGTCCAAATAGTCTCTCCCGACTATAAGGCCACCATCAGGCACACGCACCTCTGCAGACTATCTATTCTACATACACGCAACCGGATTCCCTACTACAATAGTAAATGACTAGATGTATTGAACGGAGCGATGACGCCATCGCTTCCCGCCCGAGTCCGGCTGGTCTCGCCCAATTCTGAAGCCGTTTCCAATGAGCTTAGAAAAAGACGTTCAGGAACCAGCCTAGACTCAGGTATGCATGGATGAACTCCAGGACATTGCAAGAGAGGAAGTCAATCTTGACATATCATGTTATGCATTGAGGCTTTCCTGCGTTTAGAACCTTCAAGCAAAAAAGATATGTAACTGCACGCTGTGTACTGGTACTGAGTACATCATGTGACCGAATCCCGAGACAAGTTCAATCGGCGTTCAAATCGGGGCCACCTGCAATTGGGAAGTGATCTGAGGGTTTCATGGCCGAGCTTAGTTTATTGTGAAGCTGACACCGTCCAAGAACTTCATCGTCTTTTGACTTCAATCTTATAAGCAAGAATGGATAAACACAAGGGCAGAGAACCGGGGATTCTACGAGTCACCTAGCTCATGTACGAGTCACCTAGCTCATGTACGAGTCACCTAGCTCATGTGGATCAACTTACCGTAGTAGCTCCTGGGATACCTGTCTTTCCGCCACACATGCAAGCATGGGTTTTCAATTTCCGACCCTTCAATGACATGACTTCAAGCTTGGACCGTATGTAAACACTGTCGCAACTCGCGAGCCTCCACCGAGTCAGTCCATGCATTAATCGAACGGATATACGCATTTTCATATATTCCTTCCACTTGCGGTACGTGCGCTTAGCAACAGCCCGAGGCCAGGACGAAATCCTCCCAGAGCCCGAGCTGCAGCCACGATGATGACCTCCATCATCCGTCGTCTCATCCCAAAGAACATCCCCAACACCGGCTCCCAGCAACGCGATCATCACGCCAACGAGCGCACTTTTCTCTCATGGACCCGTGCCGGTCTTGGGTTCGCCGCCATGGCACTTGCCCTGGACCGTCTTGACTCCATTGACCGCGTGATCTCGGCAAAGATTCCTCGCCTGGAAGCTGCTCTCATGCAGAATGTCAAACCGAATACGAATGCTTCTGCGATCACCGCGGACGCAGTCACTCGCACCAGTCCGAGCAGCTCATCATCTGCTCAACCCATCAAGGTCGAATCTCCTCCGGCACTGACCTCCGAACACGTCGAGTCTGGAATCCTCGGATTCTCCAAATTCATCTCAGCGTCGAGATTATGTCAAGTGCTGGGGCTGTGGTCGCTCGGGTATGGCTTCTTCCGGTATTGGTCCATGAGGCGGTATCTTCTCAAGGGGCAATTTGTGCCTGCGTTCTGGGGGCCGGTGCTCATGACGACGGGCAGTTTTGGTGCCTTTATGATGTTGGGGTTGCAGATGGATCGGCGGCGTCGGGATCAGCCGGATGTATATCAATAGGTAAACAAATGTGGCGTGGCTGAAGGGCAGGAACTATACAGATGGAAATTTACTGCAGGAGGAAATTGGGCATCGAAGAGCCTGGATGTTCTACTGATGGCAAGATCGGGACGGGAGTTCGTGGGACTGGCAAAGATCAGATGCTTGTTTTCATTTGCGCCGGACTGCTGAGCTGGATTCCACTGAACCGCAATTGGAAATGCCAAATGTAAATGCACATATTCTCTGGTAAATGACCGACTGAGACCGATGCATCTGACCCCTAAAAAAGAATCACAGCGTACTGGAATGTAGCCGCAAAGATATTCATAATGGTGCCCATACCGCTAGACGTCAATGATTCAAAGGAAGAAACATCATCATCTGGATACTCAAGGGTTAAGAACTAAATGCCATGAGAGGGGCTGTTCAATAAAGGGCCATAAGAACAAGTGAGAAGGAAAAGGAAAAGGTGTTATATGGTCAAAAAAAAGTACACGAAAATTCACGCTTTCTTGCTATGTCTCCATTTTTCGCGGGCCCGTTCATTGGCGACTGGCACCGCTCAGACCGTTCTGTACTGCCTCCAAGATCATGTCGCGGGCCTCCTCAAGGCTGTCGGCACTTCCACGGATCTCAATAGCTTCACCTTGCGCCTGGTTCTTGGGCACATTGATGCGGCATCCAGTCTTCTTGCGGATGGCGTTGATCTGGCTGCCTCCTTGGCCAACAACGAAGCGATAGGTCTTGGGATCGGGCAGGATCAGGTAGCCAGTGGCTGACTGCTGGCTGGCAGCAGCAATGGCCTTCTCGATCGCAGCACGGGCCTTGGCGACATTCTCAGGAGAACCGGAAAGCACCCAGGGGAAAGGAGTGTTGTCGGAATCGGTAGGAGCGCTGGTGTCGACAACCTTCCAGGAGTGGGCGTCCACAGCGGCAGTGGGATCGTCAGTGATCAAAGGAAGAGAGCTACCGTTGGCACCCTCGCGAGTTTCCTCGGTGGCAGGGTTAGCGGGCACAGACTGGCCAGCGTGGTCAACGGTGACACGGTAATCATTGCGAAGACGGCGGAAGATAGCACCGTTGTCGGCCACCGCGTGGTGGAGGTTGCGTGGCACCTCCACAGTCTCGGCGTGTTGATCCTTGAGCATACCCTCAATGTGGGCCTTGGCCTCTGCAACGGCAGTGCTGGCGCCCTTGAGCTTCACATCAGTCTTGCCGGAACCCTGCTTGGGGATATCCAGGGTCACATTGAACTTGGACTCGATGTTGCGGCGGGTCTCGCCACCACGTCCGATCAGCATGCGGTGCTGGGCCGTGGGGACGGTCAGAGTCTCAGACACCTGGTCCTCGCGCTCCTTGACAAACTTCTCAATAGCAGCCACAATGTTGTCCACGATCTTACCGTTGCCCTCTAGGCGAATAGTAGACTCGGTACTGTCGGGCCGGGGGAAGCGAACCATACGCGCAGCGCTACCATCGCTAGGACCGCCTGCATCAGCGACAATCTTGCGAATGTTGGCACCTGGTATTGAAATGTTAGCAAAATGCTCGGTCTCTGTCAATCAATCAAAGCCAAAATTACTTACCACCACCGCCGATCAAAGCCTTGTGATACTTGCGGTCAACGTCAATAGTCTTAGTCACGGTGGCATCAAATTCAGACGCGCGCTGCTCCAGGACCTTCTTGGCTTCGGCAACCTGCTGCTTGGTACCCTTGATGCGAATTTGCACACGACCAGAGGCATCGGGGGCATCATTGGCACCGGGCACATCAATTTGAGCACCGGTATCTGCGCGAAGCTTGTCCATCTCCCGACCACGCTGGCCGATCAGTGAAGCAATCTGACTTTGCGCAACAGAGACCGTGGCCGAGTGTGAGTGATCAACAACCCACTGGAGCAGACTCAGGATCTCGTCGCGAGCCTGGTCGGCGCCCTTGCTGGGGCCCTTGACCAAAACCTCATCGGCCGCTTGTTGAGGACGGCCCGATCGAGCAGCACCAGCATCACTGCCGGTCTCACCAACGGACTGATCATCGGCAATGTTGGCGGCCCGGGGGAACTGGACGCGAACAGAGTAACGATCCTGAAGTCGGTTGACCTGGTTGCCACGCTGGCCGATAAGTTCACGGTGATACTTCGCGGGGATCTTCAAGATGTGGGTCGTCTCATCTTCCCACTTCTTGCCCATGTTCAGAATGCGCATGCGTGCGGCATCGGCCTTGGCCTTGGGTCCCTTGACCTCGACCTTACCGTTTTCTACCTTGATATCAACGTCGAATTCCTCGCGAAGCTTGTTGATGTTCTCGCCACGCTTTCCGATGAGGAAGTTGGCGAACTTTTGAGGGAAATCGAAAGTCGTAGTGTATCCACGCTCCAGATCATCATTCTCCTGCTCGGCGACGAAGGCATCCAGCTTAAAAGATAGCTCATCGACCAACTTAGAGGGTCCACGCAGCGCGATCTCGCACTTGCCGTCCTTCGGGGCTCCAACAAGAGCACGGACAGGGATGCTGTCCTCGGCCTTGGATTCCTGTTCCCGCAGGAGGAACTTGCGAGTCTTCTCCTGGTATTTAGCGGGGACCGTGGCAGTCTTCGCAACAATATCCTGCTGGTCTCCCAGTGCGGTCATCAAATACTCATAAGCTTCCTGAAGTGACTTCTCAAAGGCAGCAACTTCAGCAGCGGACGGACGTTGTCTGGACACCTCGAAGTGTGCTTCCGATGCAGAAGGACCCTCGTAGACAAGAACAACATCAGAGCTGTCATGATCATCGGGAATCAGCAGGTGGACGCCGTAGTCACCCTGGAGCTTGGACGCACTGCGAGAGCGAAGGTGAGGGTGGAAGTAAGGATCGACATGGACGTGGCGAAGACGCGACGGGGGTGCGCTTGGACAAGGTTCATGATATCGGACCGGGCACGAATTGTGTTCTTGCCATCACGAGAGTAGACTTCCCAGGTGACCGGGCCGTCCACACTGGGGGGCAGAGCAATGTGGGCATCGTGAGCGGCCTCAAGCTGCTTGATGATCTCACGGCGACGGAGGTATTGCGTCAAAGCGCGGGCGTGTGCATTTGAACCGGCAGGGGCGTTAGGGTGCTGGCGCGAGAGATCAATGCTAGCCATCTGCATGCTGGTCGCGAGATCCATCGCGTGGTTGATACCATTCTCAATTTGGTCCAAAGGTCCCACAATGGTAAGGAACTCACTCTCGTCATCTGCAGGGGGAAGAACGATACCGCAGCCAGTCTGCGCAATGAATTGGTGCAGGGCATCAGCTTCGTTACCGAGAATGAACTGATGCTGGCCACGGTTGATCGCAAGCTGGCGCAAGGTCAACTTGCGCTGCAAATCCGCGGCCAGTCTTTCAATCTCAGCGCGAGCTTCTTGCGCGGCGCTTCGCTCGCCCGAGACCATGATGTGCTTATCAGCACAAGGAACGAACTGCACCTGGCCTGGGCTGGCTTCCTGGGGTGGCGGCCGAGTTGACCATGTGTCGTAGCGGGGCACGTGAACTTGAGCCTTGGTACGCTCTTCAATCTGCCGCAATTGCGCATCATGCGCTCCCGCAATGAAGGGGAAGAACTCGGGGGGGATGGTCTTGAGACGGAGGTTCATGTTTGAGCCACGCTCCTTCACAATGGCCTCAATCTCACGTCGAGCCATTTCCGCAGCCACGGCATCACCCTCGATAAGGACATCGATAGTGTCGTCATCGTCGTCTTCGTGGGAGCCTCCGCTGTCATCGGTACGTGGAATTTGCACACGCGCACCAGTGCGAGTCTGAATGTCCTGAACGACGGATCCCTGCCGGCCAATGATGTGGGCACGGGCAGAAGCTGGGATGGGCACCCGGACGGATTGCTAGGTTCCAAGAATACCATGTCAGTCCCATGCGCGCGCTTATGAAGCAGAAAGCCTTATTTCATTTACCTTGGATCCAACCTGCTGCGCAACTTCCTTGAGTGCTTGACGGACCGCATCCGCCGAGCCTTTACCCTCGAAGATGATAGACCCACCTGGACCACCGCGCATATCAACGGTAGCCTTGGACCGCCGTGAAATGTCGCGCAGAATATCTCTGATGGGCTTCTTCAGCTGACCGCGAGGCTGCATCTGAGAAGGTGCGAGTCGTAGCTGTTCCATGTGCTTTCCAGGAAGAGACATCACGCGGGGAACATCTGCCAATGCAAGTTATTAGTCACAGTCTGTCAACTTCACGACAAAAGACTCCTTTCTGTTGATTTCACATACCCTTTGACTGAGACGAACGACCATCGGCAAGCGCAGCAGCGGCGGAGGGCTTCTTCGCACCCCATGTCGCAGCGGCGGGGGCAGCTGGCTTGGGGCCACTTCCGAGAGCGGGGAAGAGCTCCTCCGATTGCACGTCGAACGCAGGCGCCTTCTTAGGAGCGGGCTTGGGAGCCGCAGGAATGGCAGCCTCGGCGGGGGTGTTGGATCCGGAGGTGGGGACCAGGACGGGTGGCAGAGGCTGGTCGCTGGTAGTTTTAGAGGGGGAGGGTGCTTCAGGTCTTCCTCGTCAATCGTATCCTGGACAGTTGGCTTATGGGACTCGTCGCGGGCGTGCTGCTCCTCCAGCATGGCCGCGAGCGACTTGGAAGGCCCGCCATTGGCGACCGCGGATGATTCAGACGCCATTTTGATGATGGTCAGATTGAACGAAGGGGAAGTGTCTGCCGTTGGATATAGTCGCTGTTGAAGTAAGCGAGATGCGTTCGGTCTGGTCTCTAGGACACGGATTGTTAGCAGGGGGTAACGTTGAAGCTCAAGTCTTAAGGGCAGTCAGATCGCAAGCTGAACCAATGTGTGTGGATGCGAGCTCGCAAGATTCAAGACCTACCAGGAAGAAACTCCTCAAGTTGGTGAGGAACAATGGACGAAGAAGCCACCACCTGATTGATGGAATGAGGGGGGAGGGGAATAAGTCGGGGAGGTCTCTGGAAAATCCGGGGAACGTGGACCAAAGACAGTGGACGCAGGTCAATTCCCAAATCCGAGTGCCGCGGATGAAGTGAGAGACGGGGGGAAGATTGCGGGTGAGAGGAGAGAGAAAAGGGGAGTGAGGTGGGAGCGAGAGGGTGCAGAGGTGGACGAGGAAAAGGGTAGAGGGAGTTCCGTGAGATCCCCAGAGTACACAAAGTGACCCGGGAAGGCCAGCTCGAGGCTCCGGGCGGGTTTTCTCCGAGGCCGACGGACCACACTAAGAACTTCTAGTGCTCTCTGGCTGGGGCACGGGACAGCTCACTCAAGTGAGGCCAGGAGTGAAGTCAAAGACTATGAGTTTTGGATACCCAGTCAAGCCCGTCTTGTACCAATCGATCGCAGCGTGTTGGGAACACAAGTGACGGAAGTATCAGTTGAATAGGAAGAGGAGTTATGATATCAGGCTCAATTTATTGTGGAAAGACGATCAATCAGACAGCAGAAGCCTGTAGAGTGTGCTAGACTCGAGCGCCCTTGGTTAGTATGAGGGTTGGTGTAGTGTGGGAGTGAAGGCATGCTGGATTGGCTACTGAGCCCTTGCGTTTCACTTTCAGATCAATTAGACGCTTTACGATTCCAGACCTCGATCTCATTCCGACAATCACTAAGGTAGGCCGTCTACCAGTACCTTCGTACTTGTGGGTGGAAACGTGAAAGTGCAAGCATGGCGGATGGCCACGTGCCCTGTTCTGCCTCAACATGGCCAGTGCTGCCTAGCAACCTGCCACGACCGAGGAGGACCAAGCACGATACAGAAAGCATGCTCGATTGTAGATCTGCTATTCAAGAAACACCTGCTGTGCTCAGTCCGGTCTTCAATGGGGATGACAAACTTTCACTTCCAAGAAAATTTCACGTTGCATGTCCATGTCTATTTCCTTATTTGGATTGAAATGCTTGGCTCCGTTGCGGATTGTCCCCTCCGACTCGGAGATTTGGATTGAAAATGGAGCAGTCCTTTAGAGTGTGGAAGCTGGTTCATGGCAACATTGCCAGAATCGCCGAAGAGATCACCCCCATGTTGGTTACCTACTACTGGCAAATAGATCACTCCAGTCATCATTCCACCGTTCATTGAGTTCATCCACAGTTGCTCTCGTCAAAGCATCGAGTTGGTGACACGACGTTTTGTACAGGGTTGGCTTCCAAGTTCCCACTCTTGACTCGTGGTGAAAAACGTAACTCTCTCCTGTTTTCTAACTCCTGGTTCGGAGTGCGTATGCCGTACGCCATTGAGGCATCTGTTGTTGATCACAGAGAAGTCAGCGAGATGGTTGAGATGAAAAGTAATGAGTGATGCAAAACAGTTTCACGCCACACTCAGAGGTGTTGGTGTTATGTGACCAACGCGAGGTCTGCTGCTGCATCGCGGCGCCACACTACTCATATACTCAGGGTCTCCCGAGTCCCGACCGTCCACAAGTCTACACTCCCAGTGCAATGCAGTATGCAGTTGCACTGATGCAGTTAACTACTAACTTATATGCACCGCCATCTGATTACTTAGTCAACCGGCAGCAGAGCCACGTGACTGCTTACTGAACACCGGCAGAAATGGAAGATTGGACGACTATTCTTGTCAAAGTCAAAAACTCATCAGCCGCAAGAATCAGGAATCATTCCGATTCGTCAGGCCGCCAAACCATTACCTTTGTAAGCACCCATGAACCATGATTGTTCAGTCTCAACTGTTGTATTGTTGCCCATTTCGCAAATGAACAGGTTAGTCATTAAACTGACTGCTGGTTTGCAATCGTCACTCGCCCGGTATGTTTGAGTGGGCCACGGTACTACTGTGCTCCTCACATCAGTGTTCGCGTCCACAGATAAGAAATAAACCAGGGCCCACCTCGAGCACAGAAGAAGTTTCCTTGGGTCTTCCGTATTGAAGCTTGACCCAGGATTATTTCCTGGCTAGGCTGATCTGGAGGAAGACCAGCTCAGCCTCAAAGCGCCCTTGTAGATCATATCAGAATTAGCTCGGTGTCACATCACTCGGACATGACAGGCCACACTGTGGCTGTTGACATGGGTTTAGCCGAGAGAAACGACCCAGAAAGTCTCTCGTGTCGATCTCGACGTCAAACCCATGACCATTCATAAGAACCACAATGCAGTGGCAACTTTGAAAGACGATTGACGCAGCAAGGCGGGACAACTGGAGCATTTGAAAAGACCATGCAGAATCTTCGGAGGAATTATTTCAAGGCCCACTACACAATGGGTCTCACAGGCCACCGGCGAAAAATTTCTGTGACCAAATGCGATTAATCACTAGCCCCCAGTCTCGGAGTTATATGTCGCGTGCGCTTGTAACCGGAGGAAAAAGTGAGGTGGTCTTCTTTTCCTGCGGAAGATCTTCAATCTTGTCTTGCTCTTCCCACCATTTTCCAGCCGACCAGCCTCCACAAACCCTAATCATAGCCGCGACAGGAAGCAGCTGCTCGCCGCCACCATGGCATCCCAGAACCACGTTGTCGGCGATATCGAAAAGACGATGCATCCCACACCGCCGGTCTCATCAGCAGACGAGGCCGAAATCGAGCCCGTGAAGACACCAAAGTCTCGCGGCGTGTTGGCCACAATTCGCTCATACGAACAGTATCTGGATGGCAAGCTAGGGATCGAGTCGCACAGCTTGGATCGGGTGCCTCCCGAGAACCGAGACTCACCAAGCCCAATTGTGATGGCACTGATGTGGGCGTCCGCGACAATGAATATCAGCTGCTTCTCGACCGGATTCCTGGGGCATCAGTTTGGGTTGTCGCTGGGTCAGACGATACCGACTGTGATCTGTGGGACTCTTTTGGGGGCAAGTGTCACTGTGAGCCAACGATCTCCCATTCTTACTCCCCTGCTCGTTGCGTGCCAATAAGGAAAAAGAAGAGAGAAAAGGAGGAGAAAAAAAAGTCATGATTGCATCTTCTTCAATTGCCGGTGCATTGGGTAGAAGCTGACCGTCTGTGTCCACGGCTGGCTGTAGGGCTGGTGCGCAACGATGGGTCCCGGGACAGGTTTACGTCAAGTCGCCATCTCCCGATATTCGCTGGGCTTCTACCCATCCTCTATCATTGCATTGCTGAACGTGATCGAACAATTAGGCTGGGCCTCGGTCAATTGCATCACTGGCGGACTTGCTCTGAGCGCGGTATCAGATGGACGGGTGTCCATCGCCGTGGGCGTGGTGATCATTGCCTGCGTCAGTCTACTCTTCAGCTTCGTGGGGTTGCGCGGTGTGCTGCTGTATGAGAAGTACGCGTGGATTATGTTCTTCATCATATTCATGATCATCTATGGCGAGGCAGCGCATCGAGCGGACCTGTCCCTACCGGCTACGGTCACCGGCTCGACACTTTCTGGTAACGTTTTGAGTTTGCTCGGCGTTGTGTATGGATCCAGTGCATCCTGGAGCTCGATCGTTTCCGACTTTTATGTCCATTATCCCGTGAACACATCCAAGACGAAAATATTCCTGTTCACCACTTTCGGCATTACCATCCCGACATGCATCGGCATGCTGCTTGGCGCGTGCATCAGCTCCGCACTTCCCACGAACCCCGAGTGGGCAGCGGCTTATTCGAATGGCATTGGCGAGATTCTCAAGGAAATCATCTACCCCGACGGCTTTGCCAAGTTCCTGCTCGTTCTCTTAGTCCTGTCAGGCAGTAAGTCTCCCAAATCACATGGACGACCAAGCGCTTTAGAAAAAAAAAAAAAAAAAGTCGATTCCTTACTGACCTCCACCATACAGTTGGCGTCAACTGCATTGCCATCTACTCCGGGGCTCTCTCAGCACAACTGTTCGCCGCTCCTTGCGCCAAAGTACCTCGCGTAATTTGGTCTTTTCTTGTCTTTGGCGGTATTCTCGCCCTCGGCATCGCCGGTCGAGACCATCTACTCGACGTGTTGGAGAATTTCCTTTCATTGCTTGGCTACTGGAACACGTCATTCTTTGCAATCTTGTTCATTGAGCACTACTGCTTCCGAGCAGGAAACGTGGCAAACTATGACCTGGACGCGTGGAACACTCCGTCAAAGATGCCCATCGGATATGCTGGCCTCACTGCATTTCTCTGCGGCGCGGCCGGGTGGATCCTCGGCATGGTTGAGACGTATTATGTCGGCGTGCTGGCGGAGAAAATCGGCACGAACGGCGGAGATATTGCCAATGAATTGGCTCTCGTCTTTACTGCGGTCTCGTTCTGGCCGCTTCGGAAGCTGGAACTGAAGTACGTGGGCCGGTAAGATAGAGTTGGAAGGTTGTCCAGACGATGCGCCAGCATGTTTTGATGAAATCCCTGCGTGGTCCGAGACTCGACAGGGAAATTGTACAACAGTATCATTTTGTTCAAGTTGGTTCAATATTTGCATGGAAGTTTTCGTTCACTATCAAGGATCAAATAATCACTCATGAGCATGCCTCTTTTTCGAAGACAACTGAACTGACGGCTTGGGGTCAGCATCTGATTAGCAGGGATGACGAGCCACCCGCACGTATTCCTTGTAAGAGAGACTTTTCAATGCTGAGAATTGACCATTCGCCATCACTGGATCATGAAAGAAAAAAAATAGACCCGAAAACAAAGTAAATGGTTCGAATTTCGTGATATAAAGCTCGCCACGCCAGCCGCCATGCAATGGGTATCCACAAGAAAACCAGGAAGAAGAGGTCAGGTGAAAGTCATGTGAAAGTCATGCTCAAGAATTGGACTGGCGTCCTCACCCAACCTTGGATGCAGACGACCAAAAGTATAGACAGGGCAGAAGAGAAGAAGCAACGACATTTGCAAACTTCATAGGCCGGTAACACATTCGGGTGCTGAGCGCAAGAAAAAAAAGTTAAGAAAAGAAAGAAACCTAAAAGGGGCCAGCCCGCCGGTGATTAATGGCCACCGAGACTCGAGGATTGCTCGAGCCATGCCTCAAACAGCTTTCACAACAGGCCAGCCTGATGAAAAGTCCAACTCGTTCCATCCATAGAGATAGCCATCGATGCCGGCGCCGCCACTTTGCTTGGCAGCGAGAGAGTAGTAATGATAGTACAGAATAGGGCCGAGGTCTTTGTCGTTCAGTACGCCCCTTTTTTTGGACTCATTAGCTGTGGCCCACGGCTTTTGTTCTGTGGAGGTCTTTTGGGTGTGCATGGCAAGCATGAGTTGAGCGCAACTTACTGTCCACCGGGTGCATAGACTTGATCGTGGCTGGCGAGGATCAAGGTACCTCCTGATTCAAGGCAGGATTTGCCCGTTTGATCAACCTATTCATGCAGTACAGTCAGTCGATGGAACTATCTCTCGCGATGCCGCACTATCATGTGTTCGCGTGTTACTTACGAATCCGCCAGTTCCACTGGTCGACCGGCAAACATCGATCCGATACTCCTCGCCCTGCGCCGGGTACGTAGCGGTATAGGAACCAGCAATACCACCACTGTAGAACAAATAATAGTACTCGTCATGCTGGTACAAAAAGGGGGCTTCGATGCGGTGATTCAAGCTTGAGTTGAGCGCAAGCTGATGCGGCGCATCCGAACCCACGTGCAGTGGACTCTGAAGGGCGACCTGGTACAGTCCTTGCCAGTAGGAACCGAATTGGAGGTACTGCTGCCCGTTGATGGTGACCCAGTTCGGGTCGATACGGTTATAGGCGTTGTTGGCGGGGATTCCCACGATGCCGTGGTCGGTCCAGGAGCCGGGCTCCATGGTGCTGGAGGTGGCTACGCCAATTTCGGAAGTTTGTGTGCCCAGTTTGGAGAGAACGTAGTACATGTAGTAGATTCCATCTTGGTAGTGGACGTCGGGGGCCTTTCGGAGATGTTAGTCTGGCTCATCTTCTGCTCGTGGCCATACCGGAAAAGGGTATAGTGCAAGAATTTTGAGAGCCACACAGTGTGAAGACAGAGGAGAGTTCGACGTGAAACGGGAGACTTGGAAAGAAGGAAAGAACAAAGGACCAGAACAGTACATCGTTTCGTAAACCATTGCGCACGTACCCATATATCGTTGCTGTCGACCCCGTCAACATGAATGATCGACCCATTGGGCATTGCTCGACCAACATCTGCCCAGGGTCCCTGCAACGAGGGAGACATCATTGTATTGACCCCCGTGCCAGTAGAGAAACGAAAATAAGTGCCATCGGACTCGCGGCGAATCATTGAAGGATCATGAGTCCAGCAATCTCCCGTACATGGGCCACGCGCTGGATAGGCACTTGTGACTGCGGATAAGAGGAAGCAGAGGAAAATGGCCCGCATTTTCAAAGACCAAGGATGATGAACACCAAAAGATCAAAATTCACAATTCTTTGTCAATGAAGGTAAAAGATAGGTAGGGACGTCGACGAAAAAGAAGTGATAATCGAAATTTGTCGCCGATATGGTCGTCTACGGATTAATTCCACCCTCCAAAACCAGGCGACCTACGCTATTTATGTACAGTACAGCTCTGCGCTATGATGAAGGTTTGGGGGCCCCTTGTTTACGTGCCCAGACTCTTCCATCCTATCACATAGATCTTCCCAGGCTCATGCAGGTGGTTGCCACGAGGTCTTGCACACAAGGCGTCGGAGACACCGTTCTCATCAGGTGTACCGAGCCGACTGCCCTGATTCAACGGCAGTCGGAGAATTGATCGAGGCATGCCCAACAAATGTGCATTCCCAGTGTTTAATTTCACCTGATACAGTGGGCAGCGAGCACATATTCCTGGTCCCCTTCTGTTGCTGGTGGTTCGCCTGTGGGTCCCCACCGTGGGGGCCGTTGTTGGATACTCAGGTATGCAAGGACCGGGGGTACGAAGAGCCGGGGGATCAAGGGGAGCTTCGTTCTGTCCTGAAGAAAAGTGAAGGTAGGCACACAACTCATCGGTGGGATCTGCAGATCAACGTTTTTCGACTGGTTCGGCTACACCGCGCTAGTTGGCTTCCGACGTTCAGTACCTACTGTCCCTGACTTCCTATACATACCTCGATTGGTGTCAATGGAGCTTATGCAGTCAACTTTGCAAGAGCTCAATCCGCCATCACGGAGATCACAGCCATGTGGGATTGAAGCTCACTTTTGCAGGACAGAGAAGACGATCATCACCAGGGCGGAATCACTTCACGCCTGAGCTTGGTGTCTTAGGGAAATGTCGTTTGGAGACTCGTGTCACCACTTAAAGCTGCTGGATGTTCACTCCAACTACCTCAGTTGTCCTCCGCATGCTCAATCGACCTCTTACAAGTTATCATAAGTGATCTCGAGGGGGTATATCCAACCAGACTTGTGCTCTCCTGCGCTACGCCCCGGCATTCCACAAAGACCTAGGGGGTATGCCGCAAGTGAACGTCTAATCTCTTCCGATATAGCGGACAAGAGGGACCCATCGCCATGGAACCAAGTCTCAGTCTAGACAAATGTACTTGAACTCGCGTAATTTATTTGCATCTTGCAAAGACTGATGAGAAATACTCCTCGACACACCTTCTACGTCGAGCCAGACTCACTCGCATCTACCGGGGGCAAAAGGGGCCTGCATTCCTCGCGTGAATGGGTTGCACATGTATCGAGATCTGGCAAGAGAAGAATGGAGCCGGGCATGACTTTTTCAAGGTCCATCTTGTGGTCGTTGTGAATGCTTGCAAGGGGGTGATCCGTTTCTCGGGCTACGCGCTTGCTGGTAGTTGGTACTGTTCTTGCTTCATTGACTTGGAAAAACCTTCACGGGCTGGGAGCCGAAGATGTCCGTGCAAACGTGAAGGTCTGGACCACGGCTGCTCTCGCTGAGCAGTCTAGACGGTCCATCGAAACACAACATTTACACTACTAAGCTGTCTTTGATGGCCATGTTCGCCTCGGCAGAGAAAGCAGCCAAGCTCTGCGTTATTTCCATTATTGCTTTGAAGTGAGCACTTCACATAGTTGTCCTCCGAGGATCAGGCTGTTCGATGTTCCAGGCTCGAAGACACAACTGAGTACGCCTATTTCATCTGATTTGGCGTGTATTCTCAAGGTGGAGCTGCGAACATCTCATGCCTGAAGAAACAAAAGTTCCAACAACCGTCTTACGCCTTGAACAAAGTAGACTGCAGTGTACTGTTCAACTGCGCAACAAACAACTTGTGCTCATTGAGAATGTACATGCGACCATCACGCCCAAACGAAAAGTTCGAGGTGCCCCCCTTGATCAAGATCTTGCCCAGGAGCACCCCGCCCATAGACCACACGTTGACACCGTCTCCACAGCCGGCATATACATTACCGAACTGGTCAACTTTGATGCCGTCGGGGATACCGACGCTGGCCATGGCAAAGACTCGTCGATTGGTCAGGAAAGGCTGGCCACCGATGGCAGTCACGTCAAATGCATAACTGTTGAGAAATGTGTCAGGCACTGAATCCGATGCAGTGAATGCATGTCCTTGAAGACGAGATTTGCGATCTTCACCCTCCAAACTTCGAATCGATGGATCGACTTACATGGTCGCTGGTAGAACAGGATCGGTCGTCCCATTACCAATCGTCTCCGCGGTATCGGTGATGTACATTGTCATTTCATCGGGCGAGAAGGAGATTCCATTCGGTCGTCCAAACCCATCAGCCACGACACGCACGTCCTTGGTGACTGGATCATAGCGGTACACTTGATTCGGAAGCTTCGGCTGTGGCCGGACACCCTGTACCCATCCGTAGATGGGATCAGTGAACCAATATGCGCCGTCATTTGCGACTACCACATCATTGAGAGAATTGAATTGACGGCCGTAGAAGCCTTCAATGATCGGCTCTGAGTTATACGGCGCAGTAGCTGACATTTGGAAAAGACCACCTGTCTCGTTAAGAGTACCTTGGCCGGCCCAGAGGATGCCATTGCCATTGTTTACGCCGCCGTTGGGCAGGGGAATGGTGCTGTTGATAATCTCGGAGGTCACTGGGTGAGCGCTTAGGTTGACTTTGCTGATCTTGATAGTGGTTTGGTTGGTCGCGGGGTCACGGAACATGTTGCTGGTCATGAAGAGGGAGTCCGAGCTGGGAATGTAGACGGCCGCTTCGTGAGCAAAAGGAAAATCATTGTTCTCGAGGACGAGTTCGAGTTTGGGTGCATTGCCTAGGATGGAGTAAAAGCCCTGGTTGAAGATGCTGAAATTGGAGGAAATCGAGGAGACGTCGCGGACAGCGAGATCTGCGACGAGATTTCCGAGTGCCATTGTGCTTCTGCAATTATTGGAATTTCCCACTTGTTGATGTAGTTCGTGATGCAGAATAACCAAATCCGGCGGTATTAACTGGTATGGTAGGTGGGTATAATTAAGAAGACCGTTGCCAGCAGGATGTCACGAAGGTGTATTTGTGTCAGTACCCTTGGGCGCCTCAAGCTCAGTGTCTCCAGCGGATCAATCAATTGGCGAATGCCTGGTCTTTGTATTACCAAGACCTCGCGGCTTCAAAGGGTCATCTCATGATTATAAAGTTTGCTGGATCTCTGCTGATCCTAATGCGATCGACGCTCTATAGCCCGCACTCGGCCGATTTCCCCGAAGATTAACCAGGAGATCCGGATCCAGGTTGCTTGCCGCGTTGAACCTCAAGAATGAGCTGACTGTGTCTCATAGCGAACAATGAGACCTTGTCAGTGCCATGGGCGGGAAGGCTACATGGATAACAAAAATACTGGAAATGAGAGTTGGAAGAACTGTGGATCAGTTTAAGTAGATCGAAGCAGATGAGAGGTTGAATTAGTTTGCCAACGACTTGAGCTTTGGAATCTTTGGTCGCATCCGCCACCCACTCAGATCGGCGCACCTAGGTGCGTATCTTGGACGGTTCGATCTGTCTTTGGTAGAACATGAAATAGGTCAGCTGATCCCACCCTATGTGCAAAAGAAGATTCGATATCATCGACTTGATGATATCACGTGTCGAACTAGTCCACTGCAAATCAGCCCGATTTTAATGGGTCCCTACTTCCGATCGCTCGTTCCCTCAGGTGGCCCTTGAGTTTTCGATGCAACAGTACACCACACGGCACACATTACTACTATGTATATCTGACTTCTTATGGAAGATGATTCATAACAAGTGGAATCCCTCATTTGAGATTCTCTCCATTGCATGGCTCGATTTGTCATACAATCACTTTGGGAAGGATGTCATACAGATCGTGCGTAGGGCGTCTGACGTGTGGTTATTCGTATGGCCTCAAGGACCTGTCCGTGTAAATTGACCATCTGCTAGATTGCGAGGTGATCCCTCTTGCATATATATCTGGTTCCAATCTACCTACCTTCTACCAGTACGGTAAGCGGGAGCACATGCGATTCTCACTGGCATCTACCTACCTATCCATGTGCAAAAGCTCTAACTTATCAGAGGAACCGAAACGTCGATTCATCATCGTGTTTCTGATTGAAAGCCGAGTCTTTGCGTCCTGACCCCTTCATACAGACAGGACGGTGTGCCGAAAAAGACGTCTCATTTTCTGCTCCTGAAGATACTGTAGCTCGACACAGGCGTACCTGCAGGACGGGCGAACATTTGACCGTCCGGATCTTCCCCTTCTGTTACAATGAGCTGGTCCCCTTGTGGCCCAGCCCAGCTGTTTCAGAGGACTTTGCAACTTGGACAAGATTGGAATGATTTTACGACTGATCGATTTTTGGCCCGGATCTTGTGGTATGGACTAAAGCATGTCCAGAACGAGTGGCTCTCGTCGGAAGGGTGTTCACAAAGTACCATTCGGACAGTCACCTGCATCTACCTACAGGTACTCCTACTACTGATAGTACTTGTAGTAGTAGTATCACTGAATCTTTTCAAGCGACATGTTTGCTGGCACATATGTACAGGAAGGTCGGAAGATTGATTTCGTATACAGGGTTTCCGTGCCTAACTATCGTGATCACGAGAAGAGATACCCTTTCGCCGTCACTGCTTGCCATCAATCATCGACCGTGTTATCTCTTCCATCCTTTGGTGCCATCAATCTGTTGGAGTCTCCGAGTCACGGGCTGTAGCTTGCACTGGGTCCGTCGTTCGAGGGCACTTTGAGGGAGTCCCGCCTTGAGACATGGGGCAGCCGCGAAGCGAGCCAACACCGTGGGAGCGTGAGACGGAACGCCTTTCACATCATCGCTCATTTCAAATATCCCCAAGAGGTTAGAGTGATTGAAGGCTAAAGCCACCACTTCTTAGTGTGATCCAGCAACGACAGGTCCAACGTTTGGTGTCCACCAGTTGACCCACCCGGAGTCAACCTTCATCCACTCAGGTGGGCGTGCGGAAATGAGCGTTTCTTGCTCCAGGACTATCCTTGAGAGACCAGAGCCGGCGTTCATCTAGAAGGGTTCTGGATATCGTCGACTTCAGTCTTGGGCGACCACCAACGGCAGTAGTGGGGCTGATCGGCTCAAAGCTCAAAAGGTGAAGAGACGCCTTGAAGCCTTCCCTGGAGTCGGATGCGCTCCTCGAATCATAGACCTGAGACATAGCCTGTGACGAGCATGGACAGAGTGAGATCACTTGAGATAGACGACGCGAACATAACTACAGACTGACTGCACCAGGTAACTGCGTACTGCACAGACATGACTTACTCGCAATACAACAGCCTGATCAACCCATCTCAGAGACAGTCACACTACCAGATTATCAGGCGAATCATTCACTTCTCCAACCAAATAAGAACCCCGCGACCGGATGGCGACCAAAGTTGCTTAAACCTTGGGAAGCTTTCACCATCCCAAAGTCTCTCTCCCTCTCTTGTATCTCTCTGTACCCATCAGTGGTGCCAAGGGAAGTCTCTCCCTTTTGCGTTTCCCACTCCGCTTTTCCCACGTGCCGAACCATCTTTGACTCGCGCTATATTCACTCCTTCGCACCGTTCTGAACATCTGGTGCCGTGGGGCTCCGTGCCATTGCGGTGGTCCCGGACACTCTCTGTATCTCTCAAGTCACACACATCGAGTTCGGTGGTACCCTGACTCAAGCAGTGCCCTGAGTGCCCGAGGCTCTCTAGTCTCTACGGTCCCTTAGTACCCTAGGATACTTATCGCGTACCGAGTCTAGACTCTAGAGAGGGCTGGTGCTGACTCTCCCCCCTCTCTTTTTCCTGCTATTAGAGGTTAATGAACGTACAACCTGTACTGTACTGTAGGTGACTTCTACTTTGACTAGTAGTCTTCGACCGTCCCAGGTACCTTACCTATCCCACGAGAGTAGGTACTAGTAGCAGGTTTAAAGGTCCCTACTAGGTAACTTATTGTCAATGGTATTATTGTACTGTACTACTCCCCTACTCCCCCCCCTGGTCCGCCGTGGTCACTCTGGCGGTTCGTCACTCCTCCACCACATCCACAGTACCAAACGTTTGGGCCCCTCTCCTCCCCCTCTGGCCACTGCACCACTGCACTACTGCACCACTGCACTACTGCACCACGGCACCACAGCACTGCCATACCCACCTCACCCTGTCGGCCAGTATTCCAGAAGAAAATTCCCCTTCTTCGTTCCATCATATCTCAACTTCCTACCCAGACCACCCAACCTTCTCCCCCTCTCGGCCTCTCCTCTTCCTTCCGCTTCCCCCCCCCCCGTGATGCCACCTCAATTGCCACTCTTATAAGAGACCTGGTCAGTGATCGATCCAGAGACGTGCAGGTCCTGGACCCTCTCTTATTGACACCGCCGCCCGCCGCCCGCCGACCTCCCCGACCGTGGCCGCTCCGGTCGGAGTGCTCATTGCTATCCCCAAAATTGACCTCGGAAATTCCCCTTCGCCCTGTCGGTTCCCTCTCCCCTGCTCCCAATCCCCAGGGTGCCAACTACACCTCCTGCTGTCGAGCCTGAGCACCAGCGCATGTGTGGGACCGGCCCATCATGAGTTCTGAAAGCAATTTCTCATTGAAGTTTCGCCGACCGTCGAGCAAGCTACACAAGGATCCTCCTAGTTTTAGTTCGCGCATTCTCCGGAGTCATCAGAGTGCCACCTCCCTCAAGCGCCATCCTTCGGCTCCTGTCTACCCGCGCGCCTCACCAAGCGGTACTCGGGAGCATACGCGTTCTCGTTCAAATGCCGCCTTCGGTTCCTCATCCTCATCACTGGAACAGCATAGTCAACACAGTCAGCAGAGCCAGCAGAGCGGCGGCCATTCCCCCAGCGTGGACGAGGGGACCTCGTCCTACTTCCCGAGCTTTGGGGGCTCGCGCATTCGAACGCGAAGCTCCAATCGCTTCTCCTACAATGATCGGGATCGGAGCTCGGATGACATGAACACGGCTTCCTTCGAGACCCGGGGAATGCTCAGTGCACTCGATGAAAACTTCGCAGAACCCGACCATCAACCCCAGCCCTACAAGTCAGATGGACAACCGCCCCCCTTACACCATCACCACACGAGTCCCGATGATCCTCGCGGTCGCCAGACGCTTCGACAGTCTGCGAGTTTCACAGCTCTTCCGAACCGTATGATGGACTCCTTTGCGCACCGGGAGACTGAGCGCTCGCACCACGACAAGCGGTTTTCCGACGAGGCTCAGAATGGGACCCCGAATCCGGCTCCGATCAGGCCAGCTAGGAGCAAGAAAGCCAGTTTTTCGAGTTTTGTCAGCAGTATGCTGGGATCCCCCCGCAACATCAAGATCTCTGCCCCTGAGAACCCGGTCCACGTCACCCACGTGGGGTACGACAATCAGACCGGCCAGTTCACGGGCCTGCCGAAGGAATGGCAGCGATTGCTCCAAGAAAGCGGTATTTCAAAGAAAGAGCAGGAGGAACACCCCCAGACCATGGTGGATATCATGCGTTTCTACGAGAAGAATACGCGGGGAGATGACGATGAGGTATGGCACAAGTTCGACAACGCGTCGTACAAGGCACCAGCAGCAACCGCGACATCGGCCCCGGCCACGGCGGGAACCACCCCTCCCGGTAGCCCTCGATTCCCGCAGAACCACGAAAGCCGGTTTGAAAACCCACGATCTCCGCCACCCATCCCTCGCAGTCCTCCCGCAGTGACGACGGCGGCTGCCATGTCCCCTCCTTTGGGAAGCCTGGTTCCTCACCGAGCGCCTCCGAAGCCTCCCACGGCAATGACTCCGGCCCGTCCTGCTCCGCAACCACCTGCTCCCCCGGCCTATGTTGCTGGTCCCCAGCGTCAGACCCCAGCTCCTCTCGGCCCATCAGCCGGCATTGCTCTCATGTCCGAGTCCGCCCCGGTGTCTTCCATAGCTCCCAATCCCAGTCGATCCGACTCTCGCAATGGTGTCTCGCCTTCGAAGCAGAGTGCCATCGTCTCGCCGACAGCGTATCAGCAGCAACAGGAACAGGTCATGGCGGCTGCACAGCAAGCCATTGCCTCCAAGCAACTGGATCGAAGCGCCAGCCAGCGCACACAGCAATCGTCTTATCAAAAAGCAGCCCAACCACCCGTTCTGGCGACCAACATGGGACCTTCGTCGACGGACCCGTCGCCGATTGCGGCATCTCCAGCCACGAAGCCCCCGCCCGCTGCGCGGCCTCGGCAGCGCCAGCAACGCCAAAGCACCGTCATGGATGTGCGTCAGCGACTACTGCAAATCTGTCATCCCGGAGATCCCACCAGGCTGTATCACAACCTCAACAAGATTGGGCAGGGTGCCTCGGGCGGTGTCTACACTGCTTATGAAATAGGCACCAACAACTGCGTGGCGATCAAACAGATGAACCTCGATCTTCAACCGAAGAAAGATCTCATCATCAACGAAATCTTGGTCATGAAGGACAGCAAACACAAGAACATAGTGAACTTCCTGGAGAGCTTCCTCCATGGGCTGGACCTTTGGGTTGTCATGGAGTATATGGAAGGTGGTAGTCTTACGGACGTGGTCACCTTCAATATTATGAGCGAGGGGCAGATTGCAGCGGTGTGTCGCGAGGTATGAAGTTTCCGCACAAAATATCACTTTCGATCCGGATCACTGACACATCTTCATAGACCTTGAGCGGTCTTCAGCACCTGCATTCCAAAGGTGTCATTCACCGTGATATCAAATCCGATAACATTCTCCTCTCGCTAGAGGGCAACATCAAACTCAGTGTGTTATCCCTCCTTGGATTGGCCAGCAAGCCCAAATCCTGCTTCACCGACGCTAACCATGTTCACAGCCGATTTCGGTTTCTGCGCTCAAATCAACGATTCCCACAACAAGCGCAACACCATGGTCGGTACACCGTATTGGATGGCACCTGAGGTCGTCACTCGTAAAGAATACGGTCGCAAGGTTGATATTTGGAGTCTCGGTATCATGGCCATTGAGATGATCGAGGGTGAACCGCCTTATCTCACAGAGTCGCCCCTTCGTGCACTTTATCTGATTGCGACCAATGGAACCCCGAAGATCAAAGACGAGCACCAGCTGTCTCATGTCTTCCGCGACTTCCTGTACTTGGCCTTGAAGGTTGATCCGGAGAAGCGTGCATCAGCTCATGACCTTTTGAAGGTATCGTGTCCCGCTTCTTAAGCGACTTCTTCTCTGTTTTCAAGTGTGCCCGTCGCTAACCCCTGTTCTATAGCACCCCTTCATGAGCCTGTGCTCCCCTCTCTCTCATCTGGCGCCCTTGGTCAAAGCCGCTCGCATCAGCCGGGCCCAAGAAAAAGCGCAGAAAGGCCACGCCTAGCCCCTCAACCTTCCCAACATCTCACGCACTCTCTGAGTACCTCCCTCGGCTCTACAACTTACACCTTTCTATTCTTATGTGTTTTGGGTCTTGCCCTCGTCACCTGCTGCCTGTCTCGTTCAGATACCCCCAACACTCCCACTTATTCTTTCCATTCGATTAGATTCCGGCATGTTACTCTATCTATCTCTTGCATTACCATGCCGTCGGAGTCGGCCCCTTTTATTTCAAGTACATTTACTGGCCATTGTCCTTTTTCTATATTTTTTTCGGACCTTTGCGAGGCTTGCTTCTGCGTATCTGCCAATACGCGAAGTCGGCTCTTGCTGCTTAAAAGGTCCATGACGGTCCTCATGCACTTTTTCATCTCTACTAAACTCCGCCCCGGATTCGGACCGCGAGGTTTTATGCTAGCACTGGCATCGGCATTGGCTTCGGGATTTCTTCTTCTCAACTCCTTATCTCTATTTCATCTTATGCTCTGCGGCTCCGTTGGACCTGTATATACGTTCTGGCCTTCCAAGACCAAGGGTGACAGACTAGGTGAGGACGGTTCATGTAGCAATAGCTTCGCATTTTACGTTTCGGCTGGGGTTTGTCTGCGTCTTTTTGCTACTCCACCTGAGGCGATGACCTATTGATCTATTGACGAGATTGAAGTTGAGTGATCAATCACAGTACCGCCATGTATCTTTACCTATGATCAGGTTCATTGGCATCCACGAATATGGTGTACTCGCTCATTGGGGTTCCAGCAAAATTATCACAATTGGAAGCTGTTGGACAAGTCGGACAAAAATTCCATCATACACAGGGAACTCGACAAAATACGTAGACGTAGAATGTCAATGTCTACGAGACGCAAGTCATCGAGTTGATTCCGTACATCTCAGTTTCCCTCGCCACCCTAGCTGGAATCGCAGTATACTTCAATGAAATTTCAAGCCCAACCTACTAACTAACATTGGCTTTGTCACAAAATAGCAGGAAGGTACCTACCCTAAGTGGCTCCAAACAGAGACTACTCCTCCTGCTAGGTGGTGATTGGAGAGTTCCGTGCGCACCGTACCCCAAATGCTGCGCAGGCACCGTCGTCATCGGTCTGCTGACTCAGGTCCGACAGGCGGACAGCTGAGAGGTAAGGTAATCACTGATCAAGCGCACTCCCAAGTAGGTAGCACTTCCCACGAGTTAGTAGCTCTTGCTGGACTCACTCAACCAACGCAACCTGGTACGATCATCTTGGAAGTCAGACTAAGCAGCCTTCCCAAGACTCAAAACTAACGACACCCCCTAAGGATCAGCGATTATCCACTTGACGAGCCACCCGCCCTCCGTCTCCCCCACGCTGTGTCGACTTTAAACTCCCCGCATTCCATCTTGCACCTGCGCCCCGTCAATTATCCTGGTCATTGCGACTATTTGACTTTCCGCTCCATAACTTGCTCTTGTGCGCTGCTGTGTGAAGTCACTCTCGGCATTTTTGTGATCTTGAATCTTCTCGTCGGCGATCAAATTCGACTTGTGTCGCCGAAATCGTTGGTGCCTGACGTGCTCCTCGGCCACGAGCTCCAGTGAAATCTGACGTGTTCCATCTTTCGTCTACAGCAGCTGCATTTGGACCCTTGAATATGTTTCGCGCTCCTCAAAATTCATTTGATGATGCCGTCGGTGAGTACTTCGCGTTCTTCAGCGAGTTATTTTTCTTGTGAGGGGACAGACTGGGGAATTGGCCTCGACCGCTGGACATCATTCCAGAAAGCTGCGGGCTCGCAGCGCGCAAGATGAAGTCATTCATTTCGCAATTGTCACTGACAGGTCGTCTCTCACACAGCCAAGGCGACGGACGAGAATCTCACCTCGGAGAATTGGGAGTACATTTTGGTACGTGCAGCGCAGCCGTCGCTACGACCACAAACCTCGGTTCGCTGGGAGAACTGAACTAACTGTCTATTGCTACGGTTCAGGATGTTTGCGACAAAGTAGGCGCGGAAGAGACTGGGTAGGTCAGCCTGTGTTGATACAAGCTCCATCTGCTGGCATTGTACCGCGGCGCTAATGACAACCTGGGTTATAGAGCGAAAGATGCCGTCGCAGCAATGATCAAGAGACTGGCGCATCGGAACGCCAATGTGCAACTTTACACTCTCGAGGTGAGTCGTAGCGGAGAAAGAATTGGCCGGGTGCAGTATCATTGGGCTGTCAGTCCTAACAAGTATCGTGATACAGCTCGCAAACTCGCTATCGCAAAACTGTGGCGCCAAAATCCATCGTGAGCTGGCCTCGAGAAGTTTCACTGATGCGCTTTTGCGCTTGGCAGCGGATCGCGTAAGTTGGAGGCCCCTCGACCCATCCCCCAGGCGAGTCGATCACTGATGGTCCGTTCATGAGCACAGAACACACACCAGCAGGTGAAATCAAAGATCTTGGAGAGGATGCAGGAATGGTCGGAAATGTTCTCTGCCGATCCCGATTTCGGGATCATGGAGCAGGCATACATGAAGCTGAAAACTCAAAGTAGGCTGTCCCTTCCAACGGCTGATAGCTGCCTCCGGCTTACCGCTGACTCGTTACGAACAGATCCCAATCTTCAACCTCCATCGAAACCGGTCAAGAGCGCGATGACCGACATTGACCGACAGAAGGAGGAGGAGGAATTGCAAATGGCACTGGCTTTGTCCATCAAGGAAAAATCGTCAGCGACATCGGCTCCATCTGCGTCCTCGTCGGCCGCGCCAAATACCTCCTCTTCCGCCGCCGCTCCGGCTGCTACAAATGTTGCAGAGGCTGCTGCTTCTCAGCCTGTGCCCTCAGGTACCTCTGCCGCCACCGTGTCGCGTGTAAGAGCGTTGTTCGACTTCCAGCCTTCCGAGCCAGGGGAGCTTCAGTTCCGAAAGGGTGACATCATCGCTGTTTTGGAGTCGGTCTACAAGGATTGGTGGAAGGGTTCTCTTCGTGGACAGACAGGCATCTTTCCTCTAAACTACGTGGAAAAGCTTCCTGATCCCACGGTGGATGAACTACAGCGCGAGGCCCACATGGAAGCTGAGGTGTTTGGTCAGATCAAGAACGTCGAGAAGCTTCTCACGCTGTTGAGCACCCGCAGCTCTGATCTGAACGTCCAGGAGAATGAAGAGATCACTACTCTCTACCACTCGACTTTGGCAATTCGACCTAAGCTGATTGAGCTTATTGGGAAGTATTCCCAGAAAAAAGGTTAGTGTCTTGTATCCAATGAACCGTCGTCGCTTTGCTAACAAACACAGATGAATTCACGCAATTGAACGAAAAATTCATCAAGGCCCGCCGCGACTATGAGTCTCTTCTCGAGGCCTCGATGGCTCATCCCCCGCAATCTCAGTACGGACGTCCTCCGCAACCATCATATGGCTATCCTGGCGCGGCTCCTGCTGGGTACCCGCAGGGTCCTCCTCCCCACGTAGGCCCTCAGCCGGATCAGCGTTACTTCACCCCTCGGCCTCAAGGTATGTATCGTTTCGAGTCCTTCCACAGAAATCATTCGTTGACAGAAGACCAAGACGCGCAAACCCCACAACCGCCTCCAAACGCGTATTACGGTGCCGAGCAATCGATCCCATACCGGCCTGCATCTCAGTCCCCCGACCCGCGTACCCAATTCCCTGGTGCTGCTCAGCCTGAGCCTTATCAACCAGTGCATCATCGCCCTCAGTCGACGTACGACTCCCCACAGGAACTTGGTACATCTATTTACGACTCGCCCGTTGAGCCAACGGCCGCTCATCAGCGTCCCTCCTTTTCAGGGCCAGGATCAGCTCCTCAAAATGCCCACCAACAGTTCCAGCAACCGCCACCGCCGCAAGAGCACAGTGCTCCGGCATATCCAACCGAGGACCTAGCAGCCTCGGCGCCTCCGCCAGGGATGAACTCGCAAACACAGCACCAGTACCCACCTCAACCACAGACTCACCCAGCTCCTTATCCGAATTCGCCATCGCACCAACAAGCAGTACCTTCTCACCAACCGCCCCCTATCCCTGGCTCCGCGGGTCAGCCCACACAGTATGCTGCGTTTAACCCAGCTGCTTCGGCGCCGCCGTCTGCAGAATATCAGGCTTACCAGCCATCGCAGCCTGGCGCGCCCGCGTCCAACCCCGCTTCGTTCTACCGTTAGATGCTCTTGAGCATGGGGTTGATTGTTGATATGCTCCTGGGACTGGTGGCGTTTATCCTGGATTCAATTCGAACTGAATCCATCGACCGCATGCTTTCAGCGCGTGACTGAGCCTAACCTTATTCCTTACCATTTCCTCTTCCCTGATATCCTTGCTTCCTCATCTTGTTGGTGATAATACGCAGTGTCAGTCTCTCTTTTGTCCATGTAGATACTTGTTGCGACTCAATCCTATTCTTTGATACCGAGAAGAAACGGCGCACTGGAGCCGCCCGCTGTCTCAAGCGTCATTGCTCTAATTGTGGCATTGGCGAGTACACATAAGCAAGCAATGAAAGTGTTTGGCGCGAGGGCCGATGTATATGTCTATCATAACGCTTTCTACTGTATGAAAGCTTTCGGCCACTTCAGGTCTTTAGATCTAGTGTACCATTTCACAAGCAGCATATCATTTGCATATTCGTAATCGGACCAGATACGACGCTTCACTCGGCGAGCTCAGGCACACATCACGTGATTACATCGCCGCCCTTTTGGGTCGCGGCGGTTGACAGGCGCATGATTAGCAGCGACGTCAGTTCCAGGCGGACAATTGTCTTTGGCCTTCACTCGAGGGGATTCGAACTTGACGCACGCGCTTGCGAAGCTTACTTGCTCGATTATCATATCTCCAGCTCGCTCCCCTCGCCGACTGTCTGATCCCGAAGGGCTCTGATAGCTTCCCCGCAATCACGCCCCGTCCCCTCCTAGACGATGATCGGACTCGGTCTTTCCTGATCTGGGACAAGGTCACAGATCCCAACACGGAAGACGCTTGGTAGGCGACGTGACTTGTATTCGCTCAGAGCAGTAGGCTGGGCGGTTTCGCCCGGATTCGCCCCACTGTCACAATGGAGGCAGATTGGGATGAATTGTCGCGCATCCCAGTGCCGCCACCGAGTGCGCATGGGCTGCCGACGATAGCGACAACGGTCGCCTTTGACGATATGATGGAGCTGCTTTGGACAGGAAACGAATATGTGAGTCGTGCACGTCTTGCGAGGTCAAATTTAGAGGACGAGCAGGCTAAGATCTATCTCTACCGCGTCCTGCCAGGGCCGAGTCTCGTCATTTTATGGACCGGACTTGCAACGCTATACCTCCGTTCGAGCTCATCCTGTCTCCGACGGCGGGGTACGACAAATCATCTTTCATCAACGTGGTGTGCTTTCTCTATCATCGAAGAGCGTGCATATGATTACGCGACGTGGTTTGACACAATGGCACGTCACGCACGAGGACATGACCGATCTCCGATGCATGAGTTTTACGGCGCAGACAAATCGGATCCTGGTGGCGGGCTGTCAGCGGGCGATGTTCACCATCGACATCGATAAAGGGGCTATCGTCGACAAGTTGCATACCGACTCAAACTACACACTCATGAAGAAAAGTCGATATCTCTGCGCCGCAACGGATAATGGCTCTGTGAACGCGCTGAGTCTGGCTGATTTCAAGGTTGTCAAATCATGGAAAGCACATGGAACTGCTGTCAATGATATGGATGCGCGGAATGATCTACTTGTGACTTGTGGATTCTCAGTTCGTCACCTCGGAGCCCCGATTGTCGACCCACTGGCCAATGTTTACGATTTGAAGACATTGTCGCCGCTTCCACCCATTCCCTTCCATGCGGGTGCGGCATATGTGCGAATGCATCCGAAACTGCACACGACAAGTTTTGTGGCATCCCAGACGGGCCAGCTCCAGGTTGTGGACTTGATGAATCCGAACTCGATCAATCTGAGACAGGCGAATGTTGCTTTCATGCTCGGGTTTGATGTCTCTCCGTCCGGAGAAGCTCTGGCCATCAACGATGCAGAATGCGCCATCCATCTATGGGGTTCCCCAAACAAGGTTCACTTCAACGAGATGAGTAAAGAAATCGAATTCGCCGATGTCTCTCCACGACACCCTCCAGTCGATTGGTCTCCTGAAACCCCACTGAACATGGTTGGAATGCCATACTATCATGAACGACTCTTTTCCGCTTGGCCCAGTCATTTGCTGTTCGAAGTAGGCACGCCGCCACCTCCAGTGGACCAGTCGCTCCTTCCATATTTACGACCCGCTGAGGTCGGACACGGTGCACCTAATCCTCGAAAGGCTCGTCGGTACCAGGCCGACAGCACGCGCTCCCTCGTCGCAGCTGAATCTGCTCTCATTGCTCCCAAGTTCCTGAGTGAAAAGGCTCGGGATCAAAGCAAATCCGACCTCAAGGGCTCGGTGAGCGAAGCAACGAAAGCATTGGCGGCCGCTAAAATGAATGGCGAGGGTGAGGACGATCCTCTTCTCAAGTACAGCAATGTAGAGATCAAGTACAGTCGCTTCGGTGTTGACGACTTCGACTTCCGCTACTACAATCAGACCACATTCTCGGGTCTAGAAACTCACATAGCTAACTCCTTTACCAACTCCCTCCTTCAACTCCTCAAATTCATCCCTCTCTTCCGCAACCTTGCTCTGAATCATGCCGCTGGAAGCTGTATCTTTGAGCACTGTCTTCTCTGTGAACTAGGTTACCTCTTTGATATGCTGGAGAAGGCAAATGGGCAAAACTGCCAGGCGACCAATTTGTTGAAGACGTTCAGCAGCTTCCGGGAGGCATCCAACTTGGGCCTTTTGGAAGAGAACTTGACCAACAAATCTCTTTCGACGGCCATTCAAGCCGTGAATCGGTTTTTTTTGACGCAGGTTTCCCACGATTTTCGCACAGTCCAGCCTAAGGGTGAAGATTTAGACCAGCGCCTGGCTACGATCGCTTCAGAGTCCATTCGATGCATGTTTTGCCAAAATGAGACTGTTCGTCCGGGCAATTCACTTGCCAACGAGCTCTTGTACCCAACTTCGGACATCAAGCATGCGCGACGCAACCCAGCTTTCCGATTCTCCAGCATCCTGCGAGCAAGTATAGAGCGCGAGACTCAGAATCGAGGCTGGTGCAATTACTGTCGTCGGTATCAGCAAGTCATGATCAGGAAAACCGTCCACCGGATGCCTCTGATTCTCATCTTGAATACCGCCCTTACCAACCCCGCTTGTCGCCGTCTTTGGTCGATTCCCGGGTGGCTGCCCGACGCGGTTGGTGTGTCTATTGACAACGGCCAAGTGATGTGTTTCGAAGGCGACGAGCTTCGTGCACGTGAGCAGAGCAACACACCAGGTTTGGTCATTTACGACTTAGTAGGTCTCGTGGCTGAGATCGACATTCCAGAGCATCAAAAAGCACATTTGGTCTCATTCATCAATGTGTCAATCTCTGAACCAGAGTCTCAGGCGTCCGAGGACAAGTGGCACCTTTTCAATGATTTCTTGGTTACTGAGGTGGATCGGGATGAGGCTCTTCGATTCACGCAACCTTGGAAGCAGCCTTGTGTGTTGGCATTCCAGGTGCGAGGCGCGCGGCACGGCGTTGATGACTCTTGGAAGAGTTCTCTCGATACCACTCTGCTATTCCGCGAGTGGTCGCTAAAGTAAGTTTTCCACTCATCGTTGTCTTAAAAGACCTCCTTTTTTGTATTCCAATACATACTAACGGACATTCAGTGGCGGACAACAAGTCGAGTCATGTCGTACCTTGACCGAAGACGAAAAGCCCACAGCTGGCACTCCGGTCGCACTTGATACCGAGTTTGTCGATCTCGAAAAGGCCGAGATTGACGTGAAGGCAGATGGATCTCAAGAAATTGTGCGACCCAACAAGAGTGGTCTAGCGCGAGTCTCAGTCTTACGAGCCTCGGGTGAAGACGAGGGCGTGCCTTTCATCGACGACTATATCACTATTCGTGAACAGATTGTCGACTACGTAACACAATACTCCGGAATCAAACCGGGCGACCTTGACCCTCGGGAGAGCAACCACAACCTTGTCCCCTTGAAGGTCGCATACAAAAAGCTCTGGCTGTTGCTCAATCTTGGGTGTGTCTTTGTCGGCCACGGCCTTGCTTCAGACTTTCGAAAGATCAACATTCAAGTCCCCAAATCGCAGACTGTGGATACGCAGTATCTTTTCTTCCACCCAGGCAAGAATCGCCGTTTGAGTCTTCGGTACCTGGCCTGGGCTGTCTTCAAAGAGTATATCCAGGAGGAGCCAACCTCCGAAGTCATCCACGGCCACGACTCCATAGAAGACGCCCGCATGGCCATGCGCCTCTGGAAGAAATTCCAAGAATATCAAGATGCGGGGATCGTCGCTCTCATGCTGGAAGAGATCTTCCGCGAGGGTTCAAAGCATGGCTTCCGGCCACCACCGAAGAATGGTGGTCTTAGCTCAGCTGCTGTGCTCTCACGCCCGGGCACGGCCGTTCCGCTGGCTAGCCCAAACGGTCGTAGCACCCCTGCTGTCGATACGGGGGTCGTACCGACTCCCGCTGCATCTGTCACTTCACCCATGCCTGCATCCGCTGTCCTTTCCGGTCCTCCGAGTGCCCCGACGACGCCTCGTCAGGCCTTTCGGCGTTCCATCGCGCTCACCCCTAGCAACGGAAGCTTCACGGGTCCCGGCGCGGGCGACTTCTTCAGTGGCAGCCCGTTGCGGTGAACGGCGAATCCTCTTGACGGCGAGTATAAGAGTAGCTGTTGATTTGCTGTGTCCTCTTTTACCAGCGGGTACTGTGATGATGTGTTGCGTGAACTGGAGCAGATTGCTCCGAGATAAAATTACGTGCATCGGGTGGTCTGAATTGCCGTAGTAAAAGTTACAAAAAACTACAATGCATACATTCCAAATCGTCCTTCAAAATATCTGATCATAGTCACGGACCAGGTCCAATTGTTGAAGTCCAACACTAATTACCATGTATGAAGAGGAAGGACTTTGTACGTTACCATGCTGCTAGGTCTCAGTTGTCATTCCCATAGGTCAGCAATTGGCAGAAAGACCCAAGAGGCTCTAACGAATCTACGAATTGCGACGGGCCGGAATCTGGAATCTAGTGGCACGCTTTATCCAGGGACCGCGATTGATTGTGGTGGAGAATGACGTGGGCAGAATCGGTCCGATCCAGCAACACACCAGATCCCAGATCCAAGATCCCTCTGCCTAGCTATTTGATCTCTCATCACATCAACTCTGCACAAGACAGAAGAAGTCTACACGAACTTCCGTCTACGATCTATCAAAAGGAGGCTATATCAAAAACGGGACTCGACACACGTTTTTGCCCCGCCATCGCTTTACCTTCCCCTCGTCACGCTTGAAAAGTTGACCCCTCTACCCCCCAAACTTTCTGCTCTTCCGCGGCCGAGATTCGACTCACCTCCCTCACACTTCTCTCAAGCCCTCTCTTTCCCCCTAGTCAACCTTCATTATGTCGAGACACCGCGTCAAGGCAGTCGGCTATGACGATGACGACTTTGAGGATGATGACGGATATGTTTCACCTGATCCTGAGGAGCAGGAGTTCTTACAGCAGTGCACAGCTTCTGTGCAAGCGGAACTTCGTGCGGGGCAACCTGCGGTGACGGCTACGACCCAGGAAATCCATGATGCACTTTGGCATTATTATAATGATATTGAGAAATCAGTCAATTACTTGAGAGGTATGTATCTCATCTGAAGAAATAGCAAATCGGTGTGTGTTCGTCGATTTGGGTGCTGTGGGTGTGGTTTGTTTGGAGGATGTGTGCGCGTTTGTGTGTGTTTGCAGCTTGGTGGTTAGGTGCTTTGATTGTGTTGGTGGTGAGCTAATTCAACGATTTCATGGGATTAGGCAAGAAGGAAAAGGAGCTGAAGAAGACGCAAGCTCCAGCTGCGCAGAAGAACAAGGGTCAGATGGGTAAGTTTCTATTTGGGGTTCTTTGACTCGGCGGGCGATGAGGTTTGGCTGGGCTTGGGACTGTCATGAATGTTTTTCGGGCCTTTGGGTCAGTTTGGAGTGTCTCGCTGTCGCGGTTTGCTTGTTAAGACGACCTTGACCTGCCAAGTTTATTTGCAAGGTATGTGGCTCTTCTTTCTGCCTCCGTCCAGGGCACTTCACCATGATTTGGCTAGGATTCCAAGACTGACAGTGCCTGAAAGTTTGGACGTTGTTCTAACAGGTCTGCTAGTGCCAGGATTCCCCGCGCCGATACCCGATGACTCGAATATCTCGGTCACTGAATTCTTTCGCGACTGCCCTTGGTTGAATGTCCCTGCACACCGCAAGGCTGATATCCTGATTCAACCACTTTATCCACGGCTTGGACTCTTGGGCGGTGCACCAGAAGCGGGTGGTAAAATGTCAAAGCTTGCTGCTCTAGCAGCAGCAAGGAAGAAGAAAGAGAGCGAAAAGTCGACGGGGATACCAGAAACTCCATCCACACCCAGGCCTTCAGAGCGTGCAGAAGGTCAGACGCCCAAGCCGAGTGACACGCCTTTGTCTCTCAGTGAGAGACTGGCGGCTAGCAAGCTGTCCAAGACTTCGGAATCAAGTGGTGGGCTCCGGCGGCTTGGCAAAGCCTGTACGTCTACATCTTCGCCAGCAAGACGGCCATCCGCACCGGTGCCCAGCAAGTCTCCCGTGCATGCTGAGCCTGAACGAGATTCTGAGCCAGCGGAGCAGAAAGCAGCGGAAGCTGCGCCTGAACCTGAACAGGTAGTGCCCAGCATTCGGGCCCCTCCATCTACTTTTGCCAGTGTCATTCTTGGTAGCACTGCCGGACCAACAGTTGCTGAGCCCAGCCATGTCAAATCAACCAATGTGGACATTCTTGAAATCTACGGCCAACAACATGCTGAACCTTTTGACTTCACAGGTCCCAGCCCAGACGATGTGGTGATGAATGCACAGAGCACAGCAAAAGGTTTGGCGATCCGCAGAAAGGAGTAATGGCCACTCGCCTAATGCAATCTAGGTTTCAAAGCCAAGCCTAGCACTTCTAAGACAGCGGGCGGCCAAAAAGGGCAGGCTGACATCGCCGGCGGTATGAAGGACCTTTCCGTTGAAGAAAAGGTCACGGTCAAGAGCAAGAATCTCGACGTCTTGGCGGAGTATGGCAAGTCGACCCGCAAGAAGTCAGCTAACTTTGTGGTGATCGGTGAGTGGCTCATTTAGTTCGTCCGTGGATCGGAAGTGAGAGAGAGATGAGACGGCTGACAAGATCAAGGGCATGTCGATGCCGGTAAGAGTACGCTCATGGGTCGACTTCTGGCAGACCAGGGAGCTATCGACCGTCGTACTTTGGATAAGTACAAGATCGAGGCAGAGAAGATTGGGAAGGGATCTTTTGCTCTCGCCTGGGTTCTGGATCAGGGCTCTGAGGAACGTGCACGAGGTGTGACAATTGACATCGCGACAAACAAGTTCGAGACCGAGAACACTTCGTTCACCATTGTCGATGCCCCAGGTCACCGGGATTTCGTTCCCAACATGATCGCTGGTGCTAGTCAAGCGGACTTTGCTGTCCTAGTCATCGATTCGAGTGTTGGCAAGTTCGAGTCTGGCTTAAAGGGTCAAACCAAGGAGCATGCTCTTCTGGTCCGCAGCATGGGAGTCCAAAAGATCATCGTGGCTGTTAATAAGATGGACGCGGTACAGTGGGACATTGAGCGATTCCAGGAGATCGAGCAGCAAATCTCGGCGTTCTTGACCACTGCTGGATTTCAGCCCAAGAACATCTCCTTCGTGCCGTGTTCCGGAGTCCTTGGCGATAACATCACACGTAGGAGTGAGGATCCCAAGTCTGCCTGGTACCAAGGTCGCACACTGATTGAGGAGCTCGAAACCTCAGAGCGATTTACACATGCTCTTGACAAGCCACTCCGCATGACCATTGGCGATGTCTTCCGTGGCGGTGTTCAAACCCCCCTTTCAATCTCTGGTCGTCTTGATTCTGGCAGTCTGCAAATGGGTGACCAGATCTTGATCATGCCCAGCGGCGAATCTGCACTTGTTCGAAGCGTTGAAGTCGACGGTGAGCCTAGTGACTGGGCTGTTGCAGGCCAAAACGTGGTCCTGAATTTGGCCAACATTGACCCGATCCATCTGCGCTCAGGAGACGTGGTTTGTCGTGCATCAGCGCCCATCAAAACGACCACCACGTTCACGACCAAGGTTCTTGCCTTTGAACACTTGATGCCCATGCAGGTGGATGTTCACCGGGGTCGCTTACATGTACCTGGTCGCATCAGTAAGTTGGTCGCCTCGCTGGATAAGGCTTCGGGTGCGACACTCAAGAAGCGGCCTAAGGTTGTGGCGCCCGGGACCGTTGCACGGGTGGAGGTTGAGCTGGATCAGGCGGTACCTTTAGAGGCGCCCACTCGCGTTGTGCTACGTGCGGGGGGGGAATACAGTGGCCGCGGGTTTATTGGAATAAAGTTTCCATGCATGAAGCGCGCAATTTTGCATCAAAGACAGGGCGTCAAAACGTGTCGTTTTGTAGTTGGATCACTGTTTATACGTTCGAAATCTAGCATGCTCAACATGATGGAAAAGAGAAAGAGGCTATGATACCATGATCATGTGGCAATCTTGAGCCCAGGAACACACCATATCCATGACGCCGGCCTCGTACTTCAGCCGAGCCATGGACATACGGACTCCATTACCAGAATCCCAAGGGCTTTGAAGTCATAACTTGAAAGGGTTGTCCATTTCCAAATCATTGACATCCATGACTATTTGTCAAACTGCCAATAGCTGCTGGCCTGACAATCTACATCTTGCGGGGGTTCTCATCGTCAATTGGAGCCTCCTGCGGCTCTTTGCTGACCGAGTCTCCGCTCTGTGTAACCATATCCCCGCCTGTTTTCTCAACGAACTCATAATATGGAGGCATGTACTTCCAGTACCTGGCGCCGGTGTGAGCAAGGTCGTTCATAGAGTCCAAGTGATTGTTGCTTCATTGGATCTTCTGAGGTTTTGTTAAAGGTGGCCTCAATCTCGGTAGAACTGCACCAGGCCGTCTTTGCCACCATTCTATATTTCCGTATCCCACATTGAAGTACCCGTCCCCTGGAATTTGTTCCTTGTCCAGTTTGTTCAAGCCTGTCATGAAACGTGGCTTTCCCCTGACGAAACTAAATCAGCCTGAAGAAGTCATGCGAAACGTCTTGGGGTCAACCGCTTAGCTGTTTCTAGCAAGTTCGACAATGTTGGCACTTTGTGACTGGTCGGATGCTGTTTACTTCTTGGCTCGGAGAGTCCACAATGGTTTTCTTATTTGGGTTAGTGTGGAGTCTCGCACCGAAGGCGGTCAATGCAGGCGCCATAGCCGGCCTTGATGATCAGCTGACTCATCCTCATCTCCACCAATCAAAGCATGAGAAGTTACCTCTGGGAAAAGGCCAGCATGGCCGCTGGAACAAGCTGGTCCCTGGGGCTCCATACAAGAGGGCCTCGCATCTGCTTTCGCGAGTTTTCTTTTCCTCCATCCCTATCTCCTTCGGGTCCCTCCCGCCTACTGATATTCATTCTCGAGGGTTTCGACATAAAGTGCAACAACAAGAGTCATTCGTGTGACTCTACTTGCATCCGCCTCTTGAAGTTTCGATCGATTCGGCTTCTGTTGATTGATACTCTCTTCGTTGCAGAGCGTCAGACGTGACTGTTGTCTCGACTTAATTTGTTCTTCTCACTCACATCCCCTCCACCATGTCGCGACTCATGAGCCGCGCCGGTGCGTCCAAGGGCTTCACCTGGACCACCGTCTTTTACCTTCTCCTGGTGTTGATCGCCCCTCTGGCCTTGTTTGGCACCACTGCCCACGCCGAGGAGGAGAACTCCCCCGAGAACTATGGCACTGTTATCGGTATTGATTTGGGTACTACTTACAGGTTCGTGGCCATGGAGGAATCAACAACCATATGCTCAATGGTTCGGCCATGCTGACATCTTTCTTTTTCCAGCTGTGTTGGTGTGATGCAAAACGGCAAGGTTGAGATCCTCGCCAACGACCAAGGAAACCGTATCACTCCCTCTTACGTCGCCTTCACTGATGAGGAGCGCCTTGTTGGTGACGCCGCCAAGAACCAATACGCTGCCAACCCTCAGCGCACCATCTTCGATATCAAGTGAGTTTGCCTGCCATGTTGCCAAAAAGATTCCGGAGGCAATTGATACTAATCTTGCGTTTTCTAGGCGATTGATTGGTCGCAAGTTCGACGACAAGGACATCCAGAAGGACGCCAAGAACTTCCCCTTCAAGGTTGTCAACAAGGATGGCAAGCCTATGGTCAAGGTTGATGTGAACAAGACCGCCAAGACCTTCACTCCTGAGCAGATTTCCGCCATGATTCTGGAGAAGATGAAGGATGTCGCGGAGAGCTTCTTGGGCAAGTCCGTGACTCACGCCGTTGTGACTGTTCCCGCCTACTTCAACGACGCTCAGCGTCAGGCTACCAAGGACGCCGGTACTATCGCCGGTCTCAACGTCCTCCGTGTTGTTAACGAGCCCACCGCCGCCGCTATCGCCTACGGTCTGGACAAGACTGGTGACGAGCGCCAGGTCATTGTTTACGATCTCGGTGGTGGTACTTTCGATGTCTCTCTTCTGTCGATTGACAACGGCGTTTTCGAGGTCCTTGCTACCGCTGGTGACACTCACCTTGGTGGTGAGGACTTTGACCACCGTGTCATGGACTACTTCGTTAAGCTCTACAACAAGAAGAACGATGTCGATATCCGCAAGGATCTGAAGACCATGGGTAAGCTGAAGCGCGAGGTTGAGAAGGCCAAGCGTACTCTGTCTTCCCAGATGTCCACTCGTATTGAGATCGAGGCCTTCCACAACGGCAACGATTTCTCTGAGACTCTGACCCGCGCCAAGTTCGAGGAGCTCAACATGGATCTGTTTAAGAAGACCCTGAAGCCTGTCGAGCAGGTTCTCAAGGACGCCAAGGTGAAGAAGTCCGAGGTTGACGACATCGTTCTGGTTGGTGGTTCTACCCGTATTCCTAAGGTCCAGGCTCTTCTCGAGGAGTACTTCGGTGGCAAGAAGGCCAGCAAGGGTATCAACCCCGATGAGGCTGTCGCTTTCGGTGCCGCTGTTCAGGCTGGTGTTCTCGGTGGTGATGAGACCCTGTCCGAGGTCGTCCTTATGGACGTTAACCCCCTGACTCTGGGTATCGAGACCACTGGCGGTGTGATGACTAAGCTTATCCCCCGTAACTCCGTTATCCCTACCCGTAAGTCCCAGATCTTCTCGACTGCGGCTGATAACCAGCCCACCGTCCTGATCCAGGTCTTCGAGGGTGAGCGTTCCATGACCAAGGACAACAACCTGCTCGGCAAGTTCGAGTTGACTGGCATTCCTCCCGCACCCCGCGGTGTCCCCCAGATTGAGGTTGCTTTCGACCTCGATGCCAACGGTATCCTCAAGGTCTCGGCCAGTGACAAGGGCACTGGTAAGGCTGAGAGCATCACCATCACCAACGACAAGGGTCGTCTTTCCCAGGAGGAAATTGACCGCATGGTTGCCGAGGCCGAGGAGTTCGCCGAGGAGGACAAGGCGATGAAGGCCAAGATTGAGGCTCGCAACGGACTGGAGAACTACGCGTTCTCTCTCAAGGCCCAGGTCGGCGATGAGAAGGGTCTCGGTGGCCAGATCGACGAGGACGACAAGCAGACCATTCTGGACGCTGTCAAGGAGGCTCTCGACTGGCTCGAGGACAACGCCGCCACTGCCTCCGCCGAGGACTTTGAGGAGCAGAAGGAGCAGTTGTCCAGCGTGGCCTACCCCATCACCAGCAAGCTTTATGGCTCTGGTGCTCCCCCGGAGGACGAGGAGCCTATGGACCACGATGAATTGTAAAATTATTCTTTGAGGCATTACACCATGGAGTTTCTATTCATTTTTTTTTTCTCATTTTCCTTCTACACTGTTCTATCTTGATCTCCAACAGTCGAAACGCATGTTTGGGACTAGTGTATGCTTTTTTCCCTTTCCTTGTCTAGAAAAGATGCGCGTGTGGCGAACAGACACCGTCGCTCGAGTCTCGGGTGGATCCGATTCTAAATATTATGATACCTTGGCATACTCTACTACGCTTGAGTCTTTCGTCCTTGAAGAGTACGCTTGAGATCCTGTAGTGATCTATGTAATTGTCGCAAGGCTGGGCTCACCAGCAGGATGGTTTCACAGAGTCCATGAGATCGCTAGAAGTCTACTCGACATTTGATGAGTTTGCAAATGTATATTGACCACGATTCACATGGATGCACTTATCTCAAAAGCACCAACAACTCAAATACAACCCGATCCGATCAAGAATGACCTGACTCAATAACCCTCAGCGACCAACTCCTTAATAGTCTCTGCCACCACTGCATGATCATCCTCCTGCTTCAACCCACTAACCACCACAACCGCCACAATGCCCTCGACCCCCCGGACCCTGACCGGCCACCCACCCCCGTGAATCGCAAACTCGTCCGCCACCGCACCACCACACGAGCTACCCAGCGCATATTTCTTCACAAATGCCTTCTCAATCTCGTCCGCACTCACACTCGCGCTCGCATCCGCACCTCCCGCCGCCTTGAGACCGGAGACCATCTTCATCCGCATCGCCCAGCTTGACAGGCCCCAGCGCATGACCGTGTTGCGCTTGCGACGCACCCAGTTCTCGTTGTCCGGGATGGTGCCGGGCTCGGTGGCGCATTGGAAGAGGGTGTGCGGCGTGGAGGTGCCGGTCGCGAGGGAGATGTTGATGAGGGCGGGTTTGCGTTGGGAGGAAGGGAGGGAGAGGAGGCGAGTGCGGAGGGCGGTGCCCAGGGCCCAGGCGGTTGTTGTGGTGAAGGTTTGGAATTTGTAGGGGTCGGATTGTTCTTGGGTGGCGAGGGTTGTTGGCTTTGGATAGACGATAGGGAAGATGTTAGCTTTCGAGGTCGGAGGGTTGAGATGGTGATATCACTTAGTTAGGGGCCACGGAGTATAAAGATGCGACCAAGTGCTGTACATACGTCTGTGCTGGGTGCGGAGAGTGCCATCTTGACAAGATTTGGAGCTGAGATCGTCGACAAAAATGGATTTGATGGAAATGAAGAGATAATTGACGTTTGCTTGTATAGCGTGCGGAGGTTCGCTTCCAAGAAGAAGGGGAAGAAAAAGACAATTGACTTTGTGAGGCGAGGAGAAACGGCGTACAAGTTTATACTTTCTGTCGCTGGAGACGTTCGTCTGGATCTGGATGTGCTTGTCCACCGGTGACGTTTCCGAAAAAAGGGTGGACCTTCCCTGGGTTGATGTGGGTGGAGCAGAGCGGGAGTCGCATTGATCGGTGATGGGCTGTAGGTATTTTGAGCCCTTGGAGGGTGACAACTACATGATGCTGGCGATGTGGAGATGATCGAAGTGGATTCGTTGGTTGCTCTCAAAGTCAAGGATTCAAGCCGTCGACATTCAAAAGGAGACAGAAGGATAGAACGAAAGCTAGTGTTTTAAGACTCTGTGATTGAATGAATAACTTCAATCGCATTTTAGATAGTTGCGTGTCTCATCGGATATCATCTCTCAAAACCACCCGAGGAATCGAATACGATTTAGTGTGCTCTCGACCCGACTGATGAGAGCTCATATCGCCAGATGCAGACTCGATATCCTCGATTTCTTCGGCATTCCGTCGAGCAGAGCGAGCCGCACGGGGAGTGGCCAACAAAACATGGCCACTGGCCTGTTTGCGCAGCCAGTAGGCGCGCAGTCGGTCCAGTGCGGTCTTGAAGTCGTCTAGGATGACGGTATCGCAAAGACACTTGAAAATGAATGACAACTGGAAAAGAAGAATCAGTGAATGAGTTCAATATAGATTTCGCCAATCTTTCTTTCGGTTCGTGGAAATTGAGCTCGCACAGGTGCTTGGCCAATACCGAACATTGGAAACAAGCCAATTGGGGATGGTACATACCTTCCAAAAGGGCTCTATACCCTGAGGCAATGAGTTGCTAAAGACATCAAGAACGCTGCATGTATCGACCACGATGAATGCGATAGACAGACACATGGACGCCAACATGATGCCAAACCGCGGGCTGATAACGACCAGTTCTGAAAGACCAAAGCCATATTCGCGCTTGATCGTCCAGAATAGGGAAATGGTAGTGAAGACCCACCATGGATCTCTGGTGAAAAAGAATCATCAGTCAGCAACGCAAGCACCTCCAACCAAAAACGTGATGAAAGGGAAGAGCCGCAGCTTTTCACGGTGACTTTCCTTACCTGAAAATTGGCTCGAGCGGCCGAGTTGTATGGAAGATATTGTTGATATTATTGAAGTACGTAAAGTTCGCATAAATCTCGACGATCCAGTACGGCCACGAAAGAACGACTGTGATAATATAAATCATGGAGACTCGTCGAGATAAAAACGGTCGGTTCTTCATCCAGGCAATAACATTGTGCAAGGCCCATGAGATGTTGAGTCCGACAGCGGTGACAGAGAGGTACCAGCCATATTTGGGTTCGTGAAGGAAGATGAAGGTACCATGTCCCATTGCAAGAAGTAACTAGAAGGAACGAATGAATCAGCTTGATGAAAACGTTGGCTTGACAACACATGCCTTAGCAGTGATCCTGAGACTGAGACTGAGGGTCTTTTTTTGCTTCCCCGTAGTGTATTGCAAGACGGAGGAATCGACGAAAGTGATCGACAAGTCGCAGAGCTTACCTCGGCGAGAATGAGCTTGTGGAGGAGAATGTGTTTCTTCATGTTTGCCAAAGTAACGGCTGCCATGATGAGCAAACTGCCGATCATCAATCCCTGGCCCCACGCTTCGAGGACTAGACCATCCCCAGTAGGCCGTCCGGTATGATCAGACATGACTACTGCTGTGTCATGGCCTTTTTTGAGAAAGAGGTCGGAGATTGACGAGAGACAGCAGCGCGGAAGAGAGGTCTATAGGGCCAAATTCACAGCGATCAACAGGAGTCAAGCTGTCAAAGGTCACAAAAGCAAAAAAAGGAAGGAAAAGAAAGGAGAAGAAAGGCAAGACGGACGAGCTCAATGTCAACTAGCCCTCTGAGGGCTGGCCACGAGGGTATAGACTCTGGTCGTCGCATCAAGCGGGATCACACGTCTTAAAAAGTTTGATCGAGAGACCTTTGAAAAGCCCAAGGAGTGTAGCACATGCATTGTGCCCAGGCATTCGAGCTCGAGATTACTCAAAGTAGTCTGGTGTCCAGTCAAGTGGCCTTGTAAATGCAGCTCGAGCCGAACAGCTCAAAATTTGGTCTCTGGATTGGTGGGACGGTGGACCACGACCCCAGGAAAGAAACCTTTCTCTGTTTTCACCATGGCGCTGGGAATAGACAGAGGTCCGTGTGGAGTAGAACAACGAGGGATTTCTCATGCCGTAGCTGGGGAGGTCCTTTGTGATATCCAATGTCCTAACCACGGGCGCAGGGATTCTGCATCATTCGATGACCATTCGTCATCACGTACCATGCTCATTGTTGATTGCGCTGATGTGCTCATCAGACTGTTGTCGTCATGATTATTTCGTCTAAGCGAGAGATTTTGTGCAAGGGACTTTGAACAAGTACTTCCTCTTACGTGTGTCAAAAACGTCTGTCATGGAGAGAAACCCAGCCCTGGCCAAGGAGCCTCGACAATCTCTGGAACTCTGGGGCTCCACCAGAGCACGCCCCGGAAATTATACTTCGGTCGGGTCCGTAGACGTGACGGCTGTGAATATACCCAGGGGTGAAGATCCAATAAACGCACAGTGGTTCCTTCTAGAACAAATTCCACCTCTGAGTTGAGCTCGTGTCTCCAAACCTTTTCATCTGAAGTCTCCATGGGATCAGAATTGACGGTATACCGGATGGATGAGAACGGGACAGGCAGTTTATAGTTCTTGTCCAGGTCGAAACTTTTGCGCCAATGCGGCCGGCTCTGGCTGTTGAGAGCTACGGAGGAGACAATAGAGTTTGCGCACTTTATTCGAGCATTCTGCCAGCTCTCCTTGACATCCCATCGGACACAGATGTAATTCACTCAGACATGGCACAAAGAAATCTCAAGGTGGGCAGGGCATTTAGGGACGTTTGGGGCCGAAAGACCGGTTGAAAAGTTTAATATAGGAGATGTCGGCTTTTGCTTCACAGACCTGCCCGGCCAGTCCCGAACTCGAGATACACTCGAGGCGAGAGCGTGAGCCGAGGCCGAAATCGCGTTCAAGTGAGATTGTTTGGCACGTCTCATTCGGATGGATGACTCTGGCCATTGGAGAAGCTCGGTCTGTAAGACGGGACTCAATGTAAATTGAGCATCGCAGCTGGTTGGCCGAGTTCACGCTCCTTTACCCATCACGATGGACTTGTCCAAACATGCTTTGTCCGATGCGGACGCTTGGAAGGTTATGGAAATCCCGTTCATCGGGCGGCCCGAGGAACAAGGCAATCCATCAAACCATGCGCAAGACCTGTTACTCAATTAGCCGACATTCAACTCAAATTCGAGTCCACCACGTCCCCCGGACCCCCAGATGAGAAGGGGAGTAGGATCCGCTAATTTCCCGCAGTCACTTCCAAATGGGGCCGAATTCCGGGGAAATGAACCAATCCACACCCACCTCGGGACCGAAAACAAGCAAGCGCTCGTCTGATGCCCAGGAAAGGAGCTTGCACTGCTTGGTAGTCTCCGCACCTCGTGTTGACAGAGTTGAACCACTCTTTGTTTGGCAAAGAACGGCGCGAGCGGCAGCACCGAGGCGGCAAAGAGATTACCTTAAGTCTCATCGGCTGGCTGTTCACGACTCAAAATAGCTTTCTTGAATGGCAATGTATCAAGGCGCCAGCAACGTGATTCGCATTGAGTGCTGCGTCACACATTCGACTGTAGTTTCTTTGAAAAAGAGTAGAATCTCAATGCCAATGCCATGGGAGACACTCGTGGCCCTGAAGAGGAGTCTCTTGCTGGTGGAGTAGCTTTTTTGGAGGGATCTCCCGTGTCTCTTTACCCCATGCTCACTGCTCAGTAACTTATTTGCGAATTCAACAAAGCTCTGTCTGAGCCATGCCTACCCGAGCCTTTCTCTCGTTCAAACAACTTTGCGCGCAAATCCAATGCTGGTGCCGAATTGAACGGTCATTTGTTTCACTTCAGTAGTTGTCAAGACACCCGGCTTGATTGAAATGCGGCTCTGAGGAAGAGAGAGAGAGAGAGAGAGGAAAGTCTCTCTATGAGACAAGAGACAGAGCGGATGGAAAGAGTTGGAAGTTTTTGGAGACGACTAAACCTGGAGTGCACGTGGCCGTTTCCTGGAGCAAGTAGCAAGCAGCATGTGACTCAGTCAAGAGACAGGGTCACTGCTCCCAATCTTCCGACGCAGACTCTTCTCTACACTCTCAATTCCCCTTTCAAGCTCATCAATTTCGTCCCAGCGGGTTCGTGATGGGGAAACCAAGGTCATGCAACTAATTGAACCGTTTCGTCTGAAAACTTGAGACCTGTTATATGGTGAATTCAGATCGCCTATCGCCTTTCGTTTGCAGAGCAGACACACAAAAAAATGATTTCTACAGGTCGCTTGGTTTTCTTCAGCACACTCCCCAAGTCTGAATACTTGAGCGAAATTTTTTGTACCCTGAAATTCGCCTCGCGATGGTTACTGAAGGTGAGATGTTCTCTATGAGTCCATACCCTTGCGGGACGGTGACTTTTCGAGCTCGATCGATCATCAGTGCACTTTCTGGGCGGAGGCAATCTACGACACTTGCAAAAATTCATCACGCTATGGAGACGGTGTCTTGCTCCCTACGCCAGTAACATACTTGGTGAGACTGAGGATTTTTGAAGCTGAAAAACATCACAGCCATTTGCCTCCGGGGAATAAAATACTTGCACCTAGGCGACAACATATTCATGCGCATCATAGATCGGCCGCCTTCTACTCCATATCCGACCTCAAAACACAACGTCACTAGGCCAGGAAGACATTTTGGGGGTTTCGCTCTTCATTCACATCTCCATAAAGAGCACACGCGGTGGCAGATACGGCGCTATAGCAAAAGCTGTTCGGAAAGACGTCATCCGCAGGGTGGACGCCTAACGCAGAGGACGGACAGCAGATAAGCTTTCCCCCACCCGACAGTACTACATAAATGTAGCCTGTGCACCCAAATCCCCCGAGCATGTAGGTAGATTCATCTTCTTCATTCGGTGATAGAGAAGAAACCCAACATCTTCCTAACGCCACCATGGGCTTGACCTGGTCTCAGTTCTTCCCGCCCGCCCCGGGTCTCACCGAAGCCAACCTACCCAGCCAAAAGGGTAGAGTGTTCATGATCACAGGCGGCTATTCAGGAGTGGGCTTCGAACTTTCCAAGATTCTCTATGGCGCTGGCGGAAAGATATACATTGCCGGTCGCTCCGAGGCGAAAGCGAAGACTGTCATCCAAGCGATCGAATCTGCATACCCCAACTCCGGCGGCGAGATCGTGTTTCTACCTCTTCAACTGGACGACTTGACCACTATCAAACCCGCCGTGGAGCGATTCACTCGCACTGAATCCCGACTGGACGTGCTGTTCAACAACGCTGGCGTTTCCAACCCTCCACCAGAAGAGGTATCGCCTCAAGGTCACGAGCTCCAGTTCGCCACAAACTGCCTCGGGCCCCATTTACTCACGCAGCTACTCCTACCAACACTCCAGCGGACAGCTCTCGGCGCGCCTGCAGCCTCGGTCCGGGTCATTTGGCTTGGGTCGATCGTGGTCGACATGTCCGCACCATCGAATGGCGTCAATCTAGACGAGATCATCCAACGCGATTCCCGAATGAATCGCAATTACACAAATTCCAAGACCGGAAATTGGTTCTTAGCTGACCATCTGGCCAGACAAGCTGGTTCATCTGGAGTGTTGAGTCTTGTTGTGAATCCAGGGAATCTGAAATCTGAACTGACTCGTCATTTCCCGTCTTGGGCACCAATCCTACTGTCGCCCCTTCTTTATCCTCCAATCTATGGTGCTTACAGTGAGCTTTGGGCGGGCATCTCGCCGGATCTAACGATGGAAGATGGTGGGAAATCTATCATTCCATGGGGTCGACTTCATCCTAAGCCCAGGGAGGATTTGCTGAAAGCGATGAAACCCAAAGAAGCCGGGGGCACGGGGGATGCTGAACTATTTTTGCGCTATTGTGATGATTCAATTGAACAGTACAAGTAAATAGGGCTTCGTATTTTGTGAATATGACAGACATTCTCCGTCATCGAACATGGACCTTCATTGTGATAGTATAGTGTCAGTACCATCGAATTTGCGCAGCCCTTCCAGGAAATCACGATATTGCTCAACCTCGATCTTGACCACTGTATCCACCCCTGCCTACCAGTTGGGTGGATGAAATTTAGTAAGAATGAACATAACACGAGACCTGTTCTATTATTGAAGCTTCAGTTAAAAAAGAAGACAAATGCCCGAGTGAGGTCCACTGTCACGTTAATGAAGTGACATATTTATAGAAGCTTCGCAACGTTCGCTTGTCACAAGTCAATAACTTACATCCTGTCCCCTCCTATAGCATCATAAAGAATGACACCGCAGATCAAAGAACGAGAGTTTCGCTGCGCCTATTGAGAGTTGTTATCTATCATTGTGTTTGGGTATTCGTTATGACTTGCTCCCATTTCAAAAGTCTCTCAAAATCGATTCATCGAATCGGTGAGATCTGTAGGCAGAGAAGAACAACCGAGATCCATCTTCATCCTTCATCCTCGCAAATCAAACAAAAAGCTATCATCCTCAAAGTTCGCATGTGCCTAATTATACACCTTGTCAGCTGGCACAGCAAGAGTGCATTGAAAACTCAAGTTGAATCTCGACCGCGTGGGAGAACTCACCCACGAATCTAGCTGTGTCCACCATGTTGAGCCTTCGAGCTCTTCCAGAAATGAAAAATCAGGGTCAAGATCGGAGATAAAGCCAATATCAGAAGTTGGCGGCAGATTTTCGCCAATATCTTGGGAAATTGCCACTTGAGCCATCGAACATTCATCGGTGATGGAACTCTTTTGGCGTGTTGGCTCAAAGTCCTGAATCGTACCGGTGCCATTCAGGGCTGGTAATGGATTGGCTTTTAGTTGGCCTTTGGAGTCAAGCTGTCGGTGGACTTCTTCCCTGAGTTCTGTAAGGATCGTGCTGTAGCGTCTACTGGGGCAGTTTGTTCGGGTGGCTTCTGCCAGGTATCGCTGGGAGGACTCGGTAAGGAGGAACAAGGATTGTATATCCTCTGTATTGAGCTCGTCCTGTGCTGCCGTCGTCGCTTGTGCATTCTCAGCTTTGCACAGTTGCTGAATGATGTATATATAGGCGACTAGAACGGCACAAAATGTAACATAATGAGTAAACCAGAATGACTGGATAATAACTTTTTGTTGCGCGAGATCCTCGATCAAGGTCATTACGTCTTTTGCGGCGCGTACGCATTTATTCACGTGATTTACGATTGTGAGGCGAGATGTTGGAGGATATTTTGAATCGCAGGCATCGACGAGGAGAAATGAACGCGTAGCGTGGATCATGGCATGGTTATAACCGAGTCGTAATACCTGTCTTTGTCGGCGGAGGGTTGGTGGCAGACTGGAGGAGGGTATGTTCTTCAAGATCGGGGGCACGCTTTCTCTCCACTCTTCCAGTTCTCTGGTGAGACGAGGGACTTTGGCGAGCATGCTGCCTTGTGACTGTTGATTTATGCTGTACAGCTGCCGTGAGAGCTCTGCTAAAATTCGACCTAGTCTGCGCCACCATGTCAGCCTGCGAAAATATTGAACCTAACAACACAAAGTTCCAGAGCGTACCGGAAGTGCAGTATAGATGCAGTCATCATGTTGTCTATTTGTTCGCCTGGGTGAGTCGACTTGTCTTCCTGAAAGTCTTCGTCTCTCAGACCATCAGGTAACTCTTGGTCAATATCCTCGTCATGGAGTAGCCGAGGCCGCCCGAACATGATGCTGAGGTACTTATCCAAAGTGTAGACACTCCAAAAGACCCGTTTCTGCATTTCCAGCTCGAAGGTTGAAACTGGCTTCCCCGCTCGCTTTGTGGCACGCCTTCTATGAAGTCCCATGGCCGTGACCACTTGCAACGCCGTCCCGAAGCAGTACCAACACTCATTGGCTCGCGAGGATGACAAGAGGTAAAAGCATTGAATCAAACGGACCTGAATAGTCTCTAAGCTTGGGGGCCCAGACTCAAAGTTCATCAAGTGCATGGCCGCGGCGAACCATCGCTCACTTTGAGTGGACTCCGTTGAAGGCAATGTATCTGCGTGAAGACTTCCAACGGCGAAAATCATTAGGACAATAGCTGCGCGGGTTGCCATGACGCCTACCGGTAAATTGAAGGCGGAAAACTGTTCTGCATACAGTTGCTGTGCCCATTCTTTCACACGCCTGTAGTGCAGAAATCGATATGTTACCATCGAAAAATCAAAGTATACCGTGATGAGCTCCATGGCGACTGCGAAGGGCGGCAGACTGAAAGTCGCCTCCGAGTGGCCCGGATATGGTTTGTCGCCAGAGGTAAATGGGCTCGCTGTTGATTGAAGATTGTCTTTGACCTGGATTCCGTTTTGCGATATTTCATCTCGTCGTAGTCTCGCCCATACTCGCTTGATGAAGGATATGCCTGACGCAGGTCCGATGTAGTTTCCTTCGAGATCTGTGGATCCCGGCTCGGGGGAATCTTGCGGGGATTCCTTTCGAGAAACATTGCCATGGTCTTGAAGGTTGCCAACATTTATTTTCGCACACCTTTGTTTCGAGATCTCTTTAGACCCTGAAACGCGAAATACACGGGATCCTGATCGGACGTTCCCCGTACCAGTCGGCTTCGGTGGCACAGAATTTGGTGTCGCCGGGATGGGCTCGGGCGGCAATCCTCTTGAATAGCAGGCAGTATAATCGCAGGGCAGTGAATGCCGCATACACCGAGCGCATGGCAGTGTACCTGTACATTTGGTCTTCTTTGACTTGCAGGAATCACAAGCGCGAGTTATCTTTTTGCGAGCCAGAGCATCTTTGGGGAGAGCATTGGGCTGCTGCTCAATTTCGAAGTCTGAGTTTGAGGGCTTTCTTTTGCGGCCATTTAAGCTGCCTTGAGCTTCATGAAATTGCACCTTAGTCATGTTGCTCTTTTCAATGTTCCCGAGTCATGCCGACTCTCGTGTGGCCCGAAAGTGGTTGAAGCAATAATTTTGCTCCTGGTATTCATACGGGATCAGCGGGGAGATACTAGAGCGGGCTGATACTCGGTCGGGTACGTACTTGCGACTCCATTCTCGCAGGGTCGGTCGTGTCAAATGACTCGGACATCCGATGTGGGAAGGGCACGTGAGATGATGTAATAACGTTAGCGCTACTCCTAATCGAGAGGTTGTTCTGGTACAAAGCGATACTTCCCACTTCACAGTACATATCTCCGCGGAGACATGCTGTACTAATAAGCAGGAGCCAACCGTTCCATCGAATGGAAGGGCTAGTGGAGGTGCAGGCCCGTTGTCTCGGTTTGCCGGGCGGCTCGGGGCGACGGTCACTCCACTTGTCCTTTCCCCAGACTGTGCGTCTTTATCTTGTATTCCGATCTTTGTACTTTTAACTTGTGTGCAAAGCAATTTTGGAACCGGGGTGTTCTCCAGTCTGATTCATTTCAAGAGTCTGCAAGCATAGAAACTAACGGACGCGTTGGTTTTCCCAGAACTTCAAAAAGAAGGGCGACGAAGCGTGATCGATCCACATAATATCATCAGTGCCTACGACATGTGAATGGACTAGACCCAATTCGAACGACCTGACCCTATCGCTTTAAGTTAGCGCAGAAACTTGGTGTTTCCATAGATCAAGGAACTGACTTGATGCTCTTGATGCTCCTGATCAGAGCCCGGGCCGTTCCAAGCAACGAAGATTTTCAGAAAGCCTTCACGAAGTGAGGAGAGCGATTGTTCCAGGTCTCTAGCAAATGGGCCTAGCACATGTTTGTTTTTGTCCAAGACAACAAGCTCGACTTGTGACACGGAACATCATCATTGGACAACTCTGGAGCATTGAACCGTGCGATCGATAATTCGGGACGGGGCTTGGAGCATCCGTTCGACAGGGTTCAATTCCTTGAATTGTCACAGGCTTCAGGTCAATGTTTCAGCGAGCACGTCTCGGTATCAGAGACGAAATAAATAAAGTCTTAGAAGGTCACCTTGAGCTTTAAAAGACAAAGGCAGCTCATGCCTGCCGGCACTTTGAGGTTCGATCTTCTGTTACGATGGCCACCATCACTGGTACTTTCACAACACATGGCCACCAGCGCTACCGGTAGTGCAGCACGATTCACATCCTCCTGGCCGATATCGCTTCAGTTCTCCAATTATTTATGTCTGTCTGGCAATTACCTCATTGAATGAGCTGCATTTGAATCTTTTTTGGCTGCCACACATGGTAGACGAGCCCCGAGGAAAGCTCCCTGGCATACATAAGCGGCCTCCAACGATTACATTCTCATCGAGATACTAGCTATCCTAGGACCAAAGTGGTCTCAGGACTGAAAATGTGCCTCGTCAGAAGCCACAACAACATTCTGAATTCTATACATAGTGAACACCGAGCCAGTATCGCAGCTAAATTTACACCAGTAACACAGCCAACATCGCAGCCAGATCCGTTACGTCTAGCCAATCATAGGCTAGGGTTGATGCCATAAAGCTAGGGCGCGAGTACATAAGTCACATGTTTTGAGTTCTCTTCACCGCTATGGCAGAACGCCTCTCCCCCTAGAAGAAAAAAGAATACCATTGTACGGCCCGCCCCCCCCCCCTTCTCTAAGTGTATATCCCAAAGAAGTTAGCCTAAACTATTGTTGTTGTGTCTCTGACGAGACACAACTCAACAATGAACAGTGAGAATCTCGAGGCTTTTTGCGTCGGCAAGTTGCTAATTGGTAAAGCTATTTTCGAAATCGGAGAGGGCCCAGCAAGGCGGGTGGGACGGCCACGAGGCTACAAAAACACAGGCCCATGCACATTCAGGGCGTTAATTGAGGTGATCTAGATCCTTGGGGGCCCAGTCATCCCACCGCATAGATGATCAAGACTCAAGGACGGAATCCGTCGAAGCCTGCGGTGGTTGGTTGAGAGGAAGGGAATTATGGTGCCGTAAATCCAAGGAGGGGAAAGATAATCTCATGAGAAGAAGAGGAGGAGCAAGACGCGTCCACAGGTGATTGTACTTTTCTATTTACCCGCTGAGCAGTTGACAGCGGCCCTGAGGCCAGATAGAGCAATCTTTGTCACGTGCCAAGGACCCAGCCATAACAAAGCCTCTGAGTCAGAGTCAGAGACCTAGGAGGTCCAGAGAGGATAAAATGGTAGAGGCAGATGCGCATGGTTATTTTGCGAGTGATCATCGCGGAGACAGATTCTTCCATGATAGAATTGTGAATTAGCGCCGAAGCCAGTCTCGTACGAAACCTTCGATCAAACTTCGTGCTCACACAGCATGAGGGTAGTTGATCATACGCCACGACAATCACCTCTTCTGCCGCCAAAGTGGAATGAAAATAAATGTTCCGAGTCGCTCCGAGTGCAATGCAAAAAGTCACTTCAATGGGAGTAGCCGTGGTTGGCGTCAATCGCTATCGCTGGTCATAATAAGGGTGGGGATTATGTTGGTGGAAATCTGAAGAAACCTGACTGGGGGGAGCTAGAGATAATGGATGTTGCTGGTGTGGATGGGGGGAGCCATGTGGATGAGGGTGAGCATGAGGATGCTGCCGTGGATGTTGCAGTGGATGTTGATGGGATTGTGGCTGCGGATGTAGAGGCAGAGGAAAAGAGGGTTGCGCGAGGGAGGGTTGCGGAAACTCTTGTGGCGGCCTGTTGAGAATGAGATCCAGCTCAGCTTGGATTTCCTCGCGGCTCGCAGAGCTGCGGATCTTGTCGATGATGCGCTGGATGCTCGCCCCGTCGTATTCCCGAATGACCTTCAGAAGCTGATCCGTGAAAATGGTCAAGGTGGCCAGCTCTTCCTGGGTGCGCCGGGCATTTGCCTTGCGTCGCCTGTCGGCCTGTTCATCAAAGGTACATTCTTTGTTGTGCTGGCTGCATTCTGAGCAGATTGGTGGTCCGGAGCACTAGAGGAGCGAATGAAAGATTCGTTAGAACAGGACTCCGTTGATTCGGCTCGACGTGGAGAATATTGCATATAAGCCACAGCATCAAGGTCATGGGTAAGCACGACACACGAATTGAGGGCACAATGCCTTGACGAAGAACAGCGATCGAGTATCAAAAGAGGATGGTAGTCAAGGAGCATTTACCCTAGTTCGGCGCTTTTGGCACTCTTTACACGCGGTGGAAGCTCTCTTCATCCGGCCATCTTCCGGCTGGCCTCCGCCACTGTTGCCAAGTGGTGACTGGCTTCCCTCGCCGCCACCTGGAGGTAATGTCCGAGGAGCAATGGGCCTGAAGCCGCGACCAACGTCACCCATCGCACCGGTTGGTTTAGCAGCTAGGAGAATTCGAGAGATAGGCGATCCAGGCAAAGACACCGTCGAAAAGGGCGACGGATTAGGCAGTGCAAACGCAGAGAAGATGAATTTAGAGTGCTTCACGGGCAAACCGCGCTCGGAGGAGAAAAGCAATCACAGTCGCAATGGAATCACAGCAGAGTGTGCACTGAGGTGAGGTCGCGAGAGCGAGAACCACGACCGACTCGCCTTCCGCAGAACTAGAAGGGATCCACGCGCATCAACACAGCCGTCATTGGTCTCGAAAGCGGGAGATCGATCACTGTCATGCAGGAGCGACCTCGCACGAGTCAAGGGTTTCTGTTTCTTACAAGCGGCGAGGCGGGCGTCGCTTGGGGGCCTATTCGACCGCGATGGGTGAATCAGAATGCGCCGTGCTGAAGTCTCCGAAGACGAAGGAGACAATGGTAGGGCAAGTTATTAAATTCTTCCGAATCACGATTGCGAAAGTGGTGGCTGATATTCTGCCCACTTGAAGCCGATGCTGCTTTGGATCAGAATCGGTTCTGGTAAAGTTTCCCCGCTGGGTGGGCTGCACAACAGCTCCAACTGACAGCCCCAGACCAGCCTTTTCCTTTTTTCGGAGGGAGGAGGGAAGGAGATTTTCGGGCGGACAGGGGATAAAAAGGAAAAACAGAAATGGAAATCAAAAAAGAGGAATTACTCAGATAATAATGAGAGGACAGAGGGTACGGAGCCGACGACAATCATCCAGAGTTAAATGAAGAATAATCAGAAAATGAAGAATTAAAGAAAACAAGAAATGGAAAAAATGGGAAAATCAACAAGCGGGCCGAAAATGTTAATGGGAGGGGAGAGGCGGATCAGAAGGTTTTGGGAGGAAGAATAATGAGATAATCCGCAGTCATTATTATGGGGCCAAGTGACAGGTGATGGATAGACCCTCGATTCTGAAGGTTCCCAAGCAGCTGGCGTCCCAAGCCTACCTAGCTAACATCTCTGGAGTCCAGCTATTTGGAACACCTGTGCCGCTCCCACATCCTGCTCATCCGTCATTCAGGATCATAAGAGAAGTTCAAGCAATGGCACTTTGGCTGGATGGTCCAAGCGCCCAGCACCCAGCATTCAGCACCCAGCACCAAGCACCTGTGCTCTCGCAACTAGGTTAGGATGCGCCCGATACTCAAAGCCAAAGGCGAAAGGCGAAAGGAAGATCATGCGATTTCTCTCCTGTAAATCCGGTAAGATGCGCTTTTGGTACGGTGAGGTGCAATGCTTTTGCCACAAAAGCAAACCAGGGCGCATCTGAGTCAGTAGGGGTAGTACCAGCTCTCGTCCATGGATGCGCTCTTGGGTATCAAAGGTCACAGTCTCATTACTGCCTTGAGGTACCGAGTACCGAGTCTGGACCAGTGGACACCGCTATGGGAGTACTGAAATCCATCCCAGGAGGGTTGAATGGGGTACAAAAGTGATTGTGCTTTGGGAGGATACCAACGAAGAGGTTCAGTCGACGAAGACCCGTTTCAAAATTAGAGGAGCCTACCTCGACGCTCTGTTCCTGGAGATACAGACCGAGTCGTCACCGACGTCACAAAGGGACTCGGACTTCTTCCGGATTGGCGGTTCACGAATGAACCCGTCTGGCCAGGCCGTCGGTGTCAATGTTGAATCTCTAGAGAATCGTCATCAAAAGTTCGATCATCCTCGAGCCTCGTCAAATCATCTCGTTGCATTCTCTCCGCTCGAATGACTCGTGTGCGATGCTTAGTTGCTTACTGATCGTTGCCTGAATATTGGCTGACAATTGCCTTGAACCGACCCGCACTGGGTATCGGAGTCGTACACAGACTGGCATAACCAAGCTGGTGGGTCAACGTGCATTGAATGGACCATCGGTGCGAGACTCAGTGAAAGAGACATTCCCCGAGTCAAGGTGTCGTCTCAGACATGGCTCGTCTTGGGACACGTCCACACCACCCAACTGCACTTGTCAGCGGCTTCGACGATCCTCTCGATGGCGCAGCACTTTAGATCTTTTCTGGGCCTGGAGTCTTCTCGGTAAATCTGCCGGAAAGTTTCCAGCGCGTGGGAAATATTCTGGCAGATAATAGCGACGCATGCTTTGGTGCAGATCCGAGAGTAATTGTTGGGACTGTGATAACCGTCAGCAATCACTACCTAGTGTCTAGTCACTGGTCAGTCCCAGTGTTCCGGTCAAATGATTTAAGCTACAACGCTTTGAAATCGGTACCTTAACCGACGATACTCATGGAAAGGGACGATCCGTTGGAGGAACACCAATTGAACACTACTACTCTCTTTTCACCAGTGTTCAATGTTTATTGCCCTTTTACGGGCACAATGTCCGTCAGTCGGTATTTGCATTTGTGACAAAGTCCACGATTTCAGCCTTCTCTGACTCTTGCCGTTCACATGGCCGAGTCCGCGGGGAGCATGGTCGAAGCGACCTGAGAAGAATGTGGGAATGAGTGATGTGAAGGCGGACATTGGACAGGATAGTTTAGGATATACTTCTCCATATCACCTGATAGGCTGCATTGTGGAGACGGTGGCTCCCTAAGCGTCACTGGCGTTTTTCTGCCTTCTTCTAGTGTCATGGATGGCGCGCCCCCAGCAATCGAGAGTACCTTTGCGTTTATTCAGATGAATGATCAATTGTCTGATCATTGGTTCATCGGAAAGTGCAGTGTATTTTTCATGGAGCTCCTACAAACTCTATCGCATGTGCATAGATACACTGTATTACTGTAACGTTGTACAGTATTACGCCGCCAGACTCTAAGCGAAGTACACTATGAAGGAGAGTAAGTACTTCATTAGCACACTACAGTCTACACACTTACACGGAGTTAGTAATTAGTTGGTAGTTACTAACTAACTAGTAGTAGGTGTACATGACTACATATAGCTTGTAACTTAGTACGTGCTGTGTACTTATGTCTTCATTCGAAGTCCTGTAGTGTACTAGTGTATACTTGTACTGTCACACTGTGAGTATGGCGGCTATGGCCACTGTGTTGGCCCTGTTAGCGTTGACTGTTGAATATGGAGTATGGTGACAAGAATGTACCACGACGATCAACTCGGGTACATTTTACTATTATCGGTAACTTCTCGATGTAGCCGTAGTGAGTGCCGAAAGGGCCTTTCCCGCCTCCCTGGAGCCAAGTACAGTAAAGATTTAGCGATCTTCCAGACAAAAAGTTGCTACTACTTTATCCACATGGTCCGTAGGTTAGCTCAACTGTATGTACATAGTACACACTACACACTGCACTGTACACACTATATGTGCATACTACATGCGTGTGATCCTTTGGTGTAGCATTTTGCTTTTGAACCTGTTTGGTAGTCTGTCGTTCATAACCCCTATTGCCAAGCGGTGTGTTACAAGATTTACGAGTCCTCCGCTGTGGTTATCGTTACCAGATAACTAGGATATGGGGAGAGCCGGGAACTTTTTCAATCATTTGCTATTACCTGGGTGTGCTTTTGCAGAAGCCTTTGCTTATTATTACCTCTCAATATGGATCATCAGCAGAATAGGTCCACTCAAAAGCTCTGAAGGTTCAAGTGCTACACCCAGTACTACTCGAATGTGTAGCACGCTTCCAATTCCAAAAATTTTAAGATACACATCGCCAATTCCAACGCCTTACACTGTGGCTTCCTACATATATTCTTTGTAACCTACGACTGCCTATATACTTGTATATCCCTGCACAGCCCGTCAATGGTGTATGTACATAAATGGGTGCAACCCCGGTCAGGCACAGCAGTATGTAGGTACGTCTCGCCACTTACGAAGTTACCGTAGAGCTTGAAGCTTCTTACAGTGAAATTTACTGACTACCAACTTATGTATCAAGTATATCACTATACTGTAGGTACCTTGGCACTTTCGCTAGCTCATCCCCAAACGGGTATCAAATACGGGACATACTTTCCAAATCGGTAGTTAGACCGTTGAAGAGCCTCACGTGGAGGCTGCGAAAACTTCTTTTCGCATTATCGATTTCTGTGCTCCACAGGCTTATACAAGACCAAAATAATACATGGATAATGATAATCGGGCCCACGACCAGATCGATCGTGCCTGATGCACATGGGAGATCGGAGATCGAACCTTGACACAAATCTATTTGACGACGGGCCGTGCTGACTGTACGTCTCCTGTATGCATCGACGAGTAACGGTACATAAATACAAACACGTCGAACAGGGTGACAATTTCGGCGACGTCGACTACCGTCGGGGCATCTCGTGTAGCCCTCTATTTTGCGGTCAGAAGCTTCTCACAGCTCTGAGATTGCTTGTTGCAGCGAGCTCCGATCGCAGGGCTCTCACGATTGATGCGCATGTTTTTAATTGTGGCGCGTCAACCGTGACGGGAATTTTAACAAATAAGTGCACCCATAATCGGCTCCCAAATTATGGTGTTGTGCCAAAAGATTTATCTGCAGACGAGGTTGAGGCTCAGCCCTAAATTACGGACATGCATACCATGTAGTCCATATTTCGATGCATTTCTCGCTCTGTCTGACAACTATCCGCAGTGTACTCAGTTCGACGTCCTTCAAATTTGAATTCCGGGCTCCCTCGCTCAGTCGCTTGCTCAATGGGTGGTGACGTATCTGAGTTGTCTCGGCATTCCGCCATTTTCGAGACTCCCTGTTGTGCGTTCACCGCCTGGGTTTGTTTCACGTCCTCCGCGTCATGGGCCTCATGATCTTCTCGCAGTGCTGTGTGTAGACTGGTGCGGCAACCCAAGGCCTCGTTATGCAGAAGATGTTCTCCCTTCCTTCGGAAATACCTTCATAGTCTCGCCACCGGGCACATCCCCGCGTGATTCGCGTTGACGCTCATGCAGAAATGAATATATGGCACATCATAAGCCACGACGGATGAGACCACCAACGCACGCATTATTCGGTCGGCTCACTGGTTCGTTTCGACAGGTGGATCACGTCCCATGGGTCGTGAATGTAGACGGCGTCGGCAAAGATCTCGGCGGTTTTTTTTCCATTCGTGTCGTCCCACCTCCGCCTCAGTTGATGCAGTGGTTCGGAGTTCGATATGCCTTGACTCATCAGTAGGTTCATTGCGTTCTGAAGAATTCTGATAGACGGAATAACATACCGGTCTATGCACCGCTACATGTGACCTGAAGCAGGACCGCCCGATTCGAGTCGCAATACAAATGGACGAGCTGAGTTGCATTCAGTCTCCATGCTCGTATGGATGGTTGGATATCCACGCCAAAGAGACTTCAATCTTGTAACACTCAGCTACGAGCTCTTGCCAGGGATTTTTGGAGGGAGCATCCTTTTGTTTTGAATGGAACCTCAACCTCTCGAACTGAGAATTGATCCGCTCAATCACGGTCACTGAACTCGTGATGGCGGTTTTCCCATCCCCACCGGGAACGAAATCCTCACTTGCTCATTACTTCCGGAGAAAGATTCCAAGCCTGTGATGTTGAGGGCCATGATTTGCTTACGCTCCATGTCAAGCCCCGGAAACAATGTGGGAGTGTCACCAACTCACCACTCTCGAAAGTACACTTTCAGACTGGAATATTGGTTTCACGTCGAGTCCTTTCTCGTGAAACGACCTTTCAGGTCAATGCAAGCAGGCCCACGTACCAGGATCCTAAAGACGCTAACTTCGGATCGGCCCTGTAATGACAGAGCGGGCAAGATGCTCATTCTCGGAAAAGAGGCTGCGAGAAGAGAGCTTGATTGATGGAAAAACGAACCTTACCTCACGAGGGTTTCAGTCTTCCTGCAAAATGGGGATGCGTGCCCTTGCTTGAGGGCATGCGAGGCATAGCGGTGATAGCCCTGGCTGACGAGTCCAAGATCTTTGAGCTTTTACTGGATCTAGATATAGAATCCGGATAGCTTCTCACCGAAGCCCGGGACTTGGTCTGAATTTTACATACCCAATACGCGCAACCCTTTCAAGCCTCTGGGCTCCGTTGCCTACCTACCTGGGTACCCCTGCGGGCTACAATATCCAGCGACAGCTCCACATGTTCAGAGAAAGGAGGTTGCAAAGAAGCTTCTGCGCTGCACCGAGATTCCCTCTTCATGAGACGATGGGATCACTTCCCTTCTCTGTTGCATCAGTCTTCGCCAAGGTTATGACATTGAGCGCGAGAGTTTGCCTGTTTGCCGCTCATGAAAAGTCAAAAGCAGTCACGTGTATTAACTTTCTACACTGAAGGTCAGTCAAGCCGCAGACGTACTCGAAATACCTTCTCTCGCCCACATATCCCTTTCTGTCTGAGATGACGCCTATCCACGAGCCAGCTTCACGTCTCTGTGGGCTCACGCGCCCATTCAGCTAGGGAGAGCGAGCGGACCGCCTTGATTACGGGGAAAATCACGCTGGTCAGAGTTAGTGGGGCGTGCGTGCTTGACGCTTGCACATACTCTCACTGCTGGCAATGCAATCATCATGAAGTTCTTCAGACGCATGGTAAATAGCACCCCCCCCCCCCCCCCCCCCCCCCGCCGCAAACCTCAAAAGCGAAAAGTTTGCTCGTCTCGCAACCTAGGATCCACCCGCCTGATGATACGAGCAACGCTGCAGAAGATCATTCAAGAGAGCGGTCAATCGTGGGGGTCTTCCCTTGCACTCCGCTCGTTTCGAAGCTGTACCTCCTGATTTGCTTATCCGGCTCAGGATATAACATCCTGAGTGGGAACGGGTGCCCAAGTTGCGCACTAGCCTTCTCACGACAAATCAACTGCTGACCAGCTTCGCTAAACTGGCCTGTTGGTTGGCCCGGTCCATTGTTAGCCCGGCGCTGAGCTCTTTTGCGCTTTTTGTTACCCTGGAAGTTATGCAGTAGAGGTTCCACTTCTGTTCCTGCTACTGCTCCTAGATCTGCGCCTGTCAGCCGGAGGCTGCGCTGTTCTCGGGGCTGCCAGACCCGTGTTGGGCATGCTGCGTGCGAGGCATTCAGTCAGTAGCGTCCCGTGCTGTGATTTGTGGTTGGACTCGGAAGTCTAGTCCAGAAAACTGACGCGACTCGAGCGAAAGCCAAGAACAGCCTTGTCGACTCAGTGAGCTATCGTCTTCTCATTTTACTTTGGGTAATGTATTGTAGATACTGGACCACTGTACGTAACTAGGTATCTAAATTCCCGTGACTCTAAATCTCTCACATGGTACACCCGAAAAAAAAGCTTCCATCACAGTGGTCTCCTGTAGTCCAATCCCCGTCAAGCGAGTCATATAAAAAGCAGCCGGGCAGTGATATAGAAGTCAATCAGGGGTCACGTAGGGCACGCAACGGCAATTCATGAGCCCACCTCCGATCAATGACGAAATGAACATGCAATAGCCACCCCAAAGAGCCCATTGCTCGAATGTCTATCTTCTAGGCTGCAAACACGCCGTGATGATCAATACACACGTGCCACGGTAACAGTCTCGATCGTCACCACGGATGTGGACCACCGGACCCCGGGCACTGGACACTGGGCAGTGGGCACCGCTCCAACTTATGCAATATGCCAAAACTTTGGGGTCATTTCTGCAACAATGCCTAACTCGTAAAGTATGCAAGATGGTGCTTCACCTAAAATGGCTGATAAGAATCCCGCAACACCTCTTCACGGTCAAAACGGAAAGACTGCTACGAGCTGTACAAGCCACAGATCGATTCTAGCAACTCATGCGAATCCTTCATGATTCAAGAGCACTCCACAATTGTCCCTAAGATCCGCAACACGGTCCCGAACTGCAACGGTCCTTTTACTTAGTCTGGAAAGATACTAGATAGGTACCCCACGAAGGATTATGCACTATTGTGTCTGAGTAATGTCCTTTTTTTTGTCAGTATCCATAAATGCTACCTGTAGATTTGATATGTAGTGTGTCGAGAACTATGGATCTACCCGTCCTATCACAACATCGATGACAAAGTTTCTCCTAAGGAACCACAATACTCCGATCCTTCCTCAATCGTCCCGTCTACTATAACATAGAGATTTCTCGCATCTTGACCCACGATCCAGGCCTTGCATATAAAGTTTCAATCCTTCAAGCTATGGGGACCTGACCTGGCCTGGTCTGGCCTGGCCTACACAGATGAGCACGCAATGCCTACTTGACCCCAAAAATCTCTGATTGAGTGCGCAGGGCAGAGCAGAGACAGCAGACTGTCGTATCTGGCCCTGAAACCCCTGAGAGGAAACTCAACCGCGAGCATGGATGATATAGCCTGGCAAATCGACATTCACAGCCCTAAGCCGAAGATCCCCGAAGTCCCGGACGGACATACTACGCTAATCAAGGAGGCAAAGCCACACCGGAGATCAAGGTAGCAGTGACATTGGCCAAATTGTAAGTCTTGATGCTGGAAATGGGTCGTCGTGCGGATCTTTTGTACATTGTACACTTAACAGTAAGTTAACACACGTACGGTAGGTGTGAGTTACTACGGAGAAACATCGGACAGTAGTTAGTAGTCCTGGAGCTAAAGGGGTGGACTTAGCGTTTAAAAGTCATAGGTAGAATTTCCCCATTGAGCTTTCGTGCGAAGCCTGGGGCCCATGCGCTACCTTGACCAGGGAGACACTAATGCAGGGTGCTTGAAGCGTGTTCATATGATAACGAGAATTGCATGCGTAAGGGGATAGTTCAAGGTGGAATTCAGGGAAGCTTGATGGAAAGCTCTGGGTATTGAAGATACTTGGAAAAAGACACATACACTGGAAGGTAATGGACAGGAAAGTAAACCAAGTATGTACAAGAATACGAAGCGAACAAGTGGAACACCGGCACAAAGGGACACTTGACGAGGCAGACACACAACATGCATCTGCCCTTGGGCGAGTGGTAGGTCTTAGAAAGAAGATAAGAAAGCGTTCCTGCAAGTGAGAGACCGGAGAAACAAGCTGTAATCAACGCGATGCTGCCCAATGATTTCTCCGTTTGCAGCATCACTAGTAGACAGGACGACCCTCATCCCATCGACGAGCTTCCCTGGGACTGGTAGCAAAATCATCCTTGCCTTCAATGGCCATGTCAGGAGTATCTGCTGCCGGATTCAAGGGCGAAGACAGAGAGTACCGTGGGCTGCCGATACGGCCAACTCTACCGGTCTCATTTCCAGGACCCCCGGGGGTGCTGACGCTGCCAATGCCCCCGATCCACTCCCAGCACCGAGCAACGTCGCCGCTCCGACCCTCTCGAACGGCAGCGCGCACATTAGCATTGCCCTCAACGACACGTCGTACGCGCTGCCATAGCTCCTCGCGCCTCTTGCCGTGCAGTTCAGAGCGAAGAACATCATCACGAAGTTGACCAATTGGAATGTAAGGCTCAATAGCGCCGCCTCGGGCATGAAGTGCCGCTTGCGTTGCCAGCCGATCGAGAGTAGTGGCTACCAGCTCGGGCACGCGAGCAATGTCTGACCGCCGTGCGCGAACCCGAGCGCGCGCATAGGCCAAACCACAAACTGCTAATATCAGAAGTGAAAGAGGGAGTCGATACGCGAGGAGAGCCAGTCGGACGTAACGGCGGGCGGCACATCGGAGTGGGAGTCGGGCTGTTGATGTTGAGCTAATAATGAGGACGTCGGAAGGTCTGTTATGGCAAGCGCACCGCTGTTAGTTCCGGCGTATAATGTCAGAATCGAGACTCTTTTCATAGGAAACATTTCATTTCCTCTGGAAAATCCGGAACAGCAGCAATCATACGTAGTTCGAGATGAGAGAGAGCGAGGAAGAAAAACTTACCGGTCAGAGTTGCTGACGATTTCATCTTTCTCGATAATGTCGCCGAGAGCCCCCTTCCACAAATCTTCGAATTCGGCCTCAGTGAGACCCTTGCGCCTCTTCTTTCCGACCTCTTCCTTGAGCTGCGCCTCAGGAATCTCAGGAGAGATGCGCTTCCCCTCGACATTCAACTCACCACACTCGTACTTAGCTCGGCGCTCTCGAAGCTCCTCAATAGCCTTGTCTGCCACGGCCTTGACTCGGCGAGCCTTCTCACTGTCTGGCTCACAGGTTGGCGGCAGTGGAATGAGACCTCCTACAGAGAGGGGATGAGGCTTGAGAATAAAGTCGTGCTCGCACCGAGCCTCGAAATCGGGGTAGCAAAAAGCATGAGGCGGACATGGCTCGCAGTGTGGCTCAATGACGTTGGCCCAATCTGGAACTTTGGTGTCTGCCAATGACCAGGTCGGCTTCCCCAAACCACAGTATCCAATTTCAATCTTTTCCTTCCGCCACCAGGCACCGAAACTACCCAGCACGCAAAGAATCACAAACCATGACGCCATGATACTCGCGGAGCTTTGCTTCTTGGGAGTCTTGCGGAGTTGAGTCATAGGCGCAAAGTGCTTAGTCTCTAGGGCAAGTTGTTCATCGGGCGTGAATTCCTCGCCCGCAAACACTTCATTATCATCGTACATTTCTCCATCTTCCTGTTCAAACTCATATTCCTCCTCGGGCTCTTCCTTGGTAGGTTGTAGGCGGGTACCGAAGTCGAAAATATCTCTTGAGGGCGCATCAAGACCATCTGCTTGCTTCACGGGGCCAGGCGTAAGCGACTGACGCGCGCGCAATGTATTCTTATATGCAGGGCTTTCCGTAGACAGTCGACCTGCACTTTTGCGCTTTGCCTCGCGGCTTGTCCGCCGACTACCGGTAATGTCTGATGGACTTCCACTTTGAAAGGGATTCTCGTCAGTGAAGACGCTGTTTTCTCTGGGCTCGGTTTTGACAGACGGCGTCATTTCATCCACTTCCGTGGATGGAACGACAGAGCTCCGTCGAAGTTTGCGCGCGGTGGACTTGCGAGGTGATCCGCCGACCGCAGGAACAGGAGTTGCCAACACGTCGTCTCCAGTCTCAGTGTCCGAGGCGCGGGGATGCTTCCCAACAGACCTCGCCGTTGTCGCTTTACGCCTGATAGTCGCAGGGGTGGCTGGCGCATTTCCTCCATCTGTTTCGACAGTGGATCCGCGGACGCTCCGTCGGGAAGTACCGCGTCGTGTTCCAGTAGTTGAAGGAGTTGGAGGAGGAAACCGGGAATCGCGCTCGTCTTCATCGCCTGTGACAGAGTTTTCTCGACTCATGTCCGTAATACCCGCACTAGTTCTCCTGACCCTCTCACGCTCCCGTAGAAGTTTCCTGGCTTGTGGAATCACTTCTTCTTCGAGGATGCGAACCAGCTGCGCCTTCTTTGCAGACGCCGGATACGACACGTCATGGCTCACGAGGATGGAGCGCAGGCGAGGTACAGTGAGGGAATTCAAATCAAAGTCTGGCGACAGATAGTCGAAATCGTCCGACATGTCTTCGAGCGCACCGGCTAAGGTGGTGATAGACCTGTTGGCTGGTACTGTAGCGATGGAGTTTGCGAGCGGTCGCGAGAAGACACGTGGATGACCAAATCCCGGTCAAACTTATCAGATCAATGGTAAAAGCAAGGACAACGTGTAATGGCGCGGGCGAAGGCAGCTCGAGGCTTGGAAATGAGGAAGACTTGGCTTGCCGTTCGTTATCTTCAAATGCAGCCTGAGGCTCTGATGATGAAGTTTGCAGATATTTGCGCACTTTTCAAAAGGCCAGGATGCTTTATCAGACTCGTAGCCGGGGCAACGGCTAGTGGAGTAATCTCAAGGACGCGGAGCTCTGGAAAGGGTTGGGTGGGTTAAGGAGCAGTGCGTCTGCCTTCACTTCGCAGAATTTATATTTCGAGGGGACACAAGGACACCAAGGACACGTCGAGATGACAACAAAAGGAAGGTGTGAGAGTGAGAGAGATAGTGAAGGAAGCCACGCCAAATCTAAAGGAGGTCGCACGATGATGCAGGACTAAAACAAAGACATCACGTGACTTGTTGGCCACCCTGATCTTGCTGGATCAGCATGTACATGTATGAGAGCTTTGACACTGGCGAGTATGTGAGACCTTGCTTCTGGCTAGAAGACTGAGCTACTCATCTATGCCGTTACGAATCTTTAATAAGACATAAACCACATACCTCTACTGTACTCAGAATCAATGAATGCGAAATAGAACTTCTTTCAGACGGGAGCTGTCTCTGATGACTACTCCTAAAGATGAGCGCAACGACGCCCCGGCCAAGGCAATCAAAATCTGGAAGGTATCGATTTCAGCAAAAAGCAGATGCCACGTTCCTCCCATGCTCCGCATTGAACAATGCAGCACACAAACCACAAGAAAGAACAGTAGAAGCCGCGCCTGAACCAATCCGAGACACCACCCAGGCGAATACAGAACAAAGACCAACGAGCGCATGTCCCAAGAAGAAGAAACAGGAGAAAGAGCAATCGAACGCTGGGCTACGCCGGGATACCCAGGTTCATAATTAGGCTTGACCTCATAGAGGTCAGGCCACGTAAGTATGTTTCGTGAGGATGTATGGGCATACCACCTAATTAGCGGTTGCTGTGTGATTCAAAGGAACGCGGATTGTCCAGGTGGAGGTATGAGGATGAAGCGGACGTGAGGGCACTGTCACCGCTGAGATTTGAGTGCATTGTGATGCCGCTGTAATGAGGAGCGGGTGGCCCGCCGGGAATGCCAGCAGCCCCGGTGCCCATCTGCTCTTGGAGAGCACGATACTCGGCCAGCTGGGTGGCCAGCTGTTGGAATATGTCACCGATGGGAGCGGCGTGGTCTTCAAGCTTATCACCTGGCTTGAAGGGACGCATCAGGTTGCGTATGGCAAGAGTATTGATGGTGACCTAGTGAGGAATGAGTACAGGCCACACAGAAAGCATACACGCGGGATATCTTACCTCGATACGAGTGACTTGCTGATCGATTAGACTCAGCACAGTCGGGTCGTTGAGCTCACCGCCATGATTCTTGACCATGTTGAACAAAGCGACGTTGGGTTCTCGAAGTCCTCTGTCGGTTGGGTTTTCCAGAGCGCTACACAGTCTTTCAAGGCGCAGAGTCACTTCCCATAGACGCCAGATGTCATCAGTGTTCAAATTGAGCTGAGATGTCTTTTCAATCGTCGCTGGCTGTCCCTCCTTTTCGATATTAGCCTCTTCCAAGCTCGACAGGCGGCCGGCTAGAGCGTGAGGATAAACAAGGTATAGTGGCTCGGGGTTCTCCAATCCCTTGAGCTTGCGCTCGCCTTGATCCTTGATCACAAAGCCCTGACTGTTCAGCTGGTTCAATTCACGGCGAATATTATGTCCCAGGCTATCGACTCGCGGATGGCTCTCATTCGAGCTGGTAGACGCGGAGCGTTCCGCATCAGCAAAGATCTCCAGATTTCGCTGAATATCACTCATAAAGTCAGAGGATACGAAGATCTGTCCTCCGTCGGCAACAGCAGAAATTCGAGATGCTCGGTTGACCATTGGGCCGAAGTAATCCATGCGGTTTGTAACGGGATCTCTTTCGCAGACAGGCTCGCCCCAGTGGCCGCCCATGCGCACAGATAGACCACGGGAGATGATGTTTCCTTCTGCATCCGTGACTACCTCACACTGGGGCTGGTCCAAGATCTCAGTCGGCCATTCAGCTTCCAATAGACTATTCTGGCAGTTGAAGCACCAGAGGAGAGCGGCAGTCGTAGTAGAGAAGGCTACCATAAAAGCATCACCTTCTGTCTTCACCTCGTAGCCACCGATAATTCCCAATTGTCGGCGAAGAATGTCGTTGTGAATGGAAATTGCCGAGCGCATAGCATCCGGGCAGGTCTCCCACAAGCCGGTTGACTTTTTGATGTCTGTGAAGATGATGGCTAGTTCGCCAATAGGGGCATCCACGTAGTCAAAGCGAGCAAGGCGAGTATCCGCCGGCACGTCGCGCGGTCTTCGTCGAATCTTGGTCGAGGGAACGATCCCGTCATCTGCAAAAGTGGAGCGCTCCAGATTCATGCTGGGCCGTGACCACTTCTTCTGCCGACGTTGAAGTTCGCTGACACCCAGAATCATGACCATCAACTTGTTGGTAGCACCGAAAGAAATTGCAAGATCACGGAGCTTCTGAGCCGCAATCATCAGATTGGGATATACGTCTCTGGCCACATCAACGACCAGCTGCGGGGTAACAAAGTCCCATAACTCCTTTGATCCCAAGATGATCATTTCATCCTGCTCTGTGAGAGTGGTGTGCAATGTTGATGGGGCAGCTATCACAGCAGGCATCATTGGAAAGTGGCCGAAGCACCTTGAAACTGTGAGAACATCATTTAATTTGCCATTACGAGCAACAAATCCACCGGCAGATCGAATACGTGATCGTTCACTGGGCTCGGCAGGGTCATGAACACGAGTCAGCTGGCGAGATGAGCCATCCTGCTTGACGAGAATTGCTTGCGCGTCACCAACGTTGGCCGCGTACAAGTCCATATTGTTCAAGTACAGCACAGTGGCGACTCCACCGGCGTGAATGTCATCACGACACAACTGTTTTGACGCTGCAGAGCCGCGATTGTACTGCCTGAGCTCCCGGTCATCAATGGAACGGTAAGCATGTCCAGCCATGTTCTTATTGAGAGACAGGAATGTCCGGCGCAGAGCATCGAGGGGGGTCTCCTCTTGCTCGATCTGAAGTTTCTTGAGTTCCCGCGAAAAAGTAGGGGTGAAATTTTCGTGAAGATACTTCGCGACCCTAGAGCCTCCACTGGACATCGTTGATCCATCGAACATGCCCACCAAAGTCTCGACATTGTCGGGCTTCAAGCGGGGAACTATCATGTCGATGATCGAAAGATGTTCGGTTCGGCCCAGCGTATCAGCCATTCCGTAAGCAAGTGAGCCGGCCAAGGACGCTGATGTTCTCACACGACGATCTTCGTGCTCATCCGGAATCGTGGGGATTGTGAGCGTGACATCCATGAGACCCAATACTCGAAGGTGTGTTAGAGAGGAAAAGTCAGTCAGGTCTGCACCACTGCCGGTGGACTGGCCAATAGTCCCGATGTTCGGCTTGATCTCAAGCCGTTTGTTGCCCGAGAAATTGAGGTATCTGAGACTTCGGTTCCAGTTCCAATTCCAGTCATACGGCCAGTTGGACACATTATATTTCAACGCGTTGCTTCCAGCATCGAGAACAGAAAGCTTGCTGACCTTGCAAAGCTCTGCGGGTAAGACTTGGAAGCGGTTGCCGTTGATATGTAGCACCTTTAAATTGCTGCCTTCTTCTAAATCGTCAGATGGAAGCGACGTGAGCTCATTACCTGATAGGTAAAGCTCTGAGATCAAGGGCCACCTTTTTAGTACGCCTTGCGGAAGCTCTGTCAACTCGTTGTATGAGAGATTCACAATGCGCAGCTCGGGGAGACGCGCCAATTCGCGGAAAATGTCGTCGTCCAGCTGATTGTCTGCCAAGTACAAGTTCCGCAAGGATCCCGCGAATGTCACGGTTGCTGCGTGTTGCGAGAAGTTGGAGTCCTTGCGAGATCCAGAGCTCGTATCAGTAGCAGTTCGAGATGCCGCAGAGACCTTTCGTGGACCTGTATGACCTGTAGACGGGGTGTTTGATGGATGGCGGTACGAAGCATGAGGGGGTGAGCTCGAGCCGCCCAACCCACCAGATGTCTGGCTAGGCCGACGTAAATTGCCTGGCTCGTCGTGGGGGCCAAGTTCCTCGTAAGTCGGGTTTCCAGTCAAGGCTGGAGTTGTCATAGGAGTGGTTGTGGGTTCACCGGGAACTAAAGGCTGGGGCGCACCATGTTTTGGGAACGTAGTCATGAGGTTCGTTGAAACGTTCAAGGTCTCCAGTTTTGCGCAATGCCAGATTTCGTCAGGTAGGAACTTCAGATTGCATTCTCTCGCGTTCAGCTCCTTGAGCTCCGTTAGGCATCCGATCGATGTAGGCAAAGACCCCAAAGGATTTTTGATGATGCTAAAATGTTCGAGACGACGCAGCTTGCCAATCTGCACAGAAATTGAGGAAAGGTGGTTTTTGTCAAGAATCAACTTAGAAACGTTTGGCAAATTCTCGAACATTGCGTCACGGAATTGAGAAATCTTTGCAGACGCGAGATTCAGCGAGCTGAGGGTTGGCATTGGAGAGTCGATGTCGAACTGAGTTAGCGGATTGTGGTCCATGTGGAAATTCCGCAGCTTTGGGAACGCGCCGCGAAATCGAGAGATAAGGTTGTGTCCGAAGAAAACTTGCTCCAGCCGAGGCAACCTAGAGATGTTGTCGATGCTGGTTATCGCGTTAAATCGACCATCAATTTCCTTCAAATTCGCCAATTCTCGGAAGGATTCATCGAGGGCGCCGCTGATGTTGTTGTTTGTCATCCAGAGACGCTCGAGGGTGACCAATTGTCCGATATTAGGAATCTCTTCGATGCTGTTAAAGCTGATGTCGAGGTCGACCAGACTGCGCAGTTGGCACAGAAATTCCGGAAACTCCTTAAAGCCGTTTGAAGACATGTTCAAGCTCCTAAGGTATTGGAAGTTTCCGAAATAGCTGGGCAATTTTGTCAATTGGTTGTTGGCCATTTTTATGCTGACCAGACCAACCAGCCGGTCTAGTTGTGCGTGTTCCAGATCTTCCAGACAGTTGTTAGAGATGTCCAGATAAGTGAGACGAGAAGCCATGCTGAAGCTCGCTGGGAGATACCGAGCTTCATTGCCAATGTACTTGATCTCTCGTAAATTGGTGCAGCCTTGGATGAAGTCTTTGGGTACGTCCAATGAGAGATTTCTGGATAGATTCAATGAGATGATCTCCAGGGACTTCTTGTAGAGGGTGATTGGAATGGTGACCAAACTTCGACCTTGGAGATCAACATGACTGAACTTCGACATCTTGCTGAACCCAGGGTCGCCCTCGAGACTAGTATAGCCACTGAGCTTTGTTGGCAGGAAGATGAAACGGCAAAGATAACTGTGGTCCTCGCGGCCAATGTCTTCGATGCGATCTTTTTCGGTGTATCCCACTTGCTCCAGCAGTCGTTTTTGCATCAGAATCGGACGCTCATTGTGGTCCAGCTGTCGTGACAAGTCATTCTTCCGCAAAACAATCTCGTAATTATTGAGGTGATCCTGGAGGAACGACTTTCGGCCAAGCATGTACAATATTTCGGCAACTGTGGCGTTCACGCCTGCGGAGAGGGTCGCAAATGTCGAGTCAATGCGGAAGATACGAATGAAGTATGCTGCACTGGTTGGCTGCGGAACCGCTTCAACAAGTGGCTCTTTCTCTTTCTTGACGGCCCAACTCTCCGGTGCAGACCATGTGTCGAAACCAGTGCCTTGCTCTCTTGCTGGGTCTTCCCGGGGTGTAGTCGTGCCGTCTGTAATCCGTTTCATCTGGCCTGGAGAAGCTGCGCGAACGATGTCATTCAAGTCCTTCAGGTTAGTGTCAAGCTTGAAGACGTGAGACCCTTCTTCATCCTGGGCTGCGGTCTCCCTGGAAGCATGGCCATCTCCACCAATAGGGAAACGCCCCTTCAGTTTGCGCTTCGAACCGTCCTTTTTCTTATCAGAGTCCGCCGTATCGAGACGCGAAGAGCTCCCTTCGAGACTAGGTTGGCGTCTTAGAGTGTGATCGTGCTTGGATTTATCGTGAGGCTTGTGACCACCTGGCAGCAGGTGCCGAACTCTTGTCAACAAGCCACGTTTATCGTGCTGGTTGCCGGGGGAATTTTGACCTTGCTCGCGGTAAACTGCGCTCTGAAGACTCGGGGTCGGGCTAGTTGGTCGACCCAGGGTGGTTTGCGAGCTCATCGCACTGGACGAATTGAGGTACTGTTCACCACCATAGAAGGCCTTGTGGCCAGGTCCCAGGTCATCCCGCCCGCCCGCGGGTCGGCCATGATATCCAGCCAAATCACCTGCAAGAGTAGGCTTTTCCTCTTTACTTCTGGAGTGGCGGTGTCCATTTGCCGTTCTTCGACTTGGCTCCCGAGTCACTCCACGAGCGTTTCCACCAGTCGATGCCAGACGTTGACCATCCGGGCCAGTTGGAACTTGGCGGACGGGAGCTTCACCGTACTGGGAAATATCGTTCACATTTTGATACAGCCACGGGGTCACTTCGCTCGATGGTGCCGGCGTCCCGGCCCGTGTCCGGACATGTCGCTGCGACGCTTCTGATCCGTCCGAATTGGCTCGTTCGCGGGCTTTGACCTTGTCGACGAGCCCCCCACGTTTACTGAAAGAACTGTGAGAAGCATCTTCTTCGGGTTCGTCTGGCACAGGCCATTCGTCGCTTGCCGACGCCTTGGATTTCTTTTTCCACAGTCTCGCTCCGGTACTTGATTTCGAGCCGGTGCTGCTTGTCATGCTCGTCGCTGATGGTCTGCGGTGATCCGTGTTCCAATCCATGTCGGCGGGCTCACTGGAGAATGTTCGCCCAGTAGGCGGGCGAAACGTCGCCGACGCGGGCGAGGGCTCATATTCAGATGCCGAATTCAAAAATGTACCTGGGCCATCGGAGCTACCTGGCGTGACCCAAGGGGCGATTGAATCGGGTTCTTCGGGGTGGGGACGGGGAGGCTGGATCGGCGGAGGGTGTGAGCTAGAGGAAGAAGACTTGGGATCGTCACCTGCGCCAAGGACTGCCAGAGCCTTGCGATGGTTACTGAACCCAGAGCCTTTGCGCTCTTCGGTAGGGGAGACTTCGGGGGAGTTCCAGGTCCAGCCCCAATCTATTCCGACTCCGACTGGTCTTGCTGGGCCAGATCTGCATGCGAAAAGAGGTTTCAGCATCTCCCAAAGAGTATGACGTATCTTCTATCAATAGACATCGCTTGCACATCTTCTCCGCGGCGCGAAGCGAACCATGAGCTGGATGCAGCACTTACCTTTCAGTGCTTAATGACCCGGGAAACTGCTCGGTGTCGCGACCGTCAAACGCCGGTTGTAGCTGTTCTGGGCGCAAAGCCTCCGTGTTTCGCACGGTATCTTGCGACTTCCAGCTCCCGGCGGAGCTCTCAGAGCCCTGTCGGTCGGGTTGCTCATGTTCCCACACGGGCATGGCTGGTCTTGACAACCGAAGAATCTCCGTCGATGATGCCTAAGACAGTTCACCACGCACGGCGTTTGCGAGTGTCATGGAATTTCCAAGATGGCGCACCATGAATAGAAGATGAGCTTGCTCAGAGAGAGTGTCGTGGTGGAGGTCCAGTCGGTGCTGTGGTAGTCGGCGACGTGTGGCACAGTTCTGCGCTCGCGGATGTTTGCGCCACGGGGCGGAGCTCGAGGCCGGGGACTTTGAAGGCCACGGACGGATCGAGATGAAAATTCACTGAAGTAAGAGCAGAGAAAAGGGAGGCCACTCAAGTTGATCAAGACGGAATCCAGATGAGATCAATCCGACCGATGAGCCGAGAGCAAATTGACAGTTTCGACAGCAGAGACCGAAAACCGCGCCAGAACCGGTGAGGGGATGGTGTGGGAGCGATGTGCGGGTATTGAGATAGAGAGGTCAATCACCACAGGCGCATGATCTGGCCAGCAGTAAGAATATTCGCGCGGGACGAAGCACGTCGGTCGGGTGAAGAGAGCGCCACAAGGTCCCGAACGAGCGCGGACTTTTGACGATGAGGTAGTCGAGAGCACGGTATGAACGCGTGAGGGGGAGGTGGCTGAGTAGATTAGAAGAGATAGCAGAGAAAAGCCCGAGTCATAGAGGGGTCCCGGCGGCGTACTCAGGAGGTAGTCGTCGGCTGCTGGCTCAATTTTGGCCGATCTAGATGGAAGCTGGATCGGCAGGGAGACGATGAAGGTAGAAGAAAGGATGAAACGAAGAACTGACGCACACGGTCGGGATGAGGGAGAAGGAGTTGAGGCTCAATGCGCTAGAGAGCTTTCCAACCCGACGAGATGATTGGCCTGCAGCTCGATGAGCTTGCGAGGGCGTCAGTCATTCAAGCAATGTCTTTGTACCAGCAAGCGATCGAATCAGGGTCTGACGAACACTTGTTAACCAGAAATTTCAACCGACTCGAGCCATCAGCTGTGCAGCACCAGTAGGTGCAGTACCGTGCGTGTCTGGGGCTGATGGTCCGTGACGCTGTCCGTGCTTGATGGGGAGTTTGGTGGAGCTCGTGAGGCCTAATTTGTCCGCTTTGGTGCCGGCAACAACGCTTACCTTGCAAGGCTTGATCGTGTGGAACGGATCAGTGGATATTCACCTTTCGGAGATTTGAAAAAGGGTCGAAGTGTCAGCAGGCTGTGCCTCATGTTTTCTTCTGAAGGACGAATGGGACTCGGAACTGCTGGAAAGGGGACGGAATAGGGTCCAAGCATCCGTGCTACAAAGAGTGAGATGGACCGTATAGTTACCTGTAGTCACTGCAAGTCATGATCATTGGCAAAGTTGGCGAATGAACAAATGGGCGGAGTTAGGTAGGTAAGGAACCTTCACTGATACCTTGCCAGGTATCGATTTGTTTGAAGTCATAGCACTGTACTAATTGCTGTCGATGACTCAATAGTACTTGAAATCCATCGGTGATCGGGGGTAGTTACTACATAAGTTACCTACTACCTAGTAACTACCCACCACTAACTACTACCTGGCATTTACTAGGTAGTGCTCATTTGGCGGCCGCCAATGCTGCTGCTACAACTTTATTCTTCGATCATTGACTTTCATAAGGTCGCGACGACCCGAGGTGTAGCTAACTACATAGTTATATTTTCGAGGAACAAAGAATGGAGTCAATGTGCAATACGATTTCAACTCTGGCCTGCGTACCCAGCACCTGAAGGATGAACTTGTTCCTTCACCGGTTCCTTTCTCGTCGTGTGGCACGCAACCAAGCGAGCTGCAGCTGCATGAGATCTCAAATCAACAGCATGGTAAATGGGATATCTCGCCATTGGCTGGGATTTATCCGATAGGTACTTTGGCGACACACTCGACCGAGAAATGTCACCAAATTGGGATTGAGGCCAATCTCTTGAATTGCGTCTTAAGACTGAATTAATGAAGTCGCTACTCATTCGCGGCAGAAAGAGGATTGAATATTAAAATCTCTAATTTGGCGGGAGAGCATCATTGTACTTCGTGCTCTTTCCAATGTGATGGAAAGTTTTTCTTTTGCGAAGGCATCGTCAAGGGTTTGTTAGTTAGGACATTTCGACGAGTTGGTTTAATCAATACACTCGCCTGCGACCCGCATATGTAGCTCCACGCTGGGTCTGAGGCGAAGAGGTTCTATTAGTAGCTAGGCGAGTATAGATTGCGGTCGGAACGTCAGATTCATATGCCATCTCATTACTAAGCATTATAAGCAACCTGATATTTCCTAAGATTCAGTGAGCTGCTGACCAGACGAAATGCCGAGATCCATGTTTGTATAAATTTGTAGGATCTTCTTGTATCGTGTCGGTCGATTGGTTCTCTCTTGGGCACCTATCTATTATAAGGGTGTGCGCTTCGATTTCGCCGGAATCGCGCTGTTGGACGGGGCAACGGTCTAGGCGCGGGCCCTGGAAGGCACCATGTCTGATGTAGTGGTGATATCGAATCTACGGGCGGTCGAATACGGACTTCCTGTGTAGTGATCTCTATGTAAGAGCTACGTAGGTGTTTTATGGTTAGTTTTTTCTTCTTTTTTTCTTGGTTGACTCTACGTATGATATACAATACCTAACAAGCCACGAGTGGATCGCTTACAAGGTTAATGTTCGCGAATGCAGGCCATATAGAGTTCCGCGACCCTCCATGAGCAGCCAGTCAATCTGATCGGAAGCCTCGCAACGTAGAAGCATTAGGATATAGCTGAGTGGTCTCCGGTCAATGAATCATGTATTTCGAAACACAGCTCATTTGACAGAGAGAAGAAGCATTCACAAGTCCAACCACAGCAGTCACAGTGTTGACCTTTTTCTAGTTCGGGACGGAAAAACATGGCAGCCAGTATCCCGACTGTAAGTGGCTCTTAGTGCACAGCACTAGCAGTACAGCACTGGCCTGGATGTAAATAGATTGTGGACTCGACGGACGACGGTTGAACAACGTGGCGCCGAGGAATGCTGGGCAACATATTCGTTGATTGGGCTTTGTAGAAGGTGAATAATGATCCACCGATCGACGCCCAACGATGAAAAGTGTCCAAATATTCCAACATTGTGACGAATAAGGCTGGCTGGATTCGAGGAAGGTGCTCGTCGACGGCGCCGAGAAGTAAGTTGCGGTCGGCCGACCGAAAAGTGGGTGGCTGGGAGTCGCGCTTCATGATGGATCGGGCTGTAAGCTAAAATCGCTCCTGCTGCGGTTTCACCACAGTATTTGATCGGCAGGTCGTCGTCATTGCTTTTCTCTCTGGTTGTCTTCTTGTTTTTCTCTCCCACCCTCAAATCATCCCCTTCTCTTGTGTGTTGCATGCGATATCCTTGTTCGGTTTCATCATTGTGCATCACGACCGAACAAACATTACTACATCCTGCTTTATATACACTCCTCCGCCTCGAACTTCTATTGCACCGGCCTAACTCGCCATGAGACTGGCTCTGAGTACAGCTGTGAGCCTTCTGTGCTCGGCTGTCCTGGTTAATTCCCAGACGTATACAAACTGCAATCCTCTACAGAAATGTGAGCCGTCGCAACTTCCAAAACCAGCAACTATATGGCATGGCAGCGAAACTCCAGGGTCCCTTAGTCTCTCAAGCTTTGCTGACCTTCTGGATTTCACACAGCGTGCCCCGCGGATACAGCGCTCGGAAAGACTGGACAAAACTACGACTTCACTGCTGGCTCATCGGTCCAGTTCGCCGCCTCCGGAGCTGTCGCCTACGACAAAACGAACGGAGCCGCCTTCACGATCTCCAAAAAGGGTGATGGGCCTCTGATCCAGTCTGGCTGGTATATCATGTTTGGCAAAGTCGAGTTCACCATCAAGGCAGCTCCAGGAACAGGAATCGTCAGCAGTGCTGTCTTGCAATCCGACGACTTGGATGAGATTGACTGGGAATGGTTGGGCGGCGACAATACCCAGGTGCAGACCAATTACTTCGGCAAAGGCATCACCAGCAGCTATAATCGTGGCGCCTTCCACGCTAATTCGGGGAACCATGACAACTTTCACACCTACTCCGTCGATTGGACAAGCTCTCAGATCGTCTGGGCGATTGATGGCCAAACAATTCGAGTGCTGACTCCAGCAACTGCCGACAGCAATCAATATCCGCAGACGCCAATGATGGTCAAAGTTGGTGTGTGGGCTGGCGGTGACCCTGATAACGCCAAGGGAACTATTGGTGCGTACACGCTCTCTTCAGACGATCAATTATCTTGACTTCATTAAAACTCGTCCAGCTTCTAACATGCTTGAGCAGACTGGGCTGGTGGAGTGACCGACTACAGCAAGGGTCCCTTTACCATGTACCTCAAGTCGATGACCGTGACAGACTACTCGACCGGCAATTCTTATAGTTATGGTGATCATTCGGGCTCATGGGAATCGATTATCTCCAATGGAGGCAAAGTCAACGGTAACAGCGGGCTTGAGCCAACGGTTGCTCAGCCAGCCCCGGTGATTACTGCGACTGTTGACAGTGTCCCCATTCCCTGGAGTGGAACCCATCGTGAGACCTCGAGCTTTGTGACCCCCGACGTATGGCCCTGGGTTGCCACTGGCTCACCAACTGGGTATTCTGGTCGGCTCCCTCCCGGCTGGCAATCTGGCTCTGGGCACATTCAGCCACCCAGCAGCGGTTCAGCGAGTGAGCATTGTCTTCCATATATCAGCGCATACCCAACCATGACCTACGCTAAATCCGACAACCTTCTTTCACAGTCTTTCTCCCAGTGTACATCAGCCTTCTCGGCCTCATCGTCGGGTTTACGTTTCCCTTCTGGGCATAAGACTGTTCTTAACGAGACCCGGTGGACACGGCCGTCTTCCCCCAGCGACACCAACAAAAAGCACAACCATGCAGACCATTCGCAGGTGGATGCGACAACCAGCATGGCCCCATCGACAGCGACGGGCTCCCCTTCGCCGAGTCATGCCCTCTCTGCCGGTCACGGAACGAGCGTTTATCAAGGCCCTGCGGCAATAACGGCTGTCATCATCGCCTTGTTGCTTGGAATTCCCCGAGCTATACTTTGATCAAAGTCTGGTTTGTCTTTGTCCTCGTGCTGATGACTTCTGATGAATACCGGACTCTACGACTATGTTTTTTCATGAATCGATGACTTCTTTACAGTGCTCTGGACATTCACGCTGCGCTTAACTAAGTCGCTGCATGCCAGATGGCTTCTGGGGTTTTTTTTTTTCTGGGTTTCTGCTTTACACATATTTATAGAAGGACCTGCGTTTAAGCGTTATGAGTCTATTGCATCGCCACATTATCACTTGCGAGCCCTTGGGCAACCTTTCTTCTGTGTTTCTGTTCCACTGAGTCACATGGCCCGTCTCGTGGGTCATTCCTGAGCGGCTGCATCAAGTTGATTTCCATGAACGGGGTTTGATGCACAGCTATACACCTTGTTCATTGATGCCTTATGTATAAACCACGAGCAATAATGCCACAACGTGATTCACTATCGAGTCACCATTTCGCATTAAAACTGTCCAGCTTTATTTGTCCAAGATGATGTCCAATTCAATGAGTTGGGAGTGTTGTAAGTCTGGGTGCGAGCAGGAACTAGATCCCATACGGAAGACTGACCTCATTGATGGAGGATAAGTCACACGTCACCCGCCACCTGGAAGAAGTGACCAAATGCATCGGTCACCAACTTTTGGCCTGCTTCATACGAGCTCTACACATATTGGTTTCTTGAACCTTTGCGAAAAGTGTGATTGTGCGTTCAACCAGCAGATCGACCAACAGCAAGATGACTGCGCCCACCACATCCGCACGAGTGTTTCTCGTCCGTCATGGCGACACTGACTGGATCTCGGGCGGGAAATTTGCCAGTCGAACCGATATACCTCTTTCGAAGATGGGAGAAAAGGATATTGAGTTCACGCGCGATCGTGTTGTCGCGGAAGATGAGATGATTGATCCGACTGGCATTGCCAAAATGTATGAATTCTATCCCTTTTGTGAACGGTTGCAATAGATATATTTTCCTACCGTGACCCACGTTAGGAAAACCAAGAAGATTGAAGCATAAGACAAATGTTTATCACGATGAGAAAGAGGTTCCATGATCAAGGCAGCTCACCAACCCTTTCGCAGATACTGTTCGCCGAGAATCAATGCACGCCGCACGGTCGAGATCTTGGGAATCGGTGTGCACCACCACCAGCATTTTCAAAATGAGGAGACAGGTCAGAAATGGAGGTCTGAGTCTGTGATAAAGGGCGAGACGGCGGATCCATATATCCATATCACGAAGTCGTTGGAGGAGTGGGATTTTGGATACTATGAAGGAATGACTTTGCAGGCAATAAATGAGAAGCGAATGAAGGACTATGGCAGTGGAACGTGGGATATCTGGACAGATGGATGTCCAGGCGGAGAGTGAGTAACCCCTTTGAAGAGCTCCTCGGTCAATTGTATTGCCGTGGTATGGTCCTTGACTCTGGAGAAGATCGCTTTTGGTTCTGCCGTCCTCATACCGAGAAAGAAGCTCAGGCTGAATTCCTTTTTTCAGATCTCCACAGCAAGTCACCGAGCGCCTTGACAAGCTCATCCGTGAAATCAAACAAGTCATCTCGTCAAACTCGGCCAGTTGGCCCGGAGGTCAGCTCATTGCTCATCGAAGTCAGCATGCGCAAGATGTCGTATGCGTCGCACATGGACATATCTTAGCTGCTCTGGCTATCCGTTGGGTTGGTCTCCCGTTGGACACGGGAATGATGAGACTGATCTTTGAGCCCGGGGGCGTGGGTATTTTGGGGTAAGACCCATGCTCGTCTATTCTGCCTTCTTTCCTTCGTCTCGACTTCTGCACGGCGACACTATGCACGTCCGTCAATAGACTAACTTCGTGATACTCAGATTCGAGCATGACAATATCAATCAACCTGCTATCTTGGTAGGCAGAAAACCTGGTCGACCTGATCGAGAACAGCGCAGCGAGACTGGATTCGCACAAGCAAGTCGCTAGTTTGGGTGCGGGTACGTTGATGGCTCAATGTGAAATGTTTGCAAATAACACCCCACCGTATTCTGATAAAATTTGTGATTGTCTCCGAGGGACCAAAAATAATGATTATACTGATCATCTGTTCTACCTAGAGATCAGAATTTCATACATTTATGTTTGTATGGCATGTGATACTGCCGACTCACCGCAGTCCATAGCTTAGGTAGAATCTCTCCCCCTCAGCAATCTCACTCCTCATCCCTCACACACATCGATACTGCTGCCCCTACAGTAGCAGTATCCCATCAATTTAGAATGATCCTCGGCGGAGAAAGCTTCCGAAATACTTTACAATTCATTTTGACGTACACTTTGAGTGCCTCACAAAGTACGTATTGTTGGCCCGATTCAAGATATCAACTCATGCACAAGAAACTTTTCTACACTTGAAGGCGATCTACTTCGTCTGGGCCAATAAGCAGCCCTGCAGTATGGAACGCTAGTAAGACGGGCAGAGCGGTGTGGAACATCCATGATAGACACCCAAACCGCCAAAAAACCTTTATTCAAATGGTGGCATGTAGGTAGGAACCTTGTGGCGCGGATTTTTATTGCAGATGTTTATAAACATTCGCGGACCGGAAGATAATTTCCAAGGATTTCTTTCCCGTTTTGGAAAAGCGTTCTAGTGAGCCGGGCAATGTGATAGCATGTTCATACTTACACGAGTCGGTTGCACTACACCTTACTGTTTGGAATTTCTTGTACCTAGAAGAAACGTTTACGACGTGCTCTAAAGGGCTCAATACATGGACATTGCCGTCTCTCAACTCAGACCAAGTAATATTGCGGACGTCTTGAGAATGCTTCGCAATTACTTTCTATAGTTCACTGTTGAAACCTACGACGTGACTAGGAGGAATAGGTCTTTCGTTGATACAGGTAGTAATTGACCTTGGGATACGCTAACGTGATCTTGGGGGATCACCCGCTCAACCCTTCCTTTGTAGGCACTCTAAAGGTTTCCAATGAAAGTGAATTTTGAGGGAGTACCCGGAGTCGGATGGGCGAGAAGTGTCATTTCATAGCCAACTTTACTCGCACATGTCATTCATTCCATGCAGGAAAACTCGTTCGCCAAGGGGGCTGACTGGGTGGGTTCAAACAGAGCTGTCAAGATTCACTGGTTGTCTGCGACTGAAACACCATAGTCGTTTCAGACCCAGCCAAGGCGTGTTGACGGGACTCTGAAATCCTGTATACAAGAAGACATCGTACAGCCATCCTCCAAATGCACACCCGAAAAACGGAGCTATCATTGGGACCTTGGACATCATTAGCTGGAACACCACACTGAATACATCTACAACGTCAGCTAGAAGTTTATGCACTTACCCAGAAGTAATGGTTTCCTGCTGTCCAAACCTCGCTTCCGTATCCCAACATGTAAGACGTGAGTCTGGGTCCAAAGTCCCGCGCAAGATTTATCGCATACCCGGTCTCCCAGCCAAAACACGCCCCAATACCGAAAATCACGAAAAACAGAGCGAGGGGTGTCAACTGACCCGCTCCCAGATTGCCGTCATCCTTCAATGCAAAGATCACAAAAATCAGAATGGCACTTGCCAGAAATTCTGAGAAGAATTGGCCAGTCCTGGTCATGAATGCAGCCGGATAGGTACAAAAGATACCTGCCGTCGCGGTCGACGAGTACCCCGGCACTGTACGAATCGACGCACCGCCTTCAAAGAGATCGATGGCTGATTTGTAGTTCCCGTACACAATGGCAGCTCCACACATTGCGCCTAGAATCTGCGCGCTCAGGTAGATGGGAAATTTGCGCCAGGGAAAGCCACGGTAGATGCAGTTTGCGAAGGTCACGGCCGGATTGATGTGGCCTCCTGACTGTCCGCTTACGTATACGCCGAGCATCACTCCTAGGCTGGATTGTAGATGTGCTTTGTTAGGGCTTAGTCTAAAATGGGAAGAGGGAAGGACTCGATCGACTTACCCCCAACCCCACGAGATGGACTGATAATCACCCTTCTCACCGTGGCTGAGAAGAACTTGAGCAACGACGCCATTGCCAAAGAGGATCAGAATCATTGTGCCGAAGAATTCAGAGCAAGCATCACGTGTACATGCACGAATCGTGTTCCAGAGATTAGAAGGCTCGCTGTGACTTGGCTCTTGCTCGACGGTGATGTTGTGGATGACTGAATTGGGTTGACTTCCAATATAGACAGAAGTGCAGTCACCCGTTTGACCAGCGGAGAAGCCAATGTCCTTGTGAATTATGGCCATGGTTTCAGGATTATTCACGGCAGCCGCCAGAGACTCCATCTCTTTTGTCATGTCAAGAGTCCCCCTCCACTGGAGATTCGTTCAATGTCTCTTTCCTAGATGAATAGACAATGAGCCACTGACTTCAAAACAATTGGACACTGAAGATCCCGTCATGAGACGTCAAAAGGAAGAAGTAATGTCGAGCCTCAGTTCGGACGGCGGCTCAAGTCAATCTTATATCAACAGTATAAGTATTGACTTGAACAGTACCAGCCGAGTGCCGTGTGTCACAAAGTCTGTCTCATGCGCACCCCTAAGCAAGCTGGGAGGTGTCTACGGCTTGACACGAGTTGACAAATGCAGTAGGAGCTTCGCAATACTGAGTTCTCCCTTCTTATGTTGTGGCTTCTCAAGTTCGCGTGAGCAGGCCCTCAATGCCAACGTGGTAGATTAGAACAGAGAGAAGCATGGAGCAGCAGCCCGAATCAGAACGACGGTAGCGATTAACTGCAACCTGATTCAGCGGGCTGACAGAGGATCGCGATAAAACGCGAGATTATAGTTTGATCACTTTCTCCTTGCTCTTTGGTGTTGTCGAGTTGGGTCGTGAATTCAAAGCGTACAACCACGATAGTAAATCTGCCCGGGTTCTTGTATGAAAGTCTTCCTACCACTCTAAAAAGGCGGAATGGACAGACAACGACACATTTTTATAGATCACTGATTTGGCCACAAGTGTCATGCTCATTCACGCGCCTGACGACTAGCGTTTGACTCTGCTGCCGTTTGATCGGAAAGCGCCGTCACTTCTCGATTCCCGAGGCCAAGGTGACCAAGCGGACAAGGGAAGACGTGTAAAGTGCAAGTACAAACCTGTATTTTGACCGGCGTATCCCAGGTTGATGACGAGAGACTTTGCTCACACTAGTCCTTGTGAAGAGTGACAGCTGCAAAGTTGAGTGTCATCACTTGGTGGCTGTAACGACATGAGCAAGTCTGGTGCTACCATGGGATGAGATGGAGGGACACACTCGTACACAAACATCCTAGCATGAACCGTCCGAGGATCGGGGAAATCGTGGGGAGGGATGGTCGCACAGAGAGGCTTCCATTCCTTCTGTCACAAATTTTCAATATCGATCGAAGCCTTGCGGTGTGTACGCGGGTCCGATTCCAATTTCTGGAAGTATGTTCGAGAGCGGCTTCAGGCGAGTTCAAACGTCTGATGGTTTACAAGAGGTTCTTCTGCCTCTGGTGCTTCTTTTGTCCCGTGCCGCCATTCCAGTTTAGTGTTTACATCGTCGGGACGTGGATCATCAAGAAACTCGGACTGCAAGTACAACCTTGAGCCCTCCCTCACAACGGTACTCTGTCATACAAGGAATGAATTTCGTACTTGTCTTCATAGATGAAACCTTGTCACTTACGACGGGGAGGATGACACACCCTTACTTTCTGGCTCCATCGTGTGACATCTGCTCCTCTTTCCTTTTCTCAATACATTGTCTTCGGAGCTACATAACCATCCCAGTCAACTTGACCTCATAACGAGGCCAGTATAGCTGAGCAAAATAAGATGACGAGATATGAACAAGACTTCCCAATATAGAGTTTGGCTTTGACGGAGTATGCCGACGTGAGCATTGTTCAATGTACTACATTTTCATCGAACAAGCACAAGCAACCGTCTCAAGCTGCCTCGATTATGAGGATCAATCTCACCGACACATTTGACCATACTTGACTGGGAGCCAAGGCTGTCAGTCGGGTTGAGATTGAGACTGGGTTACAGTTTGGACTGGGACGAGGTCGGCGAGAGCAAAGAGGCGAGCATTGTGTGTTTGGACTTTGGATTGGCGATTAGTTGCCATCACTGGTCCAGGGCACCTCCGCTTTCAGGACAAGTCTGATATTTCAAGTCTATTATCATTCTGGGTGCACGTACACTTGTTTGCCTTTTTATGCTATTGGTGAATTTTTTGGGCATTCGACCGGGGAAGAGTATGGATACTGTTCAGTGTTCACTCGATGAGCTCGGTCTAGGCAGGTCAAGCTTGGGACATACAGTGATCTCAAGCATGCTGCAATGAGAGTTTCCTGGTTCTAGGATTTCTGCAGCCGATCAGAAGATACTGGTCATTGTTGAACATACTTAAGAGCCTGGCAGCTGATCTTGCCGGCGGTCTTGTTTGTAGGAGTAAAGGCGAAGAGGAGGCCTGCTTGAGATGAACTGATTAGAAACGGTTGTGGATGGCCTGACACTTCAGGCCTCCGATGCATTGTGTTCCAGCCCCAGAAAGATCGTCCAAAGTGGAGTGAGTTTCTCCGCTTCTTATTAGATGTGCTGTAGCCGATCTCATGTACCTAGTCTTTTAGGTTGTGTCTGGCAGCTTTCTATCGTCCATGTTGATTATCGCTTACCCTGTATGAGCTGCAGCAATGGTGATGTGTGATGACACGCAGCATATGAACAGACAAACTTCGCAATGGCCCACGCTTCCAATCAAAAGAAAGAAACACTAACAATGCAGCGCAGTATGTAAGGTAGCAGCTGGGAGCAAGCACAGGGATCAATGTTCCGGCCAAGTTCAACGCCCGCCGACAAAGTGATTGTCGTGGGCAGCGACAAAGGCTAGCGTTCAACAATCCCGACCGATGCGGAAAAACAAGGAAGACCCTCTTGTTTACATTTCGAGACCTTCAGGTGATTTTGCACGGCGCTCTGCAACTAAACCCTCCCTGGCTGCTTGGACCAGATACTGCGAGTAATCCCACCAATCCGTGCGTGCCAAAAGCGTGCCAAAAGCGTGCAGGTGGTCATTCGCACTCTCGTAAGCCTCTTGCTCAAGCTCGAGACCCCGCGCCGCGGGTTTTGGGTGTCACGACAGGCTCAAGCGCCGGTACTTAAGAGCAGAATGGAGGAATTCATTTTGATCACTGCCACTGTATCCTTCCAAGCTTTGAAGAGCGAGAGCAAGACTATTACAGTCAGTTCGGTGCTTTCAATTGCGTTTGCCTCGCACTCCCTCAAAGCAGACCTCTCTCCCAATTCTTGATTTTATTTCGTTTCCGCCCAAACGCCCCTGGATCCAGAAATGCAATGCAGTCCCCCGAGGTCTTTGTCGGATCAATCGATCAGGGAACAACCAGTACACGGTTTCTGATCATCAATCGTGATGGAGAGCCTGTTGCATCCCATCAGGTGGAATTCGGTCAAATCTACCCCCATCCTGGGTAAGTAATCAGTATCAGTACCGGCGTCAAATGGCCTTGGTGGTGCGGAAATGCCGAGAAACAGCCATGAGAAGGCGCAAGATGGAACGAACGCATGAGATGAGTCATGTTCAAGACTGACGTGGCGTGACAAATGATAGATGGCATGAGCATGACCCTCTTGAGCTCGTTGAGTCGGTGGAGACCTGCATTGCTGGCGCCGTCGAGTCCTTTGAAAGCCAAGGCTTCTCTCGAACTAGCATTACCTGCGTGGGCATCACCAACCAGCGCGAGACAACCATCGTCTGGGATCATGAGACAGGTGAACCGCTCTACAATGCGATAGTATGGACAGATACGCGTTCCCAGGCCATCGTCGCGGAACTGAAATCTCGCCCTGGGGCATCCAAGCTCCAGTCCCTCTGCGGTCTGCCGCTCTCGACTTATTCCTCCGCGACCAAGTTGCTCTGGATGCTCGAGCATGTCCCTCGGGTGCGGGAGGCTTTTGAGCGCGGCACTTTGGCGTTTGGAACGGTCGACGCCTGGCTGGTATACCGTTTGAATGGCGGACCTGACGCCAACGTGTTTGTCTCAGATTCGACAAACGCCTCCCGGACCATGTTTGTGAACTTGGAGACGTTGCGGTATGACGATAGCTTGCTGGACTTCTTTGGGATCAAGGGGAAGCTCCATCTGCCCAGGATTGTTCCCTCCAGTGATTCCTCGGCTTACGGGGTTATTGCCAGTGGTACTATTGCTCGAGTGCCCATCATGGGATGTCTGGGAGACCAGTCGGCTGCGCTGGTTGGGCAGAAAGGGTTCTCGCCTGGCATGGCAAAAAACACATATGGTACAGGCTGCTTCTTGCTGTACAATGTCGGTGAAAAACCAGTCTTTTCAAAACATGGACTGCTGACAACGGTGGCTTATCATTTTGGCGGGAAGGCCGTCTATGCCCTCGAAGGGAGTATTGCTGTCGCGGGATCGGGTGTCAAGTTCCTCCAAGACAACCTCTCCTTCTTCCAGAATTCCCGAGAAGTTAATGATTTGGCCGTGACGGTGGAGGATAATGGCGGCTGCGTATTCGTGACGGCCTTTAGTGGGCTGTTCGCTCCCTACTGGATCGATGATGCCAAGGGTACCATTTGTAAGTTTGAGAAGCTGGACCATCGCATCCTCGTTGAAGCCTGTTCTCGATTATCTCAACATGTCTCTGACTCTTGGCTCTCCAAAATTTCATCTGCTGCATCAGTCGGCATCACACAGTTCACACAAAAGGGCCATATAGCCCGTGCCACACTAGAAGCAACCTGCTTCCAAACCAAAGCCATCCTAGATGCCATGGAAAAAGACAGCGGCAGCGCTCTCACGGAACTCGCTGTCGACGGAGGCATGAGTAACTCGGATTTGGCCATGCAGGTATCACTCACTCATTGCCCCTCAATTAATCACACGTTATGGAAAAGAATGGCTCCTAATATTCACCTTCTCGCAATCACCTAGACCCAAGCAGATCTCATCTCGATCCCCGTCTACCGACCCAAGATGCGCGAGACCACTGCGCTAGGTGCAGCTATTGCGGCGGGTCTCGCGGCAGGTATATGGCGCAATTTTGCTGAGTTGCGCGACATCAACCGTGCCGGCGGTACTGTGTTCGAGCCCCAAGTGACACGTGAAGAAAGTAATGCCAAGTTCGAGCAATGGGAAAAAGCCGTTCGAATGAGTAAAGGCTGGGTTTCTTCGGCAAATGATAGGAATCAAGACGGTGACAAGCAAGTTGGGCTTGGGATGACGACTGCTGCAACCGAGTCACTATTGACGAGTGCCGTTAAATCTTCCGTGAACGGGATACTGCCAGAGCAAAGGGAGCAGAGAGACACGTCCACTCTCAACTCAGTGCCACTAGTTTCTGAGCTCGTGACGAAGGGAAACCTTCAGCCAAAAGTGAGCGTCACAACGCATGCTATGGCAAACAAAGATGACGATCGAGATCGAGACTGGGACTTGGCGTCACATATCAAGACACCGTTCATCACAGTTTCCAGTGATTTGGACGAGGCCGATGAAGAGGACCTGTTCTTGGAGTTGAGAAAGGTGGAAATCCTGCAAAAGTTGAAGAGGCTGAGAAAGATGAAGTTGAGCTACTACTGAAGACTCTTTTGCATACCATCTGCGGGACACAGTTCTCGAAAGGCGTCGAGCTCGTTTTTCTCTCTGACCGGGGATAAGTGATGACGACAGAAAGATGATCTGCGGAACTTCGACATGTCGAAGATGCGGTTTCCGGATATCTTTGCATTGACGAAGAACTAACGAGGTAGACGTTAGGATGTCGAAAGCATTTTCAGCATTTAATTGATGGCCATTAGCCATGGACGGAATGACATTCTGGCAAAGACGGGCTTCCTCGTCGGACTCATTAATGGCGTGGTGAGCGCGTTCAGGTGATCAAGTCGGGCCCTAGAATTAAACCCACTTTGGCCCCATTGCAACAAACAACTTGTCGACCTCGTCAACACTCTACATTCGAAATATTCCGTTCTGGGCATAATCATCATTGAATAAAATTGCTTAAATATACAATGTGTCCAAACGATAGAATCAAGACTGAGTCACTCAGAGACCCGCCTTCAAGTCCTCGCCCTCTCGAAGAAAGATACAGTTGAACTCGGCGCCAGGGCTGAGCGTCACCTCAAATCTCATCACAGGGTCCTTCACGCGATCCTCCCCACTAACCGGCATGGCAATAATCTTCTCATACGCCTGCAGAATCCGAATGATGGTGTACCCCATCTCGATCGTCGCAAATTGCTGACCGATACAAATACGAGGACCGCCGTTGAACGGAATGAACTGCCACGGGCGTGGCGACCATCCCTCCACCCATCGCTCGGGAATCCACTGCTCGGGGTTGAAGTAGTTCTTTGATCCGGGCTTGTCATAGAGATCCGGATCCCGCTGCATTAGAAGAGTGGAGTAGATCACACGAGAGTTGGCGCGCACACCAACGGGGGATTGTCCGTCTGGTCCACCACCACGAGGTAATGTGGTATCCTTGAGTGAGAAACGCACGTTGAAAGGTACGACTGGGTAAAATCGCATGGTCTCGTTGATTACGGCGTTGAGGTACTTCATCGTCTTCAGGTCATCATAGGTGGGTTTCTGGCCATCGGCACCGACACCGAGACGCTCCTTGATCTCGGCACGCAGCTTGGCGACGACCTCTGGGTGGCGTGCGAGCTCGAAGAGACAGAATGCAAGAGTGGCGGCGGTGGTGTCGCGACCTGCAAGGAGAACAGCCACAAGCTGGTCTCGAAGGACCTTGGGGTCACGAGTGAAACGGGCAAGGGCGTGCAAGAACGTGTCTCGCTTGGAAAGCTTTTGGTCAAGCTCATCTTGTGACATGCTGAGGACGGTCTGGATATAGGGCTGCATGAAGTCGTCCATGATCTTCAAATTGCGACGGAACTCGGTACGTGACATTGCGAAGTTGAAAACGCTAATTTGAGTCCTGAAATCAGCATCTTCTGTCATATTTTGCGAAGGACGACTTATCCGCCATGTGCAACTCACCCAAATCGGAACAGCTCAGCTTGGCGTTGTTGCACGTATCTGAAGGCCTCGGCAAAGCGAGTAGCAGGATTCTCGAGACTGTCGGTTCCTTGGCCCAGAAGGTAGTCGGTCGAGGCGTCAAGGGTGTATCGGAAGAACAGCGATCCAACATCGACAATGCGACCACCACCCGGGTTCTTTCCGAGGAGAGGGATGAGTTTTTGTACATGCTTTTCGAAGATCTCCGTGTCGACGAGGCGCTCGCGCGCAAACATCGGACGGATGAGCTGGCGAGAACGCGACCACAGCTCACCATCCGTTGCAAAGATACTATCGCCGAGGAATTCCTTCCACTCGCGATGAAACGTCTCGCCCTTGCCATAATCGGCGAATTGGCCGGTGAGTACGGCCTTGATATTCTCCGGGTCCTTGGTGAGAACAATGCGAGACGAGATACCAGCATCAACTTCGGCGGTCTTGCAGTTGTCACGGCCACCAGCCCCCATGATGGTTTCGTCCCAGAACTTGAGATCCTCGTTTTTGAGGTTGGCCTGATGGCCCTTGTACATGAAGTCAAGAGCTATTGAAGCCTCGTTAGCATATGTGTCATCTTGCCTCTGCTGCCTACTACATTCTGACGGACTTTTGCCGAGCATGCCGGCCCTCCAAGAACGATGAAGCACAACATACCATACGGAAGATGGAACTTGACCTTGGGCGCACGAAGACCCTGACGAGCGATCTGCGCCGAAGCCTGGAGCTTGAGGAAGATGCAATAGGCCGTGAACAGACCTACGCACCACAACAGAGCCCGACCGGGCGATAAATTCTCCACGAGTGCCTCGATCATAGTGATGCTTTGCGACAGGGCACCCAGTGATCGCAATGAAGCGCAGGTCCAGTCGATTCAACTGTGCAAATGGGCAGGCAAAGGGCCTTTTATTAATTACTGCCCCCGTGGATGTCAGCTCTTAGATGTGGGGTTCGGTCGCGATTTTGACTTTCTGGCTCTCCAGCGGGGGGAGCGGCAGATCAAGTGGGCAGACTGAATCGAGGCAAAAGTCGCCCCGTCGCCTTAGTCCATTCGCACATGGCAGTACGCTAACCTGCGGCGAGTCAAGCGAAAGTTCCGTCGTGGCCACGGTCAGCCTTTGAAGCTAGTCACTTGAGCGATGGCCAAATCCAGTAGCGTCAATGGGCGATCCACTTGCACCCGTCGAGATATCATAAAACCGGGGGCCGCATTGTTTCACATTATCATGATGCTGTAGGATGTCTGGATCTGTGAATGGCAATGCCGCAGCCGACTTGGACTCCACTCTTCAAATGAGGAGGCTGCAAATGTACGTATGCAGCTATCTATTGCCCTGTATTATCAAATAGCTGACAAGGTAGCATGTAGTGGACGGAACTCACAGAATGCATCAGCCTCGAAGACGTAGAGACATTTCGGCGTTCGGTGTTCGGTCCTCGATCCTCGGCTTTCGGTGCTCAATCTATTTCCGCACCCCTACTAAGCCTTGGATAGGCGGGAAAGGCCAAGTCTATTTATTGTACACACTTGAGGTGGTATGGTCCAGGCACTGCGCACTGCGCAGTATTCGGTCATAAATCGCAGTTTCTGGAAGTCATCCGTGATGCGGAGGCGCGGGTGTGGCTGCTTTCAGGCATCCTTGCGAGGTGCTTGCGAGATCCCCGCTCCTCTAAGGATGATCCGGTGTTAGAAAGAATCATCCATGTAGTCCGGTGCTGTGCGGTTGCATGGTATAATATCTATCATATGAGTGCTGAATTCATGACTGGGGCAAAAACATCAATCTGTCGTCTTTTGTGACTGACTCTACTGAAAACTGAAAACTGAGGTGAGGGTGACAAAAGGCTCATTGCTTACTGGCCGACTCTAAGAAGGTTTTGCGAAGTTATCGTTCGATGGTCAGAAGAAACTTGTAGTTTTACGAGACTACACATCTGGTCTGTGCTATGCCCGTCAATCATGGCCTGTCATGAATCATGCCTTATGCTGGGAGTGCGGACCTAAGCACAGCATCATGTCGCTCGATTGCGAGTGCCCAGAGTCGAACCGCAAGGATCTCAAACTCTCTTCTCTCATGCGCCCCTTCCAAATCGGTAGACCTCGGCCCTCCGCGTATCATACGAATGCCAGAGACATCAAGGATCGGCTTGACGTTATGTACAAGAGGAGGAATACCTCCGGGCTGACGGCGTCGTGTCATGGTTGGACGTGCGTGGGCGCCATGCACGCTCGGGGCTGCGCGTAGTTAAACGACTGGAAAGGCCTGCCGCCTGTCGCCCGACCCTGCATCTCATCCAATGGCCGTTGGTGAATTAAGTTACAGAAGTCGGCTCACAATGATAATATGACATGTGCTTCTTCCTGGAATTGATGGCTAGACCGCTTATGTTGAGGAAATCATGCTTGCAGTGGTGTAATTGTTTGAACATGATTTGACTTTCGTAGAGCATGCAAGGCGTATTTCGCTCTACTGAATAACACCGGAATATTCATAGCCTCATCCGGAATAGGACTATGTCCGTACCTGGGTTGGTACTGCCAGTGAGCCACTATTGAGTGAATTTTCGGCCTTGCTCGGATCAGTTGAACAACTAGAAAGGAAATTGGAGACAGACTACTACTGATTATCATCTGATGCTCAGGGCGGCCCGTCAGATCCAGGGGTTAGTTAAAAAGGGCAAACTCAAAAAAACATGGACTCGCGGGGAATCGAACCCCGGACCACTCCCATGCTAAGGGAGTATTATACCACTAAACCACAAGCCCAGTTGCGTGAACGATGCCTCTGATTTGGATATTATAAATCAATATTATTCTTCGCAGCTTCGTTTCTTCCCTTTTTGGGTGATTCGGAAGGGAATCTCACTTGCGTACTAGTAGTTATTTAGTACTTTGGACGTGTGGGCTCCCAGTGGAATCGGATGGATGGAATGAAAACGCCTGACTATATGAATAGAGTCACTGTCTTCCTATTGCCTGGAGAATCTCTCATCATAATATTGAGGTCAAAGGTGCTCGCCTCAATATGGATGTTATTGAGGTTGCCCTGGTTCCAGCGTCGGGCAGTGGTCCACAATATGTAGCTCGCTAGACTGAGCCCCGTCCGCGTCGAAATATACCTCCATGGATCGCTCTCTTGGGCTACCGTACTACACGGTAGCCCTACGGGCTTACCTCGGTCACATACATATGAGATGGCGCCCGCCTCACGTACTCCAATTCATCCAGTCTCATAGTACAAAACACACGGCAGAATGCGCATAAGAAGTTAATTCCATCGAGAATAAACTAGGTCGGTATTGACGGAGATCATCGCTTAATTATTTACATATCTAGTCAAAATCTACCGGTGGTATATTTCTCCCCTCGAGCGTGGCCTGCACACTCTGTTGCATCATCCCGATCGCGGCATTCCATGTCACAGTGCCCTGTTCACCCTGACCCGAAGGTGGACTCGTAGTAAGCTCTCTGTTTCGATCGAGCATATCCTCACTCACAAGCCACATGAGCCATCGAACCACAGAGACCGCCTTGTCGATATCATGCTCATCACTGATCACACGCCGCAAATAAGTACAGAGGACCTCTACATCTTCCACATATGGGCCCTCGGCCGTAAAAGCCGAATGCCATGCCTTGACCGCGTTCCTGAGGTCTGGCAAATCGGACAGTCGACGCGAGGTAAAGACAGGCCGAGCTGGGAGTGGAGGGAGTGGCACTGTCTTCTCGGCAGCAGGTGCGGAGAGGTGAGCACCGGCCGAACTGGAATTCTGGGGCTGAGAGACTGGACGCGCAGCTACAGCTGCAGAGGCGCGAGCTTTTCGTAGACGCGAGCGTCTTTGCTCCTCTATTACCTCTTGCCTGATATCTTCCGGAAGAGCTGCAAGAAAATCTTCCGAAACCTCCGACTCTTCTTCAAGCGCGGGCGACTGCTGGCGTGACATGGAGTCTCGCCCCGAGCCCCTCGAAACGACTGAGGATGTGGTTGTAGTTACTCTCGGAGCAGCCGTAGTGGTCCGAGTCAAGGCTCTGTTCGTGGCCGAAGCATATTTGGGAGGACGACCTCTTCTTCTCTTGGGAGGAGTTACTGGCCTTTTAAGCATCATCAATGCTCCACCAGGAGGCACTCCACGACGGGTCACCCCCGTAGATGTGTTCGAAAACGCCTGTACAGGCTGAGCATCTGCAGTGGGTGCAGGTTGCTGATTGTAGTACCCAAGGACCTCATTACGAACGTCTTCGGGCAGAGCAGCGAGTGTCTCCGGGTCCAACTGTGACTGAGGAGGTAAGGGTGCCGAGGCCGTGGTCTCAGCTCCTTGACGGCGAGGCGGTGGGCAAGGGGAGCCAGATCGCGGGGATCTCGCACTAGGCTTAACCTGAGCCACGAGTCTCGCCCTGATATCAACTGGAAGCTCTGATATGACCTTGGGGTCTGCCTGGGTGGGCATGATGAATTGGGATCCAGAGATGTTCAGCGGCTTGTGAGCGCTATTGCTTAGCACTGGATCGACCTGAATGCGCACCGAATCACCCTTGCGAGGACTCTCCAATTCATCCGGATCAACTTCCGCTGCTGGGACGGATTTGCGTGATGGCGACTTGAAAAAATTGAGTTGCCGTTGGCTGCCCTCAATGGCAGTTGACGGTCCATTCTTCAGTGGCTCAAGTTTCGTCATCTGCACACCGAGTCCTCTGAGGTCGCCGGGAGAGAAGTTGAGACTCCGCAACATGGAAACAGCCTCCTTTCCCAAGACGTCGGGAACGATGGTGGCCACTCCAAGAACGACACTTTTATTGAAGATATCGCACTTGCCATGACCGAGATGTTTAACTGGCTCCAGCGGTGCGTCCAAGGCCCTTCGCATCACCTTTAATGTGAGTTGCCTTCCCCTGACGAGATTCTCTGCCAATCGGCGAGCCAGCTCCTCGCAAAGTGATTTGATGAAATCCTCGGCCTGATCTTGGTTGGTGAAACGGATGCCCCAGTTGACCTCCGCTGACACGGATTTTCTGATCACTTCGTTGCCCACTTCCGTCTTGTCTATGCCGCGGGCGTACTCCCAAATTTTTGTCCCCGTTTTCGGACCAAGACTGGCGCAGAGCCTCTCTTTCGTCAATTCCCTTGCATCCTTGACGTATTTCACTCCAATCTCTTCGAGCTTCGATCCAAGACTGTAACCAACACCGGGAAGGTCTTGGACAGTCAAGTTTCCGATGAAACCCAGTACATCGTCAGGTTTCAAGTGAAATTGCCCGGCAGGCTTTGCTTTTCTCAGCGCAACCTTGGCCAGAAGAATGTTGCCGCCGATTCCGACAGAAACAGCACAACCAGTTTTTTCCTTTATTGAGTCACGCAGGCTTTGCGCTATTTGGTCAGCTTTCGCCTGCTCGCGATAAATCGACCCTTCTGAGATGCATTTGCCATCTGATCCCGCAGCATCCAAACATTGATTGCTCACATCTAGGAGTGCTTCATCAATGCTGACACTTTGAACAACCCCATCCACGGACAGAACTGCATTGTAAAATTTCCGACTGGCATCTTCATAAGCAGGAAAGTCGTAGGGCAACACTTGAAGGTTCGGGCAAGATTGCAAGGCGCTCTTCATCCACATGCCGTTCTTAACGCCCTGAGCCCGGGCAACGTAATTGCAACTTGCAATCTCAGAGCCGGATCCAGACCCGTGAGCGATGGCAACCGGCTTCTCGCGAAGTTCCGGATGCTTAAGAATTGAAACCGATGCAAAGAAGGAATCGAAATCAACGTGAAGAACATATCTTCTGGCCCCAGGTACTGGTCTTCTCCGAGTTGTGCCAGATAATGCCTTCTCACGGGTTGCAGCCTGTAATTGTGCTTTCAGGTCCGCTTTCCACGTAGACAAATGATGAAGTCGAGACTCCCTATAGTATTGCTGCAGGAATTCAGGGTTGACCACGCTGGATTTTCTCATCCGAGGATCGGCAAGCAGTTGGGCGTTGTATTCTTCCGATGTCATCTGAAGACTAGCGGGACTCATTTGCTTCCCGGGAGACATTGTCTCTGTTGGCCGTTGAGGTGTTTGACTGCCGGTGTTTCGTGTACGTACATTTCGCGGGGTCAAAACCCCACTGGACGGTAATGCTGGTCCACCTGGTACATCGTTCGCATTCTGAGGCGCCGAAGTCTCTTCTTTTGCCTCCGACTTGTCTTGCCCGTCCAAAGTCTCAAAGCTGGGGAATTCCCCGTAGTCAGATTGTGTGGCTTGAGAGGTCATACTGCGGTGCTCATCAGCCATGCCCCCCAGCCGGGTCGGCCTCGAAGGCGTCGTGGGCATATCAGATGAAGTGTCATCGCGTGTATCTGCCACTGGAACAGACTTTAATTGAGAATTATACCAGCTTGACTTGGATTGATCACGGTAACCACCTCTTGGAGTGTTGGCTTGACTGGTGAATTGAGCATCTCCAAATTTCAAAACTCTTTGAGATTGACCCTCGTCAACAACTCGATAGTCGTGCCAAGGTAGCAAGCGACCTGCTGCCACGCTCTCTGTGACCCACGCGGGTTTAACGATGCGATACCGTCGAAACTCTTCGCATTTCTTCGGCGTCAGCGAACTTGCAATAATATGCGTCGCCGCCGTCTTTCCATCCAAGTATTGTAAGAATCCTCCACCATGACTGACAATGATTCGATGGAGGTCTTGCAGAGACGGCTGGGTATATCCATTTACATGAGCCACAACGCCACGAAATATCTGGGGACAGTCGCCGGAAGTTGCTCGGATATCAGCATCGAGATTCTGAAGTTTGATCTTCTTTCGCCGAAAATAATCGCTGAAACCGCCGAATTTCGAAGGTTCGTACTCTTCGCCGGCCTCATCATGGAAGTCATCTAGCTCGAGCAAGAGGTGTCAGAATGTGAAGCACGCGCCATAAGTTTGGAGATAACGATCAAGAATCTGCATACGATTTTCGATGCGCTTGCGCACTGCGTGAGAATTTGCATCAAGCCGAGAGCCCATAGCGGGCTGGCACAACCACCATGGTCGTCCAGTAGTAGTATGGGGCTTATCTAGTTCCAAAGAGCAATCCACACGGCGGTCGGCAATGATGTATCCGGTCGCGCCGCTCAGGCGCATGGGAACTCGCGCGTCGGTGGCAGAATTCTGTTAAACCGCATGCGGTAAGGCTCTCGGTGAGAGGGGGCAAATCACTATGAGCGGTGAGCCAGATTGACAAAACACTATTGGCTTGACTTTAACGGCAGAAAAAACCTAATTAAAAAAAAGTAGGCAGAGCTTCGACCGTTGTCTGTTGCTGCAGTTGCGGGTCTCATCTTTTCTTCCTCACCACGCCTGTTTTTTTTTCCGTCTCAGTCTCCAGAAGCTCGATCTTACTTGTGCTTCACCTTTGCTTCTCCTCCTTTTTTTTGAAGTCTCTCTTGTAACATATACCCTCACAATGTCTGCTGTTCAACCGGTCGCCGTTTATGCCATTCGGGTCCCTGCTGGCTCGATGGTGCAGGCCGTGCCCAACGCCGCAGCTTCGGTCAGTAATAAACTACTCACCCGATTCTTCGTTCACGAGACTGACTCCAAATAATAGTTCCGTGTCAGCATGGCTGCCATTGATCCCGATGAGGAGCCTGAGTTTGAGGACGGCGACTCTAGCAAGTCTGGTCGCGCTACATTGAAGATCGTCCGCCCTCCTCCCGGATTCGGCGAGGATTCTGACGACGAGGACTACAGCGATGAGGACGACTACGATGAGGAGGAGGATTCCGACGATGAGGAGGTCAATGGCGGTCCTAGCGACAAGGAGAAGGCTCGCAAGCTGAAGCAAGCTGCCGCCCAGAAAGAGCTCGAAGAGGCTATGGAGGAAGATGACGACGAGGATGACGAGGAGAACAACGGCGGTTTCGACCTCAAGGCTGCTATCTCCAAGCTGATCAAGGGCAAGAGCCCACTTACCGGTGACGACGATGAGGAGGATGATGAGTCTAGCGATGGCGCCCTGGACTTTGATGAGTCTGTCATCTGCACTCTGTTCGCCGATAAGGTATGGCACTTCATAATTTTCTGACATGAAGTTTCATTACTAATACCCTCGACAGAACTGCCAGCAGCCCCTCGATATTGTCGTCTGCGAGGGCGAGGTTGTCTTCTTCAAGAACACCGGTAACCAGACTGTCTTCCTGACCGGTAACTACGTTGTCGGTCTCGATGAGCTTCAGGACCACGACCACGATCATGACCATGATGAGGACGAGGATGATTACGATCTTTCTCCTGATGAGGAGGAGCTTGACATGGAGGAGCTGATGGCCCTGGATGATGATGAGAGTGATGACTTGGACGGTATGGATGATCCTCGCATCACCGAGGTCGACAGCGAGGAGGAGGAGGCTCCCAAGTTGGTCGAGGCTAAAGGCAAGGGCAAGAAGCGTGCTGCCGAGGAGGAGAGTCTCGATGACATGATGGCCAAGGGTGCCAAGGGCAAGGCCGCCAAGGAGGAGCCCGTCCTGACCAAGGCTCAGCAGAAGAAGCTGAAGAAAAACAACGGTGACGCTGCTGCCGTTGAGCCCAAGAAGGAGAAGGAGACGAAGGAGGCCAAGGCCGACAAGAAGGTTCAGTTCGCCAAGAACCTCGAGCAGGGTCCTACTCCCAACGGCGACAAGCCCACCGGTACCCTTGGTGTCAAGGAGGTGAAGGGTGTCAAGATCGACGACAAGAAGCTCGGCAAGGGTGTCGCTGCCAAGAGCGGCAACACCATCGCTATGCGTTACATCGGCAAGCTCGAGGACGGCAAGGTCTTTGACTCCAACAAGAAGGGCAAGCCCTTCACCTTCAAGCTTGGCAAGGGTGAGGTCATCAAGGGTTGGGACATCGGTGTCGCTGGCATGGCCCCCGGTGGCGAGCGTCGCATCACCATCCCTCCTCACCTTGCTTACGGCAAGAAGGCTCTGCCTGGCATTCCCGCCAACTCTAAGCTGATCTTCGATGTCAAGCTCCTCGAGATCAAGTAGATCTAACTTTTGGTCTCTCGCATTTCCATATTCATTGTTTCGCAAGGGTGTTTATATCATATGGGGTTCCTGGTCTATTTGTTTTGCATGATTCAGCTCGAGGTCTGATCATTCCTGCTTCGTCCTGATTTCACTGGTAGGAATGAGATCTATCACAAGAATTCTTTGTCTTTTCAAAATTGCAAAAAGTGCCGCCTTTTTACTTCCCTCTTTGTTATTTACCCCGAACCATTCTGTCCTCTGGCAATTTAAACTGTATTTGCCCTATATCGCCTGCTCCACTGTTGTAGCAAATGACACACAGCGGCCGGTCGTAGTTGCCAGTCCTCGTCCTGGATGCAGAGAAATGTTTGAATTGATGGGGTTGCCATGGAACCCTCGCACCTGCCGATGCTTGATAAACGTGCTTCAACACTGTTCATTAGTCTTTCCAATCCTTGCCTCGATCTGGTCTGAAACACATCAACAACATCTATACGCTCGACAAGTATACTCAGCATGCGCAGCGCAGAATTCTCCTGAGCTTCCTCATTCTTTATAAAGAAAGACATCATTTTTCCTCATCGCTATTGCTGGACTTCGAATCAACGTTCATTCGACGCTGCAGGACGCAGCGCCATCGGCTCGAGAAATGGCAATCTCGAACTTGCTTGATACTCGTCGCCGACAAAGTGTGCGAAGCCTTTGGGGCGCACACAAATCCACTCCTTCTCATAGTCACCAGAATCCGTCTTCTGCCGCATCCACCACATCGGACAGCACCGGATCTCCTACATCTGACAATCCAGGAAACAGACCGCGGCTTCGGTTCCGGTTGACTCGCAGTGGCTCAAAATTACTTCTTTTGCTAGGACTTGGGGATTCTTCCAACGGTATGTTCATTTCTACGTCAGGTCCTTGTCATTTCTGGAATACTGAACAAGAAATAGGCAATAAGTTGGGCACTGAGACCCAGTCTACAGGCGGCAGCCACAGCGCCCAGACTGATCAAGACGCCTTTGCCGCACCTGACTTAGAGTGCTGTATTTCCGGCCTTCAGGTGAACGATGACTTCCCTGTCACGGGGATTTCGATCTCCAGTTCTTCCTCTGCGGTCGTTTCCTCTCGCGGTGTTCATCAGGGGCCAAATGAAGCTTGTGCAGTCATTAGTCCAACTAGACCATCCGTCACAGCGGCAGGGTTTTTGGAAGAAAACACTACCGAGGGCATAGCCTCTCCAGATCGTGGAAGTCCAGCGAGATGGAGGCTCAGGAACGCGTTGCGCCCAGGGTCTCTTGGCCATTCGGAAATGCGACAGTCGTGCGTCGGCAGAACTTGCGTAAGAAGCCCGAGGCAACAATCACAAACAATCGTATCACCTCGATCATTCACGCCGATGGAGATGGAGCCAGTGATGCTAGCTCGGGTCCCTCGACCAATCCAAGCAGCGGTGGCTTTGCGACTCTTTACTCCGCGTCCTCATCTCCATTGACGTCTGGGGGCCCATCTCCGAACCAGTGCACCACCTCCGATAGGGCATTGAACTTCGGCCCCTCTTCATATTCGGATCGCCACTTAGTTCAAAGCACAAACAAGAATCCCGTCGAGACCATACCGACGATCGTGACCGCTGAAGCCGCATCCGTCGCGAAAGTCTATCTTGAGCTTTATTTTAACTCAATATTCCAGAACGAAGACTCCCGTACCCAGCGAATGAACGAGTTGGAGCACCATCTCGACATCGTACATTTGGATCCCGAAGCAGAGAACGGAGCGAGGCGGAAGTGGGCTATTCACGAGAATGAGTATTTGCGTCAATGCCGCATGTTCAAAACACGTATGGGGACCTTGGACACTCACCGGAAAGTCTGTGCTGAGGCATATGAGACCATCAAAACCCTCGGCAAAGGCAGTTTCGGTGAGGTTCGTCTTGTACGGGAGAAAAACGATCAGACGTTGCATACCGACTCGAGCAGCTTCCGTGATGCAAGTCCTTGCGCCCGGAGTAAACGCACCAAGGTGAATGGAACTACGGCAGGCGACACAAAGCACAACAAGCGCAAGTATTTGAACGGTGAGAAGACGGGATATTACGCAATGAAAGTCATCAAAAAGTCCGATATGGTTCGAAATTGCCAAGAGGGCCATGTCCGAGCTGAGAGAGACTTCTTGGTTGTCGCTGCGAGGTCCCGCTGGGTAGTACCGTTGATTGCCAGTTTTCAAGATGAAAGCTTCTTGTATCTGGTCATGGACTACATGGTAGGCGGGGACTTTCTCGGTCTTCTGATTCGCAAGAACATATTGTGCGAAGAAATGACTCGTTTCTACATCGCCGAAATGGTTTTGTGCATTGAGGAAGCCCATCGGCTGTGCTGGATCCACCGTGATATCAAGCCTGACAACTTTCTTCTTTCAGCATCTGGGCATTTGAAAATCTCCGATTTTGGGCTTGCATTCGATGGGCATTGGTCCCACGATCAAGCCTATTACAACAACCATCGATACTCTCTTCTCGAGAAGCTTGGAATCACAATTAAAGGCGACTCAGAAGACCAAAAAGAAGCTGCCGAGGCAAAGGAGCAGCTCGGGTTTGACGCCGGCCAACTGGAGCGAGGCGTCTTTCCAACTTACCAGCTGCCTCCAACGGACATTCTAGAGTGGCGCGACCAAAGAGAGCGCAGACGGTTCGCAAAAAGCGTGGTGGGTACAAGTTCATATATGGCGCCAGAAGTCATCCGAGGCGAAATGTATGATGGGAGATGCGACTGGTGGAGCCTGGGTGTCATCGTGTATGAGGTGGGTAATGATCCTCGCAGGCATCTTCATGACATTGTGCTGAGTCGATTAGTGTCTGTACGGATACACGCCGTTCGCATGCGAAACCCGTTACGACACCAAAATGCGCATTCTCGTGAGTGAAGTGATATACAATGTTTTTGAACGGGGTGCCAACTTACCTTGAAACTAGCACCATTCGCGAACCCTACATTTCCCGAGAGACACACCAACAGAGAGACTTATCTCTCGGGACGCTGTCGATCTCATCTTCAGATTGCTTCAAGAAAGGGAATACAGGCTATGCTCACCCCAATATTGTGCCAACAATATATTGATCGGTCACGCACCATCGGCTGATTGGCTTTACACTATGGATCCTCGATATCAAAACTGCACCAGTTTCTGGGTGTATCCAGATGACGCTACTGACATCAAATCGCACCCGTTCTTCAGAGGCATTCCTTGGGATCACCTTCATTTGACTCATCCGCCTTATGTTCCGCGAGTGAAGAATTGGGAAGACACTCGTTACTTTGCAGACGAGGCATCTGACGCGCCTGAGAAGCTACTCGACGATAGTGAATCTGAACACGATGAAACTACCTCGACCGGTCCTGCAACTACGAAAGATGTAACTTTTCCTTCCATTGACATGCTCGCGGACGAGCGTCCGGTACCAGAAGGCAACCAAGTCTTTCCCGGTGCTGCTGTCAAAAGTGATACAGCTGTCCGTTCCGTTGATATGCTTGCAAATGAACTTTCTGTGCCAGGAGTCAACACAATTTTCCCGGGGTTTCCAGCTGACAAGGCTACACCTACCAAATGTGGTCCATTGAGCCAAGCGCCCAAAAAGAAAAAATGCAAGGAACGCCCGCGAGACAAAATTCTGCGAGACTGTCGAGTCGGCAAGACAGCCATGCAGGTTCGCAAAAGAGGTGCCTTTCTTGGATATACCTATCGTCGACCAAAAGGCCCGGCCTCAGCGCTATGGAGCGAGCGAGGTCGACAGCTACCTACCAGAGGACCACTCGCTGACTTTTATGCTTTATGAATTTCCTTCACTTCTCCTTTGTATGAGATGCATTCTTTTTGAAAGGAGCGATTGCTCACTTCCACGGCTAAGATGCCACTCTTTTGTTCTTCGTATGACTTATCATTAATGACAACGTCTCCAACCAAGGGGGTTCGCAGAATGAAGTAGCTTATTAGGAAGTTGTTATCACGAGACACTGAACTCAAATATGATATCAAGTGAAACAATATTCTCTCACCATCACAAACGCAGTATAGACCGGACTTCACGACTGTGCCCTCTCGTACGTACACACCTACGGTAAATGGCTGAATAACAGTGCTACATGAGGAATGAAGGGCTGGAATAGGCAATGGCTCAATGATACTTCGAACATTTTGTTGACATATTCCGAGGAAACACAGGCAAAACTGATCATACTAATGTCAACTCCTATCGATGCAAGTAGCCAATGTGAACAGAATACAGGGCCCTCTGTCCGTACTGTCATGGCATGGGTATCATTTCCAAAAAAAAGCAAGAATGCGATATGTACTTCTCGCGGACATCAAAAGCGCGAAACAATTTCTTTCTCCATAATTATAAGGAGACCTCACAGAATGGGGGCACTCATAGAGAATGCAGAGTCCGTCACACGATCTTCGGGCTTCATCGTTCCGTTCAGTAATGGACAAAGCTTTTTATTTGTCTTGATGTGTCCAACCTGTCCACAGTTGGCGCATTTGCGCTGCGTCCCAGCAGGTTTGCCGTCCGCAGGGGAATCGCCCGAGCGTGAGATGCCTTTTTGTTTCTCGCGCGCGAAACGGCGCTCCTTGTTTCGGTTGAGGCGACTCAGCTCGGCCTCAATCAACTTGCGATTACGAGCATCGACCTCTGGATCACCGGTTGGTTGCAGAGACTCCAATTTGGTTGTGAGAGCTTCAGAGCGATGGCGGTGCTGGATGTACTGGCGGATGACTCGCGGATCCCACACGAGTTGCTCCTTCTCCAGAATTTCGCCATTGGGGGCCTTGTACTGGCGCGTGATTCTAAGAACTTTGCCTTTCTGGCTTGCGAAACTCATGCGACTGAATTGACTGGTCGTCTCGTCATCGTAGCGTCTCGTAGGGGCGGGCGTGGGAGCTTCAGATCGTGGAGTTGGTTTATTGAACTCCTCAATCTCTCCTTGATCGATGTCACTCTCTTCGTCCGAGTGCTCAATCGTCGACGAGAGACTGGCTTTCTGAGCATCCCAAATGCGCCGAATGGAGGTTTCGTAGGACTTTTGTTGACGTGCAACATTGTAACTATGCCCGCCAAGCTCCTTAAGCCGCTGTGCATCGAGCTTGTCTTCCACACTTTCGCCAATAGCCTTGAAGCCACCCTTCATCGAGGTTTTGATAAAACTGAATCCTTCTCCACGGCCTGTAGGGTCACCTTCACCATGCAGCTTAAGCATAGCCTTACCTTGAGAAGCCAGCAGGAAATTGCGGGATGCCTTCCAAGGGGCCATCAGCTGCTCGAAGCTTTCTCCTTCCTCATCTTCATCATTTTCGTTGCTGTTTTCAGCGTCGTTTCCGAAACCTGTGTCGTGCAGATGTTGCTGTCCGACTTGCATGGACTCCAAAAGACAGACGTCCTCTGGTTGAACCCAGGATCGGATGGTGTCTTGATCGGGAAGAACAGGATCCAAAGGCTTCCAATACTTTGTGTCCTTATCGTGCTGCAAGAAATCCTTCACCTTCTGTCGATTTTGCATATCAGTCGTACCGGGGATATGCGCAGTGACATCTGAGATAGCAAGGCGCTCGTCGGCACTCTTCTTGAGCAGTCGGTAAACGAGCATTTTCATGCGGTTTTTCGCAACAGTGGTAACCTTCCGCGAATGAGGACCGGGAATATCAACAGACGGGAACTGCTGTCCAGCCACATAGAAATTCTCGATATTGCGAATGAAATAACTCATGCCACCAGAGCCCGTAGTGCTACGGATGACAAGGAAATCATTCGACTTGGCCTGGTGCGGGAATAAGGGTGCCCGATACATTGAATTGGAAATTGCTGGAACAATTTCGCCAGGATCGACATGTCCGAAGATGGAGAACGGACTTTTGTCTTGCGGCAGCAAGACAGCCGTCTCACCAATCTCCGCCTTCGGGCGTGTGGGATCTTCTGGATTCTTCCTGCGGTAGTAATTTATGAAACGGTTGCACATGCCGAAATTGGAGAGCACCATGGGTACCTCCTCCGAGTACTCAACCAAGAGAGCGCTCGAGTTATCGGCCAATGAAAGTGACTTGGTTGAGTCAAACAACGCTTTGGCATCCTTACCCTTGAGATGCTTGCGCTTGATGTGAGGGGGGTTTTTGAACCAGGAAGTCTGTCCGACTCGGAAGTTGAGGGCAGGTCTGTGGAAGGATCTGGCCTCAGTCTTCTGTAGCTCGGTCTTATAGTAAGGCCACTGCAGTCGCAAGGCTGGCAGAGCATGCTCCAAAGTGACATTTCCGAGAGTGCTTCGGATTTTATTCTGATGGTTTTGCTTGAGCATGTCGTAAGCCTGGTCGTTGGAGATGTTGTAACGAGAGGTGAGTTTGCGGGTGAGATTGGTGTCAACGTCCTCTCGATTTCGAGGGCCAGTTTGTTTCGGCTTCGACGGCACAGCGTCAGGTCGTAACTCTTCCACGAGTATGTTGGGGTCATTCATGTCGATAATGACCCTCTTCGCGACCTGTGCGACAGCCAGCTCCGGCTCGTCTAAGAGCGGAATGTCCAAATGGGACAATGCGATTATATCAATAGCTGCTGTACCCGTCTTTCGTTTCTTCTGCGGTGGACTCTCATCCATGAGCCAGTCCGCATCATCATCCACCAGACCCTCGGATGGCTTTGATGCGGAAGCCTTGCCGACAGGTTTAGTGACATCCTCTGTTGTCTCAGACATCTCGTCTTGAACATCCCAATCAACACATATCGTCCGCAGGTCTTGCATGGTGAACCCTCCGGGCAGAATTTCATCTGCGTCAGCATCACCCATGTCAATATCTTCCTTCTCTTCCTCCTCTGGTTCTTCATCCTGCGCAGCTTCCGTTATCACAACAATTCCCAGGGAGTCCTGGTCAGCACCCCGCTTGTTCGCCTGTCCTGTTTTAAAGAGGCGCTCCTGGTCAGGGGCAAGTTCGATGTTGACCTTCGTAGGAAGAACCGGCTTGGGAACCTTGAGCGGTTGTTTGCCAAGATAGAATGCTTTCTTGTGAGGGATGATCTCTAACCAGCGGGGTAGAGTATGGCGGTCGAAGCTCGGAAACAACGAGTGAAGAAGTTCCTCATGATTTTCAGGCGGCGCAGGTAGATTTTCAGGTCCGGCTCTCCCTGACATTGCAAACAGCTGTTGCTGGAGCTTCCAGGCCCGCAGGGTTGCCTCATCCATTTCCTCTGAAAGAACACTCGCATCGTCGAGGATATCGTCCTCGTCCACTTCGAAGGGCAAAGGCTGCTCCTGAATTGCCTTACTGGTCGACTCTGGTGGTATCTCGGAGGGTTGTTCATTTGTTGCAGGCTCGTCATCTTCGAAAAGATCCCGGGTGTCGTCCGCCTGACCAGCAGGCGGAGGAGAAGCAGGCCCTTCGCCAAACAAATCATCCAGGTTGTCCCCATTCCTATCACCATCTTGAAAATTCTCCTCATCTCCGTTTCCCCCAAATAGGTCGTCATTTGGCCCAAAGAGCCCGTTATCGGCTGCTCCCAGATCCGCGAAAAGATCATCATGCGTGTCATTCGCAGCCGGCTGCTGTGCTGCGCCAGGTACCTCTTCGTCTGGCAGTTCGTCATCCTCGAAATCTTCAAAGTCGATCGCGTCCTCCGCCTTTTCGCCGACATCTAGATCTCGGGTCAAGAAATCAAACTCTGGACCGCCCTCGTAATTATTCAGTTGTCGCATAACATTGTCAAACTCGGCATCGTCCTGGACCTCCGAGGTCGGGTTCTGCGTAGCGTGAGGCATGGTTGTAATTTGCGGCGAAGGATGAGGACTTGAAGATGCTAGCGAGGGTGCTCTGAGAGCGTACCAGGTCGCGATGAGAGGACCAAGGGCGAAGCGAATGTGAGAGTCTCAGGGCTTAATGCGAGACTGCTGTGTCGATCACGCGAGCAAGTGCCGAGAGTGTAGCACAGCCGTACGCATCGACTTCCGACGTCAATGCGCGCGGACGAGATTTAGGTGAGGAATGAGTGAGATATTGATTTCCTGCTCCCGCGGCGGCGCGAAACGAGAGAAGTGGTGAGGGCCCCAAAAGGGATTAGCGTTCGCCCGACTTCCGGCCACACTAACTTGGTTTGGCTCATGTGGCCCGAGCTTCGCTATGGAGCCCCCCATCATGACCTGCCAATATCCTTGGGCAAGAGATGAGTTTGCCTTGTTTGCAATAACATCGAGCCAGCTCGCCCGCAATAGCTCTCTCTCTCTCTCTCTCTGTCTGAAGCTAAAGATCAAATTTATCTCCTTTGCGTTACGTAGCTGAAAATTGTCGAATTCATACTCAGCATGTTTGGTGCCCTCAATCGTTTCATTGGAAGACTGGACGGTGAACCAGTTCCTCAGCCTCGGACGGGTCCTAGCGACAATGCATATGGCTTCCAGGTACTGCGCAATAAGGATACAGAGCTGCCCCTGGAGCCGTGGTTTGATTTCATCATTGGAATTAATGGACATCCCATTGTAAGCATTCGCATCTTTTGCAGTGGATGAGTTTGTCCTTGCTAATACCCGGCTATCTGTAGGAAGATCCGGATCCGAACCTCTTTGCGACAGAAGTCCGCAATTGTGCTGGGTCCAGTCTCACGCTAGAGATATGGAGCGCCAAGGTACGTGAAGCTTGGAAACTTCGTCGGGATCATGCTCGTGTCTTTACTCGATTTCTAATTGTCAAAATTGTCATGCGACAGGGTCAAAGGACGCACACCGTCACAGTTCCAGTATCGGCAACAACACCCTCCCTCGGCCTCTCACTTCAACTCGCACCGCTTTCATCGACCCAACACATTTGGCATATTCTCGGCGTCCCTTCACCACTGAGCCCTGCGTATCGGGCTGGCTTGCTACCTCACTCGGACTACATCATTGGGACGCCGAGTGGAACTTTACGGGGTGAATCAGCCCTGGGGGAGCTAGTCGAGGATCATCTTGACCGCACCCTGGTCCTTTGGGTATATAACAGCGAATTCGACGTCGTGAGAGAGGTGGAGCTGGTCCCAACGAGAGGATGGGGAGGTGAAGGCGCTCTAGGCGCCGAACTAGGCTATGGGGCTCTGCATCGGTTGCCAGTTGGACTCGGCGAGGAGGTTGAGGGACCTGGCGAGGTGGTCTTTGAAACAAAGGACAACGTTCCGTCTGGCCCCCTCTCCGACTATAACAATGCGCCAGCGACCTACGAACCCTCTGGGGGGAACTACTTGGTTCCAGCTAATCTAGTTTCACCACCCCCTCTCGTGCCTCAAGGAAGGGGGACGTCGCCTCAGACTGCTGTATCTCCGGCGAGTAGGCGGAATGGAAAGGCGCGACATGGTGTCTCACCCAACAGGGCATTTGATGACTACTTTGCGGAAGGCGAGCAAAAAAGTCGGGCACAAGACTTTACACCCTCGCGAAAAGGAACTCCCTTGCCTCCCCCACCAAAAGTCGGTGCTCCGCCCCAAGCTTCGAGCAGTCCAGCACCTACAGCAAGTGAGGCCATGCGGAATGCGGAGTCAGAGGGCGAACCTGGTCCAGCTCAGGAAGAATAATGAACGTAATGCTTTGCGGTTTCCCTTAGTAGAGATATCTCGTGCTCAACAGTCACACCACGTCGCAACGAAAAGTTGTATGGTCATCCACCGTGTCGTCCATATCTAGAGCCTGAACTCTAGGTATTCTACCCGAATGTCTGTTCGTGGATTGATGAGAAAACCATTTCAGTGCCTGAAAAACGGGAAGTCCGAACTGCATCGTCGGATCTAAAGGCTCTAAGCGTACATGTGCAGAAGACAAAAAGTTGCCCTACGGGCCAACGGTCTCAATCGCGACCCATTTCACAAATCAAGTGTTATACTAGTGACCTTTGCTCACCACCTCCTCGAGCTTTTTGCGGGTTTCACCAATCTTGTTCTCCATCATTTGGCGAGCCATGCCACTGTGCGCGATTCCAGTATACCAGATGTGCTCTGCCTTCTCCCGAATCGCGAGATGCTGATCCGCGACCACGGGATATTTCTTCTCATATTCCCAGACAAGATCAGACACGTTTCTCATAGTCACGGGCAAGAGAGTCCAAGCTGCGACAGTGCCGAAAGCGAGAGGTGACAGGGTGCGAAGGATGATACCACGGTTCCGTGACACAATGGAGCCGGCCATGGCAGACACGATCACGTAGACACCACCGGGAGTCAAACGCTCGCCGGATTCGGGCGAGGGGGCCAGCGAGGCAATGGTGTTGGTGAAGGCATTCTCGACGTGTAGGGCGCGGGAGAGGATGTTGTTGAAGCTATTCTCCGCGGCAAGAGAGTGGGAGTATAGGAAAAGGCGAGCTTGGCGGACCTGCGCTGTCAGGATGTCTGTGGGCGTGGGCGAAGTAGAAGCAGATTGCGTTGTGAGCACAGGAATCGCCTGGGAGGCTGGGGCTGTAGGCTTGGTAGGTTCCGCGACTTCGGCTGGATAGTCATCGTAGATGGGCTTGCGCTGTTTTGGAACCGTCGTGAATCAGTATGAGTTGCGCTGTAGACGAGGGCGATGGTGGTCAAGCATCGGTTTGTTAGCGCGGGGGCATCTTACGTCGCGAAGATCCTCGGCGTAAACCTGTTGAGGGTACATGGTCAAGCCTCCAGCGAGGAGGGTGGCTGCGATCGGAGCCACAGCCCGCTATCGTTGAGTCAGTACGCCATTAGGGATCCCAATTGCACCTTGAAAGAGCATCACAGAAAGGCTAGAGACATGCATACCTGGTTCATCATCGCCCGGAAAGACATCCTGAAGGTAGATGGTGAGGGAGCAGAAGCTGATGTGATGAGGATGAAGCAAAGTCGGGTTGAAGCCAAGAACGGGAATTCTTCGGCTCGGCGGAACTTAGGAAAAGTCCCCGTCATTGCCCGCATCAGACTCATTCCCACCTCCACATTTTTCCAGTCTTTGACATTTTGCACTTGACGGTGTTTTTTGAGCATGCGAGCAACTTTGTTGGCGTCTTTTGTTCTTCTTCTCTGAGCGAAAACCGTTCTCCAGCATGCTTCGCCGTCTTGGGCGCCAGCCCTGGACGTGCCGCAAGTGTCTTTCACGACAGCAATCACGAGCCTTCGAAAGCGCCGCCTCTACGATCGCAAAAGCGCATACGAGTTACATATCAGCAAAGACTGGCGGCTCTGGAAAGAAAGTCGACGATGACACCTTACGACGAGTCTTTGACTCCCAACAATTCTGGAAGGAATTTTCATACAAGCGTGTAGGGTCAAAGCGGGCAGGGTTGGTTCAGAACCAATACCTCACAAACCCAGAAGGATTTCGCCATTTCGCCAATGTCTCGTTGCAAAAGTGCCAGGCCATCGTCACAAAAGTCCTTCAAGCATCCACATTGGATGAATATCGGGCGCTCGCACGAAATCTTGATCGACTCAGCGATCTTCTCTGTCGCGTGATCGACCTCTCCGACTTCATTCGAACCATCCATGCAGACCCTCGAATCCAAGAAGCTGCGACGCAGGCGTACGCGCTTATGTTTGAGTATATGAATGTGTTAAATACGACCACCGGCCTGCATGACCAGTTGAGCAAGGCTATTGCGAACCCTGAAGTGACATCGCATTGGACCGAGGCCGAGACGATTGTGGCGCAGATCCTTATGAGGGACTTCACAAACTCTGCCATCCACATGCCCCCGAGCGAGAGACAGCGATTCGTGAATCTGTCAAATGAGATAAGCCAAGTCGGTTCCGACTTTTTCGGGGGCGCCGAGCCCGCCAAGTCCCAAGTGGTTTTCAATGCGAATAGCTTGCAAGGACTCGATCCACTCATGGTCCAGAGAATCAAGAAGTGGAATAACAAAGCTCCTGTACCGACTGCCGGAATTGTTCCGCGACTTGTACTACGATCTGTGAGGGACGAAAGTGTGCGAAAAGAAGTATATCTTGCAACTCGGACGTCGAGCTCGCGGCAGATACATCGCCTTGAGAAACTCCTGATGAAGAGATCTGAGCTCGCTCAACTCTCTGGATATGACAGCTTTGCAAACATGACACTGAGCGATAAGATGGCCAAAACACCTGAAGCAGTCTCCAATTTCTTGACGTCCCTGATTGCCAGCAATCGGGGTCTCGTGAGTGAGGAACTGGCCCAGCTGCAGAAGATGAAGGGTGGCTCACTGCAGCCCTGGGATCATGCATTTTATGTCCATAAGCGTGTCATGGAATATTCTCAGGCTCGTCGGTCACGTGAGCTGAGTGCTATACCTGAGTTTTTCTCTCTGGGTACTGTCATGCAAGGTCTTTCGCGGCTTTTCGACCGTCTCTACGGTGTTCGGCTCGTGCCGCAGGAGACGGCTGCTGGCGAAACCTGGCATTCAGATGTCCGCCGTTTAGATGTTGTAAATGAGGCTGAGCAGCATATTGCCGTTGTGTACTGCGACCTGTTTTCGCGACCTGGTAAACACCCAAACCCTGCTCACTTCACTCTTCGCTGCTCGCGCGAGATCTTGGCGGATGAGGTTGCAGAATGTGCCTCGATGGATGAATCCGTGCATCCGAACGACGGCATGGCAACTGCCATTGATCCGCAAACCAACACACTGCGTCAATTGCCTACCATTGCTCTTGTCTGCGATTTCCAGGAGCCGGCGACCACCGGCTCCGGGCGCCCGACGCTATTAAGCGAGCAAAGTGTCCGCACTTTGTTCCATGAGATGGGCCACGCTGTTCACTCCATATTAGGCCAAACTCCTCTTCAATCCATTTCGGGGACCCGATGCTCCACTGACTTTGCTGAGCTTCCCTCGGTCCTTATGGAGAGCTTTGCGACTGCGCCCGAAGTCTTGGCTTTGTATGCTCGGCATTGGAAAACCGACGAGCCTTTGTCAGACAGCATGATCCGGAGTATGGATCAGGACCGACAGGCGCATGGATCCATTTTTGGGGCCGTTGAGAATGAGGCGCAGATTCTGATGGCTCTGGTGGATCAGGCGTACCATTCCATTCCGTGCGATCAGGCGGTCCGGGGCATTGACACCACCGACATCTACCACCATGTGTTCAACCAATACTCCAGCCTACAAGAACCTGACGATGTTCGCCCGCGTACATCTTGGCAAGGCTTCTTTGGACACCTGTACGGCTATGGTGCTACCTACTACAGCTACATCTTTGACCGGGCGATTGCCAACAAGATCTGGCAGGACGTCTTCCTGTCTGGAAAGGCTGCCGTGGATCGTTCCGCTGGAGAACGATACAAGAATGAAGTGCTCCGCTGGGGTGGAGGACGTACCGGTTGGGAATGTGTCGCGGGGGTACTGGGTGAGGAGAATCCATCCAACGCCGACGGTCGACTGGTAGAAGGCGGTGATGAGGCCATGCGGGAGGTTGGTCGCTGGGGCCTTGGACGCGACGGGGTGTCCGGCTAGGACGGAGGCAAGGATGTATCTAGTATCTACTAAATGTAAATGACTATGCACATCTCCGCATATCAACTCATATATCTTGACACCCATGATTGGAATGACCTCCTTGTAAATGACGGGTTCCAGAACGGGGCGTTCTATACTGTCAAATGTCTTTGGTGATTTATCCGACTGCAGCATTTCCGCAGTCAGCACAATTGAAACAAACGGCGGGGCCAGCAAGCATCATCTGTTTTCCCCCTTCAGTCTCACATTGGAAAGGCGCATGTAGTTTGCCGTCGACTCTTCGGCAACTGGAAACGAGCAAATTAGCATGGATCTATCTCCATGTACGCTTCCTTTGGACATTTGAGTGGAGATGGCTGCTTGGACGCCTGCGGGATGCCAAGGTACATGATGGTACCTAACATCTACCCAAGGTCTGTGAAAGCACCCACAGATGGATGGATGCACTGCTAGTACTCTTTGTAGCCTGCTGCGCCCCGTAGTTCCCTATCCATGTTTGTCGTACAGTATAAGTAGTTAAAGACTTGGTAAGTCAGCGTGACGAATGCGTGATTGTATAGCTCACTAACTAGTAGATACCAGAAGTAACACAAACTACAATATGACCAGATCTACTGTACTCTGTAGGTAATTCTCTGTAGTAATTACAGGATCCATGATTCGTAAATGATTCATCTGCAGTTACCTGACAACGCACCTGCATAAACGCCCGCAAAGCCATGTTGTAATCAAGACGGACCAGCGCAGTGACAAATGCTTGGTAGCCGCTAGAGAAAGTGCCGCCTCTGTAGGTAAGTTCGAGAAGTCAAACTAGTAGTATCATAGTATATACCATGTAGCATGTGCTATGTAGTATGTAGTAGTATGTACTATGTAGAATTCAACCATGACCATATAGCAATTTAATCACACCCACGTTCTTAACCCTAAACAATAGTCGAGCAGGGATTGCCCCCACTCGAACCACTTTCTTCCTCTCTCGCCAACTTGCACATATCTGCCAAAATGAGGCAGAACCGTGGTTGGGCGATACCTTGTTTTTTGTTCCTATTCTTGGGTTTCTTGCGGAGCGCTCGAATCGGCTGTGATGTCTCACTTTTTTTCTGGGTTGCCCCCTTTTCCCATCTTTTTCCCGTCGTCTGCGTCGTGGGTTGTCTCACCGCACCAAATCCTGGTGCCGAGATAAGGGTGTCCTTAGACTGTCCACCTCGCTAGGATCGAAATAGTAAGGTCAATTCTTGGATTTATTACGTTCGGCGTTTCGAAAGTGTTTGACTTCCAAAATAAAATACGATTCTGCCTTTGCTTTCCGACTTAACACTTTAAATTCTTCAAGTCCGCGATCTAGTATCTTTCGGTCCTCCATCAATAAATCACCGACTCTACAAAATTACTTCTAAACCGTTATCTTATTATAATTCTATAAGATATTCAGGAAGTATATAATATTATTATAAAGATAATAGTATTATAGTGTAGAGAACTTCTTAATAAGTTTTTGGTGTTCACGGTCGGGAAATTGGTAGACGGTAAGGAGCAGCAAAAAAGGGTCCAGTCTCTTAATTAATACAACATCAAAACAAAATGACAAAACAGTCACGTGAAAATTAGAGTTCGACCTTTCCGCTCTGGTCCTAGCGAGGTGGACAGCCTAAGGACACCCCCGAGATAAGAGAATACCTGCTCATGGAGGAACGAAGCGGTTCAAGGCCTCGGAGTCTCCTGTGGGCCAACGCAATCGTCTGTCATTATCGACACTTGCTGTCAGAGCAGAGTAGATCAAATTGGAAATCACTAACTGCGCGTTGCACAGTGTACTTATGCACGAGGGATCACCTCCTTGTCAGGGGGCGTCATGTCTTTGCCTCTGCTGTCAGACCCTACGCCCTACAGGCCGCCTGCACAAGTACACATCAAACAAATACACAGTTACTACTGAGTCTATATACTATATGACGTAGAATGCAACCTTGACATTGCAGAATTTAGGGAGGTTATAGCGATGATAGACGACTTTCAGCTGGCAGATCAGTCTGTTCAAAGTGAATCCCAGCTCCCTTTGAATCGTTGAATTCAGATTTCGGTCCGTCAACATCAGCCGCTGCAGGGCTAATTGATAGGGACAATTTCCGTTCTTGTTTCCATGAGCAGCTCTGGATACAGCCAGACACTCATCCTGGATTGTTTTCTTTTTCTGATCACGAGCCAACTACTGGCGTAGAATAAGTATAGTAATACTACTATCTCAATGTTTGAGAGTTTTGAAGGGATTGCCTCCTCGGTATTCGGCTATTGTACATCTTTCACAAGCCTATCAACGGCTGACCTACTTACTTAGAAGGTGTACCTTAAGTCACCAGCACTGTATAGTGTATACTTGCATGGTGTATAGACTATCGCTTATAGACTACAGACTACAGACTAGTGACTAGTGACTAGTGAGACTACAGACTATAGACTATACTGACGTAGTGTACGCATGATGAGCTCCTCCAAATTTCTACATTCAGTTCTGCCGTGCTGCGCTTGACCATTGAGATTCTTCAAATCCAGTCATCGGCTCTAACTTCTACCTTTTCCATTCTTTCCACCTATTGATCCGCCCTAAATGAAACGATGCGATCACATGGGCTGAGGGTCAAACCTAATCTTCTTGGAAAGGGGAGAGCAACGGGCGCATGGTTGGGATCCACGCGGAAAGATACCCCTAGAACGTGGCGCCCAGAGTAATACACATATCACGATCAACTAACCAGCGCTGATAGATTCAAGACTCACTAGTACCAAGAACCTTAGTATCACTTGGTTGCTATGCCGACAGCATGTCTCAGTGCCTGTGCCGCATTAGGTGCATCACTACATCATCCGATCATCTGATCAGACCGTGGTGCATGAATTGACCATGAATATCCTATGGATATACACCATTCCTCATGTCCTACCACTACCGACTCCCGAGTACCGGCTGTACTCGTACGCACGAGCGTTGGCACTGGCAGTGGAAGGTGGAGACCCGACCGAACCAGGAGGGTTTCCGGTTATTTTCTGGCTGTTTTTCTTCACGCAGCCGTGGGTTGAGATTCGATTCTTATCGGACTGGAAAACTCGACCGATGGGGGCCCAGATCCGGACTGTTCGACTGGCGACCACGTCTTAAGGATGGACTAGTTGGGCTAGTGCACCACTGCATACGTACGGAGTCGATCCACAGTAGTTCCTCGTCCTCGTCCTACCAGGCTCTGCAGTTCTGTACGAGACCAGGATCACAATCCACCATCCGGTGCCGGGGACCCATCCGGTATAGAGTCGGAGCTCGATTGCTAGTTGCTGCGCGCGTGCCCTGGACCCTGATGGATCGCTCGTTTGTCTGTGATCCCATGGCTTCATCTCGGGTTCGTGTGGGGAGTAGATGAGACTTTCGCCTCGCTCGATGGTTCAAATCTTGTGGTCGAGTAAGTAGTCTAGGATTACCCCTACTACCACTATCCTCTCATTTTCTCATCAATCTGGAGGTCGCTCTCGGACCGCGATCAACAGCGCGCATCTCAACCGATCGACATAGACGCTCGTGCCAGTTCCATACAACGTTGACGGACCACGAGATCCCGGCAACCCCGAAAAGAAGAAATAATCCACCATGCCTAATAGACGACCTCTCCCAAACGACCATGAATCTATCCGATCCAGCGAGTCCAACCACTCCGTTTCCACAGCCTGTCGATCAATCCCACCGGCTGGACACCTTCGTCGCCGAAGAACAGTCACCCAACTGACACGATGGGTCTCAAAGCGCATGTCCCGATCGTCTATGCCCGCATTGGGCCAGTCGATCGAGCTCACCGAGACAAATATCAGGGCTCTCGATGCGACAGTCGAGACTCACTCTGACCGATCACTCCCGCAACTTGTACAAGCACACTCGGACTCACAGTCGCATTCGCAATCGCAAACACAATATGACCATTCTCCTCACCACCAATTCCTCCCATATACCCCTCAATCGCCCACCTTTGACTCCAAGACCCAACACCCCGATTTCCCCTATCACTCGATAGAAGGCATCCCCCAACGCCGTCAATCTAAACGCGTCCAGCGCGACAGAGAACGAGAAAAGCGAGTCCGTCGCTCCTATGCTGAATTCTGCGAAGACTTCACTCTCTCCGGCCCCATCGGCCCCATCAAAGAATACGACATGACCATGGATCTGACCGAGCACGAAGAACCATCCTCTCAACCCACACCGCCACCAGCACCACAACCATTCCAGCGCGCAGGTCTATATAACACCGACCATCCCTCGGCGCAAACCCCGTCCAGCTACGAGTATCAGCAGTTCCATCATCACCAGCAAGACAGTCCATACAGCGATGCACGACAGGACACAATCAACTCCACCATGTGGACAAGACCGTATGATTCGCAAAGTATCCGGTCGCAGTCTTCTTCGGCTCCCGGTCCACGTCCGCCCTCTCCGATCATGACCCCGACCGTCTACAAGGAGATGCAGCGCGCGGTGCAAGCTAAGAAGCAGGCGCGGAAACGCAAGATTCTCGCGCCTTTCCGAGCTTTGTTTGGCTCCGTGCAACCGATGCGGAAGCAGTGGTTTAATATCGATCACTGATCAATCTTTACCAAGATGTCAGGCTGGAACACCTGGCGTCAAACTGGCAGGAGATCGCTGAGCCAGTATGGAACCTGTAATGAGATACCTGTACTACCTTGTCCTATACCTGACATTCGCAATTTCTTACGGATATCTCTGTTGATATATACATAATCTGTTGTGCTACCTTCATCTTCGCATGTCCGAGTTGGTAGCTTGACTGCAAGCATACATCGCTCCCTAATGACCCGAGAATTACACATGAGCCCAATCTTGGAAGATGACCGACTATAACCTAATTCCAGTCTTCCACCCCGGCTAAAACACCTTACCTTCTCGATTCGATAATATGCAAATACTCAAATCTTCCCAAAACTCCATCCACGAATCGACAGACATCCTCGTACTTTCTCCCGTCTCATCCGCAAAGCTCAAATCTCATAGAACCGGCAAATTCAGACATGGTTTTCGTCGATTAGCCTGAACGGATTGCTTGGTTGACCCCACCTCTTCCCATACTCATGTAGATGATCTCTGAAGAATCTCCACCACTCGGATCTGACGTCCCTTAGTTTGAGAGGAAGGACACCGAGTTGATCACGTTTGTGTCAGGCTTGAGGTGGAATGACTAGCCGACAAGGCGACTTACGGGGCAGTTCATGACTCGTGGACATAAATACTACAAAAGAACACTTCGGGGTGGAATTGATGATAGAGGCAGTCTCCTGGAATCTAGAGGAAGACGATCGTGCTCTTGGTCAGCTTTTGATAATGGAAGTGTGCTGTGATAACATCAAGCCACGCCTCAGATTCACTATGGTCTTAAAAAGAACTTGAAAGGAGAGAATGAATCACCAAGATCGTCCAGATAGAATTGTTTGAGAAGCGATGTCCCTTGATCATTAATGAATGATGTAGTGAGTGAGAAATACAAATATGTATTTACCAGCACTCTCCATTTCCCTTGGAATTCGGGAAATCGATCAAGCAGACAAAGATGGCGACAGAGAGAGACCAGCACCAGGAGTGATAGAAATGCCAGATCAAGGACCGGCCGAGAAGAAGAAGAAGAAGAAGAAGAAGAAGAAGAAGAAGAAGACAAAAGCAAGAGCAGGGTATCCTGGATTTTATTACATACAATGTAAAACGGAGTAGACCGGGGAGGGGGGGAGGGAGTATAACAATGGTGAAGCATGGATCAACAAAGATACGATTCGAGACAGAAATAGACATGTGTCAAGTCCAATAGAACACGCTTGGGTAGACAAATGACGGCTCGATGTCAGCTGACATCAAGTCGAACGACGAGATGGGTTCACCGCGCTACGGCAAATTCGGCTGCGCGGCTGTGGCCACTCTCGGATTCCGAGGCGGATGTAGAGACTTCGGGATGGGGAGTTGACGAAGCACTAGGGGGATTCGGCGTCGCCCGTCGAGAAACTTGAGCTAATTCACCGAGGAGTCTAAGATTCAGATAAGATGGTCAGCCTGTACCTTGGAACAACGCACCGAAGAAACAGCAAGGCGCAGGCCATTTCATCGTGATAGTAGTGACAACGGAAGCAAATATCGAACTAACCTGCGGTGCTCGTCGTACCAGTCATCGTTCGCAGAGCGAATGTGCTTAAGCTGCTCCTGAATGCTTGCCATCTACGCGAGGATAATGATTAGTGGACTGTAACACAACATATAATAGTCTTAGTTAAACCTCATTTTCAGGTAAACGGATGAAAATCAGGCAATTCTGAGGAGAAATGTTGTAAACGGGGATGTCCCACCGTTCCCTCAATGGATGGACCAAGGTCCTCACCTTCCACTGCGGCTGGAACGCCTCCTACGGCTTCCTCATTGCTCTCATCCAAGGACGCCCATCGGCTTGCATTCAGTCCGCTCGGAGTGCTCTTACCGGGATTGGCCTCTAGAGCGGTAATTTTGGCCTCAAGTTCGCGGATGCGCTTGCGGCTAGCGGAGACGTCGTTTTCAACGTCTCCTAGTTGGTTGAGGAGCTGCATGTTCTTGTCGATTTGATTGTTCAAGTCCTGTTGGCCACTGGCGATCTTCTCTTCCAGAGACTTTGTGTGAACACGAAGTTCGTCCGACTCCTGGCAAGTAGCGGTATACTTTTCTTTGAGAGAATCAATTTCCTCCTTTGACAGGGCAAGTTCCTTTTGAACAGCCTCAAGCTGAGACTGACTGCCACTGGCGGCGTCTTGAGCAGATCTTTGAAGATCCTCGAGCTGATAAAGTGTGGCCTCGTGTTTGGCCGACAGCGCAGCATGCTCACTCTGAAGGCGAGAAAGCTCCGCAGTGTGCTTCTCATGGAGATCGCGGGAAATAGTAGCCGAAGATTCTTGCATAGCAGCTTGAGTCTCAGCCGCGTTGGCAAGCTGCGCCTCCAGCTCGACAATAGTTGCCTTCAAACTGTCGACCAGAGTGGTGTCCTGAGCAGCCGCGTTGGACTTCTCGAGTTGTTCTCTGAGATTGACGAGCACCATCTCATGGGCTTTCTCCAGTTCCTCAATTTTAGCCTTGCTGGATTCCTCAAATTCTGACCTGAGGGAAGAAATCTTGACATCTTGAAGCTGCAGCAGCTCTTCAATGGCTCTTCCGTGCTCAGCATCTGCATCAGCAGCCTTGGAAGCCTGTGAAGCTTCGAGTTCGGCAAGAAGCTTGGCCTTGGTCTCTGCAAAGCCTTTCTGGAGTTCCTCAAGTTCCTTCGTGTGCGACTCATTGCCAGCGGTATGAGAGGCCTGTAAAGACTCCAGCTCAGCCTGCAAAGCAGCCTTGGTCTGCTCGTAGTGGTTCCGCAGCTCGGCCAGTTCTGATTCGCGGTCCGCAGTCAGGGAAGAGATTTCAGCGGAATGGCGTTCAAGAGAAGACTTCAATTCAGTCTGCAGGAACTCCATTTCATCTGCGTGCTTCAGCTCCAATTCCTGATTTCGTGCATACAACTCATCGTGTTTTTGTTGGAGTTCGCTCAATGTGCTGTCGTGGGATGAGGAAGAATCCAGTCTAGCACGCTCGAGCTCAGCAGCATGAGCTGCCTTGAGAGCCTCCAGCTCTTGAGTGTGCTTGTCGGAGGCATCAATGACCAGGGACTTTTGTTCATCCAAAAGGCGAGCAGCGTCAGTGGCCTTCTGCTCAGCGGCCTCAATTTGAGCCTCACGCTCCTTGAGCAATGTTTGCTGTCGCTCTTCCTTGGACTTGGCATCGGTCTCGACTCTCTTCAGACTCTGATACAATTGTTCAGCCTCAGCCTGCTTGCCTTGCATCTCCTCTTGCAAGGCCTTGATCTCGCTAGTGGTAGTGGACACGAGAGTTTCCAAGGACTCAACCTTGTGATGAAGATCATCGATTTCATGAACAGCATCCTCCTGAGCGGAGACTTTGCCTTCTTCTAACATGTGACGTGTTTCGTCCAGCGCTTTTCGTGACTCTTCAAGTTGCTCGCGCAACTTCTCGAGCTCAGCATAGTGGTTGACTTTAACCTCGTCAACGGCACGAGCCTGTGCTTCCTGAGCAGCCGACTTGGCAGTCTCCAAGGCAACGCGTAGGTCTTCAAGCTGCTGCGTATTTTCAGACCCACTCGATTCAGCAGCAGATTTGGCAGTAGTAAGTTCCTCAGCATGCGAGGCGGACAGGGAGCTCAAAGTCGTTTCATGTTCCGCCTTGAGGGCTGACAAGGCGAGTTCGTGTGAAGACTCCAAGTCACTGATTTTGGCCGCCTGGTCTGCCAAAGCAGCGTCGCGGGTGGATGTGAGTTCTTGACGGAGTTCCTCCAGGGCGTCTTTAAGCTCTTCAACCTGCTTTTCCTTTTCCGCCAGAGATGCACTAGTCTCCGCTGAGCTTTCCTTTGTGACCGAATCAGCCTCGGCAAGCTTGCTTTCGAGGGACTGAATCTGGTCTCGAAGTTCCTTCGCGGCTTCCATCTCAGCGGAGAGCTTTTCGTCCTTGGAATCGGTCAATTTCTTGTGAGCGGCAATCAGCTCCTCCATAACCTGATCGCGGCCTTGCAGTTCCCTTTGCAAGTTCTCAATAGCCGTGGCCTTCTCCTCCTCTAGAGACGTCTTCTGCGATGCCAAGTTGGCCTTGAGCAGAGAGAGCTGTTCTTCAACAGCCTCGGCGGTGGCCTCGCGCTCAGCGAGATTCTTTTCCAAACTCTTGTTCAATTCCTCGAGTTCAGCTTTGAGACTTTCATTTTGCGCGAGCACTGCATTATATTTCTCGTCGTCCTTGATACTCGCAGAGTCTTTAGCTTCCTCAAGATCTCTTTGGAATTTCTCCTCGAGCTCTTTGCGCTGAGTTTCCGCCTGCTCCAGTCGTTCCTGGAGAGCCCGAAGCTCTCCGGCGTGAGCAGAAGCCAGCTTCTCAAGCTCATCAGCATGTCCGGCCTGAACAGCTTCGCCGTCCTTGATGCCTTTCTCGCCCCCAAGGGTGAGTTGACTCAGTTTCTCGTTCACAGCCTCAAGTTGTGATTGAAGACTTGTGATGGTCTCCTCACTTTCCGAAAGCTTCGCTTGCAGCGCCTGAACCTTCTCGGCACCCTCCGAAGATCGCGCCGTAGTGCTGCTTACGGTGCTCAGACGCTTCTTGGTGGCGTCACTGGACGTGGAGGTCACGCTACGAGTGCTGGTGGTTGAAGCGGCCGGGCGAAGCGCTGGACGAGTGGCTGTGGTCGAAGGCGTTGGCCGATTTGATGGCAAGGTTGCTGATGTCAATTTACCAACCGGCTTGACTGTGGAGCTAGAAGTGGTACGAGACGCAGTAGATGGCGTGGCTTTCTTCTCCAAAGGAGACCCGGCAATGCTGGAACGGCGATCCGAGGTGGAGGAAGTCTTGAGTGGTGCGCGGGTGGAGGAAGTACCAATCATGGACATTCGTTTAGCTGAGCTTGAAATGCCACGCTTCTCGTCCCCGGAGCTTGCAATAGAACGGGGCTTCTCATCAGCGGAACTGCTGATTGAGGGCCGAGACCTGTGAGTTGCAGTGGTTGAGCTACTCAGAGGCCTGCGTGTTGCGGTCGTACCGGACACGGGCCGGGTAGGTGGCTTGCTGAGTGAGCTCGCAGCGGTACTCGAGCGAACGGTCGATGGAGTCTTGCTTGAGGCTGATGACGAGGTTGGTCGCTTGGCCGCGTTTGCAGAGCTCGAAACCGGACGCTTGACGGCGGCCTTGGGGGAGACACTCGCTTTTCCATCCGAGCTCAGCACATTTTCCTTGGACAATTCTGGGCTCGCTTTACCGGTGTCTTCGCCCCCCGATGGCGCGGTCGAGTCAACGGGGGTTGCCGGTGGTGCCATCTCCGCATCAATGTCGGCATGGATTGGCATCGTCTCGTCGGCCGAGGTCATGGCGTATAGGCAATGTTTGAGAGGCAGGAGGTGGCTTCACGTCGGGAGTCGAAGAGATTGGTCACACAACTTTCCACGAGCGATCTGAAAAGAAAGCCTGAAGACGTGAATTAGTCTGATTGCCACCAATTATTTTCCAATCTTGGGCTGCTTATGGATCAATTGCAGCAGATCTGGACGTGGCCAGATGCCCGAGCCCCGTTCACACACATCTACAAACAGTCGCAAGGATAATTGCACTGGTGTAGCTGTATAGGCCAGGCCACGTCTACCGCAGTGCATTTGTTCAATTAGGTAACATCTTTCAGGAACAAATGGTGAAATCTGGCATTACACAGAAGATTTCACAAGTGCCATAAGGTTGCCCCGGTAGTGCGTGATGTAATCTTGAACAGTCAAGAAGCGATTTAGGGGACTTACTCCTGTCGAAGTATACCCGAGAGCTGTTGGAGTTCAGGGGTATAGGCTCCGATGGTATAACACGGTCAATTTCCAGATCGAACCTGACAGTCAAGGTCCAATCACGACTGTCAGCAGGAATTGAGTCGAAAGGAATGCGTGTGAATGAAAGACAAGAGTCTGTCAAAGAAATAAAACAATAACACTTTCGAGGGGAAAAAAGAGAACCACAGAAAAGGAGAAAGCGGGAGAAGCTCAAGGCGGTGTCGACGACTCGACAGAGCAAAAGGTGGAGGAGGGGGATCGTCGCTGCTCCCGCAGTCACTCCCGCATTCAAATGACTTGGCTGACTCGCCGAGGGGTGCAGGCACAGACCTGCGTCGGATCCTTTAACCTCAATCTGGCTTTGATCTGATGTTGGTAGCGATGAACGTGTCTATCTTTTACAGGCTAGGTGGAAGTGAACATATGTGAAATTAGACGAATACAAAGTGTTCTTACTTCCTACTAGTCATCACATGCCACTACCGTCTCACTCATGGTGCACGTTTGACTTCAATTGGAAGAATTGGCGCTTTGACAGCGAGAAGCTTCCTTGGAGGTCATATGCTCAGGCGGAACCCCCGTGGTGCCCAACGTGTGTGGTGAGCATTGGCACCTCCGAAACCCCTGCACCTACGGAATGTGGTTACTTGGCACAAAACATACACTCGTCTTCCCACTCGGTGGTAACACGACATCTGCTTTAGGAGATTAATCAACAACAGAGTTCCATGGTTTGCTCCACCCCGTTCGGCGCCTCGGTAACCTTTCCATCCAGATGGACTCCGCGAATCCAAGAACGAAGCGCAACCCACCAACTATTGTCTACGCGATGGTGCCGATAAGGCTCATTGGACTAGCGGTGGAGATCGAATAGTATTGTTTGGTACAAATCGAGTCTTCACGGTCATGAAAAGGCTCACAATAGCCTGCTTACAGTACAATGCTAGAAGGGTATGGGTTTATCGCATCAAAATATAGCAAAGCGGAAGTATTCATCCTACCAAGCAGAAAACGGAGTCTCGCTCTGCACAGGTACCACTCAACGCATCAACAAAACTCATCCATTTTGGCTTCGATTTCTTGATAAGTATGTCGTCTTAATCGATCACCGAAATGAGTAATGATGGAAAGGATAAGATCGATCCTGTCCTCATAGTTACCTAAACCCACTTGTTGATCAGTCAAAACGTTGAGACCCAGGCAAAGGGATGAGGACTGACCTGAAAAACGATCCACGCCCTCGTGCACTGCGTCTTCCTCATCCAAAGACCAGCTGCATCCAGAGGGAGGTAAATTGTGCTGAGTCACTTGCGACCATTCCGGAAAGACAGTGCTCCCGTCCTGCGAGTGTAATATGCTCGCCTGGCTGGTACGTCGAGGCTGACCAATACCTGCACTCCGACTGGTCTCCAGAGAGCGGGCTATCTCTCCGTTTTCGACACATTTGATCAGACGCGACAATGACAGGAGTAGCGGCCTGGAAGTTGCCCTCGTCTTTTGGAGATAGCCGGTGTCAGCATAGTTGCAGATCTGCTTGCTGCACCAGCTCAGTAGATCCAAGACAGCCCGAAATTGTCTTTCTGCTCGATGACCACACACCACGTATGACTTGTAGCCGAATTCCACTATCGTAATGAGTCGGCGCACTACGTGGGCTTCAAACTGAATGAGCAGCATAGCACCTTCGCCAGTGTCAGGGACCTCTTCAGCAGCATACACGAACACGCGTCGTGCTTCGGTACGAATGGCATGACAGAGATTGAGCAGTTTTGCCTGTGTAAGCGTGGGCAATTTGGCATCATTGACAATCTCATAATAAAGCTGTCGCATTTCTGTGATCAGAATGTCGGCCCCCGTGAAACACTCAGGCATGGGGTAACGGGCGACTCTCCGTAGAGCTCGCCGAGTGTTTCGAAGTTTCTCCCAGAGCACACCCTGAGGGGAGGATTCGATCTGCTCTGCAAGCCAGCTTCGGAGCTTGCGCACTTCAGCCTTGTGAGAATTCGACTCGTTGGCGTTGCGTGCATAAGAATCACCCTCGGGGACCTCGACCCCCTGACGATTGGTTTCTTGGTGAACAGGACTGGGAGAATCTCGACCGCGGCGATCCGGCTCAGAAAACTCCCCTTCCTTATACTCGAAATCCGAAGATTCTGATTTTAAGGCGTCAGACTCGGCAGACGCAGCCAATGGAGAAATCGACTCTGATCTTTCAATTTGCGAGTGTTCCGGCTCGGGTGATCCTGGTCCTTCCGCGTCTTGCATTGGAACATTCGGCTCTGGAGACTGAAGAGCCGGCGAGCCCTGTTCTTGAGAATCTGACTCCCAAAAACCAGAATGTGGAATTTTGGATTCCTCGTATCCTGGACCTAGACCTGAGTCTTCTGGTCCTGTGGGGTCAGCCTCCTGATATTCAGTTTTCTGCAATTCTAGACCTGGTGCAGCAGACGCCGTGGGGCTGAATTTTCCAGTGCTGCTCTCCTTCGCATCTGGCACTTGAGCCTTCAGGTCTTGAATTTCCAGCTCTGGACCGTCGGGTATCGGGCTCTGCCGTCCCTGCGGAGGTGACACTTGTTTGCCTGGCTCTGGGTGAGGGCACCTCGAGGCCTCTGGCGATATCAGGCTCGCCGTCGCATGCGATTCCTGTCGATTCACCCGCTGTCCGGGTAAATCATGAACTGGGGGTTGGTCACTTGGCTCCCGTTCTGGCTGTCTACTACCGTGATCAGCGGCATATGCCCCAAATTTTGACTCTATGAAAGGACCAATAACAGTGAGTTCGTGAAAAGCGGGTAACCGCTGCTCCTGAGGGTTGTTTAGAGGTTCGCCGACTTCTACGTCGACAAGCCCATCAGCTTCTAATTGTTTAGCGCGAATTGTCTCGCTATCAGAGCCAAACGACGCGAAGTCATCCTCTCTCTCGCCTTCACTATCGGAGAAGTGGAAATTGAGGGCCGTCATAAGGTCGGCACTGGACTTGCTGCGCCTGGATGTCACTCGTCTGACATTAAGGGTTGTGTTGTCAATAGAGTGTGGTTCACGATGGGTCGATGTAGAGGGAAGATCAGACTGTGCCGTGTCATATTCGCTTGGTTCATTGGCTATAGAATCCGAATCATCGCTCATCGATCTTATATTGTGATGTAGAAGATCAGCCTCCGAATCATAGGCTGCCTCATCCGCACCTCTTTCGCGCATTCCCCCTTCAGGTTCCCTCCTCGATGAAAGAATAGCTTCATTGAGTTGAATGTGGTTCGCGTGGTGTTGGCCCTCGGTGCGGTCGAGTGTTGTCTTGTTTTGGGGTAAATCTTCATCGGAGCTCGATGGCACATCAGGCCGAATTTTTGGGATCATTTCGGGGGGCACGTTTATTAATCGGCCTCGCAATCGCCGTTTGGGGGGAGGTTCGCTCCGAGGTGTGTTTCTGGTAGCGTTTCCACGCGAGTTTCGAGACACATCCTTTTCGCCTGACCCCAAAACACGCGGGGGGTTGCGGTCGACGCGCCATGGATAGTGTTGCGCCGCGACGAGTCTGTCCCACTACTGATCCGATTGATGATTGCGAGGGAGTCCACAGTTGAGTTGCGCAGCTTGCGCTTTCGCGAGGGCGCCATGGCCGCAAGACGCAAGGCGCGCGCCAGGAGGATTTAGACCAGCAAAAATTGGATGCGTAACAGCCCGCCGCACGCATGATGCCGGGATAGGCAAAGCACGGCGGGTGAGAAGAAGCTTAGGTGGAGACCGCCCACTTCGATCGTCATCCCGCGTAAAGGTAACCAAGCGTGACTTTTCCCCTCCAAGATCCAGGCCTCAATTCTGCTAGTCTTCAAATCCCCCCGCCCCCGCGTTTTATCGGGCCCAACTTTCTCATTGACCTTGGCTCGACTGCGATTACAACACTGCAAATAGGGACCACCCATAATGACTGCAGGAAGGTTGCCTGTCCGCGTCCTGGCGGTCTTGGATTCCTCGGCTTCTCATGACTTCATTCAGCCGATCAAGAGAATTAACGAATCGCAGGACGTATCAGCTTTTCTCACATCAAAAGCATACTCGGATATTATGACTTTTGTTCTGCAGCTCAATCGAGCAATGTTCCCCTCAAAACTCGAGGATGGGTCTGTGCAAAGCTGGCCTTTGGGCTCTGAAGCTGTCCAATTTTCTGCACCTATTCGGCAGCTACAAGTTCTGCTCTCCAAGCTCGAAGACCTTGTACAAGAGGTGCCACCCGACACTGGGCCTCGCAGATTTGGAAACGTCAGTTTCCGGAAATGGCACGACACGTTGGCCAGCCGGGCATCCGCCCTACTGAGAGAGTGTTTGCCGGCAGACTTATTGGACAGGCCTTCATCCTCTCCCAGTGGAGTGACAGCAGAGGCTGAACTCACCGCATATTTCATGGGGAGCTGGGGAAGTAGTCAACGGCTCGACTATGGCACTGGGCATGAGCTGAGCTTTCTGGCATTCTTAGGCTCAATTTGGAAACTGAATGGATTCCCGCAGTCGGAGTTTGGAGTCGAGGAGAGAGCTCTTGTACTGGGAGTGATCGAACCGTGAGCTTTTGCCCCATTCAGTCAAGACTCGCAGAGCCATTGCTAAGACATCATGACTGCAGATACCTCGAGCTTGTGAGACTACTGATCAAGACCTATACGCTCGAGCCAGCGGGCTCGCACGGCGTCTGGGGCCTTGATGATCATTCCTTCCTTCCCTACATATTTGGTTCTGCTCAACTTTCACCCGCTATCGATGCGACGGATCTTACCCCTGAGGAGGGATCGGCAGCTGGTGCACCTAGCCCGAGTCATGTCGTGAAGCCAGCTCTTGTGGAGCGTGAGAGGCGATTGAACCTTTATTTCGCAGCTGTCGGGTTCATCTACGACGTGAAAAAGGGTCCCTTCTGGGAACACAGTCCGATGCTCTACGACATTTCCGGTATTCGAGCCGGTTGGGGCAAAATTAACAAGGTGAGCAATGGAGGACTTATTTGCTGGCTGGCATTTCTGCCCATCACATTCAGTCGCTCACTGTCGTCAATCCCAGGGTATGCTCAAGATGTACAATGCCGAGGTCTTGAGCAAATTCCCCGTGGTGCAGCACTTTCCGTTCGGGTCTCTTTTCAGCTTCGACCGTGATCCTAGTGCCGTTGCACCGCCAACGACAGTTCATACAACGTCTGGTCCCCAGGGTCGCCCAGTCGTACCAGACGCAGGTCCTCCAACGACTACACCTCGACCCGGCCCTGATGCTGGTCCTAAATATTCATGGGCGAATGCAGAGTCTACAACTCGAGGTGAAATGCCAATGAGCCCAACTGCTGCGCCGTGGGCAGCTACGCGATCGACAGAAGTGCCTTCAACCCTACCAGTACTTCCGGATACATCACGTCTGCCTCCAGGTCCTATGGCCCCGACGAGAGCTCCGTGGGCGAACACACAAAGACCGCCCCCACCAACAGGCGGCGAGGGGCGTACTAAAGCACCGTGGGCGAAATAATTGAGCCACGAAGACTTTTGCTACACATGGTAACATAATGTCGTGCTGCATCGTCTGACGACTTGGTAAGATGATGAGCGTCGTTTGAGAGCCAGGCCAGCCAGCAAATCTGACCAAAACTGGACGTTTCCATCCTTGTTCTGGACACCATCAGATGTGCACGTTTCACAAGACTCGAGTAATCACTCAGAATTAAAACTGGTGTCGGAGTCATAGCCTACGAGCGCCGACGTGACCGATGCAGGTGGAGCTCCCTGCTCGGTAGTCTTTCCCGGTTCTGGTCCTTTCGACTCTGACATGCCCTCGTCCTCTGCTGAACTCATAAATCCAGAGCCATGCCCACTCTGCAAGGTTGGCTGTGGAGCTGATTTCGAAGAGTTTCTTTTTCTCTTCACACCTGGCTTCCAAATGTCTTGAGAGTCCGCCAAGTCTTTGAGGAAAGGATCAACTGTGGCGCGCGTGTTGCCCTTGAGCTCGCTGCGAAGCAATTCGTTATGCTCTCCAATGCGCTTTTTGTCACTTTTGGAGTCTTTTGGTTTGAAATTCTCGAACATGGGTCGCGTTCGGGTTGCTCGGCCGGCGTCTGACAGAGAAGTGTCGTCGCCAAAATCAACCATGCCAGCTCTTTGGCGATCTTCTTCCGTCTCATTGACCAGTTCAATACCAAGACTCATCTTGTCCTTCAAAGCTTCACGGTTGGCTTCTAACTTTTCCAATCCTTTCCGCTCCGCGCGAAACGTGCGTCGTAGGCGCTTGGACTTTTCGTAGGGATCATCCCAATCACGACTCTGTCGATGCTGTAATTCTAATATCCGGCTTGTCTCTGATTGCGCTCGTCGCTTGTCTTCAACCTTCCCCTCGATTTTTGCCAAGGGATCTTCGTTCTTCTCCTTGACATCTTCCAAGTGCCCCCTAAGCACGATTTCACCTGGAATGGCCGGCTTGTCATCACCGACATCCCGTTTCCGACCACCCTCAACGACTACGTAAGCTGTATTCTTTGGGTCGGTGTGAATTTCGATCCAGCCGCCGCAGACGGTGTGTTTCATGCGGAAACTAAAGATGGGAGTCGAATAATAGTTCCCGATTTTCTTCTTTTCCGCATTGAAGCGCACACCTTGACCGATAATAGTTTCGTGTGGCTTGCATGTTGTACACCATACTGCAAAGGGCATCTCGAACCGGACGATGAGGGCGCCTTTCGTTTGAAGGTGGCGGGCGCGCGCGCCGAGGGGGTGCTTGCCCGCTAACTTGTTTGCAGATGTGATGCCTTCTTGATCCGGTGGGACATAACTGAAGACTCGGGCCAGATGGTCATTCCTTGAACTATTGTCAGATTGATCTCGGAGCGTACGACGTACCGTCCCATATCTGGAAAGACGTTGTTAGTCTTGGTGATTGTGAGTATAGGAACATGGGGCGGGGGGATATCTTACTAAAGCCTTGCATCTTGACGAGGTGAGGCCCACGTTAGCCTTCAATGAGTAAAACTATCACGAATGTTGAACAGTCAGATTCGAAGAACCCGAAGTCCTTGCCAGGACTGCAGACCTTGTTGTAGCTTCCAATAAGTCAGCGGCTCTTGGGTCATGTGCAGCAGCCCGTCGATGTGGATGTCAAGAAACAGTTAGCTAACTGATAAGCGGTCATTAAGTTCTGCCGCTGTCAAGTGGCGCTCGGACTTACGAACGGCGTTTACAAATAGCTTCTCCCCGATGAACGCCTGGAGTCTGACCTTGGAGCCTCATCAGGCAGCCACCGAGCCTCTCACAGTGTAGGTGGTAATTAAAACTCTGAAGTCATAATCTATTCAGATTGATATAAAGGACGGAGGAGATTTAGCCCGTGCTAGTATAAATGGAGACGGCGTAAAAGAGCAAGTTTCAGCCCTTCGTAGGCTTTGTTGCCCAAAACATACTACGACTGGACTCTCGACAACAACCATGGAGTATGAAATCTTCCAACCTCCAAGAGATGAGCCGAGATGCTTGAAAATCACCCAATCATGCCAGGGTGATGCGCGTACCATACGGATCTTCCAATTGAGCATGGACTTTAGGTGCTAGAAAGGCGACGGCTAATTCAGATATACACATTGAATATCTGTTGCGAAGATAATGTTGTTAGAGAAACACAAAATAACTGGAGAAACGACATACTATAATATTCGAGTTCCTCTACATTACCCTTCTCGTTCACTCCGAGGTTCTCGAGCCATCTAACCTATTTGGGAGTGGCTTTCACATACTTCCGCAAAAGAAGAAAAGAAGTCGGAAAAAAAGTTTTCATTCCTCGGGAATAGCAAGCTGAGCAACGCTACCTAGATTCGTCCCGTCCGATGTAGTCGCTCATATGATTCTGCCGAGACGAACGGGATCGGAGCTTTGCCACGATGGTGTAGCCGAGCGAGCTCAGTAACTCAGGAATCAGGATGCTACCTTATTTCGAAACTATTCAATATGAGTCCTGATCAGGATGTGCCGAGACCTCTCTGTCATCTCTGCTTGGCTTTCGAATGACTCAAATGCCTAAGAGCATTGTCCACTGGGGTACCCAAGGGTGACCCGTGTTGATTGATCATTGTGATGGAGACTGAGATGACTGGGGCCAGGGTATGCTGGCGATATCACCGGCAGCCCGGGCGCCAGATCTGTGAATGTCTCAGTAATATTTGAGGATGTTGGGTACAGGCTGCTTGAATATACAGGTTCTTGTACATGCTTACATAGACAATCGTGCCAAAGAGCGAGAAGAAGAGCCGCTGGTTGAGTTTAGCTCACCGATTTGGACCAGCTACTTGGAATTTCTCCTCTCTGCTTTCAGCGGATGGACTTCGTAGCTCGTAACTCCAGTCACTGTCCGAATGTTCCATGTTGTACTCGCTACTGTAGCCGGCACTTCGACTTGTACACATATGAAAGTCCTGGCCGTTATGGGTGTCTACAGTCGTTGCTCAGCTGTACTCCACGCAGGAGGCTAAGTCATCAAGTTGGTACGATGAAAATAGAGTAAGGGTGCTGTCGAAAGGCCACAGTCGTTGAGGATCAAGCGCTTGATTCGGGTTGGCTTATCCCAGAAGCCACACATTAAATGCATTAGGAAAGATTCCTATGCGTACCATTAATGGTCTAGATAAGCCCTCTTCTCGTGTCAGATGCCTGAGCAGGATATGGTCAGACTTCACAGCTTCTCCTCGCGAGACATTTGTGACAGTACGTCTGGAAGAGAGAGAGAGAGCTAAGGTTTCCGTCTAACTCACTTGATAGCTAACTGACCTATCCGCCAGGCGGTCATGAGCCTATACAGGGACTCGTGAGGTTTACCAATTGCGCCTCTGCCCACCCTGGGACCTCCAGCCCTTTAGAAGGGATTCGTGCCAGGAGGATGCGCCCTTTCCCAATGAGGGGCTGCCGGCGCAGCATACCTGGTATCGTCGGCTTTGGTGTCTCCTCAAGTCCTCCCTCAAGAACTGTTCATCAGCTGAATCTTGTCCCTAGACAATGGTCTTTCAAATACTCATCTTGTACATGCTAATTGTTCGTGGACTCATGCCTTCTGCATCTCTCATGTCTTTATACCCTGCAGTTAGTCCTCCTCTTGGCGATAGATCAAGTCCGCTAAAAGTCGCGGCGATGTATGGCCCAGCCTTGCTGAAAAGCCTCTGACTAAGGCCGAGAAGAACTGTGCCGCAGTAGAGATCAGCTTGACTTGATTCTCAAAATCAGAGACTCGGACAAGGTGAGATCGCAGTCCAAACCACCGGTGGTTGAGATGTTGACTGGTAAGCTTTCCGTGCCAGGAACTGAGCGTTGTCACTTGAAGGACGAGCCTGCCAAGTCATTGAATGAGACTTTCGTGTCAACTGACCAGCTTACAGTGCCTACTGCATCGTTCCCAGAATCGACGAATGCTTCTCGAAACTACCGCATCTTTGCTGATCACGGCGCAGAGTTTTTTTAGCGGGACGGCGATGGCTCCAGATCTGAGGAAGAAAATTCCACTGTGGACCTCGATGAATACATCTTCACGTACTCTGCAGTGCCTGCACCAGTCCTAGCGGCATACGATGCATGGGTGGACACTTGCGCCGATCACTTTCGCGAAAGACTCGAACTGACTCAGAAGTACAACGCGTCTATCGTTCCAACCGCATCTCCAGGAGATTGTGTGGAACGTGACCGGGTTTCTGTTGGCTGAGGGCATTTTGATGGCGCCTGAGGTCGGGAAGATTGATTTCAGTGCAGGCAGCTGCAGTTGGCCTCTCGAAAAAAATGTCACGAGACGAGCGTCACGATAAGATTTTCATGTGACCAGGCTGAGATCGCCATTCAAAGGGCAGCCGGTGGTGTAATAAGCTCTACATCGCTCGGCTTCTTTACTTGATGGATCGTACGGAATCAGACCGCCGTGTCTCTTGCATCAATGTGGGACATATTTCGAAGCTTCGCTTGGCACGAACTGAGAGTCTCAGTATATTGGAGCCCGCAAACTCCGAGCGACGAAGCGACAGTAGACGTACAGCAGACTCTTTCTCCCGATGATGGGTGGACATGATGTTTTATCTATTGTCCAAAACCAATGTGGTTGGCCTCATACTCAGGAGTGATTCCCCCCAAATACCCAACGGACAAGGACTGGTAGTGAGACACCTTTATTGACTGTGAGACCGATCGATGTCTCTCACGTCCTCCAGCTTCTCTAAGACCCTCTTCCACAAAAAAAACATAGTAAAACGATCCGGCGGCGAAAATCCACCTCCATTGGTGGCAGAGGACAATATCCGACGCATCAACACAGTCATGAGACTTTTTCTATCCCGATACTCTTTGACACACAACCTTTGGGTAGCTTCCTATCCCAAGTGGCCGCCTGAGAAGCCGCTGAGGTTTTGGCTCGAAACAATTCTTTGTCACCACTGGGACAATTGCTCTCTGTATGGTCCGCTCGGTCTCAATTCCATGTGCTTGTCCTTTGATCAACAGAAGAAATTGATTCATCGAGAGCATCTGTCAGCCATCAAGTGTTCGCTTCGACCAGATCGTCGTGGCTTTGATAAATTCGAGGAAACCCTTTACAATTCTATGTTGAATTGGACTCTCATCCAATACCGATCTACACCCAATCCCAAATCTTGACTGCGCCGACCTGTTCTCCAACAATGTTCATCTGGATCAGAAGCATCTTTCGATACGTCTACTACGACAGACTGTGCCTATACTTTTTCGGCGCGTGCGCGACTCGCAACACTAGAAGACCATCATCAAGTCTCGAGACTCAATCAGCAAAAGCTTTCCAAATCAGGGTTGAATATCTTGCACCCTTGTTGTTCCTTCTGCCAAGCGTGTTGTTCCAATTGCATGCGACCCTAAAGTTTCTGTTAAATTTGTCCAAGCAATTGACTGACCTCCAAGAGATGTGTCACAACAATCAGGGTTGCTCGCATTCGACATTCATACACAATGCTAGTGTCTCTCACGGACATCCTCCAACTGTCGCGGGGTGCGCTGAGTTGGAGGGCGAGGAAACGAGATCTCGTAAAGGGCAACATCCCAGTCGAGCTGGGTCAGCACAGGTCAATCGCTTTCCCAACCAGAAGGAGGTCCATCGTGATGCGCACAGTGGGCGGTTATCGGAATCAGGCCACGAGTGTCATGACATAAAAGCCCAGCAGGATTGCACCAAGCGACCATCGAAAGATGAGCTGTGTGACAAGTGTGGAACTTCACCAAAGAGATGCAATCATGTACGGTCAGTGAATCAAGGTAGTCTTGAGAGTATTCGAAAACTCTCGCGAAACCTCCTGAACAAAAACTGATATGAAACTTTCTAGTTGTCGTTGCGGCGACTATTGCTATCTATGCAAACAGGAGTGGTTCGGGGATCATCCATAAGCAATGTCCAGAACGCGATCAAGCCCGAAAGAAAGTCAAACGGCTGCTGCCCGTAGCCCCGTACATCCTCCACGAGGTCCGATGAGGTTGGTACGTATGACATACTTTAAATCAGTATCGTCTGCGGGATCCACTTGCCCCTGTGGCTTTTATCCATTGTTGACTTTATCGACTATCGACATTGCTCGGGCCCCCGACGTTGCGGTTCGTCTGAGACGCATATTGAAGAGGGCCAAACGGCAAAGTTAGAATCTTCAAGTACACATGGACCTCGCGTAGCATGGAGGCCCGCTGGACTATCTCCACGTGAAATGCATTGCGATGTACCTGTTCCCTAATACGACTCATCTTGGTATTTAGCCCTTTCTCTGGGTCATTCCCGTCTTGCTGGTACCACGATATAGTGTAGATGTTGGGCCACGAGCTGCTCCGATTCTTCACATGGATGGACGTTCGTTATTTATGCGCATTATCGAGTCGGAAATAGATATCCACTTGACAGCCGACTGGGGAGGACGAACGGGTCTGGATATTTGAAAAGACTCTCATGGTGACGTACCCACCGAGGTTGCGACTCCCGCATACCTTACTCTTCCATGTTTGGAGAAATACACCAAGTAGGCTTGCTCGGATCACTAGCGTGCGCAGGAGAAGCTCGGGTGCTGTTAATGTAATCCCCGAATGCTAGATACCCACGAAGGAGTCTTTCCTGATAACTAACTAGACTTCAGGAATTACTCATCCAAAAGTCCACTGCGACAAGACAGGGCACTTATCGCGAGCCAGGCCACACCGCGACACATAGCAACATGAAAGATGCAAGCCAACTGCAACCTTGGATTGGAGTGAGCTTGGTCAGAGCTACTTGGAACATTGCGCATTCCTCGCGCGAAATGTGTAAAACTAAAATAGCCCGTGTTTACTAAACTCGAACGTATCCCGTCCCGACAACTCCACCAGCGTGGCCGGAAAAACGAGGTCTCCCTTAATGTTCCACTAAGCAGCGCAAGACCGTCAAGCGACGGAATCAACACCAGGTAAAACAGAGCCTGGTGCAAGCCCAAAGTTGCGCCTGTGCCCACTGCTCATGAGCTTCCTGTTTCCACGGACAATGCTCCGAAGAAGCGCCGCACATGTTTCAATGTCCGGGAAGACCAGATAAAGTGCCGTCTTCCTTGGTTCCTTCGATACTCCTGACTTTTTGCCGATGAACTCAATCGCTTTCCCCACAAGCCATCTGAGTCCAGTAGGCTTGGAAGACCCACGTAAACACGCCTTCCCTGCCACAATTGCATCATCGTTCGTCCGGACCGCTGATTATGCGCAGCAAGCGCTTCTGACCCTGGCAATGCACGATCGATCGAGCGATCGGTCTGGCCCAGTCGTTCCCGAGATGCGGATCTTGAGGCGCCCTGGTCGATATAGGCAGGGTAAAAAGATCATATTACAGGAGAACCGCCCCAATGGTTTCTCCTCGAAGGATTGGCGGCGTATGGGGGGTCCCAGCAAACGGCAGATCTGGTCGGAGGTTTACATGTGTAATGCCGAAATGGTTGTCGCCGGGGATTGGAATGATCGTCAATCACCTGGGCTTTCCTTAAGGGCCTACACTCCCGCCACATGAATGCACACGTCGGACTAAATTGATCGATCACTGATCCGCGCAAATGGAGGCTCCTGAGATCCTCAACGTACGTCCGCACAAGCCTGGGTCTGTGAGATCCTACTCACCCACTATTGTCCTCGACGACGCGGCACTGGAGGCCGAGATGTACAGAAAGGGCATGAGACAGGAATTGGATGACGAGCCCAATGATATTCACCAGACGGTCGAGGAGCATATTCGGCAGCTCAATTTGGGCCTGGACGATCGGTAGGCGATACTTTGCGGCAAGCAATGATTGTAAACGCGCGAACAACATCAGCTGACCACGTCTCAATTGTCTCTTTATAACGACAGGCCTTCCAGCGCACTCAGCGCGCGACTGTCTAATAAAGCCTTGCGCCCGGACCCTGAACTTCCTCTCCTCCAAGCGACAAATCCTTACGACGGCACCGATCAGTTACTCCCTGTACCAGAGGAAGATGAAGCCGAAGGCTCCTACGACCTCGTCGCACCATATGAAGAAGATCCGGCTCCACGCCACACCCTCGAGCGCCAGGCGGACTTGATGTTCTCCAGAGAGCATATGGTGGCCATTCTCAATAGTCCACGCTATTTAGCCCAATTTCGCGAATTTCTCATCTCCGAGCGACCAAAGTCACTCCATACCCTTATTTACTACTTGAACGCGCGCAAGGCCTTGAAAGCGCTACACTACGCCAATGCACTGGTCCGCCTCTCGGTCGATGTGCCCACGGCAGGCATCGACACGGCCAAAGAGCCCGTAGGACTCACGACAAATCCAGCCCTCGAAGCGCGCGTTGAGCGCGCACTCGATGCCCTCACGGCGGAAGAGTTGCCCGCATTTATCACGTCGAATTGCATCAATGTCACCGGCAAGGTTGTTGAGGAACGGATACGCGGGACACTCCCCGACAAATTTCAAGGCACGGCCGATCAGCTCGCAGAGGTGTTTTGTCTAACTGATCCCTCTCGGCCGGATAATCCGATCATCTTTGCCTCTGCAGGTATGGATTCTCGTTTACTCAATTCAGCACCGACACATCCATGACAGGCATGCTTACTGTAGACATAGAGTTTCACCGTGCGACGCAATATGGAATGGACTATGTGCTAGGGCGCAATTGCCGTTTTTTGCAAGGACCCAACACCAATCCTAACAGTGTCCGGCGAATTCGCGAAAGCGTCGCGGCAGGCCGTCACCACTCGGAATTATTTCTTAACTAGTGGGTTGACCATGGCAACCTGGCCCTCGAATCGATGTGTGCGACTAACCTGTAATTATTATCCCAGTCGCCGTGATGGCTCGCCTTTTATGAATCTACTTCAAACAGCCCCGCTCTGCGATAGCAAGGGCAATATCCGCTATTTCATCGGCGCCCAGATCGACGTATCCGGTCTCACCATGGAAGGTGCCCAGATGGAATCCTTCCAGAGCCTCCAAGGCGAAAATGATGCGCCAGAGAACGATCACGCCAGCCTACGGTCATCAAAGACGCCCTCGACAAACAGAGCCTCATCAACGCACAAAGCGCCTGCAACGAAGAAGACCGAGTTCCAAGAACTAGGCGAGCTGTTCAGCCCCAGAGAGTTGCAGACTGTACACGATCACGGCGGCAAATTATTCCATCCATCTGTGGACCACCTCAACGGCGGGAATGGCCGACTCTGGCTGCAAAGTCCTGGAGAGGAGAGCGAGATGCGCTTCCCGGGCTCCGGGAACTCTCCCGGATCTAACCCAAGCGGCTCCTTGACTGGCGTGTATAAAAACGTGAGTAACTTGGCAAATCCAAATCACCCGGGGGATTTGTCTCAATGCGGCGTAAAGCGAAGAAAGAAAACCGCGCAGAGGCCGAGTCAATACTAACGATCCATCACCAGTACCTCCTTGTCCGACCCTACCCATCCCTCCGTATCCTATTCACCTCACCTTCCCTCCAAATACCCGGCATGCTGCAATCGTCCTTCCTGGCCCGCATCGGCGATTCAAACGAAAAGCGCGAAAGTATCCTCCACGCCATGATGACCGGTCGTAGTGTGACGGCCCGCATCAAATGGGTCACTCGCTTCAGCGACCAGGGTCGATATCGGTGGATCCATTGTACCCCGTTACTCGCGAATAATCGCGAAGTGGGCGTTTGGATGGTTGTGGTCATCGATGACAGGGATGAAGAATTAGTGAGGTGGAGGGGGAACTGGCCGCGGGCGTGATATGTAATGGCTGGGATGTCCTACGTTTTGAAGTCACCGTTCGTCGTCTTTGGAATTCTTGGTGAGCGTTTGTTTGTTTTTGGGGGGAGGGGGGTTGCGGATCGTAGCGGGAATAGGATGATAATAAGGAGGTGTACTCTGTACAGTACAGAATTGATGTAATTCATAATCGTGAGCGCCTGGAACCTGTCTACACAAGCTGGAGAGGACTACCTCGCACCAAAAGTCCCGATATAAACCTGCGATTTCTGATATGAAAAATCCCAATAAGCAAGTTTATCATCCTAGCCATGAGATGCAAATCAGAAGTTTACTCATACGATAGTAGACAGTCAACAAGTTTCCAGAGTTTCTCTTTGTTCGAAGGATAATACCACTTGTATTGAGCGAGGCTCTCAGGAGAGCGTCAGCTGAAAAGGTAGAACTTCAACGGTCAAGATCAAAAGGACGCGGACGTAAGTCTGGAGGCGTAAACACTTGATGATACATCGACAGGTGGAACACGTCAAGGGCCCAGGCGAAAGGAATAGAAGAAGCGGTTCGCAAGAACAAACAAAAAAAAAGACTTTGGGCACAGAGACGCATAGTCCGGGGCAAAAGGCCGTATACATTGAGACATGAGTGGAGCGGTGGAGGTGCAGGTGCAAGGACGACAAGGCGGACAACAACAGAAGAAGGCGGATCGAGACCGATTACAATGGACATAGAGACGCGCAAACCGATGAAAATGGAAAATTGGAGAAAAGGGGTCAAAAAGAAAGTTTGGAATGATGAGGGGGTACACAGTAGACTTTGACTTGAACTCGATCGCTGAGACGAAAATAAGCGTGGCGAAACTGAGATGCTTCATGCTTCACGCTTGATGCTTGAGGTCGGATCCGGACAAGGGGGTTTCACAACGATGTCACATGATCGGTTTGGTCTATTCTTCGTACTTGATCACGAAGGAGCTTTTGGACACGTCCGAGTCGCTCATGTTTGCTTCCTTGTCCTTGAGTTTGGGAGTTTCAAAGATCTGCGCCACCTCTTCGAGAGACCGCCCTTGGGTCTCGGGGAAGAAGAAGTAGACCAGGGCGATGACAACAACGAGACAGCCGACATAGATACTGAAGTATCGCCAGCGAAGTGCCGCAAACGCAACTGGATTGACGTACTGATTGAAGAAGCAGGCCAGGGAATCGGTGGTGAGGGTGACGGCCAGACCCTTTGCCCGAAGCTGGAACGGTAGAATCTCGGCCGGGTATGCGATGAACAGAGGCATATATGCAAAGTCGAAGGCGGCGTTGAAACAGAAGAGCAGGGGCACAACGGCAATACCCGCTTGGATGATGTGCATTTGTGAAAAGATACCACTCATGACGGTGGCCGCCGCTAGGAAGATGATCATGACAGAGGTCGCACCCAGCCAAAGAGTTCGTCGCCCGACTCGATTGGATAGACTGGCACCAGACACGGCGAAGATCAGGTTCCAGAACTGAAGACTGATATTGACGGCGGCTTCGTGAACAGCATTGGTGATGCCGACTGAAGCGAGGATGGGCGGAAGATAATAAGACGTGACACCTGAAGAGGGCCGACAGAGTCAATGTGAGGATTCTGAAATTGCGACAACGTGGAATCGCAGAGTACGCAACTTACCATTACCAGTCCATTCCTGCATGAAACCCAGAAGAATACAGATGACGAGGCGGTGGATATCACCCCGGGTCTTGAAAAAGGCACTCCACTGAGAGGCCGCTTTCTGATCCGCCTCTGCGTGAATGCTTGCGCAGATTTGATCGTATTCCTCTTGGACCATCTCATTGTGAATATCTCCATTGCCGTGGTATCGAGTGAGCATGGCCAAAGCTTCTCCTTGTCGGTTCTTCGAAACCAACCATCTTGGGCTCTCTGGAATGATCAAAAGAGCCACCAGTTGCAGACTCGGATACAACACCTGCAGCAGACATGGAACTCTCCAGGACCAACTGTTGTCGATGGTCAGAGTCCCAAAAGCAATCGCAGCCGCTGTGATTGACCCACAAAACCAGACCGAATTATAAAGACCGGTCAGAGTTGGCCGTTGGCTGGGATAAGCTGTCTCGGCGATCAATAGCGGTGCTGCTGTTTGGGAAAAGGCCACACCAGAGCCTGTCAGGACACGAGCCGCGAAAAACACCCAGGGGTGCTTGACTGCTGTCTGGATAATCGATGCAATGATGCATAATGTGGATCCGATCAGGACGGCCTTCTTTCGGCCCAATTTATCGGCAGCATAGGCAGCAGGAACGAAGGTAAGAAAAGCTCCCAGGGAGACGGCAGCAATCACAAGACCCTCTGCACTGGAGCTGAGGACACTGAGAAATTCGGTGACTATATCTCGTTGGTCAGCTGTAGCTCCTTGATATACTCAAGTGGCTCAAAGATCCTATATCGGTTCTGGGTACGGGGGAGGGGTCTTACACTGAGGAAGAACAAGTAAGCTGTTGATCTGGCTGGCGTTATATCCCGATGTCGCCGACGCCGAGAGCATCATAACAATACCCAGGTTGAGTCGCCGCAATCCATGATTGACTGGCGCTTTGGACGACATGATGTGGTCGAGTTTGTCGGACGGTCTTCCTTCGTCTGTCTTTCCCTTGTCGGAGGCAAACAAAAATAAGAGGAGGGATGAAACTTGATATCACAGCAGGTGTCAAGTAAGCTTTATTTGATGTTCAAAGCTCAGCGGACAATTTTCTCATTTGGTTCGGACAATTGTCAGCTCTACACATTCCTCACGACTGACTTAATGCCGATCCCACCCACTAGGGTCACACTTCGTCGTCGAGTGGGTTGGAATGTAGGGAGAGAGTCTCCCACAACCCAATCATACTCGATGCTGAAGCATCGGAAGTTCGTTGTAGCAAATAGCTAGCTTTTGGCAATGCAAGGACCAAGCAAGCTCAGAGCTCTATTTTGAGGAGATAGCACCCAGAGACTGGAGCTGATCAGCATCCGCCCACTGCCCGGTGCCCGGCAGCTGCTGCATCCACGTTAAGAAAAAGGAGCCCTGGTGACGCAATTCTCTGAAGTAGCTAAGACTCCCCCCCCCCCCCTTTTTTTCTCTTTTTCTTTTGTCAACGACAAAAAGAAATTCAAGAATTGGGCTCTTTTGCTTGAAAATGCCTTGAATCAAGGTCTGCGGACCAATCGATGAGTGGGCTCTCGTGCAGGCATCAACTCGATTTACCTGTATGATTTGTTGAGCTTCAAGCAGATCCCGCGACTTCAGTGCTACTTTGTCAGACCTCAGCTCCCATCTCCACTCGTACCCTTCATGACTTGGACGTCCAAGCTCCTCTTGCTCCCGTCCTGGGCTGCATATGAAAATAGGTGCGGAGATTTTTTTCCACATTCCTCTACGCGTGTCGCTGCATGTCCTTATTTTAGTCGCTTGATCTGGGCCCAAGGAAAGCCGCTTTATCCGCCGCGGGTGAGTAGCTACTTGGTGTGCATCGGATTCTGCACGATTCATGATTCATGTTTTTTTTTTTTTCTGGGAGGGGGATGCGACAAAGTGACAAAATGACAATATGCCCAGAGAAAGAAATCACACGGTTCTTGCGCTCAACAGCCGGGCCTAAGTTGCCAAATCTATTATATCTACTTTAGGCAGGGCACAAATCGACAACCGGAACGTAGGTTTTGTCATTATGATGGCGAACGGTAATGGAACAGCAAAGTTAGCGTCGGGTCCTGAGTAGAATTTTCTAGCAGAGGGATATACTCCATATCGTTGCATGTAGGGCCCAGAACTTGGATTCCGGGTATCCATCTCGCCACAGGAAAGTCAGCCAAACCCCTCGACGGATGAATAGCAGTGGAGTGATTCGATGAATTGATTCTACTAGTCCTAGCTGGAGCTGGAGGGTTAACCACAAGAAGAAGTCCCGGACGGCCAGCCACCTACGTTGAAAGTATAAGAATTGCTCTGTGTTACGAGACTTGTAGCCGCAGGCGAGGATGGAGCTTCCGAAAGATGACATTCAAGTTTTGGTTTTCTACATCCAATGGTGCTTTGTGGTCTTTTCTGAGATGATTGTTGATGAAAGCTCATAACATGGAGATGGAAGGGTGGGCATTTTCGTATCATTGCTGGTGTTTACTGGCTTTGCATCGATATGGGCGGACCGATTCAAGTCCCGGGATGATCCATGGATGGATCTCGGCTTGTTGAGCCGCAACGGATATACAGTTGTGTATATCAGCGCGTTCATCTGGGGACAACCTCCTTTGATAAGCACCTGTCTTTTACCTTTCCAAAACGTTCGAAAGAAAAAAAGAATGTAGACAGCTTTGCATCACAAAGTCCAATCTCATTTTACTCAAGCGAGATGGGGTTTATCGCGGACTCGACGATCTGAAATTATGGATGCGAGTCACTATGCATCAAGTCTATCTGTTCGGGTATAGAACTACCTTGAGGTAACTTTTTAGCATTTCGAGGGGTTGACACCGGCCCGTACCTAGCAAGGTAAAGGAGATCAATCCTCGGAAACTCCTAGGAGGAACACAAATCTAGTGAATACCCTGAAAAGAACGGCTTGAGGTCGTGACACCATCTTCTACTATGGTAACCCATTCATTTTGGGGGTTGAATATGACGAAAACAACATCCGATGACCTGACCGTGAGTTTCGAATCTGCACCTTTACATATATATGGCCAACAGGAGCGGACGACTAACGGAGTCCAGTGTAACCGATGAGATGCAAGTCCCCATCTGTCAAAGTACTTCTGCAGTGGCTGTATCCATCAATGGGCCATGACACCGACCGGTAGAAGGAGATGGGGTTGGAGATCAGTAGTGGTGAATGATCTACAAAGTAAGGTTGCTGATGCTCTCTGGGTGCCGACGGCGCAGGCCCGATTGGCGCATTCAAGTGCCGTTGTCTGTGCACCGTCCTGGTGGATCAATCAGGCCGAGAGGCGCCAAAAGGCAATATGTACATCAATCCTGGCATGTCCGCGCAGCGCGCTCGGCAGGATCCGATCGTGACATGGCTTTTTGATATGGGGATCAGAGGTCTACGTCTCTGTTTTGGAAGGTATTTTTTTGGGGTATTCTGATTGAACGTGAATTTAACAAAAAAGAAAGCGAAAGCCGCTGGGACCTTCTATTGACAAAGTCTAGTTTTTCTCTCATCCTGGAAACACCCAAGTACTACTAGTAACCATAGAGCACCTGAGTCATGAAGCCGATCTCATGACTGATCCCTATGTCCTCTTATCGATATCTCATGAATCACGTTACTGTACAATCAGTATTTCCATATTTCCAAGTGGATTCACGACCGTCGTACAATGTCGAGTCATTGACCTTACCCGGCAGTCCAAGCAACCGAACATCCTTTCCATTCAAGTGACCTAGCAACATTGGAGCTCACTTTACGCCGCGACACCCCCGGTCTTGAATCCACCCACGCACCAACATCCCATATTCGACAATAGCCGAAAGTCAAACAAAGCTCCTTCTTCAGCACTGGAGTCTGCCGATTTCTCATCCACGGAAATGACAACCCGATTTCGTACCCTCGAAGCGTCATTTGCCGCGGATGTAACCTCCCCGCAAGGACCCAGCCCTGTTTCTAACCTGGGGATCCCATGGCACTCTTTCTTAGTCACGACGACGGAGGCCGTAGCCACCGGATATGCTTGGCTGGGTTTACTCAGGACTCGGCATTCTTTGCGTCAGAGGAGTTGGACCAGCGTGATGGGGATTCGTCGCGGAGGTGGTACTGAGCCTAGCCGGTGTTCAGATAGAAGCTCGTTGAATCGTAAGCCTTGGATACTTACTTAGTTTCTCCGGAGAGCAGTGTTTCCACTCACTCGTTTCCCCAGTCCTCCAGTCTAGTGACCAACCTCTGACATAACGAACCTCTTGCATGACCTACATCCATTTGTCATCTGCAGGGCCCGTAACCTGAGCTAGTAGCTCCGTGGAGGATCACCACGGACCCGAGTTCATCCTCCGTATCACCAGACGTAGGAATGGTGTACGAGTAATGCAGAACAATGTCCCTGGCCCTAGCTAGGTATAGACCCTCAGATGAAGATGATCCCCCCACGCGGTCACATTCACGGAACCCCAACGAGAAAAAGAAAAGACAACAGCGTCGTACTTTGGTCCATACCCAGAACAATGCCTCGTCCCCTTGACTTGGAGAGAAGTGGGAGGGATAGCGTTGACCACGGCCCACATAAAGGGCGAAGAATGCGGATGGCGCTCTCCGGCTTTCCGCCTCAGGAGTCTGGGCTTGAGGGAGAAAGCTCGAAAGGGGGCGCAACAGACCGTCTTGGAGGCTCGAAAGATGGCATCATGTGATCGGGGTCCCTTCAGGTACATTTACCTTGGTGATCTGGATGGTCCTCCCATGGTCCCCCTCCTTTCTGTCTGAATGATGATGCGTAGCGCAGTCGGAGTGATCCAGCGAGTCCTGATTTTCAGCGGGGAGAGGAAAATCTGCAGGACCTTGTGTACTCGTGATGGACCAGGTGTCGTTGTATGCACGCCGCACAGAAGAGCAAGGCACCGATCTAGGGCAGGTAGGAAGTAGTCGCTACTGATCTGCCTATCTACAGAACTGCTGCCCAGGCTGGTGGTAGGTACCCCCGATCTCATTCCTCGTGGACTTCGCCACGAGGATTTGGAGCTCAGCTTGAAGAATGGAGGGGTGACATCACTTACATTCTGGTCCAAGCTCTCTTCAAGGCGGAATCTATATCCATGGTGGAGGTGATGGGTGAAAAGGACTCAGTCGGCGGGCACGGGCTCTTGGACGGCGTGGACGGTCATGGAGAGGGCCATGATGTTCTGAACTTCTGATCCCAGGAGGTATCTTTACTCTTCGGCAGACCATCGAATGACATCGATTCCAGTTGTGTAGGCCGTATGAAGTATACCAGTCAAGTCGGGCTTGGACTATGGAGGTCTCGCCTGACTCCACCTCCTCATCCGGCAACGCCTCTAACATATCTCCTCTCAGCTCTAAGATCCCATGACCAGAGAGACCGGATCACGCAAGGAAGGAGAAAACCAAGGGTCCACCCCCAGAGATGAATTCAAATTCAACCCTCATATTCAATCGAGATCCACAAAGCCCAGTGCCCGTTAAGTGCCCCGTCACCAACCTTAAGCCCCGTGCCGGGACCCGGACTATCGGGTTGAAATCTGGGGAATCTGGGCTGCCAATGGCTCTCTCTCCACTAAGACAATGTCCACATTCACACTGCATTCACATCAGAGTTCTCCACATTCAGTGGTTCCCCCCCCCCCCCCCTCTGCCAATTGGTTTTGTCAATTCAATTCTCCGGTGGTTTCCACTCAGCGTCCGAGAATAGATCTGGGGGGAAGGGGGCGTGATGTTGATCTTTTCATCAAGTTTGGTACTGTTTGTAGTTCCTGGTCAATTTAGCCGAGATCATGAGGTTGAGCTTTTGATGCTCCACTCATACTCGGATCCGATATCCTCGAGACAGTAAAATAGCTCCCCTCCATTTTGATCAAACTCTCCACGTTCTAAAGACAACAGACCTCCTTCCAGCCTGAGGGTATACCGGGGCTCCTCCAATGGGATGGGATCATCATCTCCAGACGAATCTCGTGACTCGCACCGGCTACAATATGCAAAACGTTCACAGGAGAGAGGTATTTCGATTGAATCGCTTCTTCATATTGCATAGCCTCCAGCTTGCATTCCAGCACGGGTAGGTGATCCCCTCGGATTCACCACAACATAGAATGTGTATGCAGTGCTGCTGATATCTATATAGGATCCACTTCGAAGATGGAACATGTTTCCGGGCCGTTGAAAAGTAGAGGTGCGCCATGATCAAGTTCTTGTAGTTTTTTCTCATACTTGAAGGATGGAGGGTCCAAAAGGCGTAATGGCTGGAGGTGCTTCCATTGAGGCCAGGCATCGGTAGCGAGCGGGTGCCACCTGACTTTTTAGGTTGGGTTCTGGGTAGCGCACATGGTAGAAGGTCTCATCGCTATCGTGTGAAGAGTGGAAAAAAAAAACGTTATGAGCAGCAAGAAGAAGTGATCAGGAGACTGATTGGTAGATCCATTAGATCTGGTATCCTAATAAATGGAAAAAGCGAGCCCATTCCAAAAGTCAATAACGCCCTGGTAACATGACATGGCTTGCTAAAGTGCAGAATAGAAGAAAACGAAAACGAGGACTCAACAGAAGGTTCTAAATAAACATGAAGCAAAAAAGCAAGAGATGTCGGTCTATAAACAGCCAAAAAAAGGAAAAAAAGGAAAACCTTGAGAATTGGGAGGGTATCGAGAACATCACTCAATATCGAGGGAGAATTTAGGAACGGAAAAGGTGACATTCTCGGCAGAGTTGTAAGCTTCGGTGCCGAATTGGAAGATGCCCATGTAGTCGGAGCTAGATGGGTAGACATCACCCTTTAGCGTGTAGAGGTCGGTGATGAGAGGGTAGATGTCTCCGGTGAAATTCTGCGTCGAGGGATTCGCAAGCCAGGTAAGGACGTTTAGAGTGCCGGCTCGGTTGGTGTTTTTGCCGACGTAGAGATCACTATCAAAGCCAAGACGGCCGGGTGTTAGAACCGGTTTTCAATGCACACTCGTGCGGCTGATTCCCGCGGCTCCCCCAGCTTCACGCTCAGAGGGGATTCCGCCGCGATGTTCAGGCGGCAGACTTACAAATTGACTCCGTTGACGGTCTTGGTTTTGACAACTCCCTGGGCCTCCCCGATCACCTGTGCCGACGCCTTGTTGAAACGAGCAAACCAAACCATGACTTCGTATTGAGCCAGGGAACTGTTTTGGGCAATGGTCTTATCCGAGTCGAAGAACATATCGATGGCCACATTGGCAGCCACCCCACTAGCGGCGAGGGCACTCTCGTCGGTTGTCGACGAGACTTCATTGCCGACAGCATAATTCCATGCCAGATCCATGTCCACCTTGGACATTTTGCCTAGTTCAAGCGGTAAAACCTTGTCCACCATGATGTTGGGGTAAGCGTGCACCGGCTGGGGTCCAGGAGCCGGGTCGAATTGCCAAGTCACGGAGAAACCTGGAGCGGAGTATTGGGTTGGGTACGTCTGGTTATCGAAGGTCGTGACCTGATCGTGGGGACAGAACTCGTCAGTTTACCAGATGGTTTGCAATTGATCGAGAGCACTCCCAACCCTTGTGCTTCAACTTACATTGACACAGAGTCCCCCCGCTGTTTGACCAGATATCAGACCCCATTGATTGGGATTGACTATATCGAAAGGTCAGCCATGACTATTCTCCTTCGACGCCGACCTGGTCTCCGTATAGGCAATCCAGTTGACAGCTGCGCGGGAGTCCACGCACGACAAGCCACAGGACTGCTGCCACGGGAGCGTTGGGTTGGGATATCACTCACATGTGTACAGCTGACCATCCTTTGCCGGGGGTGAAATGCCATAGAATTGCTGGCAATACTGGGTGTTCGTGACGCCATTGTCCGTCGTTGAGCTACCGCCCCCGGAGCCTCCGCCGGTGCTATCGTGACCACCACCACCACCGGCGCCGGCGCCAGCATTTGACCCGTCGCCGTTAAAGAGAGGTTTTTGCCCGGTTGCTGATCGATGTGCGTCGATGCCTAGGAGTGCTCCCAGTGATCCTCCAATGGGAATGGCCAGCAAGACCGTGTTGACGACTAATCGCATCGCCATTTTTCTCTGCTTGTTGTATGTGGGATACTCAACGGTCAAGGTGGAGAGAGAGAGGGAGAGAGAGATGCCACTTGAGTGGGAAGAATACAAAGTCCGAGGACGAACCGATCAGGTGCTGCAAGAAGCGATATCGAGATGGTAAGAGAGGGTTGAATCGGGTAGCCGTGGAGGGATTGAACCGAATCGGTATGACAGACAAGCAGTGTGAAGAAACCAAAAGAGAGCAAATTCGACGCAATGCCAGGTCTGCAAAATGCGGAGACTCGCCAGCGTTGTCTTGCGGAGCACGCTCAAGGTCAGTCAACCCAAGCAGTTCAGGTCTTTGGTACTCGGAGCTCTTGGGGGAACCGGAAAAACCTCAGGATGCCGTCCTCAGTCCTTACTCCTTGGGAGTTCGTAGTCGTACTGGGTCCGTGGGTGGACTCTCTACATAATTCGTATCCTGTTTGGGTACTGTTGTAGGTGTCTGACTACCTCTTCACCAAGTTCACTTACCAAGCGATACAGAATTGTGATTACAACATCAAGTCTGGTTGAAACATGTGACTGGTTGGACCAGTCAACTGAGATAAAAAAAAGGCAGACCTGATCCTGATCCAAGCCCACTGATTCAACGAGGTCTCAGTCTCACATCTGTTCTCCAATTCGAGTCTTCCGATTGCGCGCAAAAGGCCGGGTCCGAACGACGCCCTGGCGGCGACCACGGAATCCCGATGGATCCCCCATGAGAGTAGCTTGATCATTGGCGCGCCGGTCACCAGGGCGCCATCCCCGATCCAGCGGTCTCGGCTGCTTCGCGGCCCCGTCCGCTTGCAGGCTGTCGAGAAGAAGAGGGTGGAGGGAGGAGAGGTACCGGGCGCATGAGATAATGGAAATTCAGGTGGACTTTTGGACCGTTCACACTCGGTGCCTGGTGCCAGTTCCATGGAGATCGGTCGAGTCAAGTGAGCGGCTGGGCGCCTGGGATGCGATGGGTGGAGACTGGAAGTGGATCCTCACAGTGGAGAGGGGTGGATGCGACGCAATGGGACTGTGGGACGCCACACTGGGGATACCATCCATAACCGGTACCCAAGGGCTAGGAACTAGGCAGTTACTACCTTAGAAGGTAAGGTAGTAATAGATGAACAACACTCAACAGGCAACACTCACCACTGACCACTGAGTACGCCCGACAGTCATACACGCATAAGCAAATGAGTGTGATTGTACCTCCAGAGTATCGTTGCCCACCCATCATACCCCAGACCGATTCACACACGGTGCGACGGTGGGACTAGGCACTAAGGCTGGGAAGAGGCCTTACGCAGCGCGTCCATATTACCTTACAGAGTTTAGTACTCAGCTGAGTCAATAGTCAACAGTCACTACTCAGTAATAGTGGTAGCTGAGTACAGGTAGACTCACTAGTAGACTCTGTGGACTCAGTACTACTAAGTGTAGGTCCCCCTGCATCCAGTGCAGTAGCGCGAGTCTATTTGTAGCTTGTACATACGCCGTCAAATGGGCTAAGAGGGTCTTGGAGGCGCTTGGAGGGCTTGGATGGCTTGGGGGGCTCGGACCAGAAGGGTGCCTTGCGGATGCGGGATCCATGACTGGTCAGATGTGGCTGGCCGCAGATGCAGTGTGGACCCGTCGATTCAACGAGATTGAATTCGAAGCCGCTGCTTTTATGACGCTTGCGTTCCAGGCCGCCCTTCTAAGCGCAAAGGGCAGCACTAGTCGGGAGATGTACCGCTAGGGCGATGCATGTGATGGGCTGAAGGTCAGCATTTGTACCTGGAAGTTTTGATCCTAAGAGGATAAGCATAATAGAACTATGAGGTGCATCTCTGAATACGGACAATATGACATTGTACTGCACAATGTAAAATTTCATGTCATCGGCAGCCTTTGTTAAAAAAAAAAAAAAAAGATAGAAAGTAAAACAAGTCGAGAATTTGCGACTCTTGAAGGAAAGAAAGTTCCAAAATCGGGACAGGATGTGACCGACTGCCAATCAGGGATCGTCGCCCAGCATGTGAAAACACGGAACCAGGTCGGACGTCGGGATCCCTCGGCTGTTCCTAGCCAGATCCAGTCATTCTCGGATCAGGTTGACAATACAGTACTGTACTGTGCGACGGCTGGATTAGCTGCTATCCCGCACTCGTATATAGCTGTCGATTGCTTTTTCTTCTTGATTACTAGTGTCATCGGGACTCACTCGGTCCTTACTCAGGACAACCCCAGAGACAGACAGGATGGAAGATCATCCAATTGTTGTTGAAATCTAGAGAACAGTCTAAAAGCTCTGCACTCCCACAGTCGCTGTAAGTACATACTATAGTTTGAAAAGGCAGCACCACAGTCATAGTATGACTATGACTGCTTGATCACGATACACTAGTGGGTCACATCTGGCCAGTGGGAGGCATGGGGGCATGGGCGGTTATCGCCCTTTGATCTTTTCTTTTTCATTTTTTCATCTTTTCCTTTTCCGGTGCTTTACAATCCTACTGTAACATGGAGTCTCTTGAGCGCACGGGACCACAGTCAGTCACACAGATGACTTTTTTCAAAGAAAATTTAACGGATCACAGAGGAAAGTATTCCACCCTTAGACATACGATTGAAGAACTATACTGTGTCAATTACAGAGAGAAGTGAGCAGATTTTGCTTAAGCCTCATTCACGGTCGTGCTGCAGGGCAACTGAAACCACGATAAATTTCTTCTCTCTATTTGGATGTTTTCATGAGAGTCTCAGTCCAGACTCTAGTGTCCACGGTAGGGTGGGGCACTGGGTCTTATGTTAGGGTTCTTACACAGAAGGGCGGATGACCGGGCAATGATGACGCAAGCGGAAGTGGCTGTAATCGTGAACGAACCATCACAACGGACCAAAGAGGAAGGATGAACGAGGGGGTCTTATTTACTTTCTTTGTTTCCGAGACATCTCAACAAGCTTCACGATGTGTGGTAACTGGTACGAGCGGAGGATCAAATTTTCCCAGCATCCCTTACCTGTTTTATGATTCTTGATGTACAAAATTGTACCGTGCAGACTGCTGCTGTACTCCACCAGAGCCTCATAGTAAATCAGTCTATGCCGCTAGAACATTCAAGTAATCTATTAAGATCAGACTTTTTTGCAAACGTGCAGCCTCCAATCACCGGACAGGAACAATGAGAAAATGATCGTAAAATTAGGAACCGGCTAACGGCTCTTTTGTCTTTCTCAATAAAACTCTGATCGAGTGATTCAATCATGATTCTGCCCTTTTTTGCTATTTTGGTCAACTCGGCGGGATGGAAATGCGGAACTGAGAGCCAAGTGTGACCCGGTGCTGCAAGCATCCCCATTTCAAGCTACCCTCCTCCTCCGTATCTCCAGAGTTCGCCACTGGAGACATCCATGCTTAATAGCATAACCCTACAAAGGGCCCAGTTACCGGTAGGTTCCATGGTACCTTTTCTGAGGGATCCGCGGAAACCATACGAAGATAGTAGTAATTTACAAATGAATTGTGTCATGTTGCCCGGCATTGTTAATGCAAAGTGGGAAACCCCCTCTGAACTCATAATCCCGGTAGCCGATCCTCGACGTTCAAATGGCCGGCCGCATCTGGATATCTGTCGCCTGTGCCCGAAACCAGTCGCCATGATCGACTTTGCTTTTCAACTCTCGCGCCGGAAACTATCAGGCTGGTACAGCATGGCTTTAGTGAATCCCCCTTCTCCGCCCCCGGACACAGTACCAGAATACCTGGTCGCGGTTGCGGGTGTGGAGTGTGTACTGTGTAGGGTGTACCGCGGGAGACTATAGACACCAACCTGCCATGAGAGATCGATCAATGATGAATTCACTCAGTCGTAACTTGTAAGAGGTCAAATAGAAAGCTCCTTATTGTGAATGACTGGGCCCGAGAGGACCCCGCTTCGGTCTATTGACTGTGAACCACCATCCTTCATATTATGCCCGGTTTGAAAATCCGAGACCTGAATCAAGATCGTCGGCAATACTTCGCTGATCAAGCACGGCCGAGCTGAGGTGAAAAATGAATAAAAAAAACAAACCCTAAAAAAAGAATTAGTTACTGTACAAGGTACATCCTCTCAACCCGCAATTTCTATTTCCACTTCTGGTCTCCACGGATGATTCGGTAGATTGTCTCCACCCACAGTGCGCCAATCTCCAAGCCGGAAAGTAAATCACGACGAATCAGGATGGACGGGCCCTAACTTCCAGGTACTGTGTACTTGCGGGTCCAGACTTCGACGACGCTTCGTGACTGGAGTACCTTTTCGTGTGCATCCACCGTCCACTACAGTCTGCACCCGGCCCACGGCTGGGTGGATGTCCTCCTCCAACTCGGTTCTCTTCTACGTATGAAGCTGCAAGAGCTAAGTACGATCAATGGCTAAGCCTCGCTGGGGTTCAGATCCATCCCGCTTCTCGCCCGTGACTCTACCGAGACTGCGCGTGCCTGGCTGGTCTCTCTTCCTCTTTCCAACCGTTTACACTCTGCACTACGTCGACCTGGCATCTGTCTGCCTCTTTTCGTATCCAGCTCCTCTCAGCTTTTACGGCTGACCACACTCGTTTGCAATCCTCTGAAGATCAAAGCTGGGGATTGATTTGATTTCACTTTGGAAGGAGTTTGATCTCTCTCGTTATCAACGCCGGCCATTTCATCCGTACGCAAAGACCCCATCGATCACCAAGTCAAGTGCTCTCCGTGTGTCGCGGGGGACTGTATCTCGTCTGTAAAACATCGTTGATTTGGATGTCAATCCAAAAGATCAAGAACTAGGTCGCCTTGGCTTTGATCAACACCCAAGTCACTCTCAAGATGAACAGCGAACATGGCGGGCAGCCATACATTGCCGCTCATACGTCGAGTTCATACTCCATCAACAATCCATACTCGCACGACGGACCCGAGGAGATGGTGGAGTTGCAAAGCCCTCGTCCTTACCGAAGTCCCGCATCTCACGACGACCAGGGCTCAGACTTTGACTTTCAGTTCCAGCAAGATCAACAGTCGGCACGTCCGGCGATTGTTCCCTACAGACCAGGCCTCGGACACAATCCGCCAGACTACACCTCCTCACCGGGTCTCTTTCCCACGCCGCGCACTTCCTATGGACCCGAGTCCTTTGTGAACTCACCTTTCGCCTCGCGCTCTGCTTCTCCCACGTTGGTAAGATCCTCTGCCCCGCTCTGTGAAACAGGGCAGCCTCGGCATAAGAATTGCACGGCCGCATTCTGACATCATGTGCCTTTGGGCGAACAGTATCAGCACTCTCAATTTGAAAGCTCGGCCAGTCTAGGTCGAATTCCCCTCGTCAGCAAGCCCGCGTCTCCGGCCTTCGCCAAAGACTGGATCCACTCTGGATCGATTGCCCGTCTGAGCGATCGCGATGATATTGACATCTGGAAAGGCTGGAAGCGAGTTGTTTTCATGTTCACTCCGTTCTTGACCTTTGCCAACACCGCAATCTATCTCTTTTACCTTGGACTGCGGATCTACTGCATTATCTCAGCTCAAAATGCCGCGAACATCACCTTCGCGGGTGCTTGGGTGTTTGTTGCCATCGAGGTCGCGGTCATGGTTCCCTCTTTGATGCACAACTGCTGGACGATGATGGCGGCGAAGAAGCGCGGTCGACCCAAGCTTCGTTTGACCGGCAATGACTGTCCCACCGTGGATGTGTTCATCACTTGCTGTGGTGAGGACGACGACGTCGTCATGGATACTGTTCGTGGTGCGGTTGACCAAGATTATCCCATTGAGAGCTTCCGGGTCATTGTGCTGGACGATGGCAGGTCTGCCTCCCTGGAGGAGGCGGTCAACAACCTGGCCATCACTTATCCGAACCTTCACTATATGGCGCGCGAGAAGATCCCGGGCAAGCCTCACCACTTCAAGGCTGGTAACTTGAACTACGGCTTAGATCAGACGCACACTTTGGAAGGCGGAGCTGGTCAGTTCATGGCGGCTCTGGATGCAGATATGGTGAGTTTTTTTCGTCTGCCTCTGCTCAAGTCGTATGTTGCGTTGAAGTAAACATAAGGTGACGTTGCCCCTGCACATCTTTCTCAATCTAACGCTTTTCCAGATCCCCGAGCAACAGTGGCTTCGCGCAGTGCTGCCTCATCTGCTGGTAGACCCCAAGATGGCGCTGGCATGTCCCCCCCAGCTCTTCTACAACACCCCCGCATCTGACCCTCTCGCTCAAAGTTTGGACTTCTTCGTGCACGTGATTGAACCCATCAAGGACGCTCTGGGTGTGGCCTGGTGTACTGGTTCCGGCTATGTTGTGCGACGCGAGGCTCTTGACCAGATCGGCAATTTTCCTCTTGGGTCTTTGGCCGAGGATGTTGCGACGTCGACTCTTATGCTGGGTAAAGGATGGAAGACTGCCTATATTCACGAGCCTTTGCAATTCGGCACAGTTCCCGAGGACTATGGCGGCCACCTGAAGCAGCGAACCCGTTGGGCCATCGGTACCGTGGACACGGCATTCAAGCTCAAGTTCTGTCTGTGGGGCGATGCGGTTCGCAAGATGTCCTTTGCGCAGCGCTTTTCCGGTTTCCTGTACGCCACACTCAGTCTGTATACCCTTCTGCTTACTGCGTCGATCTTTGCGATTCCCATCATCCTTTTGTGGGGTAAACAGCTTGTCGCGTATGCGAATCAGGACCAGCTCCACTGGTTGATCTGGACTTGCTTCGCAACCACCCTTGCCAACCGTCTGTGCGAGTTTGCCTTGTTCATCCCCGCCGGTTACCACACCGGTCAGCGTGGTTCGCGCTACCAGCTCTGGATGTCCCCCTACATTGCCTTGTGTATCGTCCGCTCCTTCATGCTCCCCTCCTGGCTCGGTGGGCAGACCCAGGCCTTCAAGCCTACCGGCTCGCTCGGCTCGGCCTTGAATGAACGGGACGCCAAACTGCGCAAGAACATGTTTGTTCGCCTTCGTGTGATTCTCTTCAACTTCATGGCTCTCTTCCACTTTGCCTTTGTTTACGTCACCCTGATCGCCGTCGTGATCTCGACCTACCGCTGTTTCAAAGTCGAAAAGGGCTTCAAAGACATTGTCGTTTGCCTGCTCACCCATGCATTCTGGCCTCCTATGACTTTCTTGTTCCTCTGCTCATCGCTATGGACCCCGGTGTCCTATGCGATCGATCCCCCCAGCATGCCAGACCGCGAGGAGCTCTTGAACCGTGACCCCAAGACTGGCGTCGCTCACCCCACCTCCAAGAGCAAGAAAATTGCCTTTGGCGGCCAGGCTGCGTGGTTTGAGCTGGAGTTGACGGTTGGCACCGTGCTGACCGTGTTGGTGTTTGTCTACTCATTCTTCTTTTAGGGCGGGGGAGGCTACGGGTATGGTATGCTGTACATAATGCATGATGAGGTTACTGGCGCTTGAAAACGCTTCAGTATGAGCCTGTGACTTCAGGTTTCTCCAGTTCTGGCGCAGGAGCATTATCTTACCTTGACATTGTTCTCATTTCTTGCCTTGTTGCGTCCTTTTTCCCCCTCTTGTTTTCATTTTCAAAGCAGGCGTTGGCACCGTTTCATCATGTACCACTAACTGGGACATCTGGTCTGAAGTTTCTAGAGCTAATAGAGCAACATATGCGATTTTATCGTTATCCCGCTTATTCTATACGGTGGGATCAGATTCCCAGAAAACTCGTCTTCACTGCATGTCAAGTGAAACTTTTGGGACGTGTCACTCAATGTCAAAGTCTAGTAGCAATTATAAGTGACTTAGAATACATCTCATGAGCAGCTATCATCTTGGTCTCAGAATTCTCACGTCACAAGTGTTACTCTTCGATCACATTCATGATATTGGGATATTGGTCGTCGCGATGAGTATAATACTTCCAACATCCCATCAGACGATTCGGATCGTCGATCTTCACAAACCCCGCAGATGTCCACCAAGTATTCATCTTCCTCCTCTGCTTAGGTAGAAGTCTTCCTCTTCTTCTTCTCAGGCCCCTTCCAATCCTCCCCATCCTCCCCAAACAACTCCTTCCACCCGCCATTCGACACTCTCTCATCATTCCCATACAATCCCACATCATACGCATTCTTCATCTTATCCAGACAAAATTGCCTCCGCTCATCAAAATCAAACATCGGCTTCGGGTAACTCTTCCCATTCGAGACTTCCTTCTCGTCATTGGTGACTCTACATCCCCATTTCTTCTGGTCGGCGATGGGCGCTTTCCACGGCTCATAGATGTATTTCTTGTCGAATTTGGCTAATTCGGGGACGTAGTGACGGATGAAGTCGCCGTTGGGATCCCATTTCTTGCCAAAGGCAATGGGCGAGTAGCACCTGTAGAATTGGGCGAAGAATGCGGTGCAGGAGAGCCACATCCAGTTTCCGGCGTTGGAGGCGGTTTCGTCTGCGGGGGATTGTGTCGAAGGATTAGTATTCCACATATGGGTGACCTTATGATAACGCTGATGTGCAAACAGGGCTCGACTTACGGTCGATCAGATATTCCTCAAAGACTTCTGCGCCGCGCTCCCAACTAATATAGCATCCGCCACGGGTCAAAAAGCATGCAACGCTGTGGCGGCCGAGATGGTGAATCCATCCTTCAGTGATGAGCTGGCGCATGAGCGCATCTATCCAGGGAAAGCCCGTTCGACCTGTCTTCCATCGTTGGAACCATTCTTCCGCGTCGGACGAGTCAACGTCGTAGTCTCGAGCGGGCAGGACCTTTTCATCGCCCTTCTGGGTCCCTTTCTCTTGCGTCTTCTCCGCTTGAAGGGGTTTCGATTGCAGGTGCCAGTCGACGAAGCGAACGAGTGGATTTCCTTCAACTCTTGCAAAGGGTCCTCCTACAGCTGCTTGTGCTGCAAAGTACATATCGCGGAAGAGAAGCTGACCGGGCAAATTGGCTGGAGGTGCGGCATTGGACTTTTTCGCCTTCTTCCGCTTCTCAAACACGTCTTGCACATCCCACCAGAACTTTCGGACAGACAGGGAGCCGAAATGGAGATGAGGGGAGAGAAGCGTGGTTGCCTGTGGCTCAAAGGCAGCCGGTGAAGTCTTGGGCTTCTCAAAGGTGCCGATGTATTCGTCATCAGCAATAAACTTAGAGAGTTCTTTCAAGGCTGCCGATTCTCCGCCTCGATGAGGAGCTCGTGCCTTCGAAGGATCAATCCCGATTTCCTCCAGCGTCGGCACGCCAAAGTCCTTGCCCGGTCCCATGAGCTCGACGTACTGCCGATCTTCCTTCTCACGATATTCGGCGTTCAGATCCGGGTTCGAATCCGCCATCTCATGGTCAAGATCGCTCAAATTCATCTTCGCCTCCTCCCACGGATCAGGAACGCTCTTGGGCGTTTCCACCGGTCGAGCCGGTCTACCGCCATTGATCTTCTCCGCAGCCTTCTCCAACTGGCTCATACTCATAGTAGGTTTGCCCCCATTCTTACTCACCAACTCATCCGAGTCAAAAAGCGTCCTCCCCATCCTCGTCACCACCTCCACCCCAGCCTTCTCCGCCATCTGAATGACCGCGACATCGCGCTCGCGTGCGTACGCATCCGTATCTCGCTCGAAGACCAAATGCGTAATTCCCCATTTTTTCCACAGCTTGGGCAGAACAGTCTGCGGAGCTTCACGCACAACCCACAGCTTCTGCTTAGAGTTCAGCTTGCTGTATGATCGGGACAGATCGGACTGGCATTCCATGAGGAATTTCCACCTGTTGGGCCCGACGCGTGCCCGATAGACATAGTGCGGATCCCAGGTCCAAACTGGAATGAAGATAGAGGGCTTCAAGGCTAGAGCAGCGTCTAGCGCGGGCGAGTCATGGAGTCGGAGATCTGTCCGGTGCCAGTAGAGGACGACGATGTTGGAGCTGGACTTTTTCATCTTGGCGGATCTATTTCAGATGGAATGTATTTAAAATCGCGATGGCGACGGAGACGACGTGGTGGTAATATGGTAATAAGCTTGTACGTGTTTTTTTTCGAAGGGGTGAGATTATACTCTGAGTCTGCCTTGACAACCAAGGGGTCGTCGATTTCAATTCTTCCCTTCAGAGTGACAGCTCCAGCTTCAAAAATCTGGACAATGTCAAAAAAAAAAAAAAAAGAAAATCGCACAGCTATCCTCTGTCACCCAACCCCCAAAGATACCAGCTTGGATCGCTTGTCCATCGGCGATTCGCGCGATTCGGGAAGCGCATGACGTCAATCAATCTCGGTAGAGGTTGGGATTGATCTCAGTTAGATCTCGGGCGGATCTGAGTGAATCCCTGCGATCGGGTTCGAGTCACCGATAACCTTAAAAGTTAGGTTGGCGGACATCAGTTCCGTTGGTACTGACTACTTAGTAGTATAAGCTGGGCTGTCATCAATCAGGACATGCTGAACTCCATTTGCATCGGTTGGGTTTGGTAGAATCATGCAGGTGGATGGAGCGAAGTCCGAGACAATATGTAGATACATGTAGTTCAATACATCAAGGAGAATAAATTCCACATGTCTTTCATAAAATTTCTTCAATCCAGCGTGCAGGACCTCCTCACCTAACAGCGCCATGAGGCTCCAGCTTGGAACGATTCCACCGAGTCGAGAAAATTCCCATGTATCTGAAAACTGTAGGAACTCGCACCCACGGTGTGATCGTCAACGATTATCGCCGAGAGCCTCAGATACACAAGGTTAGTACAGGACATATACATTGAAACCCACAGAGGTCTTCACAGGACGCCTCATATCATCCGACATTGCGGCGTTCGAGTGCTTGCAAGATGTCGCACATAGCTTCCTGCCGAACAGCTCGCCAATAGAGGCTGGCAAGAATACTGAGCCATTTTGACTCCACTCGCTTGACAACGATGTTACCATAGACTGCCATCTCGGCGAGGTTTTCTTGCGAGGTATCACACAGAGCAGCCTCGCGTTTTGTCACAACAACCGCATATCCAAGAACGTCGAGCCCATTCGTCCTCTCTTAATCCGAACGATCAAGTTCATCGTCCTTGGCCAGTAAATTTAGCGACGTTAAGAAGACTGAGCCGGTTGATAGGCCATGAGACTGTCGCTCTGGCTTTGAAACTGTGTCGGGTCTGCTTGTGACATGAGCGTCGGGCGTGTCTGTGGAGAGTGGTTGATTGACTAACGTTCAGTTCTGATACTTCAGACTCGCCAGCGGAAGAGGGTGAGCCCGTATCAGACAGGTTCTTCGTAACTTGTTGCATTGCAAAATGGCACCGAAGATGTTTCAAAGGGATCTGGGATTTGCGAAAGCAATACCAAGCTGTGAATCGCGAGGATGAGATGGACGAATTCAAGGAGCGACTAGTGATGAGGTTAAAGAAACAGCAAGATTGTCATCGACTCTGTTGTCGTTCGCAGAAGGTAATGTGCGCAAGACAAGCGCGACTTGTCAAAGCTTTTCTATGACCCTTGCCGCCCAGAGCTCGAACTGGGACCTGGTGTCTGACCAAAAAGGCCTTCCAAGGTTTCCATTCGTGTTCGATTACCGACCACTCCATTATGAAAAAAAATCACTTCGGCTGATGGAAGGCATGGTAAAAGACTGAATGCGCTCAGGGCTGCTTTCACATACCATGGTTGAATTCCATCGCATGGCCGTTCATCGCGTACGAGGATTCATTACTTTGACAATCACCGAACCTGCAAGCTCAAATATCAGCTACCTAGCCATCGACAGCGATCGTCTTCAATCTGGCTCCACCACGCATTTTATATCACCTTCAACATTCAGATCAACATGCACTTTGCTTCCAACATCGTATTCCAGATAAGAGGCCGCAGGTAGGGTGTTTGCCTGAGTGAGAACATATTCAGGACGTTCAGGCTCATCCATAGAAGGAATGCTTATCTTTCGTGCTCCTCTGCAATGCAAAATGGATTTGATATCATCCAGTTTATGCAGATTCACTCTTGAAACGAACAGCATTTCTGCAGAGTACCAGCTTATGGACCAATTCAAACTGATGGAGGAGCCTACTGAATGTACCTTCTAAGTACCAGTGCCTACCGTAATTTTCCGCCTAGGTCATGTGCAACGTTCGCCTGCACTGCAGTCATGTGCCAGCCGTCAACTTCAAAAGACATAGGCTGGAATTTCCCTTTCGGTCCCACTCTTCTCCACCAGCACGACTCTTCTGCACTGCTTATCGGGCTTCGTATGACCCGACGTCCAGACGAGAGAATGAAGGAGATGATTGAATGAAAGACTATCAAAAGAACCGGACTCGAATCGTCCCCGAAGTCGCATGGCAATGCCCAAGAAGTGCACTGAACTGGATGGACACACCGAGTTTCTCAACCATGGAAAGCCGCTCGCCGGTTCTTGGTATAGAACTGAGCTGGAGTCGCTAAAGTACCGAGTGCTTTGTTCGTGTACGGTTCCAATAACGTCCACCATTGCGTCTGGGCGTGGCGTGTCGAGGGATAGGATTACTGAGATTCGATCCGTTCCAGCGTTGAAACACGAGTCAGACAGTTTCAATGGCAGTCCCAACAACAGTCTCAATGGCAGTCTCAATGGCAGTCTCAATGGCAGTCTCAATGGCAGTCTCAATGGCAGTCTCGATGGCAGTCTCAATGGCAGTCTCGATGGCAGTCCCCATGACGGTTTCTATGAAAATTTCAATGACATTCTCAATGACTATCCCAATGACTGTTCCGCAAATTAATTGGATACCAGGGACCTACCCCTGTGAGCAGACTGTAAGTCCTCAACTGAACTTCACGATCTTCAGATGTGGTAGAGACCGGCCAGGTCTGCCGCATTAGAAAAGCGTCCGAGGCACCACAGCATGGCAAACCGTCAAAGCCTGCCTGAGCGGTCAACGTTGATAAAGGTCTCGGCCTTGGCTTGATCGAATCGGCGAGGTATACAAGTTTGAGCTTATACATCATCACCGAGCCAAGCAAAGCCGCGATATCTATCTGAGGACAAGAATGTCGGTGACAACATGCGACGCAGTTACTGGCTTGTCAAGTTCTCATAACTCAGTGTCCAGCACGCGATCGTGTCCACTAAATCAGAGCGCAGAGTGAACGAACACCAGCATGACTAATTCTCTTCTGCGACCTTGCGGCCACTAAACTGCGATCGTATTTTCCCGCGGAAGTTCATATGAGATTCTCGTTTCTCGTTGGCTTTTGCGCCCCACTTGGGCCACGAGCTCCAAGCCCACGCAGCGGACATCCGGGGTCGGGCCCGATTCGAGAAGAGGAGAAGAAGAAAAAAAAAACTTTTATTTTGAGGTTGGAAGATCCCCGCTCATTTCACGCCATCATTAGAAGTGACAGCACGAGACACTGGCAATCGCGATTTCCAATCGACACACTCGTTCAAACTTGAGACAACGCGAGACAATAGGACCGGCAAGCATGGCCTCGGACATGGAAATGATGGAGGCTCCGAACTCAACCCGCGGCAGATTGCGCATTGTTGCCATCATGACGGCACTGTCGGTAGGTTAAAATCTGCTACTTGGAAAAGACATGAAGTCGTAAAGTTATACGAGATTGATCAGTCGTTTTCTAATATTATTCATCACAGTTGGCCATGCTTGTCGCAGCCCTGGATCAGACCATTCTGGCGACGGCGATCCCAACTATCGCCGCAAAATTGCATTCCGCAGCGGGCTACACATGGATCGGTGGCGCTTATTTGCTTGCAAATGCGGCTGGAGCCTGTATTTGGGCCAAACTATCCGATATCTGGGGACGCAAGCTGATCCTGTTGATCGCTGTGGCCTGGTTCTTCGTTAGCTCAATCATCTGCGCTGTGGCTGTGAGTATGGAGATGTTGATCGCGGGTCGCGCCTTGCAGGTATGTCGTTGCTTTATAGGAGGACTTGCTATTGTTTCTCTCGGAGCACGATGGGTTCTCAATCATGAGATGCTGAAAGCAAGAATCAATTTGCTGACCACGGCACAGGGCGTTGCTGGAGGTGGATTGTTGCAGTTGATTACCATCATCATCTCGGACCTTTTCAGCGTCCGGTGAGTCACTCCCATTCATCTAATTTTCAATACACCTACCATACTCATCTAAATATTTTCAAGTCATCGAAGCTTATATCTCGGACTCATGGAGTTCATGTGGGCATTTGCCGGTGGGATTGGGCCTCTACTCGGCGGTGCATTCTCGCAGTACGTCTCATGGCGTTGGAACTTTTGGATCAATGTTCCTGTTTCCGGACTCACTTTTATCCTGTTGTTCTTTTTCCTGGACGTCCACAATCCACAGACAAAGATCATGGACGGAGTCAAGGCTATCGATTGGTTCGGTAGCGTCTCGATTCTGGGGCTCACCCTTATGCTCCTCTTGGGTCTCGATTTTGGCGGAGAGACGTTCTCCTGGAGCTCAGCTCAGGTCATTTGTCTGATTATCTTCGGATCAGCCTGCTCGTTGCTTTTCATATATAGCGAGAGGTATCTGGCAAAGTATCCCCTGATGCCAATGAATATCTTCTCTCGCCTGTCCAACATTGCAACTTTGGCTGTCGCTTTTGCCCATGGATTTGTGAGTTGAACCGTCTGTCTCTTGTAGACTATCAAAGTCGCAAGCGCAAACCGATAACACGAGCTCTGCAGGTCTTCATCGCAGGCGAATATTACATGCCACTCTACCTTCAGTCAGTGAAGCAAGCCTCCCCCATGCGCTCAGGAGTCCTCATTCTCCCCCTTCCCCTCGCCGAAGCGATCTGCGGCATCGTCACCGGCGCAATCATCCACAAAACAGGCCGCTATCTCGAACTCATCTGGGGCGGCCTAGCACTCATGATCCTCGGCAACGGCCTCTACATCCATCTCGGAGTCGACTCCTCTCTCGGCGAAATCATCGTCTACCAACTTATCAGCGGCACTGGCGCCGGCTTCCTCTTCCAAACCCCCATCATCGCCATTCAAGCCATGGTCTCACAGGACGACACCGCAACCGCAACAGCCACACTCGGCTTCATCCGGAACATGGCCACCGCCTCGTCGATCGTCATCGGCGGTGTCGTCTTCCAGAACAGTATGAGCACCATGAAGCCTGGTCTTTTGGCAACGGGCATGTCGGAGACTCTGGCCGAGCAGATGACGGGTAACTCGGCTGCTGCAAATATCGAGTATATTGGGCAGATTGAGGACGCGGCCCAATTACGGGCGGTTCGAGAGGCGTTTGCGTGGAGTTTGAGGAATATGTGGATCTTGTATACTTGTATGGCGGCTGTGGGGTTGTTCTTTTCGGCGTTTATTTTGAAGGCGAACTTGAATAAAGAGCATGTCGAGACGGTCACAGGGCTGAGTCAGGAGAAGAAGGGGGTTGTTGAGCAGTTGCAGCCAGTGACTACTGCATAGTTTGTTGACTGAGAGTGACGCGCTATTGAACGCAGTTGAAAATTGATTTCAGTGTCTTATTGATTCAGAAGCTTCGCCCTGAGTATTCGGCTGTTTTGCAAGTGAACCTGGTCACCGATATAGAAGGTCTGTGATCATTTGTGACAAATAAACTCGCTGTTACTTCACCAATGCCACAATCATAAAGCCATACTTTCAGATTGAGTCGATACATTTCCGGACGCATTTACACCTAGCGGATGAAAATCAACGCCCCGAAGTAAGTCACCGGGGATATATGAATATATATGACATTCAATGATCGAACATTGGGGGTAGGTACAACTCTTGAAAGTACATCCACTGAAGAGGAGACTTTGCGCCCCCTACTGCACAGAACAACTTCCACCAACGACACAAACAACCGGCGTATCCGCAACACTATTACCAATAAACAACTTTACGCCCTCTCCATTGACAGGCGCCTTCCAGTCCTGGGCAACAACATCCCAAACACTCACGTCCTTGCGCGTCACCTCGAGCGTCAAGGTCTGCGACTCTCCAGACGCAAGAATCATGGTCTTCTCGAATTGACGGAGCTGTAAGGCGGGCGTGTCGACGCCAAGGCTCGACGGCAGCTGCACATATAATTGTGCGACGGCCTTGCCGGAGCGCGAGCCCGTGTTCTTCACATCGACTTTGACAGAAAATGCAACGTCAAAGAGGGCTGGATTGCCCCCCTCACCGCCGCCTGCGCGAGGAACGGGTTTCTGGGTGGTACTGTACCCGTCTGGGTAGGGGTACTTGTCGGATGATGCGATGCTGGCGGGGTTGTCGAGGTAGGGGTAAAGGTAACGCCAGATGCGGGTGTATTTGAATGAAGACCATGATACTTCTGAGGCAGCGGGGATGGTGTTGTTATACACTGGTGTGGATCCCCGCGCAGGAGCAGATGGAGGATAGGCAGAGTTTAGTGCAGTGCCGATGGAAACAGTGGGATTGGTGAAGTTGAATGTCGTGTAAGAGAGACCGTAGCCGAACGGGAAGCGTGGAGTAATGGCGGCATTCAAGAAGTGGCGATAATCCACGTAAATACCTTCCGTGTAGGTATCCTGAATTTGTCCGAAAGGCTGGTTGAGAATTTTCACGCTGTCGGGATAGTCAGATTCACTGCGAGGGATTGTATATGGCATGTGTCCGCTAGGACTGTGGTCTCCGAAGAGTACGTCGGCAAGAGATTGGCCAGCTTCTTGACCTGGCAAGTGGGCAACGAGCACAGCCTTGACCGAGTCGAGATCGATCCATTCCTCCATAAGTATTGGGCCAACTGTGTGGACGACCACAACGACCTGTGAGAACTTTTCGGCTGCCGCTTTGACAAGATCGTCTCCATTGTGCCAGGCGACGAGACCGGCTGCAGTGCGGTCTCCAGGGTTGCCCTCCACAGTGATGTAGTTCTCCCCAGAGTCAGCATTAATGAATACAATGGCAATATCTCCAGCTTGTGCGGTCACACCAGAGGGGAAAGAGTCTGTAAGGTAGAATTTGGCGTTTTGAGTGACATTTGCAATGCCCTCCTGAGGGGTATTGAGATAAGGCAGCCTGGCAGTGCCACTGCCCCAACCCATAGTTAAAACGCCTTTATCGCATCCCATATCCGAGCAAGAATTGAGGCCATCGGGATTAGCACCTGCGTCGGTACCGAATACCTTCAGTGAGGCATTCGTAGCCAGCGGAAGGACGTTGTTCTCATTTTTGAGCAGGGTAATCGCTTCCCGAGCCACAGCCCGAGCTGTAACCTTATGGTCTCCTTGAACATCCACATATTGATTGACAATGCCACTGGGAGAAAAAAGTGCGCCCGGGTATATTGGACCAGTTTGGTCTTGCGTGTTTGTCGAGAAGTTTGGTAATGGATAATCCTTATCCTGGCCCATCTTGTACCACGTCGCCACGATGCGAGTGACCTAGGAGCAACGTCAGTGAGCAGATCTCGATGTTCGTTGCTACCGTCAGGACGGCGAACTTTGTAGCCCATACCATATCATTGAGTCGAGACACAGGAACGCTTCCGTTGAGAATAGAGCGCGAAAACTCAGAGCCCCAGTAGCTATCACCAAGGAGCGGCACAGCGCCATCGCCTGGCATAGACATATCAAGGCCAGATAAGGCAGATGCAACTCCCGTGTAGTGGCCCAGCCAGTCCGTCATGACAAAGCCTTGGAAGCCCAGCTCATCTTTAAGAATACCATTGAGAAGTTTACTGTTCTGGCTGCAAGCAGAACTGTTCACCTACGAGAAGAGATTATGATAAGCTGGTGAACGCGCAAGATCTCTAGGGACATTCTAGACCTACATCATTGTATGCGGCCATCAACGAGCCGACACCTGCTCGAACGCCTTCAGCAAAAGGCCATAGATAAATCTCGTGAAGTGTACGATCGTCGATGTTCGACGAGTATCCAGTCTGAGCGACATTGCTCATCCGGTGAATTTCCTGCTCGTTGCCAATAAAGTGCTTGATTGTCGCAATCGTGCCCGTGCTTTGCATGCCCTTGATGGTTTGAGCACCGCCGATGGCCTGAAGACTTGGGTCTGCACCGAAACCTTCCCAGTTTCGGCCCCCTCGGGGCTTGCGTCCAAGCGGGCCGACAGCTGGTCCCAGCTGGATATTGATGCCTTTTCCACGAGCTTCTTCGCCAATAGCTACGCCTCGCTGGTACATCAACTCTTTGTTGAACGTTGCACCCACCGTGATTCCTGCTGGGAAGGCGGTGTTGTGGTCTGAATTGCGAATTCCCAGAGGCGAATCTTGTAAGCAGAGATTCGGGATGCCAAATCGAAGGGCGCTACCGGTTTGACCAACACATGGGCCCATGAAGAAACCGGTACCCGTGGTCAAATTCACTTTCTCAGCAAGAGTCATCTGGCTCACCACCTGTTGAGCTTTCGTGTATGCTTCAGACCAATCGGAAGCCCAGCCCCCGAAGGGGGTAGGATAGTACGGCGGTGATGCATAGCCTGGAGCCGGCGAGTCGCGTCGTTCAATAGCGGCAACATTGTCATGATTTGTGTCAGGGACTGGGCTGCCAGTCACTGATTGAAAAATGGCCAATCCGTAAACAACTCGTAACCAGATCGCCATGGTCTCGGACTGTCTACTGGCCCAAGGTCGGGTTGACAGAGAAGATCTCAGTGCTTCGGATTATCGCAGCAATGAGACACGGGCGCAGGCAGCACAGAGACCTGCTATACCCACGAAAAAGAGGATGGTGTATGACATCTGTCTCGGCGACAGAGATATCACTCTCCTTAAATGCCTCTTGCGTCGTGACAGACACTTCTGCCACGATAAGTATAGATCTGCAGCCGTCATGTGTTGTGATAGGAACTGATCATCACGAGTAGACTCAGCCGTGCCGTGGAGAGCTCGTGTCTTTAGCCGATGCAAGACACGATGTCATAGGCCCGATCACCACCGTCGCGTTGGTTGGAGCGAATGCCATGGCATCACTTTTTCCTCTTTGGATGGTAGCTGCGTGGACTATCCGGGGAAATCGTGCAGGGACCAACAAGGCACGCGGCCCCTCTTTTCTCTTCTGCGGGCACATCAGGGGTATCAACCGGCTTGCGGAACCCAAGAACAGGACAGCACTCAAGCTAGGCATGCAGTGTGCACATCTCTGTCACTCTGGGCATCGGAGAAATCTCTCATCTAGGGTACAGTGTGCGTGATTAGCCACTCCGCGAGTTTGCAGGATCGGATTAGGAAAAGCCTTGCAACATTCATCCATACCTACATTCTGGATTGTGCGCTCTTCTTCGAGTGAGGGGAGGTGTCAATTGCTGCAGCGCTCATCTAAGCTCGGGAGGTCATTGGAGGGTCATTTGAGACCTTCTGATCAATCTGCTGCACGACCATGAGCGAGAAACCCTGAATAACTTTAAGCGCCGTACCAGTCGATCCGGTCGCCCGACAACGTCACTGTGCAAGAGCAACACCCATTGTGAATCAAATGGTCAATATCGCTCGATGGTCTCTGCAAGGCGATTCGAGATCCGCTGCTTGATTTCGAAGAGCGTGGCTGTGCAATCCTCGTATCGCTCGTGGTCGATGAAACCCTTCTCTGGCCACCAAGAGCCCATTCACTGCTTCATCCCTTCCAGAAACTCGGTTCCGCCACCGCACCATCGCTATTCTCTCTGATATGCTTTAATTCCCTCTCTTCATGGGTGAATTCGATGTCGCCATTCACGGCGGGCAGGTCCGCTCACGAATCCTTCAAATTGACCCGAGGAGATTGAAAATGAGACTCACCGTATTCGAACATTCGCTGGGCAAAGAACAGCAAATCGTAGGCTGGCGTCTTTTAAGAATCTTCTGCTCCGTACGAGGCCGATTTTTTGCACGCTTGAGCTTTCGCCATGCAATGATAGCATTTTGTGTGGAGTCTTCTCGCAAAGCCGCAGATCGCTCCTCCGAGGATAGCCCCGAGAACTTTGGCCGTGGAACTAGATCGAGTGTTCCGGGTTTGAGATTATCTCAGTCGAGGAAGGCCGGGTCAGTACAATGGTTGTAGAGGGACGAGATATGGTAGCATTGCCAGTCAGTAATGCCCGCGACTCTCGGGATTGAGCGGGTCGATGAAGACGCTGTCATCATGCAAGTCATTGTGCCAAAGGTACGGTTTGGTAATGGCAGCGTCTAGGGGAATAAGAGCGTCGACGATTTGGTGATAATTTTCTCGTAAAGTGAGCTTCTTAGTTTTGAAGGAGAAAGCCTCCGGATGGCATGCGTCTCTCGCATTGCAACCGCTTGAAGATACTGCAGTAACGTAGCCCCTGTCTTTATTTTAGCAGCTGTGCGAACTTTGAAGAAGTTGAAAGCAATGTCACGTACATGGCCCTCATTCCACATCTAGCGTGTGAGATGACCTTCGTCATACCAGTCCCGGACCTGTAACCGGACCAACGACAAATCCCGAATCTGAGATTGTCATACCATCCCTGACTGGTGGCAGTCTCTGCCGGTCGCTGCATATCTACCGCGTGGTATAAACTGCCAGGATGCGAAAAACGAGAGAACTGAAAAGCTCATCTATTGCTTTTGCAGAGGCGCCATGGCAAGAGGTACTTGAAGCTTCTGCAGGGAGTAGCTCTAAGTCGTGCCCTACCTCAGACAGCGGGACAGCCTTGACCTCATCAGATGGGAGATTCAGTGCCCACAATATGTGAGTCTGCTCGCAAATCCCATGCATGGACACGAGGGACGGGATTTTCAAGTGATTTCCTGGCCTTAAACCAAGGACTTTAGTCCATGTCTGCAACGATGCACAGTCAGGCAACACATACAAAAACCATAATCGCTACTTCGCTTACTATAAGCACCTTGACTACAACCTCTCGGCCGTCATCCATAGACATGAGGAGTGCTCTGTTGAACATGCCGTTGTTTTCTGACGGAGAAACACTGAGATGCCCCGATCGAGTCCGCTGCGACAGATACCAGAATATACTCATAGTCGAATTTGAACTCGCGCTTTCAGAGATTGTTCGCTTGGTCCATGAGGAATCTGCCGCGCGTGGATTTGCAAAACTCATCTTTTCAATTCCAATCTCATTTGTCAGCAGCATTCAGTCGAGATACGACGAAGCAGGTGAAGTTGATTGTTGAGTAGTGGCGGTATGATGATGCTGGAAATTCAATATTGAATTGACGATGCTGTGGGATTGGCGGTGGCTTTGAAGGGTATCGCCGAGTAGCCGTGGACGGTCGTCGGCACATGACTCAAGGATTGTGCGTCGGTACCATTCCTTGTAGCACTCTACATAATACCTAAGTAGTTAATCACTGGGCACGGCCTGACGACAGCCGCTTCGCTATTTATACCCATGGTCCGAGACGGTTTATTTGTTGAGGTGGAAGATGTAGATTCGTGTGGAAGGACCAACACCTGACCACATCGAGGCACACGCTTCCAATCGAATAACAAAGGACTGGCTGTTTTGGGTGTATGTCATCGGTCAGCATTCATAGTAGCCTTTGGTTATTTGTGCTACGTCGGATAATTGCATTGGACGTGTCGAAAACTTCATAAATCTTGCCACCAAACGAAGACTTGTGCTTGACTGTCTGGCTAGGCCCACCCTATACTGAGCTCGACGGTGAAACAACTTCGTCTCTGATACATTTCGAAAGCACAAGGGAGCAAGTTCTCCATCACTCCAAACGAACAATTGAAGTCACAATATATGAGTTCTATCTCTCGGACAAAGAATACATCTGATCTCTTGGAGCTCCTCTAGATCTTGGTGTACCGCAGATATGGCTTGACTTCGCGAACCTCGCCGAATTTCTTCTTCGCATCCTCGGTCGACACGGACGGGGGCACGATGACATCGTCACCCACCTGCCAGTCGATCGGGGTAGTGACGCCCTTTTTGTCACCAGTCTGAAGCGAGTCAATCACTCGCAGAACTTCGGCTGAATTGCGACCAGTCGAGGCTGGATACATCATGGTCAAGCGGATTTTCTTGTTGGGGTCAATGACGAAAACCGACCGGATGGTAAAGGCAATGCCCTTCTGATCGATATTGTCCAAGTCTTGCTGGTCAATCATGTCGTAGAGGAAAGCAACCTTTCGGTCGGCATCGGCGATGATGGGGAATTGCACAGTAGTGGAAGCGACCTCGTTGATGTCTTTGATCCATTCGCCGTGGGAGCCAATATCGTTGGCGCTCTGCGAAAATCGAAAGACGTGCTCATTAGCCGTGGTCGCGTTTGCGGAGAAAGAGTAGTGATAGTCAACAAACCAGTCCAATCATCTTCACTCCTCTTTTGTCGAATTCATGCTTCATCTTGGCAAACGCACCGAGCTCAGTGGTGCAGACAGGCGTGAAGTCGGCCGGATGGGAGAACAGAATGGTCCAGCTGTTGCCGATAAACTCATGGAAGTCGATCTCGCCATTGGTGGTCAGCGCTTTGAAGTTGGGAGCTGTCCTTTCAACATCAGTAACTGCGCGCCTCTCTTGATCAGGTCTATGCAGGTTTCTGGCATTGACGGGAGAATCTGGTGGCCCATCTCAGAACGTACCTGTTGAGCCCAGCCGCAGGCGTGGCTGTTCCTGGGGAACCGAGGCAAAGCAACGACGAAAGGCGACCTGAGGCTGCCGCAGCTGCACGCGAAGTGGTGCTTGAGCGACGACTTTCGGCACAGCCCTGAGACTCTGAAAGGCCATCTGATGCGCAATTCTGAGTACCATGATGTTTTGCACTTGATGAATAGGTATAGTCCTAAGGGGTCGGAACTCTAGTAGCCAGGTCAACTATTGCTTTTCATAACGACATCATCGATGGGTCAACTTGGCCCAGTTGGGCTTAGTCGAGTGATTAGCTCAGCGCATCGCAGTGGAGCGGATGAGGCCCACTTTTATGAGCTCTAGCCGGGTTGGGGAACAAGCTGTCGTCTGCGGACAAAAGCAACCACCATATGGCACATATAGTAGATCTCAGAATTGCCAGTACACGGTAGCAGTCAGTGGCTGTCGAGCTCATAAGAGAGAGTTCAGCCATGCAACCAGGACGATTGACCGGCGGTTCCCGATGCAGGTCACGGTGGTTTAAGTGAAGATCCGGCTATTCGCATAGACCTGCCACCACCACACAGCTCTCCGAATGCTTTGAGATATCGAAACTCGTCGAAGTCTCGGGCGGTGCTTCTTTTTCCAAGCAGGTGATTTACTTCAAGTACTGCAAGCGAAAGTGAAGACGGATTTTTCTCAACTGGTAGTGTGGCCCAACGCCCATTATCCAGCTAGATTACCAGGTGAAAGTCAAGTGGCACGGTTCGCCTTTAATCCACCGTCTCATAGCACGTGTCACGATCTCCGACCAATTTTATTTGACATATATGTATCAGAGTGCATCGAGACTTAGGGAAGCTTGTGTTATCCGCCTTTGCCTATCAGAGCGATCCTTAACCATCGTATTGCTCCCATCAGGAATAGGTTCCGGATGTGGAAGGTGGTGCGGTGGTACAGCTAGAAGCTAAGTACCACGTCGGTTTTTACTAGCACTCAACCAGTATCAGTGTCCTTTTCGCAGCTAAGTCGTCTCAGTATTCTTTTCTATACTAATCGCATCTCATGCAATAAATAAGTCGTGCTGATAAAAAGGTCCGGTAATTCTCCACATTCCGGCGTTCCTTGAAGGTCGTCGAATGCGGCGTGTCGATTATGTGCCGGCGCAAAAGGTCCACCATCGAATAACCTATCTTAAACGCAGAGCTGCCGTTCGCGTCGACACAGAAGAGCGCTCGCAGCTAATAGCTGCTTTGGTGTAGAGTCCACTTCCACATGTCGCTATCCGCTATAGGTAATATAGGTGATATGTCCGACGAAAATGATGGTGACACTTTGTTCAAGACTTACTAACTGAGGGTCGTACGGAGCCCTACCTACATCGGATCCTTGGGATCGTCGCTCTCCAGTGGACATTGCTGAGGTAGTACTGACCCCACGGGCAGAGGATGACTCTGATATTGAGTAGAATGAATCCAGACTTTTGAGCAGAGGGCATAGCAAACGCCCATGACACACACGTTCGCTCGCTCTCGTCCCCGATCGAGATCTCACTTTTCTAGACTCACTTACTGCGCTGTAGCCTCAAGATCGCTCTGGCCTCTTCAAGACAACTTCTGGCGCCAGTCGATCTGACCGGCGTTTCAATGTCAACATGCTTCGCTCCCCATATTACATGGTCATTCTGATTGGGCTATTTCTAATAACTTTGTTCTGGCTTGCAGCGCGTGACGGCTCTACTGGCTCCTCATGGAGTCTACCATATGGTTCATGCTCATGTGCAGAAGACATTAACGATGGCATTCGGATCAAGCCACACAATTCACTGCCATCGCCATCCACCACGCCATCGACATCGACATCGCCATCCCAGCCCAAGAACAGTGCAGCTGCAACTCCCACGAGAATTGACGAAGACCTGCCATCATCTCGGCTGACACCCCAATCCTACTACTTGCCCTTTCGGCCCTCTCACCAGCTCGCTCGCCTACCCTTTCCAGCAAAAGTATGGCACAAGGCAGGGCCCAACGGTATCAGCGAGGACCGCCAAAGGGATATGCAGTCTTGGTTGGCAGTGAACCCGTCTCTCCGCCATGAGACCTTCACGGATGGCAGCGCCGAGTACTATGTGAAGGAGAAGTTCGCCAAGTTCCCCGAGATCATCGACACCTACCAAGATATGCAAGTGCCGATCTTGAAGGCCGACTTTCTTCGACAACTGATCCTCTACGCCGAGGGCGGTGTCTGGAGCGATCTCGATGTAACCTGCCACGAGCCTATCGACACGTGGATACCAGAGAAATATAAGAGCCAAACGAATGTGGTGGTAGGACTGGAATTTGACGGCAACCAATTCGCCAGTTGGACGATCATGGCAAAGCCACGGACCAACCACATCGCCTCGGTCATCGATTATATCATGGAAAAGCTGGACGAAACAGCTCTGCGGGCCAACACCACGGTTGCAAAGATCACAATGAAGGACATCGAGGATGTAGTCGCTCTGACTGGTCCGCAAGCAATGACCCAGGCTATCTTTCGCAGCTTGTCTATCGACTTGGGCCAGCCCATCAGTGGGATAGACGTTGCAGACTTGCGTGCACCCATTCTGCTGCATGATGTCTTGGTCTTGCCAAATGCGGCCTTTGCCGCGATGCAGGGAGGCTGGCCAGAGGACCGGGGACCTTACTTGGTTGAGCACCATTATGCTGGGTCGTGGAAGAATGATGATGGCGGAGAGACTTCGACGGACAAGGCGGCTGAGAGCGCGAACGAGCAGACTGATGATCCCGCGGTGAGCAGTGAATCAGAAGAGATCAAGTCTGAGATTCGAAATGAGTGAGTGGTGCACCTCTTGGATTAGGCCAGCTCGATTGGAGGGTGGTGAGATGAGAGTTGTTTAAGCTTGCAAATTTCTTTGTCCGGTTGTCCATGATCATGGACACGCTGTTATTCGGGTCTTTCCAATTGAACATATTGTTTTTGTGGTCGATGAGTTCATGACATCACGCGAGATCGTCTAAGTTGGTGATGAATTGTCTGATTGAAGAGGTGAGCAGTAGGTCCCGTGCTTACCTTTTCATCCTATACGATGGTATGATCGCGATACAGTGTAAATCATTTAATGCGTCTGTCGGCGTACTTCGACTCATCAACTTCTCTTTGTTATGAACGATTTCACTAGAGACATCTTGTTAGGCAAGGATCGAAACCACCATCCGACTGCCTGAAGAGAGGGTCACTCCGACTTGCCCACCTTCTGCCAGGCCACACCTGTATATGCTACCCACTGCCACCAAACATTCCCTCCGATTGACCTCATCAACATCGTCGAGAAACACAGAAGCAAACAAAAGCACCATCGAGTATCTTTCATAGTGCTAATCTCACGCATTCCAAAAAGATCATTATCGAGATCCCCTCAAAGAACTCACACCAGAATAAGAGGCCTGCAATGCTCGCCCGGACATATCACTCGATCCAGACAAGGCAAGCGAGACACAACAACTCCCGTAGACCACGTGGAAACCAGACCAGATGGATTTCAAACTCCATCCCTTCACTAAATTGCACCGTATCGCGTGGACCTGATCAAGACAAGAGTGGAAGGTGTGAGGAGATAAAGATAGATTTTGAACCAAAGTCACACCCGTCCAGGGACAATCTAGACTGAATTCCAAATTGATGATCCTGACTACTGCACTCATGTACTTACTACTTCGTACTAAATAGAGGGTGGACCTCTGCGGTGCGATTTCTACTCAATCAAGGCAATGGTGTCACAAGCCGGGGGGGGGGGGCCCACGACATGCAATATCGGAGCTCCTCCTTTCCGTTCGGCAAAAAAAAAAGCACCGAAGCGACCCCCGGTAGCCATATTGAGGTATGTGAAAAGGTAGAAAAGACAAAACAAACAATATCTGAGCCACGCTACTGTAAATGGGTGCGCGAGCCCGGCCGGGCCCCGTCCAGTCGTCTTGACGATTTTGGGGGCGGAACCTAAGGGGCTCCATCAAATGAACGATCTGCATAAGCGAAGATGAGGAGACGAGGATGATCTCCTTCCGGTCCGTTGACTGTACTGAGTCACTGATAACGTGGTGCACGGCTGGGCATCTGCAAGAATGGAAGGGAGGTGGCCCCCACTCGGACCATTAGCTGAGCAATGAAATGGTAGACTGGAGGGTGATCCTGCAGATTGAAGCGAGGACTGAAGCTGGGTGTTTCAGATGTTGTCACCTGTCATTTGGATGTAGATCTCTACCTAGGTATTTCTGGGCAAGATGCCTACACATCGAGTCGGTGTGTCGGCGTATCGGTAGCATTATGGATATGGATTGTGGAAGGATTCATGTCCACTGGACCTAATGCATGCATGCTCCTTGCCTTACGCGCCAACGAGAACATTCTGGTTTAGTTTGAACCCGAGTGACTGGAATGGTCATATATTAGCGAATCCTTCCGCTTGTTCGCTATTAGATGTCAAGCTGCCAGGATATCTTCTGTGGCTGTAGATCTAGCCTGTTCCACCCTTATTGCCTCTAAAGATAATTCAAAGTGCGCAATTTGTGTCCAGTGTCTCTACAAGGTCCTATCGCCAACATTTCGGAACGGAATATCTTAACCGGGCCGAGGATACAGCCCATCACATGGCACTGGGTTACAGAGGTTCAACTCAGGTACATGCAAGCCAGAGAGAGATAACCACCCACACCTCAGCAGCCGGCTTGATACAATCATCCATGACGGGATGAGACTTAAGGTCCTACATTCGGAATGGCCACGTGAGACACGGCCAAGATGGCTACGTGCTAAAATCATGCGGAGACCTGGACGTGAACAAAGCAGGAACCATCCAAGTCGGGCTAAGCCCGGACATATTTTAGCTACATTCTACGTGCCAACGTGGAGTGCGAAGACACAATATACGAATCTCTTACAATGCGGTATGCCGAACAAGGCGTCTTGCTCCCTTCGCCAGGCAAACTTGCGTTCCACTGAACCTGATGGAAATGGCCGCTTGCAAATCAAATAAGCCATGGAAAGAGTCACGGTATTAATGGCTAGAGGGGCTAGTAGGTGGTAAGTAGTGAGAACAAAACTTACGGGCGCAAGCCGAGGCCGATCGAACGGGCTTCTATTGAGTCTCTCATCAAGACCATTGTCTGGACAAGATGATTAACACAAGATGCCTGTTACCTTCAGTCATTGCGGCTAGAGCGGTAGATATAGCCAAAGTCTTGAACCGGATACATCTTTCTTGGCGCCACTCCACCGCTCGAATCATGATCGTGAAACACTGGAAAGTATAGTACACAATTAGAAGAAAACGCAAGGTGATCATACATGGACTGGGGAAGCCCTCAATCTGCTAATTATACGGGCATCAAGATACCAGTCTTCTCCGAGTGTCCGAGCGTCTGGACCCTTATAAATGATGGATCATTAAAAACGGACGAAACCCTTAAAGTGCGTAGGCCGACGGGGGCCAAAATAGTTGGCCCACGTGCACAAGGTTACAAGATCCTATTTATCAAAGACTCGATCGGGATGTCGAAGCGGTGAAAGCAAAAAGAGCCTCTTTCTGCATAGTATACTAAGAATAGTAAGCGTAGTGGAGGAGCGAGTTGAGGCTGAGTTATAGTTACCATAACATGCTTAACGGTTGATGTCGCTATTGGTCAGACGAGAAAATTATCGGCGGGGATGTGTATCTGGGGGTCCGGTTAGCTTAGGCAGCCAAGGGGAATTCCAAAAAAATCGGGGCGTTGACGGGGAAAGGGCTGGCTGAGTGTTCCTCATAGTGATTTCGAAGTAGTTACCGTAGTAGGTAATAGGCAGGTACTGATTTGAAATCCGATATTCTCTTATCGGGAATAAGCTGGCTCTCTTCGGATGGAGAAGACTTACAATCGTTGCGGGGGTAGTTAGTACCTCTCAGCCTCTCTTGGCATTAAGTGCCACATTGAGTGGTTGGACACCGTGGGGCTTGGTTGACTATACGAGTCTAGGCAGTGCGCGATATATCAGGTGAATGAAAGATGAATACAGAGTCAGTACCGGTCTTTTCTCTTGATCCGATCATTGATAATGAATTTCTTTTCATCTACTCTTCTATATTGGTTTGATCCAAGTGCCAAAAGTAACAGTATGAATTAATTATGCGAGGCAAAACCGCCGTAGTAGATACACAGCGCCTTGCTGTGACCGTCCATGCAATAATGCACCACTTCGGCCTTGTCGCCCTCCGGCACAAACTTGGCCATCTGCCTGGCATCTGACGTCCGTGGCAGAAACAGCGCCACAAGGGGAGTGAACATTGAATACTCCTTGTATAGCCTTTTCAGGGAATAAGGCTCCATGGTGCTAAGGTTGAAGACATGATCCGAACGATATCCCGGGCCTGGATGGGAAACAAGTCAGCGCTCGGTCTGTGAGAGATTGAACCAGGGACAATGGGGATCGACTCCACATACCTCCCCAAGGTGGACTGGCAAAGATCACACTGTACGGTGCGAGATCTTTCAGTTGGTTCTGGAGAATGTCGAAACAGTCGCCTTGGAACCAGGTGATTTGGTTCCCCACGCCGTAGATCTCGGCATTATGCTGGGCACATTGCAAAACGGCTGGGTTCTTTTCAATGGCGTAGATCCGCTTCCATTTACGCGTCTGTGCAAAGGCGATCGTGTTGCCTCCAGCCCCAGCGAAGCAGTCTACCAAAATGCAGCGGTCTTCAGGGGTGGCCTCCGCCATATGATTGGCAATTTTACTGTTTCGCCTGCGTCAGCACTAGTTGTCTTTGAGTGTGGCAAGAAGGTGTGGTGGTCAACCTACTGGGCGACTGGCTCTGGGGTGACGCCGAACCACGCGTCGTCAGTCAACCATATCCCGTCATCGTATCGTGAGAAAATGCGATGTCGTTGAGCCCAATAACTGCAAAAAAGAAGTCAATCAAAAGGATCCCAAAGAAGAAGAAGATGTTCACGTGCATGTCAAATGTGCTCACTTTTGAATATCCCATGGTACTTCTTCAATACTCTGATAGTGATGCACCTCGGGAGGAGCAACTTCGGTATCCGCCATGTCAGAGGATTGCCGGGGATGTGTGTGTGTATCAGGTTGAGCCACCAATTGCGACCACGCAGCTTCACGATGGGCCGCCAAACGAGGCTTAGAACATTAACATGCAAGTCAGGGTTCCACCTGATGCACGTCAAGGAGTCGAGAATCTTGAGTATCGTTTAATCCCAAACGGTCTGTGACGTTGACAATTCGGGCAGGTCCATTTATTAGCAGGAGATGCAATGATACATGGTGATCGCGCGCCGGTCAAGCGGAATCTACCGCCTCCACACAGCTCGGGGACTTTTTTTTTTCTGCCTTCCTTTCTTGTGCCGCTAAGCCCTGTTCGGGACTCTCCTCTATGCCGTCTCCTGGAGCGACGGTGTTTAGATGACTGCTGTATGCATCGAAGTGAAGTGGAAATGATATGTTCATCGACTTGACTTTTTTTTCTCTTCAACTCTTATCGATTCTGACTTGATGATTGATTTCAAGATTTACTGTCCTCTACGTGAATCGAAGCTAGGATCTGAAGCAACTTTTTTTTTTTCAATTACCGAGATACTTTGACCTAGTATTTCTGATGATATATTCCTTCGTATAGTTGTAATTTCTAGTCTTATTCAAATAGTCACTGATGTCAAGCTTACTAGATACGGTCTAGGTGTCGGGTGTATTCTAAGTTGATAGTGCTGGCCCTGCTGGGTGATCGGCGGTGATCCCTCGGATTGGAATCATACAGGGTTTTGCAGCTATATACACCAACTCGGTGTCTAACCATTCCCAACCCGTTCTCCACGCTGTCCGTGAGAAAGCAAACATGCCTGGAATCTCAAGCCAACCACACCCAACTATAAACGATCGTCTTCTCGTCTCTTCCCCCCACGCCGGAGCCTCTTTTGCACTCTCCCGTTCATCAGGGACGATTGGTCGGATCACCCATGGCGTCAAGACGCTCCAAGTATTCCAGTAACCTATTCGAGTAAATAGTTCGACAAAAAGCCCCCCGCCCCGGGTCGGAGCCACCTGAGTGCATAACTTCCGCATAAGCAGGAAGATTCTACCATTTGAGGCAAATTCGGCGGGGACTTTTGTTGTGGGAAAGATCCATGATTTTATTGTTCTCACCTTGCCCAGTTGAGGGTCCCTTCAGCGGCTGGATCCCAAGCCACCGAAAGTCTGAATTGGAGTCAATAAGCACCTTGGTCCCAAAGTGCGAGTGCGTGGTTCCAACGGCGACATCTCCCTCCGAGAACGCCAATCACTCCGACTGATGGTCGGCGACCGTGTCAAGACTCGAGACCACGTCTGCAGTCCAAAGTCCAGACTGCAGACTACAGACTACGGAATGCAATGGATGACCTCTAGCTCCTCGACTGGGGATTATTCATCCTTTCCGTTCCCAAAGTACGTGGGTTTCGTGTTTTGCGATAGCGTCGACCAGATGGCTGCAAGCGAATACCACCTCGTTGTCACTATGACTCATCTTGTACCACTTGCACACGGGACACCCGAGCCGGTACTGAGTGATGGCCATCTTGCGACCACCATCGGGGGAAACAGGTCAACGATCTTGACCACCGATGCAGTATAGCGGAAAACGTGGTGTTTTTACACAGTCCAGTTTCAACCAGGTCAGGAGTTACGCTCACGAAAGGTTACATTGGTCCAGATCAAGACCGAGGAGAAATGAACGTTCCACGGTCCCGACGTCCTAGTTTCGACTCCCCAAGTCCCCGGCAGGACCATGTATCTACCTCGTCGAACTAGGCTCGGCCACGAGACAGACAAAGGGAGAGATGTGCTTCCAAATACTAGGCGTACACAGATGCAGTCCCAGATATGAGCCACAACCGACGATACAGAAGGTGGTAGATCAGAGGCTTGTCAGTTGATGCTACCAAGATAGAATCCGACTACTGCCCGTCCTTCTGTAGCCTACCCGACCGACCACCGAAGTGACAGGACAGAGTTGGACTGCAGAGGACAGAGGACAGACTACTCGGTAGAGTCAGTAGTAGTACTACTACTCAACTACACAGCGGCCGAATTGGGTAGAGCGGAATTCAATTGTGAAACCGCAAAACCCGAGGACTGTCGAGGTGCAGGATCCCAGTCCTGCGGAGTGCGGACAGTACCTTGGTGCGATGGGTATACGCATGCCTTCCCAGTGCCCAATGCCCAGTGCCCAGTCCTACAGAATCACACCAGACGAGAAGATTGATAATCAACAGATCAACACTGCCGACCAAGCTCCCAGGAGAATCAGAGCAGGGGGTTTGAACAGGCAGAAACGGCGGAGTTGCCGAGCATAGGCTCCAGCCTCGCGCCTACTAGTACCGTACCTCTTATCCCCGTCGATTGCGTGGACGCTTTACGCTATCCCGGCCCAAGGCTGGGACGAAACGGCTCTTCGTTCCCGCTCCCGAGTCCCGACTGGGGGAGCTCGGGGGGCCTTGAACTCATTCCAGGGTTGAACCACAAGGCTAAAGTGGTCATTTGGTCGTTTTACTACGACATCCGACAGGTATAACTATCCCCTATAAAGCCTCGGACGGATACAGTAGCCATCTGGCGCGGGCTCGGCGACTCGGACCCCCGACGGATCCTGGTCAGTTTGACGTTTGACACGGTTGAGTAGTACTCTGTCTGGCACTTGTCGGCGTGTCAAGGTGCGTTTGCCGGTCTCGATAGTGGCTCTTGAGATGGACAATTACCACTACCTGGTACCTAGTACCTAGTACCTACAGAATATCACGACCAGTAGTAATGTCGATCTTGTTTTTTTTTTCCCCTGGGCGTCCTGCGCAATTGGTGATGATGATGGATCTCAGTATCACAGCCTCACCATCCAGGACTTGAATTCCCAGCCGCAAGAGGTGCCGACTGCCTGGTCGAACTACTAGACCTCAGACGGTGACATCAACTCGACCAGCGAGATCCAGCTGGGCAGGTCCCCCACGAACCAAGATACAATGATCTGTCATGAGGGAATCAGCATTTCGAATCATGATGACCGATTTTCGAGAGTTGTGCTTAATAAACCATGGCCAACGTACCTTAGTACAACAGGGTAGCCCCCCTTTTGACTGGGCCAGTCGGTCTCGGCGGCCCCGTTGTCTCCCCGCTTCTTATCCGGCCGATCGTGATGGAGCATGGGAGCCGGCCCCCCATTCCAGTGCTTCAACAGGTAACCGGAAGACGCATCGCTTGTTCATGCTATCTTGAGGCGAGAGAATCCTCCAGGCTGATCAATCAAACAAAAAGTGTGCATGGACCTTAAAGAAGGGAGGGTAATGGCAGTACAAGAATAGACCCCTGATCAATCAACTCAGCCTCTCGACAAGGTCAATTTACAACGCTGAACGCACTCTCTGGCCAAGACAGGAGAATCAACGTGGACGCCCGTTGAGGTCAGATCTTTATCCCCCTTAGTCCGCGTGCTAAGAGAATCTGCAGTTGTGCATCCCCGTCACAGCCGACCAAAAACGTGGCAGAGCCAGCCGCCAGTTCCAGTTCCAGTTCCAGTTCCAGTTCCAGTTCCAGTTCCAGTTCCAGTTCCAGTTCCAGTTCCAGTTCCAGTTCCAGTTCCAGTTCCAGTTCCAAGTTGTGTTCCCGTTCAATCTGAGGCGCGCACGTTCCGTTCCCTCGACACTTGGTGACACTAGGCCAGTTAGAGTTAACGGAGGTTCAGCTTGTTGGGGGGGGGGGGGGAGTCAATGGAGAGGCCAGGGAGGCGTAGCAGTGACGGTTATCAAGTCCGGTTGTGTCGGTCCAGTCATATGGGGTGAGGGCAGTAGGAAGGACTGTGCAAGTGTACAAGATTTGGAATTGTGGTAAAGCAGCGCTTTCTCGTTTCCACCGATGGGATAGTGGATCAATGTGCTCTTTGTCATTGTGATTCGGTAAAAATGACTCTTTCGAGTGAGGAGACAGAGACAGAGAGAGAGAGAGAGTCCATGTCTGCATAGTGACAAGTCGTCGAGAAAAGGGCCCCGGGTCGATGAGGACTCATTTCGGATAGCGTGCATAGAGTCACGGACAGCCTGCTTGTGTCCACTGTCCAATGTCCATGCAGTACACGCACTGGACGGGTACCAAGTCACCAACAACCGTCTACTACCCAGAGAGCCCGGGGGAGAGGTAAATAGTATGAGCGAGTTTACCAAATTAGGTAGTCAGCCTCACTTCCGGCCGCTAGTTTGGTGTAGGTCCCAGTCTAGTGCTCGTGCTACTGCGTAACTGCGTACTGCACACCACAACTGGAATAGCACACTGCGACTGCGTCGAAAAATGGACCGGACTGTTCGAGGAAAGCCAGAAGAACTGCCTTTGTACGACTTTGATCCGATCGGATACCGTTCTTGTCTTGTCTTTTCCTTTCTGTTGTTTGACCTGTCCTCGTTTCCTTTCTTTTCCTTTCTGTTGTTTGGCCTGTCCTCTTCCCTTGCATGTCCAGTCTTCTCTCGTCCAAAACAAAGGTCTTCACGGTCGAGCAAGGATCACCCCGTAAACTCAATGCTACTGTAGCGGAAGTCATACCCTTCTTTGCGCATCGGTAACAGCCTCCCTGGCCCGAGACTGAATCTGGGACCTTGAATGCCAATTCTCATTTCATCTGGAACTTCCACGTGAGAGATGTACATGCATGCTGCGTAACCTCCCGTCCCATTCGACTGAATTGGATCGGCTCCGGGATGGGTAAATGTGACGAGACACATGACGTGCTTGGGTTGTAGGGAAGCCACGGATAAGGGAATCTCTTCGAAGGGTCCTGAAGACCGACTGAATGGGCGGTTGACTCTAGGTCGTCAAGTTCGGCATACACTTGCCAAAGGCCGTGGACGTATCTCGGTTACTTTGAAGATTGTTTGCAAAGACAGTCGATTCAAGATCGTGATGGTGATTACCACGCAGTCGCCCTATCTCCGAGACTGGAAGACTTTCTGTTCAACTGGAGCAGTACCACGGAATAGGCGTTCCAAGTCCAACAGTCCAGGGGTGAACTTTCTGAAGCCCATTCTACCAACCATTCCTCCATGGGGAGCTTGAGCCCTGACTGAACGACCACCCACCTCATCTGCACGACTTGACTCACTCTGAGCAAATCCCGTCCACTCCTCCCACATCCAGAGTCGCGGCGACTAATTCCGTCCGAAATCCGGCACCCGCAGCTCGGGTCCGGACTTTGGTGCGGCTATAAGGAAATCAAACACCAAAAAAAAAAAACCCCCTTTGAACCGACACCGTACCAGAGCCCACTCAGCCCCGTCCTGGCGGTGGAAATGCATCGGCGAAAACGAAAATAAAACCCAACGGGCTGGGCGGGACAAGGCTGGTCGGGACTGGAGTCCTCTTGGACTGGGGGCGGGATGGCACGATGGATCATGAACAATCTGGGATGGACCGGTGGCAGTCGATCTGACTAGACCGAGCAAGGCAAACGGAGGGCCATTCTGGCTATTCCTAGGCGCACAGTTTATCTGAGGGGGGATGGGATGAAATTCATGAAAATGCTGTCGAACGATCATGTCTATCCACTCATACCGTGAGCGGTGTCCAATCTATACCGTACATTCACGTTGTCGAATCGTCTTCCTCCTGGCCTCGGTGTCCTTGCCCACTGCGTGTAGATAATCATGTAGACTTTCAGTGACTGTACAGTATGCATGTACATGATTTACAGTGATGGCGTCGGAGATTGACTTTGAGTACCTTGACTGCATCGAGGAATCCTTGAATGCCCCCGGAACAATCATCATTTCCTAGTCGAAATGATGAAAATGATGTGCACTGCACTACTGTGTAGTGCGTACTTGTAGTAGTACCGTAGTAAAATACCTGGTGTTGATTGCGGACTTTGCTCAACGTGGGACCCAAGACGGCAGGCGGAGAAATGCACCCCAAAAAAAAGCCCAGGTGCTGGTCGCGGCTGAAAGCTAGACCGAATGAATCCCTGTCTAGTGGCCAGCCGGTGCGCGTAACGAGCCTTTTCCCTGGTCCATGAGTTGACAGGATCCCGTCTCGTAGTAGCGCGGGAGAAAGTTGTAGTGTTGCTGTGCCTCGAAAGGGTCATCAACTGATTGCGTGTCTCAGATCTATGGAAGGAGGGCCATGCTTGTTTCCCTCTGAGTGACATGGAAAGGTCCTTAATCACAAAAAAGATTGCTGCCACGCGGGTCATGGAAGACGAGAGCTTTGGGTAGGGTTGAGAGGAATAGGTGGATGTATGGATGTATGGATGTATGTCATGGCGGATGAAACATCTACAGCCTGTCAACGGGGATTGGCGTGTGGGGACCCTTGGAATCAGTCTCGACCTTGGAATCAGTCTCGAACCACCGAGGCAGCAACGCTGATGAGATCAGAACTCAACTTGCTCATAGTGTGATGATGACACACCGTATGCGTATAGTTAACTAGTTACTAGATGGCTTAGTCGTTACTCCTTCATGATCAGCAATGATTGTTTTCCTTCATAGGAGAAGAGAAGTACCGCGCCCGAGAGTATGACGACCCAACCTCAGTCAGGTTGATTCGACTTCTTTCAACTACTATTGCAAATACCATTGATGATTATTGTGAGGAATGACTTTGGATTACCTGCTCGACTTGGGCAACGACTGGTTGTTTCACCATCGTACGGAAAAGGGTTTTCTTTTCGAAGAATTTCCACCACACCACTTTGGTGAGAAATTCTGGAATTTCCATCGATGGTATTTCAATGGCATTTTGGGGCCAAGCTTCGACTCGAATGGACAAGGGGGACAAGCACGATGGAGGGCGTGCACGGGTTCCCAAAAGGGAACAGGGGGGCTCCGCTCTTCAGGTGCAGGTCAGGCCTACCAAAGGCCAGGTTGGACCCATGCAAAGACCAAGACCTCCCAAGTCCAAAGCCCGCAAAATCTAATCCAGCTGATCGACGTGATGAGGAGCCCCATTCCTTTCCTGCGCTGTACCCTTTCCGATACCCGTCCCAAATGGAATTAGGGCGCGTGGGAGGGATTTATTGAAAAATAAAAAAGGAAAAATGAGATTATTCTGTCGAGGACAGGTTTGGAACCCCGAAATGCCAAGGGAGATGATTATTATTTCATAAATGGATGTAGTTCCCTCATCTAGTATAGCTTATAGACTACTACTACTACTACCAATACTACTACTACTACTACTGCTGCTGCTGCTGCTGCTGCTACTACTACTACTACTACTACTACTACTACTACTACTACTACTACTACTACTACTACTACTACTTCTACTACGTCTACCACTCCTACATCGTACAGAAACACCACTCTCTGGGTCTGCCTCTTAATTTGGACCCCGTGCCTGTCCACTGTCCGTTCTTCGGTCTCCGACTGCTGCAATCACCGGTCCTATATAATCAATCGGAAGACCCCTCTGCCGAATCAAGTCCACCTGAGACTTTTCTTCGTTCTTTTTTCTCTCATCCTTCAGTCTGATCGACAACAGACTTTCTCATTCCATCCATTCAAACCGTATACACTTTGCGCATGCAACTTGCCTCACGTGTTGATTTGCTTCCCCTCTATCCTCCTCACCTCTATCGTATACAACCCACTCCTCACTCGTCTCCCTCCCGCTCGAGTAGTGTTCACGACCCTCGTCACCATCATGCATCGCTCGACAAATCACAGTAATAGCAGCGCTTTCAGTCCCAACGCCAACCCAAATGAAGACTGGACCAAGATCTCAGATCTGGCCGAGCGAAGGCGGATCCAGAACCGCATTGCGCAACGCAACTATCGTAAGTTGGACATGGCCACCCCGTCGAATGCGACTCGCTCGTCTCGTGGTTTTGGTTGTCTTAACATTCGCGTGTCTGCAGGAAAGAAGCTGAAGCGCCGACTCGAGGATCTGGAGCGACGGGCAGCGTCTTCTACATCTCCAGAACCCTCCCCGGCGGAGATTGTGACTGCCCCCAAACCAACCACTGCCTCCCGCAAATCCCAATCCAAATCATCACGGCCCATCAAGTCTGCGGACAATCGCAGTCTGACCGCACACGGCGCAACCCACGAGCGGTTAGCGTCGCACGATTCGCAAACCACCAACCCAGATGAGAGGAACATGTTCGGACAACAATGTACTCGTCAATTGAGCGCGTCACCACCGCCGGCCTTTTCGTACCCACCACTCTCTGCCTTTGACACCTATCGACCCAATTATCCACAGATGCCGGTCTATCCTTCGGTCTCCAGTCCTTACGGCGAGGTCCACTACGCCCATTATCACGAGAATGCTCCCAACACTCTGCCGATGGTGCAGAGCCTCGGGATGACTCGTAAGCCCTACGACGAGGACATGATGAGTCCATTTGGCATGAGTTACGCTTCCATGGCCGGTATCGATATCGTGCCTCAACAGCACGCAGAGCCTCAACTTCCGGTACATTTCCCTCGTTAAAAACAATTGCCCACATGGAAACCTTGTTCTCTTTCTCTCTCTCTCTCTCTCTCTCTCTCTCTCTCTCTCACCAACTCCAGCGTGTCCGTATCTTTCATCAAGGTGCTTGCAACCAGATGCGCCTTCGACTCAAACAACAAGAAGGCTAATCAATTTCTCTTCTTCTTCTTGCACACAGGTGCCTATGTTGTCCTATGGCTACTCTCATCATGACGTGACGCAAACTCCTCATCTCAGTCACGGTCAACATCACCCTCCTCATTCCACCTCCAGTCACAGTCACAGTCACAGTCATGATCATCGTGCCGGTTCTTCCTCGACAGCTTCGCCTGAGACATCCTATTTTACCTTTCCACCGACTCCGCAGTCTCCTCCGTGCTCTCCACGGTCCATGCCGGGCTTTTTTGACTACGACCTACACCACTAAATATGACTCTTTTCTCATGGGAACCTTTTTCCACTCTGCCATCTCTCGCGAGAGAACCGGCAGTGCGAGGGAGGTGAGGCTTATTGCCACGGGGAACGTCCGAAGGATTCAACCCGAAAGTGTCATTGCGGAGCCGTGGCCCCCACTCGTCTACTTCGGGTAAATGCCAGACTCCAAGACTCCCGGCCGGACCTCTGGGTGCGGGTCGCTCCGCCGTTCCTCTTGCCTCCTCCCCCTTCTCTCTCTCTCTCTCTCTTCTTTCATTCCCGTGTCTCCGATCTGCCCGCAGAGGTGATTTATTTCTTTGCGTCACAGCAATGATAACTGCCACGAATGGGTAATTGCGATGGGATTGAGACCTCCATCGGGGATTACTGAAGAGGTGTGCATCTCATTAGTTCTTTATCAGCGGCCCTGTTTCTGGGTTATCGTGATTTGCCGTCCAATCTCCATTCTTCTCCATCTCCTCACCGCAGGCGCTCAGATGACCACGATCACGAACCCTTTCAATACGACAGTACGAGTACGGGGATTTCCGTCTCTACAATCCTGTGGTCATGTTCATGTTGTTTCACATGAGCCCTTTTTGATTTTTTTTTTTTTTGTCCCTTTTCTTTTTTTGTTTTCCAACCCTACACTACTGGCTGTCTACTTCCACCTCCGGAATCCACTCTGTGGCTTTGTTCCGTCGAGCATCATCTTTGGCGTGGCGTTTGGGACCTTGAATGCTGTTTTTTCCCAATCTTGGAAGCTCGTCGATACGGGCTTTATTTTCCTGTCTACACTGGATACCGGCTCGATGTACTGATTTCAACAAGATTGATCGTGTCGCAAGCTTGGAGCTGCACACCACCGAGCATGGGTGTCTTATGATCTTTAGGCATTTTGGAGTGAAAGGGAACGGGAAAGGGAAACATTAGAGTATACACAGAATCAGTCCCCTCTTCTCTTGAATGTCCGTCTATCTTCACATCTCGATATTCTTTGAGCCACGGGATAGATAGAATCACCGCGTGTCATACAAAGTAGTAAAACTACAAAATCTGTATTCGACAGGGTCTCGTGTGGATGTGATGAGGTTGGCACTTTTGTGTGAGAGAGGGTACCTAGGTAGGTCCTAGGACCTAGAGTCTAGGTAGTTCTTACCATCGGATAGGGTTATAGTAGAGCGTGGAATCCATTTATATACGCGACGATGTATAAAGAGCAAGAATGCTGAAAAGTCAATATACCTACAGTATCTACCTGTATCTTGGGCATTGCTCTGACGGGAATTCAAATCTGCTGTTCTATCTGTAGGTTACTACAATCTACACAGTCCTTGAGAAAAGAACTTGATCCTGGACTACCCACCTGCACTACCCTCGAGGGAGTTACTAGGTGGACTTTAAGATGGATGGTCTCAAGTCGAGCCCCATCTACTGGTTCAATTGCTATCGGAGACTAGGGCGACATACACCAGGTAGGTACAGCAAGGTACGAAAGTATTCGGATGAATGCTCGAATAAAGAGAGAAAGAAGAAAGTGGATTTCGAGAGCCGGGAGAAATCTAAGGCATTGAGATATGTCCAGCACGGTTACACTTGGAGTACAGTAGTACGACCGAAGTCATGTAGGAACTTCCTACCGAGCCTTACCACCATCCCAATCTCATTCCATTCTGATTCGGAAGAAGCTGTGAAAACGGCCCCCAGGGTGAATGGATGCATGTGTTGAACAAGATGGACCCTCTGCGACTCTACCGGACTGTCCCCAGTTCAGCATGTGGTTAGCGTGCATCCTTGGAAGCCGTGTTGCATGCATATCCAGCTATCATCGCGTCCTAGTCCCACTATTAGAAGCACCTCAGTATGGGTGCGGGTCGCACGTTGTCTAGCTCCAGTCCACGCTCTCCACTGCAGTCTACCTTAGTAGGTAACGCTAACCTACCCCAGTGTCGGGTAGGATCCATCCCGTTATTCGCTAATCCCCGAAAGCCGAAGCCAAGAGAACACCTGCCGATGGAAGATGAGCCACTCATCAATCGGTGCAGAAGCCAGAGGGCAGGGCAACGGGCGTAAATAGAAGAAGGGGGGAGAGGAGAAGGCACCAGTGGCACTGCAGTATTTGGGCACTCCCCGTGTTGCGGGATTGGTGAGTTGACTTTTCTTTTTTTTTTTCTATGACTCTTTACGATTTGAACATGGGAGATCGAAATACGTAGGTCGGTCCAGGGAGGTAGTGTTGACACCGAAAAAGGTTGTCGGAGAAATAGTAACGGACGAAGATGTGCTGTGGTGATGCTGCGCCTCTTTTTTTGGGGGGGGGGGGGGGGGGGGGGGCAAGAGCAAATGGGAGAATTTGGTGCAGGCTGCAGGGGACAAGACTGAGGATACGGGTGACTGGATAGGGTCGAGTGGATGCAGCATTTTCCATCTCATGCACCATGGGGAACGAGTGAAAGTCTAAATGTTTGAACTTGCTCAGTCTATGTGTTGGAGGGGAGGCACTGCATGCACCAGGCTTGACACGAGATGACTTTCAGTGGGTAGTAGGCAAGGTAGTAGGTGAGTAGGTACTAATGGCTAAATGAGTACAATCGAGTCCTGAGTCCTCAGTCCTGAAACTGACTCCTGACTCTGACTCCTGAGTACATGGAGGGGCCACACCTGACTAAGGTGTTGAACTCACCATGTGCTCAAGTTGGATTACTGCCACATCCACCCTCACCGTCACCACCATGATCCATGATAGTCCAAAGTCCAGCATCTCCCCACTACCCTCCTTCAGTCCCAGGACCCTGCCCTGATCTGTCCAATGTAGGCGAGCGGGAGAAGTTTCGAGCCCCCTCGTCTCCCTTGCCCCTCTCTTCCAAGTCCTCCTAACTGCATGCGTCGGGGCGAGAGACCTCAATCTGAATAAGGATAGTATTGCGACGGGACTATTTCCGTCTAACGTGGAGGGTACCCGCTTTTCCATCTGCACGGTTGCAAACTGCATGGTATCAAGTGAAGTTCCTTCGAATCCCATGTCCTCGTCCGTGAAGCCCGTGACGGATGGTGGCTTGCTTGCAGTTGACCATCGTCCTTTGAAGGGTTGACAATGGCTTGCCGAGGAGGAAATACTTTGCAGATGATTCAAGAGTGGATTCTGGACACAAGACACAAGACACTAGACTCTGGACTCTGGACTCTGCGGACTGAGAGAGAGAGAGAGGGTGGACAATCATGCAGCCTATCGTAATTTGGATCCACCACCACATCACTCTCTCCTCATGCAGACTCTGGTCGCAGCCCCCCAGGTGGAATCAGATTAACGGCCGACTCGTGATCGTGGCCGTGGATTGGATGAGGCTCCGTGGGGGCCGAACTCGAGTATCTGCTGCTGCTGCTGCTGCTGCTGCTCTCTTCTGATTCTCTCTGTCCTTCTGGTGGGTCTTGCGTTTTTACAACCCCCCGCACCGGACACAGAGCCGCCTGGAAAACGCCAATCCCAAGCCAGAAAACGATAAACATGGGAAATCATCGCTCGCTCTGCAAAAAATGGAAACCCCAAATCAGGCCATAAGACCAAAAACGACAATTAAAATGAAAATGAAAATGAAAATGGAAAAAAAAAAAGACGAAAAGGAAAGATAGAAATCCGGAACCCCAAATCTGAACCCCCCCACGCTCATAGACCCAAATGCCACGAGGCGTGACTCGCGGAAAACCAAAAGTGCCCAGACTGTTGGGTCCGGGATTGTGAAGAGTTGTTGGCGAACGGGTCGAGCCCGAGCACGGCTTTTCGTTGCCGCTCATTCACTACTGCTGCTACTCCTATTGACAGGCACTGAGGCACTAAGGCACTGAGGCACTGAGGCACTTAGGCACTAAGGCACTGAGGCAGTACTCTCCGCCCACGACCCACAATACTAATGGTGTGGAAGTGGCTTCCCCTCTTTGAGGATCGGCAACGATACGATGGACATGCACTTGAGGATGGGTGCGTCGTCTCGTCGGGGCATTGAGGATGGAGATGCACTTTGACAAGACTGAGAGACCACCAATTGACGGGCGACGCCTGATTGATCACGAAATCATATTTAGATGAATGACAGACCTTTCGACGTTGATTCTCGAGTACAACCGCGTCCAATGTCAACTGCCTCTCCACGTCAACCTTTCCGGGCATAAGAACCTAATTCATTTCTTCATCTCCTTATCCTTCCGACTTCACCTTTTACCCCCCCCCCCCCCCGTCCTACTCTTCTCGGGGAGTGCCCCCGAGAAAAAAAGTGCACCAATCAACCGAATCTTGCAACGAATGGTGGTCGCCCAATGAAGAAGGTGTAGCTGCTTCACCAGTCATTTGCTCAGTGCTCAGTGCTTACTGCTTAGTACCAACCCAGATGTTTACAAGCTAGCGCCCGTGGCCAGCGGCTAGGACTACTCCCTATTAGGACTCCGGTGCTCTTAGTCTTGCATACTTAGATTTGAAGTCCGTCTCAAATCATTGAATAGGATCGGGTCGGTCTGTAAGTCGTACATTTGCTCCTAACTTACTTGTTCGGTCTCAGGGACGTGTACGTAACTACGTTCAGCCTCAGTTCGTAGAATTTGTATCGTGGGATTTCAAGAAAGGCACGTCCATCGCGTGTGTGGCCTTGTTCTGTCTCTTCCTTTCTGCCTCTCTTTCTCTTTTTCTCCCTCTCTTTCGGAAACCCGACGCGATAGCTCCATAGAGGCTGAAAGGCTGGATGCTTCGAGAGTGGAGACGCAGAGGAAGAGAGAGGCATGTGAAAACGGGGTCCACGAGTCATGGCCCCGATTGATAAAATCATCAACCGCACTTTCTTACTGTACTGGAGGTGCACACTGTACATAACTACATACTACATAAAATGATTACTGATCGAAGCGGCTCCATGAACCTGTTTCCATTTCTTTTCGACCCTGAATCATGTTCACTCGGCACCGAAGCGCTCTTTTCCAGCACGGACAGCAGTACTACAAGTACAGTCCAGTTGTCTACAGTCGAGTTATCTTCTAGACCCCACATTGTGCAGTTTCCAAGCACCTACGCCTACCTCAGGTCGGCTGGTCAGGTTATCAGACGTCCATGAACGCGGCGTTTAAAGTTTCCGAGGATCCATCTCGCGCTGTGATTTTCTCGGTTCATTGATTTTCTTGACTCTCTCTCTCTCTTTCTGTACCTTTCGTGGCTTGGTCTTCCTGGTCGGCAAAGCGATCAAAGCAACCGTTGCCACACAATTCAGGCAGATTCAAGCCCACTTCGTGAGAACCTTGAGCAGCTCACCACTGCCACGAACAAATTAGCGAAAAAGTGAAACACTATGCAGTATGCGACTATGCACCACTATGCATTATTATCACGTCGTGTTGGTAGCCAACAGAATCCATAATCTGCCGCATGGGCACGTCGCACCGTTGAAAGTAGTCTAGTCTTCGTGTCGATGGCGACCATCAGACATACAGTACACGTCAATCACACCTAGACATTGTATTGAATCGTATGAGTCCGGTTACAAGGGAGTTGGGACGGGATACTCTAGTCGGTCTACAGTCTACACCGTACACAGGATGTGATTTGTTCCCATTAAGGTCTTTCTACTACCTATTCCTAATATACGACGGTGCACTGTCGCTCCGTTAAACCCATCTACTGAATGTTCAACCTCGACGTAACCGGAATCAACGAGAAACTAAGACTGGACTGGACTCGGCGACTCCCCGTCGGGCAACGGACGGAGAAACATGCACGAAACCCGATAGGAACCATGCCTGTTCTCGACTTAAGCGAGGAGGTCAGAGCTTTATTTTCCGTGCCGATTCCAAAGCCAAACACCACTTGCTGTTTACGATCTTGAATGAGAATTGAGTTTTTGAGGGGACGCATGTTTATTGCGAAATGGAAAGTGGAATAATAGCATCTCAAGTTCCTGGAGCCTGATAGAGGTAGACAAAAGCTGGAGGTATGTTCTTATCAAGCTTGTTTTCCATTTACGTTGGTTTCCCTTTGCTTCTCCGCCTAGAGGGGAAGTGAGCTTGAATATAGATTGAATTGATGGCGTGTTCTGCTCTTGAAGGCTCTTACTTTGGATGATCACTACTATAAGTGTAGATGAATGCTATGAAATACATCATTCCCATAATTATTGGACTGTGGTCAGTCTTTTCTACGCCCATTAGAACTGAAGTTCTTGCATGAGAACCGTTCTGTTCGATTAAGATTATGGCCAACACAGTCGCCTTGTCGACCGATCGCTCTGTGGTCTGAGATGGGTGGGAGGCACTGACTGGATACCTTGTGAGAAATCCATGACTCCCATACCATGAAAACATTCCTTATCTTCTGATCTCTGTTTTGCCTGGTGCTCGACAGGCTCATATCCGACCTGAGGTCGAGCGCACAGTCAACCGTGCAGCATTTCAAGTTGAGAATTCTTCTCAGTGGATTGACTCGTGTTTCAGAGCAGATACGCCCGCGATATACACTGCGTCTCTACAACCAGCATCGTCAAGCCGAGCCAATTCATTCGTTTTTCTTTGACTTACTTACATTGCAACGAATCAAGCCCGTAATTCGGGCTCTCAACTGAGATATACAACATCGAGGTCGGTATTACGCGCGTTCAGCCTTCCAGGCCAAACAGGCAGACTTCATCCACACTTGTCACTAACACAGTATCCATAGTCAACTTTGTCTGATGTTGACAACAGGCTCTCATGATCTCCACATGCACGTCGCTCCATGATGCATGTCGCACAATTGAAACATCGCCCTGCGAGTCCAGTCCTGCGGCACGCATGTGTATTCCCAGAGATGGAGCCTAGCTATCTCTATGGATATACCCGGCCTAAGCTGGAGGTCAAACACTGTAGGTCTCGTGATAGCGGACAAGTATGATTGAAGTGATACGTCCTGGACTCGGGGATTGGGGATCCCTATCTGAAACGAATGAGAATGGTGGTCGTTCACCACCTGCATTCCTTTTTCCATGATTGCTTTTCATATAACTGTCAACCGGGGGGAGAGACGACACTTCTACGCGTACATCGACTATGTGAACCTGGAGACCACGTGCTAGCCCAAAAAGTTAGAGCTGAGAGTTATGAATTCGAGCAGATGGATGGAGGTACAGCCGTAATCGCCGTACATTCAAAATTGACTTGTACATGTACAAAAAGCCACCTGCAGGAGACTGCAGCAGTGCATGATACAGATACAAACCCGAGCATTAGATCCATTCAACGCACTGGCCATGAGATGGAAGAAACCGGCATGTCGATCCCGAGGTCAATTATCTCCGACCAGACTTGCTTGCTTTCAGAAGCGAGCGGAAGTGAGCAGAAGCTGACGCCATCTCTTCTTTTCTATAGACGTAAGCGGGATATACAGATCTGCCTTGATGCTTGAAAAGTCATACCACACCGGATATCTTTCAGTAGATTTGTCAGGACCCCTATCGAAGGCAGGCGTCGAGCTATTGTTATATCCCTGGGTAGACTCGTTACTGCGTGGTAGGTACTCGCTCCTAGTTCGCACTAGCCTGTAGATCGATGAGATCTACCTTACGCCGCGACGTGCTTGGAGCATAGGTACCTACAGAGGTGCACCAAGTTCCAACTCATCCATTCCCGTTGGGCCATGTACGTCTTCCACCGGGAGTATGAAGCCGTCTCGGCGTCGCCGATGGTCTGGTCTTTCGGTAATGAACAGCACCAGAGCAAAGTATCAGCTGGGGACGAGTGCATAAATTTCACTGCAAGGAGACGGAGCCAGAATGGCTCCGCATCGTCAAGTCTTGAAGTTTCCCTTTTTGAAGTCCAGGTTGAAGTTGAGCCTCTCAGACCTCGACGTCGAAGATCCGACGAGAGCATGTGAGTGATCTTCAGCCTTCCCCCGGCATACTTTACGAATACGGCAGGGCTGAGATCGCAGGCAAATCCCTTCTGACGGTCAATGCGCACGTGAGCTGAGTTGTGTCCGAGCTCCGTTCTGTGGGATTTTTCACAAATGCTCGCGAGGTGAAGGTGATGTTGTTTTGTGATGAGGCTCCGACGACTCGTCGCCAGCTGGAGGCTGCACTAATTAATCACTTTGAGGTACGTCCTGGACTGGACCAAGTCTGGATCGTTCCATTCCAGCAGGGATGAAGTGGAACCGGGCGGAAACGCTTCGGAGACTCCGTGGCTGCAGCTAAATATCATTTCTGGTCTGTGTGAAGTATGGACTCGTGGATAAGTGACAGGGTGTCTTGAATGACGGGCAGGCCGACTTGACGTACGTACAAGACTTGCAGGTTCTAGTCGATGTTTAATTCCGACGAGGGGATGTCGCATTCGCCTTGAGATCGTCAGAATGATGCACGATTTGTAATCAGACTGAGGTTCAAGCTCCCTGCTGCGCTGGTAGACCTATGGACTATGGTATTCGGTATATGTGTTTCCGATTTTCAGATTCGACAGGTGAGCTATTGTTGCAACGGTGATAGCAGTGCAGGTGAGTTTCACCCCAACGTGCTTGATGCGCGAACATGACCGGTAGCTATTTCGAGGAGGAATGCATCGTCCACTGCCAGTGGGCGACTTATAGTGCGGTATCAGTAGTTATTGTTTCACTGGATTCTCGAAAATCGAGAACGCGCATCTACCTCCAGGCAATGACACTAAATAGATACAAATGAAAGCCCGGCACATTCTATCCTCTCTAGCCTTGATGTCCCTCCAATCTTCCATGAACACAGCGCCATATAAGAACGCATACACTTTTCATGGACGGTCTGGCATCTCGATCTGAGCATCCCACAACATGATACGGCCGTGCAGTCATCCAGTAACTTTGAAAAAAGGAAGGGTAAGAACCAAGAGAACCTTCTCACCGGGGGGGGTCGTCCTTTCAAAACTCTTCATATCATGTCTCGATCTGCCTTTCCTTTAGTCCCCCGTTGCTATCTCAACAACAGCCACGCAAGGGCTGTGATCGCCTCATCATGTCCCAATGAACCATCTGTTCGAAATCAGACAGTCACATCGAGTATCCTAGAGAAGCTCCAGTGAATCTGGGCTCCACGAGATCTATTGAAAATCGTCCCACGTCACCTGGGCAAAAAGCGCCTCTGCAGTAAGCGACCAAGTGCCCAGGACGACGAAGGCATATCATCTACACAGAAAAGTTGACTCCAGGTAGCCGAGGCCAACCTAGCAACTTCATCTACATCCGTCCGCGGCCAGATGGAAATTGTTTCGAAGACAGATCTTCGTCTGTGAGACAGACTTTAATCTTTGCAAATCAGCAAAAAGGAAAAGGGCCCGATTCCTCGCTATACAACCCTCACTCAGTGATGTGTCAGGATAGGCGAGCAAGGGAAATAGCAATGTAGAAGACGATATCTGTGGGCCTAGCGAAGCACATCACATCTAGGAACGGGAGGTTGAGCTCAGTGGGCCTCGTTTGAATTAGACCCAAGAGAAGCAAGGCTCGACGACCCGTGTTCATGCGATAGACTCGTCGACTCATCGTTATTTCTAGTTCTCTTGGTAAGGATTCAACAACGGACGAGGTTGTCTGCAGGATTTGTGTTGGGATTTCTCTATCGCGGCCCAGTCAGTGTGATTGACAAGTTGACAAGTGCGGATGATTCCTACCGCACGAAGGGAGTATGGATGGAGATATAAATGATCATTCCGAGCAAGGCGAAGAACACAGGAGAAGGGAGAGAAGGGAGAGGAAAACGGAGGTGAAAGAGGAAAGAATAATCTGTCATGATCGTTATCAAAACTCCAATTGCTTGTACCAACGAAGTGATTGTATCCATAAGAGAACAGACTGCAGAGCTAAACAACTGAAAAGACACACGAAAAGCTCCGAGCAGGAGAATCCACAACGGCACTCATCCAGCGGAGCACATGAAATAACTCCCACACATATCCCCAATTCGACAACTCTCATCGCATGCCAACCCAATGAATGCACTTCTTACCACGACCCGACGCCGATTTCTCCATAGCTTAGCCGATTTCCGCACTCTGCACACTCATCTGGTCCGAAGCTGCCGTCTGGGTGGGGGTTTGTCGTCGACGACGCATGGGTGCCTTTTTTCGATTCGCAATTGCCGCTTCTTGGGATTGTTCAGCATTCATCTCCATATCGCCATCATTGTCAGTCTCACGTTCGCGGGCCTCGTTTTCTCTCACTTCCTCCTCGCGCTCGGCGGCATTGAGCTCATAGTTGCGCGCCTCATCCACCTCGTAGATATCCCTGGGCTTCATTCGAAGCCACTTCATCCGCGGGCCGACCTTGGACACTTCGGATACCTTGAATCCGTAGATCTTGGGGTCGTAAATCTTCCCGCGTCCGAGGCCGGGGCAGAAATTGGAGGTGTGCATGCCGTTAATCTCGATCGGTTGATCTTCAGGCGTAGGGGGTTCGTTGGGCATTTGAGCGCTGGCGAGCGTAGATGGAGAGCGAGCGGCGGTGGAGCGCGACCCATCCAGACGGGAACCAACATTCAGATCGGGGAAAGTCATGAAGAAGAGACAACCAAATGTGGTACCGAAGAAGGCACCGTCGACGGAGTGGAAGCGACTGTTGGGCGGGGTGTAGATATCCATGCAGCCGGGGCAGAACAGCTTGACGGTTTCTTGCCCGGGGGTATCAGAACGACCCACTGGAAGGACCTTGCATCCGCCGCAGTTCACGCGTGGACACTCTCCAAAGTGCTGCATCTCGTACTTTTCCAGCATCTGCTGGATGCCGGGGCGCGAGGTGATGTACCGCTGGTGGATCAGCCCGTAGAGTAGCTCCGCGGAGCTCTCAATCACACTCAGATCGCTCGCCACCCGTGTATGCCGACGGTCACCCGCGCGCCGATAGCCTAGAGGCCGCTCGTCGCCCAATACTTCGTCCTCATCTTCTTCTTCCTCTTCCTCCTCCTCTTCCTCCTCGTCTTCATCCTCCTCCGGTTCGACGTCGAGGATCATCTCCAAGGCCTCCTTGTACATGGGGACTTGGGACTGCAGTCCAGTGAGATTGAAGTCATCCTCGATGAAATCTTCCGAGACCTCCGCAAAGAACTCATGGCCCATGAGCGAGCAAAATGAGGAGATCCATGACTCCGGCGCACCCTCCGACGACGACATATCGAACGAGGCGGACACGGACGTGGAAAGCGTAGATTCAGAAAGTTGACTCAAATCCAGCCTGTCCAGGCCGTCGGCCAACGCCGAACCAGTCTCTCTCGACACGATGCCGAGATTGTCAATAGACAATCGAAATTTTCCGACCGCGACGAATCGACCTCGTCACCCAGAGTTTGTAGGGCAAGAGGTTGGGAAGTCGAGAATGGGCGGTCGTCCAACGAATCAGGGTTCCCGTTACGTGCAGTCACAGCAGACAGGATGGTGCTCCGTCGACGAGTAAATGCTTGACAGCCGTACTGAGAGACTGATTGGCCTTGGTCTTCAATCCTCACGATGCAATGCTCGGTCGGTCGGCGGAGGAGGGGGCTGGTTGTTGAAAGTCGGTGTTTAGGTGGGGAAAGCTAAACGGTCATGGCAATTTGCGGGAGGGGTGAAGGTTGTGCGAACAGAGTCGAGAACGTACACGCGGATCTCGCAGTCTAGCCCCACAAGCCGCAGGTCAACTTGATTCTCAAACAATATGGTACGACTAATGGTTGATCGGGATCTGAGCCTGTCAACCTACAATATGTGAAGTAGAAAAAGTGTGTGCTTATGTGACAGCTAGGTATTTGTTTGATCACGGAGACAAAGTTGGTCGTGGGTGCGGTTTGGTGTCCAAGGGTCACGTGAAAAGAATGTCCACTCTCACATGCGGACAGTGAACGTGATCTTATCGTTTCTCTTCCAATACCACACAATTTGCGAGAGTCAGCATACGCAGCTATATCAAGTGCGACCATAATGTGTGACATCTCTTCTACCAAATCAGGCAAACCTGGATAATTCAGTGCAAGATCAACACGACATCGAGGAGCATGTCCCAGGACTTTGATCACAAGCGCAAATGGTGTATGGAGGACTGAGACGAGTAGGTCTCAGAACAAATCACGAATAATACGAGAAAATTCCTCTTCACCCCCCAGTATACCTGAAAGCCCCTCCCCAGTATTTCGCATGTCGCCGTCACCGCCATGGAAAACGCCCATGCTGTTTGTGCAGCCAGTTTGATCAGGCGCAAAGTGACCAAAGGCTCCGACCGCCTCAAAGATATTCGTCAGCTCATGTGAGATCTGGAGGCCATTTAGAGGGCTGCTTCCCAGCTCCTGCGTCCCGCTGATTTGCCCGTACATTGACAGGTCTTCGATAGGATGGCCAGCCAGTCCAGCCATGGCCACTGCGGCCGTCGAATGAGGATCGCTGCCATCGGGACCAAAGGGACGAGCAAAAACCCCCAATTTCTCTCCAATCTTGCGAAGTCCCTTGATGGTATTCCAGAGCCGCCTGGACACATACGACTTTGTGCTGAACCCGTTCACCAGATCCAAGGCCATGTAGAACTCATCGCGAACTTGCCGGTTGAAGTCGTTCGGGGCATGGCATACGGCGAGGAATAGAACTGCCAATGCGGCAACCAGAAAATAGTTGAAGGTGATTTGCTGCGTGCGATAAATGTCAGAAATTTGGTTGAGGCGAGTCAAGACTCGCACTGTATCCTTGGCCACATCAACCACCGTTTGCGCGTGACCACGATCTTCCATGATGCTTGCTGCGGAGTGGAGTACCGGTCGATAGATGAGAATCCGCAGCTGGTTCATACGCAGGTATAAAAGCACACGCAGGCGTCTCTTGCCTCGGCTTGCAGAGTCTCCATTCTTCGGGGACTCTGCAGGATAAAATTTCAGGTCATCAGGTACCTGTTTGTACCACTGCAAGACTTGATAGTCCAGGTAGCCGATGCCATCGCGCCTGACGTCTGTTGTTCCTTCAGACCCGAGACCCGAGTACCAGATTCTTGAGCCGATACGATTGTATGTGATCATACATTTCAGATACAGTAAAGACGAGTCCTGCGAATTGAATTTCCAAGTCAGCGCGTGTTCGTAATATTTCCCCAACGCCGAGTGCACGTACTGGTTCTGGCAGATTAGAATCAACATCCTCATCTTGAATAACAAAGGGTAAGCCTGTTCCCAGACTCCACCGACGATCCAGGCTATACACCGACCAAAATAACGTTACAACCTCGTTCCTTTGTGTCTCATTGGGAAATGATTTGGTCAACGCGTCTCGTCTATGAAGACCCATCTCTAGACACATCCGAGCAGCGAGCCCGATGAGTCGGTACGCCATGGCATCGTCGTCAGTGTGAAAATGATAGGTCGCCTAGAATTCAAACTGTCATCAACAGAAACGAGAACCCATGCGAGATTGCTGCCGCAGTAATCTTTTACTTACCACAAGAGCAAATAGCTGAATATATTTGATATCGTGAGGCTCCCATAGCTTGGACTCAACAACAGGCTTGACCGAAAGATACAGACGTTGACCGAGATCACTTTGGCCACCACCTTCTACGGTCAATGTAATTGCCAATATGAGTTTCAGAATGACCGTGCTGTCATCCTGTAGGCCGTCTGACCCCGGTAAGCCCCTTTGCGCAAAGCCTGTTCGCGTCGCAGCTTCCATGAAGGTGTACAAAAGGTTGGCCTGGGTAAGGACAGTTTTGATATCCACTATAGGGTACATCATGCCGATTTCTTCCTCGTAGACTTGACACAGTCTCACAGCCTCGTCTCGATGAATCGTCCAGATCGGATCTTTCGTCGGATGTACCGTAGTCACGAGCTGACCCATGTGCGGAGGCGGTGACTCCATTGGCGTTGCGTTGGCGGTCGTCATACCATCAGCGACGCCGTCATCGGCGGGGTTGATGCCCATGTTTTGTAGACTGTTCTTGGCCACGTCAAAGTTGAAAGCGGAACTGGTTGGGCCATGAAATCGTGGATGCTGAGATCTTGACTTTGAAAGGGCACTGGAGGGCAAAGGAGCGAAGACAGGCTGAGAAACGACATCGAAGACTGGAGACTCGAACGTGGACTTTTGACTTTTCAGTTCATTAATGTTTGATAGAAGGCCTTGGACCTGATCTTGCAGGGAATTTAGCTGGGCTGTGATTGACCGAAATTCCCTGGGAAGATCCAATTAGCTTCAACAATTGCACGCCCCAAAAGGAAACGGCCATTCTCACTCGGATTCTTTGAAATTGTTGTTGCAGCAATTGGGCGCATATCGGCCTGAGAAAAGTGTTAGCGCTGGTGTTCGGAATTGTCGCCGTCATATTGGGGCGGAGGGGCTAATTCCGCGGCTAAGGTGCGCTTCGTTGTGGTTGTGGGTGGATTAGGTTGACGGGACATTTACTTACATTCCAGGTTGAGATGCCCGCATCTCTGACATGGAACTTGTCCGTTACACTTGATCTTGCGTCGCTTGCACTCGTTACTAGAACATTATCCGACGTCGTCAGCTCTAATCAGATCGTCATTTTTGATCCCCACAAAGAAGATAACCACGTCGGGCGACCAAGGGAGTCCGTGGCATGTCTCAGCACATGCCAAACCCCATACGATCGCTAGATGCGCCATGACCATGAAGAGAAGCTCTCACAAAGTCAGGCGAATGGTCTCGCTCGTCGCCAAGGGACATGTAAATCAATGATATCGTACCATGCAATGGAAATGTAACGATTCCGCTTTGCGCGCGTGTGCGTTCCGTTGCTTTGTTCCGCCTTCCTCTTTGCCGTGTCAGCCGCCTGGAGAGGACTCTCTCGGTCTCCAGACCTTGATCTCGGCGTCGTTCTGTCGACCTGCGGTGATTCCGAGGCCATTGTAGCACATATAGCCACTTGCAGTCAGACGGCAGTGAGACGGACAGATAAGATGCCAGGTCAATCATGTGCGGAGAGATTCCTCGTGCGGGGGGTTTGCCGTTTCCCCAGATTTCAGCTGACTCATCTTCGTGACAGCTACCGTCAGCTCCGACCCGACCCTGGTCGGGTAGTGAAGGATTTCCTTCTCACAGGCGGAAAGGGACCTATGCGGCATTGTCTATTATTTGACGATGCTCGCGGCCTGTCGCCGCTGCGTTCTCTTTTTTATAGCCAGCAGGCCTCTACAAGACATGATTTGCGGAAGGTCTTGGTAGGTCACTTTCAATTCACAATGAAAGAGTCATCTTCAAACCAAAAATTATTATGCATGGACTTGGGATTGAGAGACTTAGATATCTGACGGCTAGATCATCAAAAGCTCAATCAAATGATCAAAATCACCTATTGAAGGATTCAGTGCTGGAAGATCTGGCGAGTCTGAGACAGAATCCACGTTGTCCCATTGACCAAAGCCGACACCAATTGACTGCGATTTTGAGGGTTTCTGCGCAACCAAGCCAGCGCAGCCACCAACCCAAACAAAGCAGACACTTGCATGGTCCGTCTCAGGGTTTGGATTACTCTGCCCTTGCGAGTTCTTTTCGCGACCCAGTCACTCCAGACGGGGAATGTGCATCGATACCAGTAGTGGACTTGCGACCATCTGTGGGGAGTAGGGTCAGTATCTCAGCCCAGTTGACACTTTAGTAGAGGGAGGTTGACTCACGGGTAGGTCGATGAGTTCCAGCCATCCGCGGTGATATACCAGCTAGAACAGACACCCCGGCGGAAGACAGTCTTCTGCAACTGATCCTGCACTTGCTTTGTCCAGGCCCTTTCGGCTTCTTCTTTCACCTCCCACGAGCTCACCTGGCCATCCAGAATCGGCTTGATCAGCCGCAGCGTGTAGTTGACAGCGTTCTCTGTGGCGAATATCACGCTCGTATGACCGGTGGCGGTGTTGGGTCCGAATATCATGAAAAAGTTGGGGCAATGGTCCATCGCAATTCCGAGATATGCTTGGGCGCCCCCTCGCTCGGTCCAGAGGTCTTGCATGTCCTTGTTGCCCTTTCCCACCACTTTGAGTGGGTGTAACCACTGGTTGGTTTCGAATCCATTGCCGAGGAGGATCACGTCCGCAGGGATCTCATGTTCCTCACCCTGGGCCTTTTTGCCAGGAGGATAGTCTTGACCAGGACCAATGGTCACACTCTTCGCGTGTACTCGCGTCAGTGGCTGGGTGGTCAAGGTGACTTTTGGCGAGTGCAAGCTGCGATACCAGGTGCCGTCGATAACACGACGCTTGCAGCCAAGGCTGTAGTTGGGTGTCAATATATCATGGTACGCTGTAGGTGCCACCTTCCGCATATGGTCCAAGAATTTCTTTTCTAATTCGGGCCTTCTTTTCCGTCCGTATGACCCATCTGTGAACATGGAGAAAAAACTCTCTTCGAATGCCAGGAACATAGACTGACGGAGCAGTTGCGGTAGACCAGGCACATAGGTGAGTAAAGAAGGCATCCACCGCTCCCAATATTCAAGAAGATGGGGGGGCAATAGGTCGGGTTGCACCCAAGGAGGCGTGCGCATGATCTGCGTGATAGAACGGACACTGGCCTCTGGTTTGGCCAATTCGGGAACGACCTGAGCGGCGCTGCAGCCCGAGCCCAGCATGATCACATCCTTGTCCTTGAGGTCCAGATCGCTCTTCCAGCGCGCCGTGTGTATAATTTCACCCTCAAAATCTTCCATGCCTGGAATATCCTTCGGCCACGTCTTGGGTTCGACCAGACCACCGACGCCGCTGACAACGATTTTAGCCCGAACAATCTCGTTCTTGACATAGACGCGGTGCGCGCCCTCTTTCAGTGCCAGTTGCTCTCGGTCATATGAAGAGAGATCGCCCGTTCCGGGCACCAGATGGGACAGCAATACCTCCCACTCTTCATCGTCTTCAATCCATCGAAGCTCGCGGACATCTGTGTGGAATTGAATCTTGTCCACAATTTGGTATTTCTCACACACATCCGCCAGGTACTGTGCAATTTCTGGGCCCGAAGGATGTAAAGTGGACCAATTCTTCTTGGTTGCAAATGAGAAAGAGTAGAACAGCGCCGGGCTAATGAACACATTTGCATCAGTTGAGCGTCGTTGACACACGCAGCAAAGTTACCATATCCTTGGAGAACATACATGTCGCAAGCAGCCCCAGGATACCGATTAATCCACCAGGTTCCACCGATTCCTGACTGGCGCTCAAAGATTCGAAACTGGTCCGTTCCGAGCTCCTCCTTGAGGCGACAGCCCATTGCGATTCCTGACTCTCCAGCACCCACAATGAGTACAGGGTAGTATGTGTGGGCATCCTTGCCATAGGCGTGACGTTTGTGGATACTGGTAACAGACGGCATTTTACAATATGGCCGAATGCATGAGTGAAAGGGTGGCGACGGGCTTATTTATGAGAAAGGTTCTGGGCGATCTGGGGGGAAACACAATAGTATGCGGGGGAAGTAAATATTTATGTTAGAGAGATGTTGCATGTAAAGTTGAGTTAGAAAAGAGATAAAAGAATCGCAATGTATCGGAGTGGATCACGACGAGGTATGAGACTCTCAGATAAAGCAGGGGGTCCAAACAAGAAGATGCGTTGCCAACGGATGGGAATTGTGCAGGACAAAGAATAGGTATACATGAGGATGTGCAGATGTGGAGAGTCCAGGATGTCAGTGTCATGTCGGGGCCATGTGACGGTGAGTTCCCATTTCCATTTGTTGTAAATGAGGGGAAAGTGTGACAACCTCGGTCCATGCAGATTCAGCTCTGCAACGTATTGGTCGTGGAGGACGCAGACTCGCGCCTGGACCATTCTACCGATCCAGACACAGAGAAATAAAACTTTATGCACAGTTCACGATGGCCGACAAGGCTACTAGTGAGCTATACGACATCTAAATGCGTATTACTACCGAGATCGTGTAGCTTTACGTAGAACCCATCGGTCTCCCCGAAGACAGATGCAGCGAGCACTGAGCTTTGACTAGACGCCCTGACCTATTCTACACCAATCCCGCGGTCCTTTCAGCCCGCCACAGTTTCGTGAATTTTGAGCATGTGCCTGCGTGATCGTCAAGCTTCGAGATCCACCACTTATGGCCTCGCTTAGAGGCTTGGAGTGAAGTAGTGGTTTGGTCAGGGAGAGGGATCCCCCTTAGCCTGCCGCCTAACGGCCTTGGCGAGACTTGACTAGTTGAACCATTTCAGCTGAAAATTCCTAGTCTGTGTTCCAGCTGCATCTGCAGGGTCAAGCCTCGTGAGAGTGAAGTGAGAGAGAGAGAGAGAGACTAGCGGGGGTTCATAGTGAGGCCGTGACGAACACGGTGAGATCCGGTCACATGATGTGTGACACGGACATGGACCATCATACGGAAGCCCCCGCCCACGCTTTTCCAGCGATTGCAGCTAATCAAAACAAACCAAGACTCGATTGTAATCTTATCGCGTGATTCAACCCCACCCTCACCCGTCCGGATAAACCCACTGACTTGCCCAACTAACCTCGTTGGTCTGACTTTGAAGGTCTGTCGGCCCGCAACGCTCGGTCGGGAAAGAGGATACTGGCCGTCTGCATGACGCTACAAACATGGACTTGCAGCAAGCTGGTCTCGACCAGCCTCTGCTATCGACCGGTTCCTGCCAAGCTGCGCACCGTCTCATACGTGCAAAAGGCATTCGTTTCGTCATCGCCGGTCCAGTCTTTTCGCCCTCTTGAAGCTCTCCCCACAATCGGCGTCGACACGTTCCGAGAACAGTACTTTCAGCCCGAACGACCAGCGGTGCTACCGCGATCACACTTCAAGTCCATCCCCGCCGTGACGAAGTGGTTCAAACACAATGACGTCTCGACGACTGAGAAACACCGATCCACCGCGCGATTGAATACCGAGTATCTCCTAAGATACGCTTCGCACGCACTTGTGCCTCTGGAGCTCACGCGGCCAGCGGAGGACCCTGGCCAAATAACCTCAAAGGGCAACGGTTCAGAAAACCAGCGACAACCCTCTGCGGAGACTATGAGCTTTGTACAGTTCGATGCGCCGCTGTCTCTCTTCCTCGAATGGATGCAATCGACAGAGACCAGGCACCACATGGAACGCATCTATCTTGCGCAGTGTCAACTCTACAACCTACCATCGCCCCTGCAGCGCGACCTTGAGGCCCCGGATCTCGTCCGAAAAGCCGGTCTGGACGATATTTACGACACAAACCTCTGGATGGGACGCCCGCCGACTTACACACCACTACATCGGGACCCGAATCCCAACCTGTTTGTCCAGCTAGCGGGGCAAAAGGTGGTCCGACTCATTGCGCCAGCGATGGGCCAAACCTTGTTCGATTCAATTCGAGCGCAGCTTGGCCAAAGTGGCGGGAAGCATGCGGCAGCGTTTCGTGGGGCGGAGATGATGCAGGGTCGGGAACGTGCGTTGCTGGAAGATGCGGTTTGGAGCGAGAGCGATACCGACGAGGGGATCTTCATTGCAGATGGGTATGCTTTCGAGGCGCATCTGGGAGCTGGAGACGGGCTCTTCATTCCGAAAGGCTGGTGGCACAGTATTAAGGGAGTTGGAGATGGGGTCACGGCATCGGTGAGTGTTTTGCTTCTTTCATTCTGCTGCGATCGGTCTCGATACTGATTCTTGAATCTCGACAGGTCAACTGGTGGTTCCGGTAGAGTTGAAAGAGCTCGCAAGTTGACTCGGCGCAAGGACGCCGAGCTGCACGGTAAAGAGGGAGTAGGGATCTACTCCAGCGGAATCGATCTCAGCATGCTAGCACTAGCACACCGTGACCATTGCCCCTATCATGATCATTCTCCCGTGTGAATGGAATAAAATTAGAGAAGAGACATGGTGACTACTCCAGCGGAAGAGAGAGGTGTTTACTTGCATACTAGCATACCACCACTACCTCTATCATCATCATCACTCTATCTAAAACCATCAATTCTCGTAAAGCAGTATAATAAGGCCACAAAATAGGAAGCACCGAATAGTTTACCCTGTATACTGTATAGTATAAACTAGAATATGCATACCCTCAATTGCGGCGATCTACATTCTCCTTCTACGACAGCACCGAGTGGGTTCCAGAACCATCTCAACTCCACCCACCCACACCAACTCCATCCTCCCCCGCCCGCAGCTCCTCCCCAGGAAAAGCCCACCATCCACAGCATACTAAACCACCTTCTGATTCCTTTCCTTCCTCGCCTTCCTGTCCGGAGTCCAGCATGCAACTCTCACGAACCGCTTATCGCGCCGCACTCTTCCCCCTCAGCGTGAACCCTCTATTGGCCCGTGCCTCCCTCCAACACGCCGCCTGCTGGTCTTTGAGCTCCAACCACGGCACATATCCCGCGCACCCATTCGCCTCGACGCTCTCCTCGTCCTCGTGCTCCTCGCGACTCTACGGCGTTCTCTTCCCGCAGTGCATTGCACGTCCTAACGCCAATCAACCCGTCTTCAAGCCGTCCTCTACACCCTCGAATTCAAATTCAACCGCAAAAGCCATGTCCACGTCCACATCGCCGGGCTCGCCGTCCGCAGCTTCAACTCAGCACTCCACGCAATCCACGTCTGCTGCGCAAACAGACACAAACGGGAATACTTCCAATCAAGAAAAAGATGGTCACGAGCCTGAACATGCGCACGACCACAAAGAACAACTGTACCTGCCCTCCACCGAAGACGCCTCCAGTCATTCGGGCAACATTCGTCTGGACGTGAGTTCCGAGAGCGGCGTCACGCTAGACCATCTCGGTCCCATGGTCGTTAATGTGGATGGGTCGTTGTCGCGCATCGGCAATTGGGCGCAGATGGCGGAGATTGAGCGGAGGAATACGTTGAGGATCATTGGGAAGAGAAATCGGGAGCGGTTGGCGAGGTTGAAGGCGGAGGGGGTGCAGGTTGGTGGTGTTGAGGAGCGGGAGGGTTAGGAGTTAGGGGGTGGGATGGATTGGATTGGATGGAAGGAGAATGGAGTCGGTGGCTCAAGCCATGCATTCGCATTGTATATCTATGGTCTTGTTTTTGGGGGGGGGGGGGGGGGGGTATTAAGAAAATCCTGCGACTTATGCCATATGTCGTCATGCTATGCCCGGTCGAGAAGTCTCATGAAGAAGAATAGACAAACAGAAGAAGAAAAAAAAAGTATCCCCAATCACTCACTCATTCAAAAAGCATATTGACATATTTATGAAGCGCGCTCCTAAATCGAACGTTAGTCAAGCTGAATCAAATTGCTCCGCAGTCCAAGTTCACGGCCTGCAATACGTCAAGTATGAAAGAAAACGGAACCTACTTTGGCGGAGCAGGAACATAAGTCCTCGTATACTCCTCAATCTCAGCCACACCAGAGGTCAAATCCACCTCCTCTGGTGAGAGGAACTTGGTGCGGTGGAAGAACTTCCATCCAAAGTACAAGATCGGGAAGACCCCGATCATGGTGTACGAGAAAAGAAAGGTCGGAATGGACCAATTGCCCGGCAAAAAGACGGTGTAGCCGCCGACAAAGGCCATGATGGTGGTGGCGGTGCATGCGATGTAGGCGAGGTAGGGCTGGAAGAGACTTCGGTAGGGGAGAGTTGATCGGGAGATACCCTGGGCATCGACGGCCTTTTTGAAGCGGATGTAGGTGAAGGTGCAGACGGAGAAATTGATGAGTTGGGATGCGGTGACCTATGAAATAGACGTTGTCAGAAACGACATTTGCTTTGGTGGGGTTTTGTTTCTTTTTGTTTCTCTTTTGTCTTTGGTTTGGATCCAATGGGATACGTGGTAGGTGTGTTGAAGACGGGACTTACCAGATTGACAAACCAGGACAAAACCACCGACGCCCCATTCGACACTTGAAGAAAGCTCAGGAGCGCAATCAACAAGACTACCGTGACACAGTAGATCGGCACGCCCTTTGTCGTGCACTTGGTCAGGAACCGCGGAGCCTTGCCCTCCAAGGCCAGGCCATAGAGACTGCGACTGGCGCAGTATACGTAACTATTCCCGGCGCTAAACGCCGCGGTGAGAACGACCGCATTGACGATATGCGGCAACACTGGAATGCGCAGTCGATCCATTGAGATGACATATGGCGACGCAGCCGCTCCAGGCTTACCGGTCTTGAAAGCGTCGGCCATCATCGGATCATCATAGGGCACGAGGATACCGACACAAAGAACGCCGAGCACAAAGAATGCCGTCAGTCGATAGAAGACACCGTTGAATGCCTTGGGAAGAACCACGCGGGGGTTGATGGTCTCGCCAGCAGCCATCGAAACATAGTCCGGGCCGGCAATGGTGAAACTGGCAGCGATGAGTGCAGACAAGAAGCCGAGGAATTTACCCGTGTCCCCCGTCTTGTAGTACTCATTGAAAGGGCCAGGGTCATTCCAGTAGCGGAAGCCGAAGCGATCCCCGAGAGGGTTTCCTCCAAGCATGACGATAAACGTGTAAAAGATGAGACCGATGCTCAGGAGGACCTTGCCCAGCGAGAGCCAGAATTCGGCTTCGCCGTACCATTTGACCGCGAAGACATTGACGAGTCTGACAAGTCAAGATTGGATGTGTGAGCTGAACAAGTTGGGGCATTATAGAGCTGGGTCGGAGAAAACAATACTCACGTGTAAAGTACGAGAACGATCACGTTCATTGCCGCTACTGGGATCACTGCCGTCCAATACTTCACAATGACACTGATGGCGACAATTTCAAAGGGCACCAGAGCGGCTTCGAAAATGAAAAAGTTGTATCCGGCTGCGACGCCAAGCGCCTCGTCGACATAGCGGCCGGCGAAGCGAATAAATGGCGAGGATATGGGTAAATAAGTGACCATCTCAGCAAGGCCTGGATATCATGGTCAGCGTGACATTCCGCTTGAACGTGTGGGCTTCATCGACAGCTTCTTCAAGGCGGTGATCTGCACCGCCACGGTCACTTCTCCTCACGGGCATTGACTTCGACATATCGCCATGGCGCTTGGGAACTTTCGGCATGGAGGGGGGCATCAAGTCGCATGTGGTTGAACTGAATAGAGCTCGGTATGGATTCCGGGGTGATCTTACAGACGGTGATCATCAGAATCACACAGCTCCTACAGTAAAGAAAAGTAAGGCAATGTTCTCTCTGGGTGCCAACGAAAGGAGAGTTGAGTGTTTTGCGGCTTCTGTTCGGGTTGAATCAGGCGTCGAGTGTGGTAGGCTTCAGTTGCATGGGCTTCGAAGTAGTTTGAATCGTCGCAAATGGGAGTGATACATCCGGTCTTTCGGCTTGCTTTGGGGGCAATCTGTTGCTCTTTGCCTACTCGGCCATTCTATGCAAGTTTTTTGTCGAGGACAAGCTAGATGTTTTTGTTTTTTTTTTCCCCTCTTTTCTTCTTTCTTTCTTTCTGTTTGGCCTGTTTTTGGTTGCTTTCTCTTCCTTTGCTCAACGCCGACAGTAGCATGTGCGGCTTTGTATCTTTTGCATATCGAATCATCGGATCAATTTGCTGGGCTCGATCTATTGTTCGAGCTCGGCCACCCATGCAAAGCTGTGCATGGCGATTGCATTCTCTGCGTTGACGAACCCGACCCAGACCCAGACGCAGCGCCATGAAACAGGGTAGAAAAAGCAACGCTCACGCAAGACTTACCAAATACCGAATCCCAGCAACAAGCTTGCCGGTCCACTGGTGCGAAGATTATTTCCAATCTGCACATACAGTGCCGTCCCAATCGTTCCTCCAATGCCAATCAACTGCAGATGGCGCGGTTTCAGTTTGCGTCGGGTATGGTCGTCGTTAGTCTTGATGGAGCCATCGTCAATTGACGCAACGGCATTGTCCGCGGCGCTCTTCTCGGCCATGGCATTCTTCAGCGCTGATGTCTCGGGCCGGGGCTGGCTTTCGGGATCCGGGCCGTCAGATGGTGACTCGGTGCGCTGAATCGCAGCGACGATGGGGGAGTGAGCGCCTAAACCTTTCTCCGGAGTCATGTTGACAGAGAGAACGCTGTGGTCTGTCCCTTTGAGCTGAGGATCAAGATACCGGGCGTCTCACAAAGCGCAGAGGACCACCAACCAGACACAAGGTTGACGATCAGAATGGTCAACTCAGAAAGAAGACAGAGAAACGAGAATAGTCCACGGGCAAAATCTCTCTTGACTAGGCGAACAGACTACGACAGAATCAGAGAAGAAAAAATTTCCAAAACTCAAGTCTCTCTCTATGCCCCCGCCCTCCATCTTGGCAGCTCCTCCTCCGGTGTCCCTTTGCTTGGCAGACCATCCACTTGCGGAGCAAAACGAAGCATCTCAGAGTCAAATCCAGGCGAGTCGATCGAAGTGTGCCGCTCTGGTTTGGCCCGGTGGAACGCTAATGTACCACCGTATCGCAGGGTCTCTGGTCCGATTGGCTGGAATGAGAGCTCCCACGTGAGATCGAGTTTCCTCTTTCGGCCCGATTTTGACTGCTTACGGAGGAATGTTCCACTGCCGCCACGGCGATGGATGCGGCTCGTGCCTCCAGGGTTTGGGGAGGAAATTCAACGTCGACATCTCCGGTCAACTTGATGCAGTCGTCGGAGATCATGTCATCAAATCAAGATTCCGAAGAGTGATCAGGGAAGCTTGACGTGCAGTCCATCGCACGGAGCGAACCAGTTGCCCGAGTTCGGTGGACTGTGGAGGAGGGTCCGACTCCCCATATTGCTGAATGCGGGTGGGTCACCACTCACCATCACAGAGCCGAGCGTGGGCGCGTTCCGCCTCCCACACTTTGTTCCACCGTGAGGCCAGCGGGGTCCTGGGGACTGCAGACTGGACACTGGAGAGTGAGACTGGGGCATCGCGAAAGCCTGGAGACAGCAACCGGCCATGAAACAGACGTGGTGAAGTTGGTTACATGAAGTATCATCGTGGAGTGTCGAAGCGAGCCAACAGGGTGCGTTGAAAGTCAATCACTTCACACGCCGCGCTCGTGTCGCGTCCTTGAGTTCTCGTGGCATGGCATGTGATCCTGCCGCTTCACCGCAGTCCATGGCGAAGATACCATGGACTAGATAGAACCTCTCCTCTGTAGCCATCTCACCCTCATCCCTCTCTTCCATCGTATGCGGCTGCACCTATATTCCTGGCCGCACCTCGTCGATTTCCTTCCCAGACACAGATCCCAACACATGAACACGCATCCTTGTAGTTTCCTCCTCGCCAGACCAGGACCCCCCCCCCCCCCCCCCCAAAAACAACGCTTCTATCAGGTGCTTGCTGGTGGAATACGACACTGATTTGCTTCACCCGCATCCAGGAATTGTGATCGTCCAACCTCTTAAACCTTCGGTTAAATGACCGGCGAAAGACGAGGTGTGACTCAAGGAAATATGATATATTCTCGCAAAAGGCATGGCATTGGATTTGGTTGAATGTCCTTCGCATACAATCTTAAAGAAAAAGCGGCTGGACAACCGCATTCCTAGAGCCGACTGAACAGAATGTCGAGAACTGCCTCCCCTGTTCAGCGACCATGACTGCGCCCCGAGTCGAACCACAAGCTATCCCAGAAATGATTCTTGTCGCGTTGCTCCCCATACAAGCTTTGTTCGTCTTTCTCATGTCACGAAGTGGGCCATTCCACTTTCAATCTCTTTCTTGTGTTCATTTTCAACAGAATTATCATACCGTTAAGCAGGCTACCTTCATGCCGTTCTCATGTGATACCCGTCCAGACAGTCCATTACTTGTGGTTCTGGAAGCAGAAGACGGTATTGAATGGACCAGTCTATAGATTGGCGTCCGTGGTCAGCACCGTGAATCATCTAGGCAGAAGGAGAAGAAACCCACACGTGGGAATAATTTACCTGGGTATTTTCAGCAGCACAGCAAATGCCCTGAGGCTGAGACGAGCTCGCAACGCAATTATCCGAGTCGGAAATCTCCTCTTTGACATGATGTTAGTCGTACTGATCACTGGCAGTCGCTTGCGATGGCTCGGACCACGTATCACTTACTACAACCAAGCCCGTAAGTGTACAGATACAGAGTAGGCAGAATTTCCCGGTCAGGAACTTCCTGTAAAGCGCAGCAGAACTGTCTGGAATCGCTTGGACAGAATCTTTTCTGCAAGGGATTTGCAGATGCCATGCTTGGCATTGTGCTTGCAGCGGTCAAGATCGAGACCAAAGTTGAGAAGTGCATGTTTTGAGGTGGCTTAGGTGACTTTGATCAGATGTTGTACTGACTATTGAGACGAAGCCTGGAAGATTTCATCTATCAGGACAGGAAATGGGGGGAGGGCACCGGCATTGGTTAAATAATGTGTCGGGGTCTAGACAACGAACATGGTGAAGTCATCGATCTTGGTCTTTCATCGACGAGAGCGGCCGAGATAATCGTAAAATGTACTGCAAGAAGAACTTCTGAACTAAATCTAAGACTGTCTAAGACTACTAGATGATGCAACTAGACCACAGCGGTGGCTCACGCCTCGTCGAAGTCGAAGTCTAGTGCGTTCGATAGCAACCAAACTTACTGAACCAAACACAAAAGAAAAGTCAGATGGGTAGTTCGACCAAATTCTCATGAAAGCTTAGATTATTCAATGGATGGCACCGGCGACACATCTACACATTGAACAGTGGAAGTTCGATCATGGCTCTGTGAGGGTGTGAGCCTGGATCGTTCGGGAGCCCGTTGGCTTGGTCTAGGGTTCGAGGTGAGACTATTGACCAGAAGCGGTTGTGGTTTCCTTGAGGATGAAATATCCATGGGTTCATCTGTCGAGTCCATGTGGCGTGAGCTTCCCTTCAGTTGCACCGATGATAGAGTTCCGGCCAAAGCCGTGTAGGCTCGATTAGGTTTGGACAAGCTTTGAGTTGGGTGTATGGGTAATTGTGTGAATCGTGTACTTTCGTGAAATCACTCGACTTCTAATCTTCTCAAGCGAGCGTAGAAGGCCAACTTGTGAATGATCTCAATGGGAAAAGGAGATTGATTTCGGTAATGGCTCAAACTAATCGGCAACAGTCCTTTTTCTTGCGTCTTGTTGGAAGTGTTCTGACCACAGTTCTACCCACATGCAAAACCATGGGTAACACTAACCGGACTATAGTTTCTCGAACTTCTTCTCCGCAGCCAAGTCCACGGGAGTGTGGGGTCGACCGGAAGTTCATTTCCACTGTATCTCCGGACTCTCTAACAGTCGCCAAGCAATTTGGACACTTGGGTACTTTCAAATGAATCAGACCCCTCTTCATATTGAATTTCCGACACAGAGCCGCGCAGCTCCCATTGCCTTGTCTTCCCATGGCTGTAGTCCTCGGACAGACCGACAGAGTAAGCCAAAGATTCCAGAGATGGGACGCAACGCAGAACCATCGATCGATAAATTGCAGCCACAGGGTATCACATCACCAACAAGATGATTGTTCGACCACACTCGCATCACACTAGCAACTGCCTAGGGAAGAACCTGATTTACTGCGGTATACTAGCAGGGCGTAATGAGTGCATTCAAAGGGCTGTACATCTCATCTTGGAATTCAACTGTGCCACGCCACCTTTCATTGATAGCATAAATTAAGACAGGGAGTCGATAGAAAAAGGAGAGCATAACCAACCAACCAGTGACCACGTCTCCGCTCTCTGAAGCTAACAAGCACCCGATAAACGCGAATGAAGAAAAAAGGACCGGGGCACGTCGTAAATTGCAACCAAGAGTGATCGCCGTTGCATTATGATCGAAACGGCCAAGACCGTTCGAAACGTCAACTGAACCATGATCTGGCCCGTTGAACCGAAACGTTCCATCTACGGATCAGCACCCAGTGCACGGTCTCTTTCCATCAAGGTGGATATCCAGTGGCTACCTTACATCTTCTTGGTTTTGCATCTCCCGATGGTGTTGCTGAGGCATGAAGTCTTTGCCTCGAGGTCGGTTTGGCCGTAAGGGCAAGTTCGCGGATACGGGCAGTGTGACCTCCTTGATGGGAAGCATGCTATTTGCTTACTGGAGGGCAGTGTTGATCGTAGCGATGGTGGGACGCGCTGAGTCCATGCTGTTCGTAGTAATCATAGCATGGATAAAGTGACGAATTTCCCGTACCTAATCCACACTGAGGTACTGCCCGGGGATGAAGCAGGCTGCTTCACTCGATATATAAGCCAAATGCCCTTTTCGTAAGAAAAAATATGATTTTCTGCCAGCGTGACCCCGAATTGTTCAGGTTCAAGAATGCGCCTCGACAATGCTAGAACTAAATGTATTCCAAGAAACAATAAGGGAAAAATCCCGATCGTGATATCCGTTGTAAAACCAAAAAAAACAAACGCCACACAAGAGACGGCCGAAAGAGAAGGTCGTAAAGGTCCTGGATCATCAAAGAACAGGCGCTGCAAAATAGGTGACGCACGATTGCCATGTCAGACTCAAGATGCACGCTTCGCACAGAAAAGTGTTTGACAAGACAATCCTGAGCCGGTCAGCAGTCGTACCCCAGCAGAGACCGCAGCAAGCGAAATAAAAACGCGCCGCCCCAATCACTGGAGAAGAGGGTCGCGGAAGTGCTTTTGGGAGTTATTGGCTCTTTGAATGCGAGCGAGGTACCGATTCTCGGCTCGCAAAGCCCGAGTGCGTTCACGGCGCTCGGCAGACCGGACTTTCTCTCTCGCGTGCTCGCCAACACCAATCATACCAGTGCCACCATTGGCACGTGTGATGAGAGCACGGTTTTGGTTCCGACCACGAGGCTTCTCATTCTCGTCAATCTCTCCGTTGGCAATAGCCAGTTGGTGTTCCAGGCGTTCCTCCGGAGTGGGGTATTTGTCCAGATTCTGACGGTAGTACTTGGCGAGGGAGCGGTGACCAACACTGCGACCGGAAGGAAGGTGTAGCTCGTACTCGTCCTGGTAGACGAGGGGTGCCTTGCGGCGTGTATCGATCTCGCCATCCTCATCCACAGAGGATGCGTCTGTCTCCCAGCCATCGTCGTCCCCATCAGATTTGACCTTCACGCCACCAGACTCAGCCATATCCTCATCTTCATCATCCTCTTCTCCATCAGAGTAAGTGCTGCGGAAATCGTAGTACTGTCCGATCTCGATCTGCTCCTCCTCGGCCTCGAAGGCGATCATGCAGTGACCCTTGTCTCGCATGTGTGTACGCGCTCCCTCGGCGTTGTTGCGGATTGCGTGACAGTAGAGACATTCGTGATTCTCGGTGATCTTGCGGTAGAGATAGTTGAGAAGTCCATCGAGGTCAACAAGATAATCTTGCTCAGGAACAAACATGCCGTGTGTCTTGTACATATGCTCGACATTGGACTTGACGTCAGCAGACTCATTCAAACAGAACAAGCAGCGGGCAACCGAGAATTCGGTCTTGTCGGTTCGCATCTCAACATCGCCGTCTTCCTCTTGAATGGTGGTGGACTGTAGTCCGCTTGTCACCTTTGCGACATCTGTTTCATTGGACTTGCTAACTGGCTCGCCCATGGAGAATGCAGAGCTCACAACAGACGCATCATCCCCATCCTTGCGAAGACGATGTTCACGTTGCTTGTGCTTTGAGCTCTTCACGTGGTTCTGGTAGGAATTTTCGCTGTAGAAGGTCTTCTGGCAAGGGTGGCAGGTCTTTTCAAATGACGCTTTGGCGGCGGCTTGGGTCGAGTTTGCCTTTGCGGCGAGGACTTTCTCGTTGAAGACTTCCAAAGCAACGGGCGGCAAAGATGCGATACGACGTTTCATGTTATACAAGCTGCAAAAGGTTGTCTTGTCAGTCAAACGCGCTTGATGCCCTGTCATACCGAATTTTGCCACTTACTGCCAGTCCTTCCGCATGTGGTCTCGCTGCGCATCGCTGCGATGGAAAGCAACGAGGCAAGTGTTGCAAGTGTAGGGTAGATTAGCAGCAGCACCGCTGCCCTGCTGCGTGGTGGTCGACATTGTGCTTGTTGCTTGGTGAGTGCGACTGTCAGAGCTTGTGTTGGTCGAAGGACGGAAAATTATCAATGTGGAGCGAAGTTTTTATCGTAGGCGGGGTACTAAGAAAAGCCCAGATGTAGGGCCTTGAGTAGGTCGCTTTTTCGCTTAACCCAAATTTCTTCTTCGCTGATCGAATTTATGGTAGGTGAACAAAAGAGCTAAGTCTAAAGCGTGAGCAGAATTGTCTGTCTTCTGACGCCAGACTTAAAGAAAAGGTTGAAGTCTGTCCAAAAGAATCTCGCTGATTCACAAGCAGCGCTTATCAACCACTTCACAGCCTGAGTCCTATCGGAGATGGCGCTATCCTAGATTGGGCGAAGCCTGTCCATATCGGGCGATGTGATGGCCACCATACCACGTGAGTCACAATGACTGACGACAGACAGACAGACAGATGGGTCCATTTTTGGGCGCCTTAGACTTCGGGTGTCTGCAATGACCTCCGCGGCATACCACCCGTGGGAGCTCAGTCCTCGTCGCTCTCCCCAGCGTCCAAGTTCACGAGCAAGACGATCGAATACCTCCATTGTTTCCCCGTCTGGATTATGCGCGGGTAGTCTCAAAATGACGAGGCTGCACGGAGCTTCGCTCGAGAACCCAAATCCTGCAGACCCTCGTGGGTGCGAGCAACTTCAGTACTGCCGATCGAAAGTCCCGCCAAACGCCCCGGACATCATTGCCCAAAACACAATCGAAGTCACAGATCCATCGCGCGTCCTTCCATGGTATCGCGACGAGCGCCGAAGAGACTTTAACTGGCTGGTTCGAAGGTCTGTATTGTACCTCTGGTGTTGTTCCATGTGATGAGCTATCTCGTATGCTTCCACCAGCACAGCCAGCTAACATTACATCTGCTACCCTCTAGTTACAAGCACCAGCTTCTTTGGGGATGTGGAAGTCCAACATGCCAGACTCCAACTTGCGCCAGTCGACGCCGAAGGACTGCGGACGGACCTTATCGCCGTTACACCGAACTCAGCGCGAGAACTCTAGCCTGCTATCTAGCTAGTCAGGACAATCCCGAAAGTGGGCTATGTCGCAACAACTCTCACTTTTTAACAGAGTCGAGATCAAATGGGCAGTTGCGTCAATTCCAGCAGCGGTCACGAACAACAAAATCTACGGAGAATGATCGGCGTAGCTGTCAAGGTCTTCGATTTCGCGACGAGGGGGATGGCTTAGACGCGAGGTCTACTCGCAACGTTGATGAGACTGCCGAGAGAAAGACTACACATACAGACCCAAGTGCTTTTGTTTTTGATAACCACGAGTCGGAAGCTGAACAACTTCACAAAGATCCAAAATCATTCACTCAGAATCTTTTCGACACGTTGTCTTTGCGGATGGTCGAATGGCTGCCTTTACGAAATGATACAGAAAGCATACCACCGAAAGAACAGCCGCCTTGCCGACGCAAGAGCCAGGACTCGCGTGTTTCGGACAACCCGCGTGGCAAACCGTCTGAGCAACCGCATCGGGCCTCCCGTAGCCCCAGCTCTCTGACAACCAAAGGTTCCACACCACGAACCCCGTCTTCTCGTTCATCTGTGACAAACCCCACGGCCGTAGAGTTGACCTTTCAAAATCAGCATGTCAGGCGACTGTCGATCCCTGACTCGGACCACCGAAGACAAACGTCCCGAAATGGATTGGATGAAAAGAAAAGACTCGAGTATAAAGGTCCGGTATTATCATTGAACGCGCAGATCGCATCGGAAGATTACCCGACCATAACTTCACCTCCACCTTTGAAGCACCGCCCACAAAAACACCGAGGCAGGACGAGCGAACCAGAGGAAGCAGTCCCTAAAGACCGGATCAAAGGCCAGAGACGCGTCTCGTGGGACAGTGAGAAACTGTTTGCAGAAACAGCTTGCAATGAAAACTCGAAAAGCAGACATCCGCCCCCATGTCCGTCAAATAGTGACATTAGTACGCCGACTCATCGCAGACCCAAGCACAGTTCTTTGCGACGCACGCGGACCGTGCCTCCGCTCGCCCAGACGCTCTCTCATCTTACACCGGAGATTATCGATGGTCTCAAAAGACTGATGATTTCCTCGGAAGAAGATGCCGAGGCCTGGCAGGAAGAGCTCGATCGTATGCAATTCACGGGGAACTTTGAAACCCCAGATTGGAGATGTGCGACACCTTCTCAACGACAAGCATTTCCGTTCCTTGCTCAGAGCACATTCTTCATCCTCGGCAATTCCACACAGACGCTTCAGTCTTTCGGACGAGACGGCGTCCACCCTGACCAGACATCCAATAAGATGAGTAAAAGCTTAGATGTTGCGAGACTGCGAGCAGCTCTGCAGCATCTTTTCTCGCTTTGTCCGTGGGACATTGCCCTACACAGCCTTTGGAATTTGACAGAGAAGCTGTTTGTTCCACCAGATGACGTGACGTACTCTGCTCGGCCCTCACGACGTTCTTCTCGCAGCTCCACCATGAGTTCTGCTCCTCCAATTGTCAGAAGGCTTTCAGAAACAGCCAATAATGATCACCTGTCTGATGCTGATGCCGCCTACATCGCGACGATCACCTTTTTCGTCTTGATCAGTACAGTCCCTAGTTTGGATAATAAGACATGGCGGGGCCTGTTGCGGATGAGGGCCTCAGGCAAGGTTGCGTCTGCCGCGGACCTCGAGAAGTTGGGGCCTGAGCTCGCTCGAAAAGCTATGGATGCCACAGACCAGCTAGAACACGATCTGGGTCTTCGTCTTATCCATAGACTTGTTCGTGCTCTTGTCGCTCGGCTAGCCTACAGCGAGATAACCAAGGCTCGCCAGATATACAGTCTGGACGCTCCAAAGCAAAGACGAGCCAACGTGCTTGACCGCATCATTGATCACCTTAGTGAACAGCAAGCCCATCACTTGTCCACTGGGGGCCAGCCCGAAAGCCCGAGCCCGATTGCTCTGATTGTCGAGTGGCTTCGCACACTCCTTCTTCGTGAGTGGGACGGCAATCCGGAGCTATCTCGAAGCAGTGCTGCGGGCGGCGCTGTCCAGATCCTTGCCTTGATGTACCAAGCGCGCAATCGGCTAGGATTGCTGTCGGAGGACTTTCACACTCCAATTCTTGCCGAGAGGCTGGATCCCCTGGAGTTACCGGTCTCTTGGTTAGACGATCAATCCAACAATCGCTCCATGCATCTTCTTTCTCACTCTTTCCTCTTTCCTCCTTCCACCGTTGTCACCTATTTCAGAGCCCTCAACTACTCGGTGATGTGCAAGTATGTTGAGTCGGCAACGGCAACCGGGCGGCATCTGACACAGACGGCTCTCCACAGCATCTCCATCTCCAATGAAGCGTCGCTGTTGGATCGCATGAAGGTTTCGACATGCACTTATCTCGTGTTGGTCATCCGCCGTGACAATGTACTCACGGATGCTTTGAACCAGCTGTGGCGGCGAGAGAAGCGAGAATTGATGCGTCCTTTGAAAGTGCAGATGGGCATGGATGAAGGCGAGGAAGGTCTCGATCACGGTGGCGTCCAACAGGAATTTTTCCGTGTGCTCATGGGTGAGGCCCTTGATCCGGCCTACGGCATGTTCACTGTCGACAGCCGCTCTCGATCGTCCTGGTTTCGACCTCGTTCGTGGGAGCCGTTGTACAAGTTTGAACTCTTGGGGCTGCTGATGTCCATTGCTGTGTACAATGCGATCACACTCCCCCTAAACTTTCCCTTGGCCTTTTACCGGAAGTTATTGGGGCTCAAAGTTAAGAGTGTCGACCATATCCGTGACGGCTGGCCTGAGCTCAGTCATGGTCTTGAAATGTTGCTCAACTGGGAAGACGGCGATGTAGCGGATGTGTTCGTCCGCACTTACGAATTCAGTTTCGAAAATGCTGGTCAATTGGAGACCATCGACATGCAGAAAGTGGGCCGTGATGGATCCTGGCCCATCTCACATTCGCAGCATGATAATGTGTCTACACGCAGCACCTCTTCAAGCGATGAGCCCCAAGTTGCGAAACCTGACTACGATGATCATCCATCGACCGATGACTTCAAGTGTGCCAACTTTAATCCCACCCTCCTTACTAGTCCTGCAAAGTCGGTTCATTCCTCGCAATCTCAGCCTTCACCTTCGCCAACTATTCCCGATGCGGAGGCTCCTCTCGTAACGAACCAGAATCGTGCTCAATTTGTGAAAGACTACATCTTCTGGCTTACCGACAAAACTATACGGCCGCAGTTTGAGGCATTTGCAAGGGGCTTCTTCACGTGCCTAGACCGCTCTACTTTATCAATCTTTACTCCCGAGGCTCTCAAGGCCGTGGTTGAAGGGATCCAAGAGATCGATCTCACCGAACTCGAGCACCACGCTCGCTATGAAGGCGGGTTCGGGCCAAATCACCGCGTCATTCGTGACTTCTGGAGCGTTGTCCACGGATATTCCGCTGTGAAGAAAGCGCAGCTCTTGGAGTTTGTCACGGCCAGCGACCGAGTTCCGGTCAACGGTATTTCAACCATCATGTTTGTGATTCAGAAAAACGGCGTTGGAGACCTGGTAAGTCCACTTGAACTATGAACACTCAATGAGGCCCTTGGTTTACTGACTCCGTATTACTAGCGTCTTCCGACGAGTCTGACATGCTTTGGTCGTTTACTGCTTCCCGAGTATAGCTCCAAGGAAGCGTTATCTCAAAAGCTGGATAAGGCACTGGAGAACACTCGAGGGTTTGGAGTTGCATAATTTGATAGTCTAGAGCATCGTGGCTACTCGGGGCAGGCCATCTGGCTCATATTTCTTCTATTCATCGAATAATCCCCCATCTTGATCGGTTGATAACCATCGTAAGCCGCAAGGCAATGGCCGACCCTTTTCGGTCACAAAATACTTGTCCTCAGCTGGTTGTTGTTTTTTTTTTTTTTTTTTCAGGAGAGCGGAAATTCAGTGCTGGGACTAAGAGACGACTGATGGGAGCATTCCCAGTTTCCGATGAGCCGAGTGGCGACTGTTCTAGAAACATGATATAAGTGGAGTAGAGCGTTTTTGATTTTTGACCAGGTCAATTCGACTAGATGGGGGGAAACATTGTCATCTGTATGGCGGAGGCCTCCCTTCCGACCCTCAGACCTTTCGCCGCCTACTCTGGTCTTCATTACAGTTGTAGAAAAATTTTCCAATCCTTACTGTTGCGATTGTCTTCCATGTCTTGTGAGAAGCTCGAAATACAGACCCTTTGTAAGTCTTCTCCTGTCAGGTCGACGCTAGATTCTCCATTCCTTCAAGAAGCCTACCCTCCGCCGAGCCTATCCGTGGTCCCCGCTGCCCCACGTTGTCCGATACGATAAGAGTCATTCATCGCTTGGTCGCTCAGTGAATGTTCACAGTTTTCAGGGTAACTTGCCGTTACTTACACAAAGCTCGCAGAGATATATAGATCCTGTGTCGCGTTGAACGTTTTGAAGTATTCGCTTGTAAATATGGCGCCCATCATTCACGCTGTTCGTCACGCTCAGGTATGATCGCAAACTCGACCCTCTTATCTCGACCCAATTTCTGGTCGATGCGCGAATGCTCGCGGCATTGGACATTCTCTTGAGGATTGGTCTTCAGCTAGCGGTCCTGTCTTTGCTTGCGCAATAAGACTGGTCTAACGTCCGTCGTCTCTAGGGCGTGCACAACCTTTGCACTGCGAACCACGTCATTCACGATCCCCTCCTTACGGACCTGGGCCATGAACAATGCGCGCAACTCGAGAAGGCTTTCCCCCGACACGCCCAAGTGGACTTGGTTACTGCATCGCCTTTGCGTCGAACGATCTATACTGCGCTCGAGAGTTTTCGCCCTGTTTTCGATGCACACCCGGATACGAAGCTGATTGCGATCCCGGACGCGCAAGAGACGTCAGATGTACCGTGCGATACTGGCAGCGATGCCGAGGTGTTGAAGAAAGAATTTGTCGGAAAGCCTGTGGACTTGGGTCTTTTGCATGATGGGTGGAATGTCAAGGTAAGAGGAAGGAGATATGCGACAGTGACTGGCTCTGGACAAGAAACGCTGAGACAAAACGCTCGTTACACAGGATGGCAGATATGCTCCCAGGACCCGGGCACTCAAAGACCGCGCACGTGCTACGCGCCGCTGGCTTAAGGCTCGGCCTGAGAAAGAGATTGTGCTGGTAACCCACGGTGGATTCCTGCATTACTTTACGGAGGATTGGGAGGACAGCAGCCAGTACCAAGGTCAGTGAAGAGACTGCAAATGACGATAATCTGATCTGTTTTGGTGTGTTTCCATGCCCATCTGACCCATTTCCGTCTCTCCAGGTACCGGCTGGAAGAACACCGAGTACCGCACCTACACTTTCACGGAAGAGGATCACGACCACGACTTGGAGGGTAACCCGATCGACGGCGACAATGCCACACTGACGGAGACAATCGAGTCTCGACAGCGACGTGGCAAGGCTGGTCCGACGCCTGATCGCGAGCAGCAGAAGAAACTTTACAAGGCCGGCACACAAGGCTGGGACGATCAAGGCCTGCAGATGAGCACGGCGGACAGAGATGCCGCCAAGGTTCCCGAGGGCAAGGAAGTCGACGGCGTGCGCGTGTAGAGTGCCTGTTGGGGTTGTACTTTTTGCTTCTTGTTTGGAAGAGAACGTTTCTCCAGTTGGATGTAAATAGACATTGGCATTGTTCATGGTGTTGTGATGACGTCAATGGTACGGAGTATGTATAGACTTGCCAGAATTGAATGTCGTGTTTCAAAGACCCTGTTGAATAGTATGGGCTCGAGTTCGAGTTCTATGACAAGGCTATTGTTCCGCTCGACTGTGGTGGAGTAGAGTTGAGTATAGTAGGTCTTTGTTGATCTTTCACCCGTTGTTGTCTATAATTATCATCCGACGAGTCTTTGTCGTTTGTCTCAGGCTGTATTCACCATCAGCCCTATGGTTCTTGCTCTCATTGCTAGAAGCACATTGACAAGCGGCAACAAGGAAAACCATGGCAGTGAAACAAGACTTGACTGAACGCCCGAGGTCAGTCACCACAATGAGGGACCAAGACAATGCACGTCACCCTTGAGTGATCTGAAACAGCACAATGCGTCCTCGGCCATGCAAGCCTTGTACTCAAAGAATGTTGAGCTCCGAGTCTGTCCGCCTTTGTACATTGACAGCGCTGCCTCGAGTCCAGCATAAAAGGACGCCGAGATCTCGAGAATGTAAAGTTTCCAGAGCATCAAGCCCAGCTATCGAACGCAGAGAAGTCCATTGATTCAATCCTGCCTTGCAGATGCATATGCATATGCAAGCTCAAAGTACGCTTTGCTGACGACTACGTTCCAACGGCCATCTCCTGCATGGACAGATTATCGTCGGGCCTTTCAACCCATTCTTTGGATGAACCGTCTTCCATACATATCATCCCCGGTCTTCGGCGTTTTATTTGCATCACAACACGCGATCATGATGGTAAGTCCTCATCTCCTCCCAATCTTGACTGACATTGTTCTGCAGCATACTGCTTCTGTCGAGCTCCCGGTACTCTACTTTTATTGGGTCGGCTCACAGTTAAGTTCTTCGCTCCCTCTCATCCATGCTGACATTGTACAGGAACGCCTGTTAGGAATTTCTAATGATCTTGATAGTAAGTCTTTTTGCCCCTCTTGCTAGTTTTGCTGACGATGCTCCAGATTATATTGTTTCTGTCTACCCTTTGCTCTTCTTTCGTCCTTTGAGAGGTAAGTCACCCACTCCTTCATATCTATGCTGACATTGTACAGGACCGCATTAGACAGATTGACATGAGAGAACGACCTCGATGCTGGTAAGTCCTTTGCCCCTTTCCACTTTTGCTGACATCTGTAGTACTAGCTATCACTTGATCTTCTTTCTTCCTTGGTCATCTCAAAGGTAAGTCCCCCGCTCCTTCACGTCTACGCTAACAGCATACAGGAATATCGTGAATCATAGCAACCAATGATTATAGTATGGTAAATACTTTGGCTGCATTCCATTTTTTTTTCTCGCTGACAACCCTCGATAGTCGACGGCAATTCAAACCCCGCGTGATCTGCTATCATCTTACACCGTCTCACAGGTAAGTCTTCCGTCCCGGCATCTCTACGCTGATAGTGTACAGAAATCTAGGTCCTATCATACCGATTGACATCCATTTTCTCTGGTAAGTCTTCTGTTCGCCCCTTTTAGTTTGTGCTGACGTTTTTTTGTAGTCTACAAGTTGGCCGAGCTCTTATTATAGCATGTCCGTGGACTATCCTACAGTTAAGTGCTCCGTTCCAAGCCCCCCCCCCCCCCCGGCCTACGCTGACAGGACATGGGAGATGCTCGCGTCCAATTCATATTGAAACAATCGTATACTTGATCAAGTAACGCTATCATGTTATTCATGACATGATGCAGAACCGAGACAGATGAGTCGCCTACCTCGCTCAATCTACGTTGATGCAATTTTTCCTACATTATCACTATTACAGGCCCTTTGCGCCCGATCGACCTGATTCTTCTTGTCTGCCTGACCGACTGTCAGATTGAGTGCTTCATACTCGACCTCTATGCATCTCTCGAGAGAGAGTGCTCTCCACCCAAATGGCTTGTGCTTAGTCTCTTCGATCTCTGTGCTGACCGGTGAGTTTTCTCTCCTATCCCTGTTGTGCTGACTTTTACTTCGATTAGATGTCAAAGGACGAGAGGCGCTGGTCTCGCTGTCATCCAACCCACATCTTAAATTTCATCCAAATGCCGTCGATGTACAGCACAAAGTGGATCTTTACACAGGCAAGTGCTCGCCCATACACTGTGACTGCTGATTTGGATCTACAGGAAACAGATCTCCGATCGCATGAATATGTCTACGATGCAGACCTGTGCAGGGTATGACTCCTCCACCTCACCCTGGCTCCTAATCACTTTCCCTAGGGGTTTCCCGCCCGGTGAGCTCTCCACGCTACCACATGAATGAGGCTTTCGATCTAGGCCAGAAGGCATTCTGCACGACTGCAGGGCTGCGACCAGGCAGAATCCGGTGCGTACATGTTCGATTGACACCGCGATCTCGCAAACCTGGCCCGCGAAGCCCTCGCTGAACGTTCTTTCCTTGAAATGACCATAGTCATTTGCTGAAAATCTTGATGCTTTCATCATAAAACTCTACCCAGGTAAGTTTTTGCGCCCCCGTGTGTGTGATTGAACATAGAATAGGGACCAAGACCTACCTACTCGAGCAACAACACCATTCAATTCTGGACTTGACGGGCAACCCTCACCCAGAACTTACGGGGTAATATGACATGTAAGTCTTTCCTTCGCCGGTGCGCAATTAGGCTGACAAGATCCACGCTCACGCAAGTATGACCGCAACCACGGGTAACAAGTCTACCTAGCGAACAAGCTATTATCACTACACGAATTAGTCCCCTCTACTCGAACATGGCTATGTGGGGTGAATAAAGTTCAGAATCCACATGAAGAGACTGACAGCAAGGTTCCGAGGGCTGTGTTTTTGGGACTCCATCCTCTGACAGTCCACATGGTAATAAAGTTATCGGAAAGAGTTATCTCCTTTGGCCTCTTCGGTTTTCCAATGCGACCTTCTCCATTCCCACCCTTCCAGAATCTTGTGGCTGCGATGCGAGTTTCTGTCACATACTTTCCGCGTTGGTCTGTTGTGAGTCTGACTATAGAGATATTCGACTTGATCCATGGTTCGCCGCTTCCGACCCATACAATCGACATGGCCCATAGCCAGGTTTACCCTTCTCTGCAATCTGAAAGAGCGAAGATTAACAATTAGCAGGTCATTGAGGGTGGCTTAGCAACTCACGCAAGCAATTTTTCAAATGATCTACCTGGTCCTTGTTGTTGGCCAGTGCCTGATGCGATATGTTACTTAGATTATGATAATGTGCAATGCAAATCCCTTTTCCTTGAGCCACCAGGATCCCCTTGTCTGAGTCCAGTTCCGGGGCTTAGCAGGGCAGGGTTCATTTGAAGAAGCTTCTGCCAGATTCAACGTCATCTTCAACGTACAAAGGCTGTGTTTTCAGTCAAATATTCGATGGTACGTGTCCCTGCTGCGCATCCGACGCCAACGCAGTAGGCAGCATGATTGTGCCACGGGTACCTGCGACATGCAGGGCAGAATACGTGAAAATAATGCGGTATAATAAGCGGAATCTAACGTGCATACGCATATCTGCATCAAGTGAAATGCACATGTAAAAAGTGTTTAATAGCTAATATGCGTCAATACTCCCTAGTGAAAGTGCTCCTTGACATGCAGTGCCACTGCCGCATCTCCACAGCTTGGAGGAGCATAGCCGTGATAGTGGAGACTTCCAGGCACATGTTCCCCGGAATCTGGATGCCTTCTCGAGCAACTTCAAGGTCAGACAGAACCAAGACTCCGACGATGAGAATATAGACCCTCGTATCCGGTGTGCATGCAAGGCAAGGTGCCCGAAAGAAAGATTTCTTTGATCGCAATGTCGGAGCTCATTGAGTTGGTTGACAAGTCTTAGACCATTGAATGGCAGAAAGAAGTCGCAAGCTGGAGACCATCTCCACAACTTGACTTACCTCCTATTTTTAGCTGCCGGTCGCGCATCTTGTGGCGCAGAACGCAGATTTGAGAACTTGGGGTTTGTCACGGGCTTGGCTTGGCTCTCTTGAGTCTTGACACGAAGGGCTCCGCTTTAATTCTGCGGGAGGTGCCTGGATCATGTGTTGATTTATTGCCTCGTCTGATGATATCGTGTCTCACTTCCTCCTTCTCCTCTCTCCCTCGGCAGTATCTTCGGTCCAGATGATTGATGATGATTGATGAGAATCTACCAAGTGAGTACTTGCATATCCGGCATCTCTTGATCTCGTGGCTCAAATCCCTCGTCCCCTTTCCTTCTGTCCTCCGGCCTCCCCTCGTTCTCCTCTTTGTCCCACGACGTCATTGCAACAGCTGCGCTCCGCTGAGCCCCGTTAGCAATGGATATCCCCATGTCGTGTGCTCTGGACTGACAGGTCTTGGGGGCCAACCTGTAGCGTTCTTCCTCAAGAGTAATGCGAAGAACACCCACCAGAGTCCCATCTACCACCGTCAAAATGGGAACGAGGCCGAACCTGCATACAACCTTCGGTACCTGGACCCGAGTCTCCCCACCTCCAAAAATCACTACGGCGTCGCCCTTTACGACCCCTATGTCTCGGACATTGTCTACGGCGAAGTCGCCGTAACTCCAGATTGGACTCAACCGACCCTGTCAGCCGACGTGATCCGGGCGAATGGCGGCGTGGTGCCTCCGCCCGAGCCCATCCTCCCGACCGAGTTCGTCATTCAATTATACAACCCAGACCAGCAGATCAAAGTCAAACACAAATCAAAATCATGGAACAAGCCCGCACGATGGGAATTCGAAATGCCGCAGCGAACGTTCAGGATGCCTTCTTCGTCCACGCTCGATCAGACCCAGAGCGACCCGGCGGCGGCGGATATTACTCCCAAGTTGCGGTTCAGCTGGCGCAAGGACGGCAAGCTCTCCAAGGACTTGTCCTGTTTGCTGCACGGCAAATCAACGACGATCCCGGATACGCGAACCAAGACCCGGGAGCCGGATATCACAGTCGCGTTGTTTCAGGGCCTTCGTGAGCTGACGCTCTATGAGCCCAACTTGTATCGCGTGGAAATGGAGGATTTCAAAGGTCTGGAGGTGGTGTTGCTCCTTGCGGCCGTGGCGATTCGGGACATCTTCTTTGGCCCTGCTAAAGAGGCTTTTCACATTGTACCGGGAGCTCCCTCGCCTCCTGTGGCCAGTGCGAGTAGACCCGCGACTGGAGGTGTTCCGGGTCAAACCATTACCGCAACCCAGATTTCATCCTCGACACCATCGTCATCATCAACAATATCATCTCCAAAGCCAATTGGTAGTTCTGCGGCGCACGCCACAGCGAAACAGTCTCCGCCCCGGCTTGGCAATCCTTCCTCATCCGGGCGTTCTCGCATCGACTCTCGGGCAGAGGTAGAAGAGCGGCGAACGCAAGAGCTTCTCGAAGCAGAAAAGCGCGCCGCAGAAGAGGCTCAGCGTCAACGACAAGCCGAGATCGACGCTGAGACTGAACGCCTCCAACAGTTGTACGGCCAAGAGGAACAGCAAGTGCGCGCCAGAATCCAGTCAATTGGCACTGCCGACGCCAGTGCTCACCCACCCGCCACAGCCCCATCGCCGCGCCCAAATCTACCAGCCCGTCAAACGAGACCGGCGAGGTCATCGCACAATCACTCCACTTCATACTCATATATCCCGCCTCAACAGCCACAGCGACTGCCTCCAAGCGCTTCATCCTTGTCCTTGGTGCCGAATGGCCCCTACATGCGCGCCTCTGCCGGCGGCGGTGGCCTTGACCCTCGAGCACAATCGACGATCAATCTTATGCCCCCTCGACCCCAGCCAACAAGACCTCAATCCACAGTGGGATTTCCTCAGTCTGTCAATGGAGTGATGGGGTCAAATGGAAGACCACAGCAGTCTCAGCAGTCCCAGCAGCCGCGGCCACATCTGACTCCGAAGAAAAGCAGCCTCTTTGGCTTTCTGCGACACAAGGAAGAAGGCGAAGCCAGACCGAGGAACAAGTTGGACAAAAAGCGGAGTTCGATGTTCTGATGCCTTTTACATCGGATGTGCATGTGCATGTTCATGTTCATGTTCATGACCATGATTCTCTCAATCCTCATGACAGTCTCAAGTGTTCTTTTCTGCGATACCCTTTGCGCACAGGTTTCATGTTCCATGCACAAGCTCTGATAGTGCGGTTTTCGAATGGAATGATTTTGCCCAGATCTACCACCATTTAGTTTTTCGTGTCGGTACTCGCTCAATAGCATCTTTCAAACTCATGGCGTCACATATCCAATCTTCTTCATCCCACGTGCAACATTCCAGACGTACAATGTAAACCGGAGTCTAGAACGATTCCTCATAAGGAGGTCAACTCCTGCCCGGAGACATTTGCAAGGAAAAGAGATACCGGGCAGACGAACGGATGGGCTGGACCTCTTCACCACACATCCACATTCAACATCCACAATAGAATCTGCCATCAACCACCTAGTCGATAATAAACAACAAACAAATCCACAACCTAGCATCAGTAACAGAACCGGTCACTCTGTAGATGACATCCCCGTACGCTCGGAGGAGCGAAAACCCGAGACCGTCTTTGATAGCCATATCGATCCCTATGCTAGTACATCATCGTCCAGTACCCAGACGAAGCAGGTCAAAAGAATACGTAGAAAGCAGACAGCAGCCAGTAAAGAGAGAACGCAGTACATATGGACTACATGGTACACGTAAGCATACCCTTCTCAAACGCGCTGGAATCGATGCTGGAAAAGCTCTCTGGCTCCAACGACGTATGTGTACTCTCCCAGTGGAAAGATAGAGAAAAGCAAAGGAAGGGCAAAAGAGAAGAAAAAGTCGCGTTACCCCGATCTGAACCCTCGACCTCAGGTTTGCGCCTTTTCTGCCAGGTACAAGACTCAAATGCTCGCTCCCATCACGTCGATGTTCCAAGACGTATCTCGGTGCTCGGCCGGAGACAAGATCACCATCAATTGGCCGTCAACAAATCGATGTAAGATCCTGAAATGAATGGTCAATGTGAATTAGATTCACAAATCAGTTTCTCAACATTTGTCGTTTTTTAATCGAGTGGCCAAAAATTTTCGCCGAAGCCCACCCACCCAGCTACTCGCAGGCATCGACCAGCTACCTCGTGTACCACAACATTGATGAGGTATGTTGGGTGGGTACACGTTATCGCAGGGGGTCGGGGTTTGGTTCAATGTAGGTACTATTGAACCACCCTGTACCTGGAGGCTAACAGGATCATCATGTTCTGCGTGGTAAGTTCTCACTGGGACTCTCAAGGTACGCTTCTCCCCAAAGAGTAAGGATGTAGTAACAATAACACTTTCATTTAATCATGGCACAACCATCATAATGAATCACTCACACAATACTCGTACATTGGATGCAAACCTTCCCGTCTGACAAAAAGCCTTCATCCCACAGAGTCACGCCTTGGCTCTCATCAGAATCGCAGTACATATGCATCCGGTAGCCCGTGCACCACGGTCAGCAGCTCTGCGACTCTTGCTGGCACCTCACGGTCCGTCTTCACAACCATCAACTTCATCTGCCCCAGAGGTGGAGGAGTATCGTCGTCGGAGTCAGTACTTTCATCTTGATCGGTGGGATCAAGCACATTGTCATCTTCATCAGAGTTATTAATTTCCATCTCCTGACGAAGATCGAGATCAGGGCACACCGAATACACAGTCGTCTCATTGGCTTTGATGTTCATGTCTGACAGGAAGTCCTCCACCATCTCAATCATGGCAGGTTCATCCTCGTACTCGCATATCAGAAGATTGCCATCGGGTACAATCTGCGTCTTAAACCGGTCGAGGCACACGATTGTTGGGCAACAATGACACGGAACCTGACGCTTGTCCATGTCAGGGGTAAATCCTTCTGTGCACTTGTCGCATGGTTCGACGATTCCATGGATGCGCGTTGATGCTGAGAGTGATGATCGTGCCACAAGAGTGACTGAATCAGTGTGCCAAGTCTGTCCGTCTGGCACACAGTTGAGAACCTCCCTGACCACGACACCACGCTCGCGTGCCACAATGTCTGCGTTCACAACGCTCACAGGTCGACCATGAGGCCCACTCCTTGGACCCAAGAGTCCCCTGATGAATCCCGCGAACAAAGGCTTCGTGTTGACTATCGTGCCCAGGCATCCTCGGTAACGGAGCTCAAAGGTAGTAGTGGCCATATTACGACCGACCGATCGAGGAAATCGCTGGGCATACCACATACCCATTTGCTCGGCCAATCTGACGAATGGCTCAATCATGTCATGTTCCTCGATTGAGCTCCGCGCAGCGTTGACGGTGTTTCGAGCCGGCATGCCTTTCACCAGGATATCAATAACTTCTTGACAGATCAACCAGGATGTGGTTTCCAAAGCTTCGGCGGTAATCGCACCGATATGTGGCGTTGCTACAACGTGCATATGAGCAATGAGCTTGGCGGAGGTGGAGTCAGCTCTGGGGGGTTCGCTGCCAAAGACATCCAAAGCGGCTCCAGCAAGATGGCCTGACTCAAGCGAGGCAAGCAAAGCACCTTCATCGATCGTTCCACCGCGGGATACATTCAGGATTCGAGAACCAGGCTTCATCTTCGCCAGCTCTCTAGCTCCAATGATCCCCTTTGTTGACTCGTTCAGAGGCGCATGGATTGTGAGGAAATCGACTTGCGGAAGTAACATCGTCAGGTCATCGAAGCGTTCGATCTCTTTCGCGGCGTGGGTTGCGATGTAGGGGTCGTAAGCAATCACCCGCATACCAAGACCTTTGGCCAACTGATCAACTCTGCAGCCCACTGCAAGAGAGTAAACGTCAGACTGAAGAAACCAACAGAAAGTACCATGGCACCACGAGTGACTTGCCTTTGCCAAAACCGACAATGCCTAGGACTTTGCCCCTAACTTGTACACCCTCAAAGCGACTCCGATGCCATCCACCAGACTTGACATGGTTATTGGCAACATGAATTTGTCTTGCCAAGGTCATCATCAGGGCAATAGTATGCTCCGCTGCCGCTGCCACGTTGCCTGCTGGTTCATTGATCACGAAGATGCCCAGCCGGGTTGCTTCCTGAACATCTAGAATCGAAAGTCTTTGGTCAGCAACATAAACAATTTGAGATCATTCTTTCTTGGCCAAAGAGCCTACCGATGTTGTCAACGCCAACACCGGCACGAGCAACCACCTTCAACTTGTGGCCAGCTCGCAGAAGTGCCCCGGTGACTTTGGTATCGGATCGAACAATGAGGGCATCAAAGTCCGGGACCAACCGCAACAGTTCGTGCTCCCCCAGTACTTGGGACGGGTGAACAGTGGTCATGAACCCGCCCAGGTACTCGACAGCAGATTCATGGATGTCTCCTAAGACGAGAACCTGTTGAGGCTTTCTCTGGGGAGAGGACATGATGGCAGCAGGGAAGGATAAAAGATTGAACACCAAGAAGTCTTGGTCCAACGAGGAGATAACGAGAGAATAAGGTGAGCTAACGGAGGAATGAGTGAAGGTTGAATAGGATGATGAATGAAAGAACGAGGAAGATGTGAGAATGATGAAGAGGAGAAAGATGTTTGGGAAAGGAAGCCTATTGTCGGGGCAGGCGCACTGAATGAGGCAGGGCCCCGATTCGCAGGCACCGATGTGAATGGATTACTTCTTGCCTATTCATGTCTTGGGGCCCGCATGGGTTCTGCGTGGATCCGCGAAATACCATCTTGAAGCACAATTGTGTCCATCGCAGGGCTATATTCGTTATGATTCTTCTGCGACGATACATCACGGAACGTCAATACGTGCCAGCCGTCATCCGTCTAGCATTGTTCTCAATCACCGCTGGACTGAAGGACAAACCCGCCGCCATGTATCGCAGCACGGCGATTGTGAATATCATTCACGAATACTCGACTAGGTGATTTTTCAAAAGTCTTAAGGACCACCATCAGGATCCATCAATTGATATCTTTCTTGGAGCTCCAGGCGTCTTGACGCCCAAAGGGTGATAAAAGGCTGAGCCCAGGCGCGGTGATTGTCTAGCTCTATAGAGTAATGAATGATATTCCGTGATTTTGCTCATTTCATTTCATGTATCAAACAACACGCAAAAATTTTGCCCCTCGCTTACATGAGCTGCGGAGGATTCTGGAAGGATAACCATTGTTACTTCATTCCTCATCTTCAAAGTTGAAAATGGAAGGTCCGCGGTGTCGGTGTAAAACACGGAAGGTCTGAATGTTTCCCATCCAACGTGTCTTGAGACAAACAATGGAATATTTTTCCTTTACATAATGATCACGTTCTTCCTGAACTCTAGTGAGACGAGTAGTGGGTTCTATAAAACAACAACAACGAACCTGTGCCCCGTCCAAGGCCCACACGGGCCTTTTGGTAGTAATGCTAATGCGTAGGGCCCTAAGATTACCTAGAGCCCAACGTGAAGCAACCCTGCTCTTACATATCTCATTTTCTGTCCGTTTGAGAAAAACCGGGAACGAGACTCACATAGTGATGCGAATGCTAGATTCCATTCACGAAGCGATATGAATGCATCAAAAATTGGTCATGATCAAATGGTTTGCTTGAAGCCAACAGAAGTCAGGGTCAATTACATGGAGATACTCATACAATTTTTTGAAATGCATCTGGAAAGAGCGATTCGAGCGTGAAAGAGAAAATGGCGCGATATTAAGCCCTTCAATAGTGTTCATGTTGCTCCTGCTTCTTACCATGAAAAGTCACGGGACCCGCCTTTGCCCTCACTCAAAATGCCATTTTTACTCCGTCGATGCACCTTTGATCTTGATGTCGATCTACGCTCCTTGTTCTTTCTTGCATCTGTTGTCTTACAGTTGGGATTCGTCCCATGTCGTGGACACATCTTTTCATCTCAAATTTTGTGTTCTTCTCATGTTCCCTCGACTCGTCTTAACCTTTGTTGCGTTAATATCTCTCGTACCTCGGACTCGCCTCTCGTCCTTTGTTTTCTCGACGCATCCTGCACCTTGGAGACGGTGCTCGCTCTTTGTCCCTTCATCCCATAGTAGCTTCACATGACACAATCATACACCTCTCGTCTGATCGTCAGATTTCATTTAACACCACCTTCCTGGCTTTGTTTTCTTATCTAACACAGGCCTTGTTTTTGAGATCTCAGGCTAGTGGGTAAAGCATGTCCCACTCCCACACACCACCACCAACTTAGCTTTGAATTTGCATGGCTTCTCCCTCTCAAGCTTTCTAGCCCACTGGAAGTGAAACAGGTGCTAATTCCAGTCTTTTTCCAAGTCGAAGGCCGATAGCGCAGCCGGGGGGTAGTTTCACATACTCTCAGAAGCTACGATGTTCAAACATTCTTTGACAAAGCCAGTTCAGGCAAACCGTGCCTAATCATTTTTGACGAGATGCAACTATTCACTTTTGATCTACACAAACCCTGTACCTCGGATACACGCAATACACATTTCCACGTTCTGCGAACGCAGCCTTTGCCGCATGGAAGCTGTCAAGCCTCTCTCAAGATCTCGAGGCATCCACGGATGCTACCCCATCAAGTCGAACCAGACCCGTCACTCTTCTTCGAGCATGTCGGGTTGAGACGATGGAACCACTCGCGCGTACCAAAGACGGCTAAGCACCTTCGATGTAGAGCAATAAAGGCGACCGTCGTCACGTCTGGAAACAATGCGTCGATCTATGGCAACGGCTCCCAAGTTCTGCGTCGAGTCTGCACTCTTGCGACACGAGTCTTACGTCTTACTCGGATCATCCGGGCCGTGCACACTGCACCGCACAGTCAACCGCGCATCGACCACATTTTTGCGGCAATCTAGAGCTTGGACTCATCGTTGCCCGGCCTTCCCCCTTCCCTTCAGCCTCTTCACTACTAAAAAGGGGCCTATGGAAATTTGATCTGGAGAGTCAAGTCAGTGTCAATATGTGGAGCCGTACCGTCCCAATATTTTTGACGGTTATAAACTTGACAGATGGTCGGAAACCCTATCTGTCAGGACGAGTGACCACATTGCGTCACTTTTGCTATTCAGGTTCAGCCACATGGCCTCCTACCATATCGAGTGCGCCCTCGGATGCCCTGTCGATCCTGGGGTAAGAGAGAAAGCTGGGGGGGTTCTGATGGCAAGGATCCTGTTTCCCGCACGAGTCTTCCCTTGTCCGTCGTGGAAATGGCAGAGGAGGCAGAGATTACCATACCTTCAACACGAATGAAAAAAGTCCAGTTTGTATCACAGCACTTCGCGCCCGAGTATGCATTACTAGCCTTGGGGGGAATCGACTTGGGTAGAACTCTTGTTAGCGCCGCGTTGCTTGGCACAAGTTTGGCCTCGTCTTCTTCTACGTGGGTCAAGTCTTGATCCTGTGCTTTTCACCTTTTTTTTCTCCTCCATCTTCACCTCTCCACTGTGCTTGTCTTTCCGTTCACTTTCTCCAAATCGTCAGGGCGGCACATCCCGGAACCCAAAAGAGATCAAAAGACACCCAGGAAAGGCCTTTCTTGGTGTCGTCTTATCGTGCCAAGCCACGAGCTGGATAGAATAAACTGGGGAAGTTTTCCCAAACGGGTCAAGACGAGATCCTTTAGTGGCCATCTAAACCTGCGCTTGCCCGGGTCCAATTCTCTTCCTTTCTTTTCTCTTTCTCTTCTGCCATTTCTCCAGGCCATTACACATTGTACCGACTTCTTACGGGTCCAGTGGGATTTCCCATGATCATACGGCTCCCTCGTCTCGCTCTTGGATGATCCACGTCTGCTTGTCGTCTTGTTCCTCTGCGCCCGAAGCTTGACTCGAGTCAGGCAGGGTCTGCAGGCCTTGTTTAATTTCAGATCTCCCACCCCCACAGCTTCCCGACAGGGTGGAGATCATAATTTGGACTCTCACCACGCGCAGGTTCATCCGGGACACCAATTTTGGATCCCCGCAGCTACGCCATTTAAAGCAAAGTACATCCCCGCCGGTGATGCTATCCGTCAACGGGCGATAAAGCACCCTTCCTACGCAAGAGTCATGTGCCATTGAAATTCTCGCCATTACCCACCATGGTCGGGGTCCCTCACAGTACTGGTTGTGCGCTATGTCGCGAGAGACATATCAAAGTAAGTCTCTACATATGCACGACTGCCTTGATTCCCAGATAGCACCTCTCTTCAGTTCCCATCCTCGTCTTACCTGTTGCACGCCGAGCATGTTATTGAGCGGGAGAAATATTCCTTGTCTTTGCGCCGGATAGGACTGAGCAAAAGTGTTTCACAGTGCGACGAAGCTGTGCCGGAATGCACGCAGTGTCAACGATATGGCCGCGCCTGCCCAGGATATCGCCGCGTCTTTCGTTTTCAAGATGAGGGGCCAAACCTCCAACGTCGCCATCGCTCCACTACGCGCGGTCGAGGCCGCGGTCGCGGAACCTCAAAGGGCCCTAGCACATCAGGTCCAAGCACTCCGACCTCGAGCAGCAAACCGACGTCGTCGGTTACGCCGCAGGGGGATACCAGCGCGTCAGAGCCGCTCTTGGGTGCCGCGGGGATTGTGCGCGCCAACGCCATTGCTCTCATGCGTCGTCACACGGCTGCAGTGACCCTAGACGAAAATGTAACGCCCTCGTTGGTACGCAAGACTTTTCGAGCGGCGCAGCCTCAGCTTTTCCTAGATTTCATCAGTGCATCATTTCCAACATTGTACTTTCACAATCGGTTCCGGGCAGGCAACGAGCTTGGCTTTGCCGAATTCATTGTCCTGAACTTTGGCCAAGATGCATATTTGGACACAGCGATTTGTTGTCTGAGTTCGGTCTATTTGGCCCATCTGACTCAAGACCCAGTCTTGATGCGAACGAGTCGACGCATGTATGGCCTCTCATTGAATGAGCTTATTCGCTCACTTTCTCGCAATGAGCATGCGCTATCGGATAACATGGTCTGCACAGCAATGATGCTCAGCGTTTACGAGATGTATGCTCGGACCAGTCCCGACGCTTGGGTGGTCCATTCGGACGCAGTGAGGAGGCTGATGGAAAGTCGCGGTCCAGCGCTGCATGATTCTGGATTCGGAAGATCATGCTGGATCGCATTTCGGGGCTTCCATATCGCGACCGCGGTGTATCAGGGGAAACCATGCTTTTTGGATCAACCTGAGTGGCAGGATTATACCATACGAAATATGACTGAGGACGCCAAGAAGCCAGGGGAATGGTCTGCATATGCAATCATCTCAGACAAAGTCTTTATTGAGATTGCTAAATGCCCGCGATATATCAGTGAGACTCGGGAGCTCGCCGCGGATTCGACGAGTATGGATCGAGATGCGGTGGAAGCGCTGTTGCAACGCATTCACGACACTGCTACCAAATTACGTGCCTTGACGGCAGAACTTCGTTTGTCCATTACTGCTCACGGCCAGCGACAACAGGGTATCGTTCGCCGCCCGAACACTTTCGTCGGGCCCGTGCCGGAGATCTTTCCGGAAACCGGCCCTTCACTCTTACTCCGCGGAGCGGAGAATGTGCTCACTACTCTTGGTCAGCTGCAAGATCGGCTGGAAGATTCACTCCGGATCTGTGTGATTGAAGAACTCTCGCCCGAATCCATCTGGGACACGCCGCCGAGTGATGGCAGTGCACGATCCCTGTCCCCCCCTTCCTCGACGACGAGTCGACCTAAGACTTTCACACTGCCGTTTCGAATTTCCTCAGAACTCGGCCGAGGCCCTTCACAAACTTCTGATCAGAATGACCCACGTGCGGTCATTTGGCTGGATCGCGTTGCTTCGTCGATGGGGATGCTGGGAACGAAGATTTTGGAGACGGGCTCGGTGTCGGAAGATGTTCAGGAAGAAGCGGAGGCTTCCTGATAGTCGTTATAATGTAATCCCAGCTATGATGATATGTGGCATGATTTGCATCGTTTTGAGTTGCCTGTCCCCACTTATACCAGCTTTGCTTCTTGCAGCGACTGCATCAGCAGGTCTGGGTGGTTTGCTCGTGTTCTCTACCTTGTTTACGTCCACACGGACGCAATGGCATCGCACCCGTTTGAAGATTTGACATTTACGCCAATAGGTATCCAGTCGATGTGACATTGAGTGTTCAATACGATTTTTCTTTTCTACCGTATGGAATATGCCCAAACTCCTCGAGGGTCACCTAAACAAGTACACTTGAGTTATGTCATGTTCTTGACGCCGAATCCGAAATACACAAAAAGTCCCGCCCGAGTGGTGTTCTTAAATTCCTTTTCTTTCTTTTGTTTCGAAGATGCCTCTCCATCTTCATACGCCCCGCTGCTTAATACTCCAGCGACTCTTCCAACAACTTCCGCAACTCTCCCCTCTCGGCCTCCAACTCTTCACTCAAGTTCGGCGCCAACATCAAGACTCGCTTCTGCGGAATCGTCCCCTCGACCAAACCCTCCACATCCGCCGCCTTGAAGCCCAAATCTTTCAAGCCTCTCGGCTGATCACCCAACTTGATCAAAAAGTTGGCAATCGCCTCACCCAGCACTTCGCCCGCACTCTCCCGCTTCACATTGCTTATGTCCACGCCGAACGCCTCCGCGGCCGCCAAATGACGGTCTGGATTCGACGCGGCCGTGAACCGGAACACCGCGGGCGCGGTCACCGCGACAGAGACACCGTGGGGGATAATCGGGTGGTCAACATCATAGCCCACATGCTTGTAGCCTGGGTTCTGGCTTGAGATGGGATAACTCATTCCGTGGCACAGATGCACGCCGGCGTTGCCGAAGCCCACGCCTGCCAAAGTGGCGGCGAGAAGCATGTTCGACTGCGCGTCATGGTCGTCCGGGTCGCGTACCGCGCGAGGCAGATACTGCACGGTGCTGCGGAGGGCCTGCAGGGAGAAGATGTCGGAGATGGGGTTTGCGCCTTGGTAGGCGGGTCTGTTGATGGGGTTGGTGGGCCGGGGCGTGCGCTCGTTATAGGGGATGGCGGTCCAGGACTCGAGGGCGTGGCAGAGCACGTCGAGGCCCGAGGAGGCGTGGACGGCCGAGGGCATGGTGCGCGTGTTGAGAGGGTCGCAGATGCCGAGGGTGGGCTTGAGGTTGCGGTGGGCGATGCCGGTTTTGGCCTTTTTCGAGACGAGATCGAAGATGGCGGTACCGGTGGTTTCGGAGCCCGTGCCTGCTGTTGTTGGGACGGCGACGAGGGGGAGAAGTCGCTTTGCGACGGGGAGACCTTTGCCGAGGGGGGCGTTGACAAAGTCGAGGAAGTCGGCTTCGGGGTAGACGGTGTATAGATTCATGAGTTTGGCCGTGTCGATGACGGAGCCACCACCTGGAGTGATTGTTAGCTCTATTCTGAGAGTTAAGAATCTTTCATTCTTTTCTTTTCTTGTTTTTCTTCTTTTTTTTTTGGGCTTGGGAGGGAGCCGGGCGTTGATATGTGCATATAGTCACAGCCCGTCCGGATATTGTATCATCGAACAAGAGTATATACGGCAAAGAAATCCACAACGACTCGGAGACGAAAAACATACCAACAGCAAGGAACGCATCCGGATTATACGGTTTCGCAAACGCAATCGCCTCCTTGACCGAGCTATCCTTGGGCTCCGTCCTCACCTTATCATAAATCGTGAACTCGATCCCCTCCCTCGTCAGCCCCTCCACAGCCTGCCTCATCGCATCCAACTTGGCCACGTTCGAGTCGGTGACGATGCACACGCGCTTGGCACCCATATTCTTAAAGTCCATGCCGACCTCCTTGGTCGAGCCGGGGCCGAACCGGATGCTGGACGCCGCCATCTCAAAGGCATATTCCTTTTCGCGGGAGGGGTCGGTGGGGGTGGCCAGGTGCCGCTTGACATGGTTCATGAGCGAGGGAGTCTTGTGGTTGTGGTGATGGTTGGGATTGGAGTGGCAGGGGCAGTTGGGGGGGTGGGTGTATTGGACTGTGGCCAGCAGGCTACGGGCTTTTGTGGCGGCTGTGCGAGCCACGCGGATTGCGGGCGCGGCCATGTTTTGGGGGGGGGGGATGATGCGGGGAATATGAGATGGGATAGGATGGAAGGGGATGGGTACTGCTGTGTAGGCAGTGGAAGGATGGGTAAGAAAAGGAAGAAGGAGAGGAAGAAGGGAAGCTGTTTAGGGTTGAGAATGGGCAGTAAGATGGAGAGACAGAGACAGAGAGAGAAGTGGGATGATGTCGGAGGAAGAAGGTTGGAGAAACTCGAGAGATGAAGAAATGCGGGGCCAAGAAGGGGTTGACCGTCACAGTGGACGCAATTGAAGAACTCGAAAAGAAAGTTCAATCGTCACAAGATCGGCTTTCTCGCCGAGTGTTGGTTTTATACTTTCTCCAGTGTCGTACCGGTAGTACTCATATACTAATTAACGTCGGGTTCGGACTTTCTTGTTTGAGTGGCGTACTGTGAAGGGGTCGAAAAGGAAGGCGTGTAACACGCCAGGACCTGATTCTCCATGGACTCCTACCCCACGGAATCCGTGGACGATCGAAGATTCCATCGACTCCAAATCTCAACGCAGTTGACATTGCGCCGCGGTTTTTCCCCCAAAAGTACGAAAAGTTGGGGGCGGAAGACGAAGCGGCATTTGCGGAGACGATTCGAGTCCCCGCACGTTCCTGTCTGAGCCGAGGTACTTTGGATCGAGTGACATCAGCTTCCTTGCAGACTCCAAATTGGAGCAGAACTAGTTGATTGGAGCAACAGTCATAGAAAACACAAATTCCCCGACAGGGAGGACTTTTCAAAAAAAAAGATAGAATAGACTTGAAAGGTGCTATTTTTCGTTTTGCAAGGGATTGCCATGCGATTCATATATTTCCAGTGGCGTTCAGTCCCACGTGATCAATATTCAAACAAAACAACGCTTCCCACCAGCTCACACTCATCCTTGTCAGTCCCCCGCCTGCCAGCATTGCAAACGTCAATGAGAGCCAAGCGAATATATCTGCACTCCACTCCAAGCAACTCTTAACACAACGTCAAGGTCAAGTCATCCGACGCATTCTGCACTCGAACCTGACTACCCGCCGGACGAACGCCATCGGCCCAGTAGATAGCCGGTTCCGCCGGAGTCAACTGAACAGGATGACCCTTGAACGCGTCCCCGAAGACATCCGAAAGATCGTACCAGACCTGCTGGCCGTTGATGTTGTAGGCAAAGATAGTCATAGGCGCGCTATTGTAAAGTCCATCCTCCTCGGTGCTGACCTTGAGGGCTACGCCGCCCGAACTGTGGTCCAATCGGTAGCTCTCGCTGTACTCGCTGCCTGGCGAGACTTCCGCGGGAGCGGGCGTCGTTGAACCGACGGACCAGACGTAGACGGGCGTGTCACAGTGGTTCTGTATGATGGCTTTGCCCACACCGGTGCTGCTGGCTGGGGACTGGGCCGCGGCGGGTGCTGTAGAGGGTGTGGCGGCTGCGGAGGAGGAAGAGGACGGTTTGGGGATGGCGGACGTTGAGAGCGTGGAGGGCGAAGCAGATGAGGAAGGGAATGCGCCGTAGGGCAAAGCATCTTGGACGTTGTGGCTGCCTGGAACGGCGAGGGCAACAGAGGCCAGAGACAACAGGGGAATTGTAAGGGTAGAGTAAAGCATCTTGGGAAGATGAGGTAGAATCGAGCAGTGCGGTATTCGGGTAGTCGATTCAACAGGTGCTATACAATCAAAGTTGTGTAGATCGCGGGAGATAGACAGATGATAACGTCGCATGAGGTCCAAGACACACGTTCAAGGCAGGGACCACGAGCTTTATGTTTGCGCGCTGGTCTTCCGAAGGAATGCCTGCCTTGCTCACAACACACGTTGGCCCTTAAAAGGGTAGCCAGACCAGTCCATGGCAGCCTGCAATTCCACCGCAGAGGTAACATCTCTGCCCGGGAGATCCGTAGAATGCAATTTCTCGGGCAATTTAGTCTTTGCGTCCACATTCGATGCCCTCCCTACCAAGAATAGATCTGGGTTGGTGGATGGTTGGGTAACCGGGTTGCTGTAGAACCCAAGTCTGAAACGACTCAAGGTAGCGGAGTAGCCAAGACACAATCAAGGGGCTCACGCACAAGATGGCGGGCAAGACGATCCCGTACAGAGTGTCGAGAGATGAGCAGTTCCACTTCACGCATCAAGATATCGTGATGAAGCATCTCCGCGAAGGTGTTGATCCGGAGACTTGTCGCACCCTATCTCTCGGTGTTAGGTGCATCTTTCGTCCAAGATGTCGCCAGGTGCAGCTGCCTCAAAGGAGACTGGGTGCATCGCTGACAAAAGCCATTGAGGTGAGAGACCTGCAAAGAGTGTGCAACGATTCGGCGGAGCATGGAATGTAGGTTGTCAGACTTGCAGATCACACTCGCAGCAGCTCGAACGGTTCTCGAATTCCTGCGCCTGGACCTCAACGGGCCAGGGAGATCATCAGGATTTCGGGAATGTAACCATGGCAAATCGACCCCCAGTGGGGAATTTCTCCGAAACTTCCAACCTGGACTTGCGGTCTTACCGATAGGTAGAGTGGTTGTCGGAACGCGCTACGGGCTGGATTCGGGTTTTGCTACTGCTGTGTAGCGGAATCCCCATGAACACCTTGGTATGCGGGGACTGCAAGGTAGAAATGTCCGTCTCCATTTAAAGTGAACTATTCAAACTAGACGGCAATAACTTGGATGTGCTTGAATTTTGACTGAAAAAAAAAAAAAAAAAAAAAAAAAAACAGAGTGACACTCGGCGGTTCGATTCGAATACTTTGTCTCTCGAAAAATTGTGAGATATTCTTGGAATCATGTGAGGCATATGGAAGACAGCCCAGTGTGTGCTTCGCCCATCTTATATTGTGCACAAGCGAGCTTGCACGACCAAATTGAAGGATCTTCCAACCCGTTCCTGGCAGACCGCCAGAAATAAGAGCTTGGAGCATGTCACTGAAAGCTGGAGTTGTCGGAAACAAGAAACGATTCCGTTATCAGACATAGCTCACGCGACCAAGGCAAGGTTTTTTGTCTCGTGCGGGTGGAACAACGACGACGTGTTTGAGAACAGCAAAGAGAAAATATGAATGACGCTCCTGAGATGCGGCAATCAAATCCAACCTTGTTCCTGCGAGAACATCGCTGCCGCGTGAAAGGATATTAGCAGTAGGCTCTGTAAAGCAACCAACGAGTTTGCATGTGATCGCCACAAAGTCTACCTGGAATATCCTTTTGAGACATTGCACCTAGAGTAAATTCTGCGCAAAGGCGATCCACGACTGTAAACTCGGGAAGTTATGAAGAAAGTCTTGCGCTTGAGGTTGCCAAGGAATGCGGATGCAGCGCCGGCTAGCCTCGAAAAATGCGGGAGGCCACAGCCGATGGACCCGAATCATCGAATGCTCTGCGCGTGCACGGTGGTCGCAACACGGATTGAGCACCAAATGGTGTTGGGGGTTCGAGAATTCCCATTTATCAGCCAGCAATATCTCAACCGCCAGATTCTCGAAGCTTTGCCAGTGCAGCTGCAATGCCATCATCGAGCTGCTCGGTTGGCCGAGACGAGTTTCTGGACTCTTCTTCCGCAGCAGCCATTCGTCGGCTCTCTTCCATCACGGATCGAAGCACTGCTTCATCTTCATCCTCGGCCATGGCCACCTGATCTTGCCGGACAGATCTCGGCTTCTGGGTCGTCGCTCGGGAGACTGGGGCAGACGCCTTCTTGGCAGTCTCAACCCTGAAGTCTTCACGCACTGCGTTGCACCACTGCTGAACTTTCTTTTCGCCCCAGCCAGGCACAGCGCTGATTTGCTCCGGCTGGGCGTTCACGGCGTTCTGCAGACTACCGAATGTAGAGATCAAACTCGCTGCATCTGACTTGTTGATACTTCGGGGCGTGGTCACGAACTCCACTAACGACTCTTTGTAAGATTGTGCTTGTTGGGTACGAATGGCAGTAGGCTGGGCGTGCTCGGAGGACTTGAAGAGTTCCAGATAGTGGGCTGCCTCGGGAGCAGACCAGCATAGCATCAGCGTGAGATTATTGATGATGGAGGTTTTGGACAACTCCCGGAGCGGGTCTTCATGGTTCGGAATATCGACCATCACGAGGACGATCCGGAGGTTGTACTTTCCCGCCAGAAGTTTGATTCGCGAGTATATATATTCTGGGTGAAGACGATGATACTTCAACGAGAGAAACAAGGCACAAGTGGTGGTTCCGACCACATAGTCGGCCGGAATATCGGCGAATTCCCATGGCAGAAGCTTGATGTGATTCAAGATAGGGTTGCCCTTTTGACGTGTCGACACTAGGATGGCCGACGGTCCTGAGCGGTTGGGAAGTGCTTGAGGCTTGGGCTGTTGCACTTTGGGTTGTCCTGCTGTCGGAATCCCAGGCTGTGAAGTTGTTGAGCCATCACTTGCACCTGCTCGAGCCTGCAGTAGGCTCTCATCTCTCGACCGGGCGTCCATGATGATGAACCTGCTTGATGGTAGTAGACCAGAGTTCCGATAAAGCTTGGCCGCTTATCGGATGCCGCAGCGCGGATCCAAGTCTCACCGCTCGGTCGGTGCAGCCTTTTCTGCCGCTAATTTTTTTGTTTCGTCCCCGTCGGCAGGACCGAATATACGCATTAACACAACTCGGTGTGATCGAGTTGCAAACACAAAAGCATCGTCTGTCTGAGAGAGCCTTTTCGCAGACTACGATCAGCAAAATGGAACCCTCACCGGCCAAAACCCCCCAGGCCTCGGCTGCCGCAAAGCCTAACAAGACCCTCTTCGTTCGATCAATTCCTACTTCAGTATCCACCGAGAGACTCACTGAATTCTTTTCCGACTCCTATGTTATCAAGCACGCTACAGTCGTTCTCAATCCCGAGACGAAGATTTCAAAGGGCTTTGGTTTCGTGACATTTGCCGACTTGGAGGATGCCCAAAGCGCTCTCGAGCAATTCAACAACACCGATCTTGACGGCAAGAGAATTCGAGTCGAGTATGCGCAGCCTCGTCACCGTGAGATTGATGAGAAGTTGGGCAAGAGTGTGCCCGCTGCCGCCGCCATTCAGAACAAACAGAACAGAGAAGATCAGAGGACACAAAACCAGCCACCCAGGTTAATCATTCGCAACCTTCCGTGGAGCATTGAGACACCCGAGCAGCTCTCGCGGCTATTCCTCAGCTTCGGCAAAGTCAAGCACGCAGTTCTGCCCAAGAAGGGCAACAAACTACAAGGATTCGGCTTTGTCGTTCTCCGAGGCAAGAAGAACGCCGAGAAAGCTCTTGAGTCCATCAACGGAAAAGAGATTGACGGTCGTCAATTAGCTGTTGATTGGGCTGTTGAGAAAGAGACATGGGAGAAGGCGAATGGAGGTGGGCAGGAAGAGAGTCAAGACAAGGAGGAAGATGTCGATATGGATGACAAGGACGCCTCTGGAGCGGACAAAGATGACGGTGCCGGTACCGACGAGGAGGATGAGGACGAGGACGAGGATATGGAGGATATGGAGGAGGATCTAGAGGAGGGAGCGGAGAACGACCTCGACGAGGAAGACGAGGAGGAGGAAGAGAAAGAAGACGACCGCACAGAATGCACCATTTTCCTTCGCAACCTGCCCTTCACCTGCAACGACGAGTCTCTCTACGAACACTTTACACAATTCGGGCCTCTTCGCTACGCCCGTATCGTGGTCGATCACGAGACCGAGCGCCCCCGCGGCACTGGATTCGTGTGCTTCTGGAAGGTCGATGATGCCGTTGCTTGCATTCGAGGCGCCCCCAAGACCAATGAATTTGTTGCCGGTGACAAGGAGCGGTCAAAGCCCGCTATGAAGCATTCAATTCTTCAGAACGAGGACGCCGACCCTAGTGGCAAATACACCATGGATGGTCGTGTTCTTCAAGTCGCCCGCGCAGTGAACAAGCGTGAAGCGACAAGACTTAATGACGAGGGTGTTTCTCGCCGTCTCGTACGTGACAAGGATAAGCGTCGTCTCTATCTCTTGTCTGAGGGCACAATTGCCTCGAATTCGCCCATGTACAAGAAACTCTCACCCTCTGAAGTCAAGATGCGTGAAGCTAGCTTCAAGCAGCGTGAGACTTTCATCAAGAAGAACCCAGCTCTGCACCTCAGTCTCACCCGTCTATCTGTCCGAAACATTCCTCGTCACATCACCTCAAAGGACCTCAAGCAACTCGCCCGTCAAGCCGTCGTGGGCTTTGCTACCGACGTAACGAACGGCGTTCGTGAGCCGCTTTCCAAAGAAGAAAAGTCTCGCTCGTCAGAGGAAATGGAGGAGATGGAACACATGCGAAAGACCAAGAAGCAGGGTATTGTCCGACAAGCCATGATTGTCTACGAGACTCGCGAGGGTACCAAGGTCCCCGAGAAGGGTGGTGGTGGTCGAAGCCGTGGATACGGTTTCATCGAGTACTTCACACATCGACACGCACTCATGGGTCTCCGCTGGCTCAATGGTCACGCCATCGATATTCCTGCCAACAACGATGAGGAGGACAAGGATCGCAAGAAGCGTTTGATCGTCGAGTTCGCCATCGAAAACGTACAGATCATCAAGCGCCGCAAGGACCTGGAGGAGAAGAAGCGTTTGGATAAGGAGAAGGCAGAGCAAGAGAAAGAGGCCGCCGCCAAGGAGGAGGCCGAAAACAAGGGGATGAAGAGGAAGCGCGGCGGCAAGGGCAAGGATGGTGAAGAGGAGCCAGAGGAAGATGACGATGAGAACAAGGTCGCCAAACGCAACCGTATCATTGCACAGAAGCGCATGAAGCGGAAAGCTCGACGAGGCAAGGCGTAGTGACTTCTTATATTCCCTCTTTGGTGCTTTTTGCTCGGCTTTTCTTCATCTTGCATGCTCAATCTTCACCCATATTTTTCTGTCTCTATATTTGGTCATGTATCTATCGAATGGGGCCGAGTTGACTTTTCGCGATACCACATCATGTTATGTTGGAAATACAAAAAAGCAATTGCAATTTGACAAACCAGTTTTGTCCGAGTGTCTGAACTCTTATAAATAATGGATTATAAGGTACGCCCTAATTGACAGGTGACATGAAACCCTCAACTCGTACACATCAAGTATTCTTCGCACCCTCCACCTTCCCAACAATATTATACCGCTTGCTAAAGAACGTATACCACTCATCCAGCGTCTTTTTCTCCTTCTCATCCAAATCATGCCACTCGGGCACGCATTCCTCCGGCTTCAACGACGAGCGAGCCAGCGCTCTTGACGCATCTTTGCCCGCAAACACTATAGCCCGCACGAATTTGCACCCCTTAGTTGTCATATTCGATGGAACCTCTTGGTATATTACCACGTACCTCGATATTGACCCGTGGCGCTGTAAGCCTGATTGCGAGAGACGTCGAACACGGTACCCTTGATCGCGACGAGAGTTGGACGGTTGGGATCAGAGCCTATATAGTGAACGTTCGATTATTAGCTTTCTGCCCGAGCTTCTGCGCAACTTCAAGGATCAAAGTCGCATCACGGGCCAAAGACCACGAGAAAATGGGCTGAGAGTGCCGAGATAGAGAATGGTTCGGAAAGACGAGGACGAGGGCGTTCATCAACTCATACCATCACACTTGGCCAATTCCTCTGTAGGAATAGGATCGTCCTTTGGCGGGTCCAGCTGCACGGGGACCTTGGGAGCGAAGCGTTCGGACATGTCGTTGTCGATACTGGTGCTTGAGCAAGGTGATGTCTTTCAGAGGGGGGAAATCGGAGACGACTTCTCTCTGCTGATGGGCTTTGGGCTTTTGCGACGGCGGCCGGGGGGCCGAGGGACGGACTGCGAGCGTGGGGTCGGCGGGGTACGGCAGTCGGGAGCGGTCACGCAGGGGAAGTAAGCAGCGTCGGAGACCGGAGTCGGTATCTATGCAAAGTTAAAGTGAGAGACATCTCGGCAATGCCAATTTGCCACTAGCTTAGTAGCTAGTGGACACTGAACATGATGCATTTATGCACATGGAGAGTCCGAGGGCGGCATCTGTTTCCATGCTCGGGCCGTCCCGACGGCTCGAAGCTGTGTCTTTCAGTCTTCGGGATTAAATTTCATGAGGTCTGGGTTCAACGGCCAAGGCCATTTGGTGAGTCCTCATGGGAAAAACGCTCTTCGCAAAAATCGCCGTTGTTATGTATCGAGTCCGGGTCGGATTGACGAATACAGAAGACTGATCATTTTTAAACTTATATTTGCCGACAGAGGGGTCTCGCCCATGACTGTCAACTCTCTCTGACTCTGGAGCCTCTCTGTCTTTCGCGCAGCGGGCCCCTTTACGAAGGTGACCTGTCTGTCAAGATCTCGCTAATTTAAAGAAGAGTCCGTGACTCAAATTCCCTACTATCACACCTCTACACGTACACACGTCGATCTGTCTGAGTATTACCCACTTCCTACGCCAAAGCATATGTTATAGTCTGGGCTCTCGGACTTGTATCGTCAAAGAACATGACAGGTGACACAGATCCACCATATTGAAGCTGACAGCAGCATATCACGTACACTCAGAACCGGATCAAATTGAGAAAATAATAAATGGGCTATGCACATTGCACGTTACTCAATCACCGAAAACCCATTGCGACAGTGAGAACAAGAACAGGCTGAAACAACAAAATTGGTGAGCAGAATACAGCGGCGGTCAATAGATATACAATGTAATGGAGCACAGTCGAGACATGAAGTTTTAGTAAAGAAACAAGCGTGGAAGAGAAAAAGGGCCAATACAAGGGGCACAAGGAAACATGCAATAGCGTTCAGAACAGCTGAGAGGGGAAGGAAGGCGATCGGTTTCGCAGCTGCTGTCTCATTGAAGGAAATTATGGTCTGGGCTGGTGACTGGCGTGTTTCGTGGAAATCAACCATCTGATCAGAAACGCGGAGAACACGTGGCCGTGTTCGTCGTTTCCAAAAATTCGATGCAATGCCATGATTGATTGTCTTTGTTGGTCAGTGGATGGGAGTGTGGTCGAAATAGGTGAAGGAAGAGCAACGCATTTGCGTTCCTGACAAAGTGATTTGAAGAAAGCAAAGGCAATGATGCTGTAATGATATAGGTAATTCGTGTTTCTTCAAGGTCACTAGGTCTGCTCAAAAATATCTCGTTTAGATGGCCCTGTGAGCCAGGAGTCATGACGGCCAGAACCAGGATCCCTGAATGGTGGAAGTTTTTAGATTCTGCGGCACATGGCTCTCGACTTTGCATCAAGCTTGACTATGCTTGGGGTGGGGAGGGGATGTCAAAATCTTACTTTGAAGTTTCGAAACGGGTTTGAAGCAAGCTTTGAATCTGAATGAAGTGTTCTGCAATCTCGGAAGGACACGGTGGCAGATCTGTCGGGGGAATTGTTCTGCTGCAATGCTTGTGCGGGTTTCCCTCAATTTTAAGGATGCTCTTCTTCAGTTGCGTTCTTCTTGTTTACGTAGGCCGAAGTGGTGCTTTGAATTTGAATTTGATTTTGATTTTGATTTGAGTCTCGGCCCAAGTTAGATAAAAGGTGGTTGATGCGAAAAGATTATCGAATTGGAGGCTTGCGAGTTGAATTGTGGGTTTGTGTGAATCTTTTTGGACGGAGTTTGTTTCGATTGAAATGGTCTGGGCGATGAGGCCCGCTTGTGCTCGTGGTTTACTGGAACATCATGGATACGTGCGATCCGTGCGAAGAATGGGAACCCCCCCCCCCCCCAAGAAATATTCATTTTGATGAACACGATCGTAAGTCAATGACAAGATGAAGCTCTGTGTGTCTGAGAACGCTCCATGTACTCAGGACTCGCGCAATGTGATTTTCAACGGGCTGCCGATGGAAGGTTCATTGCAGGAGAGGTTGATCTTCATTGGAGTTGTCGTCAGCAACAGATTTGTGGTTCTTGCCGCGCTTCTTCTTACGGCGACGCTTTTTGTGTTGACTATCGTGCGTGGAGGCTTGTGAATCTTCCGGGATCGATGTTTCTGTGGCTCTGTCCCTTTCGTGGGGACCAGAATCGCCAGAGCGCCTAACGGAACTTCCATTCTCACTCTCAGATGAACTGCTGCAATTGGCGTGAAGGACGACCTTGCGGATGCCATTCATGTCCACAATTTGTTCGGTGATGCTGCCACTGCGAGTCGGACCGCGGCGGATGGACACATATTCGTTTGGCTTTGAGTCTGTGGACTTCATGCTCATTGCAGCACTGCTGTTCTTGCTTGACGGTTTGCGGGGATTCGGTGGTCGGGCACCATCTTCATGTTCTTCCGAAACTGCTTCAGGAATGGAAACACCAGGCAGATCTTTGTATTGTTGAGCATTGGTGGCCTTGGTGACATGATCCTGAGCGGGAACGGTGCCGTAGCCTAGTTTCACGGCAAATGCGCCATCTTTGGCGTCCGCTCCGGGGGTTACGAGGCCTGCGCCAATGCCTCCTTGTGGACCATTCGACACAAGTAGAGGTTGCGATTCTGAGGGGTCAATTGTGGTTTCACCGTCGGTATATGCGGAGCGGGAAGGCGATGTGCCACTGCGTTTGATTTTGACGGAAGAATACCTTGTCTGTCGTGGTCGACTAGCTAGGTTCGATGGGCCAAGGTGCTTCAAGTGTTCACGGATCTCATCCGTGGCACCTCGATGTGTGACCCAGTTGTCGCTCGGATCTGTCGATTGATCCTGAGCTTGTCTGCGGAGATGGAATCGTGGCGGTGGGGCTTCTACCGAGCTTCGACGTTGGATGGATTCCGAGGTTGGCTTGTTTGGACCAGGGAAGGATTTGCTATCCCCATTGGTATAGTCGTCTTGTTGTGAGGTGGCCTTCATGGGCGGATCTTCTACAATTTTTCCTTTGGGCACTCGGCTCTTGGGTGCCGGTGCCATACGGCGAATGGCCTTGTGGACATCGATGAAAACGTCAGATTCATCAATAATCTCCCTGGAACACGACGTCAGTTGCCGTCACTCAACGCGGTTGATTCTCAATTGGTGGTCCTTGATTTCAAACGGTGAACTTACTCGCCAATCAATTCTTCAATGACATCCTCTAGGGTGACCACGCCCAATGCTCCGTGGTCTTCACCGGGGAATTCAGACACAAGCACCATGTGCGATTTGCCCTCTTGAAAAAAGTTCACAATGTCCAAACAACTGGTTTCAGGGCGGGTCTCGGGCAGAGTGGCCAGCGCGAAATCGCGCACACGTTTGCAGTCTTCGGGGTCGTATGTGATGAGCATTTTGACAAGTAGCATGCCCACGAAATCCATCGTGTTATCAGGCGCATGTATCGGAATGCGCGAGTAACCTTGAGACAGAATCAGATCCATCGTGCGCTCGTCGAGAACAGTGTCAGCAGACATGGTAAACACGTCCTCCATTGGCGTCATGATGGTTCCAACACATTTTTCTTTCAAATCGAGAACAGCGGAGATGATTGTGACCTCGTCGGAATTAAGTTGTTCTCCCGCTTCGCCCATTGTTTTGTGCAGTGTGACGAGGGTTTTCAAGCCGGCCTTCTTATAGATTGTTCCGTGGTCTTCTCCCAGCAATTTGTCGAGTAATTTAGCCACGGGCCAGGCCACCGGAGACATAATGTACATGAGCACCAAGACACACGGTGCCATCCACGCCCCGATCGGCAGGCCATACCTCACACAGATCGATTGGGGGACGATCTCGCCAAAAATGACAATCAGGGCTGTACTGCCCAACACGGCGGGCCATCCACCGCCGAGGGTCCGATCGAGCACGATCGGCAGGGTCTCGTTGGTGATCACGTTGCTGAGAAGGAGGGTCACAAGAACCCAGTGTTTGCCTCTCTTGAGAAGATTCAACACACTCGCTGCATTTTTCTTCTCTGAGCCCTCCCCAGACGTCTGGATCACTTGCAGGTATACTTCGTCTTGGCCCATGAGGGCAATTGTCAAGCCGGCGAATGCGCCGCCGCTAAGCACAAGGGCTGCTGATATGCTCAAATTGAGCCACAGACTGGGGTCGTCGGCACTTTTCGGGGGCTCTTCTTCGGAAGCCATTGCATGGAGATATGGCGATAGGACCGGGGCCGCCGTGGCAAGCGGGACGTGCGAAAACGCAAAAAACACGAATTTGAGCAGGGCCAGCACAATTGGCCGAGCCGCAAGCAGATTGATTGTTCGGGAAGCCATTTCTCAGATGGCAAGTCGCTCTTTTCTCCGTTTTTGATGTTGTCTTTTGGGTATGGGACCCGTTGCTTGATCTTGGATGCCACGAATCTTTGTCGCAGCGCTTGACTTTGTTGCAGGGCCGAGGGCGGAAGGCTCGGATGGTCGAATATAGGAGGTCACAAGCGGAGCATAACTAATAGAGAAAGCTGCGTGGTGACCAGCACACAGCTTGAAATGGGGGGGGGGGGGGGGGGGGAGAGGGAACGGGGCAGGGCAAGGGCAGGGCAGGGGCAGCGAGAGGGAAGGGGAAACCGTCAAAACCGTCAAAACCGTCAACAAGAAGATGCCAGAAGTCAAATGTCAACCGTGAGTGAGGAGGAAGGATGTAACTGAGAGTTGCGAGAGGGAAATCGCGCAGCTGCTGGTGACGAGAGGAAATATGCGTTAGACCCGAACCCGAAAGGGAAGTTGAAAGTGAGCGTTAAGCCGATGACGAATGAGCGCAGGGTCTAGTCCCCGTGCGGTCATTCCTTTGACACCTCAGAGATCGGGTGCTCGGCTGACTCATGCGGTGGGTCTCGTGCTCTGGGAATAGTAGCACGGTGGATCATCCATCTATGACGGATCTCGTCTTCAGCGGCCGGGAAAGGCAAATGGCTCGCTGGCAGCTGGGAACTCACAGCTCGTTCAGTTACCCCTCTCATCCTTGATCCTCCTCACATCTGCGGATCAATCTTTGGCCAAGGCCGGACTGTCTGACTCGGGTCTCTCGTCTCTCTCACCCTAGAACCTTCGTGAGAAGGTGCCCCGTTCCCGGGTGGGGACCACAGACCTAATCGAGGCCGGACAGTCGGCTCTATACCCTGTCTGCTCAAGTTGCCTAGTCGCAGCGACTTTGTTGGTGAGCTCATGCGACTTACTGGGCAACGACCGGTTGGCAGGATGAGGCTGAGCTCTCAATCGGCTTCAGGCACCTAGTCGCACCGACTTCATGTGGTGAGCACATGCGACATGCTTGGTTACCATCTACAGCCACGATGAGGCTTTGCTCTCTATCTGCGTAGATTACCTAGTCGCACTGACTTTTATGGTGAGCGCATGCGACATCCTGGATAATCATCGGTCGGCAGGACGAGGATCGACTCTTTTTTTTGCTCAAGTTGCCTAATCGCACCGACTTTGTTGGTGAGCTCATGCGATATACTGGGCAACTACTGGTAGGCAGGACGAGGCTTAGCTCTCGATCGGCTTCAGGCACCTAGTCGCACCGACTTCATGTGGTGAGCACATGCGACATGCTGGGTAGCCATCTATAGCCACGACGAGGCTTTGCTCTATGTCTACGTGGATTACCTAGTCACACTGACTTTGATGGTGAGCTCATGTGACATCCTGGGTAATCGTCAGTCGGCAAAAGCAAGAGAATTTGAGGATCTGCCCTCTGCCTGCTAGAGGTGCCTAGTCACACTGACTTATTTGGTGAGCACGTGTGACATGCTGGGCAAATCCCTCTTCAATGCAACGCGAGGCTTGATCGGGCCAAAGATTGGAGACACGCCGGAAGGTCACCGGAAGGTCGCCGAAGGGCCGCCAGAAGCGAAGGAGCGAGGCTTGCTGCGAAGCTCAGACGATGGTGGGAAGAGCGTCAGGTATCTCGTGTTGCGGGGAGATTTTGGCAACAACGGATCCATCAGCACCGTCTCGGGAGCGAGGAAAAGAGCGAGGTATCATGCCCAGTTCCATGTTACCTATTCACGAAGGCAACAATTGGCGAAGTGACTTCGCTTGCTCCACGATGACGATTCCCTCGTCGGTCTTTTGCAACCCACCAAGGAGCATGTCAGCCGAGATTTGAAGGTCCTCCAAAGAGTTCTTGAGGTACCCTTCAGGGCCAAGCAGGTTGACGAGTCGGAGGCTCATCGCAGGGTCGTTGTATGCCTGATCGATGTCCTCCAACGCCTTCAACGCCTCGTCGACCAGGTCGCGGAGGGTCGCTGCACTGAGTTCGAGCCCAATTACATGGGTCAATGTCGCGAGACTCTTCTGGTGCAGGGCCTGGTGCTCGTTGACTTGACCGGCGACTTGCTCCAACTGCTCTGTCTGCAGCTGGATCTGCTCCCGCAGAGACGAGACTTGCTCCTCCAACGAAGCGCCGTAAGCGGCCTCCTCTGCCGAGAGGACCATGACAGGCTCAGTCTGAACTTCTGCTTCAGACTGAGCGGAGCGGGCGACCAAGAGAGCCTGGGCCTGAGCGTTGGCCTCTTCGAGCTGCAGGACCTGGGCCTCAAGACTGGCACGAGTCCCGTCGATCAACTCTCGACTGCGGTAGTCGAGCGCCATCAACTCTTTCTGGTGCTCGGCCTGCTGTTCGGCAAGCTTCGCCTCGATGGCCGTCCCGGTTTCCTCGGTCTGGACGAGCTTGCTCTCGAAAGTCGTCGCAGGGGCCGCGGGAGTAAGAGCCACGCGAGAAAGAGTGACGGTCAGGGCGTTGACCTCAGGCATGGCCTCCAGCGCTCGGACTTGCTTGGTCAAGCGACCGATCTCGCCGTTCTGGCTCATGATCTTGCCCCGGAGCTGGCCTACGTCCGCACGATACAGACCGTTCAGGCGGTCGATCTCGCGCAAGGCGGCCGTGAGCGACACAGCAGGGTCGTCGGTGCTGCCACGGATCGGGGTGTCCTGATCCATGTCGACGGAGGAACCCCACTGGAGGCGGTTGATAGCAACCTCCTCATCCTTGCGGACGCGCTCAAGCTTTTGCTCGGCCTCCTCGTACCGCTCGGTTGCGCGCGCGAGCTGATCACGAAGTCCGACGATGGTCGTGTTGGCCATGGCGAGTTGGCCTTCGAGCTTGCTGTTTTGGCTCGTGACCAGACCAGCTCGCATTTCGGCCTCGGAAGCCCGCTGCTTGTCCGCGGAAGCATCGCGCTGGGCAGCCAGAATCGCATCATTGGCCAGGCGCTCCAGCTCGGTCCCGCGGCGAGTCCACTCTTCATTGGTGGCGGCGGCAACAGCTTGGTCGAAATTGGTGACCAGTGCTTGATAGGCCGCAGCCTGCTCGGCGGCCTGCTGGCTGGCCTGCTCGAATTGGCGGACAGCGTCGGCATGTCTCTGCTTCCACTCCTTGATCTGTCGGTGGAGTGGATCCGTGCTCTTCTTGAGAGTGGGACGGAAGAGATCGCGGCTGCGCTCGTCGATGAGTTGGCGCTCCTTTTCCAGAAGCTTCCATTCATCGTCCAGCTTGTTCACACGAGCGAGCTTGTCGTGCAGCTGGGCCTCCTTGTCGTCAAACCCTTTCTCCAGGAAGGCCAGGGTCTCCTCGCGTTCTCGAAGGGCGCGCTCAGCATCGCGGACTGCGGCCTCACGTTGCTCGACAGAGAGCAGGCGAGGGTTGGCAGGGGCAGAGGCGACAGCGGAGGCAGCGGCAGCAGGAGAGACAGCGGGAGCAGGGGAGACAGCGGCAGCAGAAGCAACGGAGGAGATAACGGCGGCGGCGGCGGGCGAGACAGCGGCAGCAGAGGTGGCAGGCGAAGCTGCAGGCGAGACCTTAGGCGAAGCTGCAGGCGAAGCAGCAGCAGAGGCAACAGGCGAAGCAGGGAAGGCTCCGGGAACCGCAGAAGCGGAAGACTTGACACCTGGCAGTGTCTTGTTGACGGTTTCATCGCTGTGTTTGAACGTCAGTCAAGGACTTTTTCAAAGTATGAGGTGAGATGAGGCAGGATGCAAGGTGAAGACGATGTGTGATCATGCTGAGAGGGAAGTGAGGTGGGGCACGGCAATATTGGAATCGCAAGGTATGACTGCATGGGAAAAATTCACAAGTGGAGGGAGAGCACATCAATAACTTACCTTTTCACAATGAAAAAGCGGACCAAGACGGAAAAGACGAGACGGCGGACAGGGGAAAGGAGACGGAAGAGGGGGGAGAAGGGACGGAGAAGGTGGTAGTCGCGGACGACGCCAGCCACGAACCCGCAAGAGGCTTGAATCATCGTGTAGATGATCATGATGACGGTCCAGAAGGGCATGACAAGGCGCCCCACGACACCAAAGCTATCATCCTCCTTGTTCAGGAAATCCATTGCGGATACCGAAAGGAAAGACGAGGACAGAAGGAGGAAGAGGGAAGATGAGGGGTAGGGAGGGGAGAGGGAATAGGTGAAAGGGTAGAGAAAGGGAAGGGAAAGGGAAAGGGAAGAGGAAGAATGAGGTTTTTCCTAAGCTGGCCACAAGAGTAGCCAACGAGGAAAGGCGAAGAAGAGGTTTGATCAACCTGGCTACAGAAGCAACCAGATGACCAGGGCGAAGGAAGGCGATGCTCGCAAGGTCAATATGGAAAACGTTGTTAACCAAGGAAGGGAAACTGTGTTAACCAAGATGTTGTTAACCAAGACGTTGAAAGGCGAGCGCACGAGGGAGAGAAAGAAGAAGAGGGGAGAGGTGGAAGAATAAAATTTTGGGGGTATTTATATTCCTCAGGTACTCTGCTTTTCGAGCTAGTGGATTGGCGAGCGCGAATGTTTGCTTTCACATGTCGTTGTTTTTGTTGTTGTTGTCGTGTTTATGGCAGAATTTAGGGATCGTGATTTCCTCGCGTGTCTATGTTGCCTAGCCCACCCGTACGCGATTTGTTTGCTACTTTGGGATCAAACAGGCAGAACCCTCCAGGCGCGAGCAGGGTGGAGGGCGATGGAGCTGGCAGAAAACCTCACCACGGCGTCTACACAGACATTGAGTATTCAGGTGGTGTACGGGGTCTTGTGGTATCCAAATGATCTTCGCACTCGAACCATTCTTTCCCTTTGCAGCTCCAAAACTGATATTTCATCTCCTAAACTCTCCCGCATCGCTTGTTTCTCCACCACAGTACCTTTACATCGACGTTATTTCTCGAAGAATGACACTCTACAGTCAGCAGTTATTCATATGATATCAACAGATATCAATTATCAATTAAGGTTGTCGGGCCGTTATGTGGAGACACGTCAATGCAGCTCCCGCATTGCCGCAACTGTGGCGTCGTAGCCGCGTCGAAATGGTCAATCGGGTTGAAGCTCCATGCCAAGACTGCAAGGACCCGCTCCACATGAAGCGCGACCGTGGGGAACAACAACATTGTTATTCTATCACAGGAACACACTCTTGTGGTCGCATTCGAATGATACAGTCCGATCAAGTTTACCTGATGAACAACAATACTTCTATTGGCATGTCGGACATGAGTACGTGACATTGGTCTGATGTCTGGTGTGCAAGGCGTAAGAATCAAGACCACGAGGGTCATGCACTTTGACCCAAGCGACCAAGCGACCGGTGTTGACTTGTTCACTACGGTCATGCCTAGATGTAGGACGGATTCTAGCGTTCGAAACTGAATGAAGGAGTTGGATAGTTGATCTCGATATTTCCGCTCAATGCGGTACAACATGCTGCGAATACAATTCACGAGTTTTCCACACGTCGGGCGCAATGTTGCTTGCCATTAAGGGCCAGCTTGGATTGTGGATTCGATGGATGCAAGAGAAATGGGCTGAGTGCTGAAAACAACTGCTTAACTTCAAATCGAGTCTACGAGACAGCTTCAGGAGATCTCATGGCGAAAATGCAGGGGGAGGTACACGGGATCAACCCGGGCTGATTTCCAGGCATCATGTGTGCTGCACTGCGGATATATATTTTTTCCTCGATCAACGGAATGTAATCCTGAGAAGTGAAACTGTCGCGAGTGGATGCGCCCGCCATTCCCACCGTCCATGGTCGGGTCGCCATCCATGTAATACATATCTATTCAATAGCCGCCAAGTGTCATAGGGATCAAGGTCATTGATGTCATTTTCTTCCACTTGTTGTTCAGATTCGAGTTGAGTGAATGAATTCTGCTAAAACTCGCATGAAAAAGCAAAGGCGAAGTCCATCTTCAATGTTTCGGACCGAATACTCGAGCGGTTATCCCAAGTCTTCATCAACACTATCTTAGGGCAGTTCAATGTTTTGTTTGTGGGCGATACAGGATTGGAAGTACTAGCTGTCGAGAACAACCCTTGGTGTTCAATTCAGGGGTTCAACCTCCCTCATCCGCCCCAAAGGAGTTCAACTCCCAATACCACATCATCCACTGTTGCATGAGTTTTCCGATGCCTATCGCCCAACTGTACGCTTCCAATCTGACGGGATGATCGCGTACTATTATTATTTTTTTTTACCAACTACTCTTGGACAGGTCACGTGCTGTGTCCCCTGAACGTGGGGTTTCGTTCTATTATGATATTGAAAAGTCCTCAGTGGAAGTCTAGTATTCCAGAGTCTGTTTCACCGCATCGTAAATTCCTTTTTGGAAGATTAGCTGATATTGCTGACCAGAGATCTTTGGGAGAGAATAACTTACTCGCCACGTCGGGGAGAATAAACTGCTCATAAGATAGACCGGTATGGGTGCTCCACCCGGCCACTCGTTTCACGGGGGCTTCCAAACGAAGGAATGCACCTTCTTGCAAAGTTGCAGCAACCTCGGCACCGACGCCGTAGTTGATCATACTTTCGTGAACAACGACGGCTCGTCCTGTCTTGCGAACACTATCAATGACGGTCTGTCGATCCCATGGATAGATGGTTCGCAGATCGATTAGTTCAATACTGACACCTTTCATTGTCTTTTCGATAGCCGAGATCGCCGATGAGCAGAGATAAAGCGGCTGACCGTAGGATATGATTGTCAAGTCTTTGCCCGGCTTGATCACTTCTGCTTTGCTGAGAGGTATTGTGTAGTACTCATTGGGCACGTGTTCCACAGCTGCGCGATAGAGAATCTTCGGCTCCATGAAAATGACTGGGTCGTTGTGGTTGAAAATGGAGGAGAGGAGAAGACCCTTAGCCTGGGCAGGAGATCGAGGCATCACGACTCGAACGCCGGGTACGTGTGCAAAAAGAGCCTCGGGGGATTGTGAGTGGTACCTGAACGTGATTGGCAATTAGCGCCGGATCGTAATGAGCTTTCCTTGGTCAGTACTAATACGCAAGACTCACAAAGCACCGTGCCCGACCGCGCCACAGGGCATCCGAATCACCAAACCTCCGACATTTATTCCAGTACCGCCTTCTCGGTACCGAAACTTTGCAGCTTCGTTGACGATCTGATCAAAGGCTGGATAGACGTAGTCGGCGAACTGAATCTCAGCCACTGGCTTCATGCCCTCGGCTGCGGCCCCAATAGCAAAGCCAGCAATTCCTTGTTCCGTCAATGGAGTATTGAAGACCCTTTCTGAGCCAAACTCTGTCTGCAGATCCATCGAGCATCGGAAAACACCACCAAAAGCCACATCTTCGCCAAACAGCATGACCTTGTCCGATTTCGTCAAAGCTGTCCTCAAGGCGGAGTTGATTGCCTGGAAGTAGTTCAACTTCTTGCTGGTCGCCCCGGCCGGGAACTCGGAGACATTAGACAAGGATGATGGTGTGTGATGTAAAATCGGCGTACTCTTGTAATCAATGGGCAAGTTGAGCTTCGCCCGCGGCGAGGGAGCACTCGAGTAGCATCGGTTGGTGACTCGCGGCACTAGCCTCCGCGTTGATCGAGGTAAGGACATTTCGAGAGATTGTGTAGATGGAAAAGCCAGCCTTTTACAGAGTCAGAACGGTTGAAAACCTCACCCTAGTCGATCCAAATCTCTTTAAGAGGAAGCTCTCATCAAGTCTCATCGCTTGTCCGGGGGAAATTGCGGGGATGCGCCGAGAATAACCGCGAATGCAAACATGCCAAACGCAACACCATTTGGGTGTAGCTCGGAGACAAGGCGGTGCGGCCGACCAGAGCCTGGCAGAATCGATCGCAGTTAGCTTGGAATGGACATTCCAATTAGTTACCAGGAGTAGGTAGTAAGGTACTAGTAGTGTATGCTACTACCAGACTACCAGTACCTTACCATCACAACGTATGAACAAATTGCTTAAGCTACAATCAGTAGCCTTGGTGTCAAATGTTCCCTGTCTTTGCTCTCGAGCTCACCTTGATTTATAGCTCGACTTGGGAAATCAACCTACAATCCTACATAGTGGATCCGAGTAACATCCCCCATCGGGGTCCTGAGTCACGAGAGAAAGATTGGCTGTAGTCGTACGGCTCCTGTAACATGAATCAAGAATCGAAGCCTCATGGTACTACCAAGAAGTACTGAATTACATGGTTATTCAAGACTCCTCAATCAAGCAGCCGGTCTCTCCACTTACCCAGCAGCCACTTCCCACTGCAGCTAAGAACTCTGAACTTCTTTTTAGCTCAACCGATCACAGTCAACCGAATTGCGACCGGGACAACTTTCCCGAAGGGTGGGTTCAGGCAGTTTGAGAATCGGATGGCTCCATCCAGTTAGATCGGCCACACGGACAGCACTAGGTCATTTTCTCGCACTTTCTCGCTCAAAAATGGAGCCGCTGTACATCATCTCCTTATCAGCAAGCTTATCGCCAGAGCCGGTGTCGGCGCCAAGAAATATGACTCCTCTATTATGGCCCGCACCCAAAAGTAGCCCTTGTCCCCCTCGGTGACTCAACAATTGAATCTGGAGAGTATTTTAACTTTCAATCGTCCCATTCACAACTTCTCCTCTTCATCTTTACATACCCTCACCTCACACATCACACAACATGTCTAAAGGAAAAGTATGGCGTCTCAATTGCTTCCCCCGCCCTTCTCTCCCTAATCACCTCACTGCCAATTGTCTGCAGACCGCTAGTTCTTCGTCCGTCAGCAACTGCGACGCCATCTTGTCAATTCAAGCTAACAGCGTTATTCGAATAGGTTTGCCTTGCCTACTCCGGTGGCCTTGACACCAGCTGCATCCGTACGGTCTTGCCAATTGACAGGAACACTGCTCGATAACACGCCGCTAATTCTGACAATAGTCAAGTACTTGATTGAGGATGGCTACGAAGTCGTCTGCTTCAGTATGTGCACCTCTTTTGCGAAAGACTCTCTCTATATGAGGGGGAACAACTCGCTAATGAAATTTACAGTGGCCGATGTCGGTCAGGAAGAAGACTTCGAGGCCGCGCGTGAGAAGGCTCTGAAGATCGGTGCCCTCAAGTGCGAGATCGTCGACATTCGTCGCGAATTCATTGAGGAGCTCTGTTTCCCCGCGATTGCCTGCAATGCTGTCTATGAGAACGTCTATCTGCTTGGTGTGTAATCCATTGACCGTGAATGTCCAATCCACGAGCAATGAACTAACGAAATGCAAGGCACATCTCTTGCACGCCCCGTCATTGCCCGTGCTCAGATCGAAGTTGCCCAGGTTCGTCCAGTCCACAATTCCCATCTCCCGAATCATCTGTGCTGACAATCTTGCTTTCCGATGTTCAGCGCGAAGGCTGCTTCGCCGTCTCCCACGGTTGCACTGGCAAGGGTAACGATCAGGTTCGCTTCGAACTTGCCTTCTACGCCCTTCAGCCCAACATCAAGGTCATTGCGCCCTGGCGTGACCCCGTCTTCTACGAGCGATTCCCCGGCCGCAACGACCTCCTCGCCTACGCTGCCGAGAAGGGCATCCCCGTCACATCAACCAAATCCAAGCCCTGGTCCATGGACGAGAATCTGGCTCACTGCTCTTACGAGGCCGGCATCCTCGAGGATCCTAACATCACTCCTCCGGCCGATATGTGGAAGCTGACCCAGGATCCTCTGACCGCTCCTGACCAGCCTGAGGACTTCACTCTCACCTTCGAGAAGGGTGTTCCTGTGAAGTTGGAGTACACTGAGAAGGGTCAGCAAAAGACCGTTACCGACTCTGTCGAGCTCTTCCTGACTGCCAACGCCATTGCCCGCCGCAACGGTGTTGGTCGTATCGATATTGTCAGTTGCGCTCGCGCCACCATTTATAATGCTCAGTCGCTAATATTCTACTAGGTCGAGAACCGCTTCATCGGTATCAAGTCCCGAGGTTGCTACGAGACCCCCGGTCTTACCTGCCTGCGCGCTGCTCACATGTGAGTTTACCAACTGAATCCAATTTCCACTTGTCCGACTGCTAGTTACTGACCTGCGTCTTTTCTATCTACTTCATCAGTGACCTCGAGGGCCTTGTGATGGATCGTGAGGTCCGCGCTCTCCGTGACTCCTTCGTCACCTTCAACTACTCCAAGCTCCTGTACAACGGCATGTACTTCTCTCCCGAGCGTGAGTTCCTCGAGGCGTCCATCACCGCTTCCCAGAAGAGCGTCAACGGTGTTGTCCGTTGCCGCGCCTACAAGGGCACCATGAGCGTGTTGGGCCGATACTCCGAGACCGAGAAGCTCTACGATATGACCGAGTCTTCCATGGATGAGATCGGTGACTTCTCCCCCGCTGAGACCACCGGGTTCATCAACGTCTCGGCTATCCGTCTGAAGAAGTACGGCCAGATGAAGGCCGCTGCCGGCGAGAGACTTTAAAGGTCTTCGCTTTGTTACTATAGAAGGAAGGTAGGCCACATGTTGAGCATCACTGGCTTGTCCGCTCCGTCACCAAAATACCCCCGTCTTTTGCTTCCCAGGAACGAACTTATCTTGCTATATTCCTTGGGTTGGAGGATCAATCATCTGAAATGAATGTATAATGAAAAATTCAAAAAGTTACAGCAGGATTTTGATACCATTATCTGTAGAAACCCGACACATACACATGATCATATCACAACGTGCAAGCCTGTCAAGTCGTACGTGATGAATCTCCAAAGTGAGCTCTGATGTCGTCATCATGAAAGTCCACGCCACGATGGGGGAAGGACATTGTAGTGAGTAGTTGATATCCGCCCTCGAGAATCCTCTGGTTCCTTAGGAGATACTCTTTCGTTTTACAATCTTGCGCTCTGTTTACTACCGCCGTTCAACTCTAGAAAGAAACAACATGATCGTGTTAAATCAGTCCAACGATTACTTGGAAAGCACCGCCACTTACCACACCAAGCCTCCAAAGCTGCCTTCTCGGCATCCCAACCCCACAATATCCTCTGCATCTCACGATCCGACCATCTGTCCGGACTCGCTCCTACTGCTGACAGTCGGAACTGCGCGTCGCGAGCGACCTGTTCAGGTCCGTCGGGCAAGTGCATAGTCACACGATTAGCGGAACCCGACTGCTGAACTCCATCTGCTCGGAGCTTCCGAGATGTTTCGTAGGCCGCAAGAGCCTGGGGGATCTCTCGTCGAGAGGAGATGGTCGACAGAAGTACGCCAAGAGCGGCCGCGTCTTCAACCGCCTGTGCTGCGCCCTGTGCTACATATGGTCTGGCTCTTGAGTTAGCTTGCATCACTCGAGCGTCGTCTCGACTCTTCTTTGTTGATTCGAGTCACGTACAGCATCGGGTGACACGCATCGCCTAACAAAGCCACCGAGCCTCGGATCCAGGTTTTGAGAGGACGATGCAGACACAATTTCCACTCGAGTACATCGTCCTCGTCGACTAGGCTGATCATTTTGTGAACGACAGGGTCCCAGCCGGCATAATTATCGATCATGGCTTGTTTCGAGCCCTTTGTTGTCCACGACTCCTCCATACCTTGTCGATCCGGATGAATGAGAACCACATTACACAGCTCGTGGTTCCGCACCGGATAGGCGATGATGTGTCGGCCTGGACCAACCCAGCGGGTGGCCTGTGGCTCAGCAATCAATTTCTTCAAATCTGCATCTTTCTCCATGAGACTGCGCGGTAGTGTTATTCGGTACGCGGCGTCGCCTGTGGCGATGGCTTTCAAGGCTGGGTCCTCCAGTACGTACTCGCGGACAACAGACTTGACACCATCTGCGCCGATGATGATATCGCCATGGATGACGTCCCCGTTTGTGAGCGTCACAAACCCGGGAGAAGGACTTACGCCCGTAACTCGCGAGTCGATTCGCAGTTCAAGGTTTGGAAGGGCTAAGGCCTTTTTGACGAGGCACTTGTGGAGGTCAGCGCGGTGGATTACCAATTGTTGACCGTGTATCTTGTTGACTGGTGTGGTCGCGAGGAGTTCTCCGTTCTTCCAGCGTCGAATATGGATGTGTTCTAGTGCTACGCTGTGGGAATGGATCAAGTCCGCAAGGCCCCAGCCTAGAACAGGTTAGATCACATCCACATGGTCTGTGATGTCGACATGTTGAAAGTCCTTTGGCGTTCAGACTCACGCTCAAACAATCGAAACATGTTCGGAGACACTTGAATCCCGGCTCCGACTTCGGCTAGCTTTGAATCAATGCACGTTAACAACGGCGGCCAGATTCGAGACCAACAAGCAGATATGGATTTGCTTACTTGAGCAGCTGCTTCAAGGATGATGACTTGGTGACCTCGAAGTCCCAGAGTCAATGCTGCGGCCATTCCACCGATACCTGTCCGCGAGAACTCCAGTCAGCCGGAATACAAGACATCGATAATGTCGTGGGCAGTCGATCCGTCCGGAGAAAACATACCAGCACTGTCTATGGTCAGCTCGCTGCCTCATATTCCTGATCGACAACGCCAGCAGAGAACATACCCGGCAATAACCACTCGGAGCGGCACGCTCGCCTGCTCTATATTTGCCATATCGTCGATTGGCACAACGAACCAACTAGTTTTGTTGATCTTAAAGTCTCTCAGACAATTACAATCGAACCGAAAAGAATGCAGATATGCTTCTGGGGTGACATGATCCACATAATATATCATATTCGAGGCTTCTGCCCCCACCTAAGCTTTATGCCTGGATTTCGACGGGCCTGCTGATCTGACCGATGTGATAACATTGACTCGGAGATTTTACCGAAATCGATCCCCATCATGACCAGTACTTCTCTTGGCTTAGAATCGACCCGTGTCCTCATGGAATCTTCGCTCATGGACACTGTGCGTCGGGTCCAACGTCCCATGCTAAAACATGCGGCCGTTACAGTGGGCTCCACCGTGTGGGTGAACATGGGACTCTAAACTCTACAGGAGATCTAGGTCTTTTGATCACTTTCCATTATTATCCACTTCTTCATGAACAACCAACTGCTCGGACAGGAACTAATCTAGTAGGGGATCACCACCGGTGCATTGATCCTTTGTCCCGTAGTTGAGCCGTCTCCAAATCGTCAGTTTTGACTTTGAAGACGGCAGAACAACGCTCAGAAGGAAAAGAATTGTACGATATCCATCTCGCTACGCTTATCTATTGCATCTCTGCTTCATTTCTTGCCTTCGTTAGGCCTCTGCCTCGCAGTCTCACGTCATCTTTCAGCCTATCTTCATGGATTTTACCTACTATAGCAGCCGTCGGCTGATCACCGAATGGGATCCACAACTGAGTCTCCATCCACGGTCTCCTTATCAGCCGCCCTCGGTCCGTCAGCAGGGCGACGATGTTTCGGCGGGCTCCAGATGAAACACATTGAACGAGAGACAGAGATGGCTCTCGATCCCCAATAGCATTGGCAGCAATGACTGCCTCCTCTCGAGAAATTTCCATCTCCGAGATATCACCTTTGAACACTCCGCCTGCGAGCAAAAAGGACCTTGTTCGATGAATATCCGGCCAAAGGGAGAGTTGTTCCTCGACCGTGTCCGTCCCGAAGGTCTGGCGGTTCATAGCGCCGCAGCTTGAGTCAGATAGCTGATTGAATCATTCAGTCACTGACAAGGAGGGACTGAAAATAAGGGTCTGTGTCGTGAGTCAGTCATCTTGAGTCAGCAGGAATGACCGTCACCTCGTCTGGTGCTGTCCAACGTCCAACTTGCTAGGCTGTCCATAGCTAGCCCCATGGCTTGATATGTATGTGATCGAATAGAAAGAGGTTGCTCGCCGGTTGCAGGTGGTAGATCCTGTGTACCGGTCTAGTAGTTGCATCACCATGTAGTGTGTACGATGTACCTGCTCTTCACCTTCTCCTCTCTTCAGCATTGAGCATCAAGATCAAGATCTCTTGAGCGATTTCACTCAAAGTCTCCACACAGAGCAATATACTCCCACACTGTGGTATAAAGCAGAACAGCAAACTGCCATTCATCAACATCCAAGCTACCTTCACACTGACTGTCATACTACCTACTTACCTACTAGTACTGAGCATTCACTGCTCCACTCCTAGTCATACTAACACAATAGTGCTGATCCTTCCACCTCCACCTCCATCCTGCACATGGATTTGGCATGCTTAGCAATCGTCACGGGTGGAGACCCCTGTTCGCAAGGATCAACGAGCGAGCCCCCCCCCCCCCCACCATACTCCTCACAGTGTGTATCTGCACGTCAAGCACCTCTTTTGTATTCCTTGGGACCCTACTGCCTCCAAAAGATCAAGCGTGAAGATAGCGCAGACTGTCATTCGAGAGTCTCAGATCCGTGTCCAGAATCTCCACTGGATCGAATTGTTTTTTGGCATCTATTCAGGTAAATTAATTAACCTCTTGGCACTGTCTCATATCTTCGAAAACGGAATTGACCCAAAGGGGAGGGGGAGAGATCAGAATCAGATAAGAGTAAGACACCAAACACCACACATCAAACACCCCGTTCCACAATTCTTCAATCCGTTCATTCGTTGATTTATCACTTTCCTCAATCCGTAATCCGGACCGCCATCATGTATGTCTCGAACATTCGATCCTTCAACATTAGTCTCAGATGGCGTGCCTTGGTCTCCCGTCCCTCTACCACAGTACGTGCTTTTTTCACCCCCGATCACAATTTCATATGGAGTCTCACTGATACCACGACGAAAGTGTTCACATACAGGCAGTTCTCCATCGCATCCGGCATCGTGTGCTAGGGACATCCATCCGAGTCCGAGGTCGTTTCGGGCCGTCCCAGGACTCTGGTCCCTTGGTTTCGCTGACGGGTGGAAACTCCAGAGTCAAGCCGCCCTGACACATAACTTGAAGCACACGTAGCTCGCAAAGGGACACGACTCGAGAGTGCGATCTAAGTGGTTGAATCGGATATGGTCCCCGTTTTTCACGGGACAGCCTGGTGCCCAGTGCCGGAGTGCCCACCTCAATACTGCACTGTAGAGTGTAGAGGGTAAACACTAGCTAAACCGTGTGGATGATTCAAGATACCCGGGTAGCTCACGCATCCACGGATTCCGAAAGCTTGTCCGGGCTGTTGTTGCGATCGGCTGTTGTAAGCCAGTTCGTCTGCGCATCTAGTGCTTACGGTTTGCGGAACATGGCTCACTGCTCACTGCTCACTACGATGCTTGCTCTCGATCTACGCTGTATCTTCTAGAGTGGGTGGCGGCTTGACGACGCTGAATACGGGTATAGAAAGTGGACGAGGGACGATATCTGGGGGCAGGCTTAGGCCCGGATCAAGTGCGGCGTATGGGGTCTGCATGGAATACCCTGGTTACAGTGTTGATTACTGATCAGCTCAGAGATTGGGTAAGAATAGTATTGTGGATTTGGAATCATTATATTTTGCGTGTGACAAAAAGCGAGACCGCCGTGCCAACGGGGCAAAAGAAGTGTAGAGGAAGGTCTCGCTAAATGATCTCGGAAATGATGAATTGTCATATGGTCGAATTGAAATACAAGAGGCGCCTTGGACATGCTTGAATCAAGAGAGACGAAAGGAAATTCGAAATTCGAAATTCGAAATTCGAAATTCGAAAAGAAGAAGAAGAAGAAGAAGAAGAAGAAGAAGAAATGAGGCAAATGGTGAGTCTTGGGGAAGTGCACGATGTCGGAAGAGGGGAAGAAGACTGCAATTTCAGGAGCACGCAAATAAAGAGATGATAAGAGAAAATGCTGAGATGATCATGTCCCTTGCCTTGGTCAAGAGCGGAAGGTTGTCGTAATTGAGAAACAACAAGGGATCGAATGCTTATGTGTCTGTGTCGTTTGGGGGACAGTCTCTTTCTCTCAGTCGGAGCAAACAGGATGTACAAAAGTGTACAGATGAATGATTGATGAATGCGTTGTAGGATTCTGTTTTTTTTTTTCTTTTTTTCAAATCTTCGTGATGCTTCTTCAGATAGATGGGTCATACTTCATTTTCTCATTTTTTTTTTCATAGAATGTTCGTGTCCATCACACGGATTAGTGATACGGTTGCTCTAGATTGAGGGTTGGAATGTTCATGCGGTGAACAAGAGTCGTAATCGGCTGGGACCCTTTTTCTTCTTCTTATCCGTAGGCCTGCTCTCCTTTTCAGAGACAGATACTCGTGTTGCGGCTTTGGAGGGTGCTTTGCTGGGAGCTCGGCTGGGCGCATGACTGGGGGCTCTCGTGGGCGCTCTGCTCGGCACCTTGCTGGGCGCTTTGCTCGCAGCCACCGTGGGAGCTTTTGATCGGGGGAAGAAGGCCGAAGGAGCCTTTGACGCAGGGGGTTCTTCGGGGGCACCGCCACGTCTCGACCGTCCACTTCTTGACTCGGCCGACGTGTGCGCACGAGAGGCACGCGATCGATGGGACCTTCTCGACGACGCCACCGATCCATCATCATCAAATTTGAATCGGGGATCGCGCATGGCTCGCGCCGTGGAGATGTCAATCCCAGACATGGCGGCTGCTCGCGGCGTGATGAATTCGCCATCGACCGAAGTACCCAGACTTTCGGCCTCGACGTCGGCCACGCCTCGTCGCCAGTTCTCCACGCGACTTCCAGCTTCCATGTTGAGCTCGACCATTTCGTCCATGCCGACTGGTTCTTCCTGGATCTCGATCGGTTCCGGGCCGGTAAGGCTTGGGAGAGCGCCGCCTTGGATCTTTTTCACGATCTTGTACCCACCGAACATGACAACGGTGACCCCGAGTCCCACACCCGCAGCGATGAGGAACTGAGGACTCGAAAGCAGGGCGAAGATGGTCGGTGCAGCCGTCTTCACTGCAGAGAGCGCAGCGGGCGCCATCTTACCGGCGAGATTGCTGATTTCCGCCAACGTCAGAGCCACGGCGGCCATGGCGTCCGGGTTCTTTTGAAGATGAGAGATGGTTGCGGTGGCACTGTGCTGAACGCAGTGAGCTTCTTCGAGAAGCCACTGCGCGCGAGTGACCAGTCCATCCAGCTGCTTTTGTTCGTCAAGGTTGGGGTTCGGTGGGGTATATCTCATCAAGGTCTTGGGGTGAACTTCACCATACGCCAGGTCCATGTCAATGTGAGCGTCGGATTTGGAGCGGGCCGGGATGGATTGGGCATCGCGCACCATGAGCTCGCCATGCGTGTGCCGGCGAGAGACTGCTGCCTCGCTGGGGCCGTATTGCGAAGGAGGTCTCGACCCCGCTGATGAGTGCAGGTCTTGTTCGATGCGCGAACCGGCGTATTGACGAACACTGCGACTGGTCTCATGGCGAGATCTGCTACGATGACTCCGTCGAGAGACAACCGAGGGTGCGGGCGCATCGTCGATCTGGTACCTTGCCATGGCCTCGAGCGCTTGCTGTTCAGCGAGTTTGGCATTGCGCTCGGAGTCAAATGCGGCTTTACGCTCTTTGTACGCGGCCTTGGCTTGACTGAAGACTCCAAAGAGTTGTTTGCTCTGGAAATTGGATGTTAGCAACACAGCACGTGGTGTTTTAGGTTGTAGCTCATGGCGACTCCTCTGGACCGAGCCTGACAAGAACGATCCTGGAAGACCAAAGAAAGATGCTGACATACGGTGCTCACCACCTTGCCGGACTTGTCAATCACGGCAATAGTCTGACCAAGGGGCGCCATGGCTGAAGAATAGGTCACAGGCGCCTGAATTCGAGACGGAAACACTCATGGGACGACCAGCGTACAACACGGCGAACAGGGGGTCACCAGGCAAATATTAATGCACGGTGCAGTCCAAATTGTGATGTATGTTCGAGGTTCCTGTCAGTAATGGTGTGAACCCCTCTCGCCGCCCAGAAAAATAGTTCAGTGGACTGATTCTGATATCAAGGTCTGCCTGCAGTAAACCTGAACGATGTTAGCTGAAAAGGCCCATGTCAGGGGCACAGCTGCAGCCACCATTTAAAAAGGTCACCTGTGTAAGTATGACTGGGGGGGGGGTGGTGGTATTTCTTACTCTCTCTCTTTCTCTCTCTCACACACACACACACACGACTCGCTTTACTTCCACCCCCGAAGGTCAATTGCAGGGAGAAGCCCAAGTGGCGGCAGCCAAGAGGGGGCAGAAGGATGGTCAGACTCTTTGAATGGCAGATGTCAGAAGCGAACAGTCGAATCAGCGCGCCGAGCCGACCGGGGGAAGAATATCGACAAAAGAAGATTGGAGGCTTTGATACGCTCGACTGGGCCGATTGATTATAAGGCGAGCGTTGTCCGACCCATCCAAGCGGGATCAGCGTGAATCGGAGGAGGCTGGGGTCGATGGCATCAACGTGCAGGCCCTGATGCAGCAAGCAGTTGGGCAGAACCCCGAACAAGCAACTTTTCACCGACAGGCAGGAGAATGGTGTCTGAGGAGGTATCGAGCCACAGGTCCCGTCAACCTTAGGTCGTGGATATGTCGGCAAGAAAGTGACTACGAGGTGTTCGCGCTTGTCACGATCAGGGTTGTCCCTGTCAGATTTGTCACGGCCAAGCGGGTGAGTGGTTGGGTTGATAGTGAAGCGACGGGGCGGCAGCAAATCATGCAGCGAGGCAGAAGCTCACATTCCACGTCCGATGAGCGTTGGGCGCGAGGGGCTGATCGAATCGGTCTCGTCGGTTGGAGAGCCGAGTGGTTTTTGACGATGATGCTGGGTTGAGAACCCAACCGGGAGTGGCTGTCGTGACTCGCTCCGCTATCTGTGAGACTGTGATCCCGGGGGAGTGTTGGATGTGCGAGTTGTGTGGGGGGAGGCAACACTCTGACTTGGTGCCAAGTGATGGATGGGATACGTGATGAGCAAGTGCTGTTGAGGAGATTGTACTCTAGTGGTAGTCAGTGTACTTGTACTTGCAGAGGACTAGTACACCAGTGAGAGTACTATAGTGAGTATAGTCTCGTAACAAAATAGTAGTCGGACAGTCTGTACTCTGTAGTACTACTGGCACTGTCACAAGATCGAGAGGATTGAAGTGGACATCCAGGGGACAGGCGGCAACTGGATGATGGGTTCGACCAAGATGTACCTTTCAAGTACCCCTATGCACTTGTGCAGAGTAGAAGCTGGAGGTCAACAGGTCAACAGGTGAACAGGTACCAAAGGCTGTCTAGACTGTGGACTGCTGGATCGACGACGCTTTGCTCATCCAACTTAAGCGCTGCGACTCGTGACTTGGGACTCGTCACCCTATCGGAGATATCACTCCAAGGACGGAAGCACAGTTACAACCTAAAAGACACCAGAAAAGAAAGGACTGGAATAGATGCAATGAGTCCACGACGACTACCGAAAGTATATCATTGCTATCAAAATCACCCATCTCTTGATCATTTCAATGATCAAGAGATGAAAAAAAAAACAAGCGCCACGAACGGGTTTGCCTGGAGCCATGATGGGGCCGGAACCACTTCCCCATCAAATCAATTCGGCATGGGTGGAGAGCCTGGTGAACACAGACCTGCTGCCATCGTGAATAGAGAGGGAGTCAAACGGGTCATAGAGGGTCTGCCGAGACTCGAGGAGGCATGGCCGCATAGTAAGTGCATCTCCGCTATCACCGCCTGGGGCACTTTCGCAGTCGAGCGAGTAGTGAACTTTGAGTTGAGCTCCGTCTTCTTCTCGATAGTAGTAGGATTCTTGTTGTTGTAAGTCAGTTGCGATAGTACTGTAAGTCTTCTTAGCCTGGAGCAGGTTCACCGGATCCCCGCTGAAGAAGCGGTGACCCACGGGTTCTGATTGGTAGTGGCCTGTCACCGCCACTATGACTCTCGCCGGGGACCTTGGCCAGGCCACGTGAAGAGGCACGGGCCACTCGAGTGACCGCCTTTCAACCCCCGCTGTTGTTGATACCAAAGGAGATCCCGGCAGAATATGTAGATGCTCAGCCTCACCAGCCACATTGTAGTGGCTGTGCAGATAGAGGTACATGGATGCGGTAGTCGGGTAGTGTGGTCCATTGGTCAGTGGTCACCGTCACATATTGACCTGGTGTTACGTTACTGCCAAGTGCTTGAACTGTCGAGGACTCGAGGTCGGTGCCGTACTCAGGACAGTGCAGTACATGATGCATCTCCAAGGCGATTCTCTCGCATTTCCGGGCCCGTTAGTGCTGTGAGCGAAAGTCATTGAACAACGAAAATGTAGACATGAGGCCAGACTCTAGAAACGTCACTATGTCCATAGTCGAATGAGTGTGACTGTGACGTGCCAGTACTGCGGATGTGCGGACAGCGGAAGTGCGACTGCGGAGTGGGTATGTCCCACAGAGTGTGTCATTGCCTTTCTCAGTCGTCGTGAGCAAGCCATCTCGATCATCTCATTACGCCAGCGAGACACTGCGTACACTTGGGCTCCGATCACACCGACGGCGGCTGTAGTGCCCATGCTGATGCAAGCCTCCGGAGGAGGATTAGCTTCCAGGGTATGCCTGATGATGGCATGCTCGGTAGAGATAAGGCTCTTCGCCAAAGTTCCGGATCTTGAGACTGACTCGTGGGTGCACATTCTCATGCTCAACAGAAATCCAGTGATCAAAAGCACAGCACGTAGCAGACCCGCGCTGAGTTGCTCAGGTACCTAGCAAGGTAAGTAGTAAATTGTAAGTCCCCTGATGAAGCCACCATGTCTACCTGTAGCACGGCGGTGAGAGGTTGAAGAAGCATTAGAAAATGGTGACTGTGACCTATTTCGACACCTGGATCAGGTGATGTAGTTCATACTCCGTTGTCAGTACTACCTACAGAGTACGGTACTAGATCACTTAGTACATTATACTATATCAGGGCACACCGACAGCCTGAGACAGGAGTACTACCGTGCTTCTACTAGTGTTTTCAAATTTTGTTAGTTGGGCAACTGTCATCATCAGGCACAGTCTCAAGTCCCAACATGATCACCTCCGACCCACTACTGTACTACTGTATCCTCTGCGAGGGACCAACGAGTATCGTGAATGGAAGTCCATCGTCAACAGAGAGATAGACTGTCAGGTCCATCACCGGGGATCAATTCATCTGGCCGGTCTTATCTGTGCCCTTACTACCTGTTCTATGGAATTGTGTTCTGTACTTTGTTTTAGGTTCAACTAAAAGAAGGGGTGTTTGATACGACGACCCATCCACCATATCGGTCGCACGCTCGGCCTCTCAGACCAAATCCTGCATCTCGACTGGAATTACTTCCTTTCTTTCTTCATCCTCTTCTCAATTTCTCCTAACGGACTGACATTGCTCGATTCAGGTCACACCGCGATGCACCTTCTGCCCGTGCTGTCCTACCACCCTCACTCATATCCCGCTCGACCCTTCCCTTGATCGAGGTGGCGAACTTCAAGATGAACCACAACGTCAACAACGACAACAACCAGTATAGTGCGCAGCCACCTGTAGCCCGGCTGTGCTGGGAGTCAAAGTGAGTCTAAGAGTGTGTGGCTGTGGCGCACGATCAATGTTTCTTCTTCCTTATCTTCGCTATACCTTGAGCATCGTCAACCGTGGCCGATCGGGTTCTTTGTCCAACACACTGGCGCATATGTGATCAGCGGTCCCAGAAAAGTCTCAATATCCAACGGCTCGGGCCTTGAACAAACGGTCTCTCGCACTGTCGCTGTGGCCCGGCAAGTTCTCGAAGGAAGCCTTCGAAGAAGAGCCCAAGAGTGCAACCAATCGATCGCCATGTGTCAAAGGGCCCGGTCTCGGCCACCACCACCATCGGTGTCTCTCATTTGCTCAGGATACCATACCATACGCAATTCGCACTGACAACGTCGTGGTTCAACACCTGTCCTCCAGACCCCTTCGATCCTTTTGCCGAGATAGGCTCCATATGCAAACCAGGGACGGTGAGTCAAATCGGCCAGCGATGGACCTCCCCTTGTTGGCTTCCGGGGGTGGACTCCGTTCCCGCACCGCCACTCCACACTTGGATGAATCATTTCGCTTTCTGCCGGTAGCTCATCCGCCGCATCTTTGCAATCTACAGCCCAAGCAGTTGAAGCTCGAGTCAAGATTGTGCAACTTGGCATCGATCAGACTGTTCTGATTGGCATTGAACCTTCATTACACTGCATTTGCCGCCTTTGACTCTTCTACATCCCTCTTTTTGTCATCAAGATTCACGGCTCGGGGTTCTTCTTTGGCTAACGGCTCCTCCAATGGACACAGTCGACTCCGGTAGTGCATCGGAGGTCGAGGACCAGTCGAAGACTTGGGGCTCGGACGCGCATATCCCAGCGGTTCAAGACACGCACACTTCGGCGCTGACGTATCCGCGAAGTGACTGTGGTATCGGTCACCGTGTGTTAGCCAGCCGGTCGGTACTGGCCCTCGTCATTGACGAGGAGTGTGTGTTTGCAGGTCTGCAGGGTGGTGACATTGTTGTAAGTGATTTGACGTGGATTGACCCAGTAGTTCACCCGCTTAGTCTACTTGATGCATCATCTCACTGTATTTCACAGGCCTGGTCATTGGACACGTATGAGCTGATCCTCTCGGTCCACGCACACGAAGAAAGTGTGCTCGGTCTGTATTTGTCCGAGGATGGCAACTATCTCTTCTCCAGCGGTGGAGATTCGGTCGTGAATGTGAGTTGCATTGATTCGACACGCTAATATTTCTAGAGAAATGTGCAGCATTAATTTTCCAATCAGGTATGGTCGACGAGGACCTTTGAGCGACTCTATTCAATCTACTCCCACCATGACGTGGGCGACATCTTTTCCGTAGTTTTTTCATCTAACAATGAGACGATCTACTGCGGTGCCCAGAACACCAGTATCCAGGTGCGCAATCCCCTTCCCCTCTTCAGAGAACGCATGTATAGATGTCCCAAGCTAATGACCTTTCGTACAGTGGTGCAACTTGTCAGAGGAAGGTTCACTGGATAAAACTCCAGCAGCCCATCCCTCAAAACGCACACACCGTTTCTTTGACTCCCGGGGGCCAGATGGCACTCGCGCACCACGCTCAACAGAAGGCGCTAGCGCGGTCTCGGAAGGAGGTCGCGTGCTCACCTTCAAAAGAGATCACCACAAGCTATTTGCTCACCATGGCTACATCTACGCAATGCTGCTAGTTAAGGGTCTGGTCGAGTCGGCCCCAACCGAGGAGGCATTGTTGACCGGTGCAGGAGATGGCGCGGTGAAGCTGTGGTGCCTGGGTCAGGAGCTGAACACTGCGCCGACCCAGATAGCGAAATTGCAAAATGGTGACTCGGTGCTCTCAATTGCGGTGGAGGGGTCCCTACTTTACTGTGGTCTGGCCGGTGGTGCTCTGAATATTTGGAATCTCGATTCGCAACAATTGGTCAAACGCATTGTCCAGCATACGGGTGATCTTTGGTCTGTGCACGTCATTCAGGGCGTTGCCATCTGTGGTGACTCTACCGGTACAGTCAAGGTATGCATGCATCTGTCAGCTTCCCTGCTTTCGCGAAGTCATCATCTCACACGTGGAAATAGAAATTCAACTCCCGCTTCGAAGAGGTGGGTGGTTGGACTGCCCATCAGGGTACGATGCTGGCCTCGGCAGTTGGACGCGTCAAAGACCGGCAAATTTATGCTACTGGTGGCAATGACAATAGCGTTGGTATCTGGGACTTGACAGAATTCTTCCTTTCCCAGGAAGAATTGCCCCCCATCAGCAATGGTATTTATACATCAGACATCCTCTCTCTTTTCCGCGGAGTGTGGCTTGATTTGCAAGGGCTAATGTCTTCAAGATGAAATGGTGAACACACTTGCCAAGTTTGTCTCCTTCAAGACCATCTCGGCCAGCCCCAAGTTCGCTGGGGAATGCAATCAGGGTGCTGCGTTCCTTCGTCGACACTGCAACTATCTTGGTGCGAAGACCAAATTGTTGACCACGGGCCAAGATACAAACCCCATTGTCTTTGCACGATTTTCTGCAACGTCGCCGCAGCCTACGGACAAGACCATCCTTTTCTACGGGCATTACGATATCGTCGGAGCAGATTTAAACCGCCCGAAGTGGAACTCAGATCCATATCAACTCACCTCAATCAACGGTTTCCTCTATGGTCGTGGCGTTTCCGACAATAAAGGACCTATCCTGGCCTCATTATATGCTGCAGCTGACCTGGCTCGTACCAAATCACTCCCGTGCAATGTTGTCTTCCTTATCGAAGGAGAAGAAGAGTCTGGTTCGCAGGGCTTCCACCAAACGGTGCACGAACACAAGGCCGAGATTGGACCTATAGACTACGTCTTGCTGGCCAACAGTTACTGGCTGGATGATTCAAATCCTTGCCTGACCTATGGACTGCGCGGCGTTGTCCACGCCAATCTCATCGTCACGAGCGACCATCCCGATCTCCATAGCGGTATCGACGGAAGTTCGCTCCTAGACGAACCTGTCAAGGACCTCTCGATGCTCGTGTCCACTCTCGTCGGACGCAAGGGCAAGATCAATCTGCCCGATTTTCACGACGCCGTTCGCCCCCTGTCCGAGGCCGAACGCAAGCGCTTCGAAGCCATTGCCGACGTCCTGCTCCCACAGCATCCCGAGATCTCCGATCGTCAAGCTCTCATCAAGTCGCTCATGTACCGCTGGCGGGAGCCCTCCCTGACCGTGCACTCAATGGAGGTCCCCGGCAACAAGAGCGGCACCACGACCATCGCTCGCCGAGCCAAGGCAAGCCTATCGATCCGTATCGTTCCAGATCAACAAGCCGACGAAGTCGCCGCCACCCTGACGGCCTTTGCTCAGGAGCAATTCGATCTCCTCGAATCTCAAAACGATCTGACCGTGGAAATCACCGGTAAGTCAGACGCCTGGCTTGGAGACCCCGACAACCAGATCTTTGCCACGCTCTCCGAGGCGATCAGCACCGCGTGGAGTCCAGACCATCTTCAGAAATCCAAACATCAATATCCTATCCCTCGTCTCGACTCCGGCCTCTCTGCGTCGACAGGCGCTACCGCCAATCCCGGCACAGACGCACACGCAAACACCGACACTACCGGCAACTCGGACTCCTCCAACTGCCCAATCCATCTCCCCCGTCAAAAGTCCTCCGATAGTCTCGCCTCCCACGTTGACCGCGTAATCCTCTCATCAACAACAACATCCGGCAAAGCCGCTGCCCGCAAACGCTCCTCGCAAAGCACAGCCCCCGTTCCAACATCCAACACCCTCGCCAAATCCGCATCCACACACTCAACCGAGTCCGCAAACCCACTACCCTTACCACCCCCGTCCCGAACCCTCTTCGAAGCACTCTCGTCGCAGGACACTCCCTCGACCCTGAACCCCAACCAAGGACCGCCATCAACCCCACTCCAACCCTCAACATCCATATCCCAATCCCAATCGACATCAAAATCACCACCAACATCAGTAACACCCCCTATTAAACCAATCTTCATCCGCGAAGGAGGCTCCATCCCCACCATCCGCTTCCTCGAAAAAGAATTCGGTGCGCCTGCAGCCAATCTGCCCTGCGGCCAGGCGAGTGATAACGCGCATTTGGACAATGAGCGAATGAGAGTGGAGAATTTGTTTAAGAGTCGTGAGATTTTCAGATACGTGTTTGGAAATTTGACGTGATTGGCACTGGCAATGGCACTGACACTTTGGAATTTTGATTCGCGATGTGCGGTTGTGGTTGTGTTTGGAAAGTGCACTTGCCAAGAGAGGGGAAGCAAAGAGAGACAGTTGATGATAGGATGAGAGGAGAGTAGGGCGCTTGCCCTTCTCTCTTCTTTTTCTTTTTCGGGTCTGTGAGAGGTGGATCTCGAGGGATTCGGGGGTAGGAATACGCTCGTTTCGTTTCGGCGACTTTATAAGAGGAAATCAGAGTTTATACTCTTTCTGTATGACGAGTCGAGAGACAAATCTACCTTACTAAGAGCAATTGAATCAAGAGTATAATTTACCTGATCTTATTCTCGGGCTTCACTCCGATCGCGCGGCCTTTCCAATGCAATTACAATCCCGATAAACTTCCAAAGCAAGCCTCAGCTACTGCTCGTCATGCGGTTAACCAAAGAATCATTTTACATCAACGCTATCGTGCAATTGAATAGTCAATACAATTCAAACCTCATGGACTTCCAAAACACAAAGATTATCATCAAATAAGCGGGGGTATAACCTAGCAACGTCATACATTTCCTGTCATCCAATTCATCCAATGCAGACACAAAACACGAGGAAGCGCTCATTGCCTTGGTACTGGGTTGTTCTCCCTACAAGAGACTCTCGTATTTGTCCAGACCTTGTTTTTGCGGGATCTGAGGTTGTTGGTGATGTTGGTGCTGCTGTAATTGCTGTTGTTGTTGGGATTGGCGGAAAAAGGGCGCAGGTTTTGATTCTTGGTGCATGTTTTGTGAGGGAGATCGAAGGGTGTTGGATGGTGAAGCCGTATTGTTGAAATTGTTGGGAGGAGGAGGAATGGAAAAGGCGGAGTAATTGGAAGCTTGCTGTGAAAGCGTTGTTGGCCGTGCTATGGAGGGTTGACTGGACGGTGCTTCTGACATGAATGCAGTATTGCCTCCTCGATGAGCTCCCTGGGGTTGCATGTTCCAAGTGTTGGTTGATGGTTGCATTGCTGGGAAGGATGATATCGGCGGCGAAGATTGTCTGCTCGGCTCCAAGGACGGAATTGCGCCAAGCTTTTGATCCGGGGTGATGGATCGGAACCCGAATTGGCTCTGTGATGCCAGATGATGGCGTGTTTGGCTACTTGTCGACCGGGAAAGACCTGGCAGCTCGGGGGTCTGGCTTGCTGAAGCGGCTTCTGAAACCATGCCGCCCCAGAGATCAACATCTTGGCTATTCGTGGCTCCTGAGCTCTTTCCAAGTACGAGACGCTCGAAATTGGTTCTGCCGTCGTCCATGTCTGGTGCTGTGAGATCGGGTGCAGATGATGCGGCATTGTTGGCTGCTGCTTGGAATCCACCGGAGCCACCTCCAGATGAAAGCTCCTGCAGCTTTCGCTTTTGCTCCTTTTCAATCTTGCCTGACAGGGATTTGATCACTGTCATGAACTCGTTGAATTGCTCCAAATTCAACAAGGGACCAAGACTGAAGCTCCACAGTACGGGCAAAACTTCGAGGGCGAGGAATTCGGTATCCGCGACTTTTCCAACTTGGCGGAAGACCTTCAAAGCCGCCATCATCACGGACGGTTCCTTTGTCTTGATGGCCTTGAGGGATGGGACAAGCTTCTCTTGGATCGTGTATTTGTCCAAGATGGAAGGTTTGGCGGATGGCTTTGTTTGAACGGTGCCGTTGAGATCGTCCTCTAGATCGTTGCTCTCTGTAGGCGCGGCTCCGCAAAGGATGCTGAAGGCTTCGAGGCCGCGGACTTTGATGGCAAGGCTGCTGGTGCGACTGAATGTGGTGGCGATCGGTGGGAAAACCTCATTCTTCACAGTGCTAAAGTCCAGAACTGGCAGCATGACATGGAGACATTTCAAGGAGGCATCGACCAAGGTGTGAGTGGGCGAATCCATGCCCAATCTAATCAGGGGAAGGATATCTGTTCGTCCATGTCAGCATGGCGGTCGATTCAAGATCTGATCAATCAGGGAATACAAACGAACCATCTTTAAATTCACTGCCCGAGCAATTCTCTGCAATCAGCTTCATATTTTCAAATATGACCATGAGTCCAGCATCTTTCTTGGAGTCCCGGTCTTGGCTCGCCGGTTTGGAAGAAGGTGTACCAAACACTTCTTTGAGGCGCGGAATGACCTTTTCTGGCAGTGCACGGCGCCCACTGGGAATTCTGGACAAGATTCCAAACACATTTTGCAGAATCAACGGTAGTAATTCACGGTCTTTGATCTCATCCAGTAAGGCCCCCAGCAACTTCTTTTCCAGGACAGACACTGGAAAATCCGGAAGCACGCGTTGAAGGCCCCGGAGGAATTGAGTCTTCTCGTTTGCGTTCTTGGTCGGCAAGGTTTCCAGGAAACGAATCGTAGAGACCAAGACATTGTCAAAGTATTGCGATTGCTGGAATTCCCGCGCATTCATGCGTTGTGCCGGTCTTCGAGTGATCAGTCGTGGCAAAACATGGGACAAAACATCACGAGGGATCGTTTGGGAGCAAAGAAAGTTGTTGTTCTGAGATGGAGTGGTGGATGGAGAGCTCAAGAGCTTCTTATACGTGGTCAGATTGCCATGCGTCTGCAAGGGAGACAGATGAGGCGAGTTATACAGCGCGACTATGATCAGGCCCAGCGAAAAAAGATCCGCGGCCGAAGATACATTGGAGTCGAATGCAAAATCTGGTGACGTATAATCCATGTTCAATTGCACCGATGCTGGTAGTCTAGGATCCTGATACAGAACTTCCGAAACGGCCAATGGAGGTAGCGTGGATCGGGTCTCTGAAGCATCCGGGGGACCAGCAAAGCCAAGACCGGAGATCTTCCAGTCGGATTTGGCGTTGACATAGATCGCATCCGGATTCAAATTTCCATGGACCAAGCCAGCTGATTCATGGAGGAATTCGAGACCCTTGGCCACTTGCAGCAGACCCTTTTGAATCTCCAATTCATCAATCTCGATTTCGCGCCGTCGCCTTGTGCCATCGGCATCCTGCACCACATAACGACTGCCACGTGCACTGGAGCCCGACGAGCCCTCTTGTTCGTTCTTGTCCAGCAAAAGTCCCGACAGGGAGGCGGTCAAGTGCTCCGTTGCAAACATGAGACCTCCATTGCGAGTCTCTTCCACGGGCTCCAGCACTTGCAGTATTGAGGGATGTCGCAAGCGAGCCAAATTGCTCGCTTCCCGTTTCAGCCGCTCAATGACATCTTCCTGCAGCTTCTTAGGATTCCCCCTGACCGGCCGAATCCCCCCGATCGAGGCTCCAGGACCTTGCGGTCGAATATGAATACTGAAGCTGGGGTGCCCGTCGACTTTTTCTTCGCGTCGTGGATTTTCCAAGGACCCGAGTAGATGGTCGGGTGCGGTGAGATCTGGTAGTTGGCGGAGATATTGGAGCTGAAGGACTTCAGCGCATTCGAGAACATGCTGGCTGTTTGCGACGCACGTAACGGCGGCCCCTCATCCAAACGATCGGGCTCAGGGGAAAGTCAATTCAGCACTTCACAGCTGATTGTTGTACCGGCGTGTGACAGATCGCATGACCAAATGGGCAGCAATGGACTTATTCTGGAGCGCCTGCAGACTGTCGTTGTCTTGCACGATGCTCTCTTTGTCGCGCGGGCGGATCTTGAAGGCCCCGAGTCAACAATCAATGGCGGCTCACGAATTCATCAATGCTCTCGAGCTCGGCAGCGATAACGAGCTATCGCGGGTGCGGGTGGAGTCACGTGTCGTCATCCCCCATGGTCGCTGTATCTAGTAATTTGATCTACTATCTACCTACCCTACAGCTATCAAACTAATAGACTCCAAACCGAATCCTGCAATTGACTCTTCTGCTCGTGCATCTCAACGGCCCAATGATTCAGCATGTATTCTCGCAATTTTAATCAAGACCCGTCCAAGACTCTCGTCTGCAGTCGGCATCAATGATAGCGGCTTGCGTCGGCTTAAAGACTACGTGCCCGCAGAATCGCGCCCTTCAGTTGATCCGAGATCGGATCAGTAGATGGAATCAGCACTGTTGATTGGGTTCCTCCCGCGCCCGCGCATCTGAGTCATGCTGTACTGTCAGCAACTTGCCCGGGCGGTGAAGCGCTTGTTGCTGCTGTTGCGCGCCGCGGAGTTGAGCCTGTCCTCCGCAGTTTGGTCTGGAAGTGCGGTGCGGAGTAGTTATCGCGCATTTAAATTCCGCTAGTGCGTCCCCAAAGTATTCTTCAGATAATCTGACGGTTGTATCTGACAATCTCTCCCGCAGCAATGAAGACCTTCCAACAACTGACTCGCCGGAAGGCCCTCGCTGGCCTCGCGACTCCCCGTTTGACATCACACAGTTTCGCGGTTCACCGGTCATGGCAAAGAAATTTCGGCGTCACGACTGCGGTCGCCTCGCAGCAGCTCGCTGATTTGGATGTCTCGAAATTATCTGTGACCAAGACCACGACGCCCAAGGAGTTGACCCCTAACAAGGACTTGGTGTTTGGCAAAACCTTCACTGGTACGGACTCTGTGTTTGTACGCCATTGTTTTATGGAAGGCCTATCAATGCTAATTTGGAATTATGTGAAGATCATATGCTCACCGTCGAATGGACCGCTACCGACGGCTGGCATTCGCCGCAGATCATTCCCTACCAGAACCTCAGCCTGGATCCCTCCACATGTGTCTTCCACTATGCATTTGAATGTTTCGAGGGAATGAAGGCATACAAGGATAAAAATGGCGGGATTCGACTCTTCCGTCCCAACAAGAACATGGAGCGCTTGAACAAGTCGTCAGCCCGCATTGCTCTTCCTACCTTCGATGGAGAGGCTTTGACACGTCTTATTGGAGAATTCGTCAAGTTGGACGAACGCTTCATTCCAGAGTGAGCATTGACCAGATCGCTCTTTTCGATGTATCGCAAGACTGATGACAAGGCAACCAGTGCTCGTGGCTACTCGCTTTACCTTCGACCCACCATGATTGGTACTCAGAAGACATTGGGTGTCGGACCTCCCGGGTCCGCCATGCTCTTTGTCATTGCCAGTCCCGTGGGGCCCTACTACCCTACCGGCTTCAAGGCCATCTCTCTGGAAGCCACCGACTACGCCGTCCGGGCCTGGCCCGGCGGTGTGGGCGACAAAAAGCTCGGTGCCAACTACGCTCCTTGCATCTTGCCCCAGCTTCAGGCCGCCTCGCGGGGCTTCCAGCAGAACTTGTGGCTTTTCGGTGAGGAGGAGTACGTGACCGAGGTCGGCACCATGAACCTCTTCCTGGCCATCAAGAACAAGGAAACCGGTCAGAAGGAGCTCATCACCGCTCCTTTGGACGGCACTATCCTGGAGGGTGTCACTCGTGACTCCGTCCTTGCTCTCGCCCGCGAGCGCCTCGCTCCTCAGGGCTGGGAGATCTCCGAGCGCAAGATCCGTATGGCCGATGTTGCACAGGCTGCTCAAGAGGGCCGCCTCATTGAGGTCTTCGGCGCCGGTACCGCAGCCATTGTCAGCCCGGTTCGCAACATCAGCTACCGCGGCCAGATGGTCGACTGCGGTCTGAAGCAGGATGAGGAGGCCGGTGAGATTGCCCTCCAGATGAAGAGCTGGATCGAGGCTATTCAGTACGGTGATGAGCAGCACGCTTGGAGGTAAGCTGACCGAAGACTGAAAATGGAAATACGTGAAACGAAGACTGACCCTCCTAACAGCATCAAAATCTAAACCCGCCTCTCTCGCGTCACCTGATCATACACATATAGAAAAGATCATAATCGACATTCTTGGATGACATACTGCATTGTGGACTTTTAAAATTCGGCTGTCATGCATCATGCCCGTGCAAAAGCGAGACCTTGTGCTCTGATCTCTGAATATCGAGATTCACTCACCCCTTCTCGAAATCATGCAATTACCTTGCAGAAATAATCCGTTGTTCCTTGTCTTGTAGTTGTGATCAGTCATCGATGCCTCATGCATCCATCCATAGTTACAGACATCTACAACAGTGGTATCCCAGGTCGACACGGATTAGTAGCAGCAAGTGCCGAGTACCATACAATTTTAACCCGCTTGGTACTTTTCTTATCTGGACCCTGTGGAGCAATGGCGCAGTTTGGCGCGTAGTGTCGGCTCAAAGGCGGAACTCTGTGTTCATCGATCATTGGCATTGCCGAGAGCTGTTCCACCCGATGTCATATGACATATGTAGTGTCCATGACCCATACTCCAATGCCTCCATAGAGATAGCTCCTGGAACAAAATCAATAACTCCAGTGTCCATGCAGTATTTGCGTGGCTTTACGCCGCGTTTGCTTCCCCGGAGCTCCGCCGTACCTCCGCTACCCCTCAGTTATCGCGTGACTTCCGCAGTACACCGACTGCCCAGACTTCGTTCTTCATTCTCCCACTCACACAGCTTGCGACAATCAGTCATGATGGATGCCAGCGTCAAGCAACACTATTTGGCTGACTCCCCGCCTAGCGTGGTGCGGCTGGAGATCAAGTCGCACTTTGATACTTTGAAAGATGAGAGTCTTCGCCGATATGCCCATTACATGAGCAGGTCAGTTACCTTGTGAATTACTACATAAGCGATGCGACGAGATGTTGCAACACATCGTATCATGTGTGTCTAACTCGTATGCTGGATGCTGACTAGCTTATGTATAAATCTAGAGCCGCCTTCGAAGGTACTCGTGTGACTTTGCGCCAGGTTTCACCCGAGTCAGAGCCCATCTACGATTTGATTCTTGCTCTCCATGCGGCTTGCAATGGAGACTGGAAGAGCCTGGCTCAAAAGACTCAGGTCAGCGATGAAGACCTCCGCTATTTCCTCGAATATGCCGCACAATTCTTAGGCAACTGTGGCAACTACAAGGGCTTTGGTGATTCCAAGTTCATCCCCCGGATTTCAGCATCAGCGCTCGAAGCTCTGTGCTCCAGCGCCTCAGAAACCAAGGAAGCTTTCAAAAAGGCCAACAGTACCGGTGGCGGCATCTACGAGACCAGCGAACAGTCCTTGATGCACCTAGGTTACCCAGCGGACGGGCACATGACCACTTACTACCCAGACTCGCCTACCATCACCAAGGACGAAATCACCGCTATTGGAGATTTGATGGAGAAGAAGGGACTTGCCTTGGAAAATACGAGAATTCGCAAGACCTCATCGGGCGATTTCGAGCTTTTGGTCGCTTCGGGAGTTGCCAACCCTCCTGCGAGGGATCGTGATCTCGGCGAAACGGATACTTTTGAGATGGATGGTGCTCTGAAGGGCAAGACACTCCGCTTGGTCTTTGGAGACTATCAAGAGCAAATGGCCAAGATTGCACACAGCATCAAGTTGGCCGAGAAGAATGCCGCAAACGAGAACCAGAAGAAGATGCTTGATGCCTATGCGCTCTCATTCGGTGCTGGCTCTATCGAAGCTTTCAAGGAGAGTCAGCGCGTTTGGGTTAAGGACCAAAAACCTGCTTTGGAGACAAATCTTGGATTTGTCGAGACCTACCGTGATCCCCATGGTGTTCGTGGAGAGTGGGAAGGTTTTGTTGCTCTGGTAAGAGGCTCTCTCCCTTTCATTCCGTTTTTGCGTCGACCTGACTTGCTAACTCACTGCGCAGGTGAATCTGGAGCGCACTCGCGCGTTTGGCGCTTTGGTGGACAGCGCTGAAAGCATGATCCCCAAGCTTCCCTGGGGTAAGGACTTTGAGAAAGACAAGTTCCTCAGCCCTGACTTTACCTCCTTGGAAGTGTTGAGCTTCGCTTGCTCAGGCTTGCCTGCTGGTATTAATCTGCCAAACTACGACGATATCCGCCAGAATCTGGGCTTCAAGAACGTCTCCCTCGGCAACGTTCTCAGCGCCAAGGCGCCCAATGAGCCTATTCCATTCATTGCCGAGAAGGACCAGGAAGTCTTCCGTCGCTGCCGTGATCCGGCGTTCGAAGTTCAGGTCGGTATCCATGAGCTTCTCGGACACGGTACCGGCAAACTGCTGCAAGAGACCGCGCCAGGCCAGTACAACTTTGACATCTCGAACCCGCCCGTCAGCCCGGTCACCGGTAAGCCTGTCTCGACCTGGTACAAGCCCGGTCAGACATGGAGCTCGGTGTTCGGCGCAATTGCCTCCTCCTATGAGGAATGTCGCGCCGAGTGCGTTGCCATGGTCTTGGGCTGCGACTTCGAGATTCTCAAAATCTTTGGCTTTGGCGACGGCAAGGAGGACATGGCCGGCGAGGCTGGCGATGTCCTCTACGCAGCTTATCTCCAGATGGCTCGCGCTGGTCTTGTTGCTCTCGAATTCTGGGACCCCAAGACCCAGAAGTGGGGACAGGCTCACATGCAGGCTCGCTACAGCATTCTGCGTACATTCCTCGATGCAGGCGACGACTTTGTGAAGCTGTCTTATACCAAGGAAGACTTGTCTGATCTAGAGATTCACCTCGATCGCTCCAAGATCCTGAGCCACGGTCGGCCTGCCGTTGCCAAGTACTTGCAGAAGCTGCACGTCTACAAGAGTACTGCTGATATTGAGGCCGGTAAGGGCATGTATGATCAGATCACTTCCGTCGATAAGTGGTGGGGTTCGCAGGTGCGGGAGGTTGTTCTTAAGAACAAGGTTCCTCGCAAGGTGTTTGTGCAGGCCAACACTGTTTTGGATGGAGACAAGGTCACTTTGAAGGAGTATGAGCCGACCTTGGAGGGCATGATCCAGTCTTTCGTGGATCGAAATGTGTAAATGAAAAAGTTACATTCCACATAGCCAGGATCCACTGTCATATGACATTCCATGAGCGCTTCCATTTGTATGTTACCAGGTTTGGAGGTTGGATTAGGAAGTACGAGACATAAAATGAGATGGCCGGTGTATCAATCCATGTCTGTACCAGCCCTATAGGTAGGTAGGGGCAGGGACCTAGATCGATCGTCGAGCCTCGTCTGTTAGCGTTGACAAATATATAATGTTCTCAAGTCTCGGACTTGAATATGTCAAAAACACTTCAACCTAATGAGATCTACGCAGGACGTAGATGAATGGATTCGCTTTGTCGTAGGTACAGGACTAGGATCATCATTGACCTACCTATATATACATGAAGATATGCTGCAACCACTTTTCAAAATTATTGCTCATGATATTTGCCGCTCAATGAACAAGTTCTTGAATTAGTCTACAGATTAGTGAAGAGCTTATATCACAAGCTTAAGTAGATCACCACCTGTGATATAGGTTCTTCACACTATTTTGTTCTGTGAAGAGTGCTAGGTAACTTCCAAAAGATCGAAGTATAGGTATACAAATGTTGAAGCGACTCTGCTAACCACAACAACAGATTTCAATCCACAAGGTTTGCTAGACTAAAGAGATGAGCTGTCATGATTTCCCTACTGATAAGAGGGCTCGATCTCGCCCCTACAACAAACTCTACTCGAGTGCCGGGCGGCGGTTGAAAGCATCGGAGACTCGACCGTGTGCCGTCAGATGTAGACTTACCGCCACAGCAACGGAGTGGTCACTGGTCAGTGGACTACTACGTTAGCGCCGAGCCCCCATCGTCACCTCCTCTTTTGATTCACCACCAATCTCCCATTTCGCCAGCTGTTTGTACCAATACTGAGACAGTCCATGCAATCTTGCTGTCTACATATATTATAAGCACATCAGTCGTCAAGAAAAGGCGATCTTCCAATAGATAAGTCTACTAGCACAGGTGCGCGGGCTCTCCATCCCGGTCATTGCGACTTCTCCTGATCGACATTGTAGCGGACCGCCCCCTCAAGCAACGCAATCCCCAGAACTTGTCCAGATCAGCCGCCTTGTTCGGGTATAAGCCTGATCTCTCGAGAACACAACGTGTCGGACAGTTCGCAATCCAGACAATCACCAACCACGGCGTGCCCGCCGTCCCCAACGAACTCCCTTGTGGAGGAAGAAAGCTACTTTACCCCCCCGCCGCGCTCGCCATCCCACGCCTCTGCCTCGAGCTCCGCCTGCAACAGTCCTCCGCCTTTCTCCTCACTCTTCGCCTCGGCCCATCCTGACCAACACGTATTCACCGAATCTTCAGCCTCCGCTTCAGCTCCAGAATTTGCGCCGACACAGCCCGTAGACGACTCGATCCAATCGGCCCCATCGTCGGCCGTCGTCGCAGACACCAAAGCGTCCTTCTCCGAACCAAAGGGGGACGGTCTTGGTAAGAATACCGACGACGGGGAACCGCCGCCACCATATACAGAGGGCTATAGTCCACTTGAATCATTCACGTACGTGATGGCTGCTGCGGGAGGCGCATCGAGCATTATTACCCAGGTCCAACAGACTGGCGGGCCACCAATCAACACCCTAGGAGGTATGTTTCCGCTTTTTAAACGGAGCGAAGCTTTGAGCTGTGAAATCTAACTTATCCCGCTTGACATTAGATATCGGCGGTGATGAGCACATCACATTGGACCTGCGGTGAGCATATCTATCACACTTGCACTTCCTTGAATGACGTGTTTCTGACTCTTTCATACAGTGGCACACGGTTCACATTGTCGCGTGATGAGCTACTGACTCTTCCGGAGTTTGTTTTGCTCTCTCTATTTCCAAACGGACTTCTCCCAGATGGACATATGAGCGGCTTCCACGAGGGCGATATTTACCCTGTTGATGTGAGTGATTGCACTGCCATAGTGAAACTCTTTGCTTGGATCATGATCACCTTCTAATAGTCTGTAGTATGACCCGACCTCGCTTCAGTTCATGCTAGACTTTTTCCGATCTGTCGCGCATTCCATTCCGTCAACCCAGCCCTCTGGATCGACCTCTCCTGACCTTGACGCCCCGGAGCTCATGCACAATCCAGCGCGGGAAATGCTCCAAGACCGTGCTGGAATTATCGTCCTCCGCGAAGATCTTGATTTCTATGTGATTCCACCTCGCGCGGACATTGGCCATGAAGAGATGCTGGAAGTTAAGCGCGCTGCTGGCCGCGCCTTACTCAAGCAGAATGGGATCTTCTCTGGCCTGCGGAAGAGCGAGGAAGTAGGCTCGACTGAGCAGCACCTGATTGAGATGCTGACGGCAGGGTGAGCTTCTACCACTGGGACTTTTCATTCATGATTCTCTAGTACTAATCATCTGGACAGTGGCTTTGACCGAGATGACGCTTGGGGACATCGGGCCCCTGAGCCCAACAAGGCAGTCATCTGCAGCCTGGCTCTCGCCAAACTTCGTACCGACATCCGTGGTGACATTGCAGGCAGTAATGCCGTGGGTATGGCCCAGAAGCTTCTTCTCTTCTGGCGCAAGCCTGCTCGTCGCTGCTGGTGGGAAGGCGTGGACCTGGATGACGTTGAAGGCGTGCACGGCCAGGTCAAAGTCTGGATCCGGAGAGTGTGGACATTGGAAATGGTGAGCTTTTCTAAACCTTCCTCCAGTCAATGCAAAAAGATTGAATGCTAATGATTTTTTCCCTCACAGAGTGTCATCGGTCTCCGATGAAATGTTTGTCTGTGCCTATCTGTGCCTTTTCTTTGTTTTAGTCTGATCTTGTTTTCTTTCATATCGCCTTACTGCATCTGTACCTATACCCAGATCCACCGTCTCATCGCCAAACATATTTACCACCTTAGTGACTCTCTCATTTTTGGAACCTTGATCTCTTCTCAAAAGTTCATTCTGTTCGTTACAAACACTCCTTGCCTACTTGTAATCTGGTAGTCCGAATGAATATCCTTGCGAAGTTATCAAGAATGTCCCTCTAGTGCTAGAGAGGTCCTCGTCTTTAGTTGGCTTTGCAGGAGACCCCGTCGAATGCTTAAGTGACATCCTGTGCGTACTACCTAACCGCCAGCTAGTACGTCTGAGGAGAAGTTGAATAGGTATTCCAATGAAGTCAAAGGGAAGAAGAGAGGGACGAAGCAACAGGGTAGAAGACAATAAACATATTAAGGAGCGTGGCCCATGTTCCTTTATCTCGGCTTCTTCAGTGGTTCAACCAATTTATGATTACAAGAGTCCAGAGAATATACATATACGACACTATTCAAAGGCAGCACTTGAATACCAGTCCAATCACCACCATACCCTCAATTATCCAGTCCAGTAGCCATTGGTAGACAGTCAATACATCTGAGTCTATTCAATAATGTTGGTTTCCCTCTTATCGGGTCTGCCTCAGGTTAGAAAGGAACCGCCTCACGTGATATTGGAATGGATCCAGGCCGCTCGATTGGGGCGAACGCGACTGGCGCAAAAGAATCGCAAATGAAATGGAAGCATTCACCGTGAACTACTTTCCAGGCAAGCTCAATTGGCCAAATTTCTCATTGTAACTCACTGAAAGAGTCGTCTGTTTTCTCTCACTTCTGGGTCGCTTTTTTTAAGCTCGCATATTGTTCTCAAAGCTTTGATTGCTAGGTTCGACCTCCTCGAGTGTTCCATCGGCCCTTGGCTCGGCTTTCAGAACACCAGAAACCCTGCGCTTTTGCATCGCCCGCGAAGGGGGCATGTGCTAGTCAACGGCTATCACGAAATGTCCCACCTCAGAGGTTACATCACATCGTATCCGCCACGCGTGCGCCAGTATGGAAACGCGTTATTGACGCCTGTCTACCCTGTACAGACGGGGCCGACACCAAGGACGACAAAACGCGGTACAACGGCGATCAATTACGCGGAGGATGGTTACGATGATGACGATTTTGATGACAGTGATAATCCTCGGCGGCCTACGGGGCTAAGAAGTCTTCGACGTGAAGAATCTGCGGGTGGCACCTCGGTCGCAGAAAGATTGGGCAAGGAAGCTCATGCGCCTGTGGAAGTGCAGGGTGTGTTTCGTGAATGGATGATTAAACGGATGCTCCGACCTGCGTATGGAATCTCCCTTTTCTGCGGAGTAGTGAACATCTCTCGCGGCCACGAATCTTCGAACTGCAAACAACTAACCTTTAATGACAATGTCTAGATGCGCGGAGCAATTACAGATTCAAGCGCAGCTTCCCTTGACCTTGGTACCCATTCGGATCGATGTCGAAGTCGCAGCACACCAACCCCTCGAGCCTTTTCCTTTCCCTCGTGGTGTGAATGAGCAGATCATCAGTCCGGCTCTTCCTGCATACCGGAGGCCAGAGCCGATGCCACCATTCCGAATCAAGGACACCTTCCTGTGGAATCTCCACGAGGCTCTGTCCACACCAGAAGAATTCGCCGTAGGCTTTGTGCGCGATCTTGATCTTCCCAACCCCCAAGCAACAACAATGACGATCAGCAACCAGATCCGTCAACAATTAGAAGAATATGCGGGTGTCGCATTGCATCCTCTCTTTCAGAGCAGTCATTCCATCCCTGTGCCGATTGCACCATCCAGACGCGAAGGGTCCCGCGACACTCCAATGACACCAGCTGCAAACGTCACCGACGCCAATGGGTCTCGCGCTGATGGAGCTACAGTGACCGCGACCAAAGAGGCTTTAGTGAACGACAGTCTCCTCAATCCGGATGATGCCTACCGCTGCTTGATCACTCTGAACATCAATCTGCAAAACAAGCTCTACACGGATAAGTTCGAATGGTCTTTGCTTCATCCGCCTGGCTTTGCCGAGCAGTTTGCTCAGGTCACTTGCGCCGATTTACATCTGGGTGGAGAGTGGGTGAGCGCCATCGCGCACGGAATCTACGAAGCAGTCCTGAAACTCAAGAAGGAAGTGTGCGAGAGTGGTGGCCTTGTCAATGGATATGGCAATGAAATCGACAACCAAGCTGCCAATGGAGTGGAGGCTGGTTGGCGATACGACCCGGAGACGCTGGGTGATCAGTGGGAACCACAAGTGGAGGCATTGTCCAAGGAGGAGATTGAGAGACGCGAAGGTGATCGCGAGCGAGAGATTCGCCGCGTACGTCGTGAAACGGCGCGATTCTCGTCTACCACAGGAATCACCCCCGAGGTTTCGCGACAGAACAGCGGTGGCTATTTCGATATCGACAGTGAGGCGCCTCTGGGCCGTGGTGAGAGGAATAAGCGCAAACGTCGCTTCCGTAGTCTCAGTCCCACGAGTAGAGGCACACCTGGCGGCCGGGGCACTCCGGAGACAGGATCTGGTGCTGGTTACGGCGGTGGAGGCGGCACGTTGACAGATTGGTATGTTTCTATCATCGAGCGTGAGAGATGAGGAACTTGTTATGCTAAATACCCTCACTCTCAGGGAACGACAAAGCTGGCGATGCAGAAACTGCATGGTATGGGGTACAGCTGTATGGGCAGTTCGGGATGGACCAGATGGGCCCCGTGTATGTCATATGTTCTTCTCGTGGCAGATTGCCAGTCACTCGCTGCTTTCTTCGAGGTTCCTCTCGCTGACATTTCGCTTCAATGCACAGACTCTCTGCCACAACTGTGGTTTCCTTTACGAACGGGACAAGACCACTCCAGCATGGTCAAGGGACCTTCATCGCCACGATGTTCCCGTTGGTCGTTTCACCTAGATACCCGGTACTACCTTTTTGCTGCAAAATCAGTCTACATAATCGTCTTCAGTCTCCGGCTCGGAGAAGAAATCTTGCTTGCTCACCAACACATACCGTGCTTGTTGTACATCCCCGCTAGTCATACGGGGTTCTTGTTCTACTTCTGGCAACTCCTCTGCATCCGCATGCTAGATCCCGCTTTTTTTTTCTCGTATCGATTCCTCTTTCCCCCTGTCCATTTCTTGCCGCCATTGCGGAACAGACCGCATGACCAGCTATGAGTCCAAAGTACTGGCTGAGAACTAGTACGCAGACTCAACCTCTTCTAACGCGCATGTGCTTTTCGACCTGCGTGAAGTCCACTCGCCCCAAGTGAATCATCCACGCTTTCAAGAAGTCAGGCCTCGAAACCCCCACAACTGGACAACAAAAGACATTAACTCGATCGATTGAAGCGTCTCAAGCCGACCTGATTTTCCCGCATTGTCTCTCTCGTCTCAATGACTTCTTTGTCCGTTCTCAACGAGGCCAACGGAATAAGGGAGACACTTGTGCACAAAACCCCCTCTTTCAAGGTGGGAAGTAGTCAAGGTTTCTTCTTCTTCATTATTCGTCATTCGTCCTTGGTTCGCAATCGCTCTGGAGCAAATGACATTGGTGGGTGTCAGGAAGGTCTCTGTTTGATTCTCCTTGTCGATTCACTCTACTGTGATCTTTATGGCCTCGACCTCCCCCTGTCGCTTAGAATAATGTTACTGTACGAATATGACGGTGTGTGTTGAATGGATGGCTTGATTTATGATTTCCTGTTGATTGTTTGACTCGAGCAGTGCTGTCTGAGACTCTGCGGCAGGTGGTCATTGGTGAACAGCAAGCCTGTAGATAAGGTACGCTGTAAAGTAATTTGCTTCCTGGTGCCGGCGAGAGAACAAGAATTGAAGAGACTAATATAGCTTGAACAACGTTTGTAATACTACTAGTCAGAATGTAGATCGTATGTGAATCGATCTCATATATTTGACGCAAAGTCAATGGCCTCCCCTGGGTGAATATTGTCAGGTCCGAGGTAGCAGCTCCCTTGGGGGTCCAGCTTTCCGGCGGAGCTCGGCTGGAAATTGAAATGAGAAAGAAGCCCACGATATGCGAGATAACGAGATCCACGGGCAATGCATTGGATTCGCTCATTGATCTACAAGTTCGCATAAGAAGTTCGATCACTCGAAAAGGGTATCCTGAAAAGACAACGCCGATACAAAGTTCGAAACCGAGGCATCAACTCTTTCGCTTATAAGCCAGGCCCTCTTTCACGACTAGACTCAAGGTCCGTGGTCTCCGCGAAAGCAAAAGATCGGACGGTGCCGGTCGACCAGTCCGTGGCTGTTGATCCAGCCCTCGTATAGTACATTGTGATCACCGTACGAGGACGGCGAGACTGGATTTGTGCCCAGGCGCGGGGACTCCTCTTCAGCAGCCGTCCAGTCATGAGGCACGCTCCCTGACGAAGAAAGTCCGGATGGTCAGACAAAAGGGGAGGAAATGAGTGTGTGTGAAAGAATTTATTGACTTCGTGACATAAAGGACTAGCCTGGAGAGTGCAGTACTAGCCTGAAGAGTGCAGTGTGGACGAAGAAGTCTTAGGTTCCTTACTGGCTCTGTCGGATTCGGTATTTCGCTCGGGAGACTGGCCTGGATAATATGGACCGCCAGGATGGAGAGATTGCGCCGTCTGTTTTGAGAATTCAATGTGCGAGTTAGCATAAATGTGAATCCACTACAGATTGAATCTGATGATACCGGTAGTTTCTGTCGCGCTTGACAGCTCCAAAACCGCTTACGGGTTGCTACTGACTTCGCGGAACTCGTCTCCTTCCACTTGCACTTCCCGATCACGGATTCTTCGCATCAAGGCTAGGAAATTGCTTTGTTGAAATTTCTGGTCTTTCTCGTGTCGTACGCTGTTGAGAAGATGCTCTGCTGTGCGAGCAAGGGCGTCCGCGTCGTTCTTTACGGTAGTAGAGTCGTCTTTGACTATCGTATCGGAGCCGATGGTGATTTTCTCTTGCTCTTTCATGATGGTCTCCTCGATCTGAAGAGGTTGGTCTTGAGAAATGGTCTCCATGGTTTGGGTGAGTTCCGGGGCTTGCAGCTCTTGCATATCGGCTCGCGCCTGCTCAAAAGCCGCTTCAAAGGCTGACTCGTCAAATTGTTCCGCTGGTACCGTGTTTGCTATGGGAGCTTGTTGGGAGTAGCTGTGATGCATGTTCATGGAATTGTTGTACATGGGCATATGATGCCCAAAGGAGGGCCGGAAGGGAGTGTTGATCGACTGCTCCGCTTGAACGTGCTGCGAGACAGCATGCTGTTGGTGCTGCTGGCTCAGGAAATCATTTTGCCACCCTGTTTGGGATGATGCGATCGGTGATGCCCTTTGCGCTTGGTGCGGTAGTGACTTCGAGATATGGAGGTTCTGGAAATCCGATGCCCAGTTGGGTGGCGACTGCACGGCCGCTGGATGCTGGGTAGGATGGGCAAAGTGTGCTGGATGTTGCAAATCCACCATTGGTGCTAAGCCACCATGGCTGTTTTCAAAGGCTGCGAACTCAGGGTCCAAAAGTCCATCCCGCGTGCCTTGTGATCGGAATCCCTGGTAGATGAATGTCAGTCAGGGATATTTGGTGACGGAGAGGAGAACGGGCACTGAATGATACGTACTTGATTCGCAGGCTGCCTTGAAATCAGTCGGTCTTGCTGCAGGGTGCGGTCAACAGACGCATGCTTCTGGAAGTTCTGCAGCGCATTGGACGGGCCGCATAGTGCATCTCCCATGCTTTCGGATTCGCGAGATGACTGAAATAACTGGGCGATGGTACAGAGAATGGTAAACGTAGACAGAAGAGCGACTTCTACAACGAATCTGACCCACAAGGCGTTCTGAGTAATGTGCTATGGAATTCGAAACGGGCAAAAGGAAAATCAAAAAGTGGACATGCCAACGCCGCCATATATGACTCTGAATCAGGACCTCCCGCGGGGACTCGTGGGGTTATCCGTTTACTCCGCAGAGACCGAGGCACGTCACGTGAGCTGGGTGTGATCAGTGGGAGTGAACGTGACTCTTGGTCACGCGCGATAAGATAAGCAAAGCGGCCAGGTTGTTTGGACTTTGGAGCCGCTCTGGTGAAGCTCCCCTCGACAGTAAAGCCCCGTTCAACAAAGCTATATTCCACCGACTCGGGACAAAATGGTGAGATCTCCACAGTCAATGAAGCTTGTAATCAACAGATGCTAACATTTCTCGTTAATGATATTTAGGCGGCCGCTCAGGTTATTACCAATTCGGGGCACGAAGACATGATTGTACGTACCGGGGGGGATTAATCCTCTGAGACATGTTCTCAATTGAAAGAACCAGATGCACGTGGCGACTTTTGAGCGCACTCGGGCTAACTCATCTTCACGAGGAGTAGCATGATGCCGGTCTGGACTATTACGGCCGACGATTGGCGACTTGTTCATCTGATAAGACGATCAAGATCTTTGAGATTGAGGGAGAATCACACCGCCTGGTCGAGACTCTAAAGGGGTACGTCGATGTGAATATGCGCGGTCATCATCATCCAGGAAAGCTGACATGATTTTCAAATTGTTTAGTCACGAAGGCGCCGTGTGGTGTGTCGCATGGGTAAGCTGAGACCTCTCGCGACGAACCGGCTCGGGCTATGCGCGCATAACAGCGATTAACCCCAATACTTCATTCGCATCTAGGCACATCCCAAGTTTGGCACAATTCTAGCTTCGTCTTCCTACGATGGCAAGGTCTTGATCTGGCGCGAACAACCACAAAATGCGACCTCTCCATCCTCCGGTAGCTCTTGGACCAAGGTCTTCGACTTCTCTCTCCACACTGCTTCAGTGAACATGGTATCCTGGGCACCTCACGAGAGCGGCTGTATCCTGGCTTGCGCATCATCCGATGGCCACGTCAGTGTGCTCGAGTTCCGTGATAATGCGTGGACACACCAGACTTTCCATGCTCATGGTATGGGTGTGAACTCGATCAGCTGGGCGCCCGCGGCCACAGCGGGGAGCTTGATCAGTTCCAACCCCGGTCCGGGCCAGCAGCGACGATTCGTGACCGGTGGAAGCGACAACCTCATCAAGATCTGGGACTACAAGTACGTTCTCCGCATGTCACAATGCGAGCAATCCGCTCTTCGCAGGGATGGTGCTAACCTTGCGTCTACAGCGCCGAGTCCAAGACTTACAACCTCACTCAAACTTTGGAGGGTCACTCAGACTGGGTTCGGGATGTGGCCTGGTCACCTAGCATTTTGTCCAAGTCATACATCGCTTCAGCTTCGCAGGACAAGACCGTCCGCATCTGGACCTCGGATACCTCCAATCCCGGCCAGTGGACTAGCCAAACGCTTGAATTCGACACTGTCCTGTGGCGGGCAAGCTGGAGTCTGAGCGGGAACATCCTAGCTGTCAGTGGCGGCGACAACAAAGTCAGTCTGTGGAAGGAGAACCTGAAGGGCGAATGGGAAAAGGTCAAGGATATTGAGGAGTGATCTGCTTTCTCTTTTTTCTTTGATTCTTGCATAATTGTGGACAAGATTTTCATGACTTTGCAATCCCGAGAACCCCCTTTAGAACTCATTCAACTAGTATGACTTGTTATAGAGTCAGAACGAACTGTTTAATGAACCTACTTGACAGGCTGTAGTAGAGACATCCTTGCTTTCCCCATGTGCATGGACCGAATCGTAGGCGAAGCATGAGAATCCGCATGGCTTCAAGGGCCATACGACAAATTGCCGAGCCTATCGTTCGGGGTGCGTTGCCTCTAAACTACTTGATATGACCTACACAAATTTTCAAAGGGCAAATTCTGACAGAAGTTCATGGATCACATAGTCGTCGTCACATGTGATCAATGTAGGGCAAGTCCCTCGGGAATTAGCCACTGATCTATACGATCAAACAAACGGAGACGCGTTGCACAGGATAGAAAAGGACCACCCGGATGAATCCAGGCAGAGCAGATTGTTTGAAATAGAGACAAGCAAATAGATGCCATGAAATTTCCTCTGTGGAGAGGCTATCAGTATCATATCAACGCCCAGAGATATGCTCGCTTGTATGCCCGTGACCCTGTTGCCTCATTATCCACGCGCCAGGCTCCCATCTCAGCTCAAGTATCAAACCCCCCAAAAAACGAAATCAAGAACTGAAGCAAGCGCGTCTTTACCATCCGCCACCCACAACACGATTGTGTTTGCTAATTCCAGAAGATAAATGGGCCTCGACCACCTCCGTCAGTCATCTTCAAATCCAACCATCGACCGATCATGATGCGCTCTCCCGGCAAAACCAAGCCTTCATATCCGTGAAACCACATATCATCATTGTCTACGGTGTTCGCGGCGTTGTTCTGAGCAGGGTCACTGGTTTCGGTTCCCTGCTCACAGATTGCAAAGCAGATACGCATCCATCCTGGGATACCGCCGTATTCACGAGCAATGGTCTCCGTGAAACCGAACACAGGGTTCTCCTCATCCTCTTCATTCAACTCGGCCTGGACGCCCTGGAAGTATTTACGGATGACGTTGACTCCGGTGTTGATGGGCATGACCCGGTTGCAAATTGCTGGCCAGAAGGAATCCTGACTCGCTTTGATGTTCAAGATCTGCGCAGAGAAGTGCGAAAATTCTGATTAACGAGCGTTCTTCTCGACAACTCTTCCCTTCCAAAAATAATAAAAAGCCAATTCTCTGTTGTGGTATCGTACCATGAGCTCGGCAAAGTTGACGTGATCGCCTCGAAGATCGGCGCAAGTCTCTCGCTCATGTCGTTCGAAATCTTCGCGAGTCGTGGGCATCGGATGAAGACATGCTAGTTGCAAAATAGGCCGGTCAGCTTGGATCTGTTGCTGAAGGAAAGATCTGTCGGGCTCCTTACAATAAAAGCCAAGCCAGGTGACGTTCAGCATCCAGTCTGGGTCAGGGGATGTTCTGCGTAGCTGGGGCCTGGCCGTCTCGGACAGGAGCGAAAAGGCACCATAAAACGCCTGCTCTACTCGGCTTAGCATGTGACGCTGCCAGAAGCTGCGAATATGCAGCAAGCGATACAAGTCCAGGTTCTTGTGGTCAATGAACGGTTTGGTCAAATCGTCTCCAAAAGAGTACACTACGGCAGTGTCGTACTCAAACCGCGTGCAACTGTTTTTGATTGCCAGTTTGCCTCTGTTGCTGCGGTTCAGAGTGAGGGCAAGGGAAGTCAGGCACTATACGAAGAAAAAGGTTCAAAGAGTGTAAGTATATTGTCACACCTATCAATATACGAAATCATGTGGGCCCAGGAAATCATCAGCGACTGACCAGCTGTACTACACAAAAGAGCTCCGTGGGGCTTTCCCTTCGAGGATATTCCAGGAATCTGCTCTTTGTCAAGGCTTTGCGGATCTGCTTGAGTGTCTTGAAGGGTTCATCGGCGTTCAGGGGGAGTGTCAAAGACTCGAGAATCATCCGCTGCATGACCACGAGCCACAGGGTCTGCCGCTCGCTCGATTGTTGCTTGAAATTGATGGCTTCGGATAGAATAGTCTCTCGGATGCGATATTCATCGCTCAGTTGCCTGTTGGTCAACCCATCTGGCAGATCATATTTCTCCTTGAATCGGTCTTTCCACACAGACGAGTCGGGACCAAGGACTCTGGCGTTGAGGTCCTTGCAGGCCAGACCGAGGTTGCTGATGTCTTTGTCTAAGGGGAGGCGGCTGGCGATGTCTTGCAATATCTGGAAATGAGGGGAGATCAGTGGCGACGCATTACTGACCTCGCAGCGGACGATCTTACTTACCTCATTCGGAAGGCTGAGCAGTGTTGGACGTGTGAATGGCATCATGGGCAACTGCGCATTGGCCATATCGCGATGCTGATGATGTTGCTCGTGATTGTTTGAGGCTAAGCGTCAAGACCCACGCGCCGAGCGCATGTACAGAAGGTAGCGCAAGGTCGCTCACCTGAGATGAAACATCATTAAAGATTTGTCGACGCCTCTACGTGCATGGCTATTTGAGTAGGTTCGATGCTGGCTGAAATCAATTTGGCGAACTTTGAGAAAATCAGAAAGTGAGCGCGGCTTGACGCGAAAGATACATTGCAAACACTTGTAGGAAGCAATCATTTCGAGGTATATTGGAAGCGCAGATCAATGAACCCGCCGTCACATTGCTTGCTTTAGCCCGTGACAAGAGCTTGATCAAACACGCTGTTCATGTCGAGTCTCTGCTTGCCTCCTCAAAGTTTTTTCGACACCCCATCCCTCAGATAATAGACCCCGGACTTCTTCTAGGCCGAGTCCGCTCATTTCTGGATAGATACCTCGAATGACAAGCCACCCCACAACACAGACGAGTGCATACACAGCAAATGTCCATGTTGGAGAGAGCCACTTCATCATAGGCAGGAAGGTGAGTCCCACGATAAAGTTGCAACCCCAGTTCGTTGCAGTCGCTATTCCTGACCCTATTGAACGCACGTTCAAAGGAAATAATTCTGACTGTTGCCATGGCACGTTTCCGATGCCAAAGGCATACGCGGCAGTGAAGATGGTCAAGCAGATGAGGATGATCACAGGGTAGGCTGAGCCTGTCTCCTGCCCAGGCACAGTAGACTGTGGTTCCAAGGATATGTTCAGCGAAGTGAATGCCAAAGCGCACAAGATCAATGCAATCACCATGACCGGCACAGAATAGAGAAGGATGCGTCGTCGACCGATCCTATCGATGAAAACGAATGCGACCAGCGTGAATACAAAGTTCGTTCCAGCTACGGTCAGTGAAGTCAAAGTTGGGGAAGAAAAGGACAATGCCGAGAAGATGATCCCTGAGAAATACATCAGGCTGTTGAAACCACAAAGCTGCTGAAGGGCTTGGAGCATCATGGCGATTGTCAAAGCGCGGCGATTCGCGCCCTCTCCGAACAAAGAGTGAGCTCGCTGGTAGACATCACCGAGCCAACGCGAGGAGCTCTGCTGGTTTTCATTTGGCTCGCTCTGCAGTTTCTCTGCGGCTATTTCGCCCTTGATGCTGTGCATGACCTGCTGAATGATTTGGTCACAGCTGGGGGAGTTGCGATAGATGCGCCTGAGAACATTGACTGCTTTGCGTTCAAGGCCCATTTTCATAAGCCAGCGCGGCGTCTCCGGAAGCAGGAGTATCGTTGCAAATTGGAGAATTGCAGGCGCCGCTCCTAGCCCCACGATCCAGCGCCAACCACCCGGCAATTGAGAGAATCCCCATCCAACAATATAGGCTACGACCTGTCCACCGGTGATGAGAAGAGCCAGAATCACAACCAGCCTTCCTCTGATATGCGAAGGCGCGACTTCCGAGATGTACCTATTCCAGCGGTCAATGGAGCTCAGCACGATGTCGACTTTCCCAGGTTTGGACGATGTCTGTGGTATGGAGACCAAATTGAACATGTCAGACGGGCATTTGAACAAACTTACAGTGGCGTAACTGCGCTGGCGCTACCAACAGCTAAGCCAACCACACTGCGACCCGCGATCATCCCCCATACTTGGCTGCTGGAAGCTTGCAATATCGCTCCCAAAGCAAAAAGCACATCGGCATAGAGGATGATGCGTCGTCTACCATACTTGTCTGCTAGAACGCCAGTGAATGGACATGCGATAAGAGCAAACAAGCTTGTGCAAGATGTGATCAAGCTCTCGTCCAGTGTTGTCAACGGACGACCTGAAAGATCTGACCCGACTGTGACAAGCGTGGACGATATAACCCCGGTGCTGCGCGATTGGATAAACGTAAGTCGCTACAAAAGTACTTGCGCATCAAGAAGTGATCAACTAACTCATAGCCAAAGAGTAACCCGCTGAGCCCAGCAGAGAAGGTCAAACTCCATATGAACCATCCGCCCAAGTATTGCAGTTCCGATGCGGCGTGCCCGTCATCGCTCGGGGCCGCCGCGGAATCACCCTGTCGAAATGCGTTGCTCTCCGCCAGAAGAGGCGCATCTGGCCCTGAGCTTTCATTCTCATCATGCAACGCCATGCTGGAGATTGCAAGTACAGATTCTCCATTTATTGGACCGCCGAATTCGAGACTGTGACTCTCGCAGACCCAGGAGATTGCGGGATCAACAGTAAATGACTGGGGTGGATCGGCTTCCGCAAATGGGTAGCTGATGGTGGAACCGCAGTGGACTGGTATCACGGGATCCACTTGATAACGGGACATTTGAGTCTATCATGCATGTCTCAAGTTCATGTCAACTGTGCAGCACGAGGACACTGCACGAGAGATACATCTCCATCGAATTCAACCTGCTGTGCGTTCGGTATCTATCGCTCAAAAGTGAAGATGCTCAGGCTTCGCTCCATGGTCTACTGTATCGCCGCTACACGCTAGTGACGCGAGACAATTACATGGGAAGAAGCATCTCTCCATTTGACTGGGGTCCGCGATGAAAACACGGAGCATGGGCGTTAATTTTGCTGTCTACGATTTGGAAAAATCAAAGGGACATAATATGGCTAGAACTCGGGTCATCGGAGCATTCTTAATAAAAAAGACTTATTTTATTCATCATTTACTGAGCTTTGACATAGACAGACCAGCCAGTTTAGTGCTTGGCAACGACGCCAGCTGCATCAGCCTGGGAACTGATCAACTTCTTATATGCCTTGACATCACCATCGAACTTGGTCACAGTGCCGTTATCACAAACCCACAAACTCTTGCAGACATTCTGAAGCATAGTGACATCGTGAGAGACCATCACCACACCACCCTCGAAGCGCTGCAGCGCCTCTGAGAGAGCATCCATACCCTCAATATCCAAGTGGTTGGAAGGCTCATCAAGCACGAGGATGTGAGGGTTGGTAAGGGACAAGCAAGCAAATGCGACACGGGACTTTTGACCACCAGACAAGAGCTCCATACGCTGGAGACCGGTCATACCGGTGATACCGAAGGCACCCAAGTGACGACGATATTCTTCGTCGCTCTTGCCGGGGTAAGTCTTGGCCATGAAGCTAACAGCGCTGGTGGTCAGATCAAGGGCATCCACGTGATGCTGCGCGAAGAATCCGATGCGCAGCCGCGAATGTGTTGAAATGAGACCCTTGGTGGGTGCGAGTTGATTCGTGAGTAGTTTCAACACTGTAGTCTTACCAGCACCGTTGGGTCCGACAATACCAATTCGAGAATCCAGTTGAACGTCGAGGTCGACGTCTCTGAGAAGAGGTTTATCGGGAGTGTAGCCGAATGAGACATCGGACATTTGGACGATGGGTGGTGAAAGCTTCTCCACTTCGGGGAACTGGAAGTGGACAACGTATTCGGCCTCTGGGGCTTCGAGAACTGGCATACGTTCGAGCTTCTTGATACGAGATTGAGCCTCGGAAGATTTGGCCGCATTGTAACGGAACTTGTCGATGAAGGCTGTACCGGGATTATATTAGAAGAGCGAGCTTGAGAATGCATTGACGGGTCGCAAACAAACCTTGAAGATGAGCACGTTCCGCCATTTGCTTCTCATATTCACGCTTGGCCATCTTTCTGCGCTCCTCCTTGGTGGCGTAGAATGATTCTGCAGGACGAAAATGATTCTGATTTAGTGTGGGTCATCTTGTGATGGAGTATCGAGGACCGGCTTACCAAAGTTAGCACCCTTGTAGTAGTCCAATCGTTCAGAGTGCTGGTGAATGATATCTGTGGCAACCTCGTTCAAGAATGCACGATCGTGAGAGACTACAAGGACCGTGCTGGGATATCCTTGCAGATAGTTTGCCAGGAAAGTGATGGACGGAACGTCCAACATGTTTGACGGTTCTGCGATCGAGTTAGCATCATGCACCTGATTATCATGTCGCACCTTGAGTTGAAATACGAACCGTCGAGAAGTAGCAAGTCAGGTTCGCAGAACAGCGCACGGGCCAAAGCAAGACGCATTCGCCAACCACCGGAGAATGTTCTCGTGGCATACTGCTGACGCTCGGGAGAGAAACCGAGACCCGCCAAAATAGAAGCAGCTCGAGACTCAGCCTTGTCAGACTCCATCTCAGAGAGCTTCGAGTGAATGTCCGACAAAGTGATATCCAGACCCTCTCTCTCCTGATCTAGTCGGGCTGCGTCTTGAGATGTGTCGGCCATTTGTGACCGCTCCTCTTCAATGGCACCCAGTTGCTTGGTGATTTTCTTCGACGAAGCTTCGTTAGCACAGACACAGCCTTCGGGGCGATCCAAGAGTCCTTACCTCTTGCTCTGCAAGCAGATGCTTGCGCCAGACGTCGGCATCCAGGACGGCCTGGATAGCTGGTGTGTCGTCGCCCATGATCTGTGAGAACCGTGATCAGTCCGTGAGTTTTTTTGTAGGCACCGGTTTCTGGAGCCTTACCTCTTGCTCGACGTGAAGAATCGAGATATGACTTGGAATGGCGACCTCACGGCGACTCAAAGCCCGCAGCAAAGTAGATTTACCAATACCGTTCTGACCGACAAGACCGTAGCGCCGTCCATAGGCAAGCGTCAGCTGGGCGTCTGTCAGGATACGCTGTCCGCTGATCGAAATATCGATGTTGTCCAACTTGATATCCTTGCTCTTGGATTGCGAGTCCGAGCCCAGCTGAAGCGGGTTGACCGCCATGAAGAACTCTTCGTAGGACATCGTCTCGTCCGGTTGATTGAGCAGCCGGGATGCCTCGTACTGAACGGTCTTCATCTGCTTCTTCTCCTGTTTGGCCCGAATCTTTCGTTCGGCCTTCTCAAGCTTCTTCTTATCCACACGCGATTCGACCTTCCGAGCATTGGCCGATTCCAAATCCACGGTTGTGCCGCTCAAACCCAGAGTGGACGACATGTTTCGCTGAGAGCCCACATTGATCGTCTGGTCCAGTCGCTTGGCCGTCATGGGCATTTGTCGTTTTTCAGAGTCGGCGCCATTAGCAGAGCTCAACGAGGAGATGAATTTCTCCACCAGGCTGCTGATCGCATCGCGGTTCTTAGTGGAAAAGTCTCCGGACGCAGAGACCAGCAGCTCCGTCACGGTCTCGGCAGCTTCTGAGAGGGGAGACTGGGTGTTCGCATCTTCGACGTAAAGGTTTGAGGCATGAGTGAGGTATCCCTGTGAAGAATATTAGCTGTTGTCATGGAAGCTCGCGACGGCATAAAATTACGCACCACCGAGTATTCGGTAATGACACGGTCCAGACCGGGGATCTTTGACTGGAGTTCAGCCTCCATCTTGAATGGGTGATCAACGTTTCCCTTCGGTCGTCGGACGATATCTTAGAGCTAGCGATCTGGTCTTCGATTCCAGAGGCCTGCAATGACGTTTTTTAGGTCCGGGGTATATCAGCTCCAAAACGTTACCCAGGAGGGGTGGTTTTTGATGATCTTATCGATAATGTCACATGATGGCGATAGATGTCCGCCCGCCGTCGCCACGGTCATGCCGCGCCACTGGGTTAAGCTGGACCTCGAATTCGGATCGTCACAATACATCGGTGTCGATTAGATTGCCATCATATTATCATCTACTTTCCAGACGTCTATATCGCGAGGAGTCTGCTCAATCCCAGAAAGGCTACCGATGAAGAAAATGGAGACTCGGTGAACAGGCATGCCCGAGGCATTCCTACATCCCGGAACTTATCTGCAGGACATTCCGTCAAACTTGGCTACAGGTTTTCGATCCCTGTTTGCAGGACTCGGAGTGTGAGTAATTCCTGCTAAAAAATAAGCTAGTAGGCTGCTGCGATTCAATGCGCAGAAAATTCTTATTTGGCCGTGCTTTTTCGTATATGTTGTGTCTCCTTGGAAGACAAGCAGTCTTCCGTGTACCTGCGCCGATAATACAGCGAAATATGCCTGGAAAAGTCACACAATTCTATGAGACCGACGTGTAGTCTGTTTACGCTGCGAGTTCAGTGGACTGAGTACGACATACTCGCAGCCTTCCGTCCATCTCTAGCCGAGGGGAATTTATCGAATAGTGACGTTGATCTCAGATGCCGCGCCGGGGCTGCGCTGGGATTTGGGACAATTTGTACTACAGGAGCGTAAGAGACAATGTTGTTCGAACAAGTGCAAATTTCCTGATGAATATTAAGAAGGCTGATGGAGATGGATCACAAGAGTTCAGAGTATACGGCGACTGGCCGGTGTCCAAGTTGGACAAATAATCGTCAGCGGCGCAATGCAGTACCTACTTAGCCCCGACGATGTATGAAATAAGGCACTTACTATTATGCGATGACTCCTTCACTGTTTCTAGTCCAGTCTTCTTGACTTGGGAGCTAAGGTTCAGGACCGGCCTGATTTACAAGAGCCATGGAAGTACAGCAAGAGATTCAGTTTGAGTAGAACATACGGGCTTGCTCGCATGGATGTCGCGCTTTCGGCGCCTTTCTTCCTTTTACGAGACTCAACTAAAAGGAGAATGCACCGAGAGTGCTGTTCCGTAGTCTGAGTGAGATGTATCTCACTTGGCTTGTGAGGCGCTGACACCCCAAACACCCTCAACAACAATCTACATTGGCCCTCATGTCTCCGGCCGGGTGTGAGGTATGAACCTGGTAACACCACATGCTAAATGTGTAGTGTGTAGTGTGTAGTTGTGGACAAATGTCCAGTAACAGTAACTATATCTTAGCACCCGCCCGCGGCCGGAGAAGCCACACGGACTTTCGCCAACTACTGAGCGTCACCTAACTTGGTCACTACGAAGCTACCTCGAGTAATTCTAAGCATAGAATCAGGCCGCGCCGATGAGTTATCACTAGCGACCTCGATAGAGTTGTCCCCCTTAAAGTGACCATGCAACAATAAATAGAGATCTTCATTGGCAACCTCAGAAGCCTTGTCCCTAGACTCATTTCGGTACTCAGGTTAGGTACATATCTGCCCGCCCACCTGACGGAGGCCTTGCATCAGTTGGGTGGTTTCAGACACCCCTTTCCACCCTTGGGACCATTACCCACGATGGCTGCTGGACCACGGCAACGCATATTACTGACCAGGGGGCTATGAGTATTACTATACTCCGTATAGTGATGCACTATGCAGAGCTGAGGGGCCGCTATAGACACGTACCGCCATTTCGAGTCTAGGAGGGACGGGAGCTCAGAGGCTCTCTTGGTGGTGCAGGTGGTTCTTCGAGTCAATGGAAGCGAGGGGAGCCATATTGACGTGGTTTGTGGCGTTTTGCGAAATGAGTTCATCAGCTGGAAACAGGTCCGTGGTCCTGGGATTGTTGCGTGCTAGCGTGGCCTTGCAGTACAGTAGTAATGGTAACTAGAATCTGCGGGAGGTGAGAGGTGCGGTTTAGTTTGGTTCGCGCTAATTGACTTTGGTGGAAGTTGGGTGTGGTTCTATAGATTGACCTCAAGAGATGAACCCTTGCTTGGACTATGCTAGGAAATGCCTGGGTGAGATTTGAAATTGCGGCGCAGGGGATGGGTGTGTTGTGGACGATGTATAGTACTGTAGATGATTGTGTTCAGTTGTCTACCTCGTTGTTCATCAGGGGGTTGCGGTCGAGACTCGGCTCTCTAGAGACTGATCATCAGGATGGGATCTTGGGAGATGGGACAGAGGCATCTCGATGATGAAAGTCTATGCGGATCAAGGGTTCAAGTGACGCAGTTACGGTCGCGCAGATAAGATAATCGGGTGCTTATAGCCTGTGGTTGGGTCCAGTACACAGTTACATGCAACATGCTGTGCATACCTATCTGCATGGTCCTACAAATAGGATGAATATTCAACCTACCGTCGCTAGACCCCTGCTAAATGCCAATGTGTTGTCACTGAGGCTTCAACTCCAGGGCGCAATAGTTTCCAATTATGGTTGCAGCAAGCTTGCAGCCCAATCAACAGACTGAACGGACTCTTCAATTACCGGGTGTGCTGGCAGATCGAGGTTCGGCGCCTAGGTATTCCCGGCTTGAGGTACAGTAAGGTACCTGGTCACTGCGGTGACTAATACTCGAGGGGCATCGTATAACTATTAAGCTTGTAGAGTATAGGATAGCTTGTAGAGCATAGGATAGCTTGTAGAGCATAGGATAGCTTGTAGAGCATAGCCTGCAAAGTCCAGCGTCAAGGTTTGTCAGGAGAGCTTCCAGTTCCCAATGGATCGAGTCGAATCGAGTTCATGCCGACGGGACACGATCACGAGATCGGTAAGTAGAACCGAGCTCTGCCGCATTCCCATGTGAGACCCACGCGGGAAAAATCGTCAATTCCGTTTGCCCAGAAGTGGAGAGGGATGACGATATATCTCAGCAGGGGCGGTTGGGAGCTTCCTGCAGTCTGCACTTGGAGATTCCAGGTCCCCGGCGGCAGAGCTTTCTCCGCTCAGTCCATGTTGATGGGCGGTGCTATGCTGCTAGCCGGCAACGACTGCTAATCGAGTACGATCTCAGATGTATTGTAGAGGGTAGAGTGGGTTTGCGATGATCAGCATCGGCCAAATTGGGGCTCTGATGGATATTGTGCAGTGTGCAGTGTGAACTTGTGAAGACTTTTCACCCTTTCTCCCAGCCTCGCTCGGGCAACGGGGCTACAAGTTCTAGAAGGTGTGGGTGATCCTTCAGGTTCTTCAGGACGTGGGTTTACTGTTCAGTGTCTTAGCAGTGGAGCTTGTCTAAATTCAAGTCCATGGACATTTGGAAACATTAAGTTGATCCAGCATCAACAATTGGTATGACATCGAGACTGTGGTTCACCGGTTCCGACCTTGAAATGAAGTACGGCAAACGTGAGGTTATCATCTCACGTACCATGGAACGTCTTACCGCCCGATAGCTGTGAGCTTCAGTATACCAGGCCCGGTTGAAATCAGGAACAGGTTCATTATTACACTGTGTCATCATGAGACCCGAAAATTGGATCGAGTGGATGTGATGATCCTTCTGGAAGCTCCGGATGTCGACAACTCAACACTGACCACATTGATCAGAGATTTCATCAAGCAGCAGCCAAGTCATGGTCAATCATGGTCATGGACCCGAAACCTCTGTTGTTGATGCGAATCTCGGTCGGACGTGGTACTGGACATTCGGTCTCGGGAGGAGTATGTACACTATGTACCTGACTGTATCTGATTGTATGGCCTCGAATTCATGTGAGGCCGCCGAGTCCACAGTCTTGCAGATCACTAGAATTAGCGGTGACGGTCGTCGCCATACTTACGTGGTGTCGTGACTGTAGACTCGTGACCACCGACTGCAGTCCAAAGTGTGAGGTTGAGAAACTCTGTTCTTGTGTTTTGTCGGCCCGTGGATTTCTCTGGGCGACAATGTTTCATATCAGCACAGACACATCCAGATGTTCATGTTCCGCAGGCTGCACTGCAACCTGCTCACCAGCCGAGTCTGACCCCACCGGTGACCAGACCGGACAGACAAACGTTTCTGGACGGGTGTTGACTCCAACGGAAGTCAGTCTCACTGCTTCCTGTCAGTGATCCGCTATCCGTCAAAACTCAGCAGTCAACCACGGTAGATCAAGATTTACGGACCCGGAACTTCTATCGGCCAGTCCATCTTTGATCCATGACTGGTCCAGCGCTCAACCAGTCAAGGTGCAGCATCGTCTTGTCATGCAGCTCATGCCGCGTGCCCGCATGGCCAACTGGCCAACAGGCTGCCAAATGGAGCGACTGGTCGACGACCGAAGCCAAGCAGGAAACCCCGACAGCGACCACTCCAGTCGACTCCCCCCCCCCCCCCCCCGTCCAGAGTCCAGAGTCCACCGTCCACGCCTTCACAAGTTCCCAGTCCACTTGCTTTCCGGTGGACATTTCCCACCTGTTTCAGCGACTCCGCAGTAGCAATGACTGCTCCATCAGAGAGGCTCGGGAGAGCTGCTGGTCCAATCACTAGGGGTCGCAGAACTGGACCTGAGATCGGCCATGAGAACCCATCATCACCCCCAAAGGGGGGTCCCTGCGATCGACTACGCTAAGCTGATCCGTCTTAGTCAAGGACTAGACCGACGGACTCTCGGAGGCTAACACTGAAAGAGAGAGAGAGAGAGGGTCAGCACAACAGCGTGAACAGATCAGTAGGACTAGGAATAGCCAGGTAGCAACGCAAGCAGGAGAGAGAGAGAGAGAGAGAGAGAGAGAGACGCGGCCCAAATCAGTTAACCGACAAGATAGCGCGATCTCAGCCAGCCGAGACAACGATGTGTGGGGAATTTCTGGGTCGCATGGGTCCTTGAACCTGCTCTTGCTGGATCTCCCATCTCCGTCGTGGAGACTCGTGCGGCTTTTTATCCCATTTTCCTTGAACTGCTCATGCTTCGGGCTCGGTCATCCTACGAACCTCCTACAGGGTCCATGTGTGGTAGATTCTGGTCATGGCACTGACCTCAACCAGCAAGAGGGATCCGTGGCAAATTTCCAGTCTCTTGGGTTTCTTTTCTTCGGACTTGTCCGTTCACAGAGGAGAGAGAGCGGGGATCCATAACCATTTCGAGTAGCTGGACAATGGGGAAGTATACCATGTCATGAAGCACAGGATCCGATACAGTAGAACTAGACACTAGACACGATGAACCATCTGTCTGTTCTGCACTGTACAATTGTACTTGCACTACAGTCAGACCCTTAGGTACCTACTATTGAAGTAGGAGAGTACTAGTACTCTAGTACTCTAGTACTCTAGTAGTCAGGAGGTAGTCACACTGCCGCAGGACATCCTGGTCTCCGCGCTGAATGTCCACCTGGGCAAAGACGGCAGTGACATCCCGCTTGTCGTCGACTGGAGCATCTGGGTCGCCATGATCGCATAGCTGGATGCAAATGTCATGATTATGCTATACACTCAGATCCCACCGCAATTGACTCTACTCACCCGACTCTCCTCTAATTTTTGTGTTTCCCCCCCTCTCTCTTATCTCATTCCCCTATCCTCATTCGGATCAGGTGTCAACTAGAATTACCATCTCGACCAAAGCCAAGATTGGTCGGTTGATAGAACAACACGAGCACCTGCGGGGGTTGCTTTGGCTCAGAAGCTGCAAATGCAAGCTGCATGCTGCAAGGGATGAAACGGGGGGGCAGTGGGCGAAGGGTGTCACCGGTACCTGTAGATTGCAGTGATCATTTTCAATCGTGGCGTGAGGTTGGTCAGATTAATTGTCCGGCAGGGATTGTGCATCTGTGCCTGTTGAGTGTTTACTCATTGATGTTTATGGACTCGGTTGAGATTCTGAATATACAGACGTGGGCCAGAGGATAGCAGCGATCACGACTTACGGAAGGGGAGAACGTGATGCAGCGGGGAAATTGATCACGTTCCATCATCTCAGGTATGAGGTCGGGACTCGGAGTATACACGATTCTGATAGTACCCTTTCCAATGGTCTCTACAACAACATACAAGAAACCTTCATGATTGAAAAAATTGCGGCGGATATCAAGGAGCACAGACTGCTGATAGGAGCTCGATCTATTGATTGACAATTTGACACCGTCACCTCCATTGCCGGCGTCACCTTCTAGACTCACCTTTTAGAATTGCCCGGTGTTCCCCCCTACCGTCAACGAATGCCCTTCGGTGATGATTATCACCTCCTTCCGACACCCTTCACCCTCTCTTCTACCCATCTTTCCATCTTTCGCCAACGACCACAGGTATCCTTGCGGCTCATTTCAAGCCATTGCGGGGAATCATCTCTCTTGTCATTGAGAGTGGCCGAGTATTGATTTTCCTCCTCGCATTCAAGCCCCTCTCGAGTCCTCCTCTGCGCTGCTCCTCCCGAAAAGACTCCAGATCCAGCCCCAAGTTTAATCAATTTAGCGTTGCAGAGTCCCCGACTCGCCCTGTTATTGTTGTCTCCAAGATCTCCACTTCTGTGCCACTTCTCTCCCCCCCCCCCCCCCCCCCTCTCTTGCCTCTTAGGCGCTTTCTCGCCTCTCCAAATCGTCATCGATTCTCTCCCTTCCATCGGCCCTGGGAGGAATCCAAACCGATCAAGGAATCACCGGCGGAAAAAGGGTTTTATCACTCTTTGACCCTCATTCTTGGCCGAATTCTATTTCGGAGCAGGTTGACACCTCGACTGCGGACCTCTACAGATTCCGGGCAAGCGGCTACCACACAACAAAGATCTAAGCAAGCAACCTTGAAAAAACCAAAAAAAAAAACCCAAAAACAAGACAAAGAATAGCCAAGCGATCTCGGTGGAAGCTCACTGTCTCGGTATTATCTGGGTGGCAGAGAGCTTCTCCGATTGCAGACAAAGCTGTTGTGCTGCTCTTGATCTTCAACCCCAGTCGGCAATCCATCGCTTGTCTCCTCTAAATCTTCCCGTTTCACTCCCTCCGACCTTCATTTCGTTCGTTCTCCAAGGCGCACCCCCTCCGTTACGGTGCACTCCGACCGAGTCTCAGCCGCAGCTTTCAGCCGCAGCCGAAGCAGACTCGTGCTCTTTCCAAATGGGATGTCCTTCACTATCAACTTCAACCCTGCGGAGCTGAGTTGGAGGGTGCTTGCGACGCTCCAAAGCATCCTCTAGGTCCACGGAATGGACCACATATCCACGGTAGGTGTTCCTGATGGCGACCCAGACTTTGAAGCTGGCTCCCACACCCCCACACCTTCCACTCAAATGGCACAAGTCACAAGTCGGAGGAAAGCTGGCTGTCGGACCAAACTGACAATGAGAAACCAGCTCTGTGCCCTTAGCACAGTAGGAATCGCTCCTTCCGGCCTCGCGCTCGGTCGCGTCGAACGAACCAAGTCGGGCCTCTTTCGCCGCAAAACATTCTCTTACAATCACGCTGCCCTTCCTTCAGAATCTTTACCCACGTCCACCCCGACCCGGCCGAAGACCTCACGATCCAACCGTCCGGTGACCGCCGCCTCCGACTGGTCGCATTTCGCAGCGCAAGTGTCGGAGAAGCTGGATGGCTTCCCGCCAGATGGATTGCCAGGCCCAGACCTGCCCAGGGCGTCCATGTCCTTCAGCGCCGCCAGGCGACGTCGGCGCGGGCAAACCATGAGCAATCCACCTTTACGAATCCCCGAAGAAACCTCTGCCGAATCATCACTGACCCGAGAATCTCACCATCGCCGGCCCTCGTCGAGTTGGCTGCGACGCCTGTCGCTGGCGTCCTTTCAAACGGAAACGCCGTCCACCACAAGTCCCGTCACCCCCTCCTTCAATGGGTCGGCCAGTCCAATCCTCCCACGTCCTTCCAGTTCACGCCGAATGCCCAATAAGCTTGTCAAGCGCTCGTCCTCGCAACATTCTAATGCTAATCCCCTCTTTGTGAATACCCCGGTGTCACCGGCGTCAGCCCTTCGCAGGCCAGCCACAAGCCATCAACGATCCGAGTCTCAGCGGCTGCAGTCGCCTCTCGCAGTCGACTTTGCGTCTCGATTCCCTCAGAGTTCACTCGTCGACGACCTGGAAGCCGAGGACTTTGACGTACACCAGCAATCCGACTGGAAGCCTTACTTGGTGCCACGGACGGAGGAAGTGTCTGACAAGACGGCGCGCAGATTATCCACGGCAGCCAGTCCACGGTCCGCAGGTGTGCGGCGGATCGCTTTTGATACTGATGCGCTTCCAGCTTTGGTACTGGCTTCCACGCTCACGTCGGAATCGTCGCCGCCTCCACAGGAGTATCAATCAGTAATGCCGGCTCCAGTGTTTCGAAATCCATTTGGCGCTGAATTGACCACTGTGATCAGTCACGCAGAGGATAATATCACCCCCCTCCTTCTTCTGCCGGTCCCTTGCATGCCTCAATTCCCGCGACTTGTCGGGTCAATACATCGCCGCAGACATCCCCTCCGGATAGCAAAGAAGCGGCGCGCAAGCCCCCGCCCCTGGTGAAAGAAGCGGATTCGAGAAGGGTCATTGTGAACACGGTCACAGCGTCCGGGACACCCATTCCTGGCCGGTCTCGGGCTGGTTCCTTGAAAAGGGTCAAGGGGAGAACGTTTTCGATCCCTCGAACGGAGATGCTGAAGCTGCGAAGTATGGTGCCCAGCCCGCCACAGGCACCGTCACGCCGTAATATCACCGATCCCTCTGTCTTTCGCCGCCCATATCCACTGTCGCCCCCACCGCTGGCCGTGCCTGTGTTTGGTCGTGATCCGTTGATGGCCCAGCGTTCCGTCTCGTACGATTACAACGTTGGCATGCGCACGCAACGTTCTCTCACGTCGGATGCAGTCGCTGTGTCGGCGTGGCAGCATTCGACGCGTCCAGATAGCTACACTTACAGTTCCCTTCGTCGCCTGGAGAATCGGCATTCCATCGCCGCGTCAGTGCCTTCGTCAACCGTCATCGGATCAGACGATACGCGTATCTTCACTTCCAGTGATGAATGCGAGACCGATACCATGACGGATTATTGGGATTCGATCCAGACCCGGGGCACAGGTCGCGGAGGACTCAAAGGGCTCCATATCGAGTCGTTGTTTGACAAGGAAGGAGCGCGGCTCACGAACGAGGAAGTCGCGACTCTCGAGGATCTTCTGCCAAATGGCTCGTTTGCCTCTCGGTTGTACCCAGATACCCCTCTCTTCCCCAACTCGCTTGTTCCTGCCGTGGCTCAGGTGCATCTCAATGATGACTCTTGGGTGTCCGATGCCGGAACGGAGAATGCAAGCATGATCGGGGCCCTTCCTGGTGAGCCCAATGGACCTCCCCTACTGTCTCGTCGATACGGTAGTCGGGGGTTATCCGGGCACAATCCCTCTCAATTCATGCTTTCCGAACCAGACCCTGGATCCCCCGTGGCCGAGTCATTCACGAGTCAAAAAATGAATATCTTTGACTGGTCTGAGCAAGGTCGCCTCGACCGTGATTCAGCTGACACGGAAGCGCGCCCGCGGACTATGCAGGGTAAGCAAAGTGCCGTCAACCGGGGCAGTCGTGCAGCCTGTCGAAAGGTCCCCTCTTCGATCCATCTTCGCAGCCAGAGCGTGCCGGTGGCCCGGGAGCTACCCGTAAGTGAATCTCGGCAGCCTTCTGGCAAGTTCGGCACATGGGGCTTAGGGTCCAAGGGTGTCAGTGAGGACTGGGACAGCGACTTTGAGTTTGAAGACGGTGAAGAGCCCACGGCGAGTAACGACTCCCAGAGCACCGAGCCCGAGACATCCACCCAGGGCATGATGGTGCCCAAGGCCATTCTGGAGCGCCAGGCCAGTCTGCGTGGTCAGTTTGGTCAAGTGCAAGAACTCACATTGCTTGTGGAGGAGTTGAAGCGACTCCGTCATCAAGCGAGCGGTCTGAATATTCTGTCGGGCTCGTCGAGTGAATTGTGGCAGGAGGCAGAGGGCATTGTCAACCTCGCGACGATAGACGACGAGGACGAACAACATTCCCCACCTGGATCGCCCTCTTCACTGACATTCAGTTTCGATGATTCTGAGTATGACGGTAATCGCACCCATTCCAAACGAACGAGTGACAATTCCTGGCCAGAAGACCATGATCAACCGGGCACTCGGGCGCAAACCACCCCATCCAAGCAGCGCCACGACAGTCATCCAGATGATTCCTGGCAACTTGGTGCTCCCTATGGCGCTCAAGCCGACGAATCGACACCATCATATCTTGTTAAAAATTCCCCACGATCCAAGTCTGTTCTTGACATTCTCTCAGCCACCCGCCAAAGTAACGACGATTCTTTGGCGCCGTCCCCGCGCACGCAAAAACTTCCTTTTGATACCCAATCTCTTCGCGACCTTGTAATTCGGGCCGGAGTTGTCACACGCGCTTTGAAAGATGTTATTCGCAAAGCCGAAGGTGTCGACTCGAGTCCACCAACCGACTTCCCGGCCGACCCTCCCTTTAGAAGAATATTCGATCAACCTTCTCATGATGACCTCGCCGATTTCGAACTTGCCTTGGCGGAGATGCAATGAACAAACACAAAGCGCGTTTTCGATTCATGTCCAAAGAAAAAACCAGTTGTACCTTTGAACGGTCTACGAACGATCATCTCCCACTTTGTCGACCACTCCGACATTCTCCATTTCATCACGACCCGCCCATACGATGTTTCCATAATAAACTCCACATCAAATAGGACTCTGCTTCATTGAATCTCCTTCTCCATCCGTGTCAACCTCATCATCGAGAATCCGCCGTTCTCGCATCGCTTTCGAACTCGCATCCATTGGGGGATAGCAAACAACCTCTTTTTTTGGGGGGGGTTTTTTACTTGCCCCCGCATTCCGGTGTGGAAAACAAAAAGCTCCCTGCATTTGTCTTCGTGCGGTTCTTGTTCGTGTACAATTTTTTTTTTCTTTCGCCCCATGCTCTCCCTGTTTTTCTCCGTCGCCATTTTGTCCACATGGATTTGTACGAGCACAATCTGGGAGGTTCACGTCTTTTTGTTTATCTTATCATTTCTATTTTCACCTCTTCACCTTATCCGTCTTATCTCTTGATCCCTTCCTCTTCCATTCGCTCCTTTCAACTTTCTTTTTCTTTCCTTTTCTTATTATTCCCCCCTACGCTCTTACACTGCATATATTTGCGCTTATCCATATCCAATAATGGCGCCTGTAATAGTTTGTGGAAGATCACGGAGAAACCAACCAGTGGAGAAGGGCATCAGAGGTTGAGCTGTTTAAATCTCGAGAAACTCCTGTCGAGTTGACAGCTGGCCCAAGGGATCTCTCTCCAGACGAAGAGCAATGAGTCTCAATATGATGCATACTCAGTGGAACTGGGGCCGAAACCAGTGCCCCTTGACCGAAATGAACAACTTCTCAAGTAAGGGTGGCTGTAGCTACGAGGAAAGAAACAGATAGCAGGAGTAGGTATCGTACCTTAGAATCTACAGTGTAGCCCTACACTCGTAAACAATCGAGATGGAGACGGCATGCTTCCATGAATGTGCTCCCCCGTTCCATCCCGTTACGTCCCTCCGCCGCCTGGATGACCCTAAACGGGCCAAGGTATGCGTCATTGTGTATTCCTACCACATGAACCACCCCCGACGTACGCACTTAGAATCCCAGCTCTTTGACCAAAGCAGATATATACCCTGTGATCCTATGGCTAGAGCTCGAGGAACCTGGTCTTTGTAAGAGTACATATCCGATTTCGAAACCGATATGTCAGAAGTAGACATTAGATATAGTGCCTAGTACCTAGTACCTTACCTACTACCTACTACTAGTAGAACCAAGTACATGTAGTTCAGGGCATAGTTCAAGCCCAAGGACTACGGCCGGTATAATTCAACGTTCCCGGTTGTAGCTGCTTTTCCGTACGTGCGTACTAGGTAGGGTGTAGGTACTAGATAGGGAAATAATGTAAATACATAGGGTACGGAGAAGCATTGATCAGAGTAGCTAGGTAGGTGTCTATATTGCTTTCAAGTGAGCATGCTTGATTGGTTTTGGATGGTCTTGTCTGGCAATCAATGGATGGATGGATGATTTCTTACGAATTGGAGATCTGATAGATGGAGGTGTTGATGGCGTGCTTAGAGGTATGAGCGGTGGTAATTGGTTCGCTTGCGAAAGGGGTCCGTATTGAATAGGCGGTTCGGATGGGGTATCTCGATGGGAATACATGTACAACACTTGAGGTGATATGTCTGCAATCATGAAAGGAGAAACATGATGATGATGATAATTGGAAAATGGGGAATAAGAAAGTTAATAAGCAAGAAGTCGACAAATGTGAAGCCAAGCGAGATGATAGTTCAGGGGTATAGCGATGAAGGCGGGGAAAGGATATATAGTAACAAGAGTCGTGAATCATGAGTGTCCCTTTCTTCTTCGGTCTGTGGGGGGGTCGTCTTCTTCTTCTTCTTCTTCTTCTTCTTCTTCTTCTTCTTCTTCTTCTTCTTTTTCTTCTTCTTCTTCTTCTTCTTCTTTCCCCCTCTCTCTCTCTCTTTTTTTCAGTAACGAATCCTTGTGTCAGTCGGCGAATACTCTGTTTCAAGCATCACATTTCGTGGTCTCGGTATCTAGGGCCAAATGCACAGTGGCAAATTTGCTCTTGGAGCGGATCTTGTTCCCGTAGATGTAGATGATGATTGGAAGGGGAATCATGAGTACGGCGATGCAGCCTAGTAGAGTGCTTGCCCAGTTGACGCCGAGGGATTTGAACTATGACAGCAAAGGGAGAAGGTCAGCGTGAGGTTCCTCACAAACTGGAGAGGTGGAGGAGACCAGCGGCCGAGAGTCGGCGCCAGAGGGTTTGAGACATACCATTGCAGGGGCGAAAAGAGGAAATCCTGCACCGGCGGAGGAGCGGAGAATACTGTTTGCTGCGAGGGCTGAAGCGGCACTATCAGGAGGCGAAGCATTGGTTAGTGGGTGACTGACTCGAAGCCATGAATGTCTCCTTGAGAGAGAACCTAAATCAAACCCTATATAAGAAAGCGGGTGCTACTCACAAGGATGTATAAGCGTCGATGATATAGTTGAAGGCACCCAGGAAGATGCAGAAAAGACCAAATCCGATCAACAAGCCAGACGCCGTGGGAATAGCCCAGTGGATCTGCGCCTTCCAGCCAGACCAACCGAACCAGAACAGTCCCGCCGCAAAGGCGACACTGCCAACAATGGCCGGGGGCATGCGCCATTCCGGAATGGGAACTCCATGATTCGCGTCAAGCTTGCGGTTGTACGATGGCTGCGTGAGGATGATGTAGAGACCTCCGCAGATTTCGCCAACCACCAGCCCCCAGTAGGGGAGGCCAGCCACGCCGGGGGCAAAGCCATGCACGTTTTGGAAGACGATCGGATACGCAGTGAGGAAGAGGTAGAGAAGACCATAGAGGAAAGCCATGTAGATGCTCAGGAAGAGGACGATGGGTTCGAGGAAAAGCAGCTTGATGGGGCGAAGAAGGTTCTTCTGGACAAGCTCGCGGTAGTCGACCTCAATTTCTTCCTGTTTGGCATGAATCCCCCAGTTTGAGGTGCGACGACGCAGCTCGGCAGCCTTGTGCACGAGGATGATGGGTGGATAGGTCTCGTGGAGCAGGACGAGATCGATCACGAGGGCTGAAGCCCCCATGATTCCGGTGAGGTACTCAGTCCATCGCCATCCGAGACCCTGGACAATGAATCCGCCGACGGTGGATGCGATCAGAGGACCGGTGAAGACGGTCATGGCAAAGACGACGATGGCGAGACCGCGGACACGGTTGTTGTACATGTCGGCGAGGACGGCGGCGACCACGGCCAGCGGGCATGCACCGAAGAACCCACCAAAGAAGCGGCACAACATGATGGTCTGCACATTCTCGGCCGTGGCGACGGCGAACTGGAAAATGGTGAACCCGAACATGGACAGCAATAGCGGTGGTCGACGACCTTTTAATTCCGAAAAGGGCGCCCAGAAGATCGGACCCATGGCGAAACCGAGGACATAGAGTGAGAGACCTAGCGTGCTGACCTCGCTGGAGATGTGGAATTGATGAGATACGGTGCTGATGGCGGCCGAGTAGATACTGCTCGTGAAGGTCGAGTTGAGCGTAGTCCATGAGAGAATGCACGCGGTGAGAAGTTTCTTTTTGGTCGGCCAGTTCTGCGGGTGCAAGGGATCTTCCAGACCGGCGAATTCAACGACATATTCCTCCTTGTCCGGGAGAGGCGGAGGATAGGGCTTGCCAGCGCCGAAATCAGGGAGAGGACCGGCCTCTTCCCTGGTTCTTCTGCTGCTTGCACCGACAGTGGCATTGTGTTGACTTCTCTGGGTGGCGATCCGTTCTAGAGCCTCGGGATTGAGTTCGGCGCCAATGACCCGGTGAGAATGGGACGTTGGGACCTGCGAGAGATATTCAAACTCATCTCTTGATGAAAGATATGATGCTGATGAGACTGCTGTCGTGGATACGGAATTGGAGCGTTCATGAGCGTTGTGGGAGGGAGATGAAGGGGAGGTAGTGGCGGTGGTGGTGGTGATGTTAGGGCTAAAGCCTTTTTCGGTTTCCCATTTGGAGTCCATACTGGCTATGCGCCAACTGATCTCGACTATCGAGACGCCTGCGACTTGACCTCGACGTTTCTGCAGAAAGAGGACAGAAGGATTGTGTGCTTCTACCGTTCAGTAGAAGTGGGCATCCCTCGTCGTTTATAATGAATATGCTTGTTCTTTTGTTTTGTTTTTTTTTTCCGCATTTCCATTTTCCACCCTACTGAATATGATTTAGGCCTTGGAATCTTGTCGCGTTTCCACTCCTATCTTTTTTTTTTTCTTTCAACGTGGGCCATCTTCGGTTTGGCGTGGGTGTCAGGCTGAGCTATCAGTCCGAGCGGCCCTATATGGAGACCAACTTGATATCTTTTGTCACACGATGGATCTAGAGCCTCGGATTGCGTCGGTCGAACAGCGTGGGCCCTCTTTCCTCGTGCCAAAGTGGTCCAGTCCGAGTGGTGCTGGTGGGCTCGTCGCGGGATCCGCTGCCACGAGAAGACCCTTTATCCGTGGGCCATCCGCCACCCACGACGGATTGTCATGGATCCATCATCCATCGTGGGCACTGGATACTGTGCTCCATGATATTGACTGAGCGGATGGACGTGCCAAACATGGACATACAGAATGCAGGGACAGAGAGAAAAGAAAGATAGGCATGTGAAGTGCTGCTCAACTTACGAAAGAGGAGACTGTCATGAGGCGCATCTTCTTTTCCTTGAGATGCCGACTCCAGGGACTTTGCTCCGGGCCTCTCTCTCTCATGCGTTGCCGATTCTCTCGGTCGGCTAGCCGAGAATCATCCGTTGAACCACGCCCTCTTATCGTGGACGCTGGTTTCTGCATGCCGTGGCTGGCCGAGCTGGATGTCGGAAGAGTCCAGGCAACGGAGCTTTGATATCGCACGTGGACCCACTTGCCAGGAACTCGAAATTTTCGTGGGTTGGGCCACCCTGGGAAAATGGCCGAAAGAAGCACCATGAAGACGGGTATCCTCGGCGTGGCCGTTGCTGGAGCTCGGTTATTAGAGGTGCTTGCGTCATGCCCGGCAAAGCATTAGCGGAGTCCCTCTTGGCCATGGGTAATTGATCCCGTCACTAGCTAAAAGTTCGTTTACCATGGCAAACCGCAACTATGGTTATTGCTTGATGAGAAGCTGGCCGATTCCATGTTCCCGGCTCGGCGGCTGTCAGCGCGCAATGACGCAGTAGATGGATGATCTGCCGTCTTGACGGTGGGATCCATGAAGCTTGCGCCTGGCTGGTTCAAGACGAGTCTAGAAGCTGGAGACGCTCAGACAAGATGATGATGGCCCACGTATGAAGTTCCACAGACGGCCCGAGGTTGGCGTCAAAGGTTGAGCTGACTAGTGACTGGATTCTTCAGCAATATCACATGGCACGTCGACGACACGAGACGTGAGCGACGTGACTTGCATGTGAGGATCGTTGGATTAAAGCCGTCTGCCTACTTCCTGGCCCCCGAACAACAACTTACACGCGATCACGCCACAACATCGCCTTTGGCATGTGCCGCACTATCAGCATATCTCTGTGTTGCTGATTCCAAGCGGGAATGAAATCAGGTACTAATTAAAGGGAATCCGATCCTGAACCAAAGATTCTAGTAGTCGAGCGTTTCCCGTGTACCTCGAATCACTGCAGGTGGGTTCCAATGCGCGCCATAGTTGAGTGGGGGAGACCAAGACGACAATATAAATTGGAGACAGAAGACACTAGATTGGTACATGTAGGTATGTTGCAATCAGGTCTGGACAGATATGTTGATCTCTGTACCTACAAGCTTCATTGTCGTAATGCCTACATCTGCGTCAGTTAGCTTATCGTGACTGGACACGAAGTACACTTCAAGCAGGGTGAGCACGCATCACACCAGGAGCATCAAGTACACATCCATCTCTGACTCGGCAAGTCACATACGGCGCTTAAATAAGCGCCGTGGTTGATCACATGATGGCCACAGTGTGAGTGATGTACAAGTGATTGGACGGGCGTGGGTGGGTATGAGCGTCGAGAAGACATGCTGTAGCTCATGTCACGAGGTTTGCTTTAAGTTATTCCATGTGCACTCATGGTCAGTGCGATTGGCACTCGGATTCGTCGAGACTGTCTTTTGTCATCATCCGTAAAGCGTTAAAACCACAACTGATATCCCGTTCAAGAATCGGGTAACTGTTCGTATGGCATAGGATACTGCCGTCTCACCGCAGTCCATAGCCTAGACAGAATCTCTCCTAGCTAGTCAATCTCACACTCATCCTTCTCTCATTTTGTCATACTGCACCTATTGTGGCCACTCCTAACAGTAACCTCTGCAGTGCTACTGTACATTGTTCATCCATTGAACGGGGGCTAAAATGATTCGTCGGGGGGCCATAACCCCAGTCTCTACAGACTGTGGGCTTGTGGAGTACTCGCTCCCATCAATCAATCCAGTCAGTCCCATCTTGTCTCATCCGAGCCGCCACGATGATTACCATTCGCCCAGTCTTATATGCCATACTTCTTGGCGTTTCTATCTAATAGCGAGGATATACGCGTATGTCGTAAAAGTCCTACAATCTATATAGCAGATCCCTAGTATCACATCCATGTACGACTCGTGTGATTCTTTTCCAGACAGCCTGACTGCGCAACCCCGATTACATCTCACCGTATATCTTCCACCCGACCCGGTACTAGGCTCAACTCAGGCATCCCAGACACACGACTGAAGATTGACCTGAAATTGTGCCTGTTCGACGGACGCACATAAGCACCGCGGACAATCATTTCTCGTCAGAAACCCTACCAGTGTACTTCGGTATGCCTAATCCTAGCTGATCTTCTCCGAACCAAGACCTGGAAGTGTCTCCTCGGTTTAATGCTGAGCTGCGCTGCTGATACTCTGATACCGCAATTCAATTTCTTTCTTCACTCCGGTGCCCTGCCAAGCCCTCCGTTTGAACACGGCGCCGGAGGACGGAACGGAACGGTGGTTGAATCTCGGCTTCTCCTGATATTCCACCGGAATGAAGGGGTGAGGTGGGGACGGGAACATAGAACGTGCTCTCGTCTTGCTCTTGCTTCTTAATAAGTCACTCTGGATCGGGCAGCATACTATGCGCGAGGCTCTTTAGGTACGGTAGGTACCTAAGATGGTTGCACCTGCGGGCAACGGTCGACGATTTGCATTGCAGGACCCAGGGCCGAGGTCATTTTTTCGTGGTTGCTACCTCGTTGTATTCATGTAGTGAAATCTCACCAGGTGCTAGCCTGCTAGGTGTGATTAAGAGAGATCTGTTTACGTCTGGGGTTTTATTGTCATAGCTCAGGTGATATGTTACTCACAATAAGGGGTCGGGTACGACTGTGAATATTTAGTGAACGCTCGAGGACCTGACTCGCGTCGGGTACAATGAACGATTCTCTCCCCAAGGAACGCCCGATTGAGCGGTCAATCTTCACGGAGGGGATAGATACTGCGCTACTGCTACAGTGCTGTGCTCAGGTGCTAGGTATTTGCAGTAGAACCCAGGAGGACTGAATCGTCAGCCCCCATTGAGGTGAAGAATCAAATTCATGCGATCGTGCTGTCTGCTGATCGAGCTTGACCAGATACGCAGTCCACCCCGTTCTCAGGAAGGTGGGAGGGGCGAGGGGCGAGGGGCGACAATCTTGGCCCGTTGAGGTCCGAGTTCTCCTCGCTCAGTCTGGGCCCGAGGATACTGAGCCGATTGAAGCTGTTGCAACTTGCTGCAAAATGGTGAAATTGTGATTGCACGTTATGTCGGAGAGGTTTCTTGGCTTGCTTCTTATCAGGATCAGACACGGCAGGCTGTTGTCTATTGTTTCTCCCGCCCTTTAATTCATCATTTGCAAGTGCGTGATCGTGGGGTTGCCTGGATAAATGGGACCGCGTCAATGGTGCTTGTCTAGTATCCGGTGTAATAACTGATTGCATATCGTATATGAGTCTATGCTCTCTGGCGCTGATACGTTTGCCACGATGCTCACTCATCATGGACCTCATTCTTGATTCGACCACGATGCCAACTTGCCAAGCACTGAATAGTGAATACTGAAGCTGTCCTCGAAATCAGGATCACCTTCAAGACTTGGATGATTGGATGAAGATTTCAATGCCCTGCACGGCCGTACCATATACTGCAGGCCCAGGATGGAGGCTCCCTGCCCTGCTGCAGGTCATGCTGTCCTCAACCAGACTGTAATCTGTAAACGGTACCATCATCCGCGTACCGTAAACTTGGCCAAGCGTAATGTCCCGTTGAACTCCTGTACCGAGTCCAACCAGCAGCGGCCGTGGTCATCTCCGGTTCAGGGGCAGCCCCTCTCTCATTGGCCGATCCACAGAGCGGGTTCCTGACGCTAAAACTACAAAAAGTGGGGGGTCCTGTGGTCCCAGTCCCCACCGCAAATCCCAAAGGGCAAAGTCTCGAGTCAGTAGTTGCCCGTGAAATTGGGCAGGACCTGCAGGACCTGCAGGCGACTGCAGCTTGTGCGAGGGTTGCCCAGCACGGAGACAAGAGGGACCCGCCCCCTCCCAGTTTTGTTTCTGTCTGAACAGGTTCCCACCTTGCGTGGTGCAGTTGTCGTGGGCTCGAGAGGGAGGGGGAGAGTCCTGGGTCAGACATGACCATCCAAAGGTCATTGTTGTCAAACAGTCCCGGACCGGTCCATCCAGACTAGGCGGAACGGTTGTCTAAGAGATGTCCGGGTTGTCAGGGTGAGGGTATTTCTTCGATGGCGCAAGGGAAAGGGAAAGCTGGATGGGTGTGCGATGTGCGATGTGCTGAGGTATTGAGGTGCTAGCAGAGTCGGTTGGCTAATGTGCTAGATTGGGACTGTTCTCAGGGGTCGGAAGGCGTGGAAGGAGGAAGGTGGAGAATCCATTGAACAGCGATAAATCATTTTCGGCAGATAGCCAGAGCCAGAGCTGAGAGGGCCGTAGACATTTGACAGTCGGACAAAAAACTGTCATACACAGTTAGACAATAGACAGTAGATAGTAGACAGTAGACAGTAGACAGTAGACAGTAGACAGTAGACAGTAGACAGTAGACAGTAGACAGTAGACAGTAGACAGTAGACAGTAGACAGTAGACAGTAGACAGTAGACAGTAGACAGTAGACAGTAGACAGTAGACAGTAGACAGTAGACAGTAGACAGTAGACAGTAGACAGTAGACAGTAGACAGTAGACAGTAGACAGTAGACAGTAGACAGTAGACAGTAGACACTAATTCAACTAAACCGTGTTCGAGAAGGGAGAAATGATCTTTGGACTCTTGGAGTTGCTAACTTGCTGGACTACAAGGACCCGACACCTGTTATCGTGTAACGGGTACCGAGCCGGGGTCTGGGTTCTGGAGCAAATGGCCCGGGAAGCTCCTTTCGAGTACGATACCTGACAAGCTTACAGGACTTTTCTTCTGAAACAATCGAATTCGTCAATGAGAAGGCAGTTCCAGTCCAACTCTGATGAAGTCAATCCAATCTAGTTTATCGGTCATCCACCCGAACTCAGCAATTCGATAACAGAGCACCTGCGGTATTCGGTAATAATAAGTTCATAACAATGGAAGAATGGATAATACAGTACAATCATACGATGTAATCTCCGGTTTGAACTGTATTTCCGGTGGCTCAAATTGTCAACGTAGCCAAGCTTGAAGCTACCCAAGATAATCTTTTTCCAGACAGGAATGTCATTCGGACTCGAGCTTTGGCTCGGCCAAATTGAAGCTTTCGAGAATGGAACCCAAGCTGAGTGGGATCTCATGTTATCTATGACGAAAAGATGCACTCCCAGAGTCCAGACTTCCTGATTACCATTCCTCATGCCAGTGGTCATTGAAAACAAGTCAGTCAGTCACCTGGAACCGGGTCGAACTTTGGACCCATCCTATCTGAAGAGTGTCCAGACTGTCGACTCCAGACTCCAGCATCCCGTTGCACTCCTTTGGCAGCAAGTCGTGGCCGTGGCGCACCTCCCCAAACTGGAGCGAAACCACAACGGCCCACTACACGAGTACCACTGACCAATGATACGTACATGACCGCTTCATTAATCGCTGAGACTGAGAGTCGGAGATCCCATTTTTCGATACGACAAGGTAATCTAAATGGGGGACGCTAGCGAGAGGAGAACGAGGTGAAGGAAACTCAAGAACTTCCCAGTCCCCACAGTCCCCACTCCAGCAACTTCGGCGGTCTGGTCTGGCCCCCGCCGAAGGCCTTCTAGGTACACCCGTTGGGTCTGCATGCGCCAAATACCGTGAAATATACCGATTCTTTGTGTTACTGTTAGTCTGTTACTGACTTACACACTCTATGATACTACGACGATACTAACTTACCAGACTGCTGTGCCACTGACAGATTGAGGAGTTCCCCATTTGGCTTAACCCCTGCTCCTCTTGTCGGCTCTCACTCTCTCCTCTTTCTTCCTCTTCACCTCACCCATCGCGTGTCTCCCGGGGCTCTCTTTCTCTCTTACTCTTCCTGTCCTTTCCGTCGGTCGTTCGTCTTTCCTTCACCCTCGACACTCCTTTTGAAGTCAATCTTGACCACTGGCCAACCTATACACAACGCCCAATCCCCCTATACACGCTCTTTTGTGATTGGGTTGCTGGCCGCCGCATTCCTTACCATACTTCAACATCCACCCCACAGATCATATACTTGACCCTCAAGATCGCTCCACGCGTGAGTCGTTCAGTGTTTCCGTGGCCGTCGAATGTCTTCAGACCTCAAATGATTTGCGATTCAACATAATCCAATCGGCCTCTCGCCCCCTTTTTTTGTCGAAACTGCGTTCCAGCCGACTGGTTCGCTGTGAATTGAAACGCATGTTGAGCTTTCTGATTCGATCTCGCCGCTATTGAACTTCTGGAATCAAGAAGAACTTATATCGGACGACAATTTGTTCTCATCGACCCCCCGGTTATTTTTTTTTTTTTTTTGGGTGGCTTTTGATCTGGGGCTCCTCCGATTGCCCTCTCTATCTGCCCCGACCGCACGGCGGGCTTCTCTGAATCATGCATCACCATGATCCCGAGCTCATCATGAGGCATACCATCGTACAAAGGGAGGTGATCCCTCCTCTTCGACTTCCCCTGCTGGTGCCCTCCGCCACGACGCTACCGGGTACCGGCTTGCCCTCCCTAGTGGTCAGAGCACAAGATTCGGCAACCACAACGGACGCAAAGAAATGTGGAGGTGGTACATGCGAGACAGCTACGAGTAATATGACAACAACCGTTCTGCCTATCGTGCTGGGTGCTGGGTGAGTTTTTCTTCCATCATCACTTGCACTTTCGAGAAGACAGATCGGAAGGGTGAAAGGGGGTGAGGGGGGAGAGAAATGAGTGACAATACCGAGTGAAAAACGCTCCCATTCTGACGTCTCATTAGTGTACCGGTTATTTGTGCGATCGTGGTCCTGGTTTTCTTGCATCGACGACACACGAAGAAGCTGCTGCATGAGGATGCCATGGATAAGCACAAGTCTCTGGACTTTGGCATGGACGACGTAACTCCGAAGAAACCTCGCAAACTACCCAATGGACTGGAGGCCGAGATGTCGCAGCCGAGTCACTCCAAGGGTCTGTCACTCGATGTCGGCCCATATTTGATGCCTCCAGTGCTGAATGGCTCCCGGGACTCATTGCACTCCCTGGCCCGGTCCATCGACGATGACAAGTATCGTCCCGCGGTCTTCGGTGCCCAAGACAATGGCTCAGTGCGTTCGTTCCCCCGTAACCGAGGGGACGACGCGTCAAGTCTGGCTCCCTCCACCCGGCAGGCCTATGCCGGCAATGAAGACCCCAACTCGGGTCTGCTGCGAAATGCTCAGAGCATGTCCCGTACATCCCCGCCTCGCTACGACAGCCCCCCGGCAGATCAATTACCCCAACGTCCTCCTGCTGCGCACCATCCCAATCAGTCCGGTCCCCCTAGTCGTGTGACAAGCCCAACGTCGGATGCTGGCGAGGCCCATGATCTTGCGGTCTCTCCTCAAGAACCTGCATTCCCTCGTCAAAATAACATCAACCCCATGGCCGAACTGCACTTTGAGGTCGAGCCCCCTATTATCCAGCACACGCAGGCCACTCCCCAGGAAGAACACCCTGGCTACCCGCTTTCTGACCATGGGGAACCTGGCCCGCACGGCCAGGCCGTGACAACCATGCCCACGCCTCGGATTTCGTTCCCCGCTAGTGACATCACTGTCAGCGACTACGGTGATGACCGGAAACCTGACCTGACCATCAACGTTCACGCCGCTGAGGACCATCGCCCTCACCTGGCTGATGGACAATCGCCTCACCTGGATCAAAGTCCCTTGGATTCTCACCAAGAGGCGCAGAGGAAGCTCGACGTGGAGTTTGACCAGAACAACCGCCCCGATACCCGCCGGTTGACTCTCGGTGTGCGACCTCTGCCCCCAGAGGACCCTGCTGACAACCCCGAGCAGCGTGCCAACCGAATCCGCTCCTTCTACAAGGAGTATTTCGATGACAGTAAGCGGGAAACCACCTACTATCAAGACTTTGGCCCCGAATTCTACGAGGATGGTGGGTATATTTATGACCCTTCGACGGGTGATTACTACGACTCCACGGCCCCTCCAGCTTTACCCTATGCGGAGCCCGTCACTCGTCGTGCCATGACACCACCCCCTCGTGCACCCCCCCGATTCCAAGGCCAGGCTCGTCACATGGCCACGAACTCCGCCGGTCATAACAACTATGGAGGTCCAGGACCCCGGGCCTTCTCGTCGGCATCTGGCCGTATCCCCGGCGCCCGTGGTGCTGCTCAGAGGCCCCCTCCTGCTCCGGCGCCCCTTCAGATGCTGCCTACGCCACACATGTTGAAGGATGACTCCATCTTCATGGCGGCAGACTTTGCTCCCGCATACGGAGTCCGTGACCGCCGCGATGGCCGTCCGGAGACCCCCACTGGTGGCACGATGCCTTATAGTCCTAACATCCGTGCGCATACGCCGCTTGCTTCTGCATTCGATGATCTTTCCGTAATGCCCAGCCCGTACGTTTTTTCTTCCCCTTCCTTTCGCGCATGACCTTCGCTGGAAAATCGTTTGAACTAACACCGTATCTTGATAGTCACGCTTTGCGCAAGTCTGGCACATTTACTAGTCTGGACTTTGCCCCACCGCCTCGTTTCAAAAACAGCGACGGCGGCAGTGATGCTGGTAGCATTCGCAGCAACCGCACGGGCATCTCCAATCATCACATGAACAACATCCGCAATGGCAATTACCGTGTCAGCCGATTGCCGACTGATATGGTTGGTACGCGTGATGACATGATAACCAGCCTGCGGCCGACCATGGATTTGACTAGATAAAAGAGGGACGGCGAAGCCTTTAAAAGAGCAAATCTATCCGGTCACATCTATATCTCATTTCCCTCCACTATCCACTTCTCACTTCCTCCTTCTAATGACTTCGTGCTGCTTTACGTGGTCTTTCGGATCATACATCGTGATGTCCTAGCGTTGTATCATGGCAAATCTCTCAGTGGCTGTTTGACCATTCCCGGGAGGCGGGGGTTCTGCATCGCATCTTGATTCGAGGATCTTGAATGATCTCTTCTTTGACAGTTGATGCGCCCCCCGTTTTTCTCTTCATATCTGTGATTATAGCACTCGTTCTTCTATTTCATATTTCCCCCCTCGTTCACCTCTTGGCCTCCACCACTTTTTGTATCTTTTGGGGACATATCTTTGGGATTTTTAATATCCCTCGGCGTACATAGACAATGGTTAGGGTTTGATTCTGCCCGCTCGTCCAAGATTTTTTTACTTTCTTTTTTTTTTTTCTCATGGAATTCAGATTCTGCTGACTAATGTCTCTTGTCTCGATAAGTACCATCTTCGCTCGCAGCTTCACCGTAGCTTCTTAAGACGTGCCCCCTGCCAGTAGATGTATGATATCAATCATATCGACACTGTCAACCCAACATGCAGTATGAAATCCTGACAGCAGATGTAGGGAAAGTATACCACTTGTAAGCGTAGACGACCCACGCTGAGCAAGACACCCAGCCACTGCGTTGAAGCGGGCAGCCCTCTACATGTACCTAGTACCTAGTACCTAGTAGACGACGAACTGCGTCCGCGGCACCACGAGCCGGTACCTACCAATCTAATCTAGCTCTCCATTTGACTCTGAACTACAGTATTTCCGTTCGGAACGAAATCGAATCGAACTTCTCACTTGATCTAATGCGAGCCCTAATGCGAGCTCGTACCCCTCTTGGAGAACGCAAGATTTACCCGCGAACCTTCTGATGTTGCATGGCGCTTTCTCCAATTCGAGTAGAATCCTTTGCGAGAATATTCCTGTGTACTCCTAGTACATGCTTCTAGTACATGCTCCTATCCCTGCTACCTCGTAGCTAATGGGTAGCCAAAGCTGTAGCTGCAGGTGGAGGTGGAGGTGGAGAGGTCAGAGGAGGCCGTTGATTGATCGCCTATGCATGTGGAACTTATATCTCGCTATATTCCATTGATATGATTGGCATTTTCTTTTGCGGAGTTTATACACTATAGATGTCGGTCAGTGTTTGGATCACGGTTGAGTGTCCGGTGTCGTGGCCTCGGGAGTCGAGATGGAGGTTTCAGTTCTCCACGCTGGTTCGATGTGATCGGATGTGATGGGATTGGTGGAGTGATGTACACTATTGACTTGACTATTGTACAGCAGGTGAGCAACCTTCTTGGCTGGAGGTATACCTTATGAAAGTAAATGCTAAATGAACGAAGACTACTAATGTTGGGTTAGTATTTTGGAAGTACCTTATGTCACTACGGTATGGTGAGTAGTAGGAGGCTAGGAGGTAAGTCTCCTCCTACCTTGAGCTCAACGATTTATCGTCTTGTCTCGTCCACATCGGCAAAAAGTGATACCTGAGAGATAAGGCATCATGGAGGCAGACATCCGATGCGCGGAGACTTCAAGGTCGGGTGACTTGTTTAGCGGATGTACGTTAGGGCGTGTTTATATTCTGTAGGCTGTGCTTGTAGTTCTCGGAGTCTGTAGTATGTAGTCTGTAGACTTTTGAGTCTTCTGTAGTCTGTAGTCTCTACTCTTTCGGATCACGGAGATGAGATGAGATGGGGACCGGCGAGGATCCACAGTTCGCCACAAATCTGAATCAATGACATCGTTGATGACGGGTAGAGATCGTGATCATGGAGAGACTTTTTTTCTTGTAGTGCTGTGGCGCTTCACTTGTTGATGTTGAGGATGGAATTGAATGGGAACAATTCGAGTCGTAGGAGACTAAAGCACGAAGAAATGAAACTGTCGATTGCCGACCGTTGACCGGATGATGGATGTACATTGTGTGATAGGAATGGACGGCTAAATTGATCAACCTTTTTTGTTTCTTATTTTTTTCTCCCCGATTCCTATGGTTAGATGCGTACAAACCTTCGATCCAGATTCGATCAATCTCCGATGACTGGCAGAAGATCTGAGTTTTTCCCTCCTCAACTGCACCACTCACTCTGACTGCAATATGATTACAGTACTACTACTGCATCTGGCTGGTCCCGTCCTGTGCGACTGCGAGGACCCACGGATAACGCTCAGGCGTGCCGAAAAGACGCACGCTCAAAGTGTAGGACCAGTTCGTCACGACTGACGGTCCGGATCAATTTCGATTAGTCCCACGGGGCGCACTCGCCCCAGTGTCAGTGGCAACTGAACACGAAGTGCATCATGGAGCGGGCGTAGGCGCAGTAGCAGCGGCTGAGAATTGGATTGTTCTTTGCAGGTTTGCAGTGGGGAACTTGGGGAAGCAGCTCTGATGGATACGACATTGACGAGAATGGCATTATGCGCATCTGCGCATGTGCGCATACGGAAGCATAAGCACAAGTACAAACACAAGGATACGCGCATAAGCGCAGCTCGTCGTGTCACGCTAGTTTCGAATTGGAAAATTGACCTTGAAGGAACATTTAAATCAAGGGCATTCGTAGGGTACGACGGTACTCCAGTCATCGAGTTCGTACAACAGTAGCATTGTTGTAGGTAGCATGACGGTGGAGTATGTACCGTCGCACCGCATGGGACCTTTTCATCGAGATACTTCTGGCTTGGATAACTCTCTCGCGAGTCTTTGGCCTATGTCCTGCACTGGCCTCTGCAGTCTGCAGTCTGCACTCGGGCCCGCGAGGGCCATATCCGGTCATCATCCACTCTGACCTGGCAGTGTGACTTGGTCAACAATGGCTCAAAGATCTGGAGATCCATGGTCTTGCCGCGGTCCCTGTTGGTCCATTGGGACGCGAGACTCGTGAAAGTTTGTAATTCCACAGGACAGGAACTGTGGTCCCCTGCCTGGGTGAAGATTCTTTTCTGCGCGGCCTGCAGTCCATGAGGAGTCAATACTCAAGTCAATACTCAAGTCAATACTCAATAGTGAATAGAGTAGTAGTACAGTTCTTCATTCCTAGTCCTAATGGAACGCCTCTACATGTCATGGTCAAGGGGCAATCGCAACACAAATAATTGGACCACCATCAGCAAAACATAGATGCGATAGCAGTGACTTATCAATTCTTTCCATAGTTCCAGTAAGGTCCATTGATGTTTTCTGTTTTGATCATCCCGTCCCGGTCGGAAAGGTCTGCAAGGGTTGACCGAGGCCGTCGCATGGTTTGATGGGCCGTGATTTTTCCAGGGATAAAAGTTAGTTCGCTGCAAACTGCGAGGGTTTGATGAGGGTTTTGGCTGAGGGGTTGTTTGTTTTGATAGCTTCATGGAGCAGTGATTGTAGTGGACGAGCTATGCATTTATACTTCTTGACTGCACTTGTCTCTTGTGGAGTGAATGTTGATATACTGTAGACATGAGATCGTGAGATCGTGAGATAGAAGAGTACGACAGCTTGGTACCCTGTTGTTTCTAGTACTATCTATGTACCTACTACCTAGTCCTATAGTCCTACTAACCTAGTAGATTACAGGATTGACTGCCTTGACTGAGTAGGATGGTAATAACTCTATTTTCTACTAGATCGACACATCATATGCTCCTACAGCAGTCAACGAGATGGTGAATAAAGGGTTTAGGTGTCATGTCGGGATGACTGTGACAGTGAACAGGGAATCTGAGTTTGAAGGCCATTGAGGAGACAATCACGACAGTCACAAGGCTGAAAGAATGCAGAATGCAGCACCGAACTCAGACGAGGCTGGGCTTCCAGGTTGGATGCTCGCGGCAACTATTCATCCCGGCGATCGACGGCTTGGGATCGAATTGCTTGCGTTGGGTTGTGAAAACGGATTACCTGCCACGCTACGGTGTTTCAGATTTACCATACATTACCTCAGTCGATCCGCTCAGACTTCACGTCAGTCATGGACAAGAGAAGTGAAAGGATCCGGGACATTCTTGTGCGCCGAGGGGCCCAAAACAAGCTACATACCAACTGGTGTATGGTATGACCGAATACTGTACCCGTCATGCGTCTGCCAAGTCAACTCTTGTACCCTCCCGGCTCCACCAATGCCGTTCCCACCTGGACTTTCTCCTCTTCGACTCGAACTCGACTCGACTCTCGTTGCTACGCTCGCTCTCTCTCTCTCTCTCTCCATCTTCTCCCATGGCTCCCGACTAGATTCGGCGACTGGAAGAGCAAACCACCCTGTTCCGGTCCTTGGATCTCTTCTCGCCTCTTCGCCGACCACCTTATACACTCGTCCGACACAATCCTCCATCGACAAGTTGGTTGTTTCTTCTCTTTTACTTACTCTCTCAAATCAACCTACCGTTTCACAGCCCACTATCGACCCCTGAGGCTCACAACCAACGTCTCCATATTCAACTTCTGGGCTGTGAGGATTCTTTCGTTCTCTCGCTTCTGCTTAGTCTTACGCGTCTGGGCTCGCCGTATCGCTCATTCTTGACCCGTGTGGTGATTTTCTCCAATTCTCTACATCGTCTCTCTATTGTCTGCCTCTCTGGTGTTCTCGGTCTCATTGGAGCGACTTTTGCTACTTTGCACGTCCCCAACCGCACCCGTCTTTAGTACTTGCCGGCACAGCACAGCAAAGCCCACCCGCATTTTAGCCACTCTCTGTCTCCAACGTGCGGCTAAATCCATTGGAGGAAACGAGCGCGGTTCTTCGAAAGATCGTTTGAATCTTCCTTTTCAACTTCGATTCTATCTGTCTGGCACAAACCATTCCACTCGTCACCGTGGCCAACTCAACAATCCCCATCATCATGTCGTCTCCCGGTGGCTCCGCCCAGGCCGAGACGACGCTCAAGGCGGAATCTTCATCCACAGTCCCCGTCCCAAATGGTCAACAGACGACCACAGCGAACGCGGCGCCCGGGACAACGACAACGGCTGCCGCTCCGCCCGCACCCAGCTCGTCAACCACAACCAGTGCCGCCCCGGCGCCAACGACTAGATCAACCACCTCTACGACCTCCTCGTCCTCGACCTCCACAACCTCCTCCACATCCAGCTCCACCATCTCGACGAGCACAACGACAGTCGCTCCTCAAACAACGACAGCGGCCCCTCCCTCATCCACATCAACAACCCATCAAGTTGCTCCAACCAACCCAACGACTGATGCAGCGCCCTCTACTACCTCCACTGCCGGGGACCCGAGCAATTCACAAACGATCGTGGTGGTGACGAGGACGCAGACTGACTCTCTGACGAGCAGCACGGGAACCGCTACCACCTCTGCGGCCAGCTCCACGGAGACTGGAGCCGCACTGGCCGCCTCAAACAGTGGAAGCAGCAAGGGCTTAACCTCAGGCGGCACAATTGCGGTCGCAGTTGTGGTCCCTGTTGTTTCTGTGGCATTGCTCGTTCTCGCGGCGCTCTGGTTCTGGCGTAAGCGTAAGGCGAAGAAGGCCGCCGAGGAGGAACGCCGGAAGGAGGTCGAGGAGTACGGCTTCAACCCCAACAACCCTGACAATGACCCCCACATGCCTGGTGTTTTGGCTGCCGGCACCGTAGCTCCCAAGGATGACGTGACGTCTGGGTACCGTGGCTGGGGAACGACATCTGCAGGACGCAAGGCCTCTACGAACCTGTCCAGTGGCGTTGGCGGGTTGGCCATGTCCGAGACTGGCGGCGGTTACCAACACGTCGCAACCCCGAGCGAAGGCACGATGCAATACTCCGATGGCACTCGCCCTGAATCGGGCGAGATTGAACCCATTGGTGTTTTGGGAGCGGCGCCCGTTGCGGCCAACAACCGCACAAGTGACATTCACCGCGGCCCTTCGAATGCCTCGTCCGCATATTCGGCTGCCAACCGGTCCGACGCATCTGAAGAGAGTCACATGTCAGCGGGTCACCCCTCGGGTGGTTATTATGGAGATAACCCCTACTACGGGGATATGAGCAATCATGGTGCCTACGGAGCCGAGGACTATCAGCCCGTGATCCGCGACGTCCAGGCTCGTCGTAACACGCGAATTGAGAATCCTGGAGTTTATCCTCGTGGAAACGCCGGCATTGCTCAGAATTTCTAGATTGCTTTTTTGGTTCAAATTTTGCGGTCGGACGTCCCACGACTAGCAGCATTTCATTTTGTTCGTCTACAGAACCTGATGGCATTCGCTGTGGTTTTTTGCCTTTTTTTGTTATCAATATTCTTTCACCTTTCTTCGACTGCCTACTGCACAAAAAAGCTTGGCATTTTTTTTTCTTCTTGTCTGTGATTTCTTCGACAAGTTTTGCGATTGTCTGACCTGTCCTTAGCACATTTGATCCTACATACCCTCATTCTGGTTTCCTCTCATTCTCTCATGAATCCTTGCCCACGCCACTCTCTTATCGGGAAGGGAAAGAATTATTTGTCTCCCAGCTCTGATTTCCCCCCATTTTCGTCTCGCTGGAGGTCAAATCCGTCATCTTCTGTTCTCTGCCTCTGCCCCCTGTGTCATGTTGTCACTGGGTCTCAGACGCGCGACGAGTCTTCTTGTGTTTCTTCCATTCTCCCTGTCACTTATCATTACCAATTATTTCCTTTATTGAAGACGGGGGAGGTGATTGGATGTTGCAGCAGACTGTCTTTATCGTTGCGTCGGCCTTTTTTTGAACGGTCTGAAAGATTGATTTCACTTTGAATATATTGAAGCAATTGAATATGCTGACCCATTTGACACTGTTTGGTACTTTACTATCTTTACTTCGGTCTTACCTTCGACCTGATCCATCGTAAGAGTAGTTCCACCCCCCCCCCCCAACCTCACAAGCGTTCGTAGCTTGCCGACGTTTCAAACATTTTGAGTATCAGGCTGGAGGCCCGTTGATCCTATTCTCGAAAGACAGTTTCTCGAGATTCCCTGTGGCTAATGGCTGAACAGTCCAATCCAACAATGGAAACAGCCAAGCCTACTAGCCTAGCGTCGCATGGTCTGATCAATTTCGTGAAATTGACGCTTGTTCTTCGCATTCTCAAGCGGAGTCCTAAATTCGATCTAAGTGACTATGTCTGATTGAGTGAGTATTGGCCTGATGTGCGTCTGCATAGATTGCATTCTGTACTATTTCCTGAGACTCACGGGATTAGGTCTTACTCGAAGCGGATGAGTTGTAGCCAACTATATCTTCGGAAGTGGAGGAGTTGATTCGAGAAAGGGCTATGTCTTGGATTCTATGTTCTAGAGCTAGGGCTGCTGCATGGGGTGAGGGGAATCGAATTACTACGTTTGACGCGAGAAGCTGAAGAGCCATAGTACCTACTGTATGTGGGATTGACCTCAGAATGGGCTTGATTTACCCTGCAGTCCAGTCCCTCGGAATAGGATTTGTTCGTTCTCGTTATCTTCAAGATCTGCAGTTTTCTGAAGAATAAGTATAGAGAAGCGTCTTTCGCTCTGATAGCCTAATGGAGACTTGTATCCCGCTTTGTGACGCTTTCCGCAATAAATGGCTCTCTTTCTCCCAGTTACAAGCGTCGTAGGTAGTTTCACGTGTCAGCATGTGCACCTATTCCCTTCTGTAGATGGAGTGAAGCACATTGCCACCGGCGCATGACACCACGCCGGATACTCGATGGGAGAGGGATAGCGATGAACACACACGCTTATGTGCACGAGCCAGTGTTCGAAATCTTCTGATCATCGAGCTGAGATCGAGATCATCCGTACTTTTGCCCATGCCTGGCCCTGTGCAATGTTCCAGTTCCTGTTTATGCTGGCGCACGAGCCCTTCACGTCGCGGGAGGCGTTGGTTGATCCGCCTCGTAGTCCGATTGCCCTTTTTCGGCACAGGGCTAACTTTATCTGCTCCATCGGTCGATATTGATCAATGCGCGGCTGAGTTTATCTGTGGTCTAGGCGAGTGGAGGCTTTGTGCGAATGAGGAACTAGCTAGTAAGCTAGTAGCCTGGTAGTAGTGCTGTAGGTAGTGGTTCATTGCCAGGCACTTTCTGTTCTGCAGGATGCGGCTGATCTACGCGGGCCGGTTACAGTAGATTTAGATCGACCCTGTGAGAGACTGCTGTGGAGGAATGCGCTGAGCAAACACTAGTGTACATGCGGTGAATAGTGTGGCCTGGAGTCTGTCATTTTGAGGGCCTTTGCCACATACACAGCCAGTGGATTGCGGGAGCAATCAACCTCCAAGGGAGAAGCCCCTCTAGTCTCTTTTTACAAGCAGAATAGGCCACTCCGAAGTCTTCGACTTCTCCGTCATCCTGTCATCAATCGGATGCCGTAACACCGTACATACGCACGCACACAAATTTTCTTCTATCAAGACAGGAAAAATCCCAGATCATCTACAATGTACATCCATCCACCTTCCTGAGGTGAGCCCCTCCTCATCCTGTCCCCTAGTATCCTTGAACCTACGATTTACCTGATACATCAAGTAAACACCTTCCAAGACTCGACTAAGCTCAATTTGAGAATGTCTCGGCCTGTTGCGGGTGCAGGGGGGGGGGGTTTAGATAGGAGTGGAGGGGGGTGAATTTGGGCGGAATGGGGCTGGACTTGCCTATTGAAGATTTGAGGTGGTTTGTTGTTGGTATGTGTCCGGGGTGTCCGGTGTAGTATTGTAGAGTGTAGTGACATTCTAGCTCGTTTTTATAGGCGAGTGTAGACTCTGTGAGTGTGGAATGGTGCTTGTCTGGTATTCATGGTGGAGGGTCGATGTGGGATGGCTTGTGAAGCGGGCTAACTGAGCTGGATGTAGCCATTAACTACTGGATTCGTACGGCGGTAGCGGTCTATCCTCGCTTACGGCGGGTTATCTAATGTTTATTCTCATATGGATGTAGGTGGGTGGAATGAGCAAGGAAGGTAGGCGATGTGGGATAAAGACTCGATTAAGGTGGGTGAAGATAAGACGAGTCGAATAATGTTGTCTATAGGCGGATTCTGGGAGACGATCACTAGGAGTAGGGTGTATGTTGATGGGATAATGGTGCAGTGGCGTAGACGGCTTGAAGATTGGCAGAAGGCTTTGCTTTTCTATCGACGTCATGGAAGCTTGTCTCGTATTGTGCTTCCAATAGATGTTAGATGTTTGATGGAAAATCAGTCAAGAGCTGGTAGCTAGATCTATGGTACTCTACTCGTCTACTGGGGTGGATGAAAGTTTCCAGATCACAAACTGCACGATTTGATCATCTGTAGCTTTAAAGCACTCTCATTCTCGGAATACACTATACCGCATAGTAATACACTATGCAGTATGCACAGTACAGAGTCAGGCACAGGAACACGAGCAGAGGGCTCTCACAATATGAGTGATATAGTGGAGATATCTGATAAAAAAAGCACGGAGCGGTATGCGGCCCCTAGATTGATCATTGATGATGAATCCCCGTTTTTCCCTGCGCCGTTGACATTTGGACTCGCGTGTAGCCATGTACTGTTTGGTGACCAGACAGCTGGTATTCGGCAAGAGCCTGGTACCAGACTTAATACTGCTGTGCTTAGTGTGCTATACATCTGCTGATAGTCAATAATCACTGCTTGTAGGGCTGTCAATATAGCCAAATTTAACTTTCCATCTCCCCACCTCGCGTAGTACGCGAGGAAGTCTCAAGCACGAAAATGGCAAATCTGGCGAGAATAAGCGATGCTCAGTAACGCGAGTCAGCACGTAGCGCAGATTTGTATCAGTGTATAACTGTATACTGTATAGTCTACCTTATACTGAGGTAGAGTCATGCTACATGACGATCTTGTGGATGTGAGGCGGGGATGGGAAACACCCTATCTAATTTGATGATATTGCTGACAACGTGACAGAAGCAAAGCACCTGGTAGAAGTACCGAACGGATCACGAACGCCGTCGAGGATCGAGCGTAGGGTTGGAAGGCCGAGACAGGGTGATGAAAATCTACGTAATACGTAGTGTACTAGTGAATGGTGACTCGTGACTCGTGAGTGAACACTCTCTGGGGCTGGGATTAATTCAAGATTCAGGTAGCCCTTGCCAAGATGCGGCAAATGACTCGAGGACTGGTCGAGTCGGTCAGAGACTAGAACGCATCGGGAAAAAAGTCGGATCTTGGTCTTCGGAGATATGCTCACAGTAAATACCGAATCATGAGATTGGGGAAAAGGGCCGGGGAAGTGTCCCTTTTGCGAGTAAGGTCCGTTGGTGGCTCAAGGGAAATACTCCAGTAGGGCATCAGCCAGTGACACCCACGAGTTACTAGTAGTTGCCTGTACACTTTGCACTGAGTGATTGAGAAGTAGCTTGCCAGGTTTCAATCGTCTTCTTTCTTATGCCTCCAAACTATTGCAGAATGCAGAGAGCATCTTCCACAATTTATGGAACAGAATGTGGTCAGACTACTTACCGAGTCGGTGGACGACGATTGAAGCATGAAAAAATTGGACAAAGTACAAATCTGAATGCGTGCATGATTGAAGGGGGGGGGGGGGGGGGGGTCCTGTTGAGCTAACCTGACCCACGCACGTCGTAGCTCATAGTTCAAAGTCATGCTATTTAGCTGCGTTCACCGATCCGACTCCGTGGTGTTTTTCGGTAGACAGTCAGCCTCAACCCACTCGAAATCCATCATCGTCATAGAGAATGTGCAAGATGCCTCGCTTCGTTTCTGCCAAAAACGGACTAAGTAGGATCGGCATATTACTACATTTACCGTTAATGCCGCGGAGATGGCCGCGGCTACAGGTTGAGCCAGACTCTTATGTCTGTACTCTGTAGTGGTGCACTACTTGAGGAGAACTTTGCGGTTCAAAGTATTTTCCTCAAGTTCGGCGACGACGCCTTAGATTGTGCATATTCACAAGTAGTTTCTTTTGTAAAGATCGGCTGTTTGTCATGGGAAACTGGGTGTATAAAATGTCCGGAACAGCGAGAAGCAATAACCATACCATGCGAAACGCTACACTGTCGGAAATAAATGTACAGATTTATCCGGTGACTTACCCGTCCGAGCAGGTCTCTCTGCTAGTCTGCTGTGCTGTACTTTGGTGCCCTCGGTAATCTTTCTACAGATCAATTATTCCATCTCACGAAATCACCTAAGCCTATTTCCGACTAGCTTGGGACATTCGACCGTTAGCTTCTCTATTTGTTTTTTTCTTGTAGAAATTTGTTTGATTTCCCCTTTTGGGGGGATGCCACTTGCCTATGATCGATTGTCTAATTGATTGTTCGTGTACGATATTCATGCTCTGTCCAGAAAGGTGTACATCAACTGGGCAGTCATTCATTGTCATGTCATCTCCATTGTAACTGTACCAGTTCGAGCAACAATGCCCTGGTGTTCTTCCTGCCTCGTGCTTGACCACCTGACTTTCCTCGTGGAGGCGCTAGTTCATCCGTCGTCCGTCATACTCCTCAGTAATGAGTAATGAGTAATGCACATTGCACACCCCTCCGCTGACAGCCTCGGATCTTTTGAGATCTCGACTGTCTCCATCATTTTGACTCTCTCTCCTTCCCTTTTCTCCTCTGCAAGCTGGACCTCTCGACCAGAACGTGGGCGGATCGCCCGCAGTGATTGGCGCTCCCGCAGTACCGCCGCTGCTCCACTCTGATAACCTCGACGACTCAACTTGCTTCTGCGGCTGGCTTGAAGTTGAACGTGCGGTTCACTCGCGCTGCTGTATGGACTCATGGACTGTATAGTTCTTCTCCGGCGCCCCTCCTCATCTGAAATCTGAACCCCTCAGAACCCAGTCGTCGAGTGACTCTGCGGCATGCGAACACGCTGTGCCACGCTGACTGGATTGCGCTTTCTGTACAGGTGGATTTCGGGCCACCTCGAGTGCCTGGCGTCTGTCGAATCTTTGGTACTGGAACCCTCAAAATCATCCAACTGTCCACGGCCCAAGACTGGTTTTGACCAGACATACCAATACCATTGCCTGCCTTCTTACAGTACTTTCTTCTACCAGTGCGGTCATTCTCTACAACGAGTCTTTACGCGGTGAGACGCTCAACCATTGCTGTCGCCGTAGCTCTTCCTCTTGAGATCAAAGGTCAAACGGACCGCTCCACTTATAGTTGATCCCAAAAAGTACCCTTTCTGTGAACCCATATTGGCACTCTTCCGCCGCTGAGATCACCGACCATTCAATCGTTCGTCCGTGCAGACGCGCAAGTCTAGTCCTCGTAAAACTGCACAGCCAAGTGATCGCAACAATCAAGGAGACGGACAACTACTACTGTCCTGTCCTGGCCCACTCTTATTATCCTCATCCACCAATTCTCCACTTGGGACAATCCCAGGGCCCGACTCCCGACGCATCGCCGCGGATCCACTATCGTCGTCCTGCGCTGTTGCTGTCGTCCTTGCGGGCCAGTCCCTCTGCCACCCCTCTCCCTCCGGCCTGCTTCAAAGGGCTTCCTGCCACAGACCCTCTCCTCTCGAGCTTCTCCCTCTGTCTCCCTCCCTCTCTCTCTCCCTCTCCCTCTCTCTTGTCCTGTGATCTCAAAAGCCTGATCTACACCGGAATTCACCTGAGATCCCCGTCGCGCTTTCACGTTCCATCCGTGGTCCGTTATCAGACTTGCTCGCTCGACCCGCCGCCGAATTAAAGTTTCCTCGACCGCATTCCCCTCCTCTCCCCAATCCGGCACTTGCAACACTTTCGGTACGCAGAAAAGTTGACACAGAAGGCCACCTGGCGGTTGTGACACCTGCCATCATACACAACCCTCGAGTGCGCGTCTCTCTGATCCCGAGCGTGAGAGCCGTGCGCCTGTGAAGATGTAAGACTTGGTATCTCCCTGGCGCATCATGCCCACTCCATGTTCATGTTCGGTTTGGAAAGGGTCCAGTCACTGACTTTATTTGTTCGCCCTTTTCTTTCGCACCACAGGAAGTTTGGTAAACAAATCCAGCGTCGACAGCTTGATCTACCGGAATATGCGGCCAGTTTCGTCAACTACAAGGCGCTGAAAAAGGTGCGATGTGCTTCTCGGCGAGACCAATGGGACCGGACACAGCAGAGGGAGGGAGAGGGAGAGAGAGCATGATGACCCGACGCTGGCCGGACGCAAATTTTGCTTCGGAGGAACTCAATGCTGATCGGACTTGCTCTTCTAGCTTATCAAACAACTCAGCGCCACACCCACCATCCCCGCACAGCGAACGGCCGAAGAGATTGCCCAAGATGGCACGCTTGATCCGCAGGCGGCCCTTCGCGCCAACAAGGAAGTCTTCTTCTTCCGTTTGGTAAGTCACGGCGCAACATGATATGTGGAGGTCTGGAACTGGAGGTCTGTCTACATCCTCGAGTGGCTGCTGACAGGGATTCTCCCCCGACAGGAACGCGAAATCGAAAAAGTCAATGCTTTCTACCTTCAGAAAGAATCAGAGGTGAGCCTGGACACTGATCTTCTTCACAAAGCAAGTGGCTCCGGCAGACATGCTGACCCAATTGTTTTGCTAGTTCTCCCTACGGTTGAAAACCCTCGTCGACAAGAAGCGTGTCATCCAATCGCGAACCGTCTCCAACTCCAAAGCCTCTTCAAATTTCGTTGCGCTGTTTGAAGGCTTCCTACAGTTTGACGGCGACTTGAACAAGTTGCAGCAATTCGTCGAGATCAACGAGACGGCCATGTCCAAGATTCTCAAGAAATGGGACAAAACCTCAAAATCACGCATGAAGGAGCTCTACCTGCATCGAGCGGTGGAGGTGCAGCCATGCTTCAACCGGGAAGTGCTTCGAGATCTGTCCGATCGAGCCACAACGGCCCGCCTGGAGCTGGAGGCTTGGGCGGAAGGGGAGAATCTACAGTTTGATACGTCCAGGCCGGTTGAGCGATCCATGGGCCCCGCTGGCACCGACGAAGAGGAATTGGATTTGCAAGTCTTGCAATCGGCGTCCTTGGGGAACCTGCAAACGCTTCGAGAGTGGGTGGCCAAGCTATCCTCGCACCCCGATGCTCGCGAACGGGCGACGAGGACCTTCTTGAACGCGATCAATAGCTCGGCAGACGAAGTGCTCGGCCTGCTTCTGGAAAGCGGACTGGTCGATATTCAGGCCGAGGATGACATCAATGAGCGGAATTGTCTCCATGAAGCTGCGATTTCCGGCCGGGACTACGTCTTCAAGGCCGGACTGGCCGCAGGAGTGGATTTCTCCTTGTCTGACGTGTATGGTCGAATTCCCCTCCATTACGCGTGTATGCACGGTCGTGTGGATATGGTGCGGGAGCTGCTGGCGGCCGGCCCGCTGACGGTGGACGTGATGGATCACGATAATTTCACCCCGTTGATTCACAGCATCGTCAAGGGTCAATTGGCCTGCGCCGAGCAAGTCTTGCAGAGTAATGCTCGCATCGATCCCGCCTCAGAGTCAGACCACATCCCGCTGAACTTGGCCTGTCAGCATGGCTCACTCGCCATTGTGAGAATGTTGTTGGAACGAAATGCTCGCCTGCTGCCCGACGCTGAGGGTCTTTACCCACAACATATGGTGGCTCGTGCCTCCCAGTCCCCCGATCTGCTACTCCTGTTGAAGCAGCATGGTGCTGATCTCGACCAAAAAGACAAGTTGTACCAGTGGACCCCGCTGTTCCACGCCGCAAGTGAAGGCTGTGTCCCCTGTTTGCGAACGCTTCTCGAGGCCGGTGTCAACTCACAGGTGGTGGATGAGAAGGGCTTGTCGGCCATGTACTATGCTGCATGGGAGGGCCATTTGGAGTGCATGTTGCTGCTCTGGGCGCAGCCGTCGCAACAGATCCCTACTCGACCTATGGATCTTCTGAACGGAGTCACCTTCCAAGAGGCTGGACTCATGGAGGATTCGGGCATGACGCGCCGGACCAGCTCTGCTGAGATGGACATTGCCGATGGCATTCCCGACTTGGAACTACCTCCGCCCATCATCCCTCTTCGAAGATACGGTCACAATTTCCTGGACAAGAAGGTCTTTGTGCAACTCCTCTTCGATCAGGGCAACGTGGGCTCTATTGCCTTTGACCAGGCTGGACGTCACCCTGCCGCTCGTTTGACGATCTCCTCCAAAATCTCTGATTTGATTCCTCGCACAATTGTCCTTCCGATTCAGGATGACTCCCGGACGATATCCTTCCATGTGGACAACTTGGACACTTTCGCCGTGGACTTTGAAATCTTCCCAACCTTTGGTTCCAAGGTCATTGCCAAGAGCGTGGCGTTGCCGGTGATATTTGCAGCCGAGAAATCCAGCACCGGATCATCTTGTCTACCTCTCTTTGACCCGCGTCTTCGTTCGATTGGTCAACTACGATTCAACTTCCAAGTCATCAAGCCGTACCACGGTGATCCTTTGGAAATCACTCACTTTGCGACGTATTGGAAGGCAACCAGCGCAATTGATTCTGAACACAGCGGCCTTGTCACTGGTTCAAGTTTGTCGGGAGATTATGTACAGCTCTTTGTACAACTCACTCGAGACCGCGTCCCTGTTCTCTATCCCCAATTCATGATCAATCACCACGGAATCGAGATACCCGTATGCCAATTGTCGTACGCCCAGTTCCAGACAATCGGTGCCGAGCGAGGCATCAACCGTGTGGAGGTTCTCCGATTTTTAGCCACGCAGGAAGTCCACGACATGTCGCAAACGCATCGCCTTCTTGCGACGTCCTTTATGTCTCTGCGAGAGGTTCTACAACAACTCCCGATTGACCTGAACGTCAACCTCTCGATTCTCTATCCCTCCAGCGTCGAGGAAAAGGCCTTGGCGATGACTTCGTTGACTGATGTCAACAGCTTTGCCGATGCCATTCTCACCGATGTATTCGATCATGCTCGTGTTGCGAGGGAGAGGAGTCCTGACTTTATGCGATCGGTGGTGTTCACCTCTTACAACGCGAATATCTGCACAGCTTTGAATTGGAAGCAGCCCAACTGTGAGTTTCCCGCCCCCCCATGTCAACTACAATTTCTCGACGCTAGAACTCGATTGGCTAATTTGTGTGATATTTTTTTTTCTCTACGTTCACAAGATCCTGTCTTGCTTTGTAACGATCTTGGTCAGATTCGGGATCTTGCCGCGAATGTTGACGCCATGCCTCATGTGAAGAGTAGTGGTCGAGCTTCCATGTCCATCAAGGAATCAGCCCGTATTGCGCAAAGTAATAACTTTATGGGCTTGATTTGCCGATCCAGTCTCTTGGTATGTGACAGTTGCCTACCCTGACGATAAACTCATAATGTCTGTGATGCTGACATGCCTTTTCTTCCTAGAATGTTGTCCCGGCTCTGGTGGAGACCATCAAGGAACTCGGTCTGGTTCTGGTGGCCGATACATCCGACGAGACGGGACAACCTGATCGCAGTGACGCTCTTGCCTCTGCCAACGCCATGGGTGTCGCGGAATGGGCGTATCGCATGCCCGATGGAGTGAACGGTGTTATGAAAGCCAACGGCGTGCTACGATTCAACGATATGATCGACATGTAATGAGGAGTTCTGGGCCCAGGGTCTGTTCTTTTTTTTTTTTTTGACTGGTGCTGATGCCGATGCCACCGAGCTTGCTTTTTTCTTTCCTAATCTCTCTCTTCTAAACCCCCTCCTCAAGTTCTGTCCAGTGTATTCCTCTGAGAAGGTTTCTGCTATGCACTACATCTTCCTTTTCTGATTCATCTTCTGTACGGTCGAGCTCGCCGGCCATTATTACTACACCTTTAAACCCCGTCGGCCAAAATCGAGACGAATGTTACGTACGTATGTGTGGAATGCCTTGCCTGTGGCAATCAAAATCATGCTGGACGGCTGGAGTCACACTGGTTTCATACCCGAGTTTTACTTTCTAGATTCCTCCGCATCATGTGTCTTTGATCTACTCCATTGGAATCTTTCCAGCATCAGAGGTAAATTTTACCAAAGACCCCTTTAAATGTCCCTTACTTTCTCTCATGAGATAGTAGTGACCGTGTACATCCATTCGAATATCAAAAACTTCAACCGAATCCTCTCTTCCTTCGAACTCCTTTTGTCCTCTACGAGAGATAGAATCCAAACTCGCATCACCGAAAAATCCTGTTTAAAAGGATAAACCCAGAAGTAAGACCTACGCTTCCGTGCCGAGGGCCCTTTGTAAGACCTTCTCCCGGTTTCTTTTCCTCTCTCCATTTTGCATGGCGGGGTACGTTGAATTTGCGGTTTTGCGCTCTGTCTCGGTGTAAAGTGGATGCTCCGGGAATAGTCCTTGGCTGCGGGTTGTACGCTTATGGGGTTTGTAGTTGTGTACACTGTCCGGTGCTTGTCGTGCCGTTGAAATTCGGGGAAAGTCTATAGTCCATGCTCTATGCTCCATATCAAGGTATCAGACACGGGACGGCACCTTTGCTTAGTGAGAGGACCAAAGATGGGGGAGTCAAGTATGCATGTGTTGTTAGTGATGCAGGAGGTCAATATTATTAGGAATGTTGATATTAGCGCTGATTGGAAGGGATAGGACGGTTGGTAGGGAGCTGCGCCCGTCTATGTCTAGTTGCTGGAATCCGATTCGAAGAAAGTGTGCTCGGGTTGGGTGGAAGGAAGATCATGGACCGAGCGATAGCTGAACAAGACGCCGAGTAGTATACAGGACAGAAGGGGGAAGATCGGGCTTAAGAAGGAGAAATACATGGGGGAGGAGAGTGTCAAGTTCAACGCTTTCTGCGGTTGTCGTTCGATGGACACGGATGAGGAATCATGGAGGGAGGAATGACCAGGTATTTAGGGTTCCAGTAGCTGCATGAGATGGTCCTCTGGTCTTTCTCACCGAGCTCCAGGGAAGGGAAAATTGTTATATTCGAGAAATCAAGATGAAGACGTGTCTCAGATGGGACCGGGGGCTAGGACGATTCGAAAGCCGCAATGATCGTTCAAGGAAAGAAAAGGCCGAATGGAGCAGTATGCGGTATAGAGCGAGAATGTCTTCCGAGGTCTTTTGACGTAGAACATGGCCAGAATATCGGGTCACCGAACGCTTTTTCGCTCCTTTTCAGATAACATGTCCAGCCTCAAACCTCGACAGTCGAAAGGCCGCTAGCCTAGATGAGTTGGAAACAACTGTCTAGGTGCTCTTAGGCTTGCGCTTACCGATATCCCAGCCCCACCGGCGCAGGACCTTGACAATCTTGGGCGTCGCGGCCGCGGTCAAGGGAACTCGAATGAAGATCAAGCTCTTGTGAACGGCATATGCCAGAGCTAATTGAGTCCAGATGCCTGTTCAAAGGAGAAGAAAGGCGCGTTAGCAAGACAAGGGATTTGAGAGCATGGAGAAAGGATAACGTACTAGCTTTATTCTGGCTCTCACTCTCTTCACCACCCTCCTCATCTCTCTTCCCATCATGGGCCTCGCCCTTACGCGACTGCGACCAAGTCGACGGCCACATAGAATGCACGGCATTTTTGACCGAGGACACAATCACATGTTCCCAATGTCCTATGCGATCGACACCAAGTAATTGCACCGCGACAAAACACACGGGAAAGTCCAGCGCCGAGAGACCCAGGTATACACCCAGCGCGGCCCAGCCGTATTCACGGGATAATGTGCGCAGACGTTGAGAGAGGCCCTGGGGTGCTTGTTTTTGCGCTTGCGATTGCGCCTGCGAGGAAGAGGGGCCGGGGGTGGATGATTTGGTCGAGTTGAAGCGCCGTTGGGCGCGGCAGAATCTGGAGGTAGAGGATGCGAGAGATGATGAGGATGATGAGGATGTGGCAGATCTATCATTGAGAACGGTCTTGGGTTTCCTAGCTTGACTTGATCGAGATTGCAGGGTGAGGAATCGTCGGCTTGGTAGTTGTCGTTGTTGCGATCGGAGGAGCCGAGGGAAGAGAAGCTCCGTTGGTTGCGCGAGCCAGCGTGAGAGCAGGGCAGGAGATGCACGACTCATGATGATGCCCACTGAAGTATAGTCTTCTCTCTGTGGAAGGTGTGAAAGTTTGCAATTGACCGTAGAGAAGAAAAGAAACCCGTGAGACGGAGGAAGAAGAAAGCGGATACAAAGCACAGAGTGGGTAGGCTTGAACTCGTGACTTTGGGACGGAGGTGGGTATTTTCGTTCGTATCACGATCTCACCATTTCACTCAAATGATTCCAGTGTCGCAAGCGGGTGAACTTATGTAGTAACAAGTGACAACAGTCAGATGGCAGGTTCTTCGTACAGAAGTCTGTCTGAGAGGGGTCTTGTTTGAAGGACGTCCCGTCAGAAACCGTGTCGGAATTAAGAGTTCGCTGTTGATCGGGTCTGGATGTTTCTTTTGCGTTCCGTTTTTTTTCGGACTTATCGGAGCCAGTTCGGGCGCCGCAGTTCCGGACCGGGCGATAACAGCAGGCGTACGAGGGTAAGGTACTTTACTTGATGAATCATGCTTGATGAAGTACATAGGTGTATAAAGGGATATTCTTGACTCAATTGGACGCATGATGAACCTGGGGCGGGTATTTTGGATATATTGTAACAACTCTTTTGTATGTCCGTGGTCAGTATGTTCCTCAGTCAAGAGCTCCCTAGTTAACTTGAATGATCTACAACTGTCTGAGTGACACGGAGCTTCGATCACCTACCATTTTAGTCCCATATGATATGGATTTCCTGTTGGCGACTATCACTTCTCAACGAGGATTTGTTGACATGGTTCCCAGACAGATTTTTTTGGTTAGCGATGCAGGTGGGCACAGTAACTTGAGTTTGGTGTCTACATATTCGATTGATCGACCATTCGTCCTGATTCAAATGCTTGAAAGTTGGATCCTTCTCCACACAACAGCAGACATACATCAGGAGGAAGTGACCATATATAGGCTCCGAGAAACATGAAACCCCCCCCCCCCCTAAAATGGTTGATGCATTCGCTTTTTCAGGTCAATTCATTCTCGGATCGAACTGATCTCGAATGAGTAGCAGACTTCATGTATGTACCATGTCGTAACTATGTAGCATGTATGATTGTACATCGCGTCGTGGATCTGCAGGCGGTCGATGCTTACCTCAGCCAACCACGGCCCCGGCTGAGGTGAGGTCCCCGAAAACTTCACGAACCAACATCGGCCATTCTCCGGCGTGTCGGACCTCTCACCCAAGTTCTTTCTCTCTCTGTTGCCTCCGCATATACCAACGGCAAGAGAGTGAGCGACACACCTCACCCTCAACGCCATGGCTCCTCGTCTCTCTGGGAAGCTCGCCCAGCTATCCCAATCATTGGGTCTTTGGGAGATCCCATTGACCATCCCTCAAATCTCCATCCGCAACTTCGGTATCCGATCGCTCAACCCGCCCAAGCCCAGCCGCTTCAACAATCACCCCGGTCTGCCCGTGCTGGAGTCCACCTCCACGGCAGCGCTCCGTCGCAAGGCCTTCTCGCTCCCGCTCCGAACGGGCGCCATCGGAATCAAAAAGGGCATGACCGCCATCTTCGACACCGAGACCGGCAAACGCATCCCCTGCACCGTCCTCCAACTCGATCGAGTCGAGGTGGTCTCCCATAAGACTCGCGAGAAACATGGGTACTACGCCGTGCAAGTTGGCGCTGGCTGGAAACACCCGCGTAACATGCCTAATTCCCTGCTGGGCCACTTCTCGGCTCAGGGCCTATCGCCCAAACGGCACGTGTTCGAGTTCCGGGTCAAGGATGAGTCGGGTCTACTCCCTGTCGGCGAGAGCATTCCGGCCTCGTGGTTCCAAGAGGGTCAGTATGTGGATGCGCGGTCCAACACCAAGGGTAAGGGCTTTGCGGGTGTGATGAAGCGCCATGGATTCCACGGTCAGGATCGCAGTCACGGTGTGAGTTTGACGCATCGTTCAATGGGTTCGGCGGGTCCCAGTCAGGGTGGTGGTTCGCGTGTGTATCCCGGCAAGAAGATGGCGGGAAACATGGGAAATACGCAAAACACGGTTCAGAACTTGAAGATTCTCAAGGTGGATGCTGAGTCGGGCATCGTGGTTGTGAGTGGTGAGTATATGACAGCATTCTTGACATCTCAATCCTCAAATTGCCATTTACTGATTGTTGATCCTCCGACAGGTGCCGTGAGTGGTCCCAAGGGCTGCGTTGTGCGCATTCAGGACGCCATCAAGAAGCCCTGGCCCGAGGTGGCCTCGACCCCCGCTGCCACTGCCACTGCCACTGCGGCTTGATCGGTGATCAGACGCAGGAGATGCGAAGTGCTCGTTTTCGAAAAATTCAGTGTCTTTGGGGGGAAGTGGACGAGAGATGAAGACGCTTGTATTACTACCACTGCTACATTATATTTCTTCCAGCAGGATCACTACACCATTTTTTTTTCTTGAGCGGCGTTTGTATATGATATGATACATTCCAATGATATCCATTCTTTTCCTTTCCTCGGTTCTTCTTCTTCTTCTTGCGGGCTTGTTTCCCTCTCCACCTTGGATATCTTTTGTAACACTTCGGACCACGATCAACACTTGGCGGTCACTCTCACGAATCCAACTGGAACCGGAAAAAGAAGCTTGAGAACGAGAGCAGTTTCAGTTTGCTCAACGATCAAGATATTCCTTGCCAAAAAAACGCCATATCCCATGCGCAAGTGTCTAATTGTACAATTGATCCACATTCCTCCAGTTCCGTTCTCTGCTACTCGTTCCCCTAAATCTCCTTCCATCTCATACTCGAAACGTTCATTGTCTCTCACACCATCGGCGCTTCTCTACTCCTTACGGAATGGATCCGTATCACTGTCAAGCAATTGCACCACCGTTCCATCCTCGGTCTCCAGGCTCCATTCTTCCGTTCGGAACTGGATTCAGAAAGAAGAAAAAAAATGTCAGTCTCCATGAAAATATAAAGAGAAGGGGAAGGGCTCAAACTCACATAACTCATCCGATCTGGCCTCACACTCTTAAACCGCATCTTCCCCTGACCCTTCGTCCCCTTGACCCAAAACGAAATATCAATCCGTCCGTGCAACTGATTCATCTCCCCACTAATCCAAGGAATCTGCTGCGCGAAATAAATCTCATCGCCCAGAATCTCTCGCGCCTGCGGTGACGTGCGCAGCGCATACAGCGTACTGCTCACCACGCTCGACGTGGATTTTTGATAGTTGAAGATTCCGAGCATGGCCGCGCCGACGGTGACCACGAAGATGGGGATGGTCTTGAGCCAGCCCCGGTTACTTTGGATCTCGGGCAGTTCGCGGTCGGCGCGGCGTTCGAGGATGGGGCCGGTGTTGGGGCCGGGCGCAGGAATCAGGGTGCGTCGGGGTTGTTTGGGGAGTGTTGTGCGTGATGTGGTGACTGTGCTTGTGTTGGAGCATGTTTGATGATTGCGGAGGAGCGAGTTGATGGATTGAGGTCGTTTGGAGAGAGAGGTTCGGAGGAGCATTGTGGAAGAGTTGGTAGGGCTGATGGTCCCTCTACTCTGAGTGTGGGTTACGAAAGGTCCAGGAAAGAGAATTCCAATGTCGATAGGACTTGCGGATTCGGAATTGAATCACTTCGTCTGTCCACAGGTGGGTTGATAACGTCCGACTCGAGCAGTCGCGATGCGCGGAGGAGCTTTAGTGGGCAGAAATGGGAACAAAAGAGGCAAACGGAACAAACATCGGCCAGTTCGGCTTCCCTTTTTTTCTGGCGGGGTCACTTGATCAAGTAACTGGTGAATTATTGGAACAACTGTTGACGGTCATTCGTCTTGTGCTTTTCCTTTATTGTTTCTTACTCTCTTAACAGCAAGCTAGAACTTCTCTTACTTCTTGTGCTTCAAGCACTGCTATTATTTGGCTTGACCTATATTGTTATTGGGTATCGTTTCCTAGTTTCGGTCGAAGTAAGACAGTGCACTGGAACCCGAACTATGGCGGCTGTACGCCTTCGCAACGCATTTCGATATCCAGATGATCTGGATGACGATCAGGACCATCTCGACGAACAACAACAAGAACAACTCATCGAGCAGTTGCAGCGTCAAAATGATACCCGAAACGCTCAATATCATGTAAGTTCATGTATAGCATAGGATTCTGAAGCAGAATACGACTGATTATTTACACCGATTCGATCTTGTCTCTTTTATTTGTTTACTGTCTTCTTACTATATCTCCTACTCTTATCACTCCCCCTTGACTTCTCTCGATTATATTCATACAATATGTCATCTTTCTATACGATGGTCTCCATTTGCTATCATCTCCATCCTATAACCAAACTAACTCTTGACTCAAACAGCTAATATTCACAACGATCCCCCTCCTCGCCACCCTCCCCTTCCTCTTCACTCTCTTCTCATCCTCATCCATGGCCCTCCTCTCCATCCTCAGCATCCTCTCCCTCCTAACATCCGCATACACAATGCGTCTGGCCCCCCTACGCCCAGACCACAAGGGCAAAAGAGCGGTGACTGCCTCCACGCAGCGCAGAGATCGAATCCACGCGGCGCTTGTCCCGGGGAATGCGCTCCTCGTGCTCGTATTGGGGGGTTCGGGGTGGGCGATGAGGGGTGCTGGAACTGGAGCTGGAGCTGGAGCCGGTATGGGGATAGGGATGTTGTTTTTTATCCCGGGGGGTGAGTTTGAAGGAATCATTCTGGGATGCAATATTTTGTACGAGATCGCGATTTACTAATATTGTTTTTCTTTTCGAGATAGTGTTGTTGGGTGTCGTGTTGATTGCGCAACGGACGATGCTCTCCGTGGATATTTCGACGTTGAAGCAGTTGCAGTATGGGTATAAAGGTGCTTAGGGGAGTTGCTTTTGTGGCTGAGATGTGCGAGTTGAATCCCTGAGATGTTTCAATAGTACTAACTTACATCAAGTCTGTAATTTTATGCTCCGTCGTTCGTTGGTTCCATATCCGGCGGGACATGGAAATGGCTGTCCTGAATACATTGACGTTGAAGATATTTAGAGAACGTGGAAGACGTGAAAGAATGTATAAGAAGAGTCGATTATCCATTATTCATTATCTTCGTGAATTGCCCATCGATGGGTATGGGTGAGGAGCCGAACAGGAATCGAGTAGGCAATGTAATTGGAAGTGTCTGTGAACAAGGTCCCTTCAGTCGGGAAGCCAGTCGACATCATAGTCCTTAAGCAGGAATTGGCGACAACCTGTTTCCTGTTGTTCGCCTCTGTTCTTCTCCGTGCATCCCGACAGCAGTCGAAACTCAACCCCCCCCCCCCCCCCCCCCCCCAACTCTCACCCAAACCCAATGGCATTTGCAGCTTGTTCAAAAAAGTCTTCGCCGAACCCGCTTAGGTCCATCCATGATCCATCAAGCTCCAGCGCCGGATCGATGGGAATAGCCCCCGGTGGCCGAGGTTGCGCATCCAAGGCCCCATCCCCTGTGTGAGGCGGATGAGGTTCTGTGCCATTGCCTTGTTCTCTCTGTGCAGGCAATGGCATGTCTCCAGCATCCTGAATGTCATGAACGGACCCCGTTTGTAACGCTTCCAAATCCGAGCGAATCTCCTGCTCTACAAGGGATGCGTCCGATCGCTGTGTCTCGTCATGTTGTAAACGTTCCAATCTTTCGGCATTATCATCTCCAAAGGTCTTCAGCAGGGCCAGATTGGACAGGCGCATATTGACCAGGGACTCAATACTGCGAGGGTCCGCAATCTTCTGCGTATCATGGCCCATGAGAATATTAAAAGGTTTGTAAGGCGTCATGGTCTCGTCGTGGCGGCAGGCGGCACAATTGCATATGCCGCGACATCTGGGGCACAGCCAGTGGGGACGCTGCATCGCGTCAAGTGGAAGCATGTCAAAAGATCGGAAAAGACTGCTATAGCAGTAATGTAACTTGCACTTTTCGCACGATGCCAGTTTCCACACTTCCTCTTGGGATCGGCACATGTGGCATCGGGCTTTACCGGGCGCGGGCTTATTGCCGTTGGATTTGCGTTTCTTGCGAGCGCGAGCTTCACTATTGTCCCCCTCCTCTTCATCACTGTGGGTGGCGACTCGAGTGACGGCGGGTGGATTCTTATGATCGACCCATGGTCGAGCGCGAAGTTGCTCTTGGCATATCTCCGCGAGAGACTTGCGTCCAAGTTCAGACCGAGCCACCAGTAAGGTCGGAGGTTTTCTTTGCTTCGCATTTGAACCGGACGTCCATTCGACAATCTGCCGCCGCCAGGTCTCGTATCGACCGGTTAGTTGTTCCCAAGGGAATTGCTCGACCCATTTCAATTTGGAAACGCATTGACAACTTCGACCGAGGACATAGCAGTCCATGCAAATGTCATACGTCTCGTTGCCCTCTCCGACGCACCATGGGCATGTCAAGAATCGATTGAAGATATTGCATCGGCAGTAGGAGCATGTGATGTTGCTCTCGAACTTTTCAAAGTCAATCTCCTTGGCCGGTGGTGCGTTTTTCGAAAAGCCTTCGGACAGGAGAATGTCAGAGTAGAGGTAAAACAGGCGGCGAAAATCCTCCCGCAGCATCTGTATTTCGGGGTGTGAGGAATTGGCGGGAGCCTTGCATAGCAGTTCCGAATACCGCTCCAGGGTGTAATACACAATCGCTTTGTTCTTGTATTGTTCGTCACGGCAGATCATACGCGCATGGCTCAGCGCCTCGTCAAACGCAGCCTCGAGCGTGTCCACTGTGGTTCGGTTCCAGGCAACTTTCATCGTCCTCGTACCGCGATTCCACACCTGATGGGCAGCCAGCGGAGGCACCAGAATGAGATCCCCCGGTTTTTGTTCGACCACATATGTCTTGAAGGGTGCATTTCTCCAGGCTTGCAGGGATGCAAAATGGTTTTCCAGGTCGAGATCATGACCGAGCATCGACAGCCAGTACTCGGACACGATGTGACGATCCTTGGTCTCAGTCATGAGCCAGATGGACGAGCCCGGTCGCGTGGGCTGGCCGTTTTCCACCGACCCGTCCGTCGCCTCCACCATCAAATTCTGACCAAGACTGGCACACATTTCCTGGTGCGCTGGAGTATACGTGCCCTCATGGCCGATATAGCACATGAGATTCTGGGCCCGCATCGCCTCCGGGAGACTGCTCATCAGATCTCCGGCTCGAGCCACGGTCTGTCCATCGGGAGTCTTGGGCATGTCGGGAGTTGAGGAGGCTGGTGAATTTTGTCCCGTGAGAGGATCGTGGTTGAGGTAGAAGAAGGTGGAGGGAAGTAACTGCTCCAAGGACTGATGCCATTCTTTCGGGCAATCGATATCTTTTAGGTATAATCGTTGGATGTTGGATCGATTGAAGGTTTTGTCGTTGATGCGGTCGGTGAGCTTGTTCATATTCCTGAGATAGTGGCCCAGCGAGAGGGGAAGATTGCTACCCTTTCCCAGATCCCGGGCATCGTAAGCTGTTGATTGAGGAAAAGAGAGATGTGTGAGCTTTGTCATCCTGCCTGCAACTTGGGCGATGGCACTCGGGCAATATCCTGGATCTCGATACGGGATTGAGGGAACGAAAGAAGTCACTCACTTTGATTGCCATAGGTTTGCATCAGCCATTTCTCCGAAAAGACCTTCTTGTCGAGTAGTTTATCAAAGCCCGTGACCACGAGCGGCCGACCCAGCTGGACCACCCAGGTGCGAATGTAAAGGTCCAGGGATTCTCGGGGGAATCGGTTGAGATAATCACAGGGGATGGATTGAGCGAATTCAAAGTGAGGGATCGTTTCCACCTCCTTTTGCATGTCCACGTCTGGTGGGAATGGCTCAAAGGCGACCTGCGCACGCGGAATCATGTCGACTACAGCGACGCAGGTGGTGTGTGTGTGTGTGTGTGTGTGTGTGTGTAGAGACGGCCAGGTTCAGTGAGTGATGGGAGGTGGACAGAATCGTCGGTCAAGGGATTCGCGGCGCTGTGGTACTCGGACTAGGGAGTGACATGTCCAAAGATCTGTCGTGGTGACGCTAAGGGACACGCATGCTGATTCCTTCGTTGCGCAGTTGATTGATTTTTGGAGACAATGCGGGGAGAAGTTGATTCACCTGCTACGCCGCGCCGAGGGGAAACGGTCGGCTGAACGAGAAATCACTCCGTGATCAAAACGCAAGGAGTGGAGATCAATATGAATACTCGCTTAAGGAGGAAGAAGAAAATCGCTCGAGGTGTAGTATGGCTGAGAAATGAAGGTCGAGGACTTCTTGCAGATGCACCTGGAGGATTTCCAGCGGGGCGGAAGAGTCGCGTCGCGCGGAACCAGTACGGAGACCGCTTCGAATGGCGACTGGAGAAATGAACTCAGGGAAGTTTAGGAGTTGATGACTGACGAAGAGTCTTCATTTGCGACACATACATTATTTCACACCTGATATGAATTCAGAACAAGCAATGACTGACCTCCGTCAGCAATGTTGCCTTCGAGACAAAGAAAAGAGCTCGGCCTTTGATTTTTTTTTTTTTTTTTCCCAACAGCAAACGGCCAAAAGTACCACGGCATTCTGGTTCGCGCTGATAAGGTGAGCCTGCTATTCCCGGAGACTTTCCAGTTTCACTTTCCAGCTTCACTTTCCAGCTGCCACTACTAATGACACACGTGACACCGGTCATCTGTAGACGACGTCCTGGTTGGACACGGATATGACTCGGTTGGGGAGTCCTTACTCGGTTGCAGGTCAATCTTCCTCTGGAGTGTTCAATTGATTGATGTTATTGCTTCGATGCATCCCTGGTATACTAAGTAGTACTTAGTAAGTACTTATGTCGTGGGTGACGGTGGGTAGACTTGCCCCGAAATTGTCCCTGATGAGAGTCCTTCCGCCCCAGAACGGTTTAGACTGCGGATCGGATTTTTGGCCGACGGTTGGAATCCACTTGGAACTTTGGAAGACTCTCTGTGAAGTCGCGGATCGAAGTTCATGTCCGTCCCACCGACAGTCCTGCATACAGAATCAGGTCGATGTGATTCTTTTTCCGTGACCTGACAGCCTCGTTCGCAGTGAGACCGATCCATTGTCCCTCTGCTGGATCTCTTACACCGTGCCTACCGCAGTCTGTCGACGTTCCACAACTGTCTCGTCTGGTCTGGCCGCGCAAGCATGCATCAATAGCGACTCGTCGATTCTCACCCTCTTTCCCTTCCAGCCGATCCCACCATTACCGCTCTCGCACTTTTCGCCCTTTTATACAGCGAAGATGATGCTCTCCAGATCGAGTGCTCGAGTGCCCTGTCGAGCATCAAGACTTCAACCTAGTCCATGTGTCCGCGTGTCCGTCGGCAGTCGATTCCACACGCACTTGGTCACCTCTCGATTCGGTCGATCAACAAGACAAGCCACCGCCGCGACCACCCAGCAAAGTTGGGTTTGCAATGCCTCTTCCCTTGACCGTGTGCAAACGGCGTCGAGGGTTCCAACATTTACATCCACGAGACACGAGCGGTATTCCACGTCCACGGTGCCGGCACCTGCCGACGCGACCGGCCAGAACCCCATCAATCCTGCGACACACTATATCCCCCCGCAGACCGGCCTGATCGCCTCGCTACCCAAGTCGTGGATCCCATATGCCGAATTGATCCGCCTGGATAAACCGACAGGCACCTACTATCTTTTCTTCCCAACCCTTTTCTCCACTCTGCTGGCGGCTCCAATGGCAGCGGAGGCCATCACCCCGCTACAAGTACTGGGCACATCGGGTCTGTTCTTTGCTGGAGCTCTCATCATGCGCGGTGCAGGATGCGCCATCAATGATCTCTGGGATCGAAATCTCGATCCTCATGTTGAGCGCACCAAGTTTCGACCCATCGCACGGCGGGCGCTGTCCCCGCGAAACGCAGTCCTCTTCACAGGGACTCAATTACTCGCCGGCCTGGGTATTCTGTTGCAATTCCCTTCGCAATGTCTCTGGTACGGGATCCCCAGTCTGCCGTTGGTGGTCGCTTATCCGCTCGCAAAGCGTGTGACCCATTACCCTCAGGCCGTGTTGGGTCTGGCCTTTTCCTGGGGTGCGATCATGGGGTTTCCAGCGCTGGGAGTGGATTTGCTTGCGAACCAGGATGCGTTGATGGCGGCGAGTGCTCTGTACACGAGTTGCATTGCGTGGACAATTTTATATGACATGATCTATGCCCACATGGACATCAAGGATGATGTTGCCGCAGGGATCAAGTCCATTGCGCTGCGCCACGAGCATAATACCAAGGCGGTTTTGACCGGGTTGGCAACGGCTCAAGTTGGTCTACTGGCTGCGGCGGGTGTGGCCGCGGGTTGTGGTCCGGTATTCTTCGTGGGGAGCTGTGGAAGTGCGGTTGCCACGTTGGGACTGATGATTTGGAAAGTTCAGCTGAAGAGCGTTCCTAATTGTTGGTGGTGGTTTAAAAATGGATGCCTCTTGACTGGCGGGGGCATTAGTCTAGGATTGATGGGTGAGTATCTGGCGCAATACTATGGATTGTATGAGAAGGAGGAGCACTCGGATAAAGTGGTTGTATGATAAAGAAGGGGTCCTCGAGACACCGTTGACTGTACAATATGTATCAAATATATATATATATACATATATATATATACCTGCCTGTTTCTCCGTCATGAAGCTTTGCCTCCTCCCATACGCCATGATCTATTTACGCATTCGAAGGAGCTAGGTCTTGAAGCCCACTGTCTTCATTAACAGTCCACTTGATTTCTTTTTCTACTTCACCTCTAGATTACGACAGATGGTAATATTGACATCATAGTTGCCAATCCAGTATTATATTCATTGCAACCTAGTCCTACAAGCTATAGTAATGAAGTATGCAATATGTCGTATGTGTCTCTGGAGAGTGTAGTCTGTAGTCTGTTGTTTGTAACTTTGAACAACACGGCCACGCCTCAGCAAAGTGGACCCCTCGACGTAATGATCAACCAAGGAGAGCTCCCCATTACTCAGATGCAGTACCATTGTGTAATCAAATTCCGCATCTCCGCGGTCTTGACCCTCTCCGCCAAAAGCTCCTCCGCAACATCGGCAGAGAACTTCTCGTTGTCAAAGTCGCTGCGCCTTCACACTCATACACCGCAGCCATGTTCTCCCGCACAGTATTCTCGGTACGTGATTGCCTGAGTCTTGATAAGACTATTCAGTTCCAGTCCAAGACGCAGTCACAGTCACAGTCACAATTCAATCATCGACCCTGCCTCATCATTCTGTTCCCTCTCATATCCATCGCCTCGACTCGCCTCAACTCAACTCGACATGATCCGAGCTATTGGCAGCCCTCTTAAAAAAAATCACCTACTAACTTTTCAATTTCTTTCTCACCAGGCTCTCCGCCCCATCTCGCGACCTTCCTCGCTGACCACTCCCCTCCGCACCTCCCTTGCCCCTCGCGCCCCAGCATTCACCATCCCCTCCGCTCTGCACGCCCGTCTCTTGTCCTCCGAGACCCGCGCCGCCATCGACAAGGCGGTCGCTTCGGCGCCCGTCGTGCTCTTCATGAAGGGAACCCCCGAGACGCCGCAGTGTGGCTTCTCCCGCGCGAGTATTCAGATCCTCGGCCTGCAGGGCGTGGACCCCAGCAAGTTTGTGGCGTTCAATGTGTTGGAGGATGCGGAGTTGAGACAGGGTGAGTGACTGTCCTTTGGGTCTCTAAGATGTTGGACTCTTTCTTTGTTCCTCTTGTTTCGGTGACTGATGTCGGATTTCTTATTTCTTGCGTGGGGTTGCAGGTGTCAAGGAGTACTCCGATTGGCCTACTATTCCTCAGCTATATGTTGACAAGGAGTTTGTGGGTGGGTGTGACATTCTCATGAGCATGCACCAGAATGGCGAATTGGCCAAGATGCTGGAGAGCAAGGGTGTTCTTGTTGCTGCGGATCAATAGATTCAGGACCGAGGGATGATGTTCGGAGACCGCGACATGAAGAAATGGTGGTCCGAGAAGGTCGGAAGACTGACTGGCTGGACGGAAATGGAGAAAGGAGAGAGTCATGCTCATTTTGGGCTTCTGCTCTTATGATATCCATTCTTTGAGAGTTCTCCGTCGCGGAAAGAATGACGTGATATGAGGACTTGGAGAACGGTCTGAGTCGTGTAATATATTGATAGTTTATGGATCTCCCTACGTGGACAAATGCTGCTCTTCTCTCTACAGTGGGAAGATGGTGGACATTGTATCAAAGTACATTCTTGCACGCTCTCGTTCATCTTGGCGCAAATATACACCATGGGACCGGAGTTGGCGCTAACCCTTTGTCGGCGACATCTAATTCCTGGATTCCGCGGTGCTTTCGTACTCGGGGCTAAACACTGTGATATAACGGTGTTTGCGCATCCCCCGATTCGGATGCCTGCAGTATTCCCCTTGGAAAAGATGGTCTATCTTATAGAAGTGTCACCATCAAGCGAAAATAGCGTCCACGGCTAGATTAGCTTTTTGCTCGCATTTCTCGCACTTTCGTAAGTCTCGTAACTCACGTAACTCACATAACGGTAAATCTGGTGAATCTAAGTAGCAATTTGATATTGAGGTATCTATAAAAGTCTGAGCGAGAGACTAACCACCGATATTTCTACATTTGCTCCGATGAGTATGTGAGTCGGCATAAGCTGCGCTACTGCGGTACTAATCGAGGCGCTGCTTTGGTCGAATCATCGCACTGCCTAGTATCTTTGTATCAACCGTATTCAAAAAAGATGTAGAAGACGGAATGGAACCTGTACGAAACTCGAAGGCCATTGTAGGTAGTACACTTTGGAAGTTTCGTTCCTTAGTAGTCCTCTTTCGCATCATAGTACGTACTTGTAGTACTGTTCAGAGCAATGGCATATTGAATGCCTATGTACCTTTTTTCATCTCCATCAGTATGTGACAAATAGCAAGGCCTTTCCAGATTTATGTACACTTTGGTCCCTGCAACCTTTCCAATGTTGTTTTTTATGTTTCAGGCAGACCGCCTAAACCTTCCCAAGCTGAAAAATCCGTTCAAGAAGACGCCGCCTGCTCTTGCGCTTTGACCAAATCTTCCGCAATCGCTTTCTCCAATTTGGCGCGCTGGCGGGCTTCGTACGCTTCACGACTCTTCAGGATGCGACCCACGATTTCACCGGCATTCACATGCTGGAAGGCGTGGTCGCCAACTTCTTGGAAGATGCCCATCTTCTTGGGATCTACGTATGGATCATAGGTCAGTGGGATGAAGGTCGTGGGTCCGTGGTAGACGATGTCGGGCGTGCCGAGAGGCATGGCCTCGAGATAGGGTTGACTGGGGGTAAAGGGGGCCGAGAAGATGACTGCATTGATGTACTAGAACAAGAACCAAATCCGGGAGGGCGGATCCTAGTGGTTAGCGAGGATTCCCATTTCGTCCAATATGTTGCGTGTTCGCCGGAACTGGATGTTGTACTCACGCGACATTGAAGAACACAAAGACCGCGCTCAAAGATATTCATAATGGGGTAATTGAGCCCCTTCCAGTGGTTAATCACACCGTCATCGTGAATACCGGCGACAATGTATGCCGGGGAATAATCTTCGCCTGTTTCTTGGACTCGCTTCTCTCGCTGCGCAGACTCGAACCAGCCTCGTCGACGACCTTCGGCCTCTTCTGTTTCCATGACCTTACGGAGGAATTCAATATGTCCCGAAGAGAAGAGATCAAAGCCACCGTCCACGTAGACGATGCGTTGTCCAGGCTTAGGTCCCTTACCCTCGACCAACGGCGCGAAGATTCCCGACTCGGCCACTTCATTCTCAATCTTGGCTTGTCCGGAGCCCTCCCACGTCCATACCTGGGGTCCTGGTTGTAAGCCCGTCTCATCGGTCGCGTAATCACGGATGCGCTGAAGAAGATCGTTGGCAAAGGCCTTTCGCTCGTCCGGGTTTCCTGACCCTTCCTCCCCCGTCAGAGTCTTCTTGACTGATTTGACAAAGTGGTTCTTGGTGCAAAGCAGCATGCGGCCGACGAGATCGGTGGTTGAAATGCCCGGTGTGCGCTTAACGACCTTGAACCGGCCGGCGGCCTTGACGAATCGGTAACAGTCATTTCCGTCGCTGTCGGAGGTGATGTCGTCGCCGTGTACAACGTACTTACACCCGTAGTGCGATACCCAAGGCAAGTAAGTCACGTAGGGGGCATGTGGAACGCTCAAGGTGGCCCAGCGACAGGCGTCAACGGCGGCGACACTGGAAGAGAATGACGAGGTGTAAGAGAATGTATAATTCAGACGATTGAGAGAAAGACCCTTCACGTGCCGCAATCAAAGGCAGAACGTGACCTACCGTTCGTCTAGTGACATGACTGTAGGACCTTTATTTTCGAGAATCGCCTCATCCGAGTGAATGCCCACCACGAGGGCCTTGCCCAAGCGGCGCGCTTGTAGCATTGCCCCTGCGTGACCTGCGTAGCGAAAATAAGCCCGAATTGTTAGTCATGTCTCCTTCTCTTTCATATTCATGGTGATTGTTGCCAGAAATGGCGCTGGTATCTGCTCACCGTGGTGACTAAAATCAAAACATCCATCAACCCAGATGCGATCCTCGGAGACGGGCATATCTTCTTGAGGGTCCACCGGCCATTGACCGGGCGAGGGGATCTGTTCGTCGAGTGGTTTGGTAGAATCCATGATTGCTGATCCAGCCGGAGGGGTATCAAGCTCGAATGAAAAACCGAGACACAAAGGGCAGAAAAGAACAAGAACGCATGCAGCAGAATTAAAGGAGAGATCTGGAGGAGGGGGAGCTAGTTGTCGAACATGTGAGACTGGCCTTATGGAAATTATGGAACTCCGCCGACCAAATCAGGAGGGGGTGGGGCAGTCATTCAGGGACCACTGCAGTCTCGAAGCCTTGGCTCCGATCGCCCATCACATGTGGATTATGTACTCCTCTCAACCCGTGACTTGTGACACTTTTGAATGTTTGACGGACTCGGGTGGGAAAGTAGTGAATTACTCTCAACTTTTCTCAATTGTCAAGTCTCCTTCCCTCACTCCGCCTCGCGCATTGAATGATACATCGGCAATTCTTCGTCCTCCACCTCCGATCGCCACCTTCATCCAGAAGACACGGACCTTCCCCTCTCGACTCCATTTAACCCCTGACCCGCTTCTTTGAGATCGCAATGCGCTAAGACCGGCAAGAGACACCAGCTCGGGCAGTGCCAATCAACTGCAAACAATCACCACAACAGTAGTGCAAGGATAATTGCAAGCTGAAAGCGGACCAAAAAAAAATACGAGGAGAATAACACCATACCATTTCATTCACTGCCTCCACTCAACAATCCATGATGATGTCGTCATCATTCGGACCAGGCCTCGCGCGACGAGATACCAATAAATCAACCACTGGATATGAACCAACACTCGGGAGTATACCTCCCGTGTCCGGCGGTGGAGGTCCCTTTGGACCTCAGAGTGCCAGCGCCATCTACCAGCAGATTCATGACATGTCAGCCAAGCGGATATCGACGTTGAATTATTTGCGAAAAGCGTGAGTCGCGGCCCAACAGACAAACCCGAAGGAGGTTGGTCACGAGAGAGACTGGGAAAAAAACTGTTTCACTGACAGCATCGTCCATCACGGCTCTCAAACTTTCACAGTCTCGAAGGCCGCGTCTACTGGTACAACACCGTCCATTTCTCCCGAGCCGACATCAACCGCCTCCCCTACTTTGAGCCTCGAAAGCTCGCCCGTCGAGCCGTCAACTACCTCCTACTCGGCATCTCCCTCCCACTCATCCTCGACGTCAACACCAGTCCCCTCGAATACCTGAAAGCGCTCAATGCGCTCCTCATGGAATTCGAAGCCTTCCAACAGATCCACCCCCCAGACGGGACGTCCTCCTCCAGTCTTGCGCGCGCCCGGATCCCACAGATGTTCAAGCGAGCCACACACGCTGGGACCAAGACCCGGCGCGCAAGTTCAGCCACCGAGATTGGATTGCCCATGCAAACCAGCGACCCGAGTGATTTGAAGAGCGCGGCGGCCAATTCCACGTCGAGTGCGGCGGCGTCGGTGATCTCATTCGCTCTCACCGAGTCGTCGGATCTGTTGCCGGGGGAAGAATACACGTACTTGTTGACGCCCTCGTTGCCGTTTGAGCCGGATTTCTTCGAGACGTTTGCGACGCTGTGTGATGTCTTGATTGATTGCTATGGTCGGATTACGGCGCTAGTGCCGAACCCGTCGGTGTGTACGGTCACCTTGGGGGAGACTTTTTCCAAGGCGGATGCCAGATTGCGGAAGATTATGGTGGCCGGAGCGGTGCGGGAGTTTGAGGATGCCAGCCGGAATGGGGTCAAGAATGAATTGGCGGGGGTGAGTCGGGTGGTGCTGGGGGGACTATTGGGGTGAGATTACGTGGTTGGGTAATTGGGTACGTGATGTGTATGCAAACTATTCACGTGTCAGTACTCAGTGCTATGGGTACTGTGGTGGGTGCTTGATGACCTTGACGGATATACCCTTTAAGAGTTTAGACAATGTACGAGAGATGATGAGGTCAAACTGGACATATTTCTTTTCACACCAGTAAGCAAAGGTCTCCGAGGATCTAGGTGTCGTGCAAAGAGTAATAAGTCTATGTAACGCTGCCAGTCATGGCGGATATCAATGGTCTCTAGCAAAAAGACAGGAAACAAACACAGCTCGAAAAAGGCAAAGGGCAATAATGGAGGACGAGGTACTTTTGATTCGAATCGTTGTCGCGTCATGATACCTCGAGCGGTATTTTACTCAAGGTCCAGTGCTGAAAGAACAAAACTCCAAGAGCGCCCAATGCTTGGTGAAAGCAGAGAAAAAAAAAAGAAAAAAAGGGAATCACAGAATAGAGAAGTGGGAAAGCATCAACAGAGAAAACGGAGTGGGGGATACGCCAAAGAATGCAGTCGCTGAAGAGGGGACGATGTGTAGAAAGAGGGACTTTTGATCCCTTCTGCATGCGAGATTACGTGCTCGTCACGTAGAAAGGCTAGGAGATGAGTGTCTTGATGCAGTTCAATCATGACTGCGTGCGTTGGCTTTCCAACTCCCGCTGCTCGCCAAAGACACGACGGCTCATCTCCAGGACGGTCTCGAAGCCCTCACGACCACGCTTGGCGTTCTCGCGGAAGCGCTCCACGCTTGCGTCCTCCACCTTGTTCTTGATCTTTTGCCAGCCACCACAGAGCGCCGTGATCTTGGCCTCTTGGGTAAACTCTGTGGTGGTGTTGGGGGCGGAGGGGGACGGCTGATAGGTGACGGTCTCGCGGACGTTGAGAACATTCGACCAGGTCAAGTTCGTGGAGCACATGGTCACCTTCTTGGCCTGTGGGTCGACGTAGGAGACCTCGTAGACGTGAGAGACGGCATCGCCGCCGAAGAGAGATGAGACCCAAGATGGGACCGACTGATTGCATGTGATCAGACGTTCGGTGCGAAGCTGGAAGATGATAGAGACATGTCAGCTAGGTTTGCGCTTTGTAGGGTAAAGCGATGGGCATAGGCCATGGGGTGTCACTTACGATTCCAGTCTGAGGGTCGATCGTGCGAGACAGAGTGTCGACGCCGACGACGTGGGTAGCCTTGTCATTCCATGGGCAGTACTTTCTCCAGTTGGCAGTGGAGACCTCATCCCAGGAGTACTCAAAGTTGCATGTAGATGAGAAGACCTTCATGATGTGTGGGTTGAAGGGGTGAAGATTGGAGATTGTGGTCGCGTGTGTGGATGTGCGCGTCAATCAGAGGATATTGAGGTGAGAAACTTCCGTTTTGGTGATCGGACTGAAGGATGTAGGTCAAAGCGAGTGATGGAGGAGTGAAAGATGGGAGCTTGGCGTGTGAGGCTAAAGAAGGACTCTGGTGGCAAAGCTCTAGAATCACCGAGATGATCAAGCGTTGTGTAGATGAGTCAGGTATCGTGGAGGATGAGAAAAAAGATGGAGAAGGGTGGAGAGAGTGGCGATCGAGAGCGGCCAGAGGGGGATCCAGACGGTGCAGAGGGAGAATTTTCTCGTTTTCGCGGTTCGCTCAGGGCAAGCCGAGAATTCCCGCGCTTCAAGGGGAACCGCCCTATGAGAGATCTCCATGCCTGAGGCCGATATTGCCGGTTTCCAGATTCGAGATCGGACAGCGCCTGCAGAAGGGTCACATGACTCGCCATCACCACTTAGTCAGCCAACATGTGGGTTTTGATCTACGCGGGCAAATGTCATCATGCGTCTAATAGGTTCCTCGGAGATGAGCAATGGGGTGAAAATGATTCGCGTAGACCATTTACGGATTCAATCTCCATTCTCACTGTACATCATACATCGACATCGCCAAAAATGATCTTCATTGGGCAAGTGCATAACAAAGTGCATGTTCAATTGGCACAGTAAGTGAGCTGTGACATACAGATACTCTGATGTACATCTCGTAAATACCAGGTGAAATTTGGCTCTTTGTAGTAGAGGACCATCCCGAGTCAGACGGTCCATAACAATATTAGTCAGGCTATGATACTGCCGTCCACGTGATATTAGGTCAGCCTTGCTTACTGCTGCTGCTGTTGCCAACCGAGCTCGTGCATGCAACTCGTAAAGAGATGTGCTAACTTCCAAGAGACCCTGCTCAGCATGTAGAGAACGACAGAAGTTCATCAGATATTGAACTTTTACTTCCTACACTCCTATCCTTCGCAACTGAAATGGTACTAATTCGATCCAACCGATCTTCCTGTCAATCTGCCCAGTAATACTCAGGTTCACAGCTTTACGTTTCAAACGAGACTGAAGATAGCGATCACAGCCCGCATACGAACATATATCCATGTCTTATATCATAATCTCGCTTGTCCAAGGATCGTGTCGATGTGTGTGAGACTGTGAGTGGAATTAAGCAAGCTCTAGTGACACGCTGTTGGGGTCGTCCACCGACGGAATCGGTGGAGTTGCCTGGGCAGCTCCAGACTTTGGCGGTTGATCCGTGAACCACAGTCCAGTTCCACACTCCACGAGTCCACACTACTACACTGGCACGTAGTCGTAGTACTACTACCTGAATCGATAAACGTATCCTTTTGTGAACTACTGATAGTTGTACACTCCTCCATAACGTGGGCGAATCGTCAGGGAATGTAAAATTGTACAACAGTGTATTACCATGGACAGAGAGCGCACTAGAGTAGTAGCAGACACGGAACAGTGGACACTGGACAATTTCATCCTTCACATAGAATGTGTTGGTAACGGGCTGCACCGGCGACTGAAAGTACCTTTTTTCCCTGAATGTACATACCGCGTCAGGTCATCCTGCCTCCACGCTCATTTCCCAATTGGGTCATTCCCATTTGGGTCAAGCTATCATCCATTTCAGTGCTCCCCCTCCCTCTCGTGCTCGCTCTGTTGTTTTTTCCCTTCTCAAGCCACACATGCCTGCTCTCCCCAATTGGCCCCAGTCCCCTTTCTGTTCGGGCTCTGTTGTTGTGTTGTAACCCTGAACCCTGTGCCATTGCCCTACTTTTTCCCTTTGCTGTAATTTCCCTCAACCTCGACCCTCCATCTCTCTTCCTCTCTCCCTCTCTCCCTCTCTCCCTCTCTCCCTCTCTCCCTCTCTCCCTCTCTCCCTCTCTCCCTCTCTCCCTCTCTCCCTCTCTCCCTCCCTCTCGCGCTCCCACATTCCTCCGTTCCCACCAACCTCACATCCGGTCCATCTCCCGACTCTCTCACCAATCCCTCATCATGGTTGAACTCCGTAAGCGCAAAGCGCCCGCGCCACCTCCTGTGGTGGAAAAGAAGAGCAGACCAGCACCCAAAGCCAAAGCTGCCGCGGCCGCAGCCGCAGCCGCAAAGCCGGCGGAGACCACGAAGGAGAAGCCCAAATCTAAAGTGCCCGAGGCGGGCGACGCCATTGATCTTGACAGCTTCGGGGGCGAAGTTGAAACCCACGATGGTACCAAGACTACCTTGAAGAAGCTGGTCGAAGAGAGCAAAGCGGGTGTGGTCCTCTTTACCTACCCCAAGGCCTCGACCCCCGGCTGTATGTGTTTCTATCTTCCTTGTCCATCCTCACCGTGGCGCAATGTGCGCGCTTGGTCGCATACCCACTTGCGACAATATGGAAATCGCACAGTCGCGCGCACATCCTCTTATCCAGTCTAATTCTTGTGAATAGGTACCAAGCAAGCTTGCTCATTCCGCGACAATTACTCGCATTTGAGCTCAACGGGACTGACTATCTACGGTCTCTCGGCCGATTCCACCAAGGCTAATACCACTTTTAAGACTAAGCAAAATTTGCCTTATTCGCTGCTTTGCGACCCCAGTGCGACTTTGATCGGAGCCACTGGACTCAAGAAGTCGCCCAAGGGTACTGTGCGTGGTGTCTTTGCGGTGGACAAGAAGGGCAAGGTCTTGCTCCGCGAAGCCGGCGGCCCAGATGCGACTGTGGATGCGGTGCAGAAGCTGGTCGCAGAGGGATCACAAGGAGCAGAGAAATCCGAAAAGACCGAGGAGGCGGATGCGGATGCGGAGGAAGGGAGGTCTGAGGAGAAGCGGGAGAATGGAGCGGAGGAAGATGTGAAGAAGGACGATACGAAGGAAGAGGAAGAAGGTGAAAAGACCGAGGAAAAGTGATCGCGCGTGGAGCGAATGTTTGCGCAAGAGCGGGCAATGGACGATGAAACCGAGGCCTACCTATTTTAATTTTCGTCTAGACTCTTTCGGGCTCTCTCACCTATTGTCGCAGACTTGGACCCAGCTGATCAAGCAATTGAGACACACTAATATAGGCCGATTGTCACAGCGAGATCCCACTCCCACTCGAGAACTGTAGGCCTTGCAATGAGATCACAGCCCTGGGCTAGTACACGACTCCAGTGATAGTACCTTAGTATTACTTAGGTACGTAAATAGAACCGATTAGAAGATCGCGTATACCAGACATCAATTGTGTCAAGATTATTTGGACAAAAAAGCCGAGCCTCCAGATAAGTGATTACATCCGATCAAAGGAAGCGTCCGGTCAGGATCTGGTCTTAAGCGTGTAACAATCTGTAAGGTGCGCTTGTAACGCAGTTCTTCAGGAACAGAAGGCAGCCGGGATTGTATCCTGTACTCTCCCGGCAAAACATATGGCGTTGACATGATCGCGATCTGATTTTGACCCCACATTAGATGATATGCTCCTTTGGCTGGGATTACTCTCACCGTGCAGAGTAGCCCTGTCCAACGGGAGTTCCTGGTCTTAGATCTAGCAAAAATGCTGTGTGCCTGGGTGCCATAGTCATACATACTACAGTACACACTACAGTACACACTACAGTACACACTACAGTACACCGCACATGCGAAAAACGTACCGACATCATGCAGGCCTCTTGACTCTCTCCGCCGCTCAATCACGTGACCTTTGCACCTCCGTGGACCCGACGTACCGCACCGATGACCCTCCAGCTCGCCGCAAGCGCTTTGAACGATTCCTCAGCATTGTCTCTTTGCAGAGGTAAGTCTACGACGCTCTATCTTTGCTCCTTGGAAGGCTGCATATCCTTTGTATGTCAGTGCTTCGAGACTTTCCAAGGCGCATGACTCATCATATCCCGTTTCGCATAGTTCAGAGTCTTCAGTCATGGCTCGCGATGTCGTCAAGGCCGCTCAGTCGGCGTCTCATGTTATGAAGGTCTCTCAGGTGCGTGACCAGATTGCGGCCCCCGAAAATCTTCAATCCTGGGGGAAAACAAAAAGGCCGGCGGATGGGGAACAGTGTCCATCGTGCTAAACTTAAGACCCGCTACACAGAAATACACCGTCCGCTCCACCGGCGTCTGGGAACGGATTCGTCGCCTGCTCGCTATTGAACCTGATCGATCCAGCGGCATCCCCTTGAACTCTCAATTCCGTCTTCCATCGCCCGGCTCTCTTCCTCCTCTGGCCTACGAGGACCCCGTCACCACCCCGGCGGGCGATATCGCTGACAACCCCTACTGGAAGCGTGACATGCGCCGGAGCTACCCCAAGCTGAGCACCGTGAGCCAGGCCGATGCAGTCAGCTTGCTGACTGTGGGCAGCCAGGCTGCGCCCAAGGACGAGGTGTTGCAGATTGGCGAGGCTGGCGCCAAGCAATTGGTGGAGGTGCAGCAGGAGGGTCAGGAGCGTGGTTTGGCTGCTCTGTTCGAGAAGGATCAGAAGAGCATTCAGGGTGTCTTGGGGGCCAACGGTTTGCCTCCTACCCCGGCCAACATCAATACAGTCTCGCAGGCTGCTCGATCCAAGTATGAGATTGACTCGGAACATGGTTACCCTGAGGTGTAAGTCTTGCCTTGTACTTTTCTGTCCTTGTTTCCTTTGACATTTGGGAAAACCTGGACAAGAAGTCTACACTGCCTCTAAGCTGCGGGGGGTTTTTTTTACGGTTGGCCCATAAGCTGATTCTCATATCTGTGAACAGGTACCCTTGCCGTACATTTGTTTGATTAGACAATCCTCTTGGGATTTTTTTGTGGTACGCCGTGTCTAGACTACGGAGGGGTTTACCTGCAACTGGGGGCGTAGTAGCCTTTTCTTCTTTGAAATTGAATTGATTCTGTTCCCGTTTACCCGATGTGATAGCTCCAGGCTTGTCCTTGTCGCGCAGCGTCCTTTTTGCGAGTTTGAAGACTCTTAAAGGTTCCGTGGGTGGTCAAGTAATCCTGCCAAGTGGGACAACTAAGAACCATATTGGATCCATCAATATGTAGCGGGTCGTGAGCTATAACTCGCTACAGTCTTTCCATGCCTGTCCAACTTTCCCGTACTTAGCAAATGCTGCCCGTCTGCTACATGAAATGATGCAGCGCTCCGCCACCTGCGTGAAAAGATCATAGTAAACTGCTCTTGTATCGACGCTGTACATGCGAGACCGATTCAATGTTCCAACTGAAGATATACTCGAGTGCATATCCATACTTGACGTCATACGACGCTCCTGTACAAACAGTCTAAGTGTTTCTCGTTCCACTTCTTCCGTAGGGAATCCTGCTCGTGTCCTCGCCTGATGGCACAACCCTTTTTTTGTCTTTTGTCCTTTGTCTTGAGTACCTGCATCTTCGCCGTAAATCTGAGCCGGAGGGCTAAGCAAGTTGAGTTGAGCAGGCTGGTCCCGTCGGGGTCTTACAAATTTTACGAGGTAGCGAATTCGAGGCGGTTGAAAGTACCACCTTTTCAAATGTAGTGTCCAAGGGCTTGAGGTATGGACTCGTGAGATACTTCAGTGAATGGGCTTTTGCAATGAGAGAATAACCATTGCTCTACCAGTTTCGACGTCCGATCCTGCAGGCAGTGGAATCAAGTAGGTGAAAATTCAAGGTTGCAACTTGCAAGTCGTCGGGATTCCACGGATATACATATATGCTTTCTATATGGCAATGGTGAAAGAAGAGCCACGAGTCTCATGACGACTTGAGAGCATGAAATGTCTGCGCTAGGATTTTGCCGATGTTCCAAAGGTCTGAAACATTTACTTCGGTGGGCTGAGTCAGGACTGGTGGCTGTGCATGAGGCTGAGCTGGTCAGATATGTATTCGTAAACCAAGAGCCTACCGTATTTCGACCTAAAGGCGGGAATGCCGTTGGAATTCGTGTTGGCTCACGGGATGTTGCTCTATCATGAACATACTTCCACTTGTCTAAAGCTTGTAAGGTGTGCCTTTGCCAAAATGACCGAGACCAAGGCACTGCATAGGGTCCCCGATCGTCATTGCTTGCAGATATAATAATGAGTTCGAGTCCGACATGCTACGAAGCCGCATTGGGTCGACGAATCAACTACGAGCGATTGACTGACGCTGGCTAAATGCTATCGCCCGATACCTTCGCAGTTCGATGGCCAGCACAACGTCGTCCGAAAATTGTTTTTCAAAGCGTCTCTGTCGTTCCGGAAACGTTCTCGCTAATGTCCGCCCTACGATCCCCGGATACGTCTGCCGGATACCCAGTCATTACCGGAGTGAATATGAACCCAAGGTGAATGTAAGCGTTTGCATTGGCATTAGCTGATTAAGAATAAAGAAAATAAGCTGGAACTAGATGTACAGGGATCGCCTCCATCTTGTATGTCGTTAAACATGATTTCTCCGTGGCGACTTTCAGTATGGCTCATCGACTAGCACGGGACGAACGGATATTTAATCGAAGGGGTTAACGCGAGTGCCCCACCAGGTGAGGAACAAGCTGAGGCCGACGGTCTCGAACACACGGGAGACAGCGCTGACGGCCACGGTGTCCAGGGGACGCTTCTCCAGGAAGAGCTGGCTGACAACCTATACGTGGAAAGCGAAACGTTAGTGGATGTGATCAGTCGAAATCGGCTTTTGAATATTTGCGAGCGACTCGAAGATATCCCAAGGAAGATACTTACACCGGGGGCAGAGCTGGCAAAGAAGATCAATGAACCGAGGTAGGCAGCACCCTTATAGCTGAGAGTACCAGTAGCGTTGATGAGAGCGGCGACACCGTAGGTCTGGACGGCACTGCCGGCGAGGGAGCTACCCCAGGCAGCGGCGGCACCGGCAGCCTCCTTGGACTTGAGGAACTCCTCCTTGGAGTTGGAGGCCTGAGCCCGGTGGTAGGTGTCACCGAACAGAGGGGCGAGGATGCCAAGGGAGGCAGTGTGGGTGAAGAAGGTACCCATCGCAATAGCGGAGGGCTTGACGGGAGGAAGGTCTGGAGCGTAGATGACGATGTTAGTGAATTGAACGCCTTTCTCCATCGCCTGTTCTCCCGGTGGCATTTCTCTTCACTCTTTCCTGCCATTTGCACGAGCGTGGACACGATGACTTAGAGATACATACAATGAAGGGTAGTCATGATGGCGGTTGGAGGTGGGTGAGTTTTCGGAAGGTTCGAAGGGTGTGAAAAAGGCCTGAGGGGATGGAATAGAGAAAGTTGGAAGAATCGACTGACGGGAGCAACGAGCTTTAAAGGGAGCTTTTGAAAGCTGGCCAGTGAGCAGGTGACCCAGGCAAAGGTCGCAGAGAGCTGGGAATGCGGTGACGTCGTCATGATTCAGTCTAGATTGGGCGACTTCATGCGGAGGAGCGCCATGACGTCAGGTTACAGTGGTCGCAGCGGGCAACTGTTCGGTTGAAACCTCCTCCTCCTCCCTCCTTGAATAAACAGTTGCACACCTACAGCCCTACTCTTTCCTTTGGCTCCAGTTCCCACTATAGGTCGGCCAATATTTCTCCTTTCCTTCGACGATCCCCCCCCCTCTCCCAAACTTCCTTGTTCTGGGACAAGGTGGCTTCGGACCAGGACAGTTTCCCGAATTGATTGAAGATTCGTCATGCAGTTACGGCACGACAAGGAACACTTGGAAACTTCGATGAGAACTGGGTTCCGCTAAGTCCACAACGTGGATATGGCGTTTCAAATTGTGGTTCCCAGGTGCAAGGATATCCTCACTTGAGAGAATGATGCGCTAGTTCTCACAACTCCCCCCGCTCAACCTGTGGCTCCTCCATGCGTGTGCTTCTAGCCGTTCGAACCCGGTGTCAGTCCCCCGGAGTTGGCGCCAACCATGTGGAGAAGGTCGAGATGGTTCCGATCGGCTGGGCTCAACGCACGGGCACGACCTTCTTCCGTCTTTGGTCGGAGTGAGAACTTTGAGATTGCCAGTGCTACTGCTGATATATTCGTCCAGCCTTCTTTCTCACGGGGGCTAGAGACGCTAGCTCATGTACTACCGGTACCACCGGTGCTACCGAATAGTACGACTGCACCATGAGGTTGACTTACGGATTGTACTCGTCTCCGCTTCACCTGCTACTTGCGATTTCGGTCCAACAGGCGCACAATTGAGATAGGTGGGTCGGCAACGGGGAACAGCGCGACGGTCGGACACAGTTTCTGCTGTGAAAGTCTCGCTCGTATCCTGGTTCGTGGTCTGCGGTCGAGCCTGAAGAGTCTCTTCACCTGCAAATCGTCCACCTGGATCCCTTCCGCTTCCAGTTACGGTAGTTCCAATTTGGGTATATATTTATGCATGTGTACAAATGTACACCACTGTTGAGCACGTGACTGGCCTGTGGCGCCCTTCCAAGCTGGAAAAGGACAAGAAGATCTAGAACATCATGTGATGCATGTCCGATAAGCTCAACGCAGACCCGCCGAGAAGCTTATCGCCGCACCAAATAATTTTCCAGTCTTTTTTCCCCTTAGATTTGTTATTATTCATTTTAAAAATCCTCACGAGAACCAGATCTTCCCAACTTTTCTGATCATTCCACGCGCCGATACCGTCTCCGCCACCGATACGATATGACGAGTCGCTCACCATCCCCCGACACAGTGCTCAATGCGCCCTTGTTGGTGACGGACTCGTTGGCACCCCCGCGGGATATCAAGGCTGCGGGGACGACGAGTACAACTTTCGATGGACTGCTCAAAGAGCCTCTCCTGCTAAAGGAGGATCTCAAAAATGGCTGTGGTGGTCAATTTTGGCCTGCGGGCATGGTGTTGTCCAAATATATGCTCTCCACGCATGCAAAAGATTTGGCAGGGAAATCAATGTAAGTCATTGTCCTACTCCCCCTCTCTTTCCGGGACTGTCCCCTGGACGGTTGGGGGGGGGGGGGGGGGGGCGGAAACTGCACCGGCAGTCATGGCGAGACAACGCTAGATAAAGCGGAAAGAAAAAGGACCTGAAGTAGAAGTTGTCTTGGTCTGTGGCGAGGTGCGCGAAATACTAAACAAATTGGCGCAGAGTGGAGTTAGGAGCTGGAGGTGGACTTGTCGGATTGGCAGTTGCCCGCGGATGCGAGATCGGTCTCCCTCTTCACATCACGGATCAAGTTCCCATGTTCGACCTAATGAAAGACAACATCGCTTTGAATCATCTGGACTCGGCCGTTGTGGCATCGGTGCTGGACTGGGGAGAGCCCATCCCCGGTCATATTCCGTCCAAACCCGACGTGATCCTCGCGGCCGACTGCGTCTATTTCGAACCCGCTTTTCCTCTCCTCATCACCACGCTGCAGGATTTGTTGGGTCCGAACTCGGTCTGTTACTTTTGTTACAAGAGACGGCGTAGAGCGGATCTGCGGTTCATGAAGATGGCAAAGAAGGCCTTTGACGTGCAGGAGGTGCGCGATGATCCCAATGCGGCCGAGTACAGTCGAGAGTCGCTATACATGTACACGATCCGCATGAAGCCCACCAAGCAACCGGCTACGACGACAAGGGATCATATCTCAACCATGAAGGAGTCGACGATATCATTGGCAGAGGTGGAAAACCAGGATTGAATCGAGTAGAATATCATCATCATCATCATGAGTCACGATGCGATTGGGCATTTTCAAAGAGCGCAAAGCACGAAAAGATTTCAAGTCAAGGACAAAGAACGCCTTTCTTTTTGTAAATTGACATATGCATAAACCCTAGGTTTGTGAGAGAGAAAAAAAAGTATAAATATTGAAACAAGCACACTAAAGCTTGAGGGTATCTCCACTGTTCTTTTGAGCCGCGCTCACCTTGGCGCCGCTCATGTCTGTGACCTGGCCCTCCTTGTTGATGACCTTGACACCGCCCTTTTTCAGGTCCGACACAATTTGCTGCTTCTCGGCCTTCTTGCCGGAGGGCTTGATCGTCAGCGGCTCCTTCTTCTGGCTCTTCTTTTGCCTCCTCTTGCGGGCCTTCTCTTCACGGGTCATCTCATCCTTGGAAATGACCGCACCGGTCTTGAGAACAACCTCGCCGGCAGTACGTCCGTCATCTCCGGGCTTGTAGATCTCCTGTGGAGCCAGACCCGAGGCTCCAGCGACGGCACCACCAGCCGTTGGCCGGGCGTCCTCCATCATAATGGTGGGAGCGTCCGTGACCACGTTGATGCTGACCTGGGGAGTCTGAGGCTTGTAGTTCAGGTTGCACAGGAGGTCAAGCTTGGAACTAATCTCCTTCCACAGATCGGTGACCTCGGCATGTTCACGCATCAACTTCTGGTTCTTTGGATCGACGTAATTGGCGTCGGTCGCTCGCAGGTGGTCCGCTTCGTACATCTCTGCGAGACTTTGCTGGGCTTTGGTGTCCTCGAGCTCGAAGCGTCCACGCCGGGTGGACTGAAGGTCGGCTGCGCCTGGTCGTCGGCGGATGACCTCGTCGAACTCCTTGGCCAAGATGCGGCGCTTGACGAGCTCTTCGATGTCCTCGGTGGTTTCATTCGTCACGACGGGGACGGGCTTGCCCACGCGCTCAAAGTCGAGATCCTCTTCGATGAGGGAGTTGACGGGACGCTCGACGGCCCGAGCCTCACCGGCAACCATCCACTCTTTCTTAGCCACATTGGCCGCTTCCAGACGGCGGATCTCATCTGCGATACGCGCACGTTGTTTCTCGTGCGTTGAGCGTGGACCTTGGGACTCTTCGGCACCCGCCATATCTTCGTCTTCCTCCTCCGCCTCGGAGTCTTCGTCGAAGAGGTCACGACGAACATCAGCCATGGCACGCTCCATGTCATTCTCGATCATCTCCGCAGAGGGCTGTGTCTTTGGTAGCGCGCGGCTCTTCTTCTTCGAGGCCTTGCGAGGAGGTGGAGCAAAGAAGTCGGCGTATTTGATGTCGTTGGCATTCTCAATGCCACCCATACCCGCGTCCTCTCCTTCAAAGGCTCCCTCCTCGTCTGAATCCGAGTCCGCATTGAGGTCGGCATTTCCGAAAGTAGGACCGTCATCCTCGCTATCATCGTCCATCTCTTCGTCCTCCGCTGAACCGCGTGGCTTCTTCGAAGATGAGTTTGGAACAGTGCCCATGCTGCCGCTCGCCAAAGGATTGGCGTGCCAGTCAATGTCCTCCTCGTCGCTATCCTCCTCATCGTTGCCTGCGCCTCGAGCATCTAGCCTCTCGAAATGCTCTGTTTGTTTGTTGAAGTCGTCAATGGAGAAGAATCCATCGTTCAGGCCGAAGGGATCCTCGACGTATGTGCCTCCATCTTCCTCCTCGCCTGATGCGTCATCTTCGTTCATGCCATCCTCCTCCTCCATTATATCCTCCTCATCCGATGACTCTTCCTTTGAGTCTGCCGATGGTCCCTCCATGTCCTCTTCCTGCATCTCAACGTCGCCGGTTTCCGAGAAATCGTCAGACAAACTTTCGCCTTCGTCGCTCTCGGAAGCTGACATTTCGGGGTCGGAGCCGCTCAAGCCCTCGGGATCATCATCTTCGTCGGAGGAGTTCTCCTCATCCTCCTGATCGAGCAACGTGATATCCCGCTCCACCTCACGACCCGCAGACTCTAGAATGCGAATGGCCTGCTCCCATATTTGAGTCGAGTTGAAGCCGTCCACATACAGATTCTTCAATTGTAATGGCGGAACATCGTCAAAGCCAGTCTCTGTGCGCTTGCGCTTCTTGTTTGCTTGGCGACGGAGCGTTTGGCAATCCACGACAGAGGCTGCCAGCGGATCGAGAATTTGCTTTGCGGAGTCCGCGATTTGAGTGTGCAATTGATCGGTGGGACGAAGAAACTCCCATGGTTTTGACAGTACACTCGGGAATGTCTGCCCGGATGTCGTTCCGTTTGTCGAAGGTTGAGCTTTCCCCATGACGATTTGGGTACGCCGAAATTGAAGATGGACGATTTTATTGAAGCCTCGTCGGACTAACCGCGGAGAGTCGCAGACGGGAAGAAAAATTATTGCGTGCACGGGCCATTCTGGAAGGGTCCCCCGATAAGCCCAAGCGATAAGATAAGCGCAGATGTCCTGGCCATGAGTATAATCACCTGGAGTCGACTGTCAACAATCCAGGGAGGCCTGGCTGGAGTGTGGACTGCTAGGACTACTTGTGCATCTTTACTGCACAATTCCTGGTCATGGCCTGATGGAAGCAATAAATCTCAACTTTAGCTCTTGCGATCAAACCACCCATCTTAGACTCCAAATGTCTGGACTCCTGGACTCCATGTGACAAGAAAGCAGAGTTCTTTACAGAATCTTTCCCCGTCAAAGCACAGCAGTGACTGTCGTTACCTACAACAATGTTTACGCTTTAAGCAACAACTTTGGCCATTTTGAATGAAGAGTAAGCATCTCAACAGTACCGAATGAGCAGGGCTACCATGCTATAGCCGTGCTGACTGCATCAGGTACTGTAGTAGTGCCAGTTAAGGGAGCTTGAAGGTGATAATATCTTCAAAATCTCAAGTGGATAATCGTCAATCAATAAAGTGTCGGAATATTTTTTTCTTCATAGCATCGTATTCGCTGTATTGGTGCTGACTGCTGACTGTTGACGGGGCATCGTTCCGGGGCGTTCTAGCATAACTCTCTGTATTGCACACTCCACGGATATCATCATTTTGCTGGTACTATAAGCTCATATGGGTTTACACCAATGATGAGCCGTCCAGTGACCATAATTCCAGAGCTCAAACAATGTGTTCTAATCAACCTCAGGGAGAATTTTTGGTACGCGACATGACGGAAAGATACCATCATGACTGCGAATCGCCACAAGCTGAGTAGTAAGCTCGCCTCGAGACGTCGATTGTTTTCACTCGGAATGAGCGACCGCGCCAGAGATTTTGACTGCTCTCTGATGTCAAGTCTGGAACTACCCAGGTCTCGTCATTGCCAGTCTGTATAGTTCGCCCGCTGACAGAGCCAGCGCCAAGGTGCGACTTGTTCGAGTCTTCGAGGGGCAATCAATCTTCTGCAACCTCGTCACGAGGCGAGTCCATGGAGACAATCTCTAACATTTTGATGGATAATACCAGAATTGCCGGACCATGTGTGTCTTGTCATTGGCTGTTCTCCGTTTTCTGTGTTTTCTGTCATCATGACGGACTGTCGAATCCCTCCGATCTATATAGATCCCGAAAGTGACACCGTTTTCAACGGCTCGAGATTCGACTTGTCCTGCATCTCAAAACATATGCGAGCTTTGCAGCCTTAACAAACTTCTATATATAACTGTTACGTCTTTCCAGACTTTCCAGGTCTATTCACTTGCTCACCATTCAGCGACAATGTCTCCCATCTCTCAATATGTCGAAAGGCCCGCAACCGGTGCCAAATCCCAGTTCGAGCCAGGTAAGCTGGGGAACAAACGATCACTTCACACCTGAAGCATTGGAAAAATACTATCCTGTCTCTGAACTTCACGAGAAGTCCGATCTATAGCCATCATTATAACCATCATTATAACCATTGCCAGGCCACAAGATTCCCATCCAGCACATGGACAAGCCCGGCCTTGAGTCCGAGATGGCTGATCCCAAGCCCGTCTACGACCAAATTCCAACCGAAGACGGTGGCTATCAGCCATACAAGCCCGCGGGCAAACTGAAGGGCAAAAGAGCAATCATCACCGGGGGCGATTCTGGTATCGGCCGCGCAACGGCTATCCTGTATGCCATGGAGGGCGCATCTAGCATGATTGTCTACTTACCTGAAGAAGAGACCGATGCTCAAGAGACCAAACGGCTTGTGGAAAAGCATGGAACCAAGTGTCATTGTCTGGCGATTGATCTGCGAAAGCGAGAGAATTGCAAAAAGGTCATTGATACTGCCGTGCAGACCATGGGAGGGATTGACATCTTAATCAATAATGCGGCTTTCCAGAATATGCTGAGTGATATCAGCGAATTGAGCGAGTGAGTGGCTTTATTATCTCTTAACAACGAAGGCCTTGCGACCTTTCAAGAGAAAAAAAAAGGGCGACTGACAAAAACATGCCAGGGAACAATGGGAACGAACCTTCGATACCAACATCCACTCTTTCTTCTACTTGTCCAAGTACGCCTTACCGCACATGAAACGAGGTTCCACCATCATCAATTGCTCCTCGGTCAATCCGTACATTGGCCGCGGTGACTTGCTTGATTACACATCTACTAAGGGAGCCATCGTTGCGTTTACGCGCGCTCTATCGAATCAGCAGCTCAAGAATGGAATTCGTGTCAATTGCGTCTGTCCCGGCCCGAGTACGTATCGAAGACTTCTTCCCTTTGACTTGACTCTGCAAGTTGTGCAATGAGAACGGAGCCAACTGACGCAACTCTCTACCTAGTTTGGACCCCTCTGATCCCATCGACGATGCAGACTTCGGCAATGGACCAATTCCATGCTGTTCCCATTGGACGGCCGGGGCAGCCAAGTGAAGTGGCAACATGTTTTGTCTTCCTGGCTAGTCAGGACAGCAGTTATATTGCTGGCCAGTGTCTTCACCCCAACGGAGGTGTGATGGTGAATGGTTAAAAGTGAAAGTATGACGGAAATTGACTCAACTAGGGGCCATGTGCTCAGAAAAGAGTCGATTGCCAACCAGATCCATACCTTTCTCGAGTCAGGTACTGTGAAAACTTGAGATGGAGCTCGGCCAGTAAACGTTGGTCGAAAGAGATCGCATGAATTAAAAATGATGGTTAGAGGAAGTCACATTTTCTAGTAACCCAATTGAAAAGAGTAGTTCTCAGCAGACGCGCGCCAAATTACCGTAGAACCGAGACCTTCAGTAAAAACTAGTTATTCCCGAGGCAACCTTTTACTCCGTACAAACCCTCAAACTAGGTGGAAACGGATAATGGTAAGGAAATTCAGTCACAGCAGGAGCTGAGCGTGGATGATGTACAATTTCGAACCAAGAAAAAAGAAACATGAATCGACTTGGCGATGGCTGAGAATAGATTGAACCCCACTATTTTGGGTGGGGGAGGGGATAAACATGAGATGTAAGAAGAGAACGAAAGAGGTAAAGCAGCCCGAGGCTTTTTAACGACGGTACCACATGCGAGTGATCTTGGTGTGACGCATCTTCTTCTGCAACTGGAAGATACCGTACATCAGAGCCTCGGCGGTAGGGGGGCCTATGATCAGTTAGTACCTGCTGAACCACAAGCTGTCAGCAGGGCAGAGCCTTGTAGCACTTACATCCAGGAACATAAACATCAACGGGAACAATACGATCACAGCCACGGACAACCGAGTAACTGTAGTGATAGTAGCCACCTCCATTGGCGCAGCTGCCCATGCTGATAACCCACCGGGGGTCGGGCATCTGATCGTAGACCTGACGGAGAGCAGGCGCCATCTTGTTTGTCAGAGTACCGGCGACGATCATCACGTCGGACTGACGGGGAGAGGCACGGAAAATGATTCCAAGACGATCCTGATCGTAGCGGGGGGTGGACAAGTGCATCATCTCGACGGCACAGCAGGCGAGGCCGAAGGTCATCGGCCAGAGAGAGCTCTGACGAGCCCAGTTGGTAACTTGATCGAGTGTAGTCCTGCATGATATGTCATCAGCACCGAATCCTCCAGCAGATCACGTATCACGGTGGCAATAAACGCCCGAGTTAACATACAAGACATATTGCATCGCGCCCTCTTTCTTCTCTTGGCTGGGCAGAGGCACTTCTGTTCGGACCTTGCCAGAGGCGGTAAGTGACTGTCCGCTAGTGGACTGGCGCTCCAGGGCATTTGCAGACTTCTGCGAAGAGGTAGTCAAGGCGGCAATGGGGCTGGCACGAGGAATGCATGCTGCGATTCGAGGGCGCACTGTTCGAGTTGTGTTAGAGAGCTGGCCACGGTCTTCGGAAGCATTGCGTCTAACAAGTTGAGGGATTTTTTTTCATACCACACAAGGCGCCAGAGACGGCAGGTCTCGCAATAGGCAACATGATGACTGCTGGAGGAGCAAAGTGAAGGTTCCCAGGTGCGATTTGGACGGAGTGGCGGACTTGGGGGATTATCGCGGAGGACTTTGGCAGATGCGGTGATCTCACGTGACTCGTGTCACCGGCTTTGGCGGGTGACTGATTGGCGGATCTGAACACACGCGGGGATCCACTTGACAGCAACTGGTCAGTCGATATATGGATTGGTAGAACAGTCCCTTGATCAAAGATGGAGAGCTGGATAATGAGCCTGTGATTGCAATTTGAGTAGAAGAGAGAGGAATATTACTTCTAAGCCGATAGCTGAAGACATGTAGCTGACCAAGAGAAAACCGATCTGAAACTCATATTTAAATGCCCAGCCCAGGCTTCATTGCGTGCATCCTCGGCCCGCATTGAATCTAATCATCTCAACCTCTCCACGGAATCTCCGTCATCGGGCGGTCAGGCAGCCCACCACATCAGACACAGTCTGTCCTCATCGGAGACATTGAGGTCTTGCTCAGGTACGGTTCAGTTAGTCTTGGCTGTATCTTCAGGTCGTCATTGTTTGCTCTGCTCTGGCAAGGCCTCTCTAAACGACGGTCATACCCCTGTTCAGCATAGGAACGCCGAGAAATCCACGGCGCAAAGGCCCACCTTGATTTGAGAACGCGGCCTGTCCAACTAGATAAACGTGCGCTCAAAGTGTCCATCACTTACCGCTCTGCAGCAGTATCGGCATCTCGAATTCTTGTGAAGCGCACATCATCCTCGTTGACCATGGCGGGCCCTCGGATAGCCTGCATTGGAGTGATTGGAAAGACGGTATGGAGATCCATCATGACCAGTGGACTGCCATTACTGACATGAATATCTACAGGACAACCCCCTTCACATCTCTCTCTTCCCACCGTATACGGACTCGACGATTGAGTTCTCCTTCATGCTCAACTCTTGTCTTGACATTATTGAAATTCGTCGCAAACAGACCTCCATCGATCAGGATCTTGGACTGCTGCATGCAATCGATGAACGTCTAGCCGCCTATGGTTGGCTCACGACAACGGGTGTGAAGTTTTTAATTATCGTAGATCATTTTGGACGGGAGGCTATGGCTACAGGAAAGACCACAGGACCTGCAGTCAGTGGTCTGAGGGACTCTGACCTGAAACCGGTGGGACATCTCCCTCTCTCTCTTTCGTGGTGTGGCAGTGCACTTGGCTAATCACTGATACATGATAGGCTTTCCGAGCATTGCAAAGCGCATACATCCAGCTGCTTCAGAATCCTTTTTATACACCAGACGAACATGCACCAGCATCGGGGACGACAGCAGGCGCTGCGACTGCAACTGCATGTCAACCTATCTCCAATCCCAAGTTCATCGCAGATGTCCAACGCATTGGCCAGACGTGGACCCCGGGCGCTGCTATGTAAATCAATGATGGAACCCAGAACAATTCAAAGGGATTTGAAGCACCAGACTTGTGCATTCGTCACTTTCACCATGTATCAACAGCGATGACCGATCGCTATCTCCTCACAGCTGCAACATACATATATTGGGCAAAATAAGATACACGTATTGATACACACGACGGATCGGACCCCTCGCTCAGTCACATTGTGTTGGGACGTGGCTCGTAGGTAAGAGGATCGTGGAATGAGTCAGCGCAGCTTGCTGGTGAGAAGAGCTCACTCTTCCGAGCCGGCTTCAGATTCAGTCTTCAGCAACCCTTCCATCATCTCCTCGATTTCCCGGGGATTACAGACTGCCCACACTCCGCCACCTTTCACATCCACTCTCCCGACCTCCTTGCCGACCAGGTTTCGGCCGACTTTCCCAGGCCCGATCCCAATCCAACGTCGAACGCCCCGCTCTTGATGAAGGTAGCGGACACTATCCCACCAGCGAATTGTAGCAGTACACTGCCTGGACAGCAGCTGGACCAGGTCTTCTTTGGACTGGAATGGTTGCGCAGAGACATTGGAGACGCATGGCATCAGAGCAGGAAATGTGACGGGAATCGTTTCCAAGGTGTCTCTCATGTACTCCGTAGCCGGAGACATCACGGGGCTATGAAATGGACTCTCGCTATTTAGCCGTACCGCACGGGGGTCGTGGCCTCCGAACTGACGAAGCTGGACCAGCAGAGCCTTGATCTTGGGGATACTGCCACTCAAGACGATCTGATTTGGTGAATTAATGTTAGCCACCATGACGTGCGATATTGGTGGAATCGAGCGACTGGTGTCTTCTAAACGGGACGTCGCCAGTCCCAGGAATTCTTGAACGGTTCTCAACAGATCCTCGATCCGGTCAGGCTCACAGATGAGAGCGACCATCCCAAAGCTCTCGCCACAGCGCTCTACCATTTGTTGAGTACATCGAGCCATGACCTCGGCTCGATGACGGACCAGTCTGATCGCATCAGCATATTGCAGGTAGCCTGCGGCTACCAAGGCGGTAAACTCGCCTAGACTATGTCCGAGAGTCACATCAACGCGAGACCTGGTGTCGAACCCAAATTCCTCTTCCAAAATTCGCAGTATGAGAACAGACACGGCCATGATAGCTGGTTGCGCGTTCTCCGTTCGGTTTAGCTCGGAGTTGGGTCCTTTCAAGATGGTGTGGGAAAGCTTGAAGCCAAGAATGGCATCCATCTCATCAAGCATCTGCGTTGTCTTGTGAGGAAAGTGGTCCATCCACGGACTCGCCATACCCACTCGTTGAACACCATGTCCTGGAAGGATACATGTCGTTACTTGGAATAATTCGACACGAAGTAAGCAGCAGGTAGACCCAATTGAACTTACCGGGAAAGAACAGGGCTGTGTTCAGTGCGTTCAGATGTTTTTTCCGCGTGAGAACTCTCGAAGCCAGAGGCCGCGGCAGCTGCAGTGCCATGCATATCGCTTGGCGTCGGCCATTTGAAAGGGGTCGGCCCAGTGTTGTCGCACGAAGCATTGTCCTTGAATTCCTCTGCAGAAAAGGCACCTCTGGCCTGCGTTAGAGTCTATTCCAAGTAGCGTGCGCGCATTTTACGAATTCTTGTTGCTGTGAGAGGCACCACTCCATTGAAAAGGAACAACCGGTCGTGAAACGTTCAGAGACGTGTAGAGCTGTCGTCGGTATAGCTGGGCCGAGTGGGCGGCGGGCGGGAGAGCGGGGCAATCACGTAAGGCTCCGCAATTCGGCGATATCGCCAGTCTCCCATTGAGGACTACCCAAAGTCAAGTATTCTTAGCTTTCCTATCTCCTTGCTAGGGCAATGAACATCGATGCCAGAAAATAAAAGCATTCGAAGAATTCATTTCGCGCATTCAGAACGTATCTATCACAGAAGATACCTGGAAACTTCGCTCAGAAGCGAGATGTTTCTTGTTCTGAGTTTCTTGAAGCACTACCCGGATAAAAAGCTCATAGCACAATAAAGCATTGGCGGTTGGCCCAGTCTATATTTCTGAGCGACATGATTGATTCACTCTCCCGCATCAAATTGATGCCGATGACAATGATCTAACTTCGGCTTGACGGTAGCCACCGCAGTTCGCTCCGCGAGTAATCATGCCCTGTAAACCATGAATGGAACTGATATACTCCAATATCACGTGACACATGCCGCGTTGGTCGCGTTCTTCAGTTCGGCCGCCTCACCGCCCAGGGTTGCACTCTGCGGCAGGACAGGCATTATTGTTCGCTGTTGTTTGCTGGACGCTTACAACACCATCGCTCATTATTAGCGTCTTGCACCGCTCATTGTTTCACGGCCAGTCTCATCCTAAGAGACACATCATCGGCCACACCACTATTTGGATCTGATCGGTACAGAAGACTTCATCTCTCGATTTTGTTCAACCCATTCTGCACCATCACCGATCAACAGAGGAAAAATGTTCGTCCCCAAAACAGCAGCCTCATCGCGCAACACGCGCAGGCGCCAGAGAAGCTCCGAGGACTCTGCCAAAGCGCCCAAAGCCAAGCGACAGCGCTCAGTATTGCGCCAATCGGGAGATACTCAAGTCGCAAGCTTGAACCACGCATCACGCGAGCTAGCGGAGCCTTCAATTTTAGCTCCGTCCTCCGATCTTGACATGATTACGAACCCGGTTGGTATCGAATCGCAGCTACCTTTCCGAGGCGCGAAACCAGCTGAAGAGCCCCTTCTCAATGAGGAGGGGGGCACGGTGCTGCTGGTATGTCTCTCATGAAGCCTTCCATGAGAAGTCGAGCCTAAGTCTCTAACTCCATGAGCATAGTCCAGCACCGATTACTATACCGTTGAACAGCTACCGGCTCTGCCAGATCAAATTCGGGGATCACTCTCAGGTGGGTCATCATTCGCACGTGTTCCGTGCTCTGTCTGCTGGCTGCGCCGATCGCTCATTCACCATTCACAGAGCCTATCAAGTGTTTCTTCTCGCCTACACATCGCTACGCGCTTGCCCTGACACCTACACACGCAATTATCTGGCCATATTCTGTGGCAAGCTCAACACCATCAACATCGGAAACTTTCACTGTTTCAATCCCAGAATCATGTCGAGATGTACATGGTGCCGTTCCGCTTGGCGCCCTGATCACAACTACCCCAGGAGGTCATCCCGGGCTACTTGTTGTCATACCGTCCACCGGAAAGATGATTTACTGGGAAACCGTCTCAAGTGCAGCCTCGTTAGGGCTCTCAAGGCAGAAGCAGAATGGAGTGCAAGGATCTACACCCGGTCTTTTCTCCGGCGAATATGCCACTGAGATTATGAGCTGTGAGCCGTCTGGGATCATCGTTGTTTTCTCTTCCGGTCGAGTCGCACACGTCACACTGAGAGATCCTCAAGGGAAGCCTTCTGTACTGGTCCACTTCTTGAGCACATCCGGCGGCGGTGCAGCAGCAGGATTCTTTGGTGGACTGAAGAGCGTCCTCAGTGGCGGTTATTGGAGAAAAGAGGTAACTGCAGTTCGCGCAGGCGCCTCACGCCAGAGAGGACAGCGAGATGTGCTAGTCGCGACTTCTACAGGCGAGGTCGAAATTTGGGACACCCATTGGAATCATGGCAATGCGCTGAAGAAGAAATTTGATCTCAAGGGACCGGTTACAGCTGCGATTCCTCAAGATTATGTGGCAATGCCAGGAGACACAGAATTGAAGGTCCTTGACTTTGCACTCTCCGAGCAACAGCTTGCTGACGAATCTGATGAATCCTGGCGACTTTATGTTGTCATCAGTACCCCTGAGCTCTTGGACGCCAAAAAATTATTGATCGCACAAGTCCACCTCTCAAACACCAACATTCGTGTGCTCTCAACACATGCCATCGACATTTCGACTTTGCCGCCTGCACACGGAAACCTGAAGCCAATGTTGCGTGTTTCGAAGGGAGAGAGTACTGCCTTTCTCCTGCTCGGACAATCTCTTATCATTCTTTCCTTAACGAGCACCGAGGAGTCGCCTAGCTCTCAACTTCTCTTGGAATCCCATCAAATCCCTCTGCCATTCCAGGATGTCGTTCATTTCCGCACAGGGAAAGAATATGAAATTCTGGGGCACGGCTTGGAGAACCTGACAGATGATGAAAGCTCTGCAGCTTGTATCATGATGGTTCGGAATTTCGGTGCTGTGCGAGTAAATGTTGTGCCCCGATTCCCGTCAGCGCTGGAAGCGGATGAGGGTCAAGTCACCGCGAAGCACAAGATAGAACAAGCTATTTTCTTCGGTACCATGGCAAAGAATCCATTGAATTTGCTTGACAACAGCGGTCTCAACTTCTCTGCTTCTGAGATCGAGCAAGCAGCATTGGATATTTGCAGGGAGCTTCTTCATTCAGAGACTCGTTTTATCCCGACTTCTGCCATTTCAATTGATCAGAATCTCAGACTGCGAGCCAAGGCACTCGGGGATCTCGCTGCTCTGCTGTTGCGAAAGGGAAATCCGTTGAGTCGTGCTGCGCGCTGGGAACTTCTTTGGGGAGCAGAGAAACTTGCCGCGCAGCGAGCCATGTGGAAGCTCGAGGAGTCACGCAAAGGCAAAAGTGATGAGGGATTCCTCAGTCATGTCATCGATTCATTGAATGACAAATTCAAGACGCTCCCTAGCAGTGCACACATAGAAGCAGACGGACTGCGCCTCTGGTTCCTGAAAGATACCTATCGTATGGAGCACGTCATCCCAGGAATCAAGAATGCCATCAAACCTCGAAAAGGAACGTCCTCCAAGCAAGCGCGGAAGCTCTCCGAACAAATATTGCAGGCTAGTGAATTGTTCTTGGCGATCATCGAGACAGCTTATCGCTATCGAGACGAGCACGTGTCATTGTATGGGTTGGGGAGCGACTTTGTTGAGGATGGTGTCCTTGCCGACGGGTACGAGACCCTGCCGGAATTCTGGACGTCGCGATCAATGGGATACGCTGAAGCTGGACATCTCCTTGATTGGGAGTTAGACAGCTGCCGAGCTTGGATTCGCCAAAAGACTTCAAGTCCGGACGCACCCGATGGTCAAGTCTTGAAGAAAATTGCCGAGAATAGCGCGCGCCACTTGCGGGCCCTGGGTCAGATGCACCGTGAGCGGACACGCTGGCTAAATGCCCAGGAGGATTCGAAAGCGACAGACGAAAGTGTGGCGATTGAACAAAGTCACGTTAAGGAACGGAAATGGCAACTTTTCAAGCTTGCGGGCATCGGTCACCTGCAGGATGCTTTGAGTCTTGCTGAGCGCTTCCGTGACATGGGCGCTTTGGTTGAGCTCATCATTGAATTGCAGGATCAGGTGAAGGGACAATCGGGCTCAGAATCATTACTCGAGTCTCCAGCTGTCGCCACCACCGAAGCAGATGTTGCGCATCGAATTTCGCAATATTTCGACAAGTTCGGGGAGCCTTGGGCGGATGCATACTTCTCGCGACAGATCTCAATGGGTCATCCGGGTGCTCTTCTTTCCATGCGCAAATATCAGCCTTCCGTCACCCGATTTCTACGAAAGTCACCTGCGTACTCCAAATTAAGTTGGATCAACGATGTGACTGGCGAGCAAGATTACGAGACTGCTGCAGTCTGCTTGGAAAGCTTGACACTCAACGGCGACGAGGAGTTGTGGAGTCACCGGGTCCAATTGTCTATAGCCAAGCTAAGCAAACTTGCCACTGCGGAGAAGAAGGGCCCGCAAGCTGCCACTGCTTCCGTCAAGGAGGATATCAAACGGTTGGATGATGCCAATGAGATTGACGAGACTCAGGACTCGCTCCACACATACATCAAATCCTTCTGTGAGGATGCGATCGATCGGAGAGCCGCGGCAGACCTTGCTCTGGGCTACTTCGGCAGCCATCTTGAGACCGACCGCCCCGCTCTTTACAAAGTTATGGACGATGCCCTGCTTACGCTGTTTGACCGACGCGTCCTTGGACCAGACCGACTGATCGATCTTTTGACACTGTTGGGCCCACTGCACCAGGAAGAAGAAATGGAAATCGATCTGGGGGGCCGAGAATTTTTCCTCGCGCTTCGGACCCTCGACCAAAGCCGCTATGCGCAGCGTGATCCATCCTATGTGTCAGCTGTGCGTAAACTTATCTGGCGACGTTGTATGTTGAAGGATGATTGGGAAGTAAGGGGTAAAGCTGCCGAAGGCTTGAATGGGTCGTCAGACGATTTCGCCTGTGATACTGCTCTTTCTCAGACCCTTGTCAGGTGCTTGGATGGTAAGTCCCTCGATTCATGTGTATGTGCTGATTTTGCTTCTGACGCTGACACTTGAATTTCATCAAAAGCGAACGCCACAGGCGGACCCAGTCCTCGGCCACTTGTTACTCCCCTCGCTCCCCTTGAGGCATTAATGGCAGATACAGAATCTGACATTCTCGTATCGCGGTTCCGTCCTGAGCAGCAGGCCCGGGTGGCCGCTGACTTGAAACGGGAAGACGAGCTTTGTCGCCGATACATTGAGCACGGCAAGCTTGATTTCTGGTTCCAGCATCTCTTGGATGTCGTCAAGACCAAGGTCGTATCGGACAAAACTAAGCCTGGTGAGACTGTGGATGCAGAGACAGTTTAGTCCGTCGTCGGATACCAAGGACAAGGCTCAAGTAACTGGGCGTTGCGCTCGCGAGGACCCAACCAATTTTTCGCATTTTGGTAAGGTGAACAACCATCATATGTATTTTACAACAGGGATATTTACAACAGGGATTAGGCAGCGGCTACTTGCATTATGAAGCTTTATCTCAAGACTATGAAATCAAATTCATTGGGAATTTTTTAATGAACCATGCTGAGAGTTCTCACACACACGCAAGAAATACATCTGAATCCGAGTCCCACTTACGCTTGGCCTACCACCGACCTGCGGCGGCTGAAAAGTGCACCCCGGGGAACGTGCGAAATTCTTCAAAGATTTGTGGTAGGCCGGATTTCAAGAGAGTCCAATATTTCCAAGCTCATTGGGAAACTCTTTGGAATGATGGTAAGAAAAGGATAATCAGAACTCTGATGTGAAAAGACCATCCCAAAAGACCGTTTCCAAAGACGATCCCCAAAGCCCCTCAACATCACTTAGAGTCCTCTAAAGCTGGACTCACATGCCCCTGGAGACTGCAGCTATATTAAAAGAACGAACTCTACCTGCAGTACCTAGGCCTCTAAGCCTGCTATCTGATTGTATCAGGTACGATAGGACCCGGGTGCACTTGTTGGCCGCCATAAGCGACCCCGGATAGGCAATTTCCAAGTCATGCAGCAGGACTGAGTTTTCTGATGTTGTGAGTGTCCTCACACCGTGTTGTAGAGAGACGCGAGCATCTCTCAGTTCTTATAGCTCCGGCCGTAAAGCAACAAGAGTAGTTGTCGCCTGCTTTATCAACAAAGGCGAGTGTAGGTAAGTAACGAGGTCTAGTTTTTCTACGCTTTACTCAGAATAGATAGATGAGAGCCCATCCCTGTTCTTGTTTGATTAAACATGAGTGATTTGATCAAAATCGAAACACACTCGATACTCAGAGCCAAGTGCACGAAATGGCGACCCGAAGAACGCCTGAGAAATACAGTGGGGTCAGGATCAACGACGAAGGGCACCATCCATGGATGCGCGGATCAAAGTATTCGAGACGGAACTAGTTCTCGCTTTCGGCGCTACTGCTTGTGCTCTCGACTTTAGTCACGGCATTCTCATCTGCGACGCGAACATCGCCTGGTCCGTGAAGCTTCTCCTCAAAGACAGGCTCGGGCTCGATGGTCTCGAATTTGGTACGGAAATCCGCTAGCCCTTGAATGCTGCTGTTGCTGCGACGACGGGCATTGTTCATAGTGTATCCGTAATCGTGGACCTCTTCTCCGGAACGACCCCTACATCAAGCAATCGTCGGGCGATGTTAACAGCGTTCCACCAACGAGGAGAGTCGACCAATCTCACCAGTTGCCTTTGCCACCGCCATCTTTCTTGGTCTTACGAGGGTCTGCGTCGGTAGGGCCAGATTTGGCGAAGTAACGTGGAAGATTTTCACGTGCAGGCATCTCACCCTCAGCGGGGTACTCGCGGTCAGTCACCTTGTGAGAGCGTGTCACTAAGATGATCAATCATGTCAGTATCTTCGGTGTCATTGGGAGATAGTCATGGCTTATGACTTACTGATGATACTCAGAGACAGTTGAAGAATTTTTGGGGATGGAAGGTAGAGAGGGAATTTCTGGAAGGCGACGGCGGAGATTGAGGATGAAGATTGAATAGCATAACAGGACAGGAGTTTGATGATTCTGAATTGTTCGATGGGGTCCTCTCTTGCGCGTGACTCGTGACTCGTGACCTCATACCTTCCTCAGTCGAAATGCGGGGGTTGCCGTTTAGTAGGCTGGATCTCCGCTTTGCAGGATTGTGACTAACCTCATTGGTACGGCGGCACAGGCACAGTACTTTTTTTTGCTTGAGAAATGCCTGATACTGACTGTACTCAGAAGTACTCCACTTCCAAACGTGCAGGCTACAATTGGTCAATTGGAATACCCGGCACTAGGGTGGCCCCGCCGAGTAACCTTATTCCGTCGATTCAGAACATGTTCCGCTCGAATAGACAAAACATATAGGTTATGTATGGTCCATATCGCACACTGGTACCTATTGTATATGTATTTATTTCTCAACCTGCTAGATATGTTCCCATTTTTTCATGATGAAATGATTGCCGTGCACCGTAATGTATGTATCTACTTCAGGCACAATAAATAGCATAAGTGATCGCTTATGTGATACATGGTCGAGCACTCAGGTTACTGTAGAAGAGCGATCTGAACAATAGCGCATATTCATGGCCACGTGTAGAATTGACTGGCTTAGTATGCTCAATCCAAATCATATGATAGTATTTAATCAAGCAGCTCCCCTTTGGATCACGCCTTCCATCAATTTCGCTATCTTTATCCGTTCGAAGCTCGATATCATCTTCATTGCCTCTCTTAATACTCCCTTTTCTTTGTTTTCAGAATGGGATCGATCTCGGGAATCGAACACTTTGGCATATCAAGCCAGAGGTGATACTTGCTTCAGTAAAGTCACTACAGGATAGGTTCGACCATGTTCATTCGATTCGGCTTCGATCTACGAGGGTCTAAAGCAAGCTATGACGGGGTCTTTGAATTTAATCTTACCAGTTCAAGTTGGCAAAAGAAGAAATAGCAAAGTCGATAAGAGAAAACCTTTCAATCTGGCTCATCCATCCCAGTCATGTTCTTCGATATTTTGCTGGCGAACTTGCATCAAAAATACCCCTGTCATGATGAATTACGTTCCAAAGGTCTTCAGTGGTTGTCTCTCCGCATGTTCGTAACGTCAAAACCCCGCTGACTTGAAGAGAACATCGGTTTTCTCTCCAATAGTCCCTTTGTTGATGTCATTTTCTTTTCGGCCAAGGGATCGAGGTTGTTGACTACAAAACGTACCTAGAAATCTACGTACGTTCTGAGAGTCCCATATTGCCAATTATATTAGCCATAATCTGCAACCTAATCAATGGCTCATAGCTAGCGGAATAATTCTATTTGGACTTTATGATTGCTTCCTATAGCAAGGTAGAATTTAACAAATGGCTAAGATACATGGTCTGGCACAAAAAAAAAAAAAGGTGAATTGACTCGGCATGTTGTTGAAAGTTGCCAGTCGTTCAAACCCCAAGTAATCTCAGACAGGGCGTCGCAGTATTCCTCCTCTGGATTGAGGCTTTAGCTCGCCTGATATCACCTGTCTAGACCTCCATGCTGCCCACTCTTTGACTGATCTTGTCTCATCTCGTTCCCCATACTGGAGCGAAGGTACGATTCCTCCCACCAATCTGGACATAGAAGCGCTTTGGCATGGCCTGACGAGATACGCGACACTTTGGCGGACGGCATGGGCCTGTTCACCCGGTGGTTTGATGACCCGGTGCAAGGAGCTGCGAAGAACTCCACCTGTCCACTCCACTGTTGTATCGCCAATATTGACGATGGCACAGTTGGGTTGTGGACGAATGTATCGCCAGTTTGCGGGCAAGTTTTCCTTGTTGGCGGGCAAGACTTGGAGGCCACCAACGACATTGAAGAGGAGAGTAATCGTCCCGATGTCTGTGTGGCCTCCCAATGCAATTAAGTTCTCCTTCGTCACTGTTTGCGTCTGGGTTCGTAAAAGCCGTACGGATGTATCTGATTGATCATGCAAAGAATTGAGAGAGCTAAGTTGGTCAGGTTCAAGACCTAGCTGCTCCTCCAGGCGGTGTTGAATTATCGTGACAACTGAATGGCAGAGATGAATGAATTCTTTGATATTCTCCCGGTGACGTTGGATAGGGTCCGGATTTCTTCGCGGAGGACTATTGCCGACCATATCATCCTGATTGATATTGTACATCTCGATTAAATCCAACTTTCCATCGTCAGTTTTTAATTTCCCAGTGGATTTGTAGCTGAGACAATACAAGCAAGTCAGCCGGATTAGATAGCCAAGATGGGGCTATAAGTGTCGAGCACCTACCCAGTAAGATCGTGCGGTGGCTGATAGGCAAAGGTTTCTAAAATCTCGGAGCCCAGCGCAAAGACTTCACCGGCCAGCTCAAACATCTGCTCTGCATTCTGAAGCAGGATTTCGCCCTCATGGGACTCACTGAGGTCCAAAATGAAGAATCCATCAACCTGGCATGCTTCATACATTTCTTTTGTGGTTTCGGAGTCGCCATTTTGGAGATTCAGTAGAGAGATGCTAGGAATACTTAACTTCGGCACGTCTTCGGGGAACGGCGGGGCTTGATCGAAACATTTTTCAGTCGGCATGTCAACTCCATGGATTACTCGAATTTGATGATTGCGAATTTTTCGGGTGTTGGGTGGGATTATAGGGTGAAATGAAGACAGGCTGCTTGACAGCACAGACCCTCAATTTCCCTCAATATCAGGCGCCCCAGTGACGCCATATGGCTTGCGGTAACATCTAACGTGATTTTTCCTCATGCATCACAGGGGACATTCGACAACTGTGAGTGCCGATCTTCTGGACAAGTTCATTGTTTGCTTTGAGCTACTAGTGGAACACACGCCTGCATTGTACATGTGGCCGCGACCTGCTGTGACGCTGCGGCACCAATAGGCCGGGTAATGAGTCCGCTTACCCTGGGCTGGAGGCCTGATACTAAATAAATTAGTCTGCAGAAAAATCACTCATTTGTTGGATGACGTGAGGCAAAAAAGATGGATTCTTCTAAGAGAGGGCTACCTGGAGGTCTTCTGAGAGCTAAACCCGAGAGGGATCACGTGTGTATCAACGTGTATATGGTCTTGACGCTTATTCCGCGATAGTGCCGCCAGCCAAAAAATGCCGTCGCCCTCGTTGGTAGTATCGTAGTGTTTGTATGGCATGTGATACCGCCGACTCACCGCAGTCCATAGCCTAGATAGAATCTCTCCCCAGTAGCAATCTCACTCCTCATCCCTCCCACACATCAATACTGCTGCCCCTACAGTAGCTGCATCCCATCACATAGTATAAAGAATCTACAAGTAAGGTCAATCAAAATATATGTAAGTAAAGCGTAGTTTACTAAAGGACAGGTTTTAATATCTAAATATTTCCATACGTTAACTGGTTATGACTAGGGTAATCCGTAAGCGGCTAGTCAAGACTCAAGACTCGAGCGCGTGTTTTAAGGTAAGTACTCTGGCAACGCAGCTGGACTTGATCGTCAGGGAAGAGACTATGTAAAGAAATATAGATTATTATAATTAGAGAAGACCTCGATTCAGTAATAGAACCCCTCTAGATAGTATTACTATATCTTAAAGGAGTATATAATAGCGAAGAGCTCCTAATCTCTAGTAGTATAGTGAGTTTCGGTATCAGAGAACTTATAAGACTAAAATATGACTAGATACTAGATTCCCTTATTATTAGGCTATAATAGGATCCTAGCTATACCCTACTAGAAGATATCTATCTTAAATCGGATTTACTAGTTAGGAATCTAGGATCGAAATATCGGAGAACTAGTATCGTCTTAAAGATTTAGATAAGCTAGTAGAAGGCGATTATCTAATAGGATTTTAATTAGAAGGTCTCTGGTTATTAGCTATTTATTATCCCTTTTATAATATCGGTAAGAGTTTTACGATACTAGAGTAGTCATTAAGGACTTAGGTGTTACGGACTTAGATTTCTTCTGCGGAGGACTTAGGTAATGTTATACGCCAGTTTAAGAAAAAGTTTAGAAGGATTTATAAACTATTTATTCAACTCGACTACGTGGTATCGAGAATCTTAAGAGCTAGAGAGGAGAAAGAAGAAGAAGAAGAAGAAGAAGAAGAAGAAGAAGAAGAAGAAGAAGAAGAAGAAGAAGAAGAAGAAGAAGAAGAAGAAGCTATAGTAATATCCTAAGTTTTAAGATAGTATATATAGTACTACGTAGTACTACGTAGTACTACGTAGTACTACGTAGTTACCGGTATCTCCCTTCTAATACTAATTTCTTCTGCAGAGGAAATCTAAGTAAGATCCAGAGGATAGATGAGATATAGTTCTTCTAAGTATAGCTATAGGTATAACTATTATAGTAAGGTTATAGCTTATCTAGCTCTAGTTATCGCGAAAGGGAAGGGCTAGGGTATATAAGGTAGCTATAGGCCCGGGATTATATCCTCCCCTACTAGATTCGACCGCGCCCTCGTAGTCGGGAATCTCTCGTAAAGAGACGCGCTACGAAATTCTTCGTACTTACGCTCCTCTATCGAAAGAGCTATATCCGAGTTAGAACTCCTATAATTCTTATAATTTCTAACCCGAATCTCCACTAATCGGCGCTATATTTATAAGAATAGTAGAACTTAGATAAAGGGAATTAACTAGCGAAGCTAATTATTATAAAAATTAGATAATAGTATTAGCCTATATAAAAAAAGGATAGGATTAGACTCTTATAGCTTTATAGGGCCTTCTAATATTTACTAAATCTAGCTATTTATATCTATATAAAAGGAATCTTCCTTAATATAGTAACTTCTATAATAAGATAAGTCTCTTACTTAAATACTTATTCTTAGCCTTAGCTTCTCTTTCTTCCTATAATTTATAATATACTTTTCTTCTTAGTATTCGAAATCTTTCTCTAACTTACTTAATATAGATAAGTCTTTTACTATTTATATCTATTTAATACTAATAGTAACCTTTCTTTAGTATTAATATATACTTCGGTAACTTATAGTATATCTTCTCATAGTATATCTATACTAACTTAGCCTCTTAAGTAGAGCTAGCTCTAATCTAGTATTCCGGCTAATAATACTCTAAGTAGTACTACTTCTATCGACTCTAATATCTCTATATATCTATCTAACTTCAAGGAGACTACTTATAGTCTTTATAGTAGTAATAATAGTAGTAGTAATAATAGAGGTAATAGTAATAATAGTAATAATAATAATAGTAGTAATAGGAATAATAATAACAGTAAAGATAAGGATAAGACTACTAAGAAGTCTAAAGGAGATATAAATAATAATAAGATTACTCTATCTAAGATATATAGGTCTCTCTTACTTCTATATAGTATTAAGATACTATCTAGTAAATCCTATCTCTTTTATAGTAAGAAGAAGGATCTATTTAAGTCCTACTATATCCTAATCTTTAATAGAAAGCCTTAGTTTAGTAGATCCTATATAAATTATATCTAGAATAGGAGTAGAGCTAAGTATTTATTCTATAGAAGAGATAAGACTCTTTCTACTTAGATTAATATACTCCTAAAAAAGAAGAATCTAAACTATCTAGTAGTCTAGGTAGCTAAAACTATAACTAAGCCTTAGTATAAGGATATAGATAGCTAGTATTTATATATAGAAGAGCCTTCTGAGCGTATAAAGATAGCCGATAGCTTAAGTAAGACTTCGAAAAAGTCTATTTTATAGTCTTTTAAGAATACTTGGTTTAGCTTATCTCTTAATAATAAGAAGTTATATATTACTAATAGCGACTTCTTCTATACTAAGAAAGCTTATACTATTCTAAAGAATATTATTACCTATATATAAAGTAACTATAATATCCTTATATAGATACTTAAGACTAGGGATAATTTCGATAAGGATAATAATAATTATAGTAGTAAAAAGGTAGATAAGAGTAAGAAAGATTTATTAGAAGAATTTATATAAAGATATTAGTATATATATTTCTTTATAGTTACTAGAACTATTTTATAGAAATTATAATAGCTATTAGGCCTTTAAATAGAGTCTTTTCCTAAGTATTAGTATTCCTAGACTTACTTTTATAGACCGGATAGCTTTATATATCGCTATTTCTCTATTATATTTCTTTACTATCTATTTCTAGATCTATACTATCTAATTTAGAGGAATATAGCTTTTCCTAGTCTTAAATAGGTTTATATACTTTTTTTTATATCTATTTAAGTCTCTTTTAATAGTAGTTAAGTATAATATAGGTAATATATTATCTCTTATAAGCTCTTATCTCTATACTTATTTCCTCTTCTATTAGTTTCTAGTAAGTAATATCCTTATAGAACTTATTCTATTCCTTATATATAAATAAGGATAATTCTAAGTAAGATAGGGGATTCTTATCCTTTTTAAGGATATATAGGATCTCTTTAGGCTATTATAGATATAGGCCTTTTATATATAAGATACTCTATACTATCTAGGATATCTATAGCTATTTAGGATCCTAGACTTTTAACTCGATTAATTAAGATCTATTAATTAAGTAGTAGAGTATATAACTACTTAGCTCTACTAGTATATATATACTAAGTAGATACTAGCTAAGTATCTTAAATAGACTAAACTACTTACTTTCGTACTTCTATAGTAATTTATTATATACTAAAACCTAAGTTTCTTCTTTAAAGCCTATCTTTATAATCTTACTATTATAGATCCGGTTAGTCTTAATTACTTATATAAGAAGGAGCTTATTAGCTTTTAACCTTATATTACCTAGATCCTATAGCTTACTAAGATAGTCTCTATCTATTAAGATATTCTACTTAGGATTATAATCTAGTAATTATAGATATATACTATATACTAAGAAGAATAGACTAAGACTAGTAACTATATATCCTTATATTCTTATAGCTAATACTACTTAGACTAGATATAAGTCCTAAGCTTTCGTAGACTTATCTATAAGATATTTCGTTAATATATATCTAATTAAACTATTTAGGTTCTTAACTTTCCTATTTATTCGCGGATAATAAGAGATTATAGTTTAATATCTAGTCTTTAGAAGCTTTAGATAGTAGTTAACTACTCCCGAAAGTATATTCTAACTATTATCTAATAATAATTCTAAGAAAGTACTATAGTTTATAAAGATTTATTTATATAAGAACTAATCTAAGACTTCTTTTATTACTTCTAGTACTACTTATATAACTAGCTAGCTAGGTATATAATTAATTATAGTAATAATCTACTAATTCCTATTAGATATAGTAGATAAGATACTAATTAGATCGATACCCTAATATTAGAATAGCTAGATACTATATATTACTATATATTATAGCAATTCTCTCTCTAGACTCTTTCTTAAGTCTTATAAAACCTAATAATTAGGATATATATATACTACTTTCTTAATATCCTTTTATATCTATAGCTACTATATTCTTAGCTAGATAACTCTATTTAATCCTAGCTAATCTAAGTAGCTATACTATATATATATCTAGTTAAGAAGATTAGTATAAAAGATAGGCTCTAGATATAGAGCTACTAGACTATCTTTATATATAAATATAAATAGT